ACGAGCCTTTCTATATACTGCTTTTCTATGTGTCGTCTTGTTTCTCCGGCCACAGCAGTACTGGTTTGGAGATATATTCCCACGTTGTGCTTCAAGGTTCTATGTTAGTTACATTTATGGCTCCAGCAAGTGATTCGTCAGAGGTGAACACGGCATGGCACGCATCTCAAAGCATCGGTCCTCGGTCGCGATTGGATGTGTTGAGTCGGTCGGATGTGTCAGCTACGGCCTCGAAATTTAGGTAGACAAAAGTGCGTATCTGCAGTACGTACTTGTATGATAGAGAACTATGTAATACCATCGTGCGCGTGAACATACATGCAAGCGAGTCTTTGTCCCAGCTACACTATACTACCGTGGGTGCGTTCATACCACATGCAGCAGGGTGCTGAGAGGATATTGTATGGAGACGAAGGTGTCAGACCACTAACACGGCCAATCAGACTGGTAATGACAGTCTCTGTCTTCCGATTCCTTCTCAGAGGCCGACCTAGACATCCTGGCAACTCTCCAAATCTTCGGGTCCGCGCGTCGTTGACCGCGTAAGTCTATCGCCTATTGTACCAATTTCATCAATAGCCCAGCAGCTGTGTGGGCTGAAAGTGGTCAATTAGCTGGTAGTGCTGTGGATGCAGCCCCGAGGCTGAGTCCAGCGTGCACCTGGAAACGCAAGTTCGTGTTAGGATTATTTAATCAAAATAGGAGTATCCCGTAAGGTTACCACATATGGCAAGAGTCCATATTTGGTGGTAGGCGCTTCTACTCTGTGGCAAGGTCGTCAAGTGAGAACACTAGCTGTTGTGGCGTATTGATATAATCCTGGTCTGGCGGTAGCAGCAGCGCGCATGACTTGATCATACGTCTTATGAATAGGCAGTCTTTACCAGACATGCTCTGAGGATTCTTTCTGGGGAAAAGCTCTGGTCCTGTGGCAGTTGTGTGCTGCTGGTTGTGTGGCATGCGTGCACCATCCTGCTCTCGACTGCTTGTGGCCGCCCCGAATCCAATGTCCTATTATGGTGCACCAAGCCAGGAGAATCTGGCATCAATGCTAATTGAACCGAGCAAGCTGACATTTTTGGTCGTCTCCTAGGCTTCTTTGACTCTCTTGACTGGGCGTACTAGGCTATCGTCCGGCAGGCCACTCCGTTTAGTCCCAGGAAGCGAGGAGGTTCGAATGTCATTATCGTCCTGGCTGACCCTGCGCATGGGATACGTGGTTTTCAACCCTTCAAAACAGTTATTGCTGACCTTGTCCCCTGTGCTGAAGAATGGATGTTGCAGGGCTTGTTGAGCCGTCAGACGCCTGTCAGGGTCATACTCTAAAAGACTAGCCAGCAGCTTGTAGCCTTCTTGGCCCAGTGAAGACAAGCTCGAGTTGGAGCTCGGCGACGACGTAGAGGAATGTGCACCTATGGTGCTATAGTACCACTTCTCCAGATGGGATGCCGAGGCGGCCTTGCTACCGTGGTGGTGGGAGTGATGGTGCAGCATTGGCGGCTGAAGGCTGCCCAGCGCGCCATACTCTGGCATGCCGGTAAGGTGAGGCCAGCGCTCCTTGGTCGGCAACCCCATGATGTCGACGATCTTCTGCATCTGGTTGCGCTGAAAAGGAACCGTCTTTTTTGAGTCCATCTTGGCCTCCTCTCCCTTGAAGATTGGCCGAAGGGAGAGCAGCTCGGCGAAGATACAGCCAACAGCCCACATATCAATGGCTGGCGTATAGTGACGGCTGCCCAGCAGAAGTTCCGGGGCACGATACCATATCGTAACGACAACCTTATCACCGCTGAAGAGGGAATGGAGGGGCTTCTGGAAAAGCCGAGCCAGGCCGAGATCCCCAATATTGACTTGCCCAGCAGAAGTGACCATGATGTTTGCTGGCTTCAGGTCGCGATGCAACACCCAGTTGTTGTGGAGATACTGACAGCCGTTCAGGAGCTGGAACATGATGCTTTTGACGGTCGCCGGAGGGATGGGGTGCCTTGGATTCTGGGTATGGTGGTGAATGATTTGTAGCAAGTCGTGCTCAGCGTACTCGAACACCATGAAGATGCACTTGTCCTCGAGAATTATCTCAACCAAGCGAATGACGTTCGGGTGGCTCAGCTCGGAGCAAAGTGCCATCTCGCGTACAGCAGACTGTGATATGCCGGTGTACTGGATCTGCTCACCCTCCTTGTCGGGCTTGAACTTTTTGATGGCAAACTCGCCAGGCTGGCCCTGTCGACCAACAGCCTTGTAGACTCGGCCATATGTTCCGCTGCTGATGAAACCGATTACCTTGTACTTGTCTATGACCCTAACCTTGGACTGGTAACCGGCATTAATACCACGGTCTGCGGGATCTAGGCATTCTATATTAGTACTCTACGCGGTATGCCATATCAAGATGTTGGTATGACGCGCTGACAGTAGTCCAGGTAGGGACGCGAAGGAAATGGAATCTCGTCCAATTGACGAATATGTCGGGGAGGAATTGGGCATTTCTCATAGCAAGACAGTGGATAGGAGGCCAAACTGTCATCACTTTCCATAGTCGCTTGACCAATAACGTCGAACGGCATGATTGTAAATAACCATAGATATTGTGGGAGGAGGTGCAGCTGGGGTGCGAGTATTGATCAAGGGGAGGGATATCGTTCACACGGGGAATGTGTGGAGGCTGTTTGGGTGTGTCGAAACCTCAGCAAATCAGAAAATTTGAGAACCAAGTACCTTCAAACGCTGCCTGCACGCTCCTCTTGAGACTCTGGTTCCTAGCCGATACCGAACCCGGACCAGAAGTCCCCGTTGGCGGGTTCGTAAGACTCATCTCGGTGGCTATCCGTAGATCCGATGGACCACTAGTGGAGAACCACCCAGATGCAGTCAAACTTGACTTCTGAAATCACTTGTCCTTTTCCAGGTTCGGCTAAGCACGGGGAAATGACCGACGATGTGTCTCGAAAGCACTCCAAGAGCCGGTCGAGCAAGATGATACTGAATGGGATGCCGAGATAAAGTGGACCCTCTGTACGGATGTTCCCGACGTAAAAAGCATCCGGCTGTCGCGAGGACCAGGGTCAGTATATATAGAGCAGGGAATTCAAAGAAGTGCTTGCTGATGTGATTGGGAAACAAGCACTGTTCTGTTGAATCAGCTCTGAGGTGATGGGCTGATGAGGAGAGGTCGGATCGGAGCCATATGTGTGGCTGATGTTGGGATTCCCGTGCAGGTGTGGCGCAGGTCCAGGGATGGTAGCAAACTCAGGGGAAGCAAGAGAAAGCCAATTCATAGGTTCGTGAATTGGGAACTCGGGTACGATCACAGCATCGTCTTTCCTGGTCAGGTTCAATGTGATTTCCTCTCATGTATTCTAATTCATCGGCATATAGAACTTTTGCATTGATGGCTCTGCGCAACGCCACGCCCGAGAAAATGGGATAACTCTAATAACCACCGTTCGGCTCGGCTGGACTCGACTCGACTTGCGTGACGGGAAGCTCGCTCTATCGCGGACCTAGCTTCTCCAGAACCCTTGTGCCCTGCTCTTCCCACTCCTGCTTTGTGATCCACATGCTCTCCTTGTCGGCCATGATGTTGGCCAGCACCGCACCACCCAAGAAAACCATGTGCCTCCGTCGCGGGGGGTCTTCTATCCTAACCTTGAACTTGCTCAAACGTTCGGGGTTGCCGCCCAGGACACGCGTGAGCCATAGCTGCTTCAACTCCTTCTCCAGGCGGCTGGGCAAGCCGGGATACATGCTGCTTCCACCCGACAGGACAATGGCCTTGAAGAGCGACGAGCGCACGTCGACATCGGCGGCCTGGATCGTGTTGAACAGAAACTCGGCAATGCCAGGCTGCTCGCAATCCACGAGGTGGGGTTGGAAGAGGCACTCGGGAGCCTCGAAGCGCTCGCTCCCTACGCGGATGACACGGCCGTCGGGCAGGGTGTAGCTCTCGACGAGGACGGTCGTATCTTCACTAAGACGCTTGTCCAGCTCCAGGTCGTAGGAAACATAGCACAGCTTCTCCTTGATCTGACGCACTGTCTCGAAGTCGGCGGTCCGGTTGAGCGCATAGCCTCTGCGCAGCAGCAGGGCAATCAGGTTGCGCGTGACGTCGCGGCCGGCAACATCCAGCCGCCGGGTGAGGTGGTTGAGCACGACTGATTCGTAGACGGGGACAATGTGCGTGACACCATCACCGGAGTCTACGACGACACCGGAGCTGAGACCTGCAGGTGGTTCACATTAGCGTACAGTCCCTCGGCCGCTTGACTGGCGAGGCCAGCCCCATGGCTATGGCGGGAGTCGCGTAGAATAGGGCCCGCCTGGCTGGCTGGCTGGCTGCTGGCCGCTGACTGGGGAGCAAAGTGTGACGTACCTTGGGCATACAGGGCCAGCACGGCCTGGATGGCGACATAGACTCCGCCGAAGCCGTAGCGGTCGAACATGACCTCGCACATCTGCTCGCGGTTCCTAAGGGGGTTCATGGGCGGTTCGGTCAGCAGGATCTTGCGGCCGGTCGGGTCGACCTTCATCTTCTCGAAGAAGGTGTAGTCCCAGAGGTGCTGCATATCGTCCCACTTCTTGACGATACCGTTCTCCATAGGGTAGCTGATCTGCAGCATGGTACGGGCGGCAGCGGCCTCGTCACCGCACATGATGTCCTTGATGATCATGTCATTGTCGCTGCCCTTCTCTTCGGATCGCAGGATGGGGCGGCCGACGATGGAGGGATATTGGAATTCGGGGAAGTTCTGGGCGGCGTATCCGACCTTGAGGAAACCTGTGCCGCCATCGAGAACTGCGGCGCATGGCCGTCAGCCAGCGTTCGGAGCGCACGCAACAGTACCAGCAGTCGGGACGGGGGAAGAGGGGAGAGGGGAGAGGGCGAAAGGGAGAGAGCCAGGCGATTACCTATGGGAGGAGCCGCCATGCTGGGTGACGGGCGGCGGGAGAGAGCAGAGGCAGCGGGCTATGAGGGATCGTGCGCTGCCGGGAGCCGGCCTGTTCAGTTCGGGATGGTCGAGATGAGGGTATTCGCGGATGTCGGGCGTAGGGCACGGAATGGAACAGTGGCAGCTGAGCTCCGGATGTGGCCTTGCTGGCTGGCTGGTTGGCTCGCCGAGTGGATGGACGTCAGTCTGGAGATGGAGATGATGGCGGGGTCGCACGGCGGCTTGGGGGGCCCAGGAGAGGTACAGCCACACTGTTGGGCCACTGATCGAGTGACCTTGGTGCAGGCAGCTCGCTGCCCGCTGGGAACCGGGAGCTTCAGCCTGTCCAGGCCTTGGTTACTGTAGTGCCCCCACTAAGTTAGGTACCGAGGGTGCCTACCTAGGTACTGTGTACTGTGGTAAGCGGAGACGTAGAGGGGAGGGAGGGTGCTGTGGCTCAGCACAGCTCTGCAGCTTTGCAGCCACCTGAGCACCTTGGAAGCCCAGAGCCCCCGCCGTCATATGCCCCCGCAGCGAGGCCCAGAGCCCGCCCAGTTGGCCCGCTACCCCTGGACCTAGGTAGAGTTACCTACCTCCAAAGGTACCGGACGTACTGTAAGCACGCACTTCAATGTCAAGTTCTTGGCTTACCCACCCAGCATTAGTGACCTTTGTACGGATGTTCTATAGCAAGCAGTGGAGCAAAGTCAGATGTGTTGATCATCCTGCCATTTGTATAGACTCGCGTGCTGAGGGCTGCCCTAGCGCTTTGGTCTGCGGCTACTAAGGGTGACGGCGCGACATACCCGACTGGGCTGGACGAGGGAAGGGACCAAGGGACATTCCACATCAGAGCTCCCCGGCCAGCTCCACAGATTGCGTACCCAGCTAGGCATAACTAGTTGCTTCGGTGTCGCGGCCGGCCAAGCTCCTGGCTGAATGGGCTGCACGGAAAGGAGAGCCATATATCGGACTGAGAGTGTCTACCTGGACTTCTTTCATCTGCAAGATCGTCCTCGTCCTGTCGTACCTGCCTACCTAGTGACTCAAGGCAAACTGTTTACGCTTCAATTGACCGCGTGGCTGGCCGGTCTAGGCATAAGAACCAAGTCAGCTGCTTGGGAGGGGGTGGACGGGGATTCAGCGCAACATCACCGTCATCGGCCCTCAAAGTTAGAACCGCCCAAGTGGCGATACTTCCTGTGTCCTCGGCCTCCAAACCCATCTGCTATACTTGAAATAATTGCTCCTCCCTAGTGAAGAGTGTGTAAAACCCGTTGCACGCATATCCCACCACTCGGCTGCCGCTCGTCGTTTATAATGTCGCCTCAGGGTGTGGCGGATGGCGGCTCTTATAACGCCAACATATTGGTGCTAAACCCCAACTCGTCCAAGGACATGACCGAAACCATCGAGACGGCCATCGGGGCGATTCCACTGTCAGATGTGAGTATTGCGATCCCGTCAACAACACTAGGGGCAGGCTGGGCCTGGACTGCTGATACCGTACTCGCCTAGTCCACCTCCTTGGAATTCTACACGGCTCCCTCCGCCGCTCCGCCCAGCATCAATGACGGCGACGACATTGCCGCCAGCACCGTGGCCGTTCTGGCCGACGGGTGGTGGGACACCGGGAATGAGCGCTCCTTCGCGGGCATGCTCGTCGCATGCTATAGTGTGCACCCGTTGGTAGGCCAGCTCCGCCAGAAGCAGTCCAGGCCCGTTGTCACTGGTATCTTCGAGGCCAGCATCCTGACCGCACTGGCCCTCCTTAGGGGCCCTGGCGACAAATGGGGTATCGTCACGACGGGCAAGTGGTGGGAGGAACATCTGGCCAACGGCGTTCTGGACTTCCTCGGCGCTCCGGAGAAGACGGACAGGACTGAGAATTCCAAGTTCGCCGGCGTCGAGTCCACAGGCCTGAACGCTTCCGACTTTCACCATGGCGTTGCGCCCGAAGTGGTGAACCGGAAGATCAGGGACGCAACCAAAAGACTCTTGGCTAAGGGCAACGTGACTTGCATCGTGATGGGGTGTGCTGGGATGGCTGGGATGAAGGCCGAGATTCAGAAAGCAGCCCGCGAGGCACGCGGTGAAGAATTCGTGCGGAAGACATTGAGTGTCGTGGATGGAGTCGGAGCTGGCATACTTCAGCTCCAGACCATGATCACGCAGCAGCGGGTTCTCTCCATGTGATTGGCACTACCTGCAACAGAGTGAAAAGCCACCATCAAGGGTCAGGGGTCAGGACAGACACTCTCGGCCAGATCAAGCCAACCTACTGGAACAGCGCACCCTGATACTATTTTGATTCGGTGCCTATACTGAATATTGGGTTCCTATCTGTAGCATAATTGAAGATTGTTTACGGCTGGCTCAATCAAGACGTCTTGTCCGCCCCCAGACTTCATCCGCGTCCTTCTTGCCTTTCGTCTCTGGTACCTTCCAGGACACGAATAGGCCCGAGCACACAGCCAGTGCAGCAAACACAAAATAAACCCAGCCGGCACGGCCAAACCGCTCATTCAGGGCAGCATTGATGATGGGGAAGAACTGGGCAACCAAAAATGTGGCAATATAGTTGGCTGCGAGGCACCAACTCTGCGTCGCGCCAACAGCCTCCTGGCCTACAAGTTCGCTGGCCATCATAAAGGGGACAGGCCCGAGGCCGACAGCGAATGCCGCAACAAAGAAAAGTACCGTCACGGCGCTCAGGATCTTGATCCCAAATATGATGGAGAGTGCGAGACACAAGGCGCTGGTGCCTTGTCCGGCGATGGACAGCAGCAGACAGGTCTTGCGGCCGAGCTTATCCGGCAGAGGGGAGCATGACACGGTCACGATCAGGTTGATGGCCGAGATTACGATGGTTAAGAGCGCCGAGCTGATCGGGAGCAGGTCTGCAAGCAGGGATACCGAGTACATGATGATGGAGTTGATGCCGCATAGTTGCTGGGCAAACATGATGCCAATGACGGCAACTATGGCCGGCCGAGTGTCGGGGTCCCGGACGACTTGGAGAAAACCGTGGTGGCCACTTTTTCTGCCTCCTTTGGTTGCGGAGCCCGCAGTCGAACCCCTCCTGGTTGTCGTAGGGTTTACGTCGGCGTCTGCAGCGCCATCCAGGAGGCCTTCCTCTTCGGGGATCACGACGTCCGAGCCCCAGGATGCAACTTCTTCCTCAATGTCGTAGTCCTTGCCTCGGATGCGTTGGAGCGTTCGTTTCGCTCGAGAAACGCTCTTGTTGGCGGCGAGCCAAGCTGGGCTCTCGGGGACGAGGGAAAGGCCGAGGCCCTGTGCTCCACCGATCACGACTCCCGTGCCGAGGATCCATCGCCAGGCGGAGCCGTAGCTCAGGAAGTACCCCAGGGTCTGGGTTGCCAGTATACCGACGTTGATGCTGATCTGGGTCATGACGCCAAAGAAGCCTCGCTCCTTGGGCGGGGCGATCTCGCTGATGTACAGTGGCACGATGACGGTCGATGCTCCTGCGCCAGCGCCAGACAAGAGTCTCCCAATAGACATGACGGGAACCGAGCGGGCTACCGTCTCGACCAAGGAGCCGATGACGAAGAGCACACTTGTAAGTCGCATCGCAAGAAGCCGTCCTCTGGCCGACGATATCGGGCCTGCCCCGAGCGCACCGACGAGTCCTCCAATCGTAAAGGTGCTGGAGACGACAGCGAACGCAGCATTGTCCATGGGTATGCAATCGGCAGTGTCCGGTGTATGGGCGTCGCCGGAGCTTAGAGACGAGAAGAGGGCAGCGATCCGAGTCGAGATGGACTTCTTCTGACAGGTGATGACATCTTGTGGTGCGTTCAGCTCGGCCTGCACCAGACCCAGGTTAGAATTAAGGGAAGCAATGGCTCCGCAGGCATCATGGCGCTTACCAGATGGTACCCGAACTGCAGAGACCCAAGGGTGCTGATGACAATCAAGAGGACAAGGTACGGCGAGACATCGTGGACGAACTGGCGCAGACCAGACGCCATTGTATGGTGGTGGACTCGGCGGAGTCGTCGCAAGAAGGGCGGTGGGATGGAGACGGAGGGACTGTCTGTCCTTGGCGTTGGCTCAAACAGCCAGTCTGGGCAATGGCACCGTCGTGCACAAGCCGTAGATGGGACGGCAGATCAGAACGTGAGGTCCGGTGCAGATAATGGTGCGGTGCAGGTCGACGCACATACACATACTCTATATATATGGTCTCCTAGTGCTACTTAGATGTGGAAACGTGTTGTCGGACGGGGGGGGGGGGGGGGTTCAAGTTCTCGTTACCTGACTACCGGCACAATTGCGGGCGGCCCGCAGCGGAAGAAAGCGTCAGGTCCGGGGTGCATTTGGCGGGGGAAGCCGGGCCGTGGGGCGGCGGGCTCAGCTGCAAGCAACTGCGCGGGACGAAACTCGATCCCTCCATGCCCCTTGTCCGGTGATGATAAGTTCTACTCATGGACATGGTCCCACGGCTCAGATTCAACGTGCCGCAGCAGGACATGTTGGGAAAGGCTATAGAACTACATTCGAATTGTTCTCTCACCAGGACGCACCGGAAATGACGCACGGGGTGCATCTCGCTTGCCCGCTTGTGCTGTGCCACGAACGCACAAGTATGTGTAATCCCCAACTTGCAGGTCATCGGTGGCCCCGGAACAAAAGCATCTCGATGCCGCAGCTGCAACCGCAGGAGACGTCCCGCACAAGCGTAGCACCACATCGCAGCCCAGTGACAGTGACATGACAACTTGGATGAATTCCAGATAGGCAGGCATGAGGGTATTCTATGCTCAGTACACATGTTCCGCATCAGCCGAAGCCGCCACAGCCCCGGCTCGTCCTCATTCTGCTGTTTCGCTGGCCGGGCGGCTCCCCTTCCAGATATCGGCTCGCTGGCTCTCGTCTTCCTGCTCCTCGTCCATGCCGAACTTGGTCATGCTAAAGTCCGGCAGCCGTTTCTGCTCCTTTCGTGACAGCCCATGCTTGAGCTTCCACCGTCTGAGCTTCTCCAGCTCCTCGGCGACCCTCTGTCTCTCGGCGTCCTCGTCCAGCATGGTGCCCTCAATACTGAGGTACCCATAGTCACCGCTGACGCCCACTTCGAAGTTCTTGATCTGGAAGCGCATCGTGCCTCGTACCCGCTGTCCTTGACTGTCCACCCAGTATCCGGTCGTGTGCAATTGGCTAACATCGTCATCACCCTCGTCCGCGGGGTCGGGGGTTGGCAGCTTGGCTTCCTCGGGCGTCTTTTCGCGTCCTTTACCCTTGGACTGCCCCTGGCCCAGTAGACTGACCCATCGCCATCCTGTTGGCAGGCGTCCTGCTTCGATGGAAGCGTTGAACATGCCCCAGCACACGACGCCCAGATGGCCTTCGGTCTGCATGTTGACCGAGCCCTCCATCCAGGCGCCCCGAGAGGGCTTGAACAGGTCAAGCTTGGCAGTCAGCCATCCAAAGGCCACGGCGTACTCGTCGATCGACTCCAGCACGGCCTCGTCCGAGTTGTCACTGTTCTCGGTCAGCGACCCCTTGCCCGGTACCTCTCCCAAGCGGACGTCGTGGTATCCCAGGAGCACGCCCTTGAATGCTGGCACGTAATGATTCAACAGAGGCTTGAGGTGCTGGTCCGCGTAGCCGTCGACGGGCTCGATCATGCCCATCGGGAAGAGGGGTAGATACTGCGACACCTGCTGGGTGAAGAAGGGATATGGCTGCTCTGGCAGCTTGCCAAAGGGCTTGCCAGCCGACGTGGTGGCGGCAGCAGCAGCATCGACATCCACGGCGTTGACATCTGCGGAGTCGTCCCCACCCTTGCGGCGCTTGTCCTTTTTCTCCTTCTTCCGCCTCTTCTTCTCGGCTTGCGCAGCTTCTTCGTCCTCGATGTCTTCGGGGGCTTCCGCCTGGGCCGACTGTGGGGGGTCCTCGGCGTCATCTTGTTCGCGTGTCTTGTCCCTGTGTTTCCTCGACCTCCTGTCCGCCTTTGCCTCTTTCTCGTGGTCGGCTACGGTGGCGGCAGCGCTGGTTGTGATGGCGGCTGCGAGGTCGGCAGCTCCCTCGGTCTGATGTCGCTTCTTGTCCTTCTTCCTCTTCTTGCCAGTCTCGGGTTCCGATGTGGGTTCTTGTACATCGGCCATGGATGTGTCGCCGTTCGCCGGCTGCTCGTTGTGCGCATCTGACTGTCGCTTCTGTTTCCTCCGCTCCCTCTTCTGCTCCTTCCTGCTGGCGCGGTCGGCGTGCGGGTTCTCCGTATCATCGTCGGCAATGGCTTCGCTCTTGGACCGCTTGTGTCTGCGCTCCTCCTCGGGCTGGGCCTCGGCGTCTCGATGCCGCTTCTTGGACTTGTGGTCGCCCTTCTCCCGTTTGGACTTCTTGTCCTTCTTTTCGGGGGCCATGGCGGCGGCCGGCTCGGGCTCCGGAGATGGCATGATGTTGCAATTGATTCACTGGGCGTTGGCCGCAGGCCTCTCCAGGGGGATGGCGTTGCTCAGGACAAAGTCGAGCGTAGGAAATTTTTGGGACAGCGGTCGATCATCAGAGTCCGCCTGGTCTTGCAGAGCGATTGGCAGGGTCTCGCGAGAAAAAAAAAAGTTTTAGTGGGGTATCCTGGGCACAATTTTCTGCGGGAGCTCTCGTCAACCAATGGGGGCCCGTGTCATCCCAGGCCAGCCAGCCAACTGAAACTACCTTGGTTAGTCCTTGACTACCACGGCCAGCTCAGCCAACAAACGTCTCACGGACGGCGAGCCGGATGGTTCGCCGTTGTCCTTCCGAATCGCGTATGCCGTTTAAGAACGGAAGAACGGAAGAGCGCAATAGAAATAGAGACCTTTCTATCATGCAAAAGCATCGTTGCCGGCCATCTATATCACTCGGCCAAACTCCGCCGGCTCGCACTAACAAATCTCAATAGCCCTTTCCCATAACCGCCCGCTCAACCACAGCACTCAGAGGCTCCAAGTCATCCGGTTTGACGCCCAGACGCTCGTTGTCCGTCTTCTCGTACAGCGTCTTCCCGTCGGACCAGATTCTCCTGAGTGTGAAACCGGTTGCTAGTGGGTTCCCTTCGTCCCAGAGTCTCTTTTCCGTTTCTCGGAGCTCAGCCTTGGATGTGTACTTGACCTCAAACTTGGATGCTGTCTGCTTCTCAAACTCGGCCAGGATATCGCTCTGCGTCCGCACAAATGACTGCACCCTCAAGATCCTTCCCTGCGATGCCTGCGGGCTCGCCAGTGCAGCCGCCACGAACTTTCCGACACTGGTCTTCAGTCAGCACGAGACTGTGGTTTTTTCTTTTGTCTCCCTTCAGGGGCCGCATAGGCTCGTCACTTACTCCGGCATGGTCGTGAATCCGATCCTGTCATCACCTTCCCCAATGAGCACCGCCTTCTTCTTCTTCCAGTCGTAACCACCACCAGCCTCGGCTCCGGGTTTGTATTCCAGAAACATGTCTGCATATGGTCCAGTGACTACGTATGTGATCTTAACCTTCTTGACGTTCTCTCGGATGAACTTCCGGACCTTGAGTTTGTTCTGGTGCGGCTTCTCGTCCTTGCTGGTCTCATCATACTCGATGTCCGTGCCATATTCGCTCGGGAAGAACCACTGCACGCTGTCGCTCTCCTCGGCAAGGCGTAGCAGCTCGATCTGCTCCAGAAGACCAGTGCGGCCTAGACACGACACCACCGTGTCAACGTCCTTATAGGCTTTGCGGACGTCGTCGGCGCTGTTGATGTCGCCCGTGATGACTGTCAAGCCCTGTGACTTCCAGGAGGACAGCAAGGCTTGCTTTGCCGGGTTCGACGCCGTTCCGGGAGACGTCAGGATAGAGATGTGTGACAAGGAGCTGAGCCGGGGCTTGGCGGCGAGGATAGCCGTTGTAATGTACTTTCCGATCACACCCGTCGCACCGATGACGAGAATCTTGGAAGGAACGGAGCTGGCCATGGCGGGTATCGACCTCCCTATGTTTTGCTACTTTAATGCCCTGGACTCTCCTTGCTTGAAACTATGTGGTTGGGTTTGGTGTGCACGAAACCGAGGTCGACCACGTGCGAGCTTCATGGAATTGTGTCAGAGTTGCTCCACCTAGCTTCCGGGGCGGCCTTCAACCAGGGCAGTTCCGCAGTGGGGAGGTTCCAATGTTGTCATTGCGGGGTAACTTGCAATCAACAGGGCGCACAAGTTCACGCATGGTCACGACATCGGCTTCGAGCGAGAACCCGGTCGAGAGCGAGTGCCTGTTTCTAATTACGATGGGCTGAGATGCCCATGGCATCGTAGAAGACAGAGGAGCCGTTCAAGGCCGGAGCCTCAGGCGGTACAAGACCTTCCAGGCCGGGATTCTCAGTATACAGGCACCATCCAATGCTCTGCTAATCTGGCGCTCGCTAAACGATGTGCTCACGAAGCTATCTGGTGCCAGTAGTCAATTGAAGGGGACGGTTATCGGAGTAGTATGCGGGGATGACCGCGCGGCCTTTGTCTAGGAACAAGGCCAACAAGACTCATATCTGCTACATATATACGTGCCGTTCATGCTTTCAAAAGTCTATCGGATCCTAAAGCTTCGTTCTAGTAGACATACTGGATTCTAGTCAGTGAATGAGCTGCTGTGTCAAGATCAGCACGTACCTTGAAATACGGGTTCTCGAGGTCAGTCTCGTCTAAGAATGCCCTTTCATACCCCTGAGCGTCTATGTCGTTTCCAGGACTAACACCATTGATTAGGGCTTTCCGCTTCTTGTTCCGGGACCAGAGGAGTAACCATATCCCACCCAGACTCAAGACTTGAACACCGATGCAGAAGAACATCATACCCACTCCAAGATTATACACTGGAGCCTGTTCCGATTTGAAAAAGAAGGGGCCAATGAAGTTGCCCAGGCAATACCCAATCAACAACATTGCATTGGTTGTAATCTTCTTCGTGTGGCCGGCCGTATTCGCTGTGGCTACAGCCATTGAAAGTGTCCATGTCGCAGTGTACGTGAATGAGATCCATAGACAGACCAGTCGGCCGTATGGCTTGGTGTTGTCGATGAGCCACAGCCCACAGACACCGGCAAGGAACGGAATAAGGCAGACAAGCATAGTAGCAAGTCGCGAGTTCTTGACATATGAGGCAAAAAAGCTAATTCAGGTCAGTCGGTGTCGCCCTGCCGACCTCATCATCTCGAACCTACCAGGCTAAAGGACAAACAACCAATTGGACGGCACCGGAAGGCATCTGGATCAAAGTGGTCTGCAGGTTGGAAAACCCTATTCCTTTTATAATAAGCCCCTGGAACTGTAGACCGGTTAGCAATTCGGGGGCACTCTCAACTCTCCGGTATGCCGATGAGCTTACTGTGGTCAGCCCGCCATTGGGAGAATTACTGGCTACAGCGAACAAGAAGAGTAGCCAAGTCTTAAGATCAAGCATCGCCTCTTTGAACTGCTTCACCTTGAAGTGCTTGTTTTCGATTCCTGTGTTGTTTGCCTTGACTCGGTTGATCGCCAAAGACCGCTCATGGGCCGTCAGGAACTTCGCGCTCAAAGGTGACCCGGGGAGGCAGAAAACAAGAAGTATTCCCCATGCAGTAGTTATGGCACCCCAGATGAGAAAGATCAATCGCCAGCTGGCTAAGGATGACTGAATATGACCAATACCAAAACTTGCGATGCCTGCAATGACGTATCCAAGTCCTGCTGAGCCAATCCATATGCCCATCCGAAGTGGCTGCTCCTCACGAGAGTAATACCTTGCACCACTGTCAGTACCAGTTGTTAAGCAATTTTCTTCCGGTAATTATCTTACATAGAAAACAACAGCATGGTTCCAGGGTTGATGGATGCCTCAAAGACGCCCAAGAACGTTCGAGCAGCTGCCAGTCCGGCGAAGTTGAACGCACATGCATGACACATCAAAACTATACCCCAGGTGATAACCTAGAAGATCAGCGTGATGACCGCCTCTTTATAAGCGCTTACTTACCGTTCCTGACATAAAGTAGTTGATTGGGAGTCGTTGCAGCATCATGCTGGTTGGGAACTCCCACGCGAGATAACCCAGGTAGAAGATTGCTCCTAGCCACGAATACTCCGTACCATGCAGGTTGAGATCAGCCTGGAGGTTGAAGACTGCTGCATAGCCCAAGGTAGTTTTGTCAATCGACTGCAGGGCATAGGTGATGCAGAGCAAGGGCATCAACCGAAGATCGATCTTCCATAAGAGAGACTGGAGCACCTTCCTGTCGACATGATCATTCTCGGCTTCGTGGACTAGATCTAATGCAGCCCTTGCTGGCTTGTTCGCGACCACTCTCTTGGTGTCCATCTGCGAATTGTCTTTCGTGTCACTCATTGTTCCTGCTACCTACAAATGTCTAAGGTAATGGCGTACACCGTGAGCTTCCTGCAAAGTCTCAAGCCTGCTGAAAGGTGCCCCTCCATATATCTCGTGCTTATCGGCATGTCTAGGATCCACGGTTCAAGTGACCCGTCTAGCTCTCATGGATTACATATGGTTGGCCGCAAGTCACACTTTTCTCTGTTGTTTGGACTGGGGTACGGCTGCGGAGACCTGGGTTGCCCGCGGGAAACTACAACTTAACTCAGCGAATGGCTGTCTCCACTCGGAAGCAATGGTCATAATGTCAGCACACTTGCCCGCCAAGAAACAGTTTACCTCGATACGATAAGGGGCCCAAAAGGTTCTGTCAATTAGATCCCTGTGGCCAATCGTGGCGATTTGGCTTTCATTTGGTCGAATGGCTTCCTGCCTGGGACATTGCTGGAGTTAGATTACTTAGCTCTCAATGGTCAATGCCAACAATCTGGAGATGATCTGGAGATGAGCTTGCCCGACAGCATTGAGAAGGGACCATAAGCGCACCACGTCGAACAGTCTCGAGATCCGTGGTTTCTTCAAAATTGTTGCTTGGCTGGGCTAAGGAAAGCGATAACATTCAGGCCATGAGCCAATGACTTAGCTTTAGAGGTCCTATTTGCATAGAGGATAGCAGAAATAATGTCCACCACCCGCGTGATATAATGCTAGGACACTTTGATATTGCTATTTATACTACACTGCTATTGAATGTGCCCCATAAGCTGGGAAAGAGCTGGTCAATGAACGATGCATCCGGTATGGCCATCTCTTGCAACTCTGGCCAAGGCATACTTGGAGCGCTTGTTGTAGAATATGGTAACATCAGTCGCTCTATTATCTCAGCATGTTGCGCCAGACAAACATCACCAAGGTCCCATCCATACGCATCTTTATGGCTGCGCAGTGCAACAATCAGGTCCCAGGCGAGGCGTAGTGAGCTGCTCTGTGCTAATCCCAGTTGACTGCTCTCTGTTTCCAAAGCACACCGCAGCAGAAATGTTGTGGTGGATGGAAACACGAAGTTACTGACGGGCAACCAGAAATCTCCCAGATTTGTTTCTCGTAGGTCTTGGACTAATAGCACAATTTGTTCTGCGGTGATTCTGACCTGCATATATCGATTGGCGAGCATATCCGAATCGGCATCGTGTTTCTCTCTGTCATCTTCAAGCTCGAGCCTGCGAAGGAGAAGCTGCGTCGACAGATACGCGAGCCGCAGATTAGCTGCCCCAGGTAAGTCCAGATGCGTGCCCCGTGTTATAATGCGACGCACGTCAGCTCCAAGAGTCTCGACCCATCGGTTCAGCTTGAACTCGAGATTCCCGATCACACCGCATCTTTCTCTATCGACTCGATACAAGTGTTGCAAATAATAATCGAGGACATTCGTCGTCAAGTCAAAGAGGGCCACGAAAACTGATACCGCATTAGCGGCACCAGTAGCACCGCCGTGCTGTTGAAGGTAGGCCGCAGATGGTGATGGCACGTCATATTGGGTTCTTTGAATATGAGAAGGCGTACCATACGCCAAACTCGACCTAAGGAAAAGGTCTCGATTAGCCGCGATGTTTCTAACCCCTCTCGCAGAACTCACCACTTGTCATGAATGAGAAGAGACCACCATATCTTCATTCGTAGAAATTTCTCGGCCTCTGGAATGTCCCACGGAAGAGGGTCACGATTCAACCCAAGTGAGTGCGCGAGTGACACAGCAGCACCCAGTTGAACCCCGTTTCCAATCAGGGATGTTGTCGGTCGGCCGCCGATATTGAGTAACAGCGCTGTGATGGTGGAAATTCCCGGTGAGAGATGTAGTTCGGAATACAATGCTTCATTGGCCAGGTTCCATATGAAACGTATGTCAGGCGGCCGATATTGTCGGAGTTGAGGAGAGAATCGCCAGTAGACTAACGTATGAGCGTACAAACATGACAGCAGTGCGGGTGATATCTTTTCTTTCGCATCACGGTGCTGCTTCTTGAATGATTCGAGGTCTAGAAGAGGTAAACAGATGTTCACCTTGTCAAAATACCTGCATGTAACTCGTGAGCACACTGGTCATCCACTTGCACGACACACTTACAAATCTATAAGCTGGTCGATACAGGGCTCTAGGAGCTTCTCAATAAAGTGAAGCTTTTGTTGTGAGGGGTTCGGGCTGTTGTCCATCCCTGAGGGTGTTCGGTGTCAGCAACCATAGTTGACAAGAACTGAGACGTGGGTAAAGTATGTTTAATGGTTTGGCAACAAATCGTATTGACGTACCAATGGGACGCTTCTTGACTGTCGCGAATAGTACTGGCTTCGAACGACTCGCAGGGACCGGGCGAACCATCCGCACTCCTCCATTGCTGCTACTGATTATTGAAAGATAATCGGCGAGCACCTGACTGTCGCTTGTATTGGCAGGGCCAACAATATGTGGGTTTTCCTGCTCTGCATCATCTGCTGAGAGAGGCGTCGGCTGGCAGTCCTTTTCTGCACGCCTCAGCTCCGCCCAGGTATTGCCCGTAGGAGGGCTGGACTCATTAATATTGGAAACTGCCGACCTATCATCTTGTGCCGTGACGGGACTTGAGGCCGCCAATGCAGACCTTGATGATGCCGGCCTTCTTCGACTGGGGCTTTTGATGACACGGTTAGATGTTTCATTGGTCTTGGGCTCGACCTCTCCTGCAAATACACATTCGGTCCCATGTACTCGGCACATCAAGCATAAGGTGGACTGAGCTTCGATCTTACATCTCGACTTCCGGCGCCGACATGGTTGACAAGCTGGTCGCAGATGAGACCGGTATGGTCGCTCCTGAGAGCCAGACGCTGGAGACTGCATCTTTTGGTGGTTCTCGGCTTGTCCCTGCTGGCTCGTCGTCCAAACCTCCGCGGGAAAAGGGTCACTCCAGTCCAAATGGAATCGCGACATAATCATAGCTTCTGAGCATTTTCGGGCGGGGAGCTGGTTTCGATAAGCCATCGGCCAACTCCCCCCATTCCCAGAGCGTTACTAACTAACTAGTGCTAGTGTTGAATCCTTCCCCACTTCCAGTTCGCCGCGGAACGTCGCCGATCGGACACTGTTATCTAACTTACGCCCGCTAAGCTAGCTCCGACAGAAAGTCTTATTAAACACACTCAGGTACGAGTTACTTCATGTTCAAGCTATATTGAAAGCCCCCGCATCACGAGCCAGCTTCTAGTAAGGGTTGGCATGCAGGGTAATCATTAAAGCCTCCTAAGAACAAAGTGATCGAGGGCATTTGCCTCCATGTTGAACATCTGCATGCTAATCGACTTTCCCTGGTTTGAATAAGATGAATACCCATCCGTACCAGGCTTTAGATATTGACGGACGGGTCAAGAGGGTTCTGGCCAACACTCCCTTAATCGACGGCCACAATGACCTGCCTCAGCAGCCACGCGCCTGTTTTCACGGCAAAATTCACAACAACGAGAAATTCGATCTCGACAAGGGGTTTGAAAGAGGAATGACAGATATTCCTAGGTTAAGAGAAGGCAGGTAGAGCCCCTCCCGTCTACAATACTACCTGTTAACTATTCTAAGGTGCTGTGGGTGGTCAATTTTGGTCGGTCTGCGTACCGTGTCTGAGATCGGCAGAAAACTTCTCCACGCCTGAATATTCCGATATGGCAAGAGATGCCATCGAACAGATTGACTTGACTCTGAGACTGATAGAGTCTTACCCAGCGACTTTCCAACTGGTTTCGGAGCCAGACGAGGTTCCAGGAGTCTACGCTTCAGGGAAAATTGCTTGTTCCATAGGAATCGAAGGGTACGCTCTCTCAAAGCCCATACTTGAGGCATAGTGTGGCTTACTGACTTTCATTGGCCCATCAGCCTGCATATGGCTGGTAACATCATCGGCATCATTCGCGCTTTCTATAGACTCGGCGTGAGATACGTGGGTTTCTTCGCCCAGCAGTATCAGGACATAACTAATCTACATAGTGTACCCTCACACACGTGTGCAACAATGCCTTCGCAGACAGTTCTACATCAAAGATTGGCCCTGTACACGGCGGATTATCCAATCTTGGACGATCAGCTGTTGTTGAAATGAACCGACTTGGTAAACATCAAAAGCAGCCTTGTATATGTGTGGTACTGATCTGAAGGCAGGTATGATCGTTGATATTTCGCACGTCTCGGAAGATTGTGCTCGACAGGTGTTAAGTATGACTAGAGCACCAGTAATGTTCTCTCATTCGAACGCGAAGAGCGTCTTCGAGTGCCCACGGAATGTTCCGGATGACGTCTTGGATATGGTACCTGCAAATGGCGGGATTGTAATGGTCACGTTCGTTCCAGAACACGTCGCGACGAGACGGAGAGACGCGACTCTTGACATGGTCCTAGACCATCTGTTCTACATTGCCAATAGAATCGGGTGGGACCACGTTGGCTTGGGCTCCGATTTCGACGGCATTGCATCGGTAATCAAGGATCTTGAAGACGTCAAGTGCTATCCTAGGCTTTTGAAAGCAATTCTTGACCGAGGCGCGACAGAAGAGCAGCTTGCAAAGGTAGCCGGCGCAAACATTCTCCGAGTATGGAGAGGTGTAAGTAAAGTGAGGAACGAGATGAAAGCAGAAGGTGCTATGCCTGTTGAAGATGTCTGGGAAGATCGTACGTGGTGGAGATATGACGGGTACTACCAGATGCCAGACCCGGACCCGGAGGACAAATTGGGCTTGGATTGGTACGGAGTACCGCCACCGGACGAGGGGCTGTATCTGGAAAATTGAAATATTTAGTAAACCTAATTCGTATCTCAAACATGAATACGAAAGGGAAGAGAGAGAAAAAAAAGAGAGAAAGAGGAAAAGTGAATCAGGATGCCGTTGATAAAACGACAAGAGTTGTAGCAATTTGTCATGTAAAGCGTTCATAGAGACTACCTAAGCTTTAATGATCCTTCCGGCATCGTTATGGGTAAGGTTCATCATAGTGACTGCAACTACTGGGCTAATAAAGTTGCGAAGCAGTAAACCGCCAGTCACCCCTGTTTCCAAATATGTGAATAAGGACGTAGCAGATTGGCATCCAACCCAAATAGAAAATTTTCTCTATAAGTATTGATATTCATTCCCTTTCTAATCGAATTATTAAGTTATGCTATCTAATACAAAGGTTGAGACCCTGGAGTTGATGCAAATGCTTCTTCGAGCACAGTGAGGCCGAATTCCAACTGCTCTTTCGTGATGGTGATAGGAGGTGCAATACGAAACGTGCCACCAAAGCTAGGATGGCTGCTTAGGTTTGCCCATACGCCGAGCTCGTACGCACGGTCGCCGATTTCCTTAGCCAAGTCAAGATCTGGTGTTTTCGTCGACCGATCCGCGACAATCTCGACGCCAGCCATCAAGCCTCGACCCCGAACATCACCGATGCAACCGTACCTGCCCTCCAACCTTTTCAGTCCCGCATGCAATATCTTACCCAGCTCCTTCGACTGGTTTACCAAGTTGTCTCGTACCACAATCTCAAGCACTTTGTCGCCAACTGCCGCCGGGAGTGGATCATTAATATGAGTCGTATAGAAACAGAAGTCTCTCTCCTTGCAAGTCTTCTCGATCTTTGCACTGGTTACAACGGCGCTGAGTGGCAGCCCGTTGCCCAAGGTCTTACTGAGTGTCAGGATATCCGGCACGACATCGTCATGGATAATAGCCATCAAATCTCCGCAACGACCAACACCCGTCTGCGCCTCATCGACGATAAGAAGCATGCCTCTGCGTTCGCAATGCTTCTTCATTGCTTTGAGATAACCAGCGGGAAGCACGTGCATTCCGGCCGATGACTGAATAGGCTCGACAATGCAAGCAGCCAAAGAACCGCAGGAGGCCATATCGATCATTTTCCAGCCGTATTCAAGTTCAGCTTCCCAGTCATAACTGCCGTCTGGTTTCCGGAAGATGGTCCGATAGGCATTCGGCTGTGGTAGCATGTGCATGCCTGGCATCAATGGTCCCTGTCCTTTCCTGCCGAAATGATACTGGGTGCCAAGAGCCTGAGCTGTGACGCCATGCCAACTTGCACCCAAGCCTACAATCTCAAACTTGCCAGTGAACACCTTGGCCATTTTGATCGCAGCTTCATTGCTCTCACCCCCAGTGGACAGGAAGAAAGCCTTGTCCAGGCCCGCGGGCAGGAGGTTACATAATCTGTCCGCGAGAGAGATCACCGGTGGGGAGACCATGCCGGAGAAGAGATGGTCAAGGTTGGCTGCGTGTTCAGTGATTGTCTTCACAATCTCGGGGTGGCCATGACCGAGCAGGCACGACATCTGACCTGACGTCCAGTCCAGCACTTTGTGGCCCGAGGCAGTGTAGACATACAGGCCCTTGGCGCCACAAATAACATCTTTGTTAAAGCTGGTACCGTAGTACAACAAGTGTTTTTCTGTCTTCCTCCGTAATGATTCCTCGTCAACATTCTGATAGAGCACTGGGGCGGCATCTGATTTAGAAAAGGAAGGAAGTGCACCGCCAGTTGGCTGCTCGCCAATGATTCCAGGTGCCATCGTGTAATTAGGACGTCGAAGGGGTGAAGTAGCTTAAGAAAATAACCACCACAGAATCAGAACCTACGGATATTAGACCTTTCGAGGCCGCATATTATACGATTTTCAGTACGTTCTACTTGTGGAATCCTGACTTCATCAGATTGGCCAAAATGCCCGAAGTTCGGAACGTGCGAGGGCTTAGCAATGAGAGCTATCCGCGGCTTGTGGGTTCGTGTCGGCGCTTCACTTAAACAGTAACGACACGTTCCTTATCAATTCCGCGGGCAACGTCGGGGCTCCACCCCTCCACGCCGGACAAGCCTTGCGTTGCACCAGGGGTGCGCAGCGATAAGGAATTTTTGAGCTACTAAGACAATCGGCAAGTCGTATCGTGTGTTCGTAACCTTCTTACCAAACCTGATTATTATATTTGCCATTTAGTTACTTCAGGCATATAAAATACACGGTTAACCAACACACTTAGAAAGGATTAGCAGGGTTTGGATGAGGCCGGTGTTGCTGAAACTTCTGGTCATGCTACGGAATCTAATGCTGCTACATACGAAAGCAGAAGTTTTGAGATTTCGAATACCCTCAGTTTCACTTAAGCGGATGGGCTCGACGCTATTTCCCTAGGAACTATCTAGGCGGAAGTGCATGGTGTACAATGCTCTCCGTCGCCAGGTTTCCATGCGCTAGTAGATGTTGACTCTGCACATAGTGTGGTCCTCAACTGGCATGGGCCGAAATATGCATCCGAGGATACAAAGAGTACCTTCGTGTGGTGGCGTGTGTCTATGATTAAATCGATTGTGATGATAGGAAGGCCTCGGCGACTTGACGCGATGCATGCTAGTGATGTTGCGCGGGTAGGAACGAATCTAAATGAATAAATGCCTATAATCACGAAAAGCATCTTTTGAATGTCTTAAGGCATATACACGCGCCCGCTCATGGTATTCACCAATGGATCTTCAGATCATTCCCTGTGCCAACCAAAACATATGCAAAGCCCCTAAACTCCAAACGCTTGCCCAGCCGATCCAGCGGCCTAGGGCAGGCCATAATGCGAAAGGCAGATCCCATGAAACGGTATAATATCCGTCGGATGTCTTCGCCCATCTTCGTAATCCCATTGCTCGTATATTGATAATCGGTGCATAAACAAAGCAATATCACCCTGCATGTTGGTGTTGAATGCTGTACGGTCCGGTTCGTCGACCATGTCCATCCATTTCCATCCCTGCATGGCTCCAGGAGCCGGAATTAGCTCAGTAGCTTCGTTGACCTCTCGATCAGATGCTACCCTGAAAATTGCATAGCCGGTGTTCAACCTGGTGCCTGGGGGGAAAGGGCGCGTAAATGAGCCCAGGGTAGACCGATCCAAGGTCTTTGGCTGAAGTCGCTCAGTGTCTACAAGTGGCGGTCGGTAGCCAGGGAGCATGCAGGCATCGTACTGCGACAGCTTCCGAAACAAGCTGCTGACCTGCCTCGAAGTTGTCTCAACATGCTCCGGCAGACTTGTCAGACGGAAGGCGAAGGGCTCCTGTGTCGTTGAATCATTGACCTTGATGGTCAGGCTCTTCAAAGGACTCTCAACGTCGAGTACAGCGAGCGCCAGTGCCACAAGAGATGTGTGCAGATAATGATCATACTCCACGACGATGTGCTGAACGGACATGCTCGCTGCGAGGAACAATGCTCCACATTTGCTAGGATTGTTTCGGCTCCATCGCTTCACTTGAGCCCATTCAAGGACATCGGTGTTGACGTTGAGCTTTGGAGTCTTGGCCAGGTGACGCATCCGTTCCAGGCGACGATCATCCACTGCGTCGTCTGCCAAACACCTCCTCAGGAGCGGCTTGCTTATCTGTAGTTGCTTGTATGCCCTCAGCGACTCAGCACGAGCCTCGTGACTGACGAACAATAAGGCAGGCTGGGGGGTCAGTGTTGACTTGTAGTCGCCCGTCAACAGATAATGCGCCCACCAATCAGACTCAGACGCCCAGTTCCAAGCATCCATGTCCATTTTCAGCCTGAAGTAGATAGTCCGTTGTGGTAGTGCATTTCGCCAGATCTTGCACCGGAGTTCGGGAGGTAAAAGCCCGAACTGAGGGAAAGCAGCTTCCAGCTGCATCATCGATGCGTCAAGAGCGCTCTCAGTAGGTCTTCGACTCGTTGTCAAGAATGACTGGAGTAGTACAATCGCGAGTCTGTCTGGTATCTGTTGTCCCGATTCATTGTAAACAAGCAGACTTGCATTCGATCTTTGTCAGTAGAATAGGGGTCTCGGAATATTTTTACTCAGCGGATCCACTCGAGGGACCACATCGGGAGATAACGTATGTTGGCACCCTTATTTTCCCTCTAGCCAGACCGTGGCGTGATGGCGGTCGCCGGCTGTCAGATTTTCGCCGGGGAGACAATGAATAAGTGGGTTGAACGTGAGGGCGACGAGTCATGGCACCCGTGTGTGGGTAGTTGAGAGTTATGGTGGGATACCTAGACACTCTGGCTCAAAAAACAGGCAATAGCTATAGCATTTGTGGGATTGGCATACATGTCTCAACTATAGTGCACAGCACCAGGTAGGTAGCGCAAGTTATATTTTGAGTGCATTGGGTTCATTGGAAATGCGCGAACTCAATGCGATGCGATGCCTCGAGCTGGAGGAACGAGAGGCCAACTTAGCTATCTCTTAGCGCTCGGCAGTGCGCTATGGCCCAGCGGTGCGAGTCACTGGACGGAGTGTGGATTGAGCTAACCCCCCTACCTTACGGAGCAGCCGAGGCTCTCCGAGTTCTTCATGCTCTAGTTATGAAGAGCCTCGTCTTGGCTTATAGAGAGCGCTCTGGCCGGACGTAGGTTGCACCATAAAATAGATTTCGGATTCGCCCGCCCAACCCGTTTTAGCGACTACCGTTGGCGAGGCTGCGAAAGGGTAGCCCTGGGTCCACAGTAATCTTTGCACGCCGTGTTGGAGCCAACTGTTCCGCAAGCCAACATACAACTCACTTGAAAAGGCGGCTCAGATTCGAAAGTATTTTGACTCAGAAGTTTGCATATGATTTATTGCTCAGCTAACTATCGTCAGAATAACTTATTCTCTTGTTGACTGTCTTTCTCCACCTCTGCTTGGCTAAGAGGCCCAAGGCACAGCATCCAAACGTTTAGTTACATATGAACAGACTTAGTTAAAGCCTGACATATCTCGATTGTCTATTGTGGCATCTTTCAGTAAATTGCATTGGCGCGGATTGGGTTGATCTCCGTGGCAGACGACGTCTTGCCCCAGTAGGCATTCAGCTGACCCAGACGAAAACCGTGCGACAGCCGTATGGCTTATTATCAATAGCTGGACATTGCGAGTCCAAACTGGAGATTCGTCAAGCTTTTGAACAAGCTTCACCCAATTAACGGCTTCTAGACCGCAGCTCTTATCTGACGTGCCTAGGGTGAAAGCCAATGTGCGGGGATCATGGGCCCAGGTCATCCAACGTTATCGGGACGGCCTATCAGCAATCGCCGTTCGAATCCAGGGGCGTCGATAGCATCGGTAGCACCCTTGCTGGATTCCATGGCTGCCCAGCTGTCTTGGGTCTGCAAGCCCCGGCCATCACCAGGAAGGACTATGCACCTGATCATATAACGAGGCAAGCCCCCAAGGGTTGCAGAGATGGGAGGCCACACAGCAGCAGGACTCGCCACGGCTGCATAAGGCTGCCTTCATATTCGTTCTTTGTAAACGTGTGCCTTCAACAAGACAGTATTCTTGTTAGCACTATTACCGACACTTCCTGGCCGTGGTTGGTATTCCGACAATGTACTTGAAGAAGGCAAGGGCATAGCAGAAAGATGTCTCCCAACGATGTTCCTTCATCCGAAAGAAGGGCTTCTGTCAGTGATGAGAACCGTCTGGCACAGTTTGGTTATAAGCAAGAGTTGAAGCGTGATTGGGGTCTGTCTCACAACTTCGGTGTCTCCTTCTCCATCATTGTACGTTACCAGCGCATCGCACTAGGCTCGGCAACAATGGATTGTTAATATTTCACACAGAGCGTCATCACAGGCCTGACGACTCTGTTCACTTATGGCCTCAACACCGGCGGACCAGCTGTCATGTCAATCAGCTGGATTGTGGTGTCCTTTTTCACCATGATGGTTGCGATCGCCATGGCTGAGATCGTTTCCGCGATTCCAACCTCAGGTGGCCCTTATTTCTGGGCAGCGATGCTTGCGCCTCCGCAGCACTCTCCATTCGCTGCGTGGATGACAGGCTGGTTTAACCTCTTAGGCCAGGTAGCTGTGACAACTGGTATCTCATTTGGACTGGCCAATTTGATTCCCACGGCTGTAGCTGTTAAAAACCCCGACTACGAATCTACACCAGCCAAGACGGTTGGCATCTATGCTGCCGTACTGGTGTCGCATGCCCTTGTCAACTCATTCGGAGTTCATGCCTTGCGGTTCTTGAATAACGCAAGTATCATTCTTCACTCGGCCGGTATTACTGCACTTTGCATCGCTGTTCTTGCCAAGGCTCCTTCCCATCAGCCTGGGTCATTCGTCTTCGGCTACTTTTACGATGGTACCGGTTTAGACGCACCTGGATGGAGCGACCGCGCGAGCGTCGGCTATGTTGTTGTATGTGGCGCCTTGCTTTCACAGTACACGCTCACGGGATTTGATGCCTCGGCCCATCTCTCTGAGGAGACCAAGAATGCATCATGGTCAGCACCCATAGGAGTTGTGTCCTCGGTTGGATTCAGTGCTCTATTTGGATTCTTTGTCCTCATGGCGCTCCTGTTTTCGATTCAGAACTTTGACGATGTTATCAACACTGAGGTCAACTACGGCTCGCCAGTCTTGAAGATATTTGTCGACGTATTCGGTGAGGACGGCGCCCTCGCCTTGTTTACCCTGATCATGGTATGTGTGTGGCATTGCGGCCTTTTCAGCATGACTTCGAATAGCCGAATGATGTTTGCTTTTGCCCGTGATCGGGGAATACCACACTTCTTCCATCAAGTGGACACTCGGTTTCGTAGCCCGATTCGTACTGTGTGGCTTGCAGCGACTCTCAGTTTTATCCTCGCACTGCCTAGTCTCGGCTCGAGCGTTGCGTTCTCGGCTGCTACCAGTATCGCGACCATCGGGCTCTATATCTCCTACGGACTGCCTATACTGATAGGATTGATCTGGCAAAAGCCTTTCGAGGCAATGAAGGGTCCGTTCAATCTCAAAGGTCTCAGCCGTCCGATCGCTGGGATAGCATGTGCGTGGATCATGGCCATCACAGTTGTGTTCTGTCTTCCAACAAGTAATCCGGTGACCGATCAGACCTTGAACTATACCGTAGTGGCTGTGGGCATTATCGCAGTGGGCGCTACACTTGCATGGGTAATCAGTGCCAGGAAATGGTTCACAGGTCCTGCAGCAGAAGTGGCCGAGGCCATGAGGTTAGGCGTTGATTTGATGGAACCTGGTGCGCTGGAGGAGAAAGAGAAACACGTGGGAGCCAAGGAGATTGGCGCTGGGCCTGCCAGTGAGTGACATGTATCTGGGTGATTGGCAGATGGTGTAGTGGAGGGTCTGCTACCAAAGCAGCATGAGAAACGTGATATGCACAGAAGTTTGCGTTGAGTAGCGTTAAAGTATCACACCATATTCCCGAAGTGCATGTAACACATCGATGTGTTGAAATGGCATTGGATATCAAATTGCTAAGTTGCTAAGTTGCTCATGTCTTCTGTAAGGCTTAGGCTGACCCGCCAAACGATTTACGCACGTATAATTACTCAAACTATCTGTTAGCAGCGTTATGGTGAATTTGGACTATCACAAGCGATAGCTACCTTCATACTGCGCTTATTCGACCTTGAACTTTGGGATAAGTAGTACTCAAAGGTGGAAGCAGAACACCGGTGTCACCTGCAGGGCTTGTACAAATTGCGTTGTTATGATACCGTGATTTTGTGACGAAGTGATTATACACCCCCGAGTTCGGACGCGCTGGCATCAACAAAGGATTTATCGGATCCTATATCAGGCTAGATGAGGATATCAGGGCCTGGCCATTCCTTCGTTGGCTTATGTTCAAGGGTATTAAGTCAGGGCTGACCATGGCGCATCATCCACGGAAGACGTTCGTGTGGCTGACATTATAAGCAAATTCATATGTACATATAACCTCTACCGGACTATATCAATATATTCAGTACCCTTCTTGGCAGCTGTCTCCGGTTGTGTGGTTTAGACGTGGTCGTGTCCAGGCCAGACATACATTGTAGGCTCACCTAGTGACTCAAGTGCGCGACAGCGTCTCGTATGAGTCACGCCGCGCAAAAACATGAGAATGATTGTGATCGGTCTTAAGGCCGCCATCACGCAGTGAATCCTTCGGACCTGCCTCTAGGCGACAAGAATCTCTCCGGAATCTATCCGTGCAGATATGCAGCCGGAGTTATGCTACACCCCACCTCGGTCAAGGGCACCAGAGCCGAGGTGGCCAGCTGTTTAACGGTGCAGAATTTCGAAGTCGGGCGAACAGCGTACCGACTTAAGCCAATCAACTGATCCAGATCGAGACAAGCCCACACCAACTCCACCACCACTGAGCCATGGCTTAGAAATTGCCCTGGCTCTCAGATGCGCCTCGTACTTACCATGCTGCATCGCCGCGTGGGGTGGAGGGGTTTAAGAGTCATGCCCTGGCAAGGTGAGGCGCGTTGGTCTACCTCCCTACTGACACGGAGTCAGCTGATTGCGGTACCCAAAGACTTCTACCGTACTGGCCTGCGGGCCCTTGCTTTACTACAAGGGATCACGCTTCTCCAGCTGTGTGGCTGGTCCTAATCTCCGACAGTGTACGTGCCCAACCTCGACACCATTGCAGCGCCGTTTGGTATCACCGAGACAGCCAAGCCCATGACCACGGATTTAGCAGCCAGCTGTCGATGCTGTCAAGCATGATGGGGTCCTGTGGAGTGCAATGGCCCGCTGCCGAAGATAGTGGGGCCACCTCTGGATTTGTCAGACGATATGCCTGATGGACGAGATTTCGAAACAGAACCCCGGGATACTGGTCTCTGGGGCTATATAAGCGTGCGTTGGGCCCGGCAAGTAGGGGAACTTAGGAAAGCTACGTTCATATCTCCTGTCTCTTGTCCCTCACCGTTGAAATATGTCTCCTGAATCCGTACCATCACGTTTTGAGTCCGAGGCGGCGGACCCTTCGCCCCTGGGTGAACCCCTGGAGTTCCCGGTCTCGAAGCGAGTTGCCATCAACCGCTTCCTGAAGGGTGCCATGTCCGAGGGTCTGGCGAGCTGGGATGAGGACGATCTCTCAGCACGTGGCATTCCCGGCAAGGACCTCGCAACTCTGTATCGCAAGTGGGGAGAGGGTGGATGGGGCCAACTCTTGACTGGAAACGTCCAGATCCATCCTGGCCACCTTGAAGGAAAGGGCAACAAAATCATCCCCCCGGACGCGCCGTTCGAGGGTGAGCGCTTTGAAGGTTTCAAGGCCATTGCCGATGGTGCCAAGGCGCATGGGAGTTTAATTGTCGCTCAGGTCTCTCATGCTGGGCGCCAAGTGCCGGAGGATATTCAGCAGCACCCCGTCAGCGCAAGCGATGTGCAACTGATCACGCCGAGCATGGGTGGTAGAACATACGCAAAGCCCCGTGCTGCGACGAAGGAGGACATTGAGAGCTTCATCCAAGGCTTTACCCACGCTGCTGTGTACCTCGAGAAGGCGGGCTATGATGGTATCCAGCTCCATGGCGCCCACGGATACCTGCTTGCGCAGTTCCTCAGTCCAACGACCAACCTCAGAACTGACCAGTACGGTGGCAGCCTAGAGAACCGCATGCGCCTTATTCTGGAGATCGCAGCATCCATTCGGTCAAAGGTCTGCCCCCAGTTTATTCTAGGTATCAAGATCAACTCGGTGGAGTTCCAAGAAAAGGGATTCACAACAGACGACGCCGTTCTGCTCTGCCAGGCTCTGGAGAAGGCCGGGTTCGACTATGCCGAGACGAGCGGAGGCACCTACGAGTCCATGGGTTTCAAGTACCAGAAGGAGAGCACTCGGAAACGAGAGGCCTACTTTATCGAGTTCTCTGAACAGATCCACAAGTCGGTGAAGAATCTGAAGTTGTACACGACGGGAGGATTCAAGACCGTCTCTGGAATGGTCAAGGCCCTTGAGAGTGTTGATGGTATTGGCATCGGCAGAGCTGCGGCACAGGAAGCTGACCTGCCCAAGTTGCTGCTCTCGGGCAAAGCCAATGGCGTGAGGACGTGTGCTGTCGCCGAGGATAATCTATTCGTGCGCCTTGTAGGTGCCACCATGCAAATCAAGCAGATCGCCAACGGAGAGGAGCCGATTGATTTGTCAAAGGAGGAGAGCTTCCAGCAGATTTATGCAGCCCTTGGAATGCCGGCAGCTTAAAAGAAACCAATAGACTAGCGCTGTGCTTTGGTATATACACAGACAGGGGCGCATGATAGACTGAGGTAGACTGTACTAGAAATCATGATTGGTCTTTGATCCGAGTTGTTCATGCTATACTAGTGATGCACAGCCTAACAGTGGGCACGGCAGGGCAGTACACATTTGTTACACTAGAAGTATTCACCAATATAAAAAGATGGGACCTTATTTCAGATGAAATACACGCTACAGCCTGAATAACGATTGAAGCAATTGCTTGAGGTGTCTGGAGGAATTTTCAGTGGGGGCCGAGCGCAAATGATACGCTATAGAGCACTTATTACGCCGCGATGTTTCAACCAATCAGAGTCGAATCACTTGATTGGTTCATCTGGTCAATCGATTGGGGATGTAACTCAGTGGTAGAGTGTTCGCTTTGCACCACCTTGCAAAAGTGCGAAAAGTCCAGGTTTCGATCACCTGCTTCTCCAAGTATTCTTTTGTCTCGCCTTGCCCGGCTTTTTGCTGTTCACGTGAACTTATGGTTCACTTCGTTATCTTCATCTTAAGTTCCCTTGACGTGATGAATAATAAGTCTGATCACCCGTCGCAGTTAAAAAGTTTATGTCAACTGCATTAAGTAACCTACCTCTTCCACTTAGAAAATGGAACCGTCTGGCCGTTATCCAATATTAAGATGGAATAAAAAGGTCATGTCCTCGGCCAGGCTCGAACTGGCGACCTTCAGATATCCTGAATTATAATCAAGTCATACCAACTATATGAGACTGACGCTCTAACCAACTGAGCCACGAAGACTGAAACTTAGACGGGACCTCTAGCCCTTGGAGAAGTTTATAAGCTGGACTCATCAACGTTACGTTGATTGAAAGTATAATAAACCAAGGGTGTAGTCAACTCAAACGAACTCTTAAGAGAACATCAGAAAGGCACTTTACGGGACTCGCGATGCCCGCTAAAACGTATTGGCAAGGGTGATCAATATATCCACCTTCATCTATCGCACGGTATATTCAGAGCCCGTCCCCGTCGACCACGAAATAGAGGCTTACGTCTCGATCTAGGCAATAATCGGACCGTCCCAAAGCAGGATTTCCCACGCAACGGCCTGTGGAAAGTCTTTGACAGTGTCATGGCATGTTATAACCCCCTGCGTCCCTTGTGTGTTGTCTGTTATTCTAAAGAACAGACGGCTTCCGCGAACCAGAACCCAACATCGCTGTCTCCAATGCTGTAGCATGCTGCATCTGCAACGACAATCATCGCACAGGTCTTGTAACGAACCAGTTTGAAGTCATAGAGTTCTCGGCTTGGGACCCTGATCTGGCGAAGTGGAGCCGGGTTTGAATTATAGGGCCAAAAGAAGTTTCGAATCATTTGAAGAATATGATACTATATCAGGTGAGTCGCAACCACTGTCTCCTTAGGTTCTGAGAAAGGGGTGGCTCGTGTCACTAAAGAGTGAGTCAGGGTATCTTCATTCTTGGACGAGTAGATGGCCGTTTGGGGTGACTAGGGACGGGCTTCGACCAACGAGGCTGAAGAGTGAGAAAACCGGAAAGTTCCTGTCCAATGAGTCCATCAAGAGCTATTGGAAGGAGAATAATGGTGGCTGTTGTAAGCGCAGTCACAAACGAGGAATGTAGCTGCCTGGTGCTGCGGAGATTGACGATGCCAGTGTAACCAAGGAACTAAGTAGAGCTCTGCGTGAAAGCAAGGGGCAAATAAGGGACTCAGGCATCATATAGTTCTGGCGCCTGGACGAGGGTTGGCATTGCGCTCACTTCCATAGCTGCATGCTGTCTCTCCAGTAGGAAACCGCAAGCTCCCACTCAGCACGTCGGATTGAACGTGGGTAGTAGATGTTGCAGCCCAACAACTTCTCCGTAGCTCGTAGCGGAAGATTGCAAGCAAGTATGGGAAATGAATGTTTGTGATTTTGAACGCCTGAAGCTGTATCAACCCAGTGAATCTGGTGGCTTGTTTTTATATTTGCCTGCGTTGAATCACCTCCTGCTTTTACTTCCTGTGAATTGAACCTCTGGGTTGGCCATCAGGAGCCAGTGCATATTGTTATGGACCGGGTGGTTGGTGAGTCTCAAGCATGCTACGAGAAACGATGCAGCAAGAAGAAAGCAGAAAGCTGGAGTAGTCCCAGGAGATTCTGTCGAGCCCACCAATTGGGTTGGTCGCGGTTTCGCCATCCGCGCCGACCAGGGGAAATTATACTAGGCAGTTAGCTGGGCACATGACGGAGACACCCGCGGCTCAGGCATGGCAAGTTGCTACGATGCGTAATCGACATGGCACATATCCCAATCGCCGTGGGATGGCATCGAGGTGAAGTCATGACGTCCAAATTGTTGTCGCGTGGCCGGCAGCATGTATATGAGCGGCAGATGGCCGTCGGTTAGAGCAGACAGCTTCCGCTGGGTACGTTCCGATTGCTAGCCCACGAGCACCTGCGCCAGGCGTTTTCTGAACGTCGACGTGCTGGGACCGACTACGGGTTTGAACCGATGGTAGTGGAATACTATGGGACACGATGTTTGTGCATTTGTGCATTTGTGCTGATGTACGCTTCTCTTTTTGGAGCAGAGCATTGGGACGCGGGCTCATCTCGTCTGCAAGACATGCAGAGGACTGGACGGAACCCAGGTCTTAAACGGGTGCGGGCTGCCAGCCAGCCAGCCGGGCCATCCGAAGACCGGAGCTGGTGCGCAGAAGCCTCGGGCTCCGCAGAAGACGCAGAAGACGCAGAAGCTCGGCGAAGCGCTGATTTTCCCGCCTGGGCCTGGCTTCTTTCTCCCCGCATCCGCGATGGGCCGCCTGGCAGTTCTGGGTCACTTGGTTACCGGTACGTACGTCTCTGTGAGTTAAGTTGCTAAGATGCGAACTACCGGCACCCCCTACCTAGGAACTATAGGGGCATGCGATGGTGTGCAAGATGGACATAACCTCTCCTCCTCTCTTGCCTTCAAAGCCTATGCACATCCGTGGACAGGTCTAGGCTCCTGCCATAGTGACCCCGTAGACAAAGCTCGAAGTTCAATGCGGCATGCAAGGGTCTTGGGTCGATCGCCAGTTGAAGCTCCGTCATCACTGAGGTAAAAAGTCGGCCGTCGTCTGCAGCCCACTGACTAATGTGCCGGCCAGGCTAGAGTAATCGTGGAAACGTAACCCAAACTTACCCAAGTCAAGCCTGGAGTCTGGAGACCTTGGCTATTATTTACTGCCAGTGCTGCTTGCAAATGCCCGGCTCACACCACAGAATCATACCTCACGCCCTGGCTGCTCTCCGCCCCCAGTTCCATCGTTTCTAAACCTCGCCTGTAACTCGTCAACCCCCGCTACCCACGATCGCGCGCCGCCGAGGCTTGTAAGCCGACCCCGCCGTCGTTGCGAGAGCTCATCCAAGTGAGACCCGGAGGTCCCTGCGTCAGCTCCTGCGTCCCGCCGCATGCCGACTCTTGAGCAGCAGGCCATGGACCGGCGGAAGCAGGAGATGTGGCAGACCGACGCTGCCGACCTGCCGTCCTTCTATTCGCCACAGTCGCGGCCGGTCCCCGATCACGAAGACGGCGCCGCACCGAGCGCCGCGCAATTGCAGCGCGATGCCCTGTCTCTGGCCGCGCTCTCCTCGCTGAATGATGTGTCGAGACCACCCACGTCGGCGTCCACCCGTTCGGACGACCAGCTGCCGCCGCCGCCGTCGCTGCTGTCCCCTCAGTTCACCCCTCCGGCCACCCCCGGCATAGCGACACCGACCACCGAACAGCCTCGCAGCGTCCCCGTCGACTCGTCCCTGCCGTCCGGCGGTGCGGGGGCCAAGCGGCCGCGGCTCCTCGAGACGTTGCCCGAGGTGCAATGCATCGTGCGGGCGCGAATCCCGACGGTGGCCGGGACGGAGATGTTCCTCCACCTGTACACGAACAACGTGGACAACAAGGAGCACCTGGCCATTGTCTTTGGCCACAACATCAGGAGCAAGAGCCTGGACGCCCCGAGGCAGGGCGAGACGGAGATGGACCGCATGGTCCGGGGAGCCTACACGGGGAGGCTGTTCCCCGGCAGGACGACGAGCGGCATGATCAGCGCGGCCGAAGCCGCTGCGCAGGCGGCCCCGGGCACGCCTACGGGGCCGCCCTTGGTGCGCATACATTCAGAGTGCTACACGGGCGAGACGGCGTGGTCTGCGCGGTGCGACTGCGGCGAGCAGCTCGACGAAGCGGCGCGGCTCATGGCGCTGCCGACGCAGATCAGCAACGGAGGCATCATCATCTACCTGCGGCAGGAGGGACGGGGGATCGGGCTGGGCGAGAAGCTCAAGGCATATAACCTGCAAGACCTGGGCTCCGACACGGTGGAGGCGAATCTGCTGCTGCGGCACCCTGCCGATGCGCGCAGCTACGGGTTGGCGACGGCAATGCTCCTCGACCTTGGCCAGGAGGAGATCCGGCTGTTGACGAACAACCCCGACAAGATCCGGGCCGTGGAGGGGCCGAACCGGGAGGTCAAGGTTCGCGACCGGGTTGCCATGGTTCCGCTGAGCTGGAAGGGCAAGGGGGAAGGGTTCAGGAGCCGCGAGGTCGAGGGCTATCTCAAGACCAAGGTGAGAGATGTCGCGTTCCGGAGGGACCCCGTCGCAACCGTCACTGACAGCGTTCTACAGATCGAGAAGATGGGGCATATGCTAGATGCGGGTGGGATGCCTCCGTCGTGATGGTTACATAGACAAGTGGGCATGGCGGTATAGATGCAGAAAAGGAGACATAAAAGCTGGGGCGGGACTGAATATAGTCTTACAGGCGTACACAAAGCCTGGGTTGAGAGCTACATCGTGGAACCTCTGATACCAGCATATTCGAGGACCTTGCCATCACGTATGCGCCATGGCGTGAGGGCATCTATCTAGCACACATTGAGCCCTCGTCTCGCAGGTCAACTGGGCCGAAAAGAGCGTTTGTAGGTCCAGAGAGAAGAACAAGAGTCCAATTGCCACGGCGCAAGTCCGAATCCAAGAAGATGAGCATACTGCTTGAACACTGCGATCTAGGTCCTGGGCAAGCCTCGTTCGATTTGGGGCGAAACCTGGATGAGTCAGGGATTCTCCTCAACTGCATAGGCATGATCACTTGGCCAAGTCGGCCACAAAACGATGCCTCGTCTCGTTGCTGTGCTTCGAGGAGGCCACATGGGCGTGCAGGTAAACGGTAGCCGCCAGGATCAGAAACGGACAGGCGCCGACGCAGCTGCAGATGTGGAAATAGAAGGCTGATCTCCCGCATGGGCAGCGAAGCTGCACGGATACCGAAAGCGTCTTGAACAGATACACGGCGACCCTAGGTAGTACTTGATGCACTCAAGTAAGTACCTAACTTGGGCAATCAGCCAGGTAGAAGATACCCAGTAACTGCAGGTGGCCCTGCCCAACAAGAAAGGAACAAAAAACCCAGGTAGCTCCCATGCTGCAGGCTGGTCCGGTAACCTGGCCCTGGAGCCCAGCGGCATCCAACCCCACCACTGGCCCGTCTCGCCGTCAGGGCTGTCTCGGGGACCGTTGCCCCGCATTCCTCCAGGGCTCCAGGGCTATCAGTTTCACTGGACTCCAGCTAGGCACCTAACTAACTTAGGTAGTGACTGACCCTGGCTGGCAGGGCTGCCACTGGGATCGGCTTCCCCAAGATTCAATTAGCGCGTTTGCGCGTCCCATCGCAACTGGAGCCAATTCTTTTTTTTTTTTTTTCCCCCGTTCCCTCGGAGCTAACAAGTTTAGGTACGCGTGTAGGTATCGCCAGTACCACAGCTATCGACTGCCAGAGTCTAACAGCTTGCCAAAGCCCAGCCCTGGCTCAAAGTTGACGAAGAAGTAACTTCTCTGACCCTCACGCGCGTAAGAATGCAGATACAGTAGTTTCAAGTCCACCCCATTCTCTTAATCCCCCCCTCCCCCGGCTTCTTTCTTCTGCATCTGTTCCTCTTGTCACTTTTCCTCTGCGCCATCCCGGAACTTTTCCCCCTCTGTGTCCGATTAATACATCCATACCGAGAACTTCTTCCGCCACCACCACCGCCGGCCACGAACCGAACCACCCTCATGCCATTGTGATGGCCTCACCCATGCGACTACGCCTTGTCGTGCGTCGAAACGGACTCCCCGAGGCCAACGTGGTCTGGCCCGTCCCTCCGCACAACAGTCCTACCGTCGCCAAGCTGCTGGAGCAAGTCAACGACATCCTGCCTCTGGAGAGTGGTGAATGGGGCCTCGAGGATTACGCCGTCGAACTCCGGGGCAGCGATGGCTCCAGCTTCGAGTGCCTGCACTTTCAGTCCGTTCGCGACGTACTGAAGGATGATGACCAGATCTTGTGCGTCCTGCCCATCCTACGTACCTCGGCACTCTCTCGTTGTGTGTTGCTGCCTCGGCATGACCAAGTCGCTAACAGACCCCTGATAGCATCCGCCCTCTATTCACAGACGACCTCCGACGGCGCCGAGTCAGCGGGCGGCACCAGATCTCGACTGACGGCAAGCACCTCATCGATGGCATAGCATTCGGGAGGCCCTTGCTCAAGGCCCCTCGGGGTCGCCCGGCTTTTGACATCCCGCCACGGAAGCGCCGTCGCATTGGCTACGAGGACCACGACGCCGATGACCGCGACGAGGAGGACGAAGACGACGCCGATTACGAGCAGGGAGAGGAGGATGAGGAAGAAGAAGAAGAGGACGAAGAAGACACGCCCATGCTGCTGCTCACTAATGGGGAGGATGAGCACCGAGAAAGCCGCCGGAGAAGTGTCAGGTTGGCTACAGACTTTGACAACCTCGACGCTGACGATATTGACGAGGAAGAACCCGGATCGGACGAGAACGCTGACCACGACGACGAAGATCTCACCAGAGAGCTCCAAGATCTGCAGAGCCCCGGCGGAACCCATGGCATAGACCGTCACTCCGCTGAAAGGGAGCGGGCCTCGCCCCTGCAAGATAAACAGCCACGACGGTTCTCACGACCCGGCTCCCCGCGGCGCTCTCGTGGCCGTAGGTCCGAGACTCCTCAGCCCGTGCCATCCTCGCATGAAGACAGCTCACTAGACCTGGAAGTACTTGATAAAATCAGTACATTGCGGGCTGCTTTTCCTGCTGCCCCGTTGCGTGTGTGCAGAGAGATTCTTACCGCCGAGGATGGCGACTTGAGGAAGTCTTATCTCGCCTTATTGCAAGGATTCAAACCAGCAATCTCCGAATCCGACCTCGTCAAACGATGGCATCAACGTCTCCCAGGACCTGGCAGCAGTGGAAATTTGGAGACCTCCCCGCGACAACCCCCACAGCCAGCGGCTGGCGTCGACGAGTCAACGGCAAAGAGCGCCAACGAAGTGGACGATGATGCCCAAGACCAGGAGGACGCAGAATCGGACGAGGACGACGACGGGGATGTCACACCTTTCGTCCGACGATTTGACCGCCAAGGTCTGCCCCCTGGAACAATCTCGTCAGGTAATGGTCTCAAAGCCATGGCCGGCATTTCCGCCTCCTTCACGAGCAGCAGAGCACATGGCGAAAGTAAGGCTACATCAGCAACGCTGACTGCCAGCAAAACGAGCTTTGATGATCTGGACGAGGCAGACGAAGACGACACTTCGAGCAGTGCGGCGAGTTCCAGCTCGGGCTCGAGCTCCGAAGAAGGGGAGCTGAGCGACCCTTCGAGTTCAGATGATTCATCGTCAGCCAATGACGAGGACGAAGACCCGGCGTCAGGCGATGCCAGTAACAACGAGGCCCGTTCCGATTCTAGTACTAGCAGCTCTGAGGACGGTGGCGATAACCACGACGACAGCGACGATGACAGCGGCCCTGAAGAGATGACTGCAAAATCCACTGCGAAATCCAAGCCCATCGGCCGTACTGCTTCTGGCAAAGATAGTTCCGACGCCACTTCGAGCAGCAGCGAGGACTCAGACGCTGATGACGAGACATCCTCCTCCTCCGAAAGCTCGGATGACGAAAGCTCCGACGACGATAGTAGTAATCCCGAGTCGAGCCCAGAGTCGGAGAGCGATGAGGATGCACTTGCTGCGAAGCGAACCACAAAGCATGCTATGGCCCTGCAACAGGGTCTGTGTCTGCCCAGCGGTGAGATAACCCAGTCACAATCTCCCTCGGTACCATCCCAACACGCGGTCCCTCCCGGCCAGGGAAAATTCGCCACGCGGAAACGCAACATTCGGCGCAGAGAAGCCGAAAGGGCCAAGAAACAGGTTGCCCAGGCCCAGACCCCCGAGCACACGCAGGCGAACACCTCGCTTGCTTTGCCAATATCAACGTCTGCTAGTCTTGAAAATGACAAATCGAAAGAGCAAGAACTCTTTGAGGCCAAGCGACAAGCTTTGCTCGATGCTCTTGCGAATGGCGGAGTCGAGGTCGGGCCAGGCAGTCAATCTGGCCTTGAGGGTTCTATCGCTCCGCAAACCAACAAGAGAAAGCGGAACGAGGCAGACTCTGCTAAGGCTGCAGACACCGAGGCCAACGAGGTTGAGGCATCGATACCGCGTGACGACTCGGTAACTGCTGCGCTCACCCTGGAGGCTCCGTCGCCAGATTCAGTAAAGAGACGGCGATTAGACCTTGGTGCAGGGCGCCGCATGCTGTTCGGTGCGCTCGGCCTTCGCAATCCCAGGACCAAGGATGATGAGGACAACCTCCGCAATAGACTCATGAAAGATGTTCGACCTTTGCAGAATGCGCGATTGGCAGAGGACGACGGGAAAGCGAGCACGGCCGAGACGGAGATCGGAAAGGAAAACGCTGCAGAGAATACGACGGCAGATCCTGACGCCTGGAAGGACAGGATTGTCTACCGAGCCGTTGAGTGTTGCCAGGCTGATGTCGTACTCAGTGAACCTCCTTTCCCGTTTGTCCAAAGATGGGATCCACAGCAACAAGGCAATTGGTTCACCAAGAAGAACAAACGCGGCGGGCGTGGCAAGAAAGCGGAGCGCAACCAGTTGCATTTCTACCAAGATGATTCGCGCGGAACGAAGGGATCATACGGCGATTCTCAAGGTTGGGACGAGAGCTACTATAATGAAGCGATGGGGGCTGGCCAGGAGTCTCTCGACGCCGACGTCGAGCTGAACTATGATGATGTGGAGCAGCCTTTGGATTCGACCAGGGACACAGGCGATGAGACAACCCGCTTGAGCGACTTGGACGACCTGCCCCCGTTGCCTGATAACGTTGAGGATCTGAAGCCCTTGCAGCCGGGCGAGGCACAGAATGGCATGGTTATCACGTGGAAACAGTACATTCTTTCAAAAGCAACAAACTGGCAGCCCCAGCTGTTAAGTTTAACCGGCGTCATCTGTAGAATTGATGACAATACCGCCGGTCTCGAGGTCGTACTGGCGAAGAGAGATCGCGATCTAGAGCATGCAGAGAAGCAGTATGACGATCGAACCGGGCAACGTATCTACGACAAATTCGAAGCCCCAGATTTAGGTGAGGAAGAAGACGAGGATGAGGATACTAGGCGAGCAAATGAAGGTTACCGCACGCTTAGTTTTGACACCATGATGGACCCCAGGATCGTACAACCTGCCATATCCCTGGATGAAACCTCTTTGGAGCCTATTGTGCCCTCGATAGAGGACAGACCAGAGGAGCTGCTGGCCGAGACTGAAACCGCTGTTGACTTTAGGGACACCACCTTCGAGGGGTTCGGAGATGAGATCGAGCCACAACGGCAAGAGGCGGCGGAGCTCATGGATACTACCTCGGAGCTGCCCAAGGCGACAAAGGGCCATGTCGAAACTCCGGGGCCGGGGACTGCAACGGAGCAGCGCGAAACCCCAGCATTAGGTACTTCAAACATTTCCTCCGACGACCATGCGGAACAGGAACGCCAACCTGCCAATTTGTCCTTGTCTGACACATCACAGATTAGCAGTCCGTCGCGGCAGCTTCAGGCGGAGACGATTAGCCAGCTTCTTGAACCGTCACCCAACCAAGGCACTGCCGACGACGTGTCACCCGTGGCTGATGAACCGACCTCTGAACACGCCATGACAGACCTGGTCTCGGACGGTGGAGAAGACTCTTCACTCCATATCCATGATGCTGAACTCATTACCGGGACACCCAAGGTCACGTACCCGACGCTCATGGGCCGTCCATCGTCTGCCGGAAGTGCTCACAGCGGCCGTCAGCCGGATTTGTCCATGGACCTGGGCATTGCTGGGGAAGACTCTTTCCGGGCAACAACCGAAGGCTCCATCAACGAAGATCAAAATACCGGTCCTTCTCCTCTACTAGGCGAAGACTCCACGGTAGTATATGGAGAGAGAGACACGGCGAAACCTACCCCTTCTCCAGTCATAGATCAACTCAACCAAAAAATTGAGTTCAGCACCAAGGCCAAAGAAACTCCCGGGTCAAAGATGAGTTCTGTCCCTTCATCCTCACGGGCCAGCTCGTCCTCACTGGCCTCTCTAAACACCCTTTGGTGCACTGCAACCTCGTCCCGCAGAACACAGACCCCTTCGAGAACGCAGCTGCTCTCATCGCTCAAGTCGCAGAAGTCGCAGGCGGCAAGAAATCAGAACCATGAATACGAGGAAGCAATGCAGAAGCTAGACAGATCTTCTGATGACGACGTTTCAGAAGATGCTAGCAGGATTAGTGGTAGTTTTCGGCCCGACCGCCAATCACTGAAGCTTCCAACGCAGTTCTCATCGATAGATAACGTCCCCAATAACGACTGGGACGTGAATGATTCCAGCTCCGACCGCTCCTCTTTGCGTACCCCGCGTGCCCAGACCGATGTCAAGTTCTCAACGTCTGTCATTGCTTGCGACGGGGGCCTACATCGTAACTCTCCAGAATCAGTCGTTGCGATCAAAACCCGGGAGTCACCTCCCGCGACCCGGACAAGAAAGGCAGCTCAATCATCGCAGCCAAAGTTTTCCGTTCCACGCGGAACACAGGTTCTCGAGATAAGCTCAGATTCTGACGATCCAAAGTTCGCGGAGGACTACGCGGACGATGATGCAGATGAGAAATACTCACCGGCCAGTCCTCCTAAAGGCTCTAGATGGGCCAAGAAAAGTAACCCGACAAGGAGCTCGACGGCACCACTTGCATCTCAGAAGGGTCTGGCATCCAAGGCGAATGTTGGAGCCATCAGCGCCCCTCAGAACTCGTATGGCCCGCAGCTGAAGGACATGGAGAGTGCCGCGGCTGTGATTAAGCGAATCAAGGGAAAGGGAAAGCGCAAGTCATATGCGAGAATTTAGGAGGTATTCGTGAAAAGGTCTTGAGATCAAGCATCGCACAGTGTCTTGACATGAGAAGCGCAACAGCGTTGGATGTTTCTCCTGTAGCCTATGTGATTCATTCGCTTGGTATTGAAGCTCGAGGCATTCAACAGCGACCTTGCATAGTGTGATCAATGCCATTGTTCTCTGATGCAGTAGCCCACTTGCGAAATATATTGATTCACTCCTGTGCTAGAAATTGATCAATGACTATGCTGTCCGTATATCACATTGCCGTGAGGCTTCAATTAGCCTTTGATTATCGTAGAGGAATCTTGTAAATGCGCCACATTGATTGGCACCTGAGTTAGGGGGCCAATAATACGCGTTGTCCGACCTCTTATCTTTGACGTACGTACAATGCCGCCTCAGAAGTACTAGCCTTACAAGCCTTATCTAAACACAAAGCCGAGCTGCGCATCGAGCATCTCCGGATTGCTGTGTGTGATAACAATACTAACAAAATTAATAAGTCCTAGTATAGTATCCCAGTGCCACGTCTTCTTTCATTCTTCATCTCTTGCGCTTCCTGGCCATCATATGCATTGCCTCCAGCGCAGCCATATTCACAGAACGTGAAGCCACCAAGATCAAACCACAAGTAACTCCTATCAAGAAATGGCAGGGCAAACTTCCTGAGCTACATTTGTTATTTCCATACGCACAATCGACGAAACCAGGATCTATTGCGCTCGCTGTGCGCTATAGAATAGTATGTCGATTTCCGGGGCAGGCCAAACGGCGCCCTCAGAGACCAGTCCCTTGTTGCGTCGTCCTCCCAGACTGCACGAGGTACCTGATGAGCAAAGCGACGTAGCGTCTCTCCATTCCTCAAGTCTATCCAAAGAGGACGGTGCTCTAAATGCTCCCCGCGCCGGTGAGAGACTTCCGTACAACGACTACACGACCATCGACTGGCTGCGCGAGCTTGTGAAGGACTCGGCCCGCCTGCGCGAGGTCCACTCAAGGGGTGGTATCAGGGGCAGGTTCGGGAGCTGGTGGGATAGCGCCCAAGGCTGGGTTGCCGCGGCGCTAATTGGGCTTCTCACTGCGCTGGTGGCGTTTTGCGTAGACGTTGCGGTCGGTTTGATCAGTGATTGGAAGGAGGGCTACTGCACGAGAGGCATACTCTTGGATCGACGTTCGTGCTGCACTGCGGGCTCTATGCCCCGGGGTGGCCCCAATCAGCTCGAAAGAGCGAATCGTGCTCAATCTGGGTCTGGGAAAGATTCATGTCAGGAATGGATCGCCTGGGGACAGGGCGATTGGGGACGCAGCTATGCTGTTTACGTCGGCCTTGCGCTGTTGTTTGGCATAGTGGCGGGCAACGTTACGATGCTGACCAGGGCCAAACTGCCAGCCGTAGATGAGGAGAACAGCAACGCTGAAGGTGACGTTGATGTGTCGGATGGTACAACTTCCCCAAAGGAAGGAACCGCAGGAGATGAGGGTGGCAAGACGATGTACATGGCCGCTGGGTCGGGCATCCCGGAGATCAAGACTATCCTTTCGGGGTTCGTAATCCCACACTTCCTAGACTTGAAGGTGTTGCTGGTCAAGGCTGTTGGCGCAACCTTTGCCGTGGCGACAGGGATGTGCCTGGGCAAGGAAGGGCCATTTGTGCACATCTCTACATGCGTCGGGTATTTGGTGGCACGTTGGTTTCCCAAGTACGGCGTTAACGATCGAAAGCTTAGAGAGATGCTGTCGGTGGCGTGTAGTGCCGGATTGAGCGTTGCATTTGGGGCCCCCCTTGGGGGCGTCTTGTTCAGCTACGAGGTGAGTGTGTGCATAGTAGTGTGACTCGATGTGATGACCCAGTTACCGACCCTATAGCTTGCCCTGAGCACTGGCCCTAACCGAAGATACAGGAGATTAGCACTTATTTCCCGCGTCGAGTACTCTGGAAGTCGTTTCTGTGCTCCATGGTCGCATCTGCGGCTTTGAAGCAACTCAATCCCACGGGCACCGGCAAGCTGGTTCTCTTCGAGACCAATTATGGCACGAATTATGAGCCGATCCACTACCTCGTCTTCATACTCCTTGGCATCGCCGGGGGGCTATTCGGCGGCGTTTTCTGTCAGGCCAACTTCTTCTGGTCTCGTCATTTTCGCAAACACAACATCATCAAGAACCACCCTGTCTTCGAAGTAGCCTTGGTCGTATTGACAACAGCGGCCCTCCAGTATCCAAACCGCATGATTCGCGACACTGGCGATGTTGCCATGGCCAAGCTCCTTGTGGATTGCAATAACCCCCGTGACGATTCGTGGATCTGCGTTGAAGAATCGAAGTCTGACACACGGGTGTATCTTTTCTGGCTTCTGCACGGGACGCTCATCAAATTGGTTCTTACCATCATCACCTTTGGCTGCAAGGTTCCGTCGGGGATAATTATCCCAGCGCTAGACGCTGGCGCTCTGTTCGGGCGCCTGTTGGGCCAGACTTCCTTCCTTTCCAACTCGATATCCCCTGGCATCTTTGCCATGGTTGGCGCGGCAGCATTTCTAGCCGGCGTGAGCCGAATGACGGTCAGCCTCACCGTCATAATGTTCGAGCTGACAGGCGAGGTGAATTACATCCTGCCGTTCATGCTCGCAATCTTGACAGCGAAATGGGTAGCCGACGCCATCTCTGTGGATAGCGTGTATGACCTTGCCCAGCATGTTTTAGAGCATCCTTTCCTTGATGCCGAACATGCATTGGCGCTGGTTAGAGAGCGAGAGGGCACGGCGGGGGATCTAATCCCGCCGAGACGTACTCTGGAGGAAATCACGCTGCATGTAGGACACGACTACAAGGTTCCCGTATCCGTGCTGAGGGTCAAATTGACCCAATTGAAGGCCAGGGGCTTGATGGACGCGGGACTGGTGTTGGTGAACCAGAGGGGAATCTGCCATGGGTACCTGCCCGAGGCCGAATTGGAGTTCGGGTTGTCTTTGCTTGAAGAAGGGCAAATCGAGGTGGATCTGCTGGAAGGCCCCATCAGTGAGTTCGTGGACAGGACGCCGCTCACCATATGTAGGGATGCCCCAGTAGAGATGGTGGTGGAGATGTTTGGGAAGATGGGGTTGAGGTACTTGATCGTAGTTGAAGAGAACACGGCGAGGATGCTGGGAGTCGTGATTAAAAAGCGTTTGGTCAGCTACTTGGACGGCTTGAAACAGCTGTAGTACAATCAAGCGGTGTCTGCGTATGCGGCATCGTACCAAGTCATTGGGTGCAATGAGAGGATCATTCGGATCTTGCTGCACTCTAGCAGTCTATATCCTCAGCCACCGGTGAAATCGACTCTTGAATCGACAACGGACGCTACATGGTAACCAAGCAGTAGGTGATGGGGCGGGCCGGCTTGACCATGATGTAATTAAATAGTTTCTCGGAAGGACCTGAATATGAGGCGCGCCAGGCTTTTCCTGCTCTGGTAAGTAGCTGTGAATCAGTATAACGACAGCGTGTTTTTTGTGAACTCAATGGAGTCGAGGAGGGAAACATATGTTTGGGAGCCTTGACTTGTTTGTAGCAGCTGCTGTACTGGTCACGTTTTACATTGGGCAATCGAAGTGGTGCCCGTGGCGCAGGAAGACCAAGCTTGGGGTTGAGAAGGCCGGTAGCGTGAGGAGCGGCACTGAAGTGTCAGTTTGATCAAGCTATAATCGTATTCACCGTCGGACGTCCCAGTTCGTGTGGGTATGTATATGTACAATGGCTCTTCCTATGCAGGCCGGCCCGGTGCGTTACACTTGCGTAGCGCTGTCTAGTTGCTCCTTGCGCCCTCCTTGGCTTCCCTCAACTCGTTCATCTTGACCACTCGCTTCTTGAACTCGACATATTGGCACTTCTCGTAGCTGTGTCGCTCGTCCTGGTGGGGTTGCACGGTCAGCATCACAGAGCGTGGCGTCATTTCTCACGAGGCAGCCTCGGTGGGCGTCATAGGGATTGGGGGAGGGGGTTGGATCCGCCTCGTCCAGGACGCAACTCGACGTACCTCGCACTTCCACGGCAGGTAGTACGACTCCTGGCGACATCGGTTGAGGGGGATGAGGAGGTTCGCGCAGCTGTCTCGGTAGGCAATGGGGAGTTTGGCATCCCGCATCTCCTCGCGGGTCGCCTCTGTTGGGCGGGTGGGTTAGCAAGACGTTGGGGCCATTGGCCGGAGGCGTGGGGGTCACCCACTGGGCAGTGTCTCATGCGAGCTTCCGGCCATGTTTGCAGGTCAAGGAAGAAGCCCTGGTTGCGGTGTCGTGGTCTCGGTCTTGGTCGTCGTGATCTCCGATGAGGTCGAGCTCCCACCCACGAGGATGCGACAAGGCAAGAGCCGGGCGGCCGGGCGCTCGGGCCATTGAAGCCCACAAGCCACACCCGTGGGTGGAACCCAGCCCCAGCCCCAGCCCCAGCCCCAAAACGAAGTCGAAGTGTGCTTGAGAGCCTGGGCTACAAACAGTGCCGCCAGCTACAGTGACCCAGCAACCCTTTCCGCATTCCCGCATCTGGGAATGACCGGACTATGTCGACAGTCAGAATGCAGCGCAGAGCCATGCCGGGAGCCATGCCGGGAGCCATGCCGGGATGGGAAGTCTTCCCTGCAAGACCTGGCGACCTATATAGCTGGCCAGACTGAACGAGCTGCCTCACGCGCCCCTCTTGAACGAGTGAGACTGCGCTACCCATGTTCGACGGAGGAGCTACGGTCTGCCTCCTGCTGTCACAGGTAACCTCACGCTATGGCGAACCTATTCATCCGCTACAGATCTACGACCACTCCTAGGCGATCGAGCGCGTCCAGTTGGCACGGTGGCTCACAAACAGGGTCAAGACGTCAGAAGATGAGAGCCTCGCAAACCTCAGTTAGGAATTTTGTACCCTCCTCCTTAGCCATCTTCAGTCTATTCGTGTAGTACATGGACGTGGAGTCCGAGTCCGAGGATAGAACAGTAGGCCTGTGGTCTCACACTTCCCTTCTCATAGCGCCACCCACCCACAGCGAGCCGCCATGTCACACATCCAAATGTAGATCTACATTTGGTGGACGAAGGAATCTTTCGTCATGCCGCGAAACCGTTTCCCCCAGAACCAAAATATGATCCCAGTGCAACAGAAAATGGTGATCAACGCCATATTCACCAGGATTGGTGCCCTGAATCCCACCTCTTCCGCCCATGGGGTTAGGAACTTGCTATTGAAGGGTTAGGGTGCGCGAGGACTTTCACATGAACTGCAGATGTCTTACCTAACCCCATATCCCCATACATTCTTGTTGACAGTAATGGCCACGAAGAGAGACCCGGTTACTGGTTTGTAGCTGTCTATCGCATACGTCGAGGCGATCGACGGCAAGGCCGACACCTGCATACCTAAACATCCCCATCCAACCACGACAATTGCTTGCCAGGGCCAGTGGTAGTCATAGCCGACAGCGGTGATCACGCTCCCTATGATCATGATTAAGACATACGGAATCATGGCCGGCAGGCGCATTTCAGGCTCGCGGACTCCTCCATTCTTCTTCGTCAGGTAAGCGGCAATCCAGTCAGACCACGGACCATTCGTAAAAAGACCGATGAGCGCCCCAATTAGCAAGGCCAGGTTGAAAAGGCCAATCGTCTGCGGGGAGTAGTTGTAAGGCGGTGCAGCAAACGCTTGTGATTGTGAAAGGTTCGCTACGAGGTAACCACTTGCGGAGAAGGACACGACAAAGGACGCGAACTCGACGATGGGGAACAGGTGCAGATACCAAGGGACCCAGAGCTCGCGTAATAGACTCCCCTCGTACGATTGGAAAAGCTTGAACTGAGCGTTGCTTGGTCTACCGCGGCCTAGCCATGGGTCCTGGTGAGTGATCGCTGGTGCCAACTCACGGCCGCTGCCGGTGGTGGGCTCAACGTCGCCGTCATCTTGAGTGGTGTTCTCGGGCGGCACAATCGCCCTCTTTTCAGGGCTCAAGAGCGCTGGTCCTGCTCTTCCGGCAGCCTTTCCTTCCATCTCATTACCCCGACGATACCGCGTTTCCGGAAAGAAGAACAGATTCACAAGCGTGCAGATGAGCAGGAGGGCTGTATTGAGCCACCAGAAATTTCGCCATCCGACATTGAACGCCATCGCTCCGGAAATTATTGGGCCGACCATGAGCGAGGCAAAGTACATTGAAAAATAGAGTGTCTGATACTTTCCACGGTCGTGTAAGAAGATAATGTCGGCAATGATCTGGGGCTGGATCGTTTCGCAAGGACCAGCGGCAAGGCCGTTGAGTACTGACGCGCCCATGAAGGAGTTATAGCTTGTCGCTCGAGCTCGCCATATAGATGAAACGGCGCAGATGAGCGAGCTGGTGATCATGACGGGTCGTCGACCAAAGCATACAGTGACTGGGACCCAGATGAAGTTACTGAAACCAAGGACCAGGATCGCCACGCCTGCTTAGTATCAGCAACCACGTTGAAGGGGAGTTCCAGAGGGGTTATTATTGCGCAAGCTACCTGTGAATTGGACTGCATCGGCTAGACTGCAGTCCCATTCTCGTATGTACTCCTCAAACAGAGGAGCATTCGCGAGAGGACCAATATTCAAACTGAACGAGAGCATCGTAGCACAGATCATGGTGACTATTTTCCATTTCGCGCTCCAGTTCAGCGGGTCGTGCTCGTCGTCACTAGGTTGTGGGACCAACACATTCGACTTTCTTTGACCGGCCTTGACGAAGTGATGCGTGCCGACATCTTTCATGATCTCCGTACCCGGATATATCTTGGTGTGAAGGACGCTCTCCAGCTCGTGAACCACCTGTTGGTTCAGGTTCTCTTCCATGGTGACGGATCCGGATTCCACAGCGATGCCGCATCAGCATTTGATGGAGACAAACCGCGCTACAGAATTGCTCGACAGAAAGCAAATTGGTTCAAGTCAAAGCTATCACTAGGCGGCAGGCCTCATCATAAACTCCCATCTAGGGTGGCTACGTCGGAGAAGCCGCTCGGGCAGATTCCGTTGAGCAAAATGATGATCACTGCTGCATTGGTTCTCAAGGAGGGCTGTCAACTGGTTTTCCCAGATTCACGGAAACTGGGCACGAATGAGGAAAGGCCAGGTTCATACAAACCAATGCCGAGCTATCGTAAGAGACGACGTTGCACCAGAACCCTACATCAAAATTATCCCGCCGGCGGGGGAGGCTTTCATTTTCACATCTAGACGAGATCAAAACCCCTTCCTGGTGCATCAGAGCTCGGTGATCGCCAAGCATAGCAATCAGTGACTTATAGACCCCTCCGATAGTCCTGAACATGGTCGCATCGAGTGGATGTAAATCTCTAACGACATCATCGCGTTACTCCAAATTTGTATCTTTCTCGGTTCAACTAGGTTTTTCCCCACTCACTACATGTACCAGAATCTTGGGAAGTTGGAGATTTAACGTTAGGCAAACCTCTGACAGGCCATACACCATCGGTAATAATTCCTGTTTCGATATCTCCCCACTTTCCGCGTTGCTCTCCACACGTATCCCACGTTTCCCAAAGAGTCAAAGGCTCCGCTAAAAGTGATGATGTCAGTTCTGACCCGAGTTCCGTCCTGTGATGATAATGATGGTCGTCATGTTAGGCCTACTGACTGCGTATGATACAGTGAGTTCATTGCGGAGCCTATACGGTGTAGCGAATCCCTTGTCTGTGAAATGTTGGCCGCCTCCCAAACGTGTCTGCTGACATCCCAACTTCGCGTATCCTTTCTGAAGGTCCCAAAGTACCTTCTTGGCATATCCAAGCCATCTATCAGGGCGGGGGACGGATGGAACTGGTCTCGGATATCATTGTTGGTGTGGACCATCTAAGAGCCACACGGTGATGCCACACATCGCCTAGTTCTCATACTGCTTCATTTGTGTGTGGTTAACTCAACTCATACGACAAAGATCACCCCGACATAATTAGAAAACCTCGTTGAGTACAGCGTTGAGAAATGGCTTTTCTTTAAACTCTTCCATGTAAGGTTGCCCACTAGGTTTAAAGAGGCATTGTTCAGTTCTTCTCGTATACGACTAATATTTGAGTGTTCCGGAGGAGAAAGTAGCTATCAAGGGTCCCAGAGGAACCTACGATGTCCCGCCCGCCACCAAGGATAATCACAGACTGTTGTATGATAGCACGTCTTGGTTTCTTTGATTCAAGTAAATCACTATTTAAAAAGCCTACAATCAAAAACTGTTGGATAGTTCTGTGGAAAGACCATGACTATGCAGGCTTTGTATTCGTCGACGACTCTTATAGCGAATTGCAATGGCGTCCTGTCACCAGAAGAGACCTGGCTTTATCGCCGAGCTATACATCATGACGTACTTGATGAATGCTGAATTCAGGTTCTTGGTGTCACTGGCTTGCTCTGTTAGTTGCCAAATCAAGAATGTGTTGTGAGTAATCTGGATGATAAGGATCGCTCGAGATAGCTGAAGCCAAACGCCCTACAGGCACCTTATATACAGGTAATGCATCGTTGTGTAACGTAATATTTTCAAGGTAGATTCAAGCACGAGTTGAATTTGTATCCAGTGTTAGCGCTGTGCATGATCATGGCTCTGAGCAGTGTCAGTTGAGAAGCTACACGATACCAGTGTTCAGGCAAGCCCTGATCACCACGCAGAATATCTACAAAAGCCAGTCCTTTTCTGCAGACATGATTCTGTTAAACCTGGCTATGTCCTGACATCTTTCCTCCGGCCCTCCTCCATTTCGAGAAATCCAGAAATGCCAACGCCGTCTCCAACAGTTGGGTCAAAAAGAATGGGATCAAGTTGTACTGCCAGCCTCCCATGATATAGAGCTGGGTCAAAATGTCGTTGCGTCCGTCGACCAAGTCAAGACGAAGTACCGCCGCGAACCAGTTCTGCGGGGTCCATGAACCCACCGGATATGGGCTACCATGTAAGTTCACGGCCAGTGGCACGTCTATTGTCTGCCCTTCTCGAGCATTTGTAACGTAAAAGACATAGCCGAGAGCGCTAGTGGTCAGGAGCAGTGCCGGTATTTGAAACGCAAGCCAAAGATAATAGACATAGATGCTGAAGCTCTTGGTTCGATAATTTGTGTTGCCCCGAACCCACAAGGTGATCACGCCCCCAATTCCAATCAACACGAACGCTGTTCCCGTAGCTCCGTTGCTAGTATGGCCTTGGTTAACCAAGAAATCCGATGGCGTGCCGCCGAGTTGGTGTGTCGATCCACCATATCTAAAAAGAAAGCCCTTGCTGGCGGTTTGATGCAACCATCCGACTGTGCTGCTTACAAATCCCAGTTCGATGATAGATATAACCATGAGGAGGCCAAGGGCAACTTTGAGGGCGATCGAGATTAGAGCCATGATCCACTGGATTTGATTCCAATTGTCGAGGTGGCCAACATCAATATAGAGTGAAGTTGATTCTCAAGGGATATGGTTCGCACCACGGCATTCATATATAAAGATGGCTATATTTAGATCCATGATTAGGGCTGACGGTGACGAGAAACTCCGGAATCCTGTTGGCGAAGGTCCATTGGAAGAGGTTCGTTCTCGGCCCGGACAAGCCTCTGTAGCCTTGTCAGCGTCTGACTGTAGGACTCTAAATATGGCACGGTCTGAACTCTACGGCCCATGAGTCGGCCACATCCGAAATCGACCAAACTCTTTCTCAAGGCGCTTTCGGGCTAGACAAGTGGCTAGCCCTAGGGTGGAAAGTATCGGTGTACGTTTACGACCGTCTGCGTTCTTCGGTTTAGTAGGTTGAATGTAACGTGTCCTTTCTCTTAAGCTTTATGGAAACAATGCAGACTTGAAATACAGGGGTTTGGCTGCGTGAAGTCAAGAAGAGCTATTCACCGGTCAGTTATCTTAGAGCGGACTGGGCGCTTGATATCACCACCCGGGTTCCTGCCTCCTGGTGACTAGAAACCATGCAGGCTCAACAACCTCTTCTTCTGCCCAAGTTTTATCAATCCGCGCCTGCCACAAAACGTTTCATTTCGTTGACTCTGATGCATTCTTGAATGAATCAAATGATACTCTTAAGAGAAATGCCAAATTGTCACTGTCTGGAGTGCATGTCGTTGCTCGCCAAAGGACAGACCCAAGTAGCGATCTTGTTTAGTCCAATGCGACCTCCTGGTGTTTTCTCGGGATTCAAGCACTCGTTAGCTCTATGACGCCTATTGCTTTTGCAATATAAGTCTATACTAACAGCTTAAAACTAAAGAAAATGACAGGCCTATCCAACTTATCGTGAGCCTAAGTATGAGTGGAAGCATTCGAAAATTATATATGGTTTGCTAACTACTTGTGTCAGACAAAGCTTAGAGCAGGTTTTCCTGAATGCTATAACTTATCATAACGCTTGTGATATCATCGAGCACTGCATCTTTCGCAATTCAATTGCAAGTGCACACTCTAATAACCCAAATGTATTGTCCAGCCTTCTGGGTTCTGAGATTCGGCCGAAGCCAGGTACTAACCAGGCCGAATGCCCTCCATTGCCGAGCGCTAAAGACCACTCCACGATATGCGGCATTTCATATTTGCCCGATTGAAGGCCAAAGGCCAATCACACGGGCCTCTACTGTGAACTTTAGTGCCGTCCCACTTCTTGGACTTAGGAATGACGGCCATGGACGGAGTAGGCTCATTGTCTAATAGCCGCCACCTGGTCAGTGGCAGAAGTAATCTATTCGCCAATCACATCTAGTTGATGGCATTCCTATTCAGCCGCTTTACTAAGAATTAATACTGTATATGCGAACTCAGCTCCTGGGAAGAAGCGAGCGCACAGGGAAACCCTGCAACCCTCATATATCGAAGCCGAATCTTCCTCATCCCATCAGCAATTGGCTCTGCCTGCCTCACAGCAAATACACCCAAGGCTGGTCGTGAATCCCCACCCCTAAGAACAACAATAATAACGACAACAACAACAAGCCACTTTGGCCTCATACTTAGTAGCTTTCAAATTTGCGCTATTGACTTTCAACATGTGCTATTACCATACTGATCAATACTATATCTCGTCTCCAAATCCAGGGCCTTCAGTGTCAGCGGCTCTTGCGCCGTAATAAATTATGACCCCGCAGTAATTAAGAAGCCTTTGCATGTCCGACAGCTCAACTGCTGCGGCTCTGGTTGATGCTAGTCAACTTGTCCTCTGCCAGCTATGGCTAGGTGCCGATTACGACGTTGTACTCAGGAATTAGGCTACCATATGAGAATATCCGATTCCGCTGTAGGAACCATTCAAGCAAAAAGGCCAAGATAAGTAGTACTGTTGCGCCCTCCGCACTACCTTGTGCGTTTCCCATTCCTTGCCGTTTCATAGCAAAATGTCGTTTTTTGGACAGAACTTTCTGGGCTTTATAGCCGCTGCTGCCCTTATTTTTGAATCATCTGCTTGGGCATTTCAGAGACCCCAATACGAGCTGCGATATTTAGACGACTCATCGCAGTTGAGAGTATCATATGACTACGTCATTGTTGGAGGCGGAACGTCAGGTCTCACTGTTGCAGACCGGTTAACAGAGGATGGCAAAAGTATGAAGTAGGCTTACGTTGTTGTACCTCCGGCCACTGACATTACTCTGCAGCTACTGTTCTCGTCATCGAAAATGGGCCGCTGGGTAGGTATCGTACTTGAAAGGACAAGATAATTCTAACTGATTGGAATGTAGTTGAATCACCCTTAATTAGCGAAATAATGGGTGGTTTCGGAGGCATGGGCTCGGGTTACACATATAACACGATGTCTGTTCCGCAGTCGCATCTGAGGAACAGGACCTTTCCTGTGCTGACCGGGAGAGTCGTAGGGGGCAGCTCGGCTGTAAATGCTATGATGACGGTCCGTGGGACCTCAGAGGACTATGATAGATGGGGCGAGCTCTTTGGGCAAGGTTCATCGTGGAATTGGAAGAACCTTCTTCCCTATTTCAAGAAGGTGGGGTGACTGTGATAAACGGATATCAACCTGGCATGTCTAATGTTGGTCACTCAGGCTTTATCATTTACCCTGCCAGATCCTTTGGTAGCCTCTGCGTTCAACATTACGCACGACTTGCAGTATTGGGGCAACACCTCTCATATCTATGCTGGCTGGCCCTCGTTTCAATATCCAGGGCTCGGTAAGTGATTTCCGAAGAACATACCATGAGTAACCTTCTCATCACAAATACCATCAGTGCCGGCAATAGACGCTTTCCGTGAGGTCCCAGGTGTTGAGTTTCCTGTAGACAGCGGTGCCGGCCGAGCTGGCGTTTACTGGTTTCCGACCTTCCTGGATCCGAAAAATGTTCAACGCTCCTATGCCAAAACAGGCCACTATGAGCGGATTAACAGGACGAATTATGACCTCATCGCCGACACGAGGGTGACTAAAGTGTTGTTCGATGGTAGGAGGGCCATTGGAGTCTCCGCGCAGCAGACTAGGCTGAACACAACTTTGTTATCTAATGTCAATGCCAGCAAGGAAGTGATTCTAGCTGCAGGTGCCATCCACACCCCTCAGTTGCTTCAACTGAGTGGGCTGGGACCTAAAAAATTGCTTGAATCGGCTGGTGTGCAAACAATTGTCGATCTTCCGGGTGTTGGGCAGAACTTCCAAGATCACCCGATGCTCTCGGTAATGATAATGCGTGTTGGTACTCCCAGGACCCGATACTCTTTTCTTTGTTGTTGTTGTTGTTGTTGTTGTCCTTGTAGGGATAAAGAAGGTGCTGGATATAGCCAAGTGGTGTTAGAACTGGACTCATGTCATCTCTATTACAGAGACATTGACCAACGTGTTTTTAACCGGTGCTGACAGTGTTTAGCTAACTCGTTTCTCTGTACAGAAGTCAAAATCCTCATATAACATCAATTTTCGTCACTCATACATAGACAGTGCAAAATTTCACGATTCGCCCGGAACCCAGCGATTTGTTTGGTGAAAGCAACTTCAGCACCTGGGCACAGGAAGTTTGGGCCTTCAATCGCACAGGTTCGATGAGAACACCAATTTGCAAATCCTTGTTTCAATGCTGACAGTTGAAATAGGTCCGTACTCGCTAGGGGTGGGGAATGTAGCTGCTTGGCTGCCAATGCCAGTCATCTCGCCAACATACCATGAAACGATTGCCTCCAAGTTGGAAACTCAGGAGCACTCTGCATTCTTAGCACCGGGTACCGATCCGACTGTCGTTGAGGTGAGAGACTTCTTGCCCAGAAACATAGGACAGGCAGACGACTAATTCTATCTACAGGGGTATAGAGCACAAATGAAAAATTTGGCCAGCAGCATCCGGTCCAACAACACGGCATTTTACAGCCTATCTCTGACGGGTTCACGTGCCCCTGGTGGAGCTAGCGTATTTCTGCATCCTCTGAGTCGTGGAACAGTGAATATCGATGTAAGAAAACCCAACGCTACTGAACCAATTGTTGACTACCGCGCCCTCAGTAACCCTCTGGATGTTGAGATCCTAGTTGAGTTCATCAAATTCACTAGGCTCTATCATTTTAACACTTCACTCGCTGCTTTCAATCCAAAGGAGATAGCGCCTGGGGAGAATGTAAAGAGTTCGGAAGAACTGGCCGCGTATGTACAACGAAGTATCACCCCTTCGGAATACCATCCGAGTGGAACAGCAGCAATGCTACCAAGAGAGCTGGGTGGAGTCGTCAACGAGTCACTTCTAGTTTATGGAGTGGATGGCCTACGAATTGTCGATGCAAGCATTATGCCAATGTTACCTGGTGCCAATACGTGTCAGACTGTTTACGCTGTCGCGGAGAAGGTATTTGGGTAACAGATGATCATACGTGCTTTACTAACGAGCGGCAGGCCGCGGATCTGATCAAGAGCCGTCTTTAAGTGGGAAAGAAAAACCAGAACTAGGGTGAAGACAGCTTGGAACATTCGGGTTGATGCACAGCTTGATGACAAGCTTCGAAAGTGGGTGCATCTATTCGAGTAGAATATCGACAGGTTGATATTCAAGCACGACGGCGTCAGTATTTTCGGGTATTCGTGGATCTTCAAAGTCAATAATGCTCTTAGATGAGGGGCAACTGCCCCTGAGTTCGCTTTGCTTAGCCTAACGTCTTCTTGGCCCATCCTATTCGCGCTGTATCACCAGAGTTCTCAAAGACCACGAAGGCTGATTTCAGCGCAACATCACCAAAGATAACTTCTCCAATGCCAGTATTTCCTTGGATGCCTCCGAAGCAAGTCTTGCTACCAGGTGTGAGTGGGGCATAGTTAATGTAATTGCCCGGGATGGTGATCTCGCCGCCACCGACGGTAAAGGTGAAATCGGGAAGACTGGCAGCGCAGGGGAAAACATATCCTCCTTGAGAGTTGTCGTACAAAGCATCGGGGACCTTGGAGTAGTAGGCCTTGGCAACAGCAGTTGGAAGCAAGGCAAGGGTTGTGCCTGTGTCGGCTATACCGGTGATACTGCCGCCGATAGCTCCACCAACGCTGTAACTCGTTGCGGTGAAAGTCCAGAAACCTCGGCGAGTGTTGACTATAGCATAGTGTATCTCTCCGGTATGTAGAGAGGAGTTAATGTTTCCAAAGTTATAGGTGCCCGCTGAGGTAGGATTAGTCAACCGCAAGGAATAGAAAGGCTTAGAGCAAGCAACTGACGTTCTTGGTGTTTCAAGTCAACGGTCCACAGAGGCTGGTTCAGGTCTGACTTGATGTTGTCAAAGAACGTGTTCTGAGCTGTAGGTTTTACTGCATTGATGGTGCTGAAGCCTAGACCTAAAAGTCCGTCAAGATTCGTCTCCTGTGTGAACTCAGGTGAAACTCTGTTGGCGGTCTCTACAGCCTGGGATGGGAAGGAAAGTCCGCCAACGTCAACAACATCGGTGTAAACGGTACCGGAAGATGAGCTTCCATCGCCGTACGTGATACTCCAAGTGTAGCCGGGACTCTCTTTGGCTGTGCTGCTTTTTCCAGGAGAGAAAACGCTGTGACCACGAGATTGAGACGCCGGGGTGGAGCTGCTGAAAACCCACAAGTCCGAAGAGCCTGAGTCAAAATCCAGATTGAGTGTCTGTCCAGGAGTGCCAATTTGTACTGGAGTTAACCAGGCCTGGTCGAGTATCTCAGGGGTGGTTACAACGCTGCCGGACTCACGTTTGGCTTTCTTCTGAGCTCGGTAGTCTGTAACAGTTCTCAGCAGTGCGGGTGGAGGTGTCTTTCCATACTTGAGATAGGCTTTATACATAGCAGTCGGGCCGTGGGCTACAAATTCAGGATTCGGATGAGTGGTTACACTGAAGGTCCCATTGTTGATTTGAAGCGGTACCGCGTTAGCTAGACCAGAAAAGCCTGCAGCGAAAAGCACAAAGACTGAAGCAATCATGTTGCGCATTATGAAAATCTTGTAGCAGAAAATGTGAGAATTTGGTAACACGAGGATTTAAGTCTCCAATAGTTGCATCGCTCTTCTCTGCCTAGAGGGGCAAGTTGGGCAATTTATCCACATCACGCAGTTACACATAGCATCATGGTGGATGAACTCATACGCCTCATGCAGTAGGGGAAGGAGACCAACCCATACCAGGTGTGCTTCCCGTCAATAGAACTGGCCCAGTTCGACAGTTCCGTCCCGTTTCAGAAAGAACCCGTTGTCGTTCCCGTGCTCCGCATGGCACATGTTCACCTGCATCCGCCACTTGTCCAGTGCAACCCAAGCTTGGTAGCTCCCTTCTATGCAGTTATGTGCAACGACTCTTGTATAGTTCATGAGAATTATGGCCGCCGGTTTGTATCAAGAGACGTTGTGACTGCAATGCTAGGAATTAAAGGAGACCAGTTTCGGTGGACATCGACCTTAGGTATTGGGCTCATCTAATTGACGTAGCTGCATCGAGGAGCATCGTCAGGCCCAGATTGACCAACCAACATCTTTAGATACGGAAGACGACGAAAGGTTACACCACTGGTCATCAGAGCTTTAGCGTTTTAGTAAAGGTTGAACACGCTTCTTCCCATGCGCCCATGGAACAACAGCCCCACGGGCGAGGAACCCCTCAAACAGATCTCTACCCGCAGGCTGTGTAATTGGAACAACGTGGACGGGTGTTGTACGGCAGCGCACCCGCTCCACAGCAGCGGGCGTTGATTTAGTGCTCTTACGGCGTTCGTCACTGTGGCGGTACAACAAATGCCGATGCACGTAGCCCCTTTAGCGCTGCAGTCGGCCTGTTCCCTGTCTCCCATCCAGTGATCCCAACTTGCCCGGCCTCGACAAACTTCTGTGGGTTTTGCGGTACCTAAAACCAGAGACAAACCCAGTAACTTAGGTCTATAGTCACAAACATCCAACTACTACACCGCCCTATCATTTAGATACGTGTAACATTAGGATTTCTGCCGCAAACGCAGAACTATCGATCTCTCTACACGGGTGTAGGACGTGTAGCCCGTGACAGCTGTACTCCAGGACCACGTCTGGTCGCAAACCATATATATACCTCTGAACCACGCCAGACTACGCCGATCTCAGCCACCGCCTAGTTAGTTGGTTGCACTTATATGCACATGCAGGCGACATAAGGAAGCGGCCCAACGCGATTCTACAAGGCACTATACAAAGGTTTGCCACTCGGACCCTTGCTCGGATCGTATCTTGGGGCATGAATGAATACTGATTGCGTGCCGAAACGATCACTATCATTGGCATGACATCCCCCTGAAGTTGAGTGTCGTTCATTCAGCCTATTTGGTTGAACGTCAGTTCGAGCCGAGAAATGGCCCGAGCCCGTGCTTGACAACCAGTGGTGAATCATCTCCATTGGTGAGTTCCTGTGATCACATATCCGTGACCGGCCTGTTAAATCCGCAACTTTTGACTGTGCGCCTAGTTCGAAATTGCATCCATAACGTTGTGCTAACGAAAGTGTCACGTAGAAAGTATAGCAGTGCGCCTGGCATGACATTGCGATTGCGAGACCTAGATCTAGGCCACATGGGACCCGGCTTGCCACACACCATTTGTTTGCTGCTTTCAAGGACTGGCGGAGGAGGCTGGCCATCTAGCTCAGAGATGCTCGTACAACAAGGCATTTCTATAGTGCCAGCAATTGTGGTTGTAGCCGTAACCCTGACCAGGGATTCCTGAAATGCGGCGGAATTTGGTATGAGGGACTCCGGTCCACCCTCCAATGCCAATGTGGATTCTGTGTTATGACCAAACTTAATAAGATTCACGGTCAGCCACATACCAGACAGTTCAGTCATTCAAATTAGACAGAATAAAACGTCCAGCATAGTTATAACTCCCACGTCTCATCAAGACGTCTTCCACTACGGGCATACACCAACAACCCGTGTCCACTGGTTTCAGTCCAGTCCGACTGTAGTTGGGTCGTTCTGGCGTCACTGGATGCGGGGGCGGCACGAATCCGTCCTTCTGCATCTAGTGCACCGCTTCTTCATCTCAGCACTGAATTTATGAATCCGCCTCAAAACGCTACACGGCTTGAATAATGGGAAAGCTCTCAGATTTCGAAGTTCTTTCCTTCGATGTTTATGGCACTTTGATAGACTGGGAAACGGGCATTCTTACGGCTCTTCAGCCACTGCTCGATGCCAATCATGCTGAATTCACTAAGCAAGAGCTTCTCAACGCGGTACATGAATGCGAGCGCACCCAGCAAGCAAAGACGCCGGGGCTCAGATACAGTAAACTGCTTGCATCCATCCATCCAGGTATTGCTAAGAAGCTCGGCCTGGCAGAGCCGTCACCGGAAGACAGCATAGCTTTTGGAGCTTCGGTTGGAGCTTGGCCTGCATTTCCGGATACAGTAGATGCATTGAAGCGGTTGGGGAAGCAATACAAGCTGGTGGTGCTTTCCAACGTCGACCATGAGTCATTCGATAGAAGTAATAGTGGCCCTTTGCAGGGTGTCAAGTTCGACCTGATCCTAACCGCGCAGGATATTGGGAGCTACAAACCGGACCTTCGCAATTTCACCTATATGCTGAAGGAAGTGGACGAGAAATTAGGAGTGTTCAAGGAGAAGATACTCCAGACGGCTCAAAGTCAGTTTCACGACCATCGGCCGGCCCGGACAATCGGCATTCGCTCCAGTTGGATTGTGCGACCAGGTGCGGTCATGGGCAACTGTAGCGAAACGGTATATGACTGGAGTTTTGATACTTTAGGAGACATGGCAGATGCGCTAGAGGCAGAGCTCAGGGGCGGCCTCTGAGGATGCGGCGCTATCGCCTTGTTGTGAATAAGAGACGTTCGCAGTCATGTTCATGCTCTTTGAAGCATTATTGACGGACTTGATTATACCCAGGCCATTTGTTGATCTCCTCAACATAGATCCCTGAAGTTGTGAGTTCTAGTAGATTGCTTCAAGGCAGCAGTGCACTTACCCGCAATTTGCCAGCGCTCGGCCATGATGCGGAGGAGCTCCACGATATCCAGGAACCAGATACGTCCGTCACTCTCACTGTCTTCAAGAACAAACCATTCGCATTCGCCCGCTGCCAAATAGAGACAATGGCAGAGAAGCGGGCTCGCCTTGCAGGCCGCCTCGCCTGAGGCCGCAATGTCTAGGATACGTCGCGTCAGTGTCCATATCTGATGGCTCACTTCGTAAATACCAGCCAGAGAGATTTGTTGCATCTCAGTCTCCTGCGTACTTCTTACGCCTGATGAGTAGCGCTCGTTGCAGGCATACAAGCCGTAAACCAGATAACGCGCAGTGAAAGTAAGGCCTAGTGCCGTCATTGTCGAGCTGTCTGGCATAGATATGCCGATATTTCGGTACAGGTGCGTCGTTAATGCCGATAGTATAGTATGTAGCTGCTTGGCCTCGTTCACGCGGAAACCGATATCGACGTCCGTATGGCGGTCATCGCGATGCCGCAGTGCCCGGCCAAGTGCATGTGCTGCCTGGCATGCATTCGCAAACGAGCCAAGCGTAGTATTCGCGGAGAACTCTGGTACGTAAAGTGGCTCGTTAATGCCAACGGCACCAGTATCCCAAGCTGTCTCTGAACAAGGCAGCAGTTCGCCAGAGTGGGGCTCAGGAGTGGAAAGGGGCACGGAAGGCAGCTCTTGGTTGGTGAACCTATCATGGCCGTTAGCTGATGATGTTGTTGCTAGCATTCTAGTTGGAATTGTCGAGTACCTATCCAACAATAACACCGACCACCAGGCACGCCTTTGCTCCTCACGCCGAGTCCAGGTACCTGGATCCTTGAAAAGTTGCAGCGCATGTTCTCGATCGTGAAGTCCCATCATGGTACCCAAACGAACAGCGTGACCGACGCTATAGAAAGCGCTAGGGAATATACCTTGCATTGACTCGTAAGTAGAGATCAATATGATTGACTGAAGCAAAATCAGGGATGGAAGCGCCGTTATTTCAAGCTTCATGATGAGTTCCTTCACCAAAGAATAAATGTTGTCGGTCACGGGGCCGGCCTTTGATCGTTGCTGGCTTATCAGCTTAATACACATAAGCAGCAACGCGTGGTTTGCGTCTCCTCGGAATGTTTCCTCCTGGACAATTCGTCTGACTACTTTCGGGCTAAGTAATGGCAGCCAGGCGTGGATGGACGAGAAATACTTTTCATATATCACCTGGAGTTCAGACGAAGTTCCTAGAGAGTCAAGAAATGCTCCAGGAAGTATGGTTGGCGTCGCGGGTGGATCCGAAGGCAGTGGCTGGGTACACTCTTCACTGTTGAGGAAGTACATCGCTGGAAACCCGCCCCTGCTTACTGAGAGAGACGGGGGAAGAGTCCTGGTCATACTTAAAACAAATGTACCAGGACTAGATGGATCTGGCGTTTCGTTGTCGCAAGAGGATCCTGTCTGAACGATTTGAGCTCGTGCAGGGTATTGGCATTGCTTCTCAAGCCGCGCACACTAAATGAATTAGTAACAGGTTCAAGAGGGCAATGGTAACGTGACGCCTTACGAGCGAACACGCAGGAATTTCTTTCGGGCATTTACGCTTCAACCTCCTGAGTCTATGTTAGCATCATCATACTGCTGGAAGCGGACATACCTGCACGCGTTGCAGGCGAAGCGGGATTTGCGTATGGCGGAGTCCATCACGTCCGCTGAGCCCGCTGACCATCAATCTTGAAGAGGGCTGTAGCGTTGGAGAAGGGCGTGTAGTCTGGACCAGTTGCAGGGCCAGTCTTCCTGAGTATGTGTAAGCTAGAAGTGCGGGGGATCTAGGTCTTCCCAAGTCGCAATGAAAAATATTACGGCATTGGGGAACTATGTATTCGCAGGCAACGTCCGGCTTTGTTGATATGTGAGTCCTTTACGGAATTTCAATGACATTCGATGCATTGCATTCAAGGCCTGGACTGCTGGGTCTTCGACTGCCATACGGACAGAGCCAATTGCGTTCGTAGCTTATGGAAACTTGTCCGAGTCCGCTCACGTGGAAAATTAAACTCGCGAAAGAGATGGCGCTGATGGAGATGCCGCTCCTGGTCCGCTCCGGTCCGCTGCCGCTGAAGGAATCTCCACGCTGGATCCACCGCCTAAGGCAAGGCAAGGCCCTTCCAACATTGTTCATACGGAGACAAGACATGGCTACCACAAGGTCTACTTCCATAAGGCTCATTCATGATTGATTAGGCCATCCGGCTACCCACAGAGTTCTATCACAGCAGTCTCGACGAGACAGTCAAGGAGCGGTCACCTTCGCCATCGCCAGGCTCAGAATCCACAGGTGCTCCTCGCCAACGGGATCATAGCAGTGCGGTGTGTACCCATCGTCTACAGCAGAGGTCATGTTACTCGCCAACCGCGCGGCCTTGCAGTCAGACAGGTAAAAACCACCCTTGTCTTCCCAAACAGGTGCTACCGCTGCCCAAACCGTGGTAGCAGCACCCTGCTCTGGCGACTTCATTAAAGTCAACATGACCTTGTCGTTCTTCCATGTCTCGTGCTGTTCCTCAGTCGCATATTGTTGGAGGCCGGACATGACGCCACCCGGGTTCAGAGAGAGAGCGCGAACACCTCTCGCCCTGTAGAGGCGGTCGAGGTGGTTGGCTGACCATGTCACCGCCGTCTTCGATTGCCCGTATGCGAGAAACGGGTCGTTACCTCCCTTGAAATTGAAATCATTAACTCGATGTTCGAATAACGGTGTGAAGAAGACCCGACATAGATGACCCGAGATTTGAATGCCACCGAACTCGACGCAATCAGTGTAGGTAGGAGCATGGTGGTCATGGCAAAGTGTGACAGGTAGTTAACTGCAAGCTGCCTCTCGAAACCATCCGATGTGATAGTGTATGGACAAGCCAATATTCCTGCAAGATAGTTTAGCTCCGGTTCTCCGAGTTAACCCTTTTGAGTAGCATTGGGTCTTACCTGCGTTGTTGATTACAACGTTGAGCTGCTGGCTCATGCCAAGGAATTGCTGTGCTCCTTTCTTCGCTGATGTCATTAGTCCAAGTCCACTTCGATAGTATGAAATGTACCAGTTCCCTAGGTTGTCTTCGAAATTTCACTGATAATGGCCTTAGCCCTGTGCTTATTCCTAATCATCAAGTAGATCTGAGCTCCCGTCGAGTACAAGGCCTGAGCTGTCTCAATGCCGATCCCTGAAGTTCCTCCCGTGATCATGATAACCTTGTCAGCCAATTTATCCTTCAGTTGCATATCCTCAACTATCTGAAGCGCTGTCCGCCGCTGGTCCCCTGGGCCTGCCGGGCTGAGGTGCAACTTTGCGTATGGATTCATCGGGTCTGACATGATGCTATGGTTGGTATTTCGTGGTAGCAGGGCAATCCCAAGGATTCACAAGCTGAGCACGATAACCTTGGAGTCAGCGTGCTCTGTATGATCCTTTTATACATTTCGTGGCTACTGTTATGCAGCGTTAGTCCAGTTCGATGGAGCGGACTGTAGCAAACCACAGTGGGCATGAGCGGACTCGTCCTATGCCATGTTTTTCAATCGCTTCCCACGCCAGGACCAGAAAACCGAAGATCAAATGCACAGTGGCAAAATGGACATCCATATCTGGTTTCTGATCAACTTCTCGTTACTTGTTCACTTTCAGCGATTCATACCTCACGTAATTGCGGTATTGGACTACCTAGAAGAACCTTGATATTGCAGTCACAGCAGCTTGCAACAACTCACCAATGCATCACCACTTCTGCTAATATGGTTTCGTTGACTAGTGAAAGCACAAAGCCATCGGGAGGCCACTTAAGAAACTATGTGCAGCTTGGCGCTTTCACAATTGTCTGGGCTCAAGGTACGCCAGTGAAAGGGGCCGAACGTGCAACAGAGAAGTTACTCACGTGGAAAACGCTGGCCATCCATGGCAGTGCTACTAGGACTCCATATGCTGCCTATTCGGTTTCTGGATGAACTATCTACTAATGTACATCGCCTTGCTTGCAGGCTTCGCTCCTGCGACAAGAAGGCTGAGGTTGCTCCAGGGTGGATTCAACAAAAACGTTGCGGCCAAGACCTGCAGTGCCTCAGTTGCCAGGACACGAGGCCAGATGAGCGCCCGTGAAATGTCCCACGGCTAGCATTGGGGGGCAGTCATGGGGCAATTTATTCGTGTCAACCACACGTAGTGATGAGGCGATAATTGATTATTTGGAGACAAGACCCGGCTTCTGGGCTTCGTCCTACATAATAGCAGTCGCATGTCGAGGTTTTCGCTGGTCATTTCGAGACGAACCATGTTGGGCTCTCTCTCCGAAAGGCCAGCGAGAAGGAGTATTATGAGCTTTAGGCATGAGGTCATTACATAGGGGTGTCGATCCAAGGGGGGCATTGGCGCGGCTTGCGTGGCTCAGCTTTTGACAGATGAGCGCATTTTCCTTCGATCGCCTTACCAGGCTCGGTGCTTGAATGCAGGCAAGCCTGGGCTGCCAACAGAGTCTCCTTCGTTGCCTTGTTTGGATGGGAAAATACCCTTATACACTTGATCGACGCAGGTACGGAGTACCGCTTGACCGTCCACGCGATCTGATGCCGAATGACCCTTTGCTCCAAGGCCTAGACGCAAGAATAGGTATGCATGTACCGTCGATCAGGCTGGCAGGAACAGATCCCGTCCAATGAAGAAGTAGACGGTCGGCTACCGGTATGACGCTTCAGGGTTGGACGTAGTGTTTAACGGAGCTGAGGTCCGACCCGACTGCGCAACTAGGAATTCGGCAAGGCTCATCGAGATGATGGCGCCGGGTACCCGAGAAAAGCTTGGCCATCGCAGGTTTTGAATGCCATGATCGAGTTGATGTCAAATGGGCAGAACTATCACAATCGAGTCGTCGCAAAGGCCGTGCAGCATGACAGCTACAGGCTGACTAGTCTGCAATGCAGGGTTGGAATCCCCAGGAATCCCCATCCATAGGCGATCCTGATGATGTCAGAGGTTCTACCTGATGAGTACTGTCACTACGATCACAACCAACAACCACTCGCCAACAATGGGGGATCCTTTCTGGCAGTGCCAAATCCTCCTCTTGTTTGTATAACCGCGAGCGACTTATAATTAGCCGTATATTCCACAGTGGGTAATGAGATTTAAACCGGTTGGTTCGGATATGGCGCCTAGGTGCAAGATTGCTGCTTTCTCCTACACATGTTGACGATGACGGTAGAAATTCGTCACCAAGTCACCAGGCCACGCAGGGCTAGGATAATTGCGATGGGGTAGACCCTCAAACATGAAACCAGTGGACACTCCCGACAGTCTGGCCCAGATTTCGTAGCTCCCAGTGCTGGCGGGCGATCCCTGCCCCGGGTCGTCTTAGTGCCCTGGACCGCCTTGCCAGGCCCTGTTCCTCAGGCTGCCGGCATTGTGTTTCATTAAGCCACATGGCCTCTGTGGCTGGATCGCATCCCATTCTCGCTTGAGGCTTCATTCATTGGCACCATTCGACGTCACCTGTAGGATGCGTCAGCGGAAGGGGCTGGTGATCGGGATGATACGCTGTTGTTCGAGGGTGCAATGCCTTCGAGAAGGAAGTGTTGGTCGTTGTTAAGGCATCGATATCCCGCCATGTCTCACCAAGCCTGCTAACTCTAGGTCAATGATGAGGGGGGCTTGACCTGTCTGCCACCCGAGATATAAACTGCACGGAGGAACTCTCAGTATCAGAACTGCACGCTTAGTACAAACCAAAAACTCTCTATATCAGTCGTCAGCACATTTGCTACAAACAAGTACCTGGACGGTCGTCTGCTCGACATCTTCTTGTGGCTCTGTCGCGTTGTTCATCGGGTTTGTTCTGCATGAACGTGCTATTAAAGAGTCGCTCCGTCATCCCGCGAAACATCTCGTCTAACCCACGCGCCTCGAAACGGCTCTTTCAGTGGCTATTATAACCGCCGCTACTGTGCGGATAACGCCCACATCGACAAAAGTCGGGGGTCGTGGCTCCACCACAGCATCAGATAACTTATGACCGCCAGCGCGTCCCACTACGACAAACTGCGGCCTCACCTTGGAGTAGCGAAGCCCTGCCTCCAGTAGCGAACAAGACCTACCAGAGCTGCCAGCACACAGCACTAGCGACTGGAACAAATTGCAGTAGGCATCAAAGCGAACCCCGATCTCCAGTGTCCGTGCTCCGAGGCGGACATTGCTCTGAGACCCTGGAGTCAGAAGCGAATTATCGTGAAATTGGGGCTTGGAAGGCGCAATTTCCCCAACCCGCACGCCATACAAAGCCAAGGTTGTTGCCATACCATTGCGTCCAGAACGCTGGACGGACAAGGCACGGCTGGGTCAATATTCACTTGGATTCATTTCAGCACCGCTCGTTACCACGGTTCTGGCCATTCGCTCATTAGCGCATCGACACTTTTCCCCATCTGTTCGTGAGATCCGACATCTCGGGGGTCGTTGCCTCAAACTACAATTACAACCTCGACTGCCGTTCTTGCAGACCGCCCTGGAATCCGTCTTCAGCACGCCTCTTTCTCTTTGCCACCTTCAGCTCAAGGACAAGGTCGCACCGCTATCTTCTTCTGGCGCGGCCTTCAGCTCTACAACTTGCGGCCCCGTATCACACTCCACTTCGGCATCACTAGTTCACGAATCTGGACCTGCCTCGATTCCATTTTCACATTGGGTTTAGTCCGCTGGTGTATCTATAATTGCGTCGTCTCAACCCGAACAGTTATTATTCCCCTCCCCAGTGGCAATCGCAATCGCATGCACACAGCTACTGCGTACGAGCCTGCGGGAGTAGAGACCCGACGAAGCAAAACGTAAGAGTGTGCATCAAGCGCTCACGCACGCCTGAACCCAATAAGATCCAGGCTCTACGCAAGAAAAGAGTTGCCGGTGTGAACCTTGAACGTCGAAGCGCAGGCGGCGACGGATTACTACCTACCACCATACGGCCACAGGAGCTTCCCCTCCCCGGCGAGAGGCAATCCCTGATAGCGACGTCGACAGACCACAACCATACCAACCTTGCCCCCCCCAAACCGATAGGAGTCTGCGCCAATCAATCACTGCGAGCTCCAAGTTTTTTTTTATCATTGGCATACGACGACTAGCCTCTGCCCAGTCCCTGGTAATCGGCGAATCGGATTGTTCAATCACACCCTAGGTCATCGTGGACCACTACCTGGCAATCCGTTCGGGGAACTAGTTAAACAGTGCATCCAGCCACTCCTCTGCTGCTAACCGTTCTCGACCTCTGCCATCCTTGCACCAGTTGTACAAGAGGTCCCAATCTGCTCGGGTTTGAACAAGCGAAACAAGCCCAGCAATCTTTCCTCCGTGTTTCAACGGTTCCGAACGAGTCTGGTCTGACGGAGGTCACTATAACGTCACCTCGTTGCGCGATCTGGCTATCAACGGAGAGAAAAGAATTGGGATCGACAGGGCAATCAACTCGCAACTGCAGCCGAACCCACTTATACCACAAGCCGCGGGGATCGATCGAGAAGTAGCTCATCACACTGCCGGATAGGTTGTTCGTCGATCAAAGGAACAAACTCACCGACGTTTCTTGTTTCGACTTCACGCCCGCAACACACTCGCAGCCCTCATACCTGCATGCGCACATACTTGCAGAGGCCGCACCATAACATTAGTCGGACTTTCCGATGTGCTCGCCATTAGCGATACTACGCACGCAACCACACCCAACTCTCACAATGGACACTACCATGACGTCTCGAGGCCTGGACTACTATCCCGAGTCACCCACTGCCCATGCGGGCGACTTTGCCATGCAGAAATACCTACTCCTGCAGAGCCAACACGAGGAGCTGCGACAACACATGCACGAACTGTGCCCCACGTATTCGTGTTCATCTTCGACGACGGTCACGTCGCCGTCGCTCTCGCCAACGCGATCCTTCACAATGAGCCCCTCGTCAAGCAGTCACACGTCGCCGTCGCGCAACCACCGCAGATCGTCGGCGTCGCAACGCGGAGGACCGCGGACGTCGCCAAGCTCTCTGGAGCCGGTGCTGGACGAGGAGCTGGTGGGCGTCATGGCGGCTGACGAGCTGAAGCTGTGTGACGTCAACGAGGGGATCAAGCGGGCCTTGACGGAGCTTCTGAACAGCGACGCTGTGCGCAGGGACCGCACCATGAGGACGTGGGTCCAGACAAGGCTGATGGATACGGAGCGCGAGCTCAGGACGGGGAGGCGCAGAAGGAGTAATGGAAGCGCCGACTAGAGAGTGGCGCGGGCGAGACGCTCCGCCGACGCTGGGCACACGTCTCCGGACGAGGAAGCGGAAGATACAAGTGTGCGACTGCCGAGACGGGTATCGGCTGATTGCATGGGACTGTCTGCTACCCTCGGGTACGGACCGGACTAGGACCGGCGCCCGGGACTGGGTTTTGATTTCTGGTTGATTCTTGATACCACGCTGCGTTGGGGTGTTTTAGACGGCGTCCGGGACCGGGCATGGTTGTTTTCACAGCATGGCCTTTTTGTTATCTTGAGGCCTTTGGCATACTTGGGCGAAAAGCAGCAAGTGGTATAAGCACGGCGTATCGGTCACAATAGATAGACAGTATGGGCGGGCCGGCCGAAGCTGGCACAGCGGCATCCCCCTATTTTTATTCCTTCTTTTTTATCGATTCCACGACGGCAATCCAAAATGCCATTTTCCAACATTACTCTTTTGGGGCCTTTTGCATAGTACGCAGAGTGCTGTAAGCTGAGCCGGAACTACCATGGGAAGCACGCTCATCACATCCGACGGAGGAAATCAAGGCATGTAGAGAGCGGCTTGACTTTGATCACCGGGAAAGTCTCGCCGCCTGTGCAGGCCGCTCTCTACGCGAGATACAGCCGGTACCAGGCTCACCTGCAGGCACTGGTTGGGTGAGATTGCTGAGGTCCAGACCTACTGTACTACTGGGAGCAGTCATCTGCCGGCTGGAGTCGAGAAACGCGGGGGTCGGGTGGATGGCACGACCGTCTTGCGCAGAGACGCCGCAGATTTATTATTTAATGTGATGCAATGAAATGGGGTGAACGATATTGGATCCATTCTCCTTGCTCCATCCCTGGAATCGGCAGCCCACTGGGCGGTCCACGTGCGCTGAGAGTGACAGCTGGATGTTTCGGGGCCGTCCGACGCCTGGGCTAGACCTGCCCAAAAAGGTGCCCGTGCCCCGTGCCCAGTGGCCCTGGGCCTCCCCCCGGGCGGTTATCCGGCCGCTCCACAGCGGACGTGCGGCGCTATGGGGGGGAAACAGGGGGACAGCTGTGGCAGCTGCGACAACTGTGACCCACTGTGGCTGTCAGCGGGCAGGGCACTAACTTACTTCCATGCTATGGATGACTGTGGTCGCGACGGCGCCTCGGCCGACAAGGCAAGGCTGACAGACAGGCTGAGGTTTGGCGGCCACCAAGTCACCTTCTTTCCACGAATTCATTGCCTCCTCCTGCCAATCCCCCTTGGCCTTCCTCTCTCACAGAGCCACAGCACGCCAGGCGTCGAGGCCGTGCATCCGAGGGCGATCCCATGGTTGTTCCCTCTTAATCTGCTGACCCTCGAGAGCCGGTGTTCCGAGCTGCTTCTTCGCCTCGCCTCGCCCTTGTTTGATCCCGCCCCCGCCATCATGTCGGTCCTGCTGGAGACCAGCCTCGGCGACATCGTCATCGACCTGCTCGTCGACTATGCGCCCAAGGAGTGCGAAAAGTAAGCAAGTCCGCCCCGCCACCTCGCCCTCGTGTCGACCTCGGACTAACCCTGGGCTCTGCTCTGGCCGTCGCAGCTTTCTGAAGCTCTGTAAACTAAAGTACTACAACTTCTCCCCCGTCCATTCCGTCCAGCCAAACTTCTCCTTCCAGACCGGCGACCCCCTCGGCCCAGCCTCGAGCGCCTCAGATGGCGGCTCCTCGGTATGGGGCCTCCTGTCTGGCGCTTCCCAGAAGATCTTCCCGGCCACCTTCAACCCGAAGCTGAAGCACATCGAGCGCGGCACCGTCTCCATGGCCACGGCCCCGCACCCCTCCGACCCGGACGTGCGCCTGGCCGGCAGCCAGTTCATTGTGACCTTGGGCGATGACACCGACTACCTCGACAGCCGCGCCTCGGTCTTTGGAAAGGTGGTCGAGGGCTTCGACGTCCTGGAGAAGATCAACGGCGCCATCACCGACAAGGACGGCCACCCGCTCGTCGACATCCGCGTGAAGCACACCGTCGTGCTCGACGACCCGTATCCAGACCCCGCCGGTCTGCGGGAGCCGAGCTCGAGCCCCCCTCCCAGCAAGGCCCAGCTGGCCACGGTGCGCATAGCCGACGATGCCGATCTCGACGAGGAGATCGACGAGGATGCCGCTGCCAAGAAGCGCCGCGAGGCCGAGGCCAGGGCGCAGGCTCTGACGCTGGAGATGATGGGCGATCTACCCTTCGCCGAGGTCAAGCCCCCGGAGAATGTGCTGTTCGTGTGCAAACTCAACCCCGTCACGCGCGACGAGGATTTGGAGCTTATTTTCAGCCGCTTCGGCACCATCCTCTCGTGTGAGGTCATCCGGGACAAGAAGACGGGCGACAGCCTGCAGTACGCATTCATCGAGTACGAGGAGAAGGCGGCGTCCGAGGCGGCCTACTTCAAGATGCAGGGCGTGCTGATCGACGATCGCCGCATCCACGTCGACTTCTCCCAGAGCGTCAGCAAGCTCAGCGACGTGTGGCGGTCGGGGGAAAATGCAAAGAGGTCAAAACGGCATGGCGACCGGGGCGGCTGGGGTGGCGTCGAGGGTTTGGAGAAATGGCGGAAATACCGTGTCGATCGCGGCGACGACGACGACCAGCGCGATGGAAGGTACGGTATGGTGTACGGGGCCGAGGAGATGCGAGGCCGCAACCGCAACGATGCCGGAAGGAAGCCACAGCGCGGCGATGACGCGGAGGATGCACTGGTGGAAAGCTATCGAAACAGCAGGGGTGACGACCGGAGGCGGAACGACGGCAGGAAGGACTGGGAGAAAGAGTCCCGACGACGGAGCCGTAGTAGAAGTCCTAGAAGGGACCAGCACCGGGACGGTAAAGATCGTTGGGGTAGAGACGACGAGCGGCGGAGGGACGACCGGCCTTGGGCTCGCCATGATGACCGTGATAGACGGGAACGTGACCGGGACAGGAACAGGGGCCATGATGACTACCGCAGGAGGTAGAAACAAGATTGGCACAGCAAATAAAATCAAGCACTGACTCCCATATTGTTCGCCCCTATACTTTGCTCTGTCCACGGTGGTTGTGTCTCTCATCTACCCAGCAAAGGCGCCTGAAACGTGGGCCCTGTGGTTCGTGGTTCTGGACGGAAATATCGATCAAGTACACGATTGCGCTAAGCAATATACTCCGCTACTCAAAGACCATAAGTATCGTATCCTGAATAGCCCGCCAGGCAGCAAAAGGGCGCCAAGGTGAGCTCGAATCTCTGCATTGCTACTGTATAGTTTATTTGTACCCGAGTCCATAGATACCTACCTAGGTGTGACTCGGCAGTAAGGCTGTGGTGGGTATCTAACAGACATCCTCTACTCAGTTACAGATGCAACATCGCGGCTTTAGTCACAAGTACGACGAGTCAAGCACTATCCAGTGCAGAGCAATTCAAACCCATCATCCGACTTGCCTAGGCTGTGTTGGAATCTGAGGCAGCTCTAAGCCACGATGAGGAGGCAGATTTCAATCGCGGAGCAATCCGGCCGGCGCAGACGATGTGATGCGCTTCACAACCGAGGTCGATACTCGCGCAAAAAGACGGTTGGGCTAGGGTCGGTGTTTCAGCCCCAGACTCCCCTGTATTCCACAGGCGGCACACAAGCCGTAGCTCTCTGAGTGACATACTTGTAAAGGGGAGGGGGGGGGCTCCCAAAACCTGACAGCTATGATATATGGTACTGGTCATGCTGTCAAGCGAATCATAGAGGTCATTGTGATCAAAATTCGCGGGTACTGGTCAGAGGGAGATCATAGACGATGACAACATCCTACATTATGGAAAGGGCTTCCTTGCTCTCCATGACGGGCGGACAATTGTCACCACGATATCAAGGTCTGGCTCTGCTGTTTTCGAGGTCTTGCCGCATGCAGGAATTGTACATATCTACCTCCATTTCTCGCTTTCAGCCAGAAATTCACCATAAAAAAAGGCCAAATCACCATTTCGTTGAATGCCTTCAAAATGCGCAATGCCGAAGAAGACCTCAAGCGCTGGAGCATGTCTATCAAGGGCGAGACCAATTTTCTGCCGTCCGAAACCACCGAGGATGAGGCTACTGAGAACACCAGCTTTCGGAACTGGGCCACATTGTTCGACAATCCTGATTCCGCCAACGAAAGATCAAGAAGAGGTTCAGTGGATATTCTTCTCCCTGTGTTTTTGGCGCCGAGACACCTTGGAAGCAAGTGCGAGAGCGTGACTCGTCCTGATACCTTGTCGTGATACTTCGTGGATGATGAATCTATAAACAGTGGAAGAGTGAATTAGGCCCGCCTAGCCTCAATTTATCGGGCAAGCTGGGATTGGGAAGAGCTTTGTCATCGAGAACATATAGACAATTCGAACCTATCCTGCCTAAATAACACCATTGCCTACTTCTCCTCCCGGCACGACTTTCCGCAAAGTCCAAGGGCCAATACCTTGTTTTCGAATCTTTAACAATTGAGATGCTCCAACACCACATTGATATGGATAGCACGGATGGCGTATTTGCCGACCTCATTTCGTCGCCGGCGACGAAAGGATATAGATATTTAAAGACTTGCTATACACCTTCTCAAAGTGGCTCGATTGGTTCTTGCTGGCGTAAATGAATGCAAGGAGATCTAGTTGATCCACTGTAGCTTGCGTCGGTTGCAGAAGAAGTGCGGTGTTCCGCACTACGTCTTTTCAAGAGCTCAGGCCGACGGATTGCGAACTGAATCCAGTACTCTGGCGAAGCACGTCTATTTCAGTACCCAATGATAACCCAGACATTCGCGGCTGAGATGAGCTAGAGCTCTAAAGATGAAAACCAGTCTTTCAAACTTTGGCTAGGAGGTCCTGGCCTGGTCATCGGCATTCTAGATACCTTGCTATGTGGCGTACATTAGCATAGCGGCTTCGTGAACACATTAGACGCTGTCTCATAATTATATATGTCCCTCAGGAACCATTTTCGCTTCAGAATGAGCAGAGAAAACCCAGGAGGATCTTTATTGGTCTCGCCAGCAGTGTTCCATAGCCAGCCCCCTTATGGAATCCATTCGTCAAAGAAGCTCCTTCTTGAGTCTTTCAGATGGGTTGCTACAAAGTCTTCCTAGTTTTGGAGTGCTTTCACAGTGTTGTATCTATGCTGCACAGCCTTCATGATACCCGTATGAGTTGAGAAACGGATTTCCCCAGGGCTGATAATGTGAACAAGCTGAAATTCGACATTTTCAGCATCGCAGAAATGCCGCTGAGCAAGTATGAGGCTCCCTGGATGGACAGTGAGTCCGCAATGTGCTTCCAGATCGATCCGGGATTGGCACCTGCGGGGCACAATGGGATGCTTACTCCAAGGACATCGCGTAGTGATTGGGAGATTTAGTGAGACCATCTCGCAACCAGACGAATTCAGCAGTTCTACTCGCCCATCTGGGTAGAAGCATGGACTTAGGGACACATTGCCTCGCATCATTGAAAGGACAATGTCACGACTTTAGGGGTTGCGTATATGAACAATTTGACGCGATCTCCTTCATGAAACCGACCTCCGGGGAGAACAAAGGCTGATGAAAGGTAATGAAGGACTGGTGCTAGCTCAACCCTGGGGAGAAGGAGCGTAGAAATTGTTGTGCAGCCCAGTCAGGAGAGAGATAAGAACATATGCCAGTGGTGTCGTTCTTGTCGACTCATCGTCCGTCGTAGGGCGTCCAACTGGTCTGTTGCTTAACAGATACCCTCTTCTGGTTGTATCCGTGTTCCCCGCTGCCGAGGTGGATTTGTAGGGCGAAATAACAGCGGGAAGCTCTGCCCTTGTCTGATCGGTTACTAGCTTGTCCATCCTTCCACGTGTGCATCATCAGTCCCGGGCTATCTCGCAGATCCTGATGGGCACCTTGTCATTGTAGAAAGGGCCGGTCTGGGAAGCCCTAGGCGGCAGATCGAAGCGTACTTCATGAACCTTGAATCGCCGCTGCTCGCAGACTTTCAGAAACGCCTCGAAGGTCTTCTGATTCCTCTCGGTAGCGGCAATGATGACCTTGACAGCCGGGTACAAGTCGAACAGCTCCTCGATGGTTCCCGTCAAGGGAGGTATGATGCTCTCGTCATATGTGATGTCGGCCCCGAGGACAAGGTCAACGGGCCGTCCGCCATTCCACTCTGCCTCTTCAGTTCCAACGAGCGCGTAGCCCCATTTCAAGTCCATGGATGAGATCGACGGGGACCCCTGAAGAACATTGAGGTAGAAGTTGTCGGGCAAGTTGGCGACGACATCGTCTGAGCCATCGGAGGCGATGACCTGACGTGGTGACAAGTACTTGGCGCAAAGGATGGAAATGTAGCCGGTGCCCGCGCCTAGTTCCAAGATACCCTGGCCCTGAACGAGAGCAGGATTCTGACACAGATATTGACCGAGGTGGAGAGCAGCTTCCCACGTCCGCAGGCCCGTGGTGCCGCCGGCAGATATGAGATTGCGGGATTCGAGAAGGGTGATATGGGGCGACTGAGGCAGGGGATCAAGGACAGTGTCAAGACTAGGAAGGGAGTATGTAACGTAGGATTTTTGCTGCGCGGCATCTACTTCAGAGGAAAGGGGGGATGCGAGAAGCTCAGACAGACGGCCCATCAAGTCGTCCGATACTCCCTGGAAAATGGAGTCAGACATGGACTGAAGCGGGATAGGACACACTACGGGGTGCCGTTCGGGGCAAGGACCGGGAGCCAAATAGACAGAGGGAGATGGAGAGAGATGATGATCCTTACGTGTTGCTCCCAGTCATCTATACTGCGTTCGATCCTGGAGGTGAGCTCCTTCAGAACCCGCAACTCGTGCCGAGGAGGTGGAGGATGCGCCAGGGCCCCGTCGGCGAACAGCTGCCGGTAGAGGTAGGACTGGACATGTTCCTCACGAAGAAGGTCTGCCGGGGGGTAGTCGAGGTCACGTTCTAATTCCAATTGGAGATATTGGCGACAAAATCGAGCAACAGCGGTGTTGGTGTCTGGCAGGCCATCCTCTGGGCTACCGGCAGTCATGATGGGAAAGGGAAAGGCAAAGTCGCAGCCGAGCAGGGCATCTGTAGTGGACGGACAGATCAAGGCAAAACAGATGAGGGACGTCTCGAGGACCAATGGCCGGGTCGATCAACCCATTGCACTCCCTGCGTACGTCTGCTCCAGGCGCCAAATGGCAGAGACACTGCAGAGCGGCAGTCTGTTATCGCCGAAGTCCTGGCGTAGGTGCTGTAACGTACATACGTCTCCAATGCAACTCATGTGCAATGACTTGGCGTGCGACTACGGCCGCCTTGTGGCTAAGACTTTGCACAGGTTGGCTCTGACTGGGGAATCGCAGAGCCAAAGCCACACACAGCCACAGCCACAGGCGACGCCCAAGACAGGCAAGAATTAGGGCTTTTTGCTCGCCAAACCCACGGTAGCGCACGGGCCAGGGCAGAGGCTCGCTCGGAATATTCGCGGCCCACGACCCTTTAGGGACCCACCTGGTCCTTAGCCTCTCCCACCGCTCCGCAAATTTGGTTTGTGTGTGTGTGTGTGCCTGCTCGCTTGTGTGCGAAGAAGACCCGGTCTTTGTCTGTCCCCTCGGTCTGTCCATCGAAAAAAATATCACCACCACCACCCAACGCCCACCCAGCATCTTCACTCGACAACGATCGCTCATCACCGCCCAACGGACTGTTGATTGATCGTCAAGATGGCTGACTCCGAGACCCCCGTCACCCTGCGAACTCGCAAGTTCATCCGCAACCCTCTGCTGGGCCGCAAGCAGATGGTCGTGTGAGTAGCCATCTCCCCCTCCTCGTTTTGTCGCTGCGTGCGACGCCCTCCCGCCCTCCAAGGACCCCCGACGCCCGCCCGCCGATATATTTTGTGTGTTTTCTGCGTCGTCGTCTCCGCCCGTCCGTCGTCTGGCTGGTGCACTCCAAACCGTTGAGAGATGAGAGATGGCAAGCGCGATGGAATCGGGTCCCGGCCCTGGATCTCGACTGCGACTACGACACCCCCGAGAAGACGATGGGCGGCAGACGACGACGACGAAGACAACGAATCTCGGCAGCAGCGGCGGGCAACCTAGTGGCAGTACGCGGGGGCCGTGCGAGGACGGCACGCAATGAACGCGCCAGATCTCCCTGTGACGAGCATGACTTGCTGACATTTGCCGCGTCCTCACAGTGACATCCTGCACCCCAGCCGTCCCAACATCTCCAAGGACCAGCTCCGTGACAAGCTGGCCACCATGTACAAGGCCCAGAAGGACCAGATCTCCGTCTTCGGCCTCCGCACCCAGTTCGGTGGTGGCAAGACCACTGGCTTCGCTCTCGTCTACGACTCCCCCGAGGCCATGAAGAAGTTCGAGCCCCAGTACAGACTGGTCAGAGTTGGCCTGGCCACCAAGCCCGAGCGTGCATCAAGACAGCAGCGTATGTCTTTTCCCCTCTTTCCCCCCCGTGACTGACGACCCACCCTTTGCATCATTACTCTACCGGCGGACAGCTGACCGTGTTTTTTCCCCCGCACAGGCAAGCAGCGCAAGAACCGACAGAAGACCCTCCGCGGCACGGCCAAGGTCAAGGGTGCCAAGGCGAAGAAGGAGAAATAGACGGATCGCAATTCTCAAGGGTGTTTGGTCATTTGGCGGAGTGGGTATGGCTCTCGGCATTGGCTTGTGGCTGGCATCTGTGCATTATACGACTTGATGACGACATTCGGATCCATCGGTCGGTACACACATACGCAGCTGGTCTCGCCGGTTTCCTCGGTATCGAACCTGGCAGGCTAGACTTGGGTGTTTTCTCGAGGCGTGACGGAACGAATTCCATGATTTCTGCCATTCCTCGATAGCATATGAAAACGGTGTTCTCCTGGTCACGTATGGTTTTTGAGTGTGTCATTGCGCAATATGTGGTCATTTCTTGGTCTCTGGTGCAGTTCGCCAATCTCTGCCATTTCGACAAGCCTTCGAGTCGGATTTGTAAACTCTGCTGGTGTTCTCGTCCAAAATTTTGTGGCTTCTTCGATGCCAACGATCATTGGGTACTTTCTAATACATACAGACATCGCAATACACTGTGCGCTCGAGCCCCGACCGCCTAAAGTACATGATGCCTGCGCCAGACGCCATCGCTCAGCTACCAGCAGCTGGTGATGTATAACTTTTCCACCTAGGAGCGATTCCCTGCATCTTCCGATGGACACGCCTCTCGAAACGGAATCCTACCTCCGGATCATGTGCCGAGTATCAGCCCAACCGCTACCACAGCAGTAAACCTGGCCCAGATTGCCGGCTTCTCACTGCTACGTCTATCCCCAGAGTTCATGCTCGCGTCCAAGATGGGTTCATGCCACCCGCAATGAACAGTGCTGGGCCATGTGACGCAACTCCAATATGTGGTCTGTCTGAACTTGGCCACCACTGCCGCGCCGCTACCTCCACCCTCGAGGGATTCAAAGAACGAGCCACCGGCCGGAGGTGGCGTCACCTTGGGGACTGAAACCGTCGCCGTGCCATTGCGGTGGCAGTGGCCAGTCGGGCGCCCCGAAGGTGGGACAACGCCCGTCGGCGCCGCTGCAGTCGAGTTGACGATGGTTGGAAATGCCGGCGTGCTCGAATTACGGGTCGGTCGTGGGACCGGCATCGTGAAAGGATTGGCATGCGCAAACGGAGTCACGAGGACGATGAGGAAACCCAAGAGCATTTGCATTTTGAGCATGGTGCTGTGACTGTCGTTTTCTGGTCCGCAGATTTTTCAACGAAATAATATTATGGCTGATCCAGCAGCTTGGACGGTTCGACCTGGGCGTTGCGAAATCAAAGTATATAGACAATAAAATGTAAGGCCGCGTGCAAGGAGCAAATTGCTGAAGCTGTTCTCTTACACGGGTGGCATGCTTGTCGGAAGCAAAGAACGGGAAGTGAAAGCCTTGCCAGGCAAACCAGGAGGAAGGGGGGGATGGGTGGTGAAGCCTTTCCGCAAGTATCGAACGAACAGAAAATCCACATCCGCTCATCTAGCTATATCTACCCAGCTCGAGGTGATGTTCTGCCTTGGCATCCCACACGCAGACAAGTAAACCCACACCACCGAGCCTAGCATCGTGCACATATACCCGCTCCTGCTTGGCACGAGCAATCAGAGCCATAGCCTGTCCCTCCACTCGCACAATCACGCTTAGGAGACGATGCTGTGACGCGTAGAGTGAAATCGATGACTCCCATCCAGACTCTGACCTGTCGAGCAATCAGGCGTCGAGGTAGAGAACACGCTCTGCGTCACAGCCCAAGGGTGCGGTCGCGAAATGGGTGGCCACCGGGGCCGCCAAGCTCGGGGCCCCTGCATGCACGCATTGTCTCTGCAGAGCCAATCAGAGGCCCCGAAGCTGCCAGAAGAGGGAGGATCTGAAATCTGGCCCAGCTTACTCGTGAGGGGTCCAGCATCGTAGAATGTTCTATAGAATCTTTTGGCTGGTGGGGATTCATTCCTCAGTCTGCAGTATACCCTCTCGTGTGCAGCGTCCGAGGCGGAACTGTTTTCCAGCACCCACAGCAGTGAAGCTCTCATTTTCTACAGCCCGTGTGAGCCAAGTCTTGCCCACCAAACCGATGAGCACACGAGACAACTCCACACATATCAAATTTAGCTGTAGTCTGTCAACATGCACGGTATCAAGTCCCACGCCCGCAATGTGTCGATTCCCTACATGCTAAAAGGTGCTGTAGAACATGGTGCAACGGGAGTGTATCAGTCTAGGTGCATTCGAGGGCGAGATTGACTATTCCATAATATCAGCCCGTTTGTCATTATTCTTATATCCAAAGCTTATCCGAACATCAAGAAAGTCACATGCACTGTACTGCACCAGACAGGACTATTTGTGAGCCTTGCCTAACTTGCCTTCTGAATTTATACCTTCTAGCAGCAATACAACATTAAGAGTAGTTGTGGTCTCTGGATAATCATAGGACTTCTTACTTTTTAAAGAGTGCCACCCGAACTATACGATGATACAAGCGTAAAAATAGAGTGTCGCATACTACTCACTGTGCTTTAGGATTCAAGAGCCGGCCTGTTCAACCTGTTATCTAAAACGCTATAGTAATATATCAAATTTGCTCACTCTTGGAGAGACATCGACATGAGATTCTCGCTCTCATACTAGACAGAAAGACGTGTGACTCAGGATCTAGAGTCTTGAGGTATAGGGCGTTTCGGTAACAAATAACTCACCGATGGTAGGGTGGCAAACGAAATGGCAATGAGACACTTGTCCTGGGAGCAGATAGCATCACATCCGGGCATTTGCCCTCACATCTCCTATACTTAAAGACGCTCGGAAGCCATGACTTGTGAGTCTTGGCGAATAGTTAGCCCAAGCATAGGGTTTTTCGGCGGTATCTGGGGCACCCAATCTGACTGGCACAGAAATTTGCGAACTCGCGAACATGAAGAACTGCCACATTCTAGAGGTTTCACAAAGTCATAAACTCAAAGAACAGATATGAGGTTGGGTTTGAATAGTTCCCTATCAGCATCAGGAATATACCTGCCGCAGTTGGCAACCGTAGAGCCAACTCTCATGATCTTGACCTGCGTAGCATCCCACTAATCGCATTCAGTGTTGTGTATATAACGCTTTCTGTGCTGTAGCATTGTGTGAGGCTGGAAAGGTTGCCACTGCCATAACTTTTCAGCTTATTCCTATAAGTATTCCCGGAAACACATAACAAGGACTTGGATATAGGAATACCAGCGGACCCCTCAGAGCAGTGTTCCTGGTCCAGTTTTGCGGAGACTTGCAAGACGTCCATAATCAGAGTGGCTACGTGTGAAATGTTTTGCGTGTCTATTGCGCCCATCAGTGCATGTCACGATTTCGACTGATGAGAGTTGAGAACGGTACCTTAGGGGTAGTTCTCAGAATCAACTTGCTCGGGTATGTGAATGTGGCTTATCTCGTGAGAAGAGAACAAGAGTCCGTGGAACCCGGGTTGCATTCCCATCCCTCCCGGCTGAGCTCTACATTCTGTCGATGGAGCTTTCACAAACGCCCCGAGAACATTGACTGATGATGGCCAACTCACGAAGGTGGCCGTGCTTTTTGAGTCGTGCGGTTGAAAACTGTGATATCCGCCTGGGCAGACTGAAACTTCCTGCCAGAGCACGATCGCTCATTCAGAGTTTGATGGCGTGTCTGGAGCTGCTTTGAGAAATCTGGTGAGGCGCGTGGGATCTTAGCGGATGGTTACTCCGTGGATTGTCAGTCCGATGCATATCCGTTCCATGGTACTGTCGCCTTGGGACGGTTTCTGGCGAGTTGCAAAGCTACCAGGGCGTCTAGCACCAAGTTCAATATGTCTTGAATATCTTATATTGGTCCGACAACCCCATCCCCCTCCCCCCGGTGAAAGTGAACTATCATGAAGCCTCGCAATACAAGGTATGACAAGAACATCTGTCTCAGAATGGTGAATCCATAGGGAAAGGGCTTATTCCATCCTGTGTCTACTACACATTTCGACCTAGAAGTACTCGACAACATTTACGTACATTCGGGGGCACTACAGGAGGGTCATGCATCTGTACTTGACCACGGAGCCTTTTAGGTCAGGTTTCAGGAATACCAAGCAATGTTGAGAAATCGGGATCAAACGCGTATTTACCCCCTCATCCCTCCACCTCACTCATTGTTGATGCGATGTATACATGCACATGATTCACTGAAGAAATACCAACGCTAACTGTATGCCAAGCCTTGCTGCGATCTTCGGCTGGTGGCCTTGGTTCCGCGTACGTTGAACTTTGGTAAGAGACTCGCCTATACGGAGCGCCATGGGGTTTGTAGCAAGTCAATGCCAGATGCAGTGCCGAGTTAGTGTGTAGGCGGCGGAAAGAGCCGAACCGGCGTTGTACATGAGTTATTCAGCAGACTATGCAGCCCAGTCAGCCCTAGTGGAAGACTACGGGCGCGGCCATCTTCTAATGTCATCCACTAATTGACGCGAAGATGGAAGCGGAAGCGGAAGGGGGAAGCGCAGGCGGTAAAGCCGTGCAACCCAAGTCGAGGATCGGCAACACAAGCTACCTGGGACAACGAACGGGTTCGAGGTCGATGATGCATTGGGGCAGTCCAAGTGTGTAAGTAAGTTCGTATGCCACTTGGCTATGTGCCATCGGTGGTGGGAACGGACAAGGCCTGCAGAGATATTTTTGGGGGCCAAGGTCTGTGGCTCAGCCGCAACTCAGCCCCCAAAACCACTATCCAGGTGCTGTGTATGTTCCCCATTGATTAAGTTGGGCAACTTGAGCGGCGGGTCCAGGTTAGGTCTCCATTTCCACGTAGGTAAGTAGGTCCTATGTAGCCCACGCTGTTTCGTTTCTTAGAATAGCAAGATGCAAGCTCCGTTCGATCCGACCCAATGCGTCGTCGGTCCCGCGCAGGTTCCAAGTCCAACGAGAGCAACCCTTAGGCAGGCAAGTCGTTGGAGGGGGGAGGCAGTTCCGAAATAGGCACTGTACCCAAGACGCTGGTAATTTGGCAGTGTACGGATTCGACAACTGCGCGGTTACGACAGACTCGGGTCCAATCAGGGCTCGTACCAAACTCGACCAGCGGTTAGACTGCTAGGGATGAGATCTGGCGCCGGGCTTAGAGGGCCCAGGGGTCTCGAATGTCGACCAACTACAGCGGCCGTTGGGCGATCTTGCGGGGGGGAGCGCTCGTGCTGTCCACCATCATAGTACAGCCCCGCCTGCCCGCCTGCCCGCCTGCTCGCCGGCTGCTTGTCCATCTGCGTACCGTACCTTGCTATGCCAATCACAATCACGGCACCTGGGCGGCTTCTTGCTGGCCTTGCTGGGTGCCCCCTAGGGACGATGTCTTGTGCTGCCCACACTGCGACTGGCCTGAGAAGCTGGCCATCCGGCTCGACAAAAGGGAGATGAGATGCGATGGGATGAGATGAGATGTAATGGAAATCCAGTTCGTGACCCAGAGCCCAACCCTGAAAGAGGCGAAGGGACCCGGTTAGCCTCAAGGAGGAACAAGGGGTGGCAGGCTGGGCCACAGACGAGGAAGAAAAGATGCAAGCTGCAGCACAGCACATGCAGCTCCTGTGGAAGAGAGACGCAAGCCTCTCTCCACTGGAACCCGGACAGTCAGTCTGAGCTAAGCGGGATGGTTACCTGGGTATGGATGGATGCTGTTGGCTGCTTGGCTGCCTACCTACAGTAGGTACCAGGTAAGCAGGTACCGTGGCCCACTAACCACCACCCCTCCAATCCCCATCCCTTAGGTATCCGTTCATGTTCCATGGATGCGCTCCAGCTATCTCTATCGAGGTCAGGTATATGTACTGGAAACGATCCCAGCCGAGCCTCGCACTGCCTCTTGACGTTGAGATCCCCGTTGTCATCCTTGGTCGTCAGATATATTAGACAGACATACGAAACCCGAGTGGCTTGTCTTACGGCGATCTTCTGAAGACGCATAGCCTGCCTGCCTTTGGTTGATAACACGACGTCCCTCCTCCCACTGTCGGCGCCTGCTTTTCTCTTTCACTTGTTTGCTCTTCCCATCCTATTCCTCCATCTATCTGGCTCTGCCTGTGTCTCTATCTGTGTCTCTGTGCCTCTCGCCGACGTCTACACAGCATATCGCCAGGCCTTGACTACGACTACAACAACAAACAACACGAGCCCGCCTATACCATCCATCCCTGAGCATCAGCCCGCTCTCGACCCGCTTCTCGGCCTGCTCAACCTGATCTGGGAGACAAGTAACTACACATAACTTACGGCGCGCGCGCGCACTCGGAGACTCCCGTTTTCGAAAGCATTCCCCCGCTTCTACGCTAGCTTTCTGGCTGTTGTCGCTGCTCGACAAGGTTCCTTTGTCGTGCTCGGCCCACTGTATCTTCTGTCTGGCACTCGGACAGGTCCACCATCCACCGTCCACCGTCCACCGTCCTCCACTCGCTTGCCCGTCAAGCCGTCGCCGCCGTCTCGCCCTGAACAGTTTACGTACGTGCCTTAGGGTGACAACGGGTCCACGGGCAGCCTCGCTGTGTCTTCTCCCTGCCCCGCGCTGCACAAGCCGCCGCCTGCGCCTGGCATCTGATACCCCCCCTCCGCCCCGGGAGGTCGACTGCCCAGTGCCCGCTGCCCAGTCTGCGTCTGCCCTGCCGTCCTCGTCGCAAACCAGCCGGCCTGAGAAACATAACAGAAACCAGAATACCTCACCTACCGCACCCTGCCCTACCCTTCCAGCAGAGACACGCGGGCCCGACAACATGGCCGACTTACAGGGACGCAAGGTCTTCAAGGTCTTCAACCAGGACTTTATCGTGGACGAGCGCTACACGGTCACTAAGGAGCTGGGCCAGGGAGCCTATGGTATCGTCTGGTACGTGCGCTAAAGTCATTAACGCTGGCTGACCAGCAAATCCTCCTTACCCCTCCATGCCAAGACGAGGGCATCGCCAGTGCTCAATGCTCCATGCTCCCATGCTCGATGCGCAATGCTGACTGACTGCCTGCCCCGGCCGACAGCGCCGCCGTGAACAACCAGACCAACGAGGGCGTCGCCATCAAGAAGGTCACCAATGTCTTCAGCAAGAAGATCCTGGCCAAGCGCGCCCTGCGCGAGATCAAGCTGCTGCAGCACTTCCGCGGCCACCGCAACGTGAGCAGAGCCCCGCCCCCTCCCTCCGTCCCTCATCCGGGCGCTATCGAGGGACCAAACCCCCGCGATGCGCCCTCCCCTTGCCACGGCCGTACCGCCGCTCGGGTTCGGGCGCGACGATCACAGAAGTGCAGATAGTCCCCGGGCGGTATACAGGACGAGAAGCTGACGAGAAGCATCCGCGCTATAGATAACATGTCTCTACGACATGGACATTCCCCGACCAGACAACTTCAACGAGACCTATCTGTACGAGGGTAAGACAGAAGAGACAGACAGAGAGACCGAGGGCAATCGCTGACGGCGTTTCTTGAAATGCAGAGCTGATGGAATGCGACCTGGCGGCCATCATTCGTTCCGGCCAACCCTTGACCGACGCCCACTTCCAGTCCTTCATCTACCAGATCCTCTGCGGTCTCAAGTACATCCACTCGGCCAACGTGCTACACCGTGATCTGAAGCCCGGCAACCTGCTCGTTAACGCCGACTGCGAGCTGAAGATCTGCGATTTCGGTCTCGCCCGAGGCTTCTCCGTTGATCCCGAGGAGAACGCCGGATACATGACGGAATATGTCGCTACAAGATGGTACCGCGCCCCCGAGATCATGCTGAGCTTCCAGAGCTATACCAAAGCTAGTATGTAGCCCTTGACGGCACCGACTCCTTCCAGCGAGGGAGGAAGGGAGGGAGGGAGGGAGACTGTTTGGTCCTTGTCCACAGCTGCTGACTTGTTCTAGTTGACGTTTGGTCTGTCGGATGCATTCTCGCCGAGCTCCTGGGTGGCCGTCCCTTCTTCAAGGGCAGAGACTACGTCGACCAGCTAAACCAGATCCTCCACATCCTCGGCACACCCAACGAGGAGACGCTCTCGCGCATCGGCTCCTCCCGAGCCCAGGAATACGTCCGAAACCTACCCTACATGGCCAAGAAGCCCTTCCAGACCCTGTTCCCGACTGCCAATCCGGACGCGCTCGATCTCCTCGACCGCATGCTGGCATTCGACCCGTCGTCCCGCATCTCCGTTGAAGCTGCCCTGCAGCACCCTTACCTTAAGATCTGGCACGACGAGACGGACGAGCCCGACTGCCCTACCACATTCAACTTTGATTTCGAGGTCGTCGATGACGTCGGCGATATGCGCAAGATGATCCTGGATGAGGTGTACCGCTTCCGACAACAGGTCAGGACGGCGCCAGCATCAGGCGGCGCTCCCGGTGCCGGGCAGCAAGCCGGTGCCAGCCAAGTGCCTATGCCTAGTGGACAGCAGCAGTGGACTAGCGAGGACCCCAGGCCACAAGAGTACGCTGGCCAGATGGGTGGCTTGGAAGAAGAGCTGGCGGGAGGACTGGATAGACGATAGACGGTCCCAACCTACCCAGAATCGTAGGTTGCCTGGGGGCTAAAAGATGTGCGGAAGAAGATTTTCGAATACAGTCAGGATCACTTAATGGGTATCATGAATGACAGCGATGACAAAGAATTGATTCAAGACTTTTTTTTCCGGGTAAAGATTCAAGGAGCGACCATGACGCCTCTGAAGCCGCCTACATGGCTCAATCTGAGCCCCGTGGTCTCATGATATAGAGAACCTGAGAAACGTTTGACTGCAAGTTTCCATAATTCTGACAGCCATACATGTCACTCCATCTGAACCGATCTCCCCTACTTTTTGGGGTAAGCAACAACAGCCCGCCGTGCGTCAACTTTGCCGTGTCTAAGACACGACGCGCCAGCCATAGCATGAGACATGACAAATGTATTATAAATTGATCTCTCTAGACCGGGGCCTGACCCATTCATCGCAAGATAGCCAAACGCTCACGAACACTCTTAATACACCGAAGATACCAGGTCGCACAATAAGTCCACATCGTGCAGCTTTATTACATGTTATCAGGGGCCACCGCGCATCACAAGGGACTTGGACAACAAGGGTCATGTGCAGACTGACCTGAATTACAAAAGTTTCTACCTTGTCTATATAAACCAGAAAGTGAACCCCTAACTCCCAAGCTTGCTTCGAGGCAAGTAAATACCAAACTTTTTTGGTCATCCGGGTATCTCCAAGCCAAATAACTCAATACAATTCCGAAGTGAAGAAGCAGTCCCGAAAGCCCCCAGGTTGTCTGTATGCTCGACAGCCGTCCCATAAATAGCCATGCAAATCGAATGAATGTTCCAACGCCGCTTGATGCCTTGTTTCAACTCAAGATGCTTTCCAGGCCGGTTACCCTTCCAATGGGTGATGCTTGTCATGATCAGGCGATTGTTCTCAGGCCTCTTAATCGTAGAACCAGTACTGGGAGGCGTACGGGACGCTGAAGGACTGCTGGGCCTCGGTGCAGGCCAGGGGGTTTCCGCCAGCGGTGACGACACGGTACGTCTCGGTCAGCCCGACCGAGAAGCCCTTGTCGTTGAGCTGGAGCCAGTCGACGGCGCCCGTGTTCATGATACCCGCATCCGCAGTCGACGGTGCCTTGACGTTGTGGAGCTTGGCGCCCTTGAACAGGACGCCAGCGCCGTACACATCAAAGGTGGGGGTCCCAGAGGCGTCGAAGTAGTGACGGCCGAGGACCTTGAGCGGCGCGGAGAGACCGTCGAGCTGCACGTCCGCATCGGGCTTGTAGGGGTTGGCCACATCAGCGGCATACTTGTTGTTGCTGGTGGGCGCGAGGTTGAGGGGCAGCTCGGTGTTGTGAAGCAGATCGACGGGAAGCTTCGCCCTCTGTTCCTCTGTGAGGGTTGTGTAGAGCGACGTGATGTCGTAGAGCACGGCTACGGCACCCCCGGACGTGGCGTTGGCACCCGCTGCGCTACACGTGTAGTTCTGAATGCCATGTCCTACAACAATAGCCTTGAGCGTGCCGTTGGCGGCAGGGAGTTCAGTCGCTGCTGTGGTGTAATTCGTGTGAGCACATGTTGACCACTTTGTATAGCATGGGACGCCTGGCAAACTTACCACCAGTGAGAGGCAGTGTAGGGGAGGCTGCCTCCTCGGCAGGAGACGTCGCTACAGGCGGCGGGGCGGTAGCTGACGGCTGTACAGAACTGCATCTCTTCCTCAAAGGGCCAGCAGAAGCAACGGCAAGAGTCGAGAGGAAGACGAGCACACTTCGAGGCAACATCTTGGTCGATTTGGGTATGTATGTACAGGGTAGATCTGAGAGGGGTCTAGCAGAGGGAGCAAGAGGCCACACAAGAAGATATTATATCTGCTGTAGAAATCCTGGCGGCACGGGTCAGGTATGGCAGGTGTAATCCGTAATGTCCCTAAAATGATCGATGGCCCGTTGCGTGGCCGCGGGCGCTTAGAATAGAAACAGAGTGGTTGGTGGAGATGAGGTTGCTTCGCTAAGCGACTAGTATTGGTAGCATTCAAAAAGCCGCCGCAGTACGGATCTCACTTGTTCCGACGAGAGAAGAGGATATAAAAAGCAATGGAATCGAAAAGGATACGAGGCTGCAGAATGAGATGATGTCCTGATCTTGAGCCGCCCCAGGAACGGGCAATGGCTTGACCTTTATAATGTCGAGATTGCCGAGAGACAAGAGAACGCGAGAGAGATAGAGGGAGAGGCTGGACTGGGCAGGCGTGCCTCAAGCCATGGCCATGGATACCCCAGTCGTAGTAGGTACATGAAGGAAAAGCAGTATACAAACCCATCTACGGTGGGACTCTCCGTTCCGTGCTAGAAAAGGCGCAGATGGGGGTCTGAAGAAACAAGAGGTGTGGGCTGTGCCACCCACGGGAAACAACAAGAGGGACCCTTGAGACCCCTCCCCTGGCTGCCATCTGCGTACCTACATACGGAGCAGTTACCAAGTTACTAACTAACTACTTGGACTCCTCCACTTTGGCAACGGGCGGCCGTGCTCGACAAGGTTGATAACTTAATTCCGGCCTAGTGCCAGCTGCAGCGCCCAGGATGGCGCGGACGGATTCTCATGAATGATCGTGACCGATGGAGCAATGGAGCTGGGGCCTCGCGTGAGACCCAGTACCAGGGTCCACCGTCTGCAGCAAGAACCTCAGCGGCGAGCCTGGACCTGGGACATGCAGGAGGAATAGTATTTTGCCCGCTTCGGTAAGGTGGTATTCATTGTGTTTCCGTGCCGCCACGCCTCACCTGAGTGAGTGAGTGAGTAAGTGAGCAGCAGGAGGAGGGGACTATTGTCACCGTGCAGCTGTTCCCACGCCGAACGGGCAAACACCCACCTTAGCACATTCGCACCCAGGGTCACATTTTGCCAGACCGGCTCGAAGTTTGGGAGCAGGTACAGATTCCCTGCGGAGCGCTACCAGAAGACAAATCCCCACACGGGAGCGGCAAAGGCTGCTAAATTACCAGTAAAGGCCAGTAGAGGCCCCTCCCAAGACACCTCTTCTTCATCGCCGCCTTGCTTGGCCACAACTCAGGTCTACCAAGAAGAAACGTGGGCCAGTGGCTTCTGGTCGCTCTTCAGAAGCGGCTCGCGGCCATGCTGGCGCGAGCATCGAAAAGTCCACTGGGCCAAGAAGAAGGAACGCTGACCACATAGTCATCAGTGAGCCTGACGAGGACGAAATTGGAAACCCTTCCTCCCGCGGGTCCCACCACACGTCTCGTGGAAGATGCCCGGCCATCCAGTAGATTGAATACCAAGCAGGCCAAGCTCTTCTCCACGAGCATCGCGGTTAACGGCCGCACCCATGTACAGTCGCCAGCTCTGATTCGATGGGAGGCCGACCCCATCCGCTCCCGTGCTGCCCTTTGGTCACCACGTCCGCCTGTTCCTTGCCAGTATTGAGTATCTCGCACAGATATAGTCTAGGATAAGCATGCCCATCGCCCTTCGCTGCCCTCACTGGCCGGATAGCCGATTTTCCAGATTACCGCGTTGCCTTTGGTCCCTCCATGGTTGTTCTGGGGAAGGGGAAAACGACTGTCAACAACATGATGTATGTATCTTCATTCCCGGGATCATGCCGTCTAGCGATAGCATTGCCCATATCGAAAGCCTCAAGGTGCCATGCTGCGATCAAGTCGGGCGAATAACCCCAGTCAATTGACTGGCTTGGGAAACTATGCACGTTACCAGCCAGAATGGAGATAGGGAGGGTCTGAGCTCGGAGTCCATCCCTTGCCTCCGGCGCATACTCCGTACTTTCTCTGCTTGCTCAGGTGAACTTGCAAATGCGACGGCTTTGCGGCCAACGTGCATGCGATTGAGGGGAGCTGAGTCGTGAGTGATCCAAGGGTGCCAATCTGTTTGCAGCCGTGCCCTGCATTCCATTGTTCCATCCAGACCACTGGGCTCGTGCCTTCGACGTTTACCTTGTCGGCTTTGCGCATTGATCTTCGCAGGTCCCAGCAAGATCGGACGGAGAATAGAACGGATGTCCCTAACCATGCGCAGGTCGTGGGATCACATTGCCTGTCACAACGTGCGCCCTACATCCTTGGCGCCAACTGCATCATTGCGACTTTGGCAAAACACCATTTCTGGAGCCTGGAGTCTCAACCGCGTTGAGAATAAATGAGCCGGGTTTGATGTCTTATCCCAATGCGGATCGGTGGCGCTCATCCCAACCCATGGGTCTCTGGGTTACCGGTGCCTCGGGATGTACATGAGAACCTGATGTATGGTCTAGCTGATACTCGGTTGAAGGCAGACATCTACCTGGCTCGCAAGCAGGTATAGCTGTTTAAGAAGCTGGGCACAATAGTAGGAGGCCCCGCAGTATCCTCACCAATAATTACATGTTTAAATGAGCCGGCCAAAGACCGAGCCTGTCTGCAGAACGCTTCTGTTCAACGACAGTGCAGCAGGGAAACCTGCCAGAAGGTTGTATGTATGCCCCCGAGCAGCTGGTGAAGCTTACATTCTCCCATGGGTTACGATCCTGCGATGCCACCCGAGGGTTTCGTCCCTCGTGTTTCGTAATCTGCGCCGCTTCCTACCCCGGCAACTTGTTAAACTTTCCAGTTGGAAACTTAGCTGCACCTTTGGACCAACCCATCTCTGGATAACAAACCAGGTTTGAATGCTCGATGCTCTTTCTTGATGTAACGCTGACACCTTTTGTTAGGCTGGGACGACGAGGGGTTTGTGTTCGGCAATGCTGCTAGAGACGAGCGTTTGCATACAAGGTAGCCAGGCAAATACGGATTACTTCAAGCGCACAACCTGCCCGCACATGAGATCAAAGAAAGAAGAGAGCAGGGAATACGATTCGGCTAAGAAATGAATAGCTAGAATAAATTCTTTACTTGCGTATAGAACAGAACGGTCGTAATCGGACAGTCGGTGTTGTGGGGCGACACCTGAAATCACCATGTCGGCCCGGGCAAATCTTCGGTGTTGGGTGATAGTGATGAACATAAGGCGAGACAATAAGCACCTGCCGTGTCATTTCTCCGATCTTGTTTCTCCGTCCCAGAAACATGGAAACCTCTCAGATATGTCGCCGTGCTAAACGGTTGACAATCTCGTTGACCTGCGCAAATGTTTCGTTTCAAGTCCGTTCGCCATGTCTGATATTTCTCTTAGCGGCGATCCGCACGGACCTGCCAGGGGTTGGTTCCTCATGAAACAGGGACCGTTAAGGGGTGCTACATAGAAGGCTGACGATGCTCGATTTGGATCGTTACTCTTATCCATTCCCCTGTTCACAAGCTTGGTCAGGTTATTCCGACGTTATTTCGACGGCATTTCGACTACATTCCTCACCACCTTGTGGAGTTCCGAACCTCTGGTTCAGGGGCCATCGACTTGGCGCCTGAAACCATCATCCTCTTCTCTAGTTCCAGTCGCCTAAGCGAGAGCCGGCCCAGACGAGAGGCCAGAGCCATTGACTTGCACATTCCAGACTCAGGTATACAATACATGGCAGAGAGCGAGTGTACAAGAGCCTCGACCGGGTGTGAGAACAACGGCGAACCGCATTGGCGATATCCACAAAGATATCGTCTACAGGGGCCCACGCAACCTACTCACCTGCTCACTCAGCTATAAGGTTGCAGGTGATCGGAGACTGTGAAGACTTACCCGTCGGAATGAGACAAACTGAGCCGATCCTGGCAGGTCTTGTGATGCTAACATACTGACACACTCCCAATCATATCAGACATTCTGGTTGATTGCTCGCTTGCGGTTATCGTCCATGAACCAACACCACTCTCGAAGTGCCTCATTCTCCCTCCTTTATCCTACATCCATCGCTCGGAACTAGAACAGTTTTTCCTCTCACTAATGCATGGGACAACCATCATTCATCTGTTTGTAGATCTTCGATTGGGCATAGCGCTACTCTTTGCATCGTGGCGCAAATCCAACCAATGACACAATATGCAGTTGGCGCCTAGACGCGTATATGATGAACCCACCTTCCGCTATATTGCCTAGTTCCTTTATCATCGCTAGGAAGGAGGATGCCCTTCCTTGACTAAGACCACATGCAGGTGGATTAGAAGCGCGTCTAGCTTGTGTCATTGATACTGCAGTTCGCATTTCGCATTTCGCTACGGACGAGGCCTATGCATCAAATGGCCGCCAAATTGGCTGCTGGACTGCGTGGCATGACTGGATCAGACTAGACAGAGGGTGCATGCCTTACAATCTTTGAGGGAACGGTGACACCTGCCAAGACATGCTCAGCTGACGCAGTAAATCTTCTCGCTGATTCGTATACCCAGTCCGCGCAGGCGGGAAGACCGCTCTTTGTTCTACTCAAGGCAACGTCAGTTTCCTACCCACTAAATGCTGGCATTGAGAAACATGAGTGACCCACGTGTGGGTGGTGGCACAGCATGCTGAAAATGTTGAGGTAGCGAACTCTTTGCCCGCTGCATCTTTCTACCTCTTTAGTCAACCCTTGGAAGGCCTATATGGCACTTCCAGAAGTCCCTTGTTGGTACAGTATCAATCTGGATGTCACGTATCTACAGACGGCGCAAGCGCTGCGGTCGATCCGAGCTGCCCCCGTCCCGAATTAGTGAGTGCTGAAGCACTGCTTGACCTCGTCGATTGATCTAAAAACATAAACCGATACCCTTGATAGCCATATCTGTTCATTCAGCCCTCCCTTTTACCTCAAACTCTCGCGCAGGTGGTACATGCTTTGCCCTGTTCATCAATCGAGACACATTGCATCATTTGTCACAGCCTCCGATGGTAAGGTGGTAATACAGTATTGATTTCAATTCATTCAATCGTTAACATGTCTAGCTTCTCGTCTAGCGACGTCCATCGTAAAGACCTTTCAGTATTTCTACTTAAGGTATATCCAGACCACATCCGCGCCTATATCTGGCCTGACAGCTTCCAATGGAAGAGACTGTATCGAAGTTTGCATACATATCTTTTCCCTTTCAATGGCCGTTGTCTAGATCGGCGAACAAGTAAAGGCTCCGCGGACCGAGTTGGCGGCAAACTGGTCCATCTATAAATATTGTTAGTTACGTGGGAACTTTCCGACAAGGGACTTGTGGCTGCCACTTACAATATCTTGGATGGCCGAATAAGTACCACCAGCAAGAGTTACCAACCCAATAAGGAGGACCATGAAGTTGACAGCCGTCTTCAACAAGTTCTTCTTAGCAAAGCACGAACCCTCTCGGATGTGCATGAACCAGAGGATGGCGGGGAAGTAGAACGTGAACCCGGAAATGAATAGCGCCGAAGAAATGGACAGCAAATCCGAGAAGAAGGGAATGGCCTCTGCAATCACCCAAGCAATGATGGTGATCAACGTGATTAAAGCCAGCCAGGTGATCCATCCCATCTTAGTGTTGATGAATCGGATGTACGAGTTTTTGAATATACGTCCGTGGATGTAACGGGCGACGACCGTTGTGTTGATAGAGCCGGAAATGAAGATGACAGGGAGAGCAACACCAAAGGCCACCTTGGACATTAAACTGCCAGCGGACAGCAAGGCTGGCGACTTGACATCCTCACCAACGAATGCGTAGACGAGGGCTCCCGTCAAGGTGTAAATGACTATTTCGATCAGACCGAGCGCCCAGATAGACTTAACGTAGTCTCTTGGGGTGTGCATCTCGTCCATGAAGGAAAATTGGCACACGGCAAAACTGTACGCGAAGATGATGTTGGTGATGGCAACAAAGGCCTCGGCGAAGGTCAGATTCTCCTTCGGCCACGCAGACCAGCTGACAGCAGCCAGACCGCCTTCGGCATTCGAGCTCTCGACACCCGTAGCAATCATGGTGATGAGAATGGCCACGATGATCGATACAAAGTCGATGTATCCCAGAACAGCAACCTCGGCGAACGAGGGAGGCACCGCCAAAGCCAGCAGAATGACGGCAGAGACGACACCAAAGACAATCGAGCAGGTGCCATTCTCTGTGATATTCTGGAATGCGATGGTTCCCGTCAGGGTGTGAGATCCAACGAGGAATATCAGTTGTAGGCAGAACATGACTCCGACGATCTCGTAACCGACGCGACCCAGCATCAGCCTTCCGGCGTCGGCGTAGTGCTTGACATCGGGAAACTTCAGCTTCACCTGACCGACAATGTAGCTGGTGTAGATGGCAACTAGTCCGAGTCCAATGGTTGTGATGACACCGGCGACCATACCAAGGCTGGCAAAGGCCGCAGGGATACTCAAACTTCCGAGGGCAATGGCCTCGACGATAAGTACGACAGTAAGACGTTTCCACCCAAGTCGGCTGAAATGAGCCACACCCTGGGCCTCCACCTCGCTTATCTCCCCGACGCGTTGATCAGTAGATGGGACTTGAGTTGGCCTGCCCATCTTTTCCTGCTCTCCCTTGGGCCCGTTCACGCTGGAGCCGCTGGATTTTTCATCCGACGAGTCGGTGACGGGGTTGATGGCATTGTGGTCGGCCATGTTGAACTGGCTGTCCTCGAGTTCGGGGGGAAGAGTCCGGGGAAGATGAGAGCGAAACCAAGGTTCGGGGAAAGTGAACGCTGGAAAGGCCCAAAGAGGGAGGCGGCCGACAGATAAAAGGAAATTCAAGGCCAAGGAGGACGCCGAAGTACGGGCAATGGAATTTGCCCTAGGTGGGTCATTTCATAGACAGTCCGGGGCGACCGAATGTATCTGGTGTTGCAGGATGTGCGCAAGAGTGAGCATCTTGGCCGCTACAACCCTGTATGACGTACCGGTCGAGGCCGTTGCGTCTGGGGTTTCCATCGTGTAGATCTAGCGACTACCGCGCCCAGGCCAGCTGGTTACAACACCGAAACCTCTGTCTTTACGTTGACCCTATAGAAACCCAGGCCGTTATCTCCTGCCCGGCAAGAATCCCCATTTTGAAACTCTTTTCGTCCGTGGCCGCGACGACAATGAAGACTGTCGAACCCAGGATGTGGGCTGGTGGTGCTTATTTAGTGGACCGTCTCGTACTGCGAGAGCGTTTCCATTACTTCATTTGGCCGAGCGTTAGGGCCGCCCATTGGACTGAGCTTGTTTTCTCGACTCATGGAAACGTGATTCTGGGTCCGTGATGAGATTATCACGAACGGCGGCGGGGGCGTGTCGTTGCCAACCAATTGTTCTAGTTGTTCTAGAATATTGATTCGTGCCTCGCGAGATTGGAAATAGGTATGCAGAAATGAAGGGTCGCCGCCATCGGTTGTAGTCGATACTAAGCTTAAGCCCAGCCATGGCCAAGACGTGAGGCTCCAGATCGCGGAGTAAAGTGCCGGGACACGGGAGCAGGGGTCCAGCCCCGTTTTCCCCGACCTCCATCACTTGGACATGCCTCGCCCCCTTGGCCGGCCTAAGCCCCATTCTGCGCCAATTCTTCACCGAGTTTTCCCGAATGAGCCTGAAGGCTCTACTGGTGGACTCATAAGACGCCAAGAATGCCAAGTTATATCATGGTAGATGCTATTAGTAAGAGGGCAACCAGTCGGGCCCAAGACCATCTTGGTAACGTGGGATCATTTCGATCTGCTTCATCATAACACCAAGTGTTGGGCCATTCCTCAAGTTTGGAAAAGGACGGGTTCAGATCGGCTTTCCCCAATAGAGTCACTCTAGCCGGGCAGGATTCACCGTCACAAGCCGAAGGTAGATCAATGCTCCTCATAGGAGGGACGAGTCGCGCGGGGTGGGGTTTCGCACGTAGGTATCCTCAACCAGAGCAACACTGCTTGAAGAGAAGTCCGGTAATCCGACTCTTCATTTTAATTTACCCGAGAACCGACGTGTACAGTATCGTCTCCCTGGTCGTTGAGGTTTTGAGTATAGACAACCTCCGGTGTGTCGTAAGCCTCTGCTTCACTTGCAAGTGCTGGGCGATGAAGAAAATTCACGAGGCTTTCATTGGACTGAGTGGTAGCCAGACTAGAGGCAGCAGCCACTGTCCCGGTCCGCGCATGGTGGCGCAGAAGGTGCCAGCCTTGGCTCCGTCACGGCGCGCCAGTCGTTTTGTGCATAAAACCCCCCCAATGAAAGCAACCAGCTAACACGAGATCCGTTGCTCGTCCTCTGAGACCATGGCGTGGTATCCTCCTAGCCGTCTTTGGAACCCTGGACTAGGTATCATGGACTCATGGGGCCTCAAACCCCCTAGTTGCTTGTTTGCAATGGGACATTGCATCGAGAAGGTACATCTCAACTTCATCATCAGCCCGACTCTCAGCGCTGTTTGCGGTCGAACTCCATTGGAACATTGGAACGCGGAATGTTGATGCAAGAGACGCACAACCTCGGCAGCCCGCTAGTCTTCCGGGAGCCGGTGCTTCCCCGACGACGCCTCATGTTTGGCAGGGATAGATGAAGAACCTCTACCTGTTGCATGCTTCATTCGTCGACGCGGAACGGGTCTTTTGCCGGAGATATTACCCAACGTTCGAGAAGACGGCGCGGCCGCAATGGCCAAGAAATCCATTGTGTCTAGCGGAAGACGCCTCTAGTTGTCCTTCGTCGATGACATGGACGCGTGGGTGCTTGCATATAGCAAGCTGCACCATTCTCTGGCCTATACTGGTTTCTTGGACTTAGCTGCGTCCTTTGAGTGGGGGATCCCTCTATTCTTGGGCTGCATACTTCGTCGCTCCCGTCGGGTTCGTTGGGGTCCAAGCCGCGTGGCGACATCACTCGTGCATTGCTGGCGATTGGCAAGGCTCTTGAAAGTTGCCCAGATGGAGCCGCAAATCACAGCCCAGCGTGCATTCCCTTAATACCGCTTCCTATGATAGTTGGCGAAGTTGTTAATTATGTGCAACAACAGATGGCACGGGCCTTGCATATCGGTACCATCTCAGGCCGCGTTAGCGATTCTACTCTCTCCCACATCCTAAGTAGTATGTCTTAGGCCCCGTCTTGGTCTATCCCTGATCGCTGATGGCAACCAGACTGCCAGACTACCAGACTACGAGCACGCGGCTGTTGTCTCCCGGAAGCAACCAGCCACGCTTTTCCTCCGGCGGTCTGTAGGCACCTTGCCGAGAGACTCGGATGCGACTAATTTGGTTGCAACATCTGAAACAGACAAGCGTGAGCTGGGGCAGTCCGCCGTCTCGTTCTGGTCCTGCAAAATGGTGTGTGATCCATGGTGATGATTCCCGAGTCCGGATGCGCGCCAAAGTACAGCCGGTTGGCTCTACGGCATCGCTACTGAAGGCGGCAGATTTTCCTCGCCTCCACCAATCTCAACGCATGGTGTAAGGCACCCACCCATCGTGAACCAATCAACCGCTCCTACACTTGTAGTTTATAGAACCAAATCGACTTGGAGCAAAGCATCCAGAAGAGCCGGCCCTGAATCCTAAGCTTTGAGAGTCACCGAGTCGGTGCGAAAACCCCCAACCCAGTGGAAGAAGTAGACCTGTTTATTTACCCTGCCCATCAGGCATTACATAGATGTGGGCTTCTGGATTGGCCCAAGCCTTGCCTTTGGCTGTAAAGAGTCTGTGCCATCAATATCACGGGATCCGAGTCTGTGTATTGGCCTGGGGCTGGGCCTCTTCAACATACGCTTTGCCTCACTGACCTCGAATACACCCGGCATGGCCCCATCCGCCTGACATCCTACGGGGTACTCCTCACCCTCAGTTAGGTCCTAGATCACGCTTGTACGGTGCTACGTTGGGAATACCGATGGCCAATTAGGCCCCTAGTCCCAGAATATGAACTGGGCACCTTGACCAATCAATCTGATGCGGTGTTACCCGAAACGGATAGCTGCATTGACTTTGCGAGACAGAGTGGCAGAGAACTGTAGTATGCCGCTGAGACAAGTTAAAAAAGGCCGCTCTACGCTTTGGCTTATCATGTGCGCGTCATGCTACTAGTACTACTTGTCAAACTGAGTTCCAACAGGGCACGCAGAGGTTCTATTGCAGGGATGGTAGGAATCGACAGGGTGCATCGGCCGGAGTGTTCGTTCGACTCTGCCGAAGGAACGTGAGGCAGTGTTCTTGTCCCCCAAAATCTGGACTGATCAACTGCCCATCTCGGACAGCGACTCATAATTCTAGACTCAACACGGCTTACCACTCATGCAGGACCGATGACAATTGGCGACATCCCCTGGTGCACCAATGTTTCCATCGTCCATTTCCATAGTTGTTTCTTCCCGTCCAGTCCCTTTTTGCTGGACGAACCAAATCCAGTCGGTGACCTCACATGCGCATGAGCCGATTTGTATCAATGGCCGTCAGTCCGACACCGCTCTGAAATTCAGGAGGCATCTCAGCCGCCTCGACAGCCTCTGATGCTTTTACCCGTTGCACTGGGTCCCCCCACACCAAAAAAAAAAAAAAAAAAAAAAAAAAAAAAAAAAAAAAGGTTGGGGGTGGATCGTATCTCTAGAAACGTGCGAGGCCAAGTCGGTCGGTGCCCTGCATTGCAGAGCAGTAGCGTAACTGTGTGCCAAGCCTAAAGTGACTCTGTTAGCTATCGCTGCAAACATGACCGTTTTCCTGCAAGACATTGCATTCCATGCTTCTCTAGATCCCCAGATTCGAAAGTTCTTTTTTGGCTGGCAAATCGGAAGCTCGATGCTCGACCCGCGCTTGAGCCGTCCAATCCGCTTGGTGCCGCCGTTCGTTGCAGAACCGTCACCCCCCCGTTGAAGAAATGACGAGTCACCTCACACAAGGCTGTCAGAGATTGACACTGCGCAGTGTTGGGCACGCCATTAGGAGCTGCTGAGAGATCCCCGGGTCACAATTTCTCCATACGATTTGATACCACCAGCCAATGGTGCCTTTTGATACCTTTGTCCAAGCCGGCGTGTAAGGGTCGAGTGACCAAGGTGAACTCTTTCTTTCAATGACGCCAGCAGCCCGGCTGGTCAGGCAAGGCTCTAGTAGCTGGCGGCTCGACTTGCAAGTTTTCGCGCAAGAGGTGAGAACTTTTCACCTGCATGAGCAGGTGCGTGTAACGCGTTGCCATCCGCCGGCCTCCAGGATTGTCCCCGTTTGCGTTGTGCCATGAATTTGAATGCTCTGCATTCAACGAATAGTGACACAAACATGGCTGAGCCGAAGAATACTCTGGACATTCATTGAAAGTTTGCTGCGCTGCCTGTTGTCACTTGCTAACAGCCCTCATTGACGAATGAGCGAACCAAATTATACTACTGCTTCATCCGGTTTTCTTGATGCTATTATTCACCAAAGTGCAGTGTACTTTCCTATCAAGGTCAAGCCTCCACTATTTCGTTCTCATTGGGCTAAGAATCGTTCTGTTGGCCGGGGTTTCCACTTCCCGTTTGACTGTCTTCCCCTTCGTGGCGGGCTCCGTCCCTATTCGCTGGGGCGAAACGGCCGGGGCAGACCCAAGATCTGGCTGTTGGATCTGCTTCGGAGCGTAGTATATGTCGTACACATCCTATTTATGCATGTACTGGGGGCGATAAGAATGGCTGTTGTGCATGCAACATCTTGACCTCAGCTATGTCTCTATATCGTTGATCGCTGGCGTTTCCTGAAGCTCCAGAACTGCGGCCTTGTCTCACCTAGGTTTTCTCCTCATTCACATGGTGACACGAGCATCGTCAATGAAAGTGACCTAGGTATGTTTGCTTTCGCCGAAGACTCCGCGTAATTCGGTGGCTGTTTCCTTTGCCAATTCATTGCTTTGCAGGTGACATGTTACTTGACGAGTTTGGGACTTAACAGGACATGTTTTCCGGGGACCCATTCACCCAAGAGATTTTCCATATTTAGACGAAGTCATGGTTTCTCAGATGTCTATATGGCATGCAAGTTGGCGCGACCTTAACCTAAGTTCATGATCGAGAGCTGTGACCACTGGTGCAGGTTGCCAGCTTCGAGGTATGTGGTCAAGGGACTGCATAAACTCGCCTACCTGCCTAGGAGCATGGGGCCCAAGTCAACGAAATTGTCGTGCGATTTGGATAGATGTCGTCGGTCTTAGAAGAGGATCCCGACTAGGCTTTGTGCTAAATCTGGAGATCCAATCGACACTGATCTAGCCAACGCTTAGCTGCGACTGTCTCCCATACCATGCAGCCATTGAGAGGTCAATACCGTTTGTACAGTACTTTCAGAGCCTCGCAGGTCATAGAAGCCTGGCCTTGATAATCTCTACACATGGCCGCCCCCTCACGCATGCATCTGCAAGCACCCGTCCGTGGTGTTACCTTGTAGGATCCCTAGGAGGATCTCACGGGGAGCAAACCTCTTGACAGCTGTCGTGGACCTTGTTGATGAGTAGTAAAAAGTGACCAAATCACGGTAACATGAACCTTGAAGGTCGTTGGTGTTAGAATATAAACAACTTCCCTATTTGTTGGGGATCTGTATCGTAATCGTGACACCGGGTATAACAAGTCTGGGACTTGCAGTCTCCATCCCTCCCCTCAATCTCTTGCCCTGAGATCTCCTTCTTTTCCTCCCGCTAACTGTGGTTTGATTAAGTCTCTGAAACAGCCGGGTCTGACAATAAGAGAGACCTGGTGAAGCTCGAACTCGTCAAGCTGAGATTTCCGGTCTGCAAGCCGAAAGCCAGCTGTCAAACATACAGGCCCCCCTGCGTCCCTCGTCAAGAGTTTCTGTCTCGCCATTATCACAATAACTTCTGGCGCATGCAGAGAAGAACACAGTCCCACGAGTTCATGCCATCTTACACAGCACGACATCCGGAGACTTGTTCCTATCTCTGAAACATCTCACGCGGTTCGGTGGGTGGCAAAAACAATGGTAACTCCAGCCGTTTATACCACCAGCGAAGCAGGCCGACGATATAGCCGGGTCTGCCCTCCATACCCTCTTTACTCAGACCGGCGTTTCCACCTTCCATCATCTCACGACCACCGAGTTTCGACCATGACCGAACGGGAACCTGACGACTCAACGCAGCCGCGCAAACGGATTGCGGTAGCTGTGAGTGAACGGACATACCACGCCCAAACCTCCTGGGTGGTCTCACGGTACTGACAGAGTAATACCAGTGCGGCCGTTGCAGGAAGAGAAAGATTCGATGCAGCGGAGAGAATGAGAATGGCGGCCAGTGTTCGAACTGCAAGAATGCGGGTCATGAACCATGTCTCTTTTTGAGGGTAAGCCCTTAGCCCCTGACCCTAAGAGACATACAATCGACCTGGTTCACCTCCTGATCAAGACATTATAGGTCTCTTCAACCGAGACGCCGATGAGGGACGGAGGTGATTTCGGCTACAATGTCGAGGCTGCCCGTGCCTATCATGCTCGAGGGGCCGTCTCTCCTCACAATACCGTTTCCCAGTATGCCGACATGTCTACGGGAGATATGATGGCTTATCGAGGCGGCACATATCCTTCGTACAGTAGCAAGGGATACTATTCAACCGTTTCAGGGTGGGGAGGAGCCTATCCTGAGGATGGAGCTGACTACAGCCTCAACTACTCTTCATACCCACACTTGAACCAAGATCCTGTCCATTTGGTCCATGGGTATCGATATGGCTCCAGCAGCAAGGCTCCTGTCTACGTCGATACAGAAGCATCCACCTACTCCTATGGCAACCTGGTGCACCGTCCAGCTGCGAACAGCGACCTGCCAAATTTCTCCTTGTCTGGCATGGCAGCATCCCTCCCTACACCATCCGACCGCTTGCCCAGCGCCAGCCGCACACTGCCCAGCTCCTCCTCTTACCGAGCGGATGGACTGTCAGGATCATATTCGGGGAGCAAGGCCTCTACTTCACAGTCATCGGATGTGGGATACGGCAGCTTTGACTCCTACGGTGCAACAGCAACCCTACCATCCAACTTATCTACTCGATCGAGCCAGTCCGAAGCTGGTGGATACGACTCGGCTTCAGGTGCCGCGGATGACGGACTCTACGGATCCGAACACCCCTCCTACCGATCTGTCCACGCAACCAACAGCTACATATACAGCGACAGACTCGATAGCTCCCGACGGGACTCCCAATCCAGCGGCGGAGCCAGTACCGGTTCCATCCTCTCTAATGGCCAAGTTTACCTCCCCGAGTCTCAGCCCCATGCCGTAGCTCACGGATATCCGGTTTCTGGTGCAGCTACCGACTCCCAGGCCGGAGAGGTCGAAACAGCTACGGCAGCAACAGGCGCCGGTGGAAGCCGTGCGACGTCGCGAGTCCCAACGGGTAGGGACCGTCGGGCTGCAGGCAGTCTGCGGGGCATATAGTAGGTATACCACCACACACCACCCCTCCCAGTCGGCCGCGGATATTGGACAACGGCGAAAACCACGATGTGCACCATTCTGCTGTGTTACCCATGTTGAGCGGGGTCAGCCCTGGGCGTGGAGATCTTCCCCCCTTGCTGTCAGGTACGGGACAGGTCGTCCGCCGTCGGGTCCGTCTGAGCAGGATCTGTGGCTTCTTCAATCCTGGAAGGCTCCCTGTCGTTTCTTGTTTTGGCTTGCATTGGCGGCTTCTATTATTCAATCCGACGCATCGCTGACGGGCCTGTCAACTGTCTTGTGGCGTTCTGCATTATCAATCTACACCGGACCTTTCACCTTACACGAACCCCCCTCCCAGCTTAAGGCACGAGGTATCATTTCTTCGCCAGGCCTCGAAGTCGGAATCGGCTTCAACGCTCACCTCTGAAGGACTATTTATCGCTAAAATACCACGGCTCAGCCCTGTGTAGCATGTTCGTGTTGCCAACAGATGTGGTTGTGCAGATGCAAGCAAGGGACGTCGGTCGTTCGGGCGCCTAGTCCAGGACCTTCCATCGCCTGCGCCCTTCCCAATTTCCTCATACCAATCCATGCCTTTCTGTCGCGTCAACTGTGGTTGTGCGTGGCTGAGCTGCCCTTTCTCGGACTGTATGTCTGATTACCTGTATATCGTCATGTCCTATCGACAGGGGTTCCGGGATGCAGAAAGCTTGCCCTCACGCTTCAACAAAAGAAAAGGTGGGGGTGCAAGGCTGAATTTCTTTATACGAGCGTTCTTTATCGGTCGTGACACTCTTTCGTCCCATGTCGGTCTTTTGTGTTTCCCCAGTCATCGCATCTTCGCCGGCGGGTTCTAAAAATGGAAAAGCGTTTCTCTATTTCGTCACTGTCGGGTAGGTTCTAGGTGCCCTCACCCGGCCAACGCAAGAGGTTCCTGGCGTTGACAGGCCTAGGCCGTACGAAAGATTGGTGGTTTAATTTGGAAATTTCCTTTGACACGTGTGCTGGTCACATATCGTAAGTGGTTTTGGGGAATAGGGACGGGCCTCAACCGTGGCGAAGAGAGTGGGTTAGCGAAGAGTGCATTTTGTTTTCAAACTTTTGATCATCCTCCAGCCCCTTGTTTGAAGTTGACGGGTGCTAGTTGGACTCCTGGATAGTTGGTTTGGTAGATTGTCAAGAATTCGCGGCATTGGTGGGATTGCGTTCACTACATCAGCATATTAGAGAATCGCCACAGGTCGCCCTACTCTGCATAGGTTGGATACAGTCCAGGAGGATACGTGCAAGTTCAAATCATCTGTCAAACCACATCACTATACATGGTCATAATACAAGTATCTATACTTCAGGTTCGATTATATTTCGGTTTTCGATTCAGCTAGCTGACACGAGGATCCACATGGCCACTCTCTGCACAGTACACCTAGTAAGACAGAAGGCTAGTACCCACTATTTTGCTCAACTTATGATTTAGTCACATATATCGGACTCTTGTTCGAGAGATCGCGCGCCTTGGGAGTGGTCGAGTAATCTTCGAAGAGCTATTGCATACGCTCATTGCCTAGCCCTGGGCAACCGAAGTCTGAGAGTGCTTCCACACCTTTATCCCTTGGGGGATGCCCGCAACGTACGCCGATTGAAGTAAAGCTCACTGGAACACTTGACTTGCTTCTTGGATTATCGACGACAATGGCCTTGAGTGTCGGTCGAACTTTCGACTCAGGTGTTCCTAGCCCGTTCCGTCGAATCCCGAGTTTGGGATTCAGCAAACATTCCCATTTTGGGGATAGCGACTTCCAGGCAGTGCTGTCTCCGGCCCCTGCCGAGAGGTCAAGGGCCATGACAAGCGAAGACGCATATGAATATCTGCCACTCCTCCTGTATCAGACATCGAAAGTACATGATTCGAGCTCGCGACCAGTGCCCCTTTGGTCAGTGAAACCTGGTTCGGAGCTTAGGTCTTGCTGCGATTCTACCACAGCTCCCTTTCCCCTGGTGTTCTGACCTGAGTGCATCCCTTGACACCATGTTCGTCCGATTTAATTGATATATGAGATTATTTTTGACGCGAAAATGTACTTAAGCTACGTTTGGCCTCCTTAGATCAGTCGGACCGGTTCCCTCACTGCAATTCCTGTCGAATAGACTCAGCCCCGATCGACCAAAATGAGAACATCTACGACAACTATTATCGCACTGCTCATGGCCAAAGGTCAAGCGCAGCAATGCCCAACTGGATCAGGTGTTGGCATGATTGTTGCACGGGCTTCTACAGAAGCACCAGGCACAGGCATTATCGGTGCTGTAGCAGACGATGTTGCTGTCCAGATACCGGGCTCTACCATTACGGCTGTCGACTACCCAGCTACGCTACAGAACTATCAGTCCTCAGAAGGTCAAGGAGTGGCTGCAATGACACAATTGGTGCAGAACTTCACGGCCAGCTGCCCCGATGCCAAGATGGTTCTGATGGGTTACTCTCAGGTAGCGCAGCTCATACACTTGGGTCGTAACTCATATTGATTATGTCAAAGGGCGCTCAAGTTGCAATGGATGTCCTTTGCGGAACTAGCGAGACTGGCTTTGCCACTACGGAACCCGTGGCATCTGACAACGGTATGTATAGTTCAAAGGCCCATTTCAATATCTGAATGCGGCTGACGGCCAATGCGCAGTGGCAGCAGTGGTTCTCATGGGCGATCCCAGCTTTACACCTGACCAGGCTTTTAATGCCGGTACTGCCACAAACGAAGGGGTGAGTTTCTTATCCATTACACTTCAGGCATGTGCTGAAGAGGTGTGGCTAGCGTTTTCCCCGGCAGGATATTGCGTCTTGCGGCGCTACCGACCGCATTGCGTCCTTCTGCAATGCGGGCGACACGTTTTGTGATAGCGGGCTGAGTCTACAGGTCCATCTAAGCTATGTCCAAACGAACGGTGCGGATGCAACAAAATTCATCATCTCAAAGGTCGGTGTTGGCGCTTGAGATCTGGTGTCCCACCAGAAGTGAGGCCTTCTCCAGGCCTAGTCAGTATAAACGACCGCACCATCCACTTCTACCGATCCGACGCTATCAAGCAAACACAATAAACTTGGTATCGATACCCAGCGTCTTTCTTCACCTCTTCAGACGATGAAAGAAATAAATCAGCACGTGGCGTAACTACGATAGATTTTATACTTACACATGTATGACCAGTCTCCCTCCACCTCGTGCCCCTAATACGTATCCATTCATCGTATATTCGTAACCGGCGTCACACTCTGGACAACAGTCATCTTGTCGTGACAGCATTATCTGAGCAGAGTAAAAGTTACATTAGCTATCTGAAAGTCGACTGCATACCACGGTTCTATTCAAGGTTATAGATGAAAGAGTGACTCAACCCAAAGATTAGGGCATTTGACGAGCAGTCATGAAGCTATGAACTGGATTGTCTGAACTTGCTTTTATCTTCTGACTTAGGCACGGGCTCCATCGTCTTTCTAGGCTAGCTGCATGTCAATGTCACACATGTACCGTGGCCTGCCTCATAATTCCACACGAGCTCTCACTGCAAACAAGACGGACTCGTGCGGAACGTTACGTGGCTCTTTCTCTTATAAGACAACTTGCCGCCATGTGGGCTTGCTCCTTCTTGGCAACAGAAAGCCATACTTTAGTCCATCCTCGCCTCTCCACATCCATTCACGTCCGACTGCATATGAGGCTCTCGCCCCTAGCGCCAGCTGTTGGCCCGCTGATTCTAGCAGCAGAGGCTCAAGCTCGCCTCCCACGCGACGTCGAATACTGGGCACAGGCTAAAAAGAAGTTTCTGTTCCTCGTCGTATTGTGGGACAAGACCGGAATTGCGGACGTGGATTTGATGCTGCGAACACCAGATGGCCGACGGAGGTCGAGATCGATTACATGAGGTATACAATGACAATACGCTCAGTTGAAGCCTTACGCTGAGATATACAGATGCTTACTCGTGATGAACGTTCTGGATACCACTCATGGATCTCCCTAATGCGGTCTATACGGTCTGAGTCACCGATGCCCAGGGCTCGGACCTTTCACCTGAGTTTCAAGTCAAACAAGGGGCGATTCCTTCAGTAGACGTCGACAAGATTATTCGAGGCAATACGCGGGCTGCAGTCCAAGTCCTCGTCATCAAAGAGATCATGTCGCCACCGGACTCGGCGCCGAGCTCTGTCCTGCTCACTGCGCCTGGAGCGAACTCTCTCCAGTGGCCGTTACACTGTCATAGCTCCACTGAGTCCATAACCAGTATTGTGAGTTCCTTTGTTCAAGTATCATCATCCGCCTCGTTAGTCTTCTCAACGTGGCAAGGTGCAAGTGGCCTGATGCTCGGACCGGACAGCGGTGATAACCCCACGACAAGGCCGTCTCTCGAAGGGAGTCGGGGTTTAAGCACTGGCGCTGCGGCTGGGATAGGGGTTGGCTCAACGCTGGCTGGGGTCTTACTACTCCTCCTCGTCGTCGGGGTTTGTATCCACTCTCGGAGACAAAGGTCCCAGGGCGAGCATCGTGTACGTTCCGAGAAGGCGCCTGCGAGATAAGCAATCAAATTGGGCAGTGCGGCAATAGGTCAAGCACAAAGTCAGATCTAATGAATAACAAGTTTTGGACAGTCACAAGAGCATCTGAAAGGGCGACAATAGGCTACTTCATGGCGGCAGGTGGTTTAATAACCATGGGTTAGGAAGCCGATATCTTACTGATCTATCTTGTACTCTATGTTGTCGTCGCCTTTTCCACTGTCTTTCACTGGATGCTCAATTTGGGGGGTCGCCGCCTATCTGCGTGATGCGACCTTCCACTCGCGGCGCAATCGGCGTTGTCCAGTCGACATCAAACTCGTTTTGGTTGAGCTCATCGGCGACTTTGCACTCGACGCCCGCGATCTTCGCCCATTTGCCAAAAACCCGACGCATGATCTGCAGCTCCTTGTCGACTCCCTCAACGTCTTTCTCCGCCTCGTGAGTTCCCTCGTCTTCGCTATCGCTCTCCTCTTCTCGTGGCAGGACACTCCCTCTTCTCGATCGTACCTTCTGCGGCGTCCAGTTGTCCCAGCCGTGGCTCTTACTGGCTGAAGGGCTGGTCGGAGTTGCTTGAGGAGTGGGCTGAAAGTGGGGGTGACATGCGCTCACTTTCTTGGAAACCTCATTCCAGTGGCGGTTTATGGCGTTGCCCCAGTTCTTCCACTGGCCCATTACCCGGAGTGACATAAAGTATTGTCGCAGCATCATTGAGATCAAGATACCATTCTCTTCGGATACGATCTCCTTGGCCTTTCCACCTTCCTCCTCTATTAGAAGCGAGTCGAAGCCGTCCTTTCCTCTGGCCATATAGCCTCTCGTGACCAGAGTGTACATTTTCTCCATATCGATAGGCTCATCGCCAATTGTAGCCTTCAAGATCCTTGATCCGACGGCCTTGTTGGCATCGAATGTGAATTTGATGTTCGAAACCTGGGGGAACCGACCCTCGAGCGCCGGGTACTGGGATACACCATTCTCCAGAGCATCCCAGATTGCCTGACCTGTGACCTTGATGACCACTACTGGGTCCTCAAAAGGGAAGCAGTTCATGATATCCTTCAGGAGGATAGGACCAGGCGGATAGATCTGATCGCCGCGGATGGTCCCCGAAGCCATGATGCAACACTCACCAGAGTAATGGTGGCGCATGATGTCACATACCCAATTGGCAATGTTGCTCTCCTTCAACCGTACAGTCCTAAAGCGGGCATCCAGCGGCGCAGCGGTGTAGCCGATAGGCTTCTGGAGGGTTGACTTGAGGCTTGCAGTCAGCTTCTCAACCAGCTTGACAGTCTCGTCGTGCTGCGGGATAGCCGAGGTAACATCACGCCGGATTATGTCAATGTCCCATTTCCTAGACCCATTACCGGCTCGCCGGGCCTCGATATACGACAATTGCTTGAAGTCCGTCCTAGGATCAGTTAGTAAGAGGCTGCTCTGTGGGCTTTGGTTCCAAACCATACCCCGATCGTAAGACATGAGTGCCCTTGATGAACGAGTGGTTGTAATAGTGATCGTGTCCGCCAAGGATGATGTCAATGATGCCATCAGTCTGCTCCGCCAGCTTGTTGTCATTTGGCTCGCGCATGTGGGTGACGGCGATGACAATCTCCGCGCCCTCGGCACGCAGCTTTGGAACCAGTTCCCTCGCCGTCTCGCTTGCCGATTTGTAGATCAGGTCCGGTGGCAGACTGTTAATTGTGGCCAACCATTCCCGTTCGCCCAGGCCAATCAGGCCGACCTTGACCCCATTGGAAGTGGTGATCATGTGTGTCTTCTTCGCATTGCCAATTGGAACAGACTCCCCGAGTGCAGGGTCAAGCACGTTGGCAATGAGCCACGGAAATTTGCACTTGGAGGCCAAGTTCCTGAACTGGCGTACCCCGAAGTCAAGATCGTGGTTCTGCATCAATGCAAGTCAGCCCAAGGAGCTTCTAACGTGCCTCCAAACCTTACCCCTAGAGCCGCAGCGTCTGTGCCTATGTTGTTCAATAAAGGAACCATGTGGGCGCCTTTCGCGTGTGTCAGCCATGCTCCAACAAGAGAAATGTGCCGATGGCACTGGGATTGACCTGATCGCGTTGGGGGTTTGCGGTGTTGTCATTGTCGCTGCCCAGTGCCCAACTGGCTTCAAGTCTTTTTTTAAGTACTCCGAGCTACATACCCTTTGTTATAGAGCTTTCGAGACTCGGGTTGAAGGCATCTCCAGAAAACAAGGTCACCAGGTCCGGCTGGCCTTTCCACTTGGGATCTTCACGATAGTGCTTCACCAGGCTCATGAAGCGGGCCACACCGCCAACTGGCTCGGCCGAAGACGAGTCCACGTGATAGACATCATTGTAGTGCAGGATCCTGAGGTCGGGAGGGCCGTCGTGCTTGCCTGAGCTGTACGTGACGGACTCGTCGGGCGGAGGCTTGGACTTCTCAGGCATAGCGAGGCAGACAAGGCAGGCAATGGGCAGTTGGGCTGTCGTTTCGTACTGAACCTGATGCTCAAATGCCGGGAAGGCTTGCTCGCTGAATCGGGGAAGTGGGCAGGTGTTTTGGGTGGTGTCGCGCTCCGGCGCTGGCCCAGCGTGGGCGGGGCCAGGGAGGGACGCAGCGGGAGGCTATGCTGCCAGGGACCAGAACCCGCGCGGGGCAGCCTATCCTAGCGCCAAGGATCTGTGACAGGGGGCCCAGCAGTGAGGTAACCACTAACATCACAGGGAATCATAAGCCCGTCAGACGTCAGTCTTCCTAGGGCACATCGCCAAATGTTCTGCATCAGATGCCACTTGTCACAGCCAAATATTGGGGGCGACGAAAGCTGGTTTGTTTATTTTCACACGACGGGTGTATAACTGCTGCACCAAGGACCATTGAGTGGCCCTTTTTTCTTTTTCTTTCTTTTTTTTGTTCTCTCATGATTATGCCCCTCTCCACCCCTGTCGTCGAGCATTGAATCAACCCAAATTCCGGAAAAGTACATGGGAATCTCCATGCTCTGTGGCACCAATGGAAAGCAAAGACACGCAACGCTTTCCGAGGTGTTCATGGCTCGCCTGGCCAGATGACATCCGCGAGCGCCCTCACCAGCTTCAACTTCGCGATCATGTCATCATGGGTAACCGAGTTGCCCAGATGATGGCTCGCAAACCCACACTGCGGGCTTACGCCAATCCTCTTCAAGGCCTCCTCACGGGTCTGCCCTGCCCCCTTGGCTATGATATCGGCAGCCTGAAACACCCTGCTTTTCAGCTCGTCGATATTCTCTAGTTCGGGGAACTTGCTGGTGATGACGCCTAGCACGACGTTCTTGTGTGGAGGAAGCTCCTTCAGCGGGGCGAAAGTACCGGCTCGCTCCGTGTCGTACTCGAGAAAGTAGGTGTCAGCGTTGATGTCATTGAAGAGCTTCGTGGCAATACGATCGTAGCCTCCCTCGGAGAAGTGTTTGCTGTACGCAAAGTTGCCTCGGCAGAGGTGGATGCCCAAGTGTAGATCCGCCGGGCGGGAGCTGATGCAGTCGTTGTAGAGCTTGATGTACGAATCAAGCAACGCATCCGAGTCCTCACCGTCGTCCTTGAAGCCTGCCAACATCTTCTCGGAGCAGAAGTCTGTAGGTACCAATCAGCCCGAACTACTGACTGCATTCACAGCACGCTTACAAGCAAGGTTGGGGTCATCAATGGTGACATTCCGACAGCCAGCATCATACAGAGTCTGCAGCTCCGCCTTGTAAGCGACCGCAATATCAGCAAAGTACTCGGCGTCGTTGGCGTATACGTCTTTGGGGTACGCGTATCCCTTCTTGTATCGCAGGTGATACCACTCCGGAGCAGCCAGAGTGATCTTGAGTTCCTTGACCCTGTCTGCGGGAACCAGCTTCTTGAGATAGTCCCAATCGTGGATGTACGAGCTGCCGACATGCTTGATCTTGCCCGTGCACACGATGGACTCGCCTGGCTTGTGACCCGTCTCGGCTGGGGGATGACATATTAGTGGAGGTTTATCTACGAGGACAGTCACGCTCTATTGAACCCACTGAAAGCCGCGGTATCTGGCACGTAAAGTCTGAACATGTCCCAACTGGGGTTTGAGATCTCCTCAAACCCCTGCAGATTGGGGAAGAAAGTACCCCAGAACTGATGTCGACGGTACTCTCCATCGGTGATGGCATGGAACCCAAGGTCGAGTTGAGACTTCACAATCTTGTTGATGGCCTTGTCTTCGATGGCATGGAGTTCTTTGTCCTGTGCAATTTCCAAGGCTTTGGCAGAATCGAGTTTGACCCGTTTCTCGGTCAGCTCTTTCGGCCTCAATAACGAGCCCAGATGCTCAGCTCTGAAAGGGGGTCGCTGCTTGTTGCCCGTCATGATGTCGACTTGGTGATGAGGCAGGTTGTAGAAGGACGTAGATCTCGGTTCTTAAGCGGCGCAGAGTGAGTTCACCGGTGTCATCGGTGGTCTTTATAGGATCAGCTTCTGAGGGATTCGTGTGGGGTATCATTGACAGTCGCGTCCCAGGCGACTGGACCGATGATCGTATCAGCAAGGGGGCTGCTGAGGGGTAACCAACCGAGTTGCAGAACGAAAGAGTCTGTGATGCAAAGATGATCTTGTCGTATGCCATGATTGGGTCAAACCCTTGCATACCTGCCCCTTTCTGGACAACGTTACCAGGGCTTGCTCTCTGAGCTGAACGACCGGCATCTTGTAGAACTCATGTCACCAACGAAGTCTGCAGGCCACCCCGCATACCCCACCCTTGGTAAAATGCGACAATGGATGCCGTTAGAGTCGATCACTTTACCTACCGAGAGGTGACTGTACAAGAACTTGCACAGTCTGGCGCAACTGGTAGCCAGTCAAGAGCCTATCCATGATTGGCCGTGACAGGAAACGACCGTGCACATGCTAGCTTGAAGGCAGGCAGTACATGCAGTAGCAGTACCTAGGTACCCAGTAACTCCTCTGCAAGTTTACAGTGGTGGCGTGCGTTTCCAATTCTTCAAGGACGCATATGGAATGGCCATCGAGGTACTTGCGGTGTTGGCTGTCTCTGTTCGCTGCACGCACACGGTATCAAATGAACAGCGACCAGGGACATGGCCGAAAGGGCATCTGACTGGTTGGGGCTTTGCTTAATGTTCTTCCCAGGGGCGAGCAACCCCTGGCCTTTTCGCACCCGAAGCGCCTTTGCTACACGACAACCTGTAGCAAGCGTGGCTCTTTTGAAATCGTACGCCTATCCAATTAGTCATCAGAATATGTCTCCTAGGAACAATGCCTGCGCGCAGGGCAGCGAGGGCCGCGGCCTGGTATGAGTGACGTCATACGCCAAGGTGCATAGGTGAGCCAGAACAAAAAAAACAAAATACCTAGGTTTCTCTCGTGCTTGTGCGGGATACTGCGTTTCCCTACATTCAATGGTACGGAATGCTAAATCCACGTACAAGTATAGAGTTGATGGGACACACTTATTACTTGTTCATATAAGGCCCGGCGCAATGTCCAGTTGATAGGTATATTGAGATGTCTCGTTGCAGATACCCAGCCCAGCGGCATCCCTATCCCTAGGGGCTGGGACGTACAAAGCTAAGGTAGTGTACCCGCCAGCGCCCCGGAGTGACGCCAGACGCGGCCTTAAACAGACCCCGGCTCCCGAGTCCATTGTCTCTGCGCGCGCGTCATCGCTATCATCGTCATCTGAGCCGCCATGCAAAGCGATCGCGTGTTCCTGCAATTTTCCTACGCCTTGGTAGGAGCCTCGCGATTCTTCCTCTAGTATATACACGACGAAGATGTATCATCTCCATGTACGACCTGACAGAGTGACCGGTGCTAACTACTAATTCTCCTGGGCGCCCCAGATGGAACTCCCGGCACCGTACCGCCCGTTGTCATACCTTCTACAGGGCAAAGAGTGTTGTAGGTGCTTCTGATACCTGACATCTCTACGCCCCTTAGTCCATTGCACAGACGTCGCATCTTTACCACAACGTCTTATACACACCCCGAGAAACAATGGCGGCAACTTCTGCCTGTGTTGACGGCCTCCCGCCAGAGATCGTCTCCCAAATTTTCGACCACTTATCCACCAGGGCACCGTCCGAGGTCCTTCTTCACGAGCAGCCGAGAGAGGACATGTTCTTGTCCACGAGCAACTCGTCAAGTAGTCACAGTGAGAATGGCCTTCAACGACCTGAGAGATCTGCCGACCTCAAGTCTGTCTCCCGGGTTAGTAAGAGATGGAGGACTCTTGCGTTGCCGAGTCTCTTCCGGCACGTTCTGTGGCAGCCAAAAGTCACGTCGTTGAGTGTCTTCGATCTTCAGCCAATCCCGCTCCTGCAGTTCTTGTTGAGCAATAGTCTGGACCACTACGTCACTACGTTCACACTACTTGTGGACTACTCCGAGACCGAGATCTATCCTGCCGATTTTCCTCGCCAGATGCGTACTGCGGACTTGGAGTGGTTATGGGACCGGCTCTTTTCTGTCATCGACCCGTCGAGGTTTACTATAATCGCGCCCCCCTCAACTCTCGCCGCTTTTCTCAATCGCATGCTGTTTCTAGATGATGCTTGGTCTTTCGATATTCCGTACCATATACTGTCCTTGGCCCGGCCTGGTCGTAAGGCAAAGACGCCCGGTTGTTCTCTAGTGCCGACGCGTGGATTACCTCTATCCACAAGCTTGTCACCAGAACTGGTCAAGAGTGATGCCGCACTTACAGAGGCAACAAACGCAAAAATTGAAACCATGAGGAGTTCGCAGCCATCTCGAGCAAACGCGCCAGCCGAAAGACATCGACCGTGTAAGACGACAGATGCACCTACATCCCCTCTGTTCATACTTAGACCGTGGACTTCGATTCTGTTGAACGAGGGTTCCTCTATCCGAGCCTACCAGACATATGAGTTCTTCCTTCGACAACCGCCTTCTATGCTGAGCGCCCTTCTCGGCATTGGAGAATACCCCAACAACCAACCTCTCTTACCCTCGACCATCACCGACTTCAACTACATTGCAATTTTCCCTCTAGCTTCTCATGTCCAGACCCTGCTGTCGGATCTACCTAAGCTTGACAGACTGTTCGTGCAACTGACCCCAAGGCCTACCAACCAGGTTCTCCAAGACCAGAAAGCTATGAAGAACATTGACATGGCAGACCTCTGGATGGAGCGAAATACTGCTTACAGCCATCTCTTTGCGGAATTGACCCAGGCCGAGCCCCATAATAACTGGGCCTCGCTGAAAGTTTTCGAGAGCGGTGACGCGGCTGACAAAGAGAGCTGGAACATGGCCCTGGACTTTCTAAAACGGAGCGGCATCAATAACTGGATAGCAGAGCGCGACGGAGTGCTGGTCAAGGTCGATGAAGCGGGCAACCCAGAACAGTCTGCGAGTACGGCAGAGCATCATCTTCTGCGGGAGGAGTCACTGAACGGATCCTTGTTGTCAGTCGCCCCGAGTCTCCTTTACGCTCATCACATATCCGGCTGAGCTGGATTGTTTTCACAACACATTCAACTGGGCCCTGGGGACTGGGTATAAGGCCCCCGGGGCTGTGTCGGTGAGAGACCACTTTCTGATCGCTGCGTATTAACGGCCCCCTTTCACTTGCTTCTACCTACCCCTTGTCATCGGCCGAGATGACTTCTCGCTGATACGAGCCAAGTCAGGGATCCATAAGACGAATTGCCTTCGATGGCATCGCAGCATTGCCGTACTCGAGCATGTGGTCATATCTGCACACCGCCGAAATAGAGGAGGATGATTAAGAGGGAACTTGAAGTCTCCTGATCCGAGGTGGTTATGCAAAGCGTGTTCGCCCAGCTATGTATTTTCCATGTGGACTACTTGTGCGACATCATCACGACTCTGGCGTGAACTAGTCCCTTTTAGCAAGTTGGACAAAGGGAGACTGATTGTAAAATCATGTCCTATATCGAAAATTAAAGAATCTCCAACATGATGATGTACTCGGGATGTTTATGCTTCTCTGGCCTCTAACATGTGGAGCATTCTGCCTGTGCCACACCGCTTCCATGATGTACTCTGAGACTGAAATTGCTTGTCCTAATGCTGTCCTACCTGACGGATCGCTCACATCCTCTAGGTTTTCTGCTGTCCATGCCTATCCTCGAACTCAGAACCTTCATTTCTTCCCGAACAGGGCCTCTTTCGTATCATATGTGTACGCCAGCTCCTTGTGCCAGTAGTTCGGTGCATCGGCCTTGGTGATCTTCCAAGCCTGATCTAGGGCTTGAACCACATCATCCGGCAGCGGGCCGTTCTCCAAGGCATCCAGGTTGCCGTCCAGCTGCTCGAGGCTTGAGATGCCAATGATCACGCCATCGTTGCCGTCCTTGATCTTTAGCGAGCTGTGGTGCACCACCCACCGCAGCGCCGTCTGGATCATGGTGAGCCCCTCGTGCTTGGCGACAGCCTCCTCGATGGTGCGCAGGGCCTCGAACGTGCTGTCCTTGAAGTAGCGGTTGCGGTAGTTGGCTCCCGTGCCCTGGGCATCGCTGAAGCGACCCTCGGTGGGCGCAATGTCCTTGCTCTTGATCTTGCCGCTGAACAGCCCGCCGGCGATCGGGTTGTACACGACCAGCTCGAGCCCGTAGCGGCGGCAGGCCGGGATCAGCTCGGCGTCGATGCCGCGCGTTATGGCGTTGTACATGGCCTGGTAGATGGTCGGGCGCACCCAGCCGTGCTGCCGGCAGATCATGACGGCCTCGGCCACCTCGAACGCCGTGTAGTTGGACAGGCCCAGGCGCACGAACTTGCCGGCCTTGTGCAGCTTGTCGAGGGCGCCCAGGGTCTCCTCAAAGGGCGTTGCGCGGTCGGCGGCATGGATGTAGAGAATCTGGGCGAAAGTTTGACAATCAGCACACAAGGCCCCCCTTCAATACCCGCTTCAGCAAGCTGCGAAGGGCAGGGAAACCTACATCGATAGTATGCGTGCCCAGCTCCTTCAAGCTGGTCTCGACGCTCTCGGCTACCTTCTGTGCTACGTGGTCGCCGTCGGCGCTCGGGTACTTGACCTTGGTGGCCAGCGTCAAGCCCCTCTCCTTCCACCGGGCCTCCTTGGTGAAGGCCTCCTGAGCGCCGTTGATATAGACGCGCGCCGTGTCGACCTCGTTGTAGCCCCGTGACTGGAACTTGTCCAGCACCGAGTTGTACACGCCAAGGTCCGTGATCCGCGCGCCGGCACCTTCGGACCCGGACGGACCAAAGGTCATCAGGCCCAGGATGACGCGCGGCTTGCCTGTCGAGGTCGGGAGGAGCGGCATTCTGATGGTGGTGATAATGTTGTGATAATGAGATCCAAGTTTGCTGAACCTTCAAGAAGTTCAGAGGGGCTTTGGGAGGAGGGAAATTATGGTTCTTGGATGTATGCAACCTTGAACGGTATTCACAAAGGTGTAAGTCGTCACAATGGAAGTGTTGGCTGGATGCCGGATTGCTCACAATTGGTGATGGCCCAGAGTGGGTAGTTATGATATAGGAGAGTCACAGACTTATAGACTTATTGCAGGGAGATAAACAGGTCCTAAGACCCGATCACGCCGTCCATCGGCGACAAGAGACTATTTATGTTTACTCATTCGGAGATCACGACATCGACGTCAGGGTCGGACCCCGCCCCAGGTCACAAGAGGTGAGGGGTAGCTGCACGTAATTGAGGCAGGGGTCGCTTAACTTAGTTGCAGTGAGTTTCGACCTATAGCGGCCATAGTCCTTAACGCCGAAGAACGTTGTGACAACGAAGGCGAGAACCGAATCCAATCCCTATCCCCGAGTTAGCTCTTATGGTCGGTAATCCTGCCTACTGTATTTTCCCACGATAGCTTCACCTCTGCTCTCGATGGTGGGCTTCTTCTCATGCCTGACTTGGTAAGAGTTCAACCCAAAGCTGGATCCCTCGCATGATTGGCAGGCAATAGCACTAGTTGTCGAACAAGTAGGCGTGAAAAGCATAGCTACATAAGTTGGTGTCTCCTGTGTGACCCATTTCTTGTGCTCATTTAGGATATACAAGTACCAGAAAGGATAGCGTAGAAGAGAGTTTCAACAGAAGAACCCTCGAAAAAGTAGTATCATCTAAAGATGGCCCTATGCTGTATAAGCAAAGCCAGGGGCCGGCTCCACCTTGAGGCAATGAAGAGCGCAGAAGCCGGACAGACTAGTTTCGCAACTGGTATCTTTTGGTGTTGACGTATTTCACAAGTTTGTTCGTGAACTCCGATCATTACGGCTGTGCATTAGCACCCATGTTTAATAAGAAGTGCATCGCTTCCGTCTTCTCGGCTTCCTTGGCCCAGACGAGCGGTGTTTTCCCTTCCGTGTCTGGGGTATTGATTAAGTCCCGGTTCTTCTCGACAAGCACCTTCAACACCTCCAAATCTTTCCCAACAGCAGCTATGTGGATCGGCAATGCCCCATTATATCCTAGGGATGGAACCGAAGCATCTGCCCCTTGAGATAAGAGGTAGCTGACCAACCCAGCATTCGCTTTCGCCGTTGCTCGGCAGAGTGCTGTCTCGCCTTTCGAGATGATGTTCACATCGGCGCCAGCGTCCACTAGAACCTCGACTATGTCCTGCCGACCCTGAGATACGGCATAGTGAAGGGCCGTCTGCCCAGTCTTGTCCTTCTTGTCCACAAAGGCGCCCCGGCCGCACAGAAGCTGTGTAAGTCCGACGTTTCCCTGTAGCACAGCCCCGTATAGAGCTGTCCAACCGTTGTTGTCGGATATATCGAGGTCTGCTCCATAGTCAAGCAGCTCGGCCGCCTGCGTGATGTTTTCCCACATTACGGCCTTGTATAACGCTGTGCGTCCTCGCTGGTTTCTGATATTTTGGTCTGCCCCGAGCGCGAGTAGTATTCTGATGGTCTTCATGTTACCCATCTCGGCAGACGCGTGCTGCATGGCCGCGTAATGAAGCGGCGTGTTCTGCTCCTTATCCGTGGCGTTCACATTTGCCCCGTAATCCAGCATGAGGGCAACCAGCTCGTCACCCATCTCCCCTTTCGCTGCACGAGCGAGGGGCGTCCGGCGCTCCTCGTCCACAGCTCGAAGATCAGCGCCAGCGAGCACCAGTGCTGTGATGATCAACGAGGAGTCCCTCGAGGCGATCTCGTCCTCGCAGCCCAGAGCCTCCTCAGCCTGGCCCAGCGCGCGATGGATGGGTGTCATCTTGGAGTCTTTATGGGGGGCATTAGGATCAGCCTTCTCGGAAAGACACTTGCATACTGCGTGGTAGTTGTTGGTGGCTATCGCCTCGTGGAGCTTCTTTGTAAGCTGTGATCCAAGCTTGAACGATCTTGATGGTTTCGGCCTAACTTTCATCATCTGCTGCTGGATGTGTGGTCTGGTAGACTGCTTCACGAGCGAAATGTCCATATGAGGCCGCATCCTCGTGGCCTCTGCTGGTTTTTCTGACACGGGCTGCTGTAATTGGGCTTTTACGCCTGCGAGAATACCGCTGCCGGGCGTTAGCTGGAAGTAGGAGGACGATTTTCAAGAGGCTTTCTAAGTTGGCACCGAACTAGGCAGCAGACAGACTCATACCTTTGGATGCAATCAAGTATCAAGTTTAGCGAAGCATTATTCCTTCTTAGATCACTTCTGGCATCGAATAAAGAGTCTTGCAGCACAGGGTTGAACTTGGACCGTACAAACGGATCGCACCCGACGGCATACCGTTGTAGGCGGCTCAGTTCTGCACCGAGCTCAAGAGTTGTCGCGCAGATGGCCTGGACTGCGACTTCGAAACTACTACAACAGTCGTTCTCAAGGGCATGATCCGCGCTGTCCCAGGGTTCTTCTTCCAAGAAAGTCTCGAGCCTCGCTAACACGGCTTGGGTTTGCTGGCACTGGTATAGCAGGGATGAGAAGGTGGAGCGGCTCGTGCTGATGCCAGTGCCCAACGCATCGAGAGCCAAAATTGTCTTTTTGCATCCTTCCGCGGCGTTGGCAACGAGAAGTGAGAGAGAAGGGAACTCCGACATCCTTTCTAGGCTGCAAGGTAGGATGCAGAGAGAGGCGGGAGAAATGCTATCAAAGCGAGAGAAGCTGGCAGCAAAGCGGGAAGACAGGGTGCATCACGGGGCGGATTTGTTTTTAATAGCATATTGTCCCCCGGTGTCTGGACAAGCCCACAGCTAAAGTGCTGCACTAGAGCTGATGGAAACACGCAAAGGATGCAAGAGTAGCCGTCAGGGCTGGATCTCACGCCGGAACTGCAGAATAGCTGTATCAACCGCCATGAAGCCTTACCGCACTCTGCTTAGAGCGCAGGCTTCTAGAACCAAGTGGTACGATATTCGGGACCAAGAGGGGGTCCGAGGGCGACTAACGGTAGGACTAAGGCATGGTGGCGGCCACAAAAAGACTGTGGGGGCTGATTGAACCCGAGACTCGGATGGGTGCTTCGGTAACTTATACTTCTGCAGCGCCAGAAGCCGAGTGCCGCAGCGTGGAGGGAGTGGATTGGATGGCTATCTACTGTATATAGGCAGGCAACTTGGAAGATAGATACGGCTTCAATAAGCGAGGAGAGGCTGAAGAGAGACATCGTGTCACATCTCAGATGCAATACACCAGTAGACGACGGAATCCAACCAACCCAAGGTATGCACACACGGAGATACAGGCAAGAACGGGCTGGAGGGTATACAGGCCAGACAAGATTGAGCAGACTGCTACCGTAGCGAGACTCTGTCGGGAAGTCTGCCTCAAGCAGGGCTGAACAATGAAGAGGGCCCAAGGGGGTTTCCTACTATCATAATGTGATGGAGGTGTGATGGAGGGAGGAGGACCACCTAAGATCCATAACATCTGAAGGGCCGGAGGCCTTTGATTGACAGATTACCTAGGCAGGGATCGTATCCCGCGAAGCATCGGGCCAAGACAGCTGCGTGCCAGCCAGCCAGCCAGCCAGCCAGCCAGTCAGCCATGTGATGGAAGCGATAACTAGTTACTGCTCCCAGCCGAGAAATGCCCACATGCATCCATCGATGGCCTTGGGGACTGGGGGACCGGGGACCGGGGGACCTAGGTCACTTCCAGGTGAGGTGGGATGGTGGTGGCCTGGCAGCCTGGGTTTTCGGGCGTCCAATCACCCCACCAAAGACTTCCAGGTTTAGGTACAGACTAGGGGTGGCCAGCTACTGGTCCAAGCGCCGGGGGCCAATTTACGCGCTTCGCGTCGCCCTCGGGACGCTTCTCAATCTCCCACGACGCGTCGACCTCACGTCGCAGCCCACGCCCACGCCCACGCCGAGTCAGACCAGGTCAAGGGAGCGCTTTTGTGAGACAAGGCTTGTTTGCAAGGGTCAATGAGGCCATCGAGGGCAATCTGACGCCTGCGACTTGGTCGACTGCGCTGTTGTTGCCGCTGTTGCTCCTGTTACTACTGCGCTGCTACTGCTGCTGCTTCATGCCACCTTCGTCCCCCTTCTGTCTCTCGCCACGCCTGCATCGCGAGTAGGTTGTCGCCAGTCACATCTCGCTCGCCCTCACACGCCTCCGCACTCTCCACCGGCGCCGGCCACGCCCGACAACGGTCACAATGGTCAAGGCAGCTGCCCCGGCTCCCGCCGCGCCCACGGGGCCCGGCATCTACAGCGCAACCTACAGTGGTGTGCGTCTCCCGTCTCCCACACCCTGTTCCTGCGAGATCGTCGTCTTTGCTGACATGGCTGACCCTCCCGCCAGATCCCAGTGTACGAGTTCCAGTTTGGCGGTGACATGAAGGAGCATGTCATGCGGAGGAGGCAGGACAACTGGATCAACGCGACACACATCCTCAAAGCCGCCGGCTTCGACAAGCCCGCCCGAACACGCATCCTCGAGCGCGAGGTCCAGAAGGACACCCACGAGAAGATCCAGGGCGGCTACGGAAAGTACCAGGGCACCTGGATCCCCTTGCCCGCCGGCGAGGCTCTCGCCCGCCGCAACAACTGCTACGAGAAGATCCGCCCCATCTTCGAGTTCGTCCCCGGCAACCAGAGCCCGCCCCCGGCCCCGCGCCATGCCAGCAAGCCCAAGGCCCCGAGGGCGAAGCCCGCCGTGCCCAAATGGGCCCCCGCCGCCGCTCCCGCCGCCCCCGAGCCGCAGGAGTACGACAACGCCAGCCAGCAGATGAACGAGGACGACACCCCGGACAACCTCACCGTGGCCTCGGCCTCGTACATGGCCGAGGATGACCGCCACGACATGTCGCACTACTCGACCGGCCACCGCAAGCGCAAGCGCGAGGAGCAGATCCAGGACCTGACCGAGCAGCAGCACGCCATCTACGGCGATGAGCTGCTCGACTACTTCCTCCTCTCTAGGCAAGAGGGCCCCACCATGCGCCCCGAGCCGCCGCCCAACTTCCAGCCCGACTACTTCATCGACACGGACCGGAACACGTCGCTGCATTGGGCCAGCGCCATGGGCGACGTGGACGTCATGAAGCAGCTGCGCCGCTTCAACGCCAGTCTCAACTGTCAGAATATCCGCGGCGAGACACCCTTCATGCGCGCCGTCTACTTCACAAACTGCTACGAGAAGCAGACCTTCCCCGCCGTCTTGAAGGAGCTCTTTGACACGGTCGATGTGACCGACGATGCTGGCTGCACCGTTCTGCACCATGCTGTCATGATGAAGAGTGGCCGCGTCGTGAGCCACTCGTGCTCACGCTACTATCTCGACAACATCCTGAACCGACTGCAAGAACAACGAGACCCCAACTTTGTCCAGGCTTTCATAGACTGCCAAGATAGCAAAGGGAACACGGCCCTGCACTTGGCCGCTCAGAGCAATGCCCGCAAGTGCGTGCGGGCCCTCCTCGGTCGCGGTGCGTCGACGAATATCCCCAACGTAGAGGGTACCTGCGCCGAGGAGCTGATCCAGCAACTTAACGCCTCCAAAGGTCCCAAGGAGAGGGCGCCCCAGCGCTCTTCCTCTCCCTTTGCCCCCGAGTCCCAACGCCACGTCTCCTTCCGTGATGCCCTCAACGAGTCGGTGACAAAACTCGCTGTCACCTACAATTCAGGTGCCGCCAATACGGTGCAGAACAAGATCACCCCCCTAGTGCTCGGAAAGTTCCAGGACCTCGCTCGCTCGTACGACGAGCAGTGGAAGGAGAAGAACGACGCCGAGGTTGAGGCGCGCCGCATTCTAGGCAACACACAGAACGATCTGGCTGTAGTGCGGAGTCAGATCGCCTCCCTCGAACGCCAGCTCGAGAGCGAGCAAGTCGCTGCGAAAGCTGTCGGCGACGCAACCATGGCGCAGCATCAGGTGCTAGACCTAGTCGCGAGGCAGAACAGGCACCACGTCCATGCGGCCGTGGAGCAACAGCTCGCCATGTTAAACGGTAGCCCGGATGCCGGCGATGACTCGGCCGAGGCACGGACACAGCTGGGAGATGAGTTGCGGGCACTTGTTGCCGAACAAAAACGTGTCGAGCAAGAGTACGTCGACGCCCTCGGCATGTCGGGTACGAGCGAGAAGATCGACAAGTACAGGAGGTTATTGAAGCAGTGTCTCGACCACACCGATGCCGAGAGTCTCGATGCCAACCTGGATGATCTCATTGAGATGATGGAGGACCAAAGGAGCGAGGATGCCGTAGTAGCGCCAACTGGAGACGCTATGATGATATGCTGAGATTCGGTTATCTCAGCAGGCAGGCAGGAATTCCCCTAATAGCGCCGAGGTAGGGCTCCGTGTATAAGATGTCGGCGAATGTGGTTCTTTCATCGTTTCCATGACTCGACAGCAAATCTTTTTATCAAGTTGTTGGCGTTCCGAGGGTGTCTCAGTTGGCCTGGCAAGGCCGAGGAAACGGACAGGTATCTTTCGTCTTTCGATGCCACGGCGCGAGTGGTCTCTTGCGGCGTCGAGGCTCAGACTTGATTGCTCTTACAGCGAAATGGAATGACTTGATGTGCGATACAGACACTGCCCTCAACGTGCCAGTTTTCTTGATGTAACAATGTAGTTCGAATGTTGATGCAGTGTAGAACGCACACAAGTCATATACCGCAGGCGAATAGTGCTTCAGCAGGGAGAAACGAGGAAAAGCAACATGTTGCGCAGTGTTCTGCCGTGAACGAGGGGGTGGTGGTATATGGCATCGATAAAAGATTCAGCGTCAGCCGCAACGCAGTGATGTAAAGGAAGCGCATGCAGTCTACGCATTGGCAGAATGCTGAAACAGTGCACCCCTCTGCATGGCGATTAAGAAAAAAGATGATGTCCAAAGGCGCAGGAATATGCAGTAGACGATGGGTGGAATACAGCACAGTCGCATGGGAACATAAGCAGCCAAAAATATTCATAAATGCCTTAAGAGCAACAAAATGAGGTCAAGATAAGAGACGGAAGAACAGCAAAAGACCAAAAAATAAAATAAATAAAATGAAAACGTCAAGAGTAGGACTCGAACCTACGCGGCCGAAGCCAAGTGATAGCACATAGCCCCCTAGGGGGTTGCTTCGAGTCACTCCCCTTAAACCGCTCGGGCATCTTGACATGAAGACTACGACGACCCATCGTGGGCCAGTATTGATTGTGAACTCTAGCACCTATCTATTGTTATCAGCCCTCATTTGGATGTGTTGGCAGGTGGGTGGCCTGCTGCCCGTTTGCAAAGCTCTCCGTCTGGTGCCTGGGTTCTTAAGGCATCCAACGTAAAGAACATTTGAGCCAGGATCGAGTCGGCCAATCTGGAGGGCGGGGACTACCTTCTGACAATATCGTTTATCTGAGTGCATTTTTCTTGCCTCAGTTTAGCTTTCTCTCTTCTATTCTTCGAGGTACTCTCTTGTGACTCATTCGTGTAAGACTTCGAAGAGGTGTATAGCCCTGTTCTAGGCTATCGATACGGGATAGTCCACCTTGTTGTTGCCCCGTTTGCGTCAAGCACGCCAGTCGAGATGTACAGATTGTTGGATACACTATGTACAAATAGGTTGGGCTTGGTTTGGACGAGAGGAGAACATTACTATAACCCTCAGAAATCTTGGACAATTTTAAGACACTGGTATTCATATCATACACTATTAAAGACATCTCTCTATCAGCAGTGGTATTACTATATGGCATGTGGAGGTTGGGAGCGGCCACGTGTTTCCTGTCCCCATCTAAGCAAGCGAGCAAAACTTCCAGACATCTCATCATCTGCCATTCACCAGGGCAGAGATATGCAATATCGAAGCTGTAGCAAGAAGAAGGCATGATGATTCTGGGGCCCTGGGGGCCCTGTCAAGGCGAACAAATCTTCCAGCAACTCTGCACGGTTTCAATGTAAGCCAGGCTCATGACATACGACTGGGAATAGCGCTGGAGTCTGACTCGGTTTACTACTGCCGTCTTTGTGGAGTATAAGAGAACAGATGATTCTTTGCCGTGTAATCTATGCCATGGTACGCGCAGTAACAGATCTCTAGGTTTTCTCTGGAGCGTGGGACGTCTCTACGGTTTCATGTGACCACGCGACCGATTCCCTCTGGTCGGGGTTGGTTGCACCATCCCTGGTTTTCTGCGTTTCCACAAACACAAAACTCCATAGATTAAGGCTTTCGTCTGATCCGCCTCGTGTTTACATGGCCATTATCACGTTCTCCGTGGAGGGAGGCAGTTGACCGAGTCATGCGTAGCTTGTTCATGTGATCTGAGGCTGGGGTTGATCCGGCGGGCCCAGCTGACTGACAGAGCTGCCTGGGCTTGAAGTCTCTTCCAGGGACAAGGCAAATGTAGCAATGCGCCTGCACGAAACATACACCGGTATACTATCAATTAATTTCAAGGCTGGCAGGGAGCGAGAGTCGCAGCATACATGTGCCCGCTTCCCGGCTTCTGGGTGGTCGTTGATGATGCCATCGCATGCATCCATGTATGCAGGCAGGCTGTATGTATGTATGTAGGCAGTGTAGCCCTACGGGCCCGGACGACAGTTTCCAGGTTGCCCGGTGGTTGGTTTGGATGCCTGGGGTAAAGGTTTAGCGAGACAGCCGCCCAGAAGGTAGCCCTGGCTTGCCTGGAGTCGCCAGGCTGAACGGCCGGTGGGCGGGTCCCCGGGTGAGGTCCCCTCTTGGGCGTCCCCCTGGCGTCGTTTGGGGCTATCCGGCGCGCATCGGGGCGATCGGGGTCCCCCCTTTAGGGGTCGGCTAGCGCTGTCCAGTGATGTCCCCCCGACCACTAGCAGCCTGGGACGAGATAGGAGAGTTGCGCAGCTGCATATCGCAACCTCCACGTGTAGACCTGCATACAGGATTCCGTGCCAATTACCTGACGGCCTCTCGTTCTAGGTTCCCAGGTTACACCTCCCGCCGCTCCCTATCCCGGGCCGCTTCCTTTCCCCCTTCTTCCCTTCTTACGCTCCTTTGCACCCCATTCATGTCTTCGAAGAACATCCGCCTGTCTCGAGTCCCCCCGGCGAGCCTTGCAGCGCATTCCCGTTCCCGTATCGATAGACCCGAGCCCTCGCCCGCCGACTCGTCCCTCTCATGCGAGTCCAACGACATCGAGGACTACATAGGCAGCGGTACAGACACGGTCGGCGGCAGGACGCCCGCCATTGACAAGAGGCTCTCGTTTGCGTCCGAGGACCCCCTGCCGCATGGTGACGGCCCGCGAGATACGGTATACAATTACGACAGCGACGACGACGACGACGACGCCGAGTACGCAGACATGGACTCGAAGCGGCCTGCTCTGCTCCGCCAGGGAGACAGCCGCTCTGGCCAGCCCCTGTTGTCTCAGCCAGACGACGAGCGAGGGCGCGCGCGCTATAACCACTCGCGATCCCCGTCTCCCTTGCTGAACCGGCCGACCAGCAGCAACAGCAGCCAAAATGCCACAACCCATCCGGCGCAGCGTCCGACCTTCTCGCGGCGCTCCACGATGCGCTCCCGATCGCCCGACACCCAGGCCAAGATGGCGGCACGCAAGAAGTACGTCTACGCCTCCATATTCTTGGTCGTGTCGCTGGTTTCCTTCTGCATCCAGACCGAGCTGGCCGCCTACGTGCAGCAGGATCTGGGCTGGAACAAGGCCTACTGCATGCTCTACCTCACCCACGGGTCCTGGTCCATGCTCTGGCCTGTCCAGCTCGTCATACTACGCGTGCAGAAGTGGAACATGCCCTGGCAGACATTCTGGAGGAGGCACGTCCACCTGCTCCGGACCACGACCCACATGATCAGGAGCCAGGACTTGGACGTTCCCAGGCACATTACCAACACGAGCCCCTGGCCCTACCTGATCAAGTCGACGGCCTTCATCACGAGCGCCTTGACCGTCGCGGGTCTGAGTTGGTACCTCGCCGTTGACATGACCACCCCCAGCGACCTGACGGCCATCTACAACTGCTCGGCCTTCTTCGCCTACGCATTCAGCGTGCCGCTGCTGAAAGAGAAGCTGCGCCTCGATAAGAGCTTGGCCGTCATGATTGCCATCGTCGGGGTTCTGGTCGTGGCGTACGGCGACGCCAAGGATGCCGAGGATGCCGAGGGCCAGAGCGCCGACAAGAGCGCAGGTACCCAGTTCCTGGGGAACCTCATCATCGGCGTCGGAAGCGTGCTCTATGGGCTGTACGAGGTGCTGTACAAGAGATGGGCCTGTCCGCCCGAAGGGGTCTCGGCGGGGCGGGGCATGATCTTCGCCAACGCCTTTGGCAGCTGCATCGGCTTGTTCACGCTCACGGTGCTGTGGGTTCCACTTCCACTCCTGCATATGCTGGGTTGGGAGACCTTCGAGCTGCCGACCGGGGAGACGGCTTGGTATCTGTGGGTTAGCGTCGTCATGAACGCCACCTTCGCCGGCTCCTTCCTGGTCCTTATCAGCCTGACGAGCCCGGTTCTCAGCTCGGTCGCGGCCCTGCTGACCATCTTCATCGTCGCCATCGTGGACTGGATGAGGACGGGCAAGGCTCTGAGCTTGGCGGCTGTTTCCGGCGGTGTGATGATTGTCGTTGCTTTCGGCATGCTTTCCTGGAGTACGTACCGTGAGATGGTCGAGGACGCCGAACGGAAAGCCGTCGCAGGCGGTGTGGAAGCGGAATGGGACAGCGATAGTGACAAGGATGCGGATCGGTATGATTAGACTGCCGTCGTTGGTGCTCCAGCGTGGTACTACTTGGCCATCTGTGGGATCAAATTTCAGGCTTAACGACACGATCAGGCGGGTGATTTACATTGCATTTGGGCGGCGCTCTGGGCTATTCACGACGTCCTTGAGGGCGAGGGCATCTTCTCGTACGGGATTCCATCCACTCGGGGTTTGGGTGCTTATCATAGACATGCCACATTTTGGCTATACACACCTAGAGGGCTAGGTCGGCCATGGAGCTGACACAGGAGAGCCGAAAGTGCCTTCACATTTGTCGGATAATACGACGATGGCGTTCTGAGAACACGATGGCGTTATCACTCTCGGTCGCGATAACGGGGCTACAGTTTCACGACGACGTGGTCTTACGTGCGTAGTCAGGTGCTCATGCGGTTTGATACACAAACCCCTCCTCCTCCAGCCGGCCACTAGGTCTATCCAAACAACTGGTCTTCCTGGCGCCATAATCGAGAGCTTGATTTATGCACTCTGCACCACGTGCCACTCCGGCCCGTTCGTCTGCTGTGCATATCGGCTTGAACTACCGAGCTGAAAAAACCACGAACACGACCCGATGCAGTAAGACGTCCCGCGTCGGTCGCCTCGATGTGACTGCACGTGCGTTAGCTCAGGTGGTTTTCAGCTGCCATGAGCTGCAGATGGCGACTGTGTGCAAGGTTGTCTTGGGAACACATTACTCGCGTCAACCTTTTTGAGAGCCCATCGAACGTGCAGCATTCGTTCTAACGTGGGACTAGATGACAGCTAGAATTAGAGTTCTCACGACATGAGCCGTACGTGCAAACCGAGCTTGACGGCACATATACAATCTTCAGTATGCCAACATGAAAGAAAATTTGCATTTGTGAACGCCTTGAACGGTCGAGCGAGGCAGTCATGGGATACACTTGGTTACTCGACACGTATAATCATTCTAGTGTCATACGTTCCAATCCGCATGTTTTGAAGATAGAGAAGCTTGTATTCCAGGGAGTAAAACAGTTAACCCTGCTACGTCCAACTCCGTGCGTCTTTCTAACCGCCACACTTCTCAATCATTGTCTGCCTCTCCCGGATTGTAAGAAGCAGAGGACAGCATCTAGCAAGTGCCTTCAAGTCAGTCCAAGCTTTGTACTTTTGCTCGCCTCCACCTCGTTCCTCAAGCTATCTTGCCTGTCCATCTCATGGGTGGCCAGTATCCTCACCATGCCAATCTTGATTTGCCTGGTTGCTTGGTGATCCCCACGCGGTCATGCGGTTGGCGACCTTTTCGGCTGTTTTTCCTTTCCGTCCTTTCCAACAAGCGAGGGAAACGAGTGACCACGCAGTCGATATAACATTCGTTACGGCGACGATCACAAGTAATACAAGAAGCATGGTGTATCCAACTTTAACCCTCTTCTCCTCCAAGTTCACGGGTTCGCGATTTAGCCTTTCTCCAACGCTATTCCACAGAACGATGGCGAAAGGTACAGCCCAGACTCCTGTTACAAATACATCGCCAGCAAATACAGCCAAGGGATATCTGTATATCCGCGCGAAGACGATTGTTGTTATTGCCCAGATCGGATTTAGTAAAGAAGCGAGGAGGATCCAGCAGAGAAGAACGTCGTGACTCGGGTATGACTCAAACTTTTCGTTGGTTCGCGGAGCTTCGCTCCATAGTGCAATGATGACGATGCTCACAAGAAAGAGGCTCATCGCAAGGGTAATCTGTAGAGTCCGCAATCCGAGATTGGCGATCGGCTTGTAAAGTACACCATTGGGGTGGCTTTCATGGGATAGTATCTTGAACATTTCGGCCAGCCATGTGTCCTTGTACTTCTTGTTGCGAGGTCCATCATTTTTACGTCCATTTTCGTTGGTTTCGTTGTTCCGGGGCACGGATTGAGAACTTCTGGCATTACGGTAGATCTCGGATCCCCTGTCTGAAGACCTCGAGATCCTCGATTCAGACATTGTGTATTTTCAAAGCGCAGCAAACTACCCGTGACTGCAATGCGAAAGCACCAACAATAAGTTCGGCTACGGCGAGAATGTTGAAGGACGACTTGCCGAGGAGTCAACTTGCGGCAATCCCGCTTCATATAGTCAAGAACTCGCACCTCATCCGCGCAGACGCCGTTATTGTAACCAAACGTTTTATGCTTCATTGTGTTGTTGGCACTGGGGGTTGGCACTGGGCCGATTTTTTATCAAGTCATAAATGGAGCGTAGTAGTGCACGTGGCTGGACTACGTGCTCAGATGGTTTCGAAGGAAAAGTTAACTGCTCATGCACCATATTAAAGACAAAGATTGAGATTCACGAACTACGGTTTACAGTAAGTCCAAAAGCCCATATGAGTGAGTCTGTGGGATGTGTGTTGGTGGCGGTATGCGATTTCTTTGTCGTCAGATAGCCCTGTGATTACATCAAGTGTGTCTCCGCGGAATAGGACTCCCAACCAACTTCCCTTTGTCAATTAGCGTCCGATTTAAATCCATCTCACAGGATGTGTGATCAGAACTCCACGCCTGCTGCTCACTCCGCCAGTGAGTGAGCCCTGTGAAGGTCAGAGATTCACCTACATATCTCAAATCTAAGCCCAAAATTTTATGGCATGTACTGTGATCTGTGGCGTTCTACGACCGGGCCAAGCCATATCAGCCCTACAAAACTACGGAAAGCTGTCTGGCGTTAGTAGTCATTTCTTAAGAGCATGGCCACTCCTCTTCCATGACATAGTGTCCTCCTCGGACACCACAAATTCGCCAAGAACACAAGTCTCCCTTATTTACTTGCCTCATCCACATTTCATACTTTCTCCGTTAACGCCTATTGCCGCGCCTCGCTTCTCCCAACCAGCACGATGTGAAGCTCACGCCCGACAGCCGTGGTGTAAGACGAGACCCACACGTCTTATTCCACAGCACCTAACGGGCTAGTCGAGCAGGACCAGGTGGGTCTTTTTAGTGAGAACGAGTAGCTTACCCCGGCCGCCTTACGGGGGCTGCCTGCCCATGTGTGTATGTTCCCTCAACGGTCCTGATCCGCTGCTAACTCGATCAAGTGTACTTTGGCGAGCTTATCTCGATGCACCCTTGCCTTCTTTGATGGCCTTGTTGGTGAGGAACTTGCAGCTGCTGATTTGTGACCGAGATGACTCTTCTGCAGTCCACCTAGACTAGATAGGTGCTTTGCCTTGTGGCGTCAATGCAGAAGCAAGGCTCGCGGATGCCACGAACGACCGTTACATGCTGTGCAACGAATACCTGCAGACATCTGTTAACGACCGACTCCCAGGCTACTTTGGTTCTCGGGGGGCAGGGTCTGGGGGTCCGACAGCCACAAGTGCAATAAATCATTGCCTGCTCCTGTGTTGGCCGGGAGTGGACAAGTCACTCGCTGCGACCTGACCTCCGATGAAGAGTAGACAGATGGGATGAGGGGTTCGCAAGGTCACCTAGTGCCCCGGCGCCATTCAGACCCGAATCATCACACGGTATTTAGCCCTCTTAGCAGCTGTGGCATCTCACCGCGAGGCTGGTGCTTTCATCAGTAGTCTGGCTACTCGGGTAAGATCCAGCTCCTCACTACGGTAGAACCAGGCGATTACATACGCCCAACCACACATCAATCTCTTCATATCTCACTCAAGAGTCTGCTTTGGCCAACATATTCCGGCTGGCGTAAGACGGAGTAACGTCTGGGCTGATTTGCACGATCCCGGCGGTCTGTTTGATTGCACTTCGCAAGGCGTCATCCCAGCCATGGGCAATTATGTGCAATTTCACACCGGTGCCACAGCGGTACGGTCAAATATAACTTCAAGATGAGGTCCGAACCCTGCGTTTGGAGCTTGAACCATGTCATCAGCCTGGCCAACGTAGTACGCCTTGTCCAAGTCAGCACTGTGTCTAGGAGCCGCGTCTCGTATAAACTATCCAGCTGTGGAAAGCCAAACAATACTGACAATACGCACCTTAGAAGGCCTGGGAAGCGTCATCTGACAAAGCGGCTGACTAATTGTGCGCTGTATGAAGCCTGCGCAACCGAGCTCGACAGCAAAGGTGAGGTGCACCTACAGCCTGAGATGGCTTCAGGAGCAAGCGGTTTGTAAATTTCCTGATTGAGCATCTACGAAGGCTCATGTGGGACATTGGGTCGTCGTACGGCCTCCAATGAGCAAACAGCACGCTTTACGAGACGTGTGTAAGTCCAGGCATGCCGACATATCCTGTCTGCTTTGACGTTGGTGACTGAGGCAAAGATATATCCGGTCGGGGGCTGGATAGATATCCGAGACATCGTAAAGCAGCCTATGATGTGGTGAGCCATGTCTTAATCACATGCTCCATGGTCGTTATTGATGGATTTTGGCATTTAACGATCCGCAGCAAGGATCCGGGTGATCACCACCAGGGATAGCACCAGAGGTGTCCATTTTGGGATGATGTTCCGGATCCGTACCAGTTGCATCACGTTCAAAGTCATAGAATACAACATCGCCATGGTGCCCGAGCTGTCAGACTGACGTTACGGTGCTGCCATAACTCGGTTAGGGAAAAAGTAAATCTTAGGCGTCGAGGTACTACCAAAGTAGGTACCTATTGGCAATATCAATTTGATTGGTGGGCTTGGGACCAATGCTTTGCACTTCACTTGCATATGCAGGAGCAGGGGTCGCGCATTGCACCGGTTGCTGCTGGCGAGTGATTGATTGACGAGTAGCTGAGCAGTCAGACGGAAGCTCGATCTGTGCTACTCGATCCAAGGCGAGGTCATGGTGGTATCGTAGGGCTGAGGCCTTTGGGGGTTGGCCAATTGGCGCCCGTTAGGTCCGAAGGCCGGAGCTTCTACGTTAGTTGCTTGTGTGTTACCTGTAGTCCATAACCGCCTGTACTATTCGCAGCCGCGGGTCAGACGGATGCTTACATATATTGGGGGAGTAAGCGCCGTTTCTGCTGATCAAGCACATTGCCGCTGTGTTACATGGGACGATGCAGAAAGTAGTCAATCGGGGGACGTGCATGCCGTATGCAAGTCGGTAGATGCAATTCTCAGTTGAAGGATGGTTATTCATATCATCAGGTTGTCGTAGTTGTAGCATTGCCCATAAGAGGTAACTCCGAAAGCGTTCCTTAGTCCAATCATAGGCATCAGCAGCACCTTGAAAATGTGGAATAAGTCCATGTATCGCCATTGGACCGCCACTTAATAGTTGGCCATACGGTGGCGTTGATGTAAAGATCGGTGATGATTGCGGTGCGTATAATCTGCAATAAGAGCATCGGGTCGTTCAATGTCGAGAAGCGGTGAGCCCTGGATACTTCCAACCAAAGGAGATCGAGCCAGAGAAAGGCGAATATCTAATCACAGATTCAAATATCCATTAGAGGGAGGGCCTAGCACTGTTCTAGAAAAAGCTTGCGGGTGGCATAGATCCAATCAGACGTAGATTTCGCTCGTCTTGGCAGGCAGAGGACTTGGAAGAGCACCAGTTGATCAAGGCGGTGTGGGGGAGTATGTGGGATGGAGTATTTTGTTGGTCAACCAACGGTAACATTGAAAACCTCGAAATGCCGTCGCCTAAGTGAGAGGGGATAGGGCTGCGGCTAGCCATGATTCGTTACCGACAGTCTGGATCTGCCCTGGATCCTCGAACGAGAGGAGACGTAAGGGCCTAACGAGGACGACCTTGCGGATACGTTCACGATCACTACTTATCTCGTGAGAGAGGTAGCCGCTGCACCTGAGCGGTGCCGATTGGAAACGCCCGGAGTGAATCACGGCTGTCTTGAGAAAGTACGGCGCCGGTGCGTGACCATGGTCACGCAGAGGAGTGATAGTGCTCCACCAACACTCGCTATTCTGTATAGACGAGATTCCGAGGACCACCCTCAGCATCCCCACGTGACGACACTGGGTTTGCCAGCCAAGAAGAGCTAAGGTAGCATGCAAGGAAATGCAAGGGAATGCAAGAAATTGCCTTGGTGATCCAAAAGATCTTTGCAGTATGCTGTTGATTGGGGGCGAGCAAGTCGCCGCATCCTGGGAGGGCTGTTGAGCGTGGACGAATAGGGTCAACAACAGCGCGTATGGCAAGGGGCCGTTCAGCTGACGAATGTTATAGTCCGGGGGCGCTTGGAGGCCTGGTCCTGGGCGAGCTGCAAGCTACCCCGCTAGATTTCCAAGGTTCTAGTGTCACGAACAGCCGCATCGACACGGTCACCTAGTTAGTTACTGGACCGCCGCGCATCGCCCCTCTTCCCGTGCTGACATTCGCCCAAAGACGGTGATGGACTGAGACGCGGGCGGCGTCGGCAGCTCGGAAGCGGTGGATGGCAAGCCACGTATTGATGATGGCGTACTTTGAGGCTGAGGCTTGCGACATCGTGCGCATGAGTCGGCATGAACTGCAGCTCCGGGAGTGTCGACGTATGGCTGTTGCGCATAGTCAATGACATACTGCGACTTGTGGCAGCGCGCATCAAGCATGTCACAACGATTCGACGCTGCTGCATCTGCAACTTGGCCCCGTCCGCCTAGAAGCGTGTGTACTGACTGTAGCTGCGGCCATCGTACACGTCCTCCACATCGTGATGTTGCATTCTGCAGCGTAAATCGTAGGTACCTGTCTTGGCTGTCGCTTGGGTAGCGTGCCGGGGCCCATGTGCCGCCTGCTTCCAATCCCTGAGACATGCTCACAGTAACCCACGACGTGCAGGTTCCTCTGAGTTCTGAATGCTGGATGGCCCCCCAAAGAGGCTGGCATTATGACAGTATAACATCAATGGACCCAAATGGAAAAATGATCCAGCACGAGTGCAGATTGGCCAGCTGAGCTGCCCCGGTCTTACGTAGGCGGAAAAGACTCCTCCCCTCTCACATTTGAGCCTCCAGATCTATCACATATCTACGCCCGATCGTCAAGACTCTATGGCGCGGGCTGCTCGTGAGCCGCCGGAAGCCTCCTTGGCAGGCCTCCTGTATACTGCAGATGTTGACCATGTTTCCCGTCCTGGTTCAGTTTCGCCGTGCGGTTGGTCGTCGTGTTGCTTTCGAAGGTTCAATTAGCTACAAGTCCGCATTAGTGCGCAGGCCACCCGTAGGGCTCAGCTGAACTTGGGCTCACTAAAACCCCACTAACTAAGCGACGGGTGGCCACTGGGATCAAGGGGCCTCGGGCAGAAAAGATGACGGACGATTCCTGCTGCCTAGCTCTGTATACACGGAGTCCTCGGGCCTACTCAAAAGATTGCTTAGACAATTGCCGCAGGACATGACTCTCGTCTTGAGTGGGAGTGGCCTGGCGCCGCCGACGAGCCGGTCGCTGCCAATCTCTGGCAATCAATTCTGAACAAACCTGGAGCCCTTGGCGCCCTATTCGGTGATTGGACGGGGAGTCCCTAGTAGTTGAACCCAGTACGACTCGCCGCCAGCTGGATCTAGATGCTGAAAACGGGCTCCCTCCATTGTGGCGGATGGCGATCTTCCATCTGTGCGCTAAGTTACGTCGTCTTCAGCTACGATTGAACCGCCCGGCCGCCTAGGCGCGTGGTGCGGCATAGGGCCCTGTGGCGGTACGAAGTAACTAGTCCGTGCCGTACCCCGTATTGCAGGTGGGCGGGCTCCCAGATTGCTTTCGTCAACGATCGTCTGTCAGAACTTCTCTTCCTGCCAGGAACTTTTGGCCCTCAGTTGCGTTGGACACGATCCTCTTGGACTTTCAGACCCCAATGGCCGCTCGCCTTGGGAGCCTGGCGCAAAACATATCAGCCAGGATGACGGGATTGAAGACTCTCCAGCCAACAAGACTCGCGGCGCGACAAAACATGGCCGACCAGCTAGCGCCGAAGGTCGCGCCTGGGTCCCATGATATCCCATGCTATCCCATGCGATCTAGGTTTGTCATTAAACTGTTTCCTTCACACTTTGCCCCCAGCTGATGAAACGGAATGTGGCCGAGGGTGCTGTAGTGGTAGCTGGCCTTTGCTTTGCGTTTCTGATGGGGTCAATCCACCGGCCGGCGTGGGCGGTTGCGATGATGCTGACGGACTCGTTTAACACTGAACCCACCCCTCTGGGCCCGTGAGAGAACCTCGAGATGTCGGCTTCTTACCGCCTGCGAGTGCAAGGCGAGTCGCTTCCCTCTCGCATAGCCATCTGCCGAAGTCCACACTATCCCTTGGGCGGTGTCTAGTGAGCGTTGTATTGTCCCTGATCCTGCTCAATGCTCCACCGACTGGACCAACCTCCATGTTGAGGATGCGACGGCCGCCTCGTCAGAGGACTTTCCGAGCAGGCTTGCTTGGTTGGTTGGCCATGCTGCCCGAACCCACGAGCCTCTCAGCTAACCTAGGTATCCAGTAGCCCTGGCCAGGTATAGAGGCACGGCAAGCCGCCGCATACTAGTAGCATTCACTTTTGTCTCATGTGAACTTGCCTGGCAGACCTGGGGCTGACTGACCTTGACCCACCGCGGGGCTCGAAAAGGGAAAGGGCTTTCTCGACTGCCAGTTAGAGACACACCCTCTCTGGGCTTGTCATTTTACTCTTCATGTTATTATTACACGACCCCTCCAGCCGCGGGTCAGACCTAGTGGTGGCCAGTTTATCATATTGGGATACAAGGTATTCCTGTTATTTAGTCTGCAATGTCCCTCATACCTCTTCTCGTGTGATCTTTCAAGGCTGCTGAGCCATTGTTAGGCTTGACAATTACGTCTAGACAAGCTACTCTACACGCACCACCGACTGGGGTTTCTTTTTCTTTGGCTATTCCCACAGGCAATAGTGTGCTTCTTTCATCGAAGCTCATAACTGCCTCTGCCGTCTCGTCCGAAAGGCGGAATTGGTGTCTTGAGATCGGCCACTCCTCCTGTCAAGTTTGCGTGTAAGTCGACTCACAAGTTTTGTCGTCCCGCGTCTGCTAATCTGTTTGCCAAGTATCAGCAGTGGGCAGTCCTTACGGCCGCTGATTGACGAAAAGTCGCCCGTTTCGTGCTTACGGGTTTTCTCACACGAGAATCTTATTGGGTCTCCCTACTGTGTGAGAATCCAACTTTCTGTGCGGCATCCTTCAGACCTGCTTCGGCGTCCCTAGTCCCTCCGATCGTCGACGGCCCACCTCCGGCGGCCCTCATTTCATCAGCGCAAGCCACATTGCTGCATGCTCTACCCCAGACGGAACATAACCACGGTACCCTGGATATTTCCTTAAACAGGAAGAATGCCCGCCGTCAATCCTCCTTTCGAGCCAACCCAGGGTAACGTCACTTGGACCCTGGCACCCAGGGGCCCACTCCGGCTTCTATTCAACATCAGCGTCGCTATCGCGGCACTTTCACTCGCTCTTGCACTGAGTTTCGCGGCTCGTTCGAAGAGGATAAAAAGACGATCGAGGCAGGTCTCCGGCCTGTTGGACGAGAAAAACATCAGCTCCCAACGCTACGTTTCGGGAATCTGGGGAAGGTCACGTGGAGTCAGCAACGGTGTTGTGACGATTATGTCGGCCAACCAGCGGCCGTCTTCTTCTGAGCTAGAGGCGGGCATCGGGCACGAGCAGAAGAGTGACAAGGAATCGGCACCGTGGTCATTGGAAGCTAAAGACGGGGTTCGTATGGAGGACCACCGCGGTAATGAGATGGTAATGGCCATGAGACAACATCTAGAATCACGTCCAGCACCGCCGCCGCCGTTGACTCCTCCAACACTGTCGACGGCCATATTCCCATTTGAAGATCGACGCCTAAGTACGGCCATGTCTACTACAGGTGACCTGGATAGTAGCTTTTTCCACCAGCCGAATCCCGATTATACTTCATCCTCCTCGTCCTCATCGGTGCTTCCAAAGCAATGCGATTCTCCTATCATTCCAAGGCGCAGGTCTTATACAAAAACCTTACCTCTTGGACCACCTCAGCCGGTTTCTATCCTGGAAGACGATGGCAGTATAACTTCCTTCTCACCAAGCTCGTTTCCTTCCTCGAGTCCAACTCTACCTTTGGCTCCACATGATGCTTTTCACGCCACGGAAGTAGATGTGAGAGGTGAAATTATTTCCGTCATAGATGACACGGGAGTAGGTTGGAAAAGACATACACGTGTGTACGGTGGAGGTGTCTGTTTGGCCTGCTTGGCAGCAGGTGGCGAGGAGGGCTTCTATGGCGATAGAGTACGTCCTGAGGAAAAAAGATGACACTACCTCAAAGGATCTTTACTCAACAATATTAACGACACCTGCATACACATCGGCTTTTCCATTGGAGTTCGGCATATATCGGCTATGGTGCCTTGTCTAATGCCCCAGATACGATTTCTTCTCTACCTCAAGCATGAGAAGACTATCACAAACGATGCATTCAGTCAAAATTGGGTGAGCTTTGAGCTTTGCAGCTTTTTCTTTAGCATACTATCTCAGGCCGCTATGATACAGGACTTTTGGTGGCAGAAGAAGTTGCACAGTGGTGTTTACAGGGGAGGGAGTTCTGTTAACACCGCATACCGTGGTGATAAGAATTCTGGGACTGCGAATCACGCATGTTACGACCGTTCCCTTTGTCCTCTTTTCAAGCCCATACACATATTTACGAGCATCTGAAGTTAATGTCTACTAAACTACCCGTGTTTACCTGAATCGTTTCTGATGTATGTACTAGCGCTCGCAGGGCCTTGATGTGTGCTGGTCCCTTGAAAGTGTGGCTTGTACAATTTCCGCCTTTGATCGTTACACTGAGATCCGTGCCGCTTACCCAAAAAAAAGAGTATCCTTGAAGATCGGATCCTTCGAGCAGTAGGTACGAAAGGGGTGTCAAAAATCCTTCGCTCATGCCGGCAGAAGCCGCCACATCACATGCACGGTTCGCTGGTGGCAGGATTGTGTACTGTGACGCTACTTTTGACCACTTTGGGGGCTTTGGATGCATGGTTGGACATTTTCTCGGCCACCCGTGAATCAACAAGCCATTTCGAGCCTCCAGGCATTGTTGCGCTTTCGAAGATCAGGTCTTCACCAACCCACAGGCACATATGTCTCTCACTACTCTTAGGGATCATACACAGAAGGCGACAGTGTATGCGAGACTACCTCTCGGGCACAATATTGTTCCGATTCGTCGCCTTATTGGATGCACATAGCTGACTGGCGCGAAAGCAAATTGATGTAGCAGCCCCTGCAGCTGATCGGGCGGCACGCTCGGAGACTTGTAGCATCGCCCTGCATGCCAGCCTGTTTGTTGAACAATTAGATGGTGTTGGCCCTGTTAACCTATCGTAGCATAGCATCTATTATAAGATATCCTCTCTTGCCTCCATAGGCATGCCAACCTACCTTGTTGCAAGGCACAAGCAACTGAGGACGCTTGCTAGTATTGTTAATCTTATCTTAATAGTTGGGTGTTTCGATAAGAAATTTCGGCCAGTCGATGCAAGAGGATAAGACGAGGATCGCTCGGGAAATGCATAGGATCAAGAACTAGTCACGTATGTTTCCGGTGTGCCAAGTCGCCGAGGCATGGGAATTAATGATGGCAGTTCGGACAAGACCGACGGACACAGCCCTCGAAATGAACGCATTGGTGACGGTTCTGGCATGGCACCAGGGGGTAACCCTGAATTTGGGGGCCGGAGGCGGGCCGAGGTGGGAGCGTACTGGGATTTGTCCGTGTCAGGTACCAGGAGCAAACATGAAAGTCTGTTATAGAAAATATACAAAGGATTTTGGTATCTCCTGCCTGTCCGAATTGACGCCGGTTGCACGTCGCATATGTACATTGTCTTTCGGACCAGGATTACCATATGCAATATCTCGTGCCTCCTTTTCAATGTCGCGATATGAGTCGACAAACCAACAGGGGCGCAAGGATCCAAATTCTTGACTATTGGAACGGGCGGCATTATGTCTGGCTACTACTTGCTGGCCTTAAACTCCCAGCCCACGCTTCATCAAGACAGACATGTGCAAGGTACCCATGTACCTCTGCACATCCACCTTTGCAATGTCTGGAAAACATCCGCGTAGTGTTCGTTCTGCTATCTGTTTTCCTTTCCTTTCCGCTTTTGATACCTTATGTATTACGGCATTTCGCCGCTCATGAGGCTTCAGCCGTGCGTGATTGCGTGCAGCATCATCACGATGACAATCATATGGCAGTGCGTCTGTACCACGTCTGAGTAGGAAATTAAAAGAGCTCGGAATGCAGAGTGGATATTCCAGAGCTGGTGGAGGTCCAAGGTGGTACTATCTGAAAAAAAAAAAAAATGAAAAGAACCCCCCCGGTGGGCGGTATCTTGTCGTTTGCAAACTCTAAGCACTTATACTTTCATGATCAGTACGATCATACGAGATTTCGCTCTCCTGCAATTCCACACCGATTGGAAATATCAGCAGGGATTGCCTTCATATTCTGCCCATGCCTCAGTCACCAACTTTTATTCCAACTAAGCATTGTCCGGCAGTGTGCTGCCAGGAATACAATCCTTCTCCCTTTGGTGCTCAACTTCAACTTGTGATCCATCACACTTTTCCCCATACCTCATGAATCGCTTTGCATGTGACAGTCAGACGGCGAAAGTTGAAATCTCCTGCTCAACCTTTCGTGGCGCACCAATTGCCGCTGGACAAGTTAATGCTCTCGTTACTTGTCAATTTAAGAGGAGGAATGCTCAACCATAGGAAAACCATGAGCAACGTAGAATATTTAGTATACATGAGAAATAAAGCATTACACAAACGCAGAACGTGCACCCGCGTCCGCTTGTGTGACCGAGAAAGCCTCTCACTTACTATCCTGTTGCCTACTCGCCCACCGTCTTGGCTACGCGCGGATTCTGGATTCCCATACATTGGTTTTGGCGGGAAGGAAAAGATCAATTTCTTGCAATAATTGAGCTGACAGTGGCAATAAACCCCATCATACAGCAGCAGCTGCTGCCAGGTCCATAATCAAACACCATGAGGACTCGCGGCAACCTTTGGTTACGACTAATCTGCAACCATGATCCAAAGCTGCTTGATCGATACTATTGAACTAGTCCACAACGTGAGCTTTGTCATGCGTGGGTTCATCTTGAGGGTTTTAATCAAGCCATATATCGCCCTCCTCAGACCTCGTCTCCATCAGCGGTGTTACCCATTTCTCCACGCCCTAGAAAGCCTTCAGGGTGAACATGTTCCTCGCTTTGGAATATTGGTTGCCTTGTCTTATGGTATATAATACTAAAGCCCGAAGATGGAGTCGCGTGTTCATTTTTAGCTTCTGTCTCTCAGATCTCAGCCAGCGCACGGTTTTGGGTGCCCAAGTATAACGAAACTAGACTTGATATACCTAATTCTATCACGTCACTGTATTAAGGTGGTGATCCTTATAAATATGCTCCAGCATCTATATGACACATCTTGCGCCATTCTCATATACTATACGAGTTCTATATCCCATACACTATAAAGTTTGTTACTCAAATATCTGAACAACACCGTACGCCGAAGTTTAGCTACCCACATTGAGTTTTACCTGAAGCAGCAACAAACTTCTACCTGAAATTTCTTCCTGCAGGGGTGCCGATCATCCTCAACTCGCCTCATTGCATGGCATTATGCATGGACAACCAGCTGGTGGGCCAAGGTGACATGGATTAGCGTTCCAACGCAGACAGCTAGATGACCAGGCTTACAGTATACTTCTCACCTTTTTTGTTACTCGACTCCGGCCATATCGGAACATTGAGTTCGGTCTGGGATAAGAATCTATTTTATCGATTTTTCACACGAGCTACGATCAATTTCGCTGTTTCCGTTGGCCTGGCTAGGACACCATGCATTCAACTTGCATCATACGATAGTTGACCCGACAGGCTGGTACCAATGCTTCATGCATGCATTGCGCAAACCTGGCGGCTAGATAGCATCTACCAGTGGGTGAAGTCCTGCAACAAGGAGGTACAACCCCTCATCAAGATGCACAACAGGGGCGCATGACTCCAATAAGAAGAACGGGCGCGCTTCCGCCGCGGTGACCGACGAAATTTTCTCCACGTCAGCACACGATGCCTCCACCCAAAGAGCCCAAGCTAGCTAATCTTCAGAAAAAAGGATTCCACAATGAGACAGGCTCGAACATACAAAATACAATTAGGGCGCCGCTTCTTTTTCCATCGAAGTTGACAAACAACGGCGTGTTCGCATCTGGTTATTTTCAGGAAGGGAATTTTGGCGTGGCGGCAGAACATTCGACAACAACCTACACGTATCCCCTTCCAGATCTATCCGGTCCTTGTGGACACACTCGACAGCGCGAGCAGCACGCATTCAGCAGCACCTTTCCATACAGTCAGATCTCCGGCCAACAATATTGGCACACGAATTTCAACACAGAGCTTGATCGCCAGGAGTTCCAGTTTCAGGGGCTTTCGTACGAACACCAGCCACAAGATCCAGTGCACCAAGTTCCCAACCGTTCCCTTCTCGCTCCTACTCAAGCCCAACCCTGTCACAGCCTGCCAATCGTGAGCCCTGCAGAAAGGATCATGTCCCAAGAACCAGTTCCGGAATTGCCAACAGAGCGACGTAGCTCTGTGCCAGCAGGCGATAATGAAGGTGGCCAGAAAGCGAAATCCAGCTTCCCCGGGGAATGGCTCTTCCATCAGGAGTTCGTACGAGAATCTTCAGGAGATTCTGTGATTGACTTCAACTCTGTGTTTGATGAGTCGGGCCGCTCATTTTCAGCGTTTCGAGAGGGCAAATATTTGTTTCCAAACGATGCTGTAAGGCTAATTACCCCTTTAGAGTTGTGCCTCAACTGCTAAATTCTGGAACATCAGGCGGAGCAGGATCGACTAGACCTGCAACACGCGTGTTTCTCACTCCTCTTTAAGAGAAAGTTGATCATGGCACCGGTGCCGGAGACTCCCAAATGTGTTTTAGATGCAGCTTGTGGGACGGGTATCTGGGCGGTGCAGTTCGGTCGGTTCAAACGTTCCTGGCCGTATATTGCCGGAAACTCACATTCGCAGCGGAGGAGAATCCCTCTTCCACGGTGGTCGGGTGCGACTTGTCCGCCATTCAGCCAATTAATCCGCCCCAAAACTGCTCCTTCGTACAGGATGACTGTGAATCTGAGTGGTTATACCCCGGTATATTTTTATTTGACTATGTGCACTTCCGCATGGTTTTTTCCTGCTTCAACGACACCAGAACAGTTATCAAACACGCCTACGATAATCTTGCTCCTGGAGGCTGGATTGAGTTCCAAGACTCTGCACTCGAATTCTTGAGTATCGATGGCAGCCATGAAGGTAGTTCGAAGATATATGTTATATCGTCTTCAACATTACTGACTCTTAAAAAGGCACTGCGATGCAGAGATACTCGGCCGAAGTTATCAAAGGAGCCGCGGCCTTGGGCCGCAATTTGCTGACGGCCCGCCATTACAAAGATTGGCTTGTTGAAGCTGGCTGTAAGTCATTAGTACAACTTACCTCCAAAGGCCTACCTCAAACCCATTGAGAAGCGGGTGGCGCCGGTTCTAATCGTTCACAGTTGTCGATGTCGTAGAGAAAAAGCTGATGTGGCCCTGCAATGCTTGGCCGGATGAACGCAGACTCAAGGCAGTGGGACTTTATAATTCCCGAAACATCACAGATGGTATCCGAGGTGTGGGCTGGAAACTACTGCGGGCTGCCGGTTTAGAGCCCCAGGAGATTGAAGACTTGATTCTGCAGTTCAAGAAACAACTCGCTAACCCACAGTATCGTACATACCTGAACTGGTAAAGACTGACACGGGTCCCCTTCATGTCTCATGATGATACTTACTATGACACAGTTACGTTGTATATGGGCGGGAGCCATTTAACGGAGAAACCAGCGTCTCCTCTCCGCCAAAATCCGAGACGGAAGGGTTTCCGCCGGGATGATGTAAGAAGCCATTCGGAATAAATCTTAGAAATGCTTGAGATGTAATACGGTTCAAGTTCGTCGACTGAGCCACTGTTATTAAGAAACTATTACTGCGTGTTCTGCTGTGTTAATGTAAAGCTTTCAAACTTATTATGCGCAGGGCCAACTATTCTAGAATTTACGCTCTTTGCCACATATGCCATAAGTTTGCTCGTGGAGAGTGGATACATTCTGCAGCGTCATTGACTTACATGAAAGAATCAGGGCAACAAGGCAGAGTCAAATATCCGTTTTTGATTTCAGAGACCAGAGTTCACATCTCCATCAGTTCCATCCCAGCGCTGCTGAGCGTCATCCAGCCAAGACCACGGATACCATCAAGAGCATTTCTTATCTGATGCATCTCGAGGCGCTTTAGTTTAGATCTTTTGGCCATGTAATATGCGGAAGAAACAGTATAGATGAATTAATAGAAAGTGTAAAATTTCAGTAGTACGAAGTTCTACAGATAAAAGGTCACATAGAGCCAGTTTCTTCCAATGGCGGCATATAGTACTTGACTACTAAGTTACGCACTTTCACTCAAAAATCGAATTTCCTGGACACTGACTTCATCTTGACCCCAGCAGTGGGATAGAATCGTATATGCTGGACGGGAATCATCCTGGAATTCTTGTAGGTCGAGAGTGTTTGACTGCAGAAGGCGCATGGGAGACAGTTGCAGGACCCAGTCAAACGCGACCAGGGATGTATGTTTTTGGTCGCCTCTGCAGTGTGAGAATCGGTCGAAGTTCTTTGCCACATTTCGAAGTTCGGCGCGAGACTGCGACTGAGGGACGACCCCCAAAAATCTGGCGCTTACTTTGTGATATAATGGAGCCATTACCATTCGCCTTATCTAGTTGAGATGAGGCCACGTCATTGGAATACTGGCCTAACCTGTCAAGTCCCGCTTCGTTATATATACTGTGGATTCACCGTTCACAACGGTATATGTATGTGATGTGTGTGATTGGGGACCGTGCTATATATGTTTCAAGTTATTCAATGTTCAATAGGTCTTCCCCACCTTCGAGTTTGAATTTTCGCAAGGGTTCCCAAGGTGCATTGGATTCTAGTAAAGGTAAAACTTTATAGTACAGGGGATCATATCGAGCAGCTACGGGTATGGAATGTCTTTCCCAGAACAGCTGAGCGGGAAGCAGACGAATCTTATACTAACACCAATGGGCTTCTCAACACTTTCCAATTTGAGATGCCATTGAGTGGCTGATGGTACCCGGCTACACAGATAGGGCCTAGACCCCTCTATGCTCAGTCCTGTTAAAGGGCTGGCTTTCCGCATCTTTATTATTCAACATATCAATACACCTTAGGTTGTCTCCCCGTTGAAGTCAAGCTGGAGTTCAAACCAGGCCTTGTTAGTCTGTTATCATTGTACCAGCGACAATGATTACTATGAACGTTTGATTGCGCTAACTTGTGGTTCGGGAAAAACGTCCGGCCCGACGGTTCGATACCCCTATTGACAGGGTTCCAGCAGCTATTCAAGTGTTTTGAATGGTCGAATTGTTCTTCTTACCCCGGTCTCCACTGACTGTGGTGTGCTACAAAGGCTTCCTCATGAAAATGTCCATCGGATAATTACATCTTCTCTCGTTTGTCTAGAATGACGAGATACGCCAGCTACTGAAATGTCTCATCAAACCTAGCTTGAGTTCCTGAGGAAAGGGACAGTCAGTGACGACAAGTCCATGCTCCATGGACAAAACCCGGTGGAGTGAAGAAAGTCGATCTATTAACGACACAAGAACCACCATGCCATCCTCGAGTCCTCCGGGAGGTTTCAATTTGCAGCCGTACGACTTGGATTCTCTGGACGGAACCAAGGAACCGGTCCAAATGCCGATGATAACATTGCTCCTGTCCCAACTGCTCGAGTCATACTAGCTCATGCGCCCACCTTCTTGGGTGCCTGAAGAGAATGTCCGTGCTCCTGCAATCCTAAATTCTGCAGTGAATGCATCTTGGTACGAGCAGAAACCTTGCACCAAACAAACCCCATCCTTTGCCATTGTAGCGAGTGATATGGCAAACAAAGCCCTGGGCCGAACGCCAGATGGAAGCTCAGTCATCAAGCCGGAATCAGTGCTCGGTGAGTCAGAGAAGCTATATCACGGATGCAAGGAGGAAAAGTACTTTCTTCCCAACGACGCAGTCAGTCCAACCTTCTAGTCACTGTGAATAACCCAACTGATTAGTGATTACAGGTAGAACAGGATCGTGTGGATCTTCAGCATTCGATTTTCTGCCTGATGCTGGACGGTTGGCTTGCGATGGCACCCATGGCAAGACCACCTAAATATGTGCTTAATATTGGAACAGGCACAGGGGTATGGGCAACTGTGCTCGGTAGGTACTTTCGAGAACGTTCAAAAGACTAGGTACAAACTCACAGATTTTCGACAAAAGCTGAGCAGAATCCCTCTTAATACGTAATTGGGACGGACTTAAGTGCAAGTCAACCGACAACTAATATAAAGAACTGTGCGTTTATGAAGGATGACGCGGAGGAGCCCTGGTATTTCCTCGATCCCAATCCAGGCTACTCCCGCTGTCAGGCGCTGTGCCAACATTGGATATCCTTCGACCACGTGCATTTGTTTTGGCGTTCACTTGCTTTCACGAGAGTCGAGTGGTGATGAAGAATGCGTTCGACAATCTCAATCCTGGAGGCTGGATCGAGTTCCAAGATTCATGATTCAAATTCGTTCAAGCCAACGAATTCTACAAAGTTAGAAGCATCTACTTTTCTGCAAGGCTTTCGGCTGGCTGCCCTGAGAATAGGCAAGCTGTCGAGAAGTGGACTGTCGCATGCGATCGTGGTATTGAAGTAAGCGGAAGAGACCCCTACAAAGTCTACAAGTACACGCAGTGACTTGAGGAGATCGGCTGTAAGTGGCATTTCCTTCCACTTCTAGAGAATCGGATATTCATGGAAGGAGGGCATTTAGCTAACCATGTTCTGACAGTCGTGGACGTCAAACATAGACAATTGAAGATCCTCGTTACTCCCTGGCCAAAAGACGCCAAATTGAGGGAGATTGGGCGGTTCGGCCAGAAAAACATGCATGATACGCTGCGCACGTGCTGGTCGATCCTGATGGCATCGGGGTTGTCGGCAGACGAAGTCGAAAGCCTCATTCAAGAAGCACAGAATGAGATTAGGGACCGCAGAGCTAACCATTATGGCATATGGAAAAACTCCATCCACACTTCGACATCCCAGCAGCAGATTGTACTAATGTGACATAGCCACATCTTGTACGGACGAAAGCCTTTTGCTGAAGAGTTGGGTAATCCCCAGGTGAAATACGAGGTTTGACAGCATTACCGAAGCATGGAGGAGGTCGCGAGGGTCGTCTGTTAGTACCAACAATCGCATCGCATCCTTATACTTATATTCTTTACTCAGTCTGAAACTAAAGGCCTTTGTGCCAGAGATGGCTATCAAAAGATTGCCATTAAGTATGAATCTGCATACTTAGTGCTTCACTTCCTGGTTTTTCACAGCCTCTAGCAGGCCCCTGAATGCTTCCTTCCTTCCGACCTCAACGCGCCCGAACCTGTCCTTGATGGGCCCAACCAGGATCTCCTCCTCATCCGCCAAGAGGCCCCTCCATGCATCGTCCGTGAACTCCTCGATGGGGATGCCGAGCTGGCTCAGCCCCTGTTGCGTGTGCAGCTCGGTCTGCACGGCGGGCGGGACTAGCTCGATGACCCTGATGTGCTTGCTCGCCTCATCCTCACCGAGCTGGGCCCGCAGCGTCCAGCACAGAGAGTGAAGCGCCGCCTTGGTTGCGCAGTAATTAGCGCAGCGGGGCAAGGGCACAAGGGCCAGCCCAGACGTCACGGTGATGAGAGCGGTCGGGTTGGGGGAGCGTGATTGAAGATGAGGGAGGAAGTGCGTAATGAGTGAGATGTACGAGGTGTAGTTGGTGGTGATCTCGTGCTGTACAAGGTCGAGGTCTATGTTCTTTGGCTTGGTGAAGTCCACGGGGCGCTGGATGCCGGAGTTCAGGACCACGGCATCAATGCTGGGGTGCCTCTTGGTGATACTACATTTCGTCAATTTTGGATGGCATGGAAGGAGCCTTTGTGAGAATCAAGTTACGTACTCCTCGACCCAAGTTGGGATGCCGTGCAGATTTGTGATATCAAACTGCGACGCCGCAGCCTTTTGAGGGCCATGCTTGGCAACGAACTCATCAAGCCTCTCCTTCCGTCGGCCCACGCCGATGACGAAGATGCCGTTCTCGATCATACGTTCTGCCAATGCGAGACCGAGCCCAGATGTAGCTCCGATCATAAGCACGTTCTTATACGGGAAGGCCATGTTGAGTCTATGTTTGGTGTATTGTTTCCAGATGCGGAGATCTCTGTGTGGGGGTTTCCTTCTCGATCTTCAAGCAAGCCTCCACCGAGGAATTACCTAGAGTTGCGTGTAAGATCACTTGGGAGGAAGTGAGGAGAGCCTTTTATGTTGACGCTGCTGGAGAGTAATGCTGAACAAAAGGCCCTGCACGTTTTCGCATTTATGACCTGACGACGAGATCGATAACGGTCTCGACGCTGTGATTGGCCAGCTGGTATACGCCGAGCTGAACCATTCGGGTTTAACCCGCACTCGATTGCCGAATCATTGTTGAAATGCCGATAATCCGGGGCTAAATGTTAGAGTGACGAGAAAAAGCCACACGACAAGTAAACATACAGCATCCGATCAGCAATTGGTTGTTAGGCCTGACACGCTCATAAGGTGGGGTTGGTGTACAAGGCCAGGTATAACGGTATAAACATTGTGTGACAGTCTAGAGCAAACTCGTTGTCGCATGGCTATAATACAAGTGCACGTGTCTATGCTTACTTTTGGAGAACAAAAGACCAGAGCTCTGCAAGGAGATCTCTAGCAATTCATTTTCTGCTAGACCCCGGATCATGCCCCAACCATTGCCTTCAAATCCAAAACACTGACGCTGACAAGGTTGGTTGTGCTCGGAGGCAACCTGCCGGCACCAATGATCACCAGGGCCGAGTCGTCGCTCTTCAGTAACTCCAGACCTCTGGAGTACGCCGAAGGTTGCGGCGTAGTGTACTCGACCCAGCTGTTGGGATCGCCCAGTTTCCGGTTCGTGAAGACCTGGCCCGAGTTGCCCGCGCTCAGCACCTATGCGAAGTCAAACGTTAGCAGTCCGCCCGCCGAGTTACAGTAGCACGTCTTGTCCACCGCTCCCCTTCCCCTCCCACCTTCGATGAACAGAGACTTACAATAGTGCCATTGGCGCCACCCACGCTCGACCAGACCACGGACGGCGAGCTGACGGGCGTGGTGCCCTTGGTTGACTTGAGGGTGAAGGTAGCCGAGGCGGGCGTGTTGAGTACGTCGAGCGGGTTGCGGTTGAGGCGGTAGTGAACGCGGCAGCCGTCGGTGCCGCAGACCTCGTAGGCGAAGATATAGTTGCCGTTGGGCAGGCGTGTAATGGCAGGCATGCCGGGACGGGCCGCGTACGCCGCCGTGTCGTGCACGTCATCGACGACAGCCGACCACGTCGCCAGGTCCGATGTCGTCTGGTGCACGAGCTTCTGCCCGTACTTGCTGTCGCGCTGGTCCGAGTAGTAGATGACGAGCTGGTTGTTGTACACCCTAGCGAAAACCTCGGTGTCAGCATGGACGAGAGAGCGCGTACAGGAGGTATATCTTTCAGCATCGGGCCGTGACGACAGTGTAAAGATACTCCGATTCATGCACATGTGGATAAAGCACATGGTTGAATAGGTTGCCATAAGCAACCCCTTCCATAGCCAACTTACAAGAACAATGGCTCCCAAACCGGCGTCAGGCCATTATCGGGCTTGGCCACGCCTCCGCTAGCCACGGTGCTCACGAAGGTCCAGGTTGCGCCGCCGTCGGTGCTCGCGTAGACGTCGATCTTGGTCTTGCTCAGGTCCGTGGGGATGCTGTTGCCGGCGGCGAGGATGGTGCCCTTGGCCCAGCGGCCGACGGCCTGGGGCAGCTCGTACAGGGTGGGCTGGTACCGCAGGCCCCAGCCGTTGACCGTGTCCTTGATGCTGCCGATTTGGGCCCACGAGGCGCCGCCGTCCTGCGACCGGTAGATGGGGAAGTAGACGGCCGGCGGCTCGGGCGAGTAGTTCTCCCAGGTCGCCAGCAAGGGGCCGGAGCTCAGCGACAGGGCGCGCGCGTACAGCACGCGCGGGTCGACCCAGCCGGCGTTGGACGGCGGCGAGAAGATGACGCGGTTCGAGACCGTGGTCACGGCCAGGGACGCATCTGTGGTCGGCGTGGGTGCCGCGGACGCGAGCAGGGCATTGAGCAGGGCGCCGACGACCGAAGTAGTGAACCTCATCCTTGCACTCGAGACACGATGAACCACAGATGTGGCGGGTCTGCATAGACCTGTCTAGTCATGATGGCATAATGTAGTTTATACATACATTTACAAGTCCGTATCCAGCCGCGGCGGTCGAACTTCCGTGTTCCTGGACGTCGTGGGGTATCAATGCGGTAATGTGACCCTGTTCCTTTTTTCTTGAGCCGCCGAGCAACTTGGCAACGGTTTTTGAAGCCACAGCGGATACCCCAGTTCCCTCGTATCGTGTCACGAGGTGGCTGCATCTGGTGCATGCCGAGGCAATACGACGTTGGAAGTGGATTGGGATATGCTCATCTGCGTGCTACTGGCGGAAACCTAGTCACAGAAAAGGCATGCACAGGAACAAAAACTGGTTTGGCCATCAATGCTTTGTATTGAGCCAATGATCTACCTACTGAGCTACTCAGCTTTTCTCCTTGGCATCCCCTCAAACTGCGTTATGCCGCCCGCCTTTCCTGTGCGAGGCGGGGAATCAGCTCGTCCGCGATCCCGGAGACAGCATCCACAAGGTTCATAAGTGTAATGCTCCTCCCCTAGCCTGGCTGCGAGCCCTCCAAGGCCCCAGACGCAAGGCAAACAAGGGTGACCTATCGTGTGGTCTGAGCGAGAGAGTGACATGAAGTGTAGACAACCGATCCCCCAAGGTCGCGCGCGACTCAAGAGAGCGGAGATCGAAGAAATTCGAATCTGCGCAGGGTGCCCAGTTCGATGTGGGCGTTCCCCCAAAAGCTTCTCTATCCCCTTTCCGAATGTAAGCCAGGCCGCCAGAATGCTGGCCTGGAAAAATGGAAAAACAAGTCGTGGTATTGCTTAAAGACGCAGAAATTCCTAATGCCAGCCAACCCCATAAGAGAATTCGCATGCAGAGTTCCGGGAAAAATCAAAAGAGACCATTCTGTTCACCATGTGACCGTCCATACTGTTTCGTAAATGTTGTTCTGGAGAGGGTCGACCTCTCCGTCACAAGAAAGAAAACCGTGAAAGACAAGACGTTGGGAAGCATGCGATCGTTATTACGTAACTGTCGAACCCGCAACCTCCTTATGCAGGCAAGCCACCCTTGCGCTTTTCGGCGCTGGTGAGCACGAGCATAGAAGGCTTGCGCTGGCCTTCGGGAGTTTCGGGCTTGCTGGCCCTTGGCCCACCATGCTTGAATACGCTGGCAAAGCTGCCGTGGTCACTCTCGCAAGCACTGGACAGGCTTTCGACGCTCTTACGGGACTTCTGGCGCGAGCTGGGACGGTCAGAGCCGATGGCACCCCAGCCAACACGCGTGGTCACCTTGATGGGCTTGTGGGTCTCGAGATCCCCCGAGAGACTGCCAGAACCGCTGAGGCCAGAGTCAGACATGTCATCGGTCAGAGGGGTGCCAGCCTCCTCGGCACTTTCGGAGACGGGGCTTGTGCTGCCAGAGCTACTGCTAGTGCCCTTGCGTCTCTCCATGCCGGCTCGGACGAGATTGTGGACAGCGGAACGTCGGGTGCGGGCGGCAAAATTCTTGCTGCCCTCATGCTTGGCAGTCGGCTTGCTGCGCAGCTCATCAATGGCAGGAGGTCCCCGGGGTTGACGAACAGGATGCTGGCCAGCACGCGCCTGTCCAGGGCCATACCCGTTTGGCAGAGGCGACAGAGGGAAAGGAGCGGTCCTAGGTCCTGCTGCCCTGTTGGCCTCATCGGTGGCGAGAGACAGACCCTTCTGGTTCGCAATGGAGGATGCCTTCTTATGACCTCGGCGGAAAGCGTTGGCGGAGGGAGGGGGGAGAGGAGTTGGCTCGGCCGTCAACTCGAGCTTCTTGGGCGGCGAGTTGCTGCGGAAGAAGGGTCTCTCGTTCTCCATGGGAGGCGGTGAAACCTCAACACGCGGGGTGGCCATATGCTGCTGGAAGGACATGTTCTGCGGGGTAGCAGGCTGGTCCATGTAGACGTTGTTGTACTGAGCCTGGTTCTGATCGACATAGTAGGCCTGCTGACCCGTGGCCGGGTCAAAGTAGGTGTATATGTTCTGTTGAGGCTGCTGCTGCTGCTGCTGCTGCTGCTGTTGCTGGTGTTGGTGCTGCATAGTCGCCATGGACTGCTGAAGGTTCTTCAGTTGCTGCTGCTGCTGGATCAAGTTTTGCAACGCCAACTGCTGCTGGAAACCTTGCTGGCCATTCAAACTCAGACCTTGGAACTGCTGAGCGGCAGCCTGGATGTTCATAAGCTGCTGCTGTAGACGCTGCTGCTGCTGGGCCAGGTACATGTTGGTGGCAACGAGGCGAGCATACATGTCGGGGTCCATCTGCTCCTGGATCTGCTCGTCGAGGTGCAACTCCGGGGGAGCCAGGATTTGATCAGCAGTGTAGTGCTGACCGCCGCCCATCATCATGTGGCCGTATCCCTGCTGCTGTTGGTGCTGTTGTTGCTGCTGCTGCTGCGGGTACTGCTGCTGCTGCTGCTGCTGCTGTTGAGTCGCGAGGCGGGGGAGCGAGGTTTTGGGACCAGCGTAGGAACCCTCGTGGGCGGCGTACATGCCTGTGGAGACACCCTTGCTGCCGTGCATGGAGTGGGCAGCAGGCAGAGCAGAAGTGGCCGAGGCAGGGAAGTTACCAGTTGTGGCCGACTTGGGCGCCGTTCTGAGGCCCGCGAGCAGGTGGGATCGGCTGGTTCGAGGGGTGGGGACACCGTTGTCTTTGGTGTCGGTGGTTCTCATAGACTCGAACGAGAGGGGCTTGATGTTCTGACCACCACGGCGCGAGGCAAGGCCGCCCGAAGGCATGGCCAGGCCGGGTTGCGAAGTGAAGCTGTTGTGAGACATTTGAGCAAGACCACCAGTGTGCATTACTCAGTGAATGTCTTGGTGACGGATCGAGTGAGACTGCTGTTCCAAGCACGAGATTCGAAACAGGCAAATGAGCGAACCACGAAGCGAGACTCGGTGGATCACACGAAGAAGAGATCGGTAAAGAATGGATGACGGCCGGCGAAAATAAACGAATCAGGTTCGGGCTGTCGATGCAGGTATTACAACCGAGTAGGTGGCAGTGTGCGTATTAAGTACCGGTAGGTGGTGCAAGATGCGGGTATACTGGGAAAAAAGGCCGGCCGGTCGAACGCTGTTCTCAGAACTCGAGTGATTCGGATCAGGGTCGTATCAAACGCGATGCCAGGATGACTTCCGGCGAATCCAAGAGTAGCGTGTTGGTTGACGGCGGTTGGCGGTAGAAGACTGTGAACAAGAAACAGAAGCTTGAAAATATCGGGCGGGTGCTGCAGGTGCTATGTTGTCGAGTCGAGTGGATCAAACAAATAGCGTGTTGCGGCGGATGTTTGGAGCGCAGGTCCGGTATTAAGGAATGATGAATAAGTGGTGCGATTGTCGTGAATGAGTGGCAACGGGATGATAATCGTCAACGAGGCAAGAGCAAGCTGCGAGAGTGAATCCGGCACACGGGGCACGAGGCGAGCGACGACTACGCTGGTCGACACAGGGTGCGAAGGCGCAGATGGTTCTCGGTCCTAGGGGTTGGGGGGGCCGTCGCCTAGTCGATCAAGTCCGGGGGCGCTTGTGACGTCGCGAAGAGGCAAAGCCGCGATGCGGTGGTTCCTTTGTCACGGTGAGCACCACGATGAGACAAAGAACAGGGGGGGGAAGAGACGCTCGGCGGATCAATCTAGACGTGGGGAGTCGACGGCGATGGGTTGCGTACCTTTTTGCAGACGAGGTCCTTCACGGCGGGTGGCTGTCGAAGTCAAGGCCTGCCTTCTTGGGTTTGCCGGCAGATGGGGTCGGATGAGCGATCCTGATCTCTCTCTCTCTCGGGGTCTGGGTCTTTTTGCAAGGTCGGCCTTCCGTTCCTCTTCCTTCCGGCGTCGACGAGATTATTTCTGGGCTGTATATCGATATTTTATGCGATGAACGGAAAAGCGACCAACGGAGGCGGCGAAGAAAACCAAATTGTACAGTGATTAAAAAAGTCCCAGTATCAGTCTGATGGTAAATGGCAACAGATGAAACTCGATTCCGGATCCCCTCGTGTGTGTCTTTTTTTCTTTTCCTTTCTTCTTCCTTTTCCTCTTGATGGGTTGGTGGTGGGCGGTGGTGCTTGAATCTTCCCGGGCAACGCGAATTTTTGGGTGAATGCAATCTTTGGTTCCAGCGGCTGACGGGGCGTGACGGCCAACGACGAGCAAATGAAAAGATGATCTGACTGTTTTTTTTTTTTGTGTTTTGTGAATTCACGCGGAGGGGGGTGATTGAGGGGAGAGAGACTAGCCGTCGGGCGGATAAAGGATAGTGGTGCGAGAGAAGGAGGGAAAGGGAAGAAAGAGAAGATGGACAAAAAGCTGTGATGGAGGGAGAGCAGGAGAGGGAGAGAGAGGAGAGAGAGAGAGAAGAGTGGAATTGGACGTGAAGAAAACCCGCCGACGACTGTGACTGGGCGGTTGCTGGGCTGGTCCCAGGTGGTGGGTATGGCGTAACTATTGCAGGCGACTGGGTAATAAGTAAGTACCTTGTGCGCTACATCCAGCTGGGTTTTGCTGGCTGTACTGCAGCCCAGGTACCTACAGACCTAGAACGGGGTGCAGCGCCGGGAACTCGTACTGTACCGTAGCCCTGGGGGTTGCCCTCTGTCCACTCAACAGGCCCCCTCTGGGCTGGGTGGTGCGTGCTTGGATGTGGTGCGTACTGCGTGGCTGCGTGGTGTTTGGGCAGCCTGTACTGGGCCTGACTGGGCCTGACTGGGACGGACGCCGCACTGCGCTGCGACAACCGCTGCGGGCTCAGGTACCTGGCGGGGGGCCCACCTGGGGGCACGGGTCCTGATGGGCTGGGCGATCCATCCCAGCAGCGCAGCCCTGAGAACCCCCTGCGGCCAACCACAGCCATCCAGACTCCAGAGCGCTGAGAGCTGTGGAGCGGACCCTGTCGCCTTGGCCTGTGTCGAGCTTCTCGGGTTAACTACAGCACAAACCTGCTCGCAGCTAGTTATGAGCGAGCCACTTACTCACTCACTCATCAGTGCTCCGGGCACTGGCCAAGGCTGCTGGCAAAGACTGATGACTGGCTCCGCAACTGACTCTGCTCGCACATGTCCACAGTCCAAGCTGTCCCCCTTGTCAAGCGTGTGCCTTCTTTTCACTCACTCACTCACTCACTCGCTCTCCCTCTCCCGGGCCACTCATAGACACACTTGCACACTCGCGCCCTCACCTACATACGCTAGGCCGGCACGACGTGCAGCAGCGAACCCGTCCAATCTAGCTCTGCAGCCTGGCCAATGGCAGCGCAGGCGTCCGCCAGCAGTTCGAGGGGCCAGGCGCGTCAGCGGTGAGAAGAAGGTGGCATTGATCAGTTGCAGCGAGCCCGTCGGGGCCACTCATTGGCCAGCTCCGTCCTGCCTCTGCAGCTCCCCGCCGCCAATGGTGGGTGTGATAGTGACGGTTTGGATTGACGAATTGGGGTCAGATGGGATTCCCCTTCTCGCCTCTGTGGCATCAGGCTACCCGCCCTGGCCAACCAACGGCGTCCATCCCAAAAGGGGGGCCTGTTCATCGGCAAGGGATCGTGACTTTGACAGGGGCCCGCTGGGCGAAGCCGAGTCGAGTCAATGCCAGCCCAGGTTCATCATCCCATCCCATAAGTTAGCTGTTTGTCAACTTGTGGATGAGCAGGATTTGGATGGGTTGACTTCTCCAATTCCCCACGGCTCCCCGATCTCTATTGACAGACAAACAGACCAAGCGAATAAAAATAACTGCAGGGAGTCGACGAGCTGCAGGGAATCGACGAGATCCATCTTCATATCAACCCTGCACAAGCACACTGTATAGCGACCATTAGGCCCCAACATGAGTCAAAAAGGCTCGCACAGGCATGATAGGGCCGTGAGGGCACCTTCGATCACGAGACCTCTCAACAGAGTCTTGACCGGCGAACCATCATTGCCAGGAGGTTGCCGCGACAGGAGCTTGCGCGGGAGGGGCCTGAGAAGAACATGGCATATGGGCAAACTTTCCGCCAGAAGTTCGCTTCATATAGTAGGTAACTCACACAGCAACGCTCTCGCCCGTTGCAGCCTTCTCCCCCTAACCCGATCAAGTTAGAGAAGACCCTCGCCCGTCAAACGCTGGTGCCAGCCAGTTTGAAGATGCACGTCTACACGGCGTAACTACTAACTAACTTGGCTAAGGCAGGGTACAAGATACTGCCAACCCTCCAGAGATGCTCACGTGGCGCTTGCAAGTTACCTCGATTCATCAAGTTCTAGCATCAACGTTCACAATCCTCGCCCATGTCTGGTGCGACGGTTGACGTAGTTCGGGATCGGCTGTGCCACCACGTGAATGTTGAATCCTCTGTGTCCTGCATGATCGCTGTGTGTAAATCGGGAACCCACGCTGAGCCATGCTTTTTCTGACGAAATCCTAATTCTTGGGTTCTTCCATTCTCCTGCCGATCCTCCCACGCTAGACCCTGTCGTCGCGCTCTAGAAAAGGTGAAGGCCCAGAGAAAAGAAGCCTGGCGTCGCCCGAAATTAGTGCCAAGGTTGAGTCTGACATAGTCGAGCGTCCTTCCCAGTCCAATATTTGAGACGGTATAATCAGCCCTTTTCTATGGACAACCTGCACTGCGGGCTGCATGGCAAAGTCGAAATTACGGCAGCCGGAAACGATGACTGTTCTGGCGCAGGTGCGTCAACGGCTACACGCGTCGCACCGCATTGCTCCTTTGGATGGGCGGACCCTGGTGATCGACTGCCACCCATGTTCCCCAACCGTGTCACAAACCCTGCTGTTACTATATTTCAGAATCCAGATACATGGGACCGCTGCGGCCATCAAGGCGGACTGGGCATTTGCATAATCGTCCAAACTTCGTCGAGGGGACGCAGGCCCAAAGCGGCAGAAGGACAAGCTGTCGACTTTCGGCACATTCGGTTGGGCCCCACGATACACGGTTTTGGTCAGATCAATCTGCCAGCCGAGAAAATGGGGTCAGAGGATCTAGCTGATGCTTGTAGTACGTAGTCGCTCGATGGCGGGCGTGTGGGCTATTTTCACCACCACTGTTACCGCTAGACACGCGACAGAGACGCGAATAGTAGGCAAGTCGAGATTAAGTCCGACATACCCAAGGTGTCATTTTATGGCTGTTTACTATTGGGCAAGACATAGGTTATGGGTGTAACTGGCTCCGACCTACGGGTTATTGCAATGCATCGCGGAAGCCAAAGCTTTGCTTGCTGGCCGTCACAGTCAACTCACAAACCACCGTCTGTGCCATGTTAACTATCTATCCAGAAGACAGGTGGACAAACACAGACGACCGGCGGCGGACCAGAGTTGCACGCCCCATGGTTCTGGGCACCGCGAAACAAAGGCCGCGTTCCTGGTAAAGTGGCACCATACTTGCTGCCTCCTGCATTGCCTCGACCGAGCTAGAGAAGAATCTGAGACAAGTGATCCCCTAAAAACTGTGGGACGAGCCTCCGTGCGCCCGGTTTCCCTCGCCGCCCCTCAGGTTTGAGATGGGTGGCAACCGGACTTGCCCATCATCAAAGCTCCCCTCTGCGCCTACGAGTTACTGTGCACGGCATTAGGGTTACCTGAATCTGAATCAGTCTATGCAGGTCACGAGCCCCGTGACCTGTTCTTCTGCTGCTCTGGGCTCTTTTCGTTCGTTGCGCGTGCTGCGGACAGCTGTGAGGCGGCCGGAAGGCCAATTGACCTCGGCCAGCGCGAGGTTCCATCCTCACGTACCGTACCGCGAAATGAGACGTGGATTACGAGGCGTTTCTCCTGGCCCATTTCCACACCACCGAGCTAGAGAGACGCGAGACCGCTTGACCGCCAGCAAAGCCGTTGGCCGGATCGCGAGCTGGCCAAGAGGTGGATGATGGCCCTTTCGCGCTACGGAAATTTCTGCCATTCGGCCTGACTTTTTTTTTACTGGGACGCTTGGGGTCTTCGCTAGCCATCTGGACCCAGATCTTCAAGGGCTCGCTCATCGAATCCATCCCAAGGAGGCGCTGGGGTGCTGTTACCGCGTCACCCTAGTCTAGATTGCCGCGGTTAACAAGCAACACCAGTTCGGGCACCGCGGACCACCTGGCTTGCCTGGGCAAACTGAAAAAGTACTGAAATGACTCTTCGCATGAGAGATTGTATATATCAATCCTGTTCGCAGATCATACTCGTTACAGTCGAAGATCATCGCGAGACATCCACAATGTTCACGCCGGGACGCCTTGCCAACTTGCAAGTCTTGTCAAATAACTGGCAGGTGTTCGGAATACGAACCATCATTCTTCCTAGGAATCCGATCTACTAGCGGCCTTCCAAAGCCGGAGGGGGTGTTATGCAAGCTGCAGGGTGAGCGCCAAGTCTGCTTCCACTTATGCAGCCTATTCGCACACAGCGCTCTGGACCCCGGCCCACAAGCGAGCCGGCGCTTAAGTGGTCAATCCAAGCGCGCCGTTTTCTGCCCGACTCATCGGTTGTCGACCTCTCACGGATACCAACGTGGCAGTAGGCGGGCCCTCGACTGGAGAACAGCACCGGTGCTACTTCGATGAGGCGCACAGGATTAGCTTGTGGTAGGACAAGTTCGGTACCATTAGGACTATACTTGGTAGGGGTCCCCCAGCTGCGTTACACTGTAGACGTCGTTATGCGCCTGGCCCATTCCATATCTACATCGCTTCATCAACACAACACCGCTGACTTGATTCCCAGAACTATATCTGCTTGTGAAAAGAGATCTTATATATACACGTAGCTGTATCTGCAGCTCTAACGCTTCTCGTCTAGACCAGTCGCAATCAATAAGCTCACTTGGCCTATGCGACTCGTTCAGAGAATCAAAGCTTGTGAATAGGTACTAAGTCTGCTCTGGACTCAACCACGGCGCTCGCCTCTGCCGACTAGAGCTCTTGCTGCTTTCCGGAAGCGTCTACCTCGCCGGTATATACTGTAGGCTACTACGATGATTCTAATCGAGAGAAAGACGCCTGGAACTATCTGAGCAATAATTGCCACTATAGCACCACGGCTTATCCATAGAGAGAACACATGATGTTGCTAGTACTCGATCCTGTTGGTGTGTCACGCTAAGTCGCATTGCTAGTATACCTTCTGCTGGACCTGAAATTTGCCCATTTACCGTCGGCATGGCCTCTGCTGTACCTCTCCATGTGACGATCCAGGCAATACGTTGACTTTTTGTCTCTACACATTTGGTGAGTCAGCGGTTGCCAGGACTTTATGCATGTCTGTACATAGGAGATACAAGTGAGCCGTTAAACTGCACTAGGTTACGCATCGGACTTGTCTATGACTATCTTGTTTGTTTCTCAATCACAACAGATCATCGACCTGTTGATAATGGGGCTAAACGGCTATGAGCAGTTACTAGGTCCGCTCTATAGCCTTCTTTGGGTTCTTATTATTCAAGATTTGCAGTGCAGACTCACAAAAGGGTGCTGCCTCACACAGTGTCCAAGAAAACGGACTTACGGTTCACGATCAAGCTGCTATGAAAGCAGATGCTTACTACCAACCTCGTTTCAAGCAGAGCTCTAACGCGAATGTCTCTCCAGCGTTACGCAAGGAGATTATGCCGGGAAGCGTAGTAAATTCAGCAGGTCTTAGAAAGAAAAGAGCTTTCTTCCTAACAAGGATAGAAATTAATAATTGCGACAGGAATCTAGCAAGACTATCTCGTGCTCTCAGTTGATGTGACAATGACCGACAAGAAACCCATGGCTTCAGACACGAACCGCCGACCATGTTCCATAAGAGGAAGACCCATCGCGACTGAAAAGCATATCGATACGCACCGTTTATCCGCCTAGTTGTAGGCAAGTGAAGAAATGCACGTGGAATGCCGCGCTGATCGAGCTAGGAATAGTTTTATTCGCCAAATACTGGCAGAGCTAGAGGTAACTTCTATATGTTCACACCAAAGGAGACTTGGTGACAGAACATGATATCGCCATTGTTGCAACAGTCACGTCAAGGCGCGAGCGTCCGTCCAAGTTGTGATTAGGAGACCTTTAATAGCATCAAGTGCACCCTAGTCAGTCGGTTCTTTACTACTCGGATAACACATGCCTATTCCGTGTCGTACTGCATGGGCGCAAGCTACTTGCCATCAAGTATGCCAAACCGACCTGTTGCGGTGATTGGCGATCGCTTGGTGGTCTTTTTCGTTCCTTGCATCTGTGCTATACACGACTTCTTGGTCCATGGCAATATGGAGTTGATGCGGTTGGTGGAGCACACGGAGTAAGTGGGAACGCTCGGAGTGCCGGAGTGCCGGAGTTGAAGAATTATCGACCTTGTCAGCCTTGCGATGAATGGCACTAACAGCGCAAGTATTCAGCAACTGGGTCATGGAAGTTGGCTGAAGCTTCCGGAAGTCCAGTCATGCCAGTGGGCACGCTGATCGTGAAAGAAAAATCTATTAGTGACGTTCAAGGAACTAGCGAGACCTGGATGTCACTCTTGAGCTTAAAAACAAGAAGACCGCCCTTCTGAACTCAGTTGGACCCATAGCTTCGTCATTTCTGTCCGACAACCACACCTACCCACTTCACAAATCAAAAAGTGGTAGTACGACTCCAACAAAAACACATAATAGTTTCATCAACTCCATCAACATCATAAACACAATGTCGATTCCTCAGTCCTTCAAAGCAGCCGTGGTGCCCGAGCCAAAGGCTCAAAATGTCATACGCGAGCGTTCCCTGGCACCACTTGAGTCTGGAGAAGTCGGTATCAAGGTCACAGCCACAGCCGTCAACCCGGTCGACTGGAAGATGCGCGACCACAGTGCATTCATTAGCAAGTACCCTGCCATACTCGGGTCAGATGCAGCTGGAGTCATTGTCGACGTCGGTCCCGATGTCTCCGAGTTCCAGCCCGGCGATCACGTTTTCTTCCAGGGCATGATCGGAAAAGATGACTACTCGACCTATCAACAGTACTGCAAGATGCCCGCCATTCTTGTCTCCAAAACTCCGGCAAATATTAGCGACGACCAGGCTGCGGGCATCTGGCTCGCTACAATGGCCGTCGTCACTGCCTTCTATGACAAGACAGGGCATGGGGTCTTGGCTCCCTGGGAACAGGGAGGGGCCCAGGCAGGCAAAGGCAAGGCTATAGTTATCATCGGCGGCGCCTCGTCTGTAGGCCAGTATGCAATCCAATTGGCGAGACTGTCAGGGTTTGAGAGGATAGTCACGAATGCAAGTGTCAACAACCACGAAATGCTGAAGAAGCTTGGTGCACATGTCGTTCTCGACCGCCTTCATTCAAGCCCGGAGGACTTCAAGACTGCGATTGGAGATGTGGCATTGGATTTCGTATTTGACGCTATCTCGTCCAAGACGACACAGACCCAAGGCGTTGGCATTCTGCAGGCGGCAAGAACCGAGGCTGGGGAGCTTGTGACAGTACACGTCGTACACCCGAAAGAGGTAGATGCTGATGCTGTAGCACTTGGCCAATCGAAGCAGCCCAACGTGGCAGTCAAACAAATCTTGGGAGCTGGTTCTGCCCCAAACTTGCGTTATCTCAGCGAACCCTTGGCCAAGGCTCTTGGAGGCGAAGACGGCTGGGTTGCCAAAGGATTGTTCGTGCCAAACCGACCGAGAATTGTTCCAGGGGGACTTGGCGCGGTTGAGGAGGCTCTGAGCCTTAATAAGAAAGGGGTTTCTGGCGAGAAGGTCGTTTTTCGCCCCTGCGAGGTGTAGCAAGCAACTCGGAACGCACTACTAAATATCAAAATCATGCAGGGGCTACTTTGGGTTAAACAGATATCTGAAGCAATGAATATGAGAATGAAGCCGCCCTCGTTGAGTTACTCCAACTATGGAACAAATGGTCCTAGGCCGGCTCGATTGATATCTAGAAACGCTGGTAGTGACCAAGTGGCTTGCGTCCATAGACTACATAAACTGTAAAATAGAAACGGTTGGATGTGTCACGAACCTCTGCCTTCGCGTTGTTGACCAGTGTTTCGATTTCTGAAGGCGTCAGTCCTGTCGCCTGCAGCATCTTCCATCCAATACCCCGTAGGCCGTCAAGTGCATTTCTCAGCCACCAAAGTCCCACTCTCCGGATTTTGCGCTCCTTTGGCCAAGGGTTTGCAGGTAGCAGGTACTTCTCTTCTACTACCCCTTCGTCTGCCATTGGAGTTAGTTATTCGTTGGCGAGAATGAAAGGAGCAGGCCCTGTGTCTGCCCAAATTCTGGGAGCTCAGTTCCACCTGGGAAAATAGTCGACAAATTTGTAATAGAATATACCTACAGCCTAATTCCTCCAGCCAACCTTTCAAGCAAGGCGCAGTTCTCATGTCACGTCCTCGAAGTATTCTTGCGCCGGCGTTGCATCGATCGCAATACTCCTTGTAGGCGGTACCTAGGGCTTGTTATAACGATCATCAAAAAAGCTGTGGTGGACTACCCACCTTCAGCTGTCCCTCCCATGACTCCAAGATCAAAGATGGATTCTTGATACTCAACCCAGCCCCCCGGATTGAGGCTGTCAAACACGGATTGAGCTACGCCTCTGGGGTTGTCAAAGCATGAGAAAGTAAATCTTAAGTGTATATAATCAAACAGTATGCCGCCGAAGTCCCAGTCTTTCTCTGCGTCTTGCCTGTAAAACTGGCAATTGGGAGCGGCAAGATTCAGAGGTTGGATCAGGCTGAGATCTGTACCAATAACTTGCGCGTTTGGAAACTTCTGAGCTAGAACACTACTTGTTAATACGAGATTTTCATACAAGCAGATGGACATACCAAACTCTAAGGCCCATATACCAGTTCCTGTAGCAACATCAAGCGTGTACTTGAGGTTTGGATCCAGAGGAGCTCGAAACAAGCGATCACCAAATAGTTGCACAAGTGCCGCGTGCTGGAAGTCAAGACGATCCTGTTCGGCCTAGGAGGAAGGTCAGCGACATTAACATGCCAGTAGGTTCGGGTGATTTACAGCGTCATTGGGCAAAAAGTATTTCCCGGGCTCGTACCCATGGTAAGTACGCCCAGATTCGCCCAGGATCGAGCCTGGCTCAGCTACTGATGATCCAGACGATACACGATTCGCAACCTCATCATCTGTGCCTGGGACGAGGAAGTCCGTTACAAAATTATGTGCATTGTGAAACTGGGGCAGTCCCAAAGATGTAGGCAGTTCGTGGAGTTCCGGCACAAACTGGAATGGGTCTCGCAGCCTATATTGGAATCCAACAGCGCCACTAAGTAGGCTTTCTTGGGATGAGTCCTGGACCGATGAGCCTTGTTGTTCATAGTGGGAAATTGACTGGTATGGATGCCCTTCGAGGTCGGAGCAAGGGGCTGTTGCTGATGTGCTTGTTGCCTCAATTTGCAGATTGTCAGTGTACAGGTAAGTCCTATCGGTCAATTGTGAACGAAAAGGACCCGACAATTGGGGATCTTGTCTTTGGGATTCAGTGGCACGGTTGGGGGGTAACCCTGGACCTGTCTCTGGCGTATCAGGCATGTTGGCGCCAATCTATGCGAATTCTTCGATGAACAAGTAAGTCTCTAGAAATTTAGAGAGGCGAGTGTTTGGGGCACACCGTTATGACAGGTCGGATCGCATTGCGGAGGCGAGGGGAAACAATGCAAATCGAATGTTGACCCCCCTCGGTTCTTCCTAGTTCGGCTCAGTATCCGAAACACTACCAGACCCTCGGGCCGGCTACATACAACCGAAGGAGGCTCAATGGCTCATTGTAATATTAGGTTCGATTGAGAGCATAATTTCCTCCCACACAAAGTAATAGATAACAACAGATATGACTTTTGATTAGATTTTCCAAAAGGTACCTTGATCTGCGTTATAATGAGGGCACATGTCCATGGATCAGCCTCCAAAGACATGAATAAAGTCTAGAGTATCTGGAGAATACAGTGGTGTGACATGGCTGCCACCGATGGCACTACTTGTGGATCATCATTTAGAATGTCAAACAAAAAAGACTTAGAGAATGCGCCAGGCTGCTTTAGTATACTATTTGAAACATATCAGAAGCGCTGTCGCCTGTGTATTCCATGATCAATTCATGTGATTTCCCTACTCCACCAATCTGAACCGACCTTCAACACATGAATAGAGTTGCAGAAAAGTTTCAGCCTCCTTGAAGCTGAGTCTGTGGAGCATATACACGTATATTAGTGCTCCGAGTAGCGTGCCATCCTTCTCTTCAGTTGCCGAGGTATGCCCTTAGCGCTGCCCTCTGTTTCTACTCTGATTCTGGGTCTTTCGCCATTGCTCATGTCTTTCAGTAGAATCAACACCTGGTGGCGAATGACATTGACAAGCACACAATCCTTTAGGTGCTCGGGTACCTTAACGTTGATTACTGCTTGTCGACGGAGGGCTATGGTTGGTTTGCCATCGTCTTCTGCGACTTCCTTAGGCTCCTCTTGTACGTCTTCTCCTTTGGGCGGAACATTCTCTGAAACGCTTTCCGGGGTGCTTTGGTCTTTAACGTCGTCTTCTAGGAGGCTAGCAGGAATTGGCTCCTTTCCCTTAGCACCGCGAGCAATAGCGAGAAGGGTCGCTACAAACAGCTCCTTCAGGTAAGCGAAGCTGAAGCCGTCCGTCATGGCTGCAATCACGTCGCAGGCATCGTCAGGAAACTCTGTACGAGGGTTCTTCTCCAACTTCTTCTGCCAGTACTTGGCATATGAAGCACGCTCAGATTGACTGGGTAGTTGATAATGGTACTTGCGATCAAATCTGCTGGGCCTATCCCGAATGGCCGGGTCAAGCTGATCAAGGTGATTAGTCGAGCCGATCATCAAGATACCGTCGTTGCTCTCCAAGCCGTCAACTTCGTTCAGGAAGTAACTACGGGTTTCATTCGTAATGAGGGAGTCCAGGTCCTCAAAGATGAGTAGGCAGGGTGCCATCTTCCGCGCTTTGCGAAAGATCGACCGGATCGCATACTGCTGCCCAGCATTACGATCCTCGAAACTTTTGACGTAAAGACTTGGCACAGGGTCGTCTGGGCGTCTCTGCAGCCGCGCCATCAAGGCCTTGATGCTGATAGTCTTCCCATTGCCAGGCAAACCATGGAAGATGATGCCTCTTTTCCAAGGAACCTGAAATTCTTGGTATAGACCTCGCGAGTCGAAGAACCCTTCAACATCCTCTATAAGACCCTCTTTCATGGTAGGATTCAGAATGACATCGTTCCATGTTGAGGATTGAATGTCTTTCCACAGCTGTTTTGACTTGGACCAATAGGCGCTGTCAAAAACATAGATCTCTTCGTGAAGCTCTCGCGTCCATTCTCCGACGGATAGTAGTAGCTTCTTCGTTGTTGCGGTGACTCCTCGTGGGGGTGTATCAGGCTCGCGCTTAGTGAGTACGAACAGATAAGTTGCATATCCACAATTGGTCGGGACCCTTGCCGAATATAGGACGAAAGATGCTTCGTTCCAGGTATACTGGTATTTTGTCCACCAGGAACTGTAACGAAGTTGTCCAGGTTTAGTGTCTTGCTCGCTCCGCGACGGACTTGCGATGTATGCGACACTGCTCGTTAGAGTATGGTCGTCCTCTTCAATCTCGCAATTGGCGAACCCGGCCTCAGCGTACCCCATGAGATCGAAGTCGTCAGTGTCAATCTCGATAACATGATAGTCTATGTGACGTTCTTTGAGCACTTGAAAAAGAAGCAGCTCGGTATGGGTACGGGGTCGTTTGCAGTGGGCCTTGAAGTCCTCGAAAGAACCTTCTTCGGCTTTGACTTCGGTAACAGTCATTGTGCGAAACGGTGTAATCCTATCGTGTGGTATCAAGAAGAGGAATCAAAATTTTAAACGAAAAGAAGAATATTCCAAATCATCTCACCCGTGATGACATCTGTCATATATAGCAGATTCGGCATACCTTAGGCTGTGAGTGCCGCGACCCAACGTCCACAGCCTTAGGCCCTTCGAGGAAGGCAACTAGGAATAGTCACGGCAGTGGCACGTTAGGCAGAATTGCGGTACCTACATCACGTTTCTGCAAAACCTTCCGCAGTAGCCAAGGCGGCGCCTGGTCTGATCTTGCCCCAAATCTCCATGATTGGTTGCTTGCGATTGAGAAGTGGTGGGACAGTAAGGCAGCATCAGTATGACTGCCTTGGGCAGGCTGACAGCCTACTTGACATTCCCCAGTATCCTGCAACCCGTGATGTGAGAGGTTGGCAATACAGTGGCAGCCTAGCAGTTAGGATGCCGCGTCAGCGGGGGAGACGCGGGGATAAGTGATCTGCAAAGCATCGTGCGGCGAAGCATTACCACCTTGTGAAAAATTGCATTCCATAGTGAACAGTACCTAGGTATTGGCTTAGTTACGGCTCTCTACATTACACAGGTTAATAATAACCAAAGGTTGGAGATTGCAATTTGCGATGCAACTTTGAATCGTTGATGTTGCCCTCACTAGATCCTGTCTGAAATCTTAGCACCAACTTCTTAAACAGCTATTTAGTTGACTGTACATTGCCTTATCGCCTGGCCATGTCGATAATAGTCAGGCTCATGTCGAACTTATGAGATTTTGTATTGTCAGTAACATTCCTGCTTATTCTTGCCTTCCGTCCTGACCTTACGGATTAGAACTTATGAATAGATGACTCAAAGTACAACGATCAAACCTTCAACTCTCATCAACGAGCAAAAATGAAATCCCCAGACTTGTAGAAAGTCACCTATCGTGTATCTGCTGGAATGAATTCCCTACCGCTTGGTCACCTAGTCTTGCCTTCCTACTTCGATACCGAAAGTTTATTACCCGATCTCTGGCACAGGCGTACTCTGGGCGCATACAATTTGCTTAGGAGTTCAGATTTTGCACATCTGCACCAGGTCCCCCTACCATCGTTATCAAGGACCCAAATGTCAGGCCAATGAGCTTCAAGATGCTTCTAACCGGAATATGCACCCCTTTGGACAATTTGCTTTCTTTGCGGTTAGGGACGTATATTTCAACTCACATGGTATGAACACATTGAGACAGTGACGCAAGTTTGTATTGCGAGCATGACTTCAGCTGAGAAGAATAGCCTTTATGGCCATCGAATGCGTTCCACGACTAGTCAAAAGGGGTTCCCGATCCCATCGTCTTTGATTCAACACCCTAGTCCCGGCTCATCAAGCTTTTGGAGAAAGCCTGCATGGCGTGCTTAGTAGCATGGAGCCAGGGTCGAACCCCGCCCAAGGCAAGAGTCGCTTATCAGATCTGATGCTTGCTTCGGATCCATGAAGCCGCAATAGGCAAATCCATACGCAATTGGTTCACAAGGCTCGTCGTGTAGCGTCGGAAGCACGCCACCGGCGGTCTTGATAACGTTCCGGGCACTACGGTCCCGCAGCATTGGCCCTGGCGTTGATGATAACGTATTTATCGCCTCATGGCGCTGTGGACGCTCGAACTCTACCAACCTTGATATCTAGCCGCATCACAAGATTGGTAGTCGGTGTTATCACGCGAAGACGTTAACAGCCTTAGCCTTCCCAACAGACGAAGACAACATCGTATCATTTCTGCGGCCGAGTCCTTGTCCGCTGGAGCCAGGCGTTGCCGAATTACCGATGAAACCCAAACATGCGAAGACCAATGCACCAGATACGACCGGTGTCGCGCCTGTTACCGTCACAAACGGGCATGGCGACATGGGAGAAAAGTCCATCGGCAGAGGTGCAGATGCTTTACTGGCATATGCTGACCCATCCGGCGCCGTCTACCTGGATGAAGCAACCAACCAAAGACTGCTGTGGAAGATCGATACGCGTGTGCTACCTTGGCTATGCGGGCTGTATATCCTGCAGTACCTCGACAAAGGCGTGTAAGTTAACTTGCTCAACTGCTTCGAGATTCTGAAGCACCCGATATTTCACAAAACAGGTTACTGATCCGGGGCAATCCAGCCTGAGCTATTCCTCCGTGATGGGCATCTTGACCGATGCGGATCTGAGCACGAGCCAGTTCACCTGGCTGGGCAGCATCTACTATCTTGGCTACATGACTGCCTTGCCCATCCACAATCGCGCGCTTCAGGTCTTCGTACCCTCAAAGTGGATCGCGGGTAGCATGGTAGCGTGGGGCCTCGTTCTTGCGTTCATGACGCTCTGTAATAGTTTCGCGGCCCTCATGGTCCAGAGGGTGTTTCTTGGGAGTCTCGAGTCTGTAGTCAACTGCGGCTTTGTGCTTCTGACAGCCCGGTGGTATCGCAAGTACGAGCACGCAGCGCGCGTGTCCATTTGGAGTTCGTGCAATGGCCTTGCGACCATCGTCGGGGCCGTCATCGCGTACGGCTGTCTGGCTGGAGTCGAGACCGGCCTCCACATTGTACTGCCATCCTGGAAGATCATGGCACTGTGCCTTGGACTCGTGTCCATTGTCTACGGAGCTGCCATGTTCCTCCTGATGGCCCCGAGTTTGGTCGAGGCGCGCTTCTTCACCGAGGAGGAAAAGGTGCTCGCCGTCGAGCGATTACGCCAGAACCATCAGGGTATCGGCTCGAGCGAGTTCAAGTGGTACCAGGTTCGCGAGGCCGTTTTAGATGCTCGTACTTGGCTCTATGTGCTTTTTGTTCTTACGTCGCAAATCCCCACAGCTGGTCTGAGTCTGCTGTCCAGTCTGTTAATCAAGTCGCTCAACTTTGACAGTAAGCAAACGCTCCTGCTCGGCATGCCAGGCGGTGCTCTGCAGATCATCTTCCAGCTCTCAGCCGGCCTCATCGCCGATCGGACGCAGCAGCGCAGCCTGACAGCTCTTGTCATGCAGCTCATATGCCTATTTGCCGCCGGTCTGCTGATCGGGCTGGCCAACGTCGGGACTCTGTACGACCGTGCTGGACAGCTGGCTGCATACTTCATCATGGGCGGCGCCTCGGCCATTGGCTACTTCTTGGTCCTCGCCACAGTGGCATCAAATGTACTTGGGACGACCAAGAAGACGACGACCAATGTGATCTTGTTCGTGTCCATGGCGGCCGCCTATCTGGTCGGGCCTCAGGTGTTCCGCGACCCGCCTTACTACTATCGTGCGAAGTATGCGACAGTGGGACTCTGGGTAGCGTCAGTAGTCATCTTGATGGTGCTATACTATATGAATAGGTGGGAAAACGATAGACGGGATAAGGCACAAGCTGTGTTGGCGCAAGAGGGAATCGAAGCGGTGGCAAATGTTGAGTTCCTCGATCTTACGGACAGAGAGAATGGTAACTTTCGCTACGTTCTTTAAGTCCTGTATCACCAATCGTTCGCGCAAGATAATACGATGAATACATGTATTTTGGTAGACCAAAATATGCCCTTGTTGAACGCTTCGTCTGAACCCCTGACCAGGTGCTTCGAACTTCATGCTTACTACCAATGCACCATCTGTGGTATCAGATACGTGAATTGTGGGTGTGGCCTCGGTGTATATTCACCCTTGTGTAGAGCGGTGAAAGCAAGAACTCTTTAAGTACAAATACGAGTACCATTTTCGTAAACCATGAAGCATGTTCATAATACATGTTCTCCTCCAAGCCCAGCAGCCTGCGCAATTGGTTTGCCCACCCTTACAGATACTGAATGAGGTGACATATTTTCGGCGGTTATCTGCAGCCCCTTGCTTCAGAGACAACAGTAATAGAAGCTTGGAGTGGTATACGGAGACATGCGTCACTTCATCCTGGCAGCGCTGCTGTTGAGCAGAACCGTGCTAAGCGCCGTAGACACCGCAGGAAGCGGCATCCAGCCGCCGGCGCCCAAGCCATGGTTTGATCAGCACGCAAGCATGGTGAAGCACACGTACCTGCACCCCGAGACAGGCGACGAGCACCAGATCATGTTCCACGAGTCGATCCAGTTTGACCCGGTCCCGCGCGGCCTCACCCCGCAGCCCGATGACACGAGCCCGTACCTTGAACATCCAACCACGGACAACAACCCCAAGAACTTCCAGTGCGACATGGACGCGGCCAGGTTCGAGAACCTCACGGGTATGCCTGGCGACGGCGACGCGTACGTGCAGAACTGCCAGGACATCCTCAACTGGATGGCGCCTCACACTGCCCTGTGGAGCCTGAATGGCGACGTTGTAAGTCTAGGGGAAGCCTGTAAGGGGAAGCGCACACCCATCTTTGGGCTCGATGTGGCTGTTCGTGGGCGTTCATGGCTGACTCAAGCGCACAAGTTTCACCAAGTCAGGGAGGGCGAGTACATCGAGCTTGTGCGCAAAGACAACTGCACCTTTGGGATCTTCCGGATCGACTTTGAGCACGAGTGGGTGGGAATCCACACGGCAGACGTCACCTACATCATAAACAAGGTCCTCAGCCTGGGGCTGGGCTTCTTGTCCCTGACGAAGCCGGCGAAGGTAGAGGCAGATGGGTTCATGTTCTGCAACACCGATCAGCCGATTGGTTGGGGTCTGTACAACAGCAATGCGCTGGACAATGATCAGATTGACTGAGGTTGATCATTATTAGTTGTACCCTGCTGCGAAGCATTGCCGCGCAGAGAGGCCATAGCAGACAAGAGCACAAGGCAGGGACCAATCTAGATGTAACGCATTTAGATATCGTGAGCAACATCATGCGCTGTGAGTCTACGCGAACCTGAAATCTTTCTATACTTTGCGAATGCCTCATGGAGGTCCGTGGCCGAGTCTTCATTTGGTGGGCGAGCTGCGTAAGGTTAGAGTGAATCCGCTTGTGTATTACGTCAAACTGTTGTTCAGATCTATTTCAGAAGGCCTCAAAACAGCTTCTATGTTTGCCTCGCTTCGGCGAACTCAAATCAAAATTTTTTCGTGGATATCAATGCTGCTGGTGGGTGGTGAAAGATGCTGGGGACGTTTACAGCTTCTGGCCATTGCTGTGGTCCTCTACTTCGCAAAACGCCTTGAACGTGATAAACTCGTCATCCTTGTCACCTTCAGACTCCAAGACTAATTCCGCTGTGGCACCGACAAAGTAGACCCAGCCCTCCTTGATCTCCTTAACCGTGGGTCCAACGGAGATCTTACCCTTGCCGTTCGTGCAAATAATGATGCTAGGGCCGTCAATGGGGTCGAAGGTAGCCTTCGAGCCGCTTCCCCTAAGCGCAGACCGGATGACGCTGAACTCGTCGATAGGGGGATCGTACAGGATCGCTTCCGAGCCAGAGCTGTAGGCAGTGCGGTTGAGGGTGACAAAGGGGTACTCCTTGGGCTCCATCTTCTGCTCCTCGATGGGGGCGTAGTCGTAGGTCAGGAGGTCGACCAAGGTCTGGACATCCTTGAACTTGGGGGTGAAGCCGGCACGGACGACATTATCACTGGCAGCCATGCACTCAATGATGTCGCCAGAAACATAGGCATGGATGTCGTCGGCCTTGAGGAACATGGCCTCACCCGGCGACATCTGGACATAGTTGAGGAAGAAGAGCACGAAAAGGCCAACGTCGTCCGGGAACTGCTTGTTCAAACGGGTAACGAGCTCCGACAACACGGCACCGCTCGAGGCCTCGACACCGCCATCGGCAAAGTCGGCCCCCCTGGTCTCAGCATCAGCTACGAGCGCCTTGGCAGCAGAGGAGACGGCGTCGGGAGACGACTTCATGAGGGCAGCAAAGGCAGACTGGAGAGCGCGCTTGTTTTGGGTAGTTGACTCTGGCGAATCGTCGCTCCCCTGGCCACGCACGGTGGCAATGAATGCCTCGGCCTCGCCCCCGCCAACCAGCTCCCGCAGTGCAGGCACAGATGAGAGGAAGTGAGCGATCTCGGCCAAGGGTCGGAAGCCGCAGAGACCTTCAAAGTCCGTTACGGCAATGGTCATCTCGGGCTTGTGGTTGTCGTCGGGGTAGTTCTTGGGGTCCTTGGCGTGGAGTTGCTCGGCCAGCTTCTTGTTCGGATGGGCCTGGATGGACAAGGCCTTGTTGATGGAGAGGACCTTGAACAAGAAGGGCAGCTTTGCGCCATAGCGGGCCTTGACAGCTGGGGCTAGCAGAGCGGCGTTGACCTCGACCATGTCAAGCAGGGTGCGGCCAGTGTCCACGTCCTTGGACGGGTTGGACGGGTGAGTGCCCATCCATAGCTGTGAGCTGGTCAGCATGTGTGCGGCCATTGCCATTGGAGGATCGACCCCAGGAGAGGAGCGAGAGCGGGAGCGAGCTTCATGATGCCATGAGAGCGCCTGTGACCTCGGCGTCCGGGCCAGGGGGGGAAGAAGAGCCTCACCTCTGCGTAGGGTTTATCTGACTGGATGCTGAAGCCGTCCCGCGGCGTGGCAGCAGCGAACTTGGCGGCGGCTGAATCAGAGCCGACCTTGCCCCAGTCATATGAGTTGACTCCGCATTGAAGTCTGAACAAGGGGACCTCGAGCATGGCGATGGCGGGCGGTGTGGCTGGCTGGCTGGCTGGCAGACAACGACAGAGGTGGGATTCCGACGACTGAAGATGGCCTTTTTCTGGCAGGGGCAGGAATGCGTCGTCGACTGTGTTCCTCAATAACGAGAAGCGTATTCGATTTTTTTTTTCTATGTCACGATTTGTTGAGAGCCGAGCTGATATGTCGGCCAAAATGGTCCACGTTGGTCAGAACAATTGCCCCGCCTCGCCTCCCGTTGCCTTACAGTACACACACACAGCACACGCAGCCCCGCGGCTGGCAGCCAGCCCATGATCCATGGTGGATGATCCTCGTGCCCCGCGATTCTTGCGGAGCTCGGACCAGGGCAGAACCAGCCAATTCCAACTAACTTACGGCGCCAGGTTCCAAGGTTACCTTGTCAGGTTGTGCTGGAGCATGCTCAATGAGCTCCATTTACACCGCCTACCTGATCAGGCCGCACTCATCCTCCAGCGGGCCTGGGGGCTCCCTCTCAGCTCAGGCCAAGGTCGCGGACTTGAGGGTCCCAGCTGTGGAAGTTAGCTAGCAGCCCGCCCTGGAACACCGATTTACTGGCTGTGGCTGTTGTTTGGTGCCGACGCCGACGCCGACGCCCCTGGCTGCTGCCGTCCCCCCCCCCCATGCCATTTTAGACTTCACGATCACAGGCCATGACTACCTGCGCGATCGCGAACATAACTCAGACCCTGCGCCTGTAGCCACTAGACGCACACATCCATGCGCTCCTGGTCCTGGCCTTGCTCTGTCTGCTGCTCCAACTCCTGATGCATCGAGGTCCCCGTACACAGAGCGCCTTCCTGGTCATCCTGTCTGTCTCATCGCCGTCCATCCCTGTTACTCAGCGCATGCAGTCGCGACTCACTCGCTCACTCCAGTTGCTTTCATACCTACCGAGCTGCCCAGGGAGCCAGAGCCACCGGTGACGCATTTTGGCGACATAGATATATACCTGCATAGGTAAGCAACCCAACTGAACCAGTTGGACTATGGGACGGACACTCCCGCTCTTTCTCTCTCGTCTCATGTGCATACATGCTTTCACACACGTCACGTCCTCGTCGAGATCGTCTGCTGTGCCTTCAAGTGAGCTCGGGCGGTTCGAACAACTATTAGCTGCTCCCGCACGACAGACGAGCTTCTTGTTATATGTCACATTCTATCATTCTTGCCGTATCTATAGTCTCAAGTCATGGCTCCTAACCATTTGAAGACACAACTTGAGAGTGACCTTGGCCCCAGCTGGTCCAAGCCGGCTACGCCGCGTCGTGTGCGACAGCTTAGCTCCAAGACCTCAGACAGCAGCTCGCTATTCGAACCCGCCTCTTCCCCAACCGGGCGGGAGCCGTCTGGGGAGAGGACTGCATCGCCACCTACTCGCAGGGTCTCGGCGTCAGCAATAGCAAAGGGGTCAGGTGCAAGCCGCAAGCTTAGCTGGAAGTCTCAGACTCCCAAGACCAGGTCCGATTCGGCTCCCATATCTCGCCAATATTTGGAGGGGAAGCACGGTGGCGACGAGGAAAATAAGGCCGACGAGACATTTTATAAAGTTTCGGCGTCCAAGAGTCCAGGGCACATAATCGGTGAAGCCCTCCATCAGCCTCCTGACCGATCCAGCTCCTCTGTAGCACCACCGGATAGGGGATCCAGGACGCCCCCTTCAGAGGTGCGATCCAAGCCGGACGAGCGTCGAGCCCAGCTGGGCAACGGGCGGAATAGGAACAGCAGCAAGAGCAGCACCAGCACCAGCACCAGCACCATGTCTTCGCAGAGGAATCGAGGGCAGCGCGGGGCCAACCGCAATAGCGACGCATCCGGCTACGGCGAGGAGTATGCGCTCTGGCAGTCTATCCAATCACAACTGAACTCGTTTCTGCAAAGCTTCAATGATGCAAGTGAAAACGTGCTTGGGATTCGAGATCAGGAGCATCAGATGGCCGAGAAACGAGATGCTGGCGGTATGCTGTATACCTAAAGTACCATGCAACCTCCCGACTAACAATGCTCCTAGGAAACCTCCTCCCCGACTTCAGCCAGCTAGACACACTGCTGAGGACCGGTGTCAAGCTGAACGAGGACGCCAACGCCACTGTGAGGGAGTTACTGGAGAAGACCAAGGTGCTGCGCGCCATCCAGAAAGCCAAGGAAGAGACAAATGACCAGTCCCTGTCACGCTCTGCGACGCAACGCTCCAAGGAGTCTGTCGCCTCGTCTTCTGTCTACGACTTTGACGGGGCGGGGGACTCTCCTGTCCCTTCCCCGAACCCTCGTGCGGCACGGGGCGTGGGAAGCAGTAGTGGCAGTAAAGGCGACCGTGACCGCGATTCAGTCCCTCCCCGGCTGGATCGGTCTACGCCGAGCGCAAAGGCCGGGAGCGTCGAACCCGCAGGACCGGCCGCCAGCATTGCCCGGTCCAAGGTCATATTTGCCAAGGGCGACGAAGTCGCTTTCAAGCCTAAACCGCAGAACAACGAACAGACAGACTGGATACTCGGCATCGTCCAGGATGTCAGGGGAGAAGGGAAGTCCCGGCGGTATCGAGTTCTGGACGCCGACGTCGACGAAGCTGGGAACCAGAAGGATTTCCGTACCAGCGCGAGCAGCATGATTGCTATACCGAAGGAAGGCACTCCCCTGCCACCTTTAGACACCGGCAAGACTGTGCTGGCCCTGTATCCAAACACCACCACGTTTTACAAGGCTGAGGTCATGGGTATGGATGAGGGCAGGGTCAACCTGAAGTTCGAGGGCGAGGAGAGCAGCAACACCATGCAGGCTGTCGGTCGACGCCATGTGGTCGAGTATCGCGGATAGCATTCCGAGCATGAACAGTGTGAAGGGACAGTGATTGGACCGTCAACGGTCAGGGAGTACTAGTGCAGCGGGTTTGGGTTGGCGCTTGGGTGTCCAGGACCTGGTTTTTGGGTGGGAATAGTGCGGGTAGTAACATCTAGTGGGCTTGGATGACTCGCGTCCCTGTTCGCTGCCCACATGGAGGAGTCGCACATATGCAGATTCATTGACAGCCCATCTAACTGCAGCCATTGGCATTTCGTACGCAAGGGATAACCTTTCGTGACAGCTGCAGGTCGCTTCAGTCTTTCCGTGTGGCGTGCATAAGCTGAAGGTAGCTCTTCTAGCGCAACGGGGTGCCAACTACGATTGGCGCCCCATGTGCCATTTCAGGAAACCTGTCGACAACTTTCGGCGTAGCCTAGGGGTTCAGCTATGCGGAGTCGCGAGGCTTCACGGCATATGGACGGCCCATGGGCTGGCTGCTGCACTGATGCACTGATTGACTGGGCCCTCAGATCTCACCCAGCGTGGCGTGTTGCACAGGTTCACCACATGCCGAGTGGTCAAGGGTAATTGCCGCATGCCGGGCTCCACGTCACGACCGGGTTCTTGGTTCCGATGAGTTGAGCCCCCTCCAACCCTCTAGCTCGCCTATACATATTTGAATACCACCCGGATATCTAGGGGTTGCAACTAGGCATGGTCTCAAAATCCTATTTCATAGCAAGGCAACTTTAAGAACGTTAATTAACCGGTCACTTATACAGCCCAACGAGATGTCGGGGTTAGGCGGCCTCAATAAAACCCCAGGGGGCATAGTCATCTCCGTGGTACAGTCCCAATTACTCACCGTCAGGACGCCCGAGGACCTTGCCAAGGCCGTCGCCCATGTTGTGTCTCTGGTGTCGCGCACCAAGCGCGCCTACCCGGCGACGGACCTGGTGGTCTTCCCGGAATACTGCATCCACGGCCTCTCCATGTTGACCGATGCATCCATAATGTGCACGATGGACGGCCCGGAGGTCGCAGCCTTGAAGGACATCTGCCGCGCCGAGAAGATCTGGGGCTGCTTCAGCATCATGGAGAAGAACGAGCTCGACCCGGACCATCCCTGGGACGTCGGCATTGTCATCAACGACCAGGGCGAGCTGGCCAACTACTACCGCAAGATGCACCCCTGGGTCCCTATCGAGCCGTGGTACCCGGGCAACCAGGGGCTCCCCGTCTTTGAGGGCCCGGGCGGGGTCAAGATGAGCCTGATCGTGTGCCACGACGGCATGCTCCCGGAGATGGCGCGCGAGGCGGCGTACAAGGGCGCCGAGGTGCTGCTGCGCACGGCGGGCTACACGCCGCCGATCCGGGAGTCGTGGGAGCTGACGAACCGCACCAACGCCTTCGCCAACCTCATGTACACGGCCAGCGTGTGCCTGGCGGGGACCGACGGCACGCTCGAGAGCATGGGCAACGCCATGTTCTGCGGGCCCGAGGGCGACATTCTGGTCCAGGGCAGCAACTCGGTCGACGAGATCTTCGCCTGCGAGATCCGCCCCGACGAGGTCCGCCGCCGCCGTCGACACTGGTCTGTCGAGAACAATCTCTACCAGTTCGGCCACCGTGGCTATGTCGCCGTTCAGGGCGGCGCCAGTGATTGTCCCTATACCTATATGCAGGACTTGGTCAAGGGCCAGTGGTACGTCTCTTTTTTCTCTTATCTTTTTCCCTCTTACATTTCTTCCTTTTTGTTGTGTTTTTATGCAAAAGTGATCGTGCTGATGGTGTTTCGCTTTACAAGGAAAACGGCCGAGGACGATGAAGTTACAGTTAAGGATGGGACGAGTATAGGCTATGCTCCACCAACACATAAGTTTGGGGAAGCGGGTCCTGAAACGAGAAACTAGAGATCAGACAAGCGGTTATGGTTCTCAGTGTGTTACAGCCTAGCGAAGACTATGCAGCGTTCATTGCTTATCAATTTTACCCAACCCGCAGCTATGTTCGAGCTCAAGCCTATGTGAGGTCTTGTGCCGTGATCGCCTCCCGTTATGAAGAGTTCTCCTAAGGCAGCACCTCCACGTGGGTTGTACGTAGGACAATCTAATCCATAATGCTAGAGTATTGAGAAGAATTATTGTTTTTAAGACCAGTTGGGTTTCCCCGTGGGAATCTATATGCCTGAACCTTCATAACACGGTAGGTTGACCACCCTAAGCAAGTTCGCTGTGATTCGCCGTATGAGGTGCTGCAACTTGTGTTCAATGTCGGACCAATGCTTAATCTACAGGTCTATGTAATACCTAAAAGCCGAGTTGAGCGCCCACTGGTATGCTCCAAATCCAGTACGTTCTTTCCAGATCACTGTACTGGTGTTCTCACCGGAGACAGCGGCATCTCAGATCCATGATTTGCTAACTACTCTTTCAGTATCGCAATGACATCCTTCAATGAGTCCACAGAAAAATCTGGTCTCAATTTTTCGCATGCCGACTTATCACCATAGCCATACCGGCACCAGACGGATTTGGCGCCGATGTTTGCCGCAAACTGAATGTCTGCGACAGTGTCCCCAACGACGAGCACATTCTTGGCATCAACGGAGTCGATTCCGTAGCGCTTAAGTGCCGGAGTGAGAACTTTGGTGTAACTTGATGGATCTGGCTTCTTTGTTGCCCCAGGCGTCTTGTCTCCGACGATGAGATCATCCGGGATTACACCCCCCAGGCCGTTCCTATCTAGTGCTGTGACTACTGCCGCAACGCCTTTGTTGCTGACGATGGCCACAGGTGTCCCACGCTTGTGGAGCTTCTCGAGGAGATCTGAGGCACCAGCGAAGGATGTGATTAGAGGTTGGCCATGCTCAGCATACAGAGAGCGATATTTCAATACCCATGCGCTCTCATCGAGGGAAGTGGGATCAGGATGAAGCTCCCTGAAGGATTCTTCAAGCCCTTTCCCGCTGGATATCAAGTGATGGACCGCAGACTCTGGCAGAGCTTGCTCAGGGAGGAAGGCATCGAATGTCAGCTTGATGCAATGAGAGATGGACTGGTGCGTATCGAAGAGAGTTCCGTCAAATTCGAATACGACAAGTTCAGTTTGCGCCATAATCTATCAAGTGCCTATGGTATCAAACCATATAGTAAAGAGGCTCATCGGATATGGTAGAGGAACCCCTCGGCGCTTCAGAGCGGCCTGGAGTAGAAATAAGGTTGAACAAACATCTGACTAACTTGAAATCTCCTCCTCGTCGGCCACTATGCCAGATCTGGTATGGCATAATCGCCATATTAGCGGTCCATCCTGAATGAAGTCCGATGTGCAACCCGAGAAGCAGGCTGGCTCGCATTCTGTTGACTGCTATATTTTGCACTGGGTCGACAAATTGCCCTCCAATCAATCCACCAGTATGACCGAAGCTGCAGTGTAATTCGGTCATTAGAATGCAACGGTCGACCATTTAGGCGGGGGCAAATATGCATTGTCAGTAGCTCCTGTGGCCCCCAACCCCAACGAGGTGGCGCTGTCGAATGAGTTGTGCTACAAGTCAAAGTGCCGTGGGGTCGAGACTGTGAGATGAAATATATTTATGTGATCCCAGTCCCACCGTAGTGTCCTGGAAGCCTAGCCCAGAAGAGATGCGTCAAGTCCCCTTTCTGAAAGCATTCTCTGTTACAATGCATCTTTCATCGTATGTACCCGAAAGTCATATGCGATTCCCAACTCGTAGAGATGAGACGATTTCGTCGAGTTGCTACTCTCCTTGTAGTAAGTACGAAGACCTTGCTGTTGAATCGATTGCTAAATTGGCACGAAAGGCGATGCGATGGCTGTAGCCGAGACAATAGGCAAGTCCGCTGACTTGTGCAGCGATGGTGGCACGTTTCGAACAAAAATACTAGAGTGCAATGTCTGCATTGCCAAAAACAGCCGAGCACAGCCCATCTCAGATTTTGACGCACGACTTGCCTCTTACCTTGAATACTGCGGTATTTACAATATACTAGTCACGATGACCGTGGGTGCGACTGTAGGAAGTACGACTATTCCGGTAACCGTAACCACGGCTATTCCTGTTAAGTCTGGAGTGGACGTGAAACAAACTAGCAAAATATCTGGCACGCCATCCGGCATGGTTCCTTCAGTGGCATCGACTGTGGCATCATCATATGTCAATGCTAAATCGACTGAAGGCACATTAGGCGATGTAGTACCGACGTCTGGGCCAACTTCCGGAGAAAATATCGCATCACGCAGTGACTCCTGGGTAGTAGGACCTTTTGTGGGGTCTGTAGCTGGGGTGGCGGTTATTGCAATGATGGTACTGGTGCTATGGCGCCGGAGCAAGCGTAGGAAGAGTCACACAGGGGACAACGTGCTGCTGGATAAACCACAATTGCACTCGGATTGCGTTCCCAGGCCCCTACCCCCAGAGCTTGAGACACTTGAAAAGAAGGACCCAGCCGAACTGGCCACGGAGGCGAATGACTTGAACCGTATCGAGCCTCCATATGAAGTAGAAGACAGGACACATGAAAGAGTAGGCGGGCTGGGTGGAAGGAGTGAGCTGGAAGCCCCCCGCTAATGGCACAAAGAACATGGGCACCAACCGTAAACCATGTCACGTCTGATGTGGGATCTTGCTTATGGTATGCTTAATTATCGAGTCTGCTCGTATTGGCTGATGCTCGCCTCCCATAGTTTGGCATCTTCGTGCCGTCCCATCTCCTTTAATTTGCTTACTAACTTGTTGCCCACATATGTGGTGACAACCGCGCCGGGACCGTGGAGGCGCTTGGCCAACCCTATTGCCCTCTCGTACCAGTATAGCACTTGTCCGTGTTGTGCCAACCTGTGATGTATCCACGCAATGTCACCCATCGTGCTGAGTGTAGTGTCGTCCTCGCTGTATCCAGTAGCTGACACGTCGTTGCGACCCACAGGGTGACTCAGGACCTCGTGGAATAAGTTCAGACCATTTTGAGCCGCCTTGATATCTGGTCCATTTATTTTGAAGGCCTTTTCGTTGACGGCGAAATACACGTGCCCAAGGCGCTTCTTCGCCAAGCGTACTTGCTGGGAAGCTGGTCCCCATATCTCTTGGCTCATGGCTAAGAGCTGTCTAGCCATCCTCTCGGCAGCAACTAGCTCTGAGGATTTCAGAGCCAACATAAAGTTTGCTGTCCGAACCTTGAAGCTCAATACGTGGTGCTCCCCCCAAAGCTTCGTCACAAGATCTGACATGCAGTCCAAGGACCTGTTAGCCACTTCCTGCAAGTTCTCGGTCTTTTGCATCTCGCGACAGATTATGGCAATCGGGTGCTCCGTCGAGAAGACGCGGATGGCCTCCTGGTTGAATAGCCGCAGAATCAGTCTACGGGGCTCTGACCAGCTCGGGGACTTCGGCGACGTCATTTCGACGAACAAGTCTCCGATGAAGTCCAGAGGCCGGGCAAGCATCGCAGGCGCGGCAACGAAGCCGACCTGCCGCAGCATCGAGAAGGCGCGGTCGCTTCTCTCTACGGATTGCTCCGCCTCGACCAAATGCGTGACGCCGAGGCTGATTCCATACCACAAATTGCTCGACTCACGTGAGGGCTCCAGATCGGTGACGAGGATTCTGGAGGCGTCTGCGTTGCCGGGCTCGGCCACCCAGTGATGGTAGTCCCTCAGACTCTTCAAGATATATTCGAGTTGGCAAGTAGCGTCATCCACTTCCAACGGTCGAGACGGGGATGGATGCACTGATCTATGCCACCGGAGCGTCTTCTTGTACTTGCCCGCGTCGACCTTGCCTTGGCGGCTCAGCTCGCCCAGCCGCTTGAGGCTGCCCCCTCCGGCTTCCTGGAGCAATTGTCGCTTGTCGGATGTCTTGAGATACTTTTGAATCCCCCAGGTGCGGAAGCGCTGGTTGTACATGCGTTTGCTGCGTCGAGAACAATATCAATCATCAGAACATGATGAGGCGGGTCACACACGCCGGCCACGCTCGCTGGCCACGCTGGACGCGGGCCATGCAGGTAGGCCCGGGTGCAGGACCCGGGGAGATCGGATCGAGACGTTCAACAGGGGCAGGCGACGAAAGGGGCGGGCCACTGACCTTGCATGAAAGTCGTACTTCTCCCTCATGACCTTGTCCATGTCCTCCCACCGCATCTTCGCGTACAGCTCCGTGATGGCGGCCCGATTTTCCTCCCACTCCCGGGCGGAAGGGCCCGCGGTCGCACCGCATTTTTGAGTTTGTCTAGTAGGATTTGCAGGGTGCTCAGTGGCTTGGGACATGGTTCCTATTGGAGCTAGGTGGCAAGAGCGAACAGCAACATGCCTGGATGCATATCTAATGAGTTAGTTGGGCCACGTATTCGCGTCCTCGTTCAGCCCCCGGCGAGATAGGATAGGTATGTGTGTGGCCCACGGCGTTGGCAGCAAGGTTTCGACTGAGAAGCCCGCAGCCTTCTCTCCCCTCTTCTGGGCTGGAACATTGCGGGCGCCAACACGCAGTGCTCCCCCTCCACGTGACGGTGCTGGCCCCGATCCAGACTAGCAGCAGTGCCTATACAGTGTGGATACGCAGATCGGGACTATGTACCCGGCTATGTATACTCTTGCCCGTGGACGTCGACCACTCTGCCTTGTCGTGAGCTTCACCAGGGAGGAGGAAGTAATGAGATGAAGCCCTGGCTTAAACAGAAGCCCAACTGTAGCGAGAGCACCTAAATTGCGCGTGGTAAGATACCGCTCATATATCCGGGAATCCGATGCAGGACACCCCCTTCCCAACCCCTGGGCTTTGCATCTGCTTGGCCTGATGCATGTCAAGTCAGAACCCCCAACGTAAGTAGTTTAGTGTCAACCTGGCCGTCAGCTCCAGCAGCCCTTCTAGTACAGGGCTGCACATTCAACTTCTCTCTGCCTGTCTGCTCTTCGTAACAAGCGTAGAGCCTTAGATGCATTCTAGTAATTTACCACTCGAGTCTTGCGTGGATTAATTTTGACACCAAATCAAGCGTGAAAGAAATGTTGACACCTCGGCTCGATGGCCGGATAATTGGTCTTGGCAGAAGAGGCGAAGTTTTTCATTTTCCACGCGGGGATCTCGTTACTAATCAATATATTCCCTCCAGGACTCCGCGCATGCGGCTGTGTAAATTGGAGGCGTCACCAATTTCGACCGCCTGTTTACAAGAGACCTCCAGAAGAAACATTACACTAATATACGCCACAGAGAGGCTGGCACTACGAGAAACTGTAACATAAGACTCTCAAGCCCTCAATCTCACCATTATAGACAGATATGAGCATTTTATAGATTAATTCTACATGAAAATAGACCTCAGATTGCAATAATTAGAGTACAGCATATTATGCCAAAGAGACAGAGAGACACAGGGAACGGCGGTGACACGGCAACTCGCAAGACCGGTCAAACACCATAGCGAGGCAGACTCTAGGGCAGTTACTGTTGCCTAAGAGTTACAGTGCCTGCACCTGTGCCTGTGCCTGTGCCATATTCTCACATTCTTACCGGGAAACTCGGCTTATTCTCCCGCGACCTGTCGCGAAATGTGGCCATAGATTCAGCCACCAAGCAGCGGTACCAAGTTGGACATTACTACTTCGGGGAGTGATAGACAGCGATGGCTATTTTCGCCGCCCATAACACCCAGGACCTCATGTAACACGGCAGGACTCGCTATTCACTGCTCCGCATGATCACTTGCATATTTATCGTTGGAACTTTAGATGTCTCCTCCACCCTCAGTTCTGGTATCAACGGTTGTGCATGATGGCAAACAGCCCTCGGTGAGAAGAGGCGCCAGACTGAATTCGCGACCGGTCTGCCGAACGCCCTCCAATCACTCGTGTCAGGTGCCTACTGAAGAATTTACCAAGAATATGCACTGAATCTCGCAAGTCAGCCTTGGACATTGATTGGCAACGCTTTCTTGCTGTTGGTCAATTCTGAATACTTGCAAATGCGGGGGGGGGGGGATCCTTCTTAATCCCTAAGCACCCTTCTCTAATGGGATTTCTCAAGATGCGCAATGAGGAACTGGGCCAGCACATCAACCAACGTATCTTACCTTCAAACACATTTTCAGTCGACAGCTTTTGCTGAATAACCTACGAGATGAGCTGTGAATTAGAACCCAATGTCACAATCGGAGCTCCGAAATATAATGCCCAGTACTGGCAGTTTTCTGAGGCGCTAGCCAAGAATACGAATTGCAGCGAAAGCACGTATTTGCGCCCTGATGCGGCAGGATCAATCGTGCCATGGCCATATGCCCTCGCGTGGCTGCTGATACATGCACCATTGGTGTTGATTCGCGTCACCCGCTGGCAGAAGGTGCAGGTCCTCTCGCTCGTCTTGGCTGCCATAAGTATGGGCTGGTCTGTCGAAGCGTATTTGAGTACTCAAAGAAGACCGGAAGAGGTCCTCGTATGGACGCCGCTGACGATTATACTCGATGTTGGGGCAGTGATACAGCTTGCCTACCTCATAGTGGAGAATGTCAAGGAGAGAATGACGCAAGGGGAGAAGGCCAGACGATTCGTGACCATATGGCAAGCTTTTGAAGCACTCATGGTCGGAATGTTTAGGCCTCAGGAATTCCAATTGCAGAGCTCGGCAAGTATCATCGGGCCAAAACGGACCGATGACAGCAAGTCATCTGCCGACCACGTGGAGACGATTATTGAAGGCGACGTGGAGGACCAGTCGAAGGGAAAAGTGACCAGTTCTGACCCGGTATCAAGAGGCAAAGCCTTCATCGTCATACTTTCCCTCCTCTTCTTTGTGGGCTTGGTGGCTCTCCAAATCATCGGTCTCGTATTCGCCATTTCCGGGCTTTCCTCCAGAAACGAGTTGAAATCTGTCTGGTGCTCACCTATGTTTGAAAGCTTCGCCATTGACATTGTCGATGGCAACTGCCGCACGCAGCCAGTCACATCGAGCGCAAGCAAAGGCATTGGCTGCATTGAGCTTTCTGGGGACAAGCAGGCTGGCTGGATCGTCGGCACAGTTGCTGTACTGACTTTCTCGCTTATGCTGGAATTTACGGACTTACTCATACTCACATTTGTGGAGAGTCATACTAAGTGGCGAGGCGTCAAGATGAAGCGGCCGTGGTGCACAATGTTCTGTGGCATCGCCATCTTGATATTCTACGTAATCTACGGGCTCTTGGAATCTAGCAGGTTGCCGAGTGGTATGACGGAAGTGGTCTGGGTGTTTCGCAAAGATCCAAGTCTCACCTTTGAGACAGCTTGCCGGGGTACGATAACCCCGGCAGGAGTCAGAGGTTCTATGATGGGATGGACAGATGGTTTCCTAGCAAACTGGGGAAGGGTTTATTTTGGCTAGTTCTCTCCAATCATATGTAGGCTGTACATGACATAGCGACTTGTAATTCATGAGGGCCTCGCATCGTGTCGCCTTTAATGCCTATCCCACAAGTACTCGTAAGAAGCCTCCGGTTCTGCTTCTGATTCCCTCCTCCAATCACGCATCGCGGAACGTGAATTTGGTTCTCTGGCGACTGTTCAATGGAGGGAGAGGCCATATGAGCTTTCCTCGGGGAAAAAGCCGCGAGTTCAACTCTCTTTTGGCACCGCAAGCAGCGGCCAAAAATCCTCTGCACGGCAAGGAGGAGGCTCCATTCTACCTGGTGGCTGGGTGAAGGTTGCTTAGTCACCTCAGGATTATTACCCAAAGGGCCACGTATTGAAGTGAGTTGCGAGAGTGAACAAGATACTGATGTACCCAGGTTGGCATAGATTATATCTATGCCATGAGCTGGGACCACCCATCGCATCAGTCGAGCCCCAGGCTCACCCGTACAGTCCGAGGTCGTGAAGATCCGAGCCTGCTTTGCGCAGCATCTTTTCCACTACTCTAGAACGTTCACACTCTCGAACGCCTTTTTTCGGCTATCGCCTCCCTCATTTCACTCAATTTGCCTTGTATTAGAGGCAGTGTTGAGCTCTTCCACCCTGGCAACCCGCTTCGGTTACTCTGCAGGATTGTGCCGACCAAGAAACCCAGAATCAACACTTCCAGGACAATCGGCAATATCATCCACAACCACCGCACGTGCACAAATGTCTCGATGGTCCAGGCCGTTCCAAGAGCGAATCGGTCGCTCGTTGTGGCGTTGAGAGCGGTGGCGTTGGTGACCCACAGCGACGTGTTGGATGGGATGTCGTACATGCGCAGCACCTTCGTCATGGCAGCCGCAATGGCTGCGACGGTGTCATTCTCGCCGCCGATCTTCTGAGTCCCGGATCCAGAACCATCTTCGCCGAAAGTGTAGAGCGCAGTGAGGATGTCGCTAGTGCTTGATAGTCGACCGGTCGAACCACTCACGTTGCCTGTCCAGTAGTCCTGTGGAAGGTGTCAGCAAGATATGCGTGTGGCATTTCAATATCTGAGAGCAGGGCTGTCTTACCAGAAAATGCGACCGGAGGGCATACCATGACTGGGCGCCCACCCAGTATTCCTTGCCAGTACCAGGGACGGAGATGGTGATATTTTGCTGGTCTTCGGGATTCCTGTCACCCGTGTAACTGGCTACAAGGGTCTCGGTGAAGGCACCATTGGTCACGTTACTGTGATACTCATTGACGCAAAAGTACAAGACGCACTCGTTCGAGACCACCCCTAGCAGATTTGTCGACGATAGATCGTGTAGACCGCGCATCGTAGACAGGGTTGCAAATGTTGACTGCGAGTTATTGTAGGCCAGAGAGTCATATGACCCCGACGAGTTCAGATACATATTTCCCCGGAGCTGACCATTGAAAAACATGCTATTGGGTAGCGTATAGTTGCACATTGCGGGCCAGGGTCCGAATGGCTCGTCACAGGACGTCGTCATGAGGGACGTTGTGTTGGAGCACTTACTGCACACAGCTAGCGACTTGTAGGTCGACGGCCAGGTGCAGTTGCCAGTGGCGCATGTGGCCGATATTGGAAAATCCAGTTGCGGCGTATCGGCCGTATCATACATGCCATTGTTGATGGCTGCCTTCATAGTCATGGTCGGTTCTCTCAAAGCCATCATGGACCCAAACGAATAGTCGCTATACATTGACGCGATAGGTACAGATGAGTTGGAGTGTGTCGACATAATTGGCTCTTTTTGGTAAGTGATAACTTGCTGCACAAAAGGGTCGATGGCGAGCATGATAATGGTGATAAGTGCTCCCAGCTTAGCCAGGTGGATGCCGCGCGTGACGAACAACAGCTTCGCGCTGCCCCAGGTGCCGCGGCTGGCCTCGTCGAAGGTCTGAATGTCGTGCACGGCGCCGGCTCTCCGGAACCATAACCACTTAAGTTGGCTGATGCACTCGGCGACGGGAACTACCGCGGCAGCCTTCATCAGCGTCGACATGAACGACACGAACGAGTTGAGCGTAATGTGCATCGGCCATGTCGGTAGAGGCTTCCCATCCGTGATGGCCACGACCGCGATAATGATAGCAAGTGCTATCGCGCTAATGAGCCATGCCACCGATTCGAATATCCACCAGTTACTGCTGCCGTCATCCTCAATCCTTGGTCGCGCTGGCAGTTCTGAGGGTATCGTTTCCTTGGTCTTAACGTTGGTATACTCGTCCTTGGTTGACCACGTCGGGCTCCTCTCAGCCTTCATGTCATCCAGCTCAACATAGTTGCCAGCGATGCGGTCTAGTGGCGAAGGGGAATTGACTGGATACTGGGAGGGTGCCATCTTAGTCCTCAAAGAAAGAAAGACCTAACAATAAAGAACGTGAGAACGTGATAATTGTGAAAATGAGCGACGTTGGCACAGAGTACCGTGATGAGTTCCAACACCTTGGCTCTCAGTTGAACGCTCCTAGGGCATAGCGACAGAGGCGGCCAGAACTGTTTGTCAAAAACATGCCAGCACAATGCGAGAAGGACATGGTAAAACAAGCAACGCGGTCTTTGGGGATTGGTTAGTGATCTTCCAGGGCGGGTCGGTGTCAAATTGTGTAATTTGACAAGACGCCGATCTCACCGAAATCCCTGGACCCGCGCCTTAAACCGTTTCTCCAGATACAGCACGAAGTGGGTAATGACGCTACGGTGGAGCCGGAGCCCATAGCTCCGCAACGTGACTTTAGGGTCCAAAGCCTTGAAAGGAAGGAAATAGAGCCGGCGGACAGTCAGTCAGTCAGAAGACATCAAAGTCGGGGAGCCCCGAGCATGCGAGTTGGCGGGGATGCGGCGGCTTCGAATCAACCTGGGTCCCATACATGAGAAGCTACTGCGTACACTTCACGATAATGGAGCCTGGTTGCCCTTGCACGAGTCAGGGATGAAAGGACTGAGCGAAGTTTCGGGAGCTAACTCCTTAGTTGCCGGTGAGCCGCTTCTTTTACGTTTTATATCATTACCCTTTCCCAATATGACTTCATAGTCCTAGGTGGCAAAACTGTGGTTCTAAATCGTGTCCAGTCCATTAGAACAAGATCTCGGTCGAGGCTCAAATTAGGGCTCCAAACCGAGCTCCAATTGGAGCCTCGGAACCTAAAGTTGACGGCAGGACATTTCGGGGAATGCCAACTAGCGCCAAAGCTTAATTTGAAGCATAAATAAACAAAAGCCCAACTTCAGGAGAGCTTGCGAAGAGGTTACTATCGGGACAGCGCCACAGCAAAACCGGAAAGGACAGCTTGAAAGCCTAGAAACTATTACAATTCGTGGCTCAGCATAGTTGAATCCTGTACCTCGGTGCCATGCGGCGTCAATATGGTCTTTACGATGGTATAGATGACAGCCAGGTCACACAAGTGACTCTCAGCGTGATGTGTGAGCGCGATCTAGACATATGGGTGTGATCGTAAGGAGCAACGTCGAGATCGTGCGCAAAGACAAGCTTGGACGTAGATCAACTATTCGACTTGAATATACGGAGTATATTCTATAAGTTTGCTATTTGCAGTGCGTCAATACTCTAAATCTCATGAGTTTCAGATTTTGAAGGTGATATTGGCTTTTCGCCTTGGGTCTGCTTTAGCTCTCCATTGCTCGTTGGGACGCAACCATGGTCGATGTGATCTTGCCGTCTTTGAGTTAGAATGTATAGATGTCAGCATTCTCGTTGAGAAATCCCATTTGCTTCTCTCTGAAGTCATCCGTTATAACCGTGTTGTCTACCTCAGAAAATTGAAAGATCGCCTTGGAAAGCGGGTCCCATGCTGGCCACGCCGGAAGATCTAAGCCGTGCGAGTTGGGATTGAGGCTGTTCGTGAATGCAACTATCGTTGACATGAGGTTCAAAGAATTGTTCGAAGCAGTGGGGGGTATGTGTCCAAACGCGTTGAGAGCGACGTCGGAGTAGTGGAACGAGCCTAGAACTTCAAGTGCACTGAAGTTCCCAATGGGCAGGTCGCCAAACCTAACTACAGGCTGTTCTATCTGGCAAGTGTATGCCTTTTGCGTGTTGTAGGTAAGGTTCAAAAGGTCTCGGCGGGTACTCTGGAACTGTAACGTTGGGTTAGCCAAAGTTTGATTACACCTGGGACGCAACTCCCTTACCGTTATATCTCCAAGTGCAGCCGATAGTCGCTTATATTGCGGGCCAAGAAAGGTTCGGTTTCCGGTGTCAAAAGGTGACCCATCCTTCGGATCCTCCGAGTATAGGCTTGTGAATGCCGCGACTTGTTGAGGCGTAAGGTTTTGGAAAAGGAGTTCAAAGTAATTATCGAAGTCTTTGCTCGTCGTGACATTTAGCTGAGGAATCACGGAAAATATTGTCCCCTCATCTTTAGTGTCGCCGATCAGGTATGGGACTCTGCTGTACCGACCCTCCCGCAACAATCGGTGGGGAGAATCCTTCAAGAAAACCCCATCTGGTCTTGGTGAGAAGGGAAAGTATGTTCCGAGGTAACTAACCAGGCCAGGGAGAGTTTTTGCAAGGCCTAGCAAGTCCTCATACTTCGAGTGCCGCAGGCAATTCACTTTGTCTACGGCATCTGCGCAGCCGACCTGAGAAACCACTGTCTCGAAGATAGGCTGTACGCTCCTGTAGTCTTTCCACTTATGCACGCCACCAGAAAGCATTATGGCTGCTCGAAAGAGACCTTCATTGTCTCCGTCATTTAATACAAGGTGCGCCCCGATTGATAGTGCGCCTGCACTTTCACCGAATAGAGTAACCTTGCTTGGGTCACCGCCGAATTTGTCGATGTACTTCTGCACCCACTGCATTGCCGCACGTCTTGTGTCAAGTCAGTCCTCATTCTCATCAAGTTAAGTCCTCTCTATATTGTTCCACTTACTGGTCTTTTTGGCCAAGGTTGCTGACCCCAGCGTCCGTGATTTCTTGGGATGCTAGAAATCCAAATAGGCTCAGCCTGTAATTCGCGGATACAAAAACAATTGGCTGGCCCATCTCAACAGATACCTTGACCAACCTGGCTCCTTGCCACTGGGCGTCCTGTGTATTTGTTAGCACCGTGGCCTGTGTCAAAATCCGAAAGATACTCCGAAATACATACTGCCAGTGCCGTGGTATTCGTCACGCCACCGCTGGAACCGGAAACCCAGCCACCTCCATGGATCCAGAAAACAACTGGAAGCTTCGCGTCTGGTGACACCCCAGAAGGTACTTGTACATTGATGCTCAAGCAGTCTTCGCTTTCAACCAAAGTGCCAGGGGGGCCCAATGCCGCAACTGTCTGCAAGATGTCACCCAAGGGGGCCAGGCTTTGGTCAGGTACTACTACTGAGCCCTGTGCACATGCGGGGCCGTAAGTTGTAGCGTCCTGGATTCCTGAAAGCTTCTTTTCAGGGGATACAAGTATTGGGTTTTCAAACCGACCTGCATGAGCAAATGGAATGCCGAGATAGCTATCGACACCAGTCAACTCAGCAGTGCCCCGGAAAGTGCCAAAGTCCAAGTCTATCTGTGGACTGCAGCCCAGGACAGCTGATGGTCCATGTGTCCAGATGCTGAGGATGATAGTGACGGAGAGCCCTCGCATGGAGAGGTGTGCCATGATCATTGCTCTCAGTCTTCTCGCTGTCGATCAAAGCCCGGCTACACGATCAGTTCGATGCACCGCGGATGAGAATATATGAAGTATAGCGGACAATACTACAGCATCTCATGCATCTTTATCTTTCCCTAGGTAAATTGGTATCAATGGTGGACTCGTCAGCGTCGTATGTACCTACAGAATGTGGCGCACTACCGCCTTGTCATCATCAAAATGATTACTCATACCCATACCATGACTTTCACCTTCCGATCTTTTAATTGGACAGACTAATTACAAGACGATGGTAATGCGCTTGTGGCTGCTGCAAAATTCGGTAACAGCCCGGGTAGCCAATCCACGCAATCACCCGTTATACGAAGTCACAAGCAGCCTTGCATTTTCGTAACAATAGTTCCAGCCGGGTTTTATTTCGGCATGTGGTCATTGCCGAGGTAGAAGCAAGCACGATAAAGGCTTTTTATATTCAGGTTCTAACCTTAGAACATTCAGTAGCATTTTTCCAGCGCCTGAATTGGGCTGGTAGCCGGCAAAGGCCACCTCGATGCAGACGTATTCCAACAATGTAAACTATGAGATACCATAGCTGAATTGAGCAGCAAATTGCAATTTACAAGAAAAAAAAACATCTCCTTGTGTGAGACGGTTGTGTATGTGCGTTTGTGGGTGGGTTTTGCGGGATAAAGTGACTTGTGGCCCGGAACCCCATTCGCAGAGAGCGGCCCGAGAGACTGGACCCGAGATGCAAAAAGCCTAGGGACCAGGCGGCACAACAGAAATGGAGCCCGGAAACGAAGTTCGGACCGGTTTGGCCCCTCCTTCTGAACGATAAGTTTCTGTATCTTCCAGAAATTGCAAGATTTTTGCGTACATTCGTAATGCCATAGCTAGCACCATGGCCTATCCTCAGCAACACTTGAAACCTGAAAAGAGACCCATGGACGATGAGCATAGCGACTTTGACTCCACTCTACCGGAGAGACCTGAAAACTTCCATGGGAGCATGCCTAGGTTGTGGAATCCAATGCATCAGTTTGTAACTTATCCAACGGGCGTTTCAGTTCCTGTCGAGCATCAATTCAACTTCAATGATCATCACGACTTGCCAATACCGCAGCAGCAACCTCCTGCAAATGATACGGCCTATGTGTACCCTTCTGAACTTATTGGTCACCCCGGGACTTTCCTCCCAGAGCGTAACGCATTCTCGACACCAACTCCGGAATTCACTATCCCAGGATCTCAACGTACGCCCTCTGGCTCAACTATCGTCGAGCCAAGTGTTGTGTACGACGAAACGGGGAGGTCATATCAGGCGTTTCGCGAGGGAAAGTATTTCTTACCGAATGATGGGGTAAGGAGTTCTCCGGTGAGAATAGATTGGCAGGGGCAGTAGCTGACCGGCGTTGTAGGACGAGCAGGATCGCCTGGACTTTCAGTACGAAGGTTTTAGCATTCTCATGGATAGGAAATTGTTTCTTGCTCCATTGACGCGGGTTCCAGAGCATGTCATTGATGTGGCGACTGGGACTGGGATCTGGGCTGTTGACTTTGGTAAGTCGGAGACTTGAGCTCTTCGAATTGTGGGCTGGAGCTGAATAGGAGATCAGCTAAAGCATTCCCGTATACGCACGTCGTTGGTACGGATCTAAGCGCGATACAACCCACCAATAAGCCCGACAACTGCGAATTCTTTGAAGAGGACTCCGAGGAACCGTGGGTCTATGATTTCAAGTTCGACTACGTCCACCTCCGCATGGTCTTCACTTGTTTCGACAATCCAAAGCGCATTATCGAGAATGCCTACCACCACATGAAGCCGGGGGCATGGATCGAGTTCCAAGATGGATCAGCTGAGGTCAGCAGCTTTAGCGAGACGTTTGAAGGTGGGAAAAAAAGTGAGGCAGCTATTACTTACAATGGCTGACAATTGTACGACCAGGCACGGCGTTGCAGCAGTGGGGTGTTGGGCTCATCAACGGCGCCGCAGCTATGGGCAGAGACATTCAGAAGGGGAAAAAGTGGAGGCAGTGGTTGATTGAAGCAGGGTGTAAGTTGGCACCGAACTGATTTTGCTGGACGATGCCTTGGCCGCGAACCAGCGTGACCAGGTTCTAATTGTACTCATGTGTAGTTGTGGACGTAGAAGAGCACCCGGTGCAGTTTCCCGTCAGTGGCTGGCCTGACGATCCAAAGTTCAAACTGGCAGGAAGCTACATGGCCCGCAACATTTCCGACAATCTCAAGGGTCTAAGCTGGAAGATGCTCGGAGGCATGGGCATGGCGCCGGACGAAATCGAGTCCTTCTTGGAGCGGGTCAAGGTTGATGTCCTCACTAGGAGTCTAAAACCGTATCTACATTTGTAAGTCTGACTCGACGAAGTGGAAACGAGATACTGACATACGTCTCAGCTTTGTCGTGTATGGCCGCAAGCCCTTTGATGGCGAGGTCGTTCCAGCAAGTCAATAATGATGGCCTCTAAGACCTATTCATGCACACATGGAGTGACTTAGCCGTCCACACAAGCTGTAATATCACCCCAAGTCTGCATGGTGAAGCGATAAGCGATGACCTCACCAGTTGTCCTGTATGTTTCACAGATTGATAGGATTGAATCGCATAAGAGCCCCATGACCGGTGGTTTACCTGAGCACATGGCCGTCCTGTGCGGATGGAGGTGTCTTCTCAGCAACACCAACAGGGCCACGACGACAAGCGTAGCTGCTCACTTTGAGCGGGTTTGTCATAGTAATTAGAACAAAATGCCGAGTCCAAAATGTGTTTCGCAAGTGCTGCCCCTTGAAGAATGGAGTCACCAAGCCAAGGACCGCAGCATCGTCTAATGTATGGGTATCATCGTCTAGTCTATCTCTAGCGCTGTGCTCAAGCACCAGATTGAATGTCTTTAAGGAAGTTCTTGGAGAAGCGCAAACATTGCTGATATGCCGTCTCAAAACCTTGCTGGCCGCCGTAGTAAGGATCTTGCACAACCTCGCTCTTTCCGGTACCCGAGTATTCCCCAAACAACATGACCTTGGCCTTTGCGGCCGAGGACTTCTTGTAGCGCTGTAGATCTGACAAGTTTGATCGGTCCATGGCGAAGATATAGTCGAAATTCTCAAAGTCTGAAGGTCGGACCTTCCGGGCGGCATGCGTGTAGTCGGTGATGCCGTAACCCTCCAGAGTAGACATTGTCCGATCGTCGGGGCCGTCGCCAGCGTGGTACGCACCTAAAAGAACGGAGTTAGACAGAAAAAATAAACATGAAAGTCCGAGGCCGACGCCATAGAAATAGGTAGGTGCCATACCTGTGCCGCAAGAGTCCACCGTCCCGATCATCTCACGATATGGCTCCTGCTTCGCAAGGGAGCGGAAGACGCCCTCCGCCATTGTAGACCGGCAGATGTTCCCCAAGCAGACGAACAAGACGCTGACCGTCTCAGACATCTTAGCGGGTGGAATACATTCTTGCCAGTCAACGAGTGTTGCCGTGACAAGAGATAGCGTTGGTATGTTGATTCTGTTGGTTCTGTTGCGTTATGCCAGTCGCAACCCCGTCAGAAGTCCCACCCCGCGAAAACCAGCCACTTAGTTCAGGAATGCCTCTGACTGAAGTTTTGCGGCGACGGGGGCGGCCAGAAGCGGAACTAGTTCCACGGCTTACGTCATAATTGCAGTCACGCTTGAGGCGACAATACAATCGCTCTATTCCTCTATGCGACAAGACGAGTTATCATGACGGCCCTGGATCATTGCCCAGCCGCCAAGGAATCTTATGCTAGGTTGAGCCCGCGAGACAATGTTTCTGAGACCCCCGCTGATACGTTGACTGGTGGGTGTTACAAAGATGCGAGTTGGTGCCTAGGCCCTGACAAGGACACAGCCGCCAAGTCAAGCCAAGCATATCACCTATGCAGCTTTCATGAAAGAGCGGAAGCAGAAATGACGTTCTCCTTTTACTACACCTACTGCGCTCTACTACAGAATATACCCGTCGGCACAATATAGCATCAGCTCCCAGTATCAGCGCCTGGGTGGGGCCGTTTGGTAAAATCGCGAGTCTCCACAGCCCGACGAGCCAACGCCAAGCCGCGGGGAGTTAAGATATCTTCGGGGAGTGGGCGGATCGCCACAACTCTACGGCGGGTTCACACACCACGGGAAAACCTGGCGACTTTCGTTCCCCAGGTCCAATGCCCGGGGAGCTGCGTCTCCAATCTCCAATGGACGGTCCGACCCACCCTGGTATGGCCGGGGAAAGCTGGGGATGGTCTTACGATAGGGTATGAGCCCACTACTCCGGCCGTGTTCCGACCTACGCAGTCGACAAGGCTACCCATCCAGTAGATAGACAATAAGCAAGTTCCTGTAAAAAGTTCTGAGATCTCATATATGCGTCTAGCAACTTAACAGCCGTTCCTCACCTTTCACTTCTTCCCCAGTCACGTTGCTTGCCGACGGACGACACATCATGCCTTCCGCAACTTTGAACGGTGTTCGTTCATTAACCAACAACAAAGATCCTGCAGCGACTGGTAATTCCGTTTTCAATGTCATGCCTTCAGACTCCGAGCGTATTCACAACCTGACGAACCTTGACCCCCCGTATCCCTCGGAGTCTCTCACGTTCCTTCGAACCCTCCGAGCACAACGCGACATAGACTCCAATGTTTCTACAACACCAGAACAAGCCCGCCTCAAGTTAGAAATCACTATAGTCGGTGCAGGCCTGGGTGGAATCGCTACTGCCATTGCGCTCGCCAGGCGCGGACATTCTGTTCTTATATTGGAGCAAGCGCCGGAGCTCGGCGAGGTGGGCAGATCTCGATAATTGTTGTAATTTGCGGAAAATCTACTGACAGGTCTTAGGTGGGTGCGGGTATTCAAATACCCCCCAACTCCGGTCGATTGCTCCGAAAATGGGGAGTCTCGAAGCATCTACAGAAGTCTGCCGTGCAGCCAGAGAGTATTAACTTTCGACGGTGGCAGGATGGCAGCGTTATTGGATATACGGATCTCGGTTCGGAGTTCAAGACACTCTATGAAGAGCCATACCAGGTGGTGCATCGGGCACACTTCCACGACGCCCTTTACCAAAGAGCAGTCGAGCTGGGAGTCAAGGTCAAACTCAACAGCAGAGTAGTAGAGTATGACGCAGAAGGTGCAGCTGTCGTGTTGGAGGACGGCTCCATCGTAAAATCCGACCTTGTGATCGCGGCTGATGGTAACTTTCACCTTTCATTTGCCACTATTTCAGTGAGCCTCAGTGTGAGCTGGTATGCTAACGTCCAGACAGGAGTGAAATCCGTGGCTAGATCACTAATACACCCACAAGGAAACCACGAGCCGCGCCTGAGTGGTTTTGCTGCCTACCGTGCGACAGTCGACGTCTCCAAGATGAGGTCCGACCCTGAAATCGCGCAGATTATCGAAAGGCCATCGTTAAACATTTGGTAAGAGCCCCATCATTGCATGGTACGGATGAGTACTAGTCACAGTCATCTTGAAGGGCGCGAGAGTAATGAAAGCACTGTGAAAACTATAGGATCGGCGAGGATCGTCACATTATGACATACACCATCGCTGGCGGCAACTCGTTCAACATGGTACTGTCACACAAGGATCTCTCTGACCCCTCTACGTGGGTACAGGAGTCTGCAGTCGAGAACATGAAGAAAGAGTTCTCTGGATGGGACCCGAAGTAAGTGGCACCTAGAGAAGGGTGCAATGATCACTAGGATGCTAACAACTGTTGGCTAGGTTAACCAAAATCGTTTCTCTCATTGACAAATGCATGAAGTGGCCTCTGAGAACTGGCACGCGGTTGAGCACCTGGACTGCACCGTCCTCAAGGCTGATAATTTTGGGTGACGCTGCGCATGCCATGCTGCCATACATGTCAGAAGGAGCGGCAATGGCGGTTGAGGACGGTGCCGCCATTGCCGTCGCCATTAATCGATTACACTCAACCAAGGAGTTGCGATTTGCCCTTAAAACATTTGAAGTGGAACGCATCAAACGAAGCGGTGATATGGTTGATGCCAGCGCAATCAACGGTATATTGTGGCATTTTGCTGACGGTCCGGAGCAGCAGGCTCGGGATGCGGCAATGCGAGCAGAGGTTGAAGGGCGGTCATTCAGTAGCAGTGCGAACCAGTGGAGTGACCCCGTCACACAAAACTGGGCTTACGGTTACGATGCGGAAAAGGCAATGCAAGACGCGTGGGACCAAGCAGTCAGTGACCTAATTGCCGAAAGGGTATAGTAGACGCCCATGGAAAGCAAATGAAGATTGGATCCTGTATTCATATAGAAACACCATAGCTTAATTATTGCTGCGGCCCGAAAACAACCCTCATTTACGTAACGTACAAAGTGCTACATTTAGAGAGGGCGGTTCAACGCATGGTCGCTTGGCAATACCAAGGTTGAGAAGTCTCCAGGCAAGCAAAAGTGATTCAGCTCAAGGCCGTTGCCGTTGAATAGCCCGGGGTCAAACCCTTGCACGGTATCGGAGAAATCGTCCATCTCAACGCCTGCAGTAGGCTGCTGTAGTGAAGTGATCTGCGATAATGGTTCTAGCGGCTGTTGATTTGAATACACCATCGAGGAATGTAAACTCCGAGCACCTATATAGGTTAGTCACTAGTATGCTGGGTATCCCATGTACTCCTTCAAGAGAATTTGGGGCTAGGATATAAGGGTTCATAATCGTTTCACGTACTCCAATCCTGCAGCAGCTGTGATAGTTGCAGCAAGTGGTCATTGCACCTTTTGATAGTGGCGTTACCGGTGCCGAGATGCTGCAAGGCTTCGGTGGCCTTACGTATAGAGTCGCTGCATTCCCAAATCGGTCTGATGGAGTCCGTCTGGAACTGCAAGTATACAAAGTGGCCGAAGATAATCAGAGCAGAATTGAAAACTTGGTTGAGGTCAGTATCAGATGGCAGTTGTGAGAAAGCTTCTTCCCACAGGGCGGTGCTTACCGTAGTACAGACTATACCACCATGCACCTAGGAGGTTGTTCAAGGGACTTTCTGATGTCACCAAATGATGTACGAGGTTGATGATTGATTCAGCCGACTTAACGCATGATCGGATAGAGCTCTGTCGCATACCCTCGACGAAGCCTGATGTTGCAACAAGATGGCTGTCTTTGACCAAGTCCACCGTGCGTATGAGGGCAGGTCGATGAATAAGAATTTCAAGATTCAATTTGCGCAGCGTCAGGACGACGCAAAATCGCTGCTGGATGGGGTCAACCGGCTGCTGAAGCGGCAAATCTGCAGACTTTAAGACGGCCAAGCCTGAAGGGAGCCCTGACTCCCAGCGACTCAACTCTCGTTCCAGTCGGAAAATGCGATCGAGTAGCTCTGCTTCATCGAGTGGAGGGTCACAGCCCAGGTTGTGCCCATATAATTGGGCTATGGTGTGGTATAGTGTCTCGTACAAATTACTTGAATATAGATGAGCACTGGATACTTTGAGATGGTGTATCTTGCTTACATTGTGGCGTTGAAGAACTTGGTACTCATGTCTTGGTGATCTATTCTATCACTATCTGTTGAGGTTGGAAGATTACTTGGCAATGGCAGTCTAATGTATTCAACTGGTATGGCGGCTGGCCTTCCGAATGTCATACTGAGACTCCTGGTTCGAGGCTGTTTAGTAAGTATATCTAGGAATACAGGAAACGACTCACCTATCCAACACGATGCATCCATACCAGGCCCGTTTTCTGATCTCCTGTTCTAACGGAGCCAGTTTTCTGGAAGCTTCCATAGAATGGAGACCTAGCGATAATGCGGCTTTGATGGCTAGGCCATGAATTGTCCACGTCTGGAAGGACATCTGAGTTCCTTGCAAGTATTGGGTCATAAGAAGCAGGTATTGAACTGCCAATCTCAATGCTTTAGCCGTCAGGTGTAATATAAGCAGGGTTTCCATATTGGGAACGCGCAAGAAACAAAGGGAGAATGGGTATCTTTGCTAACCTGTTTCGACACTTGTGCCCCTAAGGGCTTGACGATCACACAGCAACATAGCACAGCGATAGAACATCTCGGACTCGACATTTCGCTGCTCTCGTTCCTCTATCGAATGGACGGCCAATGTATTAGAGGACATGGCAAGCACCATGTGGAGCAGACCAAGCCAGGTCCGACGCGCTCTCTTGAAGCCATTTGCAACCAACTGGTCATACTCGGAGATGAAGGATGCTTCATGGAGATAAGGGAAAAGAAGGCCTGTGTTTGTAAAATAGTACGAGACAAGCCTCCTGGTATCCGCCTCCGAAGGCAAGAAAAGTGGCGAGCATTGTTCGAACGAGCTTGTTTTCCCGCTGTGATTGTCCCGAATAGGAGACGACAGTCGCGTCGTGCTGACAACTCCGCTATCCAGCAATGCGCCGCCCCATCGAGTTGTTTCGGAGCTGGCCGGTTGGCTAGCCTGCGTAACAAGCCATGAAATGTGTCTCATGAGAGAGATGTTCGAAGATGGGCCTAGTAGTGGTCGGTGAGTACAAGAACGGCAGAAGTCGATGACCCGGGAACTGTATACCAAAAAAACCACAGTCTTCCTCATCCAAGAAAGACATCGCCATGCCATCAGTTTGATGCTCCTCGGGAGGCAGCTCCTGAAGGTCGGCGTCATCCAGTGAGATAGGAGTCCGGTCAAAATCAGCCGCGGAACGTGAATGGACCTGGCCGAGCCGCGAGGATTCTGATTGCTCTGGGGCCGTCGACGGCCTCTCGCTGACGTGAATGGCGTGTTCTGCAAGGGCTGCGTCATGTCTAGCAACGCGCTCTTCTAGCGCCTTCAGCCGGTCGGCAAGATCTCCGACAAAGCTGCCAGTTAAGTCAATGATGCGTCGCTGCGTAGGAGGAGACCTGGGCAGACATACTCTTTCGGGACGATGAGGTTGGTGCTGGACTCGGATGCCTCATAGACGCATTCAAACCCGAGCGAGTCACAGAGCGAGCATCTTGGACGGGCACCGTTGCACTACATGCCAGCGATGTTTCAGTAAAAAAGGGAGGTCGCTCAAGAAACGAAGACAAAGGCAGTCTCACCCTCGACTTGCGAGACCTGCAAGCTGTGCACGCGAGGGCTATGCGTCTGCGTTTGGTGGGGTGCTTCGAGCCAGCCGGGGAAACCGGCTCGTCAGCCATTGTTTCTTAAGCACGATGGGATTTGATAGAAGTGTATGTTCTATCCGACGCGTCTCTCATTAGGCCGTGTCGATGATAAAGCACGGTGCAGCGAGGGCAGGTAGACGTCGACTTACTTGAGTTCCCGTGCTCCCTCCATGCCTGGAAATGTTGAATGTGGAGGGCCGGGTTCGCCAGCACCACTGAGAGCCCTGGAGGCGACCATGACAGTGGAAAAGCCCCCCTTCGCCCGCCCCGCACAGAGCAAGTGGGCACCTCTGATACTGGGTTGGGGGGTGCTAGTGCAGATGGCGGCACCGGGGCCCCACATTATGCACCGCGGGCCTAGTTCTAGTGCCATCCTGCTAACCACCTGGGCATTGACTAGGGTGCTGGGGATCGCTTTGGGATCCTAGCAACAACACCAAGCTCAACTTCTACACCTAGCTGCAGACCAAATGCATACGATATATGAGGAGGAAAGGGAACGACTAGCAGTAGATGATGTGCTAATATTCAAGTCTACATCGCGCAAGAATGTTTGATGCTGGATTCTGGCCGCTGGACTAGCCATTCGTCTAGACGTTACGATTCTATTTTCACTGTATCTTAGGGTTTCGAAAGTTGCCAAGCCGGACAGACGCCAGTCGGACTCTGCCTCGTTTCCGAGTTTTAGCTATGCGAAGCAGGAAACTAAAGCCGGGACTGAGGTCATGACTCAAGCGAATTCTACTCCATTTCGCAGAGTTCCAATCTTCGTTATTGACACCTCGACCTGGTCGCCAGGCACTAGCCATCTAGGAGGATCCATGTCTGCTCCTACGCCTGTACGTTTTGGAATGATCAAGTCAGTTTTCGGTGCTGCAAACCCTGGAGAGAGAAGACCACCCTGAACTTACCTCCAGGAGTTCCCGTCATGATTATACTTCCCTTCTGAAGCGTAGTGCCTTGGGACAAGTACGAAATGAGGTACGAGCAGTCAAAAAGCAGATCGCTCACGGATTCGTCCTGCCTCAGCTCGCCGTTCACTTTGGTCTTGAGCCACAGGTCCTTCGGGTCTTTGATCAGATGACTGGCAACAAGGCAGGGGCCTAGCGGTGCAAAGGTGTCGAATCCCTTGGAAAAGCCCCATTGCGGTACGCGTCCAGCATACTCTGGACTTCTCTGCAACTTGCGGGATGAGATGTCGTTTCCAACCGTGTAAGCAGCTACAAAGTCCAGAGCCTTCTCGACCGGGACGTCCTTCGCGTCTTTGCCAATGACAAGGGTCTAAGCCATTTATTAGCTCATCTTCCCGTACTTTTCTAAACTCGCTTGTCACTCACCAGTTCTCCTTCATAGTCTGCCTGATCGTTCTGTGCAATCTTGGGGATTACAATGTTGGCTCCATGGTCTGTGACGGATGTGTTTGGCTTGATGAAGATAAACGGAAAGGGTGGAGGAGTCCGTTTAGCCTGCTGAACTTGGGCAATTGTTAGCATTCGAATGACGAAAGAAGAAGAAAAAAAGGGGGGGCTATTATTATAATCGTCAAAACAACGAACTCACTATGTTTTGCGTAGTTCAGGCCCACACATCGAACACATGGAATCTCGCTTGCGACCAGTGGGCAAAGTAGCTTCTTGATAGCTACAATCTCCTCAGTTACCCTGGTAGCCCCAGTAGTATCAAATATATCGCTGCCAACTACAACTTTGGCCTGCAACTTGTCTGCTTCAGTCAGGAGCCCAATGTCAAAGTCATCATGGGGAAGTATCGGTTCTCCATAGAGAATGCGAGAATCCACTGATTCAAACCGCACCAAACGATTCCAAGGGAGAGTCATTGGATTGAGCTGGCTGAAGACTTGTTCGATAATGGCTTTCTCAAACTTGGTAAACGTCGTTGCTGTTCAAACTTCTCTGCAGCAGGAGTGAAAGAAGCATGTTTTCACTGAAACAATCCCCGATGTAGGGCGAACGGACCCAGTTGTGGGTACAATGTTACATTATCCACAAGCTAGTGTGGGGCTGAATCTCTCCCGCTCCCACTCCACCCTGGTTCCGACCTCTCCCCGAAGCTTCCGCGGATCAGCATCATCTACGGGTGGAATTTGTGGTCTCCGTGCACCTGTTATGTGCCCCTACTATGGTATGCAAGATGGTTATCGCACCGGGGCAAGAACCAAGTCGAACCCGGGTGCATTAGCTGGCTCTTGCATACTGCGAGCAGATGTAGGCCCCCCTGCATAGAAACCTGACCCGTTGCGTTTTGTAGGCCTGACACTAGAGTACTTGGTGTCTGCAGATCATAGCGATGTAATTGCTATGAACTCTATTTGGCTATAGTGCTACGCGTGCCTACGCGTCAGCTATCTGCGCGGCCTTACAACAGTTCCATTCGGGGCATTTGGGGGTATCAATCCACAGTCTAGACGATCTCGTATATCCTAATCTTGACACGACCAAGCCTCTCAGGTGGGAGGAGATCACCGACGAAACACGACTTGCCAAGCCACCCGTATTTGCCTTCTGCAACCTCGAAATGCGGAAACGTTTTCGTATACCACTCACTGGCCCCATTAGTTGGTGATCCGGCTACCGCTTCCGGTGAGCTGAAGACGGTTTTCATGGTCTGTTGGCTTGCCCTGCCATAACCCTCGTTCGTAATGTTCACCATCGTCCCGTCGTCCATCTGTATGGCATACTTGGCCATGACGTGGACGACCCCGTCTTCCCGGGCTGCGTTCCAGTCTCCGCCACCTGGAAGGATCCGGCCCTGGATGCCGTCTCCATCGAGAGTACCGCCGGTGATGGGTATGAATCTTCGATCGCCGCTGTACGTCTTTCCAAAATCTACCGGTGGCGCCAATTCGACGTCGAGGGTGAAGACGTATCGTAGTTGTGGCACCATAGTCAAGTTCGTTGCAAAGTCGGGTAGGGGGTTGGCTATTTCTGTTTCAAAAGTAAGAAAACTAGAAGATGATAGATCTAAATGAAGACAATGAACTCATGGCGTATCGCTACTCTGGCTGGGGGTGTCTCGGGTAGGTGGACCCGCTGGTCGCCAAATCCATTAGGAGATAGGGAAGGGAAAGCTACAAGGTCCCGGATGGAACTGACTAGCCATCTCTGCAAACCAGTAAGTGCCGACAGATATTCCCCATGGGGAGTGCAACGCCACACAATCGATTGGGGAGTTAACAGACGGCCCCGCTGTTTCGCTGTTCCGCTGCTGCGCGTTACATGTGTCTCTCCACTCTTGCACAGCCCTTTGGTGCTAATGCGTGAGCACAAGTATCACACAAGAACAGATATATAAAACTCCTTCCCTGAAATCCGTTCTCGTTGAATGCCAGATTTCATTTGCGAACGAGAAGAATTGCAGCAATGTCCTCATCTAGATCAGAGCAGCTCCATGGCGAGCACACCATCATCGAGCACTCCCTCAAACACAAAGGCATTGCCCTCATCCCACCTCCATCCGCCGATCCAAGAGACCCATTGAGATGGCCACAACACGTGAAGTTGTTGGCCCTGGTCGCTACTTCATTGTTCAATTTCGTGGGAACTTTCGCAGCATCCGGGCTCTCGGTAGCCACACCGGTACTTGAGGCAGAATTTCACAAGTCTACAGTCGATGTCCAACCACTGCTCTCGGTAAGCCTTATCCCCGCAGAAAATGTATGACACAGAATCTAAGAGGAGAATAGTTCAATTTTCTCCTCCTCGGCTTGGGAAACTTCATTTGGGTTCCACTGGCAGTCAAGTTCGGCAAGCGCTCAATACTACTCATCTCTATGGGTGCTCACACGGCTGCACTGGTCTGGACTGCAAAAGCAAGTACTTTCAATAGCTTGCTAGCTGCGCGCTGTGTGACAGGATTCTGTGCTGCGTCTGGAGAGGTAAGGTTCACTCGGTGAGAGCAAAAAGTATTTTCCAGATTCTTACGCGCCAACAGAGTATTGTTCCCGGTGTAGTTTCAGATATTTTCTTCCTACATGAGAGGGCCACTATGATGTCCATGTGAGTGGAATTTGTATTTCAACGGCTTGGGATGACCAAAATAGACTGACGTGCACCAAAGCTACGTCCTCCTCATTTCGGGCTCCACTGCTGTGGGGCCTATGATCGCAAGCTTCATGATTGGTCGCCTACCTGACACCTGGCGGGACTTCACTTGGCTTTGCTTTGGTCTTTCGCTACTCAGTTTTGTCTTGATTTTTCTGCTCTATCCGGAGTCATCATACCAGCGACCTCAAGCTCCCGAACCAACAGATGATATTGTTCTCAGGGACAATAATGCGTCAAAATCTGACGAGGAGGGTGGGTTTGGACACAGCTCCATCCAGGACATAATGCCGCCGTCAGAACAATCAGGAGGGGGCTTGGAAATTGTTAATATCAGCTGGCTGAAGACATGGTCATCTTTTATCTCTTACAACCCGTCGATCTCGCTGGCGACGGCTTTTCTTCGCCCGCTGGCGTTGATTGCCCTCCCTGCTGTAGTATGGTCAGCTTTGGTCTTTGGTACTGCTCTTGGGGCGCAGGTAGCTCTAACGTAAGTGGATCCTAAGGCGTCGCCACGACGGCGATAACAGTGCTCCAGAGGTGGTGCCCAATATCAAAATGTTGACTAACTTACGGCTGTTTAGATTTGCGTCCCCCTCGTTCCTAATGGCCCCGCCATACTTGTTTACAAGCGATGGTATAGGGTTTATTCAATTTGCGGCCCTGATTGGCTTTGTCGTGGCATGTTATGGCGGCGGTTTCATCTCTGACCTGATTTTGACTCGTATGATCAAGAAAAATGGTAATACCATTTTCCCAGAACAGCGACTGGTGTCACTGATTCCTGGTTTCTGGGTCGGCCCGGCAGGATGCATTGTGGTAGCTATATGCTGTTCCCAGACTCTATCGTGGGTAGGTGTGGCCTTCGGCTATGCCATGCGTAAGTATACCTTCCCACTCAAGGGACCGGAAATTTAACAGCCACTAATGCCATTCTGCAGTATCGTTTGGAGAGGTGTATAGCCCGAATATCTCCATTACCTACGTTACGGACTGTTTCCCGCACGTTGCCTCCGAGTCTCTGGTCGCAATCAACGCATTTAAGAACTTGGTGGCCTTCCTGTTCTTATACGTTGCAGTCGCGTGGATTCAATCTTCAGGATGGGTCGAGGTTTATATGGTAATGTTTACGCTTACCTCTGTATCATCGCTAGCTGCGGCAGCACTCTACTTTTGGAGAGATCCCGTACACGCCTGGTCGAACAAGCTACTGAGAATTATAAAGGTTGACTCAGAGCGCATGGGGTAAAGCAGTCTCGATAGTTACGTAGATTATTATTAAACAATTTAAATACTACATCGGAGTTTTTAATAATTAAATTAATGTTACGAACATGGCCTCACGAACCCCGACCCCGGAAAGGAACAACTAGAACCTACTAGACAGCTGGCGGACAGACGATAAGACAAGGAACTACGGGACCAATGGAACAAAGGAAGTCACGTGACCCGATCACCGACGGAGACAGGTGATCGCAGGTATATAGGAAGGTGATCCCGGGCAGGATCATTTAAAAACCAACAGTAATCGAGACAAAGGACACTGGTAATCTAATTAATATTAATAAAGGAATGAATGAGTATATAATAAAAGGGATCTCTTAATTATATAAATAATTATTACTTAAATAATTAATTTAAATATTTATTTTATTTATAAATAAAACTTATTAAACTTTAACGGCGGGATTTCATAGTGATTCAAAGTAGTCTGGCGATTACAATATATAGTTTAAATTATTTAAACTTTAACGAGAGAACTAAGGAAACATGCCAGGCGCCCATGTGACAACTAACACTAAGTGCTGACTAAATCCTCGACATCATCATCTGACTGACGATAGAATCCCAAAGCTGCAATCATCGGCTTGTCATCAACCCTGTACAGGTACACTGTCTCAGGCCCCGAACTAAAGTGCTGGTATTCAGTCCACGCCGGCACGCAGAAAGTATCACTTTGTTCCCATTCGATCTTCTTCCCATTGAGCAGGGAGAAACCTGTACCGCTGACGACGTGGTACACACTAGACGTGGTTTCTTGGACCTTGGGCGAGTTCAAACCAGGGTTGATCCTCTCAGCTGCGCCCCCAAGTGTCTTGCTGACTTAATACAAGTTTTAGTATTTATAAACTCTTCAATTTGGGGGAAACGCTCCGCAACTGACCCTCTTGACCGTTATCCTTCAAGTATCGCTTCGACGCCCAGTTGCCCTCTACGGCATCTAGTGCCGCCTGCATCTTTTCCCACTTGAACACAATGGGGGAGGCATTGGTATCTACATCCGTGGCTGGATATCTGGGGTCCTTGAAATGCTCAACAAAGTGAACGGGGAAGTGCTGAAACTGTGGAAGATCAAGGCCATCGAGCCAGATCATGGGACCAGAGCCATCTTTACCATGGTCATGGAAGTTCCAAGTAGGGGTAAGAATGACGTCTCCACGATTCATATTCACGCGCCGGCCGTGGACGGCTGTAAAGCCGCCATTGCCCTCGATAATGAATCGCATGGCGAAAGCCGTGTGACGGTGGGCTGCAGCTGTCTCATTTGGCATAACAAGCTGAAGACCAGCATACACAGTATCCGTGGTGTAGGGTGCCTCTGTAAGTAGTCGAAAAAGAATCAGCGACGTCTAGATTGACGGGAAAATGCAGTGGGGAGAACTTTGTCTCAATGAACTGGTAACCATCGCGATCTCCGAGCCACCTCTCTAACTTCTTTGTTTCTTTTGGGACATCTTACCTCGATTAGGGTTCACGAGCATCAACACTCGGCGCTCTGCTTGCTTCTCTGTAATCAACTGACCAGCGCGGAGAAGATATGGTCGGACTTCACCATATCTCCAAATGTAAGGGATACATTTGGGGTTCGGGAGAGGCGGATTCAATCTGGTCATTTGTGCCCACAGCGGGAGCGTCGCTGTTGTTTCAAGCTCCTTGAGCAGCTTTTCTCCGCTATCAGCATCTTCAATGTGCGAACTGTTGGTTGTCTGGATGGCCATGGTAATTTGACTGTCTGGGGTTGAATGAAGATTCTACTTGGTAGAGGTAGCTGTCTGAGCGAACCTCCGCTGCGTGATGTGAACAATCTTAACAAATATACTAGCTTATCAAAAGACTACGGAATTCGACTATCTGTGGATGTAGGCGAGGTAAAGGCGGCTGTCGTACCCAAATTCCCACGTCACCCAACGAATTCGACGCAACAGTGGATCATGGTTAGGTAGAGCCTGCCGGGGAAGAAACGGTTACATGTTTGCACCTTGGTTCGAAACTCTTTGGACTGTGCCAGGACAGCGTGCTCTGAAGTTGCCGATAGCTGTATGCCAAGGGACCTGGTCCGTGTTCCAAGGGGAATGCTGCCCACATTCCGCCAGCGAAGTCCCGAAAGTGGAGTCCCCTAATCTGGGTCAAGGGCTTGGTATCCGTGGAAGACTATCATTCCGTTCTATCCCCGGGCGACGATTTCTCACCACGCAGGATCCAGCCCCACTCACTAATCTCTATTCATTAAAGCCAATCGCTTGCTATGCGAGGCAGCTTTCCTCTTTGAGAAGGCTTTCCCCCAAACCAATCACTACAACCCCTGGTACCTTAACGAATTGACAGCAATGGCCGGCCATTTCCGCCAGCAACTGCCTTACGGCACTCAGCAGTTCCCAAATCGGCCCCAGTTTTCGGGGTTCATGAAGCCATGCAGATTTGAGGGAGAAGTACAGAATCTGGAGGTCGTCGGTAAGATTCCAAATGAGATCGATGGAACCTTCTACCGTGTGATGCCGGATCCTCAAATGGTGCCTTTCATCGAGAACGATCCTTGGTTCAACGGGGACGGGAACGTCAGTGCATTTCGAATTCAAAGCGGCAAGTGCCACTTCAAGCAGAAATACGTCCGCACTGAGAAGTTCGTTCGCGAGAGGGAAGCTCAGAGGGCTTTACTGGGCAAATATCGCAACAAGTATACCGACGCCGTCGAGTTCAAAATCCGCACCACGGCGAACACCAACGTCGTTTATTTCAACGGGCGGTTGCTCGCGTGCAAGGAAGATGCACCTCCATATGCTCTGCACCCAGAAACTCTGGATACGATTGGTTTGGAAGATTTTGATGGACAGCTGCCCAGTTTGACTTTCACGGCGTAGGTGCCTTCTTTCGTTTTCGTTTGAATAATTCATGCTGAACAATAATTATTATAGGCACCCGAAGGTTGATCCTGTCACAAAGGAGTTTGTGTGTTTTGGCTACGAAGCAAAGGGAGATGGCACGCCAGATGTGTGTTATTTCACCATTGCCCCAGATGGGAAGTTCCTCGAAACCGTCTGGCTGGTTTCACCAGTAGTAGCAATGATCCACGACTTTGCGGTAACGGACAACTGGGTGAGTGGCAGAATAGCCGATTCGTTAGGACAAGTGCCTAAAATCTGATGCCTCCGATCTCGCAGGTACTATTCCCGCTGATCCCACAAACTTGTGATATTGAACGGTTGAAGGCAGGGGGAGAGCACTGGCAGTGGAACCCGGACATTCCTTTTTACATCGGGGTTCTCCCGCGCCGTGGTGCAAAGGGTACTGATGTCAAGGTAATTTGCATCTTATAACTCCTCAGAGTCTCTGCTTACTAGGATCGCAGTGGTTCCGTGCCCCTAACGCTTTCCCGGGGCACACAGCAAATGCATACGAGACACCCGACGGAAACATCATATTTGATCTCCCCGTGAACGAGAAGAACGTTTTCTTCTGGTGGCCTGACAAGGATGGGAACGCACCCGATCCCACTAGTGGAGAGATCAAGGCAGACTTCCTGAGGTTCACAATAGACCCTCGTGCTTCTGACCTGGATCTCGCGAAACCGGAAATATTATCTCGCGAAGATTGTGAGTTCGTGCGCATTGACGATCGTTTTGCTACGAAGAAGCACTCCCACTGCTTCTTCGACATTATGGATCCGAAGCTGGAGACCAATTTCCCAGCGATTGCCCCAGTCATGGGGGGTGGGCATGCACCATACAACGCCCTTGGACATATTGATATAGAGACTCGTGTGGTCCAGAAATACTTCCCGGGACCAACCCACCTGTGCCAAGAACCCGTTTTTATCCCTCGATCAACCACTGCCGCGGAGGGAGATGGCTATTTGATGGCTCTCGTCAATAATTACGCCACCATGGCCAGCGAGCTACACATTGTTGACACAAGGAATTTCGGAGAAGCTTGTGCTATCATATATCTGCCTATACGCTTGCGCGCGGGCCTACACGGCAATTGGGTTGATTCCCAGGATTTAGCCTTATCTGGCTGATGTTTACCGGAGCTTGGCAAAGGACATGGCCTTCGTATACAATGCATCACAGTCGCTACAGTTCAAACAGAAACCATGAGATTTGACCCAATATCAAGTGTCCATGCAAAACAAAATATCATTGAACTGTCGACAAGAATATGAAATTCTTAGAAGACGAGATGACCAACACTGGAGCTAAGTTCAATGGGCCTGGCCCCACCGTTCGAAGTAACAATTGCTTCCGTACCTCATCCACACAACAGGTGGACAACTCAAAGCTGACGGCTCGAATTAATTCTAAATCAGAGACTACCCTTCAGTTTGAATATTACCACCTGCAAGTGGCGTTGGTCCACAGCCTGACACATTTGAAGGCGCCATCACAGTGGGTGATATCACCAGTATGGCCCAGACAGTTAACGAACTGATTTCAGAGTTAGTTGCAGAATTTTGAAGAGTTCTACAAATCATGCTGTAACGACTAACCTGGGGGCCGCAGACCGGAATGGCAGACGAAGCACACGTGAAATAAGCCTTGGACTAGTTAGTTTGTTGTGTCTTTTATGCAACGGTGATCGGCGTTCTCACAATAGCTCGCTTTCCATACTTCTTAATCACGGGCCAGACTGGCTTCAGTTTTCCAAGTCCCTTGATCAAAGATCCAAGGCCGCGCTCTGCGAGAAGCTCTGCGGCATCTTCACCTCGTTCGGCCAGGTCAACCAGCTCGTCAATGGAGTGTTCTTTGCCGGCCTCGTCATAGAAGACCAGAGTACCGTTGGGCTTCTCGACAATCTCACCCGAGAAGTCTTCATCATCGTCGCCCCGGGGCGTGAGACCAATACTGACATCGCCAGTTTCCGCGGTACGAACCACAACCTCAACTCCGGCTTTGCCTGCCTCACGTTGAATGAGCTCGTAGGCCTCGGCCGCATCTGGGTCGGCAAAGGGGGCAGCGAATGAAACGGCGGCAAGGCCGAGGAAGGAGGCAGCAAGGGTGCTAAAGAATTTCATTTTGCTTGGGAGAGCAGGATGTAGTTCGTCTGGCTTGACTACGAAGAAGGATGGGTGGTCTGATAGGTAGATTCGACGTCGTTGCTGTGGAATTGTTGAGGGGTTCGCTAGATGAACATGAGGCCTTGAGAGTGAGATACGGATCCTTTTATGCTTCGAAAGTCGCCGCCTTTGTCGAATTTCCCACGACTATTGCGGGGCATTTGGTGTTCTGAACCAGCAAACCATGCCTATGAATAGAACACAGCTTCATTGAAGGAATTCTTAGAGTCTAAAGATACCTGACGCTATGCTGGCCCCAGTTTCATGACGAGCTACCCTAGCTTGTTCAGAGAATCGTTTAGGAGAGTATAGTGAGGCTAATTCTTAGCCAAGACCAGCTTATTAGGAGCTGAAGATCCTTTGTTGGGGGGGAACAATTGTATTTCAGCTACTACATGACGCAAACCACTCTGAATTACACTCATGAAGTACTGCAATTGTGGATATGCAAATGTTGGAGCTCGAGCTGAAGCTGAAGTTGATACAGGATTGGCTCGAGTTCCTAGTGCTGAACTTGCTCATCTGTCAGCTCCGCCCCAGCACATGGGGCCATTGCCGGGTTACTGTACCCGACAACATCAGCAGACCATAAGCAACGGGGTGAATCTAAACTAGAGACACTAAGTACATGATTCACATTATGAAGGGACATTGTTCTATTAGACTAGCGGTGGCACAGTTCAAGAATGCGTATACCAAGCGAGTTGGATCAAGTCTTGATGTTAACAATAACTCACAGTAGACCAACATGTTGAGTACCCGGTCTACTCAATTATAATCGCCCAAAGATAAACGGGTTACTGCGTCGGGGGATTATTCTATTAAAGCCAACCATAAATCTCCGTTTAGCAGTAAGGCCTTGAATACGTTGGCCATCAGTAACCCAGATCTGATATTCAAAGAAGTTCTCTCGGCCCACTGGAGGCATGCATCATTTATTACTTTGCGGCAATGTACCTCTGCTTCGCTCCCCCCAGTTGACGCGGGAAAGTTGTTTTGTCTTGGATGAAACCATATCCACGTTGACTTGTGACACTTTAGAAAATTGGACAGAGTTAAGAGGCAGGCTAAACAGGGCATTTTTTATGCATCCGATAGCGAGAGGATTAAACACAAGTCATGCTCAAGTTTTTTTTTTTATCTGGGTTCTGTGCCGCGGAAACGTATTACACGGAGCTTGCAAACTCCCTCTGGGTACATAGTTAGCCACCACTCCTCATTACAGCGCGGGAAATGGCCATTCATATGAATAACATTGGGCGAAACCCACTCTCTGCTACTATGTGCTACATCGCCAGGTGCATGTATTACTTGTAGTGCTACGGGCCTTAAGTGCATAGTCAGTGCCTTGGATAAGTGGGATGCATCCTTATCGAAAAATGGTCACCACATAACTCCCCAGGGAGATCTACAGGCTAGGGTTGAACCGCTTCTTCACCGCTTGCTGAAGAATGATTTGCCAGCAGATAAACAATCAACCACATCGACTCCCCCTCCGGTAACCCGCAAAAGCGATCGGCGTCAGTGACTCTGCAGTTGCAGACCTTCCAGTCCAGTGATACAGATTCTCATAGTGATGTATCTATTGAGGCTCTGTTCAGATGGTGAAGACGACGATGCATGTCAAAATTGGGCTTACGCACTGTCGCATTTGCGCTCCAGTCAACCAACCTACAGCGGCGGCTAGCGGTACAGTGTATGAAGGAAATGAGAGTTGTTGGCACTGTACGCAGCGTTAGCACGTGATTTGGCGTCCCCTTCCTTTACTGTAACTCTCCGCGATCAAACGCACCAGACTACCGATCCACAGTCCTGGGCAAGCCACGCCAATAACTGCGGAAACGCAGTAGATATTGAGCTTCAAGAACGATGTCGAGGAAGCAACCGAAAGGAGAATGGATCGAGACGGTGCGTTGCAGTTCGCCCCCCTCCATGCAGTGCAGAGGTTGACTTCCCAATGCAGGACACCGGTAACAAGGTCAACCGCAAGGCCAACCTGATTGGGACACAGCATATCATGCTAGGCGGCAAGACGGTCATCATGCCCGACGCCATGATACGCGGCGACCTTGCCAGGACGGCGACATCAGCGGCTGGCGGTCCCCCCGGTAGCAACACTGCCGTGTTCATTGGCCGCTACTGCTTTCTCAGCAAGGGTTGCTGTCTGCGACCGCCCGGACGCATCTACAAGGGGTAATGCCTCAGAACCCCCCTCCCGGCCCCTCAAGTTGCAACCATTCTGACTTGTGACGCAGCGCATTCACCTACATGCCTCTGCGTCTCGGCGACCACGTCTTCATCGGCGAAGGTTCGATCGTGCAGGCAGCCACCGTCGGCAGCCACGTGCACATCGCCAAAGATGTCGTGGTGGGGGAATTCGCTATCATCAAGGATTACGTGAGGATCATGGAAGGCACCATAATCCCGGCGAACATGGTGATCCCAAGCTTCAGCATCGTTGCGGGTCAGCCTGCCAGGATCATCGGCGAGGTGCCTGAGGGTGGCCACGAGGCATTTGAGTTGAGAGAGCGTTACAAATCCGTAAAGACCAACCCACTTGCAGCTGGGTCTTGATATCTCGTACCAGATTCATCTTTGAGGCAAACCGGCGCGGCGTATGGCGTTCGCGGAGTATTGGTTGGCGTTGAGGGGCAAGGGAGGTTGGCTCAAGTGGGACTAGGGGTCTGTCTTTCAGACAGGCAACCCATTAATGCACTCGTAGTCCGTAGATTTTCGGGCACTTTGATAACATGAGAATGTGATAAGAAGTGCTCTTAGGGGTCTCTAGGTGTTCGAAAGGGTAGAGACTCGAGATGTGACCCAATGTTTAACATGGATAAGTGCTCCTCCTGTAAGCTGCCCTTCTTGATCAATATACTGCCACACACCATGATCTATCAAGCACGATAACTATGTTGGTGTAATGCCACATCGTCAACATCACAGTTGGGACAGCGTTGGTCTCAGTAAAATGACCTCTACAGATTTTAGACGAATGGTAGACGAATGGTAGACTCAACAGGGAAGTAAACCCAGCTGGCTAAGCTTATAAGGACGCCAGTACTGAGGTGTCTTATGCGAACTATTGCTGAACGATCGCAAACGCAGGGGGTAAGAGCGATGCGAGAAAGGAGAGAACCTTGACGTTCTACTCTTGGACGATTGGTTTGGTATCCATCGTCAAGGCAGGAGTGATCTTGAGTGCCACTTAAGCGAAAACCAAGGACAGTATAGGCTGGAAACAAATTCATAAAAGCTTGCTAATTGCATCGTTTATTTCCCAGGCAATGATTCTGCTTCTCTTATAATTGATTCAGTACTGAATCCTTATTCAAACATGCCAGTAAGTCTGAAGGTAATACACAGGGTGTGCGAGCTTCGCGAGAACGACAGAACTAATCATGGACCTCGAACAAAGGAATTGTTGTTTGCAAGGACAAACGCCAGCCCCGCCATGGCTCCTATCCACAGGCAGCTCTATTGTTCCTTGGTTAGCACAGAGGCTACTATTTGAACGGACTAGGAGGGCATGATCTTTCACTAGACATATTTACAAAGACATTGATAGGTGAGATCTCCAACAAAGGTAATTCTCAGGCATATAAGAAGCACCAGATAGGTCAAGTAGGGCAAATCAGCAGTCGTTGCACTTTTTGCTAAACGATCCCAAGTAATATTCAAATTCACAACCGATATGTGTCAAGAGTTCAAGACTACTTCTCGCTGCCCACTTTGCGACACCGTTACTCCTGGCAAGCGGGTGTGCGTGGATTTCTGTCCTGAAGGAGACATTGGTGGGTTTGATTCAGACCCCCAAACGTGCGACGATATGAAGACAGTGTCTTCTTCCGTTGATATTGTGTGCCAGATCTGCAAGGCCGAGTCAGAAGATATGGTATCAGAGCCTGTCATCCCAAAATCATACTTGGACGATGAAGAGGAACAAAGAAATCCACCTGCGTAGACGCAAGGTATCCAGTTGAGTAAGCAAGCACTGAGATGATGACAGCCTCGCTGACGCGACAGATATTCGTTATTGATTTAAGGCTAATTACTATCATTGTGCATATGAGGTATGTGAGGTAGCAAGCAACTGCGGATGACTGCGTGTCAGCAAGGCTATCTCCAATAAAGAATAGAAGCCCATCTAGTCATCTTCCCTCTTGAGTAGTCCAATGCTCTCTTTCTAATCTCATTTAAAGGCCGCCTAGGGGTCTTAGTGGCCTCTATAGCGCCAAGAATATTGCCAACAAGCTGGTCCTCTATACCGTCGCCTGCATCTCTGTTCTCAGCCACACTCGTGCTGAGAGTGATACCCACAGCGGAACTACCAAATGATGACCTTGCGGATCTAAAATCATTGTGAGTCTCTCCGGACTGCTGATCGTCTGTCAAATAGCCGGAGTCCGTGGTAATCTCTACTTGTTCGGCGGCTGCATCGGAGGCCTCCTCTTCACCATCGTCAGGGGCTATGTTCTCCCAGATGTCGTCGTCATCGTCGTCGTCATTCTCGTACCACGGTGTGAACCAACTCCATGCCTCCAGCGCAGTCCGCTCAGATGTTTCATGTCGGCTCCCTATCGCTCTCTTCCAAGCGTCGATGTGAGCAACGACGTAGCGTCTTGGTTTCGGAATGCAAGCCTTTGAAGATACAAACGCAGCTTGCCCTACGCTGGTTGCAGTATCGTCAGACGGGAACGTTGGGCCTTCCCAATCGTTGCTGGAGGGAAAACACTCTGTATGACAGTGCACGTTCGCTTTGGGCCTGTTCTCGAGACGGTCTCTGAGCCGACGTGCTAGCTCTCTCTCCTCTTTGTGATCAACTTGATCAGCCTCGATGTGCGCGTCCTGCTCCAGAAGATGCAAATATTGTTCGACTTCGTTCTCGATCTGCCAGACTCTTCGCTCAAGAGCGCCCCCTTCCTTGTTCTTTGCGACGAGATTGTCACACAGGACGGCCTCTCGAATACATCGAGATCTCAAATTCGAAATTAAGCGCTCGTCTGCAGTTCCGTATTTGAAGCGTGGACGAAGTGCCTCACAGACCTGGCGGCACAGGAGGAGGTACTCGAGTGCATGCTTCCTCGTGCAGCCATCTGAAAGGCTTTGCTGGTAGGTGCTTGTCAGTTCTTCGTATTTCTGCGTGAAGGTCATCATGGTTGTGTCGCGACGCTTGCGTAAAGCTTTGTCGGTGTCGTTCAGGGTCGGCATCGCGATGTGTCCGAGTATTGTATTCAGTTTAGCATGGCTACCTAGATTATCGAATCGACTTATGCAATGCCGTCTTGACTTTTGTATCTATATGGTTGCTTTCTCCGAATGACAGGCCACGAATTTAAACTTTACCTCCACAAACTCTCTCTTGCAAGTTAACCTGCGTATCCAACGCCGCCTAAAGGTCTAGCAGTGTCTTCCCATGCGTCAAAGTTGAATATTGGAATGGTAAGCTCGTTGCCCATTGAACTTACAATGCTGGTCATCGAATGTAAAGGGTCTATTGACATCGCAACCATGACCTACTACCTTATCAAATTACTCGACAATGTGAGTATATCAGAGGGCTCACGTCTGTTAGCCCAAAAGTTTAATACTGAGTGTTTGGTTCTAATTATTTGGCGAGGCTACCTTGGAATTGGGGATTCGATGAGAGATTCGATGAGAGACGGCGATAATCGTTAAAGCACGGCTGTTGCCACAACGTTGAGCTGTGCCGGTCAAATATCTGTACTAAATGAAAGACCATTACCAGAATGTAGATACTACATCGAATTATCATTCCCTGGCAGTACGTCTATAAGAGTTTGAATCACAACCGGCGAACCGCTGTCTGTCGGAGTCTCTCGATGCTGGATTGGACCCCTAAAAGCGTGGCTGATATAGTAAGCTAACGACTAGGGGGGTGCCCCAAAATTGGGACTTGCCTCGGCTCGGCCATGACTGACTTATCGCTAGCCTCGCGTTCTGGCAGGGCAGGATTGCGACAAGCAGAAATGTCCACTTGAGACGGGGAACCGCCAAGCTGTTCCTCGGTGCAACTTGAACAGATCTGACCGCGCTTTACCTGTTGTCGGCTGCTTCACGTGCTGTTCCTTCCGCTGCCCATTCCATTCTTCTGGTAAGACTGTGCCTCTTGGGGGAAGGCTCGCCACTTCGCTTCAATCCCAGACAGCCACGGCGCTCCATTCTGGATGTCGCTGTCCTTATCGCCAAACCACAACCTCGTTGCCAAGTGTACCAGCACTATCCTGTGCCATCTGCGCTCGATCCCGCTCTGGGCCGTTGTACTCGCGCTCTTCGTCCTCGGCGCCGTACGAAACAGCATAACGTCCTATCTCGCGAGCCGGAGACGCCGGAACAGCGAAATCGCAAGCGAACCGCCAGCCAGAGCCGACAAAGACTCTAGGTAGCAAAGACTCGCCCGCGATGGTGTCGAGCGCAGCCTACGCGAAGCCGCTCTCGCGCTTCGCCAAACCCGTTCTCCTGCCCGCCTCGATCGCAGCCATCGCATATGCTGCGTATACGGGACGCGCCAATGGCGCCGAGCTTGCGCGCAAGTTCTTCACAGGTCCGGGTAGCAAGAGCCGCATGGTTGCGCTGCTGATGGTGCTGGTGAACTGGAAGAGTCTACCCCTGGCATGGACGGTACGTGTTACCCTCCAATCTACATCATGATGCAACAAACTCACACGTCGCTCTGTCTGTCTCTCAGGTACGAATCTTCAACACCATGATCTCGCATCTCCTTGTGCGCCCCTTCCACGAGCTAGGCCCCGAAGCGCTCTTCCATCCGATCATCTCCCAGACGCACGTCACGCTCCTCGAGGTCGACTACAACGTCCACAAGTCCAACAGCACCTACTTCGCCGACCTGGACGTCTCGCGCTCGCACCTGGCGTCGCACCTGTTCGCGCGTGGGATCCGGGCCCTGGGCAACAACGAAGCCACCCGGCTGGTCAAGGACCCCTCGGACCCGACGATGCCCGCCCGTGGCCGCTTCGGCGTCAGCCTGGGCGCCGTACAGTGCAGCTTCAAGCGCGAACTCAAGCCCTACCAGCGCTACGAAATGTGGACGCGCGTGCTCAGCTGGGACCGCAAGTGGCTGTACCTGGTCACCCACTTTGTCGAGGCCGGCGCTGTCAAGCCGCGCTCGTGGGACAACCCCAAGAACTTTGGCCCGACGCGGGCGGCCGAGGGCAAGCCCGAGGACTGGGAGCGCAAGATCCACGCCAGCGCCGTCAGCAAGTACGTCTTCAAGATCGGCCGGCTGACCGTCCACCCGGCCATTGTCATTGGCGCGAGCGGACTCCTGCCCGAGAGGCCCGAGGGGTGGGTCAGCACCGACAGCAGCGGCATGGTGACGCCGGCGGAGCCCGTCGTTGGCAACACGGACGAGGCGCACAAGAACGAAGAGGAAGTGACCGGGTGGGACTGGACGAGAATCGAGAAGGAGAGGTTGAAGGGCCTGGAGTTTGCACAGAACTTTGCCGCCCTGGACGGACTGATCGGCCAGTTCGATGGTGGAGAGGACGGTGCTTTGGGTAGATTTGGGTTGGGTTGATCAGCGCGACTTCGGGGGGTATACGATATAAGAGATGGCTGTTCAACACATTGTATAGAGGGAAGCAAGAGTCCATGGGGTTAGAAGGCACATCGCACACTGCAGCAAGCGAATCACCACGGCAGAAGACCGTTTTTAAAGATTTTAATAGCGCAACATCCATAGACTTCATTCATAGAATAGATACATCTGAAGATAAAATGTATAACCAACAGCCACCACGGGCCCTGGTCATTGTACTCTTACGGCATGTGGCAACCAGCAACGGGCGTGCCCTTCAGCCTTATTGGGTCCGTTCCACCTAATCGCCATTGACAGCTGCAATGGTAGGCGTGTGAGGGGTATTCTCTTGTTTGGGTATTCCGCTCCTCCTTCCAACTCCATTCGTCCTATCGAGGCTCCGATGTGCAGTACTTTAGAGAGCGAAGGCGAGGATACCGGCGGCGGCAGCCACGACGCCAACCTCGACGCGGCCAGCAGAGCCGGTGGTGACGGCAGTCGAGGCCGAGGCGGAAGCGGAGGCCGAAGCGCTGGATGCGGCCGAGCTCAAGGCCGAGGTGGCGCTGGCCACGGCGGAGCTGACGGACGAGACGGCGCCGACGGCGGCGCAGATCTTCTCGCTGACACTTTGGGCGTCTGATATCATCATGTCAGCTGGCTGCGGAAAGGGAAGAAGTCCGGGCAGGGGAGGTGCGACGTACTGCCAATCTCCTCGGCGCTGCAGGACTTGGCCAAGCAGGGCTCAACGGCCTGCTTCAACGCGTCGGCCTTGGAGCACTGGCACGAGTAGTCCGTGGTGTCGCAGCCGACCTGTGCGCCGGCGTTCAACAGGCAGCTCAAGGCGCAGGTTGGAACCTGGGCGATCAGGCTGTTGATGTCCTGGGCGGCCACGGAGGCCACGAAGAGAGAGAGGGCGAGGTTCTTGAACTGCATCTTGGGCTGATTTGCTGGGGGTATCGATGAATTACAGGGTGAATGAAGATAGTAGCTCGGTAGAGAAGGAGTGTCGAGAAGATTTTAGAGAAGATTTCAAGGGTGCCAAGAATCAGAATGAGCGAGTGGGTGAGTGTGTATCATTCAGAAGACAGGCTCGGTGAGGCGGGAGGGCGCCGTATATACATAGTAAACCATCAAGCATCAACGCTGCAGGCACATTTGACACCCTTCAATCCCAGACGGCGTTCCATAGGGCCCCATGTGGCCTGCAACAACCTTGCCAAAGTCAATGCAGAAGCCCCATTCTTTTGCCTCCAAAGCAATATGAGATGAGATGCGCCCATTCTCTGCCCTATACGGTATGGCCAGGGCTTGGGTCTGCCACGCGCTCGCATGGGTACCTACCAGCTCTAGCTTGTCGGTAGTCGGCGTCCACACAGACCCTAGGGTTGCGGCAGTTATCTGTCTTGAGCATGATCGTGCTATGGAGAGGATCCAGGTCGGTGCGGTGATGGCTCCAACGACCAAATGATGCCGACAAGAGCGTCGGCTAGGCTGGACGAGGAAGCAGACCAGGCACAACCGTCGACCTACTGCATGTACCACGCTATGCCACGCGAGGGCCCGGGCGGTCTACCGGTAGCCTTCTGTCCTGGTCTGCTGGTCGCGGCCCAGATCGTCGGTTAGCGTTGGAATAAGAGCGCGAGGTTGGCCCAAGTATCTGAGCGCCTGCGGGCTATCATAATAAGCATAAAATACTACCCACGGCAGTAGAAGATGTGCGCCCTATGTGCGAATGGCTCTCAGCGGTACTGTGTATGTAGAGATTCCGCCAGCCGCAGATACCGGTAGTGTTGCACAATCCTGTCTCACAACTGCTTGTCTCGGACCTAGAGACTCGTCAGCGGGCTACTCTGCCGTTGAGCAGCTTGCTTTTGCTCTCACACGCATCCAAATGTGCCCGACATCTGGAATCTCGAGATCCGATCTGCTCGAAACAGACCCCATTCAACAGTATTGTCGACCGGGATAAGCGCGTGGGGTCGATAATGAACCAAACCAAGCCAGGTGTCAGGGGTTCTGGGACCCCGAGCTCACAGGCGAGGGACGCCCTGATTCGTTCCCAGCTGCGCTAGCCGGAACACATCTCAGGGGAAATACCACACGAGGAAGCAGGGGCAAGGATTAGCTTGTATCAAGCCGCTCCATTGGGTGGGCGGGCTTGATCATCGAAACACCCGTCTTTTGGGAAGAAGCAACCCGTCGCAGACGGTGGAGACGACGGTGAGCGTTCCTCTGCGCAGCAGATCCAAGGGGCCCTTTTTCTTTTTCCCGCTGGGCGCGCGAGGACTCGCTTCTTTGGAGCTGGCTTCACGTGTGGCTACGAGTAACTACCACTGTATAGGCGGATGACTGCCCAACGAAGGCGGAGAGTTAGAGTTAAGTGAGACATTTGGAAGAAGGGTTTAAGCTCATCAACGGGTGACGGTTTCGAAAGGACGAAACTCGACCAGGAAAGCTCGGGGCAGATCCAAATCAGCGGTCCCCGCGGCCCTCGGGCGAGGCCTGGCAAGCCAGGGACTTGTAACTTAGCGCTAGCACGGCAGAGGCAGTTGGGTGGGACAGAGCGCCCTATCAGGCTATCATCCTCCAAACATGCCCCCCACACGTTGTTGACCCACTGATCCGCGTCGCTGGCTCGACCCATGACCCAGGGTAATCATGAAGCTTTAAGCTTTCTATTTCGCAACTTAGCTTTGATGAGCTACTATTACTCCAATGCCTGGCTGCTACTGCTTGAGCTTGGTACACTCGGCTCCCATGTAACAGTCCTTGTAAGAGTACATAGTCATCACTGGATAGCACGGGCACAGATCTTCGTTGCTGGACTAGCGGTGGACAACTCACGGAAATGCACGGTACGCTTAGAGTTTCTCGTATCTCTAAGATGAGCAGAAAACTTTGGTCCCAAGCTGTCCGTATGGGTTCATGCATCTGGCATGTTTTTGAGACAGGCCACCTTTGATTGCCTATAGACACTGCGTGGTGGGTCTGCCCGTAGTCACCAGGAGGACCATCAAGCTCATTCAATATAACTCGTACATGACTATATCGTGACGAGACCTGACGCATGCTGCTTTTCTTCGCATTGACCATCCACGCGGATTTGACCAAAAATCTCGGTACACTGTCTCCCATACTATCACATTCTCGCGCTGTCGGCGCCGTTCGCAACGTGAGCGACCACAGCTGAGGCCACTATTTCATTCGAGGCATCAGAGGCATCAATTGGATGCTCCGGGACAAGAAAGACAAGCCATGATGTCGCAGGTACCACGATACCAAACATGGCAAAAGCCACTATCAAGTTGACCATAGGCGACACCTTGGCTGCACCAACGCCGTACGACACGGCATTCCCAGCCGACTCGAACGACCTGAGAAGGCCCATAGCCAGTGTCAAGGTCTCGAGATCGTCAAAGAATACCCCTATGAGCCAATACTCAAACATGTAGTGCGATTCGTTCATGAATCTGCATCGTATGAGTCTCGGTTGACTTTCAAAGGTCGAAGAGGGAGTCTTACCGGAATAGCACATTTGCAGCGAAAGCCCGTCCAAACTCAGGACTGGTCCAGTCCAACGTGACTTTGGGAACTGCTGCCTCATATCTCTTCTCGTTGGCTACCTGCCAGCCGAACAAGCCAAGCATCGTCACGGCAAAGAAACCCCACGTTACTTTTGCTAGTGTTGGTCTACTGCATACTCGCAAGTCGTAGACCCAACCCCAGAGGATGTTCGCCACAGTGGCCGCCAAAGCAGAGCTCAGCGCGCCGAGCGTTCGTGCTCGAACTGAGAAGTAGTCGGTGAGGTAGATGCCCTGATATGTATTGTTCCAGTGAAACCCGACAAGCATAGGTATCAGCAACAAGAACTGCTTTGACTTGAGCAAAGTCCAAAGCTTCCTCAGTGTTTGGCGCGTTTTCTCATCTTTGGGGGGCTCTTGGACTTTCATGCCGTCTGGCCGTATGACTTTGCCTGGAGGGGACACCAGCAAAGCTAGGGGGAGGCCGCAGCACTGCAAAGCGATAAGAACAAGGTACGTGGTGTATCCCACCTTCCCTCGCTCACCGTTCTTCACGTTGAATGCGAGTTGGATAGAGGATCCAATTAACTGGCCGAGTTCTCGGAGACCCAGCCAGATTCCGGCTTGATGTGTTAGCACCGACGCACTTTCGTTGAGGTTAATGATAATACGCACTGAACTTGCCACGATCTTTCACACTGCCGTAACCCAGCGCAATGGCCCCCTCAGATGCCCACAGCGCCGACGCTGCTATACCACAAGTGACGCCACCGAAGAGAACAAACCAATCGACTCCGTATCTGTTGTTAACGTACAATGATGCTGAGTATGGAGCGTAGCCCAGGGTGCCTATAATGAGCACTCTCTTCAGGCCGTACTTGATTGCCAGAATGGAAAATATCGGGCAGCCGAAGACCATGATGCTATCCACTGTCAGTAAACACGACCCTCCCGGCTCATTCCAGTGTCGCACCCTAGTGTGAGAGAGTTGGCGCCATTGACCAGGTAGGGTTCCTGTTGCCCTCCTGCTCTAGTGTCTGTGTTACCAAGATCAGGTACTTTCGCCATATGAAGTAGTATATGAAGTTCGCCTACTATTGAGAGCATTCCAAATCCCGGGTTGCGTGAACGAAATCATCCCCACAAGCACCACATTGAATAGAGGGCTCCTATAGCATCGTGTAAACCGCTCTATGGTTCTGGGAGCTGCCACAGTCTCCTCATGGTGTAAAACCCCATCATCCTGTTTCATTTCCAGCATCATGACGTGATTCAGATTTATCTTTCGTCGGGAAAGAGATCCAGCTCGCCGGAGTGTGGCTTGTGAACATGGATGCTTATACAGGAAGAGTGCGGAGGCAGTTTCCCGTACGTCTTCCCCAACGAGGAGGCATATCAGAGGTCGTCGATCTTATTCCCGAAGAGCCACGCGGGGTGATCTCGAGAAAAACATGCTGTAACACCTACAGCTCCCAACATCTTCGGTCATCCGCCTGCATCTACGGCAGCGTGGGCTCCTGTCATTTCGAATCCAGCATCATCAAACAATCTCTACGCAGCAGTATCTATGTATTAAACACACTTCAGGGTTCGGTAGTCATATAAAGGGGGCTTTCACTAGTAGCAGATTTCATGTTCGTATTGCAGCGACACTGATTGAACGTGCTCTTAGACAACATCGGATGCGCCCACGGATATCTTGAACAATAATGGATACTGAAAGTATTCTGGTGGCTATATTGACAACAAAGACTATGTGATTGAGAGTTTTCATATTATCAGGCGAATGACTGATACTCAACGAGTCACAGGAAGCCATTATTTCGTTTAGCCTTTCTTTTAGCTCAAAGACCAATGACCATACTGACTTTAATAGCTGCAACCGGCGATCAAAGAAAACCCTGGCGCAGAAATAATGGCATTGAATAGGAAACTTCTGAAGTACAATGAGACATATCTCCTCAAATGGATATAAGAGACAACGGAGTTCAGATATTATAATGTACTCTCTGACAGGAAAGGGCGTGTCAGCCATTCAAGCTATCACTGAGAAGTATTGTAACAAGCGCTACGCACATATTCGAAGTAGTCTCCGGATCCAACCCCTACTGAAAACGAACCGCCGAGGATGGCCGCCCCTCCACCAGTCGCTTTGGTGATGCCGATCCCATGGTCGGAACCGTATCCATTCCATGATCCTCCAAATGGCAATCCTCGTCCATTCCGGTGGTTCCCGCAGGTTACCTGGGAACAAGGCCAAGCACTGGAAGAGTTTTTCTCGGACCTGTGTGAACCAAACGTCTTCCCACGCGCCGTCAAGACCAACACCAAGGTCGCTTTGAACGCAATGAACTACGAAACACAGCAACAGGTGAACACCGGAGCTTGGGCCTGGTTCTGGGGGATCGAAAGGACTAGCCGCCATGTCAACTTTGATAAGCCCGGCCAAATGATCTGGGACCTTGACTGTGCGTGGACCTCTGTAGTCACGCACCCCGATCGAACCGTTGGTGGTACTCAAAATTTACCGAGGTACCGATTCATATACATTATTCATCAGCACGAAGGAGACCAAAGAAATATTTACTCTCTAACAATATATGATCGCGAGGTAATTTAATCCCATTTTCCCTACTGCTGGTTTTTTGTTTCTTATATTTATTTCTTATAGTTCTAGACTTAGCTAACGATGGCCCTAGCATGCGAGCTCCACGTGGCACGATACAGGTGTTGGATTAGTTGCAGAGAGAGCGGCACGCCAGCTAGAGGTGCAAAACTTTTGGTCCAACGCTACGACGAACAACTTCGTTGGTTGCCCCGGTTTTGGAAACCCTGCCATGTCCTTCATGGGATATTACGGGTTCGACAATGTTAACTACCTAACGCGTGCAGTATTTCCTCTCAGAAATCTAAGCCGGACGCTATTTCAATGTATGGGCTGGGGTTGCAGCCTTGCGGGCCTAGCCAATGACCCGAACCCGGTGGGCCTCCTCCCCAACGATGATGCCACGGCCAGTGGGTTCCCAATGTTATCGCGCCTCTACACAATCCTCTTCTCGATCTTGCATGGCAACGTAAGGGCTCTTGGCTTAGGAACATTTCCTAACGGCACCCACAACCTCACGGTATCCGACAACATCAGGGCTCGTTATGGCAGCAGAAATCTCATCAACCCAACTTGGACAAGATACATCTCTAACTACATAGACAACTACCCAGGGCTCCCATATCCTGCTATTGGACTGGAGCCTTACAACTTTGCTCTTACAAGATAATGAAGAGAGTCAAATTCTGGGGATAGTGTTACACAAAGGAATGCTGTTCATCTGTCACCATGAATAACGGGAGCACCAGAGTCCCCTTAAGAATCAGTCTATACTTTGATCTACACGTAAATACAATCTGCATAATATATCGCTACACCAAAGGTTGATTGAGGCTTCTTCATTAATGTAATATTGCGAAAGGTTAAAGCTGGCGGAGAAGGGAACCTCTACCCCACCACCGCCGCGTTTGGTATCCTTGCACGTAGGTTATGATCCATCCCTCCTATCTTGTACCCTACTATAGTAACTACCTAACACAGGTATTGGCATTTTGGTATGTGCGCCTGGGGAGCATCACGTGTTGAATAGAGATAGGACGTGAACCATTTGCCAGATGCTAAAGCTTCAAGTCAAACCTCACTGGAAGTTACTTTTCCATCTTATTGCTGATACCTTTCAAACACTTCTGTCATTCGGCAGCACTATTTCTAGATTGCGTCCTATCTAATATTTCTGAACGCTATGAACCAATCTTAGTTCTTCTTGACGGTTACGTCGGAAAACCACTTCACTAGTAGAGCGAAAGGAAAGCCTAGATAACTCCCCCCCTCCCTTTTTTTTGTTTTTTTTTTTTTTAAAACGTTTCCATGGTCATATTTGTGTTCTCGTAAAATCATCATGCATGTTTATTTAGACCACAAAACACAATGGGCTTGACCGCTTGGCCGCAAGCGGTCTACACAAAGCGCCACGTGAATATTTCTCATAGCTGTTGACGTATGGACGATCGGCAGCAGCAAGGACTTTCAGGCACCCTTGAACTGATGATTTTTTCGCGTTAGCCTGCCATAAGATTCTCAGAAGAGCACTCGCGAATATCGTCGGCCTTCCGTCAAGAGGACTGACACTATGGCTGCACCAGTCCCCCCGGCTCCACCACTTGGACTATTTGTACCAGCACCCCCGGTCGTGTTTCCTCCAGGCCCTCCACAGATGCGCGCAAGGCTTCAATGGGTGGACCCTTGCCCATTCCTCCAAGAAACCCGCACTGCAAATAATTCTTATCTGTACGCTCCACGACTCAAGGCGCCGAAAGGAAATCTATTGGAATCCATATTCCACGACCTGAGCTCTACTGAAGAGTTTCCGCACAAACTAATGGACGGCGTGCCATTGGCATTGAATGCTGCAAACTGCGCACAACCGACAGTCCAAACTCAGTGTTGGGCTTATTGCTGGGGTATCATTGATGTGCTGGATGTGGTAACCGTCAATGCTCCTCCAGGTTCGCGCCCTTGGACCAGGAGGCTCAATGTCGACTTGAACTCCTTGTGGACACCAGCAGCAGTGCAACCCAATCGAGCAATAGGAGGACTCCCCCGGTATCGCTTCATATATTTTATACACCGACACCGGCATCCCAGCGGCGATGATCGGATGGCCACATATTCCCTGACTGTATACGATCGCGAGGTAAGCCACTTCGTTATGCTCAAAAGGTCTTTACGACTTATGAATCTCCTGGGGCCTTTGCTAAAAAATCATGCATGGCTAGTTTCAGACCACCGAGTGGCACGACACCGGATACGGCGACCCTGTTGACCGTGCGCGGCGTATAACGCAGGCAGGCAACTTCTGGGCAAGTGCAACAATCAACCTCATGCAGGGTGGATGCCCAGGTATAGGCGCCCTCGGAGCCTTTCATGCCGGCCGTAGTTCCTACCGGAGATTATACCACAATGCTCACAACAATGACCCGCTAGAAAACGCGAGGCGCACACTTCTTATGTGCATGGCATGGGGCGTAGATCTTGCGCGGAGGGCAAACCAAGTGATTCCTGTCGCCCCTGTTTTGGGCACTCTCGGTGATACGATAGAAGACGCCTCGGGTTTCAACGGCCTCGATACTTTGTTTGCAGTTTTGTTTGGCATCCTACACGGCAATGCACACGACGGTGTTCAATTCAAGGGCGCCTGGAACTTCACTGGTACGCCTGCCACTCTTCAGGCCGCTGGCTATGGAGCTAGAGTTGCTGCGTGCGAGACATGGAGAAACAGGATTAATGCAGCACTTGTCGGCAGTCCGCTCACCCCAAGGGTGGCAGCAGGAGCTCTCACCTGGCAACAAGCATTAACATCGTAAGACATCTTAGACTCATAAAATGTACCTACCTCAGTGAAGTATGACCATCCACCTGCCTTTACGGGACATGAAAAATACTCCCTCTCGCTGCGTGGGCGACCCAAAGGTATCAAAGTGGACGGATGACGCGGTACGCAAACCGGGGGGCCTATTCACAGGGTAACATCTCAGGTACGGATCAAGGAAGCAGGCTTTGAGAAGAGTGTGAACCACTTTAATGTGACATTCTGGGCATATAAAAAGTGAAATATTCTCGTGCAAGTGACCGGCCAAACTATTTCCGCCTGCCAAAATCTACTTCCGTGGCAAAATTCCGTCACTCACGTGCGCGCCTTAGAACTGCGTGATGGCGCCTGGAAGATTCTTGAGCCCTGGACTTGTAGTTAGCATGCGATGAAAACTATTTCAAAATAGCATCAGAGCTTACATTGATCGTCACCAATATTCTCCTTGGATGCCTGTGCCTTGGTGCATGCGATGGCCTGCGCGTTGCTTTGCCTCTTGAGAGCTGCACAGTTGTCATTTGCGCACTTTGTGTCCATGGCCTTCTGCAGCGCATCACCTAACCGCAAGAATTGTCAGCTACAGGTAACATGGAACCCGGAGGCTCTGTTATCTTCAAGTGTCGCTTACCCTGCCAGCCAAACAAGTAATCCCCATGAATACCGTAACCAGTGTTATCACCCATGCTCAAATAGAATGGCTGCGAGCCATCAGCAGGCCAGTCGGCTTTGTTGTTGAACTGACGAGTGTCGAAGATGGCCTCGTACATGACCTGAGGAATCTTGACAGGGTGCGTTGACGGGCACGCGCCGCCTGACTCAAACGTGCCGCTTGCTGGGTACGCAACGTGGCTCTTGTGATCGGGGCTGTCAGTGTTCTTACCATCCCAACATGACGGGAAGGTAACAGTCATTCTCCATCCACCTCCACAGGCCGCTTTGGGGAAGCCTGGAGTATCAGAGCCAGTGCATGGCGCTCCACCGAAGGGACTCTGCTGCATGTTTGCCTCACATCGCCAACAATTTCCTTTTGGGACCTTGTTGGCCACACGGTTCATCGGGTCACCAACTAGCATACGGAAACCCTAGCAGCTGGTCAGATACCACCGAGACCTGGTTGGGACAATCTTTGCTTACCTTGGGGAAGGCCGTGACCTTGGCGCTCGACTGATAACCTCTGATATAATAGATTGTCATGCCGGCTTTCGTGCCAAGACCCAAGTTGACCACCTGTGGGACGCGTTTGAATGTTCCATTGCGTGCCTTGAAGTACACATTGGCAGTCCAGTAGTTGGAAAAGTCCTCAGAGTAGGTGCAGCTGGTGCAGGTCGATACAGTTGGAGGGTCATGAGAGCCAGGGGTCATGGAAGCGTTGAAAGAGTTGCCGCCAACAATTTGGTGCATGTGCGCAGAAGGGACGTTGCCTGGCTCAACTAGGGGATCAATTTGGTCGACCGTAAGTTGAGAACAGCCGAAGCGCATCAACTCCTGCGCCGCTGCCAGGTGCACAAGAAAGAGTGACTTGAACAGCATGACGAGGTAAGGATTTCTCGAGCTCGTGGTGAAAGACGGAATAAAGAGATAACTGTGATGTAAAACTTCAGAAACCGCAAGGCAGGGCGTTGGAACAAAGTTGACCTATATAGCTTGTTCTTCAGTCAAGTTTTGGGCAGCCGGATAAAGTCCCGACGCTCGTCATAAGACTCGACGGCAATTGGTGAAAAACGAAGGAGGAAACTGCCGCTGATTGAATTAATTTAATTTGGGGTCTGGAGAAGTCGAAACCGGGTTCTCATTGGCTAAACCATACTGCCATCCATATAAGACCGAATCGGCATATATCTTGGCTCAAGAACACGGCTGCGCACCTCAGCTACTTGGTTGAGCCCTGTGTCAGTTATGCACTGCATTTTTCGTTGATTCATCCTAGGCCTCCCACTCGCGTTAAGATTGAGATTCCTCTATACTAGTTCTCTTTTCAAAATCCAAGCTAATGATTCAAGATAGATTCGGGCAATAAAGAAAGTTTATATGATACCACTAATATGGCAGGACTGCCGGCTTCGCATGCCCGCGCGTCACCTCCGTGTAACAGACTACCAATTTGTCTCTTCTCATCTCAAAGTCGTAATTAAAAGATCTCAAATCGCCTTATGATGGAAGTGAAACTCAAAATTAACAATAATACGAAGAGAGAGGTGTCCCACTGGTTGTGGGGCTGTCATACTATTCTAACTGAAGAAGGGATCGTAGGAGATCAACCCTGGAGCGCATGCGATTATGAACTCTATGCAGCTCCCCAAAATTCTAGTAATGCCCCAATGATCAAAGCATTTATCACCGCAGTCAGATATGTCCGATAACTAACAAGGCCTAGGTGCAGTAACCATTGTTGGGGTCGGAGCTAAAGAGCAAATGTCAGCCAAGACCACGGAACATCATCATGTCGTCTCACCTGTATTCCCAGCCAGAAACACTGGTCACGCCTCCTTGGTCACAACCACGAACCTCATTGCTCAGTCCATCAATACAATGTTGGTCCTGGAGATCAAACGAATCGCGAGAGTTTTGATTGGTGACCGAGAACTCCCATTTGACGTTTTCAGCGGCTCGGATGCACAAGTACTTCCTCTGATTTGGCGCGAACGTGCCAGTGAAGACACCTCCACGGCAAGCCGCCTCGATGTGGCCCACGGCCTTGTCCTTGTTCGACCAAGTGGTGCCGCTACGGTGACATGTGGCTGAGACTCCAATCAAAGTGGAGAAGAGAAGAAGGGACGCCGAGGTAAGGGTAGTGATCTGCATTTTGGAGAGCAAAAAGACGATGGACGCGGCCTTTGAGGAAATTTCTTTTTGGTTTTAAGACTGATAAATTGGGCGGTTGATGCTTACAAGAGAAGCCTTTGCTGGAACCCTCAGATGCGAGAGACCATTTTATATAGACATTTGCCGCGCACCATAACACATGAGTCCTGAAGCACGTGAGTTGCGATTGTCCAGTGCTGCGCATATCCGCTGCTCGAACGCTTCTCTCTACGTGACCGCTGGAATGCGCTGATTGTTGGCTGTCCTGTAAGGCTGTCGTATAAGGGCTCCACGTGAAGTATTCGAGCCTTAGTCATTCCGTAAACTGCCCAATCTGATCAGCCGTAGATGCCCATTTCATACTATTGTCACTGGGTTTGCGCAAACGAATATCTCGGCGCATCGTAACTCGTATGTACTCCATTTGATGCAGTCTATACGAAAAATGCTCAGCGCGTCGTCTGGACCTTATTGGTGGGTTTCCCACAAGAAGATTTGCAGCGTACCGTATGTACTTCATTAATGGAGGCACTGGCATTTCTCTCCACCCGTATGTACGCAGATGCACTGATCACGGGCCTAGATTAACGCCTCGTACGACTGATGACTATTACCCACCGCACGTGACTAAATTGGACTCATAACATCGGCGATAATATTGTTGATATATTTTAGGCATCGCTGTCCATGCCCCGATGTCATTATTATCACGTAAATGTTGTGGAATTGCTCTGGAGCTTTACCTATTGCCTGTCTACTTAGTATGCCGCAGATTTTCTCATGAAGATCCTGGATTGTCGCATCACAGCGGTCTAGAAGAATGTGGCTTGTTTATGATTGAGGTCGCCTCTATTAGTCAGACGCCCCGATACATGAGGCAAGGTCTGATCCTTGATTATTGGCTTGATGGCTCTGTGCATTTCCGCGGTCATGTGATCAGCACATTAAAAGATAATGTGTTTCCCCGAGCTCTGTATCTCCCTTGGCCTTTTTTCCACATTCAAATCAACCTATGATTGGATAAAATCTAGCGCCAGAGGGTTTGCTGAGATTACTATTGATCAGAATGTCCAAACCCTCAAAGCTGCTGTGCAGCATGCGCGAAAGCCTTGGTAGTCATACAAGCTCAGTCTAATGCCTTGTTGTTATTCGTAGCTAAGGTGGGTAATGGAAGCAAGCTTGCAAAGTTCAAGCTGAGACACACTTGGACGAGACATGAAAGGCTCTTGAGCGAAGTTTTCCATCTTGAGAGTTTAAATTAGATATTTGAAGACATTTAGCCGTTGTCAAGAATTCAACGGTAAACAGAACAGTAGATACATGTAAGAATCTTCTAGTTGCATCCACCGAGCCTGACGCTGCCGGCATACATCTCGTAGGTGTCAGCGTTAGCAGCAGCCTGGGCAGCTGAGAGCTTCTTGGCAGCAGTCGGGCCGTAAGCGTAGTCGTTGGTACCGTACAAGTGGGTGGCTTCGTGCAGAATACTGCCAGCTCGGTCATAGTCAAAGTCCGAGCAGGTTGAGGCCAACTCGGGGAAACCCCAGAAGCCGTTGTTGGGGCAGGGGACGATGACGTTGTCACTGGGGACAGTGTAGAGCAGCGCGGAGCCGTCGGCACAGTCACCGTAGGTGTCGGTGCAAGAGATCTTGGGCGATGTGGTCTGCACTCCGGCGACCTTCTGGTAGATCGACTGGACCTTGCTCAGGACTGAGGTGGACTTGAACCAGGTGGTGTAGTAGTCTGCGCTGGAAGCAGCGGCGGTTCTAGCAGCAGTTGACATCGAGATGGCGTTGTTGACACTAGTCTTGAGGGAAGAAGTCTGGCTCGATGAGCATGAGCTGTAGGTGATGGCCCTCTTCTTGATGCGGGACTCAAAGGTTGCCTCTGATCTGGCGGAGATGTGCTCACTACAATGTCGAATTAGCTCTGCTCGAATCTGGGCACTCGAAATCTACAACTTACGCAGCAACAACCTCCTGGTCGGGGGTGATGGTGACAGGGTTGGACGTAACGCTCTCGCAGAAGGCAGCATCCTTCAAGTTGGCAGGAGCAACGGTTCCAGTCACATAGTGAAAACCCTGAACAGCCGTAGCCTGGGCCTCAGCAATGCCAGCGAGCTTGTAAGTCTTGGCAGCGTTGACAGAAGCCGTGATGGTCTCGCCAGGCTGGATAGTCTGGAACATCTCAGGGGCGATGTTGCTGCGCTTGTAGTTGACAAACGCACCCTCGAATGGCAGAGCCTTACCATCTATTCACGTGATTAGAGTTGTAACTATGGTTGCATGGTTGTACATCATGGACATACCGGCCTCGAGCGCAAGATCCAACGTGGCATGTTCACTGAAAACGGTGTTACCCTTGAAGACAGTGACGGCCTCGTTGCCATTGTTGGTGACAGCGACTTCAGTTACATGACCGTTGGCGCCAGCAATCTCGACTGAGAGGGGGCAGGCAGCCATGGCGGCGCCAGCCAGGGCGGCGATAGGGAGGATGTTGGAGATCATGTTGAAGTTGTTGGAACTGCAGGCTTGGCTGACCATCAAGGTTCTTTTCCACGATGGTACGAAGACCAAGACACTATAAGTACTTGTTGTCCCTCCATGGGAACTTGGATTTCCATGCACGGGTTCTGCTTGTTGTGAACTCGGATATAGAAGATGCGCAATGACTTTCCCGGTGATGCGATAAGAAGGCCACGAGGCACGCCTATCCGGCCCAATCTAGGGGGCCGAAAGTGCCAAGGCTGCGCGACGAAGCCAAATGTAGTATCGAGGGCACCCTTTGTCAAGCATTGGAAAGTAGGTCTTCCCACGTACAGCAAGTCGAAATCGCGTCAATGCTGGCAGTGTCTTGGCAACTAGACTGAATGAGGCAGGCCTATAGCGACGCAAGTGCCGGCTGAAACTCTGGATGCCACCCCAATTTGCAGGGGTAACGAGTTCTTGGTAAAGCTTGATGGGCCTAAGCATTCTTGGTAGTTGCTAAAGTGCTTGGCAAAATCAGACCCATAACGAATGGGTTGCTCGCCAACATTGTAATCGCGCTGAGTATGCTCGATCGCCATCATTGATGGACAATTATGGCGACCCAATCCGCAAAATAAGTAGTCTTCCAATGCCAGCAGCGTCCCGGCGGTCGCCGCCGGTCATGTGACCGATTGCAAAACGCCCTTGTTCAGGTTCGGTTCACTATACGAAGTCAATTGCCCGGCTGCTTGACGCGGCAACGTTACATCATTGGCAATATAAGCCTATTCTGCGAATGGGTCTGTCTGTGAGATATTGTATTCGCGCAAAGTCCATTCTGAAACCCTTCTTGAAGATAGAACGGCGCATCACAAGGTACGAAAGGTTTGATCTGGGCGCGACGTAGGAGGTTGACAACATCAGCGCTGGGATTGCGCGTCGCAACTATGCTGCTAATGTTATAGAAATCACACTCTCCGCCATCAGTCTCCTCCAGACGTGCAACAGTACAGTCTCATACTTGAGTGAAGTCGTTGACACAATTGGCAGGGGCAGCCTCCACACCCTTGGTGAAATATTTGGGAGCATCACTAACAGCCGAGCTCATAAGAAGTCCGACAGCACGAAAAAACGCCTTCAGATCCGAAAGGCTACCCCTTTATGTCCTCAGAGGGCGTAGTGAAGCCGCACAAGCCTGGTGAAAACGGCCTAGGCGTAGGCTCACCAGGGCAAATTACCCGCCACAGCAATGCGGAGCCCAGTGCTTTGGATTAGATTGACTGCGATATTGTGTAATATCCAAGGAAGCACATCGTTGCCAAACTTGAGTGCTGCATTGCCCTGCTCCTTGAGTCTCACCTCGTCAGCAGTATGTTTTGCTATAAGATACTATTCCAGGCCGTGCGAGTCAAGAGTCGAAGACGAGGACGAGGTCGAAGGGATGCTCGACAACAATTCCAGGTCCGCCATTAGAGGACAGGAAGTAAGATGTGTCTTTGACGGCGAACACCATGTCTTTGGTTTGGATAGTAGCTAAGGATCCGGCTTCTGGAGGATGACTCCACATTACTAGACTCGTCGCCAATACTAGCGCAATAGTACCGAGCAAAATTCGACTAGGTTAGAACATGCGCAGTTGAAACTTTACCATAGTGGCGAGAAAATACGTGTGGGGTTTTTTTCCCGGGAATAATGGGAGCAATGCCTTTGAGGTGCCTTGACAAAGGAGAGTACTTATGGTTTAGTCCAATGGTTCATTGGCGTATACTAAGTGCTTTGACTCCTATGTGAAGCTTGAACTATGGGTAGACTATCCCCGTGGCATATAGTCTCACAAGGTGGTCGCACGTCGGCTTGTTTTGAATTATCTACCCTTTGAGTTTAACTCAAACTCCCGTATGAGAGGCTTGATGTCTTCGAGGCCTGGTGACGCGGAACGAATCGACATGGTGGATCCAGGTAGTGCGGGATTGAAACTCTTCACAGAGGTGGTTTTTCGATGGAGATAATCGGCAAAGTCTCTCTATGCTCTCAAGCAGTAGGCAGCAGGATGCATATACAAACGGAACAAGAAACAATGGATGTCAGGACGAGGCCATTGGGCGTAATAGCAAAGACCCAGTTGATTGTCATACATGCCTTTGGTGATATTGGGCCTTACTGAGGCAATCAGGTCAGTCCGCAGGCTGGGCTTTTTGTTATGAACGATGCTCCGTAGATGTGCTCTGCCTTAGATGTTGGGATTGCCCCAACCACCGCCGCCAGGTGTGTTGATCTGCATGATTTCACCAGGCCGCAGATGAACCACCGCCTGACTTCCGAGGCTGATCTTGTCCAGACCTCCCTGACCATTGTGTCTGAACACATAGTTCTTCCCAATACTTCCAGGGTTGCCACCTTCCATACCGTAAGGGGGAAATACCCGCCTCTCGCTCAGGATACTCGACTTGAGCGGTATCCTTGCCTCTATTTCACGAGTGATACCATCACCTCCGTTCCATTTACCGCGACCGCCCGTTCCGCTGTTGATCTCGTATCTACGTACGATGACCTGTGTCCTCTTCTCAATGACTTCAGCATCAGTGATTCGTGTGTTAGTCGAGTGGGCGTGAATGGCATGGGCGCCATGCCAACCAGGCCCGGCTCCTGTACCTCCCCCAATAGATTCTCCGTAGTTCCACCCCGGCTTGATCTCTCCGGTCTCTGGGTCTCGACCACCCATGCCCCAGCCAAAACTACTTGCGCAGCCTTGGAAAGCAGCGACAACCCTGTAAGCACGCAGGATCGTATCTATGACCCGCTGGCTGGCAATAGTGCTTCCACAGATGGCAACAGACGACGTGGGATTGAGAATGCTGCCCTTGGGAGCACGAACCTCAATAGGCACTAAGCAACCCTCGTTTAAGGGGATCTCTAAGTCGATCAAGCATCGTAATGTGTAAATGACCGCAGAGTGGGCAATTGCAATTGGGCAATTGATGTTGCCCCAGCTCTGTGGACCGGTACCTGTGAAGTCGTACAGTGCCGACCCTGTTTCGGGATCGATACTAATTCGTAGCTTGATCTTGGTACCGTTGTCATAGACATCTTCTGACTCAAGTCCTTGTGGGTTCTTTCTTGCAATCTCTTTGAAGAACTCACGCACAGCCATCTCTGCGTTGCGTTGGATGCCGCCCATGTACTTGTGCACAATGGGCAACGAGAACTCGTCGCAAAGCTTTTGCAGAAGGATTATACCTCTTTGGTTAGCTGAAATCTGAGCCTTCAGATCTGAGATGTTGTCTTGAATGCGGCGGGTGGGACTGCACCCTGGAAATGTCCCAGCCAGGTCAAAAGCTGCACGGACTTCGTTCTCTAAAAATTCGCCAGCACTAACAATTTTCATCGTAGGGACGTTAATTCCTTCTTCCCATAGCTCTACTGAGTCCGGCATCATGGAAGTGATACCCTTGCCACCTGAATACACATGTCAGATGAGATACTTACAAACATAATGCTGAGCAAGATCTTGACTTACCAATATCGGTATGATGCCCACGGCTGGCTGTGTAGAAAGCAATCTGGTCATCAACGAAAACCGGTGTGACAACCGTGATATCTGGCAAATGTGTACCGCCCCACTCAGGATGGTTTGTCATCAGTACGTCGCCAGGCTTTAGTTTTCCAAGCCAGTGCTGATGCTGGCGCTGAATAGCAAATTGCATGCTTCCCAGATGACTTGAACTTCATATTAGCATATTGTTCTGCTGGCTATATGTACAGAATTCAGTGTTCACGATCGGAAAACATACTGCGTACGGTTAGTTATAATGAAGAACAAGATAGGCGGAGAGGGTTACTGACCATTGGTATATGAGGAGCATTCGCAACAAGCTCTCCACTAGGGGAGAAGATAGCGCAAGAAAAGTCCAGTCTCTCTCTGATGCTGGTAGAGATAGATGTCCGTTGAAGGGTATTTCCCATCTGCTCGGCAATTGACATGAATCTATGTGCAAAGACTGACAGTTGAATTGGGCTGAAATGATCCAAACCTTGAGTAGCTTCTGTGTTGTCCTTCTGGTGCGTAAACTTTTCCATGATGACATGTGACGAGAGAATGTATGCCTTGAAGCCGGGCTCGAGGAACAAAGTCTGCGTTTCGTCCAGAATGAGAGCTGGGCCGTCAAGTACTACTCCCTTTGGAACATTTGCCAACCGATAGATTCCAGCGTCCTGCCACTTACCACCAACGTATAAAACCTGGCTTGCGGTAGGTTCAAACGTCTTTGGGCTAGCCTTCACAGCTGCGAGCTCCTCTGTCGGAGGGGCTTCCGTATCAACGACCCCCGCACTGCCGGTACCGCGGACATGGATCGAGTCAACAACAATGGCACGGCTGAGATTGAAAGCAAATTCTCTCTTATGTTCAGCAACGAATACTGCCCCAAAGTCATCGCCTTCCGGCCGCGAGATGGCAAGGTTGGTGTCCGTGCCGAAATATCTCATGCTGAGGGATTCATGGTACTGGATGGATTCACCGCTGGCACCCTGTGCGATTAGTTCATCTTTGACGGAGTTTCGCAGGACTTCAAGTCTTTTGCGGAGTACATCGATCTCTTCGAGTTTGAAAGATCCCACAAACGGCTCCGAAGCTTCTGTTTGTAGCTGTGCCTGCGAAATACCATACGCTGACAGCAGCGACGACCATTTATGAATGAGAATTCTGTTCACGCCCAATTTGTCGGCAATTGAGCAAGCGTGTTCTGTCATCATGTTAGCTGGACTGCACTGAAAGCTAGCTTCCATAACTTACGGCCTCCTGCACCGCCAAAGCTAACAAGACTATGAGTCTCAGGGTTATAACCTCTTGCCTCTACTCATAGTCAGTAACAACTTCATAGGGAGAAGTATCCCACGACTGACCGGTTGTGTTCCTGATTGGTCGACTCATTGTCTCGTTCGCAACCTCAAGAAAGCCAGCAGCCACCTCCTCGGGTGTCAAGGACTGGGATGTCTGGGAGTTGAATTCGTTGGTGATTTCCTGGAACTTCTTCTTGACAACCTCCGTGTCCAGGGGCTCATTTGCATTCTTGCCGAAAATTGCCGGGAAAGACGATAAGTCAAGTCTTCCGAGGAAAAGGTTGGCATCCGTCACACTATATTTCTCAGGTCAGTATAAATCCAGGTCGTCATGGAATAGCCTTCAAGAATGGACGTACGTGAGTGGCCCCCCATTTCGGTAACTTGCCGGGCCAGGGTAAGCTCCAGCACTCTCAGGTCCAACGACGAGCAGGCCATTTCGTGCGAAGAGAATGGAACCACCGCCGGCAGCCACAGTCTTGATGTTCAGCATAGGAACATTGATCGTACGGTCAGCGATATGCGACTGCGTCAGGTAGTCGTATTTCCCGTCGTATCGACAGACGTCCGTGCTCGTACCACCCATGTCGAACCCAATCAACGGAGTTTGCTCACCCTCACTGCCATCGTAACAGGATCTAGCGACGCCCACGACACCACCTGCTGGGCCGCTCAGCAACGCTTCGTTACCCTTGAATTTTTGCGACTGCTTCAAGCCACCATCCGAACGCATGAACTCCACCCGCTGAGGCAATTTGGCAAATCGCGACTCAAAATTCTCCACGTATCTTCGGATTACTGGGTACAGGTAGGCCTCCGAGCACACAGACGTGCTTCGTTCCAGGAACTTGATGGAGGGGCTGGTTTCACTGGACGTCGTAACGTACTTAAACCCAACCTCTCGGGCCAAGTCGGCAACGATGTTCTCATGTTCGGGATACAGATAAGAGTGCATGAAAGCAATCGCAACTGATGTATATCCTTCGGCCTTGAGCGACTCGAGATCTGCGCGGATAACTTCGACTTCGGGCTTCTTTAGCACCCTCATAATCTCGCCGCTGGCCGTTCGTACGAGAGCTGGATCCAACAGCTCGGCCTTCTTGTCTATGGGCTGAGGGTTCAGATCATAGTCTTCCTGCGTAACGCGTTCGTCCACTTCTATGACTTTATCGTGCAGTGCCTTGGCTTTCTCGACCTTGAGAGCAAATAGCTTTGGGCGAGTTTGATCCCCTATAAGGCATACATCCTTGAAACCTTGCCATTGTATTAACGACTGGCACGGTAAGCTGGGCAATGCCAGCACCTACCTTTGGTCGCAAGAAAAGCAAACTTCTCGCCCTTGTGCTCCAAGAGCGCATTGGTAGCAACCGTGGTACCAATTCTGCAAGATGCTGTTTGTGCTATTAGATCCGGTGCATTGTTGCCGCTGGGTATGCCATTATGTATCAGGTCACGTGGATATTACTTGCCTATGCTGGATCCGTCGAGTTTCTCGTTACGGGGAATAGATCGACGCGTTGCAATCTCCAGAACTCTCCTGATTGCCTCGCTGGGTGCATCAACATAGTTATTGGGGTCTTCCGATAGGAGCTTGAAGATGATATCCTCGCGCCCCTCGATCTTAGCAATCACATCACAGAACGTTCCTCCACGGTCGATGGCAATCGAGATTCGACCCTTGGACGCGCTGGCATCAGGCATAGTATGCTGCAATGACCTCAAATGGATCTTTAAAGGTATGTAGACAGCCACTGGACACCGCAACAAGATTATGCTGCCGGATTGGGGGGACCGGAGCTTTTGAATTATATGGCAGAGTGTCCCTGAATTCGGACCGTGGGGCTCGGGCTCTCTCCGTACAATAGCTTTGCGTGGTTGACTCGGTCCCCGGTGGTCGCTCCCAAAGACCAGATAAAAAAATGACCACGGGCCGATCGAAATTGCCAGATGCGGTAGAAAGCCGCTGAGAATTGGACAGACCAGACGTTGCCTTGAATCTCAGTTGCCATGGCGTGCTGCTCCGTCGGGTGGTAGTGCGACGAAGAATTTTACCAAAGACGGTAAAGCGGATATTCGCCCCTATCTTGGTCAATTGATTGGTCCCAGTGGCGGTCGCTACCCGTCCGTGGGGCGTTAGCTCGCTTCTAACTTTGCCTCTGCGAGTAAGGTCCAGCAGTGAATACCGAAATGGACCAGCTGCCTTGACAGGACATATTGACCTTCTCGTACGATCTTCACGTTCACGTAAGACTTCCATTACAGACTATATATAGCCTTACAATCCTTCGCATACTCATACGCGGAGTCACACAATTACGCCGCAGGGCCCATATTTGGAATGGTCAAATCTCCAAGTGTATCTGAGCATGATAATAGCTGATTGACTTACATCGATGTCTCCTAAAACCTGGCTCGGGACCAAGAAAGACTCAACACTATGAATGGTCACATTGTGTAAGATGCACCGGTTGTGTATGAGGCCAAAGCCGACGTGCCGGAGAGCAGTAGCTTACGTTTGGAAGACCCAAAAAGTAAGCCGCTAAAGACGCTGAAACTGAATATACAGAGCATCGTGCGGAACTCTTTGGACAAACCTTTGAGGAACACGCTATAATATCGAGGTGCCCATATCTTACATACTGGCTTGGTAGTTGAGCCAAAAACATGACGTATCAAGCCAATCGTTGGAACCCTTCTCTGGCGAAGCAAGAGCGAATATGATTCTTAGGAACGGCTAGCTCCCAGCTATCGAACCAGCCACAGGCTAAAATGATGTGATTACACGGTCACCGCAACTATGACCATCCTACTTCATCCGCACTGCAGCCTCTAAAGATTTCTACCCAACCACAGAAGATGGGAACCCTCATCGGTCAGCGTGCCTCGTTCTGGGAGACTGAACTAAGCCACCTGCGGCTCCTGCTCCCTATGCCGTCCATGGAACTTGGCCAACCAAGACTCGCCCATAGCCTTCCGGATCTTCTTCCCCCATACCATGAAAACCACCAACATGACATTATTCAAAATCAAGAAGGCCGTAAAAATCCCGGAGATAACTACGGCATAGCCTCTCTCCAGAACCCACTCCAAGAGATTGACCGACAGACCGAAGCTGATGGCCTGCTTGCCGAGATTCATCGCAATGAGCAGCTCGGATGTGTTCGCATTGTAAGAATCGACCGCGTAGGCCAGCGTGAAGGAGAAGTAGAAGTACGCGGCCCATTGCGTCATTCCGGCCCCGAAAAAGTACCCCAGCCAGTGCAGGTCGTACTGCGCAGTGAGACCATAGAGGATGAGACCGGCAGGCGCGATGACCATAGCCAGGAGCATGACGCCGAGGCGCATCTCAGCCTCACGAATTCCGCCGTTGCGGCGAGTGAGGCGGGCTGCCAAATGGTCGGAAGTGGGCGCGAATGGCACGGCTAGCACGAACCCGATCAAAGTTGCCAGTGCATTTAGTCCCGAATCCGCCTGATGATTGGTTAGAGGGGGCTCAAATATTCTTTTGGGAGATAAGTGATACTGACCTCAGTCCAGTTGTAAGGCGGGTTCGTGATTTTGATCGGAAACGTATAATTGAAGGCGAAGGCACCTAGGCCAATGAAGATGCCGAAAGACGTAATCACCCACATGACCTGCGGTACTAGGAAATACGTGAAAGACCTAGCCATGGTACCAAATAAGGATACCGTGGGGTCTACCCGGCCCAATGGTGAAAGGGTCTTGATGAACGGCGTCCGTTTAGGAACGCTTGTTGTACGTGTTGGTGCGACTTCGTGGGTTGACTCGACTGCTTTCTCAGGATTGTTAGAGTTAGACACGGCGAGATCCTCAGATGGGGTCTCTGATAGCATGTGGGCCTTTCTGTCATAGGATGTCTCCTCGACGAAAAGGAATGCCAGAATGAAGAGCGCCAAACTAAAAGCCAGAACAACATAGAAGAATAGCCGCCACGAGTATGGCTCGATGAGCATATGAGCCGATGGCAGAGGTGCAATGGCTCCGAGACAGAGTGCGACTGTTCATACAATGAGTTTCCAACCACAAAGCATTGGGGTGGAGGTCGATGCGTACCAGTATAGTAAGCAATGCGTTTCCCACGCTCGTGGAGGAAAAAGATATCGTTCACGAGCTGGACAGGAATCGCTTCACAGACACCTGAGCCGAAGGCAGCAAATACTCTGGCAACCATCAATCCGCTGAAGCTATTTGCTTGAGAAGATCCAATAAGCCCGGCGATGAACTGAGATTTCGTCAGTCCTCCCAGGGCATTGTGCTGGAACGGTAACGGATGACCTACAAATAACATTGAACCCAGCATCACCGGACGCCGACCATATTTCAGGTACAGCGGAACCAAGAACAGCGACCCAAACCCATATGCTAGGTTCGGATACGAGATCAAGCCCGATGCTTCGGCTGGACTGACTTCGAATAACTCGGAAAATAATGTAATATAAGGCGCCGGTCCCAACAAGGCTGCGTTCCCAAGGAAGGAGTACAAGCAGCAAATTATAAGAATCATCATCTTCTTAAAGGTTGACCACTGTTGGGAGGTTAGTGATGCCACATTTGTCTCCAAGGCTAGTATTTTTTGCGTACTTGCAGTGGATCATTGGGGTCCTGCGCCGGGACTGGGAACAGTGCCTGGCCCAATGCTGAGTCGTCACCCTCTGGCAGCCATATCGTCAACGCTTTGTTCTATGGTGTAGAAAGGATTCCTTCATACCGGCTACTCGGAGGTCCACAGTGCCAGGAATCGCCCCCTCATGTGCATGACTGTGGTCGACGGTTAGCCAACCCCCTTCCCCGCACTGCAGTTGGAGTCGGCATACCTGTGAACCAAGTGCCGCCCGCCATCAGGAGCATGAGACTCGGTGGTGTTCTCCATTTCGATGTTCTCTGGTCTTGAAAGAAGCCTTTACGGAATCATGTCGCGCATCACAAAAGTGAAATGCAGTGTGACGGTTGAAGATTGAGGCAGTCTAGCCCATCTTATAGAGATGCCCATTGCACGGCAGCCAAGTGTTACATCGGCCATGCAGCTGAGTTCCGGCAGATATAGGTCCAAACGGGCGGGACACGGCTAAGGGCCAGGTAATATCGAGCGAACGGAATCAGTTCCGGGGCAGCGGCTGGCATTGCCCAGACTTCATCCGGCCTAATAAGACCAAGGATCTCCAAAAGTGCCACGATGGACCCGAGGTAGGGCATAAATCTGGGCCAGCATGGCGTTGCCAATGGTCCCTGCAGTGAAGGTGGTATGCGGCAAATGCTGCATCATCAAGCAATTTATTGATTGGCCTGTGATGGGCGTGCTTACACCATCCACATCTGTCGCCCTACTGTAACCCACTTTTGTAGCAGGAGTAGGGGTTCCTTTGCAATCGTTTATCACGAATTGCCATTTAACCTTACGCGCTATGCAGGTGACTGCATGCCGTGCACTCTTCAAAGCGACACGTTCTCTTTAAGTGTTTGGGACTGCTCCTACCCTTGGACTTGTTCTCATGCCATTTGCATTTCGCTTAACTACCTGGCATGGAAATGCTACCCACTGCCGGAAGTACCTATCGCCCGTTACGGAAATGCACATAGTATCGGATCATCTTCAAGGAGATTGTAAACGCACTTTTGGATGCTGCTGTGAACTGATTTATAAGCCTGATGGCACTGTCTACGTCCATCCACGGGTCACTGGGACGGGTGCTGTGTTACATGGAAGCCGCCGCTGCCATCTTACTGATCGGTGCCAATTACTTGGCAAGTGTGGACTCTTGCTGTTCTGGAGTGGGAATAAGGCCCCAGAGCGCACCCCTCTCCTCTCTATAGCTTGACTATCGCCATCGAAGAGACTTTTATACTGATCCAATAGACCCCTAGTATATGCTGAGCCGTGAGTCCCCACCCAAGGTCACTCACTTAGTAAATGACTGTAAAAGTAACGTAAACTCGCAACACTGACGGCTACCAGCTAGCGAAACTCTAGTCTCCATGGGGCAGCTCTGGTGCTGCCTCTCTCCGACCCTCGGGCGGGGGAACAGGGGATGTGGGGCCCGTCTCCAATTATCTCCAACGGCGGCATCCGAAGATTGTGTGGTGTCTGTCGTCCATGTCACCAGAAGGCGTTGCCGAAGGGGTTGTAAAACTCTCGTGTGCTCATCATTGCAGCGTGACGGTGTACTCTTTGTTTTCTTGGTGTAGCGATATCCAGGCGCTTCTCGCAGAGTTACGCGTTTGACTCGTACACGTACCGAATCCCGCGGCTCTTGTCTTCGTCATACCCGGCTGGCTACCCTGCTCTCGGCCTATTTTAAAATGCCGCTCACGACGCCATCGGTTTTCCCGCCCGACTCGGCGGACCTCATGAAATTCCCGAGTCGGCGAAGTGTGGTGCACAATACCAAGGGCATTGTATCCTGTACCCAGCCCTTGGCTGCCAAGTGCGGCCTCGATGTTCTGAACGCTGGTGGAAACTGCGCTGTAAGTGGTCTTTTGCGCCACAAACGAGCCGAGACATGTCTCACATTACAATGCTGACCCCAAGGGATAGGACGCTGCGGTGGCAGTTGGTATGTTTGACCCTGACCCTCGCAACCACCATCAAAATGGTATATGCCCGAGCAATCACTAACTGATACGTCAAGCCGCTGGCCTGAACATCACCGAACCCGGTTCAACTGGCATCGGTGGCGATGTGTTCTGCCTGTACTATGACGCAAAGACGCAAAAGATATCGGCCATGAACGGGTCAGGTCGATCAGGAAACAAGTGCACACTGGCCACCATTCGTAGCTCGCTGGGTATCAAGGACGGAGAGACCGGCAGCATCCCCATGACGAGTGTGCACTCAGTCACCGTACCCGGTGCTCCAGCGGGCTGGTGTGATACTGTGGATAGATTTGGAAGCGGCAAGGTCACTATGGATCAGATTCTCGCGCCGGCGATCGAGCTGGGCGAAAAGGGGTTCCCCGTGTCGGAGCTCATGGGCCATTATGTATGTCACACGAAGAACAAAGCGGTGAGATCCTGTTGTGCTGCCAGACGCCATATTGACCACCTCGCAGTGGAGTGCGGCGGAAGAGACTATTCGACAAGCGTCTCCAAATTTTCGGGAGATGCTCAAGAATGATCCGAGTGCACTGGGCGGCGTACGGGCCCCGAGAGCAGGAGAAATCATGAAGAACCCTACGTTGGCCAAGACGTTCCGCACGCTGGCAACTGAGGGTAAGAAGGGCTTCTATACTGGCCGAATCGCCGAGGAGTTCGTGAAAGTGGTGCAGGATCTCGGAGGGCATATCGAGTTGGAAGACCTAGCGCATCACCTCGAGCAAGGCAGCGAACCTGTCGACCCGATCTCCTTGAGATTCCGGGGCCAGGGTGTCGCTGAGGCCCTACGAGGCAACATACTGGGTGGCGACAGCAAGGACCTGGACCTGGGTCTCGAGCTGTGGGAGCACCCGCCCAACGGACAGGGCATCGTGGCGCTGATGGCGCTGGGCATCATCCAGGAGCTGGAGCAGGCGGGCAAGATCCCAACCTTCAAGCCGCAGGACTTCAACACGGCGCCGTACCTGCACGCGATCATCGAGGCGCTGCGGATCTCGTTCGCGGATGCGAGCTGGTGGGTGACGGACCCGAACGTCGAGAAGGTACCGACGGCGGGCATGATCTCGAAGGAGTACCTGGCAGAGCGGGCGCGCCTGTTCGACCCGGCCAAGGCGTGCCCCGTGGTGCACCACGGCAGCCCGGCGCTGCAGAGCAGCGACACGGTCTACTTTGCCGTGTCGGACGCCGAGGGCAATGCCATCAGCTTCATCAACAGCAACTACGGCGGCTTCGGCACGTGCATCATCCCGCAGGGCTGCGGCTTCACGCTGCAGAACCGCGGCGCCAACTTCAGCCTCGACGCCGGCCACCCCAACGCCCTCGCGCCGCGCAAGCGCCCCTACCACACCATCATCCCCGCCGCCGTCACCAACATCCACGACGGCAGCCTGCACAGCGTCTACGGTGTCATGGGCGGCTTCATGCAGCCCCAGGGCCACGTGCAGGTCTTGCTGGGCCAGATCGTCGGCGGACTGAACCCGCAGCAGGCGCTCGATGCGCCTAGGGTGTGTATCGGCGCCGGAATGCCGGAACATGGAAAGGTGTTCGACCCGACGGTCTCGGTGGAGGAGGGTATGAGCGAGGAGACCATCGAGGGCCTGAGGAAACTCGGACACACCGTCAAGGTTGTCAAGGGTATTGGCCGAGGTCTGTTCGGGCGAGGGCAGATCATCCGGTGGAGCGTGGATGCTGTTGAGAACATAGGAGTGTGGTCGGCGGGTAGCGATATGAGGGGTGACGGTGCTGCATACCCTCAATAGATAGGGGATTGGTTACCAGAACGCCAACGGCAAGGACGGGACCACACCTGCCACCCACAGAATTGAATAGATGCTTGGAAATATTCTTCTCATTATGAACAATGCGCGCCGATGATTCCGCCCATCTTGAGACAGCAGATGTGCCCCTGGTACTGTACATGATCGAGTTTCTACCACACCATCGTACACATATTCCAAACCCGGCTCTTTCAATTGACGACCCCCCCTATTCGGTTGCTCCTCGTGCCCCCCTCACAATCTAAGACTCCGGCGCGTCCGCGGGCGCGAGCACATTCTTCTCCTCCAACATCTTGGCCAGCGAGCCGTCCTGATGCATGGAGACCAGGATGTCGCAGCCGCCGACGAACTCCTTCTCGAGGTAGAGCTGGGGGATGGTGGGCCAGTCGGAGAACTCCTTGATGCCCGCGCGCAGCTCCTCGTCCTCGAGCACGTTGAAGGCGGCGAACTTGGCCGGGTCGACGCCCTGCAGGCCCAGGATCTGGATGCTGGCGCGCGAGAAGCCGCACTGCGGCGTCTCGGGGGTGCCCTTCATGAACAGCACCACGGGCGCCGAGCCCACGGCCTTCTCGATCGCCTGCCGCGTCGTGTCTGATAGCCAGCGGGACTGGAAGGCTGTGAGGAAGGGTGCCGGTCGTGCGAATGCTTGTCTGGCTACGGGACGGGTTGTGGCAGTTGCTGCTGCTTGGCGGAAGCCCTGGGATGCTGGGTTAGTAATGTCCTTGCAGGTGGATGCTGTCGTTTCTTGCCGCCTGGGTGCACAGGAGGCTCAGGGGGTTTCTTACGGCCGAGAAGAGAGATCGCGACAACATCTTGACTGTCTGATTGAGGAGACAGGGAGAGGCGCGGGTGTGGAAAGGGGTGACAGTGAGCTGTAATCTGGCTGCTGGTGGATGAGAAATTCAAGGGACCCGACGCCGGCGCCTCGATGATGCAAATCTGTGGCGCGAGTTCTATCCACTGGGAGCTGGCGCCACAGGAGGTGTCTTGGCCAATCAGACGCCGGCAATTGAAGCTCTTTCGGCGTGTCGGAGAGCCCCGCCGTCATGTTCCAACGTCACCCCATTCTTTGTCTGGGGGCGCTGGAGCGCACATCGTGACATTAACTGCCATTTCCACGCGCAACCGTGGCGAGCCCAAAATCTGAGGACTGAAGAACACCGCCAAATGGCCAATGTGTAGTGTAGTCATCCATTTACCAATTCCAGCTACTCGATTAGTTGATTACGCTCCTGTCCCGCCGTCCAGTGGCTGCTGACTAAAACTAAGTTCATGAGGCTCTGACTGGATACTTGGAGCTTAATATCCTCTAGGCCCCGCTCCGTGTTCTTGTCACTTCATGTCCAGATTCTCTTGATAGTTCTCCATAGTAACTGCTCAGACCTCTCTACACTGCATCACGAGTCTGTGGCAAGATGCTACAAAGCATATCCCCATTGCACGATGACCACCATGAACGGTCATCGCGGAATTCCACTGCCTCCCTGACTGCGGCACTCAATGACTCCAAGATCCACTTACTCCTCGCAGCGTCCGGGTCCGTAGCTACCATCAAGCTGCCTCTCATCATCCAGAAGCTCTCTACACATCCCAACCTCAGCATCCGTGTGCTTCTTACACCCGCGGCAAGCCGCTTCCTGGCCGGCCAGTCGGCTGAGCAGCCCACCGTCTCTAGCCTCCATGCGCTCCCCAATGTAGACGGCGTATACGTTGATGAAGATGAGTGGAGGGAGCCGTGGAAGCGCGGCAACGGCATCCTACATATCGAGCTACGGCGCTGGGCCGACATGCTTGTCATTGCGCCGCTGAGCGCCAACACGATGGCCAAGATCGTGTCGGGCATGGCCGATGGGATACTGACCAGCGTGGTGCGCGCCTGGGATGCGAGGGGAGAGCTGGACACGGACGTTGGCCGGGACCCTGTCGGTGCCTCTACCGCGGGCGCCGAAACCAACGGCCACGGCGCGACCAAGAAGATCAAGCGCATCATCGTCGCGCCTGCGATGAACACAGCCATGTGGCGGCACCCGATCACTACAAAGCAGATCAAGACCCTGAAGCAGGACTGGGGCGTAGGGAGGGGTGGTGAAGGCGGCGGCTGGTTCGAAGTGCTTGATCCCCAGGAGAAGCTGCTGGCTTGTGGGGATAGGGGCGATGGTGCGATGATGGAATGGACAGAAGTCGTGAAAATCATTGAGGACAGATTGGGGTTGAAGTTGTAAAACAAGGGCTGCACTGCAGCTATGCGTAGTATGTTAAGCAATCATCACGGGTACATAATAGTTACTTCAAACGCCCTCTGTTGCCTAAAACAATCTGGTTCGATTTCTTTGCAGCCGGTTCGAGAAGCGTCATCACGAGCAAAAAGGTACGAAATTGTCTGGACATTTTGCGTCCGTTGCATTCACAGAGGCGATGATAGACAGCAAGAGGAAGACAGCTTAACAGAGGGGAAGGAGGGAGAAAAAAAAGTGAGAATCCGCTCAAGGCGTAAGTAAGTGTGTAAAGTGTTCCAAAGATTATTCCAAGTACTTGAAAATATGCGCGCTAGGTTTGCCCCGGCCTCGAACCCGTAACCTGTAGCTATTCTCCCCCCACGCCCCGGGCTCCGGAGAGCGAAAGGCCTGGCCGGGGTGTCGAACCACTGAGCCACAAGAGAGAGGCCGGGGCGGTAGTAGGTTGCTCTTTGTTTCAATTGATAAAGCTCCTGGCAGAGCAACCAGTCGCATGAATGGTCCAGCGTGATCCAACTAGTGACAGAGACCTCCCCACCAATCATTCATTTTTCTTTTAGACTGGTTGATATCAATCCGTTTGTTGCAAGCCCAAGACTTTAACATTTCTCAACATTCGTATGGCAGAGTACCCTGTGTGAGTCTCACTCCGCCATCGAATCCCCTCTGGCCATCGACACTGACCTCAAAGCAAGACCATTCTCTTAACCAAGCAACCGGCACTCCCAGTCGAGATGGACGTTGCCATGGAGGATATTGTTGCCCAGAAGTACACTACTCCTCTCAAGAAGGGCCCGAAGAAGAAACCAAGAAAGACCATCCAGCAGTGCTTTCCGCGAAACGGCTTCGAGTACCCGGATGGTGACCGCATCTTCCAGAACAGAGACAACGGTCACTTGTTCAAGCGCGCCCTGATGGCGGTCATCCCCACACTCCGCCAGGTCGTCGACGAGAAGCTCGCAGAGCTCTTCATTGCTGCCAAGAAACACAAGAAGCTGGGTGGAGGCATCCTCCACACGCAGCGCTTCGAACCCGCAGCCCAGGACGTCGATTGCTTCAAGGACCTGCCCAAGAACATCATCAACCACGTCATGCTTGTGCTCCTTCACGCACGATTCTTGCACATCAAGTTCTCTGAGTACCGCCCAAACCCCGTCGACCCGGCTATTGAAGGTAAGACAGCCAAGGCAATCGATGCGTATACAGGCAAATCACCTGCCCAGCAGCCGGATGACGCGTTCAAGGACATGGAGCCCAAGCTCATTGCTGACATGATGACTCGGATGAAGGCCAAACGGGGACCCGACTGGGGTGATGATAAAGAGACGACTGGAGCCGGTCTTGATGCCAGCAACGCAATCTTCGAGAACATGGCGCAGAAGCTGAAGGAAATGCGCATGTAGATGAATGGGTACTTGAACCGGTACTGAAGGGTTTTGTAGTTGCGAGCGGCCAGAGCACGTCCAGCCTTAGGGAGATGGAAGATGCACACCAATACTAGATGAGAAATGAGTTGTGATGACCAGCCTGCTCTGACTGTATGTTCATATGTTTATGTCCGTGATCTAAGGTCCTGTCGCAATCTCCTGCACTCCAGTCAGGACGAGATTCCTGACACTCCTGTCTGTCCAGCGCTCCCACTTTAATCATCACAATGCTGTGTGGTGTTTCTACGTAATCGACGAATGAAAAGTCTAGCGGAAAGAATGTTTGGCGGCGGCCATTGAATGGAAAAGCCCAACAGTCCGCGGCAAGCAAACGGCCAATTGGGGTGATATTCGCATGGCGCCCGGACCAAAAGATTAGCTCACCATTCAGACGGAATAGGATAATATTGGGATGTGACTTAGTCTGTTAGGTTAGCTAGCTATTCAAAGGGGTCGGGGGCAAGTGTGGCGGCCTCATGAAGGTAAATACGGGAGATCTCTTTCACCTGCCCAGGAATTGACTTGTGGTCAAGTGGTTGAATGCTCTCTTCGACCCTCTACTCTTCAGGGCAGAGGGAAGTGGTTAGCTGAGATCCAACGATATCATGTTCAATTCCTGGGTAGCCCAAAACCCCCTCGAGGGGTTATCAAGGGAACAATCTTTGGAATCACAACTACGCCTCGTGCGAACTCGTTTTTTGCCTCTTCCGTTTGTTATTTCTTTACTGGCCTCTTTCAACTGTGAATTGGATTTTCTTGTCAACTTGAACTTAGACTATCATTATTTCCTCAAGGTCACCTTTTAGCTTCATGGCAGCCCACTTGCTACTAATCAGCCCCCCTAAGTCCTCCCTCGTAGTGCCCTCTACGGGAATCGCCAAACCAGCCCCAACCCTTTCGTAGACTGGAAAACTAGTATCGGTGGATCCTAAGCGTTCAACAGGTTTGAGAATCAAGAAAAATGGCCCTATCAATCCGTCATACCTCAGCTTTGGAACGCCTGTCCAACCTAATGGTACAGCTACCAATCCTTCCTCTTGGTAAAGTCTTATCTCATCCTCTCTCGGATATCGACCATATTCTTCCAAGTCCCAAAAGATACTCAGCCTGAAACGAATATCTTCTTCTCCAAATTGAAGATCCCAATCGTTTTCTTGGACTGATAAAGGCCACGTTTTACTCACCCCCATCAATGCGTAGCCGCCTGTCACCTTTCCGTACGGGCTTTGAGAAGACTCAAGGTCTACATGAACGTGCTTTATACTGACAAGCTCGTGTGCATGATCAATCCATATCTCAGTGCATTTGATCTGAGCGTCTAGCGATGCCCAGGACCATGTGGGAGCGCGGTACTTCGTAGGACGTTTACCTCCACCTTCTCGGCATTCCCAACAAAGACTTCTGACGATGTGATCTGACCAATGACCGGCGAGATATTGAAAAGGGGTAGTTGAATAGCCACGATCAAGGTGGCTGTTTCGGGCGAAGTGTGCAGCCAACCCGCTGAGTGCAGGCAGCTTATCGTCGGCCAGAGTTAGTTTGCGTGTAGTGTAGTTTTCCACGAGCTCCAACCAGTCTAGGTGGCGGGAATCCGTAACACTTTGTTCTCCAGCGTAGCTCTTGGATAGCACCTGCGTCATAGTAGAGAAAGTGAGGCTGTGGTCGAAGTCCTCAGCTATGCAATGCTGGGGACACTCGAGAAGGATACGATGCCTAGTGAAGTGCACCGTCCTCTGGGCTAGATAACGCTCCTGCAAGGCCCAAGCCCTAGTCGTCAGAGGCTCATCCTCAATCCAAGATAGTCGGCTCCGATCTCCTATGCAACTCCACGGAAGGGTATAGGCCAGAGCTTCTAGTGTTGTCCCTTGTGCGCAGAATGGTATCGCCACGTATTCCGGTATGTGCCGCTCACCAAGGAAGCCTTCATAGCTATCGGCAGCTCTATCGGCAGCTATGTTGAGCCACGAGTTCTGATAGACTCGGTCCATCCTTGCGGACTCCCGGTTCCAATCCTCAATATCGTCTTGAATGATACAGAGACTATCAATCCATATATATTCTATATCCAGCTGATACGCCAGCCACACTGCATCCTGGAAGGTCTTAGGCAAGGTGGATGTCCTGATCCCTTCCTTCAACCTGTCGAGATTCTGCAAGGTGAGAATCGTCGGTCTCTTTGTACCCCAACAATAACTGAGTGTTGCATACCTGACAACTGCCACAGTTGGTACATCGAGACACACTTTATTACCAGAATCGAGTATCTTCAGCACCATAGAAGGCATGCCTTCTGATAACGAGGCTGTGTGTTGGTGCTGCTCTGAGCATTCTGCAATCCAGTTCCTGACCATGTTCACTGTCCTTGGGGTCTTCGGCGATAGGTCAATTAGACGACCCTTTACAAATTCTTGAAGATTGCTGTGATCTTCTTGGATTATGAGCTCCGCGCCCCTGTAAAGAAGACCGTGTACTTACCTGTTTCCCGGAGTGCAATGCCGATGCCTCCAAGTAACGGTAAGCTGAACTTCCATCGTCGGTCGTTCGTTTGTGCCTCTGCAAGAATCTCGAAACCATCTCCGTTGTCTCGACCTCTAAGCCATAGCTTGAACTCGGGAAGAACTGGATTATAGCCACGAAGCATTCCTAGACGATTGTATTCCATGCGGTAGCGGTCCACAACGCCGAGCATCAACGAGCAAAGATCGCATTTCCTCGCGCTAGCTTCCAAAAGGCTAAAGGAATCATAATGATGAGTGAGGCACCTCTCAGTGAGATCGATCTCAAGGCCAGGGTGGTCGTAACTGAATCGTAAACCGCCACCCACTGTCCAGGTGAGCCTCAACGAATCTTTGCTTGGTGGCTGAGAAAGGGCGGCGAAGTCGAGACTTGAACATAGCTGACAGAGTGGCATTCTCAAAGTTGACTGCGATTCAGCGAATTGGAGATGGATGTACAAATTGCAACGATGCGTTTTTCCCCCTCAACACAGGGAGTTATGTAAGTGTTCTGGTGGTCGCTGGCCCTAATGCGCTGCTCAAGCGAAGGCCGAACGACGAAGTATCACTTGCTAAAGAACCTAACATGCAGCTGCCTGTGTAGTCTAGGCAACCAACAGGAGCGGGGTTGACCACGAAGTTACAGCACTGCGCCTTTCCGGTTCTCATTTACCTACCAGGGTAACCTAGGTATGGAGGGGTCGCGATTTTGGATCGTCCCATTGGATGCGCGTGGGCTGTCCGGCCCTTCAGAGATAACAACGATCTCAAAGCCCGATTTTGTTGCCTGACTTGGCTTTCGAAGTACTGAATGGTTCATTTGGAATGAGTTCCTCTTGATAGCTAGTTCAGGCTTCGGTTGCTTAGTTTCCATCCCAATTTTGTGTTCTCCTCTTGATAATAATTTCATATGAATGCCAGATTGATTCTGAATCTATCTTGAGTGCTAAGAACAGGCGAGTTGACTACCACAGCGCATCGAACGAGGTGTTGCCCCTTTTCAACTAACACTTTTGCGACCAAAGGACTATCGTGAATACGCCTTGGTAGCGGATCGTAAAGCTGCCCGCGGTCCTCGCACATGACTATTTTGGCAAAATATGAAACGCGCCATACCTTGTCTTGATTGCGAAGTGAGGTTAAGCTTTCATTCTGTTTGGGGTATTGGTACGGAACCTAACTGCCAACGTCAAAGGCTGATACAGGCACTATGTCAGGGACCCACAACCCCTTGCGAGCTGCAGCTCGAAGGCGCCTGAGGGACTTGGCACAGAGCTGAGCCCCCTTCAGCTGCGGGTTTTCCTCCAGACCCTGCCAGAATGCCGTGCATTGCCCAGCTGAACGATGCATAAGCGCCTTGAAGAAAGCCCTAACGTCCCTTCATCGTCGCGCTTGTCGCCCGAGTTTCTAGCCTTGGTACTCCTTAGAAAACTGTTGATGATGGCAGACCGCGCCCGTCCGTACTGAGCTTCTTACTCTAAGACTAACGTGACAGATGCTGGCAGAATGAGTTTCGGGTTCAGCATTGGAGACTTCCTCGCAGCTATCAAGCTTGCTAATCAACTGCGGAAAGACTTCGCGGGCGCTCCGGACCAATTCCAACACATTTCCTCTGAGTATGCATCGCACCCCTTGACACTTGCGCGTATTGTGGCTGATGGGACTTTACTAGACTTCGGAGTCTATCATTCACCCTTCAAGATGTCGATATATTTCTCTATGAACGTGATATCACAGAGCTCCAGCAGAACAAGCTGCGCGAAATATCTACTAGCTGTTGCAGCCTTATGCAGGATATTCAGCGCACTCTAGCGAAATATTCTACTTTGAAGTCAGCAGAAGTAGGCGTGAGGAAGATAGTGAAGAGAGCGTGGCAGAGAGTGCAGTGGGAACCCGATGACATTCACGAGCTTCGCACTCGAATCACCTCCAATATCGTCCTACTGAACTCCTTGCTTTCAAGCTACACAAGAGACGTTGTGGCAAAACTAGCAGAGCGACAAACACGCCAGGAACACCAGGAGTTACTTGATTGGCTAACGCTGACCGACTTCACCACTCAGCAGGCTGACCTGATCCGTCAACGCCACCCCGAGACTCTACAGTGGCTCTTGACGTCGGCGGAGTACGTGAACTGGATCACAACTCACGGAGATGCCTTGTTCTGCCACGGCATCCCGGGTACAGGAAAGACAATGTTATCCTCCATCGTCGTCGATAACCTGAAAGAGAGGTTTAAGAGTGACAAAGCCGTGGGAATATGCTATTTCTACTGCAACTACCGACGTCATGACGAACAGCAGCTTGATAACTTCATCTTGAGCTTTCTGAGGCAGCTAGCTCAGTGCCAGTCCACAATATCCGAAGAGCTGCAGGAACTACGTAGTCAGCACCAGTCGGACCGAACGAGACCAACTTTGAAGAAATTGACAGGCGTCCTGCAAAAGGTGGTTGAAACATTTTCAAGGGTTTTCATCGTTGTCGATGCGATGGACGAATGCCAGACGTCCGACGATTGTCGCAACCTCCTAATATCTGAACTCCGGAGACTGCAAGCTTCTGTCAAGGTCAATCTTCTCGTCACTTCTCGTCCTGTTCCCCACATTGTGACTGGGTTTCGCGACTGCACGTCGATAGAGGTTCGTGCCAGCGAAGAGGATATTGGTAGGTATACCAACAGCTACTTGCAACGCTTGCCTGGATTCGTGATGCGTAACCCGGATTTGCAAAAAGAAATAAAGAGCAAGATCGTCGAAACAGTCGACGGGATGTATGACCTTGCTTATCGTATCCATTCTATGGTGAGCTAGCTAACGGTGATTAGGTTCTTGCTTGCGCAGTTGTCCCTGGCTTCCCTCGAAGGAAAGAGGTCACCAAAGGCTTTGGTGCGCATGCTCGCAAATCTTGCTAGAGGCGCAGATGCTTACGATGTTGCGTACAAGAACGCTCTAGAGCGAATTTGCGGCCAGGGAAGAGACCGAGAAGAACTCGCCTTGCAAGTCCTGATGTGGATATCTTGTGCAAAAAGACCACTGACGACCACAGAGCTCAGACATGCACTGGCGGTTGAAGTAGGCGAGCCTGAATTTTCGGAAGACAACATTCCCGATCTTGAAGACACGGTGTCTGCATGTTGTGGATTGGTTGTTGTCGACCGAGAAACCGACATCATCCGACTAGTTCACTATACCACACAGGCGTTTTTCGACAGGGAAGGAAGCCGATGGTTTCCGAACGCATCGCGTGAGCTTGGAAAAACGTGTGTCACTTACCTCTCATACAATTACTTCAACACTGGGGCCTGCTCAACCAACGAGGATCTGGGACACCGACTGGCTCAATTTCCCTTATATGATTACTCTAGTAAACACTGGGGAACTCACATACATGATTACGCCGACGATGACTTTTTTCTGCAATTTATGAGGGAAAAGACGCATCTGCAAGCGGCTGCCCAGGCGTTGAAATCCAACGAGTGGTCCATGAGTCGAAACCCCAAGGATGCGCCGCGATCCACAACAGAGCTCCATTTGGCCGCGTACTTCGGTTTACGTAATATGATAGAGGATACAGTCAGCGGGGATATTCTTGAGTGCGAGGATAGCGATTACTGCACACCTTTGATATACGCTGCTCGATACGGTTATATCGAGATCGTGCAAGTTCTCCTTGACAGGGGCGCGAACTTGAATTCTAAGAACTTGTGGGGGAGTACAGCGCTGTCCGAGGCAGTTGGAAAGAGGAACGAGCCTGTCGTGAAGATACTCCTCGAAGAGGGTGCGGATGTCAATATCCAAGATGTGCTTGGTGAGACACCATTATCAAAGACAGCAGGCAGCGGAGACGAATCCATGGTGCAGCTTTTGCTGAGCACAAAAGCGAATGTGATCTACCCGAAAAATGGCTATGTGGCTGTTGCTTCAGCAATAAAAAATGGGTATGACTCCATAGTACGGCTGCTTCTTGAAGGCTTGGGGGAAAATTACACAGCCATGGATTATGGGGATCTGCTAGTCCATGCTTCCGAGTTGGGAAGCCAGTCTTGGGTTGAGGCCTTTCTGGCCAATGGTGCAGATGTTGACACAAAGGACAAATACGGCCGGAGGCCACTACATTTGGCCGCTAAACGCGGGTTTGAGGCAATAGTGCGAATCCTTCTGGACAACGGTGCTCAGGTGAATACGAAGGACGATCGCGGCATGGCACCATTACATACTGCGGTTCGAGATGGCAAGGAGTCCGTACTTCTCTTGCTACTGACAAACGGCGCCGACGTTGATGCCCAGGATAATCACGAAGAAACACCATTGTTGAGCGCAGTTGAGCATGGTCATGAGGCCACCGTGAGGATCTTGCTCGAAAACAAAGCTACAGCAGATATGCGGGACAAAGATGGCCGTACACCACTGACGCAGGCTAGCAAAAGTGGCAACAAAGCCATTGTGCAAATGCTGATTGATCATGGCGCTGACATAGACATTATGGATAATTACGGCTGGACACCATTATCACGTGCTATAAGCTCCAGGCATGAATCCATTGTTCAAATCCTCCTTGACAAGGGGGCAACAGCTGAGGCCCGGGGAAGAGACAAGCAGCGGCTGGCAGAGGCTCTAAGTGAGCGACAAGCAGAGTTTCGGATGCAACAAGAGGCAATCGATCAAGGTTATGACGACGATGGGTACGATATGTGTCTTGAAGACTATGAGTATAGCCAGGCGCCCCTGGCTTGGGCGGTCGAGGAGGGCTTTGAAAGCATTGTCCAGGCTCTCCTGGACAGAAACGCCGACGTTGAGGCTATGAACAAATACTCTCATTCACCGCTAGTCCAAGCGACGATGCAACATCGCGGAGACATCGTGAAGATGCTTCTCGAAAGGGGGGCTGATGTCAATGCCGAGGATGAATACGGCCACACAACGCTGTACAATGCAGTCAGTGCAAATGACGAGGCCATAGTCCGAATGCTTCTCATGAGCAATGCAGACGTCAATGCCAAGGTCTGGGATGGCAGCTCGCCGCTGTTTGAAGCCTCCGAAAATGGATACCATGGCATCGTGGAACTCCTCCTTGGCCATGGGGCTGAAGTCAATGCGAAAGATGATTATGACTCGACGCCGCTCTCTCTCGCAGTTGAAAATGGCCATGAAGCTGCAGTACGGCTGCTTCTGTCATCAAATGCTGATGCTAAGGCTATCAACAAGCATGGACGAAGTCATCTATCCCAGGCCATTGGAGGTGGCCACATGAATATTGCACAAATGCTTCTCCAAAGCGGTGCTGAAGCAAATGCTTTGGATGAAAATGACGTGACACCGTTGTTCTACGCCATCACGAGCGGAAGCGAGGCCGCAGTGCGGCTTCTTCTTGAAAACGGCGTCGAAGTTGACTTCTTGCTTCCCAACAAGCTGTCATCGCCCTTAGTTTACGCAGCATGGGCGGGAAAGGAGACCATTGCGCAGCTGCTTCTTGAAAGGGGCGCAAAAGTGGACCTTGCAAATAAGCTGGGGGAAACCCCTCTGATTAGAGCGGCTCGTCGAGGACACACAGCTGTCGTGCACTTGTTACTCGACATGGGGGCCAATCTTGAATTGAAAGACTACTTAGGACGGTCAGCCCTGTTTCACGCAACTATGGGAGGCCAGCGTGAGGCTGTCGCTCTCCTAACCGCAGGTTCCAATACCTACGCCAACCATCGCGACCATTATGGTACTTCGGTCGTGTCGGTCGCTGCACGTTTTGGTCATGAAGATATCCTTAGAGACCTGGTTAGTCTGGGGGATGCCGATCTTGTGTCAAGCGACTGCTTTGGGCGTGACGCTTTTTGGTGGGCTTCCGTCCAGGGGAATGAACGAATACGTCAACATTTAACTCAAGTCGCTCAGTGCCAGCCAAGAGCGAAAGCTGCAGAACTGAAGTCTGGAACCACGCTCAGCTTCGGTCAAAAGAGACGTAGCTGTGATGTGTGTCTTGCCGATATCGCAGAGAAAGAGCAATATGTTGCCTGCGAGGACTGTGGGCGCGGGGACTTCTATATTTGCATCATATGTCAGGACCTTGGGGCCCGATGCCAAGGAGAATTGCATGTGCTCAAACAATGCGCCGGGGGCTTTCCGGTCACCTAACATGGATCAGGTACCAGGATCAGACCGGATAATTGAGCACGGAAGCCCCGGGCAGTAACGCATTCATTGCGGACGCAGCCGATCTGAGTACAAGTATTGGCTAGTATCTGAGTGGTTATCAATAAGCATACCAACATTGAGCCATTGATACCTGTCTACTATGCGGTTTCCAATTTTGTTTCGAAAACATAACTTTTCCCGAAAACAGTGAGACCCAATGCGTGTTGAGACCGTATTGTACATGGAGTAAGATGTGACAATAACAAATTATGTCGTGTACGTCATTTATGAGCATGTATTATCCCATGATATTATCCTCAGTTGAAGTGATATATAGCATCTTCTCCTCTCTATACCGTGGCTTATATGTTTAGGTACCTGTGTCTATCCTCGGGATTTCCCAGATACTGTGCCCGTGAAGCTAAAATCGCGTGAGAGCAAATCATGACACTCGTAAGTGCAGCGGAATCTTTTGCTTTTTACTCTCCATTGCACAGTATTTGGGAATTGGAATGACCTTGAAACATCATCCATCTGCGACATTACTGTACTCCAATCCTTCGCGGGGTTTTCCATGGATACCCGTGCCCTCTGCCCGCTTCAAAAGCTCTTGGTGACTGCTGTCAATGTCGTGCAAGCGGTAATACCCGTGTACTTCAACGTGCTTAGTCCCAACTGTTTGCATCGCAGCTCCGTCTCTTTGAGCGTCAACGGCCTTTGTGCATCGATATTAAAGATTATTCAAACAAAGAACTCGTGCCTCTCCCCTCCGAATCCTTCTCGGTCTCGGCTAGTGCTTACAGCTCACAGTTCCCCTTGAATGGGAACGTTCTCCTTGAGCCTCCGGAGCTTATTCGGGAGCCATTCATTGACAGCAGGCTTCCAGAACTCGCAGCCAGGATTTCTCCGGGAGATTATATTTCTTGCTATAGATGCCTATGCGACCCTCCGGCATATCCGTTCTACTGTCAACTGGTTGTGGAGACTTGTAGAACGAATCGCGGCGAACGAAGTAAAGCGTCATCGACGGCCCATCCATCTTGATGCTCTCCTGGTAGCCGACGTTCTTGTACTTGTCGGTGAACAGGTGGCGATAATTGTAACGCGCTTGATGTCTGTTTTGGGAAAGAAGGAAGGAGGAGGGCATAAGGTTCGGCTTCGTTCGCTCAAAGAAAGACGCCTCTGTAAATGTTGAACTCAAAAGGTCGATTCAACAGCTCTGACCTCTGTTCTGTAAAGGATGGGGTTATTTCTGGCAGGTGCGCCGCCGGCTCGCTGATTGACTGGTTCCTATCATACCACACTGCCGTGATATGTATACTGTTTGCCAAGGATCTAGACTCTAAACAATGCATCTGTGTGCCCAATCAGCGTCACCGCACGAGCAGGAGATCAGCCAGTCACAGCTGACGCCGGGTAACCCTGTCGGCGGATGTGATGAGCCGCATTGTCGCCTGCCTTACCCCATGGGGCCATTCTCAGTCGAGGCGGTGTGAACAAGTGAGCGAGCATGGTACGATGCATGAAGATCGGCTGGGTGGACAGATGCACGGCGGCACGCAAAACTGACTGCTCACGTGTGCCCTTGCCCGTTGCACCTGCGCGAGATTGCCCGCCAAGCACCAAGCCAGTTAATTATGCACATGGAGGGAATGCAGGTGCTGTCTCCAGAGCTGCATAGTGGCGCGAGCCGTGCGGGTTAAGTGCCTAGAGTCTGGCCAGACCCCCCGAGGCTATAGCCAGGTACCCACAATGCAAATTGGCAGCTCTGGCAACCCGGCAGAGCTATCCCTGGGGCGGCCTAGGCGGGCACCTGGTAGGCGCTGTTGCAACCTCATAGGCCTCGATAAGAGCCTGGGCCCGCTATCGGCAGCGGGCTCCTAGCGCATGCTGTTACGTCAAGGAATCCCGAGGCCCCCCAGCGGCGAACGCACTCGTCGTGTCGTGTGCAGTGTCACAGAAACTCCCAGCGAAGTCCTGATCGTGATTGCGGACGGGCATCGAATGCTGTGGATCACTGGCTAGTTGCATTGCATGTGGGAACGAACCTACTTGCAGCTTCCCGTCCCGAGGAGGTTGCTGCTTGGTCGTCGAGGAGAGCCCAGGAGCAGGAGCCTACCTGGCTATGCCGCAGTCGGTGGGTTATCCTCCATGGTGGGACACTACCTACGTACTGTTTTTTTTTTCTTCTCTGGAGCTATCGAGTTTCCCCCCGAGTCCTCATAAACGAGTTGGCTCGCTCCCCGAAAGTATTGCAACATTTGGGTTCCGGATCGCGTCAACGCTAAACCACCACAACCCGCCGCCCAATCGCGTCTCTTTCTCCCGCCGCCGACAGCAGAGTCAATGTCTCTCGCCCAGCATGTCACGGCAACTGAAGGTATCGATCGCGAAGAGCCGCTCGTCCAGGTGCAGGCCGTCGACGAGTGCGCCGAGCCGCACTGGCGCCGACTGAGCTTCGACGCCTTCGCCCCCGTCGACCTCGATGCCATCTTGGAGCTCGCCCCCACTCCGCACATCGCGGCCTACAAGATATCGCCCGCCAGACGCGTTGGTAAGAACACAACATCTCATATAGGACAAGCACACACTTTTTTTTTTTTCTTTTTTTTTTTTCTTTCTTCTCATGTTTGCATTCAGTCAGTCAAACCACGTTCTGCAAACCAAGCTAACGGCATGACCAGCCCAGGTTGTCTTTGCCGTCATCCTCTGCTGTCTGGGTTCCGGCATAGTCTTCGGCTTCGCCTCCCTGAAACCTGTGCTCATCGCCGAGGGCGTGTACCGGGATCTATGCCATGTCGGCGACCCAGACTACGAGAAGGATCCTCTTGAGGTTCCCTGCGCAGAGCAGGATCTGCGGCTCAACTTGTTCTTCACGGCTGGTTCCATTGCGACCAATGTCTCGAGCTTCTTTGCTGGGTTTGCACTAGATCGCTTTGGCAGACGTACGTGCTACCTGGCCTCGGCGGTCTTCCTGGCAGTTGGATGCATTTTCATGGGATTCGCCTTTGCTATCCCAGAATTCGACGGCTACTTGTTGGGGAATGTATTCCTAGGACTGGGGGGTACCTTCCTCTTTGTTTCCAGCTACCAGCTGACCGATGCGTTCCCCAAACACAGTGGTCTTGTCACCGCGGTGATCACGGGGGCGTTCGATGCGTCTGCGGCCATCTTTCTGTTTTACCGCTTGGCTTGGGAGGCCACTGGCGGCAGCTTTGAACCGTCCCAGTTCTTCTTTGCCTTCTTGGCTGTGCCCGTCGTCCTTATTGTTGGCGAGCTGGCTCTGATGCCGAAGGCGGCTTACCATACGACGCCCGAGCTGGAGCAGAAGATTGAGAAGGCTCAGGACCCGATGCGTGATGTCCACGACTCAGATCAAGAGCTGAGTGATGGCGAGCTATACAGGGTACGAAGTTACCGGGCTGATCATCGCCGGGCCAAGCTTGATCAGATCGAGGACCTCATTGGTGACACAGATCTGAGGGAGGAGCGAGCCCACCAGGAAGAAGAGCGTCATCTCGTTAGTGGCATTTGGGGTGTACTACATGGGCTGCCGGCCCACCAGCAAATGCTTACTCCCTGGTTCATGCTGATCCTGCTGTTGACTGTCTTCCAAATGCTTAGAATGAACTACTTCATTGCCACTATCCGCTCCCAGTACCGCTTCATGTTGGGATCAGAGGAGCTAGCCGAGGACATCAACAACTTTTTTGACGTTGCACTGCCCCTTGGTGGAATCGTGGCCACGCCGTTCATTGGTATGCTCTTGAACAATCTGAGTGTTGCCACGATGCTTGCAATCCTGTCCGCATGTATAGTGCTCATCGGAGTCTTGAATTGCTTGCCGTTCGTGTGGGCTGGCTACGCGACTGTCATCATCTTTGTTCTCTTCCGGCCGTTCTACTATTCCGCCATGTCGTAAGTACTTAGCACTGTCCAATATGCGAATGCTATACTAACCATTAGCAGCGACTATGCCACCAAGGTATTTGGATTCAGAACATTCGGCCGCGTCTATGGTACCATCACCTGCCTGTCCGGGCTTGTCAACTTTGGGCAGTCTGGATTGGATGCCCTCACTCACGGCCCTCTCCATGGAAACCCCATTCCGATCAACGTCTTCATGGCGGTTGGAGGAACAGTGCTTGGAATAGCACTGGCGGGTTACGTGCAGATCAAGACCATGAAGTACCAGGCTGAGGTCGTCGAAGAGAGTGGACGCCAAGAACGCATGGCTCTTATCCGTGAAGAGTCGACTGGATATGGTGCAATGGCCCAAGCCTGAGCGCCTTGTGGCGGCGGCGGCGGCGGTGGTGGTGGTGTCTACGGAGAACATCCAAAAGGCGATGCATACTGCATGACAAGGAGAGAAGGAGACCGCGGGGAGTTGGAGGTCTTACCAACCCAGCGAACTAATGGCGATGCCTTGCCGCGGAACTGTATTGAGATATGATTAATGATAAGCGAGCGTGGCTGATTAATAAAATTCATGTTAAAACTAGAGCTTTACTCGGATCTCATCACGTTGCAGATTACAGCATCACGAGTTGCATGCCTGGGTGGCGCCAAGAGTGATATGTACAACAATCTTGTTTCCGAGCCCGCAACGTTAGATAGTCTTTGAAGGGGGTATAAGAAGTTGTCTCAAAGACAAATCTTTCCTTGGCCTGCGACTTCTACAGCCCCGACCGTATTTACCGCCATGGGATTTGTGGGGAGGGTTGGTGACTCTGGCGGGGTTTGGGGCCGGTTTAGGCCAAAATTATAGGGCAATCTACAGAATACGGAGCACTACACTCGCAATTGTCAGGCCTTCAACGGGGCAGCCACCTAAATGGGGCAAAAAGACTTGCCAACAGTTTCGTGTCCTACGCCATTATCGTAACATATACAGAGTCTTACATTGCGACCTCTGCATTGCCAGGAGCCAATCAAACAAAACATGCGATGCACCGAGAGCCGCACCCAGCCAGGATTACACAGCCTAGGGGCTGACGCCGACCGTCGATCCATAGCTCGAACCTAATTCTGAAATGCTTACCTAAGTAAAACCACTATCATGCTATAAAGGGGCCCTGGCCTTCCCTTCATTGTACCCACCTCCAAAGGAGGCCGGAAATGGATTCCAAAGCGCCCGTCTCCTCGAACAAGCACCGCGGCTATGCCACGAGTCACGATTGGGCCCAAAATCGAGCCCGGATCACGCAACTATACCAAGATGAGTCCCGGCCCCTGCGCGAGGTCATGGATATCATGGCCAATAAGTACAACTTCAATGCCACGTAAGTGTCCCGGTCTGCATCGCGCTATTCCGAGCACATCACTGACGTGAATAGGGAGAGGATGTACAAAAAGCGCATCGGTGACTGGGGCATTGACAAGAAACTCAAGGAGGATGACCTGCTGCAGATCCTGCGCATCTTGGCATTGAGGTCACACTTGGTCGGTAATTCGGACGACCTGGTCTTTTTCGTACGCGGCAGACGTCTCGTGGACACCCGACTTCTCAGGTCAATCAGTCGCCGGTCCAAGGCCTTGAAGCGATTCCATGCTGGCGAAATGCCCTGCCCGGAATCCATAAAGGCCGTGCAATACCAGAAACTGGGACCGGCTTGCGGAAACACCGCGTTCGCCCAAGATGACCGATCCGAGAGCGTCGAAAAACTTTTCCGACTTATCCGACATTGCGTGCTGAGTTCCATTGACTCGCAGACCTGGATGTTTGATGATACTGCTTGCTGGTCGGCAAGTTCCACGGCGACGGAGCAGCTCGAACTCCACGACGGCTGGCATTTGCCGTTCTTTTCTCTTGCCTCATACCTCCAGGGCGATCTGAATGCGGACGCCATTGGCAAGGAACTGAGCACCTTGTTTGATTTTCTGCCCCAAATAATCAAGGCTCAGCCTCCATTTTTCCTCCCTTGTCTTCTGGGGATGCTGCTGCGCCTGCATCAACTCAAGCAAGCCTATCTTATTGACATTATGATGAGGCATATTTCGCAGCTCAGCTGCATATACTTGGGCCCGCATCATCCGCTCTTCTGCGTGATCAAGCACCTAAGGTCCTTGAGCCGTGGTATAGAAGACGATTTTTACTGGTACGAACAGTCGCTACTAACGCTGACAGATCAGTTCGAGACCCAAATCGGGCTGGAGAACAACATCACCATTTTGACGGCGACCGCGTACCTTGCCGCGCTGTGTATGAACGGAGGCATAACCCTTGACTGGTTGAAGCTCACCGGGAAATACACATTCAAACTGGCTGACTACACCACGCGGCTCGATACGTGGGACGACCTCGAAGTCAGCCAGAGCCGCTGGAACCTGGATTGTTTCAGCAGGAACCCGACTGCCGTCCAGGCGCGCAGGTTGCTGTTGCCAGTGCTGTTCGAGGGCTCAAGGTATCGGTCGAATCTCACGGACACGGGTGTCGCTTTTCAAGAGAGTCAGATCACGGCAATGGATCTCGCTAGGAGGCACTTCAAGTATCATCTGGCGCATGCGACTTTATCGGCGGGGAATTGGTCCCTCTTTCAGGACTTCTGCGCACTGCTACCGGAATCCGCGCCGCTTCTCGGTACGAATAGGAGTTCAGCAGTTCGAAAGTGAATCGACGAGAAAGAGTGAAGCACAATAATCCCATGTCACCAGCGCGTAACTCGCCTCGCTTATGTACCGTCTGGTGAAGCCCCAGTTCGAGTTTGCGCCGTGCCGAAACCTACAAGGGTGTTGCTCGACCCGATGTAGTGGAACGAGAAGCCAGCGGCTACACGACGGTTTTAAGTGGCTGACTATCCCGGTCCGAGACCCGCCCATTGTGCACACGGTACATATTTACGGATTACGGACCTCAGGACATTCGGACGATCTTTTCACTTCCTCGATTGCTCCTTCTCAATTGAAAATATTTACACGAGATGGCGGAGAATAACGTCTCGCTCGGTCTAGGCGACTTGAAGCAAGTGGAACTTGAGAAAGAGGGTCAAGCGGCCAGCGTGAGAGCAGCGCATCACGCAAACCGAAAGCTGCCTGGATTTGAAGCTCACCAACCTGTTGGTGAAAGCTCTCAATATGGGTATAGCGTCGGCTACCAAACGCAGCTACTACTGCCATCTCAACTACTATCGTCCAATCCTCCGATGCAAGTCCCACCATCGCAACTGCTTAGTGAGGGCATGCCTCTAGTGAACCCGATACTTTCTGACGCCGCCAACAACTCTCAATTTAATCGATCGCCTCCGTTGGATGCCGCTGAATATGTCAAGAAGGCCAACGAACTTATTAATGCCTCGCTCGAGCGAACGCCAGGTGGCACATCAGTGGTCGAGCCTGATTCTGTGTTAGACGAGTCCGGCCGCTTGTATCACGGGTACAATCAGGGGAAATATTTCTTACCCAATGACGCTGTTAGTAATTATAGTTCTAGATGAACTTGACAACTTCTAATCGAATATCTCTTTCTAGGCAGAACAAGATCGCTTAGACTTTCAGCACAAGATATTCTTGATTATGTTGGAAGACTGGCTCCATTTAGCCCCTATGACCACTGTGCCAAACTTTGTGCTTGACATAGCTACGGGAACTGGCAGTATGTTGATTTCCGCCTTACTAGATACCCCTGGACTTATCCGTAGTCATTGCCGTTCGATTGTGATCTACAAATGATCAGGTCTCAAGTCTAGCTTCCTTATTTCATGGTTTTAGTCGAACAATCGCTGACTGGTGTTGTAGTATGGGCGCACGATTTCGGCAAGATACACACCTTCCCTAACAATCCTGTGTTGGACTAACGCGTCCCCAGCCGAGAAATACCCATCTTCCTTCGTTATTGGTACAGATCTGAGCGCTATTCAGCCTGATCCCAGGGTACCGAACTGCGTTTTCCAGAAAGACGACGCTGACGCCCCATGGGTCTTCCCAGCCCCTCACCCACCAGAGGCTCAATGCGTGGTTCCATGCGAGCACCGGATCATGTTTGACTACATACATCTTCGCCTAGTTGCTACGTGTTTCGACGACCCTCGCGTGCTTATGCGTCAGGCTTACGATAACTTAGCCCCCGGTGGGTGGATCGAGTATCAGGATGTCAGTTTGGATCTACAATCTAAAGACTTTGAGGGTGTGTTTTGCGCTTTGGTACCGCTTTGAGCCTTTTGATTAATATCCTCGCAGGATCGGCATTCCAGAAGTACTCAGAAGGCTGTGTCCGCGGAGCGGCGGTTATGGGCAGAGATCTGCTAATCCCCTACAAGTACAAGGCCTATTTGGAAGAAGTTGGCTGTAAGTCCCACTCCCGTAATCCTTTTTCGCCGAAACTGACCAGTTCACGGTAGTTGTGGATGTTGAGCATAGACAACTAGTATTGCCTTACAGCCCCTGGCCACAAGACCGGAAGCTCAGACAAGCGGGCCTGTACAACTTGCAGAACGGACTAGATGGAGCAAGAGGCTTCGGCTACAAGATGCTGCGTTTTGCCGAGTACTCTCCTGACGAGGTCGAGACCATCGTGCAAGAAGCAGTGGACTACATCAAAGATAGCCGAAATCAGGCATGGGCACCACTGTAAGAGCACTGCTTTGGTTTCCTGTTTCTTTCCTGCCGAAACATGCTAACAATGCGCTATAGTCATATTGTCTACGGTCGTAAACCCCTAGCTAGAGCTTGAATGCTTAATGGCGCGCTCGTGGTGCAAGTCAAGAACGTTGTCTCGATTTTGACGTCGGTCACGGTTTGTTAGGGTTTCCGTGCTAGGAGGGCGGACTCAACGATTATTCTTTCTTTATCAGCACTAATGGACATTTGCCGTATTCCTAAATCTTCAAGATCGTATTCATCAATGTCAAGGGGTCCCCATTATCGTGCTGACTATTATCATGACCTGAGAAGTATGACCAAATGATCAAACATCACCGCAATCTATCGCAAAATATTGATTATCCGATTTTGTGTCCACCGCCGAGCGTACATGGCCGCAGCATTGAGCTGCCGATCTCGTACAGTCGTAAACCGTACCTGCGAAATTGACCTTTTGTCCATTGGCTTTGATCGTCATCAGACCTTGTTTGGTGTAGTGAGCATGGAATCTGTGAGATCTTGTTGGTGAGAAACTCGCAATTGGTGATTGAGGCTTCGTCCTACTCAGCCACCGAGTTCCCGAACTCCTGCTCCTCTTATAGGCCGAACTTAGGCGAGTACCCACCCACATTAGATGTTGGCACATAGCTACCCCTCACTTTATGTTACCAAATATGTTACTTATGAATATCGTTGTGATTGATTTTGAGCTCATTCATGTTATCCTATAATGACAGTTCCAATCTTCAGTTGGCTGTGCACTTTGTGTAACCACGTCTTCGAGCCAAAGCCTCCTATATTGGTACACTTTCTCAGATTTAACTACTCAGGCAGTCACAATCGCCGTCTTTGGCTCTCAACACTGGCAAATTATAACGAAAAGGCCATATCTGTGGTATGAGAGTCTACTGTGGCACACACCATGCTTTGTCAGATATGCAAAAACAGGCTAGAGAGCATCAATAGCCTCAGAAGACTGCGTCGGGCTTATGACTATGCGACTAAGAGCCCAGAAAATCGACCCAGAAAATCGATACAATAGTTACTGGCTCTGCTCGAGTAAGATTATTCCCAGCCTCCTACAGCGACTTAGTAATAGGGCTACCAATCTATAAATAAAGCAAGCTATTCCGAAGAAATACCTAAGAATTCTGAATACGATCCAGAGCCGTTCACTTATGTATATGGATACCACAATAATGCGCAATCCTTTGCAGCTTCTATGCAGCAGGGATGTGTCATGTGTAGTGACTTGCCTTTGGATCAGAACCAAGGTAGACAGAGCCCTATTGAGTTGCAGTTCGGAGTCTTCACCGTATTTTGGATATTCTTTGAAAAGAACAAACCATACATGACAGTCGATACTGGTAACGGATCAAAAGTCATAAGTCTTGTCCCAGCCAAAGGTAAGGATTCAAATCGAGTCTTAGCTTGTACCTATGGTTAATCATTGACAGGCAGTCAACTAAATTTCAGTCTTGGTAACTCTACGAGTTTTGCGCTGACACTTGCGCTTGTAAATACGTGGGCGAGTACATGCTTCCAGCATCAGCAAAGTTGTCAGTGGCCAGGCATAAATCACAGTTATAAGCCTTCCGGCTTGCTTGAGTTGGACTATACAAAAAACCCCCAGACTTGTCGGCTTGTGAATGGCATCGAATAAATTCAAAGTGCACCATATGTTGCTTTAAGCTATTGCTGGGACCGTAAGCCAGCATTCAAGGCCCTTCGCCTCATGAAGTCTACTGATGCTCAATTGCGAGAGCCACAACTACTTACCAGTCTACCAAAGACTTTTCGACATGCGATATCCGTCGCCAAGTATTTCGGAGTTAGGCACTTATTTCGCCTCGTTAATATCCGCCCACATGCGCTTTGTGGGAGATGACGAAACTGGCCAGATCGAAAAAGGGACTTTGACGTTACGGGGGCCCATCAGTGCCGCAAGAATTTCCATCTTATCGGACAATCGGTACTCTGTAGAGTCTTTCTACTATATGGCTGCCCGTTTGGAGAACATCATCACCCTTCCCTAAACACGCCGATTGCAATATTCGACACTATGGAGGACCCTGGAACTGAGGTCATTTGTATTTGGGTTGCCGCCCAGCTTGCAGCGCTGGGGGGTTGGCGAGCTTGTGGACTTATTCTTGGTTGCAACGAATATGGCACATTTAAAAGGATGGGTACCATCTCCTTGATTCACTCAGATGAGGCAGAGTTAGTGAACTTCGTGAGAAGGTTCCCGATAGAAGATGTCGAGATTATGCGAGCCTCCTGATATAGTAATAACTTTGTTAGCAACCAAAGACTATGGTTGCGCGCATGTAGTGTAGGTGTCTGCAAGTAGGTGGAATTTCAAAGACGATTTGCCAACACAGGACCCTCAGCATGGTTTGTGAGGACATTAGAACTATAGTAGTCATTAGTTTTGCGCCATGCATCACCTGGGACTTTGTCAGAGCTGAGACCGTGCTTAAAATTTTAACAACTTGGGTCGTTATTGGACGGGAAGTGGCCACTTCCGCGTCTAGAAAAATACTATATCCTGTATGTACAATGATCCCGAGAGAGGCCCTCGTGTGAAACTTGAATGCAATATCCCAAAATATCAGCGTATCCCGGTAGAAAGGCTCCTCAAGCAAGATAAGTTCTCCAATATCTGCATCGGGGCAAGTAGAGAATGAGTCCACAGTCAGGTCCACAATCAGATTTAGGCAAAGCTGGCGCCGACCACCCAGCTTACATCGTCGTTGAACGAGGAAGTGGCATCGAATGTGTGAACGCCGCCATTGCTCGCAGCATGCACCACGTTGCTGTAGTGGCGGAAATAGCGGGTAGGGTAGCTCCAGGATTGGAGGGAGTTGCCCTGGCCGTTGAGTCCTGCCTGTGGGCAGAATGTGGCATCTTCCCGGAACTGCTTGGAACCGTCGTTGGAATTGAGTTGAAGCGTGAAATCATAGTGCCGTAGGTAGCTGCCGGCAGTATCCTTGGACTCAAATGAAACACAGGCGCTGTTGGCAAGGCCAGCGCGAACCGTCCAGCTGGCTTGCTGCTTGAGAGCGGTCGAGCTGGATGACGACACTTCTTGGGTGTTGACAGTGGAGCCCGAGTGTGCGATATAGCGAGTGTTGAAGCCGGAAGTGGTGGCCCGTAGCGAGACCGAGGAACCGACTGTGAGCGCCGGGCCACTGGTCTGAGATCCCACCGCATATTTGGCAGCTACAATATCGGCCTGTACCGAGTTCTCGGTGGCATCGGATGGATATCCGGAGGTCATTACGCCCTCATAAAACGTGCCTTGAGCGCCGACGCTGTTATCGCCGCCGATGCCGAGAATTATGGCGCCTTCCTTGCTCATTGGGTTGTACCCAGAGACACTTGGGCGAGCACCATTATAATAGGTCGACAGTGAGCCGGATGCGGCATTGGCGCCGCGGATCGCCCATTTATTTGGGCCTCCCTTGATGAGCGCCGTCAGAAACCGGTAGGAAACTGACGGGTCGCCTGCATTGTTTTTAGAGTTGGATCCAGAGAATAAACCGTTCTCCAGATCAGCCATAACCCAGGGGCCGCTGCCAGAGCCAGAGCCCCAGACAGTGTTGGTTCCGAAGTAGATGGCCTCCATATGGCCGTTGCCCGTATCTGTACTGCTAGTCTCTGCGTTGCCGTAGTCAAAGCAGCAGCCACTGTTATAATGTGTACCGTCGAGCACCTGTGCAACAACCCGGGGTCAGCATTTAATGTAAAGATACAAGAAGATTCTCGCGACAACATTGAAATTGAACCAGAGAGGTAAGGTGGAGCTTCGGGGGTCTCATACCGCGTACATTCCTTCCGCAGCATCGCCTTTAGCTATGCCGCTGGCGGCGTTGTTTCGGTAGCCTGTGCCAGGCGATATAAAGACACCATACGCCTTCTTGCCGTTTAATGTGACGGGTGCGCCAGTCGCGCTGGCCAGGTTGTCGTAGCCATTGGACTCCGGGCCCTTGAAGCCGCCGGGCGGAGCCTGGGTCAGGTGGTTGCCGCGACCGGATTGGTCATAAATGATCGTAATAAGGCAGGTCGTGCCAGCGCAGAAAGAGTCTTGGGTGGCGGCATTGGCAACACCGCCGGCAGAGACTGGCGCGATTATGGTCGTTGCACCGTCAGAGCCGCGTTTCACCTGGTAGAGTGAGCCGGTGTACGCGCTGTACAGAGCTCGAGTGGTGCTATGTGCAGCGACGCATGGTGTGCCGCCAGAGGAGTATATGTCACAAGGCCCTGCGGTGACGAGGGAGCCTGTGGCAATGAGGCCCAGGGCGAGAGCGCGTGCGCGTTCGAGGCTCGGGAGTGGGAACATGTCTAGTTACTCTTGGCAGGGTAACGACTGCTCAGGTACACCTATACGCGTTCGGAAATGATCACTGGTGTCTTGGCCTGTCTCTTTATACTCTTGGGCCAGCAGTCCGAGCGTTCCTTTTCTTGGTTCAAGATATCAGGCGTCGGAGCTGAGGTGCCAAGAATTCCCTCTAGTAATTATCGATAAAAGTATACATCTTCGTATTGATACTACCTAGCATTATGCGGGGTGCATTAGCAGCGCGGCATACATAACTCCGTTAAAATGGCACTGCAGCGTTACATCACCAGCGCCTCGTGACACACGTAAGGCTACTGTTCGAGGGCGTCAGAGGTGGAACAAAGCGACCCGTCCAGTTCCTGGTCTGCAAATACTGTGACAAGTGCTCTTTCGAACACAGAAAAGGACGGGGCCAAATTGAGAAGGTGATAACCTGTGGTTGCATCGTCCCATCCGATCGGGGTTATCTAACCCGGCGGGGACGCTGTCGCTTTCTCGATTGCCGACTTTGCTTCCCCCAATCAGCACACACTATTCTGCTGGAAGCCAGATATAGAATTCCGCTAGTCAATATTCATCGTACGATGGGACCTTGAATGTTAAAGACACGACACAGTTGTGTCGTACTACGCATACTCAGCACTACTACCTTGATCTCTGATATGTCACATGCATCGGGAGCCTCCATTTCACCTTTGCTTGGGCATCCAACGATCGCAAATGGCAAAATGGAAGTTGGCGGCCCCACTACGATTTCGAGTTCGGAAACAGGACATAGCGGTCTAAGGATTGATTGGAAAGTTAAATAGGATCCAGAAATGACTCGAAAGAACACGAGCCTTGAGTATGAGTTATTATTCAAGGGTTCAGACTCCCACAGTGCACAAATGCTACAAAGACATTGGTTTCCAGGAACGGACGAAACCTTATTGGCCCGGGAACCTGAGTAGATGCGTCGTCAGCCCTTTTTTTCATAAACTTTAAATCATGCCGGACGGATGCATAGGTACACGGGTACTCAAACCCCCGCCCCCGGGTTGATAGTACCCACCCCAGTTCTCCGAAGGAGCCGCTCCAATGGGATTCAAGGATTCAAGTAGTCACTACTGCTATGAGTTCTCTGAAATGGATAGATACTTGATAAAACGGATTTGGAGCATATCTTAGCGCTGTGCGGTGTCTTGGTCCTCCTGATGGTGATGATAATACTCACTACACTAAAATCAGTTAGTTGACGTAACCCCACTCTTCACGGTCAGCGAACATGCGCTTTCTCTCATTGAGAATCGACAGAGATCTGCCTCGCGGATATCGTTGATAATACCGCATACTGCCACGTGGGCCTCGTCCCTAAACAGACAATGAATTTCCGGAGCATCCTAAGCACTGTCAGTTCGGACCCGAGACATGGTTTCAATTTCACATGTCTCCCATGGACTCTCTACGCCCGAGACTTGAATGCAGCTTCACATCAAGCTAACTTGTTGCGTTTCCTAGACCATCTTACTGGGTAGGAATGTATGAGTCAGAAAATGGGACAATGCGTTTTATTTGACGATTAGTTTACAGCCTTAAACAAACATGCCCTTCAAATCGTCGCTCATCTGTTCGAGTATGCTTTTACCTTTGGGTTCGAATCCGGCCCGTCGAGCCCTTGGGCCTTCCAATAGCATATTCGACGTAATAAGGTATCTTAGTGCGCCCTCGCCTGCTTCCTCATGCGTGACATTCCGGGGCGTCGACGCTGGAAATGCAGTAGGGTCCTCGCGATGTAGCACGCGAGCAAACTCGGTTGCCAGTGCTTTCCATTGCACGCGTCCAGTCTCGAGTAGATAATATCTGGAATATGCAGTGCCTTCAGCTTCTTGCGGTGCGGCGGCACGATTCGTGATGGTAACAAGGAAGTCTACCAGGTCCGACACGTGCGTCTTCGCGAATATTAGACTAGATAGTTCTCAACGTAGACGAGCGGGGGAATTGGAAATGTTCATACTGTACTGAGGATGGCCGTACCATCGCCTGCATAAGGCACATAGCCAAGTGATTTTGCATTGCCCGTTATGAGAGAATAACCAACACCAACTCCGCTTGAGCCCGTAGAGCTCCCTCCGTAAACGACTGATGGACAGGCGATATACGTGTCGATGTCTCCAGTAGCACCTGCTTCAAGAACGCTAGAGGAACGAAAGGTTAGGCTCGTCTTCTCGCCTAACTTGACCTTGCATTTTTACACTTACGCAACGTCTGACCGGCCATTGAACATGTCATTGTTGATATGTTTTATATCATCCTCGTTATCATCCTAGGTTGCCCGTTAGTTGTGGAAACCACGCCGAGGTAATACAATGACTGACATTCCACACTTTACTGCTGGGATTGAAATTTCCAGAGGTGCCAAAGTCGATAAAGTTACCCGCACCACTAATGTGTATCAATTTCCCCTTGCTTCCGTGTGCCTTCCGCTCACGCAGACCAGCGATGATCGCTGCCACCGGTTCGGCGGTAGCGGAATTCCCAGAGTTAATGACAATATCATGTTGAGCACTTAAGTGCTTGATCTTATTAAATTCACTGAAGTCGCCCACTTCCAAGTGATCGACTCCTCCAAGAGTTGCCTTGAGCGCATCTTCAGTGGCCCCCTTTACGGAACGTACATAAGCTGTAACGGACCAGTCTGGATGCTCGTTCTTGAGCAACCGAGAGAGCGGTGCTTTAAGTTAATTTCCTGGTCAGTATCCGGTACTGAAGTCACCGATGTAACAAGGTTACTGCTCACCACCTATGAAACCGGTAGCTCCAAGAATTAGGACTGAAGGTGCTGCCATTGTGCGTTTGCCGGATAAAAACTGCTGGTGTTTGTCTGAGGAAACGTAAGACGTGGTTTGCGTATGGAAGGATCAAAATGTTGCCTATGTGGTCGATAGGTGAATGTAATCTGTCTATAAGCTCTTGTACTTGGTTTATGAGACCTTTTAGCTCGACAAGATGAGAGAAAAACGATGGATTAAATAGACATCGGTTCGCGGTCTGAATAGCGCCATCATACTCCACGGTTGAACATCCGAGCCACTTACTCATCACCGCTAACGAGCTTGCTCCTTAAGCACTGTTGAAGAAGCATTTCTTTCATGCAATTGTAAGCTCAAAAAGATCAGGGGAAAGTGAAAGCAAGAACACTAGCGTTGCCCGATTAGGGAAATGGTGATGGCGCGTATCTCAAGTGAGTGGATGACAAAGCAGGAGTTAACCGGATTGGGGAAATGGTGTCTACAATTAGTGCTCCACTCGATTCCTTACTATGCAGGCTGCTGACGGAATGCTCCGTACTCAGTCCCATTGATTGGTGACAGAGCTGCGGGCGAAAGTTCTCCCTACTCTTCGCAAAACACTCGTCATGACATCGCGACTGTCTAATTGCATATGCTCTGGACACATCCAAGGTGTAGCCTTGGACGATTTGTCATGAGCTCCTGTCGACCCCCTCAACCTTGTAGATTCACCAGCCTGGATGTTGGGACCACTAGGCAATGTCGAGGGATGGAGGTTCTCATTCGCGGTGATTATCAATTCTTGTTGTACGAGCCTGGATGCAAAGCATATAAAGGCAGGCTTGTGCCGCCATGTGCGAAGGTTATGTTTGGCAGATCCTTCGAACTAGATCGTGGATCCGAAGACGTTTGAAGCAGATACATATGATATACCCTACTTCAGTAACTTATGATGGATAAACAGTTTGCAGGGAAGACTGCTATCGTCACTGGTTCTGGCAAAAGCTTAGGCATCGGTGCAGCGACGGCGATAGCTCTGGCGGAGCAAGGCGCAAATGTGAGTAACTGCATGGATGAAGCCCTGAAGTCAGTCTCCTTGGCTTACCGTAACACAGGTCGTGATACATTACAGCGCCTCGGAAACGCCAGCACAGGAAGTCGTCACGAAAATACAGGAGCTTGGAGCAAGCGCTGTTGCAGTCCGTGCAGATGCTACAGAGCCTGACTTTGGGGCTACAGTCGTTGAGAAAACGCTTCAGGCATTTAATACGAATACGATCGATATACTCGTTAACAATGCGGCCGTGGCCCCAGTTCATAAGGGTATCTCCAATGTACCTACCGAGGCGTGGGACGATGTTTATGGTATCAATGTCCGTGCACCGTTTCTGCTCATCCAGGCGGCTTTGCCCTACATGAAGGAGGGTGGACGGATCATAAACGTGTCCTCTATCATTGCTAAACTCGGCCACGAGTGGCTAGCTGTGTATGGGGCTTCCAAGGGAGCATTGAATTCCATGACGGTGGGCATTGCCCAGGAACTAGGGCCGAAGGGGATCACCGCCAATGTCGTTGCGCCTGGTCCGATCACGACCGACATGTCTATGAGGGGTAGTCCAGTCTTTGGGAAACTGATGAATAATGCTCACATTAAACGTGAGGGTAGTCCCCGGGAGGTGGCCGAGGCAATCAGGTTTCTGGCGAGCCCAGGGGCTGGATATATCACTGGTCAGATTCTGCCTATCGATGGTGGCATCCATCTGCCGTAAAGTGGTTTAATGGTACACCATCAAGTGAGATTGATTTTTGATACACGGCGTAATACACATCTTATTCTATACATGTACGTCTGAAACTCTATATGAGGCTCTACTGTCGTAATCCATCGACCATCTTGGCTCCAGCAGCCATCCAGCTCACTGCTATATACTAGTGGAACGTAGGTCTTATTCAAGAAGAGACTAAGAGGCTAAATGAAAGCCACTCAAGTGAGATCATGCAAATGCCACCGTTGGTGCATCTCAGAACTCGAATCTCCAGAACTGAATGTTCTTCTCGAAAGACGGCATCACGGAGGCCGCCAGAGTTCCGTACTTGCCAAAGAATGGCGGGTGGCTGTCCATAAATTCGCGCCATAGAATTCGATCCCGCATCTTGAGCTGCGGATGAAGCCTCTCGATTTGTTGGGGCTCATCAATACCCCACTTGAAAACCGACTTGCTCGTCCTCAGCGCCTTGATGTACGAAGTCAAACGCACGGACAACGTGCCCAAGGTGTCAAACACAAGCTGGCATTGGCCTTGGCCGTTGGGGCCCTTGAAGTAATCGACCAGGTCCCGTATCAGCTTCTCACCCTTCTCCTGCTCCAAATACATCACCAAGCCCTCGGCAACAATGATGGTAGGTCGATCAGCAGGAATGTCACGGAACCAGCCGTCATCTGTGACGGACAAGGTCCGCAGGGTGTAGTCCCCGGGCGGCTGCATGATCAGCCGTTTCCGCAGGTCCACCACGAGCGGCTGGTCCAGCTCAATCCATCGCACGTTGGAGGGCTTGTTGACTCTGAAGTAACGGCAGTCCAGACCGCAGGCGAGGTGGAGGACCGTGACGGGCTCCTCGTGCGAGTCGAGGAATTCTTGAGTCCACTGGTCAAGACGCTTGGAGCGATTGGCAATCCACGTTACGTAACGGGGGTCTGTAGTGAACTTGAAGTGGCTCGCATCCATATCGATATCGCACTGATCAAGTAGCGGTTTCGCCCACTGATCGCCCAAGATGGGGTTTGGGCTCAGGGTGTCGCGGGCCTTGAACAGCACCATTGGCAGGAGAGTCTGCTCGACGCCCTGCAACTGGACCTTTTCCTTGGGCAGGTCGGGGGCCATGTTGATGTCGGCGCTGCCGCGAATGGCTGGATCGGCAGCCGTAGCGGCCCGTGCCGTGCTAGCGGTGTCAGGAACGGGGGCTGCTGTTCCTGTTCCTTCCCCCAGGGGAGGGTTGCTGCTCTCGGTGAGGTTGCCAGACATCCTGGGCGTCTAATTGCATGCGTCCAAATGCCTTATATAATAAAGGTTGTTTTGAGAGGAACGTGACGGCGTAGCATTGCAGGATTTTTGCATTTTGCAATACACCGGATGCAGACCCTGGTCAACCGAAGCGACCCTGGTATTTGGTAGCCATTTGCAGGCGTTCCGGATCCTACAGCGCATTTTCCCGGTTCCGCGGTTGCAGGGTACAGGCTCCGCCAAGCAAGCTCCATGGATCTGGTTCTTGGGACTCCCAAATAGCCAAGATAACATCATCAGAGTGCTGGAGTGCAGTGTCCATTCTTGCTGCAACCTTTCAACTTACACCGGAGGCGCAATGATTGGCGATCTTGAAAGCAATCATCTACAACGGTATCCAGTGGATTCCTCGCGGCAGATATAGCTGATCAGTGAAAGAACGAGCGGCAACCGCTAAATATATTTGTCACTTAGTTAGCGCACGGCGCAGCGGGCTTCAGTCTGCAAACGGAAGGTATCGGGCAATACCCAGGATTTTGGATAGCGCTAACGCAGCGCCCTTTACTGTCGATTGGCCAGGGCGTATGAAAAGAAAATATGACACAATGCCTAGAGTGGAGTCTACCCATTGAGGGCTTCAGAATGTGTCAATCGCGGCTGCGCGGTTTATTGGGCGTATTGCAAGATGCCTAGTCAAAGCCAACAACAGAAGCGCAGCATAATGTTGCCTTGCCAATTAGAGTTTTCAACTAGTGTTTGTAGTCGGCCGGTTGATTACTGCTAGTGCAGTATGCAGCCTGGCATCCTGGGGGGCGGGCCGGGGCGGGAGTCCAAGCCGGCGCTGTGGTCATCAGCTACTATTCAGCTGCAAGTAAAGCAAAGAGGGTGGCAGCGCTGATCAGTCAACGAAGGCAACATATTCATTCATAAGGTGGACTTGCATATCTTCCATAATTCTGTCAGGACCGTGTGTCCTTCTCAGCTGCCTTGTGGTTCTCAGGTACCTATAGTATGTCTCTATAAGCACATAACAACCTTGCGTCATCTCATGTCCAACCGGTTCATCTTTACACAAATGACAAACAGACTATTGATAATGGCGCAATCGTGTTATGCTACAGCTTCTTTACCTTCTTGAACATTATGCAACTTGCACATTCAAATAGGTCTCCAACCACACTATTCGATGATACGTCTTCATCATATCTATCTTAGCTTATCCAGCTTGGAGTCTCTACCATGCGCTTCAGTACTGTATAATATCACTTCCAGGGGCATCCAGACAGACCACTGGGCGAAGTCTTGCGACCTCCGCCCAATAGATTCCGTGGCAGACGTTGTGATTCGGAACTACAAAGGCGAAAGCGAAGGTGTTTCATATACTTTTAATGCATATATATACATCAACAGCAACAATCTTTGAAGGTTATGACGCTGTTAAGTCCAGCTTAGATGAGCTTTGGGCCTGTGACTGGAACAGTGGCCGGATCCAATGGCTTTGAGCGACAAAAACCATAGAGCTTCCCTTTCTCGAGTTCGGCGACGTCGTGCTCGGAACAGACAACGTGCTTATCTTAGCAACTTGCCCCGACGTGCAGTCTCAGATGGGCAGCTGGAGAACCCAGTTCCACCTGGTAAACCGTCAATCCACGCAAGCTTGAATACGGTTGCTTCGGAAGCCAACTATTTTGGCAAGGCCCCGGATCATGCTTTGAGAAGCGCGATTTGGAAAGAATGGCGCGATGCGCTACCAAACCCTGCCTCCGATGGGACCTCGCGTGTCCTGAAACTGCACGGTGATACAGAGGTGATGACGGTATCCTTTTGGATGACTTTCTTTACGTCAAGGATCCCACAGTTCCGTATTGAGACGATCCAAGAAGACTGGAAGTCGCCTGATGGGAAGAGAGTACATATGCTATTGACATTCCCGACTGAAGAGGAAGCTATTGTGGCGAGAGACGTATTGAAGAGGAGGCACCCCAGTGTTACCGCTTGGCTCGTTGAGGAAAGGCCCGATGACGGTGAACGGCTGTCCAAATCCGCTATGCAGAGACAAAGGACTAGTTCTTTGTCTCTTGGAAGGTAGGTCCCTTGGTACGTGGCTAGCTTGTAGCAAGTGCCTAAGACGGTGTGTGGTAAGCACAGTTGAAAGACATAGGGGACTGAGACAAGAGTACAGACAGTTAGCAACTTTGTCCCCGCTGGTACAGTGGATGTGCAACACAGTGTGAAAGCTGCCCAACGCTGACATGGATGCATCTCGCCACGGAGTAACGGAAGTCTACATTTACGGAAACTCTGAGCAAAATAGGTTATGTGATGGAAGTATAGGGGCCCGACTTCACTTCTCAAGTGCATCAGCAAGACCTCGCAAGCCTCCCTCTTCATATGGGATCCAGATATCAACCCAGCCGTCCTGTTTCGCCTTCTCGATCTGCTCCTTAGACCATCTCTCCTCGAATGCCCTCTCTACGTAGAACGCTTTGAGTCCGCATTTCTTAGCACCCCAGAGATCGCCCAAGTGAGCTGCAACTAGCACGACCTCATCAGGTTTCAAACCCAGCTTTCGGACTGCGCCGGTGTACACGGCGGGATCGGGCTTGTAGGCCTCCCAGGTGTCCGAGCCCCATATCTTGGTGAATCCGAGCTGGTTCCTCTCGTTTAGCGACGTGAGAAGCTTGATGGAGCCGTCCGACAGCGTGATTACAGGGCCGTGCTTCGCCAGGCGCGCGATGGCGGCGGCGGAATCCGGCCAGGCGTCCAGCTTGTACCACAGCAGCACCAGCTCCTCGAGCTGCTCGGGGGTCCAGAGGCCGTCCATGCGCCACTTGGGGATCATCAACCTGAGTGTCCGGCGGTGCACCTCCTCCTGCGGCATGAAGGTGGTCACGCCTGGCTGGGCGGATGCAGCAAACTCAATGTATCGGGAGTACCTGCCTCGCGTTTAGCAATCTGCGTGGGGCAGGCTCTGATGATGGTGTTGCTCACCACTCATACGCAAACCATTCCCAGTCTGTATGCGTCAGTGCTTTGGTGCGAGTCAGAACGTTGGCATCGCCGCTCCTGTTGGCCTCGTGGAATTGGATAGCTGTCTGAGCCGCGACGGATAGACCCCGGGCTAAACTGAAGCGCCAGTTGACCACAGTCCCGAATACATCAAATATGAAGGCCTTGGGTGTTGGCATGGTGACTATGTCTCTGGGAAACTCTTGAATGACCCGATTGCCGATTTGTATGAAAACGCCCAGTGATACAAAGAGTTGCACGGGTATATATATCATGGACTGTAGTTTGGAGGGGTGTAAGCTCTGGTGGGGTAGCCCGTAGGATGCGCGCCCTTCGGCTTGTCAGGCCCACTCATCAAGAACCTATACCATAATGGGCCAGATCGGACTGTAGGCGTTAGTCGTGTTGTTTTTAGCAGTTTAAATGTGAAATGGTCAATCACGTCCACGCTATAACACTATATTCCTTCAATAACTGCTTGTAGAGCCAAGCATCTCGATTGAATGGGGCTCGGTGAGAGCCGGGACAGTGTATTTCAACAGGAATAAAGCCGACCTGGGTAATGGTTATATTGATGACTATTAATGCCACACAGAATCTTTTTTCCGTCTTGTGCCTATGTAAAGATTTTGCATCGATACATAATCCATAGAAGTAGGTCGCCCATCTGCAAACGAAGAGGTTCATACCAACCCATTCTACTGTTCTTTCAGTCAGTCGCTGATTCGGGCCCCTTGTGTTACAGACAACCAAGAGTTGTATCTCAACAGTGACTAGAACAATACGAATGTTATCAGTAGAACAAAGCAATGAGCAAAGTAGTTACAGTGAGCTTGTTCTAAAAATCCCATGTTATCTCGTAAACAAGGCCAATGTAAACAAATAATACGTTGTTACTTCGTGTCACAAGGATTTAGGGGTAACAACTGCTTTCTTTCGCCAGATAGAGCAAACAATATGTTATTACAGTGCCGCCGAGCCCCAGAGTATAAATAGGGGTCCAACATCCCTCGATCCTCCCACTTCTCTTTCGGCAGCACAGCAACAGTTGAGCAACTGAGAAACAGACACGAAAATGACACGACCAATGCAAAGCGTGGTCAGCTCCTTTGACCCTTGGTCTTTCTTCAGGCGCCCCTCCTCCAGCGCTCCTCAAGCTCAACCGGCAACCCCTGCCCCAGCAGCTGTGACGTCCTCGGCTTTCTACGAGACGGTCCACGCGCTGGCAGTTGTGATGCTTGTCTTTGGCGGCTCGATCTTCAGGCCGCTGACGATTAAGCCCACAGTTGGTATTGTTGCTGCCGCTCTGTCGACCATGATTGTCAGCTACTTGACGTTCTTCAGCGAGATGGCTTGGCCCTGGCTGTTACAGGCCTTCAACCTGGCTCGGAGCATCTTGGTCACCGCATGGTTCAAAGGCCCCTGGGTCTTTGGCCCCATCGTCTGGGACTTCTGTTGTAGCCTCTTCAGGGTTGTTCTTGCCCCCTCCCCTGTCTTCTGGATCCTGCTCACCCTCTACATCATCTTCTCGGTTCGCTGGTACTACCATGCGTACCTGGACCTTGGTCGTGGTGGTACGCCCCCCAATGCGTGGGGCTGCTGGCGCATCTTCCGTCTGAAGCTGGTGACTCGACTGTTCATTGATGTGTTCTCTCCACCGCGAGTGCCACCTCTCACTGACCCGTACCGTGGCCGCTTGTTTGGCCTGCCAAAGCGTGATGGACCCCGTGCCACTGTGTTGGGTGTCGCTCCTCAGCGGCAGTCGGACCAGAAGGCCTCGCCTTCCACTGCCCTTCGCCTCAACCAGATGCTACAAGACATCGCGAACGAGTTCCCAGAGCAGTTGACGATCGACCAATCCTACCTTGAAGGCCATCTGCCTGCCTTGAAACGCAGGCTGGGTGCCGACGAGGTGGCTGGCAAACCAGGCACTCCAGCAGAGTTTGGTGGCGAGATCGCACACATTCATCTTTTGGATGGTGGCAGCGCACATTTCGTACTATCCCCAGAGGATGTACGGACTGTGATCGAGACTGGATATGGCGAGCGACACCCCCTTGCGACCAACTGGTTTGTTTGGCGGTGGTGGCACCACTACTTCCGCAAGCAGCGTTTCCCAGTCCCCGAGACCACCTGCTTCATCTACGCTCCCCGACACCAGGGCGAGCTGGATGCGGTTAGGAAGATCGCCGAGGCTGCTGCGTGGTGGGCCACGAAAGGTAAGGCGTACCCCGTCACCATTGACACGTACCCCATGGCTCCTGCTCCGGCCTCAGCTTGAGTTGGATGCTCCTAGGTGAGTCCCGTTCCGATATGACAATGTTTCCCAAACGCCCACATCAGTGGTTGAGCTTGGTATGCATTGGGATTGATCCTGTTCCCCAAAGATCATCACACGGTGAGGTGACATGAAGTGTAAGGAATGGTCACAAAAAAGGCTAAACTAGCCAAGAAAAAAAAAAAAAAAGAAAAAGCGCAAAAGGTTTTGTTTCTTTGGCTTTGATAGAAAATTAATAAAAGATCGGTTTACCCCGAAATACTTCCGTTTCAAAAATTCCGTGACTACTATATGATCCCGTGCCTTATAATGATGTATAGCGTTGAGCTAGCTAAAGGTATGTCAGTTGGTACGTTTTATAGCGTAAAGTACCGACGATAACTTTTTTTTTTTTTTCCCTAATGCAGTACTGGAAATGCCGATCCAGAACTCCAAACAAAAAAAAAAAAAAAAAAAAAAAAAAAAAAAAAAAAAAAAACTTAGTTGTTGTTATCGCTTTGCACGCCCTCTTTGTCTCTTTGGCTCCGGCTCTGAGTGCAAGTGATGCTCATTAGATGCTTCTCTAAAACAAAGCGAGTGCCACCTTGCATCCACGTCTCCGGGGGGCCAACTCGACGGTCCAAGTCATGGGCGGATGCTTAGCTAACAGTTCTGGCGATGCGGATCTGATAACGTGCTTGACGTGCAACCCATGCCGCACTAACTACGACGCCAGGACTGGGGCTTTGGCTTGTGATGCGCATCCGTGCTGAAAGTTGCCACTCGAGCTTTGGGACCCTGGGCCTTTGGGTTAGCCATTTCTTTTCCCCGCATCGACGGATGTAATCCGCCGGCAGCCAATCATGGACCAAGCCACGGCGTACGCGAATCGGAGAGCTCGGATTAACTGGCAAAAATTGAGGTCGAGGTGAGCGATTGGCGAGCTGGGGCTGGGCTGGCTGGGCCGGCTGGGCTGGGCCGACTTTCTTTCCCCAGGGTTCGATGTCCGTCGCAGCGCAGTGGAAAGTTACTCGTAGTCGTAGTACAGACCAGACCGTCAGTCCAGCGGAGGAGCCCAGAGTTGCAGACGTAACTAGACGCTTGACGGTTGGCGCTGTCGTACGACATCATTTGTGTCCGAGGTTGCCCTGCGGTCGAGTAGAGGAGGCCAACCTGGACGCTGCATCGTCCTCGATTGCTGGCTTGCTGTTACATCGAACGCATCCCGGCGACTGCTGAATCACCCCATCAGCTCTCCTCGCCGACCATCTTCGGTCCATCTCGTACGATTCCGCCAAACCTCTGTCGCCCTGTCATGTCTCAGCACGCAGCCCGACTGTAATCGACTGCGACCGACGAGTCCTCTGCATTGACACGGCCCAGTTCATCCAAAAGAGGGGACGCCTCTCATGTATTCATACCCTTCTCGACTTCGTTAGCACGACGGATATCCCCATTTGACATTCATCACGAACCTCGAGACCACGAGTCCTCCCTTCCCATCCGCCACGCGAGGCCGCACCGCCGCCGAACGACAACCGCCACCATGGTTCTCACGCACACGACCAACCACAGCTACTCGCACCCCTTCCCGACCGTCACCCTCGCCTTCTTCCTCCGCTACTACTCGCCCCAGCTCAACCCCTTCTCCGCCCACGTGCTCTCCACCGACACCATCGCCTCCCATGTCGACCCGGACACCGGCCGCCTGCACACGACACGCCTCCACCTGAAGCGGTCGAGGATGCCCGCGGCCGTCGTAAAGCTGCTGCCGACGTCCATCACCGGCGGCGGCGGCGACAAGTCGAGCTTCGTGCTCGAGGAGAGCGTCGTCGACATCAACGAGGGCTGGATGACGACACAGAGCCGCAACCTCAACTTCACCGGTGTCCTCAGCGTCACCGAGCAGCAGCACTACTCGGTGACGCCGCCGGCCCAGCCAGGAGTTGAAGTGTCGCCGCTCTCGCCTAGTCTACCCCGATCCATGCCAACCAATACCTACGTCACCACGACTTTTTCCTACCGCTCAAGCCTCGGTAGTCGGAAGGAGAAGGCGGCCGCCGAGTCCGAGGACGCTCCTCCACGGAGGTTCGGCAGCTGGGTTACAGGCTGGGGTGCCAAGCGCATCCAGGGAAGCATCGAGTCCATCGCCTCCAACAAGACCGAAGACCAGCTTTCCAAGTCGCGAGACGGCATGCGCTTGGTTCTAGAGCGCCTACGCACCAACGGCGTCGTTGCGACCCTGAGGGAGCTGCGGAGAAGAGAAGGAAAGGCCATGTTTGATGCCTGAGTGTCTTCTAAGCACCATGGAAAGGAAAGTGTCCAAAGCAGTTTTGCATCGGCGGGCAATGCCGTCTTCCGTTCTCATCTTTTGTTTGCCTACATTTATTCTTCAGCGAATTCGGCATGCTGTGCAAGGACCTGGGAAGGATAAGGAGAAGCATGCCGCCAAGGACACATCGGCGCGGTACGAGAAGTACGCAGGCCTGGGGGGGAATGGCCTCTACTGCAGTGCGGGACCATCCGCTGTATCATCATCTTTATTTCAAAGTCATTCACGAATCAGCCGGGCGTTGGGGATTGGAAAGCCAGTTTTGGTTCAGGACAGCATGGCCTCGAAGGGCCATGGAATAAAATTGACGTCGTGGAGGAGGGGAAGGGGAGGATTTCCGGCGAGGGGGATGCCGGCTGGCGGCGACTATCCGCAAAGTCTCCTCTCATGTACACATATGACGTTTTGACAATCATGTACCGCGGATAGCAAAAGGGCCTACTGGACATGGAATGAAATAGTGTAATCATATCCCGATATGAGTTTTGTTGTCATGACGAAATCGTTGTGAGCCTCCATAACACCTCGGATTCCTGTCGTGGCACTTGACCAAGCAGCAACACACCACGGTATCACTCCGGCTGCACGCCCCACGATCTCCCGTGAATATAACTCGATCCTGTGAGTAAGCATGGATCGACAGCATATACCTGTTTGAGATCACAGACCGGTTCCATTCTGCCCGAGACCACCCGTACAGCTAGAAACGTGACCAGCTGCTATTCGTGCCTAATTGTATTCAGTGCATAGGCATCCATATTGAAACTGCTCTGTCTAGGCACCACTATTTCATTCGTCGACTTTAATTACATGCACGTAACGATACTATCTCAAGGCTCACTCATGGATGGTTTTGAGTTTCACTCAATGTTCTCACTTTTCGTGTCCTACTCGCTGATTGATTCGTTTATGAGACCATCGAGTCGCATCTCAATAGGGCAGTCATACAATATTGACCTAGACCTTCACAAGCAACTCGGGCCTTGTAATTAAATCCTCAGTCGTCTGAAAAGGGGGACCGGGGAGCTGAAGAGGTGGAACGGAACAATGGCCAGACCACAAAGGCACTGGAGAAAGACCCGGCAACGTCATTTGTTTTAGGACAAACTTGGCGCTAAAGTACGTGGACGCAGGTGGCTGTCCCACCCAATTTGGCGGGGATTAACACCAAAACACCAAATTTCACCCCTCGGACACCAAAATTCGCCACGTGAATACCGCGCCGCCTTTCACCTCTAATGCTGACCGAAAAAGACATCGGATCCCCGCGGACCAAGTTTCAAATCGCAAAGGACGTGTAGACACCGTCTTTCTTCGCTATGCTGTCACCGATAGAAGCTAAATATCACGATGATGCTCTGGATGTAAGTGCAAGCTCCGCGGTTTATTCCCTCACCCAACTCACCACTTGCAGTTGGCAAGCGAGTCGACTTACAGCACGGGGCCCGAGTCGCCTCAAGCCGACGATCAATATGAAGCAGCAGGTGATGTAGATGAAGAAACCACGGAACACGGGCGTACCAACGCTACCTTCGCCTTCGTGGACCCCGACGAGAAGAATAAATGGAAGTAAGTTCATGCCTCTCTTTCTACAACCCCCCAGACACCGTCCCAACACGATTAATGAAGCCTGGACTGATAGATGTACCTAACTTGGTAGACGCGGCAGCCATAAGACCGGGAACTTCATATGTCCCGAGTGCGGCAAGGGCCTCTCCCGCGTCGACGCTCTGAGCCGGCACCGGCGGACGCGCCACCGCGTAGGGATGCAGTATTTCTGCCGGCAATCCTCGTGCCAGAGGGCGCTGTGGGGGTTCGGGCGTTTCGACAACTACAGGCGGCACATGGAGACCGCGCATAACATAATGATCGGCCCCAACGACATGCAGGAGCGCCACGTCGCCCAGCGTGATCTCAGCAAGGTCCCCCGGCCGCCGCGGAAGCGGAAAGGGGTCCCGCGATTCCCCCCTGAGCCGGACCATTTGTATGCTCAGAGTGCCGAGCTGTCACGAAGTCATGAAGATTACCTGCCCCCCGCTCCGCCGACGGTGGCTCCTACACCCGCTGCCGTCCTTAGCACGCCAGGGCCGGTCGATGCCATCTTCGACACGCTGAGCCGCGAGGAATTGGTGTGGAGACTACGGGCCAAGATCAAGGAGTGCGACGGGCTGCAGGAGCAGACGCGTATTCTCAGGATGGAGCGGGACGAGTACATCGAAGCATTGAAGATATCCGAGGAACTGAGAGGGGCGCGATCCATGTAATGATAAACTTATGCGACCACGAAGCGCTGAGAGCGCATGCTGCCATATGTGCGACTGGCTAAATTATGTATTAAAAGCGACAAAGGAAGCTGGCTTTCGCTTTGTCTTCAGCATTACCTCCTGATGGAACTTCAATCTCGGCATCTATTTATACAACAGTAACACGGACACCTTTGCTGTCATCGTGCGACAGCGGCACGAACATGTCGTGATCATACTTGACATCGATCTCCGTGGTCTCGAATAGGCGCATTTGCGGCAGGACCCGCAGCGTCAATGCCGTCAGTGAGAGGTAGAGTTCGCAGAACGCAAGGCTGTGTATACGTTAGCACATGAATAAGCGGATCGGCCAGGTATCGTTGGTTATGACTTACTTCATGCCGAGACACGCACGGCTTCCCTTCGAGAACGACAGCATGCATCTCTCCAGCTCCTTCTTCCGCTGCATCTGCTCGTCCAACCACCGTTCAGGGATAAAGGAGTGCGAGTCCGGCCAGACACTCTCGTCGTGGTGGCTGATGCTGGACGACATGCCGATGGCGTAGCCCCGAGGGATCACGTACTCGACGTCGACGGGCGCCTTGCTGCCCACCGGTGTCCACTGACCGCGGTAGAGCAGGTCCTCCTCGGTGGGGACACGTGAGGTACGTGCCGAGACTCCGTAGGAGAGGCGCAGGCCCTCCTGGATAACGGCGCCGAGGTACGGCAGCTTCTCGAGCGTGGTCCAGGTGGGCAGCTTCAACGGGTCGTCAACCACGGAGCGCAGCTCGGCCGTCAGCTTCTCCAGCAGCTTAGGCTGTGTCAGGAGGTGGTACGTGATGACGGAGAGGGTCCAGCTGGTGGTCTCGGTGCCGGCTCCGAGGACGGCCGATGCCTCGTCAGTGAGGCGGGCAAGCGACTTTTCATGGGCCGGCATGTCGGACTCGAGAAGCGAGCCAAAGACCGTGGGCCGCTCGCGGATGATGCCGGCATTTTGGTCGGCTTTGCTACTCTTCACCTGGTTCGGAATGTCCGTCTGCAAAGTCTTGATCAGGAGGGCCATGTCTTCGGACATGAAACGCGTCAACCTGAGCAGCCTTGTTAGCCTGGCCGACCTATCCGTTTTCACCGCCAACTGCACAAAGAGGCACCACCATCCGCACAAAGGGCAGAATATACAAAGGGAACTTACCAAGGGGCAGCCATGGATGCGTGCTTCAGGAACGGGAAATACCGGAACACATAGACAGTCTGCAAGAACGCATACAGGGCCGCGCGGTAGTTGGGCTCCCAGCTTTCCTGGGCCAGGAACCCGAAGCTCTCACCAAAGCAGTAGTCCGAGATGGCATCGGAGGTAAAGCACGAGTATGCCATGGTCACGTCGATTGGCTTGCCCTGTCCGCTTTCTTTCAGGAGCTTGTCGCACAGCCGCTGGACCAGCGCGTGGATCTCGGGCTCCAGCTTCGAAATTTGGCCACGGGCAAAGAATTTGGCCAGCGGGCCGCGGCGGAGGCGGTGCAAGTCGTGATCATAAGTCGCAAAACCCGAATGCTCCATGCTGGTGCCTGCGTTAGTAGTCTGCGCTTGGCGTATGCATACATGGTGTCTGTCTTACGCGGAACCGCTGACTTGGTGGCGCGGCTTATCTCGCTTTCTGCCGCCGACAGCGTAGACCTCATCGATGAAGTTGCTGTCGGCACAATGCACCTCATGAGGGTTGATTCTTACTATTGGGCCTATCACCTGTGTCAGCTCTGAAGGGTTCATTGGTGTAGTGAGCCGGCTCGGGAGTGTATACATACCATACTTTTCGTGCATCTTTTGGATCTGCTGCGTGTAGCGCCCAAACTTGACGGTGTCGTACCAGAACTCGGGCAAGTACGTCGCGGCCGCCAGCTTCGGGCCGGGGATGCGGCTCAGCGGGTGCATGGGCGAGACATTCCATGCGGCACGGAGGAGCTGGTACGCCAGCCACGCGCCGACCAGGATGAGAGCGTTCCGGGCGGTCAGCTGCTCTGACACGGACGCCGGCAGGGCATCTGTCAAGGCCATGGTGATAACGGCAGTGGATTGTCGCACAGTCCCAGAGCCTAGAGATTTGGCAAAGTTTCGGTGAGCCGGCTCGGAACTCGCTGAGGTCACTGAGCGAAAATGCTCAGCAGCAGCCCAGACGTAGAAGCGAGGTTTTACGTCACAAGCGAGCGAAGCTACAGGAGCTTGCTGACAGCCAGGGGACGTGAAATCAGATATGAACTAAGTCAACGAGGCAATGCCGGAAGCCATGATAGAATGCAGCCTCGGAGAAATACACAGGGAATAACGAGATGCTGACTTTTCGCGGCTCGTTAATAGGACCGGAAATAGACAAGTTCAGCGGCTGTCTCCGTCAACCTTGCCCGAACGGTATCAAGGTTGAACCCAGGACATTTGATAGGCAGCGACCGTTTCCTGTCAAGAGAATGGCGTCTGCAGCCAAGCAACAAGGGCAAGTGGTGCCGTTTCTGCAGCGGAAGCAAGGCCGCATCGGGCGGAGCGACACTCCTCTTACACAGTCGCGGGAACGTCTCCGCATGGGTTTGGACAAGGATATATGGTAAAAGCCGTTGAGGCGGCTCCGCTGCCTTGGCTGCGAAGTCGCGTGGGAACTAGGATTTCTGGTTTCGAGTAAAGCAGCTCAAGGCAATCAATTCCGTAATTATGGCTTCGGCCCCTGGTCTAGGTCCTTGAAAGTGGAGGGACGGGGTCCATCTGACAGCTGGGCCGGAGTGGAGTATAAATATACGCGCCTGAGCCAATCTGCAGCCTCAAACCAAGCTTCAACGCTAGCGGTGATGAAGGGGCCACGCTTGGGAGGCGGTCTGATTGGCGGCCGACGTCAAGCTGTGGCAATCAACAAGCTTGTTTGATCAATGTCGTGGTGGAGCGAGGCGGAGGCCGTTGCCAGCAGCGTGGCAATTCCATGAGTCTTCTTTTGCTTCTTGGGGAGATCGTCATGAAGATCTCCAACGTCTGTGATTTCGGTTGTCAGCCGGCTGGGGCCGGTGAGCTCCAGGGGTTGGACCACTGGTTATTCATTTGATTCCCTGTATACTTTCCCCCATTCCGCGTCACAGAGTGGACTGGGTGATATGGACACAATCCATACAAGGTGACTGAAACCAGTCCTCAAGACAACCAAACGGCGTCAGTGAATGGTTCGGAGCACATCATACTTCAGTCGCTACGACTCAAGACTATACCCCATGGCTTCATGTCGGGCGACGTTGACAATCGCCACCAGATCTTCGAGCACAAATGGCTAGAATTGGCTGCATGCTAGTGGCCAAGTGCCCACCACTACTAACGCGGCTCTTGGACAAGAAACGCCGACATCAGGTGCAAGCTAGGGCAAGGGGTTTCCCGCACGCCTGCTGTATAAGAAAATAGACCTCTCTCCGCTTCGCTAGTCGCTTAGCGACACCCGCGATCCGGATCCAGTAGAAACCCTGCCTTTGTATTTGTTCAAATTTTCTTGGGAAAGGGAACCTCGTCTGCACAGCTGCCAGCGACGTGGTTTAAATCCCAGATCCCGGGTCCTTAGTAACCTACTCTCGAGGCCCGTCCAACTCTTCCTATGTATACGACAGCGAGATGATAATGGCCCGAGGACGGACCAGCCCATACTGAATTCACTTTTCAATCTTCTGGAGCTTCGGATCTGCTGCCTACCCTCGCACATCACCGACTGCCCTGTTCCCTGTTCAACTATATGAACAGGTACTGTTCAGCAACAACCGTCAACGACCGCACCATTATATGGGCATGAATTTGGAGTTGGACGTCCACGGTGCGCTTTACGGAATTTTGTGATCGGACGCTGACGAGACCATGAACGACATCATTGACCCCAGCGCACGGCAGGTCCAGCCGGAAGGGCTTTCGCTGGCCATCGTCGTAGTGTCGCTATTGTGTCTGTTTTTCTCAATTTTGGCGGTTGCTGGGAGGACATACGTGCGTTTGGACGATGGGCTGTTTGGGCTCGACGATGGACTCGTAGTAATCGGAACGGTAAGTTTACCAGTCCTTATGGCGTGTTTACAATCACAAGAATCCTTTAGCTAATGTTCTGGGACCGGTAGCTCGCATACGCTGCGGATGTCGGCATTGCCGTGTACGCCGCCCACGTGGGCGTCGGCACTGTGAACGCCAAGCTCAACGCCTGGATGATGGAAGAAGCACCCAAGTTCTTCACCGTGTGGATCCTTGTCTATGTCATCAGCCTCGCCACACTGAAGTCGTCGATTTGTGTCACATTGCTGAGGATAGGCAGCGCCAAGGATTCCCTCCGCATTGCTGTTCGGGTGCTGCTCGCTATCACCTGGGCCTCGTTCACAGTCACATTTGTGGGCGTTCTACTCTATTGCCGGCCGATCGAGGCCAACTGGGATGTGAGCCTGATTCTCGAGGGCAAGGGCAGCTGTGCGGACACGAAGGTCATGATTGGACTTAGTCACACGGCAACGGCGAGCACGCTTCTCACCGACCTAGGGTGTGTGGTATTGCCCGGCATGATATTGTGGAATATCCAGATGGAGAGGCGGGCAAAGCTTAGTGTCTTTGCGCTGTTAAGTTTTGCTAGCCTGTGAGTTACTCTGAGGCGAAGAATAGGCAAGAGAGAAGATGTACGGAACTGACTGATACCTAGGGCGTCTATCATGACGATTTGCCGCGCACCGTTTATCTCGCATTACGCAACACCCCAAGAAGACCTGATGTGTAAGTCTCCAATCGTCTTTACCCTGGGCATTCCTTCGTCAGCCGTCAGTCCTCTCTATCTCCGAAGTCCTCGTTTTGCTAACAAGCACTCGTGTCAACAGACTGGGTAGGGCATATCGTCCTCTTCTCAACTATTGAAACAGCGATTGCCTGCATTGCCTCATCGGTCCCAATGATCCGACTATTCTTCGTGCGCACCAGAGCGCCGGGCCTGTCGGGAGGCAAATCGCCGGAGCCGTTCAACGCCTCGAGTTCCATCATTACATTCGGCAGCATGCCCCTGGACCGAGTCGGCAAGTCCAAGGGGATGTTCCGGAATCCGACGGACCAGGGCCGCAGCTACGCGTCGGTCCACGCCAAGGGCGACTGGGAGAGGCTGCAGGACGCCGCCAGCGACAAGGACCTGTTGGAGGATCACGGCAGCTCTAAGCAGGCGAAGGGGATCCGGGCCGACTACACGTATTCCGTGGAGCTGAGTCACAGTCCGAAGCATGCGACAGGTTTCCTCGACGGAAATGGAAAATAGAAGGTCTTTCTCACGCGAGGTACACGCTCACTTACGACACATATATACCCCTGATATTCATGGTTGCTAGTCCCGTATCATAAAGCGAACACTGAGACATAAAGCAAGACAGTTGATAATCGGTTGTCCGTATTGAGATTGATCCGAATCTGAGTCGAGTGGGGCCACGACCTAGTAGGCGAAAACATGCGGAAACTTAACATAACAGCCCTTGCCCCGTTGCTAAAGAGATCACCTGCCTACAGTATAAAGTCACGGGAAAGAGCTCCTGTGATGCATTAGTATGGATCTAGGGTCACCTTCGGACAAAGCCCACTCGTGCGATATACTCTGTTGAATGATCGTCCATTCGTTAGGTGTTGCTAATCTGGTCATGCCAATATCCATGCTGCAGAACCATCGTAATGGAAAATACTGAAGTTGGTCGTGGAAGGAACATAGCATCTCGGAATTATAATAGTACATGAATTTTGGAAAGTACTGTATAACAATCACGTGCTCGCATCATCCAGGAAATATCGAATCTAAGAATAATGCAAGACACCTCCCTCCGACTGCAATGTTGAACGATTCCAAGGATAGAATTAGCATTCCACCACCCATCAACAACATTCCTTAGAGATTGTTGCTATGATGTCGTTGAGTGAAACATAACCACTATGAACAAAGATCTTCTTGTCACATCTACAGTCCACCATCTTCTTCCTTCCTTGCTCAACGTGGGTTCTGGAAGCTATTCTACCATCGCCCTCAGGAGGGCCAACATCGGTTACCATCAAGTGGGAACTACTAGAGATACCGGCAACCCACAGGCGTGGCTGTCTCCATCATGGACGACGACCAAATCGCGTGCTTTTCGCGGGTGGCGAAGGTTGCCAATACCAAAGACCTGACATATGATACTACGCCTATGCCAGCAAAACGGTTGAATCCTATTCTGAATACCATAGGAGGCCCGGTCAGGGGCCTGAGCTACCTCCAATTCGAGAGAACACGAGGTGCGATTGCGCTTAGTCTCCAATATGCAGTCAGCTATCTGCGGAACCAACTGGATGACCCGACTATGGTCTCGTCCCCGTGCCCTGATAACATCAACTGGTTCTTTTACCCTGACCTCGACAACTTCATAGAGGGAACACAGTGGCTTGATCCCGTCATGGAGGAAACAGGTGATGGGGAGAAGCGATTCTTTACACACCCCGCTTTTGTGAGCTTCAGGACTCGGCCAATATCGATCTGGGTCATCCGCATGGGCCCCAATGAGACCGACGAGGAAGACATCCGTGCTGACCGTGATGCTCACTGGGCAGTCCTCATATCCTATAACGAGGATCTCAAGGAGCCGGTATTCGTTCCGCGCGGACGCTATTGTCGGATTGACGCCACTCTGGACCCTCACAGGGACCGCTACTACGACAGGAAGGTCTTTTGTGTCCAGTTCTTTGATCCTCTCGACGGGCCCGCTGAGGACCGTTCGGCGCGGTACAACAAGGTGGCCAACTTCTTTAACCAGCTATGCATCCGTGCTGGCACCATACTTCCAGAGGAGAGGGGCACATGGCGGTTCTCACACCACCCCACCGTCACCGAGGAATGGGAGACGGGCTACTGCTGCTACGCCATCATCCAGCAGTACATGCGCCGGGTGCAGCTGCTGCGCACCTACGGCGACTACGGCAAGGGGCAGGCGGACAGCGACTTCTGGAGGCGGATCATGTGGGCCAACTACGACGGCATGCCGCACGTGGATGCCTGCCGCGAGTCCATGATGGCCGGCTGTGCCTGTCGCGCCATAGCCATGTCGGGATTCAAGGCCAGGCTCGCGGTGGAGCTGCCCGGGAGGACGACGACGCATCGCCCCGAGCTGCTGGACCCTCTGCACGGCCCCGGGGTTGATATCGGTCGTCCCCAGGATCCGGAAGAGGAGACGTTGGCAGAGATGATTCAGATTTACCCCAAAGACTACTGAAGGGTGGGGCTTCGATTCCGTAGGGTGTCGTCGACGGGCCGCGACAGTTGCTTGAGACGCATCACGGCTGCGCGCCTACTTAGCAGTTTCATATCCCGTCATTTTTGGTTTAAGGACAGCGGCAAGGCACCAAGAATGGGTACTTTTTGGGCTCCAATACAAGATTCTCGATTTAGTTGATATATTTTCATTGCGTGTCACAACGTATGGAGTCGCCGCGTCGATTTTGTCTGTGCATGCAGCCCGAGGATGGCAGTGGCTTGGAGAGCCTGACCCAGTTACGACAACGAGGAATGGAGATCGCGCACGGAAGCCTAGAGAAACATCGAACTCCTGCTAACACCGACGATCGACCTAAGCTACGTACAAAGTGGCAGTCCAACCGCGAATGCCGGACACGAGGGGTCTAATCAGATCAAACTTGCGTCTAAGCTGCAGTAGTGCTAGGGGACGGGTGTCGCCGACGGTAATCGTAGCGTGCGGCACACACGGGGACCATCTTGGAGTGCCCAATCAACAGTTTCTTTCGCATCCTGTGCGGCTGAGAGCCGTTTGCAACAAAAGGGAGGCAACCGATTTGTTTGTCACCAAAGCTTGTTTGGGCTGCCAAGGCCTTTAGGCCAAAGGGAGGTCGCAATTGGAATTGAGGCTGGAATTCCAGAGACGGTTCCTGCATGGCGAACGTCGCAGTGCCAAGGGTTCGGGGGCCGTTTGCCTCAGCTGTCAACCCGAGTTCAGACCCAAATGCGACTCTAGACTGACCCGACGCGTGGGTGGTGATCGTGCTAGTAGTATCTGTGGTCGCCACGGCGAGTATATCATAATTCTTTGTAGACTTGGCTAAAGCTTCGTAGATTACAGCTCGTATCAAACTCTATCTCCGCTGCAGCTTGCCGCTGCCAAACTCTGTCCGACGCAGCACAAGACCACAGCCCGTGGATACGTGTAGCAAGATTGCGCAGGCCTCGCTTGATGCGATATAGAACTCAAAACCATATGGCAACACTGGAGTCCAGGGGTTTACCTAGTATCATTGCGCATACCCCGCAGACATGCGCCAATGCGCCGCCCGCCATGCGAAAACCCTGCGACGTTGGTGAGTAGGTAGCAGGTCTTATTGTCTGTTGTGGCCCTTTGGCATGGAATCTACAGATATGAAGGTATGGCGGTCATCCCCCCCTCCTTCATACGTATCGCCGGGCTGCCAAGTACGGACAAAGAACCGATTGTCTGGACTGGAGAAGAAAGAAAAGCTTGTCCACGTCTACCGTGGACGAACGACTACAGGGAACCCCTTACCTGTCTGTGGCGTCATGAGCTGGACATGAGCCTATCAGTCTGCGCCAGCACGAGAGACAACTGCCCAGATAGGTAGGTCGGGTGCGCAATCCGCGGTCTAGTCGTGAGGCTAGGCTCGGGCGAGCTCAAGTGCCCGCATGTCCCAATCTCGGTCCTCGCTGCACTCCTTGCACTCCGTCATTAATGCTATTCGCCAAATCTCAACGTCGTCACCCGATGTAATGCTGCGAGGTAATGCTGCCAGGTAATGCTGCCAGGTAATGGTACCCGGTTGCTGGCCCTGTCTGCCCCAGATCGAACCCCTGCCGCCTTCTGCCGTTGAGGCTTATCAATTGGCTCGCCGCGCAGCTGTGAGGTCGCAGTCCGCGTCATATAACATGGCCTCCCGCCGGCGGTCTGCCGGTTCCCACGGCACCAGCTTTCTTGATTCGATCTGAGAGTTGAGAGCTACCCGTGAGCTTCAGGTTGCCCGTGAAAGGAGTCTCTGTAGCATTGCACTGTAACAACACAGCTGAGCAGTGAAGACGACAGCCAAGATGCACTGGTCCACGCTCGCCTCGGGTCTGCTGTCAGTCGCAGCTCTGGTGGAGGGTCGGAGGAGCTTGCAGCACGTGGGGAGGAAGGCCTCGATACCGACTCCGGCCGGCGATAACTACGTGTCGCAATACCTGGCAAGCAGGCAAACGGTAGAGCACAAGTTCCTGAACGACAATACCACCAGTAAGCCGACATCTACGTTTCTTGAAGGCTCATGACTGACCCATGGCCCAGAATATGCCGTCAATGGCACAGGCATCCCTGACGTCGACTTTGACGTTGGCGAGTCGTATGCTGGGCTTCTCTCCATCACTGACGACCCGGACGCGGCCGAGAAGCTCTACTTCTGGTTCTTCCCCTCGGAGAATGAGAAGGCTGACAAGGAGATCCTGCTTTGGCTCAACGGCGGTGTAAGTTGATCCGTCGGTTGTGGTGCAACTAGTACTGACGACTATGCAGCCAGGCTGTTCCTCACTGGAGGGTCTGATTCAGGAGAATGGACCGTTCCTGTGGCAGTATGGTACATTCAAGCCGGTGCCCAACCCGTGGAGTTGGCACCGCCTCACCAACATTGTCTACATCGAACAGCCTATCGGCACTGGCTTCTCGCAGGGCAACGTCACAGCGACCAACGAAGAAGATGTTGCCAAGCAGTTCATGGGCTTCTGGAAGAATTTCATCGATCTGTTCTCCATGCAGGGCTACAAGGTCTACATCGCTGGCGAGTCCTACGCAGGCATGTACTGCCCGTACATTGGCTCTGCCATGCTTGACGCCGAGGACACAACCTACTTCAACGTGTCGGGTCTGATGATCTATGACCCCGTGCTGATGGATGGCAATGTCCAGACCAGCTACGTCACTGTCCCCTTCGTGGATTACCACACCAACCTGCTGCCATTCAACGATTCGTTCAGCGCCCAGATTCACGAGAAGCACCAATCCTGTGGCTTCGAGGACTTCACCGCAACGTATCTGCAGTATCCTCCTCCAGGACCCCAGCCTCCTTCCAACGTCTCCGATGAGTGTGCAAACCTCTGGTACGATGTCTACGGCGCGGCCTTCTCGGTGAACCCCTGCTTCGACGTCTACCAGGTCGCAACCACCTGTCCCCTGCTGTGGGACATTCTCGGATTCCCCGGCTCTCTGTTCTACGTCCCCGAGGGAGCCGACATCTACTTCAACCGCACCGACGTCCAGCAGGCCATCAATGCGCCAGTGGGTACTTGGGAGGAGTGTGCCTCCAATAATGTCTTTGTCGACGGCCAGGACACCTCGGACCCCAGCGGCTACAAGGTGCTGCCCAATGTCATCGACAAGACCCAGAACGTCATCATCGGCCACGGCATCCTCGACATGATCCTGCTGGCCAACGGCACCCTGCTCTCCATCCAGAACATGACCTTTGGCGGCAAGCTAGGCTTCGAGAAGACGCCCATCGAGCCCTTCTACGTGCCCTACCATGCCCTCAGCACCGCCGACACCATTGGCGAGGAGTCGGACCCGCAGCGCCTGGCTACGATGGCGGCGGCTGGCGTTATGGGTGTCGCGCACACCGAGCGCGGTCTGACCTATGTCTCGGTAGACATCAGTGGACACATGGTGCCGCAATACGCGCCCAGCGCCGCTTTCCGGCAGCTCGAGTTCCTGCTGGGGCGCGTCAGCAGCCTGAGCGACACGACCCCTTTCGAGACGGAACCCGAGGCCCCCCAGTCCACGGAGCCTCTGGGTAACGGCACGGGCCCGGCGACGTTCTATTGATCACGGCGTGGTATGGATGACACAAGGAGCCTGACTACGAGGTGCAATGGTGCTGGTATGACCATGGTGACCTCATTAGGGCATCGCTGATCGTAGTTGCGTCCGTCAGACTTATCTACCAGCTGCGAGACGATGGGAGAATGATCTTGCGCGCGCTCTCTTCTGGTATGAGGACACGGTGACGACGACCATTAAACATACAAGATTAGCATATAGACATACCAATTGGTTTAGATGACTACAATACAATGTAATGTATAAAAAACAACAGCAACCGGTAAAATCACTTGGTCGTGGGTACAGCAGATTGATAGTCTACCAGGCCCCGTGGTCTAAAGGACGGCTCCATGGTGTTGGAATGACTGCCTTTTCATAATATTTCCGTGGCGAAAGCCTACTTGGCTCACTGCCGTCGCTATGCATTTCTATCATCTAGTTTGCCTTAAACAGCATCGTCTATATAGTACAGTGATATGATGAGTACAAGATGGTACAGTTACGCGCTATTTCGTCACCGGTATCTCGGCCACAGGTGTGTGATCGAATAGCGTTTCGGGCCTTAGTTGTGGGAGTCCGTCTCGAACCGTACCCATTTCTCGAATTCTACGAGACGTTGAACGGCACATTCCTATCACGTTGCCCTCTCTATTTTCTACCCCTTTTGCCGTTTTTGCCACCAGACTCTGCCTCGGCCGCCTTGGCCTCCTCCTCGGCCACCAGGGCCCTGATGTCGCGGGCGACCAGCCAGTCCTTGGCGCTGGCCATGAGGCGGTCGAGCATCTCGCCGCCCTCGAGCACGTTGGGCAGGTTGTGGACGTCGACGCCGCTACGGTGGTCGGTGCAGCGGTCCTGCTGGTAGTTGTAGGTGCGGATCTTGTCACCGCGCGTGATGCGCTCGCGGCTGAGCACCGTGTTGCGCAGCGAGGCGGCGGCCTCCTCGCGGGCCTCGCGGCGCTGCTCGGCGACGCGCGACCGCAGCAGCTTCCAGGCGTCCTCGCGGTTGCGGTGCTGCGACCGCGAGTCCTGGATCGAGACCACGGTGCCCGTCGGCACGTGCGTCAGGCGGATGGCGCTCTCGGTCTTGTTGACGTGCTGGCCGCCGGCGCCGCCGGCGCGCATCTTCTCGGACCGCACCTCCTTGGGGTCGATGTAGAAGTCGCTGCTCGGGTCGTTGAAGTCGTTCTCCATCTCGGTGCTCAGCGTCTCGGGGAAGCTGGGCAGCACCCACACGGCCACGGCGCTCGTGTGCGTGCGGCCCTTGGCCTCGGTGCTGGGCACGCGCTGCACGCGGTGCATGCCCGCCTCGCCGCGGAACATGTCGTACGCGCCCGTGTCCATGATCTCCAGCACCGCTTCCGCGATGGGGACCTCGTTGCCGGCGCCGCCTTGCGCCTCAGGCCCGTCCAGCGTCTCGTACTTGACAACGTTCACCCGCAGGCCGACCCGGGCGCAATAGGCTCGGTACATTTTGAACACGGCATCCGCGAAGTAGCGCCCCTCCTGGCCACCGGGACCTGGGCGGATCTCGACCAGGCAGGGCAGCTCGGCGAAGGGGTCGCGTGGGGTGAGCGATGCGCTCAGGGCTGTCGAGAGGGTCTCGACTTGTGCGTGTGTCGAGGCGAGCTCGTCGTGAGCGAGGGCGCGCAGCTCCGGGTCGGCTTCCGAGTCCGGGGACGAGAGCATCGAAACCAGCTCGGCGATGGACGACTGCGCCGCCTCCCACTCGGCCAGGGCGGTCGCCACGCGGCTGAGCTCGCCGAGCCGCTTGGCTGCTTTGGGATCGAAAGAGTCGGCCAGGGCAGCCTGGAGCTCTGCATGCTCGGCCGCCATGCCGCGGGCGCGTTGGAGCAGCGCGGGTGGGAGGTTGGACGCCGCGGCGGCACCGTTGCTACTGTCGGTGCCGGCATACCGGGCCAGCTGGAGCTGCTGCAACGGGCGCTGCAGCGGACGACGGAGCGGCTTCGTTGCGTGTGCTGGACGTGCCGGGCGTATCGGTGAACGGGTCAGCGCCAGTGTGCAGCGCCGGCACACCCATTGCGTGGTGAACATGGCCGTGGGAGCATCGGGGTGTTTGATGGGTTTGACATTTTTCTGCGCAAGCCCGTCCGTCTGAAAGTTCGATGCCGTCTTGGGGCCGCCTGGCACTAGACCCGAGACCCGCTGTTCAGCGCCCAGCCGGGGCTAAACACCCCCGAAGCTGGAAGGACATCGGTGGGGCAGATCAAGGCAATCAACTGAAGTTACCTACCTATAGGTAAGTATGTTCGACACAGTACTCGACAACACCTCTGTACGTCTGAAATAATATGTTCCCAGGCACTATCCCAGGCACTATCCCAGGCACTAAGAGCCTCTGGAAGCCAGTGAATTTTTTCTATTAGACATTCGTAGGTAGCAGTGCATTCCTCGTAGGACCTGTTTAGCACAGGGACCCGAATTGTTCGCGCAGACTGGGTTGGCATGTCGTCCTCCCCGTGCGGCGAGAACACTGGCTCCTCATATAGTTGTTCCAGTTTCATTCACCACCATTCTTTCCAGGCTACGGACAAGATAACAGCAATTAGAAGCAAGCTGCGTCGCACCTTGCCATTCTCGGTGTGTCTCAAGGTGTACCTATTCGCTTCCCAGTTGGATTTGGCAGACGAGTGGGGATTCTAGGCATTCGGCTTGATATCTCAGAGCTCGCCAAGATGGACACACCGCCGAATACATCGGGCCTTGCCATACCTTACGACGCAAGTTCCTATTGAGAAGGCGATGACGAGTTCGATGCTGAATCGGATAGTGAGATACTGGCCTCGCATCGTGTCTACGGCAGTCAGACCAGCCAGAACAGCTTCTTCTGCACATGTAGGGACCTTCGACCTGTCGAAATTGGAAATTGCCCAACCCAGCAACGGTAGAGCTGGCCGGGCCGGCTCTTTCAGGCTGTCAGCGGCGGCTCTCGTCCTAACCTGATCATGACAGTAACTCTCAGTCGGTTCGTATCGTCGCGGGGTTGTCCATGGTTCGGAGACGCAACTGTTATCCATGTATATAGGTAATTACTACTGCGTACCGGCCACGGTCTATTAGCTGGTCTCAAGCCCACACGAACCCAACCGCATCGTCTATACAATTGTGTCAGAAGTTTCAGGCACGGAGTGAAGAAGACAGTAGTCAGGCAGCCACAATAGGGTATAATTATGATAACAACTGATATCTCCCTCTCTCTAGTTCTTGGGTGCTCGACCGCCCTTTCATCTTTGCGCCGCCGCTGCGCCCCCGTTGCTTGGCTTCCTGCGAAACGGCTACGTGTTTCTGGCTCCTCCTTGTGCTGTCCCAGCGTCGTTGCGATAATGTCGTAGCTACGGCGACAAGTTGCCTCCTGTGTCGCGTTCGTCCCCAACAGTTATGCAATACTCCTTGCACGCATTTTCTATGCGCAGCCCCCAATCAAATGGACTTGCTTTCTAGGCACCTAAGAATTATGTACAATGATCACCGCATTTCGCAGTCAGTCTTGCCTGCCTTTTGACTTGGTCAGCGAGGCAGAATCTACTGAAACTAGCCACCGTGAAAATGATGAGATGTCGAATTCACCAGCTCAGCAGGACGCCACCGGGCCAATTTACGGTCGCATTTTCTTTGATCTACGCTAGGGGCATACAATCCTGCACCTTGCGCCGTGGATATGGATCCTATCTCTGGAGCCGGAATGCAATCCACCATCCATATTCTTCAGCATTTTTTTGGTCCTGGCTACGAGAGTCCCCTTTGTCAAGGACCTGTCTAGTCAACCCATTCGGATGAACGCTACCTGGGCACCTGCAATCTTCCACTCAGCCTCGTTGACCCTACATCGCATTGTATTCGCCCTCGTGCATTCTATCAAGTCTAGACTCCCCCCCACATGTCGGTCAAGACACATTAGCTGGGTTCCTGTCATGATCCCATTCGAGTCCGTCGATCCATTGCAGAGCAGAAACTCAAGAAGTTCTGGTCTTGAGTTGCGCCAGTTTCGGTCGAGATCGATAGTCCCAAACACGATACTATCATCTGTAGTCGCACTTACAAGATATTTTGATTTTACCAGATGAGTATACCGGTTTGATGCTTCGAGAACCTCTTTAGTTCGCAGTAGCGCAACAGTCCCCTGAAAATCGAGCATGGGCCAACGAGAAAAGTGGAATATCGCAGCAGGCAGGCCCCATACGAATTCTCCCTCTGAAGTTCGTCGGCGGCCGTTCCAGCAACAGTTTGTACGGCTGTCATATTGATGCATCCACAGAGGGTCGGATCTGGCCACCTTGCATAGTAACCCAGGGTGTTTTGGTGGCCATAACATTTGAGCTGTACGCTGGGTTTTCTCGACTTTCAGGTTTTCTGGTGACCAATGTATAGCCTGTTTCCAACCAAGTCAGGACCAGCTTGGCCATTCTGACCGACGTGTAAGAGGTTGATGGTATTCGGTGTCCCAACAAAACATCTGGTCAAAGCTTGACGTCGGTAGGCCGTAATAGAATAGGTTGGGAATGTCGTCCATTTTTGCACCGAAGCACTGAATGATTCCTTGAAAGGCATTCAACAAATCCGTCTCAAAAGTGAGATCTCGAGTGGTATACTCCATGACTGCCTGGCAATAGGCTTGAAGTTGGCAACCCGGTAGAGTCAACGTCCTGAGGAGAGAAGTCTTGTTCTGAATGAAATCTCTGGTAGGGACTTTTGGATCCTTGAATACTCTTTGAAGTTGATTTTGACAGTTGAAGTACAATCCAGTGCAAGAGAAGATGACTTGCCTGCAGGATAGTACATCCTCCTGATATGTCCAACCCCTTGTGCGCCATACGGACGTTTTATATATATCATCCATCGTTCGAATATCACCTATTGACGAATCGTGAAACTCCAGCCCAGCATCGGCGTTTTTTCCGGAAGCTGCAATCAAAGTAAAAGTAGCCTTTTGGTATATCTGACGCATGCGCAGAATCTGGATGGCCTTGTCTCGACTATCATCCTGTTTGATGCAGAGGGAATCAATCCAGATATATCGCTGTTTCAAAATTCTGCAGACTGCGATAGCTTCTATTATTGTTTGGGAGGGTTGAAGGCCGTTAATGTCAAGTGCACCTTCAGTCAGGAGCTGCAAATGGGTATCGTTCGTTAGACGAAGTTGACAGGCATTGCCCCAAACATAACTCAGTGCAACAAAGGTATGCCCTGTGCTATTTTCCACAACACAATTTCGTTCAGTATCGACGAGACGAAAACTGATGTCGTCAAGAGGCCAAGAAAATCCAATGCCTGGAGCACAGAGTCTGTGTTCGATTTGGCTTGTGGTGCAGGCCTCTAAGGCTTGGTTCAGTCCGAAAGAATACTCCTTAAACTTCTGGATACACAGTGCAAGTCTTTCTGCTGCACGAGCAGATGAAAGAGGCTTCTCAAGACTCCACTCAGGAGCATCTGGCGGTGGTCTAATGTTCAGGCTTGGCCGTAGTGTATTTGGTCTGACCTCCTTGAAAGGGCACTCGAGACTTTCGTTAGGCCATAGTGCAGCGTACAATGCTCGCGCTGGAAGCCATTCATCCCATCTTCCATCGGAACTAGAAGCTGAGTCAAGTCTGCACTGATAATAATGATGTAGAACGAGATTCTTACCAGAGTTCAATTTCGACTCCCGCGAGCTGCTTCAATCTCAACAGTAACAAGGTCACTGTTAGATCGTAAGGTTTTGATGCAGTCTTAGTTGACCATTTCGCCACATATTCTCTTCCAAGAATCTGACCGGTTTTATTTGAGGCTGGTGGTATCAGAAGTGGTTCACAAGAATCGTCGTTGATCCCATTGATATCAATGCCTCTCGCTGAGTCATAGAAGACGTTATGATAAGATTGGCTCTCTATTGGAATGTCCGCGGCCTCAATGATTAGCTGTAAGTCATTATTGAGTATAGGCAGCACGGTGTCCCAGATCTGATTATCAATCACGTAATAGTAATGCGTGTAGCTGCTCATAATCAATACCAAGCCCAGATAGTTTTCCGAGAAAGTTATATTACGCACCCCATTGCGTGAATATGGTGAGGAATTACTTAATAACAATGTATAAGCCTGTTAGTGCAAGAATCATCGAAGAAAGAAATGAAGAGCCTTATCCCAGCCGGGCGGATCCCGATTTTGTACAGTGGGAAGCGTACGCAGTAGCGCAGATTGATGCCCAAACGTCTACCTCGTCGTAGCCTAAAATGCATAACGTAGACTGGAGGATACCTGCCTAAGGTATCAGTTCCATTTCAAATAGCAAACTGGGAGCCTTGCAAGGTGCACGTGACTTGCCTTAGATGGGTCGCCAAATCCGGCTAAACTAATGTCACGGTACGCACAGCGCAAGACATAGCTGTAGGCTGACAGTGCTGCTGAGCGTAGAACTGGAGATTTTTCATGGTTAATTCGAACAGTGGTACCATCTCTGTTGTGATAACTAACAGAACTCGCACCGGCGGTGTGACAATAATTAAAAAATAAATAATAATAATAAAAATTTCAATATTAAATAACAACTTAATGGTAATTGTAATGTTATATATTATTGCGGTTATAACGTCTGACAAATTAGGCGACGTCATGCGGAGGCGGTTAAGAACGGCACAAACTGTCAGACAGTATGGCCTTGATAATACGTAGCGACTTTGTGGTTAACTCGCCGGGAGTTCGCGAAGAGATGCAATTGAATGTGGTTTTCATTTCTATTTATGTGCCGTTCCAGACCTGTTGTCTCTTTCTTCCGCGGTACCTCTTAGTACGTAGTACATTTTGCCTGTCCATTAGAGAAACCATGGATTAACCTCGACAAGGCCATCTTGTCTCCACATTCCACTCATGCCGTTTAACAGAGACCCTAAACGGCACGGATGAGTCAGCTCGAAAATCGTTCCGTGTCGGTGATATTGCAGACTACCACCTAACGTAAACAGGGGCTTCTTCTCCGCTTTTGTTTGAACAAGGAGAGCATCTGGCCATCATGGAAATTGTGAATTTTCACTAACTAAGGTGCTTGGAAGTTGTATGCGTAAATAAGTTGGTCCATTGGCCCAGTAGTGCTCACCCTTCAAGGCGCTGAGTGAGACAACTCCGCCCGGGGCGCGCGATTTTACCCTATGCGGCTCTTACTTGTTGTGGCGAAAGCCTTCGATGACCTAAGCCACGAGGCTGTATTCATCCAATGTCGACTAAGTACTGGAGACGCCCCAACCCATGCATTTTGCCAAAATCTAACGTAATACAGTAGAAGAATACTCAACTGGAGCCTGTCACTATCTACAATACACCCTCTTGCAGAGACTGCCAAGCATCGGTGAGATAAATATGATATCAACTTTGGTGTCTTGAAGTTTGATCACGCCCATTGACCGCCCATAACGGCAATAAAAAGGCCAAGGCTCGCTCTATCATGCCTACGGCTCCAGTTCTGACCTAAGTTAGTGGGTGCGGCCGCCTGTGGCACTTCGCCCCACGAATACTTCCATGCCCTTCTCCGAGTAATCATGATTCATAGATGGCGGGTGGTAGCAAGAGAATGTTAGCATAGAGTCAACTTCAAAATTTCGCATCATTTATGATACGATCGAAGTCATTCTTAAGGTAGGAATGCTATCGCGGGACTTCATTTCGAGAGACTAACCAATAATCTAACAAGTTTGGGGCAAGAGGTTGCCAATTTGCACGTTACTGTGGTGTATATTGAACGGTACTTTCATAATAATCTGTTATCACAAGACTAGTCACAAATTTCTTGCCGATTAGCGTGGCTGCCTTTCGGAATACAGTAATCAGTCGAAGCTGGTCGTAAGCAAGCCAGTCAACAATCATCTTCGTACATATGGTAGGGAGACTAGGACATGACCATATCTTGGAGAGCTCTACCATCGCGCTAAGCTTTCCGTAGGGAACTTCTACTCACTGGCTTACGTGGTATTGCCGTTCTTCGTAGAAGGCGGCCAAGCATGTTTCGACTTTGGTCTCTTGTCTTGGCTTGGGAACAGTATTTATACTGACACTGGCCTTCCCGAAGGCCATGCCCAGCCGTGAAATTGACTCCCATCTTCTTTTAAACTGTCTGGTCTCTGTCTCATGCAATGCTTTTGGGTGAAATGAAGCATTCTCTTCATAATTATCGCAATATCCTTGGCACAGTCAGGAGCTTACTGTCATACTACATAGGGACAATATGGCTCTTCACGCGCAGCGATATAAAGACCATAATATTGCCTCAAAGTGCCTTCGGAGCTGCAACAGCTTATGCAGTTTGTCTATTCGATCAACCTCTGGGGGACTCTCAGAGCAAACTAGTATCACTCCTAGGCCGCTTCCCACTGGCTGTGATGTGGACATGGTTGAACTTGTTACCCGAAAACATTGGAAATCAACTTAGCTGGGCTGCCATCGAAGAAGACTGTATTAACAAACCTTGGAGACCGTTGCCTTCAGGAAGAATCAGCAGAGGAAACGGTCGGCTAATGATGTATGCACACTACATCCTTGCCGCTCTCATCAGTCTCAGCACCGGCGGGCTCCGTCAGTCTCTTGTTCTCATTCCACTCGGGACCTGGTACAATGCGCTCGGTGGCGCCGACACAGGTCTCATGACCCGAAATTTCGTCAATGCGGCTGGAATCTTGTCGTTTGCCTCCGGTGCCATGGAGGTCATATTGGGAACATCATTGGAAATGACAAGACCATTGGTGGAATGGTTCGGAATTCTAGCATTGGTCATTATGTTAACGGTACAGACTCAGGACTTTGCCGATATGGAGGGAGATGCAAGCCGCAATCGTAAAACTATGCCTCTTGTAGTTGGAGAAGCACTGGCTCGTTGGTCAACGGCCATTACGGTTGTAGTATTCAGCGGGATATGTCCTACATACTGGTGCTTAAAATGGCACGGTTTCGTCGTCCCTATAACACTTGGCTCGATCGTTGCCATCCGACTGCTGAGCTATCGTACCATTGAAGCGGACAAGATGACCTGGCGCATTTGGAACACGTGGATGGTAGCTCTCTATTCGTTGCCACTACTACGAGTTCTGATCTCCAGCTGTCTATAAATGTAGATGTATTCAATGCAATAACTTCTCCTCTAGATATTGGTGAATACCCGGGGTATGATTCAAAGGCCATGTCTTTGGCCCAGGTCCCATAGCGATGGCACATATGAGGGGTAAACAACTGGGAACTGTTTTTAATCCTGAATTACATAATGATACCGTAGATGCCCAATATGTTGACAAGTAAGAAGACCTCTGTTAGTATTTATCCGGGCCTTCTGGACCATTGCTATTTTCATAGCCTGATCAAAGATATGCCTAACATTCTGAGGCCTTCCAATATCGCATTCTACATACATACTGTCAGAAGTATTCGCCGTTACTAGTTCTAAGCCTCGAGTGTTATTAGAGATTCCAGAGGATTCAGGGTTGAGTTTCGAATTCTTGATTCCAACAACGATATATGGAGTACTCGGAGAACCTCTGGTAATTTCCGGAATCCACAGGGTTTGTGCATCTTCGAAAGTCCGTTCGTTGTCGATTTCTACAGCAACGAGAAAGACATCGGTGTCTCTGTAAAGCGGCTGTAGTTGCATTCTATATCCCTCAAACCCAGACGTGTCAAAGATATCCATCACATGCTGTTTTTCTCCTACACGAAAACATATGTGCCCGTCTTCGTCAATATTTTGTAGCCCCGGATCTCCACTCTTCGTGTAGTGAAACAGTAACTGCCTCGGAGTTGTCCCGTTGCCCACAATCATTAACCTATTCAAAATTAGATTTCCGCCTAATCTTTATAAGTACAGAAAAGCGTTACTTACTTGAGAGTAGGTTTCCCAGGAAACCTCGCTCTAGGCAATATACTTATGGCATGGTGTAGTGATTGCTGAGATAGGAGGGTGGAAAATGTCAAGTCTGCACCGATCGTTTCCATATCACTTAGTGTTATAGGAATACGGAACAAGCCGACAATGGATATGTCGTTGAGACTGAATCTTGACAGGATGCTGAACCTGGTGTGTAATGTTGAAGGCCTTAGAGACATCGTGTCTATCTCGTTTGTTTTAACTCGTCGGTATACCTGGGTGGCTTCAAGCTGCTCCTCGAACTCACGCTCCAAGAGCCATCCGATATCCCTCTGATGCCCAAAATGGCCGGCCTCAGCAATGGATGTGTCATATAGAACCGAGGTGGTGTTGTTATCTCCTAGCGACCTCAGGGTTGTGGGCACCAATTCACTCCTTGCGGACCTTATGGACTGAGCTTTTTGAGCAAATCCTGCTTCTAGCTGGCGAATACGTTCCACTAGATCATCGTTCTGGACAGCAATGCTCTCAATGGACTCTTGAAGCCTGTCATGATTATGGACAGCTTCCAAGTCGGATTTGCTAAGCATCTAGTCAGATTACACAGTAGAATCGCTCCTAAAAATAACTCCCAGGACTTACCATCGAAGCACTGTAATAATTAATGACAAACTAGATTTCTGACTTTCAAGGTGAGGCATCAATCTCATCACCTTCATCTCATCCGAAGTCCATTTCCACCTGCGTCTTAGGTTTGTAGGTATCGTAATAAGAGCCTCGAGCTCACTTAGCGTTCTGATAGACTGAGAAAAAATGATTGCAAGGTGATCGAGGTGAACCAAAGACTTGCGTTGAGGGGGCAATATCTCAACGAACTCAATTAGATGCCTGACTGTTTTTAGAGCTATGCTGGTCTCTTCCACGGTGGCAAGCACAATGCGCGCGGACGTTGGCGCATCGGAGACAGCGGCTTTGAATTTCTTTAGGGAGCTGGTGATAGACGTGGTCAACGTCAATAGACCAGCAACGGATGCCGCTATGCTCAAAGGGTCGGCCATAGTAATTCTGCTCCCAGGGCGATGTCAAGTAACACATTGCTCCACAGTGGAGACAAGATGCGTGAAAAAGAATGAAGAAGAGGACAGAAACATTTCAAGTCAGAGGAAGACAATAAACTCACGTGCTTTGCGGCTGCGAAGCGCTACCACGCCACGTCATTTCGATCGGCTGGGGCTTTGGCTGTACAGCCAATCACGTCCGCTTCACTATTTGTTGCTCTCAGAAATCTACCAATCATATGCCCCAAAACATTGCTACGCCACTCGCCTGCAGAACACATGCAGGTGTGAATCTGCCTTACCATACTCGTACAGCCTGATTCATTCACTTTCTGACCACATTAACTTATTGAATGCCAAAAAATGAGAAAGTGAACTTGAAATAGAGATTCAAACTTGAAGCCTCTGCGGCTGAGCTTTGATAGAATCTGATCTCTTTCGATTCGAGTGAGGATCATACCCTCAGTTGTGACAGTCCCCCATCTGGCTCATAGACACCAAAAGGGTAGTCTGAACGAAAACCAGATGACATAGCAATGAGGGTACGCGATTGGATATCTATAACTGTGGTACCGCGGCCAGAGGGTAGATCAAATCATTACAGAAACTTCCTAATCGGAAAGATTTGGTACAGTAGCGTTATCAGACGACCAGCTTTATAACGATTGGATCTCGAAGCATCTACCCTATGGCAAGCTCATGAATAATTCCAGCATTTCAGGGTATTTCGGTGTCCCCAATCCTGTTACTGGGTCCCATCCCTGCACCGCAGAAAACCCCTTCGTGCCACATCCTTCGTTGTTTCCACTGGCGATATCGTTGAAGAGCTGTGGATTCTCATACAGTACTGGGTTAATGAAACCAACTGGACTTTTTCCCGCCTTCAGTCTGTTCTCATTAATGAGGGTCACGATAGAAGCAATCAAAGGGGTCGCTGCGCTGGTTCCACTTAACAAGCCATAGTCAACATCAATGTATGTGACTATGTCCTGGCTGATGGCAGAGACACTGGATTGCATCGTGAGTTAGCAAAGATCTGATTAATGATGGAACACACGGCTTGACCTACTCGGGCATCCCTCTTCCAATGCGGTTGTACACGCCGCCATTTGCGCCAACCGGGGACGAGTCATTATGCGTGGCATTATGGAGAGAGCTGAATGACTTGTAACCTGGATCATGGTTCTTGAAATAGTCGCCCAGTGCAGAGCTCTGGTAGCTAGGGGTGGAATAAATAGTGCTGAATCCGCCGCCACTTGTATAGGTATAATCCGTGCGGTCTTGATTAGGCAAATAAGCGGCAACCTCTGGCTCATCGATGCCAGCACCGGCAGGTAGTTTCGTTCCGCCCACAGTAGTCACGTATGGGCAGTTTCCTGGAAAGTTGGGACTGAAGATTGTGTGATTAGTGCCAATGCATCCGTTTGGAGAAGGATCCCAAGGGCGAGCTGCAACACCCGCATCCCCCGAAGCGACCAGGATGGTGTGCCCTTGCAGAGCCAACTTCATGAATTCGTTGCATTGCCGTTGCTGATAGTAAAACGGCAAATCAAATTCTGACTTGCTGTATGATATGGAGATGACATTGGTTGGACTCGCAATTCCACACTGGGTTTCGCCTAAGTAGCCACCGGGGTATTTTGTGTCCGGGTAGACATTGTCGAACTTGGGATCGTTGCCTGTCTCGCCAAAAGCGCTGTAGGAACAGTACGACCCATCTATTGCGTTGAGAAAATTGTTGAACAAACCTCCTCCTCCACTAATCGTATATATCTTGTCTTCAGCCTGGTACAAGGTAATTGATTGGGGGTATATCAAGGGATAAGCAACTTGAAAATCCAAGTCGGACTCTCCATCAGCAGCCCCCGGTGTAACTGGTGCGAAGCCCCCATCAATGGATACCAGTGTCGGATGCGTTCCATTAGGAATTCTTGGTGCAAAGCTGGTGAAAAAAAGATCCAGGTCTTCTTGGGCGTAGTAGTCTCCGTACTCGTAAATCCCTAAGCTGTTGTTCGTATGATTCAGCGTATTTTCTGGAATTTTGTATAGCTCCCGTATGCACATAGGTGTAATAGCCTCGCTACAAGTAGATGTGTCGTTTAGTATACGCTTGGCAAATCTTTCCCCAGTAGAAGCACCCGTGACGGATCTCTTCCTCGTTTGCGATGGCTCGGAAGTCATGAGCACCACTCCGGGCGTAATGAAGTCGATATGATCGCGAATAGCCTTCGGAACAGAATACTCTTCGCAAGAGATTGTTGACCTGTTCATGGAAATGTGCTTATACTCATAGTACTGTGCAGAAAGCATACTCTCTGCTTCAGCTACGGTCATGTTGACGTGAAGCCATCCCTTGTCTCGGGATAAAATTGATGAACCGCCATTCGACGAGATCCAGGAGCGAACATTATCGATTGTTTCTCCTGAAGGAGCAAATTTCTCGACTATGTCTTCGGGTGAATAATATCGTGCATAGTCTGGGGAAGATGGATGAGACACCTGATACACTAAATCGTCTCCCGCGTCAAGATTTTGTTGCTTCAACCCGATTTTCAAGGCGAAACTACGTCCTGGCTCGAGTCGATTGCCTTTGGTCCATGGGTTACCATGGACCATCCGCTGCTCGTGAATGACGTGTGTGTTCTGTGATGGAGAAGCAACGCATAGGTGCAGGGACAGAATGACTGCAAAGACAAAACGAAACCTCTGGCGCTGCATGATGACGAGGCTCTTTGCTTACTTTCAAGCAGCACAGCTCGGGCTGACGAGATGACGGGCAGTGTTGCTTAAAGTATGCTTTTAGCCAGACACCCAGAACGCGAATGGTCGTGAACTCCGCGCTGTCATGAAACATGCCTAGCTCAAACACCAGATTCCTCTAGCTTCGTATATTTTCAAGACACTAAATTCTTTACGATCAGGATTACTATATAGAGCACCCAGGATGGTGTAACTGCCCATGTGGTGGCACGGACATTTTCCCCACCAATTTAGTCACTCTCCTACGCGAAGTGGCATTGTGTCACGTTACAGCATTAAGCCGAGTTAATCCGGTATGCGCAGGTGGCCCAGTCCGCAAGTGATGTTTTCGGGATTCACCCATTTGCAGGCGAGTGGTCACAATCGGATACACATAGGATGCGGCCGTCAGGAATGAGAAAGCCTAAATGAAATGAGGATTGCAATTTCTCGTATTTGCTTACTAGGGTTGCTTCTGTTCTTTCCAGGAGTAGCAGGTGGCTTCGTAGGTGGGTCGACTGATGCCAATGTTGCATTATAATCGTTGAAGCCCAAGTGAATGCTATCAGCGGCTCAAATAAGGTTAGTAAGTCCTGTAGTCAACTTGTGATAAGTTGACGTAAAACAGCAGGCCGTGATTTTCCTCTTATTGATCAGAAGGCCTGACAGGAGGCCAGACAGGCATCTCAGTGAAGAAGGGATGATTCTAGGACCTAGAATCCAGGCAGGAGAAAGCTCGTATAAACATGTCTCATGCGACGAAAGTAGTGGGTAACTGTTCGAACTAAGCCATGCACAACGCTGGAGTCAGAATACAGTTAATAAATATCTACATTATCCACTTACTAGCTTGCTCTCAAGTCCAATTTGGGTCATTGGACTGGCGCCAGTCCGAACTTTTGTAGGAAACAATCGATGACAAATCAACATCGCCTATGGTTACAATACCCTAGGCGAGATTCCCAGCCGGGTCAATGGTACTATAGTATTGGATGCGATGTCGCCTAATAGCCAATCGGATCTAGTGATTCGAACTAGGAATATGGAGCAGAAAGCTTGTTGGACTTGGCGGGCATGGAGCGCAGTCGCTGAGCCTAAGAGTCCGTTGAGAGTCTTGATACGAGAAATGGTGGAGTTTTGGAGGAATTGCATTGCCATCACTATATCACAACTGATCAGATTTGTCTGGTCATGCTCAGAGAAGGCCTTTCCGTTGATAACCCAGCTTCATGCCCGAATTGACCGACTCGAAGCTGTGGCTGGTTGTCGTCAGGGCTGAGCCGCAGCAGAGCCAGGCGACCGCATTTTTTGCGCGCGCGAGCCCCGCCTCACAATTGTGCTGTCAGGCGTCCCCAAACAAATATCCGCCTAAATGCACCGCGATACTGCTTCGTCGGACACATGCATGTCTGCATAGCGCTGTGCAACTGAGCCGAAAAAGTAAGGCACAGGTTTCATCGTTCAATCAAACCTTGGCTTGTGTTTCTGCATATCGCACCTGCGTCCCCTGTCCTGGCAATCGAGATGGGCCGTACCAACGTGAGGGTTGGTGTTCCGCAGCTGTACTATCCGCTGCCGCCTGGCAGCATCCGACTGCTACGTCTCAATGCACAGGCCCCGAGTACGGAGGCTGGCGCTCTGCAGGTGGTACAACTGGGACAGACGCCCCCATACTACTCTTTAAGCCATTGCTGGGGAACGAAACCCCGGACTGCGCAAATCCAAGTCGACGGGCATACGCTATCTATCAGCCCAGACCTCGCAGCTTGTATCTGGAGGTTGCGAGAACTCGCCGTCGAAGGTTCCGAATTAGAAGCCCCTGTTAACTACATCTGGATCGACAATATCTGCATCAACCAGGATGATATCCCCGAGCGCTCGTCGCAGGTTGTCCTCATGGGAGAGATATACTCGAACTCCATCAAAACGCTGATCTGGCTTGGCCCGCACTCTAACGCGGCTTCCTCCGCTTGGGGCTTGATTGATAAAGTCTACAACGCTTTCAGAAGTCAGTATCCAGAAGCAGCAGCTCTGGCCGACATTCCTGTGAAGGCATACTCGGATTTCTGGCATTCCCGTTCCGAACTACCAGACTTGGATGATGAATCGTGGATTCACTTGAGCGAGGTACTAGAATTGACATGGTTCTCGAGAATTTGGGTCGTTCAAGAAGTTGTTCTGTCTTCAGAGGATCCCACAATTGTTCATGGCGATCACTGCTACCCGTGGCACCGGCTTGCGTGGGCAGCAACTTGGCTGCGTCAGAATGGGTATGCGAGGCTCTCTCAAATACCAGCAATGGTATTAAATGTTGATACGATGGCCAACTTGCGGCGGTCACGAAGCAGGTGGCCCCTTGACGCGCTCATGTCCATTACGCAAACCAAGTTCCAAGCAACAGACCAGAGAGACAAAGTTTTTGCCTTACTAGGAATCGCAGCGGAGTCTCAGGACCTTTCCAAGCTGCCAGATCAGCTACGACCAGACTACAGCGTGGACGTGACTGAGATATACTACAAGGTTGCCCAGTTTCTCCTTGCACAAACTCAGTCTCTCGCTATGTTGACTCGTGCCCGAGGAACGAATTCCGGCCTGGAGGGAAGGTTCAAGAAATACGACTTGGATCTACCCTCATGGACTCCAGACTGGAGCGATATTGACGGATTTACCAGGGGAATTCGAACCAGCTTTTCTTGCATCCACTACTTAGATACGTCAAAGCCTGTACGATTGGGGTTCCCTGAGGAGTACAATGCCTCGTCCGGGCTTGCACTCAAGCTCTTGTCAGGGCCGAACGAACCCGTCCTTCGCGTGAAGGGCATGAAACTTGACCAGGTCACCCGAGTTGTCCCTTTCAACGACCGTAATCTTTCCAAACAGGAGTTCGTTGGGATATTTCGCTCAAAAATGCCGTTAGTTTTAAAGGAGACAATGCCACTTTTGGTCGGGCGGGATGTTCTTGCTTGGGCCACTGACTTGATTAAAACGACTTCGGCAGGGCAGTATTATCTCAGTGGGCGGTTTTGGGAACAAGTCATGAGCGACGGTCTAGCTTACCTGTACGAAATACTGTCACAGGATCAGGGACTAGCATCATTGTTCTTATTTCAGGCAGGTGACGATAATGCCTTTGCGCAACTTAGGTCCTTCTCAGAAAGCGGGGTCTCTGAAGAGTACGCAGTATTGGTGCGTAACTTTTGCTTTCACAGATCTTTCTACGTGACATCGACGGGAAGGATGGGACTTGGACCATCGGACACTCGTGTGGGGGACAACGTGTGTGTGATCCCAGGTGGGGATGTACCCTACGTCATAAGACAGAATGGATCTCAGTGGTGTTTAGTGGGAGAGTCATATGTCCAAGGATTAATGGACTGTGAGGTTGCGCGAGGCCACGCAAATGAGGAGGAGATGCTGGAATTTCGATAATCTGGGGGGCAAGTGTCAATTTCCACCCTGCTAAAATGCCATTAACTCAACTTTCAATTTCTTCATACACCGAGTCCAGCGCCTCTTCACTATAGTGAAGATGATTTAAAGAAAGCAAACTCTGCACATGCGCAACTCTAGCATGGAGTTCGCCGAGACAACTAACAAAGACTTGACGAAGCAGAGTGCAAATGGAGAAAGCTGCTGTAAGGTGGGTCGTTGAAACGCTATTGACAAGATGCGGAATATTTCATTGTTCAATTAATACAGTGCAAAAGCTAGCATTTGTAAAGCCGTTTTACATCCAGATTTCGACTTTGATAGGTTAATGGTAGGGGCCATTATACATCTACAGCGGTACCCGGCCATTCTTGGCACATGCCTTGGCGTTTTTAACTATATAAAGGCATCGCGGCGCAAGTCTTGCGTAACAGCAACTAACATACCTCGCCCCATCAGTTAAACACAAGCTAGCTTTTGCACAGATATCCAATTGATGTGGGACGGCACAAATGCGGAGACTTGAAGTCTGACCTCATTAGGTTGCATGCGAATCCCTTTTAACGTTACCAAACATGGACCACATCATACCCCGCCATGCTAAGTCCCCGCGGTGACGATGACTAGTCCTATTTAGTTGCAGTGCTATTTCGCAATCAACCTGGTCCGAATGCGAAAATCCTTGACATATGGTGTTGACCATGCTCTCTCACAATACGTCAGGTCCGAATGCGAGGCATCTTGATATTTGCCGCTAGTTTACCCGTACTATTTCGTAAGCCGTCTGATCCGAATGCGGCGTCTATTTATATTTCCCGTCTCACTTCAGGAACACTCAGTACAGGGCGACCATTAATCAGAATTCGGTGGCAACCTGATAAATAATAAATACAAATGGCTACATCACTGCCTCGTCTGTCACTTTCGTTCCTTGTGGCGTGGGCGGCTCCAGCGATCCAGGCGCAGAAGGTCGCGAGTTTGAGCGACTTCGACTGGTCCTTACAGAATGAACCCCTCAGTATCAACATCCCAGCGGCCTTTCCCTCATACGCCCACTTGGACCTCGAGGCGAACCAGGTCACCGGACCTCTGGAGTACGGTTTGAATGATTTTAACCTAAGATGGATTTGGCAGCAGAACTGGACCTACTCGGCAAAGTTGACTGGCTTAGACAAGTCATCATCCCAAACGTTCCTTCTTTTCAATGGTCTCGACACGTTTGCCAGTATCGACCTATGCGGAAAGCACGTCGCATCTACAGACAATCAGTTCCGCCAGTATTACTTTAATGTCACCGACATTGTTCCAAACTGTGGCAATGATACTCTACTCAGCTTGAATTTTGGTAGCGCTCCGAATATTGCAGCCGGCATTCTCAATCAGCCTAACCAAAGGACCTGGCCTTATGGCACAGAACTGGTCTTTGAAATACCTGGCAGACAATTCATCCGAAAGCAAGGGAATGACTTTGGGTGGGACTGGGGCCCAGCATATGCGCCAGCTGGACCGTGGCAGCCTGCTTACCTTATTCAGATGACGAATTCTGAGGTACACGCGAGGAATGCTGCATTTGACGTCTACAAAGTAGGTCAAAGAAGCAATTTGATCCCTGATCAATCTCAGCCATGGGTTTTCAATGCAAGCTTCGATATCATTGGGACTTTGCCCGCTTCAACATCCTTATCGTACCTAGTGCAGGATGATGATGGTACTACAGTCTCGAGTGGAACGCTCACAAATGTCACGCAAGAGAATGGCTCCATATCTGCATCTGCTCTCATCGAGAATGACACTGTTGAGCTGTGGTGGCCAGTCGGGATGGGTGAGCAGGTACTCTACAACATCACTGTGAATATTCACGACAGCAGCAATAAAACAATCACCAGCCTTGTCCGACGGATGGGATTCCGGACGATAGTACTCAACCAACAAGTAATCACAGAAGAGGAGATCGGGCTAGGGATTGCGCCAGGGAATCACTGGCACTTTGAGATCAATGGCCACCCTTTCTACGCCAAGGGCTCTAACTTTATCCCACCAGACGTCTTTTGGCCCCGTGTCACCCCAAAGAGTATCCGCAGCTTATTTAACTCTGTCCTGGCTGGAAACCAAAACATGCTTCGCGTATGGTCGACTGGGGCCTACTCACCTGACTTCGTATACGATATTGCCGACGAGCTTGGGATTTTACTATGGTCAGAATTTGAGTTCGGCGATTGCCTATACCCTGCCGACCCCGCTTTCCTATCTTCAGTCTACGAAGAGGCCGTGTACAACGTTCGCAGGGTGAACCACCACCCTTCTCTAGCCTACTGGGCTGGTGGCAATGAGTTTGAAAACTATATCCTGCCGGTAGCGAATCGGTCGTCACCATCCCAATACCCACGTATCATTCAAGAATATGAGGAGTTGTTCTTGTCCACCTTGTTCCCTGCTGTCTTTGAAAATACACATTCATTGTCATATCTGCCCTCTTCGACGTCCAATGGCTTCTTGAGCCTGAACTTTACCGACGCACCGTACATGGCGCCTCGATACGCCGATTTGAAGGAACCAGGCCACATCTATGGAGTGACTGACTACTACAATTACAGCGCCGCATTTGCTTTTAACATCGCCGCCTATCCTATTGGACGCTTCGCGAACGAATTTGGTTTCCACAGCATGCCATCGCTTCAGACCTGGAGCAGCTATGTTGCAGATTCAGAGCTTCACTTCAACAGCACAACTATCCAGCTGCGAAACAGGCACTATCCCGCTGGAGGATTGAACACATCCAATTTTGTGAACACGACGAAGGGCATGAGCGAAATGACCATCGCTGTGCAGCTCTGGTATCCAGCTCCGAACAAAACGGATCAACATTCGAACTTCAGCTCGTGGTGCTGGACGACGCAGATTTTCCAAGCAGACTTTTATTCGAGCCAAATCCAGTTTTACAAACGAGGAATGGGGTTGCCGCAGAGAAACCTTGGCAGTTTATACTGGCAGCTTGAAGACCAATGGGCTGCACCTACGGTAAGTCACGACCAATATCTGAGGCTTGATTTGGTTCAATCGTATCCTCGCGAGGAACTAGCTAACCGTCTGATTAGTGGGCAGGTATTGAGCGCACTGGTCGGTGGAAAGTTCTTCACTACCGTGCCAAAGATCTGTACAAGGAGGTCATTATATCACCTTTCTTCAACGACAGCAGTGGCGTCCTTGAAGTATGGGCAACCAGCGAGCTTTGGGAAAGCGTCGAAGCTACTGTGAACCTACAGTGGTACAACTGGGACGGCCAGCTGATAACCAATCTCACTGGACTTGAACAGGCGCAAGTAGTGATTGGGGCACTGAATAGTACTCAAGTCTTTACGCGAAACGTGACAGAAGATATCAAATCCGCAGCATTGAACCCAAAGGATCTCGTCGCAAGAGCGAGCATCAGCGTCTCAGGCCGCGGGCCTAATAATCAGGAGACCGAGACTTTTGAACACACGAACTGGTGGCATGCTTCGCGACTTTCAGAAGCCAATCTCGTGGACCCGGAGCTGTCATTAAGCTATGATGAGTATTCTAACGAGTTTACTGTAAAGGCAGTGGCTGGCGTCAGTGCATGGACATGGCTGGACTACCCAGCTGGCTCCGTGGTCAGTTTCAGTGATAATGGATTTTGGTTGGGGAAGGGGGAAAGTCGTATTATTGGGTATACCGTTGTCGAAGATAGCACACAAGGGAAATGGATCGACGGAGTCACAGTCCAGAGTATATGGAACAACACCCTAGCTTACTAGGAACTTTGTGAGGCCATAGTCTAAATTGATCAACGTCGGGAACATGGTACGGCTACCCAGGACTCACTGCTCCATTGACCATGACAGTCTAGCTATTTCTACATAAGCGATCTATCTTTATGTCCTCCGATCGCGAGAAGCATCTAAAGGCTACATATATCCTTGTATCTGCATGTCATGTAATGCATTATCTCAAGTCTGTCTATTCGCTTGCGGCTGCTTCACCATTTTCCAACTCAATACTTTAGACTAGACCACCCCAACTGAAGTCCTTCCATCCATTATTAATACCGATGGAATGTATTCTCCATCAGACTGAATGTGGCCGTAGCTTTGCAGTTCCAACCCAATTATTGATGCGGTAACCCATCTTCTCAACAATGTGATCCAACAACAACATAACTCATGGAGCATCATGATTGTCAGCCGCAGTTGGTAAACACGGCTCTGCAGCCACTATGCTTGAGTAATCAATGCGGCTCAAGCAGGTGAACGGCCTACAGGTGTCCATCCGCGCATAGGGAGCGGCATAGCTATACGCGTGGATTGTGCTCAATACAACAGTAGGTTGTATTGAGCACTCGAAGACGGGCGGAGTTGCCAAAAGTGCTGAAACTAGTGTTTCCACCGACATGATATCATTTAGTGAGAAATGATCACATTGGTTCACCCCGGCCTAGATGTCATTGGCGGAGGCGTAACACACCTGTCGGACCTTACCAGCGCTTCGATTTTTGGCATTAACTCGGGTATCCTGAATGGTTTCGAGATCGCGTCATCCACCCCGGCATCTTTAGCCTGCGCCACCTGTTCGCTTCTTGCATTGGCACTCACGGCCATAATTGGAATATGCTTGACAATGTGGCCCGTCTGCTGGTAGTTTCTTATCCTCCTGGTGCAGGCCAACCCGTCCATTACGGGCATCTCGATATCCATGAGAATGACCGAAAGCCTTATGGGTGCTGCTGGACGACCATCAGAGGCCCAGTACTCCGTGGTGCGGATGAAATCTAGGGCTTCCCGGCCATGATTGCTCACATATACCCGACAGCCTACTTTTCGCAGTTGCTGGGACAAAACTTTTTGCTATCAATGTGTTAGTCTCTGCTTGATCAATGCTGCAGTATATAACTCGCGCCGCGGATAGGAACTTACATTCACCACATTGTCTTCAACAATAAGCACCGAGTAGTGTGGTTCGTCTTGGTAAACCAGCCCTGCAGAAGACGTTCGCCTAAGAGAAAGCTCATGAATTGAGTCGACGGCCAGTGGTGTCGTTGGTTGTGCAGTTCGTGTTGCAACAAAGAATGCAAAGGTTGAACCCACATTGGGTTCCGATCTGACGCCAATAGCACCTCCTTGAAGCTCTGCTAGCTTCTTAGATATGAAGAGACCTAATCCACTTCCCCCATAGCGAATATGTGTTCGTGGAGTTGCTTGCTGAAATCTGGTGAATAAGTTGCCTTGCTCTTCCGTGCTCAGTCCACAGCCGGTGTCGCGACATTGGATCCAGATATATAGTTCGCGGCCTGTTCCCCATTCCTGCTTCTCAAGCAACCCGCTTGAATCTGTTGTTACGCTGGCGAACGGAATCTGGTGGAACCCGTCGGAAGGTGGCGACATGCATGCGCCTAAGGAAACCTCGATCTGTCGAGTTGGTCGATCACGCGTGAAGTTGATTGCATTTGTGAGTAGGTTAATTAGGATCTGGAGAACTCTACTTGGGTCCATCATAACATATTGAGCCCCCAACACAAGTAGCGATGGATCTTCCAGGAAGCGCAAATCGATGTCATCTTTGTTGCACTCAAGCTCGAACATATGAACGGCTTCTGAAACGATAGCTGCAGGTTCGGCTCTGACCGGGGAAATGGCCAAGAGGTTCGAATCCATCTTCGAAAGCGTGAGTACATCGTCGATGACACGTTTCTGGTGAATGGAACATGATATAATCGTGTTCAGGGAATCGAGGCACTGCTGAATCTCATCGTCCAGCCGCTGTTTGAGTGCGATGTCGGCCAGTCGCGGTTTGGATATGAGACCTAGTACCCCCTTCAAAGACTCACAGGTAGAATCCGCGCACTGGATCACGGCTGAGAGAGGATTGCGCATCTCATGTGACGTCATATCAATGAAGTTCTCATGTTTCTGTTTCGCTTCGAGGGCCTCTTTAATGCGTGTTCTCTGTATCTGCTCTGCCCACTTGAACCGCGAAATGTCGGTCATGGTGGCAAAGATTGAGACAACGTTGCCCTTGTGATCTAGCTCCGGAAATGCTTGGCTTTCGATCCAAGCTTGTCGCAGAGTGCCATGCCCAAGATCCCAAGTATGCTTCAGTCTGAAATGTGCCTGCACTCTTTTCTTATCGTGCAGTAATGTCTTCCATTGGTTGTCGAGAATGGGCTGGTCCTCTGGGAATACCAGGTGCTGCCAGTCGATGCTGGGGTAATCGCTTGCGCTTGGGTGTCCCGTCAACTCGAAGAAACGATTGTTACAATATGTCATCTTTCCATGCGAATCAAGGATGTAAATGGCAATCGGTGCTAGGAGAGCAAATCTTGAGAATTTGCGCTCACTTTTTCGCGCTCTTTCAAGAGCCTCTGCTCGTTGGAGGGCCTCTTCTTGAACCCTCTTTTGGGCGTTGATGTCGATCGTATTGCCGGCGATGCTCACAAGGTTCCCATCCTCGTCCTGGATGGGAACACATGCAGACAGCACCCACTGAACATCATTGATTTCGTCCGAATTTAAGGATTTGCGATAGTTTTCTCCTTTCCATCGCATCTCGAACGTGACTGGAATCCCTTGAGCCAGTTTATTCCACTGAGAGAGGACTAAAGGGGCGTCCGGGGGATAAACCAGGTCCATGAAGGAGAAATCTGCGTGGCGATCTTCTCCGTTGGGATGCAGACTTAGACGGTACCATGATTCCTTTCAAGAGTTAGCAAGAGGAATGCGTTTGAATAGTGATGCAAGTACATTTGCCCGTATCAATTTTCCTTCGGGAGTATACTCAAACGTTCCCACATCGCTCATTTCCATCATCTTATTTAGACTGGCGATTCTTGCGTGTGCGATTTTGACGTCTTCGCGGTCGATCTTCTCACTTCCCACCAAGCCGGCGTGAGCATTCTGATACTCGCTTCTTGCGCTCAATCCGTTGGCTGGAACCTGATTGGTTTCACGGATACATTTCCACCGCCCCTGTATTTTGAATGCCGACCACGTCTTGCCTGCGAAACTGTACTCATCTCTCCAATGGACGACAACTTGGCACCATGCCCGAAACTGGCCGGCAGCATTTGTCCCACGTAATATATCTTTGTCCAGGCCTGAACAGCGAAGAGACTCGTTGCAGAACAATAACTCAAAGGGAGATTCTCCGAGCTCGTTTATTGGTACCAGAAAGGTTGGCCTGAGGTCGGCGTCCAGGAAGGCCCACAGGTCCGGCAGTGTTTGTCGTCCTGATCCATCATCGCCGCCATGGGAAGCGAGCGTAGACGACGATGTTGAGCGATTGCTTCGCATTTCCAAGGGTGGTAATCCGACCTGAGCATAAGCAAGCCCGTCGATTAAGCAGAAAACCCTGCGCGGACCATTGGGAGGTTCTGATGAGGCCCAGCATCTCGGGAATCGCAATAACGGCGTATGGTCGGTTGTCCACGAGCTGCCCTAGACCCAGAACGCCGTTAGAGTTTGCCGCGGTTCCTTGAGTCAGAGCCATCGATATGAGAAAAAGGACCACGCTAACAGGCAGTCTTGTCCAGAGAGCCATTTCCGAGCATTTCATTGGGTTTGATTCCAGGATTTACATACTAAAGTCGATCTGAAAAGCACCGGCGTCTTCGATCTAGGCGGGGTTTTGCTACTTGGCGCCCGCAGAGTGACATCACAGTGGGGTTCGGTATCGGCCGGCTGTGGCTTTTCAGGGGTTTCCGGTCTAGCAAATGCAGGGTCGCATGGCATCCGGTAGTTACACTAAGTTAAGTTGTCCTCCTGTGCGCCAGCACGTCATGTTCGAGTTCAAGCTTGTCAATAGAATGTGCGACGGCGAAGCGTTAGGATAACATTTGCGCCTTCTCGCCAGGTCTTCCTACCTACCTTGGATAAGCTACGATACTGGATCATATCCCGTACAGATGCTGCTTTCCAGTGGTGAGCTTAAGAGGCCGTGTCAGTGGAGCCAGTATCTTTCCGAGAAGCACTACCGGTCGTGTCGGGTAGAATTCACTCCACATGCAAGAAAAAGACCATCCCTAAAACGTACTTGATTAGCAGGCTCTTGAAAGTATCAATTTTCCACAATAGAAACCAACCGTTTACGCAAACATAGCTCAAAAACATATGTAGTATCCACCGGTTGCAGAAACTGCATCTCTTGTAAAGCTCTCTGCAGCCGACAGAGGAAGCATGTAGCGGCGATCGAGTCCAAACCACTGCGGCAAACTCTCATTTAAGACAACCTAAGATTTGTCTTCCGCAGCTCAATGCTTGAGTAATAAGTTTGAGTGGCCATTGGACAATCCGTAGCCTTTCAATTACTGCGAAGGTAGCATTCAATGCGCACCCCTGAAGCACTGGCGTATGCTGCGTGGAGAATTGTTCCAGACAGGTCGTTCTAATGGCCCTGGAAGCAATGCTGCGCGTTGTGAGGTAACAATAATGGCTGCGAAGGATCTCTCAAGAGCTCAACTGCCATGATGCCGTTGTGAGCAACTCGCATTGTCCCTGGTTCAGTTTGGGGTGAATAATGAGTATCTGCCAATGGCACCGCAAGGCGTGGTCCAATGACGCGTCAGCTCTTTTAGTTGGCACGCCGCCAAGTGCTGCGCGATGCTACATGCCTGAAAGGAGCAGTTTTAGTTGCACCCCGATCTCTGTTATATAAGTCTATCATGATTCGTGGTCGATAGTATGCATTCTGCTGGGTCCTCAAGCTCTTCTTGACTGCTGACGTCTCCTCTATGATTGATTCCACGTTAAAGATGTGGACGAAGAACTTGCTATTCGCTGCCTTGGTAGCACCGTTGGTGGTCTTGTCGCACCCTGATGTTTCCGAAGAGTCCATCCGACATGAAATGGTTCTGCGAAACATCCAGCATGCCAAGGCTACTCGTGCTCTGTCGGCCCATGAGGGTTCCGCGGCAGTAGTAGCACTCCGACAGCGGGCTGCAGTCCGCCGTGCTGCGAAGGTTACCGAACTCCGGGCCAAACGTGGCCTGACTACGCGTAAGATGATAACACACCCAACGGATTATAAATTTTATTAATTTCAACTAGAACCACTGGGACATCATAAGCGTGATCTTGCTTCTCTGCAGTATTGGGCTACTTTCAGTCACAACAGAACGGGCAACGGTTACGACTTAGAGACCCCTCAAGACACAATCTTTGGATCTAACAACACGGCTGCGCTGGTTCCAGAAACCACTGTTGGCCCATACTGGGTACTTGGGGAGCTGATTCGCACCGACTTGACCGAAGGGCAGGATGGCGTCCCCGTACACCTAGATCTGCAATTCGTAGACATTAACACGTTTGAGCCCGTGTCTGGACTGGTCTCGGATATATGGCATTGCAACGCTACTGGGACCTACTCTGGAGTCACCAGCGAGGGAGGATTGAACACAACATTCGCTCGCGGCTCACAGATTACAGATGACGACGGCGTAGTCCAATATGACACCAACTTCCCAGGCCATTACGATCGTCGTCTGACTCATATCCATGTCATTGCACAGAACAATGTGACGGTGCTCGACAATGACACTTGGACTGGAGGCGTTACTCGTCATATCGGTCAAATTTACCTCGACGACTCTATTATCAAAGAGGTTGAAGCTACGCATCCTTATAACACCAATACCATTGCGTATACAAGTCTCGAAGCCGATGGTTGGGCGCTAGACGAGGCCACTGCAGACTATGATCCGTTTGCGGAGTATGTCAAGCTCAGTAACAACATTGAAGACGGTTTACTAGTTTGGATCACCATCGGTATTGATCTACAGGCCGACCACAGCGCCAACGCGACAGCGGCTGCACATTATTATGAAGGCGGTGGGGTCTCAGCCAGGTGGCCAACCTGGTAATCCAGGGGGGTCAGGTCTTGCTGCAATTCCTCCTGTTGAATAGGTGTTCTCGCCAAGACTTTTCCAAAGTCACCTTGGTATCAGATATAATTTACTACGGAAATTTTCCGTCTAACATTACTGCGATGTACGATGTTTTCGTCAACCAGAAATGTTGATATTCAAATCCCTCAAATATGCCAAGCTCTTTTGGATGCCTATACCCCAATCGACCCATGTTACCATAGCCATGAACTAAAATCTTACGCAGTGTTCAAGGCACTAGGTAGCAACAATGTCACTCTGCAATCCAATCAAGTCACCAGCCAAAAAGTAGCTGCATGCCAATGGAACTTCATGAAAGCTTCTAGACCAACAATCTGCCTCTTACTTGACCCTTGTACCAGTCCCCGCACTGAAACGCCGCTCTATAAAGCATGCTCCATCCACAAGCCACGATAGTCATTGAACTCTTCTCCCCAAGTCATTCTCACAATGCTTCGCGGTTTGGCACTTACATTTGCTTTAAGCTTGGCCCCGCCAGCGATGGCGGCATGGCACCACGAAGACGTTCACTGGGGCAAGTTGCACTGTCCTTCGGATAATACGTCAACATTGCCAACTCCAACGTACGGGTCCGAGGGCAGCGTTTGGATGATATGCACCGAAATGATCATTGACGCACCCCCCAGGGCTATATACGATGCTCTGCTCGATTTCAGAAGCTACCACCTTTGGAACTCGTTTGTGGTCGATGTTGAGCTCCCTGAAAACGTTACACGGACCCCAGATGACGTCTACGTGGGCATGCCAATGTTCTTCACCGTCGCGGGGTTGCTACCTGACGCGAATACGACCAGCGACGAGATACTCACTGTTTTGGACGATCAGAGCTCTGAGAAATATCTTATGAATGCTTGGAGGTCGAATACATTTCTGAATGGGACTCTCAGCCAAGCGGAACATCCCAACATTTTAACCAGTGCTGAGTTCGGGCGGACTAGATATGTATCCTATGAGACCTATTACGACGGTCCTAATAACCCTCTGCTCTTCCCACTCAAGGGGCAACTGCAAGCTGAGTTCGACCAGCAGGGTCTCGACCTCAAGCGTTACGTGGAAGCTCTGTAATCAATTTCAAAATGCTGAGGGGGGCAAGATCAACAGGGTACTAGAAGAAATTCTTTGGAGGCCTTGCTGACCGTTCTTGTCGCCTGCCATATACTTTGAGCAGCGTCCTCTGAATCGTTGGTCTAGGTTCTCTTGGGACTGTGTCACCGGTTCCATGGGTCGAAAGGAACATATATTGGACATTGATACACGATATTGATGCGTACCTAGTGGTTATCATTTTTAGACACTTGGTAGAGTTGATGAGAATCACATATTAACGTGGCCTTGTTGAAAGCGATAGCCTAGCCACCAACCTCAAAATAAGGCTACATCCTGCGGCGTAATTGCAATATCTTCCCATAGACTATACCTGGGTTAAAGAGTGAAGTGAGACACATAGCATGTACAATAGCTGGCGAACTGCTCTCGTTATGACTCATAAACCCAAAATGACTTATTTAAGTGTTGGCTTCGAGGATCTCGACTTCTTCATTGTTGGTACGGAACCTCATGCTGTGGTGATCACATCACTTAGATCTTATACAATGGTAGTATTGACGAGTATTACCGGCTCGCTTTTGAATGATAAGCAATTTAGTTCGATCCCGCAGCTCTTCAGGCACTGTTTCCGCCAACTTATGACGCCACCGCACGAAAGAGAAATTTACATGAATGGAGTGCCGATGAACCGACTGGAGATTTTGGGCTTCATTCACCGAAATGCTTTTACTAACGAACAAATTAGTAAGAGCTCAAGTCTCGTTCTCTACTGGTCAGTAGCACAGTGACTGCGGTCTGGCTCGCTCGAAAGCCCCTGCTCCTTGGTGCTTGAAGTAGATTCCCAAGGTATGAAAGCCTCTCCCTGTTCACGACACCGTAGTGGCAAGACGACAAGATTCGAGTCAGAAGTTGCAATTAATCTTTCGTTCAGAGTCTAAAGTATGTCGGGTCATAGGTATTGAAATGAGAAGAAATCCCCTCCCCTCTCACCAAAAACAGAAAAAAAGAAAAGCCTCCCAGAGCCCGCAACGTTAGTAGCGATCTATTTAACACTTCACAATTTCATACACCTTATAATGGTGGCTGTGTCGATAGATTGACCCTAACAGAAGTCAAACTCCGTTTTCCTGATTGCTTCCGTTTCTTTCCTCCCCTGAGACACGTCTGCCAAACCCGACTTCTGGTATTGCTCCTTCCATTTCTCCAACAGCTTCTCAACCCGGTATGTTCTATCATCGCACCACAGGTCTCGCCATTTTCTTGGGTCTTCATCAGCGTACTCGGCAATCGGTTCGAAGCAGACGGTCCCAGTAATGATGAACTTTGTCAACGTCCCGTCGGTCGTATCCAGCATATAATTATCGCCATCTCGATCCGAGCTTGTAGTCAATTGAACCACCCAGGGTGGAAAATCATGGAAAGTCCCGTCCTTCAGAGTTTGGAACCATGCCGGGATCCTGGCAGCCCCAGCTGTTGCTACAACAGCCCGGTCAGCGTGTCAATATATTCGAACGATCGAATGTATCGAATAGATCGAATTCCCAATTAGGTAATCGATCAATTCGAGCAGAAGGGCGCTCGAGTCGATTATATTCGAGCAGGACAGTGATCGATTCGCAGCAATTCGAACGGCCGAGCGTTCGAGTCGATTTACTAATCGATATTTGATGCTTTTTGAAGGTAATTTTGGCCCGCAGGCCCTTGAACCAATCGCTGTTGCGGATTCCAAGCCTAGTATTGCTTTTATTGCCCAAAATAGACTATGCCTCAAAATACTTCACGATCATTGGTGCCCCGAGACACTGTGTATTCAGCTTGGACGCCTTCATTTACAATTTTGTGTTCCTCGCCAGCCATCGGAAGTAAAGATACATTTTTCGAAACTATACAACACCTTTGAAGATTCTACTCACCACCTTGTCAACCAATACAAACAGACCTCCGTAGTGTATCTATGGATCGATTTCTCCAGATACAGCCTCAAGCACCGGCACATGTTGCACATCACAACATCACACCCGCCGTCGAGCTGACTACAGCATGCCGTGCCTCGTCTCCAGGATTCTCAGTTCACAATCAAAATCTCACCCCCGCCACCCAAATCAATGAGGTGGTGGATATGGATGGATTGGACGAAGACCTGTCATCAACGCCGAGTTCCGGCCAGGAAAACGACGATGAGGTGCCTGTGGGCCACCCCGATTATCATCTCTGGACTACCTCCTGGTGGCGCCGTTTCCCTTATTGTGAGGGTGCCTTTAGCAACAGAGTACGTGGCTGGTACTAGGCTCATGGGTACCGTCTTGTCGAGAGCTTACCCGGCAGAGAGAATCGATATATCTGGGTTTGCTCGCTGTGTGTAGCTTCCAAGAAGCCTATACCAAAGAACAAGTACTCATTTGTTTCATCTACACCAATTTCCATTACCAGGCACCTCAAGAAGATGCATAAGCTCTTCAAACCATTACGCCATAAGATCGACGAGCCGGGCAAGCAATTATCGAAGATTTCTTCCCTTTACAGGCCCTCCGTTGCCAGTCTTTTGAAACTTGATATGGGCGACCCAACAGTGCAAGACACGGTCACACGGATACAGTCATTATATAACCAGAAATTGTTTTGGCTGTTGTTGTTGGACTGGATTGTGCACGACAATCACTCGTTTCGTGCGATATCATCTACTAGATTCAGGAGAATGTGTTGGTCCTTAAATCCATCAGCACAAATCCCGTCCCATCAGACCTTGGCAAACTTGCTGATCGAGGAATATCACAAGGCCGTGATCCCTGTTCGTACGCTTCTTCGTACAGCTCGCGGGATGGTACATTTGACGTTTGACGGGTGGACTTCGCGCCAAAACTCGACATTTCTTGGCATACACGCTTATTTCGTGGATAAGCATTGGAAGCGTTGGAAAATCATGCTGGGAATGCCGCCACTCATCAAGCGGCATACTGGTCAGGACCTTGCTGATGAAGTATCTTCAATCATCGAGTACTTCGAAATTGCAGACGTGTGAGTACGCTGATTGGGAATACACCTCACTGTTCTGACTTGCTCTGCTTTCATCACTTAGCGTCGGTTATTTCACCCTAGACAACGCCACCAACAATGACACCTGTATTGAAGCCCTATCTAAAGTCTATCTCTTCAAGCCGGATGAACGGAGGATCCGCTGTGCGCCGCATACAATCAACCTTGCTGTGCGATCAATGATGTATGGCGATGGCGCCAAGAAGACCGACTTCCATGAACTGCTTGGGAAGTTTCAGGCTGACAGCGGTCCCAGCGGTGAAGGCGAAATGCAAAATTTGCGTGAAGCTATACAGATGATTGGGGACGACGAATACTGGGATGAACACCAGGAAGAGGTCCTCGCCGCGGCTGATGAAGATGACATTTTAGCTGCTGACGCAGTATCCGACTTTCCGGCCGTTTCTGCTGAGATTCCTGCCTTGGTAAACGCCAGCAGCCTTGAGCAGTACCGTAAGTCAGGACCATTTGGCAAGCTCCACAACATCGGGGTATGTCTTCGGTTATCCTCCCAGTTGACGGATCGGTGGATGAAATGCCAACAAGCTGTGGATCCTAACCATCCTCCATTGGCCTGGCGTCACAATGTCGCCACCCGATGGCTTTCGGACGAAGGCATGGCAGCTAGAGCTCTGACAAAACGTCCAGCATTAGACCGGCTACTAACCGAGGTTGGTGATACATTCGCTCGCCGCTCGAAGAAGTCCCGGAGTGACAAACCACCAGAGATTCTGCAATACAAGCTTACGGAGGACGAATGGCTCGTTGTCGACTGCTTACAACAGGTACTTGAGCAGTTTAAGATATCTGCAAAGATCCTGCAAGGCGATGGCTTTAGTGGCTTGGGTAAAAGATCCACCACAGGGTCTTTATGGGAATACTTTCCTCAGATTGAAGTTCTTCTCGATCACCTCGAAGGCGCCGTTCGCGGGTTTATCATCAGGCCCTTGGAAGATGGTACACTCGTCAAGGTCAGAATTTTCGAAGGTGTGCCTATTCTTCTTCATCAATTCACTAGCTCATAATTATGAAGTTAGTGTGTGCTGACTTGTCCACAAGGGATCGACAGTCAAACGCGGCGCCTCCTGAAAGTCTACTTTCGGTTGGGCTGGAAGAAGCTACACGACTACTATGAGAAAATGACGCCCATAGCTTACTATACCGCCGTAATTTTCCATCCAGCGAAGAAAGTGGCATTCTTGGATCGATTGTGGCGACAAATACCATGTAAGCAAAAGGATGGCTGGCGGGACTGGGTATCGAAGAGGCTGAGAGAACTTTGGGAAGAGCTGTACAAGAATAAGTGGGTATTGGAGAATTCCTTCTTTTACTTTCGTACTAATCACTGCTCTAGGGAAGTCAATAAGCCTGCTGATCGTATGGAAATTGATTCTCTTGACTATCTCGAACGTCGCCTGGCCTTCATCAATTCAACCACCGCGTCAGACGACGAATACAGCGAAGAAGCTAACGAGATCCCTGAAGTTCAGAGAATTCCGGCTCAGCGGAACAATGGTAGATCGTTGACAAGATCAAAGCCAGTGTCAAAATCAGGCTCAACCGCAGCTAAGCTGGACCAGGACGAACTGGATTTGTATCTGTCCGAACCTGCTGTGGACCAGTTCCAGTACAGAGACGACCCATTACTTTGGTGGCGGGAGCATGGAGAACGTCGATTTCCTAGACTATCTCATATGGCGGCAGATCTTTTATCGATACCTTCGTCGACAGCAGAGACTGAGCGCCAATTCAATAGCGCCGGTAGGATGATAAGCTCCACGAGAAACCATTTGGGCAGAGCGCTCATTGGCCAAGCACAATCGATGGGGTCCTGGAGTACGATGGGTATCTATAAGCCAGAGTTTCCTATCCATTTACTACAAAGTCAAGATTGGTACGACAACCTTGTGGCTCAAGGGCACGCAACGCCATTGCCTAACGGTGTTGGGGCAATTGATTAAGTTAATATGAGTGCCATTTTCACCTCATTCTGGCTTAACGCTACCGCTCGATTCGAACGTTTCGATCTATTCGAGCAGCATGAGGCTCGAATCGATTCTATTCGAACAGAAGACTGTTCGAATCGATTATATTCGAGCGCCCACTATCTGAATTCGATGCATTCGAGCCGTGCAGTCCGATCGAATAGATCGAATATATTGACACGCTGAGCCCGGTAGTCAATCGGAAAGGTCTCCGGCGTTATCCAGGGGTGACTGCCTTCGATGTAAGGTAGATGCCGCAGAAGCTCTAGGACTTCTTCTGTCTTGTAGATTCCCACTCGTGCCAATGAATCTGCTGTGATATCGGGCCACCCGCCTGGAGGAGCATCATGCACGAGGAGGGCATCTATATGCGGCAGGTTCTTATAGAAGGCCGTCAAAGCGGTAACAATGTTTTCGCGTGAATACGTTGCCCATTGGTAGAAAAGTCGAGGGTCTGGCCCGGGTTTGCGCAATTCCTCGGGTGTAGCCATTTATGTCTTTGGTTTGTCAATAATCCTGTCTTTGGGAGGTGAAGAAGGGGACCTAGATCCGCACAGACGGCACCTGAAGGAATCGAAGCGACAGAGTGACTGCAGCCTGCAATTTCACCCACCATGACTCGGCGGGGCAGCATACCCTTGTGTGCCGTGGGGGGCAGTCGATGCCACCTAGTTACTTGTGCTGGTCAACCCTCAGCCAAGCTGTTATGCTTGGAAATGTGAACAAACGTGGGAGATAGTAGTTGGCGAGAGTAGTTGGCATGACCCGTGCATCCCAAGAGCGCTCATAGAAAGCCAGCTAGTTTAGGTCCGTGGCCGCCAGAACGACGCTTTTTGCACTGCTGCAGTTCATGGAATGCAAATCTCGAGGTGCGCACTTCATGGGCGGAGAATAGACGCGAACCAAAAACATGCTAGCTTATCAACACTATCGTGCCACTCAAGAGCAGATACAGCCCATCAAGTGGTTAGCCAGTAAACCTGAGCGCCATTTATTGCCTACTCAGTGGTGTCCCTTCCAAAAATCGGACCCAGCGTGTAATAGTCACCTGAGGCAGTTTCACCTATCAGACCAGTACTTTGGTGTGCTTCCCGGGCTATCAATATGGCGAACAACAGTCGGGGCTGAGGCTCTGGATTCTGCCAACTTCTTCCTTCTCTTACTTAGCTGCACCCATAGAGTCAGAGCAGCAATCAACAGGCTGGGAATACCGACTCCCAAGCTCGCACCTAGTGCTACGATGTCCGATTGACTCAGTCCACCGTTAGATTTGGTTCCTTCTTGTGTATCGCTCGTCGGTGTGACATTGGTCGCTGCGCCTGTCCTTGTTGGCACGCTACTGCCTTGTCCGCTTGTCACCCCTGTTACTTTAATGCTGCTAGTGCCATCCGTCGCCGTCGCTTGTGCTGTTTCGATCGCGATATTTGCCGTTGCGCAGTATGAATCGTACAGACCCAACATGTTTGATAGCTCCGTGCTCCAGTTATCGACCACTTTGATACACCCCTTACTGATGCATGACGACAGGTACGACGTGGCCGAGCTAGCATAACTAGTAGGATATGTCAGCCTGAATTCGTTGTCATCCAACTTGCGACGTACCCTGTGCTGCAATAACAACCATTCAATGATGCACAACCACAACCTAGCCCCTGGCCAAGCCCGTAAAATCCCCCATTCACTCCGCAGACCCATATCCCGCGGAACTCGAGGCAGTTCGCTGCACAATCTCTTGCCGTCGAGTACGCCGTATTCGACGAGGCGATGGAGACATACGCGAGGGGACCCTGTGTGATGTCCGTCGCTCCTAGGATAGTGGTAGAAAAGCAGGTGAGCAATACAAACATATGCATCCAAGCCATGGTGAGGCCAGGGCACAGCTGAAACGCGGTTTGGGATAGAATGACCACGATCTTTGCATAAAGGTCGATCAAGTGAAGACTTGTCTTCGGACGTTATTGAGTACATAAATATTTTGGGCTGCGTGCAGACTGAAGCTTGGCGAAACATCACTCATATAGGGCTGAAAGAAATGGCGTCCAATAGCTTCGTATAGTGGTCGAAGCATCTTTCAGCGCTAGCTATTTTCGACTAACTGCCGACGCCATGCAGAGATCCAGGCCGCACTCTGAACTTGGCAACTCCTTCAAGTTTTTCTTCGTTCATCGGTACGGCCAATGAATTCAATGCATTGCCCCTTATCTGGTCATCTAAACCAAAACGTGACTTTTTATAGTGTGATAGGATGCAACGCCCAAATCGCCTTCGCTTCCCATCAAATGAATGGCTAGTATCCAAACATATCCCCGCAGACTTTGGGCTCCAGGCAGTCACTCACAACAAACACACAGCGACGAAGAAAGGTACGAAAAGTAGACATAAAATCTTCAACGGGAACTCCCCAGCTTCGCTGTAGTATGGGATACCCCCCTGGCAAGCTTGAAGGCCAGCGGCATACCCAGCTTCGTATCCGGTCCAATACCACCGACCTTGACCTTCTGTATACTCGCCGATACCGACACACCCTATATTCCAGCCTTGGGTATATCCAGTATTGTAATCGTCCGTATTATACGTCTAGTGGCTAGTGTCAGTATTATGTGTTAAATATTCCTTGTGTTCGGACTTTCACTTACCTCGGAGTCCCCTCCGTGGCTTCCGCCCTCTGATCCGCCAGAGGTTCCTCTAGTTTGGGTTGGGCGGGGGATGTAGGGGGTGGTCAGCCGCGTATATTTTGTAGGCACCGGCACTAACAGTGATGTGATCCTGGAGGTTGGTTTGGTCGGCGGATAGTAGGTTGTTCGCTGAGGTGTACGCGAGGTTGTGGTCTTTGCCTGTCGCTCAATTTGCGATGGCGCTCGAAGTGTTGGCGTGCTTTCTTGGCTGCTAACCTGCTCTGATAATACCAGAGATACCACAAGGGCTAGTGCAAAGCGTGAGAACTGCATCTGAGTGGTTCCGTTTCAGTGTATCGTCGAATTACTTCTGATCTTTTGAGAAAATGTTTACGGGCAAAGGATGTGCATGGCGTGACGTGGGCCAGGAAATATCAGATACGGAAACTTGAGTAGATATATGAAAAGTTAGTTTTTTTTTATCGCTAATGGGTTCATGCTTGTTTATTTGTGAACCAGTCAGTGTATTGAGAAATAAAATATAGCCTCAAATTATATCGCTCATTGAGAGTTTTCAATACGTCTCCGTAGATATAATTGCTAAACCCTACTGGTCTTCTCTTCAGACTCAACCACTGGCTGATTCCTGCTTGCATCAACGTACCAGTAGCTTCCCTTGTGAGCAGATTGAGCATTAAGATATAATTTTGTAGTTTGGTCTTGCCACCTTGAGCTTTCAACCTCGGTGGAGAAAGCACACAGAAGACAATAATGACCAGAAATTGTGCGTTGAAAGTTGGGCATAATTTTAGGTTTGATTTCTTCCCCTTCCATCACTTGCGAACACTGACAAATTAAGAAGGTAAGATCAGCGACAGGAAACTACCTTTCAACCCATGACACTTCAGCCGTCATATTTCTCGGTTTTATGACTAAGATTGACTATCAGGCATCTCCTACGTGATCATCTCTGGACATGACCGACCGGGTTTAAACGGGTAGTAAATATAATACAAGGTGTCTATCTTATATCTATCATGTACAGCACAGTCTATGACGCTGCCAACAGAACAGAAGACTCCGACAATAAGTCACCCCATGGAAAACGGAAACGCACTCCCTCTCACCTTTGCCCCATACCATCCCCATCCGTATCTTGCATACCCCTGAATAAAAAATCCTCGGCCTCCCTCCACCACCCCCTATCGTAGCGCCACAGCCTCAGCCCCCTGACCTCGCCCGTGCTGTCAGATAACCCACCCTTCAACTGCTCCAAGCACACCTCCACCTTCTCAGAGTCGTTCTCCTTATTCATCACCGTGTAGTGGCCGTTCCACGCCTTCCTGCGGTCCTGGTCGCTGAGCCACGGCTCCCACTTCGATCTGCACACCTCGTTAGTTTTGCGCTGCGCTCATAAAAGCGCCGAGCCCTAGGGTCCCAAGGGACCTCGGGTAGCAAAAAGATCAGACAGAAAGCCGGCCACAACACACCTCAAGCCCTCCCTCAGCCCGCGAGCCCGCTCCCCGGCCCGCGCATCAACCCCGACTCCGACGCCCCTGCCCATGCGGAACACGCCCTCGCGGGCGACGCACATACCGAACCGCTGCGTCGCGCCCGCGAGGCCCGCGAGGTCGCGCCGCAGCTCGCCCAGCCGCGCACCCGGCAGCGCGTGGAACAGCGTGACGTGGGCGTCGACCTTGAGGCGGGCGGGCGGGAAGTAGCGCCGGCGCAGCCCGGACATGTGGGCCTGGAGGCCCGGGTCCGTGAGGAGCGTCAGGACGTAGACGTCTTGGTCGTCCGCCGGCGGGCCGCCGTCTGGGCCGCGGCCCGGGCGGGGCGGTGTCTGGGATCGTGGACGGCGGTGCTGGCGGTGGTGGGGATGTTGCGATGTCGTCGTCGTCGTCGTCGTCGGCGGTGGGTTTGAAAGGGATGAGAAGGACGGGTCTGTGGAGGCTCGAGGAGACGCCGAGGCAGGAACCGTGGTCACGGTCATCCTGGCAGCCGAGCGAGTGCGGTGCCGTAGGCTTTGCATTTCGTTTTCCTCGGTCAAGACGGATGCGTGGCATGCTTTATGGTAAGGTAACTCGTCAGTCAAGTCAGGCATTACCCTTCACCGGCCGGAACCATGACGTCAATGATACCAACACAAGATACTAGCCGATCCACAAGGTCACAATTAGCAGCAGATTCATTGCTCGGGTTGGTTATCTCTTGGTTTCGATTTGTATTGTGCCTTGGCGACGTATTTCTACACTACATTATGTAGCCTTCCAGAGGGACACATTGCTGACACCGGATAGCTTTACATTGCCACCCTGTCCGATCTAATCTATTGAGCAGGATGGCCGTCCGGACAGTGTGTAAGAGCGATAAGTCAGACACGACCACCGATGCTGTTGTTGTTTTTGATGACTGGTGACACACTTGATGGAAAGAAGATGCATTTGAATGCGTGCGGAATGCCGTTGCCCCCTGTGTCCGGATGCAAATGCACGAATCGTAACCCTTAGACTCCGCTGACACTCGAACTCCATGCCAATGCAATGATTCCTCGGCTCCCTTCGCCTTCCGATGCTGCGAGTAGGTGACTAATGCTGCCATGATTCCATCTTTCGGTTTCTTCTCAGATAACGCTCCTAAAACATTGCCGCCGTCTCATCCATAGCAATTAACAAAGAAAACTACGACTATCATTACAATGGTCGCATGTTGGTGTATGCGACTGATTCTGCTGGGCAGCTTGCAGATTATTTTGGTGTGGATTACTTCAGGTCATTGGGATCGTGGCGGAAAGTGCACTGATCGCCCTTCGCGCACTTACCCTGAGCCCAAAAGGTGCAAGGTTTGGTGCCGATGAGTGACCGGTTGATCCCCTTGCGATCATAGTCCTTGCCTCCTCGGAAGGCCTCCTTATTGTCTTTTCGGCCTCGGCTGCCTTTGTCGCGCGACTCATACTCCGATGGGCCGTAGTCCAGCGCGCCATCTGCGGTGTAGGGTGCGCTGTGACCGCCACGGTCTCGTTCTCGTTCTCGCTCGCGGTTGGGTTGATGAGCCGCTTGCTGAGGCTGCTGATATGTGGGAGCGGCCTGGCCGGCTCCTTGTCCCACCGATGCATAGTACGCCGCCCACGCAGCAGCATTTGCTGCATTAGGATCTTGAGCGCCCTGGCCTGGATTTGGTGGCTGGGAAGCCTGGGCGCCACCGAGGGCGGCAAGCAGGCTTCCAATTTGTGCATTTGCGTCAGGTGTTCCTTGTTGCTGATGTTGATATGACGGTGCTTGGGGTTGCGCAGCCTGCTGTGCCTGCAGGGCCTGGGTCTGTTGTATGATGGCTGCATATTGGTCGTAGGTCAACTGCGAGCCCTGGCCTGGTTGAGGCTGTCCTTGGCCTTGGTTCATCTGAGCAAAGTACATTGCCCAGGCTGCTGCGTTCGGATCTTGCGTAGCTTGGGGTACAGCAGGCTGCGCAGCGACGTGACTAGCGGCGGCATTCTTGCGAGCGAACTCCTCAGCCAGTTTCATGGCACGGTCCTTGGCATCATGTGTGGCTTTCGCCGCCATGTCCTTGTTGTATCCTATCTGCCACTCTTTGACGTGATCAGGGTTGGATCTCATATGCTCCGGGGGCTCAGTGGCGGGGAACTGTTTGCCAATAAAGCCATGAGCCACATCCTCGAAAGCCGCAGCGTGTGCTTGGATCCTGGCATCGCCATAGTCATCTCGTCGCTGGGTCTTCAAGTTGTTGGGGTCGACAGGAATCGGGTCAACCCAGTTACGGACCGCGTCCGAACTCATCACTCGCAGGACCTCGGCATCGCGCTCGGTCTGTGTCATGGCACTAAAGCGAGACATCGCAGCGGATGAACTCGCAGTACGGGCAGCTGGTGGCATACTCGGTGCAAACGCATATGGCTGCACGTGTGTCGAATGAGACATGTTTCTGAGTTGAGCGGAGAGTTTGTCCAGCCTGGCAGCGCGTTCGGGACTGGCCCGAGTGCGAGATCGTTCGATCATACGTTGTGTCGCCACGCTGGGTCCGAACTGTGCAGCTTCTGTCGCCCTCAGATGAATTTCTTGCAGGCCGGGCGTGTCGGGGTGGAGCTGGTGTGCTTGAGGGGGAACTGAAGGCTGCTGAGCTTCCCGGCGGGGTGGCGATTTGGGAGTGTCGGGAATATCCATCGCAGACGTGTAGATGTTCATGAGATGCGTTTGCTCATACTTCTCCATGAAGCCCTGCTCTTCGGTATGGAATTCCTTATTTCCGCCTCGGCTGGTGTAACTCTTGTCCCGCTGGCCCGGATTGACGTTGTCGATGTGGGAGAAGATGATCGAGGGAGGATCTCTCCACTCCTTCAGGGCAATCTCCTTGGGCTTACCCTCTTCCGTGTCTTCCTCCTCTTCATCTTCATAGTCCTTCTGAGCGCCCTGATCCTGGCCATCGGGACCGTGGACACGAGCCCGCTTCAAGGCCTGTCCTTCTGACCGGTTATCACGGGCGTCACGTATCATGTTGCTAGCGCGCCCTTCGTCCTCGGCAGCATCGTGCTGGAAGATGCGCACTTCTTCCAGCTCGTGATCAGGTTTCCAAACAACCCTGAGACCACGGCGAGCCTCTTTGCGCAACCTTCGTGCCTTCTCCTCGGGAGTCTCGGATGCTCTGGAAGGCTCCTCCTTCTGTCTGGGTGGAGACTTGGGCTTCGTGATTTCCGCCAACAGACCACCAATCATAGACGAAGTGGACGTCGGCTGCGGCTCTGGCTTCTTGACGGCAGGCTTTGCGGCAGGTCTTGCCCGTCCTGGGAGGATCGATCCACCGGCCTTTGGACGAGGCTGTACGATCGTGGTGGTTTTGGCAGCCGTGGCGTTCGACATCGTCTTGGATGCCGCGGAACTGTTTGATGAGCCATCCATTGCAACCTTTTTCGTTGCACGTGAGTCGACGTCGTCGTCTCTCGGTCGTTTGGACGGTGATCCCGATGTAGTCTTCGTAACTCCGTTACTGACCTTCCTAGCCTCAAGGACAGGGGTTCCGCCCGGCTGGACCTTCTTTAAGTCAGCAGATGCCGGCTTCTTGGATGCTGAGACTAGGTCTTTGGCCATGACAACCGGTGTCTTCTTCGCGAGGCTCGTCGATTCTTTGAGACTGCTAGCTGCCGCCCCTTCCTTGGCCTTTTTGTCAGCATCCGCTGCAGGACGCTTTGCCTTCAGCAAAATTTGGTCCAGGTAGCCGTGGCAGATCTTGTCGAAATCTTTGAGATGCTTCTTTTGGTACTCGGGAACCTTGAGGACGTTAACCACGAGTCCACGCTCCATCGTCGTGAACTGCGAGAAGAGTCGCAAGATTGCCTTTGGAAATGGACCATTAAAGTCCTTCGAAGCCAGAGAACTTCGGAGGGCATTCCAGAGAATGACGGCCAATTTGTGATTCCCGCCCATGTTCTCCAGCACCGAAGGCTCAGCGTATTTTATGGCTGCCCCGACGGCGGCACGGATCAGATTGAGTTGGGCGAGATGCTCTGCTTCTAGTGCCGCCAGCTGCTTACTCTTCTTTTCCTTGGCGGCTTTGACATCCTTTTTGAGGTCCTTTGCTCGGTTCCAGAGCTTTTCTATGTAGACACCGAAGCTGTGGATGGCATTGCCTGTTGCATTGGGCTGCACAGCTTCAGCTGGGTCTCGCCAGACAATCTTGATGATATCGTACTCAGCGGCCTTGATGGGATCGCTTGGTTTTGCAGACTTCTTGATCTTGCGTGCTTCCTGGTCTTCCTTGGTCTCCTCAAGGCCATCAGAATCGCTCTCATACTCTGAACTGTCGTCTGAGGACTCGCTTTCGGGTCTACGCGCAGACGGGGCTTTGCCTTCAATCATAGCTGTCGACTTCTTTCGCCCATGCTTGCCAGAGGGTCCGATGCTTTCTCCAGTCAATTGCGTCATCTCACTATCCAGCCTGGCCTTCTCCCCAGCGATGGCTCGTTTCTTGGCGTCATGTTCCGCCACCTTCTCCTGCTTATGCAACCAATCCCAGTCACGCTGTATCTCACAGGGCAAACGTGAAGAGTAGCTCGACAGCAGCGGTGCGTCTCTCGCGTTGAACTGGGCCACGAAATGGAAGGCCTTTTCAGGAAGGGGCTTGACATTGGACCCATCAACGGGAGAATCAGCAACAAACAAATTGGGGCAACCGCGTATTTCCGTGAATCCACCAGCGGCGATAGGATCAAAGGGAGGTCGTGAAGGCACATATGTCAGAGTGGCATTGTTCTGGACACCTTGCATAGGCCCTGGCGCTGGGTGCTCTATGAAAGTCTGTGCATGGGAGCTGGCTGTTTGTGAAGCAGCAGGAGGAACATAGGGTAAGACTGCAGGATTGTTAGACTGCGCTGCTGGTGGGTTTTGCATCGCCGAAGCCGTGCGCTGGACGGGAACATTTCCTGGCGTGTGGGTAGGCTGGGGTGAGGCTGCCGACAAATTCACTTGACCAGCTGCTTGCGGCGGCTGGATGGAATAACGGAGCTGGCCCTGGAAACCAACGGGTGACTGTGTGGGGGCAGGCACGGGGGTCTGGTACGGGCTGCCAATGTACTGTCCTTGGTTCACCTGGAATTGGTAATGTGAGGTGGCCGGGTTAGGAGGCTGCTGAGGTGAGTGGCCCGAGGCTTGATGATTACTATTGGGCGTCAACTCGGCCCTGAAGGCACTCTGTCCACCGTGGTTGACAGCAAAGTGGCCCGAAGCCCGCGCGGCGGGGGGCGGCGTGTGCGCATGGGATTGTTGCAGTTGCTGCTGGTACAGGTTCTGTGGGACCTGGTCCTCATACCTCAAAGGTGTAGGGTATTGCGAATGCGATGGTTGGGTTGGTTGGGGCTGCCAGGAGTTGTCGGTAAAGCTGTTCGCTGGTTGAGGGTTGCCATGATTCGACTGGACGCTGAAATGCTGGAACGACGGGTGCTGTTGCTGTTGCTGTTGCTGTTGCTGTTGCTGTTGCTGTTGCTGTTGCTGTTGTTGTGGCTGCGGCTGCACCTGTTTTTGTTGCCCTTGCCCCACGAAGGCCGGATCATGATAGGATCCATCGGGGTACGACGCTGGCTGAGCCGCGGCAGGGCTGCTGTGCTCCACGGAACGGGTGGTGTCGTTGTACGCAGTGCCGGGCGGATAGTAGTCCGGGGCGGGATAGAATTGCGGGTCGGAGGCTCCGGGGTGATCCACAGCGCCCCAACTGGGCAAGTAGAAATTATCTTCGGCGAACCCATCGCCGTACCCCAGGGCAGGGTCATGAGAGTTCATAGCATTGTCGGTTTCTCCTCCTTGGGGATGGAACTGCCCATTCGGCCAACCATGGCCGCCGTGTGCCATAGTTGTTTAGCCGCCTGGGGATAATTCGTGCACGTGATCCTTGGGAGGGCGGGTTAGCGACGGGATGGTGGTAACGAAACGACTGCAGCGTGATGATTGGCCGCAATGGGGTGGGGTTATCGGTTATCAAGCTATTGCAACACGATGCGGGCCAATGGACGGCTGCGATTGTACTCACTTCTGGTAGAACGGCGCGCTGAATATGATACAGGTTTGATGTACAGGGTATTTCCAACAGTTTATTCGGGGCGTAGCGATTGCCCGGCGGCAAAACGGTGTGGGCTGCTGCTCTGCTCTGCTCTGCTCTGTTCTGCTCTGCTATGCTCCGACCAGCAAAAAGATGTAGGTGCGGGTGTAGACAGATGTGGAGAGGTGTGGTATTAGCTCAGCCAGCTCGGGGTGAGACGTGGGCTGAATCGGCACTAGTTCCAGGATCTAAACCGCAATTGGTCAATCAGCTGCTGCAACGAAGATCCAAGCATCAATGAACAAGAAACAGGTGTACGGAGGGTGAAGTGATGTTGGGATGGCCGCATCTGGCGGAGGAAAAGGGTCGGTGGTAGCTAGAGCGGATGGACGCCGAATGCCAGGTCATGCCAGCAACCTAGGGAGGACAGCCGGGTGGTTGTCGCGGCTCGGTATCGGTGGCTCTGGTGGGCTGGTCTGATGCATTGTCCTGTGACGCGACGAAGCCCACGGCTGTCAGAATGTCGCCAGATCCACCACCGCGCAATCAAGTCTTTGCAGTCTTGGACGGCAGGAGGAGCGGACCATCTGTTCAGAAGTACACATAGCCCCGGCGACGCTGCTTTAACGGTTCTCGGAACCGGCAGGTGCGCATGGTGGTGATGGTAGTTGTGCCTGAGGTCTGCCTTTGGCTCAGATGCGCTAGGATTCTGGTTCTGACAGCAGAGCAATTTCAAGATTTTGAAGCGTGGAAAGACGGACGGGCCAGCAACACCAGTCTCTCTGCACCACCACAACTTCTGATGCAGCAGCCGTAGTCTATCGCAAGTCTTGTTGACTACCGCCTGCTTCTTCTGCCCCTTTTCGCTCTCCCTCCTTTTGCGGTGGGAATTTAGAAGTTACTGGGAAGGCTGATGAGTGACGGTGGTCTGCCTGTCTGGACACCAGACACCAGGTCGGCTCTAGCGCGCGCTGATTTGCCAACCAGCTCAGCTCAGCTCAGCTCTGCAGGCTGGACGGATGCGTGTGCCTCTTTGTTGACTGATGGTCGCGCAACTCACCACCTGCGAAAAACCACCCCTGCCACACTTGCAATTCATGGATGCAGGTTTCGAGGAAAAAAAACATCGCTTGCTTTGCGTACGTGCGTCATATGAATCTTGCGGTTTGGTATGGGCTTGACAAGGTGACTCAAAGGTCGGGTGCAGTGCTTGCAGAGGGGGGGAAGGGGGAGGGAGAGAAGGGGAGGGGGAAGTTTTGAGTTATTTCATACCCGTAGATGGTGGCAGTTGGGTTTTCCTTGCCTACTGCCAGTTGTGCTGCTTGTTCATCATCAGAGAAGGCCCGGCATGATCGTGCATCACTTGCTCTCAGTCAACGAGAGGGGCGTGACAATTACAACATGGTCCCCCGCTGGCAGGCGCAGCTGAGGAGGATTGATCTGATCTGTCTAGAATTTCTTTGCAAAAGTGGTGGACAGGAGGCCAGGTTCAATCGAGAATGAGAAGTGATCTGCCCAGCACCACAATGCCCAGTGGCAATTTAGAGAGAATTATTACTGTCCAGCAGCGCCCGAGTTATCTCGAGCGACCAAGCAGTCCAGATGAAGTAAATCAGCAGCCGCACCAGTCAGAGGTTCCGACGGCAGCGGCGGGAATGATGGAGGGTTGATGGACGGTGCTGAGGGAGAGGTGTCGCGGTTTGTTGTTGTCGCGTGCGATGATGAAGAGAGGAGAAGAGATTGGGAGCGGGTGTGGAATGGCTGGGCGAGGGGGGCAGGGAGAAAAGCCAAAGGAAGCGCGGGCTGGCGGGAGCGGCCTAAGATTGGGTCTGGGCCTCTTGACCTGGGGACCAAGTGGGAAAGAGGTGTTGGCGGCTGCCCGTGGTGCCTTGCTGTTTCGGCTGCGCCATGAGCCGTGTGGCCCACCAGCTGGAGGCCAGCGAAAAGGCAGAAGTGACCAAACCCCAGTGGTCCGTTTGGGTGGCCAGGGGCCCGTCGCTGGACTACAGGGAGTCATGCAGTGGGACGCAGTGGGTGGCCGTGGAACACTTCCAGTTCGATTGACGGGGACTAACTTAAAGGACCTACCTAGGTAACCACTTGGTCCACTCTTCAGTTAGGTAGCCTGGTAGCTCACCAGTGAGCCAGACATCGAAATGCTCACGAACCGCACAGTACATTGGGGCCTAGAGGTTCATTGTTTCGCTGGCCAAACCTTTACCCGTCAAATGTCATCTGCCCGCGCGTGTCAGTGTAACAAAGTCGCCAAGCTAGCCGCATACGACGGGATTGGGCGACACGAGACGTGAGACACTGTCCGCTCTGTGGCGGATCATCCTCAATTCCGGCTTCCGACCCGTACCTGGGTTTGTTAAGTAGCCGATAGCTCTGCCTGCTGACTTCCTGGAGGATGTGGATGCCTAGGAAAGGCAGAGATGTGTGCCGGTGAGGAGACGTATGCATGTGCTGTAGGGACCGAGAGCTCGCTTGGGGGCTACTCTGCCGTTGCTATATTTCTCTGTTCGTGTATGGGTGGAATAGCAGCTGGGCAACGATGTAAGCAAGGTCCGTAGGCATATCCAGTAGCTGGCTCTTCGCCCCTCTGGCCAGGTCATCATATCTTTGAGAGTTGAAGACAGCGAAGCATTCCGCGGCGACCCCGACTTTGACAGAGCAAGACCTGGTTCAGAACAAGAATTCCAAGAAACGACCGATGCCATTCACCCATCCAGTCGATCCCGTCTTGTCACGTCTCCTCCTCGTCCGTGTCCGCCGTGTGCCTGTGGCGTCAGTCGTTGGTCGACTGCAGCTCCACTGCCACCTGCATGCATCATCGCAACTGGCCAGCCCCACGCTAGAGGCCGGGTACTTCCAGGTACTGGCAGCACCTAACCCCAGGCCAGCATCTAACTTACATTGGATGCATGCAGTCCGTACCAGTAGCACCGTAGCTCAGCAGTGCCTCCTGCGACTGCGAATATTGCCAGATTGCGAAACTCCCGAGGTCCCCCAAGTTACCTACAGCTGGAGGCAGACACACCCGGCCAGAGAGCGCCGCATCCCCAATCGCATACACAGGCTTCGCAGGCCATCCCCTTGTCCCGCGAGAGAGGCCCTCGAGCATGGCTGCCAAGGGCGATTCGCTGCGCGACAGGCAGATTGCCTCGTTGCGCAAGATCCTGAACCTCAACCAGGACACCGACCCCAGGGACGACGACGAGCACCACGCCAACGGCACGCTGGCCCCGGCCGGCCCCTTGCTTGGCGCCGACGGCGAGCCCGTGTGGAAGGTCCTCGTCTTTGACGACCTGGGCCGCGATGTCATCAGCAGCGTGCTGCGCGTGAGCGACCTGCGCTCCCTGGGCATCACGATGCACATGTACGTCTCCCCGCCAAAGCTAGCCCGCCCGCCGCCCGCATCTGCGGCCTGGATATGTTATATATTCACCTGCCCATGCACCTACATGCGCACGTACATACATGTCCAGACAGGCCTGCGTCCTTCCCGTCCCTCCGTGACTTGGATTTGAAAGCTAACCGCAAACCAGGCATCTTTCGGCCTCCCGGCATGCCATACCCGACGTGCCCGTCATATACATGCTGGAGCCGAGCCCCAAGAACCTCGAGGCCATCACCAGCGATCTGCAGAAGGGCCTCTACTCCCCTGCCTACATCAACTTCACCTCTTCGATACCACGGCCTCTACTGGAGGACTTCGCCTCACAGACCGCCACCGCCGGCACCTCGGAACACATAGCACAGCTCTACGATCAGTACCTGAATTTCATCGTCGCCGAGCCGGACCTTTTCAGCTTGGGGATGCAGAAGGAGAACACATACTGGGCACTGAACAGCGCAAAGACCAAGGACGAAGAGCTGGACCATGTTGTGGACAAGATTGTCAGCGGGCTGTTCAGCGTCGTCGTGACACAGGGCGTGATACCTATCATACGGTGTCCCAAAGCTGCCGCCGCCGAGATGATTGCAGCAAAGCTGGACCGAAAACTACGCGACCATATCCTCAACTCCAAGGACAACCTGTTCTCTGCGAGCGCTCGACCGGCCTCGTCCGCGGGAACCGCTGCTTCCCGGCCCGTGCTGATCATCCTGGACCGGAATGTCGACTTGAACCCAATGCTGTCTCATTCCTGGACGTACCAGTCCCTGGTGCACGACGTCCTGAACATGAAGCTGAACCGCATCACGATCGAGACGCCAGTCGACGAACAGAACCCTGCCAAGGGCGTTTCCAAGAAGGCCTACGACCTGACGGCTTCCGACTTCTTCTGGGAAAAGAACGCTGCTCTGCCATTCCCTCAGGTCGCCGAGGATATCGATGCCGAGTTGACCAGGTACAAGGACGACGCTGCCGAGATCACCAAGAAGACAGGCGCTTCCTCTATAGAGGATCTACAAAATGACACGAGTGCGAGCGCGCAGCACCTCAAGGCCGCCATCACATTGCTGCCAGAATTGCGCGAACGCAAAGCCACACTTGATATGCACATGAACATCTTAGCTGCGCTTCTAACAGGAATAAAAAACCGACAGCTAGACAATTTTTTCCAGATGGAGGAGGAAGTCATGAAGCAGACCAAAGCGCAAGTGTTGGAGGTTATTAAGGACGAGGCTAGGGGAGACCAGCCACTGGACAAGCTGCGATTGTTCATAATCTGGTTCCTGAGCACCGAGCAGGAAGTAAGCAGAGCAGAGTGGACTCAGTTTGAAGATGCCCTAAAGGCCACTGGCATTGATACCACATCACTCGCCTACATCAGACAGTGAGTCCAACCAATTGCACCCTAACGTGAACTCCAAAGCTGACCATCTCTACAGGGTCCGAGCCACGACCAAGATGACGCAGCTGACCACCATCAACAACCCTACACAACCTTCTAACCAGCCTGGCTCCGACCTGTTTGGTCGCTTCTCGAACCTCTCCACCCGTCTGACTGATCGAGTCAAGGACGCTGGTGTGACACTGCCTGGCGGCTTCAACCTAGATTCTCTGAGTGGCGCACTGAAGAACCTCATCCCCGTAAATCGTGACTTGACAGTGACAAAGATTGTCGAGTCCCTGATGGACCCTCAGGCGGCAGCAACTTCGGCCCTCGCCAAGACGGAAAACTATATGTACTTCGACCCAAGAAGCGCCAACGCACGAGGAACGATGCCGGCTCCAAGTGCTATTAGAGCAGGGGCTGGCAGCACGCCCGGTGCGCTTCCAGGCACTCAGGGCCCCGGCATGGGTGCGAGCTTTGGCCAGAGACGCCAAGGTTACACAGATGCCATCGTCTTTGTGGTGGGAGGCGGCAGCATGGATGAGTATGGCAACTTGCAGGAGTGGATAGCCAGGACTGGTGGAGAAAGAGCCAAGAAGAGGGCCATCTACGGAGCCACGGAGATCATGAACGCCACCGAGTTCTTGAGCGGACCCCTCGAAAGGCTAGGACAAGAAGTCAGTAGCTAAGCTGCATAACTTTGTGGGCATACAAGAAAACAAAAGGCTTGCGGCGTAACGGCAAATGAGACTTTCCGCCCTACAATTTGGGAGTCCTAGTAAGCAGACCAAGGCATTACAATTATAGATCAACGAATAAAGGACAACGAAGGGACAGAGTCATTGCACGAAAAGCTGCACCCCCAGATGACGAGGATACCGAGTGCTATAGTGAGATGCTCGTGGGTCAAAATCGTTTGTAGCATGTGCTGCATAGCTGGGCCAATCATTACTATAGTGACAACGACAGAACTCAGGGACTCTCATTTTCGGACAGTAAATGCTTCATTGATGAACTCGAAACTCATATTCCCGTCCAACTGCGCTCGACTCAATCATCATCGTCGTCCTCTTCCTCGTCATCGCTGTCGTCCCCGCCGCCATCACCACCAGCCGCAGAATTGAACGGCACTGCCCCAGTGGCGGGTTGAACCGGCGCGCCCGCCAGCGCCGCGACCCGGTCGAAGTCGGCCTGCGGCACCTTCGCGAGCCCCAGCTGCGCCTGGAACCCGCCGAACCCGACATCGTGGAAGTTGAGCACGGCGGCCGGCGACCCGGGGTTGCCCACGGCCTTGCTGCCCAGCGCCCAGCCCATCTCGACCGTCGCAGTCGCGGCCGCGGCGTCGAGCCCCAGCCCCGCCCCGAGGCACCCCTCGCACAGGAACGTATAGGTCAGGAACGAGGCGTTGACGGCCGTGCCGTCCGCGATGGGGCGGGCGACGAAGGTCCCCGTCACCTCGGGCGGGTTGTCGTCCTCGTTGCGCGCCTGCCGGAACGACGACACCACGCCCGTCCCGGCCGCGTTGGCCCACGCCGCCATCAGCAGCGGGCCCTCCATGTCGCCCGTCAGCGACCACCCGCCCCAGCCCGCGCCGTTGACCAGTGGGAACGTCAGCTGGCCGATGAAGGACGACGACGCGTTGCCGGCGGCCGCCGTGTCGGGAAGCGCCATGGCGAACCCGAACCCAGACTTGGCTCCGAAGAACCGCTGCATGGGGATCCCCGTCGCTGGCTCCGTGAAGGCAGCCGTTATCTTGGTGCCGCTGCCGCCCTCATCGTCGTCGTCGTCGCCGGCGACCGCTGTGGCCAGAAAGAGGAGGATTATAGGCACGAGGCTAATGTGCAGGAACAAGGAGTGGTAAAAAAGTCTAGACCTCATCGTGATGTATGAGTGGAGGCCAAGATCTGAGGATCCGATGGTGACTGGATTAGAGGATATGTTACAGTGAACTCCCTTGATGGCGTGCCACACACTGCGAGCTGATCTGAAGTCATTCAGGAGATTCTGGGGAACCTTTATACATCGTTCCAGTGCCACGAGAATCGCCAGACTCCAGTAGCGTCCTACCTTGGGGACATACTCAGAAGATGGATATCAGAACCCTGCGAAACGTTTCCTATACACCACACGGCCTGCGTGGTCCAATGACAGCACATAGGTTGATAATAGCCCAGCCATCTACGAATCACAGGCCTGGCTGGGCGTGCCGCGCAGCCGGTGCACGCCTGTCTGCCAAACAGGCAGCTTGTCGCCGTCATCCAAAATAGACTGCTACAGGGCAAGGTTCGCGGCCGGGCCCTCCCTGCGCAGCTCACGGCCCACATCGACACATGGGCATCAGAGGCGATCGTGGGGCGGGGGGGTCCGACTCGGGTTGCCCACTGTCGACGCCTGGTCGTGTGCCCAGGTGCTACTTTGGGTGATGCCTTTGTGTCATGTCGGGGCTCGCTTGCCTGGGTTACTCGAGTCGAGAGAGATCTCCCGCCAAACCCGCGAATCCCCAGGTTCTGATGGACGTGAAGATCTGTGTGTGGGGCGCCAAGGTTTGGCCAAGCCTCGTCCACGGCTGTGGGTGAGACGTCAACCGCCGGGGATTTGGGGCCAAAACGCCTATACCATGGCGCTAGTGTGCCTCAATAGTTTGACGAGATGGCAGGTCTCTTGGTACAGTCTTCATTGGGGCCTCCAGTCAACTCCAGTCAAGCAATGGCCAAGGCGAGAAGGTGGGCCAAGTTCGCCTGTCTTTGCAGTTTCAGGTCATCTTATACCAACCATGGCTCGTGAAACATCTGATGAGACCTATTTTAAGAACACACTGAGGCATTCTGGCGGCGAAGAGTAGGGCATGTAAATGACTTTCGTTCGCAATGAAACCTTGCAGCCACTACAGTGTCTTCTCCGATGGTGATGCGACGACTCTCAGGTTAGTCGGAGGCCGCAATACGGTCACATGTATAGGCTTTGGTATGTGAATGTTGACGGCGAGTTGACTCATCACGGGTCTAGAGAATGTAAGAGTATGGGAGACATTTTCGTCTCATTCCAATTTCTCGTATACCATAAGCGTATAAGGTATCGCCTTAGCAGGCGGGGCCACGCCAAAACGGCAAAATATCATTGGTATAGAATGCTATGTGAAGCTGAAACACCGCATGGTCTCGTAGGTATTTCCATCAGGTAAAATTGCACGAAGTGAAGTTTTCACCTTCACAACCCTGGCATTGGATGCATCTCGACTAAGCTTTACTATCCTGCAGCGTCTCGTTCAGGTGCCGCTTTTCCGGACGCCACACACAGTACCATGGTCCCAAAACACCTCTTACCAGATCAGCATCATATTGGTACAAGCGAGACATGTACGCTTGGAACACTGGGATGCCAGAGGTGATAATCCGGTCTGCGCTGGACCAAAAGTGCTTCATTGTTTGATGGAGAAATATGTGTGACGGGTTGCAAAACAGTATTGATCTCACAGCTTGCTGAGCAAGATCCTCTGAACGATCACATCGCGTCACGGTTTCCTTCCAGCAGATAATCAAATGCTGGGGTACCGGTACCCGGCCAAATTGGTAATCTAGACAGCATCCTTGGCTTCAAGTAAGAAGTGAAAGATTCTTGCATATGTACAAGGATATGCGCTATTTACAACCAGATAAGTCCTTAGTCACCCCTCTATCTACAGCGGTAGAAGCGCTGTTGTGCTGTACGAGTTCCACGCTGTCGTTGAAAAATCATGGCATGACGCCTAACCCATATCTTACATGTACTCGGGATATATAAGAAAACGCTCAACCAAAGGAGCAACAATGTACGCGGGATTCGCCCCGAGACTGCAACCCAAAAACCGCATACCACACTATGTATGCCCCGAGCAGTCACATTCCATGTTTTCACAACCCGAGTTGTGTCTGCTGACTAGACGGGGTAGATCGGGGTCCTAATTCCCCACCGAAGCAAATCATTGATTGTTCAAGACGTCGAATATTCCCTCCAATACCATAGGCTGCGCCGGCGGTGTCTGCCCCGAGAACCCGCAATCAAAGGAATCCTCGAAACTGATAGGGGTAGTAGTGGCGGACGTCCTCATTGAGGCTGTCTTCACAGGTCGAGGCTCAAGCATCCCCAGCCCGATCTCCTCGGTGCTGGAAGCGGACCGCTCAGCTTCGAGTGCCATGTCCAGCCTGGAAGAGTACTTCCGCAGGGTGTGAGCTCCCCCAGAACCAGGAGTTCGGGGCAATGGCTTCGGCGATGGGGTGGACAGGAGGAGAGGTGAAGGGGACGAGAAAGAGCCTGGGGAGGGGGGATCATCCAGGCTTGATGAAAGGAATTCAGTCTCGAGGAGCTGAAGCAAATCCGTGACCGTAACACCTGGCGGGAGGCTGAACGTTGGCCGCGGAATACGCCTGTAGGCTGGTGGTTTCCGTGGTTGATCGCTCAGCGTCTGCGAGACTACGGGATCGGGAATGGTTTCGTCCTTTCGCGGCTGCGTTAAAGCCCTCGGGGGTTCTTCATGTATGGAAGAAACTTGGGCTGGTGGACTAAGAGGCTCAGGTGTACCAGTATAGTCGGATGGAGCGGGGCGCTTGGGAGTTTCCGGGGCCACAACATGTACGGGCTCCGCAGGATGGGCCGCGCGATGGTTTTCTTGTAGGCGCCTCTGTCGTAAAGAGGGCTCTCTCCGAAAAGCTGTCTGCAACCGGAGTTTCCCTTGCTGGGACTTGGATAGAGTTCGTTGCAATCCGTTTGGGGCTGGCATCATACTCGCCCTTACGTTGTTGAGGGAGTCCGAGGGGTTCTGCGACTCGAACGCCGATACCGCCTGAGACACTGGCACATGCTGATCGCCAGTATGGTTCATCTCCTGGATGAGATAGTGCAGCTGCGTCTCGTCCAGGTCTGCCAATACCTCATACAGGGAGCCTAGCGAGGAAGAGGGCTTGTGCTGCTTTCTATGAGGCGGCGGAGTGGTGCCCATGGGGCCTGAAGGGCTCTGATAAGCCATACCCGCGACCTCTGATGATACGTCGAGCTTGTCTGGAGATAATCTTATAGCAGCAACAGTCGTCAGGTTCCGTCAACAAAGCCCACACCGTCACCACAATGTGCCGACGTAGGTACTTCAATCGTGAGCTCGAGGTATGCCGAGCTGTGAACTTGCACGCAGCATGTCGCAAGGATTGCCCCCGACCCCTACTGAGCCTCGCGTCACAGTGTAGGTGGAGTCCACATATGGTTCATAAGACTATAGGGTCTGCTGCAGTGCAGTGGAGAAAAGCAAGGGGAAGGGATCTGGTAGATCAGGTGATTTTGTCTCACCTGTATACCGTTGTGATGGTGCAACTATCTCGCAGGTTTTTGAATTTCCGTCGCGACCCCTTTTCCAAAATCTTGCGCCATTTACCTAATTAAACCGACGCCACACTCTAAATGACCCGGAAGCTGTGGCTAGGCTGGCTTAGGGTGCCCACCCCCGCGGGTTACAGGGGTTTTATAGACTGAGACACGCGCTAGCGCGGTCGCTGGTGGGCTGCCGGCGACCACTCGTAGGTAGGTATGCAGTTGAGAATTGTATTATTACCTAAGTTATCGTAATCCCGAAGAGCAGCTGTCAATAGATATGAGACGAATTAACTTATGTACATATACTTTAGAGCTGCATTGTTCACAGGCAGGCTCATGGGCTCGAGAGACAGGCCTGGTGTCAGAGAGAGGGCTTCTAGTTCGGATTTGCGCCACGTATGAGTAGCCTCCTATTCTAACTGCCGGCACTTCCAATAGTCATCTGCTCCAATCAGGTAATTGATTTTTCTTTAGCTGATCGGCACCGAAGCTACGGGAAACCGTATCCTTCGCAAGTGTTCATACCTTTTGGTTTTTGCGGATCTCTCCTTCGCTCCTCATAAAGTCTAGCAGACCGACGTCTCTTTGAGCTTCTGCCAACATCCTTGCGTCCTCCGCACCAGTATGACTCTTGAACACTCTATCCATTTCTTCGAGTGTGGCGTTCTTCGTCTCCGGCAGGATAAACCAAACCCAGAAGAACCCGACAAACAGGAATGCGGCAAAGAAGATGTACGTTCCCCAGGCCCATGCCTCGAACATTGGCGGTACCATGAACGCAATCGCAAAGTTGTTGATCCAGTTGGAGCTAGCTCCGATGGAGGCTCCACGAGCGCGGATAGACAGTGGGAATACTTCAGATACGAGGACCCACGACGCAGGGCCCCATCCAAAGCCAAAAGCACCGATATAGATCCAGATTAGAACGACAGCTGCCCAACCCGCATCTGTGTGGTTGGGCCAGTCATGACGAAATTTGGCTACAATGATTCCCACCGTGACCATGCAGAGGAACATGACCACTGAACCGCTTAGTAGCATAGGCTTGCGCCCCAGTTTATCAATCAAGAACTAAGCCTTGGTCAGTATGTACTGCGAGACATGTTTGCATCCAGATGTCCTTACCATAGCAGGCAGTGTGCTAACCAAGAAAACGCTGCCCGTGACACCAGTTGCCAGGAGAGCAATAGTGCCTTCAGAAAACCCGTAGCTCTGGAAAACATTCGACGCGTAGTAAATGACTGTGGATATATCAGTCACTGTAGAGAAAACAGTCGATTAACAACTTACTGGCATCTATGCCACTCCACTGTGAACAAAAGTCAGCATACTTAATTCCAACTACCGCGTTAGTCGCCGGTCATCAAGATCACGTACCTGTTGCCAAAACATCACGAGCCAAGCAGTGCTGACTCTCTTGAAGTTGTCCCACGTTCTAAATAGGTGAACGTAACCCGAGATCTCCCTCATAAAAATACTCTGCTGTTCCTGTTGTATGAATGACGTTAGCGACAATGGAGCCTTTACTTTCAAGGCTCTTGACTCACCTTGGATGCCAGCTTCGGAAAGCTCTTGCGGAAAACCCTGTCCTCAAACAACGCTTCCGCCTGAATCTCCAGAAATTCAGCATGAACAAGTGGGTCGTTTATTTCCCTCTTCCTAAGCCAGGCGAGTGTTTCTTTCGCTTCCTCATGGCGTCCAACCTTGACAAGCCAACGCGGCGAAAAAGGCATCCACCATATTCCTACGGCGAGGAGCACGGACGGAATGCCCTGGATAATGGATGGTAGGCGCCACGCTAGATCTGATTGGGTTTCCCCTATGCCTCCGATATAGTTACTTCCGTAGCCGATCCAAAAACTCAGGAAGATGCCCAATATCGTTGCAAGCTGATAGAAGGAGACGATAAACCCTCTCGTCTCTGGAGCAGAAATCTCAGCGTTGTAGAGGGGCCCCACACCAGAGAACGTCCCTACACCTAGCCCAGTGAAAAATCTCCCTGCGTACAGTAGCGCTGGGTTGCCAGCCGTAGCGCCAACGTACAGATATGACCCCAGGATCACCCAACAGCAGGCACTGAACATAGTATACTTGCGCGAGAACATCTCTCCCAGAAGCCCTGCACTCAAGGAGCCAATGATACCGCCAAGCTGAAGCACAGATGTCAGCCAACCTTGAGCAGTCGATGATTCCACGACCGAGGGGAAGTTCCCCGTGAACCGAGTCATGACAAGGGACTGGGAAAGAATGCCCTGCTGATAGCCATACTCAAAACCTCCAAACCTAGGAATATTATCAGCGATGACTGTGATTAGGGTGCGATGCCCCCTTCAAGCCTCACTACATCTTGCACTTACGAAGCGAAGAGGGCGATGAACAGAATCTTTGGGTTCGCTTTGATGGAGTGCCATCTGTCTTTGACAGCAGCCTCTACTCTCCAGTCGGCAGTGACGACCTCGTCAGCATGCACTGGTGCTGCAGCAGCACTTCCATGCTCCACAGTGGACTTTTCATGCTCTGTGGACTCTGCCATTATTTACTCGTCTTAAGCCCGATATGACTCTGGAACTCGAGAGAACTCGTGGGAATTCGGGCCCGGCGACCTGATGCCAATCGTGTTCTTATATAAACCGGCTTTGCCCCGGCTCGTTGCTGGGTCATTGCAGCGTCAATGCAACGTGAGACTAGAATCATCTTTGCGATGGCGCCAACGCACCATTCCGCGGTCGACTCCGACATGCATGCGTCTTGTGTGTCAGCGTTCAGTCGGACCTCACCACGAATTGACCCTTGCTAGCAGGCATCCTGAGCAACAGAGCGGTTCCAACTCCCGAAATCGCCAATCACAAAATGCTTGCGGGGTCTGCGGGGATTCGCGGGCAGGACACGGGGTCGCGATGCGGGGATCATAAGTCATAGCGTGGTTATGACTTCCCATTTGAGGGCTACCAGCGGGAAGCAGTGGGCAATAATGGGCGGATCTATTCCCAACCTCTATTCTTTTCAAGAGAGAGCAATCTTGGAGATCAAGTAAAACGGTATCTCGTGACTTCGTGGTTGAAATCAAATTGGTTGCACATGGTCTTTGATGATTCAGATATGGATGTACAAGCATGCAGTCAACCGTTGCTTTCGCACACTCAGAATATTTGCGAGAGAATGAACCCATGCTCTACTGTGGATCTCGAAGTCATCGCGCTCTCTTGGCGTAAAACGGATCCATACTGCAATGTCGGTCGCTTTTCCATGGCCATTCATTGAGAACTCTTTGGACAGGTACTCGACACATCAAGTCGAGATGCGATCCCAAGTTCCATTATTTTATTTTTTCGGGCGAGGCTAGGGACATCTTCGGACGGTCTTTTCCCGAGATCGGCACTGGTAACCCCTGAGCAAATAAGCCTTTGCCGAGCGAAAAGGAAGTTTTTAGCACTTCCCCAGATTTTGGCGGCTTAGGGTGGGTTCCAAAAGTTTAATCGTGAGCAAGTCGAATACATCTGCGAAAATTGGTCCTCTACCAGCAAAACCTTAACCTCGGCGCGATGTGTACAACCTGAAATACTTGCTATAACCTGTAAAGCCATTTTCATACATCAAGCCTATTTGCCAATCGAAGACATCGTCTAGGTGCGCACAATGGTGTGCTTACACCGGTCACTCTGGTTTCTTGCCGCTCACCTCCCAAACCTTATTGGTGTCGTCGAGGGTAGCGATGACAACGTTGAAAAAGTCGACCTGAACAGCCTACAGTCATTTGGTTACCGACCCCGAGTATTCATGCTATCAGATATTCTGAATGAACCAGATGATTCCATGTCACTTGTGCGGTATCTTCTTTACGCTAATGAGTTTGACACCCGTGGTATCTGCGCCACCACCTCATGGTGGTTGCGGAATGAGACACACCCGGAGGAGATGAGAAGGATAATCACAGCCTATGGAGAAGTTGTCGACAACTTAAACAATCATGTCAACCCAAACGCTTCCTACCAAAGTGCGGACTACCTGCTCTCACTTGTTACGTCAGGACCCTCGGTAAGTGAACAGCCTCAGGGCCAGAAGGCCGGCCCTCAATCAAATGCAAGTGAAATTGTATTTTAACGAAGCAAAAAGACGTATGGTCGTGCCGCACTCAATGAGACTCTAAGCGAAGGCGCTGGACGCATCATTGAGGCGCTTGAAGAATCCGATGAACCCTTATTTATTACCGGTTGGGGCGGAACCAACACACTAGCTCAAGCATTGCTCCACATGGATAACAATATGCCTGCGCCTAAAGCCGCCGCGCTGAGATCAAAGATCCGACTGTATACTATTTCCGACCAAGACAACACCGGGCCCTGGATCCGTACACGGTATCCTGATGTGTTCTACGTGGTATCAATTCACGCTTTCAATAACTACAAGGCGGCAACTTGGACAGGTATCGGTCTGCGTGGATGCCCATGCGTGGACTCTGATATCGTGTGGAATCCTTGGCTGGACGCCAATATCCGACTTGGTCCTTTTGGAGCTCTCTATCCGCAAGTTGTCTACACTATGGAGGGAGATACTCCAAGTTTCCTCTGGCTAGTACAGAACGGTCTCGTCTACCGAGACCGCATCGACTGGGGTACTTGGGGTGGAAGATACTCTCACCCAGTGGCACCAAGCGACTGGACTGCCGGCATAGACTCAAATCATTTCGTTAATACCATTGAGACCGTTATTGGGGCTGATGGAGTCACCTACTCCACTCATCAGGCATCGATCTGGCGTTGGCGAGCGGCTTACCAGGAGGACTTCGCAACTCGAATGCAGTGGACGCTAACGCCAAACTTCACCGCCGCTGGCCATCCTCCAATACTCAACGTCAACAAGCACCAAGGACCAGAGCCTCTGTTTATCAAGATCAACGCCAATGAATCTTTCACTCTTGACGCCAGTTTAACATACGATCCCGATCATCCGACGGACAATAGTAAGCTTGAGTTCCAATGGGCACTATACCCAGAACCGACGTCATTCCTAAACGACTATTTGAATGTACAGATTGAGGCTGTCTCACCCTCATCTGGGGCACCGCTTGTCTTGCAAGTCAATGACGCTGGCTTCTCCAACGTTACCTTGGGAAGAAGTGTCAAGGTTATCCCCCCTATATCGATTCGAAATCCAAATACAGGGCTTTCCACTACGGATTTTCACATACTTCTCCAAGTTACCAACAGAGCTGGTCCATATCCTATCAGAAGGTACATGAGAATCGTTTGTGAGTATTGAAATAACTTTAGCAAGGAGTTCTAGAGATATATCACTACTATCGACCTCCATATCCCGAAGAACGGCGCCAAGAAAATTATGACCTTTAACCCAAGATATTTGCACTAGTGACATATCATGGACACGTTCCTGCTACTCTATTCACATAACTGTTCAATCAATTCCCCGGTATTCAAAGTAGTCGGCCCATTCCGAGTTCTCCATCAGCTTTGGCACCAAATCCTTCTCCATAGTAATTGTAAACATGCACCCTTCGTCTGGGTTGTCAGATGACCGGATAGGTGCGTAGACTAGGATCAGGCCGGCTGTGATCAGGTCTCCCCAGAGATGACGATATGTGATGGGCTTGGCGAACCCGAAATCGAAGCTGCTCACGTCACCTGAGCGGTGGTCTGTGACAAACATGCTCATTGGCGGGTTGGCATCAACGCGTAGGCTTATGGACCGCTTATCTTTGATCGGTGCTATGAGGTCGATTAGGCGCTCTAGATGTTGTTCAGTGCAGCTTTCCGTCAACATGCGGATGTAGTGCGCCAGCTTTGTCAAGGGAGCGTCCGAAAGGACCTCACCAACTGTCAGAGGCGGTACTGGCGCACTGTCCGAGAATGCACCGGCGAGGACATTGCGCATCATCCGCTCTGGAACCGGAGGGTTCCTGAGCCGTGGCCTCATATTGACAGCTTCCGCCCACCACAGAGCTGTAGAAGCGTCTGGCTTATATAGAGGGGCGCGAACCTTGGAGAGCACCCTCCAGATGTATGCACACATAGCGTCATACGTCGATATCCATTGTGAGGTGGAATCAGTGGGAGTTGCGAGTCTCTTCAGCTCGGCGGCCTTACTCTTGGGTAAGTGAAACAACACAGCCTGCTGCTCTGGATGATCGGGATGCCTTTGTGGAATTGGAGGACCGTCTACCAAGATCTCCGCAGGAAGATCTTTGGTGAATCGCGAAACGTCAATGCACGCCGAATTCCATAGTGGGAAAGCTGTTGAAGTGGCGACTGCGTAGCAGTTATCCGCAAGCTGATGGGTGAAATTGCTCCAGCCCATAACATCACTGGCATAATGATGGCTATGCATACTGAAGACAAAGCCGCCACGGACTAGGTTAAGCTGATAGGCTGCGACTGTTGGACTCCTATCTGGATCAGCTTCGGATCTTTCTCCCCATGTCATCTCCGGGATGCCTATTCGCGAGGAAGGTTAGCTACTAGGGGAAAGGCTCAAAGTGGCTTTGTAAGCTTTACAGGCCAATCGGTACGCGATAAAGTGACTGGGTGTCGCTGAAGATAAGAGTAAAAGAGACAGCCTTACTCCACATGGTGAGATCCCCCAGACAATGAGCAGAGAAGTATGACCGCTCAATATCGTCCAAAGACCGATGGTTCTCATCGGCAGAATCTAGCTGCTGCACGACAAATTTCACAGTTGACTCTTTCCTCTTGACGAATGAATGTCCACCTCCGGGATCTTTTTCGATGGTGCCGCACATGTACCTCGCTTGGCTCAAAGTCTTCTCGAGTCCAGCCCTGAGCATATCAACTGCACGGCCCATCTCTGCATTGACAACCCTAAAAAACACAACATAGTGGTTATAGCCACACACGGGCGTCCGATCAATAGTCGAAACCTTGAACCGCTCTTCGTCAGGATCATGTTCCCAGCCTGATGGGTGAAGTTGAAAGACTTCACGGGAAGACATGGTGTCTGAGCAACAGAATAAGACAGAGAAGTCGGATGAGTTTCAGCAGTGCGGGGTGGATATTAAGATCAGAGTTACGGCTTCTGAAAAAGTGAAGAAATACAAAGGTGGGAAAACTAGGGGGTACTCCGGGATACAATAACCACCCCCAGGACATTTGCTGTGGGGAATGGCGAAGACATTACACAGCCTTTTAATGCACCAATCCCCGAGGTCCCACAAAAGAGACAGGATCTTGGTATATGATGCATCCATTAGGCAGTTTGCAGCCGCTGGACCGGGGCGAACCATTCAGTTGGAACAGCAAAGCCAATGACCAAGGTCCAGACCCACTGTGACGAGATGCACTGCGCCGCCGAATATTCTGAGAATCGGGCCGCAAGGTTTATGCGACATTTGAGACAGACAGTCATGGATTTTCGAGATTGCCAAGGGCCTAGTCGAAGACGTTGGCGATGCTGAGCAAGGATTCGACCAAACAGCGACCATGGCCCTTGACCGGAGTGAGATGAGAAACCGCAACATTTGAAAACTCAACGGCTCGCCTACAAGACTTTGCCACACATTTCCAACGACACGGCTTCTACTCCGCTTCCCACAAAGTCATTTTCTTCTGAAGTCATCAGTTTCCCTGATCCTCAACTGATGATGGACCCATACGACTTGTTGGGCCCCGCACTGGCTCCTCCACAGGGCCTGGTTCCAACATTGGGCCATCCATCGAACAACAATAATCTGGCTTTGGCGTCTTTCATTGTCATGATGGTAGTCTCGACCATCTGTGTCATTCTCCGAGGCTACGGGAAAGTTGGGCTGAAGAAGAAGATAGATGTTGAAGATGGTAGGTCTGCGTTTACCTGTGCTCCTTCTTGAAGCCACCGATTATCCGACACGTCCTTGATTGCTAATCACTTCTGATACTTCAGGTTTCATACTGGCGGCATACGTAGGTTTGTTTCTCTTGGTACTTCTTTAGGACCTTTACTCAATTACAATCGCGGAATAGGGTAACTATTGGGGTTGCACCTATGCGTCATTCTCGCTCATTGACCACCCTGGCTATTTCGTGCATAATTGGGACATTTCCCTGGGCGATACAATTTTACCGTACTATGTGAGTCAACACGATGAGGTTCTGTTCCGTATGACTGATGGAATTAAGTACATATTTCTTTTCGGAGTCTTCTACTCGTTAGTTCTGGCCATGCTAAAGATCGCTATTCTTCTGGAGTGGTGCCGTGTGTTTGTCCCAACGGGAATACGAAAAAGCAGTTATTTTTGGTGGGGTGCTTTAACAATCATCGCCCTTCAGGCTGCTTTCGGTTTTGCAGCAATCTTCCTTTTGAACTTCCAATGCGTCCCTCATGAGGCGATCTGGGATTTTACCATTAAAGAGAAGACCTGTCTCCCTCTCAACCCACTTCAGCTGACATCAGCTACAATTCATCTCATCTCCGACATTGCCATCTTCATACTCCCTCAAAAGATAATATGGAGTCTGAACATGTCTTTGCGGAAGAGGTTCGGCGTGGCCATTGTCTTTAGTCTGGGTGCTCTGTAAGTGTGTCCGTTCAGCTGCATCTCTCATCAAGATGGAATATTCTAACCTTGTCAAAGGGCGGTACTATGCTCCATTTTTCGCATGATTGCTACTATCAACTTCGGGAAGTCGCCTGACACGATGTATAATATCGGACCCGTCATTCTATGGGCCACTGGAGAAGTGAGCTGCGGTTTCTTTGTAGCTTGTATGCCAACATTGCCACGTCTACTCAAAGAAGCGCCGTTCATTGTCTATCTCAAGAAGACTATGGGCTCTACGACCTCTGCAGCCGATGAAAGTAGCACCGCACGGTTCGGCCACGGGTTCTCTATTGCATCACACAAGCTATCGCGTGGCACTAAATCGCACGAAGATTATCTACAAATTGACGACGACCCTACTCCATTGAAGGATCTCAGCTCGAATAACTCAGACCAGATCCCAGAAAATGTTTGCAACGGAGATGACCGCATCACCAAAACGACGTACATAGCTGTAACAAGAGAGGACGGTCCCAGTGGCCATACCTACAAGACTAGCCTACCGTGGGAATCAGAGGTTGGGTGAACTTTTCTTGCCCTGCTCCAATCCAAGTTGGAAGTTGCTCGCCTGTATACATCGGAGGGATTCATGATGAAATCGCAGCAAGCATCATAATCGAACCAGCATACAGAAGCTCCTACAGAATGCGAATACATTTCAAGAATGAAATCACTGGAGATTGTTGCATAATCCTTTAGAAGGACTGTTTCTATCAGGGATAGTATCAAGCATAGTAATAACAGAAGGGCCCATCCACAATGCTCACCAAGTCGCGAATCTTGTAGACCTTCTGTGCTACAACATCAAGATCGATATTGTCATCCAGGCTCTGTGCCTTACTTCCAAATCCCATCATGGATGTTCCGCCCTGATAATTGTTAGACGGCCTTCATTTTAGTGAACATGTTGACCTACTGCAATCACTTGTTGCCTGTTGGCAAGGTCCTGCATTTGCCAAATAGTCCATGTCCTGTCGATCATGCCGTGGTGGAGCCCTTGTTAGGATAGTAAGATTTAGCGGTACAAAAAACCTTCAGAAAACTCACAGAAGGCGGGGTCCCCAGGTGAGGTGTAGAAATCACCACCGGGATCTCCTGAGATAGTGAAGTGCCCAGCGACGTGGACACCCACCGGAGCCGAGCTTTGCAGCGAATTCTGGAAAGCAGCGATGCCAGTGCTTGAAGTGATAAGGTTGACGATATCTTGCGTGCGAGAGTACCGCGAACTCAGCTGGTTGCTGATGTCTCGTCTCAGGCATCTCGGGTTGTATCCAAATCCGTCTCTTTGCGGGTTGGTTGGAGGTGCTGGAGAAATGGCAGGGCTCATTGGACTTGAAATATTTCGGTTAGCGTACAAGTTGCACATTCTAATGAAAAGAAAGACTTACCCTAGATTCACCGTCATACTAGTCCCAGTCAGTAAGTAGATGATACATGCTCGGAAGATGGCAAAACTCACTTTTTAAAAGGTCCAGATGTAACACATCCTCCTCCATTCCCAGTGACCATCATGCCCTGGTGTGTTGTCTTTTGTCCGTTGCCGCTCATGCTTAGCATCGAACCGTCAAATATGGGCGACGTCTCTGGATCTGCAGCCCATCTTCCCCAGTTCCAATACTGTTAAAGTGCGCAAAGATTAGTATAACGGCAAGGCTGTATCAGATGGTAGAGCCATACCGGCTGTGTTCCGTTATATCCGCATTCGTTTCTCAGTGTCTGCTCATACATCCACGTGAAATACCTGTGCCAGGAAAGAAAGTTTCCCTGATATAGTGTTAGCTTTGTTAAGCTGACCTCTTAGGGGACAACATACAGTGCCATGGATATTGAGAGTTTGATTCATGTGAACAGCAACAAAATCATCATATCGGGTCCTAGCTCCTGGATATCTCCCGGGATTCAATTTCGAAGGTTTTTGTGTCAAGCACAGCACAGCATTGATGTAGTTCGACTTCTCTCCATTTGTAAGGTCACCCCTATCGAAGCCGCAGTTAGAAATTCCCGAGCAGTATAGATAGTAAGCGATGCGGGGGAAAATCGTACCATTCCTTTCGGACTTGAAGCCTGTCTTTGGAACAGGTCTTTGACTTCGCCAGCTGCGCATCTAGTGCCGTCTGGCCTTTCGTCCAGAGATCCATTACAGCATCAGCGTTGACTATGCTGGAGCAAAGTAGCAGCTGCGCTGCCACTAGCACGTAGTACACCATTCGCATCATTTTGAATGCTATCCAAGATCGGTGCAACTGGTTAGTATGGAATATTTGAGCCAGAGTCTTGGCTCCCTTATAGAGATCCGTCCTTCTGGGGGAACAAGAACAGAACCACAGGGCCAGCATAGTCTATTCCGGGTATGCCTTTTCTACGGTGGCAAGAAGGAAAGAGATATTATAATATTAAATGTGATTGGCCAACTAATATGCAGCCCGGGTATAGTGCTTACTCTAGACCGTAGACACCCACGCGCGGAAAGCCAAGAACCCTTGGACCCAGACAGGTGTCACGGCTAAAGCTCAGTGACACGGCAGAGTCTGGGGTGCATTGCCGAGCTTTAGGAGGCTGGGCTGTCCAGTTCGGAGATTTGTTAAGGTTTCTAATTACCCGAACCCAATGCGAAATCAGCCGCCACTTATTATAGTATCGCTGTCGCCAATAGCAGTTAGGTCATTACCAAGATATTACGAGTTATATAGGCAGATGATCCCGCGCTGCCCTGGGCTCAGCTGAAGGAAATTATTCTGAGAAGGTCCCTCATTTGTAATTGCCAAGATATCCTCGTCAAGTTGACCGCTCAGCCAGGCAGCCAATGGTCTCAGTCCAGGCTACTCTCGCCTACGGCCTTCGACATGGTTACTCCGTGGTAGTACCGCCATCTCCCGCATCACTTCGTCGAAAATGATGTGATCACGCTGGTCTACCTACAGGGTGGCGCCAAGGAGCTAACTGTTTCGCACATCGATCGGCATTCAACTGGGTCTGAGTTTGAAATCTGCGGGCGAGTAACCTGCAAGAGCCGATGCCCGCCGCCTCGTTTCCGGGTTTGTCTACGCTTTCATGATCCAAACCGTGACAAGGAGGTTTTGCGAGCACCTAGAGGAGAAACCCAACTTTTCGGTACCTGCAGTTTCTTGTTCTCTTAACTCGAATGCGGAGTCAGTATGGAATAGGTACTCAGGATGTATAGCTAAGTCAATTGAACTTACATAGCTTAGCTTTGGTCTATGTAAAATTGGTGAAGCAACTGCATGCAGAAATTCTTAGATTCATAAAATTGGCAACCTCATATTGATAACCGACTTGATGTGCACCCAGACTGTCTGCTGACACCGTACTGCCCGATTTACACGCCCGTTGACACATAAGTTGACCCCACGCAATATCCTGGTTCGATTAACGACTTTCTGAACGCCTAGCCGTGACTCGGTGGCGGACTTGCGACAACCATCATGTTGAACTTGGGATTGTTATACCCGCCACCTGCCTTCCAAGTGCTAGCAAATGGAGCATAGTAATCCCAGTTCGAGCTGGTATTGATGCCCATCTCTGCCCATACAAACAACCCATTGCTAAGTCCGTTTCCAAGCATGACATAGTTGGGAAACGGGTCGTACTTTGGCGAGGCCGCGTAACCAGTGAATCCGTCAACCATGTTCGATGTCTTTGCGATGCGGTTTGTGTTGTACGGAGCAGTGCCTTCGATAGTGTCAATCAAAGTTTGATCGAAGAAGAGTTGGCTTAGGTGTGCGACGACACCTCCCGTGTAGGTCCCGTTGTCCAGGATTTTGGAGCCAACGTGGGCGATAATGTGCTGATGTGTAGCGCGGCCTTGGTAGTGTCCGGGGAACAGAGTCTCGAAGTTGACGACTCCGTCCTTGTCGGTTGGCTGAACACCACGCAGGTATGTGGTCCCTAGACCACCTTCACCAGCAGCACTAACGCCGCTATACACTCCTTGGTTGTTGCAAGACCAGATATCGATCAAGACATTGGCTGGTTTGCAGGTGTTCACGTCGATAAATTGCAGTTCAAGATGCATGGGGACACCCTGAATATCCTCGACCACGTTCTGACGAATCATCTCTTGATAGACAAAGTAGGGCCCATTGGCGTTGTCTGGAGTCAAGATACAACTAGTGTTGGATCCGAAAATCTCGGAAATCGGAGTGTCCTTCGTATACTTGAGACTACTCTTGTCATGCTTATTTGCCGCCCACTTGCGAAGTGATGCCGCATCTCGACGATGCAAGAAGGTGGCTGTGTAAATTTCAGCTTCTCATCCCTGTGGCAAAGTAACCTTACATACCATCGTCAAGGTTCCTTTCCTGACGAAGCCGCTCGAAAGTCGCGGAGCGCCTAGCGATAGCACGTTCTCGACGCTCGATCACATCCGGTCTATTCTGGCACGCCTCGAGTGCCCTTGCGTTAACTTCAGCAACAGCATGGGCATCTGCGAGTTCTTCCATATGTGCACGCTTGTTGAAGACCTCGCCTGGGTGCGCTGTCGCCAACGGCGCAAGTGACAGCGCGGTGAACACGAGAGCTCCAGAAAAGATCATGGTGACAAGCTTGGTAGCAGCCAGAACGTTCTACGCGAGGAAGGCTTCACACATTCCTGCACGGCTGTGTGTCCTTTTTCTTCATTCCCCAAGACCCATTAAAATGGTTACTTTCGGTGTCTCTCTTCCATCGAAAGGCATTGAATATAGCCGCGTCAATAACTGTGTCGGCAAACGGAACAGCTGTCTGTACATTCCTCGGCAGCCTTAGCGAATATCGAGAGTCTTTCGCATTGCCGAAGTTCTTTCAGGTTGAAAATTATGATGTTTGTCTTGGCGTACTGGGATCCTGAACAAGGCAATTTATCCGGATGAAACCATGGTTCCTTGTAAGTTGACGTGAGGCGCAACTGGCAACTCTAGTCCGGGGAACACTAAGTTCAGGGTCGCCATTGGCCATGGTGATGAATGCCAAATGTACCCCAGATTAAGTACGTACTTTCTCACGACCTGCCAACATTGATAGACCCAGATTGAGGTCGAGAATCTATCTACAAGACTCTGGTCCGCATTGGTCGACGCTCAGGACAATACCGGGGGGTAAAACTCCGTAGCCCCCACAATGATGCCTATAAGATGTGTCACGCTATTACGTGAAGGACGGGCCAGCCACACACCTGAAAGAGTGTTGTGGTGAGCAGCGACTTCTTGACGTCCGTGACCAAAACCACCTAGAGAATCGCCCGTTGCTCTGGGCACAAGTCTACATGTAGGTTTCTTAGTAGGGGTCTACGTGTAAACCTAACTTCGTGCACAAATACCCACCAGGTCATATGCACGATGTTAGCTGTGGATAAAAGGAAAACTAGACCTTGAGAACTTCTATAATCGAAAAGCCACGGGTACCATTATAAATTATGTGTCCATGGGAATTACTGCAACTCAATAGATGCGCTTCCTTAACTCGTGACACTAGATTAGAGAAAACTCGGTAATACTAGGCTCCACATCCAGGTACTCTCCGTTCATAATTCCATGCACATAGCTGTAGAATAGTTAGCAAGAACTGTTGCGAAAAGCCATTATATGGGTTCATAAGCGACATACCATTCACCAATAACCTCGAAATCATTTCCATGTGACCTCATCACAAGGGGGACACTGCAACCAAACAGTATGATGATGAAGTCTCCCTCCCTGGCACCTTCAGGTGCCAAGCCAAGCAAGCCTGCCGTCAACACCATCAGACGCCGCCCGTCTCTCCAGTGGGATTTCATCAGTCCGACCTTACTACTCCAAGATTGCTGCCGCACTCTCTCATCAAGACCAGCCTCGAAATCAGCTGGAGGAACGTTATCCGCCTGAAACCATCCTTCTCCCTTTTTGCATCTCTGGTTGTAGGCGTTAGTGTCACATACGAGCACTCGCGACAGTACCTCGTGGTACGTCATGCCTTCTGCGAAAGGATACAGGGTATGGTAGAGCGGCATCTCAGTTCCTCCAAGAGCGAGAACCACAGCCTCTTGGAGAATATTTCCAATGTGCTCCCCAAGGTCCGGGTCATTGTTGTCGCCTTTGCGCCTGATCTCAGAGGTCGCACCTAGTGCGCCGATGCAGCCAGCCTCAGCTCCCATGGCCAGCAGTTTGCCAGAAGGTAGAAACCGAATGATTGGCTTTCGTGTACCGCATGCGGAAAACCCTGGAGTCTCGGAAATGCCGAGTCGTGTCAAGGAAGCAGGATCCTCTCCCGGCCGGGTTCGAAAGTCAGGCGACCAACTTGGCAGCCCAGCGAGACGACTACGTTCACGCAGTCCTGGTTTCCACATAGGAACGTTTCCATCGCGGTTGGTCCCGCGGCCCAAACAGATAATATCCAACGATTGAACTTCGCGTATGAAGCGCTCAGTCGCGCCCATGTAGACGATGGCGGGGTTGGTACGATAATTTGGTTTTATCTGGTAATATTTCGGGTTAGTTGCCATCCCAAGGAGAGCATATACTCTGTCGGATGGTTCGCGACACTGGTTCTTTGAAAATTTGACCATGAGGGTCGACAATGGTAGCCGGCCATTTTCTTGGTACTCCATCTGGACGAAAGTGAGTGTCATGGGTGCATAGCGGAAACCATCGAACGCCGCGGTCTTGCTGCTGTACTCAAGGACGAGGTTGTTTGTGTGCGACACCATGGAGATGGCCGCCAGTAGATCCCACGAAAGGGTGTCAGGCCCGCATTGTATCATAATGGCACGCGCCAGCACGACCTCTTGGACTATCCACATGCGTGTCCACCATTCCCTCTCCAGTAGTCCGTGGGTGAGATCGCGCCATTTCTGATTATTGGTCGCATAGGAATCGATGACTTTCTCCGCATCCCAGTTGGGAGCCGTCCATTTGCTGAAGAAACTGACCGCACTTCTGCTCTCTGTGCTAGACTCGCCCAACCACACCATCACACGCGATGCAGAACCGTAGATGTCAGCCATTCTCAGAACCTGCGCATTTCTCTCGTCAATGCTTCTCTGGTTGATACAGACGGCATCGACCCAGAGCACACGGTCTTTGCCGTCCACAAAACGCATTCGCGCCAGTGCTTGGGCCAGGTTTCTCGTGACCGGGAAGTCCATTTTGTTCAATTGAATCGTGACTTGATCTGATTCATCTCCCCAGCAGTATGAGAGCGCCTCGTAGTCGGTTTCGAGCGAGGATAATACTAGATCACACTCTATTGTGTCATGCCCCTTATATGGCTTTAGGACCAAAAAGCGGGCGGCTGCACTTCTCTGTGCTAGCGGCAGTGGTGCGTAAACAGGATGCTCAGGTCTTAAGTTCTCCTCTTGAGGGACAACAGGGGCCCTCAGACCGGTTTGATCGAAATCCGTAAAGCGTGGCAACGGGATATCGGTATTCGACTCATCACTTTGTTTTGAATTTGAAGTACTGGTAGTTGTTTCCCCTGTTTTATGATCTGGAGTTGGCGTACGAGGTGGTGTTGGTGTGCGAGGCGGTGGTATTGGTGGACGCGGGGGTTTGGGGGGGCGACAGCACAGCCAAACTATCCAGCCGAATATTACGGCGCCCACCACAGCCCCGGCCGCTATCCCACCAATAGCGGCTGTAGACAACATGGGTGTAGGTGGAGATGAAAACGTCGAGAAATCGACCTGCGGCAAAGAACTGCTACTAGTTGTGAACCGTGATGATGATGACGATGATGATGATGATGTCGTGCTTGGAGGATATGTGGTCCAGCTTGGGGCGGAATACGATGTCGTAGAAGATGTTGACATGGGAGAGCATCGCGGATTACCGCCACTATCATAGTAGCAGAAGTTACTTGGAGGGCAGCAGATATTCACTCCCTGGCATGGGACATCCCCGGGTCGGGAGCATGGCTTCAAGACGACGCACTGTCAGCAACCACCACAACAAAGCCTTTTTGGTTGAAGTTTAGTTGCGATCTTACGTTGGACGATCCACAGGAATTTGACAATGCTCCGATCGCGACACAGCACGGCGCTGACGCAGTACCTCCCGAGCACACGTACCCGGAGCTGCAGCAGATATTCCCACAACATGGCGTATCGTAGGAGCAACAAACTCCGCTGGGACAAAGCAGAGTAAGATTGGGACAGCCTTGACGTTTGAAGAGATGCGCGGCTGAGGTGTTTACAAAAGATACTGGTAGTTGTGCGTTGGCGAAAGGGGAAGCAAGTGGGTTGTCATCCACGAATGGCTCAACGCCGGTGGGGGCCCCACGAGCAATGTGGAGCAGAACGGCCAACAACAAAATGTCAGTATACATTTTGACGGCTTGGATCTATCAGGAGATAGTGGAACCTCAAAGTGGGGACACCAGAGTTATATACTAGGCCTCAATTGCTGGGAACTGGTCTATCAATTCAGCTGGCCAGCATTCTCCTCACGACATTATTTGACTTCACGACCGGACGTTGATCCTCCAATGAGCTGATGTCGGCCACCAAGGGTCTCGACAGACCTGAATCCGGGGTTCGAGCCTGGATCCCAATACTCTGGATGTGGCGCCTTCAGCCCCAAGCCGCGGCGCATTGGCATGGGACAGAGATAGTGGAGGGAGGCATCTGGATTTACTGCCCAATGGGTTTTGACCAATGAATGGTCTCGCTCAGTGTTTATCACCTCCAAGTCACTGCATAAGTCTGCGTGGGGTTGCAGAGTTGACTATGCACAGCTGAGAACTTTATTTACGAGTTTGGCAACTTGGCACACCGGGGAGGCTCGAGCCAGCTCCTTGACGGCTGCGACAATAGATGTACCCATTATCATATCTGCCGAGGTGGCGTCACGAGAGGGTTGCATGGATGTCAGCTTTCGCGACTGCGATGGATATAGTATTCGCTAGACCAGTTGGCGCACCTCGAAAGGCTGTTCCAGAACTGCGGAAAGTGCAGAGGGTGAGGTTTGTCAAATATCGCAGCCTCCCTGGGTTGATGTTGGGTCACACCGATATCACATCCCTGCATTTATGGTACAGCGTATCAAAGCCGCGTGATGATCATTGCGCGTGTCACCCGCGAGGAGCTGGACTGGAGTTTGTGTGGCACTCATGCCCAAAATTTGCGTGCACATATCTCCAGTCGTCATATTTACTGGAAAGGCAACGTCGTTGTACGTGCAATTCCAATGGTTCAATCGTGCGGCTCTCCAGTCACCCTACGTATGACTGGTAACTTTGTGGGTGGTGGTGGTTGAGAGTTTGATGGGCCGGGACGGATGCTATGAGGGCCGCGGTGCGCGCGATGGGTCCCGAACAGGGCGGCCTCACAATCACCTGGGCATCAAAACCTGTAGAATGTACAATCGTGGGAGCATTCTCACATTCGGAGTCGCCTGGTGTGATAGAAAGACGGAGACCTGAAAATACCCCACGCAGGGTTGGAGCAAATGGGACAAAGGGCAAGCCAAGGAATAGCTGCATGCACAATGCCTGATCTTCGACGGACAGAGCGAGAAGTGAGACTTTGGCGGCCTTCGTCGTCCGTTAACGGTTTGACTTTTGCGAAACAGAAGCACGTTGTGGCACCCCCAACGCCGTCTGCTAGCCGAGACAGCTGAGTTCGGCGACCGGCCGCCCTTGTCGTCTGTGTCGTCCTCGTCCTCCAACTTCTCCAAAAGTCTTCATTGGCACGCAATTCTGGCATGCCGCATCACACCACCGGCAAGGCTGACGCACAGACCATGTCAGACCACCTGCGCTCACTCACCTTCATCAGCTCACCCAAGACGATCGCAGACATCATCCGGGAGCGATAACGCAGCTGGCGCATCGGCCGAAGATGTCAGTCGGGCCCGGGAAGCAGAACGGCGGCGTGGCCGTCGCCAGGCAGGATCGGCTGGCCGACCTCCCCGATGAAGTGCTGCTGCGCATTTTCGAGACGGCCGGCCGGCTCTCCAAGCGAGCCCTGTGCAACGTGTCGCGCCTGAATAAGCGATACCACGTCCTGGCCGACTCCATCCTCTACAACACGATCCAGTTCGACACCCCGGAGCACCACCTGATCTTCAGTCAATCGCTCGGCCGCCGGCCCCGGCGTGGGTCGCTGATCGTGGGCGTCAGACTGGCGTACCCCACCTCGGAGCTGTCGCACTTGAGCCTCGACGTGCCCGTCCATGGCTCGCACTATGAGCCGTCGCGCTTCGACGGCTTGTCGCGCAGCCTGTCGACCATGTCGAATCTGGAGATGCTGGACGTCGCGGCGCCCGACACTCTTCTTCACGGGATTGGCACCATCTTCAACGGGCCGTTCGACTTTGCCTGTCTCAAGTCGTGCACTCTCTTCTACCAGTGCCCAGATGACCAGTACTGGGATTTACGAGAGAACATCCACATATTCTCGCATCCGGCTCTGGAGACCCTCGTCGTCAAGCGCGCTAAGCTGGCCGACCCCGGATTCGACTATCTGGAGCGCCCGCACGATACGGCGCTGAAGAAATTGCACCTCATCGAATGCGACATCAACGAAGATGCCCTCTCGGACATTCTCGAGTTTCCCGAGGCCTTGACCGAGTTTATCATGACCCAGACGGCAGAGCCCAAGCCGGAACTGGAGGAGGGGTCTGACGATGTCGGGGACTTTATCCTCGCGCTGAAATCCGCCTGCGAATCCTTGGAAACCATCACCATTGACTGCCCCGCTCTCACGGGACGCAAGGCGTTGCGGATGCGAGAGTTCACTGCTCTCAAGACGCTACGTCTCAATTGGGATTATCAGCTGTTTGGAAAATCTTCCAAAAAGCCCCGCATGCACTCAGTAGGCCTGCCGCCCGAACTGGAAACACTCGAGTTCTTCAACGAGCTCGGTACGGACGAAGAAGTCAACGATCTGCTGCTGTTCACGGTCCAGAGCATGGGAATAATTGGGCGAAAGCTCAAAACGCTGGTTGTGGTGGAGGGTGAGGACCGCCCTATCTCAGAAGAGCTCATAGAGGCTTGCAAGTCGCAAGATTTCTCCCTAGACATCATCGGACGGTTTGACGAAGAGTAGACCTGGGGCTGCCATAGACGTAGAGAAGAGAGTAAACTAGATCCAGACACCATCGCTTACAGGATAAAATGGGGCAGGATATGGAAGGTTTCTTCTTTGTATAATAGATTAGTGCGACACATTACAAAGCGGCGTTGTCCCTACTGCCTGCTTGAGAAGCTGCCACCCTGGCGTCTATTATACCCATCCAGGAACTTCAATCTAGATGTATGACTATTCAATTGCCGTACCCTGAGTGAACCGGCTTGATCAAGAATTGTACTCCGCTGCGCCCTCTAAAAATACTGATATGTTATGCCCTCTTCCAGGACTTCTGCGCACTGCTCCCAAAAGCCGCCCCGCTTATTGGCATGGATGGGAATTCAGATACTCGAAAAGGCCACTACGGAAAAGAAAACGTGTGAGAGTTATTTCTATTGCGGCAAACTCTCTTAATTTTCAAATCTCACGCGTGAAAATCGGTACGTGTCTTTCAAAGTTTGCACCACGTCATGGATTTCGGTCCGAAATACAAGCTGTGCCGCAAGAACCAAGGGTGCTTCTCGACCCGGTACACTGGATCGCCGTTGTTAAATGCGTATGACTGGTCAATACCCCTGGCTCGAGACTCCGCGCAGGGTCTCCACCCAGAAAGACGAACATGTGTACCCAGTCTATTCCCGGGTCCGCCTGTTCCACGAATTGTCTTTCCTAGATGATTTTTTGTCACGTCGACATGTCACAGAACAACTTTCCAGCCTTGGGCAGCAACCCGGGGGAGTTGGAACGCCAAGTGAAAAGTGAGCCAGCATGGAACGAGGTAAGGAGAGCGTATCAGCACTGCAACGGCCATTTGACTGAGTCTAACTTCGACTCCGCAGCAAAGTGCAAAAATACCTCAGCAAGGCTATGGTATTGAGGCCCAAGCTCAGATGCCGTTCCCATCCCAAGTAGTGTCCTCAACACGTCCGATGGAACTTCCGCCTTCTCAATTACTTAGCGAAACCTTTCCCGCAGTTGATCCGACTTTCTCCGGACTCGCAGGTATTCCTGACAGCTTCCAACCGTCCGCGTTTGACCCCACTGTCTTTGTGCAGAAAGCCAATGAGCTGATCAACGCATCCCTGGAACGAACTCCGGGAGGGACGTCGGTGGTTGAACCCGACTCTATCCTCGAAGAATCCGGACGCCTTTACCATGGATATAATCAGGGCAAATATTTTCTGCCTAATGATGCCGTAGGTTGCCAGTAATTCTAATTCAAGTGTTATACTAACATAGTATATATAGGCAGAGCAGGATCGACTGGACCTTCAGCATCAAGTATACCGGATCTTGCTGGATGGCTGGCTTCATCTTGCTCCGATGACAACTGTGCCAAATTTTGTGCTTGACGTCGCTACTGGCACTGGAAGTAAGTCATACAAGAATCTAAACCCTGGATAGCACGTCCAGTGGAAACGGTATTTCGTATTACCTCAGTTGCGATTCCGTTCCGGTGGGGAATTAACTGACCGTGGATCATTCAAACAGTTTGGGCCCATGATTTCGGTATGTAAACACCGATGCCTGCATTTAGACGGATTTCTAACGGATTGAAATAACAGCTGAGATGTATCCCTCTTCCTTTGTGATAGGCACGGATTTGAGCGCTATTCAGCCAGACCCTAGAGTCCCGAACTGCGTGTTCCAAAAGGACGACGCGGATGCAGAATGGGTCTTCCCTGCGCCTCATCCGCCCGGCACCCAATGTGACTTTCCTTGTGAACATCGCATCAAGTTCGATTTCGTTCACCTTCGAATGGTTGTAACGTGTTTCGATGACCCCCGTGCGGTTATGCGGCAGGCATATAACAATATGGCTCCTGGCGGCTGGATTGAGTATCAGGATTTCAGTTTTGACCTCCAGGCTAGAGGTCTCGAAGGTATCTCTCAATAACATCAACTAAAACTGCTCCAATTGCGGCTAACGCTTAGCAAGGATCGCCGTGGCAGACATATTCCGAAGGTTGTATTCGGGGGGCCAAAACAATGGGTCGGGATTTGTTGATCCCAAAACAATACAAGACGTATCTGGAAGAGGTTGGCTGTAAGTTCTGTACCCAAATAGCTTATTTTGATATGGAACTTGACCATTGGGCGTAGTTGTGGATGTTGAGAAGCGGCATTTGGTCTTGCCTAACAACCCTTGGCCGAAGGATCGCAGGCTTAGAAAGGCAGGCTTGTATTCCTTACAGAATACGTTGGAGGGATTACGAGGCGTCGGTTACAAAATGTTGCGTTTTGCTGGCTATTCACCTGAGGAAACAGAGACTATTATTAGCGAAGCCGGAGACTTCATTAGAGACTGCCGGAACCAACCCTGGGTACCAGTGTAAGTGCAATCGAGGCTCAGGTTTCTCTTGGTCCTTCAGCCTTGTCCCCTCCGTAGTAGGAGTTCACAGAAGCTAATTTCATATTCAAGGCATATCGTCTACGGCCGAAAGCCATTGGTTTGAATCCGAGTTCAAAAGGGATTAGGCTCTTTAGCAGAATAAATTTACTCGTGGACATCCTTGTGATTCTCCGGCGACCGTCCACACTCGGTATAAGCTACCAACCGCTACTTTTGTACAGAACTCCAAAGGACGTCTTGCTCTAATCTCGCGATTCTATCCTCGAGTGGTTCCCACATTCCCACGTATGCAGCTCTGTCGCTTCGGAACTTGAGGAACTCAGCAATTCCATCATCTTTGTGCAGCAGAGCGTAGTCCAGAGCCGTTTTAGCCCCCTTGTCCTCGGCAAATACATCGACGCCATTGTCGAGAAGAAGCCCAATGATGCCCCGACTGAGTGCCATTATCTCATCCGATTGATTTAATTCCCAAAACGGTCCATACCTAAAGCCAGAGCAGGCGCAGTGCAACGCTGTTCGGCCACCATCGTCCTTTGCCGTGACATCTGCTCCCAGGCGTTCTATAAGCATTTCAACGAGAAAGAGATCTCTGGACAATGCGGCATAATGGAGTGGTGTGCATCCCTCGTCATCACGAGCATTGACGTCCGCACCGGAAGACTTGAGAGACTGAATCAGGACGGGGCGATCCGTTTGATCGACTCTCCAGGGTTGAGCCGAATCCCGAACACTGAATGAAGCTAAGCCAGCGACGCAGGTTTTTCGGATTTCTCGGACCTGGGTCAATGTCGGATTTTCTGTAGATGAAATGCCGGTGCCTTCGGCTAGCCCTTGCCCAGAATCGTCTGACGACTTTACAGTCACCACCGGATCCGAATCGCTGTGCATATCCAAGAAGGATTGTTGATGGTATTCACCAGAGGTGTTCTCAGTCTTGGATGAAGTTTTTAAGACCGGCTCACTCTTTACGCCGGTTCCATGCAGGTTGTTGATTAAATCATCTTCTTCAACTTTGACACCTTGGCTGAAGCTCTGAGAAGGAGAGTGTGTGAACTCAGGAGATGCCTCCGCGAAATCAAGCTTTGACCTTGTAAAATCCAAAACAAGCGCCTCTTCTCTGTTCTGTTCCCCATACCGCCTACCCTCCAGAGTCTCCAGATTTGGGTCGCCTGCGTTTGATTCTGTCCGTTGCTGATTTGATTGCTCCGAAGGCAACGGGTCATGCAATTTGGCTGAGTTAGGAGCATGACCAATCAATGTGAGGTGCTCGACTGGCCTGGGGGTATCGCCAGTTTCGGAGGAAGCGCCAATATTCTCGGACATTTCGCCAAAAGGGGGCCAAAGCTCTGAGAGACGATAGTGCCTTTCCTCTTCATCATCCCAGAATGGCGAATACGCCTCCAAGAGGGACCACTTTGGGAAATCCACCGTGTTTCTCAAGTGGAGGTGGAATGTCATGCATGCGAGGTGAAGAGGGGTGTGGCCGATTAGGGTACGTGACTCGGCCTCCTCGTTCAATACTATCACTGATGAACTCAACCCCCGAGCAGATGCCAAATGAAGTGGGTTGTATCCATTGCTGTCTGTTAGCCATGTCTTTGCACCTAGTTCCATAAGTATTTGAATAGCACTATGAATCGGAATTGGACAGTATTCCTCTGCTTCAAAACACATTGTCGCCAAACAAGTGGCGCCTCGGAAATTTTTTGCATTAATGTCGGCACCGTGCCGTAAGAGTAGTTCGACAAGTTGCCTGAAATTCGGTCGTCTTTGTACTGAAACCAAGTCCAATGGCGTCCACGATAGCGGCAGCCCTGATGAATCATATAGAGCGCAAACATCTGCGCCGTTGAGGATCAACGTTTCAGCAAGGTTCAATTGTACATCTGGCCAAGCGGACGAAGTGAGGGCCTCATTCAGTGCCAACGATAGCTCATTCTGCCAGAAGTGATTGGCTTTACTGGGTGTGCCTACTGGTGCGCCTACTGGTACGCCTTTCTCCAGCAAGGCGAGTACAACAGAGCTCACTGGGTCAGCACTGTGGCACACATCTCTCAAAAGTCGGCCGCATTGAGGCAGAAGTTGAGGATATGTGTCCAAGAGATAGCACAACGCTACTTCGGACCCATCCGTGACCGCCCAGCCAGTGAGGCTTTCGACTATATCGGGGAGCTGGCCCCTTTTCCCCGAGTCACGAAACGGTAAGGCGGAGATATTCGGAAAGTTCCAGTGCTGTTCAGCTGCAGCCTTCAAGGGGCGAACATGGCCACAAAGCATGGCAACATAAGGGCTCATCTCGGCCAGGGTATGTTGGGTGTCTGCCAAGCACTCATAATCTGGTAAGTGATCATATTCACAAGGCCGTCGCTTGATAACGTCCACGGTGACGGCAGCCCAGGTTTGATTGACTGGTGTGACTTGGTTGTAAAGCGAGAGATAGGAATCGATAAACTCTTTTCCAATATCTTCCACAAGCCGGCTGCCGCTCATACTTTGGGCTAGCCGGAAGTGGATTGTCCAATGTTCGATTGCGTAGAAGAAGAATTCGTAACGCTCGAGAATAGTCGTTTTCACATCGACAGTTTCTACTTTGATGTTCGCCGGTTCGTCGGAGGACAGAAAATTCCTCCACTCCCAGCCTATTGTTGAGGTTGTCGCCCGGCTGGTGGAGCAAGTGATTTTACTCAAGTCCAGAGCTTGAATGCTACCTGTTGACAAATATGCGATGCAGCTCTCAGCTAATGTTCTATGAGCTAGCTGTGGTACGATCGAGGATGCCCATTCGGAGCAGGGAGCACCCCCGCGAATGCTTTGTTTAGGGCCTGAAGATAGAAATTCTTGGGCGGTCTGGTGTATAAAGAATAGCCGACCATCATAGACGGTAACGAAGAACCCGCAGGCGTGGATGACCCGGGCTCGGAAGGATTCGTCTGTTGAGAACCGCGGCATGTCCTTGACTGCCAAATGGCTCCGGATCTCAATCGCGCTGTTCATCTCCCGGAGAGATAACGGCCGTCGGGCAATATAAACTAAGGAGACAAGAATTCTAACAAACTCCTTGTCTTTGGCCTTGACACGCTGTAGAAGCTTCTCATATGCTTCAAATACAGTCAATGGTGGGTTGGTGATAAGACGTGCCCACTCCTCTGGGTCATCATCAAAGTTGGCCTCGAGTACCTCGAGAACGAGCTTGACCCACAAGTAGGTCCGTTGTGACGAACCCCTCTCTCCAATGGAACTTCTGATGACCTTCTCTGTTTCCGGGTCAAGTCCTTTCATTCTGACAAGTTTCTCCAAGCGATGGTTGATAACTAATGTTATTTCGCTTTGGATGGCGTCCATTTCGTGCTTGCCTTCCCCTGCGAGTCTTAAAATTCGGGATTCCATCACCTTGATCTGCTGGAGAATCTCGGGGTACCCCCGTGTCGTCAGAAGGAATTTGATCGGTAGCCTCCGGGAGTCGACATGCAGAAGGATTGAATCGAGTTTCTTAAGTAACATTCGGAGTTCGGCAGCATCGCATTCGTCAAGAGCGTCCAGTACGCACAAGATATTGCCGTGGTCGTGAGCTTCTCCGTGACTGTGTTGGTAGAAGATCGCCTTTTCGAAGATTTCCCACAAAAGCTCCGGATCCGTGAAAAGCTGTTCGCCGTACTTGAGAATCTGGTCTTCGCAGGGCTCAGCCCGTTCTGGTTGCTGATCAAACAGATTGTGCAACAACGAGCAGATGGCGTTAGACGTCTTCCGCTGCTCCAAGTTATCCTTGAAGAAGAAATAGGATATGGAGGCGTTGGGCTGCTTACGAGGCAGTATCGTCTCGATCAAGTACTGGGCGAGAGTCGATTTTCCGCAACCGGGGTCAGCCGAAACGACCAGCACGGGATCAGTTTCTGATTCGAGCCATTGCTCGAATTTTTCATGGTTACAAAACCATTGACATGTCCCTTCTACTCTTTCATCGTTTCGCATCATGTGAGCTCGATATGAAGTGGTGTTGAACTTCCCAATGAGCGTGCTGAGTCGTTTCCGTGCTTTGCTTCGATGTATTTGCATTTGCTCTGCTCTCCAATCCTCAGTTGTCCTCGCCATCGTCTCAAGAATATTTGTCGTCCTCGTGATCTCCTTTGTAAGCTCGGTCTGGCCAATGTATAGGTGGGAAATCCTGTCTAAGAGTGCCTGGGTGTTGTATTGGCTGATATGTCCGTTGACTTCTTCTTCCAGTTCTTTGAGGGACTTCAATTCGCCCTCCCAATCTACTACAGAGAGCATTTCTTTCAATGACGCGAATACCCATTTCGGGTCGTGAAACCTGCAGACGCAGCGCAACTCGAGTAGAAGCAGAGATTTGTACAGTCTCAAAAGGACCTTTCTAAGGGCACCGCGGTGTTGTGCATAGGTGCTGTCGTTAGACCAATTGACCCTCAGCAAAGCATGCGAAAGGCTCAAGTACCATTCGGTCTGCTCCAAGATGTGTCTCAGGCAATCAGACAAAAGCTTTCTCGCTTTGATAGGTTTTATAACCAAAGGAAGCGCAACTGAGACACCCGACAGTATGATTGCAGCAGGTGGATAGGCATCGAGGAGCTTGCCAACGCCGCTACATACTGTTCCGAGTAGTTCGGCACCGCTGGCGAGATTCTCGAGATAGTCGGCATTCTTCGCTGCCTTATTTGATGCATCACGAGCAAGAGAAGTCATCAACTCCATGCGTGCTGGACCTATGCAACCGGTAAAAATGTTGACTGTTCCGGCCACAGCATATACCGTGCTGGACTGCGCTGTGAGGACAGTTTCGTATGCCTGTACCAAGTCATGGTCATCGCTTGCAAGGCCATCGTATGCTTCTATCCATAAAGATACGGCTTCGTCGGTCTGGACAGGTGCATTGGTCGTCCGTAGCAAGCCTTTGCCTGATCGCGTAGAATCTCCATTCTCGCCATGAGGCGGGGCTGAGGTGAGGGGATCTTCCACATGGTGCTCGACAGTTTCTGCTGGAGATACAGAAGATTTTTGCAACCTGCGCAATAAGCCCTTGAAGGGCCTTGCAAGATTCTTCGAGGGCATGGTGAGTGATGCTCGCACTGATCATCCTCGTGAACTGAAGGCTCGGCCGAGATTAAAAGCTGAAGGTGCGGACAAAAACGCAGACGTCCCGTGTACCACCATGATTGGTTAATTTCATCGCCCACACAGAGTAAGCGCTCAATATCTCACTTGTCCCCGACATCAGCCAATCACAGCCCGCTCAGGCGTCAGGGGTAGTTCAAGCGGCATTCCTACAGAAAGTGTGTTAAGTTAAAGGCATTTCACTGTGCAGCCAGGTCTTCAGACACGAATTATGCTTGAGCAAACAGGCAGCTTTTGATGTATGTAAAAAAGCTCCGACGGCCTCTTTGCGAGTTATAAGACGTAAGGGTGGCGGTCCCACTAGCCCGATTGACCACCTTGCAGGTCCATCACATGATCTTGATGGAGGTCAAAGGTGTAGGCCGTTGCAGCCTTTCACCCTGTGTTGGTTGTCCTACAAAGGCGCGTTAAATGCGAGACTGAAGACAATCGCAGACAACTCCACATAATTCGTCGCGGCCATCATGAGCTTCAAAACGACCGTTACGCAACTATACCGCTTTCCCACCGAGTTTGTGGAGAATTTGCAGGTCCTCAGCAATGGAGATCTTCTTTTGGCCACCATGGAATCATATACGGGCCATCATATACGGCCAATCTTTACACACTAGATCCCGGGGCAGCAGAACTCCAGGCCCAGTTAGTGACTGGGTTTGATAACAAGGTCACCGCACTCACTGATATCGCCCCATTACCTAATTGTGGGGAGGACATATACGCTGTTAGTGGCGGCACACACGTATTTCGCGTTACAGAAAGGTTCCATGGCCGTCTACATTGTATCCCCGAAGGAAGGGAGGGTAGTCGGCAGCATTGATGTGCCGGACATTGCAACCATGAACGGAATGGCGGCGCTTCCACGCCACCCGCACATCTTACTGAGCGCTGACTCGATCGCTGGGCGCATCCTGTCTATCGACACTCGAACTAGTAAGGTTAGCGTCATGCTTGAGGACTATACCCTGGAGCCGGGCTTTACATAACGCCGTGTCAAGAGTCCCACCCATTGGCATTAACGGCCTCCGGACACGCGAGGACTATATCTATTTCATGATTTCGAGCCAAGGCACTTTTGTAAGGGTACGCATCGACGAACATGGCAATCGGATAGGTGACTTTGAGGTATTGGCCAGGAGCCCCGACGCCTCGCAGATCTACGACGACTTTACCTTTGACGAAGATGGCAACGCGTACGTGGCCGTGCACTCATCATCGATTGTGAAGATCACTCCGGATGGCGTGCAGACGACCCTTGTCGGTGGTACTTCCGACTTGATACTTCAGGAGCCCACTTCGGTAGCCTTGGCGAAAGATGGCAAGTCCATTTATGTTTCAACTGGCGGCAACGTGAGAACCACCGCGCGTCAGGGAGGACAAACCACTGAGATTCGGCTAGATTGGTAGTAATTTGATATAAATAGGCTTTATCCGCTTAATGTAAGGACCACAGTCTAAAGACAATACATTCCCATCACTTTTTCTCTACACCCAGAATCTGCAACTGAAAAAAGCTGTCAGCTGTATATAAAGTAGGCATGTATAGTGGAGACTATTCAACCATTAAGCCAATTTGTGAGGTCTATCGTTGAGGAAATCGCCGATTCTACTTCTGTAGAACTGATGATGCGGTGAGAACCGTGAGAACTTTGAGCTACCTGAGTAGCATGCAAGCCTTTGGTCTCCAGGTCTTGATCTCCCAGTATCTCTACACTGACATCCTTAAAGCATGCATATTACAGAGCCCAAAAGCCCAGCCAACACGAGCAATCCCATGCCAGGCTTCTGCACAGCTGCTAGACTGCTGATATTCGCATAGCCTGTCACAGGGAATTTGTCACTCTCGAATTCGATGCGCACAGTCTCGTTGATGTTGTGCAGCTTGGCCACAAAGTAGAAGTCATCGTTGTCTGTGAGCACTGTCTTTCCCGAGGTCAGGGCGCTGGTTTCGTTGACCGGGTCCCAGGAATAGCTGCCAGACGACAAAGTGAGGTTTTTCTCAATGGAATATGTGAACCTCGTCCCGCCAGTCGTCTCTCCTGTCCACTCCAAATCTAGCTGGGTGTAGCGGCGACCGTCGTCTCCAGCTTCCCACGTAACTTGTACCGTTCTTGAGAGGTCGACTTTGGCGTCGTCGTCTTGGGGAAATGTGAACTCAAAGTTATCAGCCAAGGCGGCGATTGGGAGCAGGAGCAGGAGCAGGATAGCGCAGGAAGTTACGGGATGCATTTTCAAAAGTGGTGCTGTGTGACGACAAACGAATTTTTGGATACTATCGGAACGATAAACAAATAGATATATATGTTCGTGGAAAGCCGTGGCTCAGCATCGCGTTGTGACGACATATATCTTGGCGGCTGTGCCGCAGAAAAAAATCGCACGATCCACTGCTCTTGGTAAGTAAGTTAGCTGCCAAGCCGGACTAGCAAGCCAGCCCCGGATTTGCTTGGTTGCAGGCAGATGATCATTCGCTGCATGGCCTAATTTTGGCTGACACGTGGGTCCAAGTGGTGCAGATCCCAGGAATCCTTGCCCACTGCGCCATGCCCTATTATTACATCTTTGGGGAATATCACGCGCCTTCTACTAATCTACAAGCTCTTGTGTATCATGCCTGTTCCAATGTTTCCTCAAACAGTCCTGTACCTCTCCTAGGTTAAACAAACATCGCAGATGAGTCAAAATGGATAAGTAGACGATCTTAGGCAACCTTTGAAGCAGTGTCTAACTCTCTAAGACGATATCCTTCGTGACGCGAATGCTATGATCGTTCAGAATATGCTTCTGGCTTTCGGTGTCAGACAGTCTGTCCCAGTTGTTATCACCGCTAGCCTTGCATGTCGTCTGCTGCGCCCCGGCATGAGTGTAGCGCATCGAGTCCATCTTGTAGGAATCTCCAGGACGCTGGCCTGTCTTTCCAGAATGCGGTGTTCGGCCGCTCGAGTAGTCGCGCAGGAACGGTATGTACTTCAGTAACGGCCTGAGCGATGCTAGCGAGCCTGCGATGATCCCTGTACCCGACTCGATTATTGACCATATTGCCACGTTTGCTACGTTCAACAGGTATTCTTCCGAGCTGTTGAAGGCGATCAGATATCTGATGCGGACGATTGTTGCGGTAGAGGCACTGTGAGTGATTAGATCAACTTCTTGTCAGAACTCCATGACTCGACAAGTGACTTACACAAATCCAAGTGCAAGCACACCAATCAGGGACAGTTTGACACCGAGCCGTAACTTGACGTCCCATACTGTTTACTTGGTTATTGAGCTGTCCAGAATGAGGCATTGAGATATACTCACGGATCAAGGCTGGCAACACCGCACACGTCCAATCGGTTAAGATCGACACAGCAGAGATGAAGTAGGACACGTTTGTGAGGACGGATGGATCAGCACATTTCCCTGCCGACGGGTCCCAGTTCGCCGAGACAGGTTGGCACCAGGTGAGAATCGTGACGTCGGTGATTATGCAGGCCATGGTTGCGAGAGCAATAACTCCGTACAAGATCCAGCGGTAGACGGCATTCGTAGTAATTCGAATTAGGGCAAAGCAGATGGAAGCTTTGATTGGGACTGTACTGAGCACATAGCATAGCTGGGCGATTGTGAGCCACTTTTTTTTTTATGTCAGCCCACGCTTTTTCTAGTTCTGGAACATCCCGAATGAGGCTGACTGACTTTTCCACCTTGCACGGTATAGTAGGCGTCTAGGTATCGGGACGGGGTTCCCACGCCGTTATACGCAGCCACGATTGCCGTGGCGCAAAGAACTGTGAAAATCAACTATCGCGCGCTGAGGTCAATATAATTGTCGCTGGTGTAGCTAAACGGGGTGCGTGGAGGGGACTCACTAGACCTGCAACCATGAGCCAATCATCCAGGCCAATGCCTTTAATCTTCCGCCTCACAGAGAGGCGAGCAAGCGTGGTAATCCATGAGAGTACCAGGAAAATGATAGACACTAGTACAAGTGAAAGGGCAAGACCCGTGGGAGTCAGAGCCATGGCTTCGACAATAAAGAACGCCGAAGGCGTAATTCATGCGTCACTTGACTCCGAGTAACCTGAGACAAAGAGGGCACAGCGCAGCATGTTGCAGCCGCAACCACTTATATCATAACTTGCACATACTCGTGCCGTGCTCCGACTCGATGGTAAAGCGCAAAAACAGGCACAAGAGTCCGGGGAACGCTAGTCAGGGCCCCTGGACTCTATAAGGTTTCCGCTAAAGACGGGCTAGTGTCCGGCGGCAGCGTCCCCGAACAAGTCAAATCACGCAGCGAGACCCATCTTGAGTCTCGACAGATCTTCAAGTCTGTCGGCCAAGCCCAAGCAGGCTCGGAGCAATTTATCCCCCTCTTCTTCGCTCTGTCGATCATGGCTCTAGCCGTGATTTTCCTCACGCTTTATTTCTGATATATTTGATCGCCGGCTAGCTCACTGCTTTCGTAACAGCTTGGTGCCACGCGAGACGCCACCATGTCTCTTGTAAGTTATAATAGTGCAGAATATTGCGACCCAAGGCCTAGGAATCCTTTCATATCTCGGGTGGTGGGGGAAGAGCTCGTTGACATCCCGAATCGTGGTGCCGGACTCCTGGTGCTTAGTTCCGGTCCCTGCATAAGTTAAAGGGGTTGTCATCTTTTAGCCTCGGATAAGTATCAAAACATTTTCGAAGCCTGCAGATGTAGTGCGCTCGGCACCTGGGATTCTTCACACCACTGTGTATAATACGCCAGACATTGCGGAGGAGGGAGGGGTCGGACAAAAAATCTAAAGGCCCGACAGGTAGGAACAGTCCTCTTACATGCTCTACTGATAAGAAAGTGTAGACCAGACTGCTCGGTGAACGAGTTGCTTGAGTTGTGGTTTACTGTCACGGCTTGCGATGGTGTTATTTCTGGATGTCGATTTCTCATCTGCCTTTCCCATCTCCCTTTCCCATCCATGTCTGGCTTGCAAACACTAACCCTCATGTAACGCCTCGGCACTCTGATCTGCATAACAAGATCTTGGAAAGCCGATCTCCGATGACTTGCGTGAACCAAGACGCCGCCATTTTAAAATTGTGCGAACGGCTTAATGTGACCCTCGCAACGTCGTCCCAAGTTAGGATGTAGTACAGTGAGATGTCGAGACAGACAGATAAGGCCCACCACCGGAAGATGCCCCACACAGCAGCGGCTGATGCACAGCATGGAACGGGGACCTTTACGAGTTACAGAATCGGCCAATAACTAGTGGCTTAATAAGTATGCATCTAGTCCGCCGCTACATATCGTTCTAGTAAGATGTGGCGTGGCAACAGCTTTTCTGCGTAGTAATCAATAAATATCATCGTATGCGTCACGATTGAATACGCTGCAACCCCTAATTCCACACTGGTGAGCCTCCTTTTTGCGAATACGACAGTAAGAGTCGGCTTCGCTGGGCTAGAACGTATATTGAGGGTTCTCGACTACCACAACTTACAAGCCGACGGAAACTAGCCCGCGCCTTGTCCTGAGGTTGGCTCTCTTAGACTCATCAGGGACGCACCGGCGTGTATTGTGAATTTTCCACGCTGCGCAGTAGACATATCCACTATTCGAAGGCAGTGCGGACCTGTCATTTATCCCGCATATATGGTAGATTGGATGGCGGTCATAAGCACGAAATAATTCGGGATCGTCGCAAGGATGTCCGCGATACAATGCGAGTGCTCTTGCAAATTATGGTTGTAGTAGATCATTCAATCCTTCTATTGTACATTCAAGTCGCTGATTTCTTGAATGTGAGCGGAACCAACTAAGCGGCTCGGGTTTGGCCATGGTAAAGTACGCACGTTCAGAAACTATTTTCTGCCCAGAGAAAATTTGCAATGGCTGTCCACGGAACAAGGATTTCCTCACATCTATATACAGTCGTCATTACTCACTAGATGTTTTACTGCAGCGTCACCGCCATCATCATCCATTGCGACTTGGCAGCCTTGTGGTCCATGAGGCCTCGGACATAGCACCAGCTCACAATGATGGACTGCTCAAAAGTTCCAGATACCCCAGACTCTCCTGGGGCAGATCTGATAATCATGGGTAGCCGACACCCGGGTACCGTGCACACCATGTCCCCGACCTCAGAACACGCAGGGCCGATGCAAAAATCACCCCGCAGCGTGGTAAAGGCCTTCCACCCGTCAACCCGCATCGAGATAGTTCGGTGATACTTGTTATGGCTGATCTTGGCGAGATCGTCCTGCGAAGAGCTGGCTCTTAGCCACTGCAGCCACTCGGTAAAATATTCATGATACACGGGTCCCGCTGGAAGGTCATCAATGTCAAGACCAAAGAGGAGGTCCATGGCCAACTGCCCGAGGCAGTCTTGCTGCGTTGACCCTGGCAGGGTCGACTTCATCCTAAAGATACGTTCCATGGCTTCTTTCTGGTCAGCAACGGAATATGCATCGAAAACAGGACATGCCTCGTCGATTGTACCAATTGGGCAGACTTGGATCTTGAGGCGGCCGGGCGAAATGAGTTCCGGGCTGATGCCGAGTGGGCCGCCTGCATTCCACTCCGCAATATCACACGGAACAAATGGCTCTATGAAAGCAAGATATCGAAGATCTGGTGCCCAGGTTGGTAGGCCGGGAGACCGTGGCCGCTCGATGCCACCCAGAGCGAGCAAGTCTAGCGATGGGCCGTGACAGAGCAACGCCACGGCCGTCTTGCGATATACTTCCTGCACCGCGTCGCTATAATGGGGTTCCTGTCCTATCGGGACTGTATAGTCTGGTGGCGGGACGGGCCGGTCCTGTTCTCCTATGCCGCGGAAGGCGAATACCGCATCTCGCTGATCTGTGGCCTCGCAGTAGAAGGCTGCCTGTAGGAGGATTTCATATCTCACAAAGCCTTGGCGGAGAAACTCGCGCCGCAGATTGATCAGTCTCGTGGCACTCCATAGGCCTTGGATTCTAGGGTCGTCGTCGTCGTAGTCGTGCCAGTCATCCAGAAACTTCCATATACTAAAAACATAGTCCTGGAATGTCGCAAATCCCACAAGGTCGTCGCCACAAACCATTGAAACCCCGGAATTCAGCGTGACCTCTTGGATGACCCATACACGGCGGAACCAGGGGCGAGCGAGAATGGACAAGACGAGCTTGAGACCGGCAGCAAGACTCTCATCGGGCTCGGCCGCATCTTCGGCGGTAGATGACCGACTAGATCCCATGAAGTGGAAAGCACGCCGAGTCTCAGGCGTGCTGGCACCGAGCCACACCAGGACCTCTTGGGCAGACGAGTAGATCTGCCCCATCATGCTCACCTGGGACGCCTTCTCCTTGGCGTCGTGTTGGTTTATACATAACGAGTCAATCCAGACGGCGAAGTGCGAACGACGCCGCCGCAGGGCGTCGAATAGATCAGTCAAGGTCTGGCTCAGCGGCAGCACGCGGCCGTCGGACAATCTGATGCTAGAGGCCGGGGGTGCAGGCTGGCCCCAAGTATACGAGATGGCCGTGAACGGGTCCGGCTTGGCATCATCCAGGCGGACAATCTTGAAGTCACAAACCAGGTCACCGCTAGATTGGTCGACTTGGACTTGAAGGAGGCGAATGTGAGACGTCTCCGGAAGAGGCTCATAGACGGAACCCATGCCCTGCTACGACTGTGCTATCATCATGCACGAAAAACCCAACTTCACGGCAGGCTTGCTTCCCTGGTTCGGCTGTCCAGGGCCGCGAGACCAAAATAGCAACGGCAACGAGACCCGATGGCTATAGCGGAGCCGACCTTCGGGCGCCAGGATATTTCGCTGCCCTCGTGATCAAGAGTCCCCGGTTAGATACCAGCTTGATGGCCTGTGCCGGGCCGGAGCAGGCAGTTTGGGTCGAGTCGGCGGGCTTGGTAGTGACGGAGTGGTTGCGCGGTGCGTGGCTGAGCACTCAAGTTGCGGGTGGCTGCCACGCAAGACACTCGCCACAGCCCTTGGTTCGGCTGACTGCTTAAGGCCAAGGCCAAGGCTAACCCTGGTGGCCTCTAGCAGCGTTAAGCTACGAGTTCCAGTGAATTGGACCCCGAAGCTTGGCGCTGTATGCAGGGCGCCATTGGCCGGTGGCACAACCACGGCGGGATCCAGGAACATCCCGAGGTTGACAGACTTCAGGCGGCCCAGCGGCTGGCGGGCTGAACCCCAAGGTTAGGTGCATGCGCCCACGAGTTTTGCCTCGATGACATAAACCTTGTCTATTTATATCTAGAACCGCCTGGGCAGGCAGCCAAGTCGCGGTTGGTGGCCGGTGGGAAGAGACACGAGAGGCTGGCCGGCCTGCCTCGAGAGACAGCGGAGGAAATCTGCACCCACGTCGTCGTGTAGTCGATTGACGGTCTATGTATTTGGGGCAATGGCGAATTAGGCAAGTCAAATTGCATGGACCAGGCGACTCCTCCCTGCGACTCCTCCCCGGCGGGTCAGCCGTTCAAAATCGCATGTGGATGTGGACGGCGTGTCGCATTAACCCTTTGCGCGGCTGTGCCTGCAGATCGCCGGGACGAACGGCGCTGTCCGACCTGACGCTGCTGCGTCGGGCAGTTTCTTCTGGCACCATCGTGCAACTCAACAACTTTAGTCGCCGTTGATTGGTCTGGGTGATTGCGCCTTTGAAACTCGATGTTGTACCGTAGTAAGGGGCAGGAGAGGCACAGTCAGCACCATCACATCACCCTGAGCAGCCAGGCAGCTCGGCACCAACAGTATAAGTCGAGTATGGCTAGAGTGTACATACAAACGGGCGGACTACCTAGCCTGGGCAGGGCCATGGATCATGGACCTTGAAGATGCATGGCCATGGCAGGCCATGGCAGGCCTCTGGAGGCTTGATGGATGATGATGCAGATAGATGGCGATGATGCAGACATTTCAATTGCCGCTGTCGCATCTGTCTGTTGACGGATGGCGGGAATCTTGAAATCTGCTCGGCGCAGAGGCTGACGACGTCACTGGGTGTGGACAGCTAACTACGCTAAGCATTCAAATTGGGGAGAGGCTAAGGGGGTGGATGGCTGGGTTGGGGGGGTTGATGGGCTGACTGGCGAGACTGGGTTCGGTATTGGTCGGCCTGCGCAGGTTGCTAGGGGGCAGCTTGGTGGGTGGCCAGGGGTGGGATGGGCTCCATGGACGGGCTGGATGGCGGGGGGCAGATCAGCGAATGGGCCGCCCGTTTGGCCCGGTCCCGGCTGGCTGCGCCCACTCTGTTGATCTGAAACACGAACCTCTTGTCCTGTGATTTTGCATAGCCATTCGGATGCCCATCTGCCAGCCTGTGCCCCCTGCTTTGACCCTCTACTGCCCTTTGCCTGCATCCGCTTCATCACGCTGAAACCCTCGACCGTCCAGCTCTGGGCTTGCTGGGGGCGCCATCTGCCGATTTCACGAGACCTCCGTCGCTGTCGTCCAAACCTTCGTTGTGGCCCTCTTGCTGCTCTGCCCGGACACACACATCCACCATCCACCCCCCCCCTATTGACCCCATCTCTGCGCGCCACGCCAGAGAAGAGAGACGGACGAGACGACGGTATCCATACGTACGTTGCGGCACACGGCAGAGTTACAGCCAGCATCTGGTGCCGGCACAGAGCACAAGCTGGTCGCCGCAGAGCATAGACTTGGCACACGTCCGCTGCCCGCTGCCGATACACATCCCCCGGATTCAGGCGCGCGCTCGGGCTAGAGTTACATCGGTTACGTCGACTAGCCATCGCGACGACGAATCCGTCTGCTGCTGTCTTGCCTCGTCGCCCATCCCGTCGAGCCACGCGCCCGCTCAGAGACACCCAGAGCTCACTCTGCCGCCCTCTCCTCTCGCCCACTGACGATCTTGTCTCCCCGAGTCTCCTTCTCCTCTTCCGGGGCAGCTAGAGCGAAACCCAGGCCCTGCGCTCGCCAGTCACTTGGATTCATTCCACCGAGCCACACCCACTACGTAACGGCATTCCAACCGCTCCGCCCGGCAGCAAATCACCGTCTGCTCCCGGCCGACCTGCTTTAGCTGGTCCTCTGCCTTCACTACCTCGGACTAGACGTCTCAGGTCGAGAGTCCCTCTCTCCCCTTCTCTCTCTCTCTCTCTCTCTACCAGTCTCCATCCACCTCCAGACTGCTCGTCCCGCCCCTCCCACCCCTGTGTGGGAATACTAAGGAACCATGTCGTATAATCGATTAGGCAAGTTTCACTGCGCTCATTGCTGTCCCCTTCTTGCTTTTTGTCTCCCTGTCCTTGCCCTTCCCCATCAGGTTTGGATATCACTGCCACACCAGCACTCCTGGACGGCCATGGACCTGTGACTTCATACCCTGCGTCACCCTATCAAGCACACACACACTCTCTCCTCTTCAACCGGTGCTCCCCCACCGCCACTGCGCTCCGTTCACTTATACACTCTTTGCCTCCTTGGCGATTCTGTGGTTCGCGGGTACTTTGTCTACATCCCGGTGAAAGACACGAATCACCAGACCCTCAGTGGCGCGGGCAGCCCTTGAAGTCTACTTCTATTCAAAACAGCTCGCCTGCTAGCCACACGAAGCTCCAGTTGTATCTAGTCTAACCTTGATCCCCCAGACGACGACTACTACGATCCCACCATGGACAACCATAGGATGGGAGCGCCGCGCCGGTCGCCTTCGCCGGGCCACCCTCTCCAGCACGGCTACCAGCTGGACGACGTCCCGTACGGCCAACACCCGGCCACGACACAGTCCAACCTCAGCATACCGAACCGTGCCGGCACCTACACGCCCAGCGACGTCCTCCCGCTGAACGCCGCCCAGTCGTACGACAACCTGTCCCAGAGCCCTTACGGCGCCCACGGCCACAACCAGGGCTACGGCTCCGACTACGGAGTTAACCCGGAGCAACATCACGATGCCTACTACAACCAGCCCTACGAGCCGCACCCGTCCGGCACGACTCCCTACGACGAACCCCAGGGCTACGGGCTCGACGACCAGCGCCCTATGCTGCAGCAGAACGACTCGTACGCACAGGCCCAACCCCAGGACCCCTACCGCGACGACCCTCACCAGCAGGCCGCTGGCGGCGGCGGCGGTGGTGCCATCAAACGGTGGAAGACGGTCAAGCAGGTTCTTCTGTACCGTGGCAACCTTGTCCTGGACTGCCCGATCCCGCCGAGGTTGCTGAACCAGCTGCCCCATGGAGAGCGCGACGAGTTTACCCACATGCGGTACACGGCGGCCACCTGCGATCCCAAGGATTTCTACGACGAGAACTTCACATTGCGTCAGAAGCTCTTCAGCAAGCCCCGCCACACCGAGTTGTTTATCGTCGTGACAATGTACAACGAGGACGACATCTTGTTTGCGCGCACCATGGTTGGTGTGCTGAAGAACATCGAATTCATGTGCAGTCGCAAGGAGAGCAAGACGTGGGGGCCGGACGCCTGGAAGAAGATCGTCGTCTGTGTCGTCAGTGACGGCCGTGCCAAGATCAACCCGAGGACACGCGCCCTTCTGGCTGGTATGGGTGTTTACCAGGACGGTATCGCCAAGCAGCAGGTCAACGGCAAGGATGTCACGGCGCATATCTACGAGTACACCACCCAGGTTGGCATGACCATCAAGAACGACGTCGTGCAGCTGGTTCCCAAGAAGCAGCCGGTGCAGATGCTCTTCTGCCTGAAGGAGAAGAACCAGAAGAAGATCAACTCGCACAGATGGTTCTTCCAAGCCTTTGGCCGCGTCCTGAACCCCAACATCTGCGTGCTCATTGACGCCGGTACCAGACCCGGAGGAAACTCCATCTACCACCTCTGGAAGGCCTTCGACCTGGAGCCCATGTGCGGCGGCGCCTGTGGTGAGATCAAGGCCATGTTGGGTACCGGTGGCAAGCATCTGCTCAACCCCCTGGTTGCGACGCAGAACTTTGAGTACAAGATGAGCAACATTCTGGACAAGCCGCTCGAGTCCGCTTTTGGCTTCATCTCCGTCTTGCCCGGTGCCTTTTCCGCATACCGCTATGTCGCGCTCCAAAACGACAAGAACGGCCAAGGGCCTCTGGAGAAGTACTTCAAGGGCGAAACGCTGCACGGTGCCGGTGCCGGTGTCTTCACGGCCAACATGTACCTCGCCGAAGATCGTATCCTCTGTTTCGAGCTGGTCACCAAGCGCAACTGCCACTGGATCTTGCAATACGTCAAGTCAGCGACAGGTGAGACCGATGTGCCTGACACTGTTACCGAGTTGATTCTGCAACGACGGCGTTGGCTGAACGGTTCCTTCTTCGCTGCCATCTACGCCATTGCCCACTTCCACGAATTCTTCCGCTCTGATCACTCGTTCATCCGCAAGATCATGTTCTTTGTCGAATTCGTTTTCCAGACCGTGAACATGATCTTTGCCTGGTTCGCCATCGGTAACTTCTTTCTGGTCTTCAAGATCCTGACAACCAGTTTGGGCGATGATAATCTGCTCAGCGAAACGGGTGCAATTCTTGGTGTGGTCTTCACATGGTTCTACGGTATCTCACTTATGGCTTGTTTTGTCCTCTCGCTGGGTAACCGCCCTGCTGGTTCCGGCAAGCTCTACACAGCCATGGTGATATTCTGGTGTATTATTATGATGTAAGTTGTTCCCTCTGGTCCTTATGATGACACTCCTTGCTGACATGACGTGCAGATACTTGACGTTCGCTGCCGTGTTCATCGCAGTCAAGGCTGTCCAGGAGCAGGTTAAGAACGGCTTCAGCGTCAATGCCTTGTTCACGAACAAGGTGTTCTCGTCCCTCATTGTTTCCACACTCTCCACGTATGGTCTTTGGCTCATTGCATCACTGATGATGTTCGATCCCTGGCACATGATCACGTCGTTCCTGCAGTACCTCCTGCTCACACCCACCTACACCAATGTCCTCAACGTTTACGCCTTCTGTAACACCCACGATATCTCTTGGGGTACCAAGGGAGACGATAAGCCGGAGTCGCTTCCCACAGTCGACACCAAAGACGGCAAGGGTAAGACCGACTTGCCGGATGAGGGAGATCTCAATGCGGCGTATGACCGCGAGTTGGCTGTCTTCTCCAGGAAGCACGTTGTGGAGAAGAAACCCCCGACCGAGACCCAAATTGCCGAGGCTCAGATGGACTACTACCGCTGGATCCGATCCCTCGTGGTGTTGATATGGATGATATCCAACTTTGGTCTATGCGCTGTCGTCCTTAGTACCGCCGGCCTGGAGAACCTAAGCACTACGACGGATGACAACGATACCCGTGCATCCATCTACATGACGGTCGTTCTGTGGAGTGTGGCCGTCCTCAGCGCCTTCAAGTTTGCAGGCGCCCTCTGGTTCCTGATCGTCCGCATGTTCCGTGGTGTATGATGGGGAATTCGGCTGTGCTACAGTATGAGTTCCCAGTACTTGTTTATTTTTCTTTCTGCCGTTTCCTGTTTGCATAAATTCCATATACCCGATTACGTCATGTCACGAATATCAAGGAGCGGCGAGTGGGGGACTTGTATGAGGAATTTGGATGCATGATGAGGGGTTGTAGATAATTCAATTCGCCGTGCAGGGCTGTTCTTGATGAATGGCAAGTTTCTAGAAGAGTAATTGAAAGATACTGAACTCCGACGTACCGTGTCTAATTCGTGATTTATTGGAGCTGGTCGCGACCATTCATTCAATCCTGAAATCGAAAGGGAACACCTGCCGGGGAAGATTGACATTATACACTCTTTGACAGAACCTTGTACTCTTCCAAATCAGAAAGGGCATCTGGGAAGATTTTGCCTGTCGGCGGCCATACATGACTAGAATACAGTTTTGAGACTCCAACCGGCGGATACTCCCCTCGCGACTATAAAAGCAGCCGTGGCTGCAGCGTATGCGCCTCCGGCCAAAGCAATCACTCCGCTGTACCCTCCGCCCTGCGCCTGCAGAATGGCGCCGGCCAATGGGATTCCGACCAGGGCGCCAATGCTCGCGATGGAGAACGCCGTGCCGTTCCTCTTCCCGTAGTCCTCCACCCGACACACCTGGCCAATGCACACCGGCGTTAGGCTGATGGCCGCCCCGGACCAGAACCCGTACAGCACCGCGAAGCTGGTCACCATGGCCTCGTTGTCGCGCGGAGTCGTCAGCCAGAGACACAGGATGAAGGCCACGCACGTGAAGCACGTGACGCACATGACGTTGAATACCCCGAACCGGTCCGCCACGTAGCCCGGCAGCGCCCGCCCCGGGATCGCGCCGGCGTTGAGCAGCGTGTTCAGCAGGTACGCCTTATGGGGCTCGAGCCCCGTGGCGATGGCGTACGACGAGATGTACGTGTAGGGGATGAAGACGGCGAACTCGACCAGGAACACGGCCGCCGTGACGATGGCGTACCGGGTGTCTCTGAGCGCCCCGAGGTCGATCGACGACCCGCCCTTCTTGTTCGGCGGCAGCCGCTTGCGCAGCAGGGTGCAGGCGGCCACCGAGGCCGCCGCGCAGATGAAGCCGATGATCCGGATGGCCCAGGGGAACCCGATGGCCGGCGACGCGTACAGGATGATCAGCGGGAATACGACGCCCCCGACGCCCCCCGCCGTGCAGGCCACGCCCGTCGCCAGCGCGCGGCGCTCCGAGAACCAGTGGCCGATGGTCGCGATGCTGGGGTTGAAGAGCATCGAGGCCGACACGCCGCCGAGCACGCCGAACGTGAGGAGGAACTGGTAGTATTCTGACCGCCGGCCGCGTCAGTGCAAACTCCAGGCTCGTGGGCAGGTATGTCATGGTAACACGTTGTATGGGTATGTGGCAGACTTACCCTTTGCAAGACTCAGGAGCATGGTAGCCGCGACGATGCCGATGCAGCCGGGGATGATCAGGAACCGGACGTCGTGCACGTCGAATATAGGGCCTATACAGAGTTCAGAGATCATTCCCGGGTAAGAACAGCGCCGAGAGCCAGCCACACCGCGGCCGGAGTTTTACTCACCGACTTGGGCACCGCATAGATACAGAAAGAAGGCGTACAGGCTGAAGATCCACCCGATGGACGACTCGGGTATTCCGTGCAGCTCGTTGACCGACACCCAGGCCTGCAGGACGGCCAGCGTGTTCAGCAGGCCCATGGACGGGATCATGGCGCACCAGGCGCCAAGCACCACCAGCCAGGCCCGTGTGCCGCCCTCGGGGTACGAGACTTGGTCGTCGTCGTCGTCGCTCCGGGCTGCTGCCATTGCCGTCGTCGCTGTCATCTCCCGGAATGTGCAAGGCGGAAGCAGGAAGCTATCACTACACTGGCCGGCGCTCTCCGTGAGGATGATGATAAGAGACCAAGATGGACAATCAAGTTCAGTAGTTTGATCTTTTCGCTGGAGCAGCTGCGCCGCGATGCTACTGACAAGATTCCCGTCCCATCGTACAGCAGGTTGGCCGGCAACTTGACTTCCGCATGGCCCTATTTCCACAGTGAAGACCCGCATTTGGCAATTTGTTGACCCACCGGGACGTCTCCGTCCTCGGCAGTGACGGGGCCGACTTGGACTCGGTGGGGCCGGCATGTAGACAGACACCCTTGGTCCGGCAATCCGTCAACTTCAACCCCCAGTGTTGGGAGTTCAGTATGTGGCAGTCTCTGGGTATGGTCGACTTTTCCTGACTTTGCAAAGTAGTTCAATATGACACAATCCTCGGCTCCGATTTGGAGGCGTCTGATTTGGCATGGTCCACGAGCGTTGCAGGGAGTTGCTCCATGACGTGCGACGTTGGGGTGACGCACTGATAGGCAACATCAAGGTCGGAAACTGGCTTCTCGGATCAAACAAATTGAATGTCGTGATATATGAGTGACTCCTAGTCACAAAGTGCAACCCATTGTTCAATACTGGCGGATTTGCCATGCGACATGCGCAATCAAGACCATACCCAAGACCTTTCTCGATCAGTCGGCAATGTCGCTCTGTACTGATTCTTCTCAAGATACGTCTGCAATGGCTGGACCCGGCGCTTTTGATCAATAGCAGTTGGTCTGAACTCGGCATGAGATTGAGATCTTCGAGGAGAATGACCCTGGAAGCCCGAAGTGGTATTCAAGAGTATGAGCCAGCGTCCTGATAACGCTGTACACCAGTGGCAACGCTCGCTTTCAGAGAGGTGCGTTTGGCAAGCATATCGTGGGGTCACCAAACTAAACCACAAACGCAGGTTGTGCAGAGCAATCAGTATCTAGTCATTCCCGTAAGAGGTGCGACCAAGCAACAGAAGTGTCCTCTCGTGCAAGATCTTATTAATTCGCGTAGATGCCGGTTTTTTCCAGCATCATGTTTGCTACCATGGTCACGCGGGATTTCTGTTTGGGTCTTATCAGGGTGTGATTGTACATCAGCTGTGGACTCCTATTAATACTTTACTTTGTCCTCTGAAGACTTTATGTTATGCCAATTCCTCTATACCTCCCCCTAGTGCTATCCTTCAGGGGCTGATCTATCCCTCTTCACTTTCGTAGCTGCGCATTGCTCAAGTGCGCGCTGGCTTCTATCAGCAAGCACTGCTATTATAGCGCTAGTCACGTTTCGGCAACGGAGGCTGTGAGCATTTATTAGAAGCCGAGGATGATAGCGAGATCGTCTCAATGGCGGTTAAAGCTCTGCCGATATGTCGTCTGCGGCGCGTAGTAACCTATGATCGACACCATGCGATTACCAGACAACACCTACAGAATTCGACTTCATGAGTACATCACCAAGCATGATCTCGAGGAAGGATACCAATTGCTCAAGTGCGCGCTGATACGTATCGACATGCATGGGAAATGACATTGGAGATCCCGAATTGTTACTTGGTGGTTTGTCCACCCGGGTGATCTTGGCAATCAAAAAATTCATTATGTCCAACAACTTTCTGGATTGTCCTAGCAGGCGGCGAAAATTCACCAATGCCGGCAAATCCGGGCCAACGCCAGTGAATAGTGACTCAGATCAGCAGCCAAGGTGAATTTGACGTCGGTTGCTGGGCGGCAGTTCTGCTCAAGGTACCTAGGTACTTTCTTTTGACGACAAAAATTCACTACAGTTTGGGATTATTGCGGGACCCAGATCATCCAATCTCGTGGTCTAGATCAATTATTGACAAAATACCTAGCGACCCAGGTGAATACTTTTTTTATTCACCTCGACCCGGATCAGCCATCTGAAACAGTATCGTCAATCATTCACTCGTAGGTGGACATATAAATACCTCCATTTTCCTCCCGACTCAATTTTCCTTCCTACCTCTTCCCAGAGTGCCCCAAACTTTCATACATTGGTCCGACCTTCTGCTTGCCACCTCTGCACGATAGTTTCGTCCCTCTCATCCATCCCTTTCATCCCCTCTTCGTCACTCTGTCTTCATACGACGGCATCAAGCGGCAATCACCCATTCGCGTCTCACCATCATCGCTACGACGCCCTATCTTTGCGTACCTCTAAAGACCCGACCGTAGTTCCGCGCGAGCCTTGAGACATCAAGATGGCTTTCGTAGTTGCCATCGTCTACAAAGGACGGGCTATTCTCATCGAGCAGCCGATCGTGCCCAGTGAGCTTGCCAAGTCCGCTGCGAGGCACTTCGGCCTCACGAAGAAGCAGATGCGAGGCTTGGAGATTAAACAGAGCAAAGACTGCTTCACTACCTGGAGCAACACCTACTACGACTCTCGAGAGAATCGCAATTTTCCTCGAGAGATAAGCTCCGATGTATACATGACATGCGGTAGCACCGGCAACATCTTCTGGATTGGAGACTACGGCAAAGGAGAGATCTTCACGATTGAGATCTCGGACGATAAGCCGATGTATCTGAAGAAGAGCATCGAGGAGGAGGCTGGTGACAACTTTCAGGTCACCGACGGTCTCGAGCGCTAAGCGAGGAGCCCTTTGGTAGGCAATGCCCTACTTACATGGCTTAAATTTTTGGCTGACCATGTTCATCACATTAGGGATAGCAAGACCAGTCCGCGTCTGCTCGCAGGTTGCACCTACTGCGGACTCTGAGATAGTTGGACCAGGTATGGTCATGGGGGTTAGGAAATTGCCATGACGGCTGTTCATGCTTCTTGGGCCAGGTGCTAGATCGACATGATGCATAGATTGGGGCTCGCAATGGTCGTTGGTATGAGAGATTTGGCATTCCATTAATGTGCCACGTGGAACGTACTATACTAGGTGCAGGACAATTACACGGCATTGCATAGGCCGCTTTTCTGACACGATTACGTCGATAATCTATTGTCCCAAAACCAGCTCATCCATCTGCAATCGCACTCGTGAGATGAGTCTGCTGTCCATTTTCTTGTGTCATCGTTCGCTTTATAAATATTTTTCGGGTTTTCTGCAAATCGCAACAAGACCAATCTAAGCACCACAGACAACGCGTCACCTGCTACTTTCACGTTTTCAGATTTTTCCACGCCCCAAAAATTCCATTTATCGACGACAATATTCACTACTGCCTGATTTTTTCATCACGCAGATCAGCCAATCTTGTAGGGCCGATCAATCATTATCAACGCCAGGTGAAAAAAAACCTCCCCCCCCGACTTTTTTGGGTGCTCTTTCCATTCACCGGCGACGTTTCGCTGACCAGTCGTACCCTCCAGCGTCCTCAATCAGCTCCCAGTACACATACATGTAATTATTTACCACCTGCACCTAGTTTTCCCTTCCTCTCAATCTTGTTCATCGCATGCAACCCGCAATCGCACCCACTGGAACAATCCACACCATTCACCTCAACAATTCTCCCTTCTATCTCTTCATCATCCCTCCAGCTTCACGCAACTTGCAAGACACAAGACACCACTTCACGCTGTCAAAGTTGCTTGCTTTCCAAGTTGCCCCACGTCGCCCGTGCTCACAAGGCTTGGGCCATTTTGGTCGAGCAGCCGGGAACGCCGACCGACCTGCGCGCGACAACGGCAAGGCGCTTCAAACTTTCCGTGCGCGATGTTGGGAAGCTCGACATCAAACACAGCAGGGATTCTCACACGAAGTGGGATAACACTTATCAGGACTACCCGGAAAACCCGAATTCCTCCTGGAGTTGACATTAGACGCGCACTGGACTTGTGTCAAAACTGGTGCCATCTTTTGGGTTGGTGACTACAGAAAGGGTGAGATCTTCACCAATGAGGTCTCAGACGAAAAACCCCTCCATCTGAAGAAGACCATCCAGGACGAGACAGGTGATAAATTTCAGCTTAGTGATGGACTGGAGCGCTAGATTGCTCCCTTCAGCGTAAGTAACTTTTTCGTTCTGGCTACGTTGTCCGGCAGCAACTATCCGCACGCTATCACCTTGAGTTCAGCGCGTTTATTTTGGAGTAATTGTCTATTTGATCTAAATCTAACAGTATCAACGAAACCTGCAGATGCTAACTAAACTCAAAGTCTATCACCTCTACGAACGGGAGCGACGTAGAGAAAGTCAGCAGGGGACCTCTACGGTGGTGTGTCAACTGGATATAGTACTTTTTGGACCACTTGCGAGCGGAAACTCGGAAATCCAAGTCAGAGTCTTAGACTCGGCCCTAATGGTACACGGAATATACGTTGCGACACATCAGAAATTCGGTATACATGCCACTCTTCATACTGCAACACTGTTACATTGAATGTCATCAGTCCAGTGATGAATCCTGATATCTTCGCTTAAAGTTTTAGCATGTTTCCCACTGAATTAGCCATCGAATTCTCTCCAGCTGCTTGGTAAAAAAGCGGCACGCTCATAAGACCTGGCACTGAAATCGCAACCACACGGATGATTTGGTGCGGCCACCAGGACAAGTGCACGGATTTCCAATCCTAGACTTACCCACTCCTCGGGCATGGATATGACAGCAGCGTTATGCGCGTGGAAGATGCAGTGGTCGGATGCGGGTGATTGACACGAATAACTGCGGTGTGCATTCATAAGAAAGATGTAGGAAGAGGGGTGGTGGTGGATTTCGAACGACTAGAGAAGTCATTTCTTAATTAGGCACAGCGCAGCTCAAGCATCGTGGCGATGGAAAAAACGAGTGGCTCCTGATCTATTTTGCACTCATATCTCTACAGTGTAGGGTTATCTCGTGCTAAAAGATACTCAGACTCCATCCCGACCCTGAATGGCCAGTGATATTGTGTGTAACTGTTGGTGTGAGGATGGAGCCCATCGGCGTCGCTTTCCATCTTAGAGACGTGTTAACCATACCTTTATCAGGCCACAGACCATCAAGTACTTCCCAGAATAATCATCTTCCTCAGATTCTCTGGTTATCGGAAGCCAGTCTTGCACATTGCGCTGAGTATGTTTGCGGAGTGGAAGAGTAGTCTGCTAGCCTTGAAGATAGAAATGGATCACATTATTCTTCGCATGAACCTCTGCGCAACGGGTTGGCAAGACCATGCTACTAAATAAGTACTATGAATTCTGTCCCATATTACCGATCGCTGGGGACTAAACTTGGAATATGAGAGATACATCTTTTCCTACTTGGGCCGCCACCATCGCCGATGCGAGAGCCAAAAATATATCAACTGATCCTCGGTTTAGCCGGATCGTATCAATATCTATTGGTTTTGGCCAAAAGCTGTATCGGTCCATACATCCTCATGATTCCACATAACTTCATGCGTAGCAGAGCATGTCGTGCTGTGGTGTATTACCAAATCCTAGTTGTGGCGAAGCCCACGTGAGTGGCCTATATATATATACTGAACTGGAGTGGTGCTCCTAGGCCATATTCCCCAAGTATCACAACCTCAGCCAACGCAGTTCTCCTCGTCAGTGCCGACGAATTGAACGTATATTGTTCGTGTGGTAAAAATAGACGTGTAAATCGACGGTCGCCAAACCGAATAGTTGTAAAATGAAGGCAAAAAGTGCGATGGGTGTATTAAATTCTACGGAAAAGAAGGAAATTAAATAAGTGAAACGCGAAAAAGCACAGCCACTATTTCTCAGCCACAATTCTATACCACGTCCCACCAGCCCGAGCTCAATACCTATTGGTGTGGAGATACATAGCCTACATACAGCCTTGTACAGAAATATCTGCTCTTAATATAATTGCATTCAGTTGCTCTGCATCGTGTAACACTGTGCTGCCTAAGCTGATAGACCAAACATGCACGTGTTGAAGATCCATGTGACGTGCTGCTAATCAGATCGGTAAATTTGTGTCTAGGGACGCTAGGCTGTGCTGCCGCTACTATTGAAAGTGCAGATCAGCGCTGCCGTACCTGGTGGTAAGAGTGGTCGATCGCGTTGTGTTACCCAAACTGCAGAGCTCTGCCCGTTTCATGTGTAGCTGTCGGCTCTTATTCTAGCCAATAGGAACACGAGAACGGGATGCTCAGTCAATTTAGAATCAAGGATGTAACCCGGCCGTGTTATGCTTCAGCCTTGCCGCATTCGAGCTGTATGGTGAAGAGAGGGGTGTGACTGGTCAGCTTGAAGGAGCCGTCAGCTTGGAGGAGTAGTCAGCCTATTCCGCTATCCTCCAGTCAAGAGAGAATAACTGTTCCGGATACTACCGAGCGTAACTAGGTAGCTGAAACATTGGCGAGGTTCAATCACGGTGTTCTGTAGAATATCTGTAATTATTTGTAATCAACTTTTCTCAGCAAACATAAAACGTTGCTTACTTACTTCCTTTACACTGCCTGTCCTGCCTTGCCTGGTGGTTGCTATCAACGTCGCCTATGTGGACAGCCATCAGTTCCTAGTTGCAATCTACCACTACGCTGCATTATGAGTTCGGAGGCAGTTTCAACTTCGCAGTACCCTGTTTATATAGGACTTTGGACGAACTGGTCCTATGGCAAGGTTTTTGGGTCTACCTTGACCCTGACTAGGTCAGACGGGAACCTTCTCATTGCATTTATCGCAATGTTCCTCACCATAATTGTCTCTCACCTTTGGGCCATTGCATGCTTCGCTATTCATTTATGGTTCTCGTCGCCGAAGTCCCGTGATCTCCTTCATCATCAACGACAAGCAGTGCTGCGCAATAATGGCGGTCCTCTTAATACAGCATGGATCCTTATCCAGATTATCTGGATTTGGCGTCACTTGGGCGCAATACGGCGAATTGGTCCGCTCGTGACATTCACTCTTTTGCTGTCTTCGGCATTGGCGGTTGCTACAGCATTTTCAGCCCGCATAGCCATCGGGAATGAGGTTCTCCTAACAGGAGATAGGTGTGCACTAATTGGCACCACTAATTTGACGACTCAACTGAACACAGTCAATATATGGATGGGGAGGGAAATAACAACGTCTGCAAGCTATGCGCAACAATGCTACTCAGCAGTCAGAGCATCAAAGCTTTCATTCGGATGCGAAAACAGTATTTTCGTCAGGCAGGAGTTACGAACAAAAGTGGATACTAATGCGGTCTGTCCGTTTGCGAATTCTTTATGCCGCAGCAAAGACTCCAATATCCTGATTGACTCTGGCCCAATTGACAGCCATTCTGATCTGGGCCTGAATGCACCGCAGGATGAAAGATTTTCTTTCCGTGTCGTCCTCCACTGTGCACCATTAGTTACCGAGGGCTACAGGTCAACATTGAACATATCCGGTGATCGTTCTTTTGCGAGATATTTCTACGGAGAGCCGCTCCTGTCGTTTCGGCCTTCTGAATACACTCCTGTCAATGTCACATACGAATACCCAGACGACTTTGTGACAAGGATCAACATAACTGGCTTGAACTATGCTTGGTCTGATTACACACTATCGTATGTTTCTGGTAGAAGTTATGATTTGAGTCACTGTTTTTCTGGAAGGCTGACCGGCGAGCAGAGCACTGCTAGCTTATGTAACGAATGGAACAACCGTTACTGATGGGTACTCAGACTTCAAGCCCATTACAGATCTCCAAAGGCATGACGCAGATACAACGCTGATGTTCCTTTCAACAAATTCTGTCGGATTTGTGCAGAATACGGCGGACATCTGGTATAACGCGTCTCAGAGTACACCACCGGAGGAAGTATCACCCGAAGAGCTTTCCGATCCAACTTTTGTACCGTGGTCCCACCAGAGCGAACCAGCATCGCCTCTCGCCTGTGCTCGCCAGGAACAGTACTGCACCTCGGGAGGCGGGAACTGCACGCCTCTTAGCAGCTCCCACGATGCAAAACTAGCCGCCCAATCCCTCTTTCGAGATACGGACCAATATCAGAGATGGAAATGGATCACTACTGCTACCAAGCAGATCACTGCGGACGAGGTGTACGTCATAGGTGCTCTCAGAAGTCAGGCCCTTGCGTCACGATTTAACTTCCTGGGCGGCGTTCAGGGAGCTATTCCGGACAACCAATGGCAGTTAGATGTACAGTACTGGCATGCCGTGCAGCTGGCTACCATGCAGAAAGCGGTGGTTGACGTTGCCATCGGCCCTTTGCCAGACGAGGAAGCCGAAATCATGGTAGGACCAAGCAATCCTTTACAACAAACACTCTGCAAAAGCCAGGTATGGAACTACCCTGCTTCAGGTTTAATAGGATCGACTAATAAAATTCTCTGTACATATAGAAGATTAACAGCACCGCTCATGTCTCGTTCAGTGTGTTCGGACTTAGCTTCGTCGGAGTATTTGGGCTACTTGTAATAATTGCTTCTATGTCTCTAGAGTCTATGCACAGGTTCATACGGAGAAAGTGGAAGCTCAGCTTACATGCACAGTTGGAATGGGGTATTAACAGCACATTGCAACTACAGCGACTTGCACACGAAGAATTAGGAATCCAGCCGTGGTCGCGTTGTGATGGGCCAATACCTTGCCTAGAATCCAGCGCCCGTTTAGCTCGCCTAGATATCTCCGACGCGAAACATCCAAAGTTCATCGCCGAAACCCTGATTCAAGAGAAGTCATACACGGATGCAGCGTCTCTCAGTTCGCAACCAGCACATCAGACCAGTACAAAGGAATCATTTCGAGAGAGCTCGCCCACAGCAAGTCTATCTCAGAGGAAAGAGAGTGATGGTGACATAAGATCAATGTAATATGGCATTGTGGATATTTTCGGTTCAGGTTGGCTCTGATGCGAACAATGAAATAGAAATTGTAGAGGGGGCAAACATAAGACGCCGGGTCGCCTCACACTACCTTAGTCAACCTGAGCCATCGAATGCTTCTCTGAACAACCCTAAATATAACGCAATTTGACGTCACCTCTGTGCTTGACCTATCTAAAGCTAGAAGCATCTTGACTGGTGTGTGCTTCTGTTGAATATGGTTTGCGTCCATAAACGACCCAACTAGCATTCCGTATCAGCGGAAAGAGATTTTGTGGAGGGTTTGGCGATGAAATGATAGACTTACAATGTTGCATACGGGTGGTTTTTGCAGTTCCTCAGATACTCCTGAGTCTCTTTAATAAGGCTCTCGATGCCAGCGGGGGTATAGCCCGCTTGACTTAACATCTTCCAACCTGTGCTTCGAACACCATCCATCATGTTCTTAAGTTGCCATAGACCAACTTCCTTCAGCTTCTTGTCTTTTGGCCATGGATTGCAAGGTAATACAAACGGCCGTTGCTGCACATCAACAACTGGATAAATAAGGAGCAGCTTAGTACACAATGTCATAGCTTTAGTCAATAAGACTTACATCCAGTCTCTTCCAGCCATTGCTTGTAATTTCTGGGCACCAAGATATCTCGCCCACTATTGGCTGCCCCTTGTACGCATCCCTTGCACCACTGGTCCAAGGGTGACCCTGTCCTCGGTCAGCGTTTTGGGCATATCGATAAAGGGCATGTCACACACCTTCCCAATTAGCATCATCGGCCGTGATATCGAAAGTGGCATCCTGAAATTCTATCCACCCACCAGGGCTCATGTTGTCGAAGGCTGATTTCATCACCGTACGAGGGTCATCGAAACATGTACAAACCATCCTCAAATGTACGTAGTCAAACATTATGCGATGTTCGCAGGGTAATGTACAGTTGATTCCTTGGGGATGTGGAGCTGGGAAGACCCATTCAGCCTCAGAGTCGTCTTTCTGAAATACGCAATTCGGTACTCTTGGATCCGGTTGGATTGCACTCAGGTCCGTCCCAATTACGAACGACGAGGGGAATCTCTCGGCAAACTCCAGGGCCCAAATGCCCGTTCCGGTCGCTACATCGAGTACAAAAGCAGGGACAGTGGTCATTGGGGCCAAGCCGAACCATCCATCTAACATGAGCGTGAACATGTGGTGTTGGAGGTCAAGGCGATCCTGTTCAGCCTGGAGCATTGACGTCATTGACAGTTTCATATCAAGGACTGAGGAGGCAACTCACAGCGTCGTTTGGGAGGAAATATTTCCCACTTTTGTATCCATGGTAAAGTCTTCCCGAGTCTCCCAGAACTGAGTCGGGATCAACGACCGAATTGCCATCTGGAGTCCGGCCTAACGACGCGTTGATGAGTTCGTTGGCCTGAGCGGCAAAACTGTGATCAGAATTTGTAGGAACAGGAAAAACCATGGTGTATTCGGGGTCTTCGTAAGTCGGGTCTACCAGCGGCATCGTTTCACTATACAAGTGAGACGGTGGCTGGACCATAGTTTGGGCCGAGGATTGTAATTGTGACGGCCAAGTCGAAATACCGCCAAGTGAGTCGGTTAATGGCATACCCACTGTGTCATGGAATGAAGAAGAGTCGCCATAGTCAAGTTGTGGCAAGGCTGAGTCGATTATCTCGCTCTTGAATTCTGCCTCTTCTGAGATCTGATGGGTTGGGTGCCTCCCGTCCCACGCTCCTGCTTGGCTCTCCTGACCCATGACTCAAACCGAGATTACGTATGAATTCATAGGGCTCCAGAAGCTGACAAGCTATAGTGGGCAGTAAGAGATGGTGAGATGGGACTCTGTAGGTTTAAATGATCAAGCGGCGTTGAAGTAATTATGGGGTTAGTGAAATGGAGGGCGGGGTTTTAACTGCACTGGAGTCGGGCCGGCGCACGTCCTAGGTGGACAGCAATGGCCACTCACGTCAGTAGCATACGCGCTGCAGCCCCTTGTCAACTCTGTTCCAGTGTGTCGGTAAGACCAGAACGAATCAGCCCAGGAAGAATGGCCGGGGCATATTTTCCACAGTAGACCGCAGCAACTCTCCTAAGATGTGAAACATCCCAAATCCGCATTCTGAGAGTGGCGGATTTCCAGACCTGTTACAGTTGCTTGTTCAAGGATATGCCGTGCATGACCAAAATGCCTGCATAGTGACAACAAATCAGTGAGACTTCCTTATAGAGGGGCATAGTATGTGGCAGCTGCCGATGTCACTACGCGACGCCATTCAAGTCAAGATTACGAGTACGTGAAATCAATAGCCAACACCAACTGTATTGATAGGTCCTTCCGCTCCAGAGAAAGAGATCGGTGAAACAACGGAGTTCGGCTCTCATCAGATATCCTGCTAGATGACGGAGCCTTGGAAGATACACATTACCGATGGAATTGCTAAGATCTCTACTCGAGGCGAAGCAGCCTCTCTGCTTTTCCCATACAAAACATTATTTCTTTGCTTTTCGTCGAACAACGTCTCATGTCCCTCTTCCGTCCGATCCGCTAGGATAATAACAAATTTCTCAGGAGCAAAGAGGCAGTTTCTTCCGTAAATCAATCTTTGTTCTCCGCCAATTACTAGAGTCCTAGGAAGCCCGTGACTCTGATATGGCAATATGAACCCAGCCATGTCAACGGTGAGTCCCTCCAGCAGTAAACGTCGAAATTCATCTCTCTACCTTTCTCCAGTTTTGGGTATAGTGTAATATGCGCGAATTCAATCTAACATAGATGGCAAGGTACAACCGCATGACGACATGATAAATGTGATTTAGAAAAACTTCGCGACCATTCCTAACAGGAGTAGGTATGTTACAGCACGGGTCCCGTCGACCATGAATTTCATCATGCTACGAGGTGATTTTTTCAATTGGCTTGACCGTCTACACTTGAGCCCTGGCAGCAAGAATGTAGAAGCTAATAGCGTGTATGAAAAGGATGGCGTCGCGTGAGTTGAATTTCTCGAAGTTCGGGCCCAATAACTTCTCGGCATGCTCTTGGTGGCAAACTCATCGCGATGCCCTGAACCTGGATCTGTGTCTTTGGCAAACACGTCTTTGCCACTCGCTTGGTTGGAGTAAATTACAGGCAACTAACATTGGCATAGACCATGCGACCACAGAGTTCCAGTAACTGACGTCGTTGTCATGAGCATTACTGCTATCATTGGCAAAAACTGAGTAAATATACAAAAGCCGCCTGGACATGGATTATATGCTTGTTACCAGGATGCAGCCGACTGTCGCTCAAACACCGTAATAGTCCCTCATTTCAGAAGTAGTTCAAGGTCTCAGACAAAGTTTGGATAGAAATAAAATTGTAGATTGTGAACGTGACTTCCCCTCGACAATCAGTCACCATGGAAACTTCAAGTTCAGGAGAGCCTCACTACATGCCCAGTCGATAGGATTCAAATATCAAATACAGTTAGAGAGACTTGACTTGCCTTGAACAAGATTCCTAATGTGATTGCACCAAATTGGACTAATAGTCAAACTACTTCAGCAATACGCGAGATTCTATCACTGCAGAACAACCCCAAATACCAACCATACAGACTTGAAAAATGGATGGACAAATGCTGATATTGCTTTCGCTCACCGAATGCGAGACCTTAAGGCTCTGACATGGCTGCATCTGAACCTGGTCTAGAAGTGGACGACGACGAGATAGCCATCGTATTGTTAACCAATCATTGTCGCAACTAAGATTACCAAGCTCATGGGCTAGCTTGCGGGACAGGGGTACGTGAGACACTTGGCTGAGATTCTGCCCTAAATAAGGCCCATAACATAAATCTTATTGGACCCCAATCCCAGGTCCTGGCAGCTGAAGTCTAGATGCATATCAACATCAAGGGGTCCGTCATTTTGGTAGTTTGGGGGCCACAAACAGGATTCACGGGTGATATGTATCAGTTAACACCATGATTGCACTTTCCCCCGACTCTCTTCTTCTGGGCTCTCAAAATCGTCTTTGCAAGAGCGCGAGGTGATCGAACCCATCTAGAGGAAGAATGGCGCATCACAAGTCATCAGGAGGACCGACGTCGGCCGATCATTCATTGGGAACTTATCACCACGATGCAGCCCAGCGCCAGCGATGGGACGACCTTGGTACCCCAAAAGAATCCATCAGCAGTAGCCCCGCTGACAAGTCCGCAAACTGCCAGGCAACACAGTCAGAATTTCCGACTGCTGGCGATCCGTCAGCTGTGAGCTCAGAGCCCGTGAAGCAGTCTAGTCAGAAGAGATGGTGGCAATGGAGCAAGGCCGCCGAACACAAACTCCTGGATAACCTGAACGATCAGTTCAGCGGAAAACGTGGCTGGAATGGTCACTTCTACTACAAGCCGCGGAAGCCGGATCAAGAGCACCAAGATCATACGGCTCTGGGCGATGCTGACTACGGCGGATCTTTGAAAAAGGATGATGAGGGGAAGTTTGAGTACCTCAATCAATTTGGACAGAAGAGCTCCAAGTACAGCGATGTCTCCGTCTATCTTTCTCCGACCAACTTCATCCCGAAACGCCTCGTCGTACAGTCGACGGACTACGTCCTACGGAATAAGCTTGCAACAGGCGACTGGAGAAGGAGACAGGTGAATGGAGATGTTCCAACTGTCCTGGCCATATCAGAATGGGCACTAGGGCCATTCGGTCAAAAGGCATGGTGGCATAAAGTTGACGGTTCCTTGCGCCTTCTTGTTGTGTGTGTGCCGCTACAGATCTGCCTCGCCTGGCCCGGTGCCAGCTCGTGGAAAGACGAAGACACCATTGACACGTATACCGACTTCCCTGGATACCACTGGCAGTGGGCCAAACATGCCATTAACCCCCTCGACCAGAAGCCAGTGGCCGACAGGCCCATTGTCGCCCCCCAGCTCCCTTCTAGCCGCCAAAGGCTGATCCGACCCAGACAGCTTGTTGTCCAACAAGACGACGGTAGTTGGAAAGTTGATGCTAATGCACCTGCAAGTATGAGGTACATTTTCGTCAGCTTCGCTGACAAAGCGTTTGCTTCATCGAGCGGCCGGAAGTTGATACAGCAGATGGCTGCGAGCGCCGCGCGCGACGCCGGGTGCAAGGCCTATTGGCTGGATTTCCTGTGCAGAGCTGAGAACAATGGCGACTTGCTTGATTCAGATGTATATCGGATGTGCGATGTTATCCGGGGCTGCAAGCGAGTCGTGGTCATGCTCCCCGATGCTCGAGTCGAGAGCAAGAGGATTTGGGGCTCGCGCATGTGGACTTTACCTGAAGCCCTCCTGGCGCCCGGCAATCGTTGCTATTTCTGTACGCCCGACGGCGAGGGCCATCGAATCGAGGAACTATCTCTTGTTGAGATGACGTCCGAGGTCTGGGAAGACCCCATTGACTCAGAGAGCGACGGTGGCTCAACACGTCTGCTTGCGGAACATTATGCCAACTTGCTGACGCTCAGTAGGCTTGAGCTGTTCGCAACCGCCCTCGATGCACTGGGTCATCGGTCCGAGAAGAACTACAAGTTCTATACTCCCAACGACGTAACCTACGCCTTGATGGGCCTGCTTCACTATCGAATTGAGCGAGATAATACAGACACTGAGTTCCAGTCTCTAGCCCAGCTTTCACTGGGCAATGATAGCGACAGAATTGTCGAACGCATGATTTCACTTTATCCTCACCCTAATCTCGGTCCATTCAAACCATTCCGCACTCTGGCACGACCGGATCTCTTTCATACACACCTTTGGGACATTGAGCCCTCATGCCAAGTTGTAGGTGTGGCTCATGAGAACAACACCGTACTGCTGGATAACTGTCGTGCTATGCACATACGCTGGAAGGGATTCCCACGCCCGGTCGTCGCTCGCGATGTCGGCTTTCGGCGCCTGATGGCCGCCATGTTCGTCACCGCCGGCACGTGGTGGTTTGTGCAGGGCATTGCGTTGGCGGTCTACTACGCGCCATTCATCTCAACTGAGAATGCAGAACAGAAGGTCATTACCATCATCAAATGGATGGTTGCAGGTTTTGTGTTCGTTGCAGTGACTTTGAGCGTGACCGGGCCATTCTCGGTGCGCCGTCTCTACGGTGGCCAGGTGCTGCAGAGCACGAGCAACCTAGTTGCCTTTGAAGGCGTCATGCCCATCTCGAAACTTGAATGCCTCGTCTTCGGCAACAACAGTTCGCGGCTGTCATATGAGGCTTCATCAACACCATTCAGTCAGTATTATAGACACCACAGCCGCCGGGTTGGATTTGAACCCGATTGGATTCGAGACGAGCGGCCTGATCTGGTAGAGGCCAATCTACCCAAGGGTCACAAGCTGTTCACGCTGGTTGACACCGGGGAGCTGAGCGTGAGCATATTCAGCGCTGAACGCCCGCCGACTGTCGCACTTCTGTGCGGTCGCGAGGGAGGCATGTTGAGAGCCGTATTGTGCAGCTGGCAGTTCGAAAACGACTGTCTATATAAGGAGACGGTAGTGCGCATGCCGAGCAATGTTTGGAATGCCGCCACGCCCAAGGGCTGGCTCAAAATCTGCCTCGGGACCATGGACCAGGAAAGGGAGGCGGAAAGGACCGTCAAACTTGAGAGAATGAGGAAGGAGAAGGATATAGACCGTTCGTCATGTTAGCAGACAACGATCCACACAATCACCGTGCACGGCCGCAACCATGAGCATAGTACGTACTACCTACTTAATTAATTACTTGTTTTCAAATTTAGAATTACATCGCAAGATACCGTTGCGGGTTATAAAACCTGGTAGCTACTGTGCTACGCGGTTGGTCGAAGGCCAAGGCACTCATCAGTTCTCGAGCTGCACTTCCGTACAAGCCTGCGCCGTGGAAGAATTCCAGTGGTCCGTCACGTTCCTCGACTTTTCTTGTACCGTACCATGGCTCAATGGTTAGGGCTGGAGGGAATCCCAGCCGCCAGGGATTTCACTGCAGATGCTTGGCACTAAATCCTTCGATGCAACATTAATTCAATTGGTAACGATTATCCTGCTTACCGACGGTTAGGGCCTGGTTGAGGCTTTGCACCGCTGTCGCAACGTGCGCAACCCCTGGTCACCGATCCTGCGGGCAGTGCCAGTAAAGGTACCGGACCCATCAGCGCGGCGATTGCCTGCCACAGCCCCAGATTATGATTTGACGCTGATGTCAATATCCACCCCAAAGTCATATTCCATGTTGAAAGCCAATTGCTCGCTACTAGAGGCATGGAGACGTCGGTGCGGCTATAGGTCTGCGGCCTTTGGTGCACATGCGACATACAACGAAGTGATAAACGCCAGTGTACAGGCTGGCCAGAATCAGGGGAAAACTAGCTGCCCCCAACCACCTAACCGCCAGAACCTACGACGGGCCAGCACCCATGGAAGGCTAGCCATGATATTGGCGATACACCAGTAGCATGTGGGGTCCAGCTGAGCGGCACAGATGCAATCGATGATGATCATATCATGGCGCTATCATCGAGAGCTCCGCGCATGACCAATTTGTCTACGATGCGACGTGCGCTTATGCACGTCTGCGGCGGTTACCAAGGATTCGTGGCGTCGCCCTTTGAATCTGCCGTGCATGCTTCCAACACCGCGTTTCGGCCATGCCCAGTCAGGCCAGTCTTTCCATTGAACTATGTCGTGTCTTCGAGACTCTTGTTAACCTCATACTTACCCTTCTTTAGTAGCTGGACGAGCAGAGGCGGAACCTCCAACTAAGGCCATGTCGAATTACCATTCGAATGATGTGTATTCGGTGCCAGCAACGGCTCAAGTCCCCTCGGGCCTAGAGGTGGTCTCCCACGAGGACTATTCTGGGTTGCAGGCCGTGAACCCTGGACAACAAGACGCATCGCAGTTTACTTCAACATACCGGCACCCGTCTACGTCGCCGAGTAGCACGGCGTATGATGAGCTAAAGGCGCCGGGACTGCAGGCAAGCCTTCCGGGTTCAAATCAACAAGGGACGTGGCACTCGCAAGACCAATACGATATCGCGCCCGAGAAAGCCACCTACAGTGAACACCACACTGCGTCCGAATCGGTATGGGGGTCTCAAACTGCATACGACACTGCGCCCGAGACGCACTATGCGCCGACAAATGCAATGTCACAATATGTGGCCACCGCCGCAGCAGGGGCTCAGGATGCAGAGCGTGCGAGGAGGAGAAAAAGGAGAATTTTCTGCATAGGAACCACGATCTTCGTCGTCATTGTTCTTGGGGCCGTGCTCGGCGGTGTCCTCGGCAGCAGATCCGCACGCAATTCCACCAGTCCTTCGTCGAATTCCACGACGAGTGGCGCCTCTCCGACAGCTAGCGGCTCTGGGAGCACGAACACAGCTGCGGCCTCGCCAACATCGATAAAGAGCAATTCAAGGATGACGGTGTCCGGTTACAGAAACAGCAGAATGACAAACTTCACCCAGCGGTTGTTCTTCCAGGGGCAAGACAATGTCCTGCGCTATGTCGATAAAACCAGTGGGGGCTCCGGTTGGTCCGAACCTGTAGTACTGGATACTCTAGCATATGAGCCGATGACAGACGGTCCGTTGGCGTCTATTGCTATGATATCTGGCGGAGTTGACAATGTAAGCGGCAAGGCAAAGGTTAGACCAGCTAGCTGTGACACTGCTAACAGCCTATTAGCCGTTCTTTTCGGTTTTCTATCTCGACAAGGACTCCTACATTCGTCAGTGGTTCTTTGACCCAGATGAAGGATCATTGAAAGGGATAACGGGCGACATGAATGGCCAACCTCCGATAAAGGCCCAGAAAATAGCTGCCCACGATCCCTGGATCATAACCCAAGACCTTGACGATGGCCTCAGGGTTATTTACCACAGTGGCTCTTCCCCACCTTTCAACAATTACACAGTCAATATCACGGCTACCCCCGGTACAGGTCTTGTCTCACTCGACTCTCGCCAGCAACAGGCTGGCGGTGGAGGTTTCATCTATCGAGGGACTGACGGGAAGATGGCTACCTGGTTGGACCCCAAGATATATGCCGAAAACGTAACGGCATCGTGGCTCGATGCAACGTTATCATACGAAATTCCAGAAAAATCCCCGATCGGAGCATTCACTGTGACGAGGCCATACAACGCTGAGGACAAAGTCAACACCTATGTGTTATACCAGGATGATCACGGCGTGATCCAGGTCGTATGGCAGGACAGTAAAGCGGCATCCTGGAACGGGCCGCAAACGTTTGATGCGCTTTCCAACGCAGCTGCCGGCACGGATATTACTTGTCTCTCGCAGATAGCCTGGAGTGCGCAAAGCGTCTCGCTCTCGAGTCAGCAGGATATGAACTTGTGCTACTTCCAAGAGAAGGACACGAATAGAGTGAAGGAGGTGTGGTATAACGGAAAGGAATGGATCAATAATGGATATGTATCACTCCCGTAGAGAGTGTAGGGAGTGTTTGAGCAAAGTATATAATAAGGAACCGTAAATACACCCGATCTCATTTCAAACATCAAGATCAACTAGACTGTCACCAAAGTACATGCATGAGTACCTATTAATCTGAAGTTCAAGCGATCACATCTAATTTAGCACTGCGAGATTATGGCCAGCTAGTGCAAGCAAATGGACATTAATTCTCCAAGCTACCGAGAACGTTACAATAACCATCGATTTACATTAAGCTGAGCACTTTCCAACTATATACGATTGAATATAAGAGCCAGCTAATTTTTCATACCGCACAAGCACATATACTGTTTAGCTTGATGAATAGTAGAAGGGTCGCGGGAAGTCACGTGGTCCCGCCCACAAGCCCCATTCCCAAGCGGACCATAGCCGGGTTAGCTCCTTTACCGCGACCTTACTTCATTTCTCTTTTCACAGATCTCTTAACATGGTCCAGTTTATTGCAACCCCCCTACTAGTGCTTATCCTTACGAACTTTCTCTTTTGAACTAGTCACTTTACCATTGCATTCCCGAGTCACTTCACCATCTCTGGTCATCACCCAACTTCGCGTCCGGAATTTGCTCAAAACATCGTATCGAGTTCAATGCCGCGCCATAGTTGTTGAGGATGAGCAGTTCCAGTGTTTATAATCCACTTTGTGAAGGGTCAATACGTGTGTTGGACATACAGGCTCTTCCCGATGGCGCCAATCCTGATATTCTCATAACACGTATCAGAGTCGTTCCGCTAGGGGACAAGCATGGCTTTTGTACCCTTTCGTACGTCTGGGGCGACGAGACCAGCCCTATGCCGATACAATGTAACGGGCAGGTTATCAACGTTACTCGGAACTGTTGGGCAGCACTCCGACAGCTCCGTGACAGTTTTGGAAGTCTTACAATATGGGTCGACTCAATCTGCATCGACCAGAATAATAATGAGGAAAAAGAGATCCAGATAAGACTAATGGGTGCCATATACACCTCCGCTGAGGTTTGTTACATATGGATAGGCGATGGGAATAAGGAAACTGATAAGGCTATGGAGTATCTGGCCAACGGCGGTGTATCTTTCGGGTATCTCACAAATCGTGCTGTTAATGGGCCAAATACTACCACTGGCATACAAATGGAGCTATCGCTGGCTCTTCAATGGTGCAAAGGGGCCTATACCAATCACCAAAATGGCTATTTCAATGGTCTCGAAGATGTCCTCAACCGGCCCTGGATCTCGCGTCTATGGACTTTGCAGGAGGCGTTACTATCACAGGAAGCAGTCATCGTCTGTGGAAAGAAAGCAGTGCCCTGGTTGGCAATGGTCCACGCCATTGAGCAAATGAGCTTCGTGAGCTCGAAAGGATTCACTGGTTCACTCACGTTCCCGATAGGCTTGCTTCATTGGAGAAGGCTGCAGCTCTTCTGGTTACGCTATCATGGACGAGTGGGGTTGCAGAGAGGAGATGCACCTCAGACAATGGACAGGACTAACGAATGTAAGATGCTGTTACAGGTAGAGAAGCACATGCAGTCGCTCAACAAGGCCTGGGCATACTTCAGGTTTCTCTACTTCGGCCTATTCGCTTTGTGGCTCTGGATGATCGCCGCCCAGCTTTCCATTAAAGGGATTCCCGGGACCGTCCTTCTGCTCACCGAACTTTTTAGCGTGCTGAGAGGGTTCCAATTGATATTTTCTTCCCGCCGCCAACTCAGACTGAGCCTTCCAAATCGCGACAATGATGCAATTATCACGGAAGCTTTAACCCGACAGTGCCAAAAGCCGAAAGACAGATACTACGGTCTTCTTGGCGTTATCGGTGACGGCATGCGCTCGTTCCCAACGCCTATCACATTAAATTACTCAAGTAGCCTCAGCGACACTTACCACGAACTGTTCATCGATCTTCTTCACTACACGAAGTCATTGGATCTTCTCCTTTTCACATCGCATGACAAGTTCAGCGATTCCCCGTCATGGGTCATCGACTGGCGTTCCGCGTCCCAACGTTGGAGCAAAGCCCGATATTGGACACGGACTATATGGTGGGTGGCAGCTCGCGATTGGCCGCAATTCCGAGCATACAAGTACTCAGGTGCAACATTGGAATCGACATCTGTGTGGAACTTTCGCACCAGGAACCAACTTGTGGTCCACGGACGAGTCATCGGCGGCCTCGTTTGGTGCTCTGGGCAGATTGAAGCCATTAGTGACTTGTCAACGTCTAGGGAGCTGCTGGAAAATATCCAGTCCTTCCAAATACCTCTGACTTGCTTTGTGAGCCACTTTCAGAAGAAGGTGGCGCGGGCGTTGTCTCATTTTGTCGAAATCCACACCGACATCTGCGAAGGCCCAGCTTGGAAGGGTTGGTACCAGATTCTGGGGCAACCTACTGTGGACAAAGCTTATTCTATAGTTCACCAGCTAAGAAGCTGTGGGCGAAGGTGGCCGGCTTTTTATAATGCGTGGGATTTTCATCAGAGACTGTCATCCATTCTTTCGAGAGAAGAAATGATTTTAGCAAGCTGTAGCGCTACTGGCTATGCATCCGGTTATTCTGGAATTGGAATTGCCCCGAGGACTTTTAAGAGTGGAGACGTCGTGGCTCTCATATCGGGTATGTCTATGCCCGTTGTTCTTCGTCAAGGTCAAGGAGGTTACGAGTTTGTGGGCCCCATATTCCTACCCGGAACAATGGAAGGGGAGGTTTGGAAGAACATTGATGAAGACAATCTAGATGAGATAGTGCTGGTATAAATGCAATGTGAAGGTTTTCTTCCATCGCATCTACGCATCCTAGAGCCAATTTGGACCGGGTACTCTGGGAAGCCTTGGCACGTCTTTGCAAGCATTTGAAGGGGAAATAAAATTGGAAAAGTCGTAGTTAGTAGTAGACCTTTCGGAGCGGAGGAGAAGCTGGAGATTATATGCAGTCGAAAAAGATGCATAACATTGACGGGTGAATGCTTGGTCCTGTAGCGCATTAATCGGATGTGTGGTGCAACGGTCCATAGTTGGCGTCATCGTTATGTCATTGATCGTCTTACGCTACCCTCTATGTACAGATGGAGACCTATCCTCTGGTGCGCCTTGTGAGAGTCGACCGAAACCAGCCCATAGTGAGGTTCTACCCTTCAAAGTCGCAGCCATAACCTTTGATGTTGCAATTGTAAAGCCTAGGAAGCAGCTCCATCTAGGGCGCCTCAATGTCAATCCTAATTGCGGCATTGGTATCGTCAGAGCTAACTCCCTGGTATTCAACTTGAACCGGGAGGCCTGTGGTGGTAGGGATGCTCCACCATGAGTGGATGCTCTTGGCCCCTGTCCCCTTTTTCACAAGGTAGACGGCACCTTTCACGGTGACTTGCTCAAAGGCAGAGCCAGAGCCACCCTGGCTATTGAATAGCAAGACCGAACCCGAGTTAAGCGGGCCATTGCCATTGGTCGGCTCATCGGCCTTGAAGATGCGCCCAGAGGAGCTATGAGCAGGGTCGTGTCAGTCTGTCAGGTGGTTGACAAATCTACGGTAAGGAATGTACCTGTTGAATGTGAACTGCTGCTCGTATTCAAGTGCCGAGGACAAGATTTGTGCACCGCGGGATACCGTCGCTACGGTTGCTGGGTAGGGGGCCGACCCATCTTCGGGCACAATGGTAAGAAAGAAGGGTCCTGAGATAGCGGCGAGGGCGGAGGTGCTCAAAGTAAGAGCAGCCGCCAGAAGCCGGGTCGTTGATAAAAGCATTATGGTTTGTGATGTAAGAAGTTCTGAGGAAATTTGAACAATGATTGAAGTCCATTCATCATTCACGGTCAAACACTGCTGGCTTTATATATTACGACGATAGACAGCAAACTCAGAACATATCCTCCGGTGGGTTTGCGGTCCTCGAATCCGTGAGGGCGCTTGCCTTGCATGTTGGCTCTGGCCAGACCATTGGCCGCTCTCCACCCAGCAGCCCGGTCTGACGATGTGCCCGTCAGCGCGTCAGCCTCATGCAGGGGAAGCAGCCGAGCTTCCCGACCAGGATAGCGGGTTCGTTCGTCGGGTGCCTTATTGATCGTTCCCCGGCACTAGGCGATGAGCGACGGGCGGGCGATGTAACGCAATGTTGATAACAGCTACCGTGTGGGCCTCAGGCCGTTGCCGCTGTCTCCAATTTAAGGCTGGAGAAAGTAACGCTGCGGGTCTATCCGAATATTCGTGCAGGCGAATTTTTCAAGTAAAAGTGGATTTCTATTACGCGACACCTTTCAATGGCGGATTGTTATCAACTGGTCGACTTGCAGTGTCGGTAAACTCCAAGCTCACTTTTCTCACGCCACCCTGGCGAGCACCCCCTGTGTAGCCATGGTAGAACATTTCTCAGACATGCTGTGTAAGCTGATGGCTTTCACTATGTCCTATTGAGTGCTGGGACAAGCCTGATTTGTGATGCAGGCCTTGTTTTCTCCATTGGGGATCTCGGAGACTCATCCGACTCACCGACTGTATTCCCATCCGAGTTTGTGTGATGGGAGTCGCAGGCTCTGCCAAAGGCCCTAGCTGTGGCGTTGTAGATGTATGAAGTGGGCGCGCGCACATATGGGCTCACTTAATCATCCTTTGCCAAGCACCTTTCAATTTCACGAGCTTACATACATGCCGATGGCCATGGATGGTCTCGATCCCTGGTCCGATGATTCTGTCCAACCTTTAGGCACCCGGCGTCCTCCCCGTATTGGCTCTTGAGATTGAGACTAAGCCAATTCTATGCGCAATCGTGATTCCTCACACGGATAATGTCGATGATTTAAAGCATTCTGCTAGAGGGTGCTTTAAACTACACAATTGTGATGTTAGCCAGTAGAACCGAAGTGGGCCCATTTACAACCTTTGACACGTGAAATAAGGCAGATATGTCACAACAGCTAAGCATACATTTTCAGACTCCAACATGACTTTGTAGCGTCTCTAAAGCTCGTAGCGTAAGCGCACAACAAGGTTCACGGCTGCATGGCATGTAGAGATCTTATGTCAAGGTCCTATACTATATATTTCGGACAACTCGAGTACAGCTAGGTAGTGGCATAGTCTGTTTTCGTCAGATGGAACACTCATCGATTTTCAAAGAACATGGTCAATTGGTGATCAGCCTACTCACTGCGAGTGCCAGGGTGCTGTGAAGTGACCCTGGGCCAACCGTCAGGGCGTCACATTCCAGCCAATGGGAGCAGAGATATAAGTCTCCACTTATGCTGACTTCACAAGGAAGAAAATATCGCATACATAGTCAGCACCGGACTTGTCGCTATCGCTAGAGATGCTTACCGCGTCCCAAACTCCACCGCAATGAGGTTATTGAATGTCAAAACTCTTCGGCTAGAGGAATATATCACTCATGAAGTCCCAAGGTACTCGATACTTTCACACAGATGGGAGGATCAGGAAGTCACGTTTCAAAACTTGACCAGTGGCCAGTATCGACACCTAAGGGGATGGCAAAAGATACTTGGCTGCTGCAAAGTCTCCAGGCAGGAAGGTTTTACCCACACGTGAATTGACAGCTGCTGTATAGACAAGTCGTCCAGCGCCGAGCTTTCCGAAGCTATCAACTCCATGTTCATGTGGTATCAGAACGCAGGGGTGTGTTATGTCTACCTCAGTGACGTCAGCAGTATTTCCGACTTCTCGAGAAGTCAGTGGTTCACCCGAGGATGGACATTGCAAGAGTTAATCGCGCCCGATGTTGTGGTGTTCCTGGACTCAAATTGGCGCGAAATGGGATCAAAAGCGTCGTTGATGCCGACCGTCTCCAATGTTACTGGTATAGATGAGGGGGTCCTGGGGTCTTTGCGACCGAGACAGAACATAAGTGATACCCTTCGCCAGCAGAGTGTCGCTAGCAAGTTGTCCTGGGCTGCAAGTAGGACTACAACCCGGATCGAAGATGGGGCTTATTGCCTCCTGGGGTTGTTCGATGTCAATATGCCGCTTCTTTACGGCGAAGGGGAGAAGGCTTTCCGACGGTTACAGCGGGAGATCATGAATGAATCGGACGACGAGTCAATATTCTGTTGGGCCTTTACAGACGAGCGGTTCACTGGCAGCTTTACTGGGCTTCTTGCTGGTTCCCCTCGCGTCTTCAAGGGACTTAACGACATGCGATTTGACCGTGAACTTCAAGGCAGCGTCCAAAATGAGATTGAGATTTCTAAAAACCGCGTGCAAATGCACGTCTCAACTCTTGGCACCCCTCGTAGCCACGCGGAGTTACTGTTTTCTATTCGCCGAGTTCTCGATCCCCGTGTATCGCTTTTCTCCACAGCTTATGGCGAGGACGGACGTGACTTGAAGGTTTTTGATGCAGTGATTAGTGTGCTTCAGTGCAGGGTCCAGCTTGGGAGAGTAGTGCTTCTACTTGTGAACAACGAATCCGGCTCCTTCACCCGATATCATTTCGATGGGCATCTATACTTCATCGAGGACTGTGTGTCCTTACCGCCGCCGCAGAAGGTGCAAATATTATTGGAACGACGCCGTCATCAGGACGCCATTTCACCGATTCCTTCTGTCCGCATGGTCTCACGTGTAAGCAGACTTGGATATAGACTCTGGGCTACATCGACAGCTATTCGTCCCGATTCGGGACAGAAACATACATGGTGGCTTGAAGCCAGAGGAGGCAGAGGATTTCTGCTTTTTGAGAACCTCCATCAACCGAAATGGCTCTCCTGTGCGATTTTCTATCAATACGAGCCGAACGAGAATCACCTCAAGTTACACTTCGGCTCTGTGGACGAGGACTTCATGCCTGACGATGCCAAAGCTGCGGCCCTGAGTGCAGAGTATAGGGATACTCGGGAACTTAGCCAGCTGAATTCAAGGCAGAAGAGTGGCGAAGAGCTCGTGCTAAAGGTGCGGATGCATCCTCACTGGTGTGAGCTGATTTTGGTCGCTAAACACTAGAGGTGGCAGTCTGTGATCTAGGCTAGTTATCTGCACAGGAAAGCGTAGAATATCAATGTGAGAAATAAAACTCTTCAGAATTGACTTCTCAGATCCTGGTGTGTGGGCAACTAGGTCATATACACGGGAGGAGAGGATCATGTATCTTTAACATATATACACCCTCCTCAGAATATCTCAGGATGTACTAATCTCGTGCTGTAAGCATAAGACTTTCTGTCCTCCTCGCTATCCGTGTAGTTTGGGTTCCCCAAACGCTCCGTTCAATGGTCTTACCCTTTATTTGGAAACGGCATGTAGCGATGTAATGCAAAATCACCGATGAGGATCGCGTTTGCGGGCAGACTCATCCATGCCGTTTTGGGCTTTAACGTTCCTGGACGCCTCCCAACCTGTGGCAAATGGAAGACATGAGCATTGTTCATCTGTTTTCTTTGACCGGAATACCAACCTGAGGTTGTATCTAATGTGGTAGTACTATGGAGTCTTGTTGATTTACCGAAATTCTTCGTACAACTGCTATACCTCGATTCTTCTCTGGTTTATCAACCAATAAATGTGCCCTTTTCTACCATCCTTGTCGGGGCCCTCGAGCTCGTCCCTCAGCCCCCGAGGCGGCCGCCACGACTTATCAAAGTCCTCGGTCGAGGTAAAATACCAACGCGGCTCCTGCGCGTGCTCTCTGCTGAATCCCGCGCAGCCTGGGAACTGATCGAAATATGTGGCCGACTGGCCGGCGGTGCAATACTGCGCCTCGGAGGGTGCGTTACAAGACCTGGTCCCACCTCCAAAGCTGATGGTCATGTTCCGCAGCTTCGGCATGGAGCACCTGGCTGCCCTAGCAAAGGATTCCCAGAGGGGGACAAAGGTCTCATCGTCAGGCGTCGTGCGAAACATGACTGCCGGAACAACGCCTTCTGCCTTGTCCCATGCAAACTCTGGCCCCCAGTCCGAAGTGTCCGAAGCGTCCGAGTCGAAGGCGGCGGGGGGTGTCTCTTCGCCAGACTCATAGTAACCATCGTCCTCGGGTGCGTCTTCGGGATCCCCCGTCATCAGATACCTCCCATCCGGGGTACACATGGAGACCTCGACCATGATCTCCTCCAGCGAAGGGCAGTACACATCCGCCAACTCGGGGTGCGGGCCAAACGCGACGGGAGATAAGATCCAGGTGCTTCTCAGCTCCAGCTTGCGAAGCATCGGAAGCTGCGCGATGTGCCGCAAGCCCAGGCTGAGCGTGTCGAAGTCGTCGGGATGGTGTAGGAGGCTCTCTAGCTCAAATGCCTCGTTCATGGGGTCGTCGTCGTTCAGGGTGAGGATGAGCTCCGTGACCGAGGTGAACTTCGCCTCCTGCAAGGCCTGTGCAAGGGCTGACCGCTCCCGGACGCGCGCCGGCATGGTACGGCGCCCCGGCAGATACAGATCCCACTCGACGACGCTCACAGCCACGCAGGCGTTGGAGATGGCCACCTGGACGCTTGGGTGCAGGACCCGGGGGCAGTGAAATCCGCCACAGCAGAGGTTGGTGATGCACGGCACTTCGGGCAGCTGCGGAGGGGTGCTGGCTTCAAAACGGAGCATGCGGTCCATGTTCCTGATATCCCAGATGGGCGGGCCGAACGAATTGTGTGAGTTATTTAACGTCCCGTTCTCCACCAACTCTTGCCTCTTCTTGTGAGTTGGCGACTCGGCCGTGATGTTGAGACTCAGGCTGGCGCCGTCGCGGGCCTCCCACCTGGCCAGACGGCCCAGAAAGTCCGAGATGGCCCGGGTGAAGGCAGCGTCGTTGGCGGCGGCCTCGGCATTGCTCTGCACCTTCTTTAGCCTTTTGATGCTTATCTCAGGTAGCACAACCTCGAACGTGATATCCCGCAGAAGGGCGCGTTGGGCGGGGTCGACAAATGCTTCATCAAACCGCGCCAGGCCGTCGCCGGTGCTGAGCACATGCACCGCAGTCGCCGACGTCCAGATGCCATCGGCCATGACGGGTGTTTGGTGTTTTGGAGGCGTCGGTGATGCTCACTCACGAACAAGCTGGCCCAGGAGCTTCTCCAGCGCCCTGCACACGCCATTGGCCCGCCAGATGGCCTCGCTCGCCTTCCAGTGCCGCACCTTCGTTGCTGCTGCCCGTCCCGCCGTCACCCGTCAGCAGCGGGTCCGCGGCGTTCAGATCATTCCTTTGGTTATCTGATAGCTTCCGCCACGCTCTGGGGCAAACATCATTACGTCGTTCTATTCCGTCTGCAGCCGCTCGACTCGTTCTTTCGGAGTATCTACAGACCTCTTTCGATATATCTGGCTAGGCTACTCACGAATGTCGTCCTAGACACTCGCGTTGCTAACTCCATAAGTTGGAGATCCTGAACGCCTCTGAGGTCGATGTGATAATGTTTATACAGGGAGAGTCGGAGTCATTGCCAACATCAAAGAAATATTTTGGAATTCCTCTTGGCTCGAGGATTTCTTTGAATGCTATTCCTGGAAAACTAAATGTGGTGAAGGCCGTTCTTCCCAGAGTATAGTTATCGGCCAAATATGTCTTGCCTGTCGTAGAGTCGAACAGTTGAAGAAACGAGACCGTTAATTGACAAGGTTTCGACTTATCTGTTACAGCTGAGGAAGATGCCGTGTAGCTGTGCACAGTCTGGCCGTGAACCTACCACACAGTACTCATTCGATTGGCTCGTCGTCTATATCAAGATAATATCCTCTAGCTGACCTGCCAGCATTATCTCTGTCCATTTCCCTGCCACTAACTTCTTGAGGCCATCCTTGTCATCAGCACGACGTGGTACGGCCATCCCGGCCCCAACCCTTTGATAACCCTTCAGATCCGAGTACTGAGCTACCGTGTGATTGGATTTCTTAACTACGAGGCAAAATGGCCCAACAATAGCATTAGATGATGATCCTTCAGTATTGTAGTAGCACATTGGAAGGAATTCAAGATCTTCATCGCCATCGGCTCGCTCTACGGCCTCGCCCCTCGCTGGTACATGGTAGGGCTCCGCGTCCCACAAAACAGATATATAGAAATCGATATCTTGCTCGCAGAACCAAAAAGGCGGATTATTACCTGGTCTTTCGTCTTTGGCGTATGGCCGTAGTATCATCGCCCGAAGACGTATCCAGCCCTCTCGTACCTCTCCAAACGGGTTTTCAAGCGACACCGGCCTTGTGTGTGCGTTTTCGACGATAGCCAAATTATGACCTGAGTTATGATGATTTATTTGGCTGTCGATAGAAGCCCATGACCAGGATGGGGCACGGTAGGATTGTGGACGCATCCTTGGAGGGGAATGGTTGTCTCGCGCCCAACATAAACCTTCGCACATGTTCTGCCGCCATAGGCCAGCCAGATACGCGAAGTCGTTTCCTTTGAAATGGTTTTCGGCAAAGTAAGCCGCAAGTGCTCCCAATGCTGGCAACTTGTCGCTCTCTTTGGTCAATTTACGAGCTGAGAAATGTTGAACAATTGAATACCAGTCCTGGCAGCTAATGCTCGTAGTTGGGTGATAGGAATGTAGTGGGACAGGACTGCAACTGTCCTGGGTATAGACAAATCCTCTATGTTCAAACAGTATCTGCGATCGGCCGAAATGGAGAGTACGCTTGGAAAGGCAGCGTTCCTGCAGGGCCCAGCCTCGAGTGGTCAATGGCTCATCATCAAGGTAGACGCGGCGGTCCGAGTTGCCAGCATGATCGATGGGGACAGTGAAGGCCAGAATCTCTCCAGAAACCACACCTCTTTGATAAGGAATGGAGACATACTCGAAATGGTCCTGCTCTCCTAGAAAGCCTTGCGCACTGCAACTTGCCCTGCTGGCTGCGATTGTAACCCACGAATTCTCATAAACGTCTCGCATCCTGGCTGATTCGTGTGTCCAGTCCTGCAAATCATCCTGCAAGATACATAGACTATCGATCCACAGATATTGAGCACCTAATTTGCCGGAAAGCCAAACAGCGTCCCGAAACGATTGGGGTAGAGAGGAAGTCTCCACCCCCTCGTTGAGTACACCGAGGCTGTCTTTGGTAAGGGTCATCGGCCGGACTGAACCCCAGCAATGACTGAGGGCGGCGTACTTTGTCGTCCTATTGCTTGTTGTAACGAGAGATACTTTGGCACCTTCGTCCTTTATTTCCAAGAGCCGGCTAGGTGGCCGACCCGTGGATGGAGCGGAACTGTCAAACTCACTCGCCTTTCTGAGCCAGCGGCTGATCTTGCGGATTACGGACGGATGAGTTGGTGCAACATGATGCATTCGGCCGTGGATTATATCACTAAACACGCTATCTGATTATTGTGTCAACGAGGCCCTTAAGCGAAGAGAAGAGACTGGGGGTGTGATGATTTTGAATATCTGTTGTGCATACCTTCATCAACACAAAACCTAATGCCACACATCACCCATCCCTGCTTGAATTTATTACTGTCGATGCTAAGGATTTGGACTCCATCACGCCTCAATGTTCCACATATCCAGAGGCGGTGATCTGTTAAGTCATATTTAAAACCGGCTTCTCTTGCCTTTTGCATATTTGCGAGTACTTTTTCCACAGCACTCAAAGCGAGCTGGCAGAGGTCACATAGCTGGGCGTTTGCTATTAGATCTTCTATTGTCTCATGATACAAGACGACGCCTTCGGAAGTCCGGATATCATTATCAAATCCGTGGAAGAATAGGCCAAGTCCTGCTGGGAAGCCTTCAATGGGCGAAAGAATCGACCGAGGCGTTGATTTTGATATTTTGACAAAGTCGATGCTTCTACATGTATTGCAAAGAGGCATAGTGAAAGAGATGGATCGTATGTACAAACGTGCATGGGGAAGGCTGATAGGCTCAAGGTGAAAAGGTCTATGCTTACCTTGATGTAATTAAATTGGGTTGTGCCTTTTAAACTGATGATCCCAGTCATGTGATTAAACCTGCATAACGTCGGGGAGCTGAGGGGAAATGGGTACTCACGGTCACGTGAGGTATAAACGGGATATCCCAAGACCAATTCGGCGATGGCAGCGGGCGACAGTCTTTTGTTGGGCTGGAGAAAGAAAAACATTGTGATGATATGTTAAGCACTACGATTCTGAACTGGTTTTTCTTTGGATAGCATATTATCGTTATAAGCTTTATATATTGCGCGGCGTCTAGGGAATATAACAAGCTCCCAAACTGACCTGCTCAATGGGCCTGCAGTCTCCAATAATAGTACCCGAGCTGCCAACTTTAAGTTAGAACAGCCAGCTGGTTGTCCTTCTCGCGATCTGTCTCCCGCTTCAACATGAGCAGGCAACCCGCAACAAGCAGCGCTTCAACTTTCTCGACGGCGCCACTCTTCTCTAAACATGCCCAGTCCCCAAGATCCAGCATCAACCGCCCGCCATTGCCGCCAACCCACCTCTTCTTCGAGCCGTACGCGCGGTACTCTTCATTCCTGACCAGCTGAGCGACCCGGATGCGTGAGTCCTTCTTGGGCGACGAAGAAGTGCCAGCAATGGGGGCATTAGGCGAGTCAAGCCGGTCGCAGACCAGGAGCGAGTCGGCGGCGTACTCCTTCTTCTCCGGCTTCTTGCCGTAGCGCCACTCGAAGGTGCCGAAAGGCGTGACCATGGTGGCGGCGCGCGAGGTGATCCAGTGCGTCTTGACCTCAAACTCGTTGGCGATATGCTTGTCCTTGTCGACCGCATCGGCGACGGAAATGCGCTCCGTAGGTTCGTAGATGCGCATGTGCGGGTCGCGGCCAGGCCCCCAGCGGTAGACGGTGGAGATGAGGGGCGTCTGCGCCGGGTCATCGCCGCGGACTAGGGCACACGAGTTGGAGTTCTTCTTGGGCCGGATCGAGACGTACTCGGGCTGCTCCGCGTGCTTGAAGGGCAGGTCGGGTGTCGCCCCTGCGTGCGTGCGAAACACGGGTATGGCCTGGTCGCCGTTCCAGTTGCGGCACGTGACGCTGTTCAGGTTGAAGCCTAGCGTCTCGATGGCGAGGTGGATCGTCGGGTTGAAGCCCGAGGTATGCGAGGCGGCGGAGCCGATACTGGCAGCGTCGAAAGCCTTCTCCTCGGCCGGGACGTGGGCTGCGTTGTAGCTGGGTGGTGGGTAGCTGGGAAGGTCTTCATCTGGCGGGAAGTTCAGAGCGGGAGGAGCTTTTGCGTCCATGTTTTGTGTGTCGATGTACTGTTGCAATCTGATGGATGAGTCGCCAGGTGGTTGTAGGTGTTTGTTGGTGGTGGGCTGATTTGGTGTTGATATGGTTGAGCGGTTGAATGGCGGGAGGAATTACACGGGTCCTTATAACATGGTTGTGCTGGGCTGTGATCCGGAACAACGCTGAGGTTGTGCCTTGCGTAAGAAGGCCTGAAAAGCTCCATGGCAGGCAACTTGGCGGAATGATACCCCTTTGCGCTTTCGCAGCGACGTGGACGTCCTGGTCGAGGCTCAAGTGCTACTACCACCAGTGACGTTGGTGGCTCAGCTCATAGCCCCGAGAACTTGCTACTACCTACTACAGTACCTGGGTACCTAGCAATGCCTATTCCGTAGCTAGTGCTAATGCCAGCTGGGCAGCAGGATTCAGCCTTATGCAGCGTCGCTCTAGCTTGCTTCGTTGCGCGGCCGCATGCCGCCCCCTGCGCCACCCTCGTCCGCCCTGCCACCCAGCGAGTTCCTTGATAGGGCAAGCCGATCTTTTATACATAATCAAGGCCTGTCACGACACCACAGGTGAACTGAGGCTTGGCTGCAAAGCATGCATTCTTGTGGAAATCTAAATCTGGAGAGAAAAGGAAAGAAGAGCTCCATCCACCGCTGTTGCGGTTGCTATCCACACGTGGGGCGGACCACGCCTCACCTCTTCTACCCCGCCACAGCGACCACTTGCATCATCCTGTCCAGAACACTTGTAACTCTGCCAAAGGTAATCAAAAAGAGACTTATCAAGCAACATATTTATACGTGTGAATAGACTTTGTTTGGCACTCACAGCCGGTACGAAGCTGCGCCGGTAACACGTTGCGCCTGCGCCTCAGAGCGCCCTTGGCCCCAAAGCGCTGTGTAGATTGATTACGGATAATAAGAACGTCGTTGTGAAGCGGTTGGCACGAAGGTTATTTTCTTTACTGCGAGACAACGAAGTCCGGGTTCAATGCATATGCAAAGCTCGGCCGCAGACAAGAGTAAAAGCTTTTATTCGATAACAGTATATTCAGCTAGTTCGTGTCTGAACTCGAACCCCTATATTGCAGGTGAGTAGGTACAATAGTCTAGCTTGATTCAATTCTCAACACCAATCTCGGGACCACCTCTAACTACCCCGCATGCGCCCTTCGCGTGTAGTTAGGCGCCAACACTACTTGTGGACTCTCCCCTTAACCAGCACAGAGAGGCTTGAGGGTCACTTCGGGCGAGTTTAATTGGTGAGCAGCGGCCGTGACTACATGTACTCAACGTTTAGTTGAGTGACGAGGTACCATGGAGATCTTCAACCCGTGGTGCGCAAAGAAGCGACCGGCGCACGTATGTTTGCCGAACCCGAATCTCAGGAATACATGTTTACGGTCGCTCTCTGCTTGGGCGCACTGTTCTCTGCTGGCTCGAACAGGTTTGCTTGGGTTTGGATATCCGTCATGTCGCCGGATCACGCGAAGCGGAACGCGTCGGATCACTGAGAGTCCGGGTATATGTGGCTGTCCTGGCGCATGACCTTAACAGGAACTGCGAGAAGGCAGCTTCTGTGGTAGATGTACCACCGCGTTCTTAAGCTGGACGTCGCCTGGGTGTCAAGCCTTTATCTAGCATGATCATGGATTCACTATGACCTTGCCTAAGTGTAAGGATCGGGATTGATGTATATCTAAACCATTTACTTTCCTGAGTGACTGGAGCAATGTTATTTTCGGAGTACCCGAAAGATTTTCTGAGTTTGCTTGTGTGATCTTGCAGCGTCAAAGTGGCCCAGCCCGTTTCAGGTCATTTTCGCCTGGTTCAAAGAAATTAATGCTTCTTAAGAAAGGGATCTCTACTGTTTGTCAAAGATAGGTTGGACAACACGAATAAGATCACGGCAAACTCGCACAATGATTGGATGGCCCCCTTCAGTAATATAGACCAGGACATCAAAACTGAATTAAAGCAGAAAGTCTTTCAATGAGCTGATCATTTGCAAAAAGACGGATGTCAGTGATTGATTGAAGAGTGTTATGCAAGAAGTGATCGAGCGCGGTTAGGCCAAGAGCGTGTTTGTTTGTTTTCGCCTTATATTCATGTATAGCATCTCGCTACTCCCCAACAGCCTTTAGAGCCCCCAATGTAATCCTTAGTGTTTGAATAACAGATGTTGCAAGCAGTGTGCTTGGTTCTTGCGCGAGAAAGAAGAGAGCGTGTTCAGAGAAGGCGCTTGTGCCCCCTCGCGAAGCGGCGTAGTACTTACTGAGGCAGGGCGGTATATGCCTATGTGCGGCAACGCCTGGCGTCTAGGAATTAGCCTGATCACTCATGCAATTATCATCCTTTGTTGCAGCACCTCGGCCTGGAAGGACGTTTCTGGGATATGTGAACCAATCGTTGCCTACTACTCATGTCGTGCATCATGCACTAATGGGCACCTTGGGTAGCACTGTAACCTGTATGTTGGTTCATACTGCATATCGATCCATCCTCTAGTACTGCGCGACAGGCTTTGTTATGATTTCCTTTACCCTCCGATGTGTAATGAGATAAGAGGTATTGAAGTTCCCTATATGCAGCATCGGCCACAAACCAACAGCTTGTGGCACGGTTCCTACCATTTCTCGGTCCAGACCTTCCGAATTGGTTCACTCACATGCATCGCAGTTATTAAACTTGACAACTTGAAATTAAATTGAACAAATCCCTTTATCAAAATTATCAGTAATGCATCATATAGAACATATTATCGGTTGGTCCTCATTGCTGGTATTAATGTAAAAATCCCACCCGGCTCCTCGGATTAGTCGCGTGTGCTATTGTTACGTAGCGCTCTGTTGGCCGGGCAAGCTGGGCCGGGCCGAGAGCGACTAGGCCGACAGCGACGTCCATCGGAGATTTCGACCATGGTTGTAATACAATTGAACTGACGCCTGTATGTAAATATGCATCAACTCGTATGTCTGTTGCCGATGAACACCGCGGCCAGGGCCTCTCAACCAAGGGGGTTAACCGCTCCTGCTCTATTCTTTCCTTAGGGTGTATTGCCTGGTAAGAACAGTTCGTCCCGGTTGGACAGAGCCGGCAGTGCGAGCGTTGGACAAACTGCGGCTTAGATTCGATAATATTCGAAGCTCACCAGTCCGACTCCTGCAGTTGCGGGTGCAATCCAGATGGCGTCAGAACATGCCCATCCGTTCGGGGTTGCTGGTGTGCATTCAATAGATTTTGCGAGGGGCTGTTGTGCTACGTTCTTATGTATTGAACTGGAGTGGTGCTCCTGGGCCATATTCCCCAAGTAACACAACCTCAGCCAACGCAGTTCTCCTCGTCAGTGCCGACGAATTGAACTTACATTGTTCGTGTGGTCAAAATAGACGTGTAAATCGACGGTCGCCAAACCGAACAGTTATAAAATGAAGGCAAAAAGTGCGATGGTGTATTAAATTCTACGGAAAGGAAGGAAATTAAATAAGTGAAACGCGAAAAAGCACAGCCACCATTTCTCAGCCACAATTCTATACCACGTCTCACCAGCCCGAGCTCAGTATCTAGACGCATATGACTGGTTTAAGCTGAACCCCGCTCCACCAATATGAATATGGGTCGCAGTTGGCCCCCAATGCAAAGGTCAATCAGTGTGCAGGATTTGGGATAAATGAGGGTGCACTTTTGTGTGGCATTCTCGGCTGTTGGTTTCAAGACGTGCTCATCCTTCGGCCCGCTGGGACCCATCTCTTGCTGATGGTCCCATGTAGCAGAGTCCTTGGCCATTCTCGTTCTTGGTACGCTGCTGACTGACTTCAATGCTCGCCTTTTTCGCACATCAAGCAACACCATGCTGGATCGGTGTCAGCCGACCGCCGGTATTTCCTCCCGTCGTTCTGCTTGCGATCGGTGCCGCGTGCAGAAGTTAAGATGTCTTCGCCAGCGTCCTGACCAGGCACGCTGTGACCGCTGCAATCACGCAGATTCCGAATGTGTCACCAGCCCTATCTATCGAATGCGTGCCTGGAATGCTACTTCCGAGGGCTCTGCTACAGAAGCTGCTATGTCGTCACTGCAAAGCCAGGGCGGAAGAAAACGTCAGCGCCAGGAACACCACTGCCAGCAGCTTCCCACCCCAAGTCACTCTAACGGTGCTTTGGACTCACGACACACGGGAGATTCCCCCTGTACAATTGACCCGAATCCTTTCGATGAAAACGCTTTCTCCACCTCCGCCTACGTTTGGCCTAACGAGCTACCACCTAGGCCCGTGCAAGACCAGGTGTCGGAGGCCGCTGGTCTGTATGACTCCATATTTGGCGAGGGAATGGATCAATACGGAAGCAGCGGTTTCGGTTTGACTGGTGACCATTTTGAAAAGACGACGCTGCAAAGAGTCCAGACAGGGGAATCGCTTCCTTCTGCGCCAACATACTCTCAGAGTCTGGGCACCGACGATCAATACTCTGCCAGATCCACCTCAAATAGTCGCTCTGGATCACCAGCCGCCACCAGAGTCGATGCCGCCGGCAGCGCCATTAGTGTCGCTCCTATCCAGGACAAAGCCACGCCTCTTCAACAACTCTCACGTGTAGACTACAACCTCATCACCTTGCTGAGTTGCCTTGGAAAAGGCCTCCCCCAAGTTGCCATGGATACTCTAGTCTCGCCTGTTGACTCATCCAAGTCATCAACCCCAGCAGTTGATGATATCCTGAACACAACACGAGAATTCGTTGATGTCCTGAAGATTCTATCCGGGCAGCAGGCCTCTCCAAAATCATTCCCGGTCCAGACTCGAGAGAGCGGCTCTAACGATTTCAGTTCTACGGGCGACAGATCTGATGATGAATCCGACGTGGCATCGTCCCCTGATTCAGACTTCTTAACTACGCCTTCGCCACCTCGAAGCACTGACATTCATTCTAACTCAATGCCCGATACTGCGTCTTTGATTGCCGTCTTGAGCAGCTATATCCGAGTCATTCGACTACATCTCATCATTTTCGCCCACATCTACGATTATCTGAAGGAGATTTCAGAGAGTGATGATCCTGTACTTTGCCATGTTCCAGGGCTAAGCTTCTGTACATTCCCCATACGTGAGTAATCTGTTCCCTTTTCTAGGCCGATGTGGACGCCTTATTGCTTCTTAGAATCCGGCAACCTTCAAACAATTATTCTGATCCAGGTTGTCACGAGTCTTTTCGAGCGCGTAGAGAGTTTGCTAGGCCTTCCACATGAATTACGACTTAGTACGCGGAGAGAAGAGCCTCAAGGGTTATTTCATGAACCCGGCTTCATGGACATAGCCGGGCCTATCATGAAGAAAGAAGAAGGGGGTGAACCACACCAAGGACGAGGTGGCATCAAATGTCTCCGCAAATACATTAAGAAGACCAAACAGTTATTGAGGAACAGGATTGCGCCGTAAGGCTGCGATGGGTCTAGCGCGCCTGTACCTAGACCGGCATATAGCTAAGTTGTTCAAGCTAGGCAATAACTCATGCTTGCGGCCCGGATAGCGTGATCACACGATATGGTACTTAGAGTATCTTAGAACTTCGGGTGGGCCTAATTGTCCAGATTAGAATAATACACGGGGAAGACCTCCAATAAGTGATTGCCATATCACTACCTGTCGATGGGTCCTGTAGGTTGAGCTGGTCTACCCCTTATGGCCCATCTTCTTCAGAACTTCATTATAAGACTTCATCCGGCATCACGACTATTCTAAATTACATACGGTGTAGTTCGCCATCGAGGGATGCCAATTGATACTTGATATGACTTGCATATTGGGGTTGGAGTGGAAGGATTCCGGCAAAAAGCATTCCGTCAGCTCCAGTCATCAGACCTTTTGCAAGCCGGAATTGGTGCCAGAAAGTGGCACAGGCAAACGGCTGCAGCCTTACCGGTCAATCTATTATGTGACACTTGGACTAGTGACTGGCAGCGGGCGGGTACGCATGATACAAGCAGGCAGATCAGCGCGGTGTGGACTTATGGGATGTGTTGGTTCCTGGTGCCAGCTTGGGGGCTTTTTTACTTTTTCTATAGTTAGGCATAGAGTTCCGAGGGATATCGCGACACAAATGACACGATCGGCGCAGTTTTACCTAGTTTGTGAGATATGCGCGACTAGATTTGCACATTGGTAGCTGCAGCTTGAATTTTGTTCATGATCGCCTGGTGCGTACGCAATTTAATGTTGATCGAATCCTAAACGATCTCAAGTTGTCCATCACATAAAAAGGCATGGCCAACACATGTACGAAATGTGAAAATAAATAATTACACATTGGCAACCTTAGATACTACTCCAGCAGCTTTAGTAGTGCATTGCAAGTGTGCTCATTCTGTGCCTACTTTTTCTATAATCGAGACCTCTGACCGACTCATAGTTTCAGACGTGGCACCGCTACTTGCAAATCTCTCTCAATTGCTTTCTTTACTGGTCTTCACTACAGGACTCAGAGATCTTCATGCGAAATGACCGAACCAATTGCTGTTATTGGAATCGGTTGTCGACTGCCTGGGAGTGTCACTACACCATCTGAGCTGTGGAGTCTACTGAAAGATCCGCGCGACATCTTGACCAGAATCCCAGCATCAAGGTTCCATTCGCAAGGCTTCTACCATTCTAACGGCCAGCACCATGGTCACTCCAATGTCACCCACTCATATTTCCTCTCTACGGATGATTCTTCTCATTGCTGCTTCGATGCCAAGTTCTTCAACGTTCGACCTGCCGAGGCGGTTGTCATGGACCCGCAGATTCGGCTCCTTTTGGAAGTCGTCTACGAAGCTCTAGATTCCGGTGGCTTGCCATTGGAAGATCTTCGAGGATCAGATACAGCAGTATATGTTGGCCTTATGATGGGCGACTACGAAAGGCTAATGCTTCGGGATGAAGACACGATCGGACAATATCACGTTACTCGCACTACACGATCTTTAGCATCAAATCGCATCTCATACTTCTTTGACTGGCATGGGCCTTCGATCACAGTGGATATGGCTTGCAGCTCCAGCCTCGTTGCAGTACATCACGCAATTCAACAACTACGCTCCGGGCAATCTCGGGTGGCCATCGCAGCTGGAGCGAACCTAATACTTGATCCGCATCAGTACTGAACTGGAGTGATGCTCTTGGGCCATATTCCCTAATTATCACAACCTCAGCCAACGCAGTCCTCTTCGTCAGTATCGACGAATCGAACGAATATTATTCGTACAGCTAAAATAGACGTATAAATCGACGGTCGCCAAACCGAATAGTCGCAAAACAAAGGCAAAAAGTACGATAAAATATCAAAATCGACAAAAAGAAAAAGGGAAATTAAATAAATAAAACGCGGAAAGCATAGCCACATTTTATCAAGCCACAATTCTATATCACGTCTCACCAACCCGAGCTTAGTACATAACAGAGAGTAATCTCTATATGCTCTCCCCCGACAGCCCCTCTCGAATATGGGATACAAATGCTAATGAATACGCGCGTGGAGAAGGTATCGTGGCTGTCGTCCTAAAAATACTGAGTGATGCCGTGACTGATGGAGATTCCATTGAATGTGTGATTCGTGAGACTGGAGTTAACCAAGACGGGAGAACTCAGGGCATTACGATGTAAGTTGTCCTTCCGGAGCAGAACGATCAACACACTTGGAACATAGTAATCAATATCTGATGATTGGAGCTTCACAGGCCAAGTTCTGAAGCACAAGCCCAAGTAATTAGAGAGTGTTACCGCCGCGCTGGCTGAAGCTCAGTAAGGAAAGCCATGAGGTTTGTCACTTTGTTCTAGGAGAAGCCTCGAGATCTACATCGTGTGCCGTATCTAGATCAAGTTCACTTACATACCCGCTTCAATTAGACGGGAGATGTCACAAGTTCAGTGGTATTAGAAATTCGATCGGTTGAAGTGGTATATTCGCGCAACTGGGTCTCCTGCAAGAGAACTAGACATGGCGGGGTATAAGTTGCAACTAGACTTTATTGCATTTCAAGTACACAACCTGCTTCTGACGACTATTTAAGGGGTTTAAAGTTTACCCAGAACTCAGGCTTCTCCCACATCGAGTAAAATGTAAAATGTTTGTCGAAGACTATACTCTGATTTGGTACAGCCTCCAAGTCGAACGTCCATAGTACTTTCGCCATGAACAGTTTAGTCGTTGCCCAAGCGATTGCTGACCCTGGGCAAGCGCGAGGTCCTTGATTGAATGGCATGAAAGCCCTTCAGATCATCATTTTTAAATTTAGTCTCATATGCAGGATGTTCAGGCGATAACCAACGCTGTGGACGGTATTTCAGTGCGTCGGCAAAGAACCGGCTACTACGGGCCGCGGCAAAATAGCTTGACTGGCAGACAACCTGGATATAGTCAGTATAATATGACATCGATACGGGCATTTCGAATGACAGACTCATCCCTCTTGGAATATGTCTCCCGTCGACAATTGCGCCAGGGCTCATGCGTGGCAGCCCGTCTGCCGTGTTATGGTGCAGGCGAAAGGTCTCATGCAGACAGGCCTGAAGAAATTTTAGATTCGCTACAGAATCTGGAGTGATCTCGCCATAAGATTGAAAGGCACCCCTGATCTCCTCCGCTAATAATGTATACGAATCTTGGTTCTGAAGGAGAAAGTAAATCCCCGAGTAGAATTGATTAGAAACTGGCTCCCAGCTTGCAACGAGCAATTGCCCTGCTATTTGTTCGAGATGTGTAATTTGTTTCTTGTTTGAAGGGGCAGGTTGATCAGCTGGAATTATATGCTCGAAGTAATCGAGGTGCTCCGTTTTGTCGCGACGGTCGATTCGCCGTTGAACCTCTTGACTGTTGATCCTCATAACTCGTGGCATGGTAAGCCAAATGGATGGTGGGATGAAGAGGTACATAAGAGGGCTGAGGAGAGGAAACTTTTTGGTAATCTGCGTAATACTTCCAAACAGATTGACTTTGATAGCCGCCTCTAGGAAAATCGAGTTTTTCACTCCTCGGTGTTAGCTCAAACAGAGTTTAAGAGCAATGGCATCTCACTGTCTTTCATCTCATTCATTTGGCGATTGTACGTCATATCGGCTGCAATATCCATGGATAGCCAGTCGGCCCAACGTCTCATCTCAGCTCCTTGTTCTAATCCACCGATCTCCTTCATCTTATCGACGAAAAGATCGATGTAGTATTGCAAAGTGGGTTCTTTGGCTTTGAAGTTTTTCATGCTAAAGGCGGGTGCCATTCTTTTTGCCACCTCTCGATGTTTGACTGGATCGGTCTCAAATGAGATTCCTCCGTCACCCTCGCCGAGGTCTTCGAAGTCTGTTTTGACAAATGACTCCATCATCCTCTCATGTGGAAGGTAAATATCTGAACAAAGGCTCACTGTCAGCCAGCCAGCGAATGCTGATGCTGTGCGTTGCACTTGTGCTGGGATCGTACCTCTCGCAGCCTGTGGCGTCAGGAAAACCAGCTCATTTGTAGCGATGCGGACAACATCGCCTTGAATTCAATCAGCCTATGGCTTCTTTATTTGACTTTTGAGAAACTTGTTTACTTGCCGTAGTATTTTAACGTCTCTTCGATCTTCCAAGGCCATCGTCCTGTCAACCTGATTTCGTCTGGTATTAGATAAAATGACTTTGAATGCCTCGGTGGTGCGCACCTTCACAAAAGCGATGTACCTACCAGTTGTATGCATACCAGATATTAGATATGGCTGCTAGCCTGGGTCCCGGATACTTAGCAAGAGGGTGGTACAGTAAATTGTACGAAGCGCGGTATGATGCGTAAAGGAGAATCTGGTTATTTTTGGATACACGTGAGTAGACCTGAGCTGGATTTGACATCTATGGGAACTGGTGTAGGACTGGGGCATACAGTCGCTACGAGCAGTGATATCCACTCGATGTTGCTGACCTCAGCCGACGGCCATCTCGGCGCAGCATTCAGAGCAACCATGCTGCGCAGGGGTTTTGTAGGGAGCAGACTTAACAAATACAAAGGATCCTTAGGCAGGCACCTGAAGGCCCAGCCGTTACTTCTCTGATCAATTGAAGACGTGCGGAGCGGAAAAGTTGTGGTCATGAGCGTACATAACAGGTCCAACCGTGGGAACTATAAGCCGTTGGAGGATTAGGGGCCGGGAATCGGCGTTCTTTTCCTCCATTAAGCTTCGGAATTCCGATTGGACATGTAATTTACACTAGGAGATCCCGATTGGCTAAGTACGCCAGCCTGGATCTATTTCTGGACCTAGAATTAATGAAATCCATCCAGAGATTTTGGTCATTATTGAATTATAATGTGCGATTACTTGCCTCCCTCCCCGTTTGGGCCTCTTGTTCCAACTTAGTAATCTCTGCTAGGTACCTGCTGCTCAACTCCGAATCCCATTCTTCCCTGCAGACACAACCATAGCAACTCGCAAGATTTCACAGCCATGAGTTTCCAAACTATACTCCATAATGTCTCAGAGGGGCCAATAACCGTTCTGCTGATAATTACAATGCCATTATGCACGGTTGCCACCATACTCCGTTTCGTCGCGGCTCGCCGTGCGGGGAGGAAGTTTGGGTGGGAAGATATATTTGCTGCCCTGGCACTGCTCGCGTTTCTTGCCTACGGTGCTTTGGCTATTGGGGGTGCGTCTTATGCTCTTCGCTAAGTTATGTTATGACGCAGCATCTGAAATGCTGTGTTCAAAAGGATTCGCCGTCACTGGCGGTGTTAGTACCGACGAATACACGCTCGACATGGCTGTCACAACGTCAAAGGTAAGTTCGAGTTCCAATCCAACGCGGTTTTCTACTTCGCTAAGGAGACTTCTGTCTCAGATGGCGTATGCCGCAGCTCCTTTCTTCGAGATCAACCAGCTTTTCGCCAAAGCCAGCTTATTGGTTCTTTATTATAGGATCTTCGCTACCAACCGGACATTTGCGGTTTGCACTTGCGTTATAGCCATCATTCAGATGGCTTGGTTCATTGCTATATTCTTCTCCCTCATGTTTATGTGCATTCCTGTTCACAAGTGGTGGGATGTGCAGGGCACTGTGGAGGGTTGGTGCATGAACGACGCAGCCCTGCTAGCCGCGGAGGAGACTATCAATTCCGGTGTGGACTTCGCCATGGTTGCGCTAGCTGTATTCATGGTTCGAAAATTACAGATGAAACCATATTTGAAGAGAAGACTTGCAGCCGTGTTCATTACAGGCGGACTGTCCGGAATTCTTGGCTTTGTAAAAATCGGAGAAGTCTATGCAATCCCAGACGAGAATGGAAGTATGTATACATCACCACAGCTTGCAGCCTATCTGTATCCTTTCACTGCTAAATGGTATACCTCCATCGAGTGGCCAATGTCACCAATGGATTTTGGGATCTACTGCAGATGGCATTAACCATCTTCTGCTGCTGTGCACCCATTTACAAAACTATCATGCCCCCGCACGGCTCATGGGCCCGATTAAAGACGTCCATCACTTCATTTGGCAGTACAACGAGAGTGTTCAATAGAAGCGCGGGCCGTCAAAAGCTTTCGTCTGACTCTGGTCAGCCTCATGGGCCATCTAGCTCCCAAGTTTCAACATCTTCCATGTGGCCACGCTTTCAAAATAGGGAAGGAACTCAGTATATCTGGTCGGAAGGGGGGACACCGACGACGGAGGATATCCCTCTTCGGGGGCCCATGTCCCACTCACACGTAAAGAGAACAACAGAAATTCGACAGGATTTCGACATGGTCTAATACGGAAGCTAGTGAAGCCGGGGCCATATCGCCTACATAGACTTATCCTCAAATAATAAAAGCTTTTAATCGTTATTATGTATCGGAGCAAGCGCATTGCCACCATGTCCAAGGCGTATTGGGCTTATTTCGGATGTGCTCCGAGATATATACTTACATATAGATTGATGTTCATGAGGAAGGGAATGATTACCTTTGCATTATACTCATCAGCAGTGGAGACGAAGTACATGTGTGCCCAGAATTCAGCAAGGTTAATATGTAGCCCAAGAGTGGCGGGAGAGTGGCAGAGAGCTGATGCTAGGGTGCGGATATACTATAGTACCCTCAGTGGTGTAAGCTAAGTTAGATCGCGAGACAAAAGGTCTCCAGATGAGGGACAAGAGAGAACGCCGGACTTTAGCCACCAGCACTACGCAAAAGAGTATCAAGTCTATCGACGATTGAGAGGCTACTATAATCATGACAAGCGTTGCTTCATATTGAATTTCCCGCTTGACGTTCCGCATATTCTGGAAATCTGCAATTAAAGCATAGAGGTTTTCCCGCCAATTAGAGTTTCTGGGATGTTTGTTTGCGGTACGAGCAAGCATGTACTGGAAGATCATCGTCGTGTGATCGGACTTGTGTGTTCCTTGCCATAACTTTGCCACTGCCTGAGGCAGGCAGGCTGGTCGTGAATACGTTGTTCCGAGTTGTGGTGGGTACTAACGTTAGCCATGATCATCGTGTTAAATTAGCGTCATGTCTAAAATTCACGTTAGTGCTGTAACCTCACATTTCCGACACTTCTTCGGGGCCATCTTAGCATCCGACGTGAAGTGTCCCAAGTACCAGCTCAGTGATTATGACATTCGTTTAAAATGTTCAAATCGCCAAATCAGTGACTACATTCGGGCAACTCCCATGGGATGTAGAGTAAAGAAGCAAGATGGTCATATGGTGCGAAATAGTCTTGGCTCAACTCGAACCGCCACACCATGCTTCGCCTCTTTTCTGAACCCGGCCATCGGCATTAGATCATCTACACAGGGTCCACTCTCTCTGGCGACTGATGTATCGCGACGTCAGTGCCGTGACCCGGTAGTTACCTTCTAGCAAGGCTTGCGAGCCTTGGTGGATACCAGCCCTAGGATTTGCCGCAACTCAGCTGAAATGAAGATGACGAAGATGGCTTGGATGGGAAATCCAGACCTAACACTCTTGGCTTCAATTGATTTCTACCCTACCCTTCCTGCCCCTTCTCGACGTCGCAATTTGAGGGACCAACGATGGAGTGTTTCTGCTTTCGATTCTTGAGAACAAAACCGCCTGGATAAGCGCCTGCTGGGCGCAGCCATTGCCATGTTTATTCAATATCTGGCTCTCATCCTCCTGCAGCTCCACCTAAGCCTTGGCGCGTACGTGCAATTCATCAATTGCGACGACTTTCAAGATTCAACATCGTGGACCTCGGCATCTTCACTGGACGTTTCCTTCCAGCGCAGCGACTCAACGTCGCAGTTGGTTTTGCATTTACTTGATTTCGAGAAGCCCCAGGAATGCATTGCCAACCCCGAAATAGGAGCCGCGACGCTGGTTATCACGCCTCTTGGGGGTTCGACACGGTCATACGCACCCGCCATAGCGGGGCCTTGCGCTGCCAGCAATTCCTCCGCAAGTAGCCAAATCCCCGGACATGACTATTCGGCATTTGCTCTATCCCAAGACGTTGGGAACATCCACTCGTTGAGCACCATCCATCTCGAACTCCGTCTGCTCTCAATTAATGCGACCGAAGTCGCCTGCGTTTCGGCTTTTGTTACTCCCGAAATTCCCCGTAGCCTGACCGATGCGTTGAGGTACGGCCCGATCGCGCTTCTCGTTGCGGTCCTCGCGATGAACTACTGCCAACAGCATTTCTACATACGAAGTGGGCTGGGTGGCGTTCGTGAAGCATGGTTGATGGATATGAACAGACCGTTGGTCGACGGCGTCGGGGACCTGCTCCAACACCTCCAATTTGCCTTTCTGACGGGATGTTTGAGCCTGGAGTATCCCGGCTTTTTCCAGCCTGTGGTCAGCTCGTTGAATTGGTATTCCATTTTCAGCAGTTCGAATGCATTTTTGGGCGGTTTCGCTTATACTGGCGTCAGCGACGGGATCTTTGTGACAAACGGCACATACGGCGGGACTTCCGGTATGGAACATATGATCCAGATCCTTGGTGCGCCAATGGCGATGGAAATCTGGATTAATATGACGATCATCACGCTGCTGTTGATCGCTGTAGCTGCAGCGTTATTCCTATTTCACCGGCTTTATCAGCGATTACGTGGTATAGCTGGGAAATGGGAATTCGGCGCAGTGCAGCAGTTGATCCAAGAGTCTTTGAGAATGGTCTTGACATACTTCATACAACCGATTATCGCCATCTCAACATATCAGCTTGATAGCATTGGCCTGCTGCCTACATACCTGATATCTCTGGCCGTCCTACTGGTCGTGATCGCGTCTGCAGCATACATCTGGCTATTTCAGCAAACCCCAACTGAAGGATTAGCCGCACTCATTGTCAACATGCCAGAATGTTCTGGAGGAAGTCAGGCCAAGCAGCGAAGCGTACGCGCTTTAGTTCTGGTACATTTCATCCTGAACTTCTTCCGGGGCGTTGCGATTGGTGCACTGCAGATATCAACTAATGCGCAGCTTGCGATCCTCATTCTCTGCGAAGCAATTCTGATTGCCTCGGTTCTGTGTTTCATCCCGACCCTTTGGCATTCACGACTTGTCGTGTGCGCAGTGGGCAGGTTGATTGTCTTATTACTTATGATTGCTTTTATCGCGCCGTCAACCTCACTAACATCCAAGACTCTGGTGGCTTATGCGATACTGGTGCTCGAGCTTGTCATCTTGTTCACAGCAATTCTGATACCTCGAGTATGCAGGTTCATATCTTTTTGGTTGCATCACGATTCCTCGAAGCAGACTCCGGTAAGTGATTACGGTCGACGAGAACACGAACTTGGTCCTAATGTGCTGCCTAGGTCTATAACCTCCGCCAGCTCCGCCGTCGTTCTCAACACTTTAAGCAACTTCCGCAAAGGCCTGTTCACGGAGATTCGAATCTTGTTTGCGTGAACTGTGGCTTGGATCCAACAGTCCGATCTGATAGTCCCAGTACGCTGAATCTGGATATTGCAAGCACACGATCTCGCTCCTCGCGTCATACAAAGCCAAGTACGCGTGCCACGCTATATCCTACGCAAATCTTGTCTCCGGAACTATCGCCTTCTCGTCCCAGCTTTTCCACCTGTGACAAGGGAGATCAGTCAGACTCTGGCACAGATCCAAGTTCTTCTGACGCTTCAAAACGACAACGGGTGGTCTCTGGGAGTTCGTATACATCGGTCCCATCGTCTGAACCCACCATAGCGGCGGATGTGGACTATACAGTCCGCGAAATCGATTTCTACTATGGCAAGCCACGGCAAGTCGATTTTGGATAGCACCCGGATACTCAAAAATTTAATTGAAAGATTTGCCTTCGTCGCCGCCCCGCAGCTCACCCCTGTGTACGTGTAAGACACGTTGTATATCAAAGCTCAGTCCTCGCTCGCTTCGGTCGGTGTTACGGCAATGATCTATCCGATAGATCCAAACGTGAGTAGTGGAAGCGTGGCCTCGGAGTACCTCGCCACCATGCGACCGCTCATGTCTGAGCCTTGATATTTATTCTGTGTCAGTGTTTCAGATTTTGCGAAGTAGTCGTCAGGTTGTATCAATGTCTACCAATGCCAAGAGAAGCATAGCAAACTTCGAGGCACGGTTGATCCGCTTCGCAATCTTCTTACGTACAAACGGTCCTGATGTGTCCGTCACGCCTCCCGCGTAACAGTCCACGTCGTCTTGACGCCGATTCCCTCATTGGCAGACTTCTGTGCCTGTTTCGTCAATGCCTTTTCACTACTCGTCTCATCGCCCTCGTCAGCGTTATCGGCGGCTGCTGTGAAATGTATCTGACCACTACGGGTCTGGGCATTGTAGTAGTCCTCCATCTCCCAGGCTGTGTTGTCCAGCGCTTTATCTTGCTTGAGTCTACTTCTCCCTGGTATGCTTGATATTCCGCCAATGGTCCGGTTGCCGTTCGACCCGGAGCCCGATTTGTTATAGTCGTATAACCGAGAGGAGGCATTGCGGGTCTTGTATCGGGTGTAGAGTGGACGGAGCATCGGGATGCTAACACAGAGGATGGCAATGTTGGGCTCGAGCGCAAAGAGGAGCACGGTTGTGGGCATTGTTCCAGTAATGTTACCGGCCAAGTCGACTTGACCAATGTAAATAACGCGGAAGATGGCCATGACAATACAGCTGTTGCGCGTGTTAATATCGGGAGTTTCCGGCTTCGATCTCTCTACACCTGGTATGGGCAAACGTTCAGAGGTGTGTGTACTTACGCTAATCCCAGTGTGAAGCAAGACATGATTCCCAATTTGTCTGCCGTTTTCATCTGTAGCGACCAAATAATGGGCATAGGCATGAGCATAATGACCAGATCCCCAACGGCGTTGGTAGCAATGAGGCTCTGAATCATCGGAATGAAGTCACCGCACACGCCCTGGCCTGTCCAGAAACCATTGACAGGTCTGCATAGAAATATGCAGGCACACTCAAAGCAGATGGTCCATACTGCAAGAAGTCCAAGAACAACATCGACGGCTTTGAGCATTTTCGGGGTCGAGAACACCCGTCGGTAGAAAAATAGCATGCTTGCTTTGGATGCAGCGAGGCAGAGAACGTAGATTATTTCCATGATGAAGGACATCTGGTTGGAAATATCGGGTCAGCAGCATTACTCAACGTATCGATCAGACTTATTTTAACAAAAGCTCACCAGAAATATAAAAGGCACGTTGACAATCACTGCACGTTTTCGCACGAGTCAGCTTCAGTTCATGTTCGAAATCACGGGACAGGGTAGCGCTTACATTCGGGGTGATCAGGTAAGTCGTAGCCGCTTCCAATGGGTAGTAAGAACCCTTGACATACTAACACTACAATCATGAGAGTCAATAGAGGCTCAAGACCAGCTTTTTCTGGCGAGCTTCATGCTGTTCCGGTAGGACTCACTGCCAATGCCCAAAGGCGCCGCCAGAATGACAAAGTAGTCATCTAGACCTAGACCTGCGCCGGTGACACGCGAAAAAACTCGCAAGGAGACCACTATCAGCACAGCAAATACGACGAGGCAGTTAACAATCAACTCTGCTCTCACAAAGTCCTTGACCGGCATGGTCATGTATGAAGGTATAGTCGCCATCCTATGTCCCTCTTCTGATTGCCGTTCTACACAACGGCGAGGGCCTGAGTATGGTATCGAAGATATCCTTGGTTCCACTGACTGAATTCACCTGTGGACTTATGTAGGAAGTCGATTAGATCTTGGCAACGACGACCGAGCGTGTCTCCGCTCATATGTTTAATACAATTGACAGATGCCAAACGAGCAATAGCACGACGGGAAATGATCTGCAGCTGCCCAGAATCCATCGTTTCCGGCAACAGTGTACCAGAGAAAATCCCTGATCAACAGGCTGACAGGCCTGCTCACGACTGTAGCCCTCATCCAAATAAACGGTAAATGCCGTCGGCTTGCCAGGTTGATGCAAGCGAAAGGAAGAACTGCGAACGCGATGTTCGTTTGGGTAAAATTTGCGGCCAGTTGCGGCGTAGCTTAGGATTTTACCCCCGTCTTGAACCAGTGGGGGCACGCCGCCCAGACTGGGCGTCGGACCATATCTCATAGTCTACGGTTGATGGGCGGCAGGTAAGAACCGACCACTCATCCCGGCTCTCTGATCCCGGCTTCCAGGTTTCCCCTCCGCCTGTCAGAGTACTCTGGCGCCAGGGTAATAAGGGTATTGGGGGTCGGCAACCATAGGGGACTGGGACTTCAAAGTTGATAGTCACGCTTTTGAGTTGAGCCTTCAACCTATGCCTAGAAACTGACGGGTATAGCGCAGTCCACACCAACTGGTATCGGAATGGGTTCATTAACCACCCCCCCTCCCCCCTCTTCCCAGCGAGAATAGCTACCAAGTCTGGAGGCAACCTTGTCCCCCTAAAATCGGGCTTTGGGTGAACAAGGATGCGCTGGCGCGTTCTTCGGTTGCGAATCAAATGTGTCTGGCTCATGCAGCTCGGTGGAGTTGTCCAGAGTCTTGGGGCTAAGATCTGCCAGGTACGATAACTCATACTTGTACTCCGTCCGTATGATAGTCATGACATTTTCCCCTGTCAACCCCCACTGGGCAAGGCAAGACTGGGGGTTTTGAAGTGGCACGAACCGGATCTCCCGCCTCAGTCCTTCGGCCCATGAACCCGGCCAGGGTCTTGCTGGGACCCTGGCAACGTAACCTTTTCCTGAAATGCTCGTGACAGCAGGGATCGCCCCACCATCGCCTGTTTCCTCCACGTGCAGAACAATCAACTGCCCAGCCCAGTTGGTGTCCTCTGAAAAGCCACCAAACGTTTGATAGCTCTGAAGACCCGACTTTCTGAATCTGCATAAGAGTCACTTTTGAGAATTGGTTGCTTTCGCGAATTGTTAAGATCCACAGCGCTGGATTGAGCGAACGCTTGAGCCATTGGCCTTGGCAGCCTTGTACTTTTGGGGCGCTAATAGCGGCGAGTTCATCCGTCGCCTGCGGGTCGTGTAACACGCCGTTCCCTCCCGCTGGGATTTCCTTCCAGGTCGTGATTGGAGTGTGGATAACCGTTAGAGTGGAAACGTAGTGATACTTGGCACTCATTTCATTCAATATGCAGTGGGCCTCGGAGCCACACCTAAAGCGGCGCACGTAGAGAACCCCGAGTTCGTTCGTAAAAGTATGTATATCCGGGGACAGACCATGGTGTGATATTTCAAGACTTTAACTCTGAAACCGATCCTTCAACTTGACCCAGCCTCGCTAAATACATCGCTACCATGAAAATGGCAGCACGCACCACCAAGCAATTAATCCTGGCTAACAAGCCGGCCGGTATGCCTGTGCTCTCCGGCCCGGACGCGACCTTCAAGCTCCAGACCGTAACCCTCCCGGAACTGAAGGAGGGCGAGATTGTAAATAACCCCGATTCTTACCTCGAGCACAATACTTACCTGGAATTCTATAGTTGTGCAAGGTGCATGCCTTCTCAAACGATGCAGGCCAACGCGGATTTATCCAGAGCACAGTTTCCGATGAGCGGCTCTATGTCCCACCTGTTCACGTCGGCACGCCGTGAGTTTACTTTCCCTGGCCTTCGTCACTCCAACATACTGAATTCACGGGCCGTGTTGACACGACGTAGCATGCGTTCCGGGGTCATCGCCGAGGTGCTGGAATCCAAGTCCCCCAAGATCAAAGCCGGTGACATGGTCATGGATTATCACCGCGGCATCTGGAGTGAACTTCTCATTCTGAGCGACCAGGAGTGTCAATTGCTCGCACCCCTCCCAAATGGATTGCCCTTGACACATTACCTGGGCACCTTCGGTGGCTCTGGCCTCACATCCTACACCGGCTTGTTGTACGCTGGAGGTGCTAAGCGCGACTCCGACCAGACAGTTGTCGTCTCAGCAGCTGGCGGTGCTACAGGCTCCATGGTTGTGCAAATTGCAGCCAAGATACTAAAGGTTAAGCGCGTTATAGGTATTGCAGGCTCAGATGAAAAGTGCGAGTGGGTCAAGAAGATTGGTGCTCACGATTGCCTCAACTACAAGAGCCCAACCTTCCTGGAGGATCTCAAAGCCGCCACGCCGGATGAAGTTGACATCTACTATGACAATGTGGGCGGTGCCATTCTGGATGCCATGCTGCCGCGCATGAAGCGCCTCGGCAAGGGCACCATTGCCGTTTGTGGTGCTATTGCTCAGTACAACGCCGATGGAAAACCCATGGAGCTGCACAACTGGTGCGAGGTCTTCTCTGCAAGAATTAACATCAAGGGGTTTATCATGTTCGACTTTATGGAGCACGTTCCCGCCGCTCTGCAAGAGCTGATTGCTGCCGCTGCTGATGGAAGGTTAGACTTGTCAGACGCCGAAACAGTAGTGCAAGGCACTCTTGAGCAGCAGCCTGAGATCTGGACACGCCTATACACCGGCGATAACAAGGGAAAGCTGGTTACTAAGCTTGTCGCCTAGGCTCTGTAGTTTCTGTGCTGCGATTCAGGTGTATCGCGGTATATGGATGTACCCCGTTAGTGCACCAGATCTTCTTAGAGCGAGGAACCATAGAGCAGGATAGCGTGGACTAAAAGAACATTATCTCTCTATCTTCTTGAGTCTATTCTCTCTATTCGTGCCAGGTGAGAATCAGCACCATATGATAGGTTGTTGGGGAAGCCCTCGTGGACTAGATAGCTGCAATAACCCTTACCATGGGAGAAGTCATTCGGGTGATGATAAGTTTTTGGCAGTCGCGAATGATCTTTCTATGAGGGTTTGCCGTCTGATACGCTGCGGTCTATTTCCTTAACACGTTGCCTTCTAAGTTAAGCTGATATGCAATCGTCGCAAGGCACATAAGAGTAACCCAACTCAGGGAAGACATCGTCTTGATGGTGCGCAGAACACGTCGCCAAATCCACATTCGATCACCTCCTTCCATTCTGAAATCACCCCAGTTGGGAAAGAATGTGGCTTTCCAGAAGGATGAAGCCATGCCTGGCCACGAAGCGGAATTCCGACCGGACGAGTTGATATACCAGTTGTTACAGCCAGCATTGAAGACAGTCTGAGAAAGCGTCTCATCCAAACTCTTCACAAATTCTTCTTCTGCCTGTTCCTTTACCTCAAAGACGTCAGAGTTGCCGTCTAGGACGCACCTGAAGAGCGTCTTCGAAAGATACTCAACCTGTACCTCCACTGCGTATATAACCGAATTGAAGGCAGGGAAGGTATTCGGTCCAAACAGAATACCAAAATTCGGAAAGTTGTGCACAAATGTTCCCATGTAGGCTTGGGCGCCACGACTGTGATTCCACTGGTCTTTTATCGTAGTGCCCGTTTTGCCCACAATCTGCAGTGGCGTCAGAAAATTGGATACCTGGAAGCCGGTTGCTAGTATAATGATATCGAAGTCTTCCTGATATCCTGTCTCGCTGATGATGCCAGTTTCGGTGAACTCTCGAATCCCTTCGGGAATCAGGTCAACATGACTCAAGTGCAACGATGATAGGTAGTCCGGGTCGAAGATTCGTCGCTTGCAGCCAAGCGGAAAGTCGGGAACCAAGATGCTGTGGTATTTCTCAGGCGCTTCTCGGTAGATGTAGTCCTTCGCATTCTCCTCGATGGCCTTGCGTTGTTTGATTTCGTGGAGTGAAGACCCATATGATGAAGCCAGGTTGTCAGTATCGAGGAAAGTCTTGAGGCGATAGTAGCGTTGCCAGAATGGGATATAACGAAAACAAAACCGCTCCAATGGGCTAAAGCGATGATTCGGACGGGGGTGATACCATTGCCTCCCGCGGGCGAACCTTCTCCAATTAGCCGCTGACAGACATTGAGAGGCAGGACAGCCACAGACACTTACTGGGTGAGTTTTGAGACATCTTTTGCGATATTTGGTATCACCTGAGCGGCGCTACATCCATTGCCTATGACTGCGACTCGTTTGTCTCGGTAGTCACAAGAGTGATCCCATTCCGCTGTATGGAAGATTCGTCCCTTGAACTTTCCCATTCCAGGGAATCGAATGTCGCGCGGCGTAGAGAACCCTCCGACAGCAGTGAGGAGGACGGCACAAGTTCTAGTAAAACGCTGCTTGGTGTTGACATTGACGAAGTGGACTTCCCATACCTGTGCTTCAGAACGCCATGTCGCACCAACACAAAAGCAGTTGAGCCGAAAATGGGGTCGCAGGCCAAACTTGTCGACTGTATTTTCGATGTCTGTCATACCGTGTTAGTCTATTAGTTCCCTCTTCCCAAGTCCACCAGAGAAGAACGTAGTTCACATTGTAATATTTCTGTTTGATCGCAGAGTTCCTCTGTCCAGTCAGGGTTCAGGTTGAATGAAAAGGAGTATAGATGAATTGGCACATCAGAGCCACTGAATAGCAGTCAGCCAGGTCGAATCATGAACACTTAGTTTCTATTACCAGCCTGGGTAGGTGTTGGCATGCCATGTGCCACCAATGGCGTCGTGCTTCTCAAAAATCTTCGGCGCGTTAGTGACATACCAAGGGCCTAATATAGGCTGCAATGACTCACCTCAAAGTCTGTGTATCCAAGTTTACACTTCAAGGTATGTGCCATCGCAATGCCAGACACGCCCGCACCAACGATGATGGTGTTCTTCGTCGCCATGGTCAGTGGGTAGTCCGCAATAACTGTTCTACAGGGAATGTTGATAGTGAAAGGGTCAAGTCCGCTACTCATCCATGAATTAAGGATGTAGTCGCCTGGAGGCTATGGTAGGGACAAGAGACTCGGGCATTTCATTTGGACCCGAAAAAATCCCAAGCTAGCTAGCAGTACTGTTCATTGCGATATTCGTTAGCATGACGGGTAGTCGACTCCCTGCAGCCAGAATCCATGACGTGCAGAAGGAAGTACATCACGCGGCGTGTCTGCGTGAGATATGGGACTGTGATAGGGCCTGCGGATATCGCTTTCCCGCCCGAGTTGAAGCCCCCTCCACAAACCTGTAAGTTGGGGTAAATGTTTACGCGCAGAAGTAGCTGGTGTCGTCATAAGAAAACAGCAAAACCAATTAAATTTCATGATGAAAACAGTTCCCGGTTAGTAGCAATTCTATTGAGAGAGTAGCTCAAGACTTGAATGGGCAGAGGCAGAACATTAAGCCAGCACCACTTGTCGCCGGATCATGGGCGGCAGAGAGCCGCAGGTCTCTTAGTCTAGGATTCCGCCACATGGACTTCAGGTTTGAAAGACAATAGTGAATGGGGACTCGATTTCCTTTCAATTGACGCTTTAGGACTCAAAAACGACACTCCTAAGACAAGATAGTACTGGAATAGATTACATTCAATTCTCTGCAATATGTATTTTAAACATGCACAAGGGCGATTGAGCAGCCGTCTAGCGTATCGTCTCATGTCGATGAGCTGCGCCCTAGTACGTGTCCATTCGGGAATCCATGAGCCATGATCTGACTTTCTAGGCATTTGCACTCTATGGCTATGATGCCGGAGTACTGGGAGGCGTACAAAACACAAAGCCTTTCTTAGACGCAATTGGCGTTAGTGCCCCCCCAAAGACTGGTTTGCACCAAAGACTCAGATGCGTTAGAATCCACAACGTACTTACGATATCCCGATGGTGGCTTCTTCCTATGTCCTCGCGGCTACCGTGATATCGACTCTGGTTTTCTTCGTTGGAATGCCGCTCGGCCGACGTGGTTGTATCTTGATGGGTGACGCTTTGGTCATTGTTGGATCTGCCATTCAAGCCACTGCATTCTCCATGCCGCATATCATTGTTGGAAGAGTTATTTGTGTACGTATCTCAGGACCAGTTCTGTGTGTTTGATATATATGCTCAAGGTATCTAGGGCTTTGGGGTTGGGTTCATATCCAGTACCGTCCCGACTTACATGGTCAAGTTCCCCAGTCTAGCCACTCGCTTGGCACCATCGGCTAACCATTCTTAGGCCGAAATGAGTACAGAGGCATCTCAGCGTGGCCCCGAGGTCGCAATACAATGTGCGTGGTTGATTACTGGCATTGCCATAGCATATTGGGTAAATATACATCGAGAAGTTGTCATACTCTGATACTGACTGACTGTATCAGATCGACTTCGGGACTACCAGGTCAGATAGCCAAGCATCTTGGCGTTTTCCCATTGCATTCCAATCAGTCTTTGCTGCCATTTCAGGCGCTTGTCTTCTGTTTCTCCCCGACACACCTCGTTGGTATTATGCTCGAAATCGGACCGAGGAAGGCGACGCGGTGTTGGCACTCCTGAATGATCGACCTCTGGAAGATATAGCTGTACAGCAGCAAAAGCGGGACATCATGAGAAGTATTCAGCTAGAGGCAGAAGCCGAGAACAGGCTCAGTCTAGCCAGCTTGGTATGGGACAAGACGGAGCTGCGAGTTGGCAGACGGATTCGAATTTCGTTCCTCATTCTTTCAATCCAGCAGATGATGGGTAGGCCCGTAATGAACAGGATAGAATGAGAATTTTACTGACATGAACAGGCATCAATATGCTGGTCTATTTCAGCACGCGAATATTCGCCGATATTGGACTGACGGACTTTATGTCACAGCTCCTTGCAGCGGTCATGAATACAGTATTTGCAATTGGCACCTATTGTGGGTCTCTCTGATACAATAGCGAGATCCTATGCTCATATTCTTAGTTACTCCCGGCACCATTGAAAAGTTCGGGCGGAGGCAAATAATGATTTGGACAGCCGTCGCATGCGGTGTTTCAATGCTCATCTTCACAGTTATGATTGCTCTTCCAAACCCTACTTTGGCCACGCAATGGACTGCAGTTGTCTTCATCATTGTTTACAACCTTGCCTACGGCTACGGCTGGGTTGGCTGCCCCTGGCTTTATGGACCTGAGGTATGCAGATCATGGTGCAACAGTAGATATCGCACGTCTGATTTTCTTCACAGATTGCGCCACTCCGTTACCGTCACGTGGCTGGTGCAGCTGGTTCCTTGGGGGAGTGGCTGTTTTCATTCATCACAGTATTCGCTGGAGGAATCGGCGCTGAAGTCACTGGCTGGAGAATTTGGATCTGGCAGATTATCTTTTGCGTGATAGCTGTCTTATTTGTATACTTCGTGTGTCCTGAGGTGAGTATTGCTTACAGTCCCTATAATGTCGATCAAGGAGGCTTACATTACTTGCAAGACGAGCGGAAAGACATTGGAGGAGATCGACCAGCTGTTCGCCAGTCCAGGGGCCTATCATGACACTGCTATTGACGAGAAAGAGATGGAGACAGGTCATCATACAGGTAGCCTGTCCCACATTGAACATGCTTCAGGGGAAGAAACGAATGCACGGTCGTAGCCTGTACAGTCTCAGTTAGATGAAACTGGTTGTCTGGTGAAGTTCTTGGGATGTACTATTATTAATTCGGGGCTGGCTATCCAGCCGTATTTCTCAGTTCTTCGGATTGATTACACACCAAGGAGACACGGGCTCGGACGCGGAGAGTCCCTTGCTGACAAATGGCCCGGGGCGCAGCGACCTCTTCGGAGAATTCAAAGTACATGCTTGTCCGAAAAGAAATAATGTATAGGACTGAAAGTCTACGAATATGTAGACAATTGCCATTAGAATGCGATGTGGAATAGCTTCTGTAGAGCTCATTAAAGTCTTGGTTGAGTCATGGTCCGTTCTTTGTTGTGCGTGCTGCCTGTTTGACTGAAATAGAGACTTAACCTAGAAGAAACGCCATTTCAAGTATCAGCGAACAAACGGCAAATATGGTGTCTCTTCAGATTGCCCGACAATCCAACGCACGCATTTCAAGTCTTCCACGGGGACTCGTGGCGTTGTTCGTGGGCGCCACGTCGGGAATAGGACAGAGCACTCTGCAAAACTTCGCGCAGCATGCCCCCTCGCCGCGTATATACAGCGTCGCCCGCCCGCAGACAGTCGCTTCACACGAGTCACAGCTGGCGGCGCTACGCCAATCCAACCCGACAGCGAAACTAAACCTCATCCAGGCGGACGCCTCTCTCGTCTCCGAGATCGACAAGGTAGTCAATGAGATCATGCAGAAAGAAACCAAGCTGGACCTTCTCGTCGTGTCTGCGGGCTTCATGGCCTTCGAGGGCCGCAAGGACACGCGCGAGGGCCTCGATCCGTCCATGTCGACGCGCTACTACTGTCGGCAGCGCGCAGTCCAGCTGCTTCTCCCGCTGCTCAAGAACGCCGCTAGCCCGAGGATACTCTCGGTCTTGGCTGGCGGTCTCGAGGCGGAGCTCAACGAGAAGGATCTCGACCTCAAGAACCCACGCAACTGGTCCTTTTGGAACGCATCGGTGCATGCAGCTACCATGCACACGCTGTCTCTGGAGCGAGTGGCGCGTGAAAACCCCGGGTTGAGCATCATCCACTGGCTGCCCGGCCCGGTGGACACGGCGGGATTGCGGAGGGCGGCACAGTTCGGTATGCGGCCGCCGAACCAGATGACGGAAGCCGAGGCGGGCGAGCGCGGCCTGTTCTGCGCGACCAGCGACCGCTACGGCGTCCGGGCGGGGCTGGTGCCGGCTCCTGAGGGAGTGGGACCGGCAAATAGATCGGGCGGAGGGATCTTTTTGCTTGGTCCGCTGGGAGAGAGCACTGACAACGAAGGCGTGCTGGCCACGATGAGGGAACGAGGTATTGACAAGGTCGTGTGGGACTTCACGCAGCAGGTGTTTGCCAACATCGCGGCCAACGGGAGTCATGACGCCTCGAAAGATGAGCTTTGAAATCCATGAAATACGATTGATCTATGGGAGACATGGCAGGCTTCGTAGGGGTCGTCAGTGAACGCTCAGGGGTGTTGGGGAAAGTGCTCGTTATCAGACCCCAGAGCGCGGAGAGAAGCTGTAGCCACCCAGATACACCAATATAGTGACCGCCGACGCTCAACGCCAGATTTGGGAAACGAAACCGCTCTAGCGAGAATAAATTTACCTGACTGTCCCTTGATTGCCGTGCTCCGAACTCTTCTCCCTTCCCATCGCGTCCTACAGGTGGGACTCTGATTGGAGCCGGAAGTATAGCTCGTAGCAACGTGGAAGCCTCCCGCCGTGGCTATTCGCGAAGGATCAGGTGGACGGGAAAGAAACAAAGTTAGCGCCCTGAATGACTCTGAACTACGTTGCTATACTTAGGGGATTGAGCAGTGATGAATGGCCTGTGCCTCTCCTCCCCGGCTTTCAAGGCTGGGCGCTGGGCGCTAACTTAGGCGAACTGGAGGAGGGCCGATGCCGGGGGCCGAACTGGCTGGTGCCAGTGCTCAGAGCCAATCACCAGGCGACGGATTCTAATCCAGAAATTATTTTCGCGATCGATGCCAAGTTCGCATCTCTACTCACCACCGCGCAGGGCCAGCTCTGAATTGTTTTCGAGGGCCAATTGGGAAGCATGAGGGCTGTTGAGCTTGCTTGTCGCCGCGGGACGGCTTTCAGCGTACGTATAGCCCCCTCCAGAGCCACTCCGGGCCGTCTTCGCTGACCCGCGGTCCTGCCCGCCAGCGTTTCGCCGCAAGCCGGTCACCTCGAGCGCGAACCTTTGCGACACCCTCCTTCGACACCTCCAACCCCCGGATCCCGCCCTACCTGAAGCTCCTGAAGAACTATGAGCAGGTCAAGGAGGTCTTGGGGCGTGCGACCCCCCTGACCCTGGCCGAGAAGATCCTCTACAGCCACTTGGACAACGTCGAAGAGTCGCTCCTCACCAACACCGAGGGCGGCCGCAACATCCGCGGCAATGCCAACCTCAAGCTGAACCCCGACCGCGTCAACATGCAGGACGCCTCGGCCCAGATGGCCCTGCTGCAGTTCATGACCTGCAACCTGCCCACCACCGCCATCCCCGCCAGCATCCACTGCGACCATCTGATCGTCGGCGAGCGCGGCGCCAAGGAGGACCTCGAGGCCGGCATCAAGACGAACCAGGAGGTCTTCAACTTCCTCGAGTCCGCCGGCAAGAAGTACGGCATCGACTTCTGGCCCCCGGGCGCTGGCATCATCCACCAGAGCGTGCTCGAGAACTACGCCGCCCCCGGCCAGATGATGCTGGGCACGGACAGCCACTCCCCCAACGCCGGCGGCTTGTGTACGGTCACAATTGGTGTGGGCGGGGCTGACGCCGTCGAGGCGCTCGTCGGTGCTCCCTGGGAGCTCAAGGCGCCCCGTGTTCTGGGTGTCGAGCTGAAGGGCAAGCTGGACGGCTGGGCCACCCCCAAGGACATTATCCTCGCTTTGGCCGGCCAGCTCACCGTCCGGGGAGGCACGGGCTTCATCATCGAGTACTTTGGCTCTGGTGTCGAGACCCTCAGCTGTACCGGCATGGCAACCGTGACCAACATGGGTGCCGAGGTTGGCGCCACAACTTCCATCTTCCCCTTCAACGACGCCCATGTGCGGTACCTGGAGGCCACCCACCGACACGACGTGGCTGCCGAGGCAAAGAAATACTCGGATATCGTCGGCTTGAGGGCTGACGCCGGAGCCAAGTACGACGAGGTCATCACCATCGACCTCTCGTCTCTGGAGCCTCACATCAACGGCCCCTTCACGCCCGACCTGTCAACGGCGCTCTCCAAGTTCAAGGAGACGGTCAGGGAGCAGGAATGGCCCGAGAACCTGTCCGCGGGTTTGATCGGCAGCTGCACCAACAGCTCCTACGAGGACATGACCAGAGTTGAGAGCATGGTCAAGGAAGCAATGGAGGCCGGGCTTAAGCCTGCCTCAAGTTTCTACATTACCCCCGGCAGTGATCAGATCAGAGAGACTCTGGCCCGTGATGGTCCTCTTGAGACGTTCAAGGCGGCTGGCGGCACCGTTCTGTCGAATGCCTGCGGACCCTGCATTGGACAGTGGAAGCGCCAGGATGACGTGAAGAAGGGCGAAAGCAATGCCATCCTGACGTCGTACAACCGAAACTTCAAGGGCCGCAACGACGGGAACCCTGGCACCATGAATTTCCTCGCCTCGCCCGAGATCGTTACTGCCATGGCCTTCGCCGGTACCACGACTTTCAACCCCATGACCGACTCGATCAAGACTCCATCTGGAAAAGACTTCCGCTTCACGCCTCCGTCCGGTCTCGAGATTCCCTCGCAACCTTTCGCCTCTGCACGCCCGGAATTCCGCGCTGTCTCGTCGACGCCGGATGCTTCTGTGCAGGTGGCTGTGGCCCCGACCTCGGAGCGACTTGCTCTGCTGGAACCCTTTGAGCCCTTCCCGTCGTCTGACCTATCTGGGCTGCGCGTCCTTGTCAAGGTCACTGGCAAGTGTACCACTGACACCATCTCGGCCGCTGGACCTTGGTTGAAGTACAAGGGCCACTTGCCCAACATTAGCACCAACACCTTGAACACTGCTACGAATGCTGAGACTGGCGAGGTCAATGCGGCTTACGATATGGATGGCTCCAAACACACCATTCCAGAGCTGGGCCAGAGGTGGAAGGAGGCCAACCAGCCCTGGCTCGTGGTTGCTGAGCACAACTATGGTGAGGGTAGTGCTCGCGAGCATGCTGCCCTGCAACCACGATATCTCGGCGCGCGCATCGTGCTCACCAAGAGCTTTGCGCGCATCCACGAAACAAACCTGAAGAAGCAGGGTGTTGTGCCGTTGACATTTGCAAACGAGGCTGATTACGATAAGATCGGTGCATGCGACGAGGTCGCGACCGAGGGATTGTACGATATGCTGAAGAATGGCGGAAAGGGTGAGGTGGTGTTGCGTGTGAAGAAGAACAAGACGGGCGAGGAGGTTCTCATCAAGACCAAGCACCAGGTCAGCGAGGATCAGGCAAAGTTCATATTGGCCGGAAGTGCACTGAACATGCTGAGCCAACGGTAGGGTCATAGACACGTGGTTATTCGTCAACGGAATTCAAAATATGAAAAGTTTAGTAAAAGCGACTCAAAACTCTGTCGAATTCAAGGATGTCTCTGTACAGAGGGGAGAGGCTACGTGTAGTCAAACATCCGCTCGGTGATCACTTGGCCGCAGCCTTAGCCATTTCCTCCCTGTTGATTCTGAGAGCCTTTGCTACGGCTGGGCGAGCGATCAGACGCTGGTACCAGGCATTGTAGTTCGGGTACTCCGACGCTCGCTTCTCGAGGCCGAACTCTGGGAACTTGACACGCATGCCATCTTCCCAGGCAACGAACGACAGATCGGCATACGTACTAAGTAGCAAGTTAGTATTATTGTCTAGACCACATAGTCATTCCCCCCTTGCTTTTTCCCGCCTGCTCTAGCGACTCACCATTTCCCTCCAACAAGGTACTCCTTGCCCTCCAAAATCTTGTCCAGGACGGACCAAACGCGCAGCAGCTGGTCCTTGTACCGCGCGATGGCGACGGCCTCGCCCGGGAGGTAGCGCGCGAAGAAGACCCACTGCCCGTAGTAGGGGCCCTGGCCCGACGACTGCAGCGCCAGGAACTGCTTGAGGTGGTACGACTCGGGGAAGGAGCGCAGCGTCAGCCGGCCCGCCTTGTCGTACGTGTCGACCAGGTACTCGACGATGGGCGCCGACTCCCACAGCACCAGGCCCGTGTTGGGGTCCTCGAGCGTCGGCAGCCGCCCATTCGGGTTCAGCTGCGTGTACGGCTCCTCCTTGACCTTCGTGATGTCGACTTGGACCTGGCGGGCGGCGGTTGGTGTTAGCGGGGGAAGGGGACGCGCTGCGGGAGGGCGGGCATGGCTCACGTGTTTGTAGGGAAGCCCCAGCTCTTCGAGGATGATCATCACTTTTAAGGGGTTGGGAGTGCCGTAGTGGCCGTGGAGAATGAGGGTCTTGAGCTCAGACATTCTGTGAAGTGTGGTGTGTTTGTGAGACATAGGAGGATGTGCACTCGCAGTGATCTTTGGTCAAGCGACAGATTTAAGAGTCGAATAATCGTCAGATGAACGTCTTATATAGAGCAAGACATGATGCTGTGCTCGGGTCTCTATGGAAAGCTGACACACTACCGCACCATAAGTCGGCCATATGGAAAAGAACATTATTAATTGCTTTGGGCGGTACGCGATCTTGCTCAGCCACGACGGTCAACCACGATGCTCGACCATGATGGTTGTCTGTGCTGTTGATTCATAATCAAGATGGATCATGTAGACGTTGGAATCTCAAGTCGGATGAATGATGTCTTAGCTATAACCATTCTAGGGGTCGCAATGAGTAGGTTCGGCGGAACCGCGGTCTTCGGGCTTAACTATAGGGGTGTTGAAATGGTCTAGTGTTCCTGGGCTTGGCGTGTCGTGGGCCAGAGACCATTTTCCGAAACCAGAAGCGTGGCTTGTCCTGGCTCAGAGACCATTTTCCAAAACGAGAAATAGATGTGCCGGATTGGAGCACGCGGAGTCGCGGCAGATGCATTCCGCTTGAGAACGCGACGCTGCTTGGTCAGCTTCTAGCACCCTCCAAGCCTTACCTGATGGCCGAACAATCTCTCGCAGTCGGTCTTGGTTTCCAGTCGGGTCACAATATAAGGAGGGCGATTTGCCAGAGGGCGGCTCAGCAGTCTTGTTCGCCTTGGCTATTCCCGCCTCAAACACCGGAAACTACCCTGACGAGTCAATTCTACAATTATATCGAGAACCTTTTGATAAGGCGCCGGCTGCTATCTGATGTTGTGGGACTGGCGCTAAAATTGCTTACTAAATATAGAGATTAGATAGAAAGCCCTCCTGTCATGATAGTGACTACATAGATCTGTTGGCACCCTCATCCATTTAATTTCTAGAGAACCAACATGATGGAGCGGTGTAAGTGCCGGATAGTTTTTTTTCGTTCGCGTTTGCCGTGAACTATCGCTGAGATGTGTTATCAAACAAATCAGTACACCTTTCATTGGTTATGATTGGCCATGGTAATTGAGAGGCACCATCGCTCCACCGTTTCAGTGAACCCCAACGCAATCGCTGGACGGAGTCTGCCCAAATACTGGATGCCCTTGCCACTACCTAGGTACAGACCGAATCCATCTTTGCCCTGTGTCCATACGTAATTTCCACACTCTGACTGAATTTCCGAAACTTCATGACACACGTGGTGTCGAGGCTGGGAGGCGCCAAATCCAAGCATTAAACCTCGTCCAGAGGCCAGGGGTGGGGGGCACCTGAAAAGGAAATGGCGATAGGTACGCGGAACGGGTGTTGAATAGTCCGGAGATTCGGGCCGCCGCACGGGCCCTGCAGCCGGCGCCAAATTAACCATATCAGTGGGTGCACGCCTACTCGCCAGCTAACTTCCCTATCGAATCGATTTCACGGATCGCTTCCGACGCGCGCCAACTCACCATTAATCACATTCGAGTGCTGCGCCCTGGAGAGGAATGAGAGAGCCTGTGCGCGCCGGCGTGCCCTGACAACTGCTGCTGTATACTATATCGCATCGCGCTCTCCCTCCCCCCCAACCCGCCAAATGCTGGCTTGCCATTGGCGCACGTGCTTGCCGTCAACTAGATCACTGCTGCTTGCTGCCACTACCACAAACGCAAGGAGGCAGGCACTTCCCTCGCGACCTGCGACAGGTCATTGATCCTCGATCGCTGGGGACCCTCTGAAAGCAGCAGCCCCCACCCCAGGAGCGAGCCTGCCCGTGGGTATGATGTGACTTGGGTACCTCATCCTTGATACCTTACCTCGCTTCCCCAGCTCGCCGCTCCCTGCCGACTTATTCTCATCATCCTCAACAAACATAGCCACACTCGATATCTCACCACGCGTGGCGAGTTATATTGCGTGCCTCTGGTCCTTGGTAAGTTCATTCATCACTGTGATAAATCATCTGTTATCACCGTTATCCCGGTCAATTTCTCTTCCTTTCCAACTCCTAGCACTTCTGTCGATGATGAGCAACTGGTAAAAGGTCGGACTGCTCGCGTGCCACTTCTGGTTCCGGACTCTATATCTACTGGCCTCAGCGCCTCTCTGCGGAGGGCGCATCTTCTGATCTTTGCCACGACGCGCCCTTCCACGCGTCCGCGCCACCGCTATGGGAGGACGGTCCAAGGTCGCTGATACAAACGACGATAGTCATTCGTGACCTCGCCGCGATTTGGAGCCTATCCTCGCACTTCCTCCAAGAGGCCAGGCCAAAGGCTGCGGCGAATAGTGAACCCTTTCCCTTGTCCAGTGTGGTACAGATGACGGAGCCGCTGTGGTGAGCAGGATGACGATCCAATGAAACTGAAAAGATCTGAGACAAAGCCACATTCAATGCCTTGGAGCCTTGCTTCCGCACAAGTCGCGGTCTAGCGCGAGACCATATAATCTAATCTAGGAACGCAGGTTTTCGTCCCGGGCAGGCTTTGGGCTGAGACTTATCCACACTTAACCAACAACCTTGGAGGCCTGGAGCACACCACACATAACTGCTTCCAGGTGCAACACACCTTGCCAACTATACAAAGACGACCTGCTGCAATATCATCAAACTAGTATGTCAATCTGATTCGCAGCATACCCTTCAGGCCGGCTGTACAGCAATTGCAATGCCGCCACTCCGACTAACATTCAGTCGACTGACCAAGACCCAGATTATTCTTAGATGGCAGCACCACACTCAGCAGCAGAAATCGGATGAGGGCAGCAACGCCTAACGGCCGACGCTCCGCTCACCCCCATGGGGAATCACCCTATTTCAGGAAATCACCAGATAGGGGCGACTTGATGATGTCGTCAAATGGCTCGTTCACGCACCTCCCCGGCCGAGACTCTGCATGGTATTACCCGTCGGTGCCTTCTCTCTTCGGCCGTGGAGACCATCGTGGACAACATTGCAGGCATGCTGGCTGTCAGACAATACTGTTCGGTACAGATTCTTTTTGCAACTTACATGGTAAAGCTGGGGATGCCGTTGGCGAAGCTCTGGGAAACCTTCCAGGTCCAGATAATCCTACTGCGCCTACATCAAGGCCAGCCACGTATGAACGGGATGTGCGACACCAGGCCGGCGCTCCTCCTTCCAGTAGCCAGTTTACCAATGGCATGCATGAGATGTCCCATAGAATCCCTCACCAGGACCAGCGCCCGATGGATGTAAATGCTACTCGAACTATACCGTCCACCACCAAGACTGGGAAAAGTCTCAGCGCCAAGAAGACGGCAAGGAAGTCCACGCAGCATCCACGGAAGTCAAACGCGGCTGCAGCTGTTGGTCAGTCTATCACGGTCGCAACGTCACCAGCTCCTAATGGGATCGAGAATGTGCCGGTTAGCAACAGCGAGAAAGATGCAGAGCCGCTGCCCAAGAGGCAGAAAATGTCAAATGCTGCGAACGTCAACCATGATGCTCGTCACGAACGGCCACTGGTGACAAGATGGCCAGAGCCCTCAAGTGTGCCAAATGGCGACCTATCAGGACAGAATGTTAAATCTAATGGAGACCATTTTTCGGGGCCGGATGATGCTGGGAGACGACTCGAGCACAATCATGGTACTAATGGTACGAGGCACCCAAGAGAAGGCTTACAGGGAGCAATGGAGTCATCCACCCAGCACCAGTCGGAAAACGTGACCGTGTTCGAACGGCCACAAAAGCTAGGTGTGCACGATGATGTGGCCAGAATGCAGACGACGAGCTCAGAGAAGGTGCACCGCGACGATGGACCCCGCTCTGCAGCTGAGATGCCTGTGAGGCCACAGCTGTCGCAAACGCAGAGTAGAGGCTCTCTAGGTCCTCATAACAATGAGCACTCTCCCAATACGACTCCATTTAGTGACCCTAGCAAGCACACCGCATTATTTGCAGAAAATTCTCGTCCGTCGAGTTATGTGCGTTCAGCGCCACCTCATCCATCCGTCTCTAACACATTCGGTCAGTCGCAACAGCGCCAGCAATTGCCTCAACCGTCTCAGGCGGCGCATGTAGGAGAGGCGCATTCAACCCGACCGTCAAAGCCACAGGACATACACCCAATCCAACCCAAAATCAATGGATGTCTAGGCGATAACGGTGGTCATTGTCCCGGTAACTCGGAAACGCAACATTTTCCAGGCGTGCAGGAGTCCGTTGCTGCTCGTCAGAACTTGCCAACATCTGCGGCGACAAACGACAGTGCAAGGCCTCCTTCGGACGTTGCTTCGACACGTGTCGAAGCACCTTCGCATCGGCTTCAACAAGCGCCTACCTCCGAAAGATCAACTCGCATGGATGCTCCAGACTGGCTTCAAAGAGCAGCAGCCGTTACACTATTACCCCAAACGCAGATCCAAACTCGGACCATGGATCCGCCGCCAGCATCGAGCAATTCCGCTTCGAGTGTCTCCCCACAAAAATCGCCCTGGTTGCAAAATTGGAAGCATCGAAATTCTCGAGGTGATACTGTTAATTTCCCGGATTTCCCTTCCCCAGGGTCCCAAGGGCGTGTTCTGGTTGAGTCTCAGACCAAAAAGTTATTCACACCGACAAACGAACCCCGCGGTCAGGTGGGTGGCCAGAGCCGCCCTCCCAACAGACGTCCTGGATGGTCAGCGCCTAATGCTGACACGGAAATTATTGATTTGACACTTGATGACACAGATAAGCCCCATGCATCTCAAGCCCCGAGAGGCCCAAACGACGTTACCAGGGGTCTGCATGAAAAGCTTCAGTCGCCATATGATTGCCCGCCTGCCAGACTAGACAAGAAGCGCGCCTCTCCGCATACTGAAACGCAGCAGAGATCCCCAAGTATAAGCACGAAAATTTCATCCGGGAGGCCCCCGGTCTCCTATGACGTTGGGAATCGGCGCTCCAACAATAAAGAGCCTAACCTTGAGCCATACCCATCGGGACTCAACGATTTCAACAAGCAAGCAGTCGACGCTAAGAGCTCGGACCATAGCATTGGATCGGACGAGATACTCGTTCCGCGCCGGCGAAGGGGTCGGCCGCCATTGGCCAAAGTTCGTGATGGCTCAAGTGAAAACCGGAGCCATTCATCCAAGGGTTCAAATAGAACGGAGGGCCCTTCCAGCTCTAGCATGGCGGCTGTGGGCTCTATATGGATACCGTGGGAACATGGCAATGGTCCAGTTCCTCCTACGAATTCTACTTCTACACAGTCCAGTAAGACCTTGAGCCAACCATCGCTTCCTATAACGCCAAATGGAACCGTTCAGTCGAATTTCCAATCATCAACCAATCAGGGGAGGTCTATGATCGGGGAGCTGAACCAGTCGTTCGAGTTTGGGAACCGAGGATCAGGCCCTGCTCAGCCGGATCGCGAGGGTATGGATCCCAGATTGAATCTGACAGGACACCATAGTGCTCAAATTCCCACCAATTCCACTCAACCCCAGGCGAGCAAAACCTTAAGCCAACTGTTGCTTCCCTCACAGCGATATCCGGATGCGCAATTGCATCATTTGTCGTCGAACCCGGCGACTTCTGGAAATGGGACACCGGGGAACTCAGCTCATGACCCGAAGGGACTGTTGGGCAAATCAACTTCCCCAGAGTATCACATGAATCAGGTTCCTAGCAACTCCACTCCTACTTACCCTGGCAAGTTTTCGAGTCAATCATCGCTTCCCTTCCAGCAAACAGAAAATGTGCTGCCCCAATCTCTGTCGTTGACCGGCTCAGCCAATGGCACCAGCGGGCAGGAGTCCAACAATGAGTCTACTAATGTGGAGGATCGACAGCCTCGACAGCTGACCCTTGCTCAGCGGCGCTTAGCGATTAGAAAATCCACTTTTGTTCTCTATAGTGATGAGAGACTGGACAACTATATATACGGCAGTGTCAACCGACAGAACCGCCCTGGAGAAGTTGCCTCTAGTCTCTCAGCACGCCCCTTTCTTGAACCTCAGGTTCACACGGGACACTGGCGGCACTTTGACCCACGCATCCACTGGACTTGGGAGCGATCTTCAGAATGGTACCAGGCAAAGATGGCAGAGATAGCAGCACGAGGAAATCGCAAGTCAGTAACTCGATGCGGCCGCGCTGCACTGGGGTTAGCCAAACGCTTAGCGGAGAAGAAGGCACAAACCGTCGAGTTTCCAGAAAGAGTCCGAAATAACCCAGAGTGGCTGGCAGCGATCAGGGAAATGGACGAAATCGCGGACGAATATCACAGTGAGCAGCAATCGAATACCAGTAGGAAAGACAAGGGAGGTGGGAAAGGGAAGGGGAATGTCAAGGAAGCGATTATACCCGATAGCTATAATGATGAGGATATGCTTTATTAATACCGGCAGAAGCGTCTTGCCGGCGGTAGCAGGCCGGTTTGGATTCGATGGTAGGACGACCACGACAATCGAGAGGAGGCACTTGTGGTCGTGAGTACATAAGGCGTAGCTAGCGTTTTGGGCACGCTTGGAAGTTGGCTAAATAGTTGCATTAGGGAGTGTGCATATTCATTGGCGTAAATTTTGCGCATATAGAAGGAATCGTCTTCGTCGACCAACTGGGCATTGCGAGAACTTAAGCCTTTCACGGCATTCAGAGCTCTGCTACAAGGCGAATCGAATTGGGCTCATTCGATGGCGCGGGCCTGGTTAGGAGAACACAGAACCGGAAAGGTCAACCAGTGTGAGAGAGCTCAACATGAAGTACGTGACGTCTTTTGCACAGTAAGATGACACATGGAGTGAATCCTCAACACATGCAGCCCGTCTGGCCTGCTGGGCTCGGTTCGGTTACTAGGTGTCATACCACCATCGTACCACGAGGCCCACTTTAACCCCGAATCATCGAACCACCACCAAGATCTTCCCCAATGAGAGCATGATCGATCTTGCTTACTCCAGAGATTCAATCGCCGTAATGCTAATTAAGGATTCTCACTCGGGAGCGTGATTGGCTCGGGGTAAGTCAAGTGTGCTCTTGGTCATGGGCGTTGGCCCTTGGCTAAGACCTGCCGGCGGGGACCCAGGGTTGCGGCCTGCATCTAGACAGGGCCAGCGAGACGCAATGCAATATAAGTCAGCCGAGCTTCCCCTGTGTGATCTATCGTGCTCTTTGATCTCTTGCCTAGCCCATCACCCTGCTGGAAAAGACGAGCAGCCTGTCCGTCCGTTGAACGTATCAAGACCTCGAAGTTCTCATTCTTGGAACTATTTACCAACAACAACGCAACCTTGCAGTAATAAACTTAAAGAGACGTCGTGGCAAGCAGCCATTTACAACTCGAAGCAAACTCCGAGTTCGCTTATTCATTTAAAAGGCAGCAAGCCAATCCGAAAATTGGATCAGTACCGCCTCAAGGAACCCAAGCTACGATCTTGTCTTTACAGCTTCTTCTTCGCCACAGCCCAAGATGAACATCCAGCTTCTGAACGCCAGCCGCCGCGCTGTTCTCCGCACACGTCCCACAGTATCGTCCACCGTGTCAAGGAGATGGGCCAGCGGCCACGCACCCACGGACTACGGCCGCATCATGCGCAGGGCGGGCGGGACTGCTGCCGTGTAAGTGGAGTACCCCTGTCAAATCAGCACGTGGAAAAAGACGAACCAAACGGCCTTGGGGAGGATGCGAATCCATTTAGGTCTTTTCTCTAAATGCTGTTAACTAACTTCAGCGTTTGTCTATAGATATGTTCCCGCGTCTGCGCTTATTCTGGGATGGCCATGGGCTGCCCGCGAGATTGTCGAGTTCTTTCAATGATGAGATATGTAGACAAGAGTGTTGGGTGGGCGATTCTGAAGGCAGAGCTGGATTGATTCCTTTGGGTAGAAACTGATAGATATCTTGTTGACACCTGGGGATGGCATGGATAAACGGGATGTTTGGCAGAGCTCCCCGGGAAGACACAATCTGTGTGACTTTGTGGGATAGACATAGACTTTGATCCTCGGAAAATGGCTTCGAAGTGGAAATTTCTCAAAGCAGAACTAAGAGGTATACAAGTGGATTACTATTAAGCTTTACTTATTCGGTGTAGTCTATGACGAAGGGCACCGTTTCCGCCGACACCCAATCCTCGTCCTTGCTCGCGTCGCCAAACGACCGCAGTGCGCTCACGACGATCTTGTAGGTGCCCTCAGGGACGATTGTGCCATCCGCCAGCTGGCCCCAGAAATACTGCGACGTTCCACCTCTATAGAGCCACTCCTTGGGGAATCCAGGCATGGACCCCAAACTCTGATAGCCAAGGACGGTCGTCGTTGGCAGCGTCGTGCTGGACAGCGGGACGACGTATGCTCGGAGCTCCCGAGTGCCCAGGGTCATGCTGGCCCGCAGCTTGGGGTATACCGGAGATGGGCCCGTGACATTTGCGTCAGGTCTCGGTATCGTGAAGGTTCTGTTGGCCGCTGCTGGGATGTTGAAGTGGCCGTTGGTGTCCGTCAGGTAGACGCCAGCCAGATCGGCGCCACCGCCGCCCTGGACCGTAGGCGTGTCGTGCAAGCTCCCTTTGACTCCCAGGTACGGCAAGGAGAGGTTTTCGCCGGTCGAGCTGTTCAGGGTGATGTACCCACTGTACACTGGCAACAAGGTCGCGTTGGCGGTGGCAGGAGGCGTCACCGTCAGCTTCACCTCGGCCTTGCCACCAGCCGGAACGGTGATGGAGTCGGATTCGAAGCTGATCGTAGCCCAGTCGTCCACCATGCGTCCAGGGAAGTTTACAGTGACGAGGACTTTCGCTCCTTGCTGGAGCGAGTACATTGTGGCGGCTTTGGCGTGGCCAAGGGTATAAGTCGCGTCCTGAGAGCCCGAGTTCTGGATGCTGAACGTTTGGTCCGCGACAAAGTGATCGCTGTCGTTGAGTGCTAGGCTGCTCACGCTTAGCGTTGTTGCGGCGTAGGCAGCGTCGTATACCTGGATCATGCCGCCTCCCTGCTGGGCAACCGGAGCCAGAATGCCATAGGGCGACGTTCCATCATGGAAGTTCAACGCCTTGGCGGTGACAGAGAGAGCATGGCGGATAGTCGCCGGGTCAAGTGTCCCCTTCACCTGACCGACGAGCGCAAAGGCCGCTGCCACGAGAGGCGTAGCCATGGATGTGCCTGAGATTGCGGCATATCCTCCCAGCCGTAGCGGGTAGGTCGACAGGATCATGCCGCCGGGTGCCGTCATCTGAGGCTTAATTTCGACCTCGAACGTCGGCCCCCAGCTGGAAGACTTGCTCGTGTATCCGCCACCCTCTGTGTTGTCCCAATTCTGGACGAAGATGCCCGCGTTCGAATAGTCTGTAATATCAACCGTGACATTCTGGCCGTCGTTGAGAAGGTTGAGAAACTCAATACCCTGGTCGACAGTGATCGAGGCGGTGCCTTTGATGTTGGCATCGTAGATGTAGAGCTGTGAAGTGGTCCTACATAGGAATTAGTCAACATGCCAAGCCCAGATTTGTAGCGGGGCGGGAATATACTTACCCATTCTTGAGGTCGTAGTAGAGGATGTAACGACCACCCTTTGCAGCAATAAATCCCGCTTGTGTTTCCGGATAGCAGCCGTTCTCAACTGATATGCCTACAAGGACAACTTTGTCTGACAAGTCTGGCGTATCCTCAGGAAGTGCGCTGCAAGCCGAGGCTCCGATGGCACTGCTGACAGACCATAGCGGCAGGGTCAAGTTTTCTTGGAAAGCCGGCGAACCCCATCGCAGGCCGAACTTCTCTTGCACACCACTATCGATCGAGAACGACGCCGCAGCCTGGATGACTGGCGAAAGTGTGTTCTCAACGCTGCCAACAGCAGTGACTGACCAACCGCTAGCAGGAGTCGCAGCCTGCCACAGCCCGTCGCTACCGGAATTGCCCAGAGCCACAATGACGGGGACTCCTGCATCGGCGATACGCGACGCAGCCATGGCCCACGGGTCCGAGGCGAACCCAGAGTCATCACCGGCAGAGCAAGAGATGATGTCGCTTCCGGCTTCGTAAGCCATGTTGAAGCCTGCAATCAAGATATCATTCGTGGTTGATCCACCGCACCCAGAAGCCTTATACATCCCAATGGTTACATTTGGAGATGCACCGAGGAAACCCTGATCATTCGCCTGCGCAGCAATAATACCCGTCACATGAGTTCCTGCACACTTAGTTAGCAGGAGTTTCCGATGATGGCAAGCTTGCTAAGGAAAGATGCGATTCAAAATTTTGACATACCATGGCCAAAGCAGTCGTCATAAGGGTCATCATCCGGAATAGGAACCGGGGAGCTGTCATCGTCGCCCGTCAAGTCGTAGCCGTACGCAACGAGGCAGCCCTCGCCGAAACATCCGCCCAATGCAGGGTGCAGGTAGTCAACTCCAGTGTCGACAATCCCAATCTTGATGCCGCCTCCAGTGATACCCCCAGCATGAAGCCGGTCAACCTGAGTCATGAGATGAGGCGAAAAGGGCTTCTCCTCGACCTGCTGGCGCTTGGTGTGGGCAGCAAGGGCAGTAGCGTTGTTTCCTACTGACACTGGATTGGGCTTTGGGAACGAGAGCCTTCGGACGGGCCAGATGTTCTTGACCTTTTGGAGTCCGGCGATGGCCGCGACCGTTTCGTTCAGGCTGTCCGTGTTCCTGAGGTTGAAGGAAGCGCCCTTGAACAGGTTATACCGAAGGTCCACACGATGGTCGACATCGATGCCATCTGCGCTCAATCCCTGATAGAAAACATCGGTCTCCTCATTCTCATCCTCAAACTCTACAATGTAAGCACCAGCGACCACAGAATTGTCATTTGTCGCATCCAAGGTCGAATCGCTCGGGGTGCTGGGGGCTGTGGTGGTCGCTATAGTCGAGTCTATAGCCCCCAGTAAAGCCAATATAGCGAGGGAGAACTTCATCCTTGCTGCGGGTTGGTCCTACAGCTACAGTCAAGTAGCGCAGACGATTAAATTCCAAAGCCGACGACGCTTTGGTGGCACACCTTGATTGACAAGTCGCCGCCTCCATGTTTATATATCAGCACGCGACGGACCATGGACACTGGCGATCACGACGCGATACTGAATCTATCGCATGGTATTAATCACACTTTTCTCGTATTCAATTCTCAACCACTGGAGAGTCGCATTGCCAAGATTCCAGGTACGAGAATTTGGCACTCCAAGTCTTTCCACCTTCCGCAAAAGTCGTTCTGGGACCCATGGCCGAGATTGCAGCTACGCGAGACGGGTTTAGCGCGGGTTGGCAAGCACTAAGTCGCTACGCGAGAAGCGGAGAAATAAATCCCGGACCAGCGTTCATAAAGCAAAACAGCTGTATACTATTGATGTCTGGCATTAACTAGAGAGATTTACATTTAGCTCAGTGCAGAGAAGACTGATTCGTATACTCAGACTAGTAAGTAAATATGCGAGACGACGCCGTATTTTACTAGTCTTGCAGTTGGGAACCTCGTGTTGGAGGCATACCATTCATGACTTGGCACTAGTATCATTCGATCATCGATGTCACCTTGTAGAAACTAGCCAACAACACTCCCCACCGGACTATTCTTCTTCTTCTATCATTGCCGTCGTTGGCGGTGACCTTGCACCGGGCTGCTAATGTATGGAAATACTCTTTCGTGAAACGAAGGCAGCACCAGTCCTTGCTGCAGCCGCCTGCGAACATTCTAACGTCAATTTACAAATTCTTGCAGATCCCAACTCGCATTATGGCAATATCACCCCGCTCCGTAGATTCATAATATTGCCAGAAGTACTTGCCTTTAAAGAAAGCAACTAAAAAAGCTTACCTCAATTATTGACGAAAATAGCGAGACTATGGTAATATAAGCAGCTTATATGGCGTTGAAGGCAATGATGTTCTTTATATCTCCATTAAAAATTTCATGGGGATCCCTATCACTGTGCTTCCAACTCCACAGCTCGCTGAAATACGTCGGCCGATCATTTGGGTTCTTCTGCAGCGATCCGTATTGCTAATTTGAACACGCCGGAATGTTGTCTTCGGTGGGCCATAAATATATATATATTGTTGTTTCTCCTTATGATATGAATGGTTCAGGTCAACGGTCATGCCCTTTGAAGCTTGCAAAAACTCTGCAGCTTTACAGCACCAACAGCTACATAGCTCATTGTCCACAGCATTGTATAGTCAAAAGCCTCGGACTAGACTATGAATTTGCAGTTAACAAGCGGAACCTTTGAGCACCCTATGCTGGCTACGAACAGCTTTAGGCTTATCACAATGTAGCTGCTGGTTGGATAATTAGGCAATGACTCAACCGCAGATTCACTCTATACTTTGAGAAGTCGAATCAATTCCTTATTGGCTTAATGAGATCCTGGAATCCAAAGAGTTCTGATGCGTGGACCATAGGGTCACAAAAGTGATGTGTAGAAAGCTGCCCTAACTAATCCTGCCCCCCGCAGAATTAACCTTAAGTGGCTTGTCTTTATTTTTATCTTATCTACGACAAGCTATCTTGGTGCACCCCTAGGTACACGCATCAAGTTCAGACAGATCAATCCAGATCCTCCTTTACAAAATGAAGTGCAAAATCTTGCTGTTCGAAAAAGGTCCTGGACATTATGGGGAAGCATTTGCACAAGTCGTTGAAAACAATACAACAAGGTGTCAGAGGCCAAAAAGAATGCTGGAAGCAAACAGCAGGAGGGTAGACAGGAGATTGCAACACTAGCATCGAATACGATAACCTTGATTATTCTATTCTCGATAGTTTTGTAGCTTACATGACAGCCTGTGTAGACTATAGTTGGACTTGAGTGGTGATCAGAAGTTGGTATGGCACGAGTACAAAGCTGAGTGATTGGAAATTGGGATGGAGTCGCGCCTAAACTATCTAGTCTTTAAATTCCAACCGCGATCGTAATTCCCGCGTCTAGGAGTTCCTTGTCCCCTCTCGCCTTACTTCCGAGTGCCTAGTAAATCCTGCAGGGACGACCGTAGAAGGTCCACCACTCACGTGATCACCTCCACTTATGGTCCTTTACTGTGTAGGCTGACCACCTTGTTTGACAGGGGGCATTTATATTACTTGCCATACGGAGGTTGATTTCAAATGTCATCGCCATGGTCTGTGCTTTCCCTTCTCAGTCTAGACTGTACCGTGCATGTCTCTTTAGGGGATGGTCGCTATAATCCTAGAGGCTTATCACTGTAAGCGAGAGGCTCTCTAGTACTGTCAGTCCCTTACAAGCACTAAAATTTATAGGGACTTGGACGTGATACACAGTCCTTTAGGAAATCACTCTTGTTCGCACGATAGCGAAGACTTTTGAAATGAACCTCCGTAGATAAGAAACAGCTCCATTAGCTGAGGTGATGCACTCGAATGGCTTTTGGCAGTCTCAGCCGCGCCTAGGGTGCGTATCGTAGCGAGGCTAATCATGCATGCACAATCCTTCGTGGGCGGAGAAGCAGTCTGGCAGCGCTGCGCCGCACGTGGTCGCGCGCCTGAATACATAAGACCAGGTGACCTAGACGCTGGCCTCTACATGTTTCATTGACCTTAGTCTAGAGAAACACTGTTTCCTTCTTCCTATTGTCTACTTATCCTTCCTGGGGTGGAATGAGTGGCCCATTGGGAGGGTCCAACACACCCGTCCCGGGTCGCTACACCCCCCTTGCACAAGGGGTGGACACGGTGGACGCGGATGTTGAGATGGATAGTCTACCGAGAAACCCCATTCTAAACGGAAACCTAAACGCGGATCATTACGGGCACTCGTTTCCATTCAAAGCTGCAACATCACAACAACATCTGAACCAATATGCCGAGGCTGAATTGAGCCCCTTTTAAAAATGGGCCCCTTTCTCTGCGCTCGTACCTCTGATCAGCATAAGTGTCGTACTGTTCATAGGTGACACAAGACATTGGGTCGCTCCGGACTCGACATATAGTTTCATCAGAACCAATCGTACTGTGACTCAGGTCGCTGTACAGGTGATAGCTTACACTCTTGGGATGATGAACACGTATGTTGTGTGTCGGCTGGTTCAGTACGTCATTCGGTCGCGCCTTTCGACGAGGTCAATTTCACTGAATTCTCTGCGATTCTGGACTGCCATACTATCGCAGAAGCTTCTCACCAGCTTACCCTTTTACCTCTCGACCTCGCTTGCCGTCTTCTGTGCGTTAAGTGCGGGGCCATCGGCAGTGTGGACTGGTGCATTGACCCCTATAGAAGTTGTATCAAATCACAGCACACTGATGCGTGTGCCTCAATATTCCAACACAGAAATGCTGCTCTACAACTGGGGTCAGAGATTCGGTTCACATTTCAGCCAGTCGGACCAGGGGCTATTCACATACAATGTTGGCGAACAATATATGCCATACTTGATGAACAGCTTGGCAACAGCGACGACAGTAGATGGGGCGCCGCGAGTTCATCCCAAGCTAGACAACACTGGCTTTTACTTTACGGGCCGCTCTTATGGAACTGGAGCCCCGATCGGTCTTGTAGACGATGCGTTAAGCAAAACGTCACATGCCACTGGTTATTCCTATATTGAACATGGCTATGTCCCTCACGTTGACTGTATTTACAACTCCAGCGCCGACTTCAGTCTTCAGTGCCAGAGCAACACTTACACAGTCTGTACGGCGATCGGTTACCTTCCGAATAGTCTGCTTGGGGAGCCGGAAGCGCTGGAGTATATGGGTTATTCATCTGACCCGATGGTGACCATCGGCGTCACCTCTAACCCATCACAGCCAAGGAGAATGCTAGCCATGGCCGCCGGCAGAGATTACGATCACTTGGACAAGGTGCAGTGTGAGTGGGAGTTCAAACCATCACAGTTCTCTGTTTCCACGGACTTCGCGGCGAAGAACATCAGCGTAACACCGTTGCATCAGGGCTCTACTTCTCCAAGCACCGACGACTTCGAACCAAAAGGGAACCTCACTTTCCTCGCTAATTGGCAATTCAACCTTATGTCATCGGATCTCTCGAGCCTGTACTCCTCATTCCTAGGGAAGTCCATCAATGCCAACATTGAAAATTACAAATTTGCGCACAATGCCAACAGGACGCAATCCCAACTAAGCGATGGCGAGGCAGTACTAGGTGGTCTTGAGGCCGCACTTGAAGCTGTGATGGATGACATACTTCTTGGATACGCAGGAGCGCAACTGATGGTCGCCAATGTATCATCCGACGTTGAGGTCCATCTGCTCACCCGATCAGTGAAATTTGGGCAGACTAGCTGGATCGCAGCAGCGTTTGCATTCAATATCTTGCTATTGATGTGGACGTCCGCAGAGGCTGTGAGAACAAGTGGCTGGAAAACGCTTACGAAGTTTGACTTCACCGATCCGGCCCAGCTGGTCTTAGGTACAGCGCGAGCTACCAGGTACACCCGTGACAATGATCGCCTAGAAAGCTACAGTGTGAAAGACAACCAAGCGGGTGGAGTCAAGTACGGAAAGATCAGGGTTTCACAACATGGCCAGTGTTTGGTCATTTCGGATTGTGAGTTCTAAGGCTAGTTGTAGCTCTTGAGTACTAGAAGATTATTTATATGTTGACGTGGCAGAAACTTCTGTCGAACGCCTTGGTTTTGATTGCGCGGTGTGCATACGGTGTGCATCTAGACGTTCTAGGACGATGAATCAATTGACGTATTATAGCGCGGATTTAAGCAATTCCTTAGGTCACGCCGTTGATCAGATTCAGAGGCGGAAGTCGGTTTTAATAAGAGCACTGTGAAGTAGACTATATCGTGAGTGGCAACTAGCTATTCGACAAGCGTCAAGCTGCCAGGGTCAATGCTTAAACTATCGTAGCCCTAGCTGCAGCGGTTGGACAGCTCCAGAGTTTGAACTATACTTGAAGCGGATGTGGCATAGCAACTTCCAATCAGACCCAAGTTGTGATTCAAGATCGGCCCAACTCAGGGGCGCGCCGTTCCATTTCTCCCCAGCTAAGAAAAGCGGACTGACATTAACCATGTCCCTCCACTTGTCTCCATTGAGTCTCGTACCGCAGCCTGAATCGATCTCTTGCGGGAAGAATTTTTGGCTTCTGTGTTACTGCGAAATGTATTGAATCCTTCAAGTCCGTCGAAGCTGCTCGCCTTCCATTACACTCCGGCATGGTGACCAACGCAGCTCGTTGTCTGTATCAAAAGCCACCTCCCAGCGCGAGGCATGCAGATTCGCTTTGAGTTATGTTCAGGTTGATACCCCATGTAGATAGCACAAATGGCCACCAGACATGGCTTTTGATGGTCATTTCATCCGTTCTGTACGCTGCAGGGCTAGGGCCAGGTTGGCCTTTGCAAGGTCCTATCGGCCTCCCAGGCGTCTGGGCTAACTCAGATCTGTCAACTGTGGACGATATACTACGCCGACTATCGTATGCACCCTGGATGATATGATACCCTGCCTGCTCCTTGTCCCAATCCTCGCCAAGGGAGGTACGACAAGCTGGCTGGCAATGACTGTGCGCGCTCATTCAAGGCGGCACACGCGAGAGTGATCGGTAGCATTTATATCCTCATTGTAGGCCGTGACGAGAAACAGGGCTGGCCACGAGACTATGCGCAGAGTCCTTGCCGCATGCGGTCAATCTCAAAATCTGCGTCTCGGCGTTATCCATTCAGCATCCATGGTCTCCAGGAGCAGAATACGCGACCGAGGGTCAGTGTCCGCTGGGTTACCGAATTTCAGGCTTGAGCCAAGTGGCATGCTTGCAAGAACTGCTCTTCCTCGGATCCTTTTGATATCCCAATCGAGCCATTTTCTTCATATCCCAGCCAGAGAGTGAATCGGCATCCGATATCGGTCGTCCGAGCTGGATGAAATTTCCAAATTTGCATACCCTGGCCATATAAGAATACTGAAGACAGAGTCTGTTGGTTGCGCAACTTTCAGCGCATGCCGAAGCAGAAATGTGCGCAGCTGAGCCGTCTGGTTGGACATCGGGAGAGAGGTTGTCCCACGAGGCTCGTACAGGAGAATCGGGAATGTTTGAGAAGGTAAAATCGAGAATCGTGGAGTGGGTCAAAGGATACTGTTTCCTTGCTGTTAGCTATGCCGTGGTGAGAATGCGGTCTACACCACCACGAACCTGATTGTATGGCCTTGTACGCTCCCACTCCCAAAGCGACGTCATCTGCTCCGGCGATACCCTGTGAAGCGCAAGTAAAGGTATGCACCATCTCTCTGCGTCCACTTTCAAGCCGATAAGCTCGTCACCGGCAAATGTAGGGTAGAGTGCCTCTAGTGGCGCTCCCGTTTTATTCCTGATTGCGTAGCCAAGTGCGGCATCGCCACAGCAGTCATTCTTGACATACTCTCCGTAGAGAATGCTTAGTCGAGTAGAGTCTCCAACCAACTGCTGCATCAGGCCGCGCGATAATACAAATCCGGCGCCACCATATGCGAAGAAGTTTCCGTCCGCCCCGGGCGCGGGGGATCCCATGTAATGTATCTTGGACGGGTCCAATTGATGGAGTAGGCGGAAAAGAGTGTCCCAGAAGTAATACACATCTGCCTCGATGAAAACGTACCACTCGGCGTCTGGGCGCATTTCGTAGGCTTTGTCGACCATTGGAAGGAACTTGAAGCGGTCTAGTTTCCAGCCATCAGCGGAGTAACCGATAGCGTTTCCTTCCGAGTGCGCCTGCTTCTGCGCCGAGTAAGTGGCAAAGTCGGGGCTGTCATTGTACGATGAGGGTAGGTCTGCGAGGATGTCGATGAACCGGTGACCTTTCACTTGCTCTTCCAGGTCCGAGAAGATTAGGAGGTTACTTATACAAGAAGTGACCGTGGAGATGTGGGCTTTGGTCTTGGCCGATTCGCCAGCTCCAGTCTTTAATATGACCTGAATACTATCTTTAAGGTGGGTAGGAAAGCCTCCGCATAGTTCAGCTGCCTTTGTCTTAGGCGTCCTAGGTGGTGGACTTTTCAAAGGCGGGAAAAATGACGGCGTTTTCCATGAATAATAGTGGGATTCGTCTTTAGAGTAATATGGCGACGCTGCAAGGCCTGGGAACAAGGTAGGTATTGTAGTTGGTAATCCACTATTAAAGCTCATAAGTATTGAAAAGAATATTAAAACGAATACAGTAACAATGGCGATCTTGGGCTTTCGCAGCAGCCGGGTCATTAGAGACGGGGTCATCGTTGACCGTGAAGTCAGCGCGTAAGCCGGAAAGGGAAGAATGTTGGGAATGGGGGTTCGGCGGGCTACCACCTAATCAGAAAAAATTCAAGCAGCAAGTCATGGGCCACGCGTTGGAAGAATACCCAGTGAAATGGATATGGCCCAACGCCTTGTGTTTCTGGGATTGTACAGGGGTCATCGGCACATACGTGGGCTCCCCTCGGAACCCTCTACGGCCCGGCTAATACCGCGTGGATCCAAGGTGTGCGGCTCGGCTAGTGCCTGTCAAGGCGGAGCGCCGTTGCCTAACCTGGACTCTGGCTCCGTGAATCACAGATTTTGAATGACCCATGAACTGGGTGATTTGACCAAGACAGCATTCTTGCAACTCTCTCTTGCACATACCCCTCTCACTTTCATATCTGTTGACAATTAGGTACACGAATCACGTGGTACTCCACGATTCCATGAAGAGATACAGGGTTCACAACGGAAAACTGCCCTTTTCGGTGCAGGCTACGGGCTGCTTACCCGTTCAAGGTGGACGGGGGTGCCCTATGGGATGATCATGTAATTCGAGTATCATGATCTGATAGGAGTCACGGGAGTCCATTGAGAGGAAGAAAGTTGTATGACTGTGGGCCTGCGGGTCTTTCTAGTAGGTTGGCAGCCGTATTTTGTTCTTCAGTGCCAGAATCGGGAACATGTCGCAGAAGTGCTCTCGCTAAGCGAAATGACTACTGCAGGTGTTGGGTTGCAGGTTACAGCCGCAAGTTCTCACAATTAACGCCCATCTGCCGACCAAGTCATAGTCTGGCAAGTTGTGCCGCAATCGATGCAAGGGAGGAGCCACAATCAAGCTGAGTCCTAGGTCTGTGGCATCAATCATGTGCGGAACAACGTCAACTCCAACAGTGCTACGGTACATATTTGCCACAAGCCGTGATTGACCCAGTCAAAGCTTTCCAGCTAGCTTTATAGGGCTGTAGGACCCCTGAAGCCCCACTATTTTACGCGCCCTGCATCATATCACATCCTATCCAGGTCCATAAAAGTACGGGGGAAGCAATCAAAGATGACCTTCACTTGTTGTGAAAATGTAGAAAATTCATTTTCGACAACGTTAAGAGTTTCCTCGTGATCCTCCCTGTTCCGTTGGTTGGTACCCTAGCTCGGAGCCTCTACTCAACGGCCCGAGAATTGATCTACTTACACTCGGCCGGCTGTGCTAAACGGGCCGTAGGCTGCTAGCCCATATCAATACTAGACCGATCCGCGGCCGTCGAGACTAAAAGCGGCGATGCTTTCTATGGGCCTCCGGCAGCAAGGTCCCGATCCAATCAATCTGACTCCTCAAGACCAAGCCGCAGACTGTGGCCCGTTTGATTTTTGATTATTGTTCTTACGAGCCTTTGGCGTGGGAACGATTAGATATTATAAATAACATTAGGGTAGATGCGCCCAGACCTCACTCATTTGCTCCTCGGCGACACCAGATGAGTCCTGCTTCCTCTCGCCGTGTTGCACGCGATCATGCAGCTAGAAATGTGCGGCATGCTGCGCCGCTCGTAAGATCCCTTCGGATCATGTGTCGAAAGTCAAGTTTGATATTGGTGCGGCACAGCAAGGCTCTGTGTGACGGAAATCAATCTCCTTGGTTGCCAGCATGCGGGCTGGTCACGATGGATGCCTGGGCTCCGCCTTCGTTTCCCTATCCAAAAGTATCCATCAACGATGCGAATGGAAGAAAACCACCCTCCTGAGTTGGCTCCTCTGTGTTCTCTCATGATTGCATGCGTCGCTCCAATTTGATGTCCCATCTCTCACGGCTGTCGCGATGGCTGTCAAACGCCAGTCCCAAGTCGCTGGCAACCTTTGCGACCTACAGCGTGCTCCCTGGCCTGATAATCTTTCTTTACCTGGTCCTTCCCGATTCGTTTGAAATCGGTGACATTTTCCATCCCCGAAACCCCAGTGGCCCGTCCGTGTTTGACTCCTACCTGGAGTTGTTGTCCAGAACCACCCCGCCGTATCACCCAATCGACGAGCTGATTCTCGAATCCGAGCGGAGCCATGATCGCCTGCTATTACAGCGCTCTCCCGATCTTAGAACAGCCGCGGCCAAATATCGCGAACGAAGGGGGAGGCACCCGCCACCAGGCTTCGATAAATGGGTTGAATATGCCTTGAAGCACGACGCGATTATCCTTGAACAGTTCTTCGACCGCATCGAACATGACATGCTGCCCTATTGGGCCAAGGATCCAATAATCACGGCAGCACAGGCTGCCAGTGGGGAACATCTAGTCAGGGTACGCAATGGCGCTGCGTATGCCATTGGGGATACCAAGGGTCATGTCCCGTGGTTGAGTTTATGGACTTCTCTCATTGGCGAAGCTGCTGAATGGCTACCAGATGTCGACATGCCCATCAATTATATGGACGAGCCAAGAATTCTGGTACCGTGGGATGACATCAATGCTCTAGTGGGAGATGCCGAGCTAGCGAGATCCATTTCAACACCTCAGGATACAATCCAGGCCTACAGCGGACTGAAGGAGGTAGATGTGGAGTCTATTGAACCTCCACCATCGGATTGGGTCACAGGGGGCGCGCCTCCCTACTGGGATATGGCACGCGAGGGTTGTCCGCCGGAATCTCCAGGCAGAGATGCACCTACTGTAAAGGATTTTACGACACCACCAGCTTTTCCGTTGGACTGGAGAGCCCCATTCTCTCAGGATGGCTTTGTCAAGAACTACTCGGCCTCGATGGATCCTTGCACTCAACCGCACTTGAATGGACTGCATGGTACATTCATCGAGCCTATCACGACTTCGACGTCCAGGTCTCTGGTCCCTATGTTCAGCGGATGCAAGCTACCGATGAACAATGATATTCTAATCCCAGGAGCCATGTACTTGGTTGACGATGCTCAATTTTCTGGCGGTTGGGGTCACGGGCCGCGTTGGGATTTGAAACAGGGAGGTGTTGTATGGCGCGGCGTCGCCTCTGGAGGTCGCCACAAGGAAGAAAACTGGAAACACTTCCAGCGTCTACGATTGGTACAAATGCTGAACGGTAGCACAGTGTCCAACGTAGAACGGCATGGGCTTGACGCGGAGACTTTCCCGATGCCACCACCGAACTTGTACAACATCACGGATGGCCGTAAGGGCCACATCGGCGAGTGGATATCGACTATAGGCGACGCAGGGTTCACAAACTTTATGTGTTTCCCTGTCACGGAGGATTGCGTATTCTGCTGCAATTACCTGGAGCCATACTATCGCCCAGCTAAGAAGGTCAAAATGGGGAAGCAGTTCCGCCAGAAGTTTATGCCCGACGTTGACGGCAACAGCTATAGCGCACGTTTCCGCGCCCTCCTCTTGTCCACCTCGCTTCCGCTCAAAAGCACGATATATGCAGAATGGCACGACGATCGTCTGGTACCGTGGCTACACTTTGCGCCTCTGGAAAACACGTTGCAGGACCTGTATGCCGTATTGGACTATTTTACGGCAGATGAGAAGGGCGACATTGCAGCTCAACACATAGCGGAATCTGGGAAAGCTTGGGCCGAGAAGGTTCTCAGACGAGAAGACATGCTACTTTACATTTGGAGGCTGCTCCTCGAGTTCGCGAGGGTTTGTGACAAGAACCGGGATAGGATGGGGTACGTCAATGACCTGTTATGAAAGAATGCACATAACGGAGAGGTTATTGGTGGTTGTCTATATTGCTGTAATAGTAATGCATATATCGCATATTTAATACTCCCAGTTCTAGACTTCTTGTATAGTACGGAGTAAGAACCAGTCCTGTGGGATCCTGGCTCAGGGCTGCCAAGCTGTTACTACATGAGTCTCAATTTAACCATTATACTCGAGGTAACCGTAGCGCCCCTCGGGAACATGCAGTGCTCTAGCCTCTACGACACCCTTCTCTCTAATGACATCCACGGTACGATCATACTCTCTATCCGCAAACGTCTCGGCGTCAAAATTCAAGAGCCACTCCTCTCGTCTGAGCCGGAAGCTCTCAGGGTCCTTCTTCGCGGCCCCGAAGTCCGCCTTGTGCCAGATATCCCGCGTCTGCTCGCCCGTCTTCTGCGCGCTCTTCACCCGCTCGTACCGGAGCGCCTCGAAGGCCTCGACGGCCTCCCGTATCTGCTGCTTGCCCGCCTTGCGAAGACAGACCGCGATCGTGGCCCCGTCCTCCATCGCCTGGCTGGCGCCTTGGATGCTGGTCGGCAGGAAAGGGTGCGCCGCGTCCCCGATGAGGGCGATGCGGCGCTTCGGCGAGATCCAGGTCGACAGCGGGTCCCGGTAGACGAGCTTCCAGTCTATCAGGGGCTCGGGCGTGCGGTCCAGGATTCGCTGGATGTTGGGTTCCCAGCCCTTGAGCACTTCCCGGGCGTCGGACAGCGGGGCTTCCCACTGCCACGACTCGCCGATGTCCTTATCGTCCTTGTGCGTGCAGACCCAGCTGAAGTCCTGCCCGCCCTTGAGTGTCGCGGCGATGAAGTGCACATCGGGCCCGAGCCAGGCCACGTGCTGGTCTCCCTCCTTGATCAGCCAGTCGAGCTCTGGGTCCTTGGCCACGGTATCTTTGGTGGAGAACCACGATCTGTAGACTGCGTACCCCGAAGCTTTGGGCGCGTCCTCGTACCCCAGCACCGTAGTACGGCCTTTGGAGCGCACCCCCTCAGCGGCCAGGACAACGTCCCCCGAGATTTTCTCTCCGTTTTCGAGCACCACCCCGGCCTCGCTGTCGTCTTCAAAGTAGTCCACCACCTGGGCGCCAAGTTTTATCTCGATGCCGCAGTCCTCGACCGCATGGCGAAAAACAATCTGATGGTACTCCCCTCGGTGGCCATCAAACCGGACCCCCCACGAGGTCTCCTCCTCAGACCACACCTGGTAGTACAGGGTGTCGCCCTTGAACGACTTGATGGTGAACCCAGGGGGACGCAGCGAGATGGGGTCCATTTTCTCCGCGACCCCCGGCCAGCGCTGGAAGATGCGCGACGAGTTGGGCGCGAACGAGATGATGTCGCCCAGCGGCTTCAGCGCCGGGAATTTCTCCACCACGATCGGGGTGTGGCCCTGCCGGTGGCACTCAATGGCCGCCGTGAGGCCGGCGAACCCGGCCCCGACAATGACCACGCGGATCCCCGTCGGGGTCGGGGCTGATGATGAGTTATGATTGTTGGTAGTAGCCATATTGCTTTGTTTTTTTTTTTTGACCTTCTCAAGGCCCTCTAAGGTTTGAGCGGGACAAATCTTGATGATTCAGTTGCACCAGAGGTTGTCTCAATATCTGCCCTTTGTACTTGACACGTGCAAAGTGTATACTCGCGCTAATCCGGTACGATGGCTCGCGCTAGTGACTCGGGATTCTTGGTATTCTCCAGACGAAAAGCCACCACACGTCAGCAAATAGTTTTCCCCCGGCAGTGGACGGCAATTTCTTGCGTAACAGTGAGATATGAAAACAAACAGATCCGTAGCGAATCATGATAACCACGGCTGTGAACGTGGTGCTGGGGTTCCCCGCATCTCGAATTTGACGGCAGTTGTTGGCGCGTGGAGAAGCTGAGGCTCCGGCATGCTTGCTCATACCTTTGTCATGCGGGGGAGCTGCCGATCAAGCAATGAGATTCGAGATGCGTTGGGGAACCGTGGCACTTTAGGGCATTGTCTATTGTAAACGGATTAGGCTCTAATGGCCCTGCCAAGGATCCAGAACCGCGTTGCAAAAGGGATCGCGAAGTTAAAGTAGAAAATGTCCCTTCGATGTCTGTTTGATCTGCGATATCTCTTTTCATCAAGCCTGATAGCAGCTCGTTTTCTTAAGTTTTTGTATCTTGGGTTCATACTACCATGCCTTGGGGACTTCTGGAGGACAAGCACATGGAACATGTGCCCGGCACAGGTGAATACATTATGTCCAGCCCAACTGGCACATTCGGCGTGCTGACGCATTCTCTACAGTGTTTCTCACCGACCAATCTGATGTGCCGCACGAGTACGACGAAGTTCCCCGTGAGGTACTGAAGCATGGCAGGGGACGATACTCCCACGTCATTCTCGTGCCTCAACCGAGCGATTCCCCCAATGATCCACTCAACGTCAGTTCCTTGAGCAGTTCCACTTGACTATGTATTGGATGGTGCTGACGTGCTATAGTGGCCAACATGGCAGAAAGATGTAATCCTTGGCATCGTCGGTCTCTCGGCTGCTGTCGTGGGTGCATACGGCCCCATGCTCTCGCCGGGTTTCGTCGACGTGTCAGCCGCATTGGGGATTACCGTGAACACACTCTCCCAGGCGACTGCGTGGCTGATCCTTCTGATCGGCATATCTCTGTTCATATTCAACCCCATGGCCAAGAAGATTGGCAGGCGTCCCGTGTACGTGATTTGTAGTATCATTATGCTCACGGGCAGCATCTGGGGCGCCCTCTCCAAAGACTACAATAGCTTCCTCGGCAGTCGCCTCTGGAGTGGCCTGGGCATGGCACCGTATGAGGTGCTGGTTCAGTGCACAATTGCGGACCTGTATTACGTCCACCAACGCGCTACGAGGATTGCTGTGTGGAACATGTTCCTGTTGTGTGGCATTAGCGGGGGTGCCCTCATTGCTGGCTATATCATCCAAGTGAGTAACATTATCTACGAAGCTATTGTGAGTATGAAACTAAGAAGATGGTAGGACCAAGGTTGGCAGTGGACCTTCATCTGGTGCGCCATCCTGTTTGGAGCGCTGCTTCCGCTAGTGTTCTTTTTCGTGCCGGAGACGGCTTATAATCGAGGCACACTTGGACAGCAACTGGTGACAGCAACACTTGACAAGGAAGCAAAAGCTGTCATCCAGGAGAAGAAGACCGAGCTTGAACTTGAACATAGAGAGGCTGTGGCAACCGAGGAGAAGGAGCCATACATCCAAACACTGCGTCTGTGGAGCGGAACCTACAGCTCCACCCCCTTTTGGAAGATTTTCCTCCGCCCGTTCGTCATCTTCTGGTACCCAGCCGTCCTCTGGGCTTTCCTCCTCTACGGTGCAACCCTGACGTGGATCGTGGTCTTCAGCGTCGTGAATGCGACCATCTTCACCGCACCGCCCTACAACTTTTCCGTGTCCGAGACTGGCCTGATATCACTGTCGCCCTTCATCTTGACCTTCATCGGCGAGGTCATCTCGGGTCCGCTGAATGACTGGGTGTGCCTCTGGCTTGCGAAGAAGAACCGTGGCATCTACGAGCCCGAGTTCCGGCTTCCAACGATCATTATCCCCATGATCATTGGTGTGGTGGGCTTCTATGGCTTCGGCGCCACAGTGCATTACCAGACCCACTGGATAGGGCCAGTCCTGTGTTTCGGCCTAGCGAACATGAGTCTAGCTATTGCCAATGCCTGTGTGTTTGGGTACGTGATCGATGCTCACAAGGAACTGAGTGAGGAAGGTAAGACTACAGCGCGATCACCCTGAGATCCTGGCCGTCTGGACGCTAACTCGGTCTACCAGCATTCGTCGCCATCAACGCCCGCAACTTCCTGACTTTTGGATTGACGTATTTTGTCAATGACTGGCTGGCCAAAGACGGAGTGCTAGCAGTGTTCAACGTGCTTGGCAGTATATTTGTAGCCGTCAACCTGCTCACCATCCCACTGTGGATCTACGGAAAGAGGATTCGCGCTTATATTGCCCGCAATGAGACTCTCCATAGGTTCATGCATGAGGACTGAGCCCATGACTGGCTATATGAGCGTCGGCGTACATCTCTGTAGTTAGTTAGTTAGTTAGTTCGTGTGACTGACGACCATCGCCTAAGAATCGATCTCAAACAAGCAATCAATTGAGTAGATCGCACTTCACGTAGATAGACACCAGTGACGAAGTTTCAAGACCGGAAACGTGACAAGTGCGACTCAAAGCAGTATAACTTGGATCCGCGGAAACAGAGTTTAACAGGTGGGCTTGCACAAGAGAGCGACCCGTGGACGCCGGTCGTACCTCGAGGCAAGTTGGGGAATTCCTGGGGAAACCTGGGAGATACCCAGAGCTAGCCCGGCGGACTGGCCCGTGCGACAGCGCTGGAGAATGCCCCCATCCAAGCCCCATCGTTGCCAATACAAGCCCTGGAGCCCCTTGGGCGCACCGTCCACGCCCCCCAGCCCCGGCCAGCCAGTGCTAATCACCAGCCTGTCTCGATGCGGTCTAGCGCCCAACCTAGGTACATAGTAGTGGCCCCCTGCAGCTCCTGAATCCCCAGGTGCCAACGCGTCGACGTGAATCCCAAGCTCCAGCTTCGATAGACAGGGCTATTCCGCACATTCCAGAGACGACACCGCGCCGATATCTCGAAGCCAGGGCTGCTGTGAGCTCCTCGACCACTCACTCGTTACTCCTGTACATGCCACTGCGACCGAGGCTGCCATCACCACGTTGCCCGACCAGTCCCCGAGCGTGGTTTCAGGGTGCAAACACCGGGGTCGCCAGTCGCCAGCCAACCTTGCTCGACGTCACCCCTCCTGCGGTGGATAGGGACCCCAACAACCAAGACTCGACGGCGAAGCAATAGCAGACCTGCTGTCCAGGCGGTGGCGGAGGCTGCAAGCATGACCGACTCCCTGCACAATGCACCCATCGTGCTCGACAATGGGTCCGGGACCATCAGAGCCGGCTTCGCGGGAGACGACCTGCCCAAGTGCTACTTTCCCTCCTTCGTCGGACGGCCGAAGCATCTCCGGGTCCTCGCCGGCGCGCTGGAGGGCGAGGTCTTCATCGGCCAGAAGGCGGCGTCCGAGCTGAGGGGCCTGCTGAAGATCAGATACCCCCTGGAGCACGGCATCGTGACGGACTGGGACGACATGGAGAAGATATGGGAATACGTCTACAGCGAGGGACTCAAGACCATGAGCGAGGAGGTAAGCATATGGACTCTCACGACGACGTGCTCGGCCGTTTCTAACCTTGTATAGCACCCCGTTCTCCTCACAGAGCCGCCACTTAACCCCCGCGCAAACCGAGACACAGCCGCCCAGATCCTCTTCGAGACCTTCAATGTACCAGCCCTCTACACCTCTATACAAGCCGTCCTGTCGCTATACGCGTCAGGCCGGACCACAGGCTGTGTGCTCGACTCTGGTGATGGTGTCTCCCATGCTGTCCCCGTCTACGAAGGTTTCGCCATACCGTCCTCCATGCGCCGCATCGACGTGGCCGGCCGTGACGTGACCGAGTACCTGCAGACCCTGTTGCGCAAGAGCGGCTACGTATTCCACACATCTGCCGAGAAGGAGGTCGTGCGCCACATCAAGGAGACGGTCTCCTACGTGGCTCTGAACCCCAAGCAGGAAGAGAAGGACTGGGCATCGACGAAACTAGACCAAGGCAAGATGGCCGAGTACAAGCTGCCCGACGGGAACATGCTCAAGATCGGCCAAGAACGCTTCCGTGCTCCCGAGATTTTGTTCGACCCCGAGATCATCGGATTGGAGTACCCAGGTATACAGCAGATTGTCACAGATTCCATCAACCGGACAGATTTGGACCTGCGGAAAGCCCTGTTCAGCAACATCGTGCTCAGTGGAGGCAGCACTCTGACAAAGGGCTTTGGAGATAGGCTGCTGAGCGAGGTCAAGAGACTGGCCGTCAAGGACATGAGAATCAAGATCTTTGCGCCGCCTGAGCGCAAGTACTCGACGTGGATTGGTGGCAGTATCTTGGCCGGTTTGAGCACGTTTAGAAAGGTTGGTCAACCTCCTCTCTTTGTTTCCCTATTTCACGTCCACCCGCCAGGAAGACTAACTGTGACTCCAGATGTGGGTTAGCATCGATGATTGGCACGAGAACCCAGATATCATCCACACAAAGCTGACATAATCTAACCCACCTACCATCTAACGGCGAACGATACCAGCCAAATCCTCACATTCGTCTACGAGTGCCCAGGGCCCTGGGCCATGTAATGCTAAATTTTGATCCCGTTTCTCAAAGAGGCCATCCTGCAGAGGGGAGGGAGGCAAGACCGGACTAGTCTTGACTTTGGAGTTCAGGAAGCTGCATGGTCTTGTCCGGTCGATTGGCCTTCGCGGCCCTCGCATAATGCCAGTCCATTGAAGCATAGCCACCTAAATAGAGAAAATGATACCCAGCAGTCGCAAGCAGAAAGCAGCGCAGTAGAGAACCAGAGGTGAAGTCCAACGCATTCAATGTGTTTGGTAATCGAAGGAATCGAGGAATCGCTCACCACCCAAATCCGCCATGGCAGCTTCCCATCTACACGTGCCGACCTTTCATTTCACTGATTCCCATGGCGCCGTCCAGCTATGGGACGAAGGAGCAGTAAGAGCATGTGCGATTAGATGTTTGATGCAGGCACAATGGCGACATCTTGCACGTTCCACAGTCCTCGTCCCCATCCGGGGCCCTCAGGAGGCTGGAATAAATAGTCCTGAAGGGTTCTAAAATCAACGATAGGGGGGCGCTTGACTAGACGTGGCAGACAACTTGGTAACATGACGGCTCATGGTTTGGGATCTTCTAGGCTGCGTGTGGTCAATCATCGCTGGGAAAAGCATTTGCATCTTCTCGAGCGCGTGCATATCCATCACGAAGGATGTTCGTATCTGAGGAGCACGTTTCTTAGCGATTCTTGTTCATTGGTAGTACATGGGGTTACTAATGTGTCAGATTTATTCAGCGCCGTGGTTGGGGACACCTGACCAATCGCAAGCTGCAGATCATTATGCGCGTTGTTAGTTACCATCGCCTGCAGACACCTGGTCAGCATACATCAATGGGATGAGTCAAATCAGTGGTACCAACAGGCAAGCTACGAATGCGACATAGTGGACAGCTTTGTCGTTTCCTTTTGAGACGCAGGCAGAGCAATTGCAATCGCACAGTTTCATGTGCGTTCGACTTCACGATAGATGATCATAAGCGCACACGGTTGTCGAGTTCGACTTGTATCATTCATATTGGCCTATGCCATGAAGTCTCAAATATATGCGGCATCATGCACCGAGCCTTGAACTAATCCATCGCAATCCCTAACTAAATCAAATGCCCAAATCAAAAGTCGCTGGGGGGTATATCCGCATCATCATCGCTAAACCGAAATTCACCAGAAACAAACGCTCCATGCCAAATGCCTTTGGTTTTGAATCCCCATTTCGTCATATCCCCTGGAATCTGCCAGCCAGGGGCGACACGTTGTCGGCACCATTCGAAGAATCATCGCTTGCGCAGTTGGGAATAATAGCCTGCCGATGATGTCGTGGTCCATTTCGTGTCGTGGGGTGTATGAAATTCCAAAACGTCATTTGGCGCCATTTGCTCTGAGGCCCCGTTAAAAGTCTCCCTTTTCATGCTTTTCCCTTTTCCATAAGTAACCGTGAAAACCTTGCGCCATGCTGTAGTCGAGTAGAGTTGTTGAAATAGCCCATGCTGTGAAAATGCGTGTACATCGTTGTGCTGAATAATAGAACGTGGTCGCTAGACCGAGGAAAGGAAAAAAAGCTCAAGTCTGCTTTTTACATGGGACCCTTGGAGCTGACACTGCTCAGTCGCTTCAGGAAGCCCGACTTGATGCTGCCCGAGCTGCTGTTGCTGCGGTGGCTGCTGGCGTCGCTCTCCTTGCGCAGGCTGCCGGAGCCGTAGACGTTGCCGGCGCCGCCGCGGCCGACGTGGCCCGCGGGCTTCTCCTCGGCAAGGCTCTGGATCTTGTACAGCTCGTCAAAGGAGAGCTGGGGGCGGTCCTTGGCAGAGCGCGCGTTGCCGGCACCGCCGCGCCCAGAGTAGAAGCGCTCCGTGCTGGGAGGCATGGGCTTGGCGACAGTGGGGACACCAGCGGCGGGAGTGGTGGCCGGGGCCCGGAAGAAGTTGCCGGCGCCGCCGCGACCTGCGCGGGTGTAGGAGCCCTGGGGCACGGTTGGGTGCGGCTCAGATACTGTGTAAGAGGGCATTGTTGTGGATTGTTTCTGGTGTTCCCGAAGTGTGGTAGGCGGATGGCTGCTGAGACACCAAAATATCTTTGGTGTTATTTTCCTGGTGTTATACAGTTGCAGCTGATGAGTTGTATGGTAGGTTGCTTCAAGTGGCGCGCTGACGAAGGTGATTCGTTTCTCGTGGTTTAATACATTCACTCGTTCTCTTTCCTCAAAGCAATGGGAGTGGGAGGGCAGGGCTTAATATAAGCTCACGACAATAAGGGACACCGCTCCGTTACGATGTGTCATGGTAATACATGGCACTCAAGGTACCGGCCTCCAGACACGGGCTAGAGTTTTGGGCCAAGGCACGCAAGGTCCGATGGCATGGAATGATGAGACATAGAAACAGAGTACGTAGCTACGTACCGCTTACCTTAGCAGGCGGGCGGATGATGCAATGGAAAATTTTGCCTACCTGACCACTCCTCGTGATCCGACCAAGTGGAACGCAAGGCAAGGCAGCATGGCGGGCATTGGCGGCTCAGGCCAAGGCCGATGAAAAATCCGGGGAACAGCGACTGTCAAGGCGCTGGAGGCACTGAAAGCGCCGGAGGTGAGGCTGTCCCAGGCTTGGAGATACCTGATGCGGCCAAGGGGCGTCGTGGCACGCCGCGGCACGCCGCTAGCCCGCTGCTAGTTTTTCCCCCCTTCCTCGCGGTCGTCAGGGTCGAAACAGCAAATTTTGCGGTCAAATTTTGCAATCCTTGGCAGATCCCGACCTTGTAGGGCGCTTAGCAGTTAACGGCAACGCAGCAGAATCTGGGGTAGCCGCGTGATGGATCTCATTAGCCACCTGTTAGGTAATGTTAATGCAATCCGGGATGGCGCCCGGCCGGGCGCATCACGGGATCCAGAGCAAATCCAATGGGCCGTTTCGCTCAGCTAACTATTACCCCATAGAAAGCTGAAGGCCGCCAGCCAGTCGCACACGTCTTCGCTGCCCCCTTTGGCGTCAGCGCCCTGCACCCATGTGCTGAAGCTGGCTGCAGGTACAGGTCAGCTGGCCGGCCAATGGCAGGGCCAGACTGGCCACGTCGGCTGGTGCGACTTGGCCTCCGAGTGAGCCCATCCGCCAGTCATCCGCCAGTCATCAGGGCCACGATGCCGACCGTCGACGAAATTGCAATCTGCGCGCCCAGATGGCGGGGTGCGCACCGAGGGAGCTGAGTGCCATTGGGATCTGGACTACGCTGGCCGTTCATGCTGTGTTTCGCCGTCCTTGCCAGGTGCATCCACAGGTCACACAGCATATTCATCTGGCTAGCATCTCCGCGGGCTGACGTTCCAGAACCTCGGGAGCCTCATCAGCTAAATTTGACTCCATTGGCCCCAAGCTGGTGAGCCTCGTTCGCTGCAACAAGCAGCCAAAGGTTCAGCAGTAGTAAGCAGATAGCAAATTAAGTGTATTGCTTTGCCGCTTGCGGCCGGCTCCAGAGCAGCTGCACTCGAAACTTTTTTTCGTCGCTGGTCGGGTGATCTTGCTGCTCCGAGTTAGGCTGGATCTGAGAGTCGATCTGCCGCACTGGGCCGAATCCATAAACAAAATCCACACAACACAGTCAAATTTTCTGGACCGGCGAGACGGGATGGTCCATTCTACAGCGGGCCGTACAAAATCTCTGCTGACTGAGCGCGAGAAAATTGCCTTGCTACGAAAGCTGGGTTGGGAGAAGTTTGCCGCGATGATCAACAGCTCGCCGAAGCCGCGGCGGCGAACAGGCGACCAGACTTGACTTTGTTAGTCCGCTTGGCAAACAATGTCTGACTGGCAACTGGCAGATTCTGACAGACGGCAGTTGAGAGGTCCCTAACACTCCACTCCACTCCACTGTTTGTTCAGGACTTGTGTTCAGGACTTGTGTCGGATGGCGAAACATTTTACTGCTGTGTGACTCCGTATGACTGCATCACCTGCTCAGCCATACACCTGGGAATGTCAAGGCACGATTCATCGCCTAACACGTCCGCAATCCACGCGGTGGTGGGCTGATAGTCGACTTATATAGTGACTAGCAACAATGGACTGGAGACCGGTCCTTGCTGTCAGAGGTTCGCATTCGGGCAGTGTGCCCCACCCACGCACCGCTTAGTGATCTTTAACCATAACATTGACCTACCCAAAGTTCGAGACAGCCGCAAACTCTAAAGTGTTGCTCCCTCTCGTCCGATTGAAGCAGCGCTGCTACTGTAAGGCCAGCCTGGTGGACGGTGCTCGATGAAACCAAGATAAGGCTTGGATATGCCCATTATCCCCCTGCACGAAACCGCAGGGGTCGGCAGCTCAAACGGGCCCCTCCTTGGCATCGGCCGATTATGAGCTGAGGTAAGCTGCGAATAGCTTCACTGCCCAGCGACTTTAGCAGGAAATGAAACAGGCAGCCTCCTTCGCTGCTCCTGGGCTGGGGTGCCAACGCGCGTTGGTCGAACGCTCCAAGCGTAGGCATTCCACGGCGGCATAACTGTGTGATCGTATTTAATCGCTTGCAGATTCCCATGCTGTGCTACCGGTGAATGGCTACCACGAACTGCTCTGTAGTCTCCCTCGCTCTCGCTCTCTGTCTCCTTTCGCTTCTTCTAGAGCTAGCCTCTATGCATTAATTTTCTATTGTTTTTCACGTGATGCCCGTCCTAAGTCCAGAAGTCATCAGCCGGGGGCTGCATGAGGTACACGCCTTGATGCCAAGGGAGGTAGATCACCGCGCGCTGGAGACTCTTGCTGTCGGTAAGTCTACCTGTACATATGTAGCCATCGTCGCCATCGCTCGATACTGACCCGAGTGTCATTAGTGGCCACGTGCATATTTGGTGTTGGCGGATTCATCGTCTGGGCCATGAAGCAGAAATGAACATCCAAGTACACCAGCACTAAAACGATCACGATCGATCGATCGGCCCGGCACACGTGCTGTATATTATTGCACATCGCGGCAACGCTTCGGGGCCATGGCATAGGTCACAAGTCGGAAAGGTCAGCTAGCCGTCCGAAGGGGACATCCGCCGTCGGCAGCAGGTATCGGCAGCCGTACCAATACCCATTGCATCACATCATCAGGATCTTCGGCGAGATCTTCTGAGTTGCCCTCCAGTAGGGGGGTGGAAGTACAGAATATTGGAGCACGAGTAGCCAAGCCAAGCGATATGACCTTGCCGAATAGACTAGACATCACGAGCGACTATGAAGTCGGCTTGGAGCTAATATATCAAAGACGTTTAATCATCAATACGACATGACATACCTGCAGTTTCCAATGCATGCCGTCAAACATGGAATGCGGATGCTTGACATACTAGACAGCCAAGTAAGGCACTCGGAAAACCACTGAGGTCTCAGCCCGTGATCGATAGCTCCAGAATAAGGCGGAGTAGAAATACTTGAATTCAACCAGAAACGCCTGTTAGACACTCCTTCACACTTCAGCACGCTCCACACCGAGTGTCCTCTAGACACTACTGCGAAACCTTGATCACGAGGTTTCCCTTGCTTCGTCCTGTCTTCAACTTCGCGAACGCCTTCGGGGCATCCTCGTAGGCGAACTTCTCATCAATTACCGCCTTGACCTTGCCTTCGCTCATCAGTTTTCCAAACTGCACCAGGTCGTCATTTTTGGTCTTCAGCAACATGAATTGGTAGCTGCGCTTCCCTCCTCCCAAGAACGAGGGTATGGCCATCCTGGAAGTCATGGTCTTCATGTCCGACAGCGACATGCCTCCACCAATCTGAACGAACTTTCCTTCCGGGAGGAGGTAGTGGTCTGCGGCCTTGTAGAGGTCGGCAGGCGCGCCGACATTGTCCACGACCAGTTTGAACACCTGCCCCTTGGCCTTCAGGGTCTCGCTCACGTTGGCTTGGGTGTAGTCGATGACCTCGTCTGCGCCCAGACTCTTGCACAGGTCCACGTTCTTCCCGGAGCAGCTCGCAGTCACGTGGCAGCCCACGCTCTTTGCCACCTGGATGCCGAACGTGCCCGTGCCACCGCTTCCGCCGTTGATGAACACCTTGTCGCCGGCCTTGACGTTGGGCACGATGGCCTGGTACGCCGTGATGCCCGCCGTGCCCACGCAGCTGGCCTCATCCAGGCTCACAGCCTCCGGCAGGCGGGCTAGCCACTCGGTCTTGGCGGTGACATACTCCCCGAGAGTTCCATGCTGCGCGGGGTCGATCCGGCCGTAGACCTTCTCGCCCACGCGGAAGGTGTCGGCGGCCTCGACGTCCCCGCCGACCCGGGCGACGGTGCCGGCAAAGTCCAACCCCGGAGCTGCCGGGACCGGGATCATGGCCCGGGCGAGGACGCCCATCTCGGGGAGCTTGTAGTCGATGGGGTTGATGGAGGTGCTGTGGACCTGGACTCGGATCTGGTCCTTGGCAAGGGGCGGCAGGGCCGCCTCGGACAGCTTGAGGGCGTGCTCAAGGCCGCCAGAAGCCGACGTGTACAGCCATGCACGCATCGTCTGCGCGGGCGCGGCCATTGTGATAGGCTGCTGCTGGGTGCTGACCGGGGGTGCGGCTTCAGTTGTGTGGATACCTCGGGCCGGGGATCTGCAGTGGCTAGTAGACGCTGGCTCCGTGGGATGGCGGTTATATCTAATACTAGTGTTCGGGCGTCTAGGTCGTGGGCAGCAAAGATTGAGGGTATTTTGGAGTGCTCTGCGGGTAGACATCCCCTCAGGCAACCTGAACCGAGCTAGGCGATCCGTTATCGTGTTCGTTGACGCTACGCAGCTGAGCACTAGTAGTGACGTCACGTGAATGATAAAGCTTGAACGAGTCAACACGACTTGGTGTCACTATTAATCACCCAGAACGCTGCACTGGTATCTAACGACTGCTAAATACACCGATTGCTTGGCGATCATGCCATCGGATGGTCGTGGGTACCGGCGCGACATTGCCCGTTGGCTTACATTGGCATCACCCTGGAACAATCGGTCAGCCGCCGCGCCATATGAAGCCAATATAACCCTGAAACTCCCGGTGTCCGGCGATCGCAGTATGTATTGACCAAAGAATCCCGATGTGCTTACATGCGTTCAAATGTGACTCAAGCTCGCTTATTTCTTGGTGCACCAGCCATCCTATACGCACGCAGACGCTATAGTGCGGCGAAGCTCGAAGCGCCAAGCCGTCAGCTTCCAGGATGGGGTCGGCCTAGTGATCCCAGCCCGTGGCAAACACGGAACATGTCGCAAAACCACATCCACGCCAGACTCTACGCAGCTAGGTAAGCGGCCGTTGTTCGTGCACGTCGTATGACTCCATGAACGAGGACGGCAGCTTGTGGAGTGTGATCTGGTGGGCTGGTAGCACCGAGAGTACCGCTCTCCCGCCATTGCCACCGTGATCAACAGTAAAAATGAAATGGTCTCGCGACTGCAGCCCGCCGTCTTCTCTACAGTACTTTGAGCCCAGGTGGTATGGCATAGGAATGTCACGCGTGGCTCACTCGTTGCTATCGGTTCCACAGTCTTTACCATTACGCGCAGTCGTACGACAATGCACCTTCAGGTCACAATGCTGACTTTGACCCTGTGTTCCAGCGAGCGACAACTTCATCGGCCGAGTCAAGAATCTCACGATGCACGTCTAAATCGGACTTAGTGACGATGAAAGCCATAATTTTAGGGTGTCTCCAGGATACTCATAACTGATGCTACTACACTACACTTTGACCCTTACTACAGTCGCGCCACAGAGGATCTCTTACTTCTTCTTGAACTAATCCACCTAAAGGCGGCAATCTTCGAGACAGCGTAAATCTACCCAAAAGCATCTAGATTATTTTAACAATTGTAATGGTCTATTGCTCATTTGGCTTAGAAAGGAGTTATGGAAGATTGTATTGTCGCACGACTAGAAATTCAAGCTTCGTCGTGCTTGTTGATGGAGAGATATGTTATCCCCGTCAGGTCTTGGATCAGTATGATTGATTCAGCCTAATTCCTGATACAGGTGTTGACCATGTTCGATATCTTGTCGTTGTTTTTCTTGAAGATATCCCCCGCCTTGGATACGTCGTCTGCGTTCATCAGCCGCTTGGCCTTGGCCATCTCAGCGAAGTCGTCCGGCGATCTCCTAATACCCTTTCCTCCGAAGCCAGCCAGCATTCCCAAAATAGCCAGAGGGGCCATGTCTGGGTTATCAACGATGTCCTTAATGGTGAGCGCAGCTGCACCTAGCTCACCAACAATAAACAGGACACGGCCCAGCGTCTGCAGCAGCACGCTGGCGGCGGCGCCAAGTGCCTCACCAGCAAACGGAATAAGCATGAAGACGGCGCTGATGATATTGATGATCAGCTGGTTCTTCTCTTGTTCGTGCTCGCGCTCGGCAATCTCCTTGGCCTTCTTCATCGACTCCACAGCCTGGGCCATCATGCTGACGGGTGTGGAGAGCACCTCCATGACGTCGGTCCACTCGCCTTCCCATGTATCGCCGTTGATCTCGAGGAATGTGACAGCCATGGTCTCATGCATGTCATCGATACCCGGCTTCGCCTGGGTTATGATGTCTTTGGGATTGGTGACCTTCATGTCGTCCGCTTTTTGAGGGTAGTTCAGCTTGGTCCGGGACCAGGGTGAACAATCCTGGTTGTGGGTGCCGGTACACGTGAAGACGTCTCTATCGGTGCCAAACTTCACCCAGTCGCTCTGAATGCCGTATTTATCTGCTAGCTCATTGAAGAAGCCGTCCTTGTCTTTGAGTGTAAAGGTCAGCGTAAAGAAGTCCTCGTCACGCCAACGGAAGTCGAGTGGGCACTGCCCGCTCATTTTGACATCCCCTCCCTCTTTCATTTCACAATCGAAATATTTCAAGCCCGGCCCCGTAGGCCACGACATGAAAGCGTCAATCTGCGGCTGCACGAGCTCTTCCACGTACTTTACGTAGTAGCCGAAAACGCTGTCATAACCCTGGTTGACATCGTCGTAGTCGTACATGGCTTGAGATAGCATAGTATCCAGCACCGGGATAGTGTAAATAGGGATGCAGTTCTCCGAGAAAGAACCCAGCCCGCCTTGGATCGTGTCAAGGGATGAGTTGTAGTACTTGTCGTCGTTGCACATATATTGAGTGGGGTCGTCATCCTCATCATATGGAACAATCGCCGGTGCATCAAAGACGGTGATCTGAGACCATGTGGGATGGGTTTGGACTCCAAGGTTGTTAGTGGCGTTGACCCCATTGACGCCATCATAGACAAGCGAGTTGGCAGCACCGATAGTGATCAGATTCTGTACCCGGACCCAGTCTTCGTTATCAATCAGCAGAACTAAGGCCTTTTGACACTCATGTACGTCAACTGCGACGCAATCACGTTAGTGTTTCCAATTTAGTGGTACGCTTTGACGAATACTTACTACAGCTTTGAGAGTATGTGCTAAACCACGAGTAGATGCCTGCGGCGGGGATGTACACATCTTGACACCCATTCAGGATGAGACCCCACGAAGAGTCACATCCGTCAAAGTAGGATGTGCCGCACTCATAGTAAGGATCTCCGAGGAACATTCGTACAGAGTCCTCGAATGGAGTAGGTGCCTTGGGGGTAGGTTGGTAGTAGGGCGTCTCGGTTTGGATAAGGCCAGCAACAACATTTTTGGCGCCGTAGAAACTATACTGATAGAATGTGGCGTGTTCGGACGCAGTTCCATAAAGCCAAACTGGGTCCTTACTCTCGATGAGAAGGCCACGTGCCACATAGACCGAGATTTGCGTCTGTTGACCAACTTATCAACCAATAGCTTCTGACAGGGGACGAATAAATAGTGGGATATACATACCATTTCGTTGTTATCGCTGTTCAAATCCGGATCGCTGGTTTAAAGATCAGCATATCGAACATTACACTTAATAAATCCCACGTACTCAACCATGTGGTCGGCAACCCAAAGCCACATGTTCTCGAAGTACCCTGATGCTCCATCGGTGATGTGCATCATCATAGTGGCAGCAATGCACTTCGGTCTGATTTCACCACTAGTGAGCGCCGGACATTCGGCAGGAGTAAGCTCGGTTCCGGTAGCACCACCTATACGAGCATGGGAATCTTTGGGAATCAAGCGTTAGTAGCAATCCAGTCAAGTCATGCCTTGTTGTTCCAACATACCCCACATGCCAGCACTGCCAGGCGAAGCAGCCAGAATATTCCACTCAACCAAGATGGCTCCTGCGGTTGCCCCCTTGGTGGTGAACATAAGGTCCTGGATCTCCACATCCCCAACGTCACCCTCATTGCCTACTTTGAGCATGACTCGAGGGTTCCTCGCGGTACGTTAGATCCACTAATATCAGTCACAGAGTAGACAAACTTACTTCATGTCAGAGAATTTCGAACCCGAGGCTGCGAACTGCGTCCATGTTTCGCCAACTATCTTCACCCCGGGAGGGATGGTAACAGTATCGGTCAAGATATAGGTACCGGCGTCAGCAAATATGATCTTCCCGCCAGCGTTGTCATTGAACGCTCGTTGGACACCTGCTGTGTCATCCGTTACACCATCGCCTATATTCCAGTCAGTTTTGTATATTAACGAGTCATATAAGATTACCCGGCTGCCTTACCTGTGGCGTAGTCCTTCAGGTGGACAAAGTCACCAGCGGAATAACCAGTGTACGAAGGCCGAGGCTTTTCGAGGTACTCATTTTGAGGAAGACTGCCCCAAGTTCCACCCAAAAGCTCTTTCGGTCTCTCGTAAGCATCATTCTTACCCTCGTCGAACAGTCGGTAGCCAGCCCCGTAATTGGGACCTAAAATCCAGCTCTCTACATCCCCAGCAGCCAAGAGTGTAGCGCCGGCAGTATCCTTGACAACAGCACCGCCATTGGTAAAACGTATGTTGTCCAGAGCAACGCCGGTGGAGCCCATGCCAGGTTCTTTGGAGTAAGGTGCAATGATGATGCCCGTCGTAACGCCTGTGAAGACCGAATCCATAATGGTGATGGACCCAATATTACCCGCGCCGCCCTCTCCCAGCAGGCGGAAACCGACTTCCGAGTCCTCAATGGCAATCTGCTTCCACACCTGCAGTATGAACGTTAGCTACTTGCCCAAAGAACTGATTAGTTTAGAAGTTTGGGGTGATTTACCCAGCCCCAGTCCCAGATTAGCTGGACGGCGGTTTTGCATCCCTGGAACATCATTCGCTGGGCAGTAAATTGCTGTGCGCCACCATCTTGTCAATCGAATTAGTGCTGGTCTCAAAGATATTCCAAAAAGGCTCAAGACTTACAAAACCCGAAATTTCCACCTTTGAAGACAATGTCGGACATGTGGCCACCACTTCCATTCTCAGCGTATATTCCTTGCTGCGTCGTGCCTGTTTTGGCCACGAGGTCGAGATGCTGTATGCTGGTTGCCTGTGCTACCTGGTAATGGAGCGCGCACACATATGCGTTGGGGTCGGTTGCCGTAATATCGATAATCAAATTTCGAATCTGGCGGTAGAAACTAGCCGTGTTGACGTACCACTCGTTGTCTTTTCCATCTGTTCCGACACCACCCACGTACCTACAGCGTATGAGAGGTTAGAATCCTGCTCTATAATCAGAAGACACCCACACTCACTTGTCAGTGGACAAGACACCCAGTCCAACGAAGCTAGCCGCTGCCTTGATAGTTGGGCGGTCCTCTGCATCTCCAATAACTTGCGTGCCAAAGTAAACATCGATGGAGCTTGACACGAGATACGTGCCGGAGGGAAAGTAGACAATCGCATTCTTCGTAGTAGAGCCATTGCATTTCTCACCGCATCGCTTGCCGTCAGTCATGGCTTTCATGATGGCAGCAGTATCATCAGTGCGACCATCGCCTTTAGCTCCGTAGTCCTTAACATTGCGGAAGACCTTTGCATTGTAATCTGTCAGCCCGGCTCGACCCGAAGAGTAAAGTGGACAATACCTTGTAGCTAGAGTCTCTACCCCAGGGCACAGTCCCTTTACGGGCGATGGATTCCATCCAATAAGATCCACGTGCATGGATAGAGCGCTTAGTGCTGTTACCAACAGGCTCAATGTTGGTGACCGTCTCAGTATCTGCCTCAGCGATGAGTGCTGCTGCTGCTGCGATTTCTGGTGTGATCTTGAGAAGCTCTGGAACCTCATCGCGCTTAATTTTGAAGGATCCACCACCGTGGCTGTTCCAAGTAGTGTTAGCAACGCGGCTCCATACTTGCGTCGAACATTACTCACGGAGTCCGGATGGGATTATCTAAGCGCGCCTTGTTTAGAACGGATGCCTGGGAGATGGCATCCTCGACAATTTTGCGGGCTTTCTGAATTTCCGACAAGGTTGCGGTCTTGATTAGAGGGGTAGCTTGATCCGAGACGACTTCGGACCGGATGAAGTTGGAGTTGAGAAGGGGCGAACGAATGTGAGGAGATGTAACACTATCGAAGGGAAGAATGGTGGTCTGAACAAAGGGAGTGAAACAGGCTACCAGGAGAGTAGCCTGGATGCTGATTCGAACCATAGTAAGCCGACAGCCCCTGCGGTGGGAAAGGAAAGACGTAGGTAGGATGCCACAGAGTCTGCTCAACTGAAATGGTAGGAGTTGGGTGACTTATGGCATGGCATGGCGAGACCAGAAGTTATACACGGCGCCCTATGTTGCCGGATTGCTGGTGTAATTTCCATCGGCGCATTTTGCTCTTGAGATACCTCGCGATGACTGGGTCCATGACCAGGGTCGTCATCCGATTCCCTCAACGCTGCACAGTGTGGCAATGGGCATGATCAATAGGCCACATGAAGCATCGACGATATGGCCCAAAAAGTCAGCGCTAGATCAAAGTTCATACGAGTACGATGCTGTGCCGCGGGATAGTCTTCAACCTCTTGACAGAATTGGCAAGTGAGACATTAATCCGTAGCAAGTGCTTACTTTAAATTGAAGCATATAATAAGGATGTGGGCCAAGCGGTTATTACTTGGGTCTAGACCAGATGGTCCGATTGTGGACGTGGCTATGAATTCTCTAGGCCATACGAGCCTCAAATATCCTAGCCAAAGAGACTTTAACACGCGCGAGGAAGAGCATGGGCGTCATCGAGTTCTCAAAGTTGCAAACAGGAACGTTCTGCGCGAGAGATAAGATAAGTCTTCTCAGTGATGTCCTATTGCAGACTCACGCGAACCTTTTGTGGCCTACGATGTTTTGCAGAGAGACAGAGGTTGACCCCTGTCCACGTTGAGTGGTCGTCCCCGGTTTCTTGTAAATACAAATATCGGGAAAAAATGGTTTCAATTTCTGCAGCGGGTGCCGAATCTGACCATAGCCGCCCCGTCTTGCCCGACCGTTAGGTGTCATGAGGCTGAGAAAGCTACCCCCAGATGGTATATGCTCCGCCTTTTCGTGACGTTCTATTCGCCAGTAGCGCAGGTAACAAGTTCTTGGCAGCGACGTCCCACGTTTACATGCAAGGGCCTTTTCGACGAGCCCTTCTGACACATGGATGCCGTTAAACCTTATCAACCTTAATGGCCCAATTGCTAAGTATAGCATACTGAGTTGCATGGTATCCTGGTGTGGTTGCCAAGTGCCAAGGAAGCTTATGAAAGTTAAGACATCTATCGTATGGCTTATACTGCTTGGCTACGCAACTACGTCCGAACAGTAAACCCCAGCAAAATCGGTAAAAAGTAGAAATAAGTTCTACTGACATTTCAATATGCACAGAAATTTAGATCTCGTCACGTCGTAGAGAACAGAGTCGAGATAAGTACATGCATCCCGTTTCTCCTTGCGGTGAAGACTTGGCGCCAAGGATAGCCAAGCCGCCAACAGTTCAGGGTCCTCCGTCTGTCGGAAATGGAGGTCAATTCAAGCCTAGGGCAGCGGCGCAGCAAGACATCCAATAGCTGTTCATGAATTTCCAAAGAAATTCAGTGGCCGCATCCCTCGGCATGTGCTGGAAGAGAACGAGCGCGTAGAAGGAAGTTGCTCGCTTAGGTGAAGCTCGAGAACGAGGCATAAGGTGCAAGGCGGTCCACTAGCGTCAACGGTAAGCATAACACAGTGCAAGAAATGAAATGTCTGCTTACTCCGATGCGAAATTACGGCCGTCACTGGGTCCAGAAACCATGGGCCATGAGAGAGACTCTCACAAAGTTTTGAAACCCTAGACAGATGGTGAGCCTATAACACTAGGTCATGGCAGATATCTGCCTCTCTGACGAAGCAGCTGTCATTCTCTCCACCAGCCTCCATTCCTTTGGCTCTGGCGTTGATAGTTCATTGCTGAACACCTGCTTGGAGTTTGCAGACACCCAATCTCCATCTCGCTCATTATTTCACTTTCTTATATTATCTTATCGTTGCCACCATTCAGCATGCATCTTCGAGCCTTGGTTGTTTGGCTCTTTGCAGTCAATACCACTTTAGCCTCACTCTACGCTGCCCCATTCGAGGGACTTGCTTTCTACAAGTCTTACCTCGCTGATTGGGAGGCAAACCCAACCGGTTCAAAGACTATCGCTCCAGGATGCTATACCTTTTTCACCAGCGCTCCCAATACCAAGAAACCATGTGACTTTGATCAATTTGTTGATCATGTATATGGCAAGGCGGTTGGCTACACAAAACAAGACATTTCCGGGCTGTCGATTAACGATGCTGCCAAGAAGATCTTCGACAATGGATTCAAGGGCTTGAAATATGACCTCACCAAGCTGCTGCCTGGGACACCTAGTGGAACACACTATGGTGAGGTCATCCGGGACATCGCCAACGCTGTGCAGAACGCGCGGCAGAAGGGCGTTGGGGGCCAGACTATTCAAGACGTCTATGACGCATTCCACGGCATACACATTGAGCGCTCAGCGGATCAGTACAAGGGGTTGATGCGAGATTTGAAGAAGACTTGGTTGAACAAGCATGGCCTCGTCCTCAATACGAAGGGCAAGAACACACCTCTTGGCAGAGACAACAATGCTCCAGACTACGATAAGGCGCTGAAGCCATGGAAGGGCACGCCAATGTACGCCACCAAACTTGCGGCTCTGCAGACTGATGAAAAGACGTACTTAAACAATCCAAGCACCAAGGGCGGTCAGCATAAGGGCCAGATCGTGCCTTTGGTCAAGGCAAAGAAGGCTTTCAAGGGCGCTGCCACCTGTCTCTTGGTCTAGGTTGACTGCCCCAGGGTCTAGACAAGTTTACTAGTAGTGCTGGGCTTGCACCATGGGCGATCGGATCAGTGGATTGTGGCTCTGTAGCATTCACTCCAATATCTTTCGTACTTTGTAGCGAACCCGTATCCCTGGAACAATGCTTCTAGTGAGCCCCAATCACTTGGCGTCCCTCTGGAATGCTAGAAGTCGACTCGCTTGCTGTGATCTTAATACGTGTAATTCCAACAACCGCTCTAATATAAAAGACTATAGATTTATCTATGAACAAACCAACCTGTTTTCTTAGTCGAACAGACTAGATTAACCTCGAGGCTCGCAACTTCTCAAAAACGGCGTCATCTCACCTGGTTAGGTTCGAGGTGCCCAAATTTCCAAGGTTAAAACACTGTGGGGCTGGATCCACCCCAACTACAAAGCTGACCCAGTCCCCAGCCAATGCTTCTTTAAAATGACTTAGATCTTCCTTTGACACTTCTTCAATAAATTCATTCGTGTTGATGGTTTATTAGAGTTCCCCCACCAACACACCCTCTGTTTCGCACTCTACCACATTGGAGAGGTAGACAACGGCCTTGTGTATTCACATCCAAAGCTATGCCGACGGCCGAGCACCAGCGCACACATCCCGGTCTTTTAGACTGGCTCGGCCGTATAGGCGGGCTTCCAGGCCCCGCAGGCATACGGCTGAACAATCAAGGTGCCGGGAATAACTCCAGCAATGAGAGAAATCTGTATGTTCCTGGGTTGGCAGGCTGTCCTATCATGACGGAGAAGCTCGCAGGCGAGCGCTTTGCACATGGGGCAATAGACTGGGCACAGCCCCGTTTGACATCTCGCGAGCTTCACATGCTGCGAGCTATGAACCTCTTCACCGACCGTCCAGGCTGGCACCTTCCAGGATCCATCGAACGATGGCGAGAACAGGCTCTCCGGCTTCCAATGATGAGTGAAAAAACGTGGGATTGGTGCAGTCTGGAACTGCAAGATATGGCCGAGCGATTCGAACAGACACGATACATATTGGCCTTTGACACTTCTTCAAGGATTTGCAAGTCGGATATCTTGGTTGATCCACCTGTTATTGATGCCCTCAGGAGCAAGGTATTCAAGAAGGATACTGACGCCAGCAGAGAACGCGACAGTATTTTATGGTATCCCATAGACCCGTCGTTGTTTCCCTTTATACATGGCCGCACCAAGGTCCTGCTTGACGGAACACAGATACCTCGACGACGAGCAGTCGAGTTCACTGCGCACGGAACAGTGTCACCGATCCCTCAAGTCAAGAGGCCAGTGCGGTTCCCAGATCTTGACCTCCGTGATACACGTCTTCGCGAGATGTCCGGGCGCATTGATAATCCCGCAATTGCGCACTTTTATCGCTGGTCTGAGCGATTCCAGTGGATGCCATGTGAAGTTAGATTCTCAGAAAGGAACAAGCAGGGGGTTGAAGTTACATCCTACATTAACAACCTTCACCCCGTACATGAGCAAGAATTGTATGGTCTCATCGAACAGGTCATTTCGCTCAGTGTTCAACCGTGGAATGAAGTCTTGTCTTATCTTGGGCGACCGAGATCCCCACTTCGAATTCGCACTTATGGTGTGCAATGGGAGCCCGAAAAGCCGTCTTGGGCGAAAGATGAGTACTTGTTCGAGCTGGACACGTTACGAGAAGACGAGAAGGTGAGGAGGGCGGAAGAGTACAATCGCATACTTGCCTTGGTCGAGGAATATGAAAAAATTCCTAATTTCTACGAGTCGAACACTCCAGTGCCAGAAGACTGGAGTCAAGGGCTTTTGGCCAGAGTGAGCAGGAAACATGACAAACTGTACCATTGGCTACAACCAGAGCCGGGCGTCAGTTTTACGTACCAGGAGTGGAAGCAGGGCAAGACGGGACGACCAATCGTTGGCGGGAGGGATTTGAGACCACAGTCCGAGATTCCGTCTGGGAAGGACTGGGAAGAACCGCGGTTCGACTACCCGCCGCACGAGTTCTACGATGTGCGAATTCAGGATACCTTCCATGAAGCTGGCTTGCAAGTAGTCGTCAGGGTTGCTGACATCCAACTCGACTCCAAACAACCATCTTACCAAGGTACCGACTGGACAGTGAATGGCTTCTTGAATGAGCACATTGTGGCGACAACGGTGGTTTTCTTCGATGTTAGCAACGTCACGAACGCTTCTATATCATTTCGGGCCGAGGCTGACGTCGAGAGTCGGGAGTACGAGTATGAGGACTACGACTATGAAGAGCTGGCAGCCATCCTCGATTCTGACTATGACGAACTCCACGGCGGCAAGTGTTTTCAGTACCTAGGACAAGTGGTCGTAGCTGAGGGACGTATGGTTACCTATCCCAACACGCTGCAGCACAAATTTGAGCCCTTTGAGCTGAGAGAGCCATCGAGACCAGGTTGTTTGCGATACCTCGAGTTGCACCTGGTAGATCCGAACTACCGCATTATTAGCACTGCCAACGTGCCGCCGCAGCAGCATGAGTGGTGGTTTGAGGCAGGCGCGGGAAAGATCAATTGGGCCAGTCGTAACATGCCTCCGGAGGTAGTTCATCGCATATTCAAGGACATAGGACAGTGGCCCATGGGCATGGATGAGGCACGCAAATGGAGAGTTGAAATGGAGAAGGAAAGGGAAGTTTTCATGGAAGCCGTGATGGCAGGGGTTGAGGTGTATGATTTCAGAGGCAACGAGTAGAGTTCTTGCAGCATTACAACTTCCACTTCTCGCATACAGCAGTCATATGCTAGAAATTGAATAGTCCCGAACTTGAAGTTCTAAGAGTCGAAAACAGAGGCACGTATGCTAAACATAAGCTCCCAAAATAAAGGCCATCATGTGACTGGTTATTTCGAAACTAATAAAGATTACTTTCATATTATCTTTGTCTACCATAGAGTGCCTTAGCCTTATCTGTGTTACGATGCGCTCAAAGAGCTTATATCCACCGCGCGAATGCTTGCGGCATCGAATTCGGAGACGAGGAGCGTATTACCACTAGGACTAGCCACAACTGTGCGCGGAAAGGCTGATGTTGGTATTTGCGGAAAGTTTACGTATCCCTTCCGCAACGCGTCCCCAATATTCACGACCGAAACACCGGCAGTCGTGTCACTATAGTTCCATCTGTTTGAGTCTGCGACAAAGATATAGTCTCGAATTGCCGTGATTCCTAGTGGTGCTGTACCCGTATCGACCTGGGCCAGCAGCGGGTCTGCGGTAGTTTCGTCCGCCAGCTTATCCGTGTCAAATGCCAATACCTGATTCGACTCTCGCGTGCTAACCCAGAGCTGCTTTCCATCTATAGAAAGGGTAGATCGGACGGGATGACATCCACCGGGGACGTTTTTGATCAACGACCGTGCAGGCTTGGCTTTGAGCGTTTCCACGTCGAGTACGCTGATGAGACCGCCAGTTTGATTTAACGACCTCGCTGTACCATTAATCTCGCTGGTAACAAATAACCTGCTTTGGTCTGTCGAGAATTGTTGGCCGATTGTTCGAAATCCCAGGCCGATGAAACCTTTCCATGTGCTTGTTACCGTTCTGTTTTGCTGGCGGGTGATCTTATAAACCTCGATGGCCCCGAGATTATGTGTCACGTTACTCCCGTATTCCTGGCTTATGAAGGCAAACTTGTCGTCGGCGGTTATGGATGCTTCAATCGCACTCCTCCCAGCGTACCCGTCATGGCTAAGCACACCTACAAACGAATCATTCCTTCCTTGTAGGGCTCGTGGGACATCCAGAATGATAGCCCCATAACCGGTAGCGACATAAAGGTTCTCCTTATCATGCGTCAAGGTCATCTCACGGAGTCCGTAGCCATCCGCGTTGGGATCGTCGTTGCCTATTAAGAATGCGGGCGGCAAAGGAAGCATATGCATCAGCTTGGGGGCAAATTGGGATGTGTCAAGGACTCCTATAGAAAAATTGATGGCGGCGAAGGCAATGTTGTCGTTCAGGTATGCCAGTCCCCATGGCCGGGCCTGCACGGCAAGAACCGTGGAGTTCAAATCCAGTTGCGTCTGCGGAGGTGCCGCCTGCGCGCAGGGGTGGGGATGAGCAGCAGCCGGGAAAGCTTTTGTGCAGGGCAGTGCGAACCCAATAATGGCGACTATAGCTGTAATGCACTGGATACGTAGGCAAGCCATGGCCGGGCGGTCTTGTTCTTGGCACAAAAAGCAGGGGGTCATGAGTGTTTAGAAGTTGAACTGCCTCACAAATTTGCCAAGAAGCGCTGTATAAGTATTCTGTCAGTATATGATACTGTTGGTTTGAGTCTCCACTGTGGTATCTTGCATCGGAGTCATCCGAATTTGACGCAGCCATCTTTGGCGAATTGACCCTACCAACCTTCCCATAGAGGATTGATATGCCCAAATACCTTCTTCAAACGTATCGCGACGCGCTCGTTGCTGAAAGCACGGGCCACCTCGACCTAATCAGAGCATTCAAGAAACCCCGATTTTGAAGCTGAAGCTAATCTTCACGTGTAATTGCTCAGCATCCCGAAAAGGAATGTAGTGTCATGCAGTGCGACATCTGCGGTATATTGTACCACCAGTTGAATTAACACATGGTCGTGTAGCGGTAGGCTTACCAGAATTTGCCCATGTGACTATCTCCTAATCGGCTACTACACTATAGTTGACTTGGAGGCCGTAATTGCTTTGCAATTGACCTTTCATCACCACGGATGCCTAAGTACAAATCTCGCGCTCTGTCCCATGAGCCATGCTACTAGGAAAACTCAGGAGATGCTTCAGTATACACCTATGTAAGTAGTCAACACGAATCTACCGTAATCCGCTATCATCGTCCCGCGATTCAAGAACACTCGGCGCAATACCCTCATCTTGAGCGCACCACAGCTCGTTGACCGACTATATGATATTCCAATGGTCGGCACTTGACCCAGATCGAAACTCCTTTAAGGAAATGTCTGACTTGTGTCACAGTTACCGTGTGCCTCAGCATGACAGAGGCATCTTGAGAGACTGGTAGACCATGGTATTAGGATTCTTTGTGAAGTACCAGAAATATCTGTATATGAAAAAAAATATGAAGTTTGACGGCTCCCTCCCAACGTTCATCCAGCGTTGGTTGTATACCTTTTGTCGTGTATTATTTTCGGCTTGGTTTACGAGTTTATCCATAGCGATTATCAAGCAAGGTACGCGGTGCATACATTCTGTTTGCCATCACGTAAGACTGCATATGCCACAAGAACTGGTTTCCGATCAATAATAATGATACAGTAAGACTATGGCCACCGTAAAGGCGAAGCCTTCACACTGAGTTGCGGCTTACGGTGAGTCAGTACGCAGATGTTTTCCGCATAAGAGACATTGCTATAGACTGGGGTTCTAGTAGGTAGTGTTGGAATAGAATCTGTTCCTGAAAAGAAAAGAGCTATTTATCAGTGCTGCGGTAGCTAGCTATTCACTCTAGCTAAACACTTCTTCGTGTAGGAGGCATAAGGGGTTTGTCGGTCACCGAAAGACAATGGTCAAAGATATGGGGTAAAATGAGCGTGGTGTTTTGTCCTATATATATATATTAAAGCTTCCAAGGTTGTAAGAGCACAAGAGACTGCCAAAGCAACCAAAAACTCAAACAGAAAACCACATGAGGCCGCCCCCGCCCCCGCCCCAAGTCCACTCCACGCCATCCAAACTCAGCAAGCAGAATCAGATAGGATAAACAAGCGAATAATGAACGAAAGAGTAACAAGAAGAGTAAGCGTAGAAGAGAATCGGGCAGAATGATGAAGGAAAGATTTTCAAGACAAGTAAGAATTGCAGCTGGGGTACCGAAGGAGTGGAATAGTGCAATGACTTCAGAGATGGAGGAAAGAGAAGCCGTGCGTGCCTTCACAAGACCCTGTTCGCACCAAATTTGGTTGACTTTAGTGCTCTACCGCGGACTCTGTACAGGCGTAATCATCGACATGGTATGCTCGCTCGTCCATTATTCCTCACTCTTTAGATGGTGCCTGATAGTGAACGGTCTTCTGGTGGCGCCGAAGATTGTCTGGACGATTGAAAGTGCTCCCGCGAATGTTACAAGTAGAGGGAACTGAGAGGATTTGTTTCGCCGTATGCTGGCTTCCGTTATGTGGGATACCGGAGTTGTGAGAGGCAGCTATCAGTGACAAGTTGTTGCCATGGTTATGGCCACTGCTAGGGCTATATACTCTGTTAGCAGTCATGCTATCCAAACGAGATCCTGCTGCTTACTTGATTGAAACCTGATAATTGTAGGTTGGCTCGTTATATGGAATATTCTCCTGTGGTGTCTCCAGATTGGAATAGGTGGACGAGTGCGCAGCGTGTGGTGAGGCACCCAAGAAAGTGTTGCCATTCGCATAGGACTCATCTGCATCAGACATGAGGTTACGCGAGTAATCTGCCACGAATTTATCCATGTTTTGATGGTCATTGGTGCTCAGAACTGATTGATCAGCCGTTGGAATGTGGTTAGGGCTCATAGTGAAGTTGATGCCGGCCGTCTGATAGTGCGAAAACATGTGTTGGAACTTCTGGCATATCTGCAGGAACAGATGATCGGGACTTGAGTTGATAGGATTGTGTTCCAAAGGTTCTTGATATTGCGAGAACATCTGCTGTAACATCTGGCACACCTTACGGAACAGATGCTCAGGGCTGAAGTCGGTATGATCGTTGATTTGCTGTGTCCCTAGGGCGGCGTTAATGCTAGCAGGTCCGACACCCTCAAGCCCCTGTTGGTAATTCTCGGCTTGGGCGTCACCCAAGGTTGCAGATCCGTCAGTACGACCCCATGTGTTGTCCGCAAGAGCAGGATCGATTGCACCTGGCTCTGGGCTGAAGTTCCTGCTGCTGTTCATCGACATGATCTTGTGGTGCAACGATCCATGGTAGTTAGTGTGCGATTCTGATCAACCAAGAAAAGGATAAACGAAAGCACTTACAGACTCAATAGCACGGATTTAGAGTTATTAAAGGGGGGGGGGGGCAATTCAAACTCGAGTTGAGATTGGGTTCAAGGTTGAGATTGCTTTTTCGTGACAATTGCTGTGTAAATCAGGCCTTACTGGTGAACAGATGATCGATTTTCGAGAATAATCTTTTGTTTAAATACTTGTGGGAAGGAATCTCATCATGATGATTTGTGAGGACTCGCCCATAAGGACTGCCGCCGAAGAGCGCCTGTAGGAGGAGGAGGAGAGAGGACGAGGAGGAGATTGGACGAGGAGGACGAGGAGGACGAGGAGGAGGAGGAGGAGGAGGACGACGACGACGACGACGAGGAAGCAGTATTCATCGCGAGGGTGACCATGCAAATCAAATGCGGCCTGTGATCTAGGAACAAGACGTCGTTTATTAAGGACTGCCCCCAAAGAGTGCCTTGAAGAGCAGGAGGAGGAAGAGGAGGAGTACTCATCGAGAGGGTGACTGTACAAATCAAATGCGGCCCGTGATCTAGAAGTGAGACGGGGCTTGGAGACGGGTGATCCCCGAGTAGCCTCCGGTCTCATTTCTTTGCACCATTGCTTTCTGAGTGGTGGAAGGATGGGGGCTCTTGTTGTTTTCGCAGCAGGGTACGTTTCAATCACCGTCTGCCGAACTCAGATACACTCACAAGGCCAAGCCTTTTGTTTCCCTCCCTCTAACTTTGAGAACATTTTCTCACACAAAAAAGAAGGCTTATACTGCTAAAATAGTCTATTCATATTCAGATGTTTTGCACCATTTTTGGCCTAAAAAAGCCATACGAAGTAGAAAAACCCAAGGCGGCTTGGGTCTCGATCTGTTGACATTGTCTCTTCCACTTGATTGGATGCGCTATTGGTCTGCAGGCCCCCTGGAAGTAAGCGAGCCTATAGTTCACTTCAGTGTACCGATCACGTGTACATTCATACTGCAGATGAGAAAGTAATGTGTTCTGCCTTCAGAGTCAACACTTTAGCGAATTTCGGCTCCAAAGTGTTAGCACTACACTATGGTGGAGTCTGGACGTGATTCAAGCTTTCGCAAGGTTCGAGAACACGGCCTGGAGAAATGATATGCGATGTGATTCTGAAGTGGAACTATGAGTTTGTATTTTTAATGACGCTTCGGCGTGTGATTTGCGCTGCCCTCATTATGCTTCGCTGGTACACATTATATGCCTGAAATGCCCTCGGACCGTAAGCAGTCAACAGACCCGTTTATTAGACTGACCAAAAGTCATCCGCCGATGGAACCGATCACTGTCAGTCTTGCGTCGTTGCGTGTTGTCAGGGACAATGCTAACCGACATTGTACCCAGGCAGTAGCAGGCGCTGCCATACCTCTTAAGCATATTATAAGACGAGGGCTATGAAGAACATGAAAAGGGGGTTCATGAATTTTGAATCTGGTAAAACATGACGAAAATCTTTTTAACTGCCGCTTAGTGGAACCCAAGACAACACCATATAACAGTTTGAAGCACGGCTGAACCCTTCGCAGCCCACATTATGCTGAAGAAGCATGTGTGCCAGTTTGACCTGCCGATTCTCCTTCGTCACCTTCCACTTTGATGGACCATGATCAAAATCATTTGCTTGGGCAGCAAAAGCAAAGAATTTATCACGCTGTAGAAGCTGGCCTAAATCCATCGACTCGAAAGCTGTTCCCCTAACTCACAAGAATTTTGGCCACTGTCCCTTGGAGCGTTCGCAGTGGTGGACTCTTGGATGCCTTATGAGTATGACTGTCCATTTTGGTGGCCACAATGTAAAGCTTCCAATTAATACCTGGTCAAAGGACCCTAGACTTGGTACCCAAATAGCTCAAGTACTGTGAATACAGACTATGCAGGCCCGGCATCAAGTCGGCGTTTAATATGTTTCAACATGCAACTTGATATGCGGGTTTAGAGGTAGGTGTAGTATTCAACCCAACAAGGGCAGTGGACCAGTGAGATCACGTTGCTCTCGTCTACATTCACTTCAAACCACTTCCTGATTTGCTTTCACATTCTCGTCCAGGTGAAGTATGAACCTATATACAATCGGTGTGCTGATGGCATCTCCTGCGGACTGCCAAGTGAATTGAGATGGTAAAAGGAACAACTCTTAACCCAGGAATTGATTTATTCACTCTTCACCGAGAGAAGAAGTACTTATAGAGCCCCTTAAAGCCTGCATTCTCGCACCTTGACGGCCACGCAACACTATCATCAGGACCAACCAGGAATCTCTATCGTCGCAGAACAGAGCAGCATACACACATACGAGAGAGACAACCAGATTACTTACACAAAAGCCAGCATCAAGTCCCTCTCCCGAAGGACCATCTCCGAACTAAGACCTAGACCTAGACCAGGAAAACAAGAAGAAAATGTGCGGCGGCCGTTTATTCGTCACCCGGTGCAAAGTTTGCCTAAGGGAGCTGGGCAGCAAGTGGGACCGGAAGCAGTGGGACCCCGTAACGCAGGACGGCGCGGAGTGTTGGGACAACAACAACTACTCGCCGCTGTGCACCAACCTGTGGGAGAAGTCGAAGCACTATCTGGACGACGGGTACTGCTCGCAGTGCAGGCCGAGGAGGCGTGGATAGGGTTCATGAGAGCGGTGATGCGGGCGAGGTTGGAGAGAAAGACGGAGAGATAGGGGGAAGGTGGAACAAACAGTAGCGTTACTCTTTCTAGGTAATCCGTTGGGGATCTCTGGGGAGCAGCGCGATGGCTTGGGCGGATGAATAGAGCCAGAAGACTTCTCACGTGTATTTTAGGTCCAGCGTTTGTTCTCTGGTTTTGCATAAATTCTCAAGTGATATCATTGGTTTTGAGCGAGACTGGCCCCGACAGGCAGGAGCTGATGGACCAGCTATAGTCGACACAGTGAAGTCGCTAAGCTGGACTATAGCAACATTGTAAGTTTTTGACTATTTTAGCGCCCTGCCATCGTCGCTCTATGCAAAATTGAGTATATCAGCCTAGTCAAGCCGCCAAACGAAACAGTTTCTCAAGTCCATTGTAGTTCATCATTATGACATAAGCAACCATGAACAAGTCTTGAAAGTGATGTCTTTATAGAGTCAATTCATATCTCTAATCCCAAGTGCCGTCCGACAAGAACGCCTAATATACTTTGCACGAAAGGATGTCTTGCGGTTTCTTTTTGTAACCCCAGCTCCTCGCCATGCAAACTTGGAGATGATGCGGCCGATCTAGAGTTTTTTTCAGACGTCTAGTTCGCCCAACCCCATCGCACAACCCGGAATCAAGCACAAAAAGCCTGTGCCGCTGTCATGATGCCGTCCTGGTACCATGTCCGTTCTCCTCGGAATGCCTAGGTGTTTGTCCTCATGATCATGATGTGTCCACCAGACGGACAGTGCTCACGTTCATTCCGCGGGTTCCCGAGGCTCCTTGGGCTCTCTCTGCTCCCGGCCGCCGCGGCCACCACCACGGCCGCCCCTGCCGCCGCGACCGCCTCTCCTGTCGCCGCGCTCGCCCCTCTCGCCGCCCTTGGTGTCGTCCTTGTCGGCCTTCTCGTCGCTCAGGACGGCGGTCGCTAAGCGCTGGCTCAGGTCGATCTGTGTGCGGATGCTGTTGGCCAGGTAGGAGACCATGAGGACGTCCTGGATGTGGTTGTTGAAGTCGTGCTCGATGCTGGCGGCGTCGACCTTGGGGGCCAGGGACAGGGCGGACATGAGGTACTGGCCGATGGCGTTGTTGGGCTCGCGCTCCTCGTCGAGGATCTCGCCGATCCAGGCCGAGACGCGCTCGAGCAGGTCGATGCTAGACTCGATGGAGCGGACCAGGCCCTCGACGTCGGAGGGGATGGGGGCGGTGCGCGACTCGGTGTCCTTGGCGGAGGAGATGAGCTCGAGGGCGGAGCGCTCGGCGTCGTTGTAGGAGACGCGGTGGGGCACCTGGATGAACATGCAGCTCTCGGCGGCGCGCTCGGCGTTGACGGCGACGGGGGCCGAGATGTAGGCCTTGAGCTGGACGTCGGCGCCGGGGTCGGTGGAGACGGTCAGGTGGACGGCGGGGTGGGGGAAGGTGCCGGTCTCGGGGCTGGCGAAGAAGTTCTGGATGAGGGCGCTGAAGCTGTTAAGTTCGTGCGAGGTGGTGTACCAGCCCAGCAGGGTCTCGCGCGGGGAGGCCTTGAGGTGCAGGGTGAGCATGTTCTTCTGGTACTCGACGTCGACCTCGACCTGGTCCTCGTTCTCGGTGTGGGGGATGGCGAAGGCGGACGAGACGGAGAGCTCGCTGCCGTCCTCGGAACGGGATCCTATCAGGGCGCCGATGACACGGGAGGAGGTGGTGGGCGTGGCGGGGGCATCGCGGCGGACGGCGTGGTCGAGGATGGAGAGGATGGCCTGTGGGAGAGAGAGAGAGAGCCATCGCGTCAGCAGGAGTCTCAGGGATATGATGCCCAACAGCAACAGCAGCAAGGAGGTCAGTATCATACCGTCGGCTGGATGTTGACGGAGAGCGGGGCAATGTTGCTCTGCAGGTTGGCGACGGGGGCCAGAGGCCGCGACAGATGCAGGAACGACTCTTGATCCACAGCCATGATGGGTGGTTCGTAGGACGCCAGGGGGGGAGATTGACTGGATCTGGTCGTCGTCGTCGTCGGGGGGCCGTGGTGGTTTGGCGAGAGGGAGGGAGGTGTTTGATGTGGTGGTTCGCTGGTCGGGTTCCTCTGGCTGGGCTCGGATCACGGTCTTTCTCATTCGGGGGCCCCGGTTTTTTTCTTCGTCCTCGTCTTCCCTGTGGTGCTTCTACTGCTGGTGGTGGTGGTGCTGGTGTGCAGCCAGACCAATCCCAAGGCGCCGACGGACGAGTCGAAATTTCGGGCGAATTTTCAACTTTGGGCAGCGCATTCCCAGCGGGCGGGCGAGGGGTTGTGCGCGCTATGATAAGATAAGCCACGACAGCCCAGGACAGTCCAAGTGGGGGCAAAGAGCAGAACCAGACCCAGACGTCGTTCCAAGGTTGGACGTGGGGACCCGTAGAAAGTTTGGCTGGCTGCGTAGCACAAGGCTGAGGAACGACTGGGGTTCTTTTTCTGCGAGGCTGATGCTTCTTTTTTTCCCTTTCTCTGTCGCTATGAAACATTTACATGTGATTGACCAAGGGACCTGAGTGAGCCATCTTGTGAGTCGCGTCGCATCGATATACAGCACAGACCCAACACAGCCCAGCCCAGTCAAGTCGCCATGCCGCCTCGGGGAGGAAAGTTCTCCGCGGGCGTCAAGCGCCGTGCACCGGGTGGGAAAGGTGGGAAGGGCGGGAAGGGCGGGAAAGCCGGTCCGCCGACCAAGAGAAAGGCATACGGCCCCAAGTTCGATAGCTCGCGCCTGGCCGAGATAGAGTGAGTGCGATTTCTACTTCTACATCTACACCTGGCGGGCCGCCTCTCTCTGACAGCCAACCAACCAACCAGGGAGTCAGATAGTGAGGCATCGGAAGATGACCTACCGTCGGAGGACCCTTCTGACATAGATGACGACGATGATGAGGACTCGGAGGATGAGGATCAGGGCGCCTCGAAGAAGGCTTATCAAGCCCTGCTGCAGAGCTTTGCCAAGGCACAACCGCCCCAGGCAAAGCGGAGGAGGCTGGACCCCTCGCAGGACCAACCCATGCAGTCTGAGCAGGACCTAGAGGACAAACCAGCCCAGGGAGATGACGTGGATCACGTAGACGAGCCCGAGGAGGACCCGGCCGATGAGGTGCCGGTGGAAGACCAAGACTCGGACGACGAGGCCCCAGACGACACTGATCCTTTCGAGACACATTTTGCTCACGCCGACGAGGCAGACGTGTCCAGCCGGCTGAAGGCGATTGAGAAGCACGAGTTCTCCACGGCCCAGGTCGAGTTGAACAAGTGGAGGGTCACCAGAGTCCTGCCGGGCAAGGACTCGGCCCAGTCAGCCCGTGCCCCGGCCACCATGTCGTCGCCCGCGGAACTGAAGCTGAAGCAGAGAGTGGGCGAGGCCATATCGAAGCGACCCTCCTTCGACAAGCTCGAGCAGGTCCTCTACCCCCTGACGTTCGGCTACAACGACCTCCTGTTCTGCGGGCGCACACCCAAGAACGCAGACAGCATACGGCAGATGGCCTGCCTGCACGCCATCAACCACGTCTTCAAGACCCGGGACCGCGTCATCAAGAACAACGCCAAGCTCGCCAGGGAGGGCGAGGACACCGACTTCGAGCCGCGCGACCAGGGCTTCACGCGCCCCAAGGTGCTGATGCTCCTGCCCACGCGCCAGTCGGCCGTCAAGATGGTCAACGCCATCTGCGCCATCTGCACCCCGGACCAGCAGGAGAACCGCAAGCGCTTCGACGAGTCGTACCTAGACCCCTCGTCCAAGTTCTCGGACGACCGGGCCGAGGACTTCCGGGAGCTGTTCGAGGGCAACGACGACGACATGTTCCGCGTCGGCGTCAAGTTCACCCGCAAGACGGTCAAGTACTTTGCCGCCTTCTACAACTCGGACATCCTGATCGCCTCGCCCCTGGGGCTGCGCATGGCCATCGGCTCGTCCGAGGAGACCAAGGACAAGAGCAAGAAGCTCGACTACGACTACCTGAGCTCCATCGAGATGGTCGTCGTCGACCAGGCCGACGCCCTGCTGATGCAGAACTGGGAGCACGTCGAGTTCATCCTCGAGCACCTCAACCTGCAGCCGCGCGAGGCCCACGGCTGCGACTTCAGCCGCGTGCGTGAGTGGTACCTGGAGAAGCAGGCCCAGCACTACCGCCAGACGCTCGTCTTCTCGGCCTTCAACACGCCCGAGCTGTCGGAGCTGCACCGCCAGTGCGCCAACTGGGCCGGCCGCGTGCGCGTGCAGCCCGAGTACGCCGGCGCCATCCAGGCGCTGGGCGTCAGGGCCAAGCAGACCTTCTCGCGCTTCGAGGCCCGCTCCGTCGCCGCCGAGCCCGACGCCCGCTTCGAGTACTTCACCTCGGCCGTCGTGCCGGCCCTGGCCCGCCGCGCCAAGGACGCCCACGGCACGCTGGTCTTTGTGCCGTCGTACCTCGACTTCGTGCGCGTGCGCAACTACTTCGCCACCTCGGCCGCCGTGCAGAACCTGACCTTTGGCGCCGTGTCCGAGTACGCCAGCGTGCCCGAGGCGTCGCGCGCGCGCTCGCACTTCCTCAACGGCCGCCACCAGGTGCTGCTGTACACGGAGCGCGCCCACCACTTCCGCCGCTACGCCCTGGCCGGCGTGCGCCGCGTCGTCTTCTACGGCCTGCCCGACAACCCCGTCTTCTACCGCGAGATCGCCGGCGCTTACCTGGCCAAGAGCGAGGCCGACGCCCGCCTCGAGCCCGGCATGGCCCACGTGCGCGCGCTCTTCTCCCGCTACGACCTGCTCAAGCTCGAGCGCGTCGTCGGCAGCCAGCGCGTGGGCAAGATGATCCGCGAGCGCGGGGACACGTTTGATTTCATCTAGGACGATATAGTTGGCCTGTACAAAGAATACAATAGTAATGAGACCAGAGCCCAATTGGATAATGTTTGAAGTTGATGGGTAGCATGTGCCTCCCCCCTGGCTAGGTGCATTTAGCATTGTACAATTGGTACATTCTACAAATATAGATCTCTCTTGTACAGCGTATCGGATCGCATCTCGACCAAGCCCGACAGGCGTAAATATAGTACAGTGTCGTTCTCTTCCCACCCCTCCTCCTCTGCTGCTCCCGAGGTATGCAGTCAGCCAAACAAGAGCCCCCGTCGTCGTTCGGCCGTCCTCTACCGCAGAACGCTGATGTTCTTGTTCTCGCCCTTGCCGCGCACCACAACCTCCTCGTCGACATCGGCCTCGTCCCGGCTCTGCGTCCTGCTGCTGGCACCCTTCTTCCCAGCACGGGCGGTGCTGCCCTTGGGGTCCTCGGCGAGGGCGGCGATGCGGTCGTCGCGGCGGGCGCGGCGCTCGTCGGGGGTGGCGCCGAAGCCGAGGCCCTTCATCTGCTCGACCATGGCGTCGAACTCGGCGCGGCCGCCGGCGCGGAAGCGCGTGACCTTGCGGCGGTTGAGCTCGGTGATGGCGGTGGGCGCGCGGCCGAGGCGCTGGTCGCGCGCGCACGTCGCCGCCGTCATGTGGAAGCGCATGTCCTTGGGCCCGTCGACGAACTCCAGGATCGCCGTCGGCGCCTGGTCGTACGTCGACCGCGGCTCCGTCCGCAGCACCCGCGTGTACCCGCCCGGCCGGTCCTGGTACCGCTGGCGCAGCGTTGTGAAGAGCTTGGGGAGCAGGTCGTGCGGGGTCTGTTTGGGTGGGAAGTGGTCAGCTCGTCCGTCTGTCTGTCTGTCTGTCTGTCTGTCTCTCTTTGTATCTGTCTGCCTTTCTCTGGGCTTTGTGCAGGAATCCAAGCCCCGTAAGACAGTGATCATGAATCAATTGAGCATTTCTGTTCCGTTTACCAAGAGATCTCATCTCCATTTCTTGCCTGCGTCGTTTCTTTCGTTCCTTCGCCTTCCTCATTCCAAGTGTGACCCTCCGGGCAGATGATATAGGAGCGATAGAGAGCGGGATGGGAGACGTACAAAGAGGATACCCTGGGCCTTCCGGCGGGCCGTCTCGTTGTTGCGCTTGGCGAGGGTGATGAGCTTGTCGGCCATGCGCTGGGTCTCCTTGGCCTTGGCCCAGGTGGTGCGGATGCTCTCGTGCTTGACGAGCGACGTGACCAGGTTGCGCAGCAGGGCCATGCGGTGGGCGCTGCCGCGGCTCAGGTGCCGGTACTTGACCAAGCCGCCGGCCATCGTGACGAACGGGCTGGCGCTCTGCCTTAGCTGGACGGTTCGGGGGTTCGGGGGTTCGGGGGGCGACGGTGAGGATGTATCCGAGGCCGGTGGCGGTCAGTCGGTGTCGAATGGAGGGTTCGGCGTCGCTTTCGTTTCGTTGGCACACGCCTCTTGGGAAGGGTTGTCCTTCTGTCGTCGGTCCGGGTCGAGCTTTGGGAGCTTCAGCCTCGCGCTTCCAATTGGTCGACTGGGTTCGACGCCAGGATGGAAATTTTTGGGCAAAGCCGCATCCCGGGGCCTGGGCGGGCCGGGGGGTCGGTCCCTTGTTTTAGCGGCAGCTCTCGGCCTAAAGTGACCTAGTGCCTACCTGTAGTGCTTAGTGCCCGATGGATGCCAGCTTCACATGCTCACATTCACCAAGCACCAAGTATGCCATGATCTTGGTACTTTGGCTAGCGGTATGCATCAAAGCCTCCTTATGCACTTGAGTTGTGGGCATCATTGACTGGCTAAGCTACGACGTTTAGAGGTTCAGGAGGGTCGGATATGGTCTTGCTTCGAGAACAAAAGCAGACGATGCATCATCGAGCCTAGTGTGTTCCTCTCTCGTGGCACATGCTCATGCAGACATGGCCAGGTTATAAGTGGCATGGTAAACGGTTTACCTACAGCTCTCGCGTTTCCTGTAATTCCTCGAATACATATGGTGGCCTACGCAACTTGACAAGTCGCCGTGGAAATGGTCGTTCATGCCTGCTGATCTCCCGTCATTCTCCTCTGGTACATGTTCCACGTACATCACGATGTGAGGTCCGAGATTCTGCAAGTCGCCATCAATAGTGTACGCCACTTCTTGGCCTAAGACACAGAGCTTGTGGATCCGCTTCCGCCCGAAGAGACTCTTGTGGTGCGCCAGCATGACCGTACTGCCTGCAACATGGTAGGTGCCAGAAATCCCCTGAATGCTTTCGTTTGAACAGTCGTCGTGGTTTCCGGGATCTCAAAATCGACGCTGCCATCTATCGCCATGGCTTCTCTCCCGAAATCTTTCCAGGTAAGCTTCAGTGAATATTGACAGAGGTCCTCGAGCATTAGCAAGTGCCCTGTTCATTTCATACCAAGGGCATAGTATTGGGCATGTCAGTAGTTTCCAGAGGGTTCGCCGCCCTTTAATTATGACGTCCACAGGGGCCGCTGTTCTCTGTGTATGAAGAAAGCGGGCGCTTCCTAATCTTGTCGATCGGCTCCTCGGGCTCATATAGAGATATAGCGTACCTGCTAAACTCTCCAACGCGGATCGCTCATAGTTTTCACCATTCTTGACCGCCTCCGTCCCGCCCCGGCGAGGCGTATCTATAGATGTTATTGTGATAGTAACTGCTTCACAACGTGATGGCTTATCCTAATTTTGATTACATATAGTCATAAGGGCAGCTTTGCGTCATTTAGCTATGGCTTCCTTCATACCATTGTCACTTTATTAAGCACGCTACCAACATGGCAATCTCTGTTTCGTACCTGAAATACGCCATGTGTAGAACGGCATGGAACAAAGAAAAATGTCAGAGCCGGTTGAAGCCCAAGCCAGCTTTGGCAACAGGATGCGGTCGTCGTACAAATAAACCGTACTTGGCAGTAATCGCAACTTGCAAACAAGGTGGCAGTACGAAAAGAAGTTCGTGTTTGGATCTTCAACAGGTCGATAAGACGGTAGGATTGGGTTTGTGCAAAGAAAAGGCTTGTAGTATTGAGTTTACGGAGCATTAACCGACAAAGATACACTGCGTACTTGGGTACAAAGCGATCTTGAACAATATTCAACGTGATTCTCATAATTGCTAATTACTCCACCGTCTGTTATTACTCATGATTGCACAGTCGCGAAAACTGAGCTAGTCGACACCCATATTTTCGCTGACATCCACATCTTCAGAGCGCAGACCTTCTGGCCAAACCTCCTTGCCAGCAGCGTCACGCGTATTATCTGGCTTGACGAATCGACTAGGTCTCACAGACACTGCTGAAGTCGATTGGATATCGTTATTCATCGACGTCTCGGCTGTGTGACGAAGATGCCTTGGTGACCTCCACTACGCGGCGTCGAATTCGTTGCCTAAGTGCCAACAGCATGTCCGCCCCACCGCGCGCGCGCGCGCGCTTCCTAGTCAAATCATACTCATCTTGGCCACCTCACCATCGCTGCGTCGCCCTCACCACGCCTAAGGTAAGTAATCAAACAAATTACTCGACACCCGTGCGGCTACCAGACTTGAATGATGCACAAACGCAATGCGCACGCTTTCCTCTTGTTTCGCATTATTTGCCAGCCGGCTTCACTCCTCTAGTCGTACGCAGGACCTGCGCTTCTACTGTCGCGCTGTGTCAACTTTTAGTGGTGCCTCCTGCAAAACCCCTATCATCATGGAACCCTCGGTGCACGAAGCTATCTATCAATGGCACGAGGGAGTTGAAGACCTCGAGGACTATAGTCCAGGCGGGTTACATCCTGTCCACTTGGACGAGACTTACCATGGTGGGCGATATCGTATCGTGCACAAGCTGGGCTTTGGAAGCTTCTCTACCGTGTGGCTGGCCTGGGACACGCTACGGCACAAGTTCGCTGCTCTTAAAATTCTAAGAGCTGATGTATCCCAGAAAAACACAGAGAGTGTGATTTTGGCCCGCCTTGCCGCTGGCCAAGCTGAACATCCCGGGCGCAGTTATACCACAACATTAGTAGACAGCTTTTTTATCGCAGGTCCCAATGGTCGTCATCAAACAATCGTTACCGAGGCGGCTGGGTTCAGTGTTGCTATCTCCAAAGAACTAAGTACCACGTGGATGTTTCCGGTCCAAGTGGCGCGAGCTATAGCCGCACAGCTTTTGCTAGGGTTGTCCTATGTTCATTCGTGTGGCGTGGTGCATGGCGGTAGGTCACCCAGCATTTCATTCCATTATCGCAGACTGAGACTGACAGTAGCTCAGACATTCACACGAACAATGTGCTTTTCAAACACTCATGCTTTTCTTCGCAGTCCGTGGAGGAGCTTTACCAACGAGTTGGCGAACCGCAGAGATTGCCAGTAAAGCGCCTTGACGAGCAACCGCCAGGCCCCGAGGTACCGCGATATTGCGTGCCCTCCGCATCCATTGTTATCTCCGCCGAGGACGTTACCAAGGCCGACATAATTATCGCAGACTTCGGCGAAGCCTTTTTATGTGAAACCGGCAGTCGTACCGATGTGAACCTGCGCACGCCCCTCTTACTCTTGCCTCCCGAGGCCATCTTCCACGAAGGCGTTAATCAAGCGGCAGATGTGTGGACGGCAGCGTGCACTCTGTACGAAATTCTTGGAGAAAGGCCTCTGTTCGAGGGATTTATGGCAGACGAGGATCTTGTTGTGGCCGAGATGATCAGCACCATAGGTCGTCTTCCTGAGCATTGGTGGAGTTCCTGGGGCGCACGGCGAGATTATTTCCTTGAAGATGGATGCTGGGACACAAACACGACCAAGATGCATGAGCCGCGCTCTCGGCCTCTGGCCGAGCGATTAAGGATCATGGGCCGCGGTGATGGCACGACCAGCTCTGAATTTACCACGCAGGAGTTGGCTGCTATCGACGATTTGTTGGGCTCGATGCTTACGTACGAGCCAACTCGCCGCATCACAGCAAAGGATGCTCTGGACAACAGATGGATGACGCAGTATGGCCTACCGGCTATTGAACAACTTAATGCAACACCACCAACAGCCTGATCGGCGGGCCATTGGCTTCTGCGCGGAATCGCCATGGCAGAATCTGTCGAACATCTCGCCAATAATATTTCAAACGGCTCCTATCCGAGGCAGACATGCACCTCGCTGATAGGTCGAAAGTTGTCGTATTCCTTGTCCCTCTTTTACTTCCAACAGTTACGTGACACCCAAGAACTCATCCACCGGGCTGTCTAGCACGTCGTATCTGGCATGCGTGCCTACAATTTGGCGTCCACAAACTCGAAATCGAAGCCAGAATAAACAGGCACCGAAGTGCGTGCGATTTTGATATACGTAAGCTCTACCATGGTCAATGTGTTGGCATTGGTGATCGGACACTTGATAGGGCTTAGGGACCGCGCATGTCATTTATAGACACCCCTGGCCGTAACGAAAGCACATTGAAGTATTTATCTCAAAAGCTGAAAGTTAAGACATAATTACAGTTGTGAATACAACAGGCTATCAATGCAGGGGTTGGTGCGTGCAACGCCTCCGATTCTTATTTCTAATCCACAAATTAGCAGCAGAGCTTGATGCGAGCCGACAGCAGGACGTTATGAGCAAGTTTAAGAGAAATCCTCTTTGTTCAATACGCTTCACATACTGGGCTATTCCTTAAGAGCACTGAAGATGATTCCGTGTCTAGATATGAAATCCGTGGGTGCTTTCGGGGTCTAATAATGCACAGCCCTATTGGGCATCAACACCTGCTGTCGCACAGGCCCCAACTCTTCTATTGTGGTCGCAATCCACGTGCAGTGATCGCTGAGAAACCTGCAAGAACTTGCTGGAAGAGTCCCACTCTGATCAGGCTGCGTAGTTTCTTGATTGACTGGACAACACTCTGCAGCCGGATATAAATTGTTTACCCCCTTCCCCCTCCCCCTACGCCCCCTTCCTTGTGCGACAGAATCTTTTGAGCGAAGGCTGTGCATAAACTCCATGTGAGACCGATTGCATAATGAAGGAGGCTGTACCGTAGCCTGCTTTCAGATATTTCAAAATGAAACTTTCTTGTTAATGGACTTGCTTCGAGATCTCGGGTCGTTTCGTTATTCTGATATGTCTCAGCATCCGCAATCCAAGAAAATCTGCCCACGTACGAACGGTCACCATCAATTTAGCGAAAAGGTTTCCTCAACCAGCTGTTGGCGCCGCTGAAGCGATAGACATACAGGCAGTGATTGACCTTGACGTGCAGTCGACGAGGAATAGGGTAAGCGGTACTGGCAGTACCGTCTGTCTGTTGTCTGGCGTCAAGCACCCAGAGCCAACTCTGGCCTCGAGAACACTTGCGAAGAAGACAGCGTCCTTTCAAAAATCATCCACGACGACTATAAATTCTTCGACTCGGTCTCGGTGCCATAATTGCGCTAAGCATCGCGTAGACAGGACCCTTGAAGGTAGGGCAAAGGCGCTCCACCCATTGCGTATATGAACGTAATGTACCACTGCGCGAGCTTCAAGCTCACGACAGCGCAAGTCGTGGCCCATGGGGAGCTCTGTCCCGGCTTTGGACACGTGCTATATCCGGGAGACCTATTATTACAATCGGTCTTGCTCTCATCACTGCCATTCGGTTGGTAATGGATCCCTTTGCGCAACAGATCGTCTCGGTTTCAATGGAAAAATTTGCCCCTTAAATATTCACAAGCTCCTTTTTTACTACGAAAGTGGCAGATTCAATATCGGGAGGGTGGACCTACGATGGCGCAGTAGTCATGGCTAGTAAGTTAGGCATCAATTTCTATTTACTTCAAGCACTTACCTTTTCTCTCAGATCATGATAGGATCTACGCAGCTTGGAGAGCTGCATTCTTTGCTGGGCTTTATGGTATGAACCTGCCGAAAGAACTGTCGTGCCCCACCGGAAACTGTACTTGGGAGTCTTTCACTTCGCTTAGGGTTTGTAGTACGTGCGAAGATATCACAAAAAAAATAGCAGTTGTGCGAAATGGGTCACTGACTGACTATGGCATACAGTTTTATCTGCCAGGAGGGTTTTCTTTCTTCGCTATCAAATATCGAGTAGGACCTATGATGGCAAATGCCCAACACGATTCTCCAGTAACGGATTCGGAAAGAATCTCGCAGCTGGCAATTATTGCATCCCAATATGGTTCCCTATGGAATGATACTTTCTTAGAGTCGCGTGATGGCCTGGTTGCTTACCAGTGCGCAATAGATTGGTGTAGAATTTTATTTCAGAACTTCACCGTAGTAAGCACTGAAAAATTCCATTGAAATTGTTTTATCGAAATTAATGCACTTGTGCCAGCTACATGGAAATCTACAGCCATACTCCTACAATACCATCCCCCTACGGATTGCCACCGGAGGACCCAAAATGGATGAAATATTTAATTTGGAATTGTCCAGGGGTACAGAAGACTTCCACCACTTACTGAATCCTGATTTATTAACTTTCTCCGTTAGTATAATGGATCAACTAGAGATGGCTAAACTTTTTGACCAGACGTTCGCCCCCACCATAATGGATCAGTTTTTCTCTTTCATTATTCAAGGACAATTCAAGTCACTGAGCGATATACCACTAGTGATTTCCAATATGGGTAAGCACTTTCAGATGCTATACGGGTTGGACGGCGGAATGCGACAGACTCCCACGGCACTGTTTGGCAGACGAATGCTATTGTAGTCATGCGTTGGCCATGGCTGACACTGCCAATTGTTGTTATCACAGTGGGATCAGATCTATCCATCGCTACAGCAATAATGAATGCCCGTAAGGGCGTTCTTGTTTGGAAATCGTCTCTGAAGCCCCTGACACTGTATACCCCGCAGTCATGACTCCACACATGGGGGAGAGGACATCATGTGCCAAAACGGTTATGGCGGATAGAGAAGGAACAGATTGGTCGATGTTCAAGTTACTTTCTTCTAAATGGGTTCCGCGTCGGAATCTCTTTTTGACTTCTTGTAATTACGTGAGCGTCATAGTGTACGGTGGCTTCGTAGTCCGAATTTGTCACCAACATCCATCATCAATTCAGTACGCTTAATCACGTATAGTAGCACTTTAGCGTATCGAAATGCAAAAGCCGTTCTTTAGGTATAGCAAAGCCAAGGTCGTTCATACGTTGGTCGTCCCACAAGGCAAACCCGAACTTTCGCCAGTCATCGAACTTCCTGGAAAAGTCTTGCCTCATTCTGAAATCCCTTGAAGTAAGGATCCAGAACTTGAATGCCATAGAGTTACGGAAAAGGTAGCGCTCGCCTAGGGAGCAATCCTCATCTTTTTGACTGGGGAGAAACGGTTTTGAGGCGCAATTAGTGTTGAACTTGCTCCTGACAGTTCTACAAGATGGCCGACAAGTATACTCATGCCTGTTCCCACCCCTCGGATTATCCATGATGAAGTCATCAGCTGTCAACATCTGTTGTATCTCATATTCAATAATTTTGTAGAAATCGCGGAGGTTCGTTGAGGCCATGGTCTTTAAGTCCTCTTTTGGCCAAGGCAAACGGTTTGAATGCTCCGCAGTCTTCAGTTCCCAGAAGAAATGGATGTACCACAGCGAACTAATGGTACGTTGTTCCTCTATCCAGGAAGGTGGGCCAGTCGCACGAGGCGTGAATGGGTGAGGCTTGCTCTGTCAAAAAGATCTCGGTATCCGGCTTCTTTGACCCCAAGTTCCGTTATGAACGATGGGTGCATGGCTAGGGATGCCTGAATGTAGTGATCAATGCAGTCATGAGCCAACACATGTATGTTGTGCGCCAGGAAAAGGAAGCACCGAAGAAACTCATGACCACCAACTTCCACCGCAGTCAATGGGGCCGATTCGTTCCAGTAATCTTCTGGGCCTGTTCTAGACCGGGGGCCGTTAATGACTGTGTGCGAATCACGGCTCGAATAAGCCTGCGGACCTGGAAGGGGACAGTGGCCACTAGGAGGGCCTCTGTTATCTCGAGCGCATAACTGTCAAACAGTGCTCCGCAAGTAGGTGAGGCTTCGGTAACACTCCATAGCGTGGACAGCCCGTCACATGATTTGATCACATTCAGAAGAATTTCCGGTGGCAGTTGACTAAAGGGGTCTCGGCGTGGGGAGGTTTTCGATATGATGGTGGCCATAGTGTTGCCAACCGACTTATCGCCGCTTTCCTCGTCAAGAATAGTATCAAATCTTTGCCGTGGCCTACTTCTGTGAATGGCAATTCAGAAGTCTCCGCCTTGTGCCCCGGTGTATCGGCTCACGCTCGCCAAGCGTCGTTATTGGCCTTGACCTGGAGCAGTCCCACAGGAGATGTGATCAGTCACGTAGACTTGGGCCAAAACACGTTGGCCATGGAGTCCAGCTCCTGTTGTATAGTGATGTTGGTTCTAAATATGCGGGATGGCGGATAGAGTCTGCCCCACGATGGCTTGTGACATGGGCGCGTACCCCACTCTAGCCACTTCAGTTATCCCCCTCAGCCTCCCAGGTCCCCGTCGATAAATTCATCGTCGATATCATCGACATTCGTACAATCAAACGCTGTTGTCTTCGCCATGCGGGCGCGCCTTGAAGGAGACTACCTCGCTCTCCCTCCACCCGAACGAGGCGAGCAAACTGAGACCTTGTCGCCCGAGAACCTAGATGGGGAGCATTTGAATGCCCTTACCACAGCGCTAGACCATCTCCTCCGCACAGAATTAGCCGAGTTCACATACGCCCAGATCATTGATGGGTATCCCACAACGGATTCTTTCCACCAATTTGATTGGCGCCCGGACCTTCCTGACCACCCCGTAAAGCTGCATACAAGTCTATGCGATGGTGTTCTTGAGCAGGCTCGAGCCTTCGGAGCGGCGTTCGATCCGTTATCCCTCAGATTCAAGCCATGTGTAAATCATACTCTACACACGCCAGTCTATAATTATATACTAACTTATTCGAAGACACTGCAGGCTTTCCAAGATCAGGCTCTGGGTAGCCAGCCCTTTCATTTACGGCTATTTGAGTTGCTCGCCGTCTCATGCCACCAGATTGCTGTATTCTTGTTCGAAAATGGACACAGCCGTCACAAACAAGAGTACGATAAGTGGAGAGCGGAGCAGGAAAGCTTGAAAGAAGCCGGGGATGAGAGGTATCGTTGGCGGCATGTTCCCCCTCCAGTAGTATTCTATCACCCGGAACACGTTGATTACGAGCAATACCCTCGCCGCTTTTCTGATGTGGTGGGTTACTGGGCGGAAGCAAAGATTTTTGGGGGCGTCTTGCTATTTGATCGTGGAGAGTCTGACACCGATGTAAGTGTGGAAGGGTGGGGGACCGAAATGCTAAGATGTGTCACCGATGGCCATGCTAACCTTGGGTCAGTGTAAGCAAGTTTTCCTGCACTCAGCATTGCTATCCGGACCGACTACCATCTTCCCACCTACGGTTGACCAGCTCGAAAAGCTCGTCTCCTTTCTGGGGCTGGAGTCCGAAGACTCGGATGCTGCCTCCACAGCCTGCCCCTTGCCAATACTAGCCTCTAAATTCAACCGACCGCGATGGTACCGCTATCACGCTACCAAGTATTTTCACATCTTTCGAGACAAGTACGACAGTCGATTGCCGCTCCGATTTCCGTGGCCGGACAAGCTCGTGGGGAAAGATTTTCCAGAGTTGGATGATCAGCTATGGCTAATGAATCACGAGGATCAAGTGGCCAATGATCATGTGCCTCTAGATGAAGCTGCAGTTACAGCTGCGAAGCAGAGTTTAAAGAATATCACTCCCTCTTCTCCACTATGGGGTTACGATGGAAGATATTTATAGTAAGACAGATTATACTAGGGGTTGTTCTGCGTAAGGTTGATTAGGGGTGGTGAGGCCAGTCTCAGGCAGCTTCAGTCATGTCTGCTGAATAACAGCTCAGGTCCCACTGCGAAGAGCTCAGGTTCGAAAGTGGAAGTGAGATCTGGCGAAGAAACTTTGTTAGGCAGACCCCCCTGCGGTTTCACCAGTGATCATCTGCCTCTCCTCTCTCGACTCTGGCTTATGTTGGCTGGGAGTGCGAGAGTGCTAGCTCCTTGGCAGGGACTGTTCATCAAAATCAGGTCGCTAAGTCCTGTCTGCCATGCAGCCATGATTGGCTCACAAGTAGTGAAATAATACCCAAGAATCCTGGCTGAATAGGTACCTGTTCGTAGTGTGACTTTCCCTTGCATCCTGGGCGCGTCCGTACCCGCAGAAATGTGGCATGGTAGATATCACATGTCCATCATTGATTGGTCAATCATACTTACGAGCAATGATCAGCCTACCCATGTACCTTCCTTGCATCTGCAGAACTCCGGGTCTCGCAGCATGAACTATAAGAGTCTCGATGGCACTCACCTCTTTACCTTTAAAGTCTTCACTCTTTCGACTAAGCCTACTATATGTGAGCCCAGTCGCAACCATGGCTTGTCCGACGCTACCGCAGGCTATTCTGAAGATTATCCCGGGCGATGAAATTCTTCCGACAATGGAGAGAATTGTGGCAGAGATCCGCGAGGTTCGTGAGCGCGTTGCGAGAACCACCCAGCCGCCACAGGCCTGCTTCAAAAATGTCATCAAGCCACTCATTGATATTGAGAACGAAACGCAAGGCGCCGTTGGGGTCATGGCAATGCTGCGCTACGCTTCGCCTGACGCAATTTCTCGGGAGGCATCGGATAAAGCTTGCAAGCTCTGGGTAGAGTGCGAAGCGGAGTTCAACTCAAGGGAAGATCTCTATCTCCTAGTTAAAGCGGTCAAGGACAAGTCCGAGCCGCTTGCCCGTGAATCAGCCAAATATCTTGATAGTCTACTTAAAGATTTCAGGCTTTGTGGCCATGGGGTGCTTACCGTCGACGAGATCAAACGATACTCCGAAACAAAAAATCACATTGAAGATCTGCGGCGCGAGTATAATCGGAACATCCGCGACGACGATGGTAAGCAGAGATTCTTACTTCAGGAACTAGCTGGAGTACTCCCTCGGGACCTTGATCGTTTTATCACGGTTTCGGAGGCCAGGCAAGACGTGGTATACGTTCCGCTAGGAAGGAATGATGTTGATGCTTTGTTGGAGCATGCATCGATTCCCTCAACTCGGAAAAAGATATACGTTACCAACGCGCACAAGCTGCCGCAGAATGTGGAGATATTGAAAGAGATTGTTGCGAAGAGAGATGAGAATGCACGTCTGCTCGGGTACGATAGCCATGCCTCTCTCAAGATCGAAAAGCGTGCTGCCAGATCTCCAGGCTGGGTGATGAATCTGCTAGAGGAACTGGAAAAAGGAATATTACCCCAGGGACAGCAAGAGATGGACCATTTACTGAAGCTACGCGCGAAAGATTTGGCCAAGAATCAAGTTCTTCAAAATGATGATGGCCATATACCACCATGGGACTTCTGGTATTATGCCCGGGTTGCAGAAGAAAACTTCCAGGTGGATCACACCAAGATCTCCGAGTATTTCCCCATGCGGACTACTGTTTCTGCTATGCTAGATATATTTGCATCGTGTTTGCAACTACAGTTTACGCCGCTCCCATCCGCGTTGTTGGAAGGCCATGTTTGGCATGAAGAAGTTGAGGTGTGGGCTGTCTGGGATAAGAGGGACACCTCGAGAGATGACTTTATTGGATACATCTATACAGACCTACTGTCGAGGCCTAACAAGTATCGGGGCTCGCAGAATGTGAACATTCAAAGGGTACGTCTCTTGTGTTTCCCCAAAGACCTTCAAAGATGACTCGAAAACGACTTAACACGAGTTTAGGGCTACCTGAAAGACGATGGTAGCAGAGTGTACCCTGCGACGATCCTAATGTGTAGTTTTCCCCGCCCAACTAGTTTAGGGAGTGATTTGCTCAAGCATCACGAAATCGTATCCCTTTTCCACGGTAAGCAATGTAAACCTTTCCTTTAATTTGATTACTGGCCAGGCACATTGCTGAAAGAACGTATCAGAACTTGGACACGGAATCCATGACCTTATCTCCAGGACCTCATACGTCAGGTTCCATGGCCACGAGGTGGCACGTGAATTCGAAGAGGCATTGGGAGTCATGCTCGAGAATTGGTGCTGGACGAAAGAGGAACTGAGGAGCATGAGTTGTCATTATACCGCAACGGACCCCAAAATTTTGGAATCGTGGAAAGCCAAAAATCCGGGAGCACCCGTTCCGCCAAAACAAATCCCGGATGCCATTCTGGACAGTCTTGTCGAAAGTCGCAAAACAAATCGGGCCATATGGTTTCTACGCCAGCTGTAAGTTGATCTAGTGCAAAGCAGGGAGTGCATCATACTAAATGATTTGCCTGCGCAGCGCTTTTTCGCAATTCGACATGGCTATCCACCACCTCAGTAGTCACGAAGATGCGCTAAACCTAGCCCCGTCAGATATCTATCACAGTCTTGTGAAGAGATTAGCCTTACTCGAAACCCCAGATATCCAAGACCGCGGATATCCATTCGCCAGTATTGGACACTTGATGGCGGGATACGACGCGGGTTACTTTTCCTACATCAGGTAAGTCTTTGCCTATAGTTGTTGCAATGGCGCTTATTTTGGTATAAAAATCACACAATTGACTGATAAAGTGCTTACGTATTTGCTGCGGATCTTTTCGAGACCGCGTTTGCGAAAGACCCACGCGATCAAGATGTTTGGGCCAAGTTTCGGCGCGATATCCTCGAGCCTGGAGCAAGCCTCGACGAACTAGATATGTTGGAGAGATTTCTTGGCCATCCCCCGAGCGCGGAAGCGTTGCTCCGTAATATCAGGGGGAACTGACTAGGTAAGAAAACCAGACCGTTACTTACGTACCGCTGAGCCGACAGACGACGAGAAAAATAAATTCACTTCAACTTCCCACGTCCGGAAATCTTACAGTCTTCGTTGCCTGGTCCTACTGTAACACTGCTAGTATGGCCCCTATAGGGCCACGGCGTTAAGTCCACCTGCTTGCTATTGGCTACAGACTTATGTTGCTGGGTACCAATTGCCAAATTGTCACTGGTATGGTCTAAGTTGGGGTGGAACAGCTGCTCCTTGGGCAGAGAATGGTTTCCTTGGTATAGAGTTGTCTCTTCCCTGCACGGATGAGGAACTCAACGACTTCGCGCTCGAATTTGTGGATGAGATCTCTTTAAAGCAGCGGTCAAAAGTGGTTATGTCAATGTTATGCAGTTATGCATATGTGCGATGCCGGTCTGGGATTAGTGGCGGCTAGACTAAGCGCGACTTTCGTCATTTTCCGGGACGGCGAGCTCCAGCAGCCAACCTCCAAGGAAAAGTCGACGGTCCTCACTGGCAATTGGGGATTGGGATTGCGCAACTACTAACGCAACAAGAGTGACCTGCCGCCAGCCCCCCTTCAGCTCCCAGACGTAGCCCGATCAATTGGCACGTCAATAAGGACACCCGCGCCCCGGTGCGCTCACATTCCGACCGCACCCGTCATCATGGGCTTCACCACCGGCTTCGTAGGTCCCGACCGTCTTCAACCCATCTTGCACCAGGGCTAATGCATTGCCGCAGACCGGAGGCGTCACCCTGACCCTCTCGCTCGCCTACCTTACAGTCCTCGCCCACCAGCGGAACCGTGAGCGCCAGTCCGCCATCCTGCGCGCCAACAACCTCGTCGTCTCCGGCATCACCGACCCGCTCCCCCCCCTCCACCCGCCCACGCGCTCCGAACTCGCCGCTCTAGAGCGCGCCAACCTCGTCGAGTCCGCCAAGGACAAGTGGAATGCCGAGGTCGAGGGCGCCGTCCGCTGGGCCCAGGAGACGGACTGGGTCGAGGTACGGGAAGGCCTCGAGAGCGCAGCTGGCCGCCTGTGGGGGCGTGCCCTCGGGAATGCTGTTGATGGAGCCGAGAAAGCTGAGAACAAAGCTGCAAGATTAGCTGGCGAGGCTAAGGACGACGTCAAGAGCGCTGCCGACGCAAAGGCGGCAGGTGTGGCCGAGGCTGCGAAGAGCGCATATGCCGATGCGAAGGCTCGTGGCTCCGATGCTCTGAGCCGGGGTGAGAAGCAGGCAGAGGAGGCCAGGGGCTCGCTATTCAGCGCCGTCGGCAAGGGGATCGAGAAGGGCAAGGAGGCCTTGGGTCTCGCCAAGGACAAGGTGGTGGGTGCTGGCGAGAAGGTCGAGGGCAAGGTTGACGAGAAGCTGAATCCCGTCGAGAGGACGCTGAGACAACGGTACGAGAAGCCCAGCGGCGTGAACCAGACCGTTGAGGAGGCTCTGGCCGAAAGATATCTGCCCGTGGACAAGCGGGATAATACCGTATTGAGGGGTGTATAGAGTCGTAAGTCACTTTGTTCATCGGAACCTAACAGACAAACTGACTGATGCTGAAACAGGCAAACCAACCCATAGACCGATTGTACTATAGCATCACTTCCCTCAAGGACACTTGTTGTCATAATTATGAAACCCAGATCATGACTCAACGAAGCCGAGATGTCCTTCACATCACCAATTTCTACAAACCCCACCGTAGCCCATGCCATTGACCCTGTTCTTTTCAACTTACTGACATACCTATCAACGATCAAGCGTGTCTAAATGCACTACAAGGTGGCCAAGTTGAAGAGTGGAAGGGTAGCCACAGTTGCTCGCCACTCCACGAGGAAGAGTGCTCGGCCTCGGACTGAGGCATCTTCCATGCCTTGGTGGAGGAGAATCTTTCGCAGAAGAAAATCTCGAAACCGCAGGCGCTACAGTTCTAGACATACCCGTTTTCAAACTTGGGAACAAACGCAAAGCCTGTCGCTCCCTGCCTATAGCTTTCCATCGTCCAACTCAAGCTCTACATCTGAGAGCTCTTCGAGTACTACGGGCTCATCACTCTCTAGCTCGGCGCTCGAGCAACCATCTCAGACAAAACAGACCTCTCCGGTCCGGTCCACCCGTAGGCGCCGGCATCACTCGGCTCGACGACATGCCACTCCAGCATCACACCGTACTTCACCCAATTGGCGACTAGCTTCGATACCAGCACCCTCTTTCGACATTCCACGCTCCGCACCCTCTCCGCCCCCTTTGCTACCTCCGCTGCCCGACAACATCCCGCAGAAGAACCTCAAGCCGCGAGCTAAGCGCAACTATGATCGTGTACTAGTCTGGCAGTATCGTAATCAGCATGGCGACACTACTGAGAAGGCTACGGATGCGCTTGTCAAGCAAGGGGTCATTGACCCCCCGCCACCGCCTGCTGACGCCAATACTGGGATTGATTGGACAGCAAGCCATAATGTCAGAGCCGAAGCCTCTTCTGCAGAAAATCTGAGACGTGGAAGAGGAAGGATCGACTATAGACACAGACGTAGAGGACGAATGCCGGCAAGACCTGCCAAACAAGGATACAGGAAGCCCCGAGACGACGACCTTCCTGGAAAGACGGAAACTGTTAGTGTCAGCCCGGCTCCGTTGGCTCCAGAATCCATGTCTTCTCCAAATCGACAAAAACCTCTGCCATATTCTAGCGCTCCAAAGCACCTAGCAAATCCAAGCAGAAGTGGAAGTCGCTCAAAACATAACATCATGCCCGACGTCATATCCACGTCTGTTAGCAACCATCCCTTAACGAAACCAACCAGCCGTGAGGCACATAAGCAACTACCTACGCGATCATCGACAAAGCCTCCCAGTACATCTTCTGGCCAACATCACGACTATAAGTCCCCAAGTCGTTCGTCCCGGACGAATCCAGTTCCACATGATTCGACCAGACAACATGACACGGTTGCATCTCAAGCCCAAGATCCTCCACCCACAACTTCTCAACAGCCTATTCCCACGTCAACAAGCGGGGTAGTGCTACTACCGGGAACCCAGCCTAGCAGTCGAGGACTATCGGCAATTCAACAGCCAGGGGCTGAGGCGCAACCGAACACAGCACCAACGCAAGCAGCCGTGAAAGTCAGCAATGCCAATGCAAAGCTTGCACCAGACGCTTCCGCCCTGCTTGCGGTGCTACCTGCCCACCAGCCCACCAAGCAAGCAGCATCAGTGATGCAGCTTTCCATCGACGATACGACCCTGGCTTCAGCCCAGACCCAGGCCGACACGCCACGTGCAAACATGGTCCCGGACATTCGTACGACGTTGGTGAATGATCTAACTCGAAGTGCCGTACCTGGAACAATCAATGGTACGAGGAGGGATCCACAAGAGGGCAAACCCGCCGCGAGCAGCAGCCAAAAGCCCGGAGGTCCTCCGCGCCTTACGGATGACCTGACGCGAAGTGTTATCCCGGGAGCACCAGGGAACCCAACCAACGCTGCGAAGCCAGCTGCCGTGCCCGGCCTAGCCCCGCGACGTCCAGCACACGATTTGACGCGTTCTGCCGCCCCAGGAGATCGGTATATGTCGAACTCATTGCGCGGCGGCGCCTTACATCTGCGCCACCGGGATTCCAGGCCTAGGAGGCGGAAGTCTAGCGCATCCCGGAGAAAGAGATGCAGAGTAGATGATGTTGTGTCACCATGGTACGCAACTGTTCCAGGGTTTATAACAGAAAGTTCTGAGATTTTTCATGTTGCACCCTATGGGGAAAACGGGTTGTTACATCTCGGTGCTTTTAGAAACGCGAATTTCGGGCATGTATTTGCGGAAGTAGAAAGACACACAGCCTGCTCAAAATTGTCTTCGAGACGCAAACATAGTTGATCACGAGACTGCATGTTACCAGGTCAAGCACTGCTACCAGAACTGACTGGGAGTGGCTGGTAGCTCAAGGGTCCACAAGCGCGTCTCGAGGACGGTGGCAGCAACTTTTACAACACTCTACGAGAAAACCGAAATGTGTCAACCACTTTGTGCATTCAAATAGTCATAATATAGACTTACCATGCTGCTAAACAAGCCCTGGCGAGCGGGTATAGACTGGAGCCACCGGCACGGCCAGGCCGGACTTGCCATTATCGGGGAACCCGATTACATCCGGGGCCACAATTTATGGAAATTCCACAGAACGGGGAACTGGGGCTCCCTCGGACGCTGGACGACCAAGATCGGCACCATGATGTTCGGCCCGCAAATCCTCGCCCAACGCCACAAGCCTTCTTCGTTTGACCAACCGGACGTGCTCGCACCAAGGCGTGGCCATTATAGATCGAGCCGGCGCTACAGCTCGACCACCTCGGATCTAGGCACCGACTACAGCACCGACCAGGACTCCCTCTGGGACACCATCTACGACCGCGATGTCCCCGCGCGGGGCCGGACCACGTCCCCGATCCCGGGCGACCTGCGCGAACTGGTCCAGCGGGACCCGAGCCCGTCACCCCGCGGGCGCCGACGCCAGGGCCAGGGCTTTGGGCCAACCCTGTCCCACACGATGCCACGCCGCCGCCACAGTAGCCCGGAGCTGGGCCTTGAGGGCCGCAGATCCCGGGCCCCCATCTTCACGGTCAGTATGTCGCGGTTGCTGCCCCGCCGCCTGGAGGATAAGCTGGATCTGTGCGGTGAGGCGGCAAGGGCCCGTCCGCCGGTCGAGATTGAAAGCGAGGAAGAGGCGGTGCAGATCGCTCGGGGGATGAGGCGGCTGGAGAAGCGGGCCGTGCTGTTGGGGAGGGGTGCCCTTCGGAGGGGTGGCTCGATGTTGCGGAGAAGGAGAAGTGGTAGATACGATCAGGAGATGCCTAAGCCGAGCTCTCAAGACAGTAGTATGAATGAGGAAACAGATCACAGTGAAGACAACACTGAGGACGATGACGTGGAGATTATGGGTCATAACGATCACGTCTATGATGTTTGAATAATGCTCGCATTTCTAGGATTACTTTTGCGAGGGCGGGCTTTATTATCTGGCTGTGGAATGATATCGCAGGCTTTACAGTTAGGATACTCTAACTTACACAACAGAGTTCAAGCCGTTGAACTTATTTACATGTAATTGACCTATCTAAATCTAGTAACAGAACTATATACAGTGCGTAATCTCCAATGCGTTGACCGGTCCTATCAATGCTATGCTAGACGAAAAAGCTAACCCCAAACTTTTGACCTTGAATCAAGGTGCCTGGCTTTGAAAGGTCGCGTTCTCTGTACCCCAAGCGCTCTTCAAACTCCACTTGCCAAACCACTCACCAATTACTGCGCTTGCATTCCATGTCGTGGGTCCCAATCGGTACTCATCCAGGATGCCACCATAGTATACGGTACTTGGCCACCCATGTCCCAGGCCCTTGACCTTGTAGTGAACCATCACATCCTCGAGGCCATTGCACGTCCACGAATACTTCGTGATATTGCCTCCGTTGAGTATCTGCGTCGAATTGGTAGACAATCCCGTAAGGCCAGCATGGTCTGGAGCAGAGGTGTTACAGCCATTGAGCGAGCCGAGTTTCTCCAGGTAGACGGGTATCGGGTACATGGCCGGGCTATCTCCATTGTTGCCATCGTAGGCCACGACCTTGTCCTCTTCACCGTGGATCTCCAGGTACGGGATCGTGACGTTTTCGCGCCCGCCTCCGCAGCCCGCGCCGAACAACGGCTCCGTCATCTCGTCGTCCGGGTAGTACGCACCGCCGACCGCAGCCAGTGCAGCGAACCTCCCACCCACGGTACCGTTGCAAGATAACAGCGCCGTGAGACTGCCCCCGTTGCTGAACCCGCTGCCATAGATTCTGTTGGTGTCGATGCACAACTTGGACTGCAGGTCGTCCAGGACGTCGGAGACGAACTGGATATCGTTGATGTAGCTAGAATTGGGAGATAGTACGTCGCCGAGGAACTGGTTATCTATTCCCTCGGGATACACAGCAATGCCGTTCGGGTTGAACTCGGGTGTGGAGAAGAGAGTGTAGTTCTCAATGGACCGCGTAGGCTGGTATTAGCCATTGAAGGTCAATAGTAACGGCGCGGGTTTGTCATTGGAGTAGCTTGCGGGCAGGTGGATTCGGTATTGTCGGTGCTGCAGCGTCTCGTTCGGGCTTGATAACGGAGAGAGAATGCTTATGTTGACTGACGGTGCGCCTGGAATGAGCTCCGAGGGTAACGCTGACCCACAGCCAGAGCTTGGCGCCGAAGGTGCAAGGATCGAGGCCAGCGTATTGTGGGAGGCGGTGTAGGCTGCCCCCGGGAAGGAGAATAACGAAGGTGTTTGCAGCGACATGATGCAAAGACGTTACAAGAAGTTGCAGACAGCGCTTAGCATTAAACCAAGTCGTACCTAGCCCAGCGCAATGGGAATGAGGTTGCACACAGATGGGGCGACTTCGGTACTTTATAATTGTGAAGAAGCACCGGGATGCGACTCGTTAAAATTACACACTGCTTTTAACTTTTGCATACCACGTTTATGAGTTGCGTTTGGGAGGCAAAATGGTGACCCTAGTAAAGTATAATTAACTAATCCTTACCCGGATACGGGATGGACTTCTAAATTCGGTCTTTGGCATCCCGTGCGGTCCGATGCATGGCTTTGCCAAGAGCCCAGCTTGGCCCGTGCCAGTTTCTCTGATCATTGATTATGCAGAGGTGCTCATTTCTATCTAGGCAGTCACAAAGACCCTTCCATATGAAGCGATGAGTTGATATATGAAGTAAATTGCGAAAGGTTACTGCTATTCACGCAATATATCCTTTGCCTTTCTCGCACCGTACAGGCCAGCCTTCCACCCGTAACCACCAGCATAAACTATATCTGCACCATCTATCAACACTCCGCTTTCCCAATTCGCGCCCTTCGGTGAGATAGTATGTCCAAAGCCCGTAAGCCAGAAGAATCGGTCCACTTCTTCCACAACATTGACCTCGTTCTTACCAGGCTCGACGTATTCGTAAACAATGGCCGCATAGTCCATGTCCGATGACATGTATCTCTCGACGTCGTCAACCTCGTAGGGAGTTACTTTGCAACGCCTGGGCAGTGTCTGAAGAAGTTCCTGGCTGAGGGTCAGCCAGCCATAGCACTTTCTAATGCGTGGCATTGACTTGATTTCGACAGTGTCGCAGTTCGCCGGTCGCTCGTCCAACCGCATTTCGTCAGAAAAGCCTCTCAGATTCGCTTTTGCATCGATCTGAGTCTCAGGGTCGTCAAAGACCCAAATAGGGCCCGGACCCTCGTGTTTCTCCATTGCGCACTCTATCATCTGAAAAATGGCAGCATTTTGGCATTCCCTTTGGAGGGCATAGTAGAAGCAATTGTACTCAGGCGGGTCAGTGTCCCAGAACTAAAAGGGCTGAGAATCAGTCTTCAAACATGTAATCATCGATCATGCGTTATCGGCACTCTACCATCTTAAGAGCAAATGGGCCTTTGTCGCCAAACCAAACTTTCCATACGTAGCCATCAAGGCCGTAGCCTAGAGTCTTCTCCCAGCGGATGGTTTCAGCAAACGTGCACTTTCGAAGGTGTGGTCTCATAAAATCTGCTATGGTACAACTTGGAGGGCCGTTCATGGGTTCATCGCTGCGGAATGGTTTCTTCATGGCATTTAGCCAAGTTTGGCTTACTGGAGACATTCTGTTCGGGGTAATGAGTAAATGACAAGCGAAATAGACGTCAGGGAGGATGGTATGGATGATGGGGGAAGGAGAGTGCTCCTAAACCGGGCAAACCCAAATGAAATTTAAGTCACTACGGCCCGATCACATGACCCAACGAGTTGGTACCCACCCTTACCAAGCAGGGGGGATTATCACTACAAGGGCAAGTTTCGCTATGAAGCACTCTAGTGTCCAACAAGCCTGTTGGTCTATGGTTTATGTTTGTTAGCTTGCAGCCACATGGTCAGTCCTTTCATGGTCTCATCTAAGTTGGGCTCGCTATCGCGTGATATACGCATGCATTCAATGTTAGAAAAGCTCACCAAAAAAATGATGCCGCATGTTGTAAGCTCAGAGATCATGGCCTTAGCATGTTGGTAATTGAACAACTGTTGTTGTGGTGCGTCGAACGTAAAGAGGTATTCTTTGTTCCTTGCTTCCCCGTCATTTAGAGTTCAGTTGGTCACGACGCACGCGCACTGACATTCCCACTCTTCGCGGAATGCGCTATTGGCCGGTCGGTCAAAAACGTCGTTGTTGGTCTTCACGAGCATACATTGGTTAGTCCAAATCCACTGTAGGCCAAGATATGTACCCACTGCTGCCATTTGTACAAAGAAAAGAACCGCATTTCTCTACTATGACTGCTTGGAGTTCCGACTCAGCCAAGAGGTACACAACAACGGGAGGAGCAAGAAAAATAATGTATAAAGTAGCTCGAGATAGCATAGCCCGAAGCTGGAATATCAGAAACCTCACCATGTATGGCTGTTAAGTCTCTTTCATCATCTAAGCTTCTATTGACATTACTATCTAAGTTATTCTTCGTACAGCGCTAAAAATGAGCACGTCGCGTGGAGGCGAATCCATTCTCAGCAGACTTACTTTCCCTGACATCAAACTCGATGCGCGCGCGGTTCATAAAGGGGCTATCACAAAAGCACGTACTTCAATTGATGTGGATGATTGGCGCAATTGGGATGGATTCGACTACAATACATTGACAAAACTGTTTGAAGGCGATCTCCTAAAGGATTATCCAGAGTCACACCCAACACGTACGGCGCTGGAGATAGAGAAGAAAATTGTGAATGAAGATACTTTGGCCGAAGCGCTGCAGAGTTTCGTAGTTCCCATCGTGAATTTTGCTCTACAGCAACATCACCTAAAGCCCCACGTCGGCGTAGGATCTCGCTGTAAGATGGAGAAGAACAAAACACCAGATTGGTCGACCATATCTGCAACCGAAAACTTCGCCGGAAATCTAACGAACCACGAGCAACACCCTGAATATATCAATATTCTCCCTGGAGACACCAAACTACATGCGAAGTGGTCCCCTGAAATGAAGAATTCGGACAAAGCACAATGGAAATTGGGCATCATACAGGTTGTTGACTACATGGCTCTGTGGAATTCTCGATACGGATTCATCATCACTGACGGAGGTCTCGTAGCCCTGAGGCTCACTCGCCAAGGTACAGGAGTAGGAGTGAAAAAAAGACTTCCTCGAGCGGCCAAAGGCTCCCACACGCGATCCACTGGCTACGATATTGAGAGGGAGGAAGACCATTCAACCTACACAGATAACGACCACTCAGAAAGGGAATATGAGGATCCTGAGTATGTCTTCGTCCCATGGAGAAGTGTGGAGAACCCAACAAAGAGACAAAACCAGAAAGAGCAAGAGAAGCAGAAGGAGCACCAGAAACGGAAAGAGAAGCAGAAAGAGGACCAGAACGCGAAGGACAAATCGCTCACATTGAAGTTGACTTTATATTGCTTGACTTTGATGGCCATCAACGAAAATTTTATCGACTACTCATATCCGGACCTCGACTCTTGGCGTCAGGAGGAAGGTGGAACATACATTCATAATACAACAGGGAGGAAAGTTTCCAAGTTACCCAAAAATGCGCGAATACAATCTCCCAAAGATCTAAATTTGGAGGACCAGCAATCCACGAGCTCGTCTGATGATGCTCTGGGGCAGCCCAGTGAATACAGTAGTGTCTCACACAGGCATAGCCGTCAGGTGACCCGGATTAGTCCATACCCGCCCGACGATGGGTCTGGTGATGAACTCTCCGCTGAACCTTCAACTGTGGAAGGCGCCCGTAGCAAGGGTACAAGATATACCTTACGACAAAAACCGAAAAAAGGTGTCTAAGTAAGCGACTATTTTAAGATGACTAATCATTGGCAAAGTCCCTTCATAGGCGGAGTGAGTCAGCAAACAGTTCTGCGAGCGGGAAAACGCGGAAATAATTCAAAACTGACCTTACTACGAAGTCGAGGTTAAGACAACAATCTTTATGCTTTAAGACTTTCTATCGTGGGGCGCTTGGCGTAACACGTCGGGTTCTTCTACAACACACTTGAGATTTCTTTACAGATCACTAGCACTTTTTTTATTTCGACAACGCCCGCATTAACACATGTTCTAGCTGGGGCATTGTTGCGACATGTCGCGCAGTGAATAGTTACATGGATTCATGGGTTCTTGGTGGGAACTACGCTCATTTGAAAGTCACTCCTTTACGACACATCTCCTTGCCCTCTTCTTGGAATTTCTCCTTACACTTGCTTTTGTAATGTGGGAAGTCTGGTGGCAGTTGCCGCCTACTGGTTTGCGGCTTTACACTATCATTTAATTTTGGACTATGCGGGATTGAACGGTGCGCAATCTATCAAGTTTTTAGAACTGGCCTTATCTCCAGAACATCTCAGATATCTCAATCTTAGTCTCTCCTTATTACTGCAAAATTAAGGTTCTTCTTTTGTGAGACTTGATATGCCCAAAAAGAAGAAGCCAAAAGAAGGACCTGCTGGTAAACTTTGCCAGATCCATTGTAATAAAAAAGCCACGTGCACGTGAAGGCCCGAATAAGGGCTTCGACCTTGGTAGCGGTGCATTGGTGAAGAGATTTCAAGAACGACGAGAGTAGCCGTCCTGCTAATCACTCTCTGGGACATACAAATGTGAATTATATTTATTCATCATGAGACCATTCCTATACATTGGAACGCTTTGAGGGAACTTATCGAATATTCTTGGATGTTGCGGGATTGCTGATCGACGTGCGTATTTTGCCTGACTTGAACCGATTGGCCACATTCGTCAGCAAATATCGGGGACATGTATTCCTCCCGAGTAGTAATCGGTGCTGAAAGGCCCAGCAGGGTTCTGAGCTGCCTTCTGATTGCTTCAAGGTGCGGATTGCGAGCTTCGTTTCTTGATGTGAGCCTGCAACGAGCGCCAGGTCCGTAACTACAAACCTACTCTTGCCTGCACTAAGAGCATTCACTTGATCTTCAACGTTTACAGATAAGTCTTCATAGTGAAGCCCGCGTAGAGGCATAAAAATTGACTTGAGTTGATCCTCAAGAGCTGCAAATGAAATGGACGGGTGAGCCTACCATAGGCAGTGACCCCCGGGAATGACAAGGTTCTGCTTCATTGTGTACCATAAAGGTCATGACAAAAGGGGCTCAGTTTAATTCTCGTCGAGCTAGAGGAATGAGCCGTAGAACAATCCCAATTCTCGTCAGTTTTCGTTTACCATGGCCATGATAGCCACCGTCGGCTATTGTGGCGCTCGCGCTGCTTTTGCTGGTTGACTCGGAGCAATCCCGAGGTCTGCCGATTTTCCAAGCGACATATGAGCACTAGATCCTGCGAAGTTACGACCGAGTCTTTCGCGTTGAGAAAGGCTGGTGACGGGTTTGCACCAGACAGTAGCATGTGTCTCATAACTCGATAAATAGGCTCAGATGTCGGCCATTGGTCAGAATTCTTGGCCTTTTCCTCATAGACTCGTTGGAAGAGCCCATCTATGCAAATATGTTGGTTTGTATCGGCACCCTTATTCAGGAGCAGCTCCACACTGGCTAGATTTGGGCCCTGCCCCAGGTCTACTAATTTCAGAGGAATGACGAAAGTTGGCCCAAGGCATAATAGAAAAGAGGTCGGCCTCTTTTCTGCAGGCGGCGATGATCTTTGTCCAGCTTTGATGCCACATAGAAAGTCTGTCTAGCTTGAATAGCCGTGGCCAGGAAAGACTTTTGCTGGTATTCCTGGGAAGCGGCCCTTCGGTGGGTCACGGATGTTAAACCAGTGAGCCCCCTCCATGCGGTTACAGGTACACAGTGTTGATGCGGTCGAGCTCGTCCAGAAGTGCAAACATTGAACTGGTGTGGTGCTCCTGGGCCATATTCCCCAAGTAACACAACCTCAGCCAACGCAGTTCTCCTCGTCAGTGCCGACGAATTGAACGTACATTGTTCGTGTGGTCAAAATAGACGTGTAAATCGACGGTCGCCAAACCGAACAGTTATAAAATGAAGGCAAAAAGTGCGATGGTGTATTAAATTCTACGGAAAGGAAGGAAATTAAATAAGTGAAACGCGAAAAAGCACAGCCACCATTTCTCAGCCACAATTCTATACCACGTCTCACCAGCCCGAGCTCAACATGTCATCAAATGATGATCTAGCAGACTGCCTGCCAGCTGGAAGATATTGTTGGTTAGCACCAACCCATCTGTCATGCCTATCACATGATTTACATTCGAGCTCGGCCCTGATTGAGCATGAACAGTTTTCAAAGGGCGGGCATGACTCGACCAAGAGACATATTCGTGTCAATTCTGGTCTTCTGCCGTTGCCTCATGACGTCCGATATCACATCATTGTGCCGAAAGAAATCCCTGACAGTTCAAGGTAGAAAGTCGACCTTGTGGCGCAAAACAGAGGCTTCTTCAAGACCTTCAACTACCTTGAGCAGATCTTTGCAGCGCTCATTTAGGCCTTTCTGTATCCGCACATAAATACTCTCTGCATTGAAACCACCACGAGCAGACCTGTCCGAGCCGCTTTAGGCTTCTGCCGTTCTGAACCGCTTCTGTACCCCCTCGCCATTATTATGTGCCGTGTTACGGGACCACAGGTGAATCGAGACTTGGCTGCAAATCCTGTAGTATTGGAAGAATTCTCAAGCTGAGCAATGGAAGGAAGAAGAGCTCCCTCCACAGCTGTGGCGTTTGCTATTTACAGCTGGGGTGGACCACTCCTTGTACCCCACCACAGCAGCCACCTACACTAACCAGTCCGTGACAATAATTTATATTAAAGATCAATCCATACTTGGTCTAAATTCAGTGGTTGCATAAAGAAGTCATCAAACAAGAATTGTTGACTCGTATCGCCCGGCAGACCTAAAGGGAAAGGAGTTTCAGAAGCTACTTTGGGAACTTCATCGGCGCCTTCTTTTTCGACCAAAGGATGGATAAAGGTGGTATGGACCCGCATTGTGGTGCTTCGATCAGAGGCACTCAGTGAGCTGGCATTCCTTTGTGCAGACAATTCCGTGATGCTGGGATCAAGGAGCTGCCAGAGTTGAGCAGGCTCGAAGCTGATGGTGTTTTGAGCGGCCGCGCAGTCTGTCAAGGATTGCAGCTGGTCGAGTGTGGCCAACTATTTGCGTGACTTAGCGCGGTGAATCTTTTGACGTGGAACCTCTGGGCCCTACCTTTTGAACAACACGAGGCCATAATTGTGATAAAGTGCTGAGAAAATTTCGGCATTGGCTGAGATTCTCTTTCGAGCGAGCTGCGACCTTGCTGTCGCGAGCGTACTGCATGATCCATGGGACAGTCGCTACAGCAACAACGATGTCACTGGTGAATGGGTCATAAATGGAAAATCCGACTTCGAGACACATATTGATCAGTCGTATCACCCAACTTGAGTGGTACAGCGCCTGGTCGACAGTGATCTGCAGGAAGCTTCGTGGAGCCGACGAGCGATTCGCACTCCTCAAGGCTACAAGATGCACAAACGGATGGTTCAACAGAGCCGAACACGCATGGAATCGAAGCTGGTACAGCATCCAGCACCGCCAATACTCCCGATCCTTGTGCAGCGCATCCAAAGACCGATCATTCAGCCTGGCGTTCCTGAAACAGTGCTTGTAGTCGAGATTGTTTTCCAGCTCATAGAGCTGTTGGGTCAGCTCGGCGAACTTTGATGTTGGTAGCCAAGGCTTGTCAATATTGCCGTGTCGAATGCTATGCAAATACTTGCTGACATCGCGCCAGGATGCCATGACTCTTATGCTGTGGGCATAGATGCCGCTGCCCTGTATACACTCGTCGTCCATAAACGCAAGATCGTAAGCGGCCTGTTGCCTTGTCTTGACGATGACCGGCTCAGGCGCTTGCATGTCTGTAGGGTAAGCAGGGGTATATAGGTCCTGGAGCCGAGGAATCGACTGTGGTGCGAATACGTTCTCCAGTGAGCGAATGCTCCAGTAACACCGCGAGCTAGCCTCACTGTCCACACCGGGCTCTCCTTGCTCTTGTTGGCTGATCCTCAGGACTTCGAGTCTACTGGCAAGTCCCAGAGTCATCCAAGCCAGCCCTCCTTCTCCGGCTGGACACCAAAACTGTCAGTACGTCTTTCTGGGTGGCTGGGAAACGATGCACACCTAGAATATGCGCCAGCGCTATAAGACATAGGCACTGTGAGATTTCGAGCTTCGGGGTCCCCTCTGCCGCAAGCTGGGTGACGACCACGCGAGCCGACGCTGAGTGTCTTTTGACCGCCTCCCTGGTGGACAAGTCAGGGGTGTCGCTTCCGAGGTACATGATCGAGAGTGACAGAAACGTCCACTGCAGGAAATGTGGTGCCTTTGCAAGCGTATCTCGCAGAACCCGGGGGCAAAACAATGAGATGGGCTGGAAATTCATACGTTCGTCGTGCACAGTCACGGCAAGATCTAACATGTTCGAGAGCAGGTCATTTTCTGTGTCGACCCAGGCTGATCCTACGGCCTTTGCTGGACTATTGATTTCCCCTCGCCTTCTGCCAAGGTGTCAGTGTCTGGCTACGAAAGTCACCTCGGCTTCGTATGCCGGCGAGGGCAGTTATTACCCAGGAGATCTCCCAGTGGCAACACTGGGAGTCGGAGTCCGTCTCTTGAGGGCCCATTTTCTGCAGTCGTGTTAGACGGCGGCTGGGCCAGGGAAGGTAAGTTAGACCTCACTTCTGATGGACCCCAAAGTCCGTGTCTTGACTTCTCTTGCGATCCCGCGGCAGGTAGTAGCACTTCTGTTGCAGGCGTTGGCAGAACGAACAGACGGGTCTCTCGCCCGTGCACTTTGTTTTCTTGCGCCTGTGCAGGCCGTTAGAGATGGGCGGTCGCCCGACTGGACCCTGCATACGTGGGGTAAAGCTTACCGGCAGTTCTCGCAGGATCGCCGGGACGACTGGACTTGCCCGTCGAGGCTGTCCGCCATCAACTCAGCTAAAACACGGACTTTCTTGACAGCGGACGGACTCTGGGGGCGGACAGGAGGGCGAGGGCTGCAACGAGGGCTGCAACGAGGTTGTGGTGGCCAGGCTCCGTGCCCACCTAAGTAGGCTCCCCGGCCCCCGCTTCCACCCCTGGGTGGGGATGCCAGTGGGCACGGTAATTCGGGCAATTCCGTCTCGGCCGCGCAGCTTATCAGCCCTCTAGCACTGAGGACGAGTGGTTCTGGGGGTTGTATGCCTCGTTTTGGATAGCCCAGCGTCTTCTCATTGGCTGCCCACGAATATGGAGGCCAGGTGCCCAGACGAGCCAATCGCCGCCCCAGTCCCTTCCACACACGATGGTCTTGTTTGCAACCGCTGCCGACTAACTAGACTGGATTCGACTTCGTATCGCAATCGAGACGTTGTGCTAGGCACGGTGGGGGGCTGGGCGGAGACTGAAGACTGAAACTCCGTGTTCTGCGCCTTTGCTCCTGTCTGGGCGGGCTAAACCACACACCATCCCACACACGGTATCGGCCAGTCGAGGTCAGTCTTCCGCAGGCGTCTTGGGGTGCACAGGGCAGGTCCAGATGCGGACAGCATCGCAAGATGCAGAGAGAGAACATCAATCGCCCTTCGAGTCAGAGCGTATTGCGCAGAGTTGGTACTTCGGCATGGCTGGCCTTGCTCTCAACTCGTGCGCAAGCTCTTCACTCGAGCCCTGTGTATGTATATGATATACCCGCCGGTGGGCAGCCCCGGAAGACATCATGGCCGGAATTATAACCATCTATCAGACGCGAAACCCCCGATATGCCCACCGGTAGCCGTCAGCCAGGTCCCTGCGTCCATTATCCACCGCCGTGGCCGGAATGAATTCCGGCCACGAAGTATATAGACGATGAGAAGTGCCCGGATGCGAAAGAAGAAAACTTGCACTTGATCATCGCGAATTCAACAATACGAGACTTGCACACTTTTTCCCTTCCTGATATCAACCCACCACCTCCCACTCATATTTAAACACTCCTATATCTACTATTCCACCTAACATGGGCTCTGTTGGCGTTGAGGCGCCGCCTTTCAAGGTTCTCGGCGACACTCGACCTGATGATTTCTCTCTCCCTGCATTCATGGTCTCAACGACCCGAGGGTTCCTTCCGAGGGCGGACCCTATCAGAAAGTTGCCTGAGGAATTCGATGTCTTTGAAGACATCCTTCAGCGCATGCCTGTTAAGACTCTCTCGGGCGAGCCTGGTCTGTTGGCACAGTATAAGTTGGGGGAGACCGTCGACAAAGAGTTGCCAAATCTCACAGATGCTGTGAAGAAGTACAAGGACAACCTGCCGCTTCAGAACGCTTTGTACAGAGACTACTCCTTCCTGGCCTCCGCCTACCTGCTTGAGCCATGTCATCACAAGTTCATCAAAGGAGAGCCCTACGGTCTTGGGCGGGACTTTTTGCCAGCCAACATCGCACAGCCGATTGCAGAGTGTGCCGCCATGTGAGTACTTACTTCAACCCCCCCGTGCAGGGATGGACCCTAAGACACCGATGACATGTCTGTCGCCTAACCGCACCGCGAAACCTGACTGACCTCAACTCAGCTGTGGTTTCAAGCCGTTCATGGAGTATGCCGGCTCTTATGCCCTATACAACTACTACCTTGCCGATCAGTCAAAGGGCATGGAATACTCCAACCTGCGACTTATTCGCGCTTTTGAGCACGGTCTAGACCCCACTTCTTCTGAGGCGGGCTTCGTCCTTGTGCATATTGACATGGTGAAAAACACCGGACCACTCATCAATGGCACGATGAAGGCCTTCGATGCCACTTCTGAGCCTGCTTCCGACTCCATCGAGCGCCGGACCAGGTTCAACGAGGGAATGGGCCTTATGTTGAGCGCACTGCAGAAGATCAACAGAACCATGGAAACTATGTGGGACAAGTCCCGCCCTACAGAGTACACCAGCTTCCGGACTTTCATCTTCGGCATCACTTCCCAAAGCATGTTTCCCAACGGCGTCGTCTACGAGGGCCTGAACGACGGCAAGCCTTTGTCTTTCCGCGGCGAGAGCGGGGCAAACGACTCCATCGTTCCGTTGATGGATAACTTCCTCCAGGTTCCCATGCCTGTCACTCCCCTCACTGAGATCTTGAAGGATTTCCGCGAGTATAGGCCGACTAACCACCGAGGCTTCCTGCAATGGGCAAAGGGTTGTTCTTTGGAGCTCGATCTGAAGACCTATGCCCTGGCCGTCTATGCAAAACCCACGAATGTTGAGGAGGAGAATCTAGTTAACGAGTCACGGAGCTATTGGATTCAGTTGCTGAACCAGGTGCGAGAATTCCGCTGGAGGCATTGGTGTTTTGCTAGGGAGTATATCCTCAAGCGTACTTCGCACCCTACCGCTACTGGAGGTAGTCCGATCGTCACCTGGCTGCCCAATCAGCTCGAGGCCGTTCTGAAGGAAATGGTTACGATTTATGACTCTGTCAAGGGCGAGAATGGAGTAGACAGTACATGCACGGATATCATGGATGCAGCTATAAGACAACGGGACACATTGCGCAAGGAGGTTGATAAGTACTGCGCTGAGAGGGGTGTGACCCGTCCTTGATGGGTTCTTAGTTCACTACTGTCGCATTTAGCATTTCTACTACGTCGCGTTATTCTGCATTTTGCCTACAGGTTCATACAAGCCTGGAATTATGGAAGGCTACAGCATTCTGTACATCATGCCTCTATCTGTCAACTCTTGGCAGTTCTTCCTGTCTATCGCCTAACCTCTGTTGAATGATTTTCTTATCGAGTAGTCTCAAGCCGATTTGTTACAAATACGATGGGGCTGGTGCGGGCGTGATTGAGATTTTCGCTGGCACTATAGATAGTCAAGTTCCAAAGTCGATATCGAAGAGGCTAGAAATGACACTACAATTGCCGAGAAAACGTGGGTTCGGAGTGGGTACGGAATAGTGATATCGTAGCCCATTCTGGGAACCCGGCCAAAAATGTGTCGGGTAGTTACATAGATAAGACTAGTATTCCGCCCGCCCGCTGTCCCCAACATCATGGCGGGAGACTGAACCTGGCCTAAATCAACTTCGCATTTGCCCATTTCGATCCACGTTCGAGAAACGGAAGATTGATATCACAAGATCTAGCAATGGCTCTATCGACAGAAAAAGACCTTTCTAGCTCTAACTCGAACAATGTGCAATCCTTCCCACTTGGGGACTTCGAGTTGCAGAATGGTGATCTGCTTCGCGGGGCTTGGCTTTCATACAAGACGTGGGGAAGTCCCTCGTCTCCCGTAGTCCTCTACCCGACGTGGTTCTCTGGAGCCATATCCGACAATGAATGGCTCATCGGCGACGACAAGACATTGAATCCTCAGAAATTATTCGTTATTGTCCCAGCACTATTTGGCAACGGGCAGTCGATAAGCCCCTCTAATTCCGATCTTCATCCGTTTCCAAATGTTTCCTTTTACGATAATGTGCGAGCCCAGCATCGTCTCGTTACTGAAAAGTTCGGCATTAAACATTTGCGAGCAGTGCTAGGATGGTCAATGGGGGCAGCTCAATCATTTCAATGGGCAACTCAGTTCCCAGACTTTATGGACTTTTGCGTTCCCTTCTGCGGCTCTGCCAGAACCTCTCCGCACAATCAAGTCTTCCTTGAAGGTGTCAAATCGGCTTTGCTAGCGGCAAAAGGCACGAGCTCAAGCGGAAGCAGCCAGAGAAAAATGGAACTATCGGGAAAGAGGCTGGCCTCCTGGTCCGAAGATGAGAAGGTGGTTGGCCTCAAGGCGTTTGGACGTGGCTATGCAGGATGGGGGTTTTCTCAGGCCTTCTACCGGCAGGAGTTGTTCAAGAAAGTCTACAAAGCCAAGGATCTGGAAGAGTTTATGGTTGACTTCTGGGAAAAGTGGGCGCTCAGCAAGGATCCGGAGAACTTGCTGGTGATGCTTCAGACCTGGCAGGCCGGGGACGTTAGTAAGCAAGAACCATACAACGGCGACTTCGAGAAGGCGCTTGCAAGCATCAAGGCCAAGATGCTGGTGCTTCCGAGCAAAACTGACCTCTACTTCCCGTACGTATTTGATCCAGTCTACTACAGGGATTATTACTGATTGTTAAATGATAGACCCGAAGACTCGGAATACGAGGTTGCCTGTATGAAAACGGGTATCGGTGAGCTTGATGTCTACCCATCGATTTGGGGCCATTGGGCTGGTGGTCCTCCTGGGAATTTGGATGACGTGGAATGGCTGAACAATCGGCTGGAGAAGATTTTCAAAGATGCACCCTTGAGAGGCTAGATCATAGCGAATTTTCATGGGTTCAATTTGAGGCTGGTGGACATATTTTGAATTGTTAAATCACTTGAAACGGTTACGTCAAAGACTTATAACAAGCACAAGGGAAAGCTCGATGTATGGATGAAACCGAAGTCTAAATGCCAAAGCACTTGAACCAGGTCTAACTACGGTAAGTAGTACACGTAAACAAGAAGCGTCGATTTGATTGATGAGCTGAACGATGACACAGATTAGTATGAATGGGAGACGCGGAGTTCAGCTTTATAACCCTTCTCGAGCGCAATAACTGACGGGGCGTCACTTTGCAGGTGGACCATGAACATTCAGTCCTGATTATACTGAGCAACCACCTCCCAGATAGTTATGATGGCAATACACGTAAGAGAATATATCGAAGCGGCTTCGCCCTATTTTCTGGTCGTGGTTGACTGGTGCAACGCTACAAACACCTGCCTAACATGTGGAAGCTGGCTTGGACACACTACTGGATGGCAATTGCCTCGTGCGGGCCCTTTCTGCAATAAGAAAATCCTCTTGTTCCCGTGCACTCTTTTTTAGGTCCAAAAATACCCAAATGAATATAGCGCTGACCAAGCTGAGCGCAAATAAGAAATAGAAAGGGGCGCTATTGTTGTTGTGCCCTGCCGAAGCGTCGATAATGGCACTGCTAATCAACGGCCCGATGAAACTCGATGATTTTTCAATAATGTTGAAGACAGAGAAGAACAAGAACTCATGCCCCCGAGGGGTAACGGAGCTGATCATGATCTGTGAGTAGCTGTACCATGGGCACACGAACAGCCCATAGAAAGCCTGATACAACCAGATTTCCCAGACATTTTTGAAGCCAAATTTGTCGGTCCAATTGCCAATCAAGCCCCATCCGTCCAGTATAATTATGGAGACCATGACCGCACTGAACATTACCTTGACGTCCAAGTTGAAGCGTTTCTGTATGAGCCAGAAGGCGCCAATCCCGGCAGCCTGAGAAACTATGCCGACAATGAGAAGGTAGGTCAATGTCAGCGTGTCATAGCTGACAACCTGGTTCTGCAGCGTGGCAATAACCGTGACAGTCGTGTTGAGAGAGTCGCCGAGAAGGAAATAGCCTCCCAGATAGATTAAGCTTTGCTTGAGGCGCCAAATCTTGACGAGCGCCTGGTATAACTGCCACAGCCCCACTGTCAGGATATTCATGCCTTCGGGAATCTTCATACCAGGTCGCTTTTGTTCCAGGAAAAACCAAGGGATCGAGAGAACAAGCCAGCAGGCGGTGGCAAAGGCGATGAGAACTGATAGACCCCAGTTGTTGTTCTCCGGACTGGCGTCGACTTTGACTGCAAACATGATGCCCACGATAATGGCGAGTATAACAATTTCTCCGACGGATTGGATATAAAAGGCCATATTACTCAGTCGGCTTCTTTCTGTCTCGTCTTTGCGATCCATCTCGTCCTGCGTGATGTCTCCCGCCTGATATTGTAGGGTAGCGTCTTTCAGCTGACTGGTATTTCTGGCCAAAGAAGGAAATGCCGCAGTCCAATATGTGAGGGTCATCTGATAGGCAATCAAACCCACGATATACAAGCCTGTGGCGATTTGCCACTTGCTCGCGTCGTAGACTGCCAGCCAGGCGAACCCTACACCGTATGCGACCACGGACCAGATCAGAAGGATCCAGCGCCGTCCAGTACCAAAATCGGCATACGCGCCGATGATAAGGAACAGAACAGCTTGGATTGCAAACGAAATGCCGTTGGCGAGTAAGACGATGCTGTTTACATCTCGCTCGCGACCCGCAAATGGAAGGACGCCAGTATCCGTGGGCGCAGCTTGGGAAAGTAGATTCTGAAAAGCGGTCGGTCCGAAATTGAACAACGAGAGGCCGTTGGAGCCAACGTAGTATGCGTACCACGCCCATATTTCTCGCCGTGTAGTTGTTGGCAAGTTGTCTTCCGCCAAGGCGGAGAGCACGGTGCCAGCGTCGACATCTTTGTCTAATGACTGCTTTGCGTCGTGATGGCTTGGCACATGCTGGATAGCTGTGGGATCTGGACTGGAAGACATTGCGGAGGATTGTTTCTCGGTGCAGAGGGCTTGAAGATAGCGTAGGTCACAACATCTTCTGTCGTGTCGGATATCTTGCAGCGATGTTGTTTTATATTGGACTTGTGATTAAAAATAGCTTGCGTATTGCTTCGAGAGCATTGTTCGCCGGTGCGGTCGTGTAACAGGCGTAGTTGAGTTTGGTATTGCGTGGACAATGATTGGCCGATAAAGTAGAGGCCCGACTGAATGTCAAGGGTCTACAGTAACCTTTGTCTAATCTAAAGTAGTCGGGTACTTGCAGGGGTGCGGAACATCGCGCGCGTTGTTATCATGTGGATCTCGGCGGGCCAAGGACAGGAGGCGTCGTGTATAGCACGGAATTTTTGGCGTCGAATGCAAATTCCGTGTCTTGGTAGTGGGAGCTCCACCTTTACCCACACTAACGTATCGCCTATGGAAAAAATACCCCAGAGGTAAGTTAGCGTCGACATCGGCACTCCATTATCTGAGAGCTAGGCTGCCCCGGGAATCAGTATCTCAGTTGATGGAACGCAGAGTTCGGTCGCTCTCCTGAAGACGGAGCGCAGGCGGCCTCCACCTCATCGCAGATCTCGTTGCTATTGCTGGCTGGTATCTGCCAGCACATCGCGTGCATGATTCACCAGATCCGGAGATTTTTGCCAGTTCCCGCTTGTCTCTCAGCAATATCACATCCGTTATATCCGCGACGTGAGCCTGGCCTTGTCATAACCATCGATTTGTGTGATTATTGCCTAATCGCTATTTCTTATAGGTGGATCTACCCAGAATCGTCTTGGTGATCGTAGACTATCATATCCCGACCAGAAGCAGCCCAACCTAGCTTGTCAAGGAACATCAGTGCATCACTTTCAATACGCTCACGATTACGTCTAACCTGGCCCGTGCTCGAAACCCCACGATGTTCACTCTACCGGAGAAGTACTACATACTGTCTACGGACTATTCGCCAAACAACCGGCTCCCTGTGCTAATTTACCGGAATGTGCTTCCAAAGCCCCATGACGAAGCTTGCACCAAGGAATTTCTCGAGCGAAATGGTTGGGAAAGGAGGGTGGGTCGTTTCACACATTATAACAGTTATGAGAGTTGACACTGACAGGGTACCTGGGGTGCTATACTTGCCAAGCACTTCCATCCGAATACACATGAATGTTACGGTTTGTGTTTCTGCTGAAGGACCGATCACAATGTCTAGAAACTGACCCGACTGTCTTAGGCGTTTTCCAAGGCGAATCTGAACTAATCTTTGGGGCGGGTGGCGCCGATTCTGAGGAGGTGGGCGTCAGATGTTGTGTCCAAACGGGAGATGTAATCGTGGTACCTGCCGGCGTCTCACACGCTTCTGCCAGCGCGGATGATAAAATGGTCAGTGCAGATCAACAATACAGATATGTTGGCGTCTACCCCCAGGAAGCGCCGAAATGGCGCAACGAGTATGGCAAAAGACTCTTGGGCAAAAACGATTCTTTGTTTGAAGAGATTGCTGCAGTACCGATCCCGAGGCAGGATCCCGTTTATGGAGTGGACGGGCCACTCGTACAGATCTGGGATGCTGTGGTGGCGTACCCCGGGCAATCTTCAACAAGGTTAACTGCAATGCAGTATGTCAGGCGCTTGATGGAAACAGCATCGGCCTGGTTGCTGAAACGCCAATGATGGGCATGAGCTTGGCCTTCTCGATTACAGATCACCACATGTAGTTAGTAGATGACTTAATTATGTGAATCAAGTTTCGCTGGATCGCCTTGCTTGCACGGAATTCCGCTTTGTACGTATCATGACGGACAGTCCTATCCCCGCCCCTGACCTGGGCTATCTTTCCCGGGCCGGCTCATTACACGTCGCCATGACCGGCAACCCAACCACGATAAGGTCAACTTAGGAGAACCAGGGGTCCATGTGGAGTCTAAGAAAGAGTGGGGACGGTCTCAAAGTGTCTGCTATGTCGTCGGAAACTTGGTCTGTGCACTGGAGTTTATGTACTCCTGCGAATGGCCACATGCAGGAATCGGGAGAAGTCGCTCGTGGTTAACTCGCTGTCGCCAAAGACTTATCAAGAGCTGGTCTGTCAAAATATTATCAAGAAGGGAGGGATCTCGAGTCTGCCACCCCTCAAACTAAACTTGATGCTGTATTTTTTCAGATCCTCTTCACCGTCCTTACAATGCTTAACTACTTTGGTCTAAACAAGCAAGACTCTAGACAGGTCCAAACGCCGCCCGCCGAAGAACAACAGCGCGCTCTACCGGCATCATGGTACCGTTCTGCTGCCATGTATGAGTTGGAGCGGCGGGCCATCTTCTCCCGCAAGTGGATTCTACTCACGCATAGTCTGAGATTTCAAAAGCCTGGCGACTACGTTGCCTTCACCGAAGCGGGCTTCTCTTTTTTTCTAGTCATGGATCGTGACAGAAATATCAATGGGTTTCACAACATATGTCGCCATCGCGCGTTCCCTATTGTGACCCAAGACAGCGGCAGCGCTAGCATACTGTCGTGCAGATACCATGGCTGGTCATATGGCTACAAGGGCAACCTGGCCAAGGCTCCTCGATTCGACACCGTGCCAGACTTTGACAAGGCTGAGCATGCCCTCCTCCCCATCAGCGTTCATGTTGACGCCAAGGGGTTCATATGGGTGAACCTCCAAGCCGGAAAGCCTACCATTGCCTGGGAAGACGACTTTGAGGGCGTTGACACCCAGCCTCGCCTGTCGCATTTCGACCTCATACGAGATTACAGATATGACCATTCGTGGTCCATGCAGGGCGACTATAACTGGAAAACACTGGCAGATAACTATAATGAATGTTACCACTGTGCAACCGGTCATCCAGGGGTGAATGCTGTTGCGGACTTGTCTGTATATAGGGTCGAGACCAAGGGCGGTCACATACAGCATTGGAACAGGAACAAGGACGAAAGCGACACGACAATGATTGTTTGCAGCAGCTTCCTGTTTCCTAACTCATGCTTCACCATTACGTACGTATACCATTCCTGGACTCCGAAACGGTACTAAACATCTTCTTCAGTCCCGACTTCTTCTACATGATGCGCTGCATACCCGTGAGCAGCGGAAAAACCAAAATGGAGTACGACGTCTTCCGCCGCAACGACACTACAGATGAGAACTTTGCCAGGATAAATGACTTCTACAAACAAGTCCTCCAAGAAGATAAAGATCTCTGCAATGGCGCACAGAAGAACTTGGAAGGTGGCATATTCATTAATGGGCAGCTTCACCCTGAGAAGGAGAAGGTTAGTGATATTCTATTCTTCAAGCGAGTGATGAATCTTGACTAACGTTGATCATCAGGGACCACTATTCTTCCAAAAGACCGTGCGTGATCTGGTCATGGCACACCGTGCACACGAAGAATCCGTGGGCCACGATGTCTGGCCAGCGTCACCTCAGCCATCTCAAGCAATGAAAACGGGAAGATTCATGGAGGAAGATGCTTTCTGTATGAAGTTGGACGCCGGGGCATGTGATGGCCCATCAGAGCAGCTGTCGTGGTAGTGTTATTTAGTCCTACTCGATTAATGTATAGCTACACCCACTCTTGCTCAGCATTCCCTAACATCGCATTGTGATGAGATTACCATCACCATCACTGTCTACAGTCAGAGCGCAAAAGTTTGTGGTCCACCGCACTAAATCTACAGCGCTCTTCAACAACTACATACCTTCAATTAGCCATAACGCCGCCATTATAGCCCGTAGGATCAAGCTAATAGATGCATTTTAATGCCAATAACGAGCTTATTAGTATTTCGTATACCAGCCCTTTTCCTTAATCACCGCATGGAGCCTAGCCTCAATGCTAAGGACAATCCTCCGGATGACACCTTCTGGTATCTCCTCCTACGCCACCTGGATTGCAGCCTTAAATTGGGCTTCATCAAGCTGGTTTTTCTTAAGCATGAATAGTTCAGGGCTGTAATCCGCGAAATGGTCGACGCGTGCACCAGGCCCGTCCACTAATCGGATATGGTGGGGTAGCTACTGCCCAGTAGCGAACTGCACAACTATCTACAGAGATAAGATGATCGAAGAGACTATCGCTTGATGCATACTAAATAACACCGCCAGTCATAGATAGGACTCATAGGCTACATACTGCATGGCAGGCGGGCGGAAGGAGAGGGTTCGCTCCAGACGGCACCATATGGGGACGGAAACCCGGAAAATCCTAGTACTCACTAGCTTAATCGCCGTTACCGGAAGTGCTAGCTGCACCTCGTCTATTAGTCATTAAGCCAGTATCTTATCGCACACTCTGGGCAAAGTGGTTGTAACAAGCAGCGGGAAATTAGAGTGCGGCAAACCCCGTGATACCGAGTTCAAAGACCGCCACATAAGGAGATTTTTGATCGTGTGCAGCTTATTCGCAGACGAAAGCGACAACGACAGCAACATCAACCAATTGGTTTTTGGAAAAAAAAAAAAGAATAGAGAGGAACCTGAACAGCGAAATCAGAAGCCGAAGATGACTGTGGAATCTACTGGTAACGAGCCGAACGCTCGTGCCTCGAGAAGAATTCGATGCATCATCATCGGAGCTGGGTGAGTGCATTTGCCAACTTCGGATCAGTCAATGCTAGCTAATTATTTCTTCTGTGTGACGACCGTAGGGTATCCGGCATTCTCATGGGTAAGTCTGTACTCAATAATGGCTACTTCGGTCTCAGGAACGTATGCTAACAGTGTTGTTTCTAAGCATATAAGCTGAAAATGTACCTCAAAAACAATGTGGATTTTCGTATACTCGAAAAGAACTCGGACCTGGGCGGCACATGGTTCGAGAATCGCTACCCAGGTAAACCAAGACTCAGTCGCATCGGCATTTTCGTGATTGAGCGACTGATCTCCTTAGGCTGTGCCTGTGATGTACCCAGTCACGTGTACCAATACTCATTTGCGCCCAACTCGGAGTGGTCTAGATTGTGAGCTTCTTACTATTTATACCGTTTCGAAACACTACGTTTATGCTTTCAGCTATGCAAATTCGCTCGAGATCCAACAGTATCTCAAAGATGTCTGCCGTCATCACGACCTTACCAAGTACATCACCTATAACGCCGAGGTAACAGACGCTCGTTGGAGCGAGGAGGACGGCATTTGGGCCGTCAAAGTTGGTAGGGATGCGCTGGGCGTTTTTCAATGCGAGATCCTGGTTAACGCCGGTGGGATTCTCAATAACTACAAGATGCCTTCGATTCCTGGTATGTCAGATTTTGATGGGCACATACTGCATACTGCGAATTGGGATGATACAGTCGACCTGAGAGACAAGAGAGTGGCAATCATTGGTGCAGGGGCGAGCGCGGTACAGGTGCTTCCAGCGATTCAGTCAATCTGCAAATCAGTCGATGTCTACATTCGAACACCATCCTGGATCTGCCCCCCTATTGGCCTGCCCCCAGGCACGCTTGATAATCCGTCGTATACAGAGGATGACATGCGTCGCTTTCGGGAAGACCCAGCCCACTCGCTGTTTGTACGAAAAGGCATGGAGGCCGGCTTCAACAGCATGTTCTCTGCTTTCCGTAAAGGGACGCCAGAGCAGGAGAATATGCGCCAGAAATATGATGCTTATATGCGGGAGCTGATCAAGAGTACGGACCTGCAAGCGCAGCTCATACCATCTTTTGAGGTTGGCTGTCGCCGGATCAATCCGTCTGCTCCGTATCTAGTGGCCCTTCAAAAGCCCAACGTCAACCCGAGATTTGGTAACATCGTGCAGATTCAACGGGAAGGCATCGTTACTGCTGGTTCCAACGATGCAGAAGGCAAAGCGGAGTTATATCCAGTCGATGTCATCATTGCTGCCACTGGATTCGACACCAGCTTCCGGCCGCGTTTCCCGATTGTTGGCAGAAACGGGACTAACCTGCAAAGCCTGTGGGAATCAAGACCTGTGTCCTACATGGGAACTGGAGTGGCAGGATTCCCGAACTATCTCACCTTCCTTGGACCTAACACGCCGATTTCCAATGGAGGGCTCATGGGTGAGTCGCCTCTATTCCCGGACCAAACAGAGGCTGATATGTTTCCGCAGGGGTTCTGGAAGCCACAAGTGATTATTTTATCAGACTTATTACTAAGTTTTGTCGCGAAAACGTCAAGGCTTTCGATGTCACTCAGGAAGCACAAGGTGACTTCTCAATGCACACTCAAAATTATATGAAAGACATGGTATGGAGCGGTGCCTGTCGCAGTTGGTGTGAGTACCCAGAATCCCTGCTTGGACACTGCTCGGAAACTGACTCGGGGCTTCAACAATAGTCAAATCGGAAGTGGATGGCCATATTACTGCGCTGTGGCCCGGCAGCGCTCTGCACTACATTCAGACTCTGGCCGAGGACCGATTTTGTGACTATTCCTGGACATACCGCCGAAACCGATTTGCATATTGGCAGGACGGCTTTTCATGGATTGAGCAGCCCGATGCCGATGCACTTGGACTTGCTTTTGCGGAGGCTCGTAGGGAAATGCCAACTTTGCCGCGCCAGGGTGCAGATTGGAGCTTCTGGCTCACTGAAGCTCAGGCTCTCCCTATGAGAAAGGCTGAAGGTAGTTTGGGGGACCAAGGGGAGCGGAAGAAAGGAGAGGAAATAGTCTATACTGTCGTATGATTTTCAAAGATGCAGGTTACATATCACACGTCTTGCGTAATGACACGCTTGAAATGCCGAATGGTCGATTAGACAAAGTCTATGCAGGGCTGTGTTCCTCGCACACCATAATGGCAACTCCATGCGTGGCAGGGAACTCGACCCTCAAACTGCCGTCAATCTGACTAATCGGTTATACCCGCGGTAGAGATAGAGATCTATAAGCAATCTGTTTCCAACCTACCACTGTCCCCATAACACCTGAGAGTAGAGCCGGAAATTCTGCCTCGATCGGGCTACAAGAGGGGACGGAAAATACTAGGATACCGATCTTTTTCGGCGCTGGTTGCGAGCTATGCCCAATGGAAGCGTAGTGTCCGACCTTGAGCCGAATGCGGTGTATAAAGTCCGGCAATCCCTTTGCCTCCACAAATATGAACTAATACCAAAGCCATATCACCAAATTTCTTGTGACATTGTTGGATGTCATCGATCATATATACCTCGTCGTTCGATTTACCATGACATTACCAGCAAAGGATGCGCCTGTGCTCATTGTTGGCGCGGGTGTTTTCGGCCTCAGCCTCGCATATGAACTCACTGCGGTGAGAGGCTATACCAACGTAACTGTCCTCGATCGATACATGCCACCTGTCCCAGATGGGAGCAGTAATGATCTGTCTCGTGTGGTTCGGGCCGAGTACACAGACAAGTTGTATTCGCAACTTGCCATCGAGGCCATTACTGAATGGCGTACCCCGGCATGGCGAGATCACTACCATGAAAGTGGCTACGTCATGATGATCCCCAACGCTGACAGCGAATGGGTGACCAAGTATCGTGCTCTTAGACAGCATCAAACGGTTCGGCAGCCAATGAACATCTTCACGCCTGACCAGTCGGAGTCGGAGATCAAGCGGATGTATCCGAGCGTCACGGCTGATCTGACAGGCATCATGACGCTCCAGAACGATCACGCCGGCTGGGCACATGCCCAAGGCGCTATCCGGGCCCTCGCGAATCGATGCACCCTAGCTGGTGTGTCCTTTGTGACCGGCCCTCGCGGAACCGTCCGTTCTTTGGAAACCTCGGGCAAACAAGTCACTGGGGTTCGCACCGCCACGGGCAGCATCATACAAGCCAAGACTGTTGTTCTGGCCACCGGAGCATGGACTAATCGTTTGGTGCCCGACATGAGACAGAACATCCTTGCAGTCAGTCAACCTCTTGCCTACATTCAGCTTTCCCCCGAGGAGGCAGAGCGCCTGCGGACTATGCCCGTTATGGTCAACACGGCTACTGGTCTATATTGCTTCCCACCAGACCCGGTGAGCCACCAACTAAAAGTGGCTCGGCATGGATTCGGATATTCGAATCAAGTCGAACTGGAGGACGGGCGCGTCATCTCTAGTCCCAAGTTGGTAGGAAACAATGCAGCTGTGCAGGATTTCCTGCCAGCAGACGCAGACCGAGATCTCCGAGCTGGAGCCTTAGCCTTCTGGCCGGAATTTGGAAATCGGCCCTGGGCAAAGACCAGGATGTGCTGGTACAACGATACACCCAAGAGTGATTTCATGGTCGACTACCACCCAGACACGAAGGGTCTTTTCTTTGCCACCGGAGGGTCAGGACAGTAAGTCGCATTACAATCGATCATATGATTCCTGATTCTTGCTCACCTAAGTAAACAGTGGTTTCAAGTTTTTACCCATTATTGGACGGCATATCGCGGATGTTTTTGAGGACAAAGCAGGGCCTCTGCTGCGCGAGAAGTGGGCTGTCCGCCGCCCTACCAACGGCGACCCCGAGCCGGAAATGGACGGAGATGGGACCCGGCTTGGGCCCCGGTTGCGACAGCTTTCGAGAGCCGAACAAGCAAAGTTATAGTTGCTCATTAGAACTGCCAATCTGTTAATATCCTGGGAGCAAACGATAGATGAGCGACAGATGAAAACAAAAGGTATAATGATATGCTCAAAAAAGTGGATACATATAGAACAACGACAGATGATAAGGCATTTGTAATCGATATGAACGTAACGTTTTCGCAGTTAACCAGAGTAAAGTCGACAGTAGTGCTTTTAACTTTGGCCACGTAAATTTGACGTTCAGAGCACTAGTATAACATACCGGTCGAAGCGCAGACCCGACCCATTATTGAATATATCTTCATCCCGGGTTTCGGGTATATCGCGACACCAAATCGCTTCCTTGGACACCCAGCTATGTGATTGATTGCCACTCGTGGTATTCCGGACCCAAAGCCTCGTCGAAAACCAAGTATCTCGTGGCTCCGTCTCCTTTGGTGGTCCCGGAATCTTTGTGGTGGATGATACTGCGAATGTGGTCCTGGACACGTATCGGTCCAGCGTAGGGGGAAAATCGAAAACCACGGGTTCCAGGTGGTTTATGGACACAACATCGAGTATCCTGAAATGTTGTGGCAGCCGTAGGCGGTGTGCGGATTTTCATACTTGTTCAGTGATCCTAAGGGACCAACGTACTGCTGGCCGAATTTGTTTCCCACGGTGGTTGGCTTGGGAATGGTGAGGCCCTTCTGTAATCTCAGGAAAACTCGGTCTCCAATGTCGAAGAGCATTGAGAGGTGCTTTCTGTCGTAGTATGCATTCACTCCAGTGCTGGTTCCCATTGAGAAAGGCAAAGAGTTTAAATCAGGTATTGGCATTGGCCGAAGATCTGATACAACAGGATATGAAGGAGAGCTCTTTGAGACTTTTGTGTTGGTGTTCCTAAGTTCCAAAAATAATGACTGGCGAGGACCAACTTCCATATGCCTGCCCAAGCCTCCAGGCTCGAGCGCGTCTCCTTGTGCTCGCTTAAGAACCTCATCAAGGTCGAATTTCCACTGCTAGCTTTACTGCAGATCCAGATCCAGAGTATGCCTTCCTCAGAAGTAAGCCAGTTCTTGAACTTGTGCTCTGGGCGACGAAGTATTCACTCGAACGTGTCGGTATCATTCTTTTAAAGGGGCCAGTACCGGCTCAGGAAGTCGGCAAACCTCAAGCTGGACAGGATACGATGCCGCCTATGCGTTATCTCCGATGTATCGGCAAGCAATCTGAGTTGTGGCAACAGCTCTTTCATGACCCCGGTACACGACGTATTCAATGTATGGACTGTGTACTTCTGGCGCTTGTTGACATCAGCGACTTTCGGGCACACCCTCCAGGATGGTATTCAGTTCAGAGCGCACCGTACTAAAGTTATCCATTGTATTGACGCGGAACTGTTCATTTTTCACTTATAGCAGTGCGAGAGACTTCGTCATCTTTGATTGCTGACCCCTATGAAAATTGCACATGGTTCCCAGAGATTAGAAACACCTTCGAACGTCCCTGTAAAAACCACCCGCACACGTTTAACGAAGCCGCTTATCTGAAGATCTAGGAGCTCTATAATCTCACCTGCGATGACCCGGTAGCTAGTGCATAATTTCTTGAGCCTCTAATCGTTTTGAGTGAGCTCTGATTGATCGTCAAGCTCACTTAACTGTGCTGAAGCCTTCAGATTCTCCAGATCATCCTGTAGGTCTTTGTGTCTAAAAGGCTGAGTCTTGGTCAACACGTACGCCTTCTAATATTCGCGAGCAACCTTGATGCTCAATTCCACAAACTGCACCATATTGATAACAAGCCCGACAACATCCAAGGATTTGTGATCTGGAATCCTCAGCTGAAAGATCATATTATGGGATGTCAAGTACAAGGTCAGTCGTTCAAAGGGGGGCGAGATTCCGCCCTCTGTCATCCACCATGCCCAAGCCTTGTTCGCAACGGATTATATCGTCGGCAGCTGTCATGCGGGCTGTGCAATCGAATGCACGGAATTGAAATGGTACCTCAGGGGGCTACCCAATCAGGGTCAGAAAAACAAACAACGATTGCTCGTAGTTTGGGCCCTATGCCCATATTTCCGTCTCCACGCAGCGTTTGGCTGAAAGGGTTTTTCATCAAGACTTAGATTGAGCCAGCTCGTCTTTGGAGAATGTGTAGGGCTCTCCCATTGTGCTACTAGAATACTGTCACGATATAGGAGATATATAGAGGAGCGGAACAACATTAATCAGGGGGATCACCCCCTATGTAGCTGGCCCATCAGCCCATTTCATTTGTAGCTCCTCAAGGATCAACTCAAGTCAATTCCCATGCTCTCACGCGCGTATTAGTGTGACAAATGCCGCTGTGCTACTAGAATACCGCTGTATCAGCTGACATCTTCGTAGCTTGGACACGCGCCAGGGTCGAACCCGCGAAGTTAAGCCCTCTTCAATCGCTCCACGGAATTTCGGTATGTTGCGAAGTGTAGTTTTGTGTAATGATTGAGTGCTAAATCCATAGCCCAACGCGTTTAGAGGAAGGGTCATCTTTTTTTAACAAGACGCGACCATTGCTCGGTCAAGACACGTTCGCACCCATTCCGATATTGAAGGATGAGGGCCCATGGGTTCGCTGGCCAGTGAGCTTGACCCTGATAGTCATAGCGCCTACATCATATGCAGTACGTCATGTTCAGCAATATGACGCAAGGCAACCAGGTCGTGTCCCAGCAATTCTGTCGATAACAGGCTTGGCGGCTATCATCATCATTGTTGTGAATGTGGCACCCTGAAGTGGATACAGACATTTGTCTTGCCGCTTCGATGCAAAGCAAGACAGCAATGTCCGATGTTTTAGAGAGTTGTTGTAGTGGAATGCATTTCCATTTATAGACCTGACAGAGTTTTCGAGAATTACCTCATTGTTCAAAGATTGGCAGGTTGTGAAAACTCGCGTCGAATGAAACAAACGTCGACCCCTGTGCGGGTTATTAAGTGCCCAATCCTGTAGTACATTATAAGATGTGAGCTCACCAGGGGGTTTATCGTGTAACAACCCGCTCTCCAATGAGAAGACTGGCGGCTGGGAAAAACTAAGATGCGGCACGGCTTGAGGTTACGCTTAGAGAAATGCAAGCAACCATGCTGCAGCAGTATTGCTAGAGACCAATTGTGATCGGAATTGAAATTTCTGACAGGCATCGTCTCTGCATAGATAGAGTAGGAGGATCCTCATTATATTCTGCTCCAAGCCCCGGCGTAGTGACCCTACTCGTCCGTCTACTCATGAAGTTAACGGAGCAGGTATTACAGCACTAAGGAAACACAAATTGTGGTGATTCACTTCTAAACCACACCGCCAATGTTCTGCTCTAACTAGACGCCCAGTGCACTTCTACAATCAAAATTTCATTTTTCGACAAGTTCATTCTCCGGCTCTGACATCTCAATGATAATGGTCTCGAGGTTTGCGTCGCTATGCATCGATTAACTTGCTTGCCAAAACTGTAATGTAGGTTCAGATCACATAACTTACTAGCAGCATTGACATCTCGTTTTCCGCTGGACAACCTCCCAAGTATCTACGACAACCATCACAAATACAACAAGACTGAGCAGAACCATCACCATAATGCCATCTTGTGTTGTTATAGGCGCCATTGTTGACTCCGTGATCCCGTACTCTATAATCCAGTCGCATGGTGATATTGGTAACCACACTGCGCTACTCTCTGTTATTGCATCGCGCCCTATTGTAGCATCGGCTCGACGAGACTCTTGGTTGTTGTCTTTTGATAGCGCAAGTAGGTAGGAAGTATGCAACGGACGTTCGATGGCGAGTGCTTCGGTGGGGGATATATTGTCAACCAGAGAGGTCGGCTTGTTGTTGAACTGCTCTGGTAACGCTGCCGGGTCTCCTCGGAACTCGCATCGATTGTAAGTTTCGCACGGAATAGGTGCCATACTGGCAGTTAACCAGAGCAGTGCTCCGCCCGATTCGGTTTGTCGTTAATCGTGGAAGAAGCGATTCAGTCGTATAAGTCCTATAAGTCCTGCAAGTCGTATGTTTGCTCCAACGAGTAGTCGAAGGCCAGTCGGTGGAGTTGGGTAGCGACAGAGATATAGGAAAGTCTTGGCAAACCGGCACGCTGCACACGGCCGCGACATCCGTGCATTCCCCTGCCGATCATGCAAGCTCAATCGCAAAGGTGGCTTAGACTTTGCTGAAATGGCCAGCAATATCACGGAACCGGGGTTCTGGTTGGCCGTCCCGTAAAACACCTCAATACTAACTTAGCGCTTCCAAAAACCCCACCGTTTCCGACACACTGACAGCCCAGCTATCCGTGCCGGCACTCATGAGTCGTGCAGGGCCAGTGCTAGTGGTTAGAACAAGCTTTTCTCCCCTGAGCCATCGTGTAGATCGTATGAACCGGGTTCACTGAAACCGGCAGACCTTGAAGCTCGATATCGTATTTGATTTCGCGCCGGCAGTGGACTGAGTAGGCGGAATAAACGAAATGCGACTCGAATGGCTAATTTGATTTGCGACCCGGCGTGAGCGTTTCCTGAAAGTTCAGCTAGTCACACACCGTACGGTTTAAATACGCTGCTCACCGATAAGCTCTCGTGCTTCTCGGCTTCTCGGCACCATTTTCTACTCGATCGGGTTTAACGAATGAAAATCCCCCTTTACGCTCTCAAACCCTGAAGCCTTAGATCTTCGGCTATCCGGATTGATTGATTGCATCACTGTACAAAACGACCAGTGAAACTGCGATATCTAGGTCCTGCATATTCTGCACTTATCTACTTTATCACCTCCATGGGTTCGCCTGCCACGAGTAGGTGGACAGTATGCAATATAGCACGCGCTATCTTAAAGGCGGCTTTGAACTTGTGGGCTGGGATACACTGCTGATGACGGCGTTCGACCCTGCACCAAGTCTATACGTGTATCACGCAGGAATCCTACGATACCAGGGCCACTTTACTTGCAATAGCGATTTTAAAACCTGACGGGAAGCATTCGAGCTTCACCACCATTTCATCAAAGCACACATACACCCAAATCGAAGAGAAAGTATTTCAAAATTGAAGACCTAGTGTGGCTGATCAAAGAATCACACGGTGACTTGCAAACAGCGCAACGGAACACAATACAATTTCCCTTTTTTTTCTTTTCCCTTGTATAACCCTTGTACGTTCGTAAAGCAAGACACCTATCAAGCGGCTGACTCTGGACGCCCCACAGCTAAACGTCATGTTCTCGGCTCCATCGCTCCGTCGCGCAACCAATAGCAATCTAAGACAATACTCGGGCGCTTCCCCCCTTCCAAATCGTTACGGAGACGTATTTTCAAGTAGAAAAGCAAGTGCTAGATGCCGGTTTTGAAATGCAAGACTGAAATCTTCCGAGCACCCTTTCGCAAACAGCTTGCTTGAGATTGTTACGCCTGGAAGGAGATTAGAAATGCACGCAGTTTGTAATTGATAGATTTATGCAACGCAGATAGGGGCAAGTATGTTGTGTGTTTCACATGCACTTACACCTATGTTAAACGGAAGATGATGCAAATAATTATCCTTGAAGGCTCAAACGACACCCAATTCGTGTAAGACCATATCCACCGCCTTCTCTCCAATAACACAGGCTGTATTCATAGTATTCCCAGACGCGGCACCAGGAACGATACTCAGATCCATGAGCTTGAGACGCTCCGTTCCATAGACACTCGAGCTGGCGTCCACGACGCCCATCTTTCCGCGACGTGCCATCTTACAGGATCCAAGCGGATGCCAACTGAGACCAACAATCTTGCACAGCCAGGTCTCCAACACCGCCTCGTCCTCTGCCGAGTACTCTATGTCGGGAACGTCGGCTGAAAGGAGGCCGTTGAGCCCTTCAGGCTTCTCTGTAGAGCGCTGCCTTGGATTCAGGCGAAAATTGCGGATGGCCCAGTGGTAGCTCGCCGCGGAACAGCGACATGCGACGCACAATCTCGCACTGCTTCTTGTATAGCCACTTCTGCATCTCGACATTGAGGCCAAGCGGGTCCGTGAAAAGTCCCGTCTCGAAATCGAGTGCATCACCCGTCAAGGAGCCCATAATATGCACGTGACCGCACGAGTAGGAATGCAGGGTGGGTGCCAGTTTGGCTGGATCTCCCGGATAGCCACCGATCCTCGCAATGATAGCTAGTGGCTTGCTGGAGGCATGCTTGAAGTCGCGCTCCCAAGCTTTCGGCAAGTCTCCCAGCGACGATACAACCTGTTGTTCCACCTGGAGGATATGAATCTTAGCCAAAAAAGAAAGAAAGAAAGAAGTAGCCAGAACAGAGAAAGGGGATTGGGGATTTGGGCAGATTGACACTGGTATTCTAACCTCCTGCAACTATAACGTCTATTTCTTCAATGCCCCGGGAAGCTTTCTAGATAGACCCACGGTACAGAAAGAGCTTGGAGCCACAATAGGATGGAATCCTTTGAATACAAACGCCAGGATTAGTGATAAATGACGGAGAAATAGAGCTTAAATTCTGCGAGGTTTTAGTTCAAGTTAAACTGATGGTTCAACGGTTAGCTTGAAATCCGGGCGAGGGGTTGAAACATGTGTGTTGCAGTTAGTAGCCGATCAGCGAACGGCCGATCAGCGGAGGGAGACAGTTTATCCTGGCTGGGGCACCTCCAACCCGCAACCTGCAGGTTGCGCTGTTGCTTCTTTTTCTTTTCTGGCTGCCATAACTGCTCCAATTGCGGGGTTCGCTCCCTTAGGTTTTCCCGTGACGAGGGATTCTGTTGGGTACAGCCCACATCGTCCCAGTAAGACGGTGGTTGGCCCTTCAGCCAATGATGTAAAGCTTCTGGCAATAGTTGCAACTCAACCAACCGACTGTGAATCCCCCGGCTCGGCCTGTAGAGGACCTTGAACCACCTGTATTTATCAGGAGATCCGTCTAGAGAGAACATTAATTTTACTATTAAACTGCAACTAAACGAATGCCCAGTCAATAAGCCCGCCGACGACAAGTTCAATGCTGAAGCAACAAATGTAGTCGTTGGTAACAGAACGAGAAAGGTTCAGACACTAAAAGGACGAAGAAACAACATTACATACAAATAAACTAAAAAATGAACAATCAAAATACGGCTTACTCGCTTTCTCAATCTATTACTCTGTATTGTATAATTATTGATTACGGTGGGTATCCGAGACTTTGACTCCAGACAATGACTTCCTCATGGGACGAGCAAGTCGAGTCAAAACTACTAAAAAATATACGAAGATAAAGATCTGAGCTAGCCATGGATACCTGTAAGCACTGCTCCGAGCTGTTAGACACGCCGGGGTATCCTGCAGGCTGGCATAGTGCGTACGGAATGCCCGTAGCTCCCACATGGCGCCGAGAATCGTTGCACCCCTTGATAAAGTTTGCATAGCATGCAGGATAGAGTTATAGACCACCTTATTCATCCAGTGCGGGCACACCGTGAAGCCAGGCAGCCGGTGCTGTAGGCCATCAATGACATAGAATGTAGAGACCGCGGGCTTGGGGTTGCTGCTGCAAACAGCCTCGAGCTCAAGGCGCAGCTGGTGTAGCACTGCATCTTGGGTGTGACTGCCGTCGTAGTCCGGGAACGTGCGGTACGAGGTGGATAGGAAGCATTTCCCCTTCTCATTCCAGAGACGGAATCCGGTCAGACTTGTATCGGTATACCGGACTTGCCAGTCTGCTGATGCACCTGCGTATTCAGACGTTCTATGAGTGACATCAAAAGGTTAGTTGTGAGTAGAAGAGCTGGGAAAGGTGACGCTCACATGACCTGCAGGCGCACGAAATTGTCTTCATCTGCACTAAGTCCGTAGGTATGATATTGTCGGTCCAAGGTAGCCTTCCGAGGCTCGACAATAAGGTATTTGCCCTTCTGTGCATCAATAAGCCGCACCACGTTGTTTTCATGGACGTAATATTTATCCACGAGATCCTCATCCTTGGTGGGATCTGTCATTACCCACGGGTCTGTGTTTCTGTCAACTTGTTACGCCCCAATCAAATAAATATATCCTGCCTAAAGACTTACTAATACGGCCGATGCCGTCCTGGAGTATCGTTCGGTAAAGATTGTCTTCTGGTGTCTCCCTCGAAGACTCTGCGTTCCGCGAAGCCACGTTGCTATCCAAATCAAAGCCTTGATAATACGAGTCCCACACCAGATCGTCGGTCCTAAGAAACCCCGCAGAGGGAAGGTAAATGGTGAAGGGCACGTGATATCGGAGGCCAGGGCCCTGTGGTGTGGTCTCTGAAAAGACCCTAGACATGTCTTGGCGCAGTTCTCGTCTACTAGCCGCAGGCAGGTAATGGAGGTTGTAGTTGCCTCCGGTCGATGTCTCAGACCACGGGAAGACCGTGCCGACTACGGCAAATAGAGTCATGGGGATGATAACCAGAAAACGCAAGTGGGTAAAAACCATTCCTATGATCAAGAAGGAACCCGACTTTGAGCGGTCTGACAAATTGGCGATAGCTTCCATGATCTCAATGAAATATAGCAAGCCCAGTACGATTACCATGCCGGCAGTACTACCACCGAGTGCCCAGGACAAGGCAGCGATAAGTTGAATTGCACCCAAGTCTCTTACCAGTATCAAAGACTTCCTTGCACGAGTTCTGATGCACATTTCCACGAGAATGATCGTAACCGTACGAGACAGAAATGAAGCGGTATCCAATGCAGCAAACTCATCATTTTGGATGCGGTCATAATGTACCGCTGACGATGCTAACGTGCCGCACGTCGCGCCCAAAAGTGATGAGAAGTCGTCTAGTCTCGCATGGTCAATGGCAAAGGGCCAATAAAGTTGACATCACAAGATCAATAGAATGAAGTGCTTACCAAAGACACCTAGCGCTGAGACTACCGCTAGCGTTGCTACCATGGAGCAGGCGAGTCTTATGAGCATATGTGTGTACTCGGTGAGATGCACAAAGAGATACGACAAGGGTGGGAAGAGCTCGACAAACAGCTGCCCGCGCTCCCGGAACTGCGACAAGGTTTCGTAGACCTGGAGTATCTCCGGGTCTGATCTAGTCTGCAGTACAACAATGGCTTGATATACCAAAAAGGTCGTAAAGAAAGACGGCAGGATTCTTCTCAAGCCATCTTGTCGGGGAGGGTGGTGGGAGAGAGATTTGGTCATGCTAGAATGAGAAGGCTCCGTCTACAACCCAAGAAGCAGCGCGACAAAGCAAGTGAGCATATAGGATTGAAGATGGATAACGACTTCAAGTTCAAAAATTTAACAGTACTCTATCTTTTCAAGTGGAACTTATACATATTGATATTATGCAAAGTCCTTTCGGATAGCTCGCCCCGTTCGTCTGGTTCCGCTTGAATATGCACTACACAGACTATTGAGTAATCAAAGAATCCCTGCTTGAGCTTAAGCAGTAGGGTACTTGTCGCTTACTTTAACGAGTGCGCTTAATATAGCAGTGACTCAGATTCATGCGCTTACCGTATGGCTCCTGGGGGTTTTGGCCCATGCCTTTTGTTGACTCCAGTATAGTGCGAGGCTCTAGTTACCATTTGGCGAACCAGCGCGCACCGCCGATGTGGGTTTCCGAAGGGGCTAACGAAGTGCAAAGCTGAACGCCGCAAAGCTTACCAAAAGACTGGTCTGCCGAGGTCCAGGTCTGTGCCTCTGAAAGTCTCCTGCCGAGAAAAGCTTACTTGATCAAATCCTACAGAATCCTTCAAAATCTGACATGGGTATAGGACCATGTGGTCTTGGCTAAAGCTTGTTTGGGAGGGGCCCAGTTTTGTCAGACTATCGGCCTGCCCACTCTACTATTACACAGTCATTTCCACAGTGCGTGAGAAATTCGAGTTGGTTCTTGAGTGACCCCCAAAGTTCTTTCGCGTATCGCTCGTATGCCAAACAGCTAGACATGGACTTGTGATGCTCCGAAGCACCTGTGCGGCGCCTTTGTTGGACTATAAATCAGCCTGTGATGCCAGTTTTTATGTCTCTTTTCACGACCAGGCATCTGAGGAACAGCAGCAAAGCTCCCCCATGAGATCCGCAATCTTCAGGCCTGTGATATCATCTAAGTCTTACGCTAGGTTTTCTACAAGCACGATGCAGTTGTTTGTCTCCACTATTGCCCTTGCCCTCTTGGGCCGTTTCGCATCCGCTGCGGCTGTGGCCCCCGTCGAGGAGATTGTCAAGAAGGGTGACAGTGGTTGTTACATCTAGTGAGTCGTCATACAATGAAATAAGAAATAGCAAATCAGGCTATCCAATATGTTATACGACCATAGCTAACAGCCATGGCAGCGAGGATCCGGATTGCTGTATCAACTATGGCGTTTGCGAGTGCCAGGACGGTAAGCGTGCCTCTGAGGCGAATATGCAAAAAGTTTCAATGAACTGACCAAGAGTCGTTATGGCAGGCCACTTTTATCAGGTCAATCAGGCGAATGGCGGGTATAACTGCCAACCACCGTGGGGCTACTTGGCTAGCAGTGTATCTGGCCTTCCGGGTGCCTGCTGCTAGAATACGGGGCTACTCAAAGTCTACTTCTCGCCCTGAATCGGATGAAACGGAGATATATGACTGGTCCTGGTTCAGGTGCAGTTAGGTTGTGCTTTCAATTCCGGTGTGCTGGACTATTTGGCCAGTTAGTAGGCACGCGTGAAGGGAATTATGTAGTTAATTCAGCCAATTTCAAAAAGGGAAATTCGTGTTGACAACACTACAAAACTTGCTGGCTTTTCTTATACAAATTGCACCTCTCGAAGGAAAATAAAAGGCACCTTTTTAATCTTCATGAGCTAGGACTGTATCTCAAGCACTCGTCTGTCAAGCGATTTGCACGAAACTGGGCGTTGAAATCCTAATTCCTCGTAAGGCTCTGGGGTAGGCGCTAGGTCATGATTATGTCAAGGATCACCTAGCTTAATAGCAATATGTACAGATGTGTTTACCCATGTAGGCGCCAAAAGCCTTAAGGAAATCCATGCAGGGGCGTCTTCGCTAAGCCTGCATGCTTCCGTGGGGCAACACTACCCCCTGTCATAGGGCGGGTGGAGTTCAATAAACACTCTTACCTGCATGAGCTAACGAGAACAGCTGCCTGTTCCTTCGTCCCAGAAAGGACGTTCGCCCGATTTCCTTCCCTTACTTCACACCCTTCGTATCGTAACAGACCTTTTATAACCCGATTCGGTTGACTGTCTCCAAGTTGGCACGAGTCCTCCATTTTCAGCCCCCATGTTATGCCGCATTACTTTCGCATCAAATCATTCATCGCGAATCCCCACACTAGCTCGACAATACACACCACATGACACCGCGGATTGCAGTCTTCCCTCTAATCATACCATTTCTGCGTGATATCGTGCAAGTTGTAAGAGCCGCTATGGCCTCGGGGGATCGCATGACAGCAATAGTCGAGGATTTTAAGCTTGCAAATGCCGAGGCGCAGTCTCGTATTGCTAAGTGTTTCGTAGCGAGACTCAGGAAAGTCCCAGAGCGCAAACGCCCGGCAGTGAGAGACGCGCCCATTGCTAATGCTATCGACGTACGACTTGACATGTTTGCTCAAGCATACTGGACCATGCATCACTGGCCTATTCAGGGCTGGGGCATTCCAGAAACAACAGAACCGGTAACAACACTGGAGGGCCTCTCGAGGATCCTGCCGGGTCTCCTCGCAAACGACATACAGAACCTGCAAGGCGTTGTTCCCCCCCAACCAAAGGAGAGGCTTGATCAGTACATTGTGGAGTTATCAGATGCCGTCCTTGCGAGATCTGAGGGTGAGCCGAAGCCTGACTCGCTGCCAAAGGAGTGGGAGGCGCTCATACGCCTCACCGGCACCATCGCTTCCCGCGATCTGCTCAGACTGCAAATTCCCGAGATATGGTGCACGCGCGACATCGCGGATGTGGTTCCGGAAACGCTACAGGAGGTGGCGGACTTTGCCTTGTCCTTCGACGACGAGTGGGACGTCACTGCCGGTTTCGTGCTAGGTCTCGACGACAATGGGTACTGTCACTATATTTACTGCCGTAACGCCGAAGAAGACGCCAGTGAGGCAGACAAAACATGGGAGTGGCGCGTCGCCTGTGGTGGCATAACAATCAATGGTGACACGAGGGAATACGTGGGTGATCTCGCGGGATTTCTGCTCTTTTACGCGAACATCATCGCCGAAGACGAGATCGATGAGTTGATTGAGACCCGTGTTGGACAGCTTGAAAGATTGAATTTGTGACTTGACTACCAGTGGTGGGCTGTGGTGACGATATGTAGCCATGCGGAATGTTCTTGTAATTTAACCATACCATATAGTCGCTCATAAGTTCTATTGCTATTGCGCCCGATTAGGACAAAAAAGCAAACAAAATTGACGTCGTTAGCCCCATGATTTCTGTCTTGCTTCCACCAGCTTCTCCGGTGACCCGTCCCCTACGGAACTTGATGTGTTCCACTGCGCCGCCGAATTCAATAGTCGTATCGTAATGAGGAGGTATAAACGAACGAACATTGCCGCACGTACCGAGCAACACTAGCAACCTCGTTCTCAATTGACCGACGTTGTCCGATCCTCCGATAATAACCAGACAAACCCAAGATATGGGTCGGCTATCATTCGAGAGTATTCCTAGTGAGCAAGGATAGTGAGCACGATTCCCAAAGCGGTAACTAGGAAGGTAAGCCTCGCATGTCTCCCGGTGGGTCGCGCTCCCATCGCGCATGATTGGCGCACTTCTTGGCATGCTTAACCAAGTTAAGCTTTCTTGCCGAGAGCGTGGCATGCACGGATGACGGTGGGGATGTCGTGTACCATGGTAGGAAATATCGCGCACTGCAGATATCATGTCTGTTGTTGCCGAGACGCAATGTCTAATGGTGGGAATTACGACTGCAAGGTAGCTGGCAGGGTTTGCGCTCCTTTCTACCGTAAGGCACAGCAATACGCCGCACTCATACTTTGCGCACGCTGAGTCCCTACTAATGTAATTGGGTAGGAAACATTGCCCCACAACAATGCGTTGAACTTTGTTGTCGCCCTCGTCCCAAGTACATGGGAATCACCTTGGCCGCTGATGAAACCTTGTTCATGAGTGCTTGAAGTGCCCCTCGCTGCTGTTACCGTAGTATCGGCTATCGGCTGACAGCGCCGCTATTGAGTGGACAGTGCGAGAAATAGGCCAATAGAAGCCGATGCCCTGCATGTTGGAGGGCCGTTTATTGACACAGGATTCCCGTATCTTGAGTGCATGTGCAATCGAGTAAGCTCGTCAACTCCTAGATTCCCGACTCAGTCAGCTAGGCTGCCTTGAAGCAGCTCCAATCTGAACATGACCGACTAATCCAGATATGGCTCAGGCTACCCCTGTAGATGTCAGGGCAGATTTTTAGATACGGCAATAGTTTGGCTGTGGTGAAGTTGGGAGGAGAGCCTGGAATACAGCCAAAGTCTGACAAGGCAACAGGCCTAACTAAGCCAGATTGGATGGGACATCAGTGTGATCGAGCGCGCATGACCGACCAATTTCTAGTCCGAGAAATCCCTTGAGGCGAGGAAATTATACGTCGAGTGGATGGGGATTAGCAAAAATCTTTCATTACTTCGCTTAGAATTTATATATACGGTATTCCCATAACATATATTACTGCCTATGCGGAATTGGTCGCTGGACAGCCCAGACATCTTGACCGTCCTGAGTCCTTACCACTGCCATGTGGACTGCCACTGTACTCGGCCTCTTCCTGCTAGGAAGTAGGGCCCAGTTCACGCTGCCGCCAGGATATTCCAATCCTGACCTTCCTCCAGGATTACCACAGGTTTGTTTCTCCGCCATCGAATGGCCTTGAAATCAAGACTAATTGTTGTTGAAGCCCGCTCCACCGTACATGGTTGATAATGTCGGTAATGGACATGGGGTCGCACCTGATAAAGGTAACGAGGAGATATACAAGTTGCCAATTGTTCGTGTCCATTGTACATAGTGTACTTACTTACTTTTGTTTCACCTAGGAAGTATGAATGGGCCTGTACTGGGACCGGCACAACTGGACGACCTCTTGAAGCATCAGAATCAGTCGACAAATGCAACAATCACAAGCCGTCAGTCGGGCTCATTTTGGCTAGAGTCTATCTCACATGGCCGTGTAGGTAACTCTGTTTCCTGTATTCTATGACTGCTCAAGTTGAACAATGGATTTCTAGATGCCGTTCGCCCCTGGTGGCTACCAGTTTTTCCGGAATGTGTGAGTTCAACAAGCCGATCTGCTGTGATATTAATGAGAATCTGACTGGAACTATTTTAGGAAGGACTTTGGTGCAAAAGGTGATGGTGTCACCGATGATACAGCAGCCATCAATCGGGCTGTTGTTGCAATGAGCTCAAGTGACTCGACACCAGCTCGGTGTGGCCAAACATGCGCAAGTAGGTTTCTGCTCCTGGTTATTTTCCTTCTAGGGTTCGAACTGTTGCTACTGACTGCTGACTTGCTACAAGGTACCACGATGCTTGGAGCAATGGTGTACTTTCCAGTAGGTAGATTCTGAAGCCCCTCTTGGTTACAGAGTTACTGTACTAATGATCATTTAGCCTGGAACATACATAATCAGCACTCCGATCATTCAGTATTATTATACTCAGTTTGTTGGCGATGCAACGAATAGACCAACACTCAAGGGTGTGCATAACTTTACTGGAATTGCCCTAATCGATACGGATGTCTACATACCCGGTGGTAACGGTGCCGAGTGGTATGTCATCACATACGCCAGCTGATGTTGAATGATTTGGTCAAGAACTATAGCTGACTTGGAGTACCAATGATCATGTAGGTACATTAATCAAAGTCAATTCTACCGGCAGATAAGAAACATGATATTCGATTTGACCGCAATGAACAAAACGAATCATGATTTCGGCCAGGAATATGTGCCCACGGGTGAGTTGGGACTGGTCCCTCGGAGCTACAACGAGATTGACCCTCGAATCAGGTATCCATTGGCAGGTCGGTCAGGCAACCTCATTGCAAAATTTGCATTTTGAGATGCCTGTCAGTGATGACACAGCCACTACAGCTGTTGGCGTGTTCATGGAGAATGGCTCAGGCGGTTTTCTCAGCGACCTGACATTCTTCGGAGGCAACATCGGGTTTCGGGCCGGGACCCAGCAGTATACTGCGCGAAACCTGCAGTTCACGTCATGCCTGACTGCCATATCACAAATTTGGAATTGGGGAATGACGTTCGTGGCCTACTCTCCGATGCAAAGAGAAAAGCTAATCATACACTCTAGGTGGAAAAACATCTACGTATATTCCTGCTACATCGCCATAGACTGTACAAACGTAGGCGGTGCCAACAACCAAGGCACTGGTTCGATAACTGTATTAGGTAAGCTACAATTACTCTTGTTTCAACTGTTCACTCCAGACACTGTCTTCATTACCAGAAATGAATAGCCGCAACGCGATAATAACATTAAATGTTCCCTCAATTAAGCTAATTCCAACATTTAGACTCCCACTTTAATGGTGTACCATATCCAATCACATTGAGAAATGGGGGCCCATATCCCAACATTGTTCTGGATAACCTGCTGGTAGAAAATTCTGCATCTATTGTACTAATATCCGGAGGCGAAACTATCTTCCCAGGTATGTATCATCAGCATCATTTATAACACCAACACGTCGTTTAACAACAGTGGCTACAGGATCCTCCGGTCAAACATTTTTTGACTCTTGGGCCATGGGTCGCAGGTACACGTCACTCAGCGGTGAACAAGACCCCGGTGATTCAAAAGGCTTTGTGACAGGTTTTCTCTCACCACAGCGCACGAAGCCTGATGCATTAACCGACGATGCTGGAAAGATCTTTGAGCGGTCTAAGCCGCAGTACGAGAGCGTCGGCGCAGGTGGATTCGCGGTAGCCACGGCACACGGTATCGCCAATGACGGGAGCGGCGACCAGTCAGGAGCTATCAACAGCCTACTAGCCAGCTCAGTCGGGACGCCTATTTTCTTTCCCGCTGGTATATATCAGGTCCAGAATACGGTCAAGGTCCCTGTCGGGTCCATTCTAGTGGGCGAAGGGTGGGCTCAGGTAAGCATCCGCTTCTCTGACATTTGGTGATACGCTGACCCTAGCTCGCCTTTAGATTATGGGAACTGGATCTTATTTTGAAGATGCCAATAATCCCAACGTTATGGTACAGTGAGTGACCTCTGTGCTAGTCATATGTATAAACGCTTGCTCAAAACTTCTCAGGGTTGGCCAATCGGGTGATGTGGGCAGCATTGAAATCTCAGACATGCTATTCACAGTAAAGGGGCCGACCGCAGGTGCAATTCTTATGGAGTGGAATGTGAAGGCTTCATCTCAAGGTTCAGGTATGTTTGGGCTGTAATACGTTGGTACAATCCAGAGTTTCTGACAAGAACCCTTCATTCTAGCCGGAATGTGGGATTCGCACTTCCGAGTAGGAGGCGCGAAAGGGTCTAATCTCCAGTCCGGCGACTGCCCAAGCGGAGGAAGCTCGACCAGCAAGTGCATGTCTTCTTTCATGCTGTTGCACGTGACAGACTCAGGCAATGGATATTTTGAGAATATTTGGGCATGGGTGAGTGTCCAGTCTCTGCAGCTCCTCCCTGCATGAAGTTTTCGAGCACTGCTGACCCCACGATGCGACAGGTGGCTGACCACGATCTCGACGATGACCGGAATGCATACGCAACAGAGGGTCTTGACGGTGTTCCTCGCAATGTTCTGACGCAGGTATCCGTGTACGGTGCTCGCGGTGTTCTGATTGAGTCTCAAGGTGGGTATCATAGAAATGTCACAGGTGAATTGTGACACGTGTGACGTGCTGGATTAACCGCGTCAACAGGTCCATGTTGGTTTCACGGAACTTCGTCTGAGCACAGCATTATGTACCAGTATCAACTCCAAGGAGCATCGAACATTTACTTGGGCCACATGCAGACAGAGACGCCATATTTCCAAGCCTCGCCTGACGCGTCACAGCCATACAAGCTCGGCCAGCTCGATGGAGACCCAACCTTCAGCGACTGTGCTTCTGGAACCAACTGTGAAGAAGCATTTGCTCTACGCATCATCAATTCGAACGACGTTTTTATCTATGGAGCAGGCTTCTATAGCTTCTTCCAAAATTATGATCAGTCCTGTGTCCCACAAGAGAATTGTTAGTCTCCCGGATTGCTCACTCAGCGAATAGAGCTTGCCACGTCAAGAACTGAACATTTTTAGGCCAAGAGAAACTCATCCAAACCGATTGTACAGAAGGATTGTGGATGTATAGCATCTTTACCAAAGGTGCGGAGCAAGTTGTGAGTCCAGCAGGGCTTCCACCGGCTCTTCAGAGTGATAATCAAGAGTAAGCGACGAGCCACACAGAGAGTCTTGAGGGAGTTTAGGATAGTTGTGGGTTGAATTGACCAACGCTAACGTGCACCTCATAGTGGGTATACGAGTGAGATCAGTGCTTGGCTCGTCCTCGCAGAGGGCGGCGGTGGCATATGCGGCCTAGGGGACAGCAAAAACGGTTCTGGTGTTGTTTACATCGGTCAGTACATTTTCATGTGGATATATGAGATCATATCCTCTAATGAAATCCGCTGATCCCTTTGTCACAGACCCTACTATCTTTGTCGAACCTAGCCCGACGATAGGCTGTTTTCCGCCTTGTACATTTGTGTTTCCACCGTCGTCGGTGGTCACTTCAGCTGGTGAGTCACCCTGAACAACTGCTTTTCTCTATTAGTTTCAATAAGCCTCTTCTATGAAGAGCATTCTTCCTATGGCATCGACAACAATAGGATAATTGCATGAAGCGTGCTCCTTCCTTGAGATTGATTACAGAGCTACGAGATCGCACTCTGAACAAATTGGCTTTCGAATTGCATTTCGTCCTTCTCAGCCTTTATAAAGTTCTTGAACTTTGAGTGCGTAAGTAAGTACTGGTTGCTGACATCTTTGGTGTAGTCATAACTCCTAAGCCAGTCACGACATCGATTGTGATTGGTGGGTCGACCATTACGACTCTAAATCAAGGTCCAGGTATTTACACATCTACCAAAAGGTGATAAAATGCTGTTATACTGACTCAATGCAAAGTGACGGTGACGGTGATCAGTTTTCTCACACTCAGCATACCGTCTGGTACAACTACCAGTACCTTTGCGCTCACTCCAGTTTTCCAACCACCGGGAATTGGTGTTACCGTGGGGAGTACGACCACAACAATCTTACCACCATTGATAACGAGCCCGTTGTCATCAGTAGCTTCGACATACACATGGCCGACATTACCCACCACGGTTATCACTGTCAGCGGAAGTACATATACATACTCCGAAGACCAGATAACTAGTCTAAGCACTCTGCTGTCTCAAACAACTATTACAACGACTTTCACAGATTCGCCAAGCTCAGGGTCGTCGAGTTCTTCGTCTTCATCCACTACTGTTGTCCCGTTCATCATTTGGGTCAATTCAGGCGGCTTTTACTGGTCGCCTGTGCCAGGACCAACTCCGCCTCCCGGCCCCAACCCTCCGCCACTGCCTCCTCGTCCACCGCCTTTGCCATCATTTCCCCCGATTCCAAACCCGCCTTGTTTCAAGTTCCTCGACATATTCTCTATCGATTGTCCGCCAGATAAGAGTAAACCCACTACTCACTACACATCAGAACACCCTACTCCTACCTGCAAGACGAAATGCGGCACACTCCCAGGCAACGAACAGACCTCATCCGAGTGTACAACAACGACTCAAACAATCAATGGTGCTGTACATGTTGGCTGTGCACCTGAGCCAACTGATACTAGCGTGCCGTGCGATCTCAGCGACGAAACAGGTGAGTGCTACTGATCAAGCCCTCCGCAAAGATATCTTGCGAGGCTCACATATATCCGCAGGCTTTTGTCCGAATGGAAACTTCCCTGTCTGGGATCCCGAAACGCTTTCCTTAAACTGTGACGATAACAATGATGAGGCCGCCGATGACATCACGGCTTGTCAAGATGATGCAGACGAGGACATGGACGATATCAAAGACCTCATTGAATGCGAGACTGAACCGGACGCATGTACGCCGACCAAGAGGTCCTTGGTCTCAAGGGGTAGTTGCAAGCGCAAGCGAAAACCTTACTATATTGACGACCCTAATCCTGCCGAGCAAGCCTTAGGCTGTGATACCACGTTCCTTTGCGATACTGGCAAGTGGCCCAACGTTTGTCTCAATGCGAAGTCCGCCCAGGATCTCCGCGGTAAACCCTCCCATCTGACATATTACGGCGAACGTGACAAGTACGGACACGACATCACAGCAGACTGGTATAATACTCACCCAAGTCTCGGTATAGGGGTAAAATATTCTCTCCAAAGATAGTCTACGAAATGGGCTAACGATTCATGTTCATAGAAAGTGACGGAAAACAACAAAATAGCCATGGAAGCTGGTACTGCTACTTTCGGTTCAGGCAGCAGGAAACAGAACCAGGTATGCCTTTATTCCGGTTATTTCTTTCATTTACACTGTTTATTGTTTCGGAGACAACTTGAGAATACTGGGCACTAACAAATCGGATGTCAGCCATGGGGCGGTTGGGGCTTGTATGGCTGTGAAGTTGAAGAGTATCCCTGGGGTAATAGTTTGCAACCCAACAGTGCACCAAACCCCATTACCTGGGCTGGCAGGTCCGTTCTACGGTTGATTCCACAAAAGGAAAATAGTGGCCACGGTGCGGTGCTAAAAGCCTTGGCAACCTATGGACAGAAAGTGAGACGACATATTCCCCTTTTATGAACTAGTGTTAACATGGCTACAGAATTACGGACCAAACTTTGTCTATTGTGAGTGACTCTCTTGATTCTGGTTGATCGAGAACCGAACACAGTGGACTGGTGCTGAACAATCTCAAGGTGTTCGTGTCACAGGGAGTACCCCGGCAGATTACGGCTTGGATGCAGCTCAGGCTAGTAACGAGTGTGGAAGGGCTTACGGTGTCCCCTTCATCCTAGTAAGCATGGCAAAAACACACGACATATACGAGCCTGATAACAATTTAACAAATCGAAAAGGTCAATGATATCAAAGACTCCGAAGCAAGAGCGTTGCCAAACGAACGCAGGTGGGACCCGTGGTTTGATAGCCAGAATCAACTGTTCGAGCATACTATTATCTCCCAGGCTCCGCCTGCTGGACAAGCCGGAGCACCTTATATCAAAACAACTGTGATTCCTTCTCAATATGGCACAGGTTCGTCCAACTCTACACCCTACCAAGACGTTGTTTGGTCAAGTTGTTAATACGATTGTAGCGCCTGCTCCTGGACACAAAACGTACTTTCTCCTCTTTTCCATTACTCCAGCTTCTAGCTTGTGGTGCGAACTATTGTTGCTAATTATACGACAGATATGATCTGGTCAATAGTGCCTGGACAACGGCGGCTTCCAACGGTCAACTTATCGGGAGGGCTGTTCCACGGGACCCGCCTAATGCCGATGGCAGCAACCTCAAGTGGGATACTCCCGGATCCGTTCACACAAACCCTGCAGGTCAGCAGGTGTTGAAGAAACGCGTTGTTTTCAAGAATGAAGTGGGACTCCGAGTCAAGGAAGCGCTGATACAAGAGCGTGCCAGCTTTGATGTTGTTGATTCAGGCCATAACACGACGAACGTGACTAGCGAGCTGGATATGGACCAGCTCTTGCCAAGAGAACTTCGTCGTGGCCTATCAGCTCGTCAGCTTTCCGGTGGCAGTTTCTTAGATCCTCGTGTGTACACTGACATTTTGGGATGCGGCGCTCCTGATGAGGATTACTGCTTCACCAATCTCTGCTACGACGGCGGTGTCAACTTTGGGGTCGGAGATGGCCAACTGAAGCCCGGGTCTCCGACCAGCCCCTACGCCAGTGGTGGCAACGGAGCTACCATTACTACGGCTCCGACCCCAACCTGTGTTATCGGAGAAGATCCTGACCAGGGATTGACCACCGCATTCTGCGAGTGCGACGGGGCCAGTAGTCGGCTCCCTACGTTAACAGGGTCCAGTCCATGCGCCTACACGGCATTGCCAACACCTACGCCCACAACGCGTCCGCCATTAGGCTGCAGACCCGGGGCTGATCCTGATTCAGGCGCCACCACTATGTACTGCAACTGCCCAGGCACCACCCTCCCGACATTGACCTCCACCTCAGATATATGTGGCTACACAGCAATTCCTTTCATTTGTGAGAACGCTGCAGATCCCGATAATGGCATAGGTCCCTATTGCGAATGTTCCGGCTATCCAGGTGAGTTGTTCGAAAAAGGCTCATCCTCTCTTTTACCCTTATGACGTTCCTGCTAAAATGTGTTATAACTCAAATAGGCACGCTCCCAACCTTGGAGCCAACCTTCACGCCCTATGATGCCTGCGCATATACGACGGTGCCAGATCCGTGGCCATTCCAAGTAACGGACGGCGCGGGTGACATTATCGCCTGTCAGTCAAGTTCGCTGTCACAAGTGGCGGGATTTGAGATCACTCTGTGTGCGGGATCTACATCCACCGTCTACACGGCACCGCCACCTCCTACGGCAGCCCCTACAGCGCCTGCGCAGTACCAGTTCGGCATATTTGACGAGATTGACAGCTATACAGATGATGTGTAAGTGCTCACCAAGATTTTATTATTCAGGTCTCTCCAGTCTGTTGCCGTCCTGTGACTTGCTGACACGCAGCATACAGCGATGGCCACGTCCACGTTATTATTGACGGCTATAGCGTGTGGGCGGCTTCACTCAAGGACCGATGCAAGTCCAGCGGGGACTACCTCGCGGAGGATAAGGACGGCTACGGCGCGCTGACGTATGGCTCCTACATGAACTTCAAAGACGGCATCTGCGGTGTTGGGTCTAACGGTGGCATCGTGTGCGAGAGCGGCGACAACTCCAAGACGTGGACCTGCAAGAACCAGGGGGGCAACGGCGACGTTGTCGCCACCTGCAACGCGTACTCGGGTACTGACCAGCTAGGCTGTAGCAAACCGGGTGGGGATGATAAACAAACCTTCCTCAAGGTAACCTGCACGGGCGACATCAATTGCGATGCATAATCAGAGCTTAGCAGCGTCACCCGTGCCGGTGCCGGCTTGCCAAAGCGAGAGAGGCAACTTTTTTTGTTTCCCTTCTTCTTTCTTCTTCTGAACTCGTGTAGCCATTAGCATGGTTCAAGTTATCACTGTTTCAGTGCGAACATACTGAACCTATCTGCTACTTGAAGGGCTGCTTGGTACTTTGACGTGTTCATGGAGATTTTTTATGTTCGTCTTGTTACACAGGCCAATTTGTTGCGACACGTTTACAAACAATAATTGATTGACAGGCAGTGGGACGACAGGCATTGCGAGAGGTCCTAGACATCAGGTCGTTCGTTATCCTGCTTATTCCTTCATCAATTTTCACACTATTCCCAAGTTGCAAGTTGACCTAACGCCCAATTGCTCTTCTATCTATGTTCACGTTGGAAGAGTAGCTACAGACAACGATATTGATTGCCTCTATCAGATGATATATATTTATATTTGGTCTACTAGTAAAAATGCGGTTCTAAATGAACCTGGTATCATGTGCTTGAATTTCAAAACGATTTTCCTGTCCTAGCCATTAAGTCATCCTCGTTGCCGCTCGCCACAGTCTTCCCAGCGAGTTGCATCTCATTATGAGTACCGTGCTCAGTTATGCAGAGCAATCGGTGACGGAAGCAGTGAAGTTACCGGGGCCAGTGTAGTGCTGAGTGCTGACAGCGCCGTTGTTCTGGGTAGTGATCTGGTCGGCAGTGATGCTGTGGCAATAGGTGATGTTGCTGCGGCTGTTGAAGGGGTACCAGATGGCAAAGTCAAGACCGCCGTCGGTGGTCTTGGTGATCGACCAGGTGTAGGCGGAGTTGTCGGGGCAGTCGCCGTCCTTCACCTCAGGCAACTGGTCAGGACCCTGGAGGAAAGCGCCACAGTGGCTGGCGGGGAGGACAGGATCGCTGGTGATGGTGAAGTTGTAGCTGAAGAGGGTGTCAGCCGCTGGCTTTAGTGGACCATTATAACTGGTAGAGGGTCTGAGAGACTTACGCGCAGAAGGTGCTGTGAGGAATGCAGTCGGCGTAGAAGTTGCCAATCGGGGCGGTCAGAGACTGCTTCTTCTGCAGAGTGGCTGCCGAAGCAGAGGCGGCAAGAGCAAGGACAGCGGAGAACTTCATGGTGGTAATGGTGAGAGTGGTATAGTTCAGTGGAATGTCTGTTGTTTGGAGCGAGTGTAGTCGTAGACGGCGGTGAGATTACTGGTGGTGCAATTGCTGTTGTCTCAAAAGTGGTTGAGTGATATCAACCAGCTTTATATCTCCGCCCTTGGGCTCCCAGCCTTGCCACATTCAATTAACAATTCCATAATCAGATGTAGTGGTTCGTTGCAACGTTCAAGCGGGTCTTTCTGCTCCTTGCAACCTTGCAGTGCTTGTTAGAGGCCAAACAAGATGTAGATCCCTTCGTATCCGGGTGGCTTTCCGTTTTGGGCCTCGAGCGCGCGCGGGCCCGGCTTGCGATCGACGTCATCGCGTTGGACCCTTTCTAACCCGTGGGGCCCGTACAAAGTAACCTCATTAGCAAGCAGCTCAGCCACTCCACCGCTCGAGACTCCTGAGTTGCGTGGGTTCCATTTGGCCAATGACGGCCACAGCGGTTTCGAGATAAATGAATGAGGATGTAGATCCCTGCTGGGTGATAAGTTGCTTGATAAGTTGCTTGATATCTCTAGGTGGCTTATAGACTGACTTCCTGTACTGCCGAGCATGAACTTGCTGGAATAAAGTGTGGCTGCGCCTCTAAACCGAATCCCCCTTCAAGTTTGCCAAGCTTTCGCTACGATTTGGGAATCACTTGTTTTTCACTAGTTTACTTAGTGGGTTTAGGTTACATTTTTAAGCGCTTGAGGGTCCCGGACCGCCCGCACAGCAGCCGACCTTCCTTACGGAAATTCGCCCTCATCTGACAATTGACGTCGGCCTCTGCCACTAATGTGGTTTTAGTCCCTTTACCTGCCGAGCATGACACGACCCTAGAGGTGCCAGGCTGCAGCAGGGCTGCAGGATGTCCAGCACTCTTGTGGGCCATCCCCGGTCGCCCTCCGAAGTTTGACGTTAAGTGGCCCTATCCCTCGGTCCTCATCGTATCGGAACTGCGCTCTTAGTTACTCAGCGCTTTCACGAGATATGAACGTCTTGACGGATTCAAAAGAAAGACATTGATATTAGCTCCGCAGCACCACCAGCAACTTTGACACCGTTTTGGGCCGATGTGGGACGATGGGCATTGGCTACTCTTGACTCCCTTGGGTGTGGTCAACGTACCTGACTTGCCTGATGGCTGTTGCACGTGTCATGGATTGGACTCCTTCCCCCACAATCCGAGCAAGCGTCCTGTTTATTTGAAACCACTTCGCGTTGACCTGGATCAAGCATCACGAAATGTCCAATCAACTGGAGTAAAGTTCTTATTATCCCTAAATGGACATTTGTTTTCCTCGCTATGACCGGCCTTCCTGTACTATAGTACAAATAAGTGCAATACACAAGGGTATAGATTGTTAGTGTGGCACTGTTACCACCATCCGGGGAAGCCCAGAGTCTGAGTTAGCAGGTGTAGTACCATTTATATAGGACTACACTGTCAGCTAACGCCATGATAGATGTAACCCAGGCATTCATGTAATCCCTACGTATCAAATAGTACAAAATGGAATCAATGCTTCGTTTTCACAAACCGGCACCTAGAAATTTCGTGCGCAAATCGTTATGATAAGAAAAGGTAAGGTGTAAGTGTAGCGAAGCAGAAGACTAAAATATGGCCAGTTTTGGGCACATATAGTTTCCGTCCTAACAATTCATACATCTCCGTATTGTCCTAGTCAGTGCTTTTTCTTCTATTTTTGGAGCTGGTCCGTGTCAACACGTAGTAGTTTTACGAGTTTGAACATTTTCACGCACCTTTCCATGGTGTACTCGACTGCTACTGCACCCATCCACCATCGGCTGTACGAGTCCTCCGTCTACAGTGGTGTCTGGCGAACCTTGTAATTGCGTCCTTGGCATTGGCGCGAGCTCTGACCACTTCTTTGATCAGATCGGAATGGCTAATCTAGCACCCACGATGCGAGTGCAATCGTACTCGTCCAAGTCAACTGTCAAGCTACCATCCAAAACTTTCATGCCCCTCATTGACACCTTTATGATGTGGAACACGTTTGGTCCACTACGACAGGTCGGTTCTCAAAATCTGATCTACGTTGGTCGAACGCATCTAGCTCATGCTACGTCCTGTTCAACCACATATCGTGCCTTGAAGATCTTTAGCCTATAATTTTTCCGCCACCAGATGGGAAAGGACCATACAAGGTTTGATGCTTTCTGGTCGTTGTGGCTGACGTAAGGGCGCTTCGGGTGAAACTCTTGCATGTAGCCAGAGTCCTATGGTAAGTTTGGCAAGGATCAAATGCGAGCACTGACAGCAGCGTGTTGCCCTGTCGGTATCTGCCTGATGAGCAATGAAATATGAAGGAAGTAAACATTTGAGTCTAGCGTAGGTGTGTAACAGTACAGTGTGGCTCTACGATTTACGCAAACATCTGTGAGTTGTTGGCTGTGTCAATTTGGGACTGTCTCGACTATCTGGCAAGGGCTTAAGGTTCATCACCCTCTGGAATAGTGCAATACGTTGCACAAAGGAAGGTCTGATCTCAATAGCGTTATTGATATCAGCTCACTTGTCGCCGTCCTTAACCAAAATAAACTGACACGCAGCACGTGTGACCTCGCCTCGCACCGATATAATTTCGATTGGCTAGAGCTAACAGTAAGAATACCTTTCTGCTTGAATGTCTTGGCCTGAAGGTGAATGACGGCCCAGTATATAAAGGCTCATGTGCCTCTGCGAAAAGATCAGAACGCATTGAATTCAGATCACCTTCTTGTGATACCTTACGCAATTATCCGTAATGGCTTTCAATAATTTTGACCTTTCAGCGATACTTTTATTGCTGTTGCACTCTTTGAGATTACTTGCAGTCAAGGCATGCACTTTATATGATAGATGCCTTCATTGTCGGCAATGACCCACCAGCCGACCCTGCAACCCTTGGAAACACCATAAACCACATTTGACTTGTTGTCAATACCTTTACTGCATCCAGGGACTTTTATCGTCCCATCCTCGGTATGTGTCATATCTCCACCTTCCACGTGTCCGAGGATTCACTTTGGTCTATATGGGGTACGTCCATGGTAAGAAGAACGGGACGAGCTTCCAAACAGGAGAAGATCTTCTGTGCGAGAAACCCCAATAATACAGGCATAATTGAATTCCCATATTTAAACAAAGGTGCCAACAAGCCTCTTGAAGCATCTAACCAGAGGGCCAACACATTTAGCCACGTCGGACTCTACGTGCCAGATATCCTGGACACACAGTGACGCTTAGAAGAGAACGGCGTGGCCATCTTGAAGAGTTCTTGAGATGCAGTGACTCTCGAAGACGGCCCCTTTGCCAGAGCGTGTGGTGTTAGGGGAGATGTTCAAGAAGCGAGAGTTCGCGCCTATGCGGGGATTAAGCAAATTGGCTTTGACAGTTTCTTAATCACTACTGATCCCGGTGGGAACCTTCGTCTTGAACATATTATTGGTTGGTATTCGGAATTTCGTGCTGCTTATCAGCTTGTTTTTGTTTTCAACCTTGAGGCGTTTAGTTAGATATATGAAGTTAAGTATCTCACGTCCGCCTTCCGTCCTAGTTTACACGACCCTGGCATCAGGTATTCAGTATTAGTACTTATCTGAAAATTCGCTGTAAATACTCAGTAGCCCATGATAGGATAGCATCGCGTTTTAAGTACCCTAGATAACTCTCGATCACTTTCGTAGAGTATCCAAACTAGCGCCGTGCTGGATGCACCCCTTCCATCTCGTTACTTGTTGTGACAGGCGTACGGGGAATATTAGAACCCAATTCTCGATTTCACCTTTGATTCTGAAGTGTGTCTCGTTAGTTACTGCTCTGCTTGTAGTAGAGGTCTATTGTCTACAGATTGACAACTTAGAGCCACATGGATCAAAACACTATGATATGGCGGCAATGAACGTGACCTTGAAATTCCTCGTTAGATCTGTTACACTACCTCTTCATTCTATGTACTAGCAGAAGCCTTACGAGCGGCAGCAGCCTCCTTGTCAGCAGCCACCATCTCTTGTATGGCTGGTCGAGCCATGCATCGGTCCCACCAAGCACTCACGGCTTTGCGACTGACGATGACATCTCCGTACCCGCATTCGACAAGTCTTTGCACAAGAGGAATGTAGTAGATATCCACGAGACTGAAGCTACTCCCTGCCATATGTTCCTGGTGATGTAGCAAACGTTCTGCGACATCCAAAAACATCTCGATCGATCGTAGAGAATCTGAGACAACGGCCTCATTGGGGGACAGTCCCATAAACCTTTTGGCAAATTTCTCGAATGCGATTCTACCCGCAGCATCTGCGAAATAGAGAGTCTCTGTAGACTCTGCCTGGTCGAATAGTGCTGTAGCTTCGACGTCGGAGTCAGGAGGCAGAAGTGGAAAGGAGTACTTCCTGGTGAGGTATTTGCATATCGCGCGACTCTCGTAGAGAGTGAACCCGTTTGGGAAGGTCACCACAGGTATTTTACCCCACGGGTGGCGTTTTATGTGTTCTTCGGACTGTATATATTGATATCAGCTCCACGACGCTGTAGCCAAGTGAAGAAATATCTGATAAATCAGACGGCTCGATGCGATGTACAACTCGCTTACGCAAGAAGCCCACCGTGGTCAAGATCAACGCGTCGCCCACCTTTTGCTCTCCTTTTTGGAGGTCAAGAAGCACGAGTTCGTAATCCGTAAATCCACCTTCGGCAAGTGTCAGGCGGACACGATCAGTGTTGGTCGAACCGCGAGAGCCATATAGAATAAAAGCTGGCATTTTCGGGCTGTACAGTAATTTTGAGACAGGTACCGGGCTTTTTCTGAGCTTCGTAATCATATCACTTCTCATTTGAGAGACAGAAAACATAGAGAGAGAGAGAGAGAATGGGCCAGCGGATCGGTACTTATATAACCCAACCTGTCGAGCCAACTCGGACTCAGGGGCGCCAGCGGCGTCTCAACATGCACGATGTGTAGGCTGTAGCCTTTCCCGATAGTCACGTATGATTGGTAGGTTCGCTTTCGCTACCCAATCGAGCTAGTGCTGACATCCGCCACGACGACGCACTTCTGAGTCTGACATGAAATCGAGTCAGACTGACATTCTTCAGGATTCCGGTGTTGAAGGGAAAGCCTGCATCATTTAATTCGCCTGCTCGGGTTATTGCCTGCTACAGCCCTTTCTCTCGGCAGTATGATGTTGCGCGACACGAGTGAATATCCCACCCCCGGCTCCACCATCGTCAGAAGCGTTGTCGCCCGTAAACGAAACACCGAAGGGAGAACTAAGGTGAAGACCGGTTGTGCAACCTGCAGGTCAGTCACCGCGTACAGATACCATCGCCAGTCTACACACCCGTGGACTCAGATGGGACATCAGTTCTGTAGTGGTTGTGCTCAATTAGCAATAGAATTAGGAAAGTCAAATGCGATGAAAATAAGCCGTTTTGCCAAAGATGTGTCAGCACCGGCCGTACTTGCGACGGTTACGAGTCCCCTTTTCGAATTGTCACCAGCCAACCCATGACGAACGTTTTTGCTAGTGGTATCAAGTCAAACGCTGCTTTGCAACCCATGAGGCCCACCTTCAATGAGATCACTCCTCGGGACATCGATCTTCTCAGTCGCTACTTCTCAACCAAAACCATCTTCGACGTGAAACTAGGCTGCTATGATGAAGCCAGGCAAGTGCTCCAAGCTAGCTTGACTGATCCGCCTATACGGCACGCAGTCATGTCGCTCAGAGCTCTTCGGGAAGATTTCGAGACATCCGGCGCCGGTCCGGCGCCAAACGCGCAGCGGAGCGCGACCTTTAATTATGGTCTGCAGCAATACTGTATGGCATTGGGGGGTATTGCGTCCAACTTGTCATCACTGGGCTCCAACGGGCTAAAGACGACATTGCTCTGCTGTCAGATCTTCATCAGTATTGAGCAAGTGCGAGGCAATTTTGCTGTCATGGCCCAGCACGTTGTTCGAGGGCTCAGGATCATGCGCGAGTATCGAGCAAGACCGTATTATGTGGCTGCACAGAAATTGGTGCCAGCACACCGTGACCATCTGCCGTTGCTGGATGTTTTCATTATTAAAATGTTTGCTGCACCGTGTAAGTTCACGGAACCTCCAGCAACAGTCGACTTGAGCAGGATGACCTCGTCTGGGGGCTTGGCCTCGCCTTATCCACAGCCTGTTGAATCTCGCCATCTTCGCAAGATCAACCCCAACTTACGGGCAGAGCTCATAAGGATCGCTGCATCGACACTTGAATTCCTCGGCAAAGTGTCGTGTATCAAATCTATCGGAAACGCACTTCGATTATTATCCGAGAAAGCAGCTCTGCTTGACTCCCTAGAGTCGTGGCTCATTGGCCTTGAGAACTTTCAGAGTGGACTCAAGTTTCCTGGCCTCGAGACTGTCTCAGTTTCTTTCATGCGTCTATTCCATTTAATACTTAGAATCGTTCTCTTGGGTGCACTGGACTCCTCACCAGATCTTGATACCAAGCTGCAAACGGAGAATGACAGGCTGCAAGGCTTAGCTAACAACGTGGGAGAAAGACTCAAGGCTTATAGTACGTGCAGTGAGATTGGCAGGGAGTGACCCAGTGTGTGCTAATATTCATTTCAGAGTGGCGTAATCCTTCTTAGCAATCCACATGAAGCCTGCGTTTTCGTTGCGCGGAGACCTTCAGCTTCCGAAAGAGTAAGAGACGGCTTTTCGAATGCGGCGCAGTTCAAGGCAGATAAAAGGGATCGAGTGGGGCGGCGTGCGTGCATAAGCCGCATGCACATTCTCTAATTCTAGTATACGGACCGAACGGACCAATCAGCGGCTAAGTCGGTCTCTGAACAGTGCCGCTCCTCCGTCTCCCAGGGACCCGGCGGTGATAGCGATGTTCAACTCTATAAATACATCTGCAACACCTCCCTTTTTTAATGAATCCATCTCGTCTCCCACAACCTCAAGCAAACGAGCTCTCTACTGCACATCTCATCATCAAAAGCTATGCATTTTCTTCTTCTCGGCGCCAACGGGCGGACCGGCCAGCACGTTGTGTCTGAATTGCTCTCTCACGGCCACACAGCGGTAGCTCTGGTGCGTAGTTCTAGCAGTCTTGCCACTCGTCCTGGCCTCACTGTCGTCACTGGATCGCCACTGTCGAAACCCGACATACGCAGTGCTTTGTCCGCAGTGCCTACTCTCACACCTTCAGCCGCGATCGTTACATTGAACGCCGTTCGCAAGTCCGATAGCCCTTTCGCGGCTCAAGTCTCACCACCTCGATTCCTGGCCGACTCGTGCGCCAACGTGTGCGAGGTTCTTGAGCATGCTGGCATACATCGCATCGTAGTTATGTCGACAGCAGGCGTCGGGGATTCATGGGGTAAGCTGCCGTGGATGAGTAAAGCATTTATGGGGTGGACCAACATCAAGTACGCGCTCGAAGATCACGGTCTCGTCGACAAGGAGATTCGGCAGACGAAAATGGACTGGACTCTTGTGAGGGCTGTGAGGCTGGACTTCGACGATCAGAAGCAGAAGCCAGGCAACACTACAACGGATGTGAAAACGCTGGGCGGCAATGGTGATGGAATGCGAATGACCGACAGCGTGGGTATTGCTAGTGTGGCGAGGTTCTTGGTCAAGGTTGCAGTCGAAGAACTCTTTGTCCAAAGCGCAGTGGTTGTGACCAATTGATGTGGATGAGCAGGTCGTAGATGGGGAATTTGGTGGAGAATCACGGCAGCGGATGAAAGTCTTATTCGCTGACATGATTAATGGGAGAAGAAATGTTAGTACGGAGTATATTTCGAGAGCTTGGTGTTCGTGTACCAGTACGAAATGTGTAGTTCTTTTGAGTATTCTTCAAGATGCAGACCATCTTATCGAGAGACTCCGTCAGTTGATACTTAATTTCCGCATGCAATCAGGAATATCCAAACATTGTCCGCAGAGTTTCACATGTTCAACTTCTTTTGCCGAACCTTGCGACGTACTGCTTCACATGTCGCATGCCCATTGTTAGACAAAACATCTAGAGCTTCAAAGGCCGCGGCCCTTCCATATGCGGCCAATTCCGTGACGCTAGCACCCCTCCTTATCTTATTCCATGTGTGCTCGATATCATAATGATTTCACGGTAATCCAATTCGGTTGCTTTACATCACGGGCTGGGACGGGGCCAGAGACAACAAGATTTACAGTTGCCATTGCTTGACCAGAGCGAACCCTCAAGCTCATGTCCTTGCAGGTTAAGGGATGAAGGAAGGTATAGAGTTGACTACTTCCACCTGTAGTGGATTATCTGGCGTTTAGCGGATGTCTAAGCACTAGTACACCTACTGAATGACTCAGAAACTGTGAAGCGTAACGCTAGTCGCGGAATCAGGTGACGTTTGCTCAAACCCTAGCCGCCAAAACCCTGCGAACGTTTGGAGTAAACTTTCAAACGCGTCTACCCAGAGAAACCATGAATGACATCCGCCTTATTCATGTGATAGAGTTCAGACAAGGTAATTATCGAACTATACTGGGATACTTATATGTTGCGTCTTACTCTGGTGTTTGTTTTCAAAGCTCGAGAAAGGGACAATGAAATCATTGAAGCGAGGCATCCATAACCGCCACAGTCTCTAGGCTCAACAGCAGAAAAGCATGTCCGTACAACAGCCACTACAGCCCGTAGGAGCACATGGAGCCGGCCAGACACATGGTCATATGCATGACCATGACCATCACGTAAGTCACGAGTAGTTATTGGTCCCATTGAATTCGATGCACGATGCAGAGCTAAGAATAAGGACCAGCTTTTGAAGGCAAAAGAACATGAAATCCAAGTACTCAAAGAGCAACTTCAACTATTGACAGAAAACCAGAAAAAAGACGCAGACAAATTCAAAAATCAGCTTCAGGAAAAAGAAAAGTCAATTACAAGTTTGAACAGTGCGCACGCAAATGTAGTACAAGGATTGCAAAAACAGATTGACAATCAAAAGAGTTCGATCGGGAATTTGAATACGGCGCACACAAAAGAATTGCAGGAATGGGACAATAAGTTTAAAAGTCAAGAGGCATTGATTGATAAATTGAAAACAGCACAGGTCTTATCCTTAGACTCGAAAAACAACCTCGATCCGGATTTCCATGGAGCGAGTGTTTACTTGGTTTTGCAGTCTAAGCAGTCTGTCTCGCAAGAGAAACACAGCACTGCACCGGAAACTAAGCGGTACCACGCTCTGGACCTTGGCAGTAGTGGTGGTGAGTCTTTCTGATGTTCTGATTCCACAGAAGTAGATGCTAATGGTGGGTCAGATGGAAAACCTTTCCTTTCCGTGTTCGACATTGACAAAGACGACGATCAAATGCTCATTCTTGAGAAGGCCAATCCCAAGGACCGCAAATCTCCTTGGACTATCAGCCTCAATAAGTCAAAGCGTAACTTTCTTCAGCTTGCTGGCTCTACAGTGTCTTGTCAGCACCAACGATACCTCTCTACAGAGGCTGCCGGCAAGCAACAAGAGTGGTACATTTGTCGACGCAGCGACTCTAGCTTTGGGTACGAGTGAAACTTCTTCATAGAAATCGGCTGTCCGTGAAGGTTTGACATTGATCTGCTAATTCTTGTTAACAGTATAGTTAGTGCCGGCTCAGAAGGGCAGTGCCTTGCACTGGACCCCAACGGCTCAACTAAAGGCAAGGCGGGGTATGTAGAACCTGTTGAAGATGTTTACAGTTTTCAGACTGACCGGTATTCAAGAAAACCACTTTCATGCCAGCTATATGTGGAAAAGGAGCAGTATCAGATGTGGAGTATCTATTTCCGTGATGTCAAGGGGGATTGGAAAGGTGTCAAATGATGATATGTGGGGTTGGGGTTCTTGATATAACATGGATATAGTGGATTTCCGAGAAGTGTCATCGCATTCAAGTTGCTCCCCTACTTTCTTTGCGTTTCCCTTTTCACTTGAGGATCAAAATACAGAATGAATACAATAGTGGGATAAATAATAGTTTGGTATCGGTCTCACTATCTGGTGTCAGATGAGTTGTACTGATCGGGTGCCAAGGCTATACTCCTTTCATAAGGGTAGTGGGGAAATTTCGCGTGGAAAGCTTTGGGTGGCGGTGAAGTACAGCAACAGTTGCATTGAGTCGTCGGTGGTCTGCAGCTCGGCGCTGCAGGCAGATTTGTCAGGCATCCTGGTTGGCTGCCATCGCCTTTCTGCCTAGGCAGCTACACGTAATCATCGACCATTGGCTCCTAGCCTGTTGCCCGAGTACGCAGCACGCAGGGTTTGAGTCGACATCCATTATGGTATCAGAAGCAAGAAACCTTCCAATTTCTAGTATTCCATCGGGGTCCGTATAGCAAGTACAATTGCAATGGCTTCTGCTGCTTACGAACAGGACATCGAGCTACAGGCCACCCCACAGTATGCAGTTCCTATCTCATACAGGTTCGGGAATGGTCCGAAACGTATCAGCAACACCAAAGAGAATTTTGGGCAAGCTTGTTTCGTTTGCTCAGCGAGCCACAAAGATGGCCAGTATGCTATTCTGATTCCTTGTGCAAGACCACGCAGACCTCGTGGCGAAGCGTGTAGTGGAGGAAAATCCATAACTACCTACACTAAGCTAGAGCCATGGGAGATGGTGTGTGAGTCAGATTCTCAAATCTGGCAGAAAGTCGTGGACGCATACTATCAGCACCATGGAAAGTGGAGGAAATGGCTCCCTTTTTACGGTATAGCCGAGGTGTCTGAGGTTCTGGTAAGCTCCTCCCTCCCAGAACGTTCCATCGAACTGATAGGTTATCATTTTAGTTTCAATTTGCCGGCGTTGTTGAAGAGGATGGAAAATACCCCATTCGCATAGAGCCATTACTCATAGAAAATGTCAAGGCTGACTGCCATCGAATTCGGAAGCAATGTCCGTTTGACTCTCCGTTTTTTTCGACAATGTATGCCTTTGGCCCTATCACACTGATGAGTGTCGGAACATGATGGAGTTCCAGCCATGCATCCGTGAAGCCGCCGAGGACGCTGATTGGCGACTTACGCGACTTTCCTTTCGGGAGGATCTCTTAAAGTGTGCCCTCAGACCTGAGGCAGCAAATGGTTTGCGTTCGTTAGACCTTGGCTACGTACAAGATGGCCGCATCTACGATATGAGGTACGTGTCCTTGACTAAACATTGCCATAGTGGAAAACTGAGACATCTTGTCAGGGGAACGACTCAATTTAACGTTCCCCAGTGGAACGAGCCATTCTGCCATGGGAAACCCTTGCGGGGGCTGCAACTCACGTCAGGCTGGCAAAAAGAACGCATGGTGGTTGAACTTCCGTTCAAGGCTGCTTGCACCTGGCTCGGCATCGCGACGGTCTGGCTATGTGTACTTTTGATCAGAGAAGAGCGAGGAGATTGGGATCTGGCGCTTGCGCTTGCGCAAGTTGTCGCTGCCTCGGTGGCTATATTGATTACTCTGCTCAGAGGGTAATGTCTGAGGTTATGGGTCAAGCCCAGTCAGGAGCGCAGTTCTTAGTTAATGTAGGTTTTACACAACACAACTTATGATCACCTCGCATGGCTGTATCGAACTGTATGGATATACGAGCCCTGGTCTTTCCTGCTCTTTGTAGCCCAAATGCTACAATGTCTCAAACCTGCCGAACATGCATGCAAAGGCCCGAACCATTCACTCAAGTAAAACCCATTCATTCGCGACCATCTAGTAACTCGTGATCATTTCAACTGACCCGTGGGTGTTCGAGTGTTCCCACCGCTATATTGGATTGTGTCGACATACCGGTCTTGCTCCTTGTAGGCGAATACTACAGTTCCTCAAAGCCGCCCAATATTTATGCAAAAGCGCCGAACCATCTAGTGTCACGAAACCCATGGATTCGCGATCATGTATGCTACTACGCAAATGAGATGAACAGACGCTCACTTGAAGAAGACGCTCAGCTGCCTGACCCATTATCTAGCTCATCTCCCCCTCCCCCGCCTCTTGCGACCGCCATTCTGCGACCCCCTCGACGAACCGCTCGCACTCCGGTTCCCCTGCGGCCCACCCGGGCGGGGCGGCAGCGTCCCCGGCGGGGCGTGCTGCAGCGCGGAGGATTGTTGACCTTGTGGGTAATAAGCATTAGCCGGGAGAGGAGGTGGAGGAAGAAGAGGCGGCGGCGGCGAGCCTGGCGGGAGGGGCGGCTGCCAGGCCATTCCGCCGCCGCCGCCGCCGCCACCGCCGACGCCTCGGTAGAGCTCCGCCGGCGGGTGAGGCGGAGGGGTAAACTCACGTTGGTTCTCGCGGCGGCTGCCCTCCTGGCGGCGGAGGCGGCTGAAGCCCCCGGGCTTGGGCGGGGGCGGGCGGCTGGACGCGGCCGTGGTGGTGTTGATTTTGATGGACCCGCGGCCGGGGGGTTGGGCCTTCCGGATGGGGTCCTTGATGAAGTCGTCGTCCGAGTCGTCACTGGAGACGAACTGGATGTGCGTGGCCTTCTTCGCGGCTCCGCGGATGTTGAGGTTAGATCCTTTCTGGATGCGCCGCATGTCGAGCCCGACCCAGGCGATGGCGACGTTGGGGCTGCTCGGGTCCACAAAGAGGTCCCTGGCGGCCACGGACCAGGTGTGCAACCTCGCCGTGGGCTCCTGGGCCCTGGCCACGAGACCGCACTCCGGGCCGTAGTGGCCTTCGTTGCCGCAGACGTAACAGAAGGCCGGGATGGCCTTGACCTTCCGGATCTGCACCTCAGCAGGGTCGAAGCTCCTCCAGATCTCATTGCACTGGTCCTCTGTGTGAGCGTCGCCGCAGTACGCGCAGGGCGACATCTCTTCCTTTGCCAGGGCAAGCTTCTCGGAGCACGTCTTCTCCGAGTGACCAACCTGGCGGCATTTGCCACACCTCTGCTTGGAGGGGCAGCCGAACCGGGAATGGGCCTTGCTTCCACAGAAAGCGCATGTCAACTGGGGACAAGCGTCTGTGTTGTGTTGCGTACTAACGCAGTGGGTGCAGAATATGGGGTAGTTCTCGGAGCCTGGGAAATATAACCTGCGTTCCTCCAGCTCGTCAAGGGTCAACTGTGGCGGTTCAGTCTGGGGAACTGGAGCGGGAGCAGGCGCTACATCGGCACCGCCATCATCATCATCGTCGTGAATCTCGAGATCCATGGATTCGCCATCCGAGGCGTCCTCGTCATCCCCCATACGGGACTCTGAGTTCCTCGACGAGTCGTCCATTGGCTTGACAACGCGCCCTGGTCTCCGCGTCCTCTTCAGTGCTTGTTGGACCAACTTTGTGTTCACAGTCGCGGAGGCGGCCAAGGCAGCCGCGGATCTCGCGCTTGTCCTTTGGTTCTTGGTGCCGCTCAGGATGCCGCCCGAGACTGCAGCCAGGGCACGCATGCCGTTCTGTAGCAGCTTCTTCTTGTGCGACGGCTTGGCGAACGCTGTGATGTCGATCTGATTATCGTCTTCTAATACGGTAGCCAGGCGGTCAATGTTCTTCCTTGCCCAGTTGGCCCAGTACTGTTGCTTCAGAATGTTGGCGTCGGCTTGGCAGTCCACTTGCTCGAACTTGGAGGCATCTATCCTCCACTCCTTCTTCATCACTGAGAACGTGATCACGCTAGGCGTATTTGCAGTTGAAACTGCCTTAGCGGTGGGCTTTTCAGGTACACTTGCGGGCGGCGTGGGAGTCTTTTCCGGAGGTGCCTTTGTTGGGGCAGGGGCCTTCGTAGGCCTTGCAAAGGAAGTCCTAAGGCCCAAGCCAACACCTTGATTCCAGGTGTTCGAGGTGGGCGCCTTTGTATTCACCTCAGCATCATTTGAAGCAGTCTGAGCCACAGCCTCCGTTTCCCCAACATTAGGTGCATCTGGTGATGCATCCCCGCCGGGCACAACGTCAGCGGACTCCCCGTTAGGCCCGGTTTCATGGCCAGCCGCTCCGTTGGCTTCACTGCCGCCATGGGAAACAGTGGCATCGCCCGAGGGGGCGGGTGATGCCGGTGCCTCTGGAACAGTTTGCGGGAGTGGATCAGCTTCTGGCCCGGGGGGAGGAGACGTAGGCTCCGGCTCGTTAACTTCCAGCTGCTGGGCCGTCTCGACCGTAGGCGCAGCCTCGCCACCCAGGGCTGGGTCCTCCACTATCTCCCCATCATCAAGGCTGTCTGATGCCGCATCGTCGTCCTCTGGACGGTCCGTCCTGCTTCTCTTGGCGGACGGGGCGGCATCCCCTTCGCTTTCGCGGTCGGGCGTCAGGCCCTTCAGTGCCTCGCCATAGTCACGTGGGCGTTTCTGGCCCGTGACGCTCCCCGGGCTAGGAGCGGCAGCAGACTGCTCACCAGCCTCCATCCAAGATCTCAATGTGATGTTTTTTTGAGGCAGTCTGTGTTATCTGTCTCTCAGGGCCCCTGCGCAATGTTGGCTCATGCGCGACTGGGACGAGTTCAACCTACGCGTGAGGAATGAGTCTCAAAAAATTTGGCTCCAACCAGCCAGGTAGAAAAAGTGGGTGCGCTGCTGTAATACAGAATGTTTCGGCTGTCACCAGTATCTCGACTGGCAAAGAAGCCTCAGTTCGATCGTTTATGAATGCGCAAGGCTCACGTCTATAATTCCGCACGGTACGATACCCGGCGTCGCGAAGTCTGATAGAGCTCCAGAAAGATTCGCGCCGGGTAAACTGCGGCAGGTGGAGAAATTCTAGGGGCCATGACTTCATGGCCGTGGAGTACTGCGGTACCAGTGAAGGTCACATAACTTATGGGAACCGACGCATGCAGCGTTGTGGAACGCAGATCTACACGTGCGGCAAGGAAGCAATTCCGTGCAGGTGAGGCACGGAAAAAGTTCTGAGCATATCGAGGCAATCCGGAGCGAGCCGTGTGAAGAAGTAGCCAACTCGGGTGCTCGCTCAGTCTCGAGGAGGACTCCTGCAAATGTCACATAGCTATATCTCAATGGGTCCGATGCATGGTGACCTGCAACGAATTCATTTAGTGGTAACGTAGCAGGTTGCGCGCTAATAAGTCAGCCAGAGACACGTGCCACATTGGCTTCGCCCTTGGGCAACTCGTAGCGTTCATGGAAATGAAGCTGTCCAGACTTAGCCAGGCCCCAGGTTGCCAGGGACGGTTGGCCCGACTCGGGATGCCATGGCGATGCATGTGCCTGGAAGGGTCTGTCCGGGAGGAGCCCCATACATTCCGGCATAGAATTGTTCCTCGGCCCCTGAAAATGGAATTCTTGGGGGGAGCCAAGCTGCGGCCGGGGTGGGCCTCGCAGGCTCTCTGTTGTCCCTTTCGGGAGCTCAACAGGTGTTTGGGGTGCTGAGGCCCTGAGGCGGAGGCGCGAGGTGGCCCCAGAGTGGTCAGTGACCCAACCATTTTAGGGGGGGTGGTAGGGGGGTTTAGACTCACTATGGTAGGGGGGGGAAGGGCTCAACGCCATTTCGGGACCCGCGCGTCGCTAAGCCGCCCAGTGTGTTCATGTTCCGTTCCCCAATGTCCAGGTGTGTCTGGTAACTACACAGTACCGTGTAGACGGCCAAGTCTGTCCCGTTCGGCCTGGCCAACCCAGCCAACCAGGAGTAGGCCATCTCCAAATCTCCAAAAAGGCCGGGCCATGGGCCACGGGGGGTTCGTGAGACGAGATGAGACCTCTCGCCAGTCCAGCTCCCCCTCGTCCCTCGTGATCAGCCGACGTCTCCTGTTTCTTCTACCCGTCGCGGTCGCTCAACAACCTCACTCACTCATACAGACAGACAGACAGACAGACAGACATACGTTCGCACATGACAATTCGGTGGTCAATTCGTTCCAATTGACGGGGCGTGATCACATATCTCCATCTCCATACAGGGCCCCCCCAGCTCTTTCCTTCCACGTAGCTACATCACTCCGGTGCTCCACCCCTTCGATTGGAAATTCCACCTTTACCACAGTAACTTACGGCTTTGTACCCCTTCCACGTTCCCTCCCCCCCAGGCCGAGAGACGGCCAGATCAACATATTCACCGACGACACCCGGGCTGCTTTCTGCGGCTACATACCTTGCCAAGTCCCAAGTCTTCTCTTGAGCATCAACGGATACCCAGCTTCTTTTTTTTTCTTTTCTCTGCATTTTCCGGCGGCTCAAACTCCGGCAAGCAAGCATCACGCCCGCGCCAGCCAGAAGCAGTAGCCAGTAAATAGCAGCCGTAACGACCAAACCCGCCCGAAACGCCCCCCCCTCCTCCTCCAAATTGCAGCGCACCGACATCTCTACGTAATCATTCATCACGTCCCCCGTCCGTCTTCGAGATCACTTCCCCCATCTCGCCGCCTCGCCGCCTCGCCCACATAACGGCCCACCACCAGGCACATCTTGGTTGTCCGTCGGCCGACTCGCCTGCCGCTGCTTCGTCCCTCTGTACATCTCTGGCGGGAGTGAATCAACCGCACGCCACGCTGTCCCACCGGCCGGGACGCCCCCCTTTCCCGTGCATACGACTAGCCTCGTTTCCTCCACGTCCAACTATCGCGATCCGCGAGGCCGTCTGCTGGCTCCGTGGACACTCTACGTCGCACCCGGCATAGCGAACCTCGACGACGACCCCCCGAACACCGCCAAAGTGTCTTCCCCAATCGTCCTCCCTCGCACCGTCTCCTACGACGTGGGCACCAATCCCCCAACGCGAGGCGAGACCTACCTGAGGACCAACATGGCAGACCAGAAGTCGACGCGGAGGCGCAGGTCCAGTAGTATTCTGCAGATCTATCAGGAGCCTCAGGAGCCTATCGAGCAGCTGAGCGATCAGTCTGCCCTGCCCAACCTCAATGCGCAATGGGTGAACGCAAAGGGTACGTGGACTGTGGACTGCCCTACCCCCCTACACCCATCTTGGAAGGATACGATAGACTTCGCCATGGACGCGGTCAGGGCCGCACTGGACAGGTAGAGGGTTCGGCATGGCGTCAGCCGCGCCGGGCAGGGCCACTGCAGCTAGTGCGAGCTTCAGCCTTCAGACCTCCTCGAGCTACGCCCCGTCTACGGCTACGTCTATTCCGCACCTTGTGGCCACTGCTTCCTCTGACCTAACTAATCGTTGAACTTGGCTGTATGCTGACTCCAATTTCTCCCCTGCAGGTGCTTGGACGATCCACTTCGTCCTGATTCTCGCCCTCAAGATCCTCTACGACATCATCCCGGGCGTCTCGCAGGAGACCTCTTGGACCCTGACCAACATCTCGTACATGTTTGGATCCTACCTCATGTTTCACTGGGTCCGGGGCACTCCCTTTGAGTTCAACAGTGGCGCTTACGACAACTTGAACATGTGGGAGCAGATCGACGACGGGGCCCAGTACACACCGGCCAAGAAGTTCCTGCTTAGTGTGCCTATAGTGCTCTTTCTGCTGAGCACTCACTACACACACTACGATCTGACATACTTTACCATCAACTTCCTCGCCACCTTGAGCGTCGTGATACCCAAACTCCCATTTGTACGTATTTTCTGTCCACTTACACATCTAGCCAATTCTCCACCCGCCCAGCCCCTGAGAACCTTGCTAACCTCGCATGCTCCATTGGCAGAGTCACCGCCTCCGAGTCGGTCTGTTATCCGGCATCCCGGAGGAGGATTCCTGAAGCCGTTATCGAATAGTGGAGGCGAAGAGGAGAAAAGCCAAAGATTCAATGGAGGCATGGCAAGGCGTCTTTGATCAAGACATTTGCATTGGCGTTTTTGGGTGGGTTAAACGGATCTGTCTCGGGAGCACCAAAAGAAAGACTGGCGCTGCCAAGTGTGGATGCATAAGCCCAGCATTGGCAACAACAGGGGAGCATTCAGATGTAACAATAGGGCTTTGTGCGCCGTCAGGAAAAGGGCTGTAATTCAGGGGACGTTAATATCGACCTGCTATCACAATCATGGACTGGGTTTTCTGTGACCTTCCCGGATCAACCCTGGACGTCGCTGTCTACACGTCAAGCAGCCAACACAAATCGTGGTTCGAGAGGTCAAGCGCTCTACATGGCGTGCAATATGCTTTAGGGAGTGCCTGGATTGATTGGTCCTGGCGCCATGTTATCTACGTACCCAGCGATAAGACTTTGGAGTATACCTGGTAAGCAAAGTTGGTTTGTTGGATCGATCTGGTTAGAGAACGACAAGCAATTGACAATGGCATGCTAAATAGCGTTGAGGCTATACCGTGCTACCACGGCCAAGCCAGGAAATTCCCGTATACTGACTGTCTATAGTTCGATGTCAAAGTTCATGCACGCATATAATGCCCCTGAGACTAATTGCCAACCTTCGAATAAGCAGCTGAAATTCAGTTGCTGTTTTCCACGGTCACCATGACGGCAACACCACCAGGTGCGTGCGTTTGCGTATATAAAGAGAGCAGTCCATGAGACACTCTTTGATGCGGCCTGGAAATTCCTTTCCCAGGACTTGTCTTCATCACTCTCGCTCACGACGATTGATTAACCCCTTGGCAGGTGGAACAATTATACTAGTCGCTCGCTTCTACTCAGCTCTATTTCTAAAAGCAACCTCGTCCTGTCCAACGCTGTCATCATGAAGTTGGGCTATACGGTATACAGCATCGCGGCCTTCGCCAGCCTGGTCTCAGCCGCCGAGGCCGAAGAAGCCCACGGCCGGAGCCCGACCTCTGTCGAGCAGCCCGGCAGGTTCACAACCTTTGCCGCCGGCCACGGCCACATCCACACGGCTGCCCCGTCCGCTCCAGGCGACGGCGAACAATGGCACGAGCAGCCGCAGCTCCCCGGCTCCGAGACCTGGTTGCCCAGCAGCGGTCCCTGGCAAAACCCCGTCAAGCAGAGCAGCGATATCTCGGTTCCCACGCAGCCGCAGATCCCACCACCACCCGTCACGTCCCCGGCCGCCACTGCCAGTGAGCACCACCATGAGCACCACCCGCCCCCATCACAAGCACCCGCTGCCCCTTCCCCGCCCCAAAGCAGCCATGTCGCCCCTCCCCCGCCTGCTGGTCCGGCCCCTGAACCGATCACGCAAACCCACCACCACGTACCGGCGGCGCCCAACACCTCGTACGCGGGGGGCCCGACCCACGAGGTCTCCATCCCGGCCGTCGTGATCCCCACGCACAGTGCCGGCCACGGGCAGGAGCACGATCACGGTCACGGCCAGGAGCATGGCCAGGAGCACGAACACGGCCAAAGCCACAGCCAGGCGCCGGAGACGCGTGTCCAGATGCCGACGGCGCCGCTGGAGACCATGCCGAGCTTCACGCCGGGGCCTGGCATGAACCACACCACCACGGCCGCCGCCGCCCCGGACGCGCGCCCCTCCAGCCACCAGCACCACGACGAGCCCACCAGCCGCCCCGCTGAGAGCTCCGCCACCCACCGGCCCATCGAGCCGACCCGGTCGCGCCACGACGTCCAGGCCACCCAGTCCTCGGTGGCCAGCAGCGCGGCCGCCGCCGTCGGGGGCCCGAGGGGCGGGGCTGTCGTGAGCTGTGGGTTGGCGGTGGTGCTGGGTGGTGTCGCTGCGGCGGCCGCTGCTCTGCTTTAGAGGGGGTGTGGGAGGTTTTTGCTACGCTCAAGCTGCGAGGATTCGTATATCAGGGGCGTTGATATAGGATAGTATAGCCGATATGTTTGGGGTGTATGGATCGATTCAGCCTCCCCTACTGGGTTTGGTGGGCGCTCGGGGTAGGTCGAACAAGGCGTTAGTAATGTAGGTAAGGGGTAAAATTTGTCATTGCTGGTATGAAAAAGGAATCGGGGTAGAATGGAGAATTTTCTGTACTTAGAAAGACAATTATTCTAATATGTGTGAGTACGCTCTCGGACCACTCATGCGGCGTTGCTGCGTTTGAAAAATCTATCTGTGTGGCATGCCAGCCTACCGTGATGCCAGCCAGCAGTCCCCAAGTCCAATAAAGCCAAACCATCCCTGATGTCGTTTCAATGAGAAAGTTCGTAGACCTGCCTCCCATGCTGTCCACCCCCAATCTCATGTCGCGGGGAGCCGGCCAACTCGTTGGGCTCGTTCTTCGCCGTGCTCATCTCGTTGTAGTAAGTGGGCATCACTTGCTCCGTACCTGGTAATACTGATTGGTCGGTCGCAGGAGGCATATTCGGCTCTGCTCTCCTCTTTGCCCTTCTCCTCCTCCAGATTAATGCTATTATAGCTAGGGCCACTAGTCCGGCTCCCGCGACAGACCCGACTGTGATCCCGGCGATCTCGCCCGGTCGCATCGGCTCGCTGTCTGAAGTACTGGACTGAGATGGCGCCGTTGGTATGGACACAGGGGCAGAGCTTGTCGGTCCAGCGGAAGTGGTGCCACCTATGGTGGAGCACGGCGTCGTCTGCACAGTAGAGGCGAACGTGAGGCTCGTGGGTAGGCTCTTCACGGTTGTCGTCGTGCAAGCCACCGCCTGCATCCTGCCGCTGTAGTAGCCCACGTAGCCAGGCAGGCAGCACCAGCCGCCGTACCGGAGGGTGCCGTCGCCTCCCCATAAGATCCAGTCTGAGTCAGGACACTGGGAACATCTCAGGTTAGATGTGCATTTTGCAGTCTTGGGTGATTGGAAATCTCGGACCTTGGGACTGTCTGACGCCTGCTGACTGCAGTCATGGCTCTCCTCGCAGCAGTAGTTGTCGGTGAAGTCGCCCGTGCCGTTGCATTTCAAGCCGCTGGGACAACACCGAGGTTGTATTCCATCACTGCAATGCACAGGCGCCTCCGATGGGCAGCTGCCACTGTCCGAGCGAAGCGCCCATCCTCCCTCGTAGCCGCATACCACGGTGCTGGAAGCGTTCTTCGCCAAGAGAGCCAGAGTCAAGATGTGCCTCAACGAAGCGGCGGCTTTGGCTGAATGGCCTAATGTACCGGCCATTACGTGAAGCATTTCGTGCTCATCTCCAATGACCAACAAGCGTGTATGCTATGGAGATCCCATAAAAGCCAGGGAATTGCACAGCAAGCTTGACTTGACAGAGACCATTTGGAAGAGGTATCAAGAATGGCATTCGGCAGACATAGGAGAAAAGGAAGCTGGCGTGTGTGGCAGTACTACCCATGGTCATTTAGGACGGTGGATCCCATAGAGCATATTGGTGACCTTGCGTTTGGAAACAAGCCTATTGCAATGGGACGAAATATTTGCGGCAGATCCTGCGTTACGGAGCCGTCCAATTGGAGGCGAGGTGGTGGCTGAGGCATGCGCCTAGCCGCATGGTTAAGTTAGCCGATGTCCCAGAGTTCTTCAGCCATCCATGATGCCTGTCATAATGCCCGTTCTTACGTCTTCCTGGAGAGCTTCCTAGGGCGGCCGGATGTCTCAAGCCCATGAGGCACACCCAAGGCCGGCATACGTTTTGCGCCTCAGCCTGACTACAGATGCTATGTTGCCACGATGGGTGTCTCCGACGAATCGTAATGCCGTGTTGCACTCTAGTAATCCGTATACTAGATGTACGTTTACATATTGTAGCAACTCAAGCTGGGGATGTGATGTTAAATCCTGGGCCGTTCAATCTGTTGCAGCACGTAGAGCGCTTTGCAGAACCACCCAATCTCCCAAACTCATAACTGGAGAAGCTATTGGGAACCTTGGCACGGCGATATATCACAATCAATGTAGTAACCGCGTGGAAAAGAAACCAGTCTTCCCATGAGGAAAAACTACTACGAATGGCCTTAATCCACGAAGTCTGGTGACGCGTAGTTGGTTTTCCTTCGAAGTAACTATGAAAACATCATACCTCCCGCCCGCTTGTTGAACACCACACTTCAAACAGCAGTCTTGCAGGAAAAGTCGCCTGATGCCACTATCAGTGTTACAGCAGAGGAATTGAGCCTCCGCGTTCCTGCCCGTCATTGTAATTGACATGTTGCGCCCTGCTGCTTCGAGGCATACTGACGCCTGTCAAACTTATCTTCCCTCTGTATTTCTCATCTAAGGCACAGTCTTGTCGATGCTCACAAATTTGACTTCACTCGCGCACCATGTAACCAAGTATGGTAGACTTGGCATCAATTAGTAGATAGCTTCGAGGTATCAGCACGGTTAGTCGCAGGAAGATTTCAGAATAACCTACTGGCAGTGTGATGTTGAGGGTAGAATGCTCTCCCAAATTCGAGGGCATGATCTCACATCGTTTCGGCGCCGTACGAGCTTTCTCCCTCTTTCTGTTTGGTGCCGCATCATTTCCAAGAACAGTATAATAGTGATTTTCAAAAATGAAACGGCCGTCGCAGAGCTCAAAGCTGAACCATTCCTCTACTTGGACAGCAAGGATTTGCAGTATTGACGGACATATGGTGGTCACCCCTTGCTCGCGAGCAAATGATCTTTGGACTTTCTCGAACAGCTTCTCTGTACTGAAGTGCACATAACCATCGCCAGCTATGTGGTGATTGATGATGTCTGCAAGAATCAGGCACTCATGCCTATCAGAAAACGGTAATCGAAACACTATGTTCTCTTGAGCGTGAACTAAGAAGGACAAGAGGCTAACCTCTAAGATCTTTTGAATCGTGTCCCAGAACCGGTGTCGTGCACAGCGTGCCTGAGCGGCGTAGATCACCTTCGGCCAGCCACTTTTGAATGGTTGACATTCTGAGCATGAGCAGTTCAGATATCTCGTTGATTGATCCAAATATGAAGTAAAGTCCTCCCATTCGGCTTTGAAACCTCGGTTTGATGTGGTCGGACTTGCAAACAGTATTGTGAAGCAAATCTGTTCCATTCTGAAGCGTGAATATGAGCCCAGTAACCCTGTGATACCAGCACGTAAAGTGTCAGGAGAGTCATAGGTGGTAAAGCTTGACTTGTATAAGGGTGCAAAAATGCACTAGAATGTTGCAGAACGCAATGCGGATGTCTTCTGTCAGAAGGGAGCCAAATCGGCCAATTCGAGCTCAAGTTTATTTGCAAGCCATCCGTCGTACTGAAGACATAGGTATACTGCGATTTTTTTTGTGAGATCGTCAGGTACCTCTGCTGGCAAAGAACGACATACCTTTGTCTCAACTGCTTTCTCAAGTTGAATCCTTGTGAACTCAAAGGCGGAAACCTCAACAACCACCTGATGCTTATTGTGGCTTTCGCTTATTATCAATGCCCCCACGGTCACGATTGTGCTGTAGGGAAACATGATAGTAAAAATGGCCAGAATGTAAGCTTTTCCAAGTGATCCTGAAACTCTGATAATGTACCCGTCCTTGGCTAAGTGGCTGAGACATTCGAATAGTTGTACGATAGACTCCATGCTGGGCGTTTCCAAGAAGTGTGTGGGTGGCTTTGCACCAAATTGCTGGTAAACTGATAATACCCTATGCACTCTTGTTGCAAGAATATTTTCGAACCCCAATGTGTCTAATTTTGATGCTATTAGGGTCGCAACGTCTGCTAATTACTTTGGACTAGACCAAGGCAGAGACGCCGGAGCTATATTTGAAAGACGCGAGAGTGTGTCTCCAACAGCCCTGGTGTCGTACATATTTGGCAAACAAAATGAGATCATTGACGCCGCCTGGCCAGCCGCGGTACCAGCGAAGTAAGAGATCGTATCACTCCGACGCTGTCCTATCAGCAGTGCCAGCTGACCAACTGGACGTGAGGAGAAACGGCTCACCAGCTCGGGCACTCGGGGGGCGTATGGACCATTTATATGGTATACCGCGCCAACATGTTCCATAAGAACCATTGCCATTGGTGCGACAACGTCAGAAGAGGCAGCAGCAAGAATACCGCTCAATGCCCCTAAGCCTGCAAGTCCAAGCGTACCAATGTCTGACTGAAGCGAGATTTGATTCGGCATCCTTTAAGCATGTGTGCAAGTGATCAAAACAGACACGATGATAATGGAGTTAAGAGAATCTGAAAATGTGGTGATAACTTGTTGCAAAGATGAGCTGTGGCTGACAATAGTAGCCTGCCTTGTCGTGCTTTTGGGTATCGCTGGGCACCCAGAGTGATCGCATCCAACTGACTTACACCCGGCTGCCACGTTATTTGGTAAGTTTCATATCTACTCATGGCCCCCGCCGTCTTTTGAGGGGACCAAATCAATTGACCAGCAAAGAAAATCGATGTGTAAACTAAGGTAATACCCATTTGTGGTAATTCCCCCTTCACATTTAATATTGTTGTTTACCTACTCCATTTTGGTGGTAGTATGAGGTCAACCAATCCACTCAGTCTTCGGATCATGGAGAATTGCAATGGTGTCGAGCTCAACTTCCCCGGGCTGGGTCGGCTCAGGGACCCGTGGGGTGACGACTCAACGGAGAAGGTTTTGGATTGTTTACGAATGCGGCCCCCCGGCTCTATCGCCAGGCATCATGAAGATCAAGAACACCTGTAGGGTGGAGGAAAGCGGGACTCCGACAGGAAAGAATCCGGGGGCCGACTTAGGCTCCACCCCGGAGAATACCAGTGGCCTCGTTCGCAAGTAAAATTGGCGTGTATTTATACTCAACACGATGAAAGCAGCTGAGAGGAACGTGAGCCTATATGTAAACAGAGAGCAGACTGTTCCTACCTAAGTACATACCTAAGCCAGTATTTGCCCTTGTACTAGTGCTATATCTGGCCTGGCTTGAAAGTCTAATTCATCTCCACTTTCCGTAGCTGATCCCGGAAGCGACACCGGCAAGCTCCAGCTCCGAGCCGAGCGGAGGTTGGATATATTTGACTCACGGCGCAAGATACGTCACCAACGGTAGTAGTTTGTAAGGCTCAGTAACCGAGCCGTGAGAGCACACTTCAATGTAAGGATCAAATAGCATTTTTTGTGCCCTTGTTCCGTGATTCACCGTTGGGAGATCTCGAGATAAATCTATAAATCTATGTTCCCCCGCACTTGGTATGTGTGTTCGACTGACTGTATGAGCGGATTCAAAGAGATAATAATGATACCTAGGCACTTCACGATTGAGAGCGGAACAGCACCACTTTTATTTACCCTCTGCCGTCAAGTAGAGGCTGATCAAGATGAAGGAAGGAAAACCCAGTCTCTACCCGAACGACGCGATCAGTGAGGCTGTGACCAACTACTCTGAAGCACACTCCCTAGACCTACCCAAGCCTCTGCTGGATTACCATGAGCACATCTTCAACAATGTACCCAACAGCCACCTGACAATTTCCACGTTCCAGGCTCAGGGACTGATCTTCCTGGCGCGTCTCATTGGGGCTAAGCGAGGTGAATATTACAGACTTATCCTTTCTTCAGTCTTCTCCTCCCATACGACTGCCGAGACTTGTTCAGACCAATTACTGATTGACGGGAACAGTACTCGAAGTAGGCGTGTTCCTCGGGTTCTCTAGCCTGGCTTGGTCTCATGCCGTAGGCGACTCGGGCACCGTGACGGGGCTGGAGTTCAGCTCCGACTACGCCTCCCAGGCGGAAGCGGCCTTCGCAGCCCAAGGCAGGCGCAACATCACACTGCACGTGGGCGACGGCCTAGAGACGCTCCCCGCGTTGAACCCGGACGAGCCGTACGACATCGTCTTCATTGACGCGCAGAAGTCGGGGTACCCGGCCTACCTGCGCGCGGTGCTGGACAGCTCGCGTCCCGACAGCCCCCGGAGGCTGCTCCGTAAGGGCGGTCTGATCATTGGCGACAATGCGCTCCGGCGCGGGCTCGTCGCCGACGACAGCGAGGCTAACCCGCACCGTCCATCTGCGCCGCCGGGGGAGGACTACCCGAACAAGCACAACGACGTGATGAAGGTGAGGGAGTTCAATGATCTGGTGAAGAGCAGCGACAGGCTCGAGGCCTTCTTGATGCCACTCTGGGATGGGCTGAACCTGGCGAGGCTGGTAGACTAGATGAGCAGGGATCACTTTCAGCAGCGCCAGCTCCAGTTGGAGACAGGTACGAAAAGAAATATGGGCATCATTGTTTCCGTGCCACACATACGGGCCAAGAGAGATTGTAGACTCCGCCAGAACCTCTAGCTGGCTTGAATTCGAGTATGATGTTGCTCTATTGTCACGCATCCGTTATTTACGTACTATGTTGAACGAGACTATGCAAGCGGTGACTAGAAGTATAGGTAGGGATATACATCTTCTACACAATGCCTTGAACCATTACATTGACAACTCCGAAATCATTGAAATGCGCTCAAGGACCAGTAGATCGATCGGTGATGATGGAGAATCAGGTCCATAAGAAGCCATGAGAACCAGTTTGGCAGTTGACTTGACCAGTCCACTCACCGACTGTCAACTCACCATCCAACGATAGCCCGTCCATATCAAGATCCAAGTATTTTCGTCGTGGGGGTTGGAACATGAAACATGCAAGTATGCACGCCCGATGCCAAGTCAACGGACGGCACAGAGACGCGCGCGACCCGCATGCAGGTAATCGCCTCCACGCTCGATCATCCAAAGATTACGGGCGGCGGCCCCCACCCAACCACCCGCAGTGCACACCGTACTGACAAAGGCAGGCATCCCGCGGGGCGGAACCGCAGGCCAATTGATGAAGAGATCCATTCTCGCAAGGCGTCGGGGTGGCGCTCGAGGGCTGGCCTACTATACTCGCCATGGCATGTATCACGGACGGGCGCTTTGACCTGCGTCGCTCAATATGCGTCTTGCAGAATCAATGACAGCGAGAGTGGCTGGCTGGGCACTGCGGGGTTACATTGTGCAGGTAGATCTTTAGACTATGTGACAACATTCGCCTTTGCAATATATTAAACAGAAACCCGTGACGGCTACATTAGCGTCGTCTTGCTGGTCTTCTCTGCGAAGCATACATATTCTGCAGTTCTGCGCTTGCGCTGGAGGCGAGTGCGTCAAGCTAGGGCTGCCCGCCGCACGCCTCCAGCAGCTTGCCGTGTATCGCGTGGTCTGCTCTTACGCACCCACGTAGACTAAAAAGCAGAGTTGCTGCTGCTGCACTGGGCGCCCGCATGAAGAGAGCGGGAAACGCTGCTACAAGGCGGTCACGCTCTGCCTCCTGCGCCGGACACGGACGGCCAGGGATGCTTGGAAACGCAGTCCGGGCAGCGGTGGGTGGGTGGGTGGAGGACTGGGCATTCGGATTGGGAATTTCAATCGTGCGTGGTGTGTGCCACCGCGCCCGCGGCGCGGTCAAAGACCGCCCACTACACACATAAGCAGTAAGTGGATAGTCAAAGCTGTTCCGAAGTAGGGAATTGAACGTGGAAGGATGCATGGCATGATAGGCGGAGTAGACGCATACCCAAATCACCAAGCTTGGTAACGGTGCACTGGCGATGGGGATTGTTTGGCTGCGTGGACGACCTCTACTCTTGTCCGAGCACTCATACACAGATACTTCTCCAGAGAGGCGTAGCTTGGCGGCCATCCTGCACGTGCTTTTCAGTGTCGTTGCGATGGATGATCGGATCTGATGCCCGAGCGGTGCTTTGAACGTGCGTATCAAAACGACCCAGTTGTTTGGTTGAGTTCAATAATGTCAGGCTGCATAAGATAACAGTGTCATGGGCCGATGCAATGCGCAAGTCTGTTTAGAATTAGCCAATCTACTCAATTATTGGTCTGGGGGTCTGGGAGTCGCAAGTTGACAACTGTCGTTGATGGAAACAATTCTATGTACAGGGATGTGGCGCGGCCAAGGCACATGTTGCTTCAGCCTTGTGCGATCTGATCTGGTTCTGTTGTATGTATATTTCAGAACTTGAACCATCAGCCATGTGCCAGGTTTCGTCTGGCCGGACATGTTTCAGCTGAAGGCTGGTAACTTAGTGCATCCCGCGGACTAACCCGGCTGTCAAAGACGCACCTGCATATGTCCAGTGACTCGGACGAACCAGATGGTAGCGTGCGACGTGCATAACGAATGGCGCGAAAAGGCAAGTAGAGCTGGAATCGAGGCTTCTGTTCCTCGAGTTCTGGAAATATGTCTCCGGGTCATGAACGCGTTTCGAGCAGGGCCAAAGCCGTTTAGGCAGATCGCCAGCCGGCGAGTCTCAAACGTGCGGTGTTGGGACGATCGTCAGGGACAATGCCGCCTCTAATTTGGGACCCATGGCATAGGGAATACCGGAGTTTGCGCCCCTGCCAGGCCCACGTGTTCTATGGAGATCCTACTTTACGGCGATCGTAGGCCGACAGGGAATACGTACTGTATCGTCTAGGGGCCCGGCGATAATAGCTGAGCCACAGCGTCCGCAACACACGCAACGCACGCTGGTCGAATGGCCGTGTTGTGGGCGGCCGAGTGAACCCCTATTCCAGATGAGATCTCTTCAGGGTACAGGTGTGGACGGTAGGGTAGATCTGTGATTTTCATATCCTGCCAGAACAAGTAAGAACTAGCGGCATTGGACGAATCATTGGTCTTTGCAAGCATCTTCTAGCGGCTCTACTCTGGTGCTAGAAGCCCCCGAACTTTTCGATGGCGCCGGTTTAGATCCTTTTGTGGCGCTTTGACAGCCAGGTAACACGGCCATCACGAACTGAAAGTCTAAGCTAACTACTTGCGACTGAACTCCCTCGTCCCGATACGTTACATTCTGTAGAATTCTGAGCCAGAGCCTGGCAATGGCAGAGATTGGTCAGTGCATCTGCTGATTTGTAGTGGGCGCATTGTCTATCTTGCTATAGTGTGGTTTCTGCTTGCTCACTTGCCATGGCACAGCGGACGCAGATATATGAGTTGTCATATCAAGAGACCTGCGATGATTGTCAGCTCCTGAGTCAAGTACAGGCTGGCGCCAGGTTCGAACAGTTTGTGGAATTCGGCGGCTTTGGCTCCAGGCAAGGATATGGGCATTGCCAACCTTGGGGCTAACTATATGGTAAATGACGGCTTCGACCGCGATGGCGATGTCGACTGGGCTGATAATTATAATTGCCATGTGGCATGTGGCCCCGCTAAGCCGGTAGCGTCAAGCGCCGTGGATATACGATCTCAATAGTCCGAGTGGATTACGGCCTTCCGGTGTATGTGTCGCCAGGGGCAGATCTTGCGAATATACCAGTACTTCCATACACAGTAGCTGTTGACCAGTCCCGACTGCGTACGCTTCTGTCTGGCGATTTGTCGCCTTGTACCGGATCTACGCCAACGGTTTGGTTGGAAGGGGGGTCCGGAGTGAAAGCTTTTGGGATGGTCCGGTCCACACGTAGCACTCTCGCTGAATGTCAACGTCGCTATCGGGCACGGCTCTTCGAGTTGCTTATCGCCAGCTGTATGGTGGGTGTGGTGACCGCTGACGAGCTGACGTGAGCAAATTCTGTACTGCGGACTGGGTAGCCTTCGTGATGACTTTGAACAACTGTGTGCCGGACGGCGGAAGGTTCACCAGAGGCGAGGTAGTGACTTTTTGACATGCACCACTCAGCACCAGACGGTCGGTTGTGATGTGTGAGCTCGGCTGCCGGACTGGAGGTTCAAGCCGCTGATGTCGGCGGAATCGCCAGGACTTGGCAACCCCACACGCCGGGCTGAGGGCGGAAGGCCGCTGGCGCGGAATCACGTTGAACGGCTTGATCACTTGTTCGCCTTTTGCGTTTCTGCCCTCAAAATACGATCCTGCTGTCTGTCGCGAGTCAAACAGATGAGAATCGAGACCCTGCTGACTAGTGTAGACTGGGTAGTTCGGCCAATTTGGCCCTGGTCCGTTTTGGAAGTGCCACTGCAGCACTAGCGACTTCCGCCCCCCCGGAGAGGCCCACCACAGCAGATGGACTAGAGGGACTAGAGGGACCAGAGAGACCAGAGGGTCTGGGAGGTGGAATCGATTGGGGCCTCTCTCCACACTTGATCCCCTGCCCTGACAAACTGCAACGCAAGAGGATCCAGCGGGGGGCCATTGGCAAGATTGGGGGCCTTGCCGACTGCAAGATCGCCCTGGTAACTGCCTGGGTAACGAAGCCAGTTGTTTCCGAGGCAGTGGAGGGAAACCAAACCTACCACGGTGGCCCCCAGTTGCCCAGGTCTCATGAGCCTGGCCATGCCTTTCATATACCCATGGATCGTTCCCAGAGAGCGGATCCCTGTGGTACTGGTCGTCCACGGAATCGCAACGATGACCCTAATCGGCTGTACTGTGTATCAAGTGCCTGGAGCAGCCTCTCGACTCTCAGCCAGGCCTCGCCTGGGCCATCTCGGCATTTGGGCTATCCTGGCTGCTCACCGACGACCGCCCTTGGCCGGCTGACATTGACATCCTCGGATGCGATTGTAAGCAGGACCTGGGACTGGACACTGCGGGCCGCAACTCGTGCTGATTGCGAGCAACATGAACCACCAGCTCGCACCGCACCACACTGCGGCTGGACGGCTGCATTTCCAGGTTGCAAGCTGGGGTGGACGAGCTAGTGGCATACAAGACAATACACACTGGCAGTACAGCCAGCCCGGCCAGCCCCCTGCATTCGACAACAGGCCTAGCGGAATGCAGAGCGCGCAGATGGGCGATATAATCACGTACGTGCTGTACAGAGTAGCTCCAAGTATGGATGGGTACATGGACTAAGGCACACCCTAATAAGCCAGGCAGGGTCAGGGTATTCCATCGTCGCGCATATCACCCCGGTCCAGGGGTCAAAGACCACAGAAAACCCATCCCCACTAGAGCCATTCCGTCGAGGTCGCCCGGATCGCCAATCGACCTGAAGAAGGATAGATCACCCTCGGATCCCTGCGCGGCCACACGCTCTGCAACCTTAACTAATGAGCCATTCCTCCCACTACCGCGACCAACCTTCGGTCCCCCAACGCCATATCCCACAGCCAGCGAGCGCCCTTTGAGCAAACGGCCTGCGGGAAGCCCGTCCAACCAACAAGCCCTCATCTCCGTTCCCACGTTTGCCGTGTTTCTCAGTCGACGGGGTCGTCTGCGTGTGGCATTCGTGACGGACGCGGATCCATCGCAGGATTAGGAGAAGCGCCAAGCAAAGAGTGTTACATACAACACAGTATTGACAACACCCGGGAAAGAGGGTGAGTACGATTGCTTTGTTGCCCGCTTCATCTGAACTATCCCTGCATGCCCGCAAGCCTCCTTTGATGCGCTTCCATGAGAAGCTTCAGCACGGCGACGCCATCCTCCCTCCTGCTGTGGCACTTGCTTGCAATGCTGCTCGAGCCAGCGTCGGCCGAGACTTGACATTGGCGATCCTTCTCGGAACCAGGGAAGTTTCCAGAGGAACCTGAGTGAGATGAGTGCAGCAAGCGCCCGTCACTTGCCTCGATCCTTCGAGCTCCCCTCCCGCCCCCTCGGCCAGCAGATATATGATCTCGCGAGTGATCTTGTGAGCAAGTCTCGATGCACAGCAGGAGGATTGCGCCGCCGTCTAATTGGTGATCCACTCCCGCAACGCTGAGGTGTCGCATTGCGTCAATCCCTCCATGCTGCGCTCTTGACAAGCATTCCCAGTGGGTGTGTGTATGTGTGTGCAGAGTGTTTCAGCTCCAATTAACCGTTTTCTCCGAGTCGCGCCCCTTTCGTTTCCCCTTGTTGCCTTCTCGAGCATTCCCAACTCCGCGGATTGCCTGGCTGAGCCAACCTCGCACAAAGACCACCGTCTGAACAGCTGATAGGATTCTCGCATATCGAACTCGACCTTGGCCGCCCTGTCCCGTCCTGCCGTCTCGCCTGGCTCCCATCTCAGCCTGGCCGTGGCAGACCTACCTCGGGGCCACCCCCAGTCCTCTTAAGGCCGGCAACCAACCATGGCACCCGCCGCCAACATCGACACGGCCGTGTCAAACTCCTCTACGGCCCTCCATAGCCCTCGACATGCCCGCTCTCGCACACAGAGCGTATCCAGCGACCGCCCGTCCACCATCGCACACAGCCTCATGTCGCCCCCTCTCGCCGTGTCCCCCGAGGCGGCTTTCATAGCTGCTTCGGCCGCCTCCCAGATTGTCACGAACGACCACGACAGCCACGCGGAAACCTGGTATGACCAGGTCGGAATCGAACCGTCGGGAGAGACTGCGCTCGTATCAAACGGCGCCCTTCAGCTGGCAAACAACTTTGTCGACCAGCTTTTGTTCAATATCATCGGAGTGGCCCGGGCGACCACACTGGGCGCACTGCGGCCAGCAGTCAGCGAGGTGCTGAAGCCAAAGCTCGCCAAAGATGCTGTCAACCAGGCGGACGAGGAGTTGCGAGAGTATCTCGGGGGAGGCGAAGTGGACGATCTCGTTCAATCACCCACCGAGGAGAGCTCGCGTGACTGGGACCTCGAACTGGTATGGAAGCGCACTCGTCTTAGGTGCATGGTCTACTCTTCTCTGGGAGACATGGAGGAAGAAGACGAGGACTACTTCATGGAACAAGAACATCTCAACGCAGAGTCGGAGGATCCTGCAGCTGGCGTCGTATCCCCGGCTGTGGCCATTTTCCTGACTTCGATACTGGAATACATGGGCGAGCAGGTCCTGGTTGTGGCAGGACAGGCTGCTTTCAACCGCCTCCGTACCAGGTACGAGAAAGACTTGAAGGACGGCACTCGCTCCGCTGGAGATGTGTCCGAACGAATTGTCGTCGAAGAGCTGGACATGGAGCGCGTGGCTCTGGACCGCACGCTCGGAAGACTTTGGCGATCGTGGAAGAAGAGGATACGATCGCCTACCGAGCCCAATTTCTCCCGCGCCTTCACCCGAAGCGCTACGCACAGCCGTCATGGCAGTACGGCAGGGGAGACCCTCCAGGGACTCCATTCGCCACGCGAGGTGGTCCCCGAATCGGAGGAGACTAAATCGAAGGGACAAGTCGGCGAGGAAGAGACAGCAGAATCAAAGTTGGAGCCAGATGCGATTCCCCTGCCCATCGGCGAGAATGACGTTGCTGAAATCGAAGTCCCCGGCCTTGTGTGGTACAGTGATGAAGAGGACAGCGATGCCGACGACGAGGATGAGGATGCGTCTCCGCCGCGGCCTAAGAGCTTGATGATCTTCTCCTCCATCCCGCTCGAGAGCCCGCCCACCCCTGGCCTCTCGCAGCCGCACACTCCTGTTCAGCTAAACCGAAGGCGCGCAAACTCGCTTCCAACCCCAGCTACTTCGCCATACAGTTTAGTGAAAACTGATAAGTACGAAGCGGATCTTCCACAAGCAGAAGAAGAAGAAGACGCTGCCATCGCTGAAAACCCCGAGTTGACCACTTCTGAGTCGTCTTCATTGCTTGTTGCCCCGGATTCGAACTTGAACGAAGATGGAGTCTCACCGCTCGAGACGCCTTTGGAGGAAGAGCCCACAGCTGAACATGGCACAGACCGCATTTCCAAGATCATGTCTGGCGCCGCTGCGGTCGGTTCGGCCGCCGTTGCTGGTGTTGCAGCGATGGTCCAAGGCACAGCCCCACAGACTGTCCCTACCCCGATGGAGGAGGACGAGATTGATGATTTCCCAGAGGAAGCGGAGATCCTCACGTCGTCGCGCGTTTCCTTCGGTGGCAGAAGCTCCCCATCGGCATCCGAGTCCGGTCGCCCCCCTTCACTACTTGTTAGATCTAACAGTGTGCGCTCTGTTCGTGTGATCGATGTTCAAGGCCCAAAAAGCCCCAGCGTAAAGTCAAGGAATGGCTCGGTCGACATTCCAGACTTTGCCAGCTCGCGGCCGATGTCAAACATATCCCGAGACGGTGGCATTTCCACCCCGCCCATTGCCGAGGAAGGTGTCGACTCTGATTCCTCAGCTCGAGCATCCAAGAGAAACGCTGTTATCGTACCGACTATTGAAGACTTCCGCGAGACCAGACCGTCCCGAGATGTGGCCCCGACGAGTGCACCGCACCCTGCCAGAAGTGTCGCCCCGACCTCTGCACCGAGATCGACATCGTCTGAGAATGTCACTAGGGTCGCCACGGTGGGAGCGGGTGCTGGAAGATCTTTCTTGGACCTGGACGCAAAACCGGATGTACCACAAAAGCCTGCTCCACAGCAAAAGCAGCCGGCAATGCCCACCGTACCTGAGAGGAGCTCTGGCAGACCATCTGTCGAGCGCAACCATTCTGGGGCCCGCAGTTCCCCAGAGTCTCCCCAGACTACCCGTGCTAAGCTCGCGGATTCGCCATCGTCTTCGTCCTCCAACAAACATAAGCCACGACGCACTTCGGAAGACAGCCATCCTCAGCGGGCGCAAGATGTGGCCAAGAACTTCGAAGCATTGCTACAGAACAATCAGACTTTGCAGTACACTCTGACGCCGGAAAATATGCGCGATATGAATGATGTAAGTCTACGCCAGTTTGATTCCCTCTTGATTTTGCTAAGACGTGAAACAGTCCAACCGTTCCCAGAACAGCGGCAGCCCGGTAGCTCATCACAAGTCTCGCATGAGTGAAGACGTAAAATCTGAGCGCTCCAGGTCCTCTTCTATCAAGAGGTCTCTGTCTGTGACCAAGTCTACGGGTCTGAACTCCCACCCACCTGAGGCGCAGGCGAACGGCAAATCCCACAGCAAGCTCTCCGGTCCTGTACCTCGGGCACCTCCCGTGTCCATGGCAAACTATCACGGAAGGGCCGCTGGCGCACAAGCTAGAGACGCCCGAGTTCCGCGGGAGTCCATTGCTGATTTCGCTGACTTTATTCGGTCGACCGGCCCCAGTGGAGTGAAGGCACCACCAGCACGAACGACCGCTGGGGTTGCTGTTCACGGTCGGAGTACCAGTGGGTCGATTCCGGTGACGCAGGCCTCGAGCATGGAAAGCAACCGTCAGCGCCAGGGTTCTGTCAACCGAGCTCGTCTTCAGGCCCGCGATGCATCTGTCAGTGCGTCAAATGAGAGCTCGGATCTCATCGATTTCATTCGCAGGGGACCGCCTAATGCAGGCAACAACCCTCGCATTCCTCGCAATGTAGCACCTTTCAGGAACACGATGGACTCGGATCAACTGCAAATCTCGGGCGCGAGTGGGGGCAAAGCTGTCGACGCATCGATTCCTGATATTAGGCACAGCCAAGCATCTACCGTCATCACCGAAAACTCTGTACCGTCGTCGATCAACTCTCAGAGTGCACTGCTGAACAAGGCCAAGAAACCAGCTCAGTATGGCAACAACTTTGATGACGAGGACATGATCCCGAAGCGCAAGCAACGGAGAGTGCGTGACCCATATGCCATCGATTTCAGTGACGAGGATGACGACGACTTTGACATGGCTCCGCCGCCGCCCAAACCTAAGAAGGAGGAGAGCTTGATAGATTTCCTCAACAGCTACGACCCACCCAGCGATCCTTCTCCGCCACAGCCTTTCATTACCTCACAGACCCGTCAAGCTGCGCTTCAAGGTGCGCCCGTCGTGCCCAAAAAGAAGGCCAGCGCACCGAACCTGATCTCAAGGCTCAGATCAGGTGGAGGGGCAGTAGCCTCTTTTGGACGCAACGGAACTCCTGTGAACGAAGCTCGATCGGTGAGCAGCAGCCAAGCCAGCCAGGGCAGAGGCTACACTCCTATCAATGTCCACATCCCCAGCGGAGCAGACCAGTTCATCACCTCGGCACCCCCCAGCAACCGCGCTGTAAGCAGCTCAACAGGCCGGGTTCCGATGAAGAGGTTTGAGCCCCGTGAGGCAGTATCCTCCAACGCGGGCAGCAGAACGTCTGACCTGGCAAATTTCCTGCGTGACTCGGAGCCGCCGCCCTCGACCCTAGCATCGCAGCCTCCTCGTGCTGAGGAGAAGAGCAGCGGCTTCTCGCGCGTATTTGAACGCCGCAAGAAGTCGATTGCATACTGATTTCAACAAAAAACTTATCTTTTCATGTACAAAACTTGGCCCTATATCAAAGGCTACCCTTGTAAACATTCTACTTTTCCTTAGGCTTGGATATCGAAGGAGGACGGCTGATCCAGCTTCTCATGAGATTCCTTGGCCGAAAGACATAGCCCACCTGTACAATTTCATCGTTCAGCGATGGTCGACCTGGCTCGCACACTACCGGGTTTTCCTTTTTTTCGAAGAACGCCCTCAACCTTGGCGATTTCATTGATACCACCACATCACATTTTCGTTGACTTATCTTACACACTGCGATCTCGGAGATATACTAAAAAGTTGCTGGAGACGGAACGAAGAGAGGGGGAGAGAGAGAGAGCAGGTGCTGCCCCTGTCTGTTGAGGAGCCTGTTGGGGAGCCTGAGTATTTAGTACTAGTAGAATGAGCGGAAGAAATAGGCTGACGATAGTCATGGCTGAATGAGACGATTGACTTCAAACTAATCCTCTACTGTTGCACGCCAACTAACACGATTGAACTTGTGCGCCATTATTACCTAGCTCCCTGGACACATTGGACGACAATAATTGTGAATGATGTCTATTCTAGTAACCAGAGTCTCGAGTATGGTATCATACGAGGTAGGAGACAAGGACGAATAGGTGTTCTGTTGAGTTATTGCGAAGGCAACTACCGCCGTGCGAGCCGCTACTTCGATTCTGGAAAGCAGCATAGAGATGCGCTTTAATCACCACTGCTGCATGGACACTATAGTCCAAGTTATAGTCTGGCTTCCTCTCAAGTGGCCAATCAAACAACTGACAGAAAGGCGGCCAGAACTGTGATCTGAGTTTGTATAGTTCATGACGCTGCTCAGAAAGATTGTTTTTTACTTACTCCAAGTAGGGCATTCCATCGTCCCGTATCCCAAGCGGCCTTTTCGAGAATCGAAAGATAAACGAAGGTGGCCAGACACAGACCCAAGGCGGCTGTCAGAAGCCCAAGGCGTCATGTTTGATCCAGGTTGGAAACGTGCTAGTCGTTGAGGATGCCGTTGGCTGACACTTTCGTTACTTTTCCTTTCTCACTCTCCTTTTAGAAAAACCTATCTTTCTTCGACGTTATAGGCTTAACGTAGACCGGGGCTCCGACCAAAGTCCGACCCTCGGCCAGGCTTGACTTAGTCACGCTAGAAGGAAGGGGACGTTGAACCTGATGGGGCACCTAGGTTTGTTTTAGCACTCCAGCCACCCATTTCCACGGCGTTTTCGTAGCTCAATCGTAATTCGAAGAGAAACGAATCTCTAGGTCTACCACAAAGCGTTGCCGGAGCTTCAGATCAGCGGTTCGTTCCCCTTGGTCCGCAAATGGGACTGAACTCGCAGTTGGTGCATCAGGAGAGTCGGGCCGTAACTTGGCCCCAAAGACGCCGATGGACGCTGATCACCCCGCTACAGCACCCACCCCAACAAGACGCTTCGGTGGGTGGACAGCTGGGCCTCGACCCCACTAGCGCGGCGCCACGGCAGGAAACGAAACACCAAAATTTTGCTGTGCCTCACAATTATCAGCCGAGGGCTTTCTATACTACGCAATACTCACCCCTTGTACCCGCGTAGCGTTCCGTCAAGGCTGTCGAAGTCGAATCTGCATTTCACTGGGAACGTAGGAGTTGGACTTCATCAAGCCCGAAAAGACTAGTCGCAAGCACCTCCGTTGCCTCATAGTCGAAGTATGGCTAGCAGCCTGCCGGAGCTGGAGGACGGCAAGGTCCCGCGCGAGACAAGCGCCGCGGCCACTGACAACGAAGCCGACCAGCGTGACGTCCGTGGTGATGGCGGGCCCGTCGAGTACGATGTTGAGAGAATAGAGCGAGTCTACCGAAAGCTCGACCACCGAATCATCCCAGGTATATTGACTAGTGACGAGGACCCGGTCGTGTATGACGATAGTACTGACCTCGCCATCGATAGCTTTCTGGATTCTCTACTTCCTTTGCTCCGCCATAAGGTCGAACATCGGGCTTGCTCAGACCATGAACACGAGCTCTGGCCATAACCTGGTGCAGGTCCTGGATCTTACGCCCAAGGACGTTTCTACGGCGCTCGCGCTGTTCTACGTCTCTTATGTCATCTTCGATATGCCTTCGAACTTGGTCATGAGCAAGTTGGGTCCTAGGGTGTGGATGGCCCGCATTGTCTTCGCCGTCGGTGTCATTGGAGTTTGCTTCACTGCGGTCAAGGCTGCCTGGAGTCTCAAGTATGTGTGCCCTTTCTGAATGCCCCGGGGATCCTGCCATGCTGATTACCTTCAGGCTTCTGCGCTTTCTTCTGGGCGTGGTGATTGCGGGAATGTGGCCCGGCATGTCGTATTACCTCACACTATTCTACCCACCCTCGCGCACTGGAAAGCGTATCGGCCAGTACTTCACGGCTGCCCAGGTATCAGCTGCCGTTGTTGGTCTTGTCTCTGCCGGCTTTCAGCTCATGGATGGTGTAGGCGGCTTGGTGGGCTTCCAGTGGATGTTTCTTATCTACGGACTTTGTGCAGTCGTTCTAGGTTTCACGCTTCTTTGGTGGCTGCCAGATCGACCGTTGCCTCCTGGTCAGAAGAGAGCGCACACAGGCATCTTCAAGTTTCTTCCCCGAACCCCCGAGGCGTTGACCGGAGAGGATGCCATCATCCACTATGAGGACCTCAAGCGAGTCTACCATCCCAGGTCCTGGACTCTGAAAGACCTGGGCTATGTCCTCATTGACTGGCGGCTCTGGCCGTTGACCTTGATGTATTTCGGTGTCGTTGGTGTCGGTATTGGCACCCAGCTATACGGCACCGTAATTATCCAGGGCATCAATGGAAACTTCACTGGCGTACAGCTGAGCTTGCTCTTCGCTCCCATATGGATCGTAAGTCTGATTGCAAATTACACTAACAACTTGTGGAGGCTGACTTTACCAGATGGACCTTATTGCCATCTTACTGGTCACTCCAATCTCAGACCGCTTCCACAGGTTGCGTCCCTTCTTCTTCTCGGCTGCTGTATGCATCCAAATAGCAGGCCTCCTGGTTGTTACTTTTGCCCCAACGTCGAATGCATGGGCTAGATACGGTGGCCTTCTCATGGTTGGGTTCGGCCTCGGCCCCACTGTTCCGATCTGCATGACATGGACGAACGAGATCTTCCAACAGCGTCATGGCGAAGTTGGAGTAGCTGCTGCTGCTGCATTGGTGTCTGGCCTGGGCAACCTGGGAAGCATCACGACAACATACGCGCTTTACACCGGCTGGCCCGAAGATGCGGTCAAAGGCCCGTACCAGTACCGTCGCAGCAATCTGACCATGATCGGCATCCTCTGCGTCAGCATTGTAAGCAGCTTTGTCATGTACATCGCCCTGAAGTTTGCGGGGAACAAGCCCAGCCGCAAGATTACCAGCAGCGAGAGCTCGTCCATCAATGGAGCCGACGAGTTCCAAGACGGAGCAGCTCGTAGGGAACTCCAGCAACGCGGCTTTGGACGCATGTGGTGGAACAAGAGGTCCTAGGTCGCTTCCGATGGAAAACCGTTGACAAGTCGGACCATGATGTTCAACCATCGTCCAGGTTCAAGTTCGCCAGACCACTCTATGCTGGACGATTGCACGATGGAGCGCAACCTACCATCGAGTCATCTTCTCACATTTCTGTTCGATTTTTATTTTTCCTTTGACCTATTTCACATGAAGGGTTTGGAACGCTCTTCATCCAAGGCCGGGTTCGAATGCAGTATCTGTTGGTGTCTCAGGCTGCGGTTCAGGAGTTCAGCCTTGACAGCGACAGTGCTTCTACGCCATCGCTGGGAACGGTGTTCGGGGGGAAAGAGGCAAAGAAGCGACAATGCTTTAGCGCTATCGTGTTTCTAGTCTCACTGGAGTATATTGTTTTGTCGGAGACGGGCTAGGTTAGATGTGCATTGGGTAGGGTTTGGGTTTTTGTTTTTATTTCTTTTTCGCATATGATACCCCATCTGTGTTTAGATACGCTGTCATTCGAGGTTCTTTGCCAACTCGCCAGCGAAAGTGCTACTACGCCATCGCTTGGGACGGCGTGTTGCAGCCGAGGCGGGACTAGCGACAATGCTGCTGCGCTATCGTTGAGTTCCCGTCTCGTGGGCTAGCTTTCACACGTTCTTTAGAGTTATGAAGACTTCTTGAGAGGAGAGAATAGAACACGCAATTCTCGTGATACCGGCTCTACGTGCTCTATTGCACTCGTCCGCTCTGCGCGCCCGCCTGGGGGCAAGGCTCATTGCGGTTTGTGACCATCGTTGCCCTCAAGAAGACGTCACGGGTCTACACCCATGCCACAATAGAACGCAGCCCTAAAGAACACGCATTCGCTTCCCCGTTCTGAGCAATCTCCCTTGACGTACTGCGACTTGTCCTGGCCATACCAACCCTCTCCATACCTGTATACCACCTGGAGCGTGTTCCTGTCAAGCGCCTCTATGACCTTCTGAATCACGATCGGCTCCCTCAGGCCCTTGTAGTTGAGCTGGTCCCCAGCGCGGACCCCCGGCCACGGGTCCTCAGGTGACAATGCGTCGCAGCGACTATCGAACACGTGGAACACGCATTCCGTTGTCCTCTCAGGTCCTTTGTCGGTGCACACGTAGACGCCCTGGCAAGAACCAGCGCCTTGAGGCACACAGATGGATTCGATTTCAGTAGCTGTAAGAGCTGCAGACACAATTGCTGCCAGATTGAGGAGGAGGGGGGCTTGGAATCTCATTTCTCGGTCTAATGCCAGATGTTGTGATATATTGTTTGGTTCTGTAGAAACTAATCATGATGTGCCCTAAGTCCAAGTCCAGGTCTGCACGTTTTTTAACCTAAGCTTATATACGTACCCGATAGGCCTGTAGCAATCCTACTTAGCAGGAGAATCGAGAAGAATTCTGGCTGCAGCATTGCAAAAATCTAACAATGCCTAGGGTCTAGCCTCTATAATGTTTGCCATAGTCAGATGTCATCTGTTTCATCTCAAACCACATGAATCAAGTTCGACCATCGTTGTTTGCCCCCTCCAAGTGTTCCGTTCGTGTACAACGCAGTCTCGTACACGAGTAATTGCCCCATTCATATTCTAAACCAGATACACAGGATGTTGTCTGACGTCGTACAGCCCCCCTTTTCAGCAGTGCGCCCGCAGAATCTCACCTTGATCATCACGTTTTTCAGGAGCACAGGGTTACCCGTCGCCGAAATTGGACACCCAAATGTGCAACCGCTATCTCCTCACGGAACCTACACGAGTCGCTTCCACTTCCACAGAAGTCCCCAGCCACCGAAGACCGAGGAGAGCCCAGTGAATATGATCAAGGGTCCGTATGTGGTACCATACCCGAAGTTGCCTATTGCGCCATTGCTGCCAGCACTGAGAAGTGGGACGCCGGCAAGACCACCAACAACGTATCCAATTCCCCTAGCGCCGTTCAATAAGCCATACACCATGCCGGTGTCAATAGCTTCGTTGTGCTTTACAGCTTCTGATGCCATCTCATTGATGACACCGCCCCACGTGGCGCTGTAGCCTCCGGCGAAGAAACCGAATGTCACAGAGAACAAGACCAACAGTGCCATACTGCCGGGAGAGGTCAGCCCCCAGAAGAGGAAAGCTGACAAGGCTGAGCTGACAGCAGATATAGCAGTCACAGTCGTCGCCGACATGGGGTAGCGCTTGTTGTCGCTCAGATACCCGAAGAATGACGAAGACATGATGCCGGGAATGTTGAACAGCGTGAGCAGCAGTGTCGCAGAGGTCTGAGACAGCATGGTGACTTCGGAGGCGTAAGTATTGAGATATGTTTGCGGGATGCCATAGCCAGAACTCTGCAGTATGATGGCAACGCTGTATACGCAGAATGTGCGGTGCTTGAGGAATTCCCAGGGAATCTTTCTAGTCCTGAACGCATTAGGAGACACACTCGACGGGTGGGTTGGTATCAAAAAGACAGCCGGGATACTGGTGACGGCTACAATGGCCGTCAGAACCCGTAACGCCATCCTGAAGCCATAGCGATCCAGCAATACCCGCAGTAAAAAGGGGGATGCAGATCCCACTATGTTCTTGCAGGACAGTGTTACACCGTACGCCAATGCCCGATTGCTAGTACTGTACCATTCGCCCAGCGACAGCGTAGTCGGGCTATACATCAGCGCGCTTCCGAAAGCCGCCATGACTCCTTGGGTGGCCACTAGATGCCAGACGTGGGTGCTAAGCGAAGACAGCAGGAAACTGAGTGCCGTAAGCAACGCACCACACATTGCCGCCGTCTGGCGCCGATGGGCTAAACGCCTCGTGAACAGAGCAAAGAGAAAAGGCATCGAGAGGTATGTGACGCCATTGGCCGTCGTGCCGATTATGCCAGTCAGGTCCCGGCTCCCCTGTAGCGTCCAGTTGGTGAAGTAGTATTCCTGGAAGACACCGTAGCTCATGGCGAAGCCTGTGGATGTGAGTAGGACGGCGATCGCAGCACATGGTTGAGCCTACCCCAAATTGGCAGCTGCAGCACCGCTGAGCCCACGAGGACGCTGGTTCTCTTCCATCGCGACTCTAGCTGGGTTGCCGTATCCGACTCGAGGGTTTCGTCTTCGACATGGCCGTGACGCAGCCCGTGCTCTACAGCGCTCTCGCCCGCATGATCGTGCAGAGCTATGCGCTCACCTTCCACTGTGCCTTGAGACATGGCCGAGTTTACCACAATTCGAAATGACCTTTAGTCGATACTGTTGCTGTTTGAAAGCGATTGCAACTGTATATATTGTATGGGATATGACGTCGGAGACGAAATGATGCGGGACCGGGCCGGACTCGGAGGTCGAGCCGGGTGCGCTTACCGTATTCGGCGTATCCGGCGTAAGCTCTCTCCGCTAGTGATTGCTGCATATGGCAGTCATGACTTCCTCACGTCCGATGCTCGGGAGGATCATGCGATACGTTAGATATTCCCATTGATTGATTGCCTATTCTGATGATCACGATCTTCTTCTCTACGGACCACTCCCAACCCCGTAACCCCAAGTCCGCCACTCGTACGACGACGAGTCCGAGCAGGTGACGCAGATATAGGGTTAGCGAAAGTGGCTCTCAGTAAGCTCCATAGGGCTGACGGGCTAACCCCTTCGGAAAGTGGTTTATATATATCCCAACCTGGTCACCGAAATCTACGTGGGTAGTTCCCATTGGTGCTTGCGCCAACAAGCCCGAGGCTTTGCAGCTGGAAGCCAGATTGAGAAGTCGGGTTCAGATCGCCCACCTCTGTGATGTCAAAGTGCAATGCAATATCAAACCGTTGTATATAGTGGGGCTGATCGTACCTTATACGCATCCCTTCCGATCTGGGCACATTCTGTTACCGGGAATGCATTCCTGCTGCATCATGATTAGTTAGCCCGGCATCATGATGATAAACATAGGCAGTAAGAAGTTCCGGCTTCCCCTTTTCGTTCGCACCAGCTCGTTGCCATTGATTGCTGCCTGCCGAGGCGGTGTGATGCGTTGACCGTCAGCTCACCTGATTTCTCATCCAGGCTCGTCCATCATCCAGTTTGCTATCGGCTAGGCCCGACTACGCCGCATCCGTGCATCCCTCACCTCTAGCAATGCCCTAAATATATTCGGTATCTTCGGTACCGCTACGACAGTTCATATTACTGACGTGAGAAAATGCTCAGATTGACGGCGCGGAGGTTGGTGAGATGAGGTCAAGCTTGTTCCGGCGCCAGACAGCCACTACGTGTCAAAGGAGTAAGATCGGCGAATCCTGACCATGGCTTTATAAGTATTGGAGTACGAAGGCCAACATGACATAGCTCTGGTCTGGATAGATGAGCTCTTAAGGAGGGTTTGTCACCCTATTTTGTTACAGTTGAACTCAACGGAATGGCAGCTATACAACTTGACACTACATTGGCGGATTTGTACCGCGACCATGGCATCCAGGGCCCATTCATTGTATCTATGTATTGCGTCTTCGCTCATATGGACTTGCACCCCGCGTTCCCGCGCGAGGTTGTTTATCCAGAGGATGAAGAACCAGTGCCGTTCTCGGACGACGAGCAAGAACAGGATCGTCTGCGGAGAATAATACTTGGTCTCAAGCCACTTCGACGGGCCTTTGGGCTTGGAAACATGGATGTGATATTCTTCAGCCCGAATGCAACACCAGATGGCCTGGATCGTGCATTATCGCAATTACCACCCAGCCAGCGCCATAATCCGCGATTCCTCGACCTGAACCAGGACGATATTCGCGAAGAATTACTTCAGATTTCTCAGGGGCAGAAATTGCTATTCTGGCGACCACAGGCGTGGATGGAAAGCCACGACTGTTTGGTTGAACCCGGAGTTGGGTACGATATCAACTCAAAGAAGTTTTTGACAACAGCGGGCATACATACTCCTCGATCAGTGGTAGTCGATCTTCAGGAAATGGACATTTCCAGTCCTACCAATATCATTAGATCGAGGCCGTTGCCATTTGTCGTCAAACTCTGCCGCGCTGGGTGTGGCTTTGGTACTTATATCGTCACAAGCCAAGAACGACGTCGCCGGACACTCGAGGCTATGGGGAAGTACAAGGAACGTGGCGTAACCGATATTCTGGTTTCTGACTACATTGACCTGGTTCAGGACCTCAGCGTACATTTCCTTATCGGGGCAGCTGATAGCGAGAGAAACCATGACAATCCATTGATATTAGGTGTCACAGTCCAGACTCTCACGAATGATGGGAAATGGGTGGGAGGTCATATAGATTACAGCGCCCAGCAGGAACTCAAGAGCCTTGTCTGGGAGAGAGTTCGCGATACTACCAGCCGTATGCCAAGGACCTTTGTAGGTTGGGCTGGTATAGATATTGTCGTGGGCAAAGACGGGCAACAGTGGGTTGTGGATCTGAATGCTAGGTTCACAGGTTCCATGCCTATCTGCTTCATGTCACATCATTTCTGGAACGACAGAAGTTTACCGCTGGCCCAGTTTGGTGCTTTTGGGTATAAAGGGGGCGTGGATGAAATTTATAGTAGGCTAAAACCTTTACTTGACCCCGGCCAAGTCGTGGTCACTGCAACAGCTGCCATCTATGAAGGTGATAATATGGCCGATATTGTCTGGGGAGGGAAAGATGCAGAGGATCTAAATCGCATTGAGATGTGGATCAAAACGAGACTCGCAGATGCGCAAGCCCGGCTTTGATGTATTAACGTTAGTGATAATTTTATTGCTACTAAATATACTGTTTGAAATAACCAGTAATACCGAGGCCTGCGGCAACGTAAGTCGGTGAATTGATTTCATGGGGAAGAAATTTACGGACTACGCAGGCTATACTCTATGCGCCAGTTGTATTGTCTAGTTCTCCATACGTTAGGTAACAAGCATGTACTCTTTTTCTCAAGAACTGCGAATCTGACAGATCTCGATTACCCGTGCTGCTTACGCTGACTCAGATTGAACAAAGGTAGATAAAAGACCGCCAGCCTCCCTCTAAAACCTGTGCTCCAAACCGTACAGTTCAGAATCCAGCAATAGCTTAATTTTTCAAACAGCTTTGTTACAAAAGTCTGCGACAATGGGATCTTCACCAAACAAACTGATTCTTTACACAAACTATACCTGTACATGTAAGACCTAATCCGAACTCAAAGCATCTCGTACGTTTCCGCTAAGGTCATCAGGGGCCAATCGTGCCAATGTTGCACTTACAGAACTCGGCATACCATTTGAGGAGAGAATCATCAATGTAGACGGTCCACGTCCCCCTGAGTTCCTGAAGCTCAATCCACGTGGGCTCGTTCCGGTGATTATCTTTAACGACGAGGTAATCATTGAATCAGCTATTGTCTGCCAGTTTCTGTGCGATATTTATCCGTCCCACCTGTGCCCTCCGCCGACCACGATAGAGGGTGCTTTGCAACGTGCAAGGATATCCTTCTTTACAGATGCGTACTGGACCAAGTTCCACACTATACTCTTTAGACTGTTCGAAGCGCCAACCAAAGTCGACGAGGAGAATGTCGTGAAGGATGCCATCAATGGGCTGGTTAAGGAGGTAGAGCCGCTGCTGAAGAATGCCAATCCATTTTTCGGAGGCAGCGATCGTCTGACACTGGCCGAAGTAAGCACACCATCTTGGATACAGAGATTTATAGGCCGTTCTAATAGCTCTTAGGTAATGATGGGACCATTTGTCATCAGGGCTGTCACACTATCCAAGTTTGGTGTCTATCCGACAAGCTTGAATGAACAAATCGAAAGCAAAGCCCCAAACTTTCACAGCTGGGCCAAAGCTGTCTCTAGCCATTCCAGCATCACATCCATTTTTGATGAACAAGTCATCGTGAAGAGGTCGCTGAACAAGAGGCACAGAATGAGGAAGGCTGCTGGCTTGGACGATTAAAGAGTGGTTCTATAAATTATGAAAAAAATCGCCTTGCATTTTCATACCGGACTTAAGATGATATTCGATTTGTTGAATCTGCGCATAAACAGAGGCAAAAGTGGCCCCGTTTTGGTGTCGCAATATGTAGTCGAGATTGCCTAGCTATAACAACATGACCTCGCTCATTGAGTTTGATTGCAAGCCTGACCAGTTATATATACGTTATTCGCTTTAAATTGCCATAACTGTCGGGATGGCACTTTCAAAGACTCCACGTGCATGTGGGTGCTGATCGCGTCGCGCCCGAATGGCCGAACTCGAAGGTCGATTGGTCGGCGTAGCGCATGAGTAATCAGGCCCACCCACGACCAGGTAGGCGATATGCATGCAGCTTGATTAGTTCCGTCCAACGTGGCTGGAAACCCTGCGTGAGGCCTCAATGTCAGCAGTCCCTAGTCCCCGTAATTCTCGCGACTTATCTACAGGACCAGCAAGAGAGCGGCGTCATTCGTATCGCAGATGTCATCATGCCTCCTCTCCCATTTACGAAGGAAGAGGTCTTAGCCACAGGCGTCATCGACCCCGAGTTAGAGGCAGCTCTCAAGGCGAAGCCAATCCCTCCTGGCAGTGCATATACGCTTGAGCAGTTGAAAGAGATCAACGAAGTCGCTCTGCCGTGGCACCAGGAGCGATTGATGCAAAGCAAGCCGGCGAATATTACCGAGTACGAACGGCAATTACCTGTGGGTGGTGGACATACGGCTAGGTTGATCGTATGCCAGAGATCCAGTCCCAGTAAAGCAGCGAACAGGCCTCTAGTAGTTCTGCTCCACGGCGGAGGGCACTGCGTGGGCAATCCAGAGTCTGAGGTTCCCCTTGCTCGTCGCCTCGCGCTAGAACTTGATGCTGTTGTGGTACTCCCGACTTACCGGCTCGCCCCAGAGTTCCCATTTCCTGCATCTATCAACGATTCATGGAACATTGTTCAGCATCTGGCAGCAGAGGCAGACCCGTCTCGCAGCATAAAGTCACGCATACTTCCTTCACAGTGCGACCCAAGACTTGGGTTTATCGTCGGGGGTACCAGTGCGGGCGCCAATTTAGCAGCGTCAATCACGCATTTGGCCCGTGATAGCAATTTAACACCCTGCCTGACAGGCCAGATGTTGATAGCTGGGACTTTTATCAGCCCGCAACATGTGCCGATTCAATATTCACCCTTCTATCTTGCACGTGATCAAAACAAAAATGCACCAATCTTGGACCTAGACCTGTACAATCTGTTCCAGACTGCGTTCAAACCCGACCATATGTCGCCTCTGTGGGCTATCTTCGATCAACGTCACCCCCTGGATGCAAATACCGAAGACGGGGGCAGTACTGGAGTACGCCACGGGCACCTCAATCTGCCACCAGCTTATTTTCAAATATGTGGTCTCGATATTGGTCGGGATGACAGTCTCATCTATGAGCGTGTCTTACGAGAGGAAAGCAACGTCTCCACCAGGGCAGACTTGTATCCTGGATTCAGCCATTGCTGGTGGAGTTTGTTTCCAGAGTTGGGAATGTCGAAGAGGAGGGAAGACGATGCAGTTCGGGGGGTTGCATGGTTACTTTCAACGCCCAGCGTCCGATAACCTATTGGATACAGGCGAGTAGCCAGCACTAGACATTGTGTATTTTCACCAGCTATATAATGCACTCAGACATATGGGATGGGTTCTGTTCGACTGTGTTGTGCTGGAATCTTGAACGTCAACTCTCCCATCATATTGGGGGAAGCAAACAGCAGAACCATCACAACACATTTCTTGTGGAGAATTGTCTCATTGTCTCTAGTCGTTAAGCCAATAAAGTGCCCTTGCCGTTTCCGTTATGAAGAAGGCATGGCTTATTTGTGCAAGCAAATTACGAAAAATCCACAACATCGTGCTACATCGTTGCAAACCTCCAGACCACAGCTTCAGCATTCTCAAGACTATTGTATCCCTCGTAATACGGTCATGATCGAATTCTTGATTAATGTAGCACTAGCGACACTGTGGCGGCTGTCTGGTCGTGTGGCAAAAGGGTACTCCAAAAAGTCTTGAAAATTCATAAAAACATAACAAGAAATTTCCAACCTTTTCTGCGGCAGTGACACGAGAATTCATCTTCGTATATAGACGAAACTAGGTTTGCGCTTTGAATATCAAAGCTTAAAATCAGCCCATTGGTTCAGACAACGAATGTCTCGAACAAAGCTTCTTATGAAGGCAGCATCTGTGGCTGAAGGCCTTCGGTGATGCAGCTCGAGTAACCTAGGGGTGTTTGCATCTGGCCATACTACAATGGCACCGTCAAGGAGTCAGTTAATGCTAATAATCATGCTCGAGGACGTAAAGAAACCCCAATAATGGAGTTGTATGAAATGCGGTGGTACGGAGTATATAGACAAAACCTCGAGAGAACGACTGATCGCTAAAATTGCTCCACTACGCAAGGTTCCCGAAGTTCCAGGGTACAGTGGGGTGATTCTATGATACGACCGCCAGCGATAAGGTCGTGCACTGATAAGCACATCACGACGCTAACACAAGTGCTCTGTTTAAAACGGCGTCGAATATATTCAATGAGGAGATTTGGCGGCTCAGGAATGGCATAGAGTAGACTGATAAAATACGTGGATAATGAAACCACTACGAGTTGTGAGCTGAGGTCTCGGGGAAGCACGGTTTGGACGTCGACTTAATCCGTTGAGAGTGCATTTAATCATTCATAAGCCATTAGTAAGTGACTTTGAACGTTTCATTCGAAAGGTTGAAGAACGGGGAACTTGATTGCCAAGCTTGGCGTAACACATGTAACCTTGGTACAGAAGCGACCCCGCGACTGTAGCTAACTTAGAGAGTCGTCTCAATCAAGCTGCAAAACCCCGCATATATCGAGGCTAGTCCCTATTGTATTGCAACTACTAGGCCTGCTACGGAGTGTCCCCCGTCGGATTTCAAGTCTGTGATGCGCTTCCGAAGTGACATTGAAAGCCTGCTTGCATCCAACCAAGATCCGACTCGATCACAATGGGTCTTAGCACCAACTTTAATCCACCAAAGGTATCGCCTGCAAGGTAACAAAATTGGACCACAAGATATGCCAAGCGCTGGACGGTAATGTCGTTATGTGCCGAGTACGAAAGAGCCCTGCAAGTCCATTTGAAATACGACCTTCCAATTGCGTGGCCCAGCTTCAAATCGTGTAGTTCAACGCATTTGTTCATATCTTATCAAAGCGCAGCATGGGATGTCACCTTGTAACTTGTGAATATATCTCAGTGCAAATTGTATAAATCAAGGGTCCCCTTCGATGACTCGTCCAGTGGCCCGTTTGGCTTCTCTGCAAAGCGGTCAACTTGGTGCACATACTTACAAAGTTTGGGAAGGATTTTGGCCAACATGAGGGCCGACACTTTCACTCTTTTTGCCCTGTTGTCGGGTGTTGCATCATCTCAGTCATCTGGAAGTCCTCTGCCGGGTGGTACAGGCAAATACATTGTCCAATTCTCTGAGACTGGATCAAACAAATTCAGGAAACGTGATGGAGCTCCTGTAAGAGTCCCATTACTGTGAACGGAGACCGAATATTGACATGTTGGTCAGGATACGGCTGGCTTTTACGACATTCTGGCTACTAAGAACGCCGATGTGAAGCCGGCCCTGAATTTTACTTCCGATGTCTTCCATGGCAGCTCCTTCCACGTTTCTGCCAATAAAACGCAAGCAACGTTGGACGAGATCTCTGCACTGCCGGAAGTGTCAAACATTTGGCCTGTGCCAATCATGTCATTACCGTTTGTCCCAGCAGCGTCCGATAATGACTCTTCAACGACTCAGAAATGGGATATACACAAGATGACAAACGTGGACCGGCTGCACGATCTTGGCCTTTTCGGTGCTGGTGTGGTAGTAGGAATTGTGGACACCGGCGTTGATTACACACATCCAGCACTAGGAGGCGGATTCGGCCCAGGATTCAAGATTGAAGGCGGTTACGACATTGTAGGGGATAACTACGACGTCGGGGGGACACCTATCCCTGACGACGATCCAATGGACTGTGCCGGGCACGGTACGCACGTGTCTGGGATTCTTGCAGGACAAACGGACGATTTCGTTGGTGTCGCGCCCGAAGTGCGCATTCGCATGTATAAAGTCTTCGGTTGCAGCGATTCGACAGATGGGGATGTCATCATCGAGGGGTTCTTACGAGCCTTCGATGACAACGTAGACGTCATCACAGCATCCTTAGGCTCCTCCCAAGGTTTCGCCGACAGTGCGCTGGCTGTTGTTGCGTCAAACATCCAGGCAACCGGCGTCTTTGTCTCAATTGCAGCTGGTAACTCCGGGGCCAATGGTATGTGTTGACTTATCCTTACCAGAAATAATATTCTGATGTGATGTAGGTCCGTTCTACACTAGCGACGGGGGAAACGGGGTGAAGAGCACGGCTGTTGGGAGCGTACAGTCGCCCAATTACGTCGCATACCAGACCTTGGCTAGGTCTACAAGCGGTGAGACAAGACAGATAGTATGTTTCCGTCCCTTAGACTCGCAAAACTTCATGCTTACCAGTTTTGTAGCCATATCTCGACTCAAGTGGCGGACAATGGAAACTCAACGGAAGCCTCCAGGCAGTGTTCGTTCCCGATGAGCTAGAGCATGATAGCTGCAAATCTGGGTTTAATGCAATCCCAAGTGATCAAGTGATGGTTGTTCCGTAAGTTCAGCCACTTCTGCTTTCTCTTACAGGTTGATACAGAGGGCTGAAACACGTTCCTTGGAAATAGTCGGGGAAACTGTTCTTGGCAACTGCTTGACAGTAGTGCTTGGTCAAAGGCTAAATATGTCTTCTGGTGGAACTTCGAGAATACGCCATATGAGATCCCTAATCGTGTGCTGTATGACTCAGTTAATCAAGCGGCCGGATGTAAGTCAAGCTCCGTTCGTCAATTTCATTTATAGTGCTATTGTGGTATGATAATGACAGTATAATACAGTTGCGCTTATATCGTACGATGATGGGTTATGGCTTGTATCGCAACAGGAGAGCGGAAATAACGTTACATTCTCCTTCGAGATTGGTGGCGACGATGCTATTGCGCTGCCACTAAACATTAGTGCCGCAGGCTCGATGAACACTTGGAGTTCTTGGGGCCCTACATACGACGGACGGATGAAGCCCGAGATCTCTGCACCTGGTATGGGCGGTTATTCGATGCTTTGCTGACAATTTTGGCTAACTACTTCCTGTAAGGTGGCATAATCTTATCAACGTGGCCAGTTTCACAAGGGAGCTGGTACACCGCCTCTGGCACCAGCATGGCCACTCCTTATGTGAGTCTACAACGAACACAATCATCACTTTAACCTTGCTTCATCACTGATATTTCACAGATTGCTGGGATTGCATCTCTTTGGTTATCTCTAAAGGGTGGGCGCAAGGTCTTTGGTGTTGAAGCGGGGAATATCGTTCATAATCAAATGATCGCCAGCGGTAAAACTTTGATTAATGGTGATGGTAGTGGAAACTTATCGTAAGTTGCGTTCGGTTCTACATAAGGTCTCCCAGAAATATTGCCACTAATGGTTGACTTTCCCTAATCAGGTCTGTGGCCCAGCAAGGCGCAGGACTGGTAGACGCCTACAAGACTGTCATGTACAAAACCTCGATCATCCCGTCGAATATCGACCTTAACGACACAGACCATTTCTCAGCGAAGCATACGGTGGAAGTAATTAATGACAGCAACGATCAGGTTGTCTATAACGTCACACATGCACCGGGCGTCTCGTTTCTATCAACTGGCAATCCCGTCTACTGGGTGAACCAGGTTCCCCCATACTATAGTGGAAAAGAGAACGCAGCAACCGTTGAAATCGAACCTAATATGCTCATAATCCCAGCACATGGACGAGCTTCCTTTAACCTCCAATTTTCTCAGCCATCAGGTTTAAACGCCACCTTACTTCCTGTTTATGGAGGCAATGTCTACGTTGACGGTTCCAATGGTGAATCGACAAAAGTTACATACATGGGTAGGCATTCGTGTTCCATAATTCCATGAACAAATCAGCTTAACTATGATTTGTAGGAATCAAAGGGAGCATGTACAACGAGCCTGTATGGCAAGATAATCAGCCGCTGTATCTTTCACCAGCTGGCGGTAGCATGAAAGCGAATGAGACATACAATTTCCGCAGTGGGTATATCCCAAATGTCCGCTTTCCCATGCTCTGGGGTACAAGAGAATGGAGTTTCGATGTAAGTTTACTTCCAAATAGTGATTGGAAACGGCAAGAAGAGAGGATTGTTCTAATATCGACTTTAGCTGGTTTCAGAAGACTGGACCCCATTGGACTGGTCATATCCTCCAATTGATGGTCAGAACAAATTTTCCGGTTCACTCGTCAATTATGATGTCCTCAACGATATATACAACCCTTTCCCCATTCGAAGTTTCCCGAGAAACAATGGGGCATTCCAAATCAACTTTGCCGCGAATTTCTCAAGCGGAGTGCCTATCCCAGATGGTCGGTACAAGCTTTTGACTAGGGCTTTGAAGACCTTCGGCGACAAGTCGAACTTTTCTGACTGGCAGACACGTATTTCGCCGGTCTTTACAAATAACAATACATTTTAGTGGCATCAAGTGTCTGAATTCGGACGGAGACCTATCTTTTTCTGCCACAGCCTTTCTCTTTTGAACTCTGTTTGGAACGATGTATTCAGACGCCCAACTTTTTATTAATGATATGTGCATCAACTGTGTAGGTCGCAGCCTGCCAGTCGAAAGCTTTCACTATACATTCTATTCTCTATCTCAGAATTGTCCCTTCTATAAAGCTAGCAATAATACGAGTCCGTTACTGCCGCTAATTGCACCACGTGGCCTATGAGTACAAGTCTGTAGCTCGGGCAGATATAGAGGCTGCACGAAATGAAGCTTACGGAGGAGCTTGCTAAATCCTTGTTCTAAATTCTGCTGTGCCTCACAAGCCCGTAGTCTCTGCACGATAATGTGGCGGCGAACAGTTTCGTTTTGATATCCTTATGAAGACACAGCCCTAAAGCGTTGGGGCGCCCACGGACTCCGATCCGACATCTTGGTGCTTATTCTCGTTCATATCGGATGACATACCCATCGACTGGAGTTAACCCAGTTCTCGCTCACACCAATTGATGTCGGACCAGGTGACCAAGTCAGGAGACGACAGCTACCACACCATAGGATATGACAGGAATTCTGAACTGGAGTTTAATATGGTCCTTGCTGCTGCATAGAAGATGTTGTCTAGATATGGAAGTGATATTGCACAGAATCCTGCTAAGCTAGAATCATGATTTATTCGTTGGTTTTGGTACCCAAGGTACGGGCCCTGGATGTGGATGAATCCTATTGTAGATAATTCTCTGGGCGACCCAAAGCAAGTCTGTCATGGCAGTGCATCAGGTTTACAGAAGGTCCGGTGAGACAGCGAACAGTGTCCGCTATATAATCCCCATCTTGTCCTTTTATCTTGAAAGGGGACAAGGTTCAGTCTCTTTATGAATTGAACCATACGTTTGGACTTCTGGCCATACCTGACCTCACAATCCCCTTGACAAAGTCCCACCAAATCAGTTTGCAGGGTCTGAGTACTTATGAAGCGGGAATTCTGGCCACAAAATGAAACGTGACGTGGAAACTAAGTACTCATCATCAACTCTTAAGATGGAGGAGTCTAGGATCTATCCTCTTCTCTATATATGTTTATACGCGGCATTGTGCTAGAATTCCTTACAGCCTGGACACCGACGCTCGTTGAGGTGAGCAGCAACAACCACAGAAGATTAGTCTGCTCGACTGTTTGAGATATACGAATGTCATCGTGCCTGTGGTATACTGTCTTGCTATTGCTGTTGGAATGCAGTGCGAAAGCCAGTGTATCGAGGCTTATTGAGAGTCTAGCGCCATGTGGGCCTTCTATCTCGACACGTGGATTGAATAGGTGGAGTTATTACGCTCCCTGCAAAGGTGCGGCGCTGTCACCGTATTCGGGTTGGAGAGACCGGCCTTTCCCCGCACGTCGGTTTTAGCAAATTCATGAGTGGTGTTATGTTGCGCAGTCTCGTCGACGGAACACAGGTGCCCGCCGTCTACCGAGCCAGCTCGTTGCTCTAGGATGTGGTTCTAAAGGGTTGCCATGAAAGAGCCTCAACACGACAGGAAGAATCTGTCCAATGTTGGAGAGTTATACATATTAGAATGGTAGTCTTATCTTCCATCTGGCCATATTTGGGCTTATTAATTGCTTCACTCTCGGTCGGCGCACATGGCACTTGCACTGAAGATTGTGTTGTGAACACGCCTAATGGCCGGATCATTGGTCACCGAAGTAGCATTCGACCTGAGGTTTGCGAGTTCCTTGGAATTCCATATGCTGCCGCCCCTGTTGGCAGCTTGCGCTTTGCGGCCCCGGAGGCGCAGATCCTGGAAGGAGACTTCGTTGCCGACACTTGGGTAAAGCCACTGCCGCTTGATATCTCCATCTTATGACTTCCGCTAATCTGCCACTCTAGGGTGCCGACTGTCCCCAAAACCCATCAGCGCTCTTTGCTTATCCCAATGCCACGATACAGTATGACAAAGTGTTGACGAGCTTCGTGAGCACTACGAGCACCATCCACTCACAGAGTGAGGATTGCCTAAAGCTCAACATATGGATTAAAGCCGACGCGTTACATGCCAATCATCCCACTTTGATGTGGATTCACGGAGGGCGACATGCATCTGGGACTTCCAACACATTATTCTACAATGGCGCAAACTTTGTTGCAGCTGAAAACGCTGTTTTCGTCACTTTCAACTTTCGCATGAATATATTCGGTTTTCCCGGAGCCCCTGAGGGAACCCAGAATGTTGGTCTGCTCGACCATCATATGGCTGCACGGTGGACCTCTGAGAATATCAAGTATTTCGGCGGCAATCCGAACCAGATCTCGCTATTCGGTCAGTCTTCCGGAGCCACCGCTGTAGGGAACTGGGTCTACGCTTTCAAAGAGAACCCTGTCGTGGCAGGACTGGCCTCACATTCGGGCAATCAGTTTTCATTCCCGATGAACACCCTTGAGCTGGCTGCGAAGAACTGGTATAACGTCTCAGGCACGTTAGGTTGCGGTACCTTGGGAGCGACACTCGAGTGTATGCGATCTCCCAACATCACCTTCCAAGAAATCCTTGCCGCTGTCAATAAAGTCCCCAGTGTTCCCACAAACTCGCCGGCTCGCTCTCAGCCGCCATTTCAACCAACACAGGACAACATTACGTGGTTCTCCACAAACGAATACATTTCTCGAGTCAAGACGGGTAACCTAGCTCGTATCCCATATTTGCAGATCCATGGTGATCACGAGTCTGGATTCTACAGAATATCCGCGCTTGCACAGGGGAAATCATTAACGGAAGATGTGTGGCGAGAATTTGAGCAGGAGTCGTTTGACTGTGCCACCGCTGCTGAGGGCCATTACCGATCTGCGTTGGGTATTCCAACGTATAGGTTCCGCTATATGGCTGACTGGGAAAACACGCGTTTGTATAACTCGCCTTCCAGCGGAGCTTACCACGGTGTTGAGATCCATATGGTCACAGGCAACTCAGAGCTTGTTAGCGGTATGGCCCCTGTGGCAGCCCAGGCTGACCTCACTAGGACCTTGATAGGTCGCTGGTGGTGGTTCGCGGCGGACGCGGCCACCGGGCTGACTAATGCTTTCGGCTGGCCACATTATAAGCCGGGCGCACCAACATTGGGGCTGTTGGGCATTGGAAACAGCGCCAGTATCGATTTTGTGGGTGCTTCTACTTACGATAGTGTGTGCCCGACTTTAGACTTAGACTTTTGGGACAATACAATAGCTGCTTAAGAATCAAATGTACTCTTTCAACTTGAGCTTTCTTACTCGCCATAGATACCTTTACACACCTATGACACCTATGATTGATACAGTTCTTATCATGACCACCATGAGGGGCTGAATTGAAGTCTTGTTCGAAAAGAATTGTATTCAAGATTGTAATTCGTGTGTTAGTCAGATATTTGTTTTCTTTTGAGTGTTTTTAAACTTTATTCTTGGTGTGCCATACTAAAATAGGCTTTGGGTACTAGAGGTTCAACGTCGTGGAGTCTCCTGGCCCAACGAAGCATGGTTTCTGGTATCTCTTTCCTCCACTACATTCTCATGTTTCTCTAAACAGCCTCGATACAGGGTTTAGTTGACCTTGGCCTGGCTCAAGCTTGAAATAGTCTGAGCACCATCGATGAACTTTCCGTTGCCGGCATTAGCCCGACAAAGGCTCTTGCCGCGCTCGATGATGGCAGCATCGCAAGTCAGCTTGGACTGCGCTACACAGCTAAGGGTGCCTCCACCTTCAAGGGGATTCTCATCAGCCACTGGTACAATACGCAATGTCACCGTCAATAAGAATGCTTACAGTTGTTACCACCGGGGACGCATCTGCCCTGAGTGCCATCAGTGGCGGTGCAAGTGTCCTGTTTCAACGATGTGCTAGCAACGCAGCAGGCGCCGCTGGGGGTCGGTCGATTGCCGTTGGCCTGGCGACTTATGACGATGGAGTCCCGAGCGACATTGCGGACACCTTCAACATCAGCGACGGCGGCGGACGAAACCGCAACCAGACCGACGAGAAGGGTAATAAATTGGAGCTGCATCTTGATAATGATCGTGTAAAAGTGAATATTGACTGTCTGGTAGTCGAGAATGTAACCGCACAGCAGGGAGAAGAATGAGTGAATAGAGAATTGTTCAAGACCGGCTTACAGAGAAAGAAGACTTCCAGAGATCTGAGGAAGCGATTGTTGGTATATATATTCTTGTCCCTGACAGTCTCACGATCCCCCTCTATGTCCCTTTTTCCATGCCTGACTGGTCGTGCTTCATGGTGCCACAGCTGGTTCTTGGAGACGCTGGTAGCCCCGTAGAATTATGAGACTGTGTCAATCCTTGTGTACAGGCCTTGATCCCGGACGTCGATCTAACCGTCGCAACATCGTCTGGGGGACCCGGCGGTCAAGCAAGTGCGGCGAACGCTAATTGGCCCCCGACATTTCTGGCGCAGAGGCGGAAGGAGGCAATCTTATTCCCTGACGAGATCTGGTCTGCAGACAGGCCGAAAGCAGATGTCGTCCGATCTGAAGACTGATTTGGGGCCCATCTCTTTCTAACTACTGTGGCAGGTGTGGAGACCACGAACGGCTTTCTCCACAGTAGCGTGCATCATAACCGTCTCGAGTTTCCTGAAACAGGCACAGAGCTGTGGCGATCCACTCTCATTGGCCGCCGAGCTAACCGAATCTACGCAAGGAAAGCCGTTTACGTGCGCCCTTACCACATTCTTCGGAATCTGAACCGAGCAGTTTGGCATGGCGCGCCAACTCAAACGAGATGATCAGTTGGTTGAGTGGCAGGAGGGTTTCTTTGAGCAGTATCAAACCTGTGACAAGTTCTCCTCGATGTCTTGCATCCCTATGGTGGTAACTATCCTTCCTCGTATCTGCTTTTTTTTTATCTTAACTTACTTCACCACCCTTTGCGGCTCTACGCTTGTTAGCTACGTACTTCTTTCACATCCAGGGAAGCCTTCATAAGGAGGGAAGGTGATCACCACGTGGTCAGGAAGTAGTTGGATTTATTTTTCTCACCGCTCTACCTGTAAATTCAGCCGTCAGCTGTACATCGTTTAACAAAGTTTCTTTTCGCTCCCGGGTTTACTTGATTGTGCACTTACGTGGCAGTATGAGAAACTGTCAAATTGGTGCATTGTAGTATGAAGGGTCGCAACAGAACTTAACAGAAAACAATTATTGTAATTTTGTCAATCTAAACCGCTCCGTGGAGCATATCTCAGGCTATCGCGCTTGTGAATGTGAAAACGACGACGAAAGCCAGACCGGCGACTGTCGATACCGCTTCATTCATCCTTTTGAGGTGGATGGTTACTACGACGTTCCGACAAGATATCAGAACACACCGCGCGGGTGTCAACGAAGACGGCATCGCGTTTGGCAAATAGCATGCGCCGCGCAGCCCGTCCTTGTTCGATAGAGATGGTGAGCTGGGTCATCCGCCGGCTGGATACTGCAAAAATACGAACACATGGATCAACCCTCACAACAGCAAGGGCGGCTTGAAGGAAGAAGATGTCAGCGGTCCCAACACAAGCATGGGCAGACTGGTAAGTCTCGAGAAAATGCATAGGGATCTGGTGAGCGCCATCTTGAACATCTCGGTTGGCAAACCGATGGGCAATAACCCTGCTGAAATGCTGGACTCCGTGTCGTTTCTCATTCTCATAAAAGACTCTTCCGTCAACTCCGATGCAGCCCGTCGTCAACCCGACCGAGATTGTCAAGGAGTTCGAAGACAAAGCCAAGAGGGAATGGATGCTGATACTTGTCATCTCGCCCTTGATATTAGTCCCGGTCGTGCTGAGGGCGTAGCGGCGCGGGATTCGCGAATCTCGGTAGGGTCACCGCCCGGGCAGCCGTCGCCCTGGCCATCTACGAAGTGGGCAAGGATCTGTCCAGAAAGTAGCCCATATTTGGCTGGTCCTCGATGCGGAAGCTTACGGCACACGACGAAGGCCAAGAATGCGGCAACAGCACGAATAATAATGAAGGCCAAGGATGACGCGAAGCTAGGTGATGGCATCAAGGCGCGCATTGGCTACCTCAATTCGACCAGCGCTGCTTACTGCAAGACGTGATCCCAGTGGAGTGGCTCCTTAGATACTCCAATCACCTCCAATCGTATGGTGTTTGGTTTTGCATCTTACACCTCTGTAAATTCATCTAGTTACAAATTGTTATCCAAGAATCAGATGATAACAATAGTGGATAATTTATACATAAGTCTTAAGTCAATGATGAATTCGAGATTTGTCATGGTGCTTGTTGTGCATCAAGCAAGAGCTTTAGCTGCTTGATTGAGTAGACTGGAGCATATGTTTCCTCCCGACGAGGTAATTACTAAAGGTATAAGATCGTAGTTGGACTCTTTGAACACATGAGGACGGTTGATTCTGGACTATGTACACGGATATGTATGAATAGATATACTACAAACACTTCGCGTTGCTGGAGAAACTCAGCACAGGAACACTGGCATACTCTGTTATTGTTCCTCTCCCACGGCGGTTTGCTGATTTTGTCGCTTGATCACAAGTATTCATTGAACTGCATCACTTTTATGCCTGACCGCTACAGGTATGTGTGGCCAACCTTTCATGGTATTGGGGCTTCAAGCGATCTTTGTATGTGTGATGAATGAGGCGTAAATTGTAACATTCTAGAACCCTCGTGCCGCGTGATTCCCCCATACTTAGGCTGGCCAATACTCGAACACCTGAGACAGAGCCGATTTCAAGGCTCCTGTGCTTTTTCAAGGCCAGACAATGGGGACACGCGTGGATGTCTTGGAATCGACTCGATATGGTCGGTGCTTTCCGGGCTTTCGCAATTATCTCTTTGAGGGTAGATACCTATAAGGCCGGTGAGTCTCAGGCCACCCCGGGACGCACCAATGATGGCGAGACTTTTGTTTGCAAGTTTGGTCAGTCAGTTGTAAACCTTCAAGCTTCCCGCAAGTCGATCGAGTCTACCAATCGGCGCTGTCACTATCTTACCACTGGTCTTCCAGTCGTAAACAGCTATTGGACCCAACCATCTGGTTGCGAACGACGAGTTCGACGACTAAGCGGGTCAAATTGGTTGGACAGGAAAAATCAAGTCGACAACACTATTGTCTCGACAACGAACGGTGAATCCAGCCATTCAACTGTTCGAGAAACTCGAAGCGGGTCAGTCGAGTGTTTGGCCATATCCGCATCACCTCGTTTTCACCACGCTGCAAATTTGCAGACCAGACGGGCAGAACCCACCATCCCATTGCACTGGTGTCTGCAACGTCTCATCACCTTCTCTCCCATATTCGACATCGTGTTCGTAAGCGGTACTGCGTAGGTATTTCATCTAATGCTGACAACTCTCGCCTACCCGAGGAGTATCGCCCTGGCCAGAGGCTAGGTAGGTCTGAGATACACCATGGACGCAAACGCAGACGAGATGGACGACCTGGATTCGTTCCTATACGAGAGCCTGACAACTGGAGATTTCGACAACTTCGAAGGCTTCAATGAAAACAGTGCAGATTATTGGCTAGGTCTGCCCTCCGACGCTGCAGATTCCGCAATGCCGCAACAGGAATCCGAATTCCCTATGGCGTCGCCCTTTGCCAATAATGAGCAGCCGATGTCGAGACATGGGCCATCACCTCCCACCGTCTTCCCTGAGCCTTTCCAAGCATCAGCCTCGCCACCAGGCCTGGTGATGCCTGACCGAGGATTCAGCCAAGGTCCTTCACCAGTGTCACAAGAGGGTGTTGTATTCGATGCCTATGACTCAGGCAATATATGGCAGAGCCCGGCGGCCGAAACCAAGTTCACCCCGGACATGATGCCGTTGCAGCCTACTTACTTCGGCTTCAAGGCTGAGCCCGGTCAAGACTTCAGCGCGCGCCCACTTGGAGCGGCGAGCCTTGGCTCTGCCCCCAACGACAACCATTACGGCCACCAGGCCCTACCAAATCCAGCCGGTGGCGCACTGCCATTGGCAAACTACGGCGTGCCACATCCTGGTCATGCGCCAGCGGCCTATACGCTGCCGCCTACGACCGCGGCTGCAAGGGGCGGCGGTCGTAGTAGGTCTTGGGCAGCGCGAGGTGAGTGACTCATTTTTGCCGCCTGATGGAGGCAAGGCACGGCGTCGTGCCTAGTCATCCGGGGGGGGGCCTATAGGACGGCGCAGTCACACTGATATAAAAGCAGACACTCCCTCCCAGGAATGCTACGCGGTGCGTGTGACGCCAGGCATAGACTATTTCGGTAAGTCCACATCTGGATTTTCTTCGCCCGCCCGCCCCTTTCCTGCAACAAGACGCAAAACAACGCTGCAGCTGGTCGGACGGCCGGACGGCCGGCATGAGGTCTAGGTCGGCAAAGTTGGCCGGTGGGTGGCCAAGCGCGCGTCTGCATGTCGCGTCCAGGGGAGCAACGCCACACTGCGATGACTCTAAAAATGGGCCTCCAGCTCAGTCCGGAGTGGCTTAGCGCAATCCCCCACGGCCCAGCTCGGCCTGCGCGCGGACAGTGGGAGGGCTGGAGGGCTGGAGGGCTAGGAGAGGTGGCCGCTGACAAATCAGCGCTCTGGAAGCCTGTGGCTCAGCAAGGTTGTCGGGTCGCTATTCTGCCTGGACCCCCCCGGATGGGATGCCCACGCAAACTTCAGCCCTCCCAGGTCCCACGGCCGTCCGCGTGAATCCTCGCCTCAAACCCTCCGTGGACACCTGGAATCTCAGGCACGCTAACTTCTGCCTTGCGCCGACTTATAGGACAAGACCACTGCGCACAGCACATGCTTGCTGTCACCGAGCAGTTCACCAAGAAGAATATACGCGACTACTCGCTCGACATCATCCCGTTCGCCCCGTCCGCGGGCCACCGAGGCTACCAGCGGCGCTACACCTTGGGCCCCAGGGCCAGCCGCAACGAACGCCAGCGCCTGGACTTCCTGCAAGTCTTTGCGCCGAATCGTCCGTTCAACCAGCAGCTGCCTGGTTTCGCCTCCAAGATGGAGGTTGTTCCCTACGAGCCGAAGCCCTTCCATCACAGCGACGGCTATGCGGAGATTGCAGGCCTGGGCGACCACGATGGGGACGACACGGGCGGCGTCGGTGTTGCGTTCGACCAGGACATGACCGACCTGGCCACATACAACCCCTCCGCAGCTCCGGGGTTTCCGTCTCCGGAACCCCATCACGGACTGGACCTGAGCACCTCTCCCGCCGCGTCTCGAGCTCCCGCCACGCTTCCGACACCCAAGGAAGACAACGAGATCCACATGCCACAGCGCAGCAAGGCCATCCCGAAGCCAGAGCGCCAAGTCAGAAAAAATGCACAGGGCATGTATGATTGCACATTCGAGGGATGTCTCGAACATCCGCGTTCGTTCCATAGGAGGTGCGAATGGTCAAAGCATATGGACAAGCATGACCGCCCGTACAGGTGTGGTGCTGATGGCTGTGAGAAGCTGCCTGGCTTCACGTATAGTGGGGGACTGCTCAGACATGAGCGCGAGGTTCACGGCAAGCATGGGGGCCCGAAGAACCCACTGAACTGTCCCCACGTCAGCTGCAAGAGACACTCCGGCAAGGGTTTCTCGCGCTTGGAGAACCTGAACGAGCACCTCCGCCGCGTTCACACCAACTCCGCAGCAGGCGGCTCCGGTGATGAGCTACCCGAGGATGCCGGGGGCGCCATCGCAGGGGGTGAACGGACTTCCATCCCTCCCCCACAGCTGCAGATTCCCTTGCCCACGCAGGCCCAAACTCCCGTGGTGCTCGGCGAGAAGCGCAAGCACGAGGACGACGAGGACGACGTTCAGCGCGAGATCAAGCGTCTCCACGTGGCCAATGAGACTCTGAACAGGGAGCTTCAAGCGCAGAAGGAGTCGCTGGAGCGAAAATTCCAGCAGCAGCTCCTCGAGGAGAAACAGCGAGCTGACGCCCGAGACGCCGCCCAGAAGCAGCAGATGGTGGCGATGATGGCCGAAATTCAGGCGCTGCGAAGCGAACAACAGCACCAGCGACAGCAGATCACGGGGATTGCGCCCAACGCAATCCTCGAAGACCCCAGCGCCTCCTTCTAGGGCTTTGATGGACTGGCAGCTGCCGCATACTATCGTCGAGGAGAGGATCCATCGATCACAAGCGTCTTGCACCCCCAAATTTCCCCTTTTTCTCAGTATTGTACTTTGTATGAAGATACCCCGCTTCGTATTTTCTCAGATTTCTACCCGACAGAGGCGGTCTGAATGCGTGGATCGAGGCGTTTTCGGTTTGGCCAGGTTGGCTGTTCGGCCCTTGTTTTGAGAAGCACAGCATTTCTGGTGTTCATGGCACAGACATATATGATTTATGGACCAGCATTAGAGCGTGGTTGCACCGAGCGTGGCGGACACCACTCGCCTGTATATTGATTTAGAGTCTTGGGACTGAGTGTTGGTCCCCGTCACCGGTGGATACACGGTCTTGATTCTTAGTGGAGTCGGTCCTAGATGGTCCTCTTTGAAGGAATTGTAGATTGGAACTTTCCACGCCTAGTATGACCTCTCACGACACAGGATACATACACAGAATTTTCCCAAGAGACTGATGATTCCGAAAGTCGTGCAGTTTATCAGTGATGTGTGACAAATACAAGAAATTGTCAGCATAGTAGAACAAACCAGTTGAAACCCGTAGTGTACCAATTCGGCTTGCTCGATGGGTTTTATGGCAGGGGGTAGCTAATCTTGTTCTTTAGTGATGTATTCTCGAGCGCACATTGTGCGAACTATCGACCAAAGTCAGTCATTTTCCTTTACACAGGCGGGCTTGAAGTAGATTATTACCATGTAGTAACAAAGAAAGCACAGTCCAGACGGAAACAGCACGACAATGTATTGCCAGAACAAAGGCCCACGCACATTGAAATTTTTACCAACACTCGATTAGCTCCGTAGCCCTTGCACAGCGATGATGTGCTTGGCTTGACGGAGTTCAGTGCGAATCTGTGCAAGATGAATGCTCTCGCCAACCATATCAGAACCACCTTCGAAAGCCAAAGATACAGGTTCATACGAACACTAGGCCACGGCGCATCAGGGGTCGGCGTAGTTTTCGCCGATTTGTCCAGTGGCGGCCGTCGGTTCGTGGTGAAAAAGGTTCGGTCAGACGAGCACGACCAGCTCCGACGCGAGATAGACACTCTACAGGCAGGTTAACCCCAGAAGAGAGGCGGCAGGGGCAAGGCCTCTGTTGAAAGGGCTGCGGACGTACTGATATGAGATAGCTCTTAAGATGGGCCGAGCACATTGTCGACCCTGTCGACCTACACGATGATAACATCGCAGCAAGACTAGCTGCTTTCGGCGCGGACCCGTGCTTGATCATGGAGTTCCTGGAGAACGGGACGATGCGGACTTTTCTACTTAGATACAGACACGACGTGATAAGGCGAAGGCTGCCGAGCCGCTTCTTATGGCCTATTTTCCTCTGCCGTATGGCATCCCATCAACTCTACGAGTTGCCCTTGAAGGACGGATATGTCGCTAACACTGTAAACACAGTCGTCAAAGCCTGTGTCGCCATGGCTTATCCGCCGGGGAGCGAGGGGGATCCCGAGGTTCCGCCAGCGTCGGTACCAAGGCGTTTGTTGACGATCCACCCCTCGTCTCTAGCACACAATGACATGCACATGGACAACCGTAAGTTCTCCGTATGTAACACAGAGAACGACGGCCTACCTCGCTGACGCACTTAGTCATGTTCGGGAACCTCCATCTGAGCGATCCCACATCACCGACTGCCCCGGCTCGCGAGACGGCAGAGCACTCGCTAGTTCCGATACTCAAACTTATTGATTTTGGAGAATCTCTGGACGTTTCCTCGCCGCCTACCGCGTTGGACATGCGGGGGAGGGAGTATGATGTCGAGCACGGCATCGTCTCTGCCGCGATGGTGGACCTGACCATACTGGACGGACATCCTAATCGCAGGTACCTCAGAGAGCTTGCGGCATCTGAGCCGACAGCGCCCAGAGGTCCGAGGTAAGTCTTCTCAGGCACACTGCCTTGCGAGTCCTTAATAAGCTAATCGAAATTCGTCCCCAGTAACTACGTCTACTGGAGGCGAAACCCAGGGGTCGATATGAATATCCTGGCAATTGGCATGGTGTGATGGTTTCTTTTCGTTCTGGTCCTGTTAGGTATTCACGGGCTGACTTTTCATTACCAGGTCATGGCAAGGATTATATCGGGCGATCATAATTGCGGCTGGCCCAGCTGTCGTGAGGACATCACGGACCCGTCGATAGTCAATGGGACTGACCCAAACTTGGTCAAGCTTGTCGCGAGATGCCTCGCAGTTGACCCCGCGAACCGCCCTAGGCTGGACCATCTCTTGGCCCTGGTCAGTGGGTTCAACTCGACCCCGGAGCTGGGTTTCGACCCCCGGGGTGCCAGTACATGGACGTTCCCCATGGACGAGTCAGAGGGGGCGATCGCAGACATCGTAAGGGACTACATACTCAATGCGGACGTACCGCGGGTGACAACTGATGATCCCGTCGATGATGGTCCCGACGACGGTACTGTCGATGACCCCATGATTATTACCAGCTAGATTGTACAGTTGTGCCAACATTTCTCAACCATGATAACTTTCGTGCAGCATCGCATATGTAACTGTTTCAATCATCATCGAAATCCGAACACCTCAATTAAGCCCAATTCCATCAAATGTATGCGGCCAAGCGCGCTAGTATACGCATTTGAGATACCATAGTGCCATAGTGTGCCTTCTTAATGGTGGGACACAGACAATCAAGGAGAAAAGTTGGAAATGTACCACGGGGTGCGAGTTGTTTTCGTTGATTAAGTATTTACATATATTGTGTTACAAGTAATGACCAAATGCAATGCAAACATGACCTATGTCCATCCGCCCCCACCAACCCGTATTCGTTCGCAAGGCCAACGGATAACTAGGTGATCTTCTTCATGTGCAGCACAAGGCCTGGCTCAGGGACTTGCAGGGTGAAGAAATCCAACACCTCGAAGTTGTCGGAGATTGGGTCAACGGTGATTTCGAAATTCCGGTAGAGCATGCCCATAGTCAGGAACAGTTCCGCAAATGCGAGGTTCTGGCCGATGCAGCTGCGAATACCCTTGGAAAAGGTAACAAGATAAGAGTCGAGATGTTTGCCCTCCTCACCCATCCACCGGTCCGGGTTGAACTCCAGAACATCGTCACCCCAAACCTCGGGGCTCCTGTGCATAGTGTACGACGAGATACCAACGACGGTGCCGGGAGGGACGACCTTGCCGTCAACGATCAGAGGGTCGGCGCCTTTGCCAGGGACGATGCGTGGCAGCCTGCCCTGCACCGGACTTGCCATGCGCAAAGACTCACGAATACAGGCTGCGAGATACGGGATCGCCTCAAGGTCCAGGATCTTCATCGGTGTGTTGGGATCTGGGAAGGCCTGCACCAAGGCTTCCACCAGCCTCCGTTTGATGTGCGGGTTCTTCGCGATATACCAGATGCCACAGGTCAGCGTGAAGGCGGTTGTGTCGGATCCGGCAACGAGAATGTCCACCGCCTCAGCAACGACCAGATGGTCGCTCTTCACCGATCTCAGGGCGTCAAATACGACGGGCGTCTTGTGATCTCCTGTCTTCTTGTAGGTTTGATAACTCTGGGCAGCCTCTTCTACCAGACGAATCATAGCCCCTAGCTCCTTACTCATCATGGAGATGACGACGTTGGGGATGATGGACGCCATCTTCCGCGCCACGGGTTGGTATACCGAGTCCCATATACTTACGGCAGCAGTGTCGAGGGCCACAAGTGTCTCCGCGTTAAAGTCATCGTCGCTGTTCTCAATGAGATTTCTGCTGCCGGCAAAGGCATAGTCGGTAATCAAGTCCACCGTCAGGCAGCGGAAGGCTTTACCCGCCCTGATAGGATGGCCCCGAGCGGTGAGGTCTTCGATCTTTCTTTGCAAACGATGGACCTTGTCGCCCACCATGCCCCCGACTCTTAGAATACCAGCCTTCGAGAAGAAAGGATTTAACAATTTACGCCTCTCCTTGTGCAGGGCAGGTACATCCTCAGCAAAGACGCTGTGAGGCGCATTGAAGCCGTTGTAAAAGACCGGCTCCTTCAGATATTGCGTCTTCTGGCTGTAGATAACCTTGTAAAGAGAAACATCGGTAATATGTAGATCGTTGGGGCCAATCCGTAACCCCTGGACGCCTGGGTTTCCTCTGTGTAAGTGCATTTTCCGGTCGTTAAGGAGATGTGCTTACCAAGTTCACGATGCAACCTGTCAAACTCTATTTCAGCTCGGCCTCCTTTGGAGAGCTTGTAGAGCCAGCGATCAGATACCGCCGCCTCTCGAGGACCAGGGAATGCAGAGAGCGGGTGGAAGCGTAGCCGGTAAGTAGAAACTACAGCTCTGTACACGGCGAAGAGAACTCCTAGCAGCACGAGTCCTTGGGCTGCCAGAACAGGTGTAAACTCGGCATGGCTGACACGAGAAGAGATCTGATCTATGATCTGCTTCTTTTGTTCGTTGAAATAGGAAGTATATTGATCCATGATCCGCTTCTGTTGTGCGTTGGAGAGATCAATGCATGTTCTGCTGTCATACACCGTCGCAGAGGCGATGGCGATGATTTCGTTCTTATAGTTGCCAGGTCACCAGTACGTTTTGAGACGTAGCAGCCGCAGTGTTCAAAGCCATAACCACTACCCCATATTCCAAGGGTTGGATTGCGGCTTTCTGGGCTAGTGCCGGCAGTTCGGGAACCAGTGAAAGCATAGAGGAGCGACAAATAAGAGCGAGGCCGCTTAGTACGCGGGCATCTCGGAGAATTCGGAACTGGGGCGGAATACTCACCCACCTGTTAACTCCGCCATGTCCACACATCTTCATACTCTGCTTCATCCAATTGAGTGCAACATTTATCTGGATGTGTCGCAGCCAAGCGTGTTGACGTTAAAGCAGGCGGCCGGGCGAGTGGGCGGGAGGGCGGGGAGGGGCGCATGAATCCCCCACCGGGTACGGGTTGAGGTCAGCTAACTCGGCAAGTATCCGTGTAAGTACCTTGCCGAGGTCTGCCACTTACAAGCTCTAGCCTTCCTACAACTGATATCTTTTTGATTTTTGGTGTAAATTAAATACTACTGGGGGACTCTATCAGGGCTGAATTGTTCGTCAATCGCTGAAACATTTGCTAAGTCAAAAGTCTAGCGACGTGCTGTCTCATGATAGTATCCATGCTGTGGGGACACAGAAGACCTATCCTTGCCTATTTTGGTGCAAATTGTGCATTATTCAAATCGACTATAATTATCTTCCCGGGCGAGTTCACAGGCTCGACAAATATGGAAGCCGCGCTCTCCGACTTATACGGTGGCCCGCTTCACACTGGTCCTGAGGCAATGACGTTGCATTTGTTCTGCCCTTCACTCTGTTTAAAGTTTACAGGCCGAGATTCTGGTAGCATTTGTTATCCGGCCCTCCGGCCAAAATAGAATGGTTTTGTCTACCTTTTCCATACCTCCGGTACGTGATCGTCGTCACGGCCCTTCCCGCTCGTTCCGCGGCCGAAGCGACTATCGGTACCCTTGCACTTTATCAGTCCCTGGGAATCACCCCTTTCATTATTCGAGCACGCGCAATAAACACTTATACCAAGAAATTGCGTTCTAATCTTATTAAAGTTAGCTTCCCGGTGGACGGCGTTTCTATTGTCCAAATGACTCAGGTTTCCAGTACTGGTCTCAAGTCAACTGATCCAAGCTGTCTCTCAATCTTCCCAGTTTTCGCTTCACTGTCTTCGCAGGTTGCGCCGTTCAATGGTGTCCCAGAAGTTTCGTAGCCGCGAGGTGGAAATACTGCCCTTTCTAAGAGCTCCATAGGCCGGATTCGAGTCCAATCTCCTCGTCTTGGATGCGATCAGTGCTCACTCCGGAGGCTGATAGGGCGTCTACATCAGTTGTGCTAGGCCCTTCGCGAGACCTAGGAGAAACGCAACTACAAGAGCGATCGAATACAATCACGAGCGTTCCTTTGGCAAGGCCGGCAAGTTCAGCACGGAACCGTGGGTACATTTTGCGCAGCCAGTACCTAGGTACTCAAGGCGCTGACAAGACTCGACACACAAAATTCGATTTTCATCTTTCGCGGCACCAGGATGAACGAGTGGCTAACCCAACTCACCCAATTTCTGTGCGCGAAACGTTCACGACATCCGTTTGAAATACCACGATTGACTTCCTTTGATCTTCCAATTCGTATGCCTTTGTCGCTGCTGATGCTATAGCGACCGGCGATCTAACCCACTACGGCGCCTCTCCCATGTCAGCTAGCTCATGGACAGATTGACAGTGGCTTTCATACTACTGAAGGATGGATCGATCGCAACCTATTATAGCTCTCAAGCGCAGCAGCATTGCTTGAAGAAATCATTGCTGACAGTAAGGGGGATGGAAAACCCGTTCAGTATTCAGGGCACGTCTCGGTCCAAGAGGCACGGAAGTTTGTTCTCTAAGTTGACTAGATTTATGGCGGCTGCACCTGACAAGCCCTGGCTCGGATTGTAGCGAGGAAAACGGGCCGCTGGGTCAAGTAAACGGTCGTCCGTCGAGTATGCGTTACTAATGCACGACATTTCGCCATGCGAATTGATGATCGCCATGATCAACAATTTGCAGACCAGGCACGTGCACAGTCAATCTTATATGCAACCAATCCAGTCCGCTCATGCAGGGTCGGGGTGCTTGGCGGAATGCAACGGTATTGAGCAGATCCATTGCTTGCAAGGGCTTACATTACGCTTTCGGCTGACATGCAGGACATGGTTGCTTGGGGCCTTGTTCTGCTCGCACGGGCGAGACCGCACCGGAAAACCCACAGACCAGCGAGCAGCATAAATGGAAACCCATCTGGCGCGGAAACCTCAATAAAGAACACAACTTGGTGGTGAACTAGCTCGCACCCCGAAACGCACCTGGGCAGAGTGACAGGTGCGCGGGGGAGCCTGTAAGGCTAAACTTAGGACGCCGAATCTCCAGCGGGCCGGGTCTAGCTTGCGCTAGAGACCTTGGCGACCCGTTATAATCAGTCAGGATGCACCGACTTGTTTCACTGCGCCGCGCTTATGCCTGCGACCGTCCGGGGACCCCTTGGCCCCAAAATCTGCGTTGATGATGATCGTCAAGTCAGCTCCTGCTGACTGCTCACTCAAGATGCCGACTTCTCTTCTTCACCTTCCCACCGGTCAACCCCATCCGCCACCATGCAGCTCGCCGGTGCTGCCCGTCTCTTCGCGATCCCCTTCCTTATAGCTGGTGCCGTGGGCAGCAGTAGCGGCGGCGGCGAGCCTGGGGCTGTCGTTGCCCTTCCGTTCGAGGTCCAGTACACTACAAATCATGCGTTGCACGCGCGTGATACTGCCGATGTCGAGCTGGAAAACTCGTACGTGCGCTACGGCCAGTTCCTGGTGAACATTTCGATTGGCAACCCACCACAGCCCATCACTGTCAAGATCGATACCGCGACAGCGGATTCATGGTTCTTCGGCAAGGGGTCCTGCAATGAAAGTCGTGTTGACTGCCTTGGGGGCGAGTTCGACCCGAGCGCATCTTCTAGTTTCACCAAACTCGGCTACCCCAACTTTCACATTGAATATGTGAGCCCCAAGGACACTGAGGTCGATGGCGTCTACTTTGCCGATGATTTGCGCATCGGCGACCGCCTGTCTCTCAAGAACGTCACCATGATCGAAGCTACCAAAACCCAGGCTCTCACCCGAGCTATTATGGGCATTGGCTTCAGCAACGATTCGACATTGGCCCAGGAAGGGCAGTGGTACCCTACCGTCATGGATGAGATGCTATCACAGGGCAAGATTGGTCGGCGAGCATACGGTCTTTATATGGGAAGCAAGGATGCCACTACAGGGACCATCTTGTTTGGCGGGTACGATAAAGCAAAGATTGAAGGCGACCTTGCAACCTTTCCGATCGTCTCCGGCAACAATGACTTCGTGGTAGACTTGTTATCAGTGGGAATGACGAACAGCTCTGGAACCTACTCGTTCGGTGATAGCGGTGGAAATCCATCAGCCGAATTTCCAACGACCGCACTTATTGACGCTGGGGCATCCTTCCTGAAACTCCCACCAGATGCATACGCTGCTTTCATCAGTGGACTGGGAGGTGCCGTTGACAGCTCAGGCTACGTGGACTGCAACTTTGGTAAATCGGGTTCCCTTAACTTTGTTTTCGGCAACAGCACTGTAAGCACGGAAATCCAGGTCCCACTATATGACCTGGCCGTGCCATACATGTACACAGACGGCACTTATAAGCTGGACTCCAATGGCAACAAGATGTGCATGTTGGGCGTGGAGGAGAGCTCAAAGAGCTCAAAGCATTCTATTGGCGATACCTTCTTGCGATCTGCTTACGTGGTGTTTGACATGGACGAACGCCAGGTGAGCATCGCGAAACTCAAACACGATGCGTCTGGATCTGAAATCGTGGAGCTTGGCGCCGACGGAAAGAGCACCAAAATCCCAACGTCAACAAGCTCTGCTTCACCCACAAGCACACCTACCGCCATGACCACGGCTGCAGCTCCTACAGCAACGACGGGCGGGGCATCTTCGACTGCACCGAACGGGGCTTCGCAGACTTCACCCAATGCTGCGCCTATATTAAGCCCTGTCACCAATGTATTAGGCGCCGTGTTTCTCATGGTGCTGTTTAGCATTTGATCTCAACATTCGACATGCCCTGGTCCAATGGCCTCTTAATTAACGATCTTGTTTAACAATCTTTTGTACATTTCCTCTTTTCTGCGCGTGGCAAGCCACGTTGAGTACGTAGCGATACATGACACCTAGTGCAGGTAATACATAATACTCGCAAGCGGCTCCACTTAGACTGTACAGCTATCTTCAGGCACGTGAAAGAAACAACCCCTCTACCGTCGCGAGTACAATCAAGCTTGTCGATCTAGGACCAGAGTATATTCAGACGTCTCAGACCCTGCTTCGGCTTGGCGGGAGGCTCCGGGTTGTCGTTGGCTATCTGAATGAAGGTGCGGATAGGGATTTCTCCCAAAGAGATCACCTTCGTCCGCCTCGTCAATTTATATCCGAAGTAGAGCGCAAGGATAATAGGTATGTTGATATATGACGAGACGAATGTCTGGGCGCTCCAGTGGCCGTTGATGAAAACGGTGTACCCAGAGGTCAGAAGCAGCAGGATGAACACAGACAGGGAAACCCAACTCAAGTAAGGTTGGAAAGGCGCGGCCCAAGGGAGTTCATGTCGATCGATGCTCTGCGCTTTGCAGCCGTACTGAAAACGTAGATACGTGATAAGAATGACAGACCAGTTGACCAGAGCCCCCACGGCGATCAGATTGATGAGCCATGAGAAGACAACGGAAGCAGAGTCAGACAGTGTGAGATAGCCCAGGGCCAAGAAGACTGAGAACAGCGTGACGGCAACGTAGGGGATGCTGTACCGATTCAGCCGCGCGAAAATCTTGGGGGCGCGGCCTTCTTTCGCCATGCCGTATAGCGCACGTGTGCCTACCAACATGCCCGCATTGGCTGAGGACCATGCAGAGGTAATGACTATGGCATTGATGATCGACGGGACGACCTTGATACCTGCATTATTCGCAGCAATGACGAAAGGTGAAGCCGACGTACTTGATGCACCGAGCAGGGATGGATCGTTCGAAGCCACGACGAGTGTCACCATGAAGATGGACACAACATAGAAGAGGATGATTCGCACGAATATGCGCTTTGCCGCTTGAGGAATCGCCCGTCTGGGATAGTCGATCTCGGACGCGGCCATGGTAATGTTCTCGATACCAGAGTACGAGTATACGGCGCTGCTGAAAGTTGACCAGAATCCCATAAACCGACCCAAAGCTCCGGGAACACCAAGGTATTGCACAAAAAGACCGGGCGTATGCCAGTATTTGAACCCAATTGCGCTGCCACTAGGGCCACCCCCACAAGTTACAACGAGCGCAAGGATGTTGATGAAGACTATGAGGAGGATCTTCAGCATTGAGAAGGTAAACTCGAGCTCGCCGTACACTCTCACGAAGAGGGAGCACGAGACAACGACTAAGAGAGAGAAAATTGTGATCCACTTGTGGTAGACTGTCAGTCGGGCTGGGCCATCAAAGCTGGCATGTTATCTTACAATGGCATTGTTGGTCGAGACCCAGAACTCGATCAAGGCCGCTGTAGCGACAATCTCGTTGGGGATGGAGACAAGGTAGAAATAGACGATATTCCACCCCACTGCGAACGAGAGGGCGGGATCCACGAACAGCTCGGCGTAGCGCACGATACCGCCACTCAACGGAGCAAGGGCGCCCATTTCTCCAACAGCGAGGGCAACGCTCGACGCGAGAACGCCAGTGATGGTGTATCCCAAGAAGGCTCCCAATGGGCCGCCTTTGGCCAGTGCGATTCCTGAGCCCAAGAAGAGCCCGGTCCCAATCGCCCCCGCAAGCGCTATCATCTGAATGTGTCGCTGCTGAAGCCCCTGCTTGAGCTCGCCGAGTTCCTCGAAGTGGTGGTGGGCATCTTGAACAATGCCGACGGCTCTGATCGAGCCCTCGGGCTGCTCCAAATGTCCCTTCTCTTCCACTGCCGGGTCGGCAGATGGCTTGGTGATTTTTTTCTCCATGTCGCTTTGGTGTAACAACAAAGCTTCGGCAAGATGGGAACATAGCTATGCAGAAGAAAGGAAAGACCATCGGGAGTAGGCAGCCCTATCTCATAGAGATCGTTCATGACTCGCTGACGAATGCTACCGTAGATAAACCCAGTAGATAAACCCCACAGTCAATAGATAAACCTCGAACGATACCACAGTTGCAATGTTGGGCCTATCTACAGGCGTTGCACACCCTTATCGGTTGTCTGCGGAGCTCCGAGACAGGGGGTACCTGCCGATACATTCCATTCTTGGGGAACATCCGGGCGGCAAATAATGCATTCAGACTGCAAGTCTATAGAATTGACAAACTACCGTAGTTATAGATGTCAGCTTGCAAGATAGAGTTTGCTAGGGCAAAACCGATACTGGTAACTCGTACCTCCAGCCCTATTATGATTTAGCGTCAAATGGGCGACTGGGCCGCCGGCCCGGCCCGTAGTCCGGCTGGAACCATGTTGAGGTGTTGAATGGATTGTCTAGAACTGATCCAATGGCTTCATGAATCTAGATCACATTGAAGCTTAGGCAGGCGCTGCTCAGGGCGAAAATAAATATTTACTAGAGCATTTCAGGATAAGCTGTTGAATCATCGGACCAAGCGCGCCTTCAATATCATCGCCCCCAAAATTGCACAAGGCGGCTGAGCTTGGCGCGAAGCTGCGGACCTTGTTCGGCTAGAGATCTTGTAATCAGTGTTGATAACTCCGCCACCTACGCAGCCACCCACGAATAGTATGATTACTCCAACAACGCCGTAACAAGTCAAAAATGGGCGAAACAGCTGAATGATATCGATTCCATGCCCAGAGAGGTGGCAATTAGCACATTGCGGTAAGAGAGCTGAAAGGAAATTGTGCCTACCCGTGGGGAAGAACTCTAGTTAGTACAAATTAGCTATTAACAAGGCCTGTTACATAATCTGCCACACACTCGCTGAATAAACGATGACGTATAGAAAAGTTGGAGCTGCATATCACCCAGTGGTGCACTGTGAAAATGACCCAGTCTTTGCCGTCATGGCGAAGCTCCACGAAGCCAAGTCATAGTTGAGTAGGCACAAACTATCTATGACAGGTCATATTGGGAGAAAGTCCAGCCGGGAGCGCTCGACGTCAAAGCCTCGGTTTCGCATTTTGGGAGGGCTTGTTTTCTTGTTGCCTAATTCCAGAATCCAGCGGTGCTTCACTCTCGTCTCTGACATCATCAATCTTTGAAGAGAGTCTCCCGTTCACGACTTCGCCCAGATCGCTCTGCTGCGGCCCGAAAGGATGGATCCATCAGGCAACACCAAAGTATAGGGACTCCTACGGCGTTGATAGGGGGGGAGATAATTTCGACGCTAGCTCGAATGAAAGGCAGCCATGAGGTCGACGTACACATTCGGGCCTACAATGACGGGGAACCCGCTTCCTGCCCTCAACGATGATTCGACCGAGGCCGAAAGATCCCAAACTAGTCATCAGCAACGACAGCAGTGAATACCCTGTACAGAAGTGAGGAATGGGTGCTGGCTGTAAATCTGGTTGCCTTTAGCCCAATAGTGTTGACACCTTCTACCCGTTCACGGCTATGAACTTGCCTAGAAATTGTGTAATTGGTCCACAAAGACACTGGTGACGACATCATCGAGTTTTACGTAGCACAGAGAGTAATTTCACAGTTTGTAGATCGCTGAAGCCTTGAAAATAACCTGTTTCTATCGAAGCCAGCAAGTAATTGTTCGATGACTCTGCGCGTCGAATTTGCCTACCAGAATGGTATCGATGCAACGTACACTTTCCAACCTAACAAATACACCAACGCATACACTAATTGCGGATGCGCGAATTTATCTACTTGGCTCCTCTGTTTAGCAGGGTATATAGACAAGCTGGAATACTTTCCATGGCCAGCCATTGGCCAACCAGTCCATCCTCAGCCTCTTCGTCAACAGAGTTCATATCGTGCGAGATACAGGCTTCTTAACGCCCGAGGAGTGCCAAAAGGTGCTGTAACTAATCAAGACCCATGAAGCTGTATGAAGGTTGCTCAGGTATAGGAAATATTGTTTGGGTTGCTCATAAGGTAGCTATCACTAGAGATAGCGTGGCCGCGCCTGGGATCAGCGGGCATAAAATTCTTTTGATTACATCAACGGTAAATGCCACTTGATATCAGAGTTGGTCGCTAGCCATATGCATCAGGAACAAATACTCGAGGTGCGACCCCGAAGGATCGTATACCTAGTGCATGGGGTCTTCCTTCAACTGGATATGGAGAAACATAACCTGGAACGGTCACACCGGGTCAAATAGTGACAAACTCCAACGACCAACTCCAGGCTGCGACGCGGTTCACTTCCAGCTCATTCATTGGGTATATTCCGGGCAAGGCTTCGGAACGGACACGCTGGTCGCCTGATCCTGACCCATAGTCACTCTGGGGCTCTGACTCTGAGTCAGCAAGCTACACGATACACCAGGGGTGTCGGGATTGGTTGCTGCCACATGATTGGTAGAGTGAAAACTTAACTAATTTAGTCAACAAGAGCATACGATTTGATAAACGTATTGAATCCAGGGGAACAAGGAGATGAAATGTGGGTAATTGGTTGTGTTGAATTGAAAACGCATGTGATGCTTGCGCATCCGAGGAGATGCACACCTCTTGGGGATGCCCCCTCTATGTCTATCTATCTAAAGTGTAAATGTGTGAAAATGAGTCTATGAACGACATGGACCAATCCAGCGGGCCCATGATCGATAAGGGAATGGTTTGAGTTCACCATCTTACAAGTTTTCAGAACCTTCCGCCCTTCCACCAGAATTGTAACGTCAGGCCCAGTCTGGTACCAAAACTCCATCCTAGATTGAATGTCCATACTCCTTCACCTTGCTTTTCGCCTTAAAGAAATCTCACTTCTTGCGAGACGATTCCTTGCTCTTGCTGCTGCTGCTTCCAGAGGACGAGTAGGAGGAATAAGACGAGCTGCCCCTCTTGGGCTCCTTGCCCTGGCTCGCCATCATGGAGCGCGACCCGAAGCCGATCACGGTCCTAGGAGTATTTCCACTGCCGTAAGAACGAGGCTGCTGCTGTTGAGACATGTTGATGGTGCGTTGTGAAATTGAAGATCGAGGCAGAGGTTTATACGGTGTAGTTGCGTGAAATCTTGTGAGAAATCGATGTTTTCAGGGCCAATCGACTTTGATACGGGCATACGAGCTCAATTGAATGGTTTATAAGAAGATCTCTGTCTGTCAAGATGAATTGATGATTATATATCCCAGAGCAGCGTTTTCCAACCTTCATGCCTCTCCTGTCTCTTATACCAGCCTTCACGTCCATCGCCGTCGGGCATATTGTCGAGTCCTAGGCAGTTGTATAATGTCCTAAGGCTGAATCGCAAGCCATAGCCAGGCCCAAGGAATTAGTGCTTGAAACTTTATCCCCTTTTGGATCGTGAGAAGAACGTGATGCTGACTCCTCGGTATCTGTTGAGCCTCAGCGAGCTGGGGGCGGTGCGGCTCCCGCTGGGGTGGAAGCCAATCAGGACGCACGAAGGACTGTGCCAATTATAGCTGGGGGTGAAGAAATAGGCACCTGAATTAAATCACACTGCGCACTGCTTTGGACATACGGCCGCCGCTGGACAATGCAGAGTAATCACTTTAATAACATTCAGGATCGCGCAAAGCCTTAGCAAGGCGCTCATTTGTCAATTGAGCGTGGTGGGTTTCCGATAAACGGTTACCTAGCGACTTTGTGGTATTATGATGATGACATATGAAAACGATATGCGCAGTCTAGCTAGCTTACGGCCAATCACCGCCGTGAAATAACAAATCTCGATCTACATGGAGAGATACATGGCCGACCTCCCCTTACGCGCCCCAGATAATTGATTTAGTCAAACACAAAAGAACTACGACTTGCGGTCGCAACGGGTATCATCTCCTAAAACGCAACTCCCGACACGTGTTTTTCGATGCGCCGCCCAATGCAGGTAAGAATGTTGACAGAACAATGGAAACAAACAAATTGAAACAAGTCCAGGGTGACAGCATGTGCCGTCATGCACACGTGGGATCCTCCCCGACGTGAAACGCCCAATAGTTTTGCAGCAAGTGAGCCGCATAAAAGCCCCGGCGAGGCGGAAGCCCAGTTAGACGGCATTGCGCCCCCCGCCCTAGCTTGCTTACTCACTCAGCTAGACCCTCTCTTAAGGCGTCGCGGTCCACTTGGTCTGGCATTACCTTCCCTTGGGATCGCTTCTGATGTGCCGCCATATACGCATGGAATCCAGGTATCGAGCCCGGTTGATTGATGCCTGGCGGCCTGCCGTAATCTTTCTGATATTGGCTCTCCCTCGCGGCCACGGGCGTGCTGGCTCCCGAGGCGGCGCCTCCTTTCCAGGGCCGCCAGCCAACCCAGGAGCTGAGCTTGAGCGACCCTGGCTGGGGGGATGCGGGCGCAGGGCCCGAGACGGAGCGTAAGCTTCCTATGGGCGATGAACCGTAGCTTTCGCGAAGCATTAGGCTGCTGCGTTTCGCCGAGTCACGCGACAGGACCGGACGGGCTGTGACGGTGCTGCTCGCCGTGATCGAGGTCGCGTTGCTCAAATGGCTCAGGGTTAGCTGACTAGGTCGGGACTTGAGAGTGTGAATACCCAGACCGCCGGTGAGCGATATTATCGACTCGTGCGACAGCGCCCTTCGAATCCGCCGCCGTGGCGCACCGTCATCGTCGGTGTCGACATAAATCTCCACCTCCTCGTGAACTGTGCCATGGTCTTTGGAGGATGTCTCGTCATCCGCGGCCGATCCATCTGTGGCGAGTCCTAGATCAGGGAGGTCCTCGACACCATCGCCTTCCTCGATGATAGTGTGGGTTTGGCTCGGTGTGGTCTGGTCCAGTGAGAATGCCGCGGGCAGCTGAAAGCTCCGTGCAGACATGTTTGAGGGATACTTGCGATGTGCACGCCACGCTGGAGACATGGGGTCTACGGAAGTAGTTGGCGAAGCCGGCCATGAGTCCACACCGATAGGATCGAAGACTGAGTTGCGCGGGTCAGACTGGGGAGAGCTCGGCACGGATGACGGCGCAAAATCAGAGGGCTGCTCGGACATGATCGACAAGCGATTGTTGGACATTAAAGAATCTCGAGGGGTGCGGTTTGTGGTGGGTGGTCGCCACGACGTGCTGGGAGGCGTAGAGGGCACAGACCGGAGTGCCGGCGGAGTGAATACGCCAGGACTGAGAACCTGGCGCTTCTTCTTGGGTTTCTTCGCATCCGTCTTCGCCGCCACGTGGTAATGGTGGTGTATGTGGAGTTCCTGAGAGACAACCGGTGTCTGCCTCTCTGGGGACTCTTTCGCGGCCAGCTCGGCTCTGAGTGTAGAGCCAGCGCTCACGTCGTCGTCGCCCACTGTAACAGGTTGGTGGTAGAGCAGTTGGTCCCGGAGCGCCTGGATCTCGTCGTTGGAGTTCATCAGCATCTCCCGAAGCTCTATAATCCCTTGCTGCAAGTTCGTATTATCCTGCAATAGGTCGCGCACGAAATGCGACACGACATTGCTTCCGTTCTTTCCATAGTTCAGCGTCTTCGCGGCAGCGGCACCCTTGAGGCGACCGGCGGCCGTATTCAACTCCTTCTCGACCTCGCGCTGTTTCTCCATGCGCCCTATCATTTCGGCATGTTTCTCGCGCTCCTCCCTGGCCTCTTTCTCCATCCGTTCCAGCTGCTCATGCAGGTCAATAATGCCTCTTTCTGCGCGCTGCCATCTCGACATGGACGATCGTGCCTCCTCATGTGTGGATGCGAGTGTGTTCTGTAGCTGCTCCTGCTCCTGCTCCAGGAAAGCCAGCTGCCGCTCCAACGATTCGGCTCTCGCGGTCTCCCCCTCCAGGCGCCGGATGATCTGTTGCGACGACAGCAAGGTGGCCTCAAGGGACTTGATGCGTCCTTCGGAGTCAGACACAGTGGTGTTGAGCGTCTCCAGCTGGTCGAGCAGGTTTCGGTTTTCCTCGATAGTTCGTGCATTCCTCTGTTCGAGCTCCTTGTTGTCCATCTCTAGCTGCTCGATCCTGCTCGTAAGCTCCAGGCGATCCCGTTCTGCATCGGCCATGTACGCCTCGTGCCTTGCCAGCAACGCCTGGAGTGCAAATGTCAGCGACTTGGAGACACCCATAGTCAAAGCAGGAGTTCACGTGTCTCAGCGGGTGTGGAATGTGCGTGGCTGCGGGCCAGGGGTTCCAACACAGCATGACAGGCTCGGAAACATTCCCAAGTCATTTCAAACCATGGAGTAATCCGGCTCAAGATAAGGCAGAGGCCAGGGGTGATGTGTGAGAAGTGTGTAAGTGGAGGACACTGGGAGGGGGGTCGAAAAAGCAAAGCCAACGAGCTGCAGGAACCGCAGACTGGCATCATCGCCGCCGTTCCCCCTGAGAGCTCGCATGTAGTAGCGGCACAGAGGGGCAGCATGCACCTGCGCCGGCTGTTCATGTGAGAAAGCCGCAGGTGAGACGGACGATATAGTGGTTGCACGGTGATTTTCATGTGTTGCGGTATGCCGTGAACGCGGGGGCTGAGGCAAGGGAAAAGGAGAGAAACTAAGTGGACATACCTTTCCCATTCGCGCTGCTGTGGTGACATCCTTCTCGACCGTGTCGAGCACCGAGCTGTTGTGTCGCAGAAAGACACACTCGGCGGAGCCACAGCAGCACTTCAAGGGCGCAAGCTCGTGGACCGGTGCCAGCGCCGACATGTCGAGGAAGGCATCTCCATCTCTGTCAATGTCGATATCGGTGCCTCCCTCGTGGTGGGAAGCCACCGGCGGCTCGGCCATGAGGTTGGCACGGTCGGCTGTGATCCTTTTCGCTTGTTGGTGTCGAGACTTTGCGCTAGGCGCATGATCGGTGTCGATAAGGCGCGACTACAGGCGCATAATAGAGTTGTGACTTTCGGGGAAAGCCTAACGTCGCCCGTTGCGAACAAGGTTCTGCTTCTGCTCTGTGGTTCCGTGTCTGTTTTCCTGGCGGGAGACGTCGGTGGAGCTCGGCGGTCGAGAGGGTAAGCAACAAGAGTGACGCGATGGATGGCAATGTTGCCCTCAGGCCGCAAACGTCTTGTCTTGCTTCGCGTGTCGTGTCTCGTCTCGTCTCGTCTCTCCTCTCGTGGCCGCCCGCCCGCTTAACGGTGACTAGTCGTCGGTGGGACCCCCCGTCCCTGTCGGGTATCTCCAGAGGTGGGGTTTCCAGGTTGCCTCTCTAGGGGACCATGGTCTGGTCTATCTCGTCTCGGGCGTTCTTCAGTGCTGCCAGGCCGGGAAACCAGGTCCTCACTCGTTGAAGGCCTGGAAGAAAGATGAGGGCGACGCGATCTTTGGAAGGGCAGGTAGCTAGAGGCGGGCTGGCTGTGACTTGTTTTTGTGCGTCGGTCAGCTGGACTGATGACCCGGCGCGCGCATCCCACGGCCCAAGCAAACTACCTGCTTGGCGCACCGACGCCGTTCGCGTCCACGGCCATCCTATTAATGAGTTTTCATGCAATTTTAGCGGGTGGAGAGGGGCATCTCCGATCGCTTCCAGGGGTGCTCCAGGTTGTTCCAGGTTGCCTGCCTCTCTTCTTTCACCTGTTGACCAGGTTCGCGAGCATCCCATGCCCTATGACGACAAGGGTGGCCCGTGATGGCCTTGTTGGCCCTCTGGACGGCCCAAGTCCCAGGCACCTTCAGCTCGTCGCAGCCTATCGTCACCCTACACCAGCCACCTTTCTCGGACAGCACTTGTCCTATTTCGCAGTGGAACGCCCAATTCACCATAGGCTAACTCATCCTGTCCCCTAAATCATTGCTGCCGATTCCTCTTGGTCTTGTCGTTTCTGCATCGATTCTTGATGTTTGCCTATAGGGTTTTTGACATTACCGTATAACTTATTGTGTGTTCCTGTCGTTCGCAGCACTGTCAAGGCCTACTGCCGCATCACTCTCAACGCTTAGCTCAATCGTGACGTAGTTCACACCTTGTGTATTCGGCCCACACCTAGAACGTCGGGGCGAAACACACATGTTGGCTGTTAGTGGCTCATGTCGCATCTTCCCCAGGTCGCGAGACCAGGCCTTGCACCCGATGGTTTGTTGCGGCCAACTAGTGTTCGTCTGATGGGTCAAAGGCCTGCCCGAATCTGCCAGGTGTCCCAGGTGGACACCCGTAGCCCGCAGTAGGCAGATACCCCGCCGTGGTGGGGCCAGTTTGCTCTGTACCCATCCTTTCGCTAACTTTGGGCAACGAAGATGGAGGCAGCCTTGCGCTATAAGATGAGCGAAGAACGACAGCCAAAGCGTGCCCCCTTTCATTCTCGCTGCTTTACTTGTAGGGCTAGCCATTAATTTCGGATAAGACATTCATCGTGGCTTGTCAGAGAAGACGACCGACTGTAATCCGAACAATTTAGATTTTATTGCCTAGCAGCCTCGTATGAAACACACTATGCTTGTTCTACCGGGGGCTTTACTTCACACGTCCGCGTCATAGGTCTATAGAAAGTGCTTGGTATGCCATGAGACTTGCTATTGGGAAAGAATCCTAAGAGTCCCAGTCTGCTTGCATGGCCGTGAATTTGAATTCGACCAGTCAGAAAGGTGCCTCACGTAATGGGCCCAAGAAAAGTTGCCCAGTAGTCACCCACTCAGGTTCTGTCCACATCCTTGTATCTGTACCGCCGCTTGCCCTGCGATATGACCGACACGGCTGTTTTCAGCACTTGACTCGGACAGGATGCTCCCTTCAACTAGGAAACAAATGCTCCCAAATATTATCGATGGGCGAGTCCGTAATGATGTTGGTCATGACTGCTTTCTTCTGTATCGTGTTGTGGGATATATCCGCTCTAGCTTGTTTCCCGTGTTCCTTTATGGCGATCACGTTTTTGCTTTTGGCTTCGTCGGTTGCTGTGTTATCAACTGTAATAGTGCAACAGAGTCAGCAGTCTGCGATGGAGAGGGTATAGCCTATCCGCAAGTCACTTACCTATCCTGAAATCCGCTTGCAACAAGTTTGATTTCGCGTGGCTGTTGGCCGTATCTATTCTCACTTTGCCTCCATCGGGGAAGTATCTGTCCATCGGCTCGTCGCCCAACAGCTCATTCCCAGTTGCATCCTGATATAGCCCGTGGACGTTGATCAGAACGATATGTACATCCTTGTCAAGGCCTCGGCTGTCGCGGATGCGGTCCAAGACGTTCTTCACTGAATCCGCTTTCGTGTAGCAAAACGTCTCCTCGGCCACGCCGGCGTTGCCTGGCCATTTTGTTAGCTAACCATCAATTCGCACGAGGCCTTTCATATGGGTAGCCCTTCCTCAGCCACCTTCTATGAGATACAGGGGAAGTTACTATTGACGATCTGGAGCTCTGGCATTGCGTCTGCGCTCAGGAGCACCTTTCCGTAGCATGCACCCAGGAATGTATCGCAAGACCCAGTGCAAGATGTAGCGTTGAGCAGGTTCAAGGTCAAGTCGTATATGAAGGCTGAGCCAACGGGCGTAGCATCGCCCAGAGACTCGAATCTTGCTGGTGAACTCTTCAAAGTCGCTGCGTTCAGTGTTTAAAAATGTGGGTGCCTGATAGTGTTGTAATATGAACTCTTGATTGGTGCGGATGATATCGGTCATAGGATGACCCTTCGGTACAATGTCACATATCATTCAGAAGCAGGCTGCGGTAAGTCGCTTTTCGAACCACACTAATCCAATGGAAGGACAGTGCTGAATATGGATCGCATAAGCTTACACCGACGCTGATATCAAGGCTGTTTCTGCAATGCATATGGCCAATCGAGTCTTGTCTCCCGTCATGCAATCCTGCCCAACGATACGGCTAGTTTTCGTGAGCCTTTGCAGAACATATTGCTTCACCCCTCAAGATTACACTAGTCGGTAAACTGGCTTGCCTTCCAACCCAACAACGCCATCCCCTTTGGCTGAGTTAGCGGACATGACGTGTTCTCGATACATGAATGTAAAGTCTGCAATTCCATGCAAAGTCTCATGTCCACGATTCAATTGTGCGACGTCGCCTATTCAAAGGTAAAAACTTTACTTTGGGTAGACCTCCGGCATGCCAGCCCATCGATGTGAAGCTACCAACAGATTTCAGGCACCCTAAGGTGTTGCTATTGGAGGAGGGGGGCGAGTGAGCCAGGATAAGTGGAACGGGGCACACATTTGGGAGTCGTAAATCGGGACGTTCTCTCAATGTGTGGAACAAAGCCGACTTATGTAGTGCTGGATGCTAGACGGAGTATACTATCGACATAGTTGATGACCACATCCGGAGTATACGGGTATTCATCGAGAACTCCTGTATTCGATTAGCTCCTCAAATACCCATGAATACATTAGACGTGAGGTCAAAGTCACTTCAGAGGGAAAGAGCAGTCATACCAGGTGACAAGGGCGATGCGGAGGAGTCCGAGCACTGCAACCATGTTCGACCCTATTTGCAGGCTACGTGTTTCGAGATAAATGGCGAGCCGGCCTTAACAGGACAACTTATCGGGTGGGGAAGGGGCGGCCTACATCATCTTGTGGTAGTCACAGGTGGGCGATTGGTTCGGCTGCAGCGCATTAAATGTACAGTGAATCACTGGCAAGCCTCGTGTTCACTTGAAGTAATATGTGATAGAGGACCTCCCATATCTCAGTCTTGCGAGAAATGCGGGGCTTGGGATCGTGTGAAGGCTCCTATTTTGTCTCGAAACAAATCTCCTGGAAGATAACTTCCAGGGGGGCAAGATAGGCAACACTGTGACAGGCCTCCACTTTTGGCCGCAGCCTTGCGAACCCTGAGCCATATTTAATACGTTTGTGGGCATGCTCTCCTGATTAGTGTATTTTCCGTCCACTCGGTATCCTGAGATATTGTTCCGCATTCTAGTCTATGAGTCTAACACCAGGGCCGCTATATGACCAACCGGAAGTCACGACGTAAATTCACTGTTGCAGCGTGTGTTCTACTTGTCGTATACAAAGGGAATCAGTATTTCCACCATCAACCTTCTTACTTTGTCCAAAAGATTGCACGTGCTTAAGAAAAAGAGACCGACACCTTAGGAAGCATGGACGTGCATTCGAGAGATCTTGAGCCTATCCACATGTACATCAACACACTGGCAAACGGCGAGCTTCACAGTCATTCCACACCCATCACCGAATTCCTCAAAACGGAAGTCAGTGTTCCCTCCTATGGCAACCTCCAAGTAACGTGGCTACATGTACCAGTCAATGACATGGGATGGGTTGAGGTGAGTGATAGGTCTGGCTATTTCCGGCACTGCTGGCCACTTGCTACCATATAGGCTGACTTTCTCGTGGTAGACACTGATGAAAAAATGGTATCCAAAGTCTGATGGACTAGATGAAAGGTTCTGGTCCTTTAAATTGCGTCCAGCTCCCTCACAGATCAAGACCAAGCCGTATCATTCGCAGCACATGGATCCTTCTTGTGCTTTGAACAGCGGTGATTTATCACCAACCCGTATTGTTCCCAGTGAAGATCAGTCCTTGGTTCAACAGGCCGCTGTGGAGTCGTCTCAAGGTCTGGTGGAGAGTATTAGAGAGCAACCGCTGCTTCATCTCTATGTGAGTCGCTATCACAAGAGGGAAGCAGCACGTAACATAACTAATGGAACTTTAATTAACCATTTCAGCTTCCATATATGGCCTGGCAGTACTATGGGGACTTTGAAAAGGGTTGCGCCTTGAGGTTGAGCGGTGCGTCTGAAACACTAGATCGGCAAAACACAGGGAGTGATGAGGACAGCAACGCAAGGAACGATGCACGAGTACATCCAAGAAGAAGCCTTGACCAGTTCTATTACTCTTCTCTAGCTGATACGTCGAAAAGAGACGCCGATCAGACAATTTCAAAATGGACTGGTTCTGACATTCCTGAGGATGGAAGAAACGAGGCGGCAGCCGACAGCCTGATGATCGTCGTGGACCAAATATGGTGCTGGGTCCTTGATAACCGTAAGTCATATATCACCCTTACGTGTCAATCCATGTATCTCCTACTAACACCACTTAACGCAGAGACAGTTTTGTCGTTCTTTCCCTCCCCAACCCAGGATGCAAAAGGTGCAAGCGTGAGGTTCATTGGGCTATATGAGAGTATATGCCAGCAATGCACTAGTTGTAAGACAGTGTGGGATCTATACTCCTGTCTCGTCAAAGAGGCTACCACATTTCTCTTCCATCAGGTGAACAGAAACTTTACAGACCTCCTTGAGGTTTACAGCTGGGTGGTCAACAAAAAGGTGATCGTCGTCGTTCATTGAGCCAATATTTTTGCTGTGTCTCATAAATGGGTACAGGTGGCAAGCCAGACAGAATACTTCCAGATGTTCCACGAATACAATTCAACTGGACAGTTGGAATCCGCCTTTCTCGACGGCAGTCAGGAGTTAAGGCTAGTACTAGACGTCGCGGACATTATTGATGAGCTGAAAATGATTCAACATATAGTTCACAAACAGAGAGAAGTGATTAAATCTCTCGTCGTTGCATTACGCACTCCTTCCGACGCAAAAGATGACTCCAATGAAACAATCGTCCATACGGTGTTGACGATCTCAGGAAACGAAGCCGGTGGAAGCGCCAAACAGACTAATTTGATAATATTCAACCCCCAAACTGGGCTCACTTTGTCTGAAACAATCCGTTTCCTCGCTCAAGGTATCTCTGGCAACGCGCGTAGTATACTGATACATGCTGATGAGGAACTCAACCTGTTGCTGATCGGCTTGGACACGGTGAAAAGAGACGCAAGTACAGCGCACAAAGAGGTAAGCAACATCCGAATCTCGATAGATTTAGAGAGTAATAATGTTATCCAGCTTCTCAACCTCCTTGATCTAAAACAAAAAGCGGCCGCCCTTGCAGAGGCTCGAGCGACATCCCAGCAAGGGCGGGTTATACTACTGTTCACCATTGTGACCATCGTCTTTGTAAGTCCGACCGTGACCGGCGCTAGAGATTGTTAGGCTGACAGGATGTTGCCATAGTTACCACTTTCTTTCTTCACTTCATACTTCGGACAGAATGTTTCCGACATAACTGGAGATGAGAACAATCCTACAACCTGGGACCTGTGGCGCTACGGCAGTAAGTCCCGTTTGACCATGGGTTACCTCACACCTCTGGTTTATATGACAAAAAATGTGTGTAAAAATGCTTATGTCAAGCAGCTCCAATCAGCATTGTGGTAATACTTTCGGCACTAGCGATTGCGTATTATATTGCTGGGCCCGATACGCACCGATGGAACCGCCAGGCGTACAGAAATCGCCGTGGATGTGTTTGAACCACTAGCTAAGAGAGCACTAACCGTGGTATATTCGACCTAGAAGCATACGCTAGAATCTCGATAGTATTTACTCAGTTTCATCTAAACTAAAATCAAATGGAAGGCCGAAGATCGCTTCGACTGTTTGGTTGCCATGTTAAAGCCTTCCGTGAATTGAGCGTCCGGGCTTGATTGTCCTGTTTAATGTGTTACAGGTGTAAATTTTAGCAGAGTTCCCGTTTCAACTTCTCTTCAACACTCCAGCTCAGCTGTTACTGTTACTCCAGGTACTCCAGTCTATCTTTGGCACTGTATTTCTCACTCAGATAGGTCGTTGTAAGGCATTCTGACACCTATCTAGACTAGGGTCTGCTGTTTTCCATCAGTCACCGTCCGTAAAAGCGTGCAATTCTCACGATTATATGACGATAGATCTGGATACTCATAGGAGTTTGGCTGGTATGTGAACTGCTCGCAATCAAGGAGAACTGTAGCACCTGCGGAGCGTTTTCGTCTCCGGCACAACGACATAATATATGACCCTTTCCGGAGCCTCTATGAGTACAACAGAATGTATAGGGCGGTCTACTACAGCCTGAGGACGTTGCGGTCATTACAGCCGTGGTGCTGTTTTTCCAATTCGCTACTGGCGCCATCTGGGTCTCAGCTGCCCAGGCTGTGCTAAGTAACCGACTCATCACCGCATTGAGTCAACTTGCACCGAACCTGGATCCCGCCCAAGTGATCACAGTCGGTGCCATGTAGATTCACGGTGTTTTCCACGGCACAGATCTCGACCACGTGCTTCACGCTTACAAGTTTGGGTTGAAAGACTCTTAGGCTTTGTCTGCCGCGCTGGGCGGTAATACCATCCCCACTGTTTTTCTAGGCGAATGGAGGAGCCTCAAGCCTGGTAAAGCCCAACGATGCGAATACCAATGGAGCCCCAAACACGAATCGGAAAGTGCTCGGATGAGAGGCACTATACGAACATGCCTGACCAAGTAAGATAAGAGGGGAAAGGAAAATTCTTAAAGTCGATCAATCGAATTTCAGAACTGCAGCACTTGGCACTTAATTTAAAGCTTACGCTCGTCTGTTGGCGGGACAAGGAGCGTGATGTTCCGCTGAACTAATCAAGCTGCCCAAGTTGAATCCACATTCGATCTGCACCCTCGGGAATCTCGCAAATCTTCGTATCATTCGGCTGGCCCCGCCCTACAATCTCTCAGCCATCCTCTGGTCTGTTGGGTTTACCTTACTTCGTACGTCTTAACTTGCCGTTCATCATTTACCTCTTTCGAAACCAGGCATGCAAGACTGGGTGAGAGGCGATGTTAATTAGTGGCATTTTGTTTCTCTGCAGACATAATAGATGGTCGTCTCCTCCCCACACTCGTCACTGCCTCCAATGCTACAAGGGTGTTTACTACGAAAAGGGGGGATATCCGCGTGGGGTAGCACGAATCGCTTGGCTCTGTTATGTAAACCGTTGTTTTCTGGAATACCACGTACGCACGGTGGACTTCGCTCGCCTTGGAAATATACTCGTATTCGCGCAGCTATCCGAGTTTGCTCCAATGCACCGATAGCCAGACTATAAGACCAACGTAGTACCACGCGCATGAGCTGTCCTTCATTGCTTAACGTCAGGGACTCATTAATGCCAAGGACTGGCTACTCACCAGCAGGCTCCGACCTTTTCATTCTTTCGCTCATTTGTTCAAAATGAAGTCTGTTGCTTTCGCCGTCGGCTTACTCGCCATGGGCGGCACGGCATTTGCCGCACCCGCCAGCGCTCTCGACTACCCAACCAACTCTACCAGGCCTGGTCTGAACAGCTTGATGAAGTTGAATGATGGGCGTTATTTTGGGACGGCTGCGAGCGCGGTCCATTTCAATGACAGCAAGTGGTTGAGTGTTCTTCAGGACAGTGATATGTTTGGATCCATGACGCCAGAGAATTCGCAGAAGGTACGTGACCAGAGCAGCGCATCAATATACTTAGCAACGCGGTTAACGTTGCTACTCGAGTGTTAGTGGGAAGCCACTGAGCCCGAACGTGGTCTCTTCGATTTCGCCGCTGCAGATCTAAATGTGCAGAAGGCGCAAGAGGCGGGTCAAATGGTCCGCTGTCATACCCTTATCTGGTACAACGGCCTGCCAGATTGGATAACATCGCAAACGTGGACCAACGAAACACTCATCGCAGTTATGGAGAACCACATTAAAGAAGTCGTGACCCACTTCAAAGGCCAATGCTACTCCTGGGACGTCGTAAACGAAGCTGTGAACGACGACGGATCCTACCGCGAAACCATCTGGTACAATACGATTGGGCCCGAGTACATCGCCATGGCCTATAACATGGTCGCCAAGTACGATCCCGATGCCAAGCTGTACTACAACGATTACGGCATCGAGTTTATCAACAACAAGACCCTGGGTGCCATCGCACTGGTCAAGGATCTCAAGGAGAAAGGCGTCAAGGTGGATGGTGTCGGCATCCAGGGACACTACCCCGTGGTCCTGGCGCCAAGCTACGAGGATCAAGTCGAGGTGTTGCAGAGGTTTGCGGACCTCGGCGTCGAAGTGGCCACGACTGAGCTCGACGTCTTCGTCGAGATTCCCGAGAAGGTCGAACAGGTGGCGATGCAGACGGCAATCTACGCGGACTCTGTGCGTGCGTGCGTGGATGTGCCTGCGTGTATCGGCGTCACGGTCTGGGGCTTCTACGATCCCTACTCCTGGGTTCCGGGCACAGTTCCGGGTTACGGCAACGCTGATTTGTTTTGGGCAAACTGGACAGCCAAGCCAGCCTATGATGCCATCGTCAATGCTCTTCTCCCCAAGGAGTAGGGCCGCTGGTTGTTCTGTAGCGCCTTCTTACAATGATTTATAGAGGCAGATGACGTGAATCCAGCCCCTACCATCTTGCAGCATGGGTATCTGCTTCCGTCAATCTGATGGCCCTGGCGAATCCATTTATTGCTGCCTGCCGGAATGCAGATCCAGCTTGCGGTAAAGGGTTGTCCGTCTCGTGTTCCGGGGATCTACACATCGTATTTCTCGGATTCCTGAGTCGTACTGTTCGTGATCTCAATATTCGCACTCTTCTCTAGATTCCCTGGACGTGGCACTGTAGAAGCCAACGCCCTTTATGGGAACTGTCATGTCATCTCCACACCAGCATCCCATCTGCAGTCCGAGTTCTGAAGGCGATGATCTAGTGATGAATATGCACACCAGGCTCATGTGCCTCCAATAATTCTGAGACAACACTGCAACTCGGTAGCCTCGAGACGTGCCCTCAAAGCATCAGTGGCGACGCGCACCGCGAGGTTATGTTATAGAGGGGTTTAGATATGTCCATCGCGAATGTACTAATAGGGATATCTTGTGATACGATTAGAACACCGGGACCTTGGATGCCGGTAGCGCTTTTTTCCCGATTCGTTCGCGAATGAAATGAGAGTGTGGGCGAACTTTTCTGCCATGGGACAGACAGGTACCTGTCTTACCCGCACCCCGGAGTGTTATCAAGCCGTCTTCCTTAAGTTACTGTTGTAAGCAATGTTATCGTCGAATGATACCTGGACTCTCCTAGTCCCAGTCCAAAATTGGTCCAGATAGTTGCTCAGTGGTTGCTTCGCCGCGCCATAAAAGTCAAAATGTTTGAGCAAAGTTCTGCATGCTTTATTAAGACTGATGTATCATACGCAGTTCTCTCGCAGTTCTCTCGCCGTTCTCTCGCAGTTACACAACGGCTATCAACTGAGCGCAATACAATTCCGACCGCTCCGCGTTACTCGGGGGGTCCAATAGACATAATATCCAAGCCGCCCTTGATCTCGCTCTTGGACGGCATCTTGTCGCGTCTCATCAGCTCGGCCGCCTGCACCATCACGGGATCACGGCCCATGCTGGCCAGTGCGACAACAATGTCGCCCTTGGTGTAGTACGCCACAAAGTTGCTCTCCTCCGGCTTACCGTCAACAATCAAATCATCGTAGCCGTTCAATGTGTTGCCACAGTAGCGCAGTTGGGCGCCCAGGGCTGACCAGAAGATGGGTGTGAATCTCTCGGGCTTGAGCGACGGGTTGACGACATGTCGCGCAACCACGCGTCCTGACTGCTGGGCCACATTCCAGTGCTCGATGCGAACGTACTTGCCCTCGCCTCCCGGGCCGTGGTAGGGGAACGAGGCAATGTCACCAATGGCGTAGACATCCTTCAGTCCCACGACGGACATGTTCTCGTCTGTCTTCAGGGATCCGTCGTCTTCCAGGCGGACCACGCTGTTCTGTCTCAGATACTCGGTAGAAGGTGACACACCGACACCGAGGATGACCAAGTCGGCTTCGAGCTTGGTTCCATCCTTGAGCAGGACAGAGCCGACTTTCGAGGGGTCGGAGCCCGAGGGCTCGGCCTTGTCCACGCCCGCGCTCATGTGGAACTTGACACCCTTGCCCTCCAAAGACTTCTGCAGACCAGCACCGACCTCCTTGCCGAGGACTCGTTCCAGTGGCACACTCTCCATGCCGATGACCGTGACGGAGTTATCGCTAGAGGTGGCGTTTGCAACCTCCATTCCGATGAAACTGCTTCCGACAATGACGATCTTCTTGCCCTTGTCGCCGATGGCCTCGTTGATGGCCTTGGTGTCCTTCACGGTCCGCAGAGGGAATATGTTGCCCAGCACCTTGAAGCCTTGCAGGGGTAGGTTCTTGGGCGTGCCACCAGTGGCCAAAACCAGCTTGTTGTAGCTGAACTTGCCCGCGCCCTTGGTCGTGACCGACTTGGCGGAGAAATCCACGTCGGTGACCTCGTCCTGAACCACCTCAACCGAGGCGCCCTTGTACCACTCCTCGTCTCTCCACTCCAATTTTGAGGCGTCCGAAATCAGAGCTTTGGACAGCTTCGTGCGGTCGAGGGGCAGGTTGCCTTCGTTGCTGATCATGGTGACGCGGCCGCCGTAACCGCTTTCTCTCAGGGTCTGGATGAGTCCGATGGCACCGCTGCCCCCACCGACGACGAGGACGCGGTCGCTCGTGGCCTCGACACCGGCAGTTTTGACGTTGGGTTTGCGGCGGCCCGCCTTGATTGTTGCCTCCTCGCCCTGGATGAAAATCGCACCATCCCTCTCAACTACCTTGAAGACTGGCAGAGAGTCCAGCGCGGGTGCGTCCTCGACATCGCCCGTCTTCGCGCTGAAGCACGCTGTTGTCGGCGAGAGAGGTCAGGACATGGTGCGCAGTGGATATGGCCAGCCTCGGGAGGGCGGGATGAAACAACTCACCTCCGTGCCATGGACAGGTGATGCGACCAGACTTGGTCAAGACGCCCTTGACGAGAGGGGCGCCGTAGTGTGTGCACTTGGGGCCGATGGCCTGGATCTTGCCGGCGGCGTTGACAAGTAGGACCTTGGCGTCGTCAATGCCCTCGACCTCGACCTCCTGCTTCTCGCCGGGCTTCAGCGACAGCGACGTCACGTTCTTGAGCTTGTACTCGGACATGGCTCGGACGTGGGCGATGGATGGGGCTCGTGGCAGGACAGCGGACTTGGACAAGAATGGGAGGATCCTGGGCCGGAACAGAGCTCTTGCTGGATTCAGATTCATGAAGAGTGGGAGGGAGGCAAGAGGAGGGGAGATGCGAATGGTGGTGGTCTTGGACGGGTGAAACGACTACGGCACGCCTACGTGCAGCACTTCCCCTCAATCCGTCACGCAATGGGCGAATGGCTGGCTGTCTCACTCTCACGGGGGAGGGGCCTGGGGCCTGGTCTACTCTGCCACAGCGGTTCTGCCAGCCCGAGACTCGTTTGCCGTTTGCAGTCGAGTGATAAGCAACCTTGGAAGCCGGGAAGCCCACGCTTGGCCAGCACAGCACAGCACAGCACAGCACAGCACATCATCCCGGGCAGCCCGGGATGGGTTGCCCGGCGGGCCCTACTATGTAGATGGTGGGGACCCTCTCTGGGGACGGAAACAGCCCCGTGGGCGTGGTCCCTATGGCGGTCGATAGGTATGGAATGGGTGCTTTGAGTGCTGATGAGCAGTTCGTGTCGTAATCCATTAATCAGCTCGTAATCCAAAGCTTCCCAGTGGTCGCTTTCGCTCGGCGGGGGAGCTCCATTCTCTGACATCATCCAATGCCACGGGCGCTGCTGCACCCCTGCCAAAATGCCCCCCAAAAAAAAAACAGCGCCCACTGGGGTCTAGCGCAGGTTGGCAGGTTGAGTCTAACTCACCCCACTACCCGTCAAGGGACGCACTGGCCATAGCTAAAGTGGCAGCCCGCCAGCGAGGGGTCAGCGTGTGCCCGGTGAGACATGGCCCAGCCGTTCATTGGTCTCCCTGTTCTTCTTCCATCGAAAGCTCATGCGGATGGAAGACGCTTGGAACACGGGTGAGGTGCTATACGATTTGTATTACTTCCATTACGACGGATTACGCTTGCTATAACTGACGAGTTATCCGGGGTGAGCGCGGTAGGAACACCGCTTGAACCCCACTATATGCCTTCTTCAAACACTCAAGTTAGCGTGCTTGGTCCCTGTTGACCAATCAGCCGAACGGGTTTAACACCTGCACAGGAGGATTTCTCCACACGGGCTGGCATGCGAGCCTTGAAAGGTATACATGCTCTGGATCTGTGATTTCGTCCAAACCTCTGGCTATAAGCCAACTTTGAAAACGACCTCCAGATGTACGGTTGATAGGCGAAGCCAACGGGAATGCCTTACTTCATACACACGCAGCATGTATCCCACGATGGGCACCAGCTATGCTACTTCAATGATCCCACCAAGGGGGGAAAAGCTGCAGTATACATTGGGTTGGGTTGTATTGAAAGACTGTGGGAGTATACAATGACTGTCTAAAAGCTGTCATCTCCCGAGCAGTACAGAAGCCGAGTTTGGAGACCGGTTCTATCTGCCTCGAGCCCAATGCTTAACCTATAGAGACGCTGCTCTTAGGTCGAGGACACAGCTTTGCCCTGCATGGTTTGCGTGAAAGCTTGCAGTGCTAGCTTTGGCGCTACGGTCTGTCAGCGATACCCTGTCACCAGCCTGCCAGGTGGGGAATAACCTACAATAGTATGGGACTTCGTGGCCGGCCTTGTATACCCGAATGAAGCTGAGGTTATCGACGGACTTGAATTGTCCCAACTCGCCACCATCTACCGTATACGGTGCCAAAGCCTTCGCCTTGAAAGATGTAGATCCGTCGTAGGTCACAGCGTTTGCGACATTCAGGTTCCCAATCCAGTTGCAAATGAAGTCGGCATCGCCAGCCCAGAGAAGCACCCGAACGCCGGACTGAACCACCTTGGACAGGGTGCTCACGAACGAGCGAGGATCTGCGAAACAGTGAGCGAATATCACGCCGGATAGTTGCGGCAAGGGCAACTCACAATCCCCGGTAGTGAAGAACTTTTGGTTGACCGAATTGGGGCATTCTTGGTACGTGCTCGATGCTCCGATAGCCTTCTTGACATCGGCCCGTGCAAGATATGTAGTATATGTCTCAGGCGGGTTCGGGTCGTTGCTTCCAGACCGCACATCGTACGGGTCAAAGTCTGCGCTCGAGTAGATGACTTCATCAATGTCGCTGTCGCACGTGTCGAATGCCTGCTCACAAGCAGAATCAGTACCGGTGAGTCCGGTGCATTTCTGCAGCAGAGGTAGGCATTTCGACGTGTATGCACTGTTCAGCGACTTATACTGAGAGGCAGTGATGAGCGATCGATATGAGTTGTTGTAGGCAAAGTCAATGTCGGCCTTGTACTGGATTGTCTCATCCATCAGGCCATTGTTGATACCTAAGGCGACGAGGTTAATCTTCTCTCCCTGGACAGTGCCCTTAGCAATTGCCGTGTTCTGTGTTTCGATATAGTCGGCAAACTCTGGGCCATAGTGCCCGCCGTAACTTTCGGTGAAGATACCAAAGTCCCGGCTTTCATATTGCGGGAACTGGGCAAGGAACGCCTGTAAGAACTTCCAGACGAATGGTGCTGATTGAGAGTCAGTCTTGAACATATCGAGGAACACCCTACTCAGGTACCCACCAGCAGTCACGGTCGACGTCACGGTGTCAGTCCCATATGAGAAGCCAGTGCCAATAGGCTGGTCAACATAAATCATGTTGGCGTACTCGTTGAAGCTGTACGGATTCAATGATGGGGTAGAAACGCCATTGTAGAACTGACACGGTCCGTTCTACTCAATCCCATATTTTAGTATTCGAACTGCAAGATTCATGATTGCTAGACTGAATAATGCCAGGAAAAGCAGTGTTGCTGGTAACTTATGACTAACCTCTTGGAACAAACCAATCATGGAACTGCAGCCGGGGCCACCGTTGAACCAAGTGGCCAGTGGCGCGGTGGTCGGGTTGTTTCGGGCCTCAAAGAACCTTGTTGAATCTGTTAATCCACACCCTTTGACTGCAGGACACATGACGCCCAATAACCTACCAGAACCACATGTTCATATTAGTACCAACGCTGAGATAGCCAGAATACTGATTGACGCCAGGAGTGGTCTCGCAGATCCCAGAGTTATTCACAAAAGACATCTTGGTGCCTGTGGCTACATGCTCAAACACATTGTAAGTGATATCATCGCGAACCTCGACATATCGCTTGTCAAACTTCGGGGGCGGTGAGGGAGCTGCCAGCGCAAGGCTCGCAGACGCAGCCAGGAGCCATTTCGTGACGGAGCTGAGAATAACCATGACTGCTTAGAAGACTTCTGGGTTCCGAGTCGAGAAACTAAGCGACGCAGCAGAGAATGAGGATCGCTCGGCACATCGACTGCCAAGAGCACTCAAGCTTTTATGGAGGGCGGGATGGTACATGGAAGTCAAACAAGCTTTTCAGTGTGGCTACCAAGGTACCTTAGATTAGGTAAGGGTCGTGAAATGAGCGGCGAATCGCATCGAGACAACGACCGGGTGCTCCAGATTATCGTGATTGTCGCCAGTGGTGCAACTGTCGGATCCGGAAGGTGGATCTGAAATTCATATCTGTTGTCCCTAGAGACTAGTGCTAGCGCTTGCGCTGCCAGCTCCAGCTGCCCGATTCGGGTGTCGCGGCCCCGTGTAATGGAAACACACAATACTGCCTTCCCCATGATGGAAACTTGTCTCACGGAGGTGCTTGCCGTCCAGAGTTACTTCATGTCGGCTTGTTCTTCTGGCCTCGGTTGCATGATCTTGAATCAGTCGGTAAGCGATTTTGTTGAGCATTCTCAGCCCTCCAGCTGCGCTTCTTGCAAACAGCTATGAATCCATTCATTGTGGCGCTGCATATAGCCGTGGTACGGTAGCATAACTGTTTCGAGCAAAGTTCTATGGAGGAGGATGCAAGCCGATGTATAGCCAATTTGATTGGGATGGCCACTGTGAGTGACGCCGTTCATCTATGTTCCCATCACGCACTTGAGACGCAGAGCGCTGACAATGATGCGACTCTCAGTTGTTTCAATACAAACGAGCTTCGAAATCTGATGGTATAATAGGCAGGGCGGAAAAGCTGATGTTGTGGTTTGCAAGAGGCCGGCAGCAAACGTCGCAACCAAGCCCCGACTCTCGTACAACGTACCGCTTCTGGTACTTCTACAAAGACTGGCGCCCGCAAGCTTAGAAGCATTCACAGTAGGTCTCAACCCATCGTGCCAATGCTGCGAGCCTAGTTCCAGGCACGTTCTTCAGTCGGTGGAAGACTAGGCGATATACACCAGGAACAGATGCACATAAAAGCTTGAGCCACAGGTCAGAATGAAAGCTTCTGAGTACGAGAGAGAAGCCTTCATAGAAGAGAATAGAAGACACTGAAAGTCATTACCGTTTGGAACTGCGCTTGTCCCCAACCCAAAGCCTCAATTATACCATGTCAACTTGCAACAGTTTTCACCACGAGCCGATCAAGTAAAAGTAACTGATTCTAAGATGAATCCGATGTAGAATAATCAGACAATTGGCGAATAATTAACTAATCCCTTGATTCGGAGGTACGTACCGTCGGATTATGGCTGATGTATCCTCTAAAGTAGTGCCTGTATGAATTCTGGCGTACTGTACCTGACGCTCCTTTTCTCCTCTAACAGGATCCCCCACGGACATCCACGGAGATATTGCGGAGCCCTTACTGGGTAAGGCAGCGGCTCAACGCGAGACTGGCTTTGCATGTCCACTCCGCTTCATTTTCCAACAGGAATGCTTACAAATGCGAAGTCATTCGTAAGCGGACGGTCCAAGGGTCGCTTTTGCCGCGGCCATGGCTCAATAAAGGACAATCCAATCCTTAGAGAAGCCTGCATCCCACCGGTGAAGCATCTTGCGAGGGACAGCATCTACTACCTTTTGACCAGCCTTGTCAGCAACCAGGTCACGGAAGCTTGGCCGGAAAGACGTACTTCATTACCGGCGCTAATCGTGGTAAATCCACACGCGGCTTAGGGGCTTCCTAATATCCGTATCTGACGATAGTGACGCCACGGACAGGTATTAGACGCAGGGTGTTTGACCATTATTCTGCGCGGCCGAACAACACCATCACAGCCGCTGTGGGTGAACCCCCGAGGCCGCACAAGTCTTTCTGAGCGGCCCCAAAGGCGCGGGCACCAAGGTGATCCTTGTCCAGATCAATTCCGCCTCCCGGATTGATCCCTTTGATGCTATTCGAGAGATCCAGGACAAAACGGTCGACCATATTGACGTTGTCATATCCAGTGCCGGCATCGCCAAGCTAAATACCGTCGAAGACTTACCACTAGAAGAGCTGGAGGAGGTATTGGCCATGAACGCATTCTCTGTATTGCTATTGTACAAGGCCACACTGCTCGCTTCGCCTTCGTGAGCGCCGCGGCTGGTAGCTTGACTGATATGCCCAAATACCCTCACCCCAATGCTAGTTACTCAGGTTCAAAGGCACTTGCGAATGTCTTGGTTGTCAAGATGGGTATGGAGAACGACTGGCTTATTACGCTTTGCATTCATCCCGGGTAAGTCTTTGTGTCCCTGTCAGATTTGACATTGCTATATCATGGAGCTAAGGAGGAGAAGGGGGAAAGAAAGGCAATACTAATCATTGGCGGATTCAGGAGAGTGCAAACTGACATGGGCAACATGGCCGCCCGAGCGTTTGGTTTCGAGAAAGCCCCTGTTACCCTTGAACAGTCTTCCAAAAACACGGCGTATATCATGAGCAGACGTCTGAAGTTGAATATTTTGGATGCTAGTGGCTAGCAGCTGAAAGATTGACAATGCGACTAAGAAAGATCACTCGGAAAAGTTCTACAATGAGACAATTGACAGGCCACACCCTTGGTAGCCCAAACTCTGGCCCGGTTACTCGAGTGCCACAGAGATGACTCTCAACGTCTGTGATAACACCCAACACATAGAAAGCCAAAAGGGTTCCATTTGGTGGTCATCGGCTACGTAATTATTTTCCAGGCCGCTCAGTGTGAAGACGTCATCGCCTTCTCTACTTATTCTGGCACGGTCTCTTTTAGTCCCGTCATTGTTGCCCGTCAGTATTTGACCTTAGCCTAATAACCCTAAACACAGATGGACAATCTGTTGCAAAGTGGTAACATTGATACCTAGTCAGAAGATGAACTTTCCTCGATACCGTTGGACTTTGGTGCAAAGAGCTTGGGTCATTCACTTGGCCTTTTTTTGCGATCGATTCGATTTGTGTCCGGGCGACGCTGTAGTACCAAAAGATGTATTGCGACCACATTCTCTGAAGTTGCACTTTTACGTGGGCCTATGATGGAAGATGGGTACTTGGTTGGACCTGTGATCTGATGCGTGCATGTCAGCTTGTCAATGCAACTCAGAATTTCCTCTTTGGTGATGTGATCGCCCCAGGACATTGTCATTGGACCAGCTGGAGGCAGGGTTGTTATGTCGCACGAACCACCCCTTTCGGTCTTACCCCTCCGCCAATTCTGACGACCATGAATCGTTTCTGAGAGCTCCTCAACTTGATGTGCTTTGAATAGAACTTTCAATCAATACAACAAGTCGAGATGTCTGCCGAGGACTTCATAATGACAGCATGGCGAGAACAGTTAGGGAAGCCCTTGATGGTACTGAAGCAGCTTAGAGACTCTTCGCCCGTCAATGACCTGAATCCCGGGGTCCAAGTAGTTCTGCTGGCCACAGCAGTGCTATTCTTCATCTCTTTGCGTCGCCGCTACTTCTCTCCGATCAGTCACATACCTGGGCCTTTCTTAGCTTCTATCACGCGATTCTGGCATTTGCGTCAGATCTGGAGTGGACGACAGAATCTGAAGTTGTTGGAGCAACATGAGAAATACGGTGGGGCTGCCATTTCCAACCAAATTGGATGTCGATGGGTTGGGAGGCTAATCTTAGATGCACCTCAGGATGTTTCGTCCGCATGGCCCCAAATGAAGTTAGCATCACACATCCAAGTGGAGTCAAAGCGCTGCTGCTGGCAACACTTCCTAAGGTAAGTGTTCAGGAGCGTAAAGGGTAAGACTGGGTGACAAGCTCATATGAAGAATACTAGGGCGACTGGTACCGTATCGTCTGTTTTCCTGATTACCGTTTCTCGACTCCTTTCTCGATGGTTGACCCGAAAGAGAAGAACGAATGTTCCAAATATCTTTCCACCGGCTATCTGCAGCACAACGTTATCAAATCAGAGCCTGCTTTGGACAAAAGCATGTCTAAATTGTTTAGGTGGATGGATAAATATGCTAATGAGCAGAAACCAATGGACCTAGACAAGTTCTTCACCTATGTGGCTTTTGATATTACCGGCGAGGTTGTGTTCTCGAAACCGTTTGGTAAGTCACAATTGCGTAAAATAAAGTTTTCAATCAGAGGCCTTACCATATCGTACAGGGTTCATCGAAAAGGGTGAGGACGTTCGAGGATCGATCGCGATGAATTTGGGGATGGAGATCTACATCGCCTTCGCAGGTTATTTCCAGTGGGTACATCGACTATTTGCGAACCCTGTCACAACCTGGCTTGCCATCTTGCCCATGGGACACCTGTTCGACACCACGATGACAGCCTTGAACGAACGACAGAAGGATCCTGAAGCAAGCAATGACCTTGCGGCTCACTGGTTCAAGGGGCTGGAGAAAGCCAAGAAAGATCAGTCCAAACTCTTCGACCTGCGGTGCCTGCAGGCTTTTGCAACGGCCAATGTGGGAGCAGGCTCGGATACCGTATCAGCAGGCCTTCAAAGCTTCGTGTGAGTGTTTGGCCGCCCTGAGAGTGCTTTCCGAGAAGTGAAGCATAACCACCAGCAGTACTGATTGGGTCAAGTTACCATCTTCTGCGACACCCTGATGGTTGGAACAGGATCAAGACAGAGATTGAGGCCGCTCGAAACCAAGGCCGCTGTGAAGGAGAAGTGATCGCATACAACGATTCTGCCCAATTGCCCTACCTGCAAGCTGCGATCAAGGAGGGTCTCCGCATGTTTGCACCCGTTTCAAGTATGCCTACTGACCCAGACGCTCGATTTCAGCACTGATGGTTTCTGTAGTGGGCTTGCCACGAGTGGCGCCGAAAGGTGGCCTCAAGATTGGAGAGATGTTCTTTCCTCAAGGGGTGACTCTCACTGTAAGTCCGGCTGTTACACATTTGTCGAAGAATCTTTGGGGGGCGGACGCGCAAGTGTTTCGTCCCGAACGGTGGCTCGAGCCTGATACGAGTACGAAGGAGAAGTATTTCATTCCAGTGAGTTGCGCACTTTTCATTCGTCATGTAGTCCATTCCCAGTATTAACATTAGATTAGTGGGGCGCCGGATATGCCTCGTGCCCTGGGCAGCACGTTGCCAAAATGCAACTTTCCAAGATCGCAGCCACGATTGTCCGAGACTACACGATGAAGCAGGTTAACCCACAACAGGAATGGAAATGGGCCGCCTATTTTACGGCCGTACCGCATGATTGGCCTGTGTATATCACTAAGCGATAACGCTCTTCAACGTTAAGAGACTGCGTTTTGAGTCATTAAATTGGCAGTTCTAGTGTGGCCGGGGCAATGCAGTTTGTTAATGCGATGCATGTCAGTGTAAGCTGAAAACCATTATACTTTGCATGATGTAAGAAAAGCCAAATCACTCTAGTGTAGTGGCGGGTCATGGTCAAGATAAGACTAAAAGTTAATGGCAGACTATCATAATTCGTGGCTTGATACAGTTTTTCACTTTGTCAATGACAATTAATCACTTTATCAATCATGTCGGCGTCTTTCAAGAGTTGCGCATCGGCTAGCCTAGGCCCAACAATCTGTAAGGCGATAGGAGCACCCTTGAATAGCTCCGGGTCATCTGATTCATGGTCAGTCGTGTTTGAAAACCAAAGCGCTTGAAAACTAACACGTGGCTTGATTCTCTGCGTCCGCGTCGTGCATGGCTCTGAACTCTCCATCGAGCGGATCCTTCGATGGATCGACGTGAGAGGTCGGTATAATGACGGCAGGGTACTGCGTGGCGACGTGAGTAAACTAGTGATAGAAACGATGAAGGTGGCTTCCTCTTACATCAACCGCATTCCAAGCTACGGTATAGATGTCACTCGTCCAATCGCCTGGCCTCACAGCTGTATGCGGACCGGCAGGCGCAAGGACTACATCACAGCCAACGCGCTGCCACTCATCTAGCATTTGTTTCTGGATGGCCAGCTTCTTAGTGTTCCAAGCCCAAGCTTCCTCTTGTGTCTTTCTAGGGATGTCCCAAAAGCCAATCTGTTGGACGGAATTTACCACGGGTTCTCCCGTTTTCTGGAGCTCCTGCTTTGGGTACGAGAGGCCGTCGAGGGTAAACAGTTGCTCGGTAATTTCACGTATGTCCAGAAAGTTGGGCGCGGTGAATTCCCGAACGTCAAAGCCCGCACTCTTGAGTTTCTCGACGGCTTCTTGCAAGCCTCGACGAATCGGTGGATGTGGCGTTAGTCCAGACTGGTATAGAACACCAACCACAGGCTTCCGCGAGGATACCTCAATCTCCATGATGTTTGCAATGACCGAAGGGTCAAAGCGCCATGGGTGCGACTCTCTCACTATCCGAGTGAAGAGAGCTAAATCGCGCACTGAATGACCCAGCGGACCAGTTACTGCTGGGATGCCAGTATTGCTGCCTGTCCACCCAGAATAGGAATACCCGATCATCGGGATTATACCAAAGCTCGGCTTGTACCCATATACACCATTAGCGGCAGCTGGGATCCTCACGGAGCCGCCAACGTCGGTTCCGACGCCCAACGCACTACCACGAAACGCTTGCACTGCTCCTTCGCCACCACTGCTTCCACCGCAGGTCAGGTTGCAATTCACGGGGTTCCTGGTTTGCCCAAACACATTATTGTCAGCTTCTGCGACTAACATCGTCTGAGGAACGTTGGTCTTCGAAATGATGACCGCCCCAGCAGCTTGCATCAGTTGAGCTAGAGGCGTGGTGGTTGTGGCAGGTTGGAAGACCCGAGATAGGTACCCGTTCGTGGAATCGTAGCCCTTGAAGTGGAAGCACTCCTTGAACGTCATAGGCACTCCATGTAGGGGCCCGACGGGCTTGCCAGTGCTCTTGAATATCTCATCGAGCTTCTTGGCTTGTTCGATTGCGTCTGCAAACATGATTTCGGTCAACATGTTGCAGAGCTGGTGGCCCACGGCCGCCCTCTTGCAAAAAGCCGTCACTACCTCCACGGCGCTGTACTTGCCGTCGGCGATGGCAGTGGCCAACGAGGTAGCATCGTACCTGTCTCCGGTGATCTCCAGTTCATCTTCTGAAAGGATGCCGCATGTCTGAGCAATAGACCTCAGGTCAGCTACATCTTGGCTAGGGAAGTCTGCTGCCTTCAGTCTCCATTCCTCAGGTATGCGAGCATCCTGCTCGGCTTTCTTGGCCGCTTTCAAATCTTGCCACGACTTGACAGGAGCTGCAGTCATCTTGGTTCGCTTGGTTGAGAGGCTACTGTCACCCAGCTCGTCAATGATACATTCAATGCTTGATAAGTGTCCTTATCCTTCGTCCATCGCCCGCCTTCGATTCAACTTCAAGCCGGAGCCGACACAAACACGGGTATTCCAACGTTGTGTCCCGCGAGCATCGGATCCGATCGGCGTTCGCACCCTGGTCCGCCACTCGATAGCGGGGTTCGTGCTGGGCGTTCCTCTTGTGTACCACATGGTTCTCCGTAGTCGCATTGCCATGGAATGCCAGGATTCACTAAGCAGGGGCTGTGTGCGAGAGCCGGCCTGGGAGCTGGCGGGTAGGCGAGCTGTTCAGCTACGTTATAGGACGTCCAATGGCACCCAATCGGCCAATTCTCCGACGAACGATTTCCCTATCTACAGCACACGCCTGGCAATTTGCGACGCTAGCGTATCTCCGACTCAGCATGCCCATGAAGCTCACACAGGTACGGCATCCCGTGGGGGGTTGTCGACCCATCATGTCTCAAGCTCCAGCCGGTGTAGTTATCGGATCCGCGCCCCGGCCACTAACTTAGCGGGAGCGCCGAACCGATAAGTCTGGGCACCGTCGTTCCCAGGACCAGCTGCGCGGGTACAAGCAGCGACTGCCGTTAGCCCGACATCATATGTTTGCGCAAACTTGATTTTGCCGTTCACGATTGCCAACACATCAACAATCAGTGAACTGGCCAAAAATGGCTGAGGCTTCGCTTCTCCGACCACCGCCATGAGATGCTGAGATGTAACGCAGTACCATGTCCGGGGTTGAGGTGGAGTCGGCCGCAATATGGTCCTATGCTTATCATCCCCACCAAGATATAGAGGGGCATCTTGTACTGGCGTGGAGACATGATAAGCCAATGATGCAGCTAAAAGACTTGGTGGCACATTATCAAAACCAATAGTGACGTCTCGGATAACATCGGGGCAGTAGATATAACGATCTTGGGAGGATCAAAGTCATGATATATTCCGATGATCCTGTTCCTGTTTTGAGATCATCAGCAATCGAATCCCATCTGCTGTAAACACCCTCTCGACACATACTCCAGGCAAGCATGGCGGAAGAAAAGAAACTCGAGTCTGGCATCAAGCCATGCGACACAGATATTGGGACCAGCTCCGTGCTGAAGAAGCAGAATGCGTTCCAGCGTCTTATGCATCGCAAAAATGACCTCAACGATCTCGGCAAGGAAATGCTGCAGCAGTCGCTTCACTACGACCAAGCGCAACTGGAGGCAGACGCTGTCAAGGTCCGACGCAAGCTTGACTTCCTGGTACTGCCAATGGTAAGCCAGCCTTCTGCGAAGGAGACATCGGGAGGCTGACGAGACCGAAGATGATGACCACTTACATGCTGTCTTTCCTGGACAAACAAACGTGAGAACCCCTCTTGACATAACCATTGGCCATAACTGACGACTCTAGATTGAATTACGCAAACGCATACGGCCTTCAAGCTGACACGCATATGACTGGGGATAACTACAGCTGGGTAGCTACTGCATTATACTTTGGCTGGTTATGTAAGGCGCAAGATGTTTCCCACATACATGCGCCCTGTGCTGACCATTTTCAGGTGGCGCATGGCCTTGGAATCTTCTATTACAGCGGGTACCAATTGCGAAGCTGATCGGAGGCATGCTTTTTGTCTGGGGGGCCATCTGTATGCTCCAAGCAACGGTCTTCAACTTTGCCGGATTCTTTGTAGTGCGCTTCTTCCTCGGGATGATGGAAGGCTGCGTCTCTCCAGCTTGGGTCATGCTAACCTCGATGCTCTGGACACGTGAAGAGCAACCGTTCAGGAGTTCCATTTGGCTGTGCACGAACGGAGTGTCAATGGTACTCGGCGCGCTTTTGGCTTATGGTTCCGGCATGGCTCAAGGCTTGACTATCGCGAATTGGAAGCTCATCTTTTTGGTAAATCCAGCGTACCACACTTGCCTGGTTTCAATGCTGATTGGGAGAATGGGTAGATCGTGGGTGCCCTGACTATGGGCTGGGGATTTGTCATTCTGTTCTACCTTCCGGACGGCCCGCACGACGCCAAAATGTTGACCGAGTATGAGCGGATGGTTGCGGTCTGGAGAGTTTCTAAGAACCAGATGGGTATCAAGAACTCGTCGATCAAGACCCCTCAGATCAAGGAAGCTCTTCTGGACGGTAGATGCTACCTCATCTTTGCCACGGGCATGGCGCTCGGTCTTGTCAACGGCGCCGTCACGAACTTTATGTCCTCTATCATCAAGGGTTTCAACTTTGATCCATTGAAGACGTCCTTGATGCAAGCCCCAGGAGGAGCAATCGAGGTGGTAGCCTGTCTGGGTCTTGGCTACATTTCTCAGATGCGCAACATGTTGGGCATTTCCATCTTGTTAGGCTGTCTTCCCGGAATGGTTGGGCTCATCGGCATCCTTACGATACCCATTGAAAACCGGTACGCCCTGGTTGCTATGTGCTGGATGCAGAACGTCATCGGGTCGCCAATCGTCCTCAACTGGACAGTCCCCGGAATTAACATCGCAGGTCACACGAAGCGCACAGCTGTCCTCGGCATCTACTTTGTGTGCTACGTCGGGGGAAACATTATTGGACCCCACATGTTCCTGCCACATGAATCACCTAGATATCCTACGGCCATCAGAGGGTTGCTAGGAACATATTGTGCCGCCATCTTCTTCCAGGCGGTATATACCACGTGGTGCTGGGTCGAAAACAAGAGACGCGACAAGCTTGGAATGCAGGCGGAGGCATTTGAAGAGGCATTGCTCGAGGGTTTCGAAGACTTGACGGACAAGGAGAATAAGCACTTCAGGTACAAACTGTAATAAGTTTGACGGCAACTCTAACGCAGTGGGGGAGAAGACATAAAAAGTATGTAGTTGTGTGTAAATACGGAAGGGTGAGACTTCGGTCAGTTGGCAAGACTCATCTTCTACCAAGTGACGAGATTGGCGTTTGCCCCGCAGGCCCGCCCAGTGCATACCCCTGAAGAGCGGCCTTTCGGCGAGCCATCATTGGCCAAACCCCCATGTTTCGCCTAACTTAGCGGTGATCGATGACCATGCAGCGGCTAGAGCACTGGCGGCCCTGCTGATCGATCTCATGTGTGCTTCTGACGGTGGCGCATGGTCGATAGCAGGATACAATATAGTTTTCACCAGCACCTGGATCACAGGTTCCGTGCCGCACATGGAATAACTCGTCGCACATCCCACCCCAGCAATCAATCAAAGTCGAACTTCTCGGGGGCATTACTGCGTTACACATCTATGTAGGAAGCTGAGGGCCTAGTTCAGCGAGGAGGAGGGTCGTCGCCCTCCAAATGAACAGGTGGTAGGTCTTGCAGGGTCCAGCGGTGAATGCGTGTCAAGGTGACGGTGCGTCCAGGGTCAAGCTCCAGGGAGGCCACTACCTAGGTAGCTGGCCAGGTGGTGTGGCTGATCACAGAGCATGAATGGCTGTTTCGGGCAGTTCGTTCCAGGCTTGGAGAAACCTGGGGTTTGTACCAACAGCACACGCGATCCAATCATCAGTAATGGCAGTCCCACGCCGCGACTCCATGCAGTCGCCATGCCCTCCTGCGCAGCCGCCAGTGGAAGAGACGAACCGTCAGGCCCCTGTCTACCGTCAAAGCTCTTGGCCGTTTTTGGCCACAGGGTCTTGCCTCTTTCATGCGCTATGGGCCTGTGATGGTACCCGGCACCTCGAGCTCGGTGTTATACCCCTGTGATCACGCTGAGCGCCGGCAACAGGATGTCAGTGAATGTAACCAGCGAGAGGGCACGCCTGTACGCGGAAGCTCTGTTTCAAGGTAGACCTGAAGAGTAAATAATGACAGCCAACAGCTGACCTTATCTTTTTCTTCTTTCGCTCGTACTTAATGCCCAAGCAGACCGGTCGCTGCTGCCAGTCTCTTTTGCGACGCCACATCAGTTCGTGTAAGCAAGTCGTCGCCAATTCACAATGTGGGTTTCGGTATTGACCTCACTCGTCTTTTTGGCTGGCGCCCTTGCGCTCGACTGCAACGGGCATTCTGAGCTCTGTGATCGCAAGTACAGCAACGTATCATTCATTGGAGCCCACAATTCTCCATTCGTCGGAATTTTGCCTTCGGATAATCAGCTGGAGGACGTTGAAGACCAACTCAATCAAGGCGTGCGTTTTCTGACCGCGCAGACACATGACAAGGACGGCGCTATCCAGCTATGCCATACTTCATGCGCCTTGCTTGATGTCGGCACCCTTCAGGATTTCCTGGGGACCGTCAAGACGTGGTTGGACGGGAACAGTAACGAAGTAGTCACACTACTGATCACCAATGGGGACGCCATAGACATCAACAAGTTTGGAGATGCTTTCAAAGCAGTGGGGCTGGATGCATACGCATATTCCCCCGGCGACACCCTGACTATCGACGATTGGCCAACACTAGGCACCCTGGTTTCCAGTAACAAGAGAGTGGTTGTCTTTATGGGTAGGTCAAATTTTGCGACCTGTAAGTCGGAAGATACCTGACAGGTGTACACAGATTACCACGCAGATACGTCAAAAGTGGGATACATCCTGGACGAGTTCCAATACTACTTTGAGACGCCATTCGATACTACGGACAAGAATTTTCCCCAATGCGATCTAGACAGGCCGTCGGGGGCCTCGGCGGATGGGCGCATGTATATTGTCAACCATAATCTCGATGTTGACATTTTTGGCATCTTGATCCCGGACCTTGCTGAAGCTCCTAACACGAACTCGCTTTCCTCGATCCTCGCGCAGTCGGATCTTTGCATCAACAACTACCGAAAGGATCCAAATGTAGTACTAGTAAGTTATGATCAAAGTGCTGGTTGGAACTTCCATGAGACTTACAAATCGTAGCTTGACTTCGTTAGTATAGGGGACGGAATAGAAGCCCAGGACAATCTGAACGGGCTGTAAAGCAAGAACACTAGAATAATTGAGATTACACCTTGATCAGTCGACTACATTCATGACCTTGTGATACATCATAGTGACAGTCGACACAGCCAGCAGTTACGGGGCATCGAAGCGGTAACTGCTTTCACACACTCTCTGTGAACACAATTCCCCTTTTGCTATCTATAAGAAGTGCTGTAGATCGCTTACGTCCAGACCTATAGAAGGTGGGCGTGTGACAGTCTCATATTAGGTCCAGGTCTTCCAGATCCAATCCGGCCATTCGTAGTGCCTCCGTTGCCACCTGAAGTACATGCGGCGACCTCTGGTATTTTGAAGGCTGAATGCCGAAGTCGCCAAGAACCTTGGCCGGGTCTGTTTGCAACCTCCCGGTTCGTGTATCGTGCAGAGCCCAATTATATCCGTCAATAAAGCCCTCATCCTTTGAGTGCACCACGGGTTTTATATGTGAAGGCAGATTCTTGTGTATAGCCTCACCAGCCATGAGGCCCTGTACATAGCAAGGGCCGACAACCTTCCACTTGCGGGCTGATTCGTCATAACAAGGTCGAAGGAGTAGAGGACTATAGCAGCCAAGCAGTACGCAGACCACATCGCCGGGCTGGGCTTCTGAAGGCCCAACTCCAACGTAGCCAGTGGCCGTTGTAAAGAAGCATCGTCCCACTAGATTACTGTGACATCGACTGAGGTACTTGTCCAAGGTCAATTGAAGCGACAGGTCTGTGGACGCGCTCCAGTCGCCTTCCGATGTCCAGATCAACTTCAATAATAATTCGGAGGGTAGAAAACTTGGCCAATCCTCATAGAGTGGCAAATTTGTATCTGCAAACCGATTGGAGATGAGAGCCCGGCAGTAGGCCTCCATAACGCTTAACCCCATGTGTCCGCCGTGATACTCATCACCCCATGTCTTCTGTGCTGGTTGGACCTCCTTGATGAAGTCGAGGAGTTCGCCTAACGTGAAACTATGCTCCCCGAATGTCGAGCTTTGAGCTCCTCGGACCACATCAACTCGGATTCCGGAGCAACGTAGAACGCGTTCGTCGAGAATTTTGGCTTGGGCTGAGATCCATGCACAAGCGCTCCAACAGCCAGAAGTGGTGGCCAGGGTTTTCAGCGGAGCTGACCAGTCGGGCACCCAGCTCGGTAACTTGGAGGTCGGCATGGAGACATGCTCGCATGAGGCAAGGAAGGAGGTCGTGTGCCGCCCGTCGAGTAGACGCTGAACCACATCCAAGTACACATTCTTGGTTGTCCGTGAGTAGTCCGGCTGCACTCCCATGCTGCGATCCGTTGGGTTCAGCAGGCTGAGTGCTGCGTAGATCATGTCGCGTGGATCTGCGCATTTGGTGTGCCGGAGGTATATATGGAGGTGCTCAAAGCGTAGCAGGCCGTCGAGGGGTTGGCAGAGCCCAAAGGCCTGGGTCTGCAGCCTATTCCAATCAGCAGCGAAATCACCAAGCACACCGGCCCCAACTTGTTTCCTAGAAATGCAGAACACACCGGCCTGGAACGCGTCCCACGAAATCTTCTGGCTTCCACACTTCACAATAGCGCGCGTCGCAGCATGAATCTCCTGCCGGACCCAAGTCCGCTCGAACCACGGCCTCTGGTACAAACAGCAGAGAGAGAGCATCTCCCACTCACCGAAAGGGAGTGGCTGTCCGGCATCTGCCCATTCGCGCCCGGACACCGGGTCCAGGGGGCGCATAGTCTGTGTTGGCCAATCCACAATCACTTTCCGTGCTATCGAGTCCAGCATCGTCAACGCGTAGTTGCTGTCGTTTCCTTCGGGTCCCAGCCAGACGACAACACACTTGGCGAGCTTGTAGATCTGCCACATGATTGGGATCTGGTGGCTTTTCTCATTGTCGTCCTTTTGATTTATACATAGCGCATCAATCCACATATATCGTGGGCCGTCAAGATACCGCAGATGGCGGATAGCGATATCCAGATTGTGCGTTATCGATATCCTTTGCGATACTTTGACGCTCCGCCAGTGGCCACTGCCTTTGATGTAGACATATCTTTTCTTCTTCTCCCTCGCGCCCCACACGTATGAGAGTGCCTCATATCGTGGGAGTGCTGGTTTAATGGGGGGCTTAGCTTCGATCCCGGGGCCATTGACATGTTCAGAGCCCGAGTTGTGAGTGGGAGTGTGCTGCAATTCTGGCCACAGCTTTGGCTTCTAGGACGTTTCAGGAACAGTGTACAATCCGGTTTCGAGAAGCTCATACCATAGATAAATAATGCGTGCTAAAAGACAGACGAATCTTGTCGTTAAAATCGCCTTGGTGGATTTTCACGAGCCGTATCTCGTAATGTTCCCTATCCAGTGGCTCATATTCGTACTTTCTCATTGTAAAGAACGGCCCAGGGGTTGGGCACGCCGACGAGACGAGCAGATGAGTTGATAATGTTCTGTACAGAAATCTTCTTCATGATTAAGAGGCAGAGAAAGAATCAAATCCTTCACGAGGCTGGGCAATATTAATGCTGACGCGTGGGGGGGTGCGATCCTTCTGGCGCAATGAGTGATGTATCAAAGACGGAGAATGCAACTATCCGTGATGCCCCGCAATTAATCTACTTTACAAACTACCAGCTGAGAGCAGCTGCGGTAGCCAGAATGCATCAATACCCCTCTGGGTCTCTTGGGTCTCGCATTACGGATCGTTTCGATCAGGATTGATCAGGTTCTTCTGAGGTAATTCCTGGGTTGACCCAACCTCAGCTGAGCTGGAGTGCCCTGAGCGAGGCTAAGCTGTGATCGAGACAGATCACGTTCTACGTTTCATGGAAAACGGGAGGGAGCTGAATGGAGGCTAAGCTGGGAAAGCTGTTAGTGTCAGGCAGACTCGCGATAAGTGAGGCTTCACTGACACCAGTGCATTTTTGTGGCTTGCGGATCTGGCCACGCAAACTTCTGCAGTCCCGCTGTTTATCCTTGTCCTTATAGCAACACGCTTCGTCATTATACTGTACGCTTCTGTTACCTTTAAACGGTTTACCTTCTGGACGGTAATACTCTTGCTTTGGAGCGACTATATCAGCCGACTTGCAATCACCTCAAGGTGGGCATCGGTTGGCACTCGGGCCCCCGCTCGGCTGTCACTGTTGAATACTCATTGCCCTATCTCTACGACCCCAGAAAGCGACACAAGTTGGTGAAATGTACGACAGGACACCCCGCGATGGGGTTTGGCTGGCTGATGATCCGTCCTACCAAGATCGCGTACACTCTTTGAGCAGCGCAGACCCGAGGCTCAAGAATCGCGACTCTAAGGCGCAGAACCAGAAGATACCATGGGATGATGCTAATGCTCGAATTATATCTCTTGAACTAGGGATAGACCAGCAGTCAACCCAGCTTTTCAATTTTGACAATCACATTGAGCTGGAGACTTATCTCGCTAAAGGGCACACTATCCATGCCGAAAATGACAGAACGTCAACCGACGGTGGCAATGGTGCATCAGCCAACTCTACGTGCTCGAGATATCGAGTCATCATCATGGAGGGATTGAGCCCAAAGTATATTGGTATCTTGGGGAAACACTTCTCCTTGCACCCTTCCCTCTTTGTCGAACATGAGAGGGTTGTAGTTATAAACAAACGTGGCAATGGCGAAAGTGACAGCTTGCCATTGCCGTCTACAATGCAACAACGGAATCACGTCGTTCTAAGGTACTTCGAGCCGCTCGTCTTCAACAGTGTCCCGAACAACTCTCGTCTTGTCTGTGGGTCAACCGGTAGGCATATCGCTATATCCCGAAACTTTGGCGAACGTTCAGAAGTCGGAACTGTGCACCGAAAATGCAGCATTTGGTGGACTACGCGAAATGGCACCGATGGTTGGGACTGTAAGCCTTCTTCCTCAGTTCGAAAACCATGACAAGCTGTTAATCTTCGTTGCTAATTGAGGCGCAGGTCTTGTCCTGTGTGATCCGCCGGTTACCAACGTGCGCACTGGTTTCCAGTATAATGAATCATTCACAGTAAACTGGAGCCCGTACCAAGGTGGATACGTCGACTTTCTACCTGCTCGATGCTGCAGTCACGAGGTCGGACCTGGTCCACCACGAACATCCCTTATGAATGACCTGATTTATTATCTGACTGTTGAGCAACGCCACGTCGACATTACTTCCCCTGCGACGAGTGTGCATGTTTTTGCCCATAAGATAATCGCGAGTCATTATCTGAAGCATTCCGAGCACCTGCGAGCGACCCTCTGGCATGCACAGCGAGGGCTAAATCGTAGACACGAGCTCAACAGCTTGACTATGGACCAGGTCGAGGACCTGTGGAGCGACATACAGGCATGGGAGCGCCGTATGGGAGAATACTGCGAGGCTCTTGAACTCATCATGCTCCAGATTGGAATTCCTCTGGAGACGCCGGGCTCGACCCATTCATTTTCGAAACGTATGGACTGGAAAGATAGCACAGTCGACTACCAGTTCCTCCTGATGCGATTTCGAGAGCTCCGACACATAACAGAGTGCCTGAACTCTGCAATAACCGGCTTAGCCAACATTGCTGGCAACCGCGCGGCCTTTAAAGAACAACAGCTTGCAGCGCAGGAGGCAAAACGAAATATACGTGAGACCAAACGTACCAAAGCCATCACGCTGTTGGGTCTCGTGTTTATACCTCTTGCTTACGTCAGCAGCTTGTTCAGCATGGGCGAGCCGTTTCGTCCTGGCGACACGCAATTTTGGGTCTATTTTGTTGCGAGTGTCCCATTAATAGCCCTGACGTTACTCGCGTATTGCGCCCTGGATTGGGGGTATTCTGATGACAGCGCGGATTGGTCGCCAAAGACGTTCTCAAAGCACTTGCAGGTACGGGTAGGCTTGAAGCGACCGAGTGGACTCATTCAAGAGGAACCACAGCGAAGCTACTACTCCATTGGATTTGATGGTAATGTTTCTGCGAAACACGGTCCCTGAAAGTGCCAGTCAGGTGTTATCATGCTGCTAGTTAGATGGCGGGATGACAGGACATCCTGTGGCAGCTGGATAGAGTTACCGCGGTGAAAAGACACCACTCGCAGACAGGATGCAGTCTCTAAGGACTTGTGCATCAATTAAAAGAGGTATCCTTTTGTTCGGCATCGTTTTGCCGTCCCCTATGGGAGAAAGTCTCAGTGGCTGCATCCAATTCTAAATATAACTGTCCAGCCAAGTTGGGTTGGCAGGGGGCGGGCGCCTAACTACCGTCCTAGAAGCCAATCACAGTGGCTGCATTAGAACCCCAAGGTCCCTAGGCCAATCACAACTAGCGCAAGTTCCAGTTGCCGCTGGTCTAGCGCTGCAGATTCACGCTGAGGGTCGTTGACTGGGATGCAACGAGGACTTAAAAACGCTTGAAGTACGTTGCAAAGGACGGACAGTATCCAAGTTGCCGAATCAGCGGCGGAAATATTTGACATAGAACTTGACCTGGGTGTTTTCTCTTTTCTCATCTTGATATTTTTCATTGCATTGCAAGCCCTTCTTTTGAACGGCCTGGTGCCATCTCCTGTCGCGCTCTCCAAAGAACGCACATTCATCATTTCACCATGGCGGTTAGGCTTGACCCCCTAGCGTTGCTAATAGGTAAGCCTCCAGGAGGGCAGAAATCGATGCACTCCAAACACGCCCCCAAGCGAACCAGAAGATAACACCATGCTCGTTTTCGATGATGCGAACTACATGAAGACTGACCGAATCGCAGCATTCTGCTTTGTTCTGGGCGTTGAGGCTCAAGGCATCAACGGCACTGCGAACGACACCTTGCCATCCCTTTTCATTAGCCCCACAGCTGATATCGCATTTGCCCTCAACGTCCCTAGCGACTCTGCGACCGATCTATACTTCTCGTTGATGATCCCAACGTCGGTTACATGGGGTGCAATCGGGCTTGGTTCGGCCACAATGGCGGGCTCCTTGATGCTCGTGGTATATTCGTCGGATTCTAGCCAGAACCTAACTATATCTCCTCGAATCGCTTACGGCCACTCCGAGCCGGTATATACGTCAGATATCAATGTCGAGGCTCTAGACGGCACAGGTTTGAAAGACGGCGTTCGCTATGTCTTCAACGGTCGTTGCACCAATTGCCGGTCCTGGAATAGCGGTCATGTTGATGTCACGAGCAAGTCACAGAGCTTCTTGTACGCAACAGGGCCTGATGGGGACATTGATTCCGACGATGTTAGAGCACCTCTCAAGATGCACCTCAACTATGGAAACTTCCAGCTGGATATGACCCACGCCACAAGTTCTGGTGCAGTTCCAGTAATCCCAATCAGCAACAGCACGGCCTCTGTCGCCACTACACAGGGACTGTCGGTCTTAGATAAGAGAGACACGGCAGCCATGATTCACGCCATAATAATGGTTTTCTGCTTTGTTGGTCTTTTCCCATTCGGTGTTCTGATCCTTCGCTTGGGTAACTGGGTGCGCTGGCACGCTGTTAATCAGGGGCTGGCCCTCATTGGCGTCATTGTGGGATTCGGATTGGGCGTACACGTCAGCTCGTTTTACAACAGGGTGAGTGTTACGTGCGATATCATGGAGAAAGTCGGTACTGATGAAGATATAGTCGAAAAGCTTCAGGGATCCCCACCAAGTCATTGGGATCCTGCTCTTTATTTTTGTCATCGGTCAATTTGTTCTCGGCTTTTTGCATCATAGAATGTTCAAGAAGACGCAAGAACGTACCAAACTTGCCCCGGCCCACGTGTGGTTGGGGAGAATTATCATTCCTGTGGGAGTGATGAACGCATTCTTGTAAGAATACACCGCGAATGCTGGCATGCTTCCTGTGGCTAATTCGCGAAACAGGGGATTCCGACTTGCGCAGAGTCCTCAATACTATTGGATTCTGGCTGGGCTCGTCATATTCATCTTCCCAGTAATAGCATTGATACTGCTCACCAAGAAGCTCATCCGCAAGCGATGGGACCGAAGCAAAGCCGCAGCGGGGGAGCAAGGTGGGTTTGACCTTGAACCGTGGCGACAGACAGAAGCACAACGTGGACATGGACAGCAAACTGCGGGACCCGCCAGTGACTACGCACCGACTCAAGCTGCAGCGCAACCAGATATGCGGTCGTATGCACACTATCAAGGCAGTCGCGATCAGAGAACCGACCTGGGGTCGCAACCACTACCTCGAGAATACGTGTAGATAAGATGTTATTCAAGTAAATGAAGAAGCTGAGGTCCAGACGGCGTGTGTTGGTTCACTTGAGCGAATATTAGCACTCTTACTCTCGGGGTGTACTAAAGCGGTCGCCGACGTAGTATTGTCGTACCAGCCTACGCATAGGTGAATCATTGCCATGGTGGCATACGACGACGCAATTTCTTCATAGTCATCTCAAACAGGCCAATACCAACATCACAATTTCGTTTATTGGAGTGAAAATAACCCACAACTCTGTTACTAGTGATTGTACCCGTTGCTTTTGTGGTCATCTACGGACGTTCTCGCATTGAAACACATTGTCTTCCGAATCTCAGAGTTGACGAGGCCCGAATAGAGTTTCATGTGCAACCTTGCACATTTTTCGCCTAGCAGCCCGCTCGCATACCATTGAGATTACGCCGGCATGATTCTTGGTTTTCAATGACCGATGTTGGACAGATCGCTTGTCGTGTAGATTCCCGCGCCTTGGCCCGACGCGACTTGAGACCGATGACGATACGGCATGCATGATCATAGAGCTTAAAAAGCATCGAGAGCCCATCCACTAGAGGTGTATTTTATTTTCAGTCACTTCAATCAAAGCCTGTCTCTCCACTGAATCCAGGAGCATCCAATGGCACCTTCAATCACCGCTGTAGCCGATGGGGTTGCTGTCACGTCGACAATTCTTTTACCCCCACAGACAACACCGTTTTCATACGTTGGTCCCGGAGATCCTTGCAGTAGATCAGTCTACTGCCCCATGCTCAGTTCGATCTTATATACTGCAAGCTTCATGACTCATCCTATGCAAGGCCATGCCTGCTTCGGTGTACACACGACGATCCGGGCAGGAGGTCTCGGTCTTTCGTTCAATAGAGAGTGCTTCCCAGATGGGTACTATGATTTGTTCGCCGACCAATCTTTAGAAGCGTTCTACCCCTATTTCTATGGAACCCAGGAAGGCAGCCAATCAACCCTTGCATATCCTGGAAATCATTGTCCATGGCTGTGGACGACAGCGTGTACACCCATTCTTTCCCATGAGAACACAGCATATTCCCAGGCTTGGTGCTGTCCACCTGGGAAGTGGGAGTGTGCGACAGAAATTGCGGAACTGGGGTTCGACTCGGCGGCCCCTCAACGTCTATGTAAAAGTGTGATGACAGAGGCTACAGAAATATGGATGAGCTTTGATCCGGAGATCTCTTTCGGACCTGGTACATCGAGCCAGTTTTATACTTGGCACTCAGCAATCACCGCCGAAGAGCCGCAGTACGCTGCGCGCGTTTACCACAAAGTGTTTCCACTCTCGTTAACCCCACATTTCGAAGCTCGGCACGAGGTGGTCACATCAACAAAAGCCTCTGTCATCAGCAGCTCAGCGTCAGTTAGAAACAGTCAACCATCTCAAGAAGACGACTCAGCCGTTTACTCGACGCCTTATCTTCCGACAGGCATAATTGTAGGCTTGCTTGCTGGTGCTGCAGTACTGACAGTCGTGCTGGTAGGGGTCATGGTATGGCGCAAAAGACATGGGGTGAGCAAGGTGAACTTCTACACGAGAAAGAGCTGGTAATGAAGCAAAGGGGGCTTTTAAATATTTTCTTATGAAACTAGTTCAGTCACTATACGTAAAACGTGTGGAGCTATTGTTAAGAACTTTGCTGAATGCTACCATACACCCCTACTTAGCGGAACAATTTCAATACAGAACAGTTTCGCGGTGTCCTGGCGAGCTTTTCCGAAAAAAGCACTCTGTTGAATTGTGTAGATGATATTCACTCAGCTGCGCAGCTTAAGAAACAACGAAATAGTTCGCGCGTTGCATCGTGTGGTGAGCAGTTGATTGTGGCCAAACTGACTATGGATCGACTGTGATGGTGTAACCTATGGTCGTGTTCCCATGAACATCCTCCGATGGTAACACTGGGTCGAGCTCAATATTTCCATGTAACCACTCGGAAGTAGTTGTAGGTCCATACAAGGACGGTAGCGGCTGGCCTTTGCCGATAGTAGATACCGGCCTGGTTAAGCGAAGCGGCGGCATACAGGCAGAATGAGACCCACCCGCCAGTCTTTCTCACTGTTTGGTTTCCCTCACCCTTAACTACTTCTTATAATCTTGTCGCATGGTAGCACTCTTTCTCTCATAGTAGCACGGATAGATGGATCAGTTGTTTATCGTAGATGCAGCCTATCAATGTAACGCTGTTTGCGCAGGTAGGACTTGCCATCACTTCGAATGGAAAGGAATTTCCTTACAATTGTCTAGAAGCATTGGTTACAGTTCTTCAAAGGGCCTTTAAAAGGTTCCCAGTGTCGGATGCGAGTGACCTTTGAACGATCCTGGCCCCAGGCATCACCTGAAGTTAAGCACGCAACCTACCCAATTCCGTTCTGGGTGCCAAGAAATATTTTAAGCCAGACCGACGCCTCATCATCTATGATATCTAGCACAGCGTGCCAGAGTACGAAAATCCAAATAGGCTGAATGGCGACTAATATAAGACTACCAGGTTGCAAGTCCATTTCCCCACAATCTCATCACCACTTCGAGGCCTAATGAAGAAAGTTGCAGAATTCCGCTACAACTCAGTCTCACCTGCAGCGCCTTGATATTGATTGTTGCTATTTTTGGAATAAGCTCATCACGGTAAGCTGTTTTGTTTACCACAATATGTTGCTGGTATCAGAGAATAAGTAGCTTCAAGATAGCTTAAAAGTGGTGTCGCTACGGCTCGTCCCGGTCCCATCGCACCAATCCAGGTCACAACATATTGTTGGCTGAGAGAAGGAACTGTTTCATTCAAGATGACTTCAGACGGCCTCTTTCGCCTGTGTGCTTTACTTGTTGTATTTTGCTCCACAGTATGGGCAGAATGTCAAAGTTATGGGGTTGACTATTCTAATGGTGGTTCGTATGAAATCGATGCTTCCTCTAACCAATACTTCTCTTTTGAGACTGTATTCCAAGGTACGTCATCAAGAAACGTCTCTGACGGAGTAGAGACTAAAGCAGACCAGGTTGTGCACAGGAGATCATTTCACCTGTGCTGGTAGACCCAAAAGGCAATCAGTATGGATGCTCTGCTATACAGACTGCGTCAACTTCTGAAGAAGATGTAGCATCATCGACATGGCAAGTTTCGCTCCTAGCCGAGTACCAAACAAGCAGTACTGACAAATATCTAGTGGGATTCCATACTCCTCAATGCCTTCGGGACAGTGGAAGATCATCCTATCTGGCCAGCAAGTCGCCGTTCAACGTGTGATAACACTGACAGCCGGCCTTCCAACTACAGTGACTGTAATAGTAGGTCTTTCAATGCTTCATATGCGGCGAACTTGCTCGCTGATTGGCCCACAAGGCGACTCCTACCGTTATCGTAGGAGTAACAAGCACTCCTAAAGCAGTTAGTAAGTGAAAGCAGACCTCCGGAACGTTACTTGTCCCATTACTTACGCTACATCAGCTGTCATCAGGACCGTAACTCAGACTCAAACTTACATCGTGGTTCCGCAAACAGTGACGAAAGGGTGCAATGATGGTACAACGAGAACGATTACAATCACGCCAACGCCTGCTACTGTCATCCGTACATCGACTGCTGTACGTACCATCACCGATGACACGGAGACCAGTACTTCGTTCACAATCATCACGTCAACTGCGGTTTGCCATTTCCCCACAACAAAACCATTCTTCCCTCCGGATGTCATTGCCACGCCACGACTACCTCAACCAACAAATTGTGCAAAGCTAGGATGCCGTCCCAAGTGGTCGCCGTCTGGATCCAATGGCTCAGGTGGTTGGGGTTGGGGAGTCGCAGGCGAGACAGCCGCCGCCGTTGCCCCTGCAGTTGCACCCATGGAAACGCTTCCTGCTGCACAGAGAAATCTTGCTGCCGTTGCAGCAATCACTGTTACCTCCACAGAAACCACGTTTACAGTCACGCAAACGTTTATAACAACAGTGCCAACGTCTACTACAACGGAGAATGGTGAGTAAAACGCCTCGATGGCCTACCGTTATTCTAATATCGCTATAGTGTACCGTACTGCCGTCACGACCATGTGAGTAAATCAAGCAGCGACTTATAACATCAACGTAGTACTTGGCAATGAGACCATACGAAGCACACCAGCTATTGCGATAAATATTGCGCTGTTACTGACAAAACGTTTCTTAGAACCCCGCCACCGACGACGGTATGCGGCGGGGACGGCTCAGGGCCTACGAAGACTATCACAAGGCCGTACGGAACGGTCACACTAACTAGTATAGGATATTCGACTAGTCACATTACCGGGACTGTTTGGGTCGGGTAAAAGCCCCGTCTTTGCATATTTTACGTAGGTTTTGCGGAGACAAGAATGTATACTAACACTACTGTGCAACGTAGGGAAACTGCGTACACTGTTATCACCAACAAGGCTAGTGCTACCGCGTGCTGGAGGGCCGGAGGATGGTTCGGCTAATTTGAGTGGCTCGTGGTGGAGGTTAAGGATCACTGAAGCTAATGAATCCTATGTCGTTTCCAATAGTGTTAATGTCAATCACCCGGAGAACCTAGCTTACGGCAAATGCACCATACTATGTCTTGACTTTGAAATGCGGCAATTCTTCTTCAGAAAGCTTCCTGACATATGCATCTATCGAAGTAGTTCCTCTAAATGGTGGTAAGTGGCGTGCTCCCAGAACTCAACTAGCACAATGGCGACACGCCAGAAACGCCCATTAGTGGCGGGGATTCGGGGGTACTGATAGCGGGCCTCAGCGCTAAGCCGGCTGCGGGTTTCGGGCATGACGGGCGAATCAATCTATTCATCGGCCTTGAAAGTGGACTCATACCCGGCTCATTCCCAGATATCCCTCCACTGGCGCGGTTGTCGTCATGCAAGGCCGCTGTCGCCTTCGCTCCCAGTCCTTGCTCGGCGATCGGATAGCCGTGACCGCGACCGAGAGTCGGCTGGTGGCTGGTTGGCTGGTTCTCTGGGCCACCTGCAGGACTCACAATCCGGCGAAGAGTTTTCATATTCCAGCTCAACAGAATCTACAAGCCAGTGCTTATCTGCAACTTCAGTGAACTCAAGCAAGACCGATTTCCCCGGTATCAACCAGAAGCTCGTCTGCGCTACATACATACTTATAAGATCGATTTATCTCCGAGGCTCGGCGCTAACACCCGACTGGGCTCCCGTACGAGATCGATGACAGGCAGTCGGTATGAAGCTCTCGACAATGCCGCCAGCACTTTAAGCACAACTAGCTCGGCGCGCGTGTCGGAACACAGTGGGTTTCTTCGAGATGCTCAAGTAGACGATGGAACCAAGGGCCTGGCTGTGATCACCTCCCCTGAGGGGCTTGCTGCACTGGGGTCTGGAGCCGCCTCGTCGGAAAGTGAAGAACAGAAACGACGTGCCGAGAAACAGAAGGTTGTGGCATGGAGAGACTTGCCTAAGAAGAAGCAGCTCTTCGTCATTACCATGACTCGGCTGAGTGAACCATTGGTTCAGACCTCTCTGCAGGTATGTTGGTCAGCGGTGGGATTATCACATCACAGTTTTTCTAACTGCATCCAGGCATATATGTACTACCAGCTGAAGTGGTTTGACCCATCCTTGCCAGATTCTGTGATAGCGAGCCAAGCAGGTGTACTTCATGCCAGTTTTACTGCAGCCCAGTTCGTCACTGCCATGCTGTGGGGAAGAGTTGCCGACACCAGAGGTAGAAAGACAGTAGTCATGATCGGATTGCTGGGGACTTGTGAGGTTTTTCCAATATCTCAGCGCACATGCTATGCTAACAAGAGACAGTGGTGTCGTGTATCGGCTTCGGGTTCTCGACTTCATTTCATCAAGCTCTATTCTTCAGGTGTCTTGGTGGTATAACCAATGGTAACATAGGAGTCCTGAGGACCATGTGAGTAAAACCTCTTTCCACGGCATTGGTTCTCGACTGAAACGTATAAACAGGATTAGCGAGGTGGTTAGAGAGAAGAAGTGAGTTCCTCTAAATCGCCTAATGAGAATTGAGACTGACGTTGACAAGGTATCAGTCGAGGGCTTTCTTGCTCTTACCCATGACTTTCAACGTATGTGTCCCTGTCAAACTGCGGAATCCCCTATGCGTTATAGATCTGTACCGAATCAGCCTTAACTCTATTTGACCCAGATCGGTATAATAGTAGGGCCAGTCTTGGGAGGCATTCTATCGGACCCGGCAGCATCTTACCCAAACCTCTTTGGACAGGTTCTCCTTTTCCGAAACTTCCCTTACGCGCTACCAAACCTTGTTAGCGCAGGGTTTCTGTTCTGTGCTCTCGTTGGTGTGGTTCTCCTACTTGAGGAGGTCTGTAGCCCCAATTTCAAGTACAGAATTGTCCTGACAATATTTTTCAGACTCATGACGCTCTTCGCGACAAGGCCGACTATGGCAGGCTTTTGGCATCCAAATTGGTATCAATTTTTCGAAGGGATACCATTGGATACACGCCTTTGCATTCCCGTGACTCGAGTATCACTGTCGAGATGTCACCTATTATGCCAGAGACGGATCATGGTTCAACATCTCATGCTCCACCTCGACGACGATATATTTCAACGTTGCCTTTCCGCCGGATCTTCACCCGCAACGTGAGCCTCACCTTACTAGCGCACTTCTTCTTGGCCTTCCATCTTGGCACATTCAACTCTCTCTGGTTCACATTTCTGTCCACCCCAGTCTACAATCCGGAGAAGCCGACACCAGAAGGGTTCAGGCCGTCTCTGCCCTTTCATTTCAATGGTGGCCTGGGATTGCCAGCTAGAAATGTGGGCATAGCCATGGCCATGCTTGGAGCTATAGGGATCACGATGCAGCTTTTCCTATACCCTCGATTGTCATCCCGCTTTGGTAATGTCAGGATGTGGCGGGTCTGCCTCTTCCTCTTCCCTGTGGCATACATCATTTTGCCGTATCTATCTGTGATTCCTTCTACCACGCCACCTCCGAGTCAGAAAACGGGTGTTGGCATCTGGGTGGCACTTGCAGGTGTATTGTTCATCCAGGTTACAGGAAGGACTTTTGCTCTGCCTGCACAAACAATTTTGGTAAACAATTGTACACCCCACCCTAGTGTCCTTGGAACTGTCCACGGGATTGGACAGAGTGTTAGCAGCTTTGCTCGAACCGTCGGACCCATTTCGGGGGGTTTTCTCTTTGGCATTGGCCATGACCACGGACTCATTGGAGGTGTCTTTTGGAGCATGGCTGGTATTGCTATTTTTGGGCTCATCGCCAGCTTCTGGGTCAAGGAAGGTGATGGTCACGAGATATGGTTAGAGGGCGACGAGGAAGACGAGGCCGATGCGTGATATATATGTACCGAAGGATAGACAGAAAACGAGCATGGCTACTGTTCGACAGTTTCAATGCCAAAAAAGAATACGAAATGTCTATGAAACACTTCAAAGCAGCCACCATCATCAGCCTCAATACGGCAGGGGACTCTGTCAAGCGCCCTTAGATGCGCTTCCTCATTGCAAGGGGTAGTCCTCGGGTACATGCGAAATCATTATTTCCATCTATTTTTGAAGATACAACACTTCGAATATGATAGTGCGAGCAAATCTATGTTGCTCAATTGACGACTCAGTTCGCTTTGTTGAGTTCACCATAATCTTCCAAGTAACGCAACGTGTTTCCACTATCTGCAGTCGAACTTCCATAGGTAAGTCTGATACCCACTTGAGCCATTCTTCTGCCTTTACATAAATCGATATCGAACTGCATATGCCAATGCATCAACCGTGGGTCCACTGGGTCTCCAATATTCTTAAGCAACAGCGCCATGGTCTCCACCTATATTGAAGCTATCGTGGCCCACCCTCTTTTGCGATTCAGGTCAGGCGAGGAGAATTGAGACGAAACACATATGAAAGATGCTTGAGACAGTGTCTTGAATATAGTTTCTAATGCTTTGCCAGATTTCAACAGCTCACACATCACGTGAGCAAGTGCACATGGCGTTGCAATCAGCCCGATTGGCTCAGCGGTAGAGCGCCTCACTAGTAATGAGGAGGCGATCGGTTCAACTCCGATATTGGGCATCTTCAATTTCACCTTTTGCCCTTCTTAACAGTTTGATCGCGAAACGCGAGCCTACCGCAATGTGACTAGGTAATCCAGGAAAGAAAAGGGACAAGAGGCAGTCCCCCTCAACCGCTTCCTAGTTCTCGTTCGATCGTTATTTTGCTGATGTGGCCTGACAGGTCATAATGCTCCGTGAATGCGACGAAGCAACGTGTTCATCTTCGACTCCTTTCAAGTTTGCGCGGCTATGCAGTTGTGATGATACATGGTGATCATTCTATAGTTTTATCCCAAGTCCCACACAGAGTCAACCAAAAGTGCACCTTCGAGTCGCTCCTGGCAACATCTGAACCATTCATGCAAAGCTGTTTCAGTACAATCCAGTATATATGGCAGGCATTGCATATAAAAAAAATTCGCGGGGTAGTTAGTGAGACAGTGGGCATAAAGATTTGAGAGACAAAAAACTTAAAATTGCTCGGTTGGACGCAAAACAAGACATACCCATAGCCGATATTCTTGATTAAAATATGCTCTGAATTGATAAAACATATATACTCAAGGTATCATGCTGTTTACCAGAGTATCAGTCCCATGAGGCCCACAATAGCATAAACAAATGAGTCCCAGCTCAAGCGGCCAGCAGCAGCGGAAGTACCCACAGAGCTGCCACACTTTGTAGGATCAGTGCCGGACACCTCCAGGAGAACACCATCGGCACGAGTCATTGTAACAGTCACGAGACCGGTAGCTCCAACCGTAGTGGTCTCGGTAGCCTCTGCACCTGATTTGGCACCTGTCTCCGGATCAAAGGTTACGCCAGACACAGCCACGTTGCTCTTTGCGTTCGTGCCCGGACCGGTGAGTCGGGTGACTTTGACAGCACGCCCTGAACACCAAGGGGTTGTGATTTGCAAGGTGCTGTTCGGCCGCGCACCCTCGCTGAAAACGGTGCCATCTGTTGCGCTCAACGTCGATGGGTTGCTCAGGCCCTCGGTACCATTCCAGACGCCCATATCTAGGAAGACCAGTTTCTTCAATGTCTTCTGTGTGCCTCCATAAACAGCATAGCCACTTAGCGAGCTTGAGTTGGCGTCAGGAATTGCCGCGATGCTGAGACTTTCGTTATTGGTCGCTGCAGCCACCTTGGATACGAAGTAATGTCCGTACCAGCCGGCTCTGATCCCTGGCACAAGGTGTTCCCCTTTCAAATCGTATTCCACTGGCGTAAAGCTGCTGTATTCGCTTTGTGCTCCTAGGTGGAAGTAGACCTTCTGAAACCCGATAGAAGCGGCCATGAGGACATAGTCTACACCCCACAATGCAGCGCCAAACGTATCACTGATACCACTCTTTCCGGAGCAGCTCACAGAGTTGGTCTCGCCCATGACGAGTGGGGCGCCTGCAGCATCTGCGGCTGCAACCTGGGGAACGTACTGCGAGACGTTCAACCAGAGGGTGGTGTGATTGGACAGGAGATCAAGCCGCATGCGATACCATCGCTTGGTATCACACGTCGACTGAGGGTACAAGTGCGTCGCATAGCTTGAGATGATCTCGCGGTCCTGCGCAGTCTCCACAGCGGTGAGATTCTCTATGCTGAAATCATCAATCTCATCCTGTTGATCAGGCACCCATGGAGGGTCTGCAAAGACACCAGATTGGAATTTCGGCGGGTTCGATGCTGCCTTATACCAATCAGACCCAGTGATCTGACCGGTCAAATTGCGGAATTGTTCGATGTAGGTATGGACACCCCACGTTGCATCTCTCCAGTGCTTGTTGATGAAATGGTCGATCTCATTCCCCAACTCAAAACTTGTCAGCTTCTGTCCCAGCGCAGCATGTGCGGCCTCGGCCTGTGCCACCGCGTTGGCCCAGGCTGAAGTATTGACGGCAAGGTTGAGCGTGTAGATAAGATCGGTTCCTTCAGGGAAATAGTTACCCCACGTCTCATACCAAGCCGGCGTGATGTTGAACTGCTTGGCAGTTAACGGTGATGGTATAGCTACAGAGTTGTTGCCAGTGGGCAGAGAGTCATGCTGATACGTTTGGTCTGCCGTGTTGCCGCCAACGCGGATTGGGGGTGCTTTGCCAGTCACATCGCCTATGTGTCCCAGTAACGTGGCCGCCAAAGGAGTGCGTAGGTAGCTGTCTATCCAGACTGGCTCAACCGAATATCCATATACATCTCGAACAAGCGCTCTGGTTGAGAGGTCAGAGGGTACGTTGACTTGGATCTCTTGAGCAATAGCACCGCTGAGCGTGATAAGGCTGAGGACAGCCGCTGGGATAAATGGCATCTTGATTGGTGAGTACGATATCGCCCCGGGTCATTGCACGAATCACCTGGTCCCAGGTTCAAGACGGGGCTTCAACCCGTCTTAAGAAGATTCACATCGGCACGATATCCATGTGGCTGGAGCGCTGGTCTATGTCATTCTCCAGCCTAATTCCTTGTAAACATTGAATTGGCACGCGGCCAAGGCTTGTATCCTGGCCTTGGATGCGGGGATAATGTTGGGGTCCGGGGAAGCTGGAGCCGAAATAGCCCGCCTTCTTAGCCGCTCACCGTGCCTTAGCATGCTAGAATAAGGCCCGTGGTAAGAGCTAGCAGCAATCCCATTGCAGGAAAAACTACCTTGGTAACTTGCAAGGGGCATCAAGCGAGCCAGAGCTCGAACGACTTGGAACCACGATCCAATGTATCCCCAATGCATCTGTCGTGTCTCAGGAGGCAAATGTATGTGATTGGCTGCTGACCTTCAAGATGCCTCCGCCGTTCGCTGCGATGTAACAGTGCACAGGTACACTGCGTGAACAACATTGCAGTTCCCTGAAAAGTTCCACGCCAGGCTTTTGGTCAATTGAATCTTTTCGCCTGAGCTCTGACATCTTGCGTGAGAAATAATGCGTCTGACGAATCTGCCAACAGCAGATCTCGCGCCTTTCCCTGATAACCCTCAGAATTACTCTTGAAAGCAACATCAAAAAGAGGGAAAGAGGTTATCCGTGCCAAATTGATACCTCCCTTGGCACCCGTAGCAATCCACACCCAGGCAAGTGTAACCCAAACAAAGACTAGAGCCGCACCCTGCAGCACAATGAATATAATAAACATTTCGTAGTTGAACTGAATTTTGCTATACGGCGCAACAACACATGCTTGGGTGTAGAAATCCGGTGGGAGCGAATCGATCATTTCTCGCAGCTGCAGATCCAAATTTCCGTAGTTGTTTCCATTGAACAGCCAGTAGGGGAAAGCGAGAATTGACTGAAAGCTCTGCATTAGGAGACCTTGAGTGGACGGTGAGGCAAGCTGGGTTTGAGATGTCCAGAAGCTCTGTATAATCGCAGATGGTGGTGGTATATTGGAGGCCGTATAGTTGAGGAGCCAAGTTAAGGCTAACTTGTAAGAAGGCAGGTCTAGGTCTACCAGCTGTGTTGGCTCCGATAATGAATTGGTGGACACAATGCTGAAGTTGGCTAAGCCTGCTAAAACGGACGCATGACGACTGAATGCCATCATCGACGTTGTAATATTGGGTACTGAAAGCGCGCTGTCTACTTCGCAGGTACCATTGGCCATGCCGTCCGGGCAAATGAACAAACCGGCGTTCAAAGTTCCAGCGTTACTCTTGTCCATTGAAAGACACAGGCGTGCTGCGATTGAGCTAGCGGGCGAGCCAAGAATGCTGCAATCCGTAGAGGAGAAGCGATGATAATCCGACAGTGACGTATATTCAAGTTGAATGGACGGGACATCGTGGATCTGAACGAGGGGGAAAGATGAATCCTCCAGGGATATCCATGGCGTTACCATTTCAAGGCCACCACTCAACAGGTAGGAGTAACAGTTATTTCCTGAACAACGAATAGGATCCGTGAGACTGGAGAACATGGGATTGATGACAAGGTTATAAACAGGCGCGTAGTAGCCGTAAGGTAGAACCTCGTAAGGATACCCTTCTTGAGTGCCCTGTAGAAAGTCGATGAAAGGCTGTACATAGGACCCTTGGAAGGACCCAACGCCTGCAGTGACATTATGTATATTCAACGTGTCATATATTACGTCCTGTGAGGTTTGCACTGCGGCATAGGTGAGCAGACTGTCAACATTCTTTGGACTTGTAGGGACTTACGAAACAGCACTACTGTAGAAAGCCATAGCACCAGACCGAGGCCGCCTCTTAACAGGAGGGTCAGTTCCTGTTCTATCCAAAAGTGGTTCGATCAGTTGATACCTTAGAAAAGCCCAAAACCTGCTTGAGAATCTTGTCTCGAGCGAGCCGAGTAGACTCAGCATTCCAAGCGGGCCCGTCGTTGGTGACAAGGCTAGTAGACTCGTGAACGGCAGCCCCATTTCTCTACCCATGAGGCTCCACTGAATCACTTCGAATGACATACTCAAGGACATTGCGGTCATTGTGGAGAGCAGCGCCTGTAACAGGCGAAGCATGGCAAGCATGAAACTGGCATCTAGCTTATCAAGGCTGTCCAGATGCGCATTTTGATCCGATCGACCCTTCGCATTGAAGGTGGCCTGTACGAAAACAATGATTATGCTGAAAAAAGCAGAGTTGATGACGTTCAAAAACAAAAGTAATCCGGTATTGGCAAGGCGATACGATTTCGGTTTGAGTGTGTCCATAGGGGGCTGTTGGCAATGGTCAATGCCACTGCCGATCATTGTGATTAGGACGGCCACTGGTCTCTTTCAGTATGAATTTTTTTTTGAAAGGTTATAACAAGGTAATCTTGCAGTTATCACGCCTGCCATATGGACAAGAGCGCAAGAAGGATTACAGCCCTGTGTTTCAAATATAGACATCGTCGGTGTGGTAACACCTCTTGCATATTACGAGGGACTCCACGGTCTTAGCCGCGTCTCAATAACCAATAGGAAAACTCGCCTGTGGAGAGCTGTTAGATTGAAATGCGTAGCCGCTGTAGAATCATGCAGCGGCAGTGGCTGTGCTTCAGCTCTATTTTGGGGGCGGCAAATCACAGCCAATCGCTACCCATGTTCCTCGTTTCTGGGCGCGGCAGATCCATGCCTTACCCTTCCGGATTTGCTTTTTCTATCAAGGCACCGACCAACCGAGATGGTCTTTGTATTGGGGGTGTTGCTGACGCTTCTCTGGATGGTTACGAGCCTTGTCTCCAAAGACAGTACATATCAGGGAATCTGTGCGGGAAAAGAGTGTCATGATTCCTCGTGAGTCTAATACTTCGGTCGCCTGAGATCATGTCTATTCGTTCGTTGGTCTCTGGGGCCTTTCTGGCCCTGACAGTCAGAGCACAAGGTCCGTGGAAAGCTTTCAATTCGGAAAAGAGAAACATTACTGACTTGCGAACATGAATAGTTCAAAACTCCAGCTGTGCCACTGATTGCCGAATACTGATGCCGGATGCCACAGTATGGATGTGGACACCGGATGAACGCTGGGGGGCGTATGACAGGACCATCTCCGATGTAACCGCAATCGCTACAGTGATCACAGTCATAAACACCGCACTTGACGTCACCAGCACAATTACCAGTTTCCCATCTGGATTCATCCCACCGGAAACGAATGCGGGAGGGACACGCGTTAGGACTATCACATATACTCGATCTTCCAAGGCCAGCGTTACCATCGTGTAAGTCAAAGTGATATCCTATTACACAGCATAGAGCCTGATGATTCTAGCGCGTTTCCAACCCCATTCATTGCGTGGCCAGACGAATACGGCTGGGATGGAACACTCGATATCCGCAACGGGAGTAGCACCCAATGTTCCACGGGCACCAAAGATTCTGGTCGGCCCTACGGGCCAACAACGAGAATCACCACCAATCCGCAGCCGACATCAGGATCTCTCTTTCCAAAAAATGTAACGGATCCGAGTGGACTCTCATATGACTTTATCCCTGCAGGCGTTGAACAAACTCTATTCGAATCGTGGAACCGGGTCGTGGAGCTTTTTCCTGATCAACAGGCGATAAATGTCTGTAGACCTGGTGGGGCTGGCCCAAACCTGGGAAATTTTGTCGCAACACGATGGCTTACGACAAATCATGTGAGTTATGATGACTCAATGACTACTAGCAGTAAGGCTGGCCCCCATCTCCTAGTTTGTCCACCGTGAGCCGACCGATTCCAAGCCAGTATCGGATGGGCACTACAATGTTATGGTACATAAACGGCCACTGGAATAGTGTCTAACTCTTTGGATATAGGAAAGTCAGCCGAGGAGACCTCTCAGCCTAGCTCAACGGCGGCGGCCAACACAGACAATGCAAAGTCGAGTACCCCACCTACCGGTGCTATGCACACACAACCAGCTTCTTTAGTAGTTACATCTACAAACAACGGTGGATCAACTATCTTAGAGACCTTCGCGGTCCACACAGCCTCGCTCTCTTCAGTTGTCACTACTACAGACGATATGGACTTGCCAGTCACCAGAACCATCGCAATACCAGCATCGTTGGCCTTTGAGGTCATTACGACGACCGACAAGTTTGGGTCGAAGAGTATGTACACTCTTGCTACATATGTACCGTATTCATTACCATCTTCGGTGATCACAACCACAGATGCAGCTGGTGCAAGCGTAACAACAACTGTAGCAGCAACGCCAACGGGCACGACTAGACGAGAAAACTCTCCAAGTTCTATTGTTAGCTCCTCAGGAAGTTCTCCGAGCTCCCAATTCGGGGCTCCCATGGCACAGCACTCATGGTATTTGTTTATTTTGCCGGCAGTCGTACTCGTGTTGTCTGTGTGCTTCACACAGTAGTTCGAAAGCCCTAGAGCACTTTGAGGAGGTTATACCTCAAGTTCGCGCCCAAATATAATTTGAGTACCCTTGCGATCACTTCCAATAGTGCTTTGATCATACCATGTATCCAATATCCATATATTAGCGTATATCAATGAATTAATGGATTCCCAGTGACGAGTGCTTGTTATGTGCTCTTGATTCCCACACTACATTGCAGTCAAAATTCCTTTGGGGAGATCAGACCCTAGTCCGGAAATCGTACACGAACCGAGCAAGAAGCATTTTCTATGGACAATGGAAGAAATGGCTCTGACCAGAGCAGAGCCACAATCTGTGAGACCCGCAGCTAGCCGCAAAGCCATAAGCCAAGACTATTTGGACTACTACGAAAGTCTTGTGATAAAATCCGACAACCAACTTCCTAAATAGTCAACAAAGAAGTCTCACTGTAGAAATCGCTTCCAGCTTTGAGAGTGGTATCGCCTAACGTGCCGACCAGTGGATAACGTGCCAACCAGTGGACATCAGGGATCTATCTCGGGAGCCGGTGGTGGCTTTCTTGGACAAACCACCAGTTGGCAACTCGAAACAACAGCAACAAATGGCAGAGAAATTGTGCTTAAGCTGGGGTTTTCCGTAATCAAAGCTGTTACATTAGTTGATAATGCGACAACACGGATACAGATATGTCAATTTCGGGCCGAATAGTCGATCTCCCTTTGCACTGATTTGCGAACCAATCTAAGGCTTGACTCAGATTCTCCATAAACCATACACCATGCAACCTTCCAGGTCTGATGCATGTCTACAAGATACGGTAAGCGGGTATTGACCGACTTCGTACCGGGGAATAAGTGAAAGCCTCGCTGATGAAATAAGTAATTAACTGGCACTCCAAACCGTTGATTCTGCGGAATGGCCTTGATGGAGCACCTTAGGCTGGGTTTTGCAGTCACAATGCTGGGTCCTCTTTTGCCATGCACCAATATTGTCAAGACAGCAGCCGACATAGCCATACCATGTCGCGAATAAGCCGACCGATAGCCGTGTTTCTGTCGTTATGCGGGTCCGGAAGTCGGCAGGCTTTAGGCGAGCGCAGAGCAATGCTGGTGACCATGGGTCATCCATCAATGTACTTGAATGGGGCAACTTCTGCTCCGCTCAGCAGGAGCCAACAACCATAGGGTGATTTGCAAGCAACGTATGGATGTTTTTAATACAAAGCCGCATTGGGTAATCGGATTGAAAAGGGAGAAAGCCAGCTCCTGCATGCGCCATTAACGCGCCATTAACCGATCACATTGGGCACCACGAAGAAGGCATCTCGATTCTAGCCTCGAGTACAGGACTACCAAGACAGGGCGATAGGCTCAGTGTAGTAGAGCGCCCAGGTTCGCTTCGAAGCCGCATGGTTCGATTTGCATGTTACCTTCTATGTGATGAACGACAATGGCGGATACGGTACTCATTCTCAAGCAGGGGGCTCAATGCGGGGAGTTAATCCTAACATCAATATTACGCCGTTGTATTTAGGGGGGCTTCTATAAGCCTCCCACTGAAAGAACGCCACGAAATGGACGGGATGTCAACCATTCAACAACTGACTACAGACGAGTCGTTCTTTAATATTCCCCACATTTCAGCTTCACATGTTATGCAAGCTGCACACCATGGTCGCTTCATCCTCCTATTGGTCCCAACACCAGCGTTGCATCAAGATCTCTTTTCCTTCGATTTCGTCGCCTAATCTAGCAGGTGGTCCTTACAATCTCAATGGGCATGTGTATTGGCTTCGAGTTCAGACCTTCCAAACAACCTTAGGCCTCCGTCGGTAAGCCATCCGCCACGACATTTGGCAGCACAAGGGCGATGCTCCATCAAGGCCGCGCATTTCGGCTGCGCAGTTCGTCTGAGTGAGATTGCCAATCGTCAGACTGAGAATGCCATCCAATGGGTCCTACTACATCCGTAGGCTAGACATGGACTCCTGGACAGAGCAATACGACCAAAGGACGTAAACGATCAGCATGCTTTCGCCAGCCCTACGCGTCTTGGCCGATGCCAGAGATTTCCAAAAAGAGCGTAGCGAGGATCAGCCTGAAAACCCTCTCCATCTCGAAATATTAAGTTGGATATACCCGCGATGCTCTTCAGCATATGCCTCCACATATAACCATCACCTTTGAGGCCAGGCGTTCTCTTTTTCCGGTTCCGTCATGCTGCCGCTCGCTTTTCTACTACTATCGACTCTGCTCGGAGCCGTCTCAGCATTTCCTAAGGGTCTCCGGCTCCGATCCGAGTCTGATGCTGTTCCAGTACCACCAAAGCAGGATCCATGGTACACAGCGCCGGCTGGCTGGGAAGCCGCGGCTCCTGGAGATGTACTGCGTGTGCGGAGTGCTCAAGGATATCTCGGTTCATCAATCGATAATGTCGGATCCGCGTACAACATTCTCTATCGTACCACAGGCAGCCGTTATCAAGCCTCATGGGCTGTGACGACCCTCCTTGTGCCCAAAATGCCTGCAAGCACCTACAAGGCTTTGCTTTCGTATCAGGTCCCCTATGACTCCGCCGATTTGGACGCTGGTCCAAGCTATACCTTGTCGGGCTTGGTCAGAAACGGCCATACTCCCGCAAACTGCATATCCGAGATAGAAGAGTCTCTCAGAATAGGCTGGCATGTTACAGTACCAGATTATGAAGGTAACCTTGCTTCATGTAGGTTACGCGACCAGAGGTTTACCGGCATCATTGCTAATAAAATGAAGTTATCGCTGGGGTCATGTCTGGTCATGCAACCCTGGATGCGGTACGAGCATCTCTGTCCTCAGATCTTGGTCTTCCTGGGCTTTCTGGTGCCCGCCTAGGCATGTGGGGATATTCTGGCGGTGCGTTAGGAAGTGAATGGGCTGCCGAATTGCAGACTCAGTATGCGCCAGAGCTTAACTTCAGTGGAGTCGCTATAGGAGGCTTGACTCCTGACGTTTTCAACGTCTTCAACACCGTCACCAAGACATACAGTGCAGGACTCATACCGCCAGGCGTTGTTGGACTTTGCAGCCAATTTCCTGACGTAGAAGATTATCTGTTTGCCAAACTGAAGACCACTGGCAAGCAGAACGCAGCAAAGTTTCTCTCGGTAAGAAACTTAACCCTCAGCCAAGGGGCTCCCAAGTTTGCTTTCGAGAATATCTACGACTACTTCACGGGCGGCATTGCCGATTTCTTAGATCCTAAAGTTATGGCCGTGATCGATAGTGATGGAAAGATGGGGTATCACGGTATTCCTCAGATGCCGCTCTTCGTTTATAAGGCGATCCAAGATGAGATCAGTCCGATCGGCGACACAGACGCCCTTGTCCAAAAATACTGCACCGCTGACGCTACCATTGAGTATCAGCGTAACACACTTGGTACGCACAAGGACGAGCAAGATAACCAGAGTGCACAAGCGTTTGCTTTCTTGAGCAAAGCTCTGAGTGGGACGTATACCCCACCCACGAGTGGCTGCAGTGTCAAGAACGTGACGATAGGGGATCCAGGCGATTTAGGATTGTCTACGAGGACGCAATCATAGAAGTTTGGGGAATTTCATGAGTTGTGTCATCAAAAAATGGGACTTTAGGAACGGGTGCAAGATTTTCAGACTCATAATCCCACATACTATGTAGGAGGACCTCTTACAAACCGGCAGAGAGATAAAATTTTATGAACATAGACAATCAGCGTGTCAAATAATCCGTGAGTGAGTGGGTCATGGAGCTAGCCTGGCACATGTGCTAACACATGGACTGGCTTTACAATTCACCAATCTCTAGTAGAGATATTCAAACCACAACTGTCAGGAACTTCTTCAACGAGTTCCGATCATCTCACGTTATAGTGGAACTTTAGTCACGTGGGGTAAGCTTCCCGGCCTATTTGGCCCTAGTCTCAGTTAAACTGCGGTCGGGTTTGGTACGTACCGAGGCAATAAGTTCCTGTGGCTCAGCAAATAGGCACCAAAAACTGGTACTTCTCAATCTTGCAGCTCACGATGAAACCCAAATCTCATATTTGACATGCTCGCTTCATGGTGGGCTGCAAGAGCCACCTTTCGAACGTAATCCACATGGCAGAACCGCCATCCTATGCAGCGGCGAACATCTCAGATCCACGCTCGCAGATCCACAGTGCGGAACTGCCTTCTTTCACGTTGGACAAAACACTGGTCTTCCCTTCAGGGCCACCAGCAGTCGCAATGTACAAGGTCAGCCGCGATCCACGCGACATACAGAGCCATGGTAGTTTGGAAGTGGGCAGACTGCACTACAGGTTAACTTCGACCGGCGGTGAGGGGAACATCCGCCAAAGTCGGACAAGCGATCTATACCAAATCCTGCCCAGCCGGACGCCTCACTACCTGTACATTGGTCAGCGAACGGAGGTGCTGCTGTTCGGGAAAGGCTCTAGACGTGCCACTTTTGAGGAGGCAACCATGATTCCCGGATGGGGAACTGGGAACTGGAAGATCCCGGGCTTCTTTCGCGTCAAGCGAGGATTGCGGAGCAAAATGAGCGCAAAGGGCGAGACTCGCTGGTTAGACTGGGCGACTAGGAAGGTCGTGGCTGTAGAAAAGAAACAGGACTGGCCAGGTTATCGTCGAATATTGCCCACGCTGGAAATAAGAGTTGATCTTGGGGACAAAAGCACGAACTTGCTAATCTCGTGTTGGGTCGCTAGGCTGTGGAGGGAATCAGAATAGGAATGCCGCAAGTTGAGAGTCAATGATACCTTTAATGTTTTGTCCCTTCCATCAATCGAACCCATTTTTCACTTTGTGTCAAGCGCTGTAGTGAAAACATTTCAACCCTATTCATTAGTGATACCAATTTTGAGTATTTACTTTGGTACGTTTGGAATACTCTGGAAGTAGAGTATGCTTTCGTTTCTCTAGTACACACGCACGGAATTTGATAATGATAGCAGCATGGCATTTCAGTACAATTCCAAATATTATAAAGCAATTGGCATTTTTGAAAAGTTTGGCCGGTAACCCGCATTGAATGTCGTACACGTAAAGCTTAACTCAAGTGAAGCGGATGCAACATCAAGGGAGTGCGCGCCCTTAGAAGACACACCCCTTCGTGTTCATAATTTCCACCTCCATATCGTTGTAGAAGGCATATATAGTCTTAATGACGTACAAACCTCCAGTTCGCATGCTTAACTTTTGTTCTCGACCACAAGGCAAATTGTCGAGACTCATAACACACTTCATGACATATTTGCGCAAGCCCTGCGTAGGTGATATATGTCCCATCTTCTGTGAGGTCTCTACATTGTGGCTCCGTTCTGTGGATCATATACTCTATAGAAATATGACTTTTTGTTAATGGCAGCCGCACTCAAAGCGCTATCATATGTCATAGCCATATCTCACAATATGAGATGCCAGACTCTTTTCACCGCATCAAAACGACCGGCTATTGCAAAGACGATCTCTGCACCATCCGAACGCCACTTGAAATTGACTCCCCAACCCGTAATGTAGGCTATTTGCCTTATAGCAACCCCAATTGGGAACGAGTAGGTGCCTGTCAGGACTTGTGGATGATGTACTGAAAGTTGTGAATTGCGGACTTGCAGCCAGTGGTCCTGCCCTCTCTTTCCTTGCAGCAGGACCACTGGTACCGGTACTCTGTCACTTCCCGGACTACGCGGCCGTTGTCCAGATCCTGCTTTCTGGAAGAAACTCTCTCGATCGAGCCTAGCGCACTATAAGCTATAGAACGGCGCTGTCTTATTCATACTTGGAAACTGACCAGGATGTGCGGGACAGGTAAAGCTCATGCCAATCACCAACTCTTTGCGGCACCGCCTGCATGCCCAGTGGCCATTGTCCGGAGTGGCCCTGTACTCTGGGTCGGTGATGGAGGCTTCTTCGATAAGTTTGCCAGAAATATTTTGGATAATCTGCCCCGGTGACAAACCATTGCTGTCTACGGCCAGCTGCATGATTAGCCGGCGCAGGTCGGTTGGTGACAGCTTTCTCAGCTTAATTTGAATGTCTGCGAGAAGTTCTATAGGGCATTAGGATTGTGATGGGGAGTGGCTTCGTCAGGGGCACGCACTCAACTTGGCGATATCTTGGTCACTCATTGTCTTTATAACTGGGCTCGACAGTACAGGTGATTGGATCGATGCCGTGTCGCAAGCAAATCCAGTGTCGCGTAGCAACGACGTAGTTAGAAAATTGGTGTTGGGATTAATTCCAGAAGGGCTGCGGGATCTGAAACACCTCGCGATAAAATACATATATGAATTGGAATAACATCCCAAGGACAATGGGATTGTCACGTTCAATAGAATGGTCACAATAAAGAACAATGGACGAAAAGCTCAATCTTGAAATATGCTATCAATCGAATGCACTGATTACGCCTTGGGTTACTTCTCTAAATTTCTGTCAAACCTAGAGTTCGGGAATGCTCCGATGACGCTACAAGAGAACACCTCGTCTTATAAGTGTAGGACTAATTCAAGCAGCCAGAAGTCGCCTACTTGGGTTTTCAATCACAGCCGCTCATTGTAAGAGGAATATGGTGATAGGCTCACGCTGTACTTTCCATATGCTTCTTCTTCATCGGATGCATCATGTCCCGACCGCCATGTGGGCAGCGGAGGATGATCCTGAGATGATGAGAAACAGGCGCACCGCCCTTGCTGGCTTGGATGCGGACACCACTTGGACTGGGCTGCATCGTCGTAGGAGAGGCTCTTCTGCACCTTGAACAGTATTTTGACTGGCACTTTCCCCGCTGCTGCCTCACCCCTCTCGAGGACGAGCACCACGTCCAGCTCATCGTCCAGCGCCATGCGGAGCTCGGCCGCAGGGGTTGAGTCGGGGAGCTCAAAGTCCCTTGGACCTTCGCCGTATCGCTTCCGTCGGAGGTACTCCATGAGATCGTCGGTGGGGGTTGGCTCGATATTCCAAGCAACCCGTTTGCTCGACAGGTTCACCCTCGCCCATGCGAAGGTGGACACACGCCCCGGACACGTGAGGACCCAGTAGCATTCGTAGAATTGCCGCCTGGAGCGGTAGTAGGAGGTGTGCTGAAAGTAATCGGCTATTCTGTAGCTGTTGTCGCTCGCCGCAGGGCACAACGATGCGGGCAACGCCTGCGGCTCGAGGCCGTCTCCGAGGCCGTTCACGAGGAGGTCTTGATCCTTGTTGAAAACAATGTAGCATTCCTCCTTCGGCCAATCTTGCACCTCCTTGTGGGGTACCAGTATATACTGGCTCATCTTCTCCGTGATGTTGCGGTCATCGTTGCGCGTAAGTAGCATGAGCACGACTGACAGTCTGTCCCGTTGGGGGGTCCAGTCTAGTTTGCCAAATGTGCCTTGTCGAGGGTAGAAGATGGTGGTTCCATCTATCTTATCTTCTCGACTGGCTAACAAGTTTAATGCAGCCAGGGTGACGTAAGGGTCGTGGCCGGAGGTGCCATGCTCAAATTCTATTTTCAAGTTTGAGTTGTTCCGAGCAACACGCATCACTGGTAGATTGATCTTCAAACTGGGTCCGTCGTGGTGGCTGTCATAAACAAAGCGTGGATTACCTCCGTTCCGATCTATGATAGGACTGAAAGCAACTCTGTCCGAGAAGTCCTGCGGCGACCTGGCAATTGGCTTGTTGCGAAAGTAGAAACTATCAACCAGGAAAGTCATGTGTAGGTCGAACGCAAGTAAGCTATGATCCTCAGTTGCCTGTAAGATATGCTGCTGCAGGCGCAGAAATGCCTTGTCGCCCTCGCCGTAGATCAAGGGCATGTTGACGTCGAATATTCCCAGCAGGCTGTAGGACACATCTTCGACCCTGGTGGCGGTTCGGCTACATGCCCACCACATTTTCGTAGCGGCTGATATGGATCCCAATGATATCGTGTGGTTGAGAACTCCACTGTCAATCCCAGTGGACTCCGAAAGCTGCTGTGTGAATCCTTTTTTGCTGCCTAGATAACACCACGAAGCCCCAAAGAAGTGTACCACGAGAGGTGCAATCAGCTCCTGGAGGGTCCAAGACCGGTAGAACCATCGAATCGGCTGTTCGAAGCCTTTTTCCTTATCCTCTAGGTCTAAACCAGGTTTGATGAACGTCAGTATCCGCTTGAAATCCGCGCGGTTTGCAACATCACTCAAGTATGCGTAGCAAACCATTGCACGCCTGTACCACTTGACTGCAGCATAATAAGTCAGCAACTTTCCCGCGCCTCTGGCGCTCCAGACTTCTCAAAACGGGTAGTAAAAGGGTCCAGCTTGCACATACACATAGAGTTGATAGACTCCGAGAGTTCGGCGCTCGAGCTCTTGTCGATGCAGCACGTATCGATCCAGACCCAGTCCCAGGCATCATTGCGCGCCTGTTCGCAGCACCGCTCGACCTTGGACCAGCCCTTTTTTCGACGAGCAAGGTCTAGGTTTCCCATGTCCTGGAAGAGAACCTCATCGTCCTCCCAGGTGTGAGACAGGATGGCATAGGGCGGGGTGTTGGAGCCGATGAAGTCCTTGAGAACGAAGGTCTTGGTGTCGAGGAGGCGCATGATAGCTTCCGGGTGTAAGGTACGCCAATGAGTCAGCTTGGAATCAGCGCATGGATCTTTACTTCTGCATAGTCAATTTTTACTACCGGAAGCATGGTGGACCAGGATCCAGGGCATCAGTGAACCGTAATGTTGAGAGAAGCGCTCAAGTTCAGCCGCAGCCTTACTTGGTCTCTCTCATCCAATCAGCATCATCTGAGCTCGAGGCCACTACCACTCAGCCGCAAGCCATCCAAGGCCGAGCCATACCGAAACACAACCCACGTGACACACCCATGTTTCGCTCACACCCAGGAAACTCTTCGATGACCCGAGGGCGATCATTCTTCTCCTTGAGAAAAACGGCATACTGGACGGACGGCACGGCACAAGAAGCACAGACAAAGTCCTGCCCTCGGAGCGGGTGAGGCTTCACGTGGACGCGTATTTACCCGGCCAGGCGAAAAAGCATTCTGCATCCGACGGGCCCAAGCTGCTAAATATAGAGTCCCGGATATGCAGGTTGGAGCGCAAATTGAGTGTGCAAGTCTGGTTCGGGTCGTCTCGTGATGGCGATCAGGGGTTTGCGTAGTGTTGTGCAGCGTTCGGATGGAGGATGCTTGCCCGGATTCGGTAGGTTGTGCTGGGCAGGTGAATCGGATCTGGTTCATTTGCTATGCATGGGCTATGGCTAATGGTGGTTCTATGACGAGTCGAATAGAGAGAGGGGATGCCGGAAAGAGAGAATTTGGTTCGTAACCTCCAATTCGTCGGAGTTCAATAAGACTACCTATCTATAGCTCCCATACCCTACCCTCCAGCACGCCAACTTCGGGCAGTGCGTACATGACGGTCGAACACCCAGTCGGTGCGACATTATGAAATAGGGGCCGGTTTTGATTACCGCCACAGGCGGCATCGAGGCCAGCCAGGTGAAATCTCCAAAAGCCCCCCCGGAGCAATCCTCGTGGGGACGCTCTGGACAAAGTATTGATGTTTGGTTATGATGACAAAAGAAAAGCGGGATATCATGAGGCCCCAAATCCTACAGAAGGATGGATGAACGCCGAAAAAGCAGAAAAAAAGCAACCTAGAACCCCGGATCTATGCCCCTTTCATGCCAATGAGGGATTGATTAGAACAGAGAAATGTCTCATGATGGCGTCGTCAATGTGCGTGAAAGCCAGCAGCGAGCTGGATGAATGCTGTTGTAAAAATGCGATGGTCTTCTGGCAGTCGTCCTCCACTTTCCTCTTATCTCGACATGCATGCTTTGGCTACCACGGGCCAACCCGCACGGGGGCGCCGTAGGTACCCGAGATGAGCTCGTCCAGGATGGAGCTCTGTTGCGGCTGAGTGCCCGACGCACCTGAGCCGTGGGGACCGCCGACCCATCCAACGTTTGATGCCATGGCGCTCATGGCACTGCCGAGCCGTCCTCCAGACTGCTGGTGATGCTTGTTCAGGGTCTGGTCCCAACCGCCGGAATGCAGAACGAAGCCACCGCCCTTCTTTGCCGCCTCGTTGATGACCAGTGCCCAAGCTCTCGAGATTTCGTCGTAGGCGTTCTCCTTGTGGTGACGGTAGCTGGTGCTGTCCCAGTCGGGCAGCTCGTGGATGACCTTGGTGGCCCCGTCGAGGTACTGCAACGAGATGTTGGCCTGGGCCTCGTTGGGCGGGAGGTACTGGGGGGTGAAGTCGGCCAGGGCCTCGAGCAAGCTCATGAGCGGGGCTTTGACTCGGTAGTATGCGTAGTCCGAACTCGTCTCTCCGTAGGGAAACGCGGCCCGCAGCTTCTGCTGGTACTCTCCCAGGACGTGAAAGGCGGCAGCAACGGATGGGCGGGGTGCGCTCTTGACAACCTCCTCTCCAATCTCGGGCTGGCGCTCGCAGATCTGTTGGAGCACACTGCGTAACGACGCAGCATCGAGGGTCTCGAGCAGTCGGGGAAGGGCCAGCGGGCGGCCGGCGATGTCGTTGGCCCGGATCTTCTTCATCGGGCGGGACAGCTGGCGGTTCTGGAGGGCGGGAGACGAGGCGGGGGAGACGGACATCTCGTCGATGTCATCATCGGCTTTTCGCTTGCGGTTGGTGGCCATGTTGGTATTGGTGTGGAAGGGGGACACTGTTGGTAGCGGGTTTGTTAGCGCATGCTCTTCTCTTTGTGTTTGCGTACAGTGCTGGTCGCTGCAGGCTGGTGGAGATGTGCGGCAGAGCGGCGCCGGTCGAGGCGGAGGGGGCTCGACGAGTCCGGCTGCATGGGAATTCATCGAGATGAGAAGCAGAAGCGGCCTCGGCGTCGGCGCTCAAAGGTGGAGGAGGCATGTAGGAGGAGGGAGACATACTGGATCGGGATGGAGAGCGTCGGGTGGAATCGTGGGGGTGCGGGAAGAAGGGCGGCTGTGGCGACAGCAGGACGTTCATCGTGTCTGTCGCCGGTGGAGATGAAGATGGACAGGCGCCGTCTTTCCCAGCTACCGGAGACCGATGCTGCTGGCGTCGAGGAGCAGATGCGAGCGAAAGAGAGGCGAGGTCGAGTTGTGGTTCTGCTTTTGTGGTTGGTGGTGCACCGTTTTGGACCTTGGCCTGGATCGAATCAGGCACCGTTCGGCGTCGCTGTGTCGTTGCCTTTTCGTCGAGTTGCTTCCCTCCCTTGTGTGCGTGACGGATGACCTGGATGGATCGAGACTCTGCGCAGACGGCAGTCAGAACGTGGGCGGCGTCGACGCAAGGGGGAGAGGCTCTCGGTCGGGCGGGATGGGGAACTCGTAGAATGGAGGAGAGTTGTCGGGTTTAGGTTGGCGAGATGTGAATGCGTGGGTGGAAAAGAGCATCTGGATCCGGATCCGCAAAGTGCATGCGTGTGTTTTGGTCCCATGTGGGTTCCGGGCGCTGGGCGCTGGGGCTCGGGGGCTCGGGGGCTCTGGCGCCCTCGTCGCTGGTGGTTGCTGGAGAGGCAGAGAGGGTGGGAAAAAAACAACCAAGCGAGTGGCCCGTGGCCCGTGACCCGTGTGGCCCCCCTACGTCTACGATAGTACTGCCTAGGTAATGTTCCAGTGCCTGGCAGCCAGGCAGTCCGCTGGTTGGATGGTTCTCAGTCGTCGACCAGTTCCCCCCCAGCACCCAGTGACCAGTCAGACCCCGCCACAGTCACCACCACCATCACATTGGATACCCCAGTGCTAGCCACCTGGGCAGCTAGGTGGCTCACCTAGGTAGCGGCATACCTGCCTGGCTTGCATCCATGGATGTTCCTCAGACCTCAGAGATGCCTCGGACGTCACTCTCAAGTCGGTCCAATCGCACTCACTCATTCAACCCTTTGCAGGCATGTGTGCGAGGAGACTCAGCTCACATTTCGAGCGGGCCAGTTCGGGACGCCCGCTCGCCGTCCATGACCTGATACTGCTGGCTGTACCTGCTTTTGCTGTGACCAGTATCGCAGCTCCACGAAGCTCGGCGCCGGCTGGGCAGTAAGCCCTCCTTCTTATTGTTCCAACTAAGCCGACGCAGTGACGAACGCCTGCGAGCGGCCTGCAATTTTGGGCAGGTTGGCTAACGGCGGGGGAATCTGGTCTAGGGTACTCGATGACAGGGACATCGCCTCGCAAATAGGCGGTCAGCTCACCACCCCCTCGGCCAGCCAATTCCCTCAGATCCTGCAAGGCCCGGCCTCAGGAATGCCTGCCCCGGTCGACAACTCAGGCGCCCCTCTGCCCTCTGACTGGTGAGAACGGCCCTGGGTGGTCACTGGTGGCTGTGTCGACGAGCGCCCACCCCTCCCCTCGCCTGCATCGCTATGAATTCATGGCATGGGGAATGGGATGCCGCATCATGAGCTTGATCCGTTCGTCAACGGGGAATGTGGACTAGGTTGCAGCGACAAGTCACACACCACCCAGACATCGTCACATTTCAAGCAATCAGGGCCCTGGAGTCATTAACTGCGGATCCTCGACACTTGCCATCCATGTCTCGGTGAATCAACAAACAGTCAAAACGAGACGACTCTCCGTCGTTGCTTCCCTTCGTCCATCACCTATCTGCGAGACAGACTGACCCTGAGAGCTACCAAGCTGCCGACCTTTTGCTCGTCCCAACTCAGCAACCCAAGCTTAACCCGGCTGGCTTTGGACCGCATGACTCTCATCGGCTGCCGTCCGATCACAACTCCACCCATGCTTGACATGCTCGCCAACCGGCAACCGGACTGAGGCAGCAGCAGTGAGGTCGCCAACCGGGTGGGTATCTGCCAAGCTTTTTGGTGGGGCCCCTGACGACAAACCATGTGGCATGCCCTATCCACCCCACGGCATCACCCGTCGGCCAAGACAGAGCTGCGGTGTTGTGTCTGGCGACAGCGGCTGAGCGCCGGCCGGACTATAGGAGCCATAGCCCTCCGTTCAGAGGATTCTTGACCAGGTGCCGGGAAACATTCAAGCTTATTTGCAGCCTTTCGTCAACTGGCTTACACAGAGAGCAGCCAGCGACCCTGTACCATTCACGTAGCAGGCATTCTTTCTGTGTGACCCGCACCCAAAATTGAAAGGCATAATTGTCGACCCCCAAATCGCGAGTGGCAAGGTAGGGTAGCCCTGATTTTATTCCAGACGATGGTTGCACAATTTGGTCGCTCATAGGCTTGTTTCGCCCCTTAAATACAGCTGCCCCCATCCCGAGTCTACATGGTCAGCCATTCTAGCAATAAATATCGTAAGAATAGATCGTTCGCAGCATGCTGTGTAACGGGGCCAACAGACCCGATCCAACCGTACACCAAAATCGTACTTCGATCGACCAGCGTGTATGCAAATCGGGGCTGAGCCTTGGTCAAAGTGCCATAAGGCTGAGGACACCGGGCAGCTTGAAATTGGCGATGGAGGACTCACATATATATTGTTCTTTCGACCCGAAAGGGGGGAAAGATCGAGGACAACACTTCTATTCTTAGCTGATATAATTGAATGCAATTTTAAAACGGCGTACACTCAACCAAGCTTTTGGAGTAAAGAGATTCGACACCGGCTGCACTCATCGATGGACCAACCACAGTATACTCCCCTGAGCCCTTTGAGTAGTGCTCAACATGGCACTCGTCAAACAATCCAGTCCACAGTTGAAACACCTGTCTCCCCTCTAGAGGACTCTGGGAATGCTTCGCAACTAGGTGACCAGTCCGTACGACGTGAGCAAATCGTGCAGCCCTCGGGTCAATGCCTCCCTTGTTCGGTCTCAGCATTCAGTCTCAACCCCTCCGTGACCGAAGGAGAGGACTCACAGCCATCCAGCTCGACACCTAGAAAGACGATGGAGACCCGGCACGTGAATAGGCTCATGCCTTGGTGGTGGTGGTGGGAGATCACAGCGATGGTTCTCAGTATCACCAGCATGTGTGCCATAGTAGTTCTACTCGCCAAAGTCGACAACATCCCGCTTCAAAGCTGGTGGCTCCCCATCCAGCCCAACTCGGTCATCGCCATCCTGACAACAGTCGGTAAAGCAGCTTTGATGGTTCCTGTAGCTTCCTCCATGAGCCAACTGAAATGGATTCACTTTCTACTTCGCCCCAGGAGGCTCGTGGATCTGCAGCTCTTCGACGAGGCTAGCAGAGGGCCCTGGGGCTCGGCTGTGCTCCTCTGTCGTCTATTCTTCCGCCCCCGGGTATTTGTAGCTCTGGGCTTTGCCTTTGTCACAATTGTCGCCATGGGTATCGATGCTACGGCCCAGCAGGTCTTGGATTTCTCTCTCCAAGAGACTGCATTGGACAATATGACGACCCCTTTGGGCGTCGCAAATAACTATTTCTCAAAGGGATTCATAGAGAAACCTGGTTCTTGTGAGCATCATTCCTTCGGGACTGCATCATGCTGACTCCACACTAGCATTTATTTGGCAGCCCAATGTTGACCTCATCAAGATACAATCCGCCATACTGAACGGAGCGAGTGGTTCACCAGCGACACCCTACTTTGACTGCCCCGAGCCGGCGGAACGGTGCAGCTGGGAGCCGTTTACAACGCTGGGGGTTTGTGCTGACTTCAAGAACATCACTGAAGAAATCACCCCTCTTTGCGTAAGGAATTCACATTCCACAGGCATGAACTGTACCTATACCTCCCCGGAATCACTCACTGGCCAGGGCGAACCCGATTCCATCACTATGCACTGGGACCCGGAGTTCAACGGTTTGGGTGAGGCGATGTTGTTTCAATCAGTGTTCAAGGGTCGTTGGCTTGATAGTCCCGCCTTGATCGGCTCCATCATGACTGTGAAAGCCTTAAATGATGGCGCACCCAACGTCACGAAAGAAGGATATGTGCCCCCACCGGTAGATATTGGTTTTGGGGTCGTTTCATGGTGTGTTCAGACCTTCCACAATGTGACTGCAACACCGGGTCGGATCAATCCAGGGACAATGACATCTGAGCGCCTGGGGACCATGGAGGCTCTCGTCAACGCGCTGGTGCCTGAGAATAAGATGGATGCAACATACTACCGATATCACGTAAACTCGACGGGCGCCAGCTATAACTTATCCCGGATGGTCACAAATACCTTGCCCCATTTTCTCGAATATGTGTGCACCGCCACCATTCAGCATCAAATATCCCAGCCTACTGCCGATAATGATCGGCGCATTCAGCTAGCTTACACGTTTTATCAGAGCGATATCGTGGGGGTGCTTCGCAACATCAGCAATGCCATCACCAACCAGATGCGTAGCAGTGATCCGGGCGACAACTACAACGCCACCGCAATCCAGGGCAAGGCGACGTTCAACGAAACGTACATCCGCGTCCGGTGGCCGTGGATGATCCTTCCGCTGGCCGAGATGGCCCTTGCCGCCGTGCTGCTGGCCATCTCTATCATCATGTCGCGCCACCAACCGTTGCTCAAGACGAGCGTCATTGCGTATCTAACATCAAGGCTAGAAGGATGGGCGGACGAGGAGCTGGACGTAGGGGATTCGAAGCGATTAACGCAGGAGAAGCTGGAGGAGCTGGCGGAAGGACTGAGGGCTCAACTTGAGGCGAACTCAGAGGGGCGGCTGGCGTTCAGGAGGAAGGAAAAGCTCAACTAGACAAACACTAAAATCGTGAACTTCAATTCGAACTATGTTTGGAGCATGCGGTCGGAAACAATGGCTGGTACTCAATCGTGGCGGAGGTGTTAGACACGTCAAAATCGATACTGAGAACGTTTCTTAGGAAAAGTCAACATTAGCCCTATTTACAGTATCATCCTGAGCCTACGATTATCTATGGACTGGCTCGCAAACTCTCGAAGGCATACGAAGGTACCCGACAGCACCAAATTTTCCTTGACCTTCTTCGTTCCACATGGCCTCAAGACACGAAATCTCCCCTCAAGAAATTGTCCCTCCTGCGCAAATCCTAATTACCGCGCAGTGAGACCAGCCCCTCTAAACCCTTTTTGTTCCCCTTTTTTTTCTTTGTTTGTGTTTTTCCCCTTTTTTTGCGTTTTTCCTTTTCTCTCACTTCTTCTCTCTCTCTCTATTTCGCGCGCGCGCGCTCGCCACCTTGGTAAACCAAACAGCGCCTCCCAGCTTCTCCTAGATTCTTGTCCAAGCTGCGCACAACTAGTCGTCCAAATGAAGGTTGTCAATACCCTTCCTCAGCAGGCTTACTGTCGTACTGCGACTGCTGGTCCGTGCATGGGCTGACGCATTGTCGCCCACCTCAGTTGGCTCCGAATTCGAATCTTGTCCATCTGAGCCACCAGGTGTTGATGATGACTCCGAAGAGGAGGATGTAGTCCTGGCATCCTAAGCCCATCGAGAGCCTCCGAGACCACCGTTCGCATGACTACGGCCCATTGCCCGGAGGTGGGGAGGGAGTTCCCTGACTTGATCGCCGGTGCTGGGGGTGTAGTCGTTGGTTTGAACAGTAGGTGGGCTGGACTCAGCAGCGGGGGCTGAAGTGACCGCTGAAACGGCCTGAGTAGTCGAACATTCGCCTTGGTCTGGCATTTCAGCCCGCTCAGAAGGTACATGAAGATGCCCATCGTTTGCCGGGGCCAGACCCAAGCGGCTATGTCGCAAGGGGCTTGATGGACGGGGTGAAGTCTGGCGAGATGATCCATGAGTAGGCTCGTCATTCGATAGGCCACTCTGCGTCTGTCTTGCAGAGACAGTGCCCCTCGAATGAGCAATCGAGCTTCGCACCGGACTGAGATGAGATGTTGTACGGCATACGAGGCGCGAGAGATCAATAAACTCATTGAGCAAGAGCACGGCAGGGGGAGCACGCCTTGCATGAGTCTCCAATTCCAATATTTGGAGAGGTGAATAGACGATTCGGCTCTGTCTCTTGAGCTGGCGCAGATTGGCGAAAACCACGGCTGCTGTCTGTAGTTGGTCTTCGTGGTTCAAGGATCGGAAGGTGGTATGGCGGGCAAGATGCATCACAAGCGTCTGCACGGCCGAAAATTCTTTGACGGAGCCCTCTCGATACATCTGCGTCCTTTCAATCCATTCAACCATGTCATCAAAAGTTCGAGACATGATTCGATAGTTGTAAGCTGTAAGGCTTGACAAGACAGTCATGGAAGCATGCGACAAGCCAATCCCAACCGGAATGGATTTCAGTTTGCTTGCATTGATGGCGCCCTTCTTATTTGCATCACATTGCATCACCTGCTGTCTACCAGAGGCGGGGCTCTCTCGGAGAGCGAGTGAAGGCTCTGATACCTCGTTGTCTTTGCTGGGCTCGGGCTGAACTGAGGGCTCTGGGGACTCGACCTTGATGGAGTTTGCAAGAGCTTCAGATGAAGCGCTGGAGGAAGATGCTTGGCCAGAGTTGTTTGGTCCATGGTTTACCACAATCTCGGGATCGAGTGCGCTGGTAGAGGCATGAGCAGGGTGATAAACAATTCCTTCGAGGTCCCTCGCACAAGATCGCCGAGTGGGCTCCGGAGAGGCCAGCGTTGTGTCAATCAGGACTTCGCTTTCAGTGCTAGGCACCAACGGTTCAACACTAACATGCTTCTTATTGGCATCAGACGAAAGATGAGGAGTCTCTGTGTCGAGAGTCTCTTCGGTCTTCTCAGCCATATAGTCTATGTCGGCATATGACTTGGATCTTCCGTCGGCCTGGTTGCGATCGAGCTGTTGGATCATGTTGGCGAGCACATCATCCTCAAGTCTCAGGACATGTTCGTTGTCGGTGGGCTCCTGCTTGACACTTGCTGTCTCTTGATCTTTGTTGCTGTCTTGGTCCTCTGAGATGGATTGAGCGCTTGCAAAACTCTTTACAGTGGCTTGGGGGGGGTTCGGGTCCTCCACCATGCTTTCTGCATCCATAGCATCCTCGAGGGGAGACAGAGTAGATATGTCGATCATGGCCGATTGCTTCGTGTCTTCAATTTCCTCAGCTGGGTAGCGTGGGTCAGAGGAATACGCAAACATGAGCATGAGGTCCTTGAGCAGCTTGACGAACTCGTCAGCTTGTGTCATACTCCCAAGTCGAACATTAGTGGCACGTATCGGCTCATCTGAAGCATCTTGTCGTCTCAAAAGGAGAGCGCTGCCAAGTTTGAAGATCGGGTTCACAATGGCTCGGGCGTCGTCTCGAACCATGTAACCATCCTCCAGTCTCATTTCCCAGATGCACACATTCTTCTGAGGGTGTTTGTACAAGAAAAGATTGCCGTCCTTTGTCCCAGCTGCTCTCGGGGACTGGATAGCACTCTCGAAGAAGACTGTGACATCAGGTGTGGGACGAATGCTGGAGCCACCCTGGGTGCTTGGTTCATCAGATCGGGGGGCAGCAGGGACTGGCGCCATGTCCTTTGAGGACTGCAAGGTGAGGTTTGCCATAGGGAGAGAGCTTGCAAGTGCTTTGGAAACAACGACAGGGGAAGAAGGGCAAAGATGGGGAGGAAGCCCTTGAGCGGTCTGGACAGGCCATGTCCTAGTACTCACCGAGGCAATCACGGGACTCGCGGCACGTTGAGAACTCGTCGTGAGGGACGCTGCAATACCACCAGCAGGACTCTGAGCTGATGCTGATGGTTTGGCATTGCCGTTGATGGCGCCTCGCCGCAAGGAGGAAGCGGGATCGTTGCTTGGACGCTGCAGGGATGTGGTTGCAGCACGGAGATGAGGCAGGATTGCACCATCTGCCGGACTGCTGACAGCGTCTCGTGAAGCGTCTGCCGTGCGTGTGGGTGTAGAACTAGAAGGGACTGCTGAGCGCGAATGAGATGAAAGGGGATGTCTCGGTATGCTCTGGACTGCACCTCGCTGAGGAACTGCTGCGTCCAGACCCGCGGCGCCTGAGAAGGCTGGCACCGGTCTAGTAGGCCTGATGGGAGTAGGTCCACCTTCTGCCTGCGGAGAGAATGCAATGTTGTTCTCTGCGATACCATACGAGTCATGGTTTTGTCGCTGCGGGCTGAATCGACGACGGGGACCGTGGATGGCAGCACTGGGATTGCTGAGACAAGTTAGCTTTGAGCAGTACTTTTGCGTTATGAACTTGTTTGGAACTTACAGAGGATTGTATTGGGATCGAGGACCAGCGTTCCCTAAATTGCGAGACCATGTACCTGTCATCAGACTCTGAAGTCGGCTACCCCCCATACTTGGAACGTCAGGACGAGCTCTTAGTTGGGCATTGTGAGCATGCAGACGACCATTGGCAATCGTATCAAGACCGTCCACACCTCGAGAGTCATCGTCGCGAAAGGCTCCGGACGCGACAGCATCTGGCACCAGTTAGCATGGGCCAAGTTGGTCAATGGGCTGACTTACGATTCCAAGCATTGGCTTTCTTATTGGCCACCTCGCGAGGTTGGGTGGCCGGCGGCTCTGCAGTGGCATGTGTGTTTTGTCCACCGCGGGGGTTTACATCTCTGGCGAGATCCTCCAGTCGATTGTTCCCCAGATCAATCATCATGGCATCAAAGACGATGCCACTGCCTTGTCCAGCCATCTTGCCGGATGTTTCAGGTAATGATGCGACCGTACAGCGATGGTTGATCCACGGTCTAGAATGCAAACTCGACCTTCTTGGTCTTGTTGGGTCAGGCGAAGAGTTAGCTTCCTGTCGGTAGATGAAGGTATCTATGATTATGAAACGAAGAGTTGGACCAGAAGATCAGTCCCATCGGTAGACTAGGAAGAAATATGGGGATGGACTTGAATGGACTGGACAACAGTAAAATTACTTACCCTGGCTTCAACTTCCTTGATGTGGAAGCTGTGGTATCGGAGTGTAGTACGGAGGAGAAGGGGACTGGGAGTCGAGGCCACCGGATGAACTTGTGGACTAGATCCAAAGTGCTGTCTGTTGACGATTACGGCCAGGCGAAGCCCAGGCAGTATCACCGAGTGGGTAAGAAGGATGTAAAACTGAAGGGTATGAAGGAGAGAACAGAGATCGCAGTCAAGTGTCGCGTCTTCTGTACGTGAAGTCGACTCAGAGGATCGTTGCGTTCTTCTCAGGCACGACAGACTCGGCGGAAGCGGGCAGGAGTTTGTGGTGGGAGAACAAAACGCGCTGAGGCCGAAGTAGGGTCGAGGACGATGAAGAAGGGAGAGAGAAAAAGAATTGAGGTGATGGAAGGGAGAAAGCCTTGCCCGTGTCTTCACTGGGGTTTACAGGATCCCGTGAGATGATCTCGGCAGGCCAACGAACGGATGGATATCTTTTTGCTGCTCTGCGCAGCAGGTGATGTTGCAGAGGTGGGAGCACAACAAAGCTGTCGAACTCTGATGAAGGTAGTGAGTGCGATTCAGAGTAAGACAAGAGTTGTACGTGGACTGATCAAGAGGGATCTGTGGCAAGACTGAGATGGATAGGTGAGGGTTGTGAGGAAGAGGTTTGGGAAGAGGTTTGGGAAGTGGTGTGAGGAGGAGGTTGTGTGATGAAGAGGTGTGAGAAAAAGGTGGGAGGAAGAGGTTTGAGGGATAAGTATGGCCCTGATGAGTTGTGCAAATTCAACAGCCTGGTCAAACTCCGACCTGAGGCAACATGGAACATGGACAAGATGTTGAGGTCCGGAGCTTCGTGGGCTGCGACTGCCATGTGAATTTACTGGGCACCTTGATGGGTTTGGTGACCCGGCCTCCTCGACAGGTCCGTTGGAGGTGAACGCGGGTGCAGGGCGAACGCCTCGGTCTCGCCAGGGCGATGCCCGGCCAGGCGAATAGTCCCGCGATTCGGCGGGCACTCTGCAGTATCCGGTGAGCCAACAGCCCGGCGGCGAGGTCCCTTGGACACGCTTCTCGGGAAAGGATTCACTGGAAAGGCACTGAAAGGCAGGTTGAGTTGGTTTGCTTGTCTCGCACATGTTCACGAAGGGATATAGTTCTCGACGATGGATCCACTATTCGGCATACAGGTTGGGGCGTCAACAATGAGCACTTGATTTCATTCACTGTAGCTCGAATCGTCGCCAAACAACGAGACCAGTCGTACTGCGGACCAAGAGATGATGTAGAGCTCTTTCCTGCACTGCACATAGCAACGAGTAATCGGTACTGGTTCGTGGTGATATAGCTGCACGACGAATAGCAGTCTTGCCAGGTCGTCGAAGGGAGATTCCTCGCCTGTTAATTTGAAGCCTGGAATATTGAGCTCCGGCATTGTTTTCAGGGCAAATCGGCGCGGTGGATGATCACCTCGCACTTTATGGGCCTCGCAAAACATCGGAACATACTGTCAACTGTATTTTAGGTATGAAGTGCGTGCTCCCGACTACCGAGATTATGAGTTTGAGGACTGAAGATAGCATGCCTTCTCAAAGACTGGCACCCAATACCAACCAGTCCAGTGAAGGGGCATAACTTGGCATTTGTACTCGGAGAAAACAAATTCCACGGTCTGCGTTCACGAAGAATAGGAAGTCAGAGGACCACGAAGTTAATGTATGACATTCATACCAGGCAAAAGGTGAAACACGTAGTCCTAAACATGAAGATATCTCGGCATACAATTCTCAGGCCGATGGCTCATACTGACCCCGAATCACGGCTCACGCTGAAAGCGTGCTTCCAGGAAGACACTTCTAAAACGAGTTCCCATGCAACACCGCAAGTCCGCCACAGAAGAACCATATCACAACCAGAGATATGTGCTCGGCTGATACGTTCCTTCGCACGAAGCCGCCAGCTCGAGCAAACCCGAGGCCCGATCCCGCCGAAACACGAACGTATTGTTCGTCCTCAAGCCACCGGCAACGACGTAATCCTGCAAGACCGAGATAGTTCATCAGCACACAAACGAGGAGCCAGAAGGGAAGGACATAGTGAAGCTTGGGGGCTTACCTCGCCGCCAGCACTTCCCGTGGTGCCGGCCGGGCTGAGCTCAAAGCTACGGAGCTGTCTGGACCCGGGGGCTACCGCGCTCTGGATCCGGGTCAGTGTGCCATCCGCCGCGCTGACCAACCAGACAGCCAAGGTATCAGAGGGCTGGTCACAGTCAGTACTGCGTGAATATTTCGCACAATGAAAGCACCTACGTCGCCAGGCTGGATCAACGCTGCCGACGTCAAGTTGCGGTTGGAGGCATATACAAAGCGGCCATCAGCACTCACGTGCACCTCGGCGGCGCTGATGTTGAGAGAGAAGGTTGTAGTCGTGGGATCGTAGATTGGGAGGCTACGCGGCGCCGTTTGTCAGCTGGATACTCGTCTTCTGCGCGGTCTGATCACCGGGAGATGGAGGGAAACGATAAGAGGGAAGGAAACCAACTCACTCCTCGCCGACCTGGGTTAGAAGACCCGTCTCCTGATCGATACTCACGGCTCTGATCTTGGCAGCAAGTTCGAATAGAATATACATCTGCTGGCCGTCCTGGCTGATGGCAAGGTGTCGAGGGCCGCTGCTAAGTGGGACATGGTACTATGAAGGACACCAATGTTAGCTAATGTCTTGAATCTGTCAATTGCACATGGATACGCACCTGGCCCAAGTTCGTCAAAGTCCCGTTTGAATCAAAGTTGTAGATGTGGATCAAATCCTCGCCGAGATCTGGTAGATATAACACTGCGGGTCTTGTAGTTAGCAACCCACTTCCATGGCCAACTACAACAGCACAGCATATGGGATGAATCTCTGGCACGGGACACTAATTGCACCACTTGGACTTGACCGTACGTCACAAAATACACGATCTTCTTTTGAAGAAGTTGTGCCCATATGCCTCAACACCCGATTTGTGTTTTCGACCCTCACGCCGACAGATTTTCAAACTTACCATTAAGCCACGGATGCGTCACGATCATATGCGGGTGGCTCGTCGTCTGGGACGTATTGTCATTGCCTGCCTCGCCGATCTGACCGGGCAGGGGCGTGTAGCCAGGGAAGTCGAGAATGCCGCCTGTGTTGATCTCGTCTCCGAACCGGCCCGTCACGGGGTCGAAGCGGAACGTGGCCGCCGACTGGCCGTAGTAGTTCGCCACGCCGGCGACGAGGCCCGAGGGCAAGAAGGCGCAGTGTGCTGTACATGAGGTGTGAGATCTCGGTCCACCCAGGGTCTACGGAGAGCAGGGATCTAGGGGCGGGCGGGGTGTGGTGTATACGCACCGGCGGCGACGCCATAGTCGGGCACGGGGAACCCGCCCGTGTTCACCGCGTCGATGTAGGTCAGCTGTCCGGTGCTGGGGTCGAGTGAGTACGATGTCAAGTATCCAGGCGCGTTGGGCGCAGCATGGTCGTTACAGCCAATGACGAGGTCTGTGTAAAGGTTAGAGTGGTCTCATGTATGACTGGCTTTGGTGTCGACATACTGGGATTTATAGGATGCCTGTTGAGCCAAGCCTTTAGGTTCCCTTCGGAGGTGTTGAAATAGTTCAGCACCTTGAGCGTGTTGGGCGTGACAAAGGGGTTGAATTCCAGCACGGCATAGCTTGAGTTGTCTAGGAGGTCATGTTAGCATAGGGTCACATAGTATGAGTCTGAACTCACAGCCTCCTTGAAGAATCCTGAGCGGAGGCGCAATTGACTCATCAGGATAGGTCAGGGCGTGGCAGGTAGCCAAGAAAACAGCTGCTATAGCCAGAATCATGTTGGCTATGTATAGGGTCGCTCAATATGAGAAACAAGGTGTCCGGCATTGTCACGAAGCCATGGCGGTGTCCGGGTGGGAGACCTTGTTATACTAGTGACATCGCCTACTTTCCCCAGAGCCCAACCTGGACTTGAATACCCCGAGGAAGGAACATCTCTCCCCGCTCGATTACACCCTTGATGGATGCAGTTTCTAGGGTTGTTGCGGAGTTAGACTCGCGATCTTCCAAGGTAGACCCTGCCTTTCTCCACTACGGTAGTTGGAGAAATGGGACTAACCCCCAACTGACCCCCATTTGTGCTCCATTTCAAGTATCTTTTCGTTCAAGCTTGGGTTATTTGGCATGGTGTGAGATTTCTTCGATTCACTTCCTTCACTGCTGATCAAAATGCTTGCAGTGGCAACTGAGAACTACGGGGCAAGATGGATGTCAAGGCAGCTGAGCAGACTAGACCGGCTAGGCACGACAACTCAACACTAAGCATAGTTTGGTCAAGCGATAGCCGTAGTAGTTCTACCTGACGTGCATATGCAACCATTCATGCATACAGAGAAAACTCAATTGGTTTGTCAGATCGTCAATTCATTCCTGACTAAACGCCGGGCATATTTCCTTCTTAGTAGCCGCCACAATGCAATGCCATATCCTCATGGATGCAAAACCCATCCTTGACGCGCCGTTGTGAACGCCTATGAAATTCCATTCTGTGTTACACGCATCGTGATCATCATGCCGAAGTAACGTTCAACCGCAAATAAGAAACCAGCTTATTTGGCGGCGTCCTTGGGGGGACCGTCCAGGTTGTCGTGGCCCTGGCGGCCGACCTTGCTCAGGTCGACGTCGCCCTTGCTGGCGGGCTCGCGGAGGCCAGAGCTCGAGCCGGCGCCGGTCGAGACGTCAGACGAGACGCCGCCGGAGCCAACGTTGACAGTGCTGGGGTCGGCCAACTTCCAGTCCGACTTGACCGGGGGCTCCTCGGGAAGGGGCAGGTTGGACTGAGCGTTGGCGATCTTCTCGGCATTGGACTGAGACATGGTGGAAGTGCTGGAAAAGACTGTTAGCGTGTTGTTGTGGTACAGTGTAAGAGCAACATTTAGATCCTATGTTGTCATCGCATTGACGGCTAGGTGTGAGTGCATGTCTAAACCCTCTCATGCCATACGGTGCAGTGGGGTTCTCTTTCAAGTGTACATAACTCCAATATGCATAGGCCAATGAAGTTACATTACACCGGCCGTCCTATCGTGGAGGAATAAGATAGTGGGGTGACTTACTGTGAGTTGATTGGCTACCGAAAAGGGTCTTGTTGGTCTTGTTCTGCGAGGCAAGAGATAAGTGCCTTAGTGCGATGATTGTTTGAAGTGATTGAGAATGAGCTCAAATTAATGTCAAGTTTGCAGTCGTCCGTCGACTGCTTTTAATAGGTATTGAGTTGAGGCTCTGGGAGCTCTGGAGGATTTGTTCCGGTCTTGACGTCAATACTGGAGGGGCAGCAGAAATCCACATGTTATTTGACGTCAAAATAAGCGGGACCACTCGCGATGGCACAGGTACCAAACCACCAGAAGCTCGGCCAAATCCATCCGGACGGGCAGGGCTGACGGCGGAATCAGCGCAGATCGAGTCTAGAAAGACGGGATCGGTTACACGAGACGTAATGGGGGTTGTAGCGGACATCTGGTTGGCAGATTGGGGCTCCTCGTTGCGGGATCCGTTTGTTCGCGTGGTATTTTTTCCTGCTCCCGCGGTGGAGAGCAGTTCCTGACTAGTATAGCAAATATCCTCCTTGACACCACCAACGCCAACCATCTTCTTCCATTACGTGAATCATGACCTGACTAACAAGTCTATCTGCAGGAATTCCACCTTATTACATCACCCGAGCCGCTTGTCCGTCTCGGCCGAGGTGGCTGGTTCATCGGGATTCAGGTAGTTCGCATCCTCCGCGGCTTCATACTCCGAAATGAGGTCTGTGACTACCTGTCTCGCCTCGTCGAATTCGTTGAGGTTCTCTGAGAAGGGTGCCGTCTTCTTGTAAACGTCCATAAATGCATTGCGCTTCCGCATACCGTCGTACTGCTTGACGATTCGTCTGAAAAGCTGAGTGACCATGTTAGTATCTTTCTAATGCCTAAGCAGTTCTGGGTGAAGGTGGGTCATACTGTAGCGATGCTTGTGTGGTTCGCCAACATCAAACCACTGACGCGGTGGCTCATGGGGACATAAGGGCTCCGTTTTGTCAAGGCCACTTGGATGCTGGCAGGCCCCCATGGAATGAATGTGGCCAACCTGCGCTCTCTGATACGAAGAAGACTCTTGTGCACGTCTGTTGGATCGACCTCGCCCTGGATGACATTGAGGATGGAAATGTAGCAACTCTTCTTGCCGGGAACCGTCGATACCATTCGGTTCTTGGGCTGCAATAACCTCCGCATGACATCCAAGACGGTCGTTTTCCTGACAGTCTTGGCCTGTTCGACCTGATCACCGGTGAAAGGTGTATATGCCGTCATTAAGAAGTGGCATCGTGGAGTGGGAATGAGCGATGCTAGGATGCTGACCAGATCGTTGTGCATGTAGCCGGGGTATCTCAGGGTCGTAGTACTTGCCGACATGACAGTCGAGACAAGCTGATTTGTCTGCTGGAACGAGGGCTCCTGTACGTGGAGGCGATCTGCAGCAATCGCGGATAATGCACCATTGTCCAGAACGACGACCGAGTCGGCGTTTTGTGCCAGTCGTCGCATCGACAATAGACTGTTATAAGGATGGACAACGATATCGCTAATGTCGGGAAACACGGAGTACGTCTGTATGATCTTCTTGGGGAACCTGTCGTTCATCCGCTCGAGGAGGAATGAACCGAGGCCGGAGCCTGTACCGCCTGCTATCGAGTGCAGCAGCATGAAACCCTGGCATGGTAGTCAGCTTCCTATCTCTCAAACGGCTCGCAAAGAGGACTGTTTACCTCTAGCGAATCGCTGCCATCGGCCTCGCGGTCGATCATCTCCATGATCTCCTCGTGCACCGACTCGCCCGTCTGGTATCCATCACCCCAGTTGTTTCCGGCTCCTATGCCGCTCTTTCCGATGAAGAAGTTCTCCGGGTTGTAGATGTTCTTGTATGGGCCGGTCTGGATGCCATTGAGGACTCTGGGCTCGAGGTCGATCAGGACGGCTCGGGGGATGTATCTCGTATCGTCGCTCTGGTAGTAGAAGACGTCCTTGCGGTCGCCGCCCTCTGTCGCGAAGTCCTCAAGGTTTCCATCCTGATTGATGCCGTGCTCCTGGCATAGCTGTTGCCAGAACTGACTGCCAACTGCAAGAAGTCAGCTGAAATCCCAGGGCCAGGGGACGTGGGCGTAGGAAACGAAAGAGCATAGCTGCGGCGGGGGTGTGTGAACTGACTGCTGTTGCCGCACTGGCCGGCCTGGATCGTGATGATTTCTCTGGGTTTGTGGTCAGACTCATTGAAGCATGATAACGTTATTGCTCACAGATGCTGTGCTTACCTGGGCATCACGACGGCATCTGTCGACAAGCTCTGGAAGCGACGTCAAGCTCTCGACAAGCTCACAGGTGCTGTGCTGTTGGGCGCGGGCGCGGGCGCGATGGGCTATTGTTATCTTATCGCAACGAGGCGTCACTAACGCGAGGCGCGTCCTAAGAGTTTTGCCGTTTGGGCGCGCAGGCACCCGACAGACACCCAAGTTTAGGTACCCAAGTAAGTTAGCTTTTGGCGAGGTCGACAGAAATCAGGGGTCCAGAGCCACTGGACGCAGCCACGGGCCCAGGATGGCCTACCGTATAGCGGGAGCCAACCTTGTGGTTGCTTCCAGGTTGGGACGGGATGGACTGGGTCTTATTGGGACCTAAGCATCACTGTCAACAACCGAGTTCAATGTAACCATCATCATACAGCTACCTAGGTACTGCTTTGTGTAGTGGATGTTGAATTAGGCTCTGCGACGTCTACCAGCATGGCCAGCTTCCGTCCGCATCGAGTTGGATGTGATGCCATCAAGACCTTCTCTCTCCCACGCTGCCAGGGTGGTTTGCACGAATGGTCGCTTCGTCGAAAAACGTGTGACGGGGCACCACACCCATCACACAAGCCATAAGTTGATCGTGACACCAAGCTCGCCCTGAAACATTCTTCGTGGTCTGACCTCAACACTGGCCCATACCACGGAAATGCCGTGCTGCCCATTGGTAGGATGCTTCTCAGGCAAGACTGCGAAGCTGGCGTCGTCACCAGAGACAGAAGTGCGATCAGACCATGAGACGGTGGTTTGATCTCCGTCCCGAGTGACGCCGGCGGCGAGCTTGAACAACCAAACGGGCCCCGAGATATTGCCTGTGCTCGGGCATTCGGGAAGCTGCCCCAGCTCCCCTTCAACCCCTACCTCTCGACCCTGTTTGACACCCTTCAAGTCGACGCGGTTAGTTAGACTTCACGACCCAATCGGGCATGGTGACGGCCGACTTGTGTGTCGAGCACTATATCCAGTCCAGCCGCGGATTCGTCCACCCACGTTCCGAGCTTCCATCGCGCAAGCCGTCTCGACTGCACTGGACGACCTTGCCGGTGGCACCGCACCAATTAGTCGAGGCTATCCATGGATGTTGGGAGAGGTGTTGGTTCAAAAGGCCGCCTCCTTGCTGCCGCCTCACTCCCGGCACGGACTAGCCTCGTGTTTCTTCATCTGCATCCTCCGTAGGCCATATATCTACTGTATATATCCCTTCAGAATACACATGTCACATATACCCAGTCTACCAGCCCGTCTCCCGGATCTGCTCGCTCACTGACAAGCCGGCGCGCGAGTGCTCTACATGACACTCATGCGTGCCACATGATCCTCCGTGCCACCCCACACCCAATTAACTGCAGCCGCCAGCGACTGGATGCGCTAATCGTGGACCGGTCCCTGGACGGCCCCCCGAACGATAGACCCAGCCCATTATGGAGAGCGGCGCTCCCTATTTCACCAACAATGTCTTCTACACCCACACTTCCGCCAAAGAGACGGGCAAGCGATCACGGCCGGGCACCAGTCACGGAGAGCGAAGCAACAGCAACACGGGCGACCGGCCGAACGTCCTGACCAAGGACCGCGAGCGCAGGAACTCGCTGAGCCGCCGCGCATCCTTTTCATCCCCCTCCAAGGGCAAACGCCGCCCGAGTTCGTCTGCGCATGGCGGAGCAGTCGTGACAGACGCCGCGATCCCTCCCGCCCTGCCCGACTTTGCGCTCGCAACAGCGGCGAAATTCGCCAAGGAAAACGAGGTCGCAGTCCAGTCGCCCGCGTCGGTCGACTCCTTCAGCAAGATGCTATCCCGCACGGCGCCTGTGCCCTCGAACAGCTACGGCGGCGGGATGAACGCCGTGCCGCCCATGCCCCAACCCGGCCTGCAGGCCAGCCAGCCCAGCGAATCCGACATAATATACCAGCACATACAAGAGATGGCGAACAAGCGCATCTCGACGCTGGACTATCTGCGGAAAGCGTATGTGTCCCTCCACGTCCTGTCTGCCCCTTTGCCTCTTTGCCCCACGTGTCCTACCCGCTGCCAGCGACACGGATTCCCATATCATCTTGACCCTCTCGCCTACTAACTTCACTATGTGCAGGCACGATGGCAGGGTCTACTGGTTCAATACACTGCTTTTCGACAAGCCAGACCTGGCACGAATGCCCTATTTCGAAACAAGGAAACTGGCGCGACGGGCAACGAACTACCTACTGCTCGGTCTTTCGCTCCCGACTGTCATCGACCTGAACTCGTCGACACCTCTGGAGTTTCTCCGGTCGCTGAACACACTTTTCACCGAGTTCGACTCGTACCAGCAGATCCACACGGAAAACGGAACCAACGTCTCTTCACTGTCGCGCGCCCGCCTGCCGCAGATGTTCCGGCGTGGGCCCGCCGGCAAGGGGCGACGCACCAGTGGCGCCGGCGATCTTGGAATCTTGACAGATGCCAACGGTGCTATGAACAACGGAGGCGCAACACAGACGCCCACCTCGGTTATCTCGTTTGGCCTGGGTGGGGAGGGCAACGAGCTGCTGCCGGGCGAGGAGTACACACATCTCCTCACCCCAAGCCTGCCCTTCGACCCGGACTTCTTCGAGACCTTTGCGACCTTGTGCGACATGCTCATTGACTGCTACAGCAAGCTCATCAGCCTGATCCCCACGCCCAAGGACTGCTCGCCTCTCATCGCCGAGCTTTTCACAAAGGTGGACTCCAAGGTGCGGAAGATCATCATCCAGGGCGTGGTCAAGGAGTTCGAGGACAGCAGTCGAGCAGGACTGAAGCAGGAGATGGGCAGCGTGGGAAAGGTTGTGCTCGGTGGACTGATGTAGGACACAACACCTTTCAGCAAACTCTCACCTGCCCAACCCCCAGCACCTGCGCCTCGGCCCAGCAAGCCGCCGTCCGATTATGTGGCGCCGGCGACGCTGGCAATGAGCTTCGTTCCATACACGAAACCACCAACATATGCAGACAAACCCTGGTTCTGAGAGTGGAGTCAGGGGTGATGGACACGCCGTCGGGGAATACTAACCCGTTGGCGAAGGCTGGCTAGAAATCTCGGTGGGCTCGAGAATTTTAAAAGGACACGCACAGAATGGTGGGCTGGTTTTACGATGTTCACGATGTCAGGACTAATTTTAAGAGGAACCCAGGACGGGCCTTGGCTTTCGAAAGAGGATACCTAATGTACCATAGAAGCGGGAGCGTGGAATTTCGCGAGATTCTCTGACAGCACTTGCCAGCGAGAGAATCAAGACAACTAGGCTACTAATAAGAGGCTCAATTATGAAAGGTTCATCAGATACCATAACGCATTTAAGGTCATCATCGAGCGGGCCCGTAGGTCCGCCTCAGTGCTTGACTCTAATATCGTATATCATCACCTGAACCACAGGAACCCACGGAGCAGAAAACTCGACTTCGGGAGGACAGACAGAACGTCGAGGTTGGGGGGACTTCCCACGAAGCCCAGAGTGTAAAAGAAGACGTCCGTCTGACGACCGTCAGTCAAGTGACAAAACCCCCTCGCGCCGAGAATAAGCCCCATCGAGTAACCATCGTCCGCGGCAAGGCAAGACTCAGGCAATCGCATAACTATCGATCTCGACGAAAAGGAACCACGACCCCCCATCACGAGGCCGTCCCGCCCGAGCCCCGCGGCCGGAGAAGCCATCGCACACGCCGCCCACCGCGCCGCGCCCGCGCCAACTCATAACGAGGGACTCGTATCTTCGTCCCGTGGACTCGCATGGCGTGGAGGCAAGGGGCAGGGCGGTGGGGTGGGCATGCAGATGTAGCGGCAACCCGGGGCAGGCTGGGGCGGGAGACGAAGATGGAAGGGAAGGGCGTTCAACCGCTGTGCTTTTATGGCGGTGCGTTTCCGCTGGCCCCCGATTCTCCCGTCCCCCGAGAGGAAGAGGAGAAGGAGGGTGTCCGGGGACTTTCTCCCAAAGCTGAAGAATAGACAGCGAGATCCCCCGGAGGCCGGGAGATCTCTGTTGTAGCTTCGATAGCGATTTTTCGGACGAGGGGGTTTTGTGAGGAAGGAAAGGGAAGAGGAGAGCAGAGACGCGAGCTGAAATTTTCCTTTAATAGCAAAAAGCTTTGGGTGTGGGGCTAGGGGCCCTGCGCTGCCATTGGGTGGGGTGTACGTAACGCGTCCACTGGCTGCCGGCATATTTCCGGGGGCGTGTGCAGCGTCCACAGCCTGCACAGGTACCAAGGTCACTAACTACTAACTGCGTTAGGCCTAGACAGCGCTGCGACTCAATTCAATTGGAGCCTCAAAGAAGAGAAAGACGGGCCAACCGAACCAGAACCTGGGCGCGCGCGACTGAGGCAGCTTTTCCTCGAAGCTCTCCGTCCGTCTGGTCCATTGCATGTCAACGTGCCAGCCTCCGCCCTCGCCCAGCATCCCATCCCGGAGAGAAACCCACCATGAGCAGCTGGTGATCGACCACGACCCCGATTTGAGACGAACAGGCTGCCGCTTTCCCTGACCGCACCGGTCGCCACCAGCTAAAGCTCGACGAGCATCACGACGACCGACGACTGACGAACCAACGCCGCCCGCAAGCAAGCAAGCAAGCTATCCGCACAACATGTCGGGCCTCTTCGGCAGCGCCTCCGCCTCGTCGGCCTCGGCCACCAACACCCAGGGCGACCTGGCCAAGGACGTCGAGGTGTCGAACCCGCCCGAGGACACCGTCACCGACCTGGCCTTCTCGGGCGCCGCCGACATGCTGGCTGTCGCGAGCTGGGACAAGAAGGTCCGCATATACGAGATCAACGCCCAGGGCCAGAGCGCGGGGAAGCACATGTACGAGCACGAGGGCCCCGTCTTCAGCCTGGATTGGTCCAAGGTAAGCGAGCGCCACCCCCATCTGCAGTCCACCCCCCTGAGCATCGTCACTGATCACGGGGACAGGATGGTACCAAGGTCATCTCGGCCGGCGCGGACAAGAAGGCCGAGATCTGTGACCTCAGCGCCGGCGGCACAAAGCAGCAGGTAGCAGCCCACGATGCACCCATCAAGTGCGTCAAGTTCTTCGACCCGCCCAACAGCAACGCCCCCATGGCCGTCACCGGCTCGTGGGACAAGACCATCAAGTACTGGGACCTGCGCTCCCCCAACCCCGTCGGCTCCATCACCGCCCAGGAGCGAGTCTACACCATGGACGTGCGCAACAGCCTGCTCGTCGTCGGCACCGCCGACCGCTACATCAACGTCATCAACCTCGCCGACCCCCTCAAGTTCTACAAGACGCTGCAGAGCCCGCTCAAGTGGCAGACCCGCGTCGTCAGCTGCTTCACCGACGCCTCGGGCTTCGCCATCGGCAGCATCGAGGGCCGCTGCGCCATCCAGTACGTCGAGGAGAAGGACGCCACGTCCAACTTCTCCTTCAAGTGCCACCGCGACCCGCCCTCGGGCAACACCACCAACGTCTACTCGGTCAACGACATCTCCTTCCACCCCCAGCACGGCACCTTCAGCACCGCCGGTAGCGACGGCACCTTCCACTTCTGGGACAAGGACGCCAAGCACAGGCTCAAGGGCTACCCCAGCGTCGGCGGCAGCATCACCGCCACCACCTTCAACGCCAGCGGCAGCATCTTCGCCTACGCCATCGGCTACGACTGGAGCAAGGGCCACCAGGGCAACAACCAGCAGTACCCCAACAAGATCATGCTGCACCCCATTACGGGCGACGAGTGCAAGCCTAGGCCTAACGTCAAGAAGCGGTAGAGTAACAGTCAAGGAAGAGAACGGCGCCCGTATGTCCCATATTGTCCCACGGGCAATGAGCACCGTGATGCTGTCTGTCCTTGGGTGTTGGGACAATGTGGTGTGTCTACCGGCCATTTTCAGGTGTTGAAGACAGTCGTCACGTTAATGGATTATGTTTGCCGGTAGCGCCCAAAATAATCCCATACAGCTGGTAACATCAGGAAAGGGGAAGGGGAAGGAGAGTAACGGCAGGAAAGCCCGTACGCTGCTTGCTAGAGCACGGACCCTGCCTTTTGTGCATCTTGGTTTCTGCATGACTGGGTGGCAACGGTTGACTCCTCCTGCCATAGTTCAAAGTCGGGTAGTCCCCATGGACACCCATGAGAAAAGGGAGAGAAGGATCTTGGGAGGATTCATGTTTGCAGAGATCAACCACGGCGTCCAGGTGAAAAAATGACATTTTCAGGCGGTTTTGTTTTTATTGCGGATTGTCAGAGATGGACTTGGGGGCCGATACCACACAGTAGATAGATCGTAGGTAGTAAGGAAGATTTTCTCAAGTTCCACAGCTTTTGGTGGTCTAGTTGTGCTGAGCCGAGAATTGGGCTCTAGTTGTGGCCTATGAAGAGAGATAGGGGAATCACACGGCTGGATCTGATCTTATTTTCATCCAGACTTCAAATCATAGTATGTGTAAAAGTGTGCCTCGATTTCATTCACAGCATTGCAGCAGTGGATTTTTCTGAAGTGGTGCATGACACTGCTATTTTGCCCTTTGTGATCCATCCCTTACAGTCTTGATTTCTCCAAGCGCTCTGCCGCTGGTTAGCTACCTATCTCAACACAAGGTTCAGAAAAGAGCATAGTTTACCGTACCTTTGCACGTGAATATTATAACATGGTACCAGATCCTGCACACGGTTCCTATGGGCAGACCGGCCGCGCCATCCTGCACGACGTCGAGGCGGCCCTAAGGCTCTAGCTGCGGCTTATGAAGAGAGATAGGAGAATTACAAAGCAGGGTTTAGGTTGTGACACGGCACTGATAAGTGGCCGCTGTATGCCTCAGCCCATTTCACAGATCGTCTGCTTGGGCACTTTGTCAAGCTCGGCCTGTTGAATTTTGCAACTGCCGGATGGAGATTGCTGCTACGCAAAAATATACCTCGCAGGAGGGGCCAGTAGACAACATATTCTTAGTAGGGGTTCACTTCTGTCAGAGGGGAAGTGTTAGGTCAGGCATAATCAGAGGTCCAATGTATGGCGCAATTCATAGAGAGACGGAATCTTGTCCCCTTTTCAAAGAAGAGGGACAAGGTGGAGATTATATAGTGGAAACTGTACGGTGTCTCACCGGACCTCCTGTAAACCTAATGCATCGCTGTGACAACTTCGTGGGTAGAGCGCATGTAATGTTCCGCCTCAGTAGCCGATTTTCATTGAGACCATCTTTCAGCACTAAATCATCCTGAGCAGCCTATTCTTCTGCCGTGTAGAGTTTTCCTGTGTCTTAATCCTCACAGTCTCGGCTTCTCAATTCGCTCTGCCGTTGGTCAGATCTCTGTCAACGCAAAGCACGGAGAGATTGGGGGAAATCGAGATGTCGCTGTACCTTTGCAAGCAACCACCAAGGCGTTGAACCATAGCCAAGCCACTGTTCCCCGGGGGAGACCTGCCACGCCCTCTTGCGCGGCCGTGAGAAGCTTCTGGAGAGTAAACCCTCTCTGCATACGTGCTTCGACGATAGTTTGAGTCTGGACAACCATTGATAGGTCCGCGGTGAAGTCTCATAGGTACTTAGTTAGCAAGCCGTTGAACTGCTTGATGTCATGCTCGGAAAGCTTTGCTCACCACGTGAAAAGACGAAGGGTGTGAAGCTGTGGATAGGTTAGTGCACGGTGATATCAAGAGATAGGGGTTACGGCCATGTACCCTGACCGAGACATTGTGCGGAACTTAGCTCTGGTGCCTCGAGTCTTGGATAGAGACTTGATTGCAGGAATGCTGTCTTTGTGGTAATACCTCAGATGTGGTCCCAGCGAGGACGGTGGTGATACCCGGAGAGTGACGCTTCGCGGAAATTTGGACCGGTGAAAGAGATTTTCTCTGTCCTGGGCTAATGGTGAAACGGTTGTGTCAACAATGTCACTATGTAGTATCTTTAGAGTTGGCTTGCTTTCTGCGCAACGCTCTATAAATAGTGGATATCTCATTCACACTGATTGTTCGCATCTCTTGATTCTTTTTAAGAGCTCATTGTGGTTTTTATATTGTGTTCAATGGGGCCGCTTGCTTTCCTGGTGCAAGTTACCTGTTCATCCATTTGATTGTTTGGTCTGAATACAGGGGATATAATGGTGATGAATTGCGGTGGCCTTTTCAAGCCGCAAGCACTGCGTGTAATCAATATGCACCTGCCGAAAGGCTAATGAAACAACCGCCTCGATATCCTATTACCGTTTTTCGTGTGGCTTCAGTCACTGGTTGTATCGCTGTCCCTGTAATGGCTATAGTCTACTGGAACCTTCTACTGACAATCTTTCTTGGAGGAGTCATTATGCGGCTTGGTTTCGCCCGCTGGAGGGTAATATCGTCAAATCATGCTTGGGCAAGGCTATTTTCGAAATAGGCGACCAGGCAAGCAGGCCAATAAGACCACAAACTCTTAGGGCCCCTATGGTTTATACGGAGTATGCAATCTACGAATTCAACGTAAACATGGGCTGCCATCTGATCTCGTCAAAATTAGATTTCTGGTAAATGAATACTTTTGACTTGATTCATTTGGTAATAATAGTTTTAGATCTTAAATCACTTTTCAAATCATAAACAATGCACCCAATTGTGGCCACTCATCAAAGTTGATAAGTGAAAAGTTCAGCTTCGGGGTGGATTGTATGGTGGAATTCTTATATGCGAATGCAAGGGTTGTCATGTAAGGGACTGCAGGATAGCGCGCTGATAGGCAATAAAAAAAATCTAAGGTGACAACTCAGCCTGGAGCTGTCCTGTTTGTGCTTTGCAATTTTACTCTCCAACGTCACACGGGACTTGATTTGCGGACACTTGTGCCCAATCGATCCATTATTGCTATCACAATGTCTACGATGCTAACTATTCTCATCGTGCATGGTGGCTGGCATAAACCTCAACACTACGATGAGCTAAAGAAGCTTCTTGAAGAAGACGGCTATGAGGTACATGTCCCCCGCCTACCGTCAAGCCACGAATCGCGCCCCCCGAATTATCTCTCCGATGACACAAAATTTGTCCGCAGCAGTGTGGAGAAACTGGTCAGGGACGGCCGCAAGGTCGTGGTTCTTATGGATTCGTACGGGGGTCAGGTAGGCTCGAATGGGCTTTACGGCTTGGGTCAAGAGTTACGATCTACTCAAGGCCATGAAGGTGGCGTGTCACGTCTTATCTATATGACGGCATATGCTCTCCCTGAAGGCGTCACCATGATGGATAAGGTAAAGGAATTTGGCAATATGGACTTGGTCCATAGCATTCGACTTTGCCGAGGACGACAGCTGCCTCAGCCGTGACTTCAAGCCCCTGGTTGTCGGGCCTGGCCGTGACAATGCAGAGATTGAAGCCTATATCAGCGCAATGGTGCAATATAATGGAAGGTGCATGTATCAGCCAAGTGACCATGCTGCTTGGTGGGAGATTCCTGTCTCATACATCTATACGTCAGCAGATATGACGGTGTCGCTGAACTATCAGCAGAACTTCGTGCAGGGCCTCAAGAAGGAAGGCCGGGAGGTGCAGACTTTTGAGCTGGCCACGGGGCATTGTCCAAACTTCACCGCCACGAAGGAGGTTGCGGACATTGTAAAGAAAAATGCTCTATAATTAGACGGCGTGGAGCGCAGATCAACCATATTGTATCAAGGTCCCGATTTGATTCGTTTTCAAGTGGTTGACTTTTGTAATCATCATCAAAAGAGGCAGCAAGACCATGTGGATAGCGACCTGTGTAGCGGCGCCGAAGTGTTCTTTATTCTTTAAAACGCTATACAGATTTGACCATCACAGCCGTTGGAATGGAAGGCATCATGATCCCAGGAGCCAACGCAGGGAAAAAGGGCATGCCGACCAGTGCCGAGACGGAGAATGGCTGCACCAAGGGCAGCTCCCCTCCACCCATCTATGTACATGCTTATCCCTCACTTCGGTGCTGACAAGGATTCGCATTGGGAGCTAGCCTGGTGTTGGTGCCAGATTCGAAACCAGTTTTGCCTCCAACTACTTGGGGCACTGGCTTCTCACTCTTAGGTTGCTTCAAAGCATGGATACACCCAACGGCCGAATCGTCGTAGTTGGCAGTAACAGTTACAAGTGAGCAGAATTCTGTCGTGGTGGATGATCGAAGGGTAACTAACCGGCCTCAAAGTGTCAATCATCCAGTTCACAACATTGATGGATATTACAAGAATGAAAAATGGAAGATCTTTTTGCGAGACAACAACATTGATTCCATTGCCAAAGGTACCTGGAGTAGGGATCAGGCCAACGAGCTTCCTCGGATGGCTGGATGTCGTCGATACGGCGCGGCCAAGATGTGCGCCATTATGACAGTAGGTGAGCTTGTAAGAAGTACCCAACAGTCATATGTGCTATTTGCTTGCAAACACTGATTCGACCACTCATTCTCCTGATTTTGCGTCTCTATTTGTCGCGGAATCACCCAACAACTAAGCTTTCACCAGATCGTTGAAAAGTAAAAGCCAGCGACTAATTGCCAACACAATAGCAACGCCGCCTTGATTCCGACCCGATGCTGAGAAACATCTCTATTGTTGGAATAGACCCAGGGTCTATGGGTACTGACCTTATTAGGCGGGGCGATTGGTTTGGGCGGGTACTTTTCTTCCCAATCATCATTCCCCTGCTTGCGCCACTTTTGACCTGGTTCGAGCCTAATGGTACCTTCCGAACCATTAGAAAATCAAGCGCCGACGTGATCCGAGCTGCATTTGATGTTGACCCTGGGTTGAGGGGCAAATACCTAAACGGGTCCGAGTTGGAGGATGTGGTTCCAGAGGCGGCAGATATCACTAAACGGGCTATGGTTTGGAGAGATAGTTGTGCGGTACACTCAGCTTGCACGCATAGATACTGTGCTCGTTGACTGGAGCTGAGTAGAATGTCACATATGTTCTTTAACCTTCTCGGTTTTCCAGTGTCCGCGCTAATTATGTGTCTTGTGCTGGCCAGGCTGGGAGCCGTTGTTTACCACCTATTTACCCAATATAATCCCGGCGCCGATCTCCTACGATAGATACTCATAATAATCCCCAGTGCTGGACATTGATGAAGCATTTGAAGGAAGATGGACAATGGACCGAAGAGAAATTTAGTGTAAGCTAGGAGGCATTATGCATATTAAGGTTGAACTCGTGCTACGGGAAAACAAAATAAAAAATACAGCAGCTTGACCAACGTTTATCCGGACCTATTTGGCGTGGGGGAAGTGGTGAGTGGCAAGGATCCCGCACTTTCACCATCCACCGTAGTGAATTACTGACGCCAAAAGCCTTCTATTTCCCCTTATAGCCACTTCATTCAGACAAGGAACGCAGCGATACCCATTGCGACGGAAAGAGCCAAAACCACACTGGGGAAAATTCCAGTACCGGCCCCAGTGGCAACTGAAGTTGGGGAGCTTGACTTAGTGGTAGTGGCACTAGCTGACGCGGTAGGGACGGCGGCGACAGTCTGAAGCAACACTGGCGTGGTTGTGTATGTCATGTGATCAAATGCGAAAGAGACGCTTGTGAAAGGCAGGTTTGAAACCGGCGAAGCGTTGGGAAAGGCGACTCGCTCAGATGCCGGCGCAGATGGTTTCAGAGAGCCTCGGTCAAATTGCGCTGGGTTCAATACACTGAGACTTGGTTAGTAAGTCTAACTTTTTGATGATTGAAGTCGACTAACCTGTCAATTACATGCGCGACACCATTATAGAGGATATTGTTGGGAAAGGTGATTTTTGCATTGTTCACCCAGGCGGATCCGTCTGGCAAGACAGTAAAAGTCAGGTCGGTGCCTTGGAGGGATTTGACGGTAACATTGCCCAAGGAGGGCGAGAAGATGACATTGTTGGGAATAATGTGGTAGCGAAGGACATCTTGAAGCGTTTCTATGCTCGCCGACTCAAGCACGGACCCAATAGACTTGAAGGCTTCGTCAGTGGGCACAAAGATGGTAAAGTCCGAGATATTGAGGCCTGCACCACCTTCGGTCTCGCCAAACGCGAAGTTCAGTTGAGCAGCCTCCAGCGCAGCATTCATGGCGAGGTATCCTGACCGGTATGTGAAGAGCTGGAATGGGGCTCCAAATGAAAGTACAGTATCAATCTTGTGGATCGTGATGCCTTCACCCAGTTTGATGTCCTGTTAATGAAATTAGTAAACCAAGATACCATCGTGTATATGAAGTGAGTACGGACGGCTTGGGTGACGGTAGAGACAGTCAGCTCTCCAGACAGGACGCATACATCATCTCCGTTCTTCACGAGCCCATTGTAGGCGCCGCTGGTGAAGTTGGAGAAAGGCTGTCGCTCATTGATGTATGAGATGTCGAGCAAAGTCTGGGCGAACGTGGGAACATTGGTGATGGCACTTGCTGGGTAAACTCCCTTGAAGACGTGGTTGGCAAGGAGAGCTCCAATGGCAATCGTATCGTTGCGAAGCTCGATGGCCTCACCCTCTGGGGTGTCCCGAGGTACCTTCGCAAAGGCCTCGTTTGTTGGGGCCACGATGGTGATGTTGGAGGCGGATGCGAGTTTCTCTGCAAGGCCATCCACGAGACCAACAAGCTCAAGCAGCGTACTGAGGTCGTCTTGGGAGGCCAGAAGCGCCGCAATGTCACCCTGGGCCAGGCAAGAGCCCGCCATTAACATACAAGACCAAAGTGATGGACGCATGGTGAAATTATCCTGAAACGCAGGGTGGAGTGTGAAAGTTGTAGTTGTTGTTGCTTAGGGAAGAGTGAATGAAGCCAGTAATGCGATGCTGTAGAGCCTCTCTCTCACAACTAGATGGGCAATTGACATACCTTTTATACATTGAACTCGTTCAGGGCCGCGCAAGATTCGCTCTAACTTTCCATAAATCGAGGATCCCATATTGACAAATGTGAGAAACTGCCAAGACGGATTCTTTCAACTTGCAGGCTCACGATCGAGTGAAAACCTAGCCATCTAGAAGGTTTTCTTTCGATCTTGGTACTCTAAGCATCATCATTCTCACGATCCAAGACGTTCAACTCTGCACAGCCATTGCCCAGGAGCGTGGACACCAATCACCAAAGCCATATCCAGGGGTGGAGACGGCCAAAACTCGCCGACCCCATTCTCAGGCAGAACAGCATTTTCGCTTAAATTCCCCCAACTTTCAAACTAGCCATTGAAGCATAGCCAGATGCAGCACTCGTCTAGTGAGAACTGAATTCCTTCCGAATGGATTCCCTAAACTCAATACAACGCAGGCAGACTGTCTGTCTCACTTCTAGATATCTCGTATAGGCTTAAGTCTGGTATCCCGACCGTTGCCCCAAGGTGTACGTCAATTATTCCCGAGTACATAGACAACCATTTACGTCTGTTGGAATAAGCACCTGAACCGATTGAAAATCTCCTGCTTTAATAGTTCTGGTACTGACTACCGAAAACGGTACGCGCGGTGCTCTACTCCTAACAAAGGTTTTGGAAGACCATACCGCTGACACTAACTTGCGCATTGAGTGTAGCACTCACAGAGTGCCCATGACCGCCAAGAGTGATGACTAAAAGCTCTACTGGTCCAAAATCTAGTTACGTCATGACTTGATTGCCTTCTCTAGCGAGACTCATTACGTTGGAAAATGCTATAGAATGCTGCTGCAGCTCTGCATTCATCTAAGTTTCTTAGCCGCCAAACTGACAGGCCTGGCCAGGGGTCCGGAACGGGCCCTTGTGCATCAATCAGCAAGGGGGATGGGCACTAGCGAAGTAGCTTCATAGTGGGTTTCTACTCTCCAAGTAACCTACTTTTTAAGCTTAAGATAGTCCTACAGAAGAAATCTTGACGTGCATACTTAGAGCTAGTACTAGACCATGAATTCAACTTGATGGTTTCGCGGGAATGCTATACCAACCGTATCAGCCTGCCCAGTTATGAAAAGGGAATGTTGAGTAAAAAAACAAAGCTCAGCCCTGCCAAAACGGTTTCGGGATGATAACCGAGGACTCCAATTCAGGATTATACGAAGGCCCCACAGCCGAAGGCCTTACCAATCCTGGAAGGGCCTTTGGGAAATCTGACACGTCCTCGGACGGGCTGCGAATGGAGAGCTATTGTTCCAATCTACTGCAGATCCGAATATTGCAGGTGTCAAACGCAATATGGGAAAGCGGAATCGTGCTTGCGAGGAGTGCCACCGTCTCAAGATCAAGTGCGATGTAAGCACACATCCCGGAGGGGCGTGCGAGCGGTGCAGCCGCAACAACTTCGAGTGCGTGCCGGCAGCATCGCGTCTCCAGCGTGACCGCATCAACGAGCTCGAAGCCCAGGTCCGAGAACTCAGGAACGCGCTTCAAGAGCAGAGTAGTAGCAGCAGCAGCGCGACGCCAGGCCGGTCCCCCGGCAACCTCCTGGAGAGCAGCTTTCCCACTGTGCTATCGTTCCTAGACGCCCGAATCCCGCCGACCAAACAACAGGATCTGCTCCACCTATTTGCGCACCGGGCGGGAGCTGCGTGGCCGGTGATTCGCGTACCCCTGGAACTAGACCGTGTCCGCGCGGAATCGCCAATCCTTCTCCTCTCTGTGGTGGTGTATACCGTTACCCAGGAGACACAGGGCACCAGTATTGACGAGCACGACGAGCTCGTGCGAGAAACAGTGCACATCCTTGGCGACGAGGTGATTGGCCGAGGCCAGAGATCCCTCGAGCTCGTGCAGGCCCTGCTCATTGCGGCTTTCTGGAACAAGACGGCGCGCAGGGGACAGCAGGGAAGCTGCTATCAGATTGTGCAACTGGCTGCCGATATGGCCATCGACCTCGGGATTGCCGGGGTTTCGCTGCAACCCTCTCCGGTGGCGTATTTCAGCCGGCATGAGGATTCAGCATCGCTTGAGGCGCGGCGTACCTGGCTTGCCTGCTTCGTGGCACTTTCGACATCATCTATCAGCATACGGCGCCCCAACACAGTCCCGTGGAATGCTCATCACCAGGATTGCCTCTTACACCTGGAAAGCAGAGGGGACGCATTCGACATTCTGCTCTGTCAGATTGTCCGCATCATCCAGTTGATTCAAGAAATTTCCGATCAGCTTGGCCTTTGCCGATTAGAAACCTTCGTGGATGGTAACAACTACAATACCTATGCTTCAATCGAGGCTTTGAAGAACAAGGTAGACGTATGGGTATCTCATATTCCACCCAGCCTTGCAACATCACTCACGCTCAAGGTGTGGGGTCATGTAGCCATGATCCATATCTACGAACTGGTGCTACATACCCCGACGAACAAGGCATCGTTTGCAGCACCGTTTATTCCATCACGTATCGCCGTCAAAGACTTCCCAAGGCCAGATAACTTCATTGCTCCCCTCCAAAAAGCTCTCGGGGCCATTGTACACCATTGCCACGCCGTCATTGACATCGCCTCAGAGATGGACCCTGCCTTGGCCCTCAGTCTTCCTTCTTTTTGCTTTGCCCCTAGCGTGGTTTACTCTCTCTTCGTGCTGGTCAACGTCTTGGTAGCGGCGACTGATCCTGCAAATACCTACGGACGGTGCCTGATGAGGGACAATTTTCGAGTCGAGCAATGCGGTCTGAAGCTGCAGGGTTTGACAGCACGGATGAAGGATCTCGATCCTACATTAAGCTGCTACGCGACTCGGTTATTTGATGCGACGGGGTGGCTTGAGGAATGGTACAAAGACTACAACTCTATTCTCCAGCGATACGAGATGAACCTCAATACGTAGAAGTCGATAAAGGAACTCTGGAACTGGTGCCATCCTGTCATTCGACAGTGTTTATATAGGGTAGAGTAGACATTCCACCAATTTACTGTACTCAAAGTTCGGTATTTTCTTGTCCCAGTTTGCTTCTACATATCACTCTTACCACAAAGGCACTAGGGACCGACCTTATAGAGGATTAGCGAACGAAACGACCTTGTCCTTCCGAATCCTTCCGAACGGACGGCAGTTCGCTTACGTCTTCGGCGTTCAACGGTCTCTTGTGTAAGAATCATTCAACAAAATTATATGCACCAATTGGCAGCGTGGAATCTAAACCATACACGTAGGACTGCATAGTAAAGGCGGTGTTGTTTAGAAGCGGGCAGAAAAGGTCGCCTCTTCGAGCACACCTTGTATCCTATTCGGCAGATTCTCGTCTATATAGTCTACTAGCTCCTCCCGGATGCTATCCGACTTTAGGTCGAGCGTCTCATCTAGCCTACTGTCTACTCTAAGATCTAGATCTTCATCAAGCTCATAGAGTCTTGCTTCGACTGCGCCGATGCGATCATGCATATCATCATCCAGAGCCGTGCACTTTGCCTCATGTTGCTCCTGCTGGGATGTCAGTTTGGCAACTTTCTCGTTAACCCTTTTCAACTCAGTGACCAACATGGCCTCCCGAAGCTTGTACTCTTGAAGCTCAGCGGCCATTACTGCCTCCCTGGCCTTGTGGTCCTTCAGCTCAGTGACCAACCATGCCACGGTGGACTCCAAGTCTTCTCGCGGCTTTTGAAGTATCCTCTGGCCATCGATATCTGAATTTCCTCGACGGCGCTTATTGGAGGACTTTCCCTGGACTATAGGAGGCATAGGTGGTCCGGGCTCGAGGTCTTGGTATGCCGGCGGCGACTCATCAGAGGGTTGAACCGCAGCCTCGACCTCGACCTCGTCCGTGACTACCTTCCCCCCCCTGCCGCCATACAGGCCGCCCAGGTTAGCGAAGCCTGGTGTGGAAACCACTCCGTGGCTGGACAAGGCCTCACAAAGTGACTGTAGTCGGGCCTCGGACATGACACGCCGCGGCAGGCGGCAGAGCACATCGAAGTCCGTGGCACGCGCCAGTGACCGTAGCGAATCCCAAATAGAGCTGGATTGCTTGTTCTTCCAAGCCACGTGCGATGGATTTATGGAGTTGGGTACGACGAGGGTAGGGGTAGCGGCTTGACCATCCCTCAACTGAAAGTGCAGGCGTACGGTATCCGGGCCAAGGTCTTGTGGATGGTCACTGCTTAGGGACAGCGTCTGAATGACCTCTGGTGCGAGGAATATAAACAACGATACTTGGTCGGGGCTTGGGCTGTTTTTCATCGTGACAGAGGCGCGTAGCTTGAAGAAAGCTGTGTTGTAGGCGGCATGGTATTGAAGATCAAACATCAGGCCAGCTTGTTCTTGAGAACGGCCATTATCGGTCCATTTGACAGTCGCTTCAAGCCTGTTGTGCTTCTCATGCTGGTTTGCCCCCTCGCCTTGGAGTCGCCCAATCTCAGGCTGGGCTAGTGAGATGTCGCGTTTTAGACCGGCATCGTCGTCGCTAACGTCCGCAGAGGCCGTCGAGGCCTGCGACGACGAGACCATAGGCCGTTACTGTGAAAAATTTAGCAGCAAAAGAGGGGACGGGTGGCAGGGTCAAAGTGCGGCCCCCTGTCAGACAGGAACTCCCTCCCACCCAGGCTTCTGGCGGTAGAGTAGCCTTGACTCTCGAGCTGTGGGCGCCCTGGCGGGATGGATGGAGGGCGGGTCGACGAAAGGAAGCAGACAAGATCTCGGACAGCCCGGCCACATCGCCAGCCACACGGCGGAATAGTTCAGCTAGCAGGCAGCTCCCCCTTCGTAGAAGAAAGGAGCACCCTCCCAAGACCCTGGGTCTTTCACCGGCCGCGGACGGTGAGTAGAAGCCAGTAGGATCGGTCAAGGGCGCCGTAGACTAAGACCACCGAGGGACAGCAGATGAGCAGGCGCGCGAGAGCAGATGAGTACCTTTGAGTGAAGACGCAATGGAATCAAAATGAAGCTGAGATACGCCGCGTGAATGTTGTGCATCGGTGTTGCGGACTGTCGTCATCGACAAAGGTGTTGAGGAACGAGGTTGGGAGGCTGGGACGTGAATGAGAGCAGACGAGCGGAGAGGTCAGTGCAGCCTGCAAATCACGTGACCTCGTGAAGCGTCTCCACTCCACAGCGCGGCCATTGGCCCCGCGAGTCTTGACCAATGATGGCTCTCGCCCAAGTGGGCCCAAGGCTTTCCCCAGCAACCGGCTGGCCAAAGGCCAGAATGGCCCATGACTAGAAAAACTATCAATCTTCACTGTTTGGGGATGTATGCGAGAAGTCCTGGTCTGCTCATGCTGGCTAGAGCAGCAATCAAGTAAAAATCATTTCGCTTACACCATGAAGGTCGGTTGGGTTCGCACCAGGTTCGCATATTTGTAGACAAGGCGCCCTCTCGCCCGAAGGTGCAGCGAAGCTAGGAGAAGCCCTATCAAAACCTGTAAACTTGTGGTGGATACTCAAAAGTCAAGTATATTGTCCGGTTCAACCTGACCGTCCCTACATTCGTCTTGGGTAGACGACACACGAGAGCTCTTCCGTCCGCATTGGCAGCGTTCATACTTTAGCCGCACATCATTTCTTGCTACGTGATACAGATTGAATCTTGTTTTGTTGAAATATCTTTGGGCTCGATAAGTCTTTCATTCTATATCGCCATGGCTGACTGCTACATGGCCTTACGTTAATGGGAGTGAGCTTGATACACGCTTTTCACAATGGTTTCTATGCAAAACAACTAGGACAGAACTAACTGATTATAAAGTTGTGAGTAGGAAGAGAAATATATCACCATACTCCATCACAATCACATCCTCTTCCGGTGGTCGAGGTTCTGATGCCCATGCGACTAGTCTTGATGATCTCCTGCGGTGATCTCTCTATCCGTCCGAGGCCAAAGATGGCTCAAGTCGCCGACAGGAAGCTTGACAGAAATGCGCATCTCTGCAGCCATTACGATGAACGTCATGTACCTTGTGCGCCAATCAGATATCAGTGTTTCTTGTTCAAAACATGTGCCTCTTGAGACAACATAGGAAATCAATCAAGGATAAGGAATCTCGCTGAGAGGGTCGCTTACCAGCCTAATCCCGCTACTACGAATAGCAATGCTCCACCCGCCTAGTAATGGCGTTAGCATCTAACCTGAAGAGCATGGTGATGCTGGAACGGAAAATTGTACCTTTTGGAGTCGGCCAGCCGCATCATACTCACCGGCGGCCACTTTGAAGTATGCGCCCGAAAGAATCCATGACGCAATACTCACGAGCCCGAAGATGAGTGCAAACACGGTATTAATCTTTAAGGTGAAGATGAAGTAGGTGAATAAGGCGAATCCCCAGACTAGCAAATACAAGCCAACTGCTGAATTGTACTCCGGCGATGCCAGCCCGGTCGGATCCACAGAAGACGCGTACGGAATACCGAGTTGCAAAGTCGGCAACTGGAGGAGTCCGAACGACAGCCAGAAGACGGCGAAAAGCCCCATTACCATCATCGAGAAGAAATTGCCCATGACCCATTCGAAGACCATCGCAAAGATCAGGAGAACGGGGCCTGTAAAGAAGAATATCCCGCTACATGGGTGTTAGAAAGGGAATTGTAAGATCAACGGGGGCCAAGGCCAACTCACACGACAGGAGAGAAACCGCTGGCGCCTCCCCAGCCCATCAATATGATCGCAAAGGTGAAAGTGGATATGACGAAGCTAGTCCTTCTCAACCAACGCACACAATCACCGACTCGCCGGTAACAAGCTTACCCGACCAAACCAAGCCCAGTTGGATTTGCAAACCGTTTGTTATAGTCTCCGACACGTGGGACCTTCGGCGTCAGATACAACTATTGAAGGCTCTCAGTATAGATACCAGTCAACCCAGTCACATGAGGGTACCTTTTCGAATAGTTCTGGAGACATGGTCACCCCAGTCGTTGTTCTGTGCAGACCTTTCTCCTCATCGTGGATTTGGGTAACATGTTCCGAAGTATCGTTTGACATGATGTTCTCTTTGACGGAGGCTGATATATCTGGTAGTACCAGTGTTATTCTCAACACATTCAATTAAGAGATCAAGGTGATAGAGGGGAGCGAGGGCGTGATGGAGCGGCACCAGCCGACTTTATGCCGCGGTGTACTCGAATCTGCCCACGGCGTCCATCACGGGAAGGGCGGTTTCCAGCACCAAACAAGGAGAGCCCATGCATATTTTGGGGAGCTATGTGCCGAATCAATATTCGAGCCAACAAGCTGGTTGCGGGGAAGCCTGTCGGTCAGCATCCTTCTTGCCCACCAAGTTGTTCGGCTCGCAATGATGCTACGCTTTTGGGCAAAGTGCCGTTGTTAAGTCTCGGCAACACAATAAATTCGCCGCTAAAACATCGTAGAGAACCTAAGAGAAACGGTCATGTGGCAATTGAAGTCAACGGTCAGCCCATATGAGCGAAGTTTAGTCTACGGTATGTCGTTTGCTAGCATTATCAGACGCACGACCGACAGAGCAATGAGCTCGGGGGCTGAATTGGGGAAATATTGACCACAGGCTTCGGGCCAATGAGAGGCTATGTGGCGCCTGCACGAGACACGGGAAAGTGCCTGGACCACTCTAGGATTGAATGGATTACCAACAACGAAGCAGGGACCCTGGCACTCACCACAGAGCGATGCTAATGGCCATGAGAAGGATTCGGTGAGATAATCCATGGCTGTTATTGGATCGTTGCAGATAGCGATTGCACCGCCAAGACACTGGAGTACACCCTATGTCCTATTTGTTATCTAGCGAACAGTGAAGCTCCTGGCGGTATGACTTTGCTCCTGTCTTTTGGTACCCAGATCCCTGGTTGGGACACCGAAATTCCCATCACTATCAGTGGTTCGTGGTTTGGTGGAAGTTTGATGTCTCGGGACGTGATGATATCAACTACGAAATCACCCAGAGCTTGCATCGATTATCTATTGTTTGCAAGCAGAGTGATAGACTCAAGTCATCTTTCAGTTATATTGGGAACTTAAATAATGGCACTCCAGGGACTATATGCCTCCGAATACAGGCCGGGCTTCGCCGTTTCTAAGAATTCTCAACGATACATCCACTGCAATTGGTAATTATACAACACTACACCTCCATTGTTTTTTAGACTTCGTGCATGAACTATGTCTTACCCACCCACTCCGCTACTTCAGAGCCGCAATCTGCAAATTTTAATTGACTTTTTGCATAAACCGCATTTAGTCAGCGTGCAGATATCTCTCCAAATATCCTATGCCAGCGTCAAACAAGCCCCACTTCACAACGCATGAACAAGTGCATAGCTGCCACAACTACCGACACCCATGTTAATATGACTCGAGAAGCAATCCAAGGAAGGAGACCCATACTCTGAGAACCTCGCTTCTATTTTGTAGCTAATTTTAGCGGTACTATTTGGATATTGGCAGCCTAGCCACCGCTAACAGCTGTAGTTTATTCCACAATACCCTAGGTAGTTAGCCACCATCTCAAATGGGCTTGGGTTTATGCGGGGTTGGTGGCGGCAAGCTCTCGGGCATTTAATATGTCCGACTTCATGTGTTCACTCAACTCTTTTCTCGTCTTTCTTTCGCAATCCCGTCTGTGATGCAATCGCCATGACCAGAAGGTAGGCGTTCGTACGTACTACTATGAGAGCTGAGATCCAACGTGGTGAGGACTGTAGCTTCGCCTTCAGGGTGGACTCTCTCGCGACTCGTCTCTTTATGGTGAGCCAGTCTCCAGGGGTGACTGGTCGCATGCTTCTTGAGATAGCCTCAGCTTCCAGACCCAGCATCGACCCTCGATCCACACTCTCATCGCTAAGGGGGCTAGAAGACTCCAGTGAGGTGGAGACAATGCATCATGAGTTGCGCAACCCCCTAGCCCTGGTCCGTTGACAACTTCTAGACCGGCCTTTGAGCCTGCTATTGTAGCCAGGTCTGTTGTAGTTAGAAAATACAGCCCATACGAACGCGGGATCGGAGTTTGTCCAGGGGAGCAGCTTCAATTGTCACTCTTTCACGACGACCAAATCAGATGGAAGTGGAGTTAGGTATACTACATGTGTTACGAGACTTAAAGATTCAATACCGTCCACCTTGCGATGAAACAAGATGGCTTCTGGATCACAGTGAGGATCCGATTTCAAGCAGCCATCGTTCCAGGTCGCCCGCTAGGCGCTTACCGAGATCCAAGTCAACTACACAGTCCTGCCAGCTACACGTGACACACATTTGCTTATCCTTCACCGTCATGATTGATACGGATATGGCAGCAGAAGGGACCTCTGTGCTTAACACTAACTCCGCTCGGCGTAATGACCACCCATCCTCTTGCACCGATGAGTTGCCAACTTCCCCGTCGAGAACGCCAAGGTTCGTAACGAGCCAAGAGAAGTACCGAGTCTTCTGAGCCTCCCTCTGCTGCTGAGTTCGCCAGTCTGAGACAAACTTCATGATCCCGATCATGTCGTTCCATACACCCGAGTTTAATCTCGCCTGGATCTCTTGTCGAACTCGGGCTGCAACGGGCCATATTATATCCATGACATCATCTTCCAATCCTGCAGTGACGTCTTGGGACGACATCTTGGATCGAATCCTTGTAACCAGGTTGGCATCAAATTCGTGGTCCACCACTGACACATAGTTGCACATGGACTCTTTTGGTTTTAGCCACGAATATTGAGCAGTTCCCGACGGTAAAATCTGTCGCAGGTCATATGGTGTTCTGCTTGCAAAGCCTTTCATATCCTTAAGAGCCGATGATAGGGAGACCAAAATAAGGGCCTGCATAAGGCCCGTTAAGGTGGTATGGTGTTGGCGGCAAGCAGTTACCACTCTTGTGACAATGTCATTATTGACTGTGAAGGTGTGAAATCGGGTCGTGAATGGGGATGCCTTGATTGGGGCCCAGGTCGCGTGCATCTTGCCTGGTGGGAAAATTGAAGGGGGTTTTAACTCATTCCACAGCGTTCTCAGCAAGAACGTCGGTGTCATCGGCCATCGCGACAAGAGCTCAGGGTTTGGCGGCAGCCTATCAGACGGATCCGGGAGATTGAGAATCCAACCATCCGAGCCTTCCGGGTTATCAAGCATGGGTGCTTTGTTCTGTACAAGGGGGTCGTTCAGACTTCGCATCAACTGTTGATGAAATATTTTACCGCTCATACCATCATGGTGCGGATGGTTCCAGGCGTATAAAACCTCTATTGAACCTCCTTTCGCCTCATGTAGTATCGTTAGCCTCCAGCCAGGCTGGGTGGAGAGGTGGTCAAATCTGGAATCGAGCTGATCCTGCATTGACTCGAGGTAAACTGCCTTGCGGTCACTCGGATCGCTCAGCAATCTCCATTTAATATGATTGTGGAGATGCAAGTGATTAAGGCGAACAAAGGCAGGGTTCTTGGAGTTCTCGCCCGTGATGCCGACTTGTAGGTGAGGTTGGGCAAGAACAACACGAGCAATTGCGTCGAGAAATATGGTCTTCAAAGTCTGGAAAGATTCTGGCTGGGGGAGACTGGACGGAGGACAGTAACTGCAGGCCACGACAGTGCCTCGGTACTGGTCGAGTGTATGCATGGCCAGCTGATAACCTTCACTGTGCTGGATTAGATTGCTGTCTTTGTTATGCGTGAACAGAAACGTACTGGCAGCCTAGTTTGCGGATCCTAGTGTCCGCATGATTGTTGGTGATGTCGGTCATGATGGGTTATCGTGTAAAGGCTTTGTGGGAAAACAATGATATTGAAAGACGGAGTTTGCTGATTTTGCTGATTTTGACTGCTGATGCAGGCAACGACCAGAAGGATTCTACCCCCACTTAACCACAATTGGCCCTCACAGGTCTCACCCACTTAATTTACCAAGCATTACAGGGTTACTGGCCGTGAACATCCATGGAGGCTGGTAATCAATTTAAAAAAAAAAGTGCTTTTCACAAAGAGGCTCCATCTCGCAGGTGGTTGCATGGCATACAGATCATCAGAAATCACAGTAGCCTAAGTTTTCAAGTTTGTAAGACAAGAGACCACGGTACCTCGTTGGGATGTCGAGAACTGCATTGATATGAGCATATCATATCTTAAGTATTGATCTCCTCAAGATTCCCGATTCTGCGTTTCCCTCAACCGGATGAAGAAGTCCCGCGAGGCAGCGCTGTCGACGAATTCCTTGATATCCTTAATCAATGCATCGTCCTCCGTCATTTTGAGAACGAACATGACTTCATTGGTGAAAGGGCCGATAATCGTGCTTGCTTTGCAGATCCCGTGGATGACGACCTTGTGCGCGGCTGCATCAACAATGGTTTCCAGAGTCTCTGTCTCCCAATCCTTGAAAATAGACTGGATGGATTGGAAATACTCGCGGAAGTCGTCATTATTTCTAGCCGGTACTGGCAGGTTTTGAGGGAAGATGCGTTGAACGCAATCTGCCGACCTCAACGACATTAGCTTTTCCAAATCCCAGCTTTTGTAAGCGTCCATGAATGCCTGCGCCGTTATGGGAAGTTTGGTAGAAGGCATATTGGCTAATGTGATATTTGAAAGTTCTGTGTTATAGAGCGTGAAGTAGATCTCGACGGCGGTAGCTTTGCTGTAGGTGGGGCCGTTCTGCGTCAATGAATGAGAAGAAATCGGCTCTCAATTGACAATGAGTATTGGGTCACCGAGAGAAGCTGGCAAATCGTCTTATTGGTGTAGTAATGCTGCACGCCGCTTGGACAACAATTGGAGGCCTTCACTCAATATATGTGATTGAATTTCTTGGTGAGACTACCTACAGCGCTCTACTTTTTGTCTTACTTCACGTGCAGCGGACCCGAAGTTTTGGTGCCCATGTCTCCACCCACTGCACTGAGCCACCTCTGACTGAGTCATACCGCCCTTAGTCCGAATCCTTCGTCAGCTTATTCTTGGTCTGACAACGCCGCTCAAACGGAATGTTGTATGTTGAAGAAGGGATATAAAAACAATGGGCATAATTTCACAATACCGTGGTGGTTAATGATGCGATAGGTTTGCCTCCATGTAAGAGTAGCTTGTTTACTGGCTGGCTGGATGAAACTGGGTATGAAGTCCGCAGCTTTGCCTCCATTCAGTCGTTGAAAATCCGAGAATCGAAAACTCGCCCTCAAACCTCAGAATTCAAAGGGCGACTTGGTGAACTCATGAAATTTTAATGAAGCTACGATGGATCTTCTTCCCTTCGCATCTATTCCAGCCCAAGTCACTAAGTACCTCTTGAAATCCTCAAACGGACATAATCATAGCACTGCCTTAGCCAAGTTTGACTCAAAGTTGGAGTCAATGAAAGGCACATTGGCATCTGGGATTCGTCAGTCAAGTATAGATTTAGTCGAGGATTGTCAGCTTACCGCCCCAATCCTTGTTTGCGAGAGCCTCTTGTGCAACTGTGGGCATCGAGTCCCAAGCAATCAGTGGCTGCTGGCCGCCGACCGTATCGGTGAATCCCATCGAATGGTCCAAGATGGAGTACGCCGTGTAATATTTTATCAACGGCCCACTGCCGCTTAGATCAGGTGTCTTTGACGTCTCGTAGTCGCCATGATAAGAAGCAGCAACACCCAACAGAGTGCCATCGGCTGTATCGTCAGATAGCCAGACCACGATACCTTCCCAATCATACCTGTGACCGATCCCAACAACAGATTCCAGCCACGACGGCTCGTCCTTGGGGAAGTACCAGCTGTACATGATGGCGAAAGCTTCATTGTACGATTCCGCACGAGCATAGACCTGACCAGTACTGGAGTCGCAGTCTCCTGACGGGTCTCCCGAGGGAGCAAGGCCCGCGCTACGACAAACACGTTAGTATGGACATCCTTCCAGGCCTCCAACTGAATTTACCTTGTATCGCCATCCGTGTCTACCGCGGGGAATGGAACGCAACCGTCAACGACGTAGAGATATGGCTTGTACTTCAGCATCAAATCACCAATGACTGTGCCAGGGACTGTTTCGTCAAAGCCGACAACTGCATCGTGGTTAATGTCACCACGAGGCCTGACGCGTCCAGGCTTTGCAAGAGCAGCACCAACAATTGCAAAAACAGAGAATAGGAACAGCATCCTGGAGCATCTAGGATATACTAGCACTAGCGGTCGGCGAATATCTCGCGTGGTGGGCCATCTAATGGTCCACGGCCGCCGGAAAGGACGTACACTTTGCTCATATACTTCTTCCGCAACAGGAAGCGTGCCTGCGATTGACAGTACCAGTGTTTGTCATCCTACCGGACTCATGAAACATTAATATTACCGCATGGTACCTTGCACAACCACGTGCAATAAGTGATTCGCCAAGATTGGCAACGGCCACGCGTTTTCAACAACCATTAACGGTGGATCGAACCAAAGCGGGTTTAGTTCCCCAATTCTGCACTAAAATGAGATGACTTGAAAAGCACAGCACACGTTGCTACAGGTGACGAGTTCACGCCGCCTGATCGCATGGAATACCTCACCACAGGTAATGATAGAGCTATGATACTTGAATTTTCTCTCCTTCAGACGCTTTCACACATCGCTTGTCTTAACCTTATAATCCATACATTAACAATTAATGTTGTGAACTGGCTGACGGAGATGGTTGCAGGTTGTTTTAAGTCTTCTGGAAACATTTCGTTGGACACTTGCGGGCAGGCCCTGTACTATTGAGTGCTAAAGGAGAAGAAGCTCTGGTATGGCCAAGGGCAGTTAGCTAGCTGCCATGGTCGCCGTTATTGATCACGCTGATCAGGGAAATCCTCCTCCGGTTAGGAAGGGCTCGTGCGGCAGGCAGGTCAGACAAAAACAACGCCCTTCTTGGCTATTGGCTTGGCACCTACAGGCTGTCAAACTTCTAGGAATATAACTGGTGTTTGTAATACTAAAGCACGTGACCTCCACTCCTGCAATGTAGCATTTGGGTACGATCCACCATAGTGGGAGCTGTTGTGTCTGACTTCGAGGCTGAAGGTGTCTTGAAGATGTTACATTGGCCGCCGGAGGCGCCCACTGGTGGCGTGCGGGCGGCGTCGAAACGAGCCTGTGGCGCACGGGTCCGGTAACGGGACATTATCATTGGCGATGGAATACCCCTTTCTACAGCTGACACATCAGTAAAATGCAACTCCGGCCAAGCTGCTTGACGCACTTCCAGAGCCTGCCGATCTTCCTCCCGGCTTGTGTGTAGAACTGCACTGCCTTGAGGCCCAAGTTACTGCTGGCTTCTCGAGCGATTTAAGCCGACGGCTGGACTTTGGCAAGTATTGTAAACCTGAATTATAGCATCGTCAGAAAACTTGCCGTTACTGGCAGAATAGTAATTGAGGAAAAAATCAATGATGGACCTCTTTCCCCTCATCCTTATGGTCGGCCGGATTGGTTCAGCCCAATGAAGAATACCTCAATCCTATGCCTGTTCATTAAATGTGCGACCTGGCTTAACTTTGGCTCAGCCTCGCTCCAGGCGATTCAACTCCAGCTCAGGTCGGCACAGGGCTTAGATCCAGATCGCTCGCGCATCGCGATGTTACCGTAAGCGATATAACACCAGGCTGACCATGCATATCTTTATAAACTGTTTTCTTGTAAGATTATGTCTTTGGGTCTTGGCCAACGAATCACTTAGATCAAAGAAGGCCGTCGGTCCATGGCGGTGAAGTAGTAAGACAAAATAGTCTTAGACAACAGGGTAAAGCCTCTGCCAACTCCGGGGGAAAAAAAGACGAAGAACGCTTTGCATTCGTTTCCAGCAAATTTATCCGCGTATCTCCTATTAGTAGGTTGGATTATTTCATGGAACCTGCGTCATCGTCTTGGCCATATACACTTGCGCATCATGTACCATTTTCGTACGGCTGCTCGGCTATATACTTATGTCAGTAGCTCACTTCCATCAACACCAAGGGAGCGAAAATTGGAAGTGCCTCTGCGCCGTATAACCTGAAACCTGACACAAATTACGTCAAGGTTGATCACGCGCAAAACGTGGCACTCGGGTCGAGTCTTTGTCTAGAAAAGACACACGCCACTAGTCCATTTGATTCAGGTCACTCCAAGCACCCAATAATTAACAAAAGTATTAGCCAGCTATGTATTAAAGGAAACACAGACGTCTATAAATATGGATCGAGGAAGCGCTATGCTGCTGTCTCTTTCCACATTAGCCCCCACCGACGCTTTCAATACACGGATTCCATTACATACAACACAATTAATATGCAAGTGTTCAAGAATCTTCTATTCACAGGCCTAATGACCTTGCCTGTTTACGCCGAGCCGAACGATGCCCGAAACTATCCAGCCTGTAGACCAGATACCTGCCTATTTGATGTAAGCATTTCTTCATGGATAGCTTCCAGGTCCTAACGCAGCAGTACTCAAGATCCAGAAGCCGGGCCATAACTATATTGCCGACTGTTCATTATTCCTCAAGAAGACCGTCAGTCCCTGTCCTGTGTAAGTTAACAGCCGTTCCCTGCCATAAATATCAGGAGCCTGCAGGGTATCTAATAGAGTACGGCAGCACTATCACAGTGACCGGCAATGTACGCGCTGGCAGTGTTATAGTCAGAAGTCACGAGACCTCGGGTCCTGTCGACAGGGGCCTTGAAAACCGGGGCCTTAAAGGCCGGGACCTTGACAACGGGGGTCTTGAAGATCGGGACCTTGAGGACCGCGCCGCTTACCCTATATCCTCACGATGCCCAATCACCTCGTCCGCTCGCTCTTTGCCATCCTACGCCAAGGCACGTTGCCATGATGCTGCACATTACTCCAGCGCCTGTGGTTGCCTTGGAGTGGCCGGAAAGACGACAACACTTCCGGCACAAAAAGTTACGATCATTGTTAGTAGGACCTTTACTAATGTAGTAACGATATCACCAAGGACCACGACACCGACAACGCCGCCACCTGTACAGACCTCGCCGACCCAGACCTCGCCCACGCAGCCACCACCATCGCAATCTTCCAGCACCACATTCACCTGCTCCACAAGTTCTGGACTACTGGTGTACTTTTCTCAGCTGTTGAATCCCTTTAGATACATTCTAGTAGAAACCGACTACTCCTTTCCCTTTCTGAGCTTGGATACACAAGGATACCTAACAAGTAACAACCAGTACCTCAACGTCCCTAGTAAGTGCCATTGCGACCGCAAAGTTTTCATATACTGCACGTGGTTTGCCGCAGTTGTAGCTGACGACTCGCTTAGCACAAGACAACAACGCCGACTTGATTTACATTGGCGGCACAGACAATCTCAACGTTCCTGTCTCGAACAGGCTGGCCTGTACCTTGTTGCCGACGGGGCCATTTTCATTATTGAATCTCTCCTGCCGAACTCATAATGTTACGCAGGCCACATTCACGCGATGCGAGCGTCCTGGAAACAACACATATATCGGGTTATCGAGTTCTGTCCCTTCAGGTTGCCAGGCCACCAATTTGACATGTTCCTACAGTTAGTAGTCAACGGCTTCCTCGATCTCCTGTGCTACGGCCTAGTTGGTGTTCCGATACTGTGTAATGCGGGACTCTTGAGTGTGTGGTTGGGCTGCTCTGGCCATTATTGTCAAGGCAGTCGGCAAGATGCGGTATGGCAGCGAATATGTAGAGAAGTAGCGAAAGTCTAGTTGTGTGACTTGTGTCCAAAAGGGATCTACCAGGCTCGGAGTCGTCCCAATATTAAGTTTCTTCTGGGTGCCAAAATGGAGGCATGCATGACAAGCACCGAATATAAGCCACTGCCCCCTTGAGCAACGATTTTAGCCTTAAATGGACGAAGTATTATGGCCAAAAACTCTGTCAAAGATCGCAAACCAATCATGCTGAGGAATGGGGAAGAAGGGCAAGAAATGCATTTGTGACCAGCCAGGGTCGAAACGTCACAATCATTCCTTCAGCTGGGAAACTGCCCTGGACTTCCACCTATGCGGCATGAGATGCCTTATCCCGAAAACCATGAATGATATAAAGAAGCCTAAAATATGGCCAGTTCCGCAAAGCCGATGCTTAACCAAGCTGCATCAAGCTTTTCACGTGCGGGTGGGGTCGAGTTCACGGGCGCATCACCCACAACTCATGCCTACTGAGCAGCTAACAGCTCAGGTCAGAACGCCCCCACGAGCTCACGTTCAAAAGCGGAGGTGGGTGTTGGTGGGGGGAACTTTTTCAGGCAGACTCTGTCGTTATTTGTGGCACAATCTGCCTTCGAAGCAGGTTGGTCCTTACCCCGCAGATGGAGAGAGAGCCTTTCCCGGCCTCACATCATCTCCAGTGCTGGCTGGCTGCAACTTTGGTTTTCTTCTAGTCCAACAAAGAAACTATCTAACCTAGCGCGAAGAGGGTCAACAGACATTGGCGTCTGCGGATCTGCCCGTCCTTGCTATCATGTCGGTCGACGCGCTGTCTTTGGCGTGCAATATCATAACCGTGACTGACTTTGGCCACAAATTCTACCAAACTTTCCGCGATGTCTATAGAAATGGTGAACCAGACCCGACCGCTGAACATAAAGCGAAGGAGCTTGCCATTCTAGCGGAAAGTCTCAAGAAGTCACGAGAAAAGGCTCATCGATCTGTCCCCAACGATGACCAGCTCTTCAGGGTTGCGGACAAATGTGTCGAGGCTGCCACAGATCTTCATACAGAGATGTCAAAGCTTGCTCCAGCAGTGTCAACCTCTCGCACTCTACATGTTTTGCAGTCAATCAAGTGGGCAGCCAAGCGCACCTGGCGCTACAATCGTATAACACAGCTCAACAAGTCGTTGGATGATTGTGAGGCCACGATGCAAAATGCTATTCTGCTCGAAATGTACGAATCCGGCGAAGCAGATCGGGTCAGGCAGCTCGATGACTTCAAACAGCTCGACTCTCGGCTGCAAAACTTTGTTCATTCCGTTTCCAAGCAACACCTCCAGGTGTCCCAGCTCTTGGTGGAGAACAAGTCTTTCCACCAAGAGACCCAGGCTGTCATCCGCCAAGAAGTAGCAGGTTTGAAAAATGCGAAGATTTCAGAGGTAGAGGCCCAACGACTGAGGACCAGCCTCCAGTTTCCCGAAATGAACCAGCGATACAATGAACTAAGAGAGGCACACAAGAAATCATTTCGATGGCTTCTTGGCGATGCCTTGGCAACAGGCGCAAAAGATGTGACTCCTGATAGAGACAGCGGCCGTGGCAGCGACAGCAGTGATGATATTCATGATATCAATGAGGAGCCTAATTACCTCCGGCACTTGCGTAAGGAGACTTTTGGCGACTTCAAGCAATGGTTAACCTGCGAGCCCAATTCAAAACTGTACTGGGTTAGCGGAAAGCCCGGGGCGGGTAAGAGCACGTTGATGAAGTATATTTGTCAGCAAATTGGAAACCAGAATGCCGTTGACGGGTTAAAAGTTGTCATCCGTCATTTCTTCTGGCTCGGAACAAGCAATACGCGCTCGCGGCACAATGACATGGAAAGCATGTTCATGACGCTTCTTTATCAACTCTTGGAGTGCCAGCTGCCTGAGATACCTCTTGCTGCAACAATACTGCAGCAGGCCCCATACATACGGCAGAAGAATTATCCCACGGACTGGAGCCTTGAAGAGCTAGAAGAGACAACGCGCTTGGCGTTGCAAATACTTGGCAGCCGCTACCCAATCTACATTCTTCTAGATGCACTTGATGAGCAATTGCCGGTTGCGGAGCGCGGAGAGTTGCTCCAAATTATCCGGAAGCTTGAGAAAGTCCCTAATGTTCGACTCATTATCTCAAGTAGACGGGAGCGAATATTCGACAAAAGCTTGGCAGGTTCTAGACAGCTTAATCTCCAAAAGTTGACGGCACCAGATATTCATTATTTCGCGTTGGATCTTTTGCGCGATGATGTGCATTTTGACGATGGTTATTCAGCAAAGTTCTTGCATGATATTGTTAAGAAGATTGTTATGAAAGCGGATGGTGTCTTTCTCTGGGCTCGACTGGCTGTGCATAGCGTCAAACGTGGTCTCATCGACGGAAACTCTAAAGATGAGATATACGAGCGTCTCAACGATATGCCCACAGAGCTATCGAACTACTTCCAGTCTATCTGGAAGCGGCTGGGAGACGATCAGAAGAGGTACCAAACTATAGCCGCCAATATCTTCTCGCTTCTTCTCTGTTCGTCCTGGGAGATTCCGTTCTTTATCTGCTGGCCATCCTACAACAAACAACACATGAAGGGAACTAGTAAGGATGCTCTATGCTTGAGCCTAGCGTTGAATCTGAACGACGCACATCTACTCTTACAGGGGGACGGGCATATCACAGAGCCATATCTGCTGAAACGATACCAACGTCTGGAGGAAATCATTTTGTCACACTGCGCTGGATTGATCGAAAAAGATGAGAGTCGTTATAGTTATAGTGACTATTGCATTCCCTGCAATGCCGAATCTACTGCACTAAGTTGGAAATATCGCTTTATTCATAGAGCAGCAAGGGAATTCCTTCTCCAGACATCAGATGGAAAAGACCTCCTGGACTGCAACGACCTGGGCGAGAATGGCCCTGAATTCCGAGCATTGATAGCTTTTCTTGCCCGTTCGGTCGTCTTCAGAGAATCTTGGCGTGCTCTACATCGGTGCCAACCGATGCGGTCGCTTAACTTGTCTATGTTTCTTCTACGGCTCAGCGAGAGGAACGATCGCGAACTGCAATTGAACTCAGAGCAAAAAAACTCGCTCCTTGACTTATGCCAAAAAGTCTACTTTCAGTTCGCCGGGCACCCAGACAACCCCATTTTTGGGAATTGGAAAGTCGTCCGCCCTTGGATCATTCAGCCCTTCACTACTTTCGCAGCAGAGTGTGGTCATGGTGGCTACATAGCACAATGGATGGCGGCACGAGCCAGGGGTGAGCGCACTTTCACCGTGGAAGCCTACATTATGGTATCACGAGCCGATTTGGACGCCAGGATACGAAGAATTCAGAACAACAATACATCAATTCGCCCTCCTCTTGATCACGCCGTCTTGCTCATGTCTGCCGATAAGCCTAATACTTTTTTCCCACTTTGTTGTTTCCAATCAAATAATATCTATCCGTTTGAAGCTGAACTACATGCCCCAGAATTGGCCAACACATCCCGCATTCAATATTCTGCTTCACAACAGATTCTGAACGGAATATTAACAACCATCGCGGATTTTTGCTTTCAACCCGAATGGATAGCCAATAAAGTCTTTGAGCTCTTAGGACTTTTCAACAGCTCCGATTATGACCTTTTCGCAACCATTCCGTTCATCTATACAGCGAATACGCGGCAAATGGGCTTGTGTCATCCTTTTCTTTTTATGCACAAGAAGCAAGACTCCAAAGAAGAATCTACAGATGAATCGACAAAGATAGCACCGGTGCACATGGTGTTTGAAACGGATCCACTCTGGGTGATTTGGTGCTTGACTCAGATTTACGTTTCTACCTGTGGAGCAGAAACGCTTTGTCACCATCTCGAAAAATTTGTTCAGTTGCATAGCCAAGACGGCCGAAAAATACAAACGCCACGGCCTATTCTGCTCTTCACCGCTCCAAAGAGGACGCTGCCGCCAAGATATTTGTACCATGACGCCAGATTCGAAATTACACAAATGAAAAGAGTCCCACCTGAAACGGCAGGTTATTTGAGTGAAATGCTAGATGCGCAATTCGACGAAAATCAGAAAGACCGAAATTACGTGCTGAAAGGGGTATTGCAACAGGTGTGGGCAGATCTGCCAACGGATCTATTGGATGCGGCAGAGATTGAAGAATTGCTTGTCACCCACAAGGTTTGGTGCTCCAAGGAAGAGATGAGAAGACTGTTGACGGCTTGTAACATTGTAATGGCAGATGAAGATGCTCCTGAAGATGGATATGGCGATGGGCGGTTTATAGTGCCTCCAGAAGGAGCCTCCGAAGAACAAAAAGCACTGAGCTATGTTACGATGAGGTTTTAGAATCTGGAAGAGTGGAGTCGCGAGAGGCATTGCATTCGTGCGTAGTGCTTTTGGGAGATGGGTATAAGCCCTTGAACCCATCGTGGAGACTAAATTGGGTAACAGTTTAGTGCATTATTCTCTCAGCTGTTTGTCGCCAATATGACAAATTGCTACACAGTAGAGTGAACCCGCCGCCATATGGCTGAGTGCCGAAGTAGGCAAGCAATCATGCCTCGCATCGATGGCAGCTAGCAGACGTCGGCTCCGTTGCGATGATCAGTCACAGCGCAGGAAAGCCTGCTCCTACCTGGAGCTGGAACGATCGGCGCAGGAACTGCTCAAGGGCCTTGATCAAGGTCTTGCGACGGCGTAAACCGGCTGCAGGTTATTAGCAAGCTTTCGGCCTGGTGGTACTCCGCGCCGCAAGCTGCTGGCCGGTGGTGCTACCTGCGGGCTGGCCCCGCTAATTCTAATGGAGCGTTACAGGCGGATAACCACTTCGACGCTCTCTACATGGATTTCAGCTCTTGGCATATGATCACAACAGACCCATTCTCGACATTCAGTTTGCACTTGATTGTTATGATATGGAAAGCGCCTGCGTAAAAACCTCGCGTTGCTAGACACTGTAGCTTCACCAACAAGCATGTCTTACGGAACTGTCCTGATTACTGGCTGCGGCATAGCGGGACCTGTTCTTGCAATTCTCCTCAAAGCAAAAGGCTACAGCCGTATTGTGTTCGAAGAAGTGCGGCATTTGGGCGATGTCAGTACTTCTTTGATGCTCATGCCCAATGGTATGAAGGTCCTCAACATGATTGGATTGGCAGATGAGATCTACGAGCTGGCATTTCCCCTGGAGGCTTACGAGGATTTTACTGGATCAGGCGAACCACTGGGGTCTTCTACACTGCCGGCGCAGTTCCAGCAAAGGTATGGTCAGAAAGCCGTGGTGATCAAGCGTACGACTCTCAACCTCACATTGGAAACCCGGATGGTGGCAAGTGGCATCCAGCTACGGGAGGGTTGAGAGCTCTCAGAAATCTAGGAAGATGCGAGCTACGTGACGGCTTGCTTTACGAACGGCGAGAAGGCTAGAGGTTTGTTTCTTGTCGGCTTTGATGGAATCAAGGCTGCGTCGCGTGTCTCTCTATTCGGGCGGAAGCATGTTGACCAGCCCCCGCCAAGTTTTACCGGCCTTACACAGACCTCTGGCATCTCACCAGTCTCTGGTCTTCTGAAGAGATCTTGTATAAGAAACTGGTATGGGGAGGGGGTGCACGTCATTTCTTATCCTGTGTCTCGTGCTTCCATCTCGTGGGCAGTCACTCTGTCCCAGTTGAATGAAAGTCCAAAATCATGGCGTCTGTATGAAGGCCGTGATATGACAGTGCTTAAGGACAAACTAGCCCTCGTCCTGGAGGATTTTGAACCCGAAGTGGTGGAGATGGTCTTGAAAGCGGAGAGGCTATTGAAGTTCGGCTTGTTTGACAGGAGAATGTTGGAAGTGGACGAGTGGTACAGTGGACGTTGTGCCCTCGTTGTGGACCCTGCGCACCCAACCTCGCCCCATCTCGGCCAAGTAGTAAACTGGAGTGGTGCTCCTGGGCCATGTTCCCCAAGTAACACAACCTCAGCCAACGCAGTCCTCCTCGTCAGTGTTGACGAATCGAACGTACATTGTTCGTCTGGCTAAAATAGACGTATAAATTAACGGTCGCCAAACCGAATAGTCGTAAAATAAAGGCAAAAAGTACGATGGTATATTAAAGTCTACGAAAAAGAGGGAAATTAAATAAGTAAAACGCGTAAAAGAACAGCCACAATTTCTTAAGCCACAATTCTATACCACGTCTCACCAGCCCGAGCTCAGGAGCCAATCAAGCCTTTGAAGACTGCTACCACCTAAGCAGGGTCCTTTCAGGCTTCGATCCCAACGACTTATCCCAAGGTCACAGCAACCTACAGTCCAGGTTCAGGCAGTATGCATCCAGACGGCAGCCACGGAGCTCAGCCCTGGTCAAAGGAGCAAGAAGCGCTGGTGAGAAACGAGTCGTCACAACTGGGGCGAAGGACTGCGAAAGCCGGAACCAACGAGTAAGAGCGGAATGGCAAGACGCTGCTGCCATTCAGGCAAAATTGGATGGCCTGTGCAGAGAACCGGTTGACGGCGTACCTCAAACTTGGGGTAGGACAGCTTGAATTTAGATATATCCACTGACTCGAATATCATGAACTTCCCCCTGATTGAGGCCAATGCGAGGTTGCACTGGGTGCCTTGGCGGAGTTGCAAGTCGAGCCGAGGCGATGGGCGATCATTCCGAAACTCGTCTCATCTCCCAAAATGGGAGTTCGCGACGACCCCGGATCCACAAAGCGATCGGCAGCGATCTCCTCGGCACCACATCCGACAACTGACAAGTAATGGCGGGCCCGTACTCGCAGCGCCATTGCCTCAGCTGTCGTCTGATCCAGATTCTGCACAGCTAGCGTCTCAATGCGTTGCAGGGCATTGATTCCTAGACCATCGTGGAATTCGTAGTGGGCGCTTGAAATTAGATCACCAGGGAATTTGAGTACATAAACGCCAAAGTCTTCGTGTCCATTGTACTGTTTGCTGTGTTGCCCACACAAGCTTAAAATCAACTCTAATTCGAACATTAGGCTGGCCCTTACTTGCCCTTTCTTCTACTTCATACCCATAATTGGCATTTGTATGAGATTACGATGAAGCTCTCTTTGATTCCGACTTTCTTAGCCATTGTTGGCGTTGCTACTGCCTTGTCCCAAGAGGTGCATAGCGACAAACCAGGACGCCGTGCCATCCTACTAAATCGACAGTCCAATGCCAACCGGCCAGTCCCAGATGGAGCTTGCTGTGTAGCAAACACCAGCTTGAAGCAGGACTTCTGCACCGTCAACGGCCAACAAGGGAAATGTGTTCCCGCCTCCTCGGCAAACTGTAAGTAGCTACAGCTAGCACTATTTCTGCTTACCAGGAGCTACGACCACTTGACTAATACTGTTTCCAATAGGCGGTGCACAGTTGACATGCGTCGCGGATGCCAATCTCACATGTGATCCAACAAAGACAGAGAGGGGGAGAACATTTTGCAGGGAGAAGACCAATTGATCAGGCGGCGTCATTTGGCTCAATATCAAGGACAAGAGACGCGTTTTCCTATGTACAGTCTTTGATATATCATAGATATTGATGATCGCACAGAAGTATAATCGAATCCTCATAACTCCCAATGGGATAGTGTCACCCCTTGGTAGACGTCAGACCCCACCATTACGCTCATTATAACCCTATTTCTATTTGCTGGTGGGCCGTAAAGGAAGATTTGCGGCAGTGTACGCCATGTCAATCATCCGAAGTGTGTTGATGCTCGCTTCGTGGTCGACCCATTGCGGTGTCTCACGACCTCGAACCTTGTTGACGAACTGCTCAAGCTGATACCGGTAAGTAGGCCAATGAGGCTCCCCAATCTGCTCAATACCAGCTTCGTGGAACGAGTAACATTTGACTGTCTGATGCTTTTTCCACCGTTTTATGACGCTTTTCTTGTCTGCAACAGCGTGGATCGTGAATTCATCGTCGATCTCAATCGCATGTAAGAATGCAGGTTGAACAAAGGTTGTGAATTTGATTTTGCGGACACGCACTGCTTCCTGCGCCTCCGTCAGGCTGACTCCGGCCTCTTTGGCTGATATCACAACTGGGCGATGTGTGACGTGAATATTTGGCGACCACCTATCTAGGGACGCTTTTAGGTCTCCCTCCATCTCACCATGGCCTCCGCCTGGGAAGCGATACCTAGCTTTGAATGATCGGTCACAATTTGCATCAATAGAGCTTGCTTGTACATCACACTCCTCACATGCCTCAGCGACGTTACCAAAGATTCGGAAAAGTGCACTCGCGGTATATGCGCCAAGGTCCATCAGGGCGCCACCGCCTAGGTCGTAGCGGTATCGAATGTTATCTGCGGCAAATTGCCATCTTGGAACCCAAAGAACAGCTTTGGCGCTAGCAACATCCTGGGGCGAGATGTATGTCATGAACTGTGTCCACGCCGGATGGAATAGGTAGTGCGCAGCCTCTAGGAGAACGGGAGGCTGCGAGCCTGATAGAACTGGGTTTCTGAAAAGCATCTCGGCTTCCGACGTGTTATTAACAGACGGCTTCTCCAAAAGCACGTGCTTTCCTGTTTGGAGGGCTCGGATAGCCCACTCGTAATGTAAGCCATTCGGCAGCGGGATGTAGACACAATCGATTTGCGTATCATTGATGATATCTGTGCAAGTTAGAGAACTTGAGGTCCAATTCGAGCCATACCATGAAGTGAAGCAGCATGTAAGGTTGCGCCAATAATCTGACACATGTGAATCGCGTCCTCACCTTGGTAGCTAGCCTTCACTTCCGGAATTCCATGCTTCTGCGCGTACGCCTTCGCCTTGTCGTAGTTTCGGGCCGCCACAGCCAAGATTTTCACATCGGGATGTGTTTTTGCAGGCGAGATGAGTGCCATCGGACTTCGAGAATACCGTTCTCTTAGTTTAACACGCCAGAGGGTTCAAGGGCAACGGTCGTACTTACGCAATATCTGCGGCGCCCAAAATGCCGAACATGAGTGGCTTCTCTACTTTGGGAAGCTCAGAAGGGTTGAATATCTGCCAGTTGCGGCGTGCTAAATCAATGAGTCCGGCCATCGTGACTCGAGAAGAGCACCAGCTCCGGTCAGCAAGATTCCTGGGTCGTGTTATTTCCACTATTAGCAATGCTTTCACCCGTAGCAACAGTCGCGAGGGTGGATGAGGATGTCGTTCTAGTGCGGCTAGTTGAAGGCTGGGGAATTTAGTCGGCGCGGGGTCGGTGCACAGCAATTTGCCCATTGCACGCCAGACTTCAAGCGAGCCAATTAATACCATGTCAATATAGTCAACATTAAGCCCGTTTACCTACAAATTCTGCTGTGGATCTTGGTGGAGCTGGCTTACACCACGTTGGTTTAAAAGTTCATTGGGTTTGTTACATCCCAGTGTACCGTTTTTAAGACACCGGGCCACTCAGTAGCAGCGATCGATTGCTGCACTGGCTGCGTGGTTTGGGCTATCGATGGGACCAGGGGTGTTTGATTCATCGAGAAGCGTCCGAAGGACCTTCATAAAAGGCAATCCCTGCGACCTGCATCTGTGCGTTTGGGGCTCTCGAGCACCTGAATGAGTGGCGAGAACATTCGTATCTAGTGAAGATCCCATTATTATCCATACGCCGGGATGTTGCTGATAAAGTTGCAAACATTGACGGGCAAATATGCTCAGACTATCACATTTGATTAGGCTGGTCAATTTACTGCGCCCAACTAGTTGCGGGTATCCGGTGGTGGTCAGCACCGACTTGCATTCTACAGAGTTCACTATGCGACCTGAAAACATGTATTGGATACGTGAAAGTAGGCGCAGCTAAGTTGTTGTGATGACGGTAATAGACGTAGAGCCCCATGTTGGATGTGAGGTTCAATGTCGATGTGCGGAGTAGCGGAAGCCTTCCATAATGTCACCCCACCTTTACCGGCGCTCCTGCCCCGTCTCCCCACTCTATAGTCGATATTCAGGTTATGGGCTTACAGATCTGCACCAAGCCCGAACGATCTCCGCAACGTCATCGGTAGTCTACAGTATCCTCCTCTCCCCGCCATTGGGGCGAAGAAGAAACAATTCCTCTCAAGGTCTTGTATTTTCGCGATCTGGCTTTCACAAGACGCCTACGCAACTTCAACATGACAACCCCAACAATGAAAGCGGTCAACTACGTCGGGCCTCGCAAGGTGAAGGTCGAGGAGGTGGAGAAGCCAAGGATTGAACACCCAGACGATGTGATCGTCAAAATCACTACCGTATGTCGTCAGTGAAGCTCTTTGTGTTCTCTACTGACCTGTCACAAAAGGCTGCTATCTGCGGATCCGACTTACAGTGAGTCCGATCATTTTAGTATGCGGCTACGTACACATATGCTAACTCCAGGTTGCAGTATGTACGAAGGCAGAACTGCGGCCGAAGCAGGTATCACATTCGGTGAGTAGCCGTCTACACCCCACTCTAGCCTTTGACTCCAAACTCTAACGAAACAAGGCCATGAAAACATGGGAATTGTCGAAGAATTGGGCCAAGGCGTTACTCTACTGAAGAAAGGAGACCGAGTAGTGATGCCTTTCAATGTCGCTGACGGACGGTGCCGTAATTGCGAAGAAGGACGTACGGCTTTTTGTACGGGCGTCAACCCCGGATTTGCCGGCGGTGCCTATGGTCAGCTCGTCTGAATGAAATTTGTTACCGCATTACTGACAATAGGCAGGCTACGTGGCCATGGGTCCATATAGAGGCGGTACCGCACTCCCATCTCCGTAAAACAGCCCCGGCTACTGTACTGACTTCCTCGTCTAGGGCAAGCGCAATACATCCGGATCCCTTACGCAGATTTTAACGCCCTCAAGTTGCCTCCGGGAAAGGAATTCGAATCTGATTTTATTCTCCTAGCGGGCAAGTCATGACCGCCAAATGCATTCAAAAGACCCAGCACTAACCGATTTGACCAGATATCTTCCCTACTGGTAACTGCATGGATAAATGCCGTGTTGATGTATACTAATTCGAATTCTAGGCTGGCACGGTGTCGAAATATCCGGCTTCCAACCGGGAGAAAGTGTCGCTGTCTTCGGCGCTGGGCCAGTAGGATTAATGGCGGCTTACTCTGCTAGCATTCGGGGTGCGTCTAGAATATACGTTGTTGATAGCGTTCCAGAGAGATTGAAGGTTGCCGAGAAGATTGGCTGCACGCCAATTGACTTCACGAAAGGTGATGCAGTTGATCAGATTATCGAATCCAACGGCGGAATGGTCGATCGTTCGATCGATGCGGTAGGATATCAAGCGTCTGCAAAGGGGGGCAATGCGGAACAGCCAAACATTGTTCTTGAGAACATGATTCAGGTAACAAGAGCGTGTGGTGGTCTGGGAATCCCAGGACTATACGTCCCAAGGTAAGCCGGGCGTGTGTTTAAGCTCTGCAGGGCGAAGGCCCACTAACTCTGTGCGAGTGATCCTGGTGCGCCCGACGAGGCCTCAAAGAAGGGCATGCTTAGTCTGAGCTTTGGAAAGCTCTTTGAAAAGGTAAGGAGCAGATAGCTGAGGCAGTGTCCGTTTCTAACGAGATGGCAGGGTCTTTCGGTCCGCACCGGCCAATGCAACGTCAAAGCATACAACCGGTACCTGCGCGACCTGATTATAGCAGGAAAGGCAAAGCCGAGTTTTGTTGTGTCCCATGAGATTGCCATTGAAGAGGCAGAAGTGGCATACGACAAGTTTGCCCGGAGAATCGATGGGTACACAAAAGTTCTCATCCATCCTAATGGAGGTTTCTAGTTTAATGCGTCAAGGCACACACCTCTCTCGACCTAGCGATAGTCCCAGATCACGGTGGGTGGTGCAAGACCCGGTTACACGTAATTAGTACGTGCAAAAAAGCGCTTTTTCGACAGTCAGATTTACGTAGAGCTATCTTGGAAGATGAGTGAGCCGTTCTATATCTATGCCTTCTGTTTGGAAGCCCGACATGATATCACGGTAGATCTAGATGGAGCACGGCCAATGAGGTTTGTATAGCAATATTTGAGTATGACCTGAAGGCCGCTGATTTCTTCCCAGCCCTTTTGAATGGACTTCGACCGCTTTTCCTATCCATGGTCACTTTCTGTTTTTGTCCATTGTGTTGTTTGGGATTCAATGTTCTCATATGAGGTTTGTTCGCGAAGTGAGAACCGGTATCAAAGTATCGTACAAGTAAGCGTTAATCGTCACCAGTCTCATCCACCAAGCTCTCCAGGTCTGGAAGTGCTTCCCAGTTCCGCGGGGTCACGCGAGGCGGAAAGCTCGACATGCCGTACAACTTCTGTCGTAGTGCGAGAATCGACTATAAACCTAGAATCTGAGGGTTGATTCCCCGGTAACTCGGATTTGTTGTAGAAGGCGTTTGCATAGTTTGCAGGAGAATTAATTCCTTCAAATCGTTGGAGGGACACATCGGGATCCGGTAGCTCAAACAGCTGGCCATTTAGTGCATGCCTTGCTTTTCGTCGTTGTATAACGAAGAGACACACCGACACTCGAATCAGCAGAGCAAGTGCCACACCTCCACCGATAATAATTCCCGTGAAGCTTATATCATCCAGCTGAGGCGCAACAGACAACGTAACAGGCACGTTCGTAGCAGAAGGTGATACACTGATTGTTGGTGTTAAAAATCCTAGAATCTCTGAATCCGTGGACTGGTGGCGCACTTGTATCCCAAGTGCATTCACGATTGGACTAGTGAGGACGAGCATTCCTAGGCCATCTTCTGGACTGTCTGACAATGTCGGCACAGCATTGATCGTGGCAGAGGTCACTGTTGCTGTGCAAAAGTCTCTGCCTCCCCAATCTCTGCTCGGGATTCCACTGAAGCAGTTGAACTTTTGTACACTACATAACCGATATCAGCCACGCAGACTTATTTCCGAACTGGTATGAAAGATAATAATTGAGATCGTGAAAAGGTGAAGCAAAAAACACTAACGTGGGACAACATGTCACGATGGACTCAAACCCGTTTCCTCTGGACAACACAGTCGACGTAAGGCAGGCCGCAGTATATCCCTGCGGACACAGGCCTGGCGAGTAGTAATCAGTAGACTCCGGTACCTTGCTGGAGGGGAAGCAAGTTGGGTTTTGGGCACCGGTAGTCAGGAAGTACATGGCGGTGGACGTGTTGTCAAGGGGGGAATTAATTACGTAGCCAAGCCCCGCCGTGGCACAGTCCGATGGCGGCGTGAATGCGGTTGTAAGGGCACCGAGGGCCATTTTACTGAGTGGTGTTTTGACCCGTTTGCGATGAAAGAAAATGGTTCAGTCATCAGACCGAGAGAGGCTTCGGGGCGGAAGGCGGGTGACAATGATTGTAATAGAACTCTGGAGAAAACAGGAAAGCGGCCTCCATCATCCTACTGACTCTGAAACTGTCAGGGATGTGTCATCTCTGGGTGTGGTACCAACGTCGCGCTCAACCCTGCAACATGCACCCATTCAGGGACGGCCAACGACTGAGGCACAGCGTGTTTTTGTGCTACCAACGATGCGCCGCAACCATGGACGGTTCCCCTTTCCCCGAAGTGATAGAGGCTCTTCATTCCGTTGAGGATCTACCAGGGTTACTGTGTGTGTGTGAATTGTATGCATACTTCTTTGGCGTTATCGGACCATAGGACTTTGCTGGGCTCAGCATTGTACGAGACCTTAGTAACATTATGTTGCTCATCATATGATTGAATTATTTTCTATCTCTGGATATTATCAAATGTTGGTCATTGTTATTCCGCAGTCCACTTTCTTGCGGTGCATTTCGATCAACAGTGCGTTTGTTGGCACGGCAAGGCGGCTCGACGTCCAGCTCAGCCAAACGATACTTTGATGCTACATCTCCAGATAGTTCAGACCTCCACGCGTTCCCGATGAACCGTTTCCACATGGTCGTGCCTGTAGCATCTAACTCTGGACAATCGTCATGAACTGCTTTTGCTCGGTCCCGTCGTATCCTCCAAATCCAAGATAAAACAATCAGTAAGCCCACGAAAACCGACATGGAAATGCCCACGCCAATACCCAACCTAGTACGAGGACTTAAAGCTTGAGTATCTGACGTTGAAGATGGCAGTGGTGTACTCGGGCTGGAGGAGTAAGATATAGTTGCTCCAAGCACAGAATGCTTCTCAAGACAGCTAGTAGACACATCCGGGGGGAATAGACTTAGATCGGAGTCTTGCCACAACACTGTAACTGGGCCGTGCGATGCAACCACCCTGGAGACTGGGATCAGCTGATCCGATGTTGCAATAGAATCCGCGTTCAGCACTGCAGTCGGCGTCATCACAGTAGCTTCACAGAAACTGGAGACCAGTGAGAATCCACTATAAAACTGGAATCAGAACTTCGCCGTCGACGTAAAACCACTGTGTGTGGCCTTCTGTTCCATCGAATACACAGTATAGCTTACCTTTGGCAGCAGACTTCTGTAACTATCCCCTCAGAAACTTGGGCTGTTGCTGCAGACATAAATCCAGGGCACACGCCTGGACTGTAGGTGAAGGTAACTGACGTTTCTAGGTTCCACGGTTGACATTGCGCAAAAATCCTATCCTTCGGACCACTTATGATAGCAGTACTTGTGGATGCATCGTAGTAGTATCGGCCCATGCATGATGCGGGTGGTACAAATGCCGTAGTCAAAGGAACAGAAGTAGGCTGCATTGGGAATTGAGAAGGTACAGTGGTTGACAAGTACATTGAGGTCGACAATCTTGTGCTCGTTGCTCTAAGAAAAGCGGTTGAGCTCGCTGTAGTGTATGCGCGAGCTGTCTCTTCGCCACTGCTGAGCACAAAGTAAGGGCTGTAGTCTACTTGCCCATCGGATTCATCCAGAACTTTGAAAGAGTATCTGGTACCCGCCACCATCTCTAGGTTGACGACAATCACCGTTCCAGTTATATCTGCCGCCTTTAGTTAGTCGCGACATTCCGCGCAAGAGAACCACTCACTTTCGAATTTCATCGTCAAATTCCCAGTTCTGACTACGAAGAGACTGTAAGGACCAACACCCGCTGTCCAACCAAGAGCGAAGTCCTGTTCGTTTGGCACATTCCAATTCGTGTTGGTGAAAGCGACTTTGCCAAGAGCGGAGTAGGTAAAGTAGAAAACGGCGCAAAACAGCTTGAGGAAGTGCATCCTCGCGATATGTTGGGGTATCCAAACTGTGCGCCGACGAGCAGCGAGGACTGAGGTCGCGATCGGAACTGCATTGGACTCGCATGATAATTACAACAGGGAGAGGTCTGTAGAAAAGCCTGGACATGTTTGTTCTCCGTGACAGAAAATCCATGGTGTTGGTTCATCTGAATATTTGACAGCTGTCGCAAATGAGTTTCATCCATCACAGACTCAAGATTTCCGTGACTGCAACACAAGGGATGTGCCAGAACACGCCGGGACCCAAGGTTGCATCCAATTGCCCACAGATTGACACAAGAGTGCGGCTTGTGCTCGTTGTTATTGGGCGACGGGAGATTCACCATGCAAGAGTGATCCTTCCCAGACAAGACCGCCCCCAACACCGGGAGGCCATATCATGAAGCCCGTGCCTGCATACACCCTGATCCTTTCCGCTTCTGCCAAGAAAATGAGACACGCCTATATGGACGCTGGAGTTCATTGCCGATGTGGCTATGAGAGGAGGCTTCCCTAACAAGCTTCGCCTCAAAAGGGTTCTGTAGGTTGATCAGGAGTCCTGGGAGCTTGGCAATATGGGCTCCCTCACATCATCTCGTTTATTATTCGACAGCCCATATAGACGATAACGTGAGTTAGTCCTCGTAGGAGAAAGAGTAGCAACGCTCGCGGAACTGTGGTACCGGAAAGAATGCCTCAATGATGTATAGACTGAGCCAGGGCTTCTTTAGTCGACTGATCGAGGAGGTTCGATCCACAGGAGTGATTCATCATATTTGAAGTGGTTTACTAGTCGGAGCATAGGTGAAGTATCCATGATACTCAGGTTATCAATGCCCACCGGGAGACAAGGTTCTGCCTAGTTATTAATGGACCGGCCAGTATTAACGTTGCTGCGCGGCCAATACTGTTGATTTGATCCACCGGGTGTCCAATTCACAGAAACTTTCGCCAACCAAAAGCCGATGCACTTCAGTGACTGCACATCGTCACTACGATTTGTAATATTTCCATCGTCATGGTGGCATCTTTTGACCTCTTGATGTCACTTGCTGCAAAGGTGGAGGCAGAAAGCGTGCTTGGCTACAAGCACATGGCGAACAGTACCTTAGCAGGTTCAAGTTCTTCTTGAGTGGATGCTGCTCATGACCTGGGGTTTGGAACATCCCAATCGCTTAAATCAAGCGTTTGAGGTGCGTGACCAAAGGTTGTGATAGGCGCCCGACTCAAGGCAAGGTGGAAGATATGCAGCCCCGTCAATGCGATATCCCCGTTTATTAAAATGCCCTCATAGCCAGGTACACCTAGCATACCCCGCGCCCTTCGCCTGACACCGGCTTTCTGCATGTCAAAAAGTTTGGTGGGGTTGTCGACCTTTTGGGCAGAACGAGAGGTATTGTTCTCTCGAGTTTTGACTTGGAGGCCACTATCACCGCGAAGATGGCAGCAAAGGCCCCGACAGACGACCTGAGCAAGCTCAGTGGTAAGTAGACCCTGCCCAATCTTCACCATTGAAAGGTGCACCCAGTACTGGAGCTCATGTTTGACAAAGTCAACGATGCTGCCGCCACCAACGGAAAGCCGGATGCCAAAGTAGCCACCAACGGCAACCTGGCCGAGCACTCCGACGGCGAGTCCGACGACGACGCCGAGGACAACGCCCCTTCTGCCGGGGGTGAAGCTGCCAAGAAGAAGAAGAAGAAGAGAAAGCCCAAGAAGAAGAAGAAGGCGCCCACTGCCCAGACCGACCCGCCGAGCGTCCTTCTGTCGCAGCTGTTCCCCAACAACAGCTACCCTAAGGGCGAGGAGGTCGAGTATGTCGACGAGAACAGGTACCGCACCACCAGCGAGGAGAAGCGCCACCTCGACAACCTCAACAACGACTTCCTGACCGATTACCGCCACGCCGCCGAGACCCATCGCCAGGTTCGCCAGTGGGCCCAGAAGAACATCAAGCCTGGCCAGACGCTGACCGAGATCGCCAATGGCATCGAGGACAGCGTCCGTCGCCTGGTTGGCCACGATGGTCTGGCTGAGGGCGACGCCATTGCGGCCGGCATGGGTTTCCCTACCGGTCTGAACCTCGACCACATCGCTGCCCACTACAGTCCCAACCTGGGCAACAAGACTGTGCTCCAGCAGAGCAACGTTATGAAGGTGGATATTGGTGTGCATGTCAACGGCAAGATCGTGGACAGCGCCTTCACCATGTCTTTCGATCCCATGTACGATAACCTGCTCGAGGCCGTCAAGGCCGCCACCAACACCGGTGTCAAGGAGGCCGGCATTGACGTCCGCTTGGGAGAGCTCGGTGGGCTGATCCAGGAGACCATGGAGAGCTACGAGTGCGAAATCAACGGCACCACTTACCCGATCAAGTCCATCAGGAACTTGACGGGGCACACGATCCTGCCGTACAGCATCCACGGCACCAAGAGCGTGCCCATCGTGAAGACCAACGACACCACCAAGATGGAGGAAGGCGATGTTTTCGCCATTGAGACGTTTGGCAGCACTGGAACAGGCAAGGTCTGGGATGAAGGAGAGGTCTCCCACTACGCCCTGAACGGCGACGCCCCGAATGTCGACCTGCGTGTAGCTTCGGCCAAGCCGCTGTTGAACGTCATTAAGAAGAACTTCGGTACCCTTCCCTTCTGCCGGAGATATCTGGATAGGATTGGGCAAGAGAAATACTTGCTTGGGGTGTGTATTTCCTCCGGACGTGTATTGAGACCATGATACTGATCATGTCACAGTTGAGCCACCTCGTGAAAACGGGTATCGTTGAGGACTACCCTCCATTGGTTGACAAGAAGGGCTCTTACACCGCCCAGTTTGAGCATGTGAGTGTATACAAGTGATTGATTCTGAACCGATCTTGCTGACGTGTGATTAGACTATCTTGCTGCGGCCTACCGTAAAGGAGGTCATCAGCCGTGGAGATGACTACTAGACATGTTGGTTATCGGTCGCCGTATGGATCTGAGTAGGAGCCAGGGACGGACTCCTCGCAGTATACTAAATTGATCTAGTTCCTGTATTTTTCGAACTTGCCCATTCAAGTGACCAAGCAGCAGGACCCTCGTGGCCGCGTGTACTGAGCAGTGTTCTTACCCAACCCCTGAGCACCAAGCTGTGTGTCGCGATCCCTGCTGATCTAGCGCCAGTACTTGAAGCCCTCACGTACATCCTCACCCATGATGATTTTCTCCCTATGGCAACTTCAAACTATTCAACACAGCACAAGATAACAGGCTCTTGTTTAAGTTCCAGGGCGATGGCGAGCTACCCTATGACCTCAAACTGAGGGAGCCTTAAGTAATCCTGCCGGCATATGTAGACCTTATCCAGAATTTCCGAGCTTCTTCCCATTAACTTGACTTAGAAGTCCTGGTGCTTTGGGCTACCAGACATCTGTAACGTGCAACAGAGTTCCTATCCTGACTCAAGGAGTAATAAGCCCAGTATTAACAAGATCAAGAGAACATAGAGGATCGAGGGTTAGGCCTGTGGGTGCTCGGACCGTTGGAAAACCCTGTGTATGTGCAATGCACAAATGCAGTAAAACCCCAACAAGGCAGGAAATATTTGTTCAGACCACAGTCCTGTTCGTCCAGACCCTCCCCCCCGGACGGACCCTTACTAGCTGCCGGCTGAACTAGCGTGTAATAACCTACAAGGGCCGGCATGGAATGCCCGGCCCGAATTTCATCTCACTTAACTCTTACCACAATCTATGATTAGCTGCGTCTGTAGTCACTGGCTGAGGCAAGGTCCTTTTTGCAAACCCACTTCGCGATATTGTTGACCGGGGAGGGGGTGTTAGTCACCTCTAGCACACCCGGGAGACAACATTCCCTCAAATACAGGCTTGTGAGCGAGGTGCATCGGTTTCTTGGCCCAATCCCGGCGCAGCTTCAACTCGTGCACATGAACATAACGACTGTGAGGGAATCGCATTCCGCGCCTTGATCTAGGCGGACAATCAAGCTTATATCTTGGCCTCTTGCTACTCGTCGCTGCGGTGGATCGCCAAGCTTTTTCTTAAATCCTTCGCCCGGCTGTGCCACAGGGCTGAGCTCCGACTACGACCAAAACAATCGGCTTCTGTGGAACCATGACAGTGGGCTGACGGTGTACAAATACTACAACCCGTCTTCATTCGGAAAAGAGCCAAGGACATCAGTCAATCGCTCTTTGAGGCGCACTTGTACACTGTCCTAATGCGCAGTACCTTCAACATTTTTGTTGTCGTTTCAACACTCTATGCGGTATCGGGTACGTAGGGTCGTTGTAACCCGCGTTTTGCATCAAGCCCCCGTCAGAGGCCTGTAGCGCCCCCAAGTTCCAGTTGCACCCTATGTGGCTCTGTTGAAGCACAGCATATGATACCCATTCCAGATTTGCCCTAACAGAAGTTCAACATGGCCGTAAGTTAGCAAACGCCTCCTGTGAGGAACAGTCGTTTCTGATCCGGATTGCAGAGCCAATACTCGTCCATGCAGCCGATGAGCGACGGCGCGCCCGACCTGGACTATGCGGGACCACAGGGGTCTGAGGAAAATACATGGTGGCAGCGCCTGGCCTGGGCCGACTGTTGCGCGTGGTGCTTCGTCTTCACCAGCTGGGACTCGTGTTGCGAGGCCTGCGGCGAATGTTGCTGCTGCGACGACTGCAGCTGCTGTGGCGATTGCATGAGCGCTGGCTGCGGCAGTTTGAATTGCTGCTAGGCACATAAAGCTGACAGCGAAGAGACGCTGGCGATTACCGAACTCTCTCATAATTGAGCGGGTCGCGACTCTAGCGGAGTCGTAGACCGCAACGACGATGGTCTCTGAGGAGTAGAGAGGCGCCAACTCAAGGCTACTGCATGGGCAGTTCGCGGGTGTCGAGAGAAGGAGTTCCTGAACTCAGTAGGCCGCTATCCATTTACGTGCAGCCAGGGCTGAATCCTGGCAAACCAGATCACATGTATAAACACCCAAACAGCGCCCGTTAGGCCATTTAGTCTGGCGGCAAGCAGTTGTCAAGATACGAGGCGCGCTGCTTTCGACGAAAGGCACGAAAGACGATTTAATGACAATCACAATCCGTTACGAACTTCTTGTGATTTAAGGGAAAAGGCCTCCTGGGCTCTTTCCATTCTTAGTTATTCTCATACATGGTAGCCGGAATCTATGCTATTGAGAAACAAATGGCACTTTCACATCCTCCTGCTCAATGTTCGCCTATGATCCTTGGCTCCTGGCGTTAGTGACCATCATCCGAGATCCTGAGTTCTAGAGTTCTAGAGCCCGAGTACCAATCCATCCGTCTTTTCGCTCTGCGTGAGACGTGTGCTGGTTCTCTTTGCAAAGTCTGCCATTTCGCTGGCAGTCTCTGGTCGTCCCTCGCCGTGAGCGTCCTCGAGCCCGTGGTAGAGGGCAGCAAGGATCGACCCCTTCCAAACGGGCACCCCGCTGTTCCCACGGACGACAAGAAGCAGGAACACCAGGCCCATGATCTCTATGGCGACGGGCAGAGCCAGCCACTCCCAACGAACCTCGACAACGGTTTGATACGATATGAAACTCCCCGTCACCGCCTCTGTAGGCTTGGACTTATACAGACGGTTCAAGGAGGAAACCATTGATCCCATGATGATACTCAGTGATTGATCTCGGACCCGTTCCATCACATCTTCGTTTGACTTCCATTGCGCTGTTGTATAGTTCGACGACCGGACCTCATCATTGGCCCGGCTGCCGGTGTAAGCCCCGCTGAGGCGGTTGGCTATGTCATTACCCAGAGACAGACTAGCATTGGTACAGAACGACAGTGTTGACTTATCGAGCAAGTAGTGGATGTTGCCATCGAGCGTTTGGACGGGGTCGTTGAAAGTCGCAGATTCACCATCAGGCGCCCAACACCATGCGCTCTGCCCGAGTGACTGCCTGGCCCGTGCATCACTGTAGAAGTTGCCATAGTTTGGGGTCGAGGCACTCCCAGAGATAATTCCCTGCTCGACCTTCAAGTCGAACCGAGTCTTGCATAGGCTGACCACCGCTTGCTCCAACTTCTTCAACGTCACTGTATCATTAGCTGGGCCCAGGTCAAAGCTGGCATAGCCAAGAGCCAAGACGGGGTTTGGAATATCAAGATGAGACACATTACTAGTTGTTCCGTTGAAAATCGACATTGGTGCGATAAATTCCGTGGGGAATGTTGTCACAAATGTTGGCTCTCTCCCAGCCGGATTGCTAACCAATGGACCGCGGCCACCTTCCAGAGAGAACGTAATGGGATAGGAAAGTGGCGTCGCACTGTCCGCGGAATAGATCTCGCATGGAACTGTGTTTGTGGTGTAGGTGCCGAAGGAGCTGAATTGCTGGAAAATACTACGGAAATTGTCCCTCTTGAACGCAATATCGCAATTGACCCTAACTTGGTTCACATCTGTGATAGTGGTTTCCATACACCAGTCCAGCGATTCGAAAGCGGGCCAGGAGCAATTGCCGGTCGGACAGCTTGCCTTTGGATCATAGACAGCTTGACGACTCCATATAGCACTGTTGATCGCCTCGATGTTGTCGGTGATGGGCGCGGTCGCATTGTTATCGCCATGGAGGAATGGTGCGGGAAACGACATCTTCCCCGTTGAAACAATGTCGGATTCTGTTGTCACTGGTTGGCTGCTGTGTTGAACAACCTGCTGAACGAATGGGTCTGTGGCAAGTGACAACAATGTGATAACAGCGCCGAGGGATGCAACGGAAGACACTGTTCTGGCGAAGAGCATCTGAAGAGATCCCAAAGGCCCACGACTGGCCTCGTCCAGCAGCTCCAGATCCCTCAGTTGACGATTTTGTCCACTAAACCAGCTCCATTTGGCTTGACCAATGCATGCCGATATGGCATACATTAATAACGATTTCGAGACGGTAGATAAGACGGATATTATCGTGTTGAGACTGACAACCTCAGGTAGCTGAGGCACGGGCTGGCCGCTGAATGCAACGAGCGTTAGCAAACATTACATTGCATCTCCCAGCCATAGTGACATACTCAAACTCCCTCAGCACGATGGCAATGGCTACTATGCACGCAACGGACAGGCACACTGCTGCAATTTCCGTCGTCCAACCGTCTTCAAGGTGCCTCTCCAGTTTCTGATATCGCGTTGGGTTCTGCACAAACGGGTCAATAAGATAGCAGTCCGTAATCCATCCTGTGGCTAAGATCTACAAACCGGGACAGGCTCATATGCGAAAGTCTTATGGTCAGTTGACCGAGAGCCTAGACGGCCATCCGAGTTTGGTTTACTGTGGTGATGGGTCCGGGACAATCTTAGTGGCCTCACATTGTGGTACCATGTGTGAACCTTCGTGGCGTTGGGCTCTTCATTGTGCGCCGTGGGTTTGGCAGATCTCGATGGTGACTCTGCTCTATCCTGAGAATGAGTTGTGATACTCGGATCATCTGGGACAGGTAACGATATGGCCGTCGGGGTTAAGGGTGATGGTATAAAGTCCATTTCATGACCCCCAGCTGGGTTGCCTGGGCTCTGTGGTGTGGGCATCGTGAAATAGAACCGTGGAGAGATGGTGCAGATCAGTCGCGAAAGTGGTGCTTATGCGCTGCTTTTGTTCATGTGCCGGATTTGGGGGCGAGGCTGCGCCTGAGGCTGTGAATGCTGCAGTGTGACCCAACGATGTAAGATAAGGCTAATCTAATCGCGATGGCGATACTTTACATTTGATACACCGGGAGGGGTTCTCATGATGAATTAATCCAGCCCGAAGGGAGTTGCTGAACAAAAAAACGTAGAATCGTATTCCAGACCACTAGATGGTTTACTCGGAGGAGATATGTTTTGCGTAACATGCAGCTGCATAAGTGGTATGATGGGGCTGCATTGAGGTTGGCCGAGGCGAGTACATGCCGCTTTCTTCTATCCTCCTTTGATGACAACGTCCACTGCGTTGCCACATGGAATAGAGCCTATACGGAGTGCCTGTTTATAGAACACCGCAAGGTACCGATCGAAAGATCCCAGGATTTGGTGAACATGAGTCTCACTTTGTCTAACCGATTGGACCAAAAGGGGAAAAGGCGAAGTTTCAATAAATGTGGTAGTATTTTTATAGTATTCATCCATGGCTAATTTGTCGCTCATTTCTCATTTATATGTACAGTCCCAGTCTTGGGGACTTTTATCTATATACATCAGGTGCGCGCTAATTCGATATTTAGAAGGTTGAGTTTAGGTCGAAGCTGGTGGGGCCGGTGTAGGTCTCAACAACAGCGTTGGGCTCGCCGGAGAAGGTGAGCTGGTCGGCAGGGATCAAGTAGGTGCCGGTCTGGTTGCTTCTGGGGCTGACAGGCTGCGAGACACTGAAAGTCAGGCCAGCGTCGCCACGGGTGACAGCGAAGGTACGCGAAGACGCCTCGCAGGTGCCTCCGGTGACATCGGGCAGGGCACCGCCGGGGTTACCGGTAGCCTGAATGCTGCACTTGATGGGCTCGGTCTGCATGGTACCGGGCTGGAAAACTCCGAAAGAGTAACTGAGACCTGTTAGATGAGATTCCTCCAAGATTTCAAGCACGGGGCAGCACTCACGAGCACTGAGAGCTGTGGGGGATGCAGCCGGCGGTGAAGTCGGAGACTTGGAAGACAACGTCGCGCTTGCCAATGGTGGCAGCGGAGGCGACAGCGGCAGCAGAGACGGCGGTGGCGAAGAACTTCATGTTGACTGAGTTGGTGTAGAGGTTGTAGGTTTTGGGTGGGAGTTGAAGTGTTTAACTGATGGACACTGAATGAGGAAGGCTTGTATGATTGAGATATGCTGAATTGATGTTCCGAGATAGCAGCGAGATTGACGATGTCTTTATATGTATTCCAACCCATGACGCTTTTGGTCCTCTCAATACGAGATATTCCCACGTCTGGCGGATGCTATGACGATTTGTGGGGACGGCAATGCTTGCCTCGTATTCGGCGCTTGGTGGAGACCTCGGGTCTTGCCCCCAAAGCGGGTTCAATGGAACCTCGCCCGGATCATAGCGGCTTGAGCGGCGCTAGTCTTTACATTCTAAACCGTTTCGACAGTGTAGACTACACGAATTGATGGAACGTTGCCCGCAAGCATGCGCGAGTGTAGGATAGTATGACTTTGGTTTGGCGAATTTGGCTCTACTTGCGGTGAAGCGCGATGAGCAGCGTTTCTGGCCGCTCATACGAGTTAGAGCGCGGCAAATTACAGCTGGGTACCCTTGAACATGGCCCAGACTGCGGACGGCGAAGAGATCACTTCTGCTTAAAATAGCCTTGAAATTTATGTGAACGTACAACGCCTCCACCAGCCCCCTTGATAATCGCCATCTCCAACGAGGCAGCGCTCTTCAAGCGGGTATGATTTCCATGGGGCGGCTCTATCCGAAAGCCAGTCGATGGAAATATGGACTGCACGAAAGACTTAGCAGACTTCTGCAGCCTTGCTCATGCGCAATGTTCTCGTCTAAACATGACCCCTGATTTCCCCACTAATGTTGTTATTGGTAGGAGGCATCCAATGATCGAGTGGCACGCATTGCGCAGAGCGGCCCGACTCTTGCCTGGATGAGGAGGTAGCCCCCGTTGAAATAATTCGTTCGGGCACTCGTCCAACGTGGCGCACCCGGACTCCTGGTGGTGAGACGGCAGACGACGTGAGCCTGCTTTTCCGGCAACCCGGGATCACAAATCAATCATGGTCAAGATGGTCACGGGCACGCCTTAGCATTGTTCCATCGTCAACTGTGTAGTTTGCTCGGCTTGGGATACACCGACGCATGACGTAGTTGGCGTCGTCCGGCTCAAGGGCCCAGCCGCCGGGGCTATTTTAGCTGCGGCTCTGGGGCTGTTGTCAGATCTCTAAACCGGGACACTGGACCCTGAAAAAGGCCTCTAGCGCACCCTGGTCCTTGTCCCGTTGAACCTTACTCAGTTGCTCCCCCAATAGGCGCTTGACGTAATCATGTCCCGACTTTCTAGCTTGTTTGCACCCACCACATCACGAGACGTAGGATCAAGCACGACTCTATTTCTAGTGAAACTAGTAGTCTGGTCTATTCTTCAAGCTGACAGCAGACAGCTCAATTCGGTTTCACCCATACCCGATTGAGTCTACCCACAAGGGATCAGCGAAATCAGTGGATGGAGCTTTACTCACGGTCGAACTCAAATCTGGCCCTCCAACGAGTCAGGGGAGAACACGAGCTACAGGCTGCTTACTCGCGAGAAGCAAAAGACTGGCATACTGCGGACGCGCGCCAATAATGTAACAAGAGAACAGTGCAGGTTTGAATCCTTTCAAAGACAGGTTTATGTCTAATTGGTCAAGTTTGTCTCTCACGATGACACGGGCTGAGCAACATGTCGAGGCCACTGTGTCGGGATCCTGTGTGTCGCCATTCTAACGTATGATGAATAACATTTTATCCGAGAATCAACTCGATCTTCTCCCTCGCTTGCTTGTCCCACGCGGATCGATGCACTTCCCCGACGCCCTTGCGATATGAGATACCGTCTATTCGTTCAACCCAGAGCACGTTGTAATACTGTGGGTTCTCCTTCCCCATTGGCTCCTCCCAACGCTTTCCGCTGCGTACTCGGTACATCATGGAGATGGCGACGAGCTCAACAGCTATCGAGGCGGCAGAATGACTGCCAAAGTCGTCCGATATATACGACGGGTCGTCTACAACCAGAAACCCGTCGCTAGAGTCTCTTTCTTGCCTCTGCATCCTACTGGCGCGTATTTGTGTATCCCACACTGAAAGCTTGGATGTCTCTAAACTCCAAACATCTTCGGGCCGCTCAATATAAAAGGTCGCCCGCTGCGTCTTACAACAAAGATATCTACCAGATGATCGACGGACTGCGTCTTCATGGCTGACCTCGCTGCGGAGCGGCATTGGATGACAGAACTTGATGGAGTCGAGACTCTCATGCGTAAAATAGCACGAAGGTGGATATTTGTCTCTATGTCGATCAAGACGCGGCAGACGTCCGTGAAACGAGGCCGAACTGGCGTCAAGAGGGTAAATTCCATCTTCTGGATAATCGATTGTCGTGCGAGTCCATCCGGACGGCAAATGCTCCTCCCGAGTCTTGGATGTCAAGTAAAGGCTCTTCCATCTGTACCACTCGTTCTGGAGCGGAACATCTACGGGTGGCGCATCCTTGGCTTCGCAGATGGACCACTTCATCAGAGGAATTACGCGCTTGATGGGGTCTGCGTGATAGAACCACTCATCGAAACTGAACATGACCCAATCTTCATTTCTCCAGGTGGAAGCAGACTCAACTTGTCCTTGCCAACCTGCCCACGACCAGGTTGGCGCATGTAGGAACCTGCTACCTGGCAGTCTGGGGTCCGATCGTCGGTGAAAGCGAGAGGTTCCAGGTTCAGAGTTCTGATGTAATCGGGCTCTCCACAATAGGCTGATGTCAAGAAACATGACAGGCAAGCCCCACAAGAAACCCCCATGATAATATGGCTCCAGGGCGCTGATTACACCAGAAAATGCAGCTACCGCATCCTCACTATAGGTTAACTGCCGTCCATTATATCCGCTCACTAGAGTATCGTACCCTATCATGGTCGGGAATTTGGGTGGAAGATGGCGAAATGCTCGGCGGATCGGCGTGTTATCGGACTCGTACTGGGAACACGATTCCTCAGTGGGTAGGATATTGGCCTTAGTATATTCCTCGCAGTAGCAGGAAGTACTGCACTCCCAGCGCACCGACTGGCCAACGAAGATCAATCGCCTGCGCGAGAACAGGTATTCTTGAAAAGTCCAGCCTCTGTCGTTCCACAGGCTCTCTCCGATCCCGGACCCACCAGGACTGTTCAAAACGGTGCCCTCCCCAAGTTCCAGCACGCAAGGGTTATCCCGAGGGGAGGATATACCCTTCAGCCCCCGAATTCCGAAGTCTGCATCTGCACCGTCAGCAGCAACGATCGTAAGAATAGCGTTTGCGTACACTGAGGTCATGTGCGTGATCAGGTAGTCTCGGGTCTCGTCGTCGTCCTGAATGATGCAGAGGGCATCAACCCAAAGATACCTTTCGCCAAGTAAACGCACAATTTTTATGGCATCCGCAATTGTCTGTGGCAGATTTGCGCCTGATAACGCCTTCGGCTGACGGAGAGTCATCAAGTTTTGCTTGGTAAGTTTCAGCATGTCTTTACCACCCCAGAGATAACTGAGAGCGACGTAAGCGTATTCTTCGGAGGCGTCGACGATTCGATTCTCGGCGACATCAATGAGCCACGCTAGACGCGGGCGGGCTAGATGCGGCAGCAGGATCTCAGAACATGTTTCGCCATGCTGCTCCACACAGTTACTCTTCCAAGACTTGATGAGCTGATCGTCGATCCAATATCTATCGATGAGCCTTCCTGTGCCATCCTCTATCCGTTTCGCCGCCAATGAAGTCAGAAGCAGCTCACATCCGGCTTGGCTTGGAAAAGGCCCGACACTAACAGTATCCTTGGCGAGTTTCTGAACATATACGAAAGAGTCCTCATTGTTCCCATCAAGGCTTTTAAAACGCATATATCCGTGTTCGGCAAGGAGAGCAACTTGACGTAGAAATACATCATGTACGTGGCATGTGGTGTCTGCTGTGAGCCGAATTTGAACTGCAGGGCTGCTCGTCGGATGTTGGCCAACCGGGCCAGCAAAGATACTCAAAATTCGGTTGCATACTTTACACTGGGGAGCTGTGTGTCGACTACTGGGCAATCTATCTCCCGACTCCGGGCTGCCGCGGACTGACATTATAGGCGTGTGGTCTGTTGAGCGGGGTGGCTTGTTTTCTGCAGAGTTCATCAGCCGATCCCTCCGAGTGGCGCCAAGCTCCCCACAACTGAACTGCGCACCATTAGATATGCAGCCCGCGTCCATCCGGCATGCAAGGCAGCGCGAATCCATGCGAGCAAAGAAAGGCCCGGCCAGGTTCCATGTCGCATATTAATTCTCCGATACCACCGATCGTCCAATTGATTGTAACGTTGGTCCGAGTCATCCCATCCAACCTTAGTTATCATAACTGTGTGTTTCGTCTGCTTAAAGTTTACTTGTACCAACCTATGTACGTTTGTGAACATGTTATATTCCACTTTTAGACCCTCTTAGAAAATCTCTTGCTGAAACATGAATGCCTTCAAATCTTTTGAGCTGCGTCACCAGCATCTCTAGAGCACGATCTACCTCAATGCCTGTCTGTGCCTTGTATCTACCCGCGTATCTCCTCATGTAAGCCATAGTGTGTACAAATAAACTGGGTAAGAAAGGATGCGTCTGCCAAAGTGGTCAGATTAGAGTTATTCATCAAGCAAATTTGGCTCAGAGTGATTTACCTTGAAGCAGCTGAAACGTGGGAGTGCACTCGCTAGGTCAACCACATCGTCAACCGCTTTATATGCCCTCAAATCGTACTTCTCGGCAGCCAAACTTTGTTCCTCGCCGTGATACATCCATGTTGTCGTCGTGTCACTCAGGTGTATGATGCCAGTTAGAACAATCAGTTGATTAAAAGATACAAATGGGTCAGATGCGTCTATAGGCATCTCGTTCATCGGCACTAGACGTCTTTCTAGGGCTTCTGTAAGCCAACCATGCCGTCTCCAGAACTCATGTGTATCCTGGGTACGTAGTTGTTTCCCATTGAGTGTGCTTGCTATGGCTAATCGTCGATGAGTCATGCAGCGGCCGTGTATTGCGATACTAACAACGCTTTTTGCAAACGTATCTAGCGGTTCCTGAGGTGAATCCAAAATTGCTTCGGATAGAAACTGCATCTCAGTCGGAGCTGAGCTTTGAAAATTGGATTCCGGAGCAGGTAGCCGTAAATATGCCTATTGCCACAAAGGTTAGGCTCCTACGTCTCAAGGCAGAAGCGGATGGTACAGCATATTAAGGGGAAGGGGGGGGGGGGGGGGGGGGGGGGGGGGGGAGGGGGGGGGTGAGGAGAGGAGGTCAGGATAGGGTACAAATATGTGTATCTTACTGATTCTTCGTGGAGAGCGAAGAACAAGCTATCATTTGCGTTGATTAGACGATCGAAGCAAAATGCCACCCAAAAGGTACGCCTTTTCTCTTCCTTGATAGCCCAAACATTATCGGGGATGATGTAGCTCGTAGCGAATGGGGTCGTATCAGTATCTGTTGGAAACCGGAAGGCATCAAGGTCGCTAAAAGCATCGATCACATGTAAATTTGCGAGTTGGACCAAGCGAGACGTCCGTGTAGCTGTAAGAAGCGCGTAATTGTGCTCCATGCGAATTAATTCGTAATGGCCTATGAGTAACCATGCCTGAATTTGCTCGAGGTGAACCTCACCTGTGGTCCACAGTAGGTCTTGATCATTACCGTCCATTCTATGTAGCAGTTTCCTTGTGTAAATGTATAGCTTGTGACTTATATCTTGGAAATGGACTGAAAGTGTTGCCGCGAGCGTCCACATTGCAAAACGAAGGCAAATTCGGGCTTGTGAGGGCTCTTGTTGGTCGGCCCAGGAGAAAAAACTTCTCTTGTGGATCATCGGGGCAAAAGGATGGACTCTTTCAAAGAATACTGCATCCCTAAAGGTTTTCTTTGGTAAGTGAAGGGTTATTGGTTCCCGAGTGCGTTGATACTTACAGATCTGCTCTAGTCATCTCCGGGAGTGTGATTTCCGCCCCGTCTACTTCTGATGAGACTGTGGATCTTTGATATGGGGAGGCGCTAATGAATCCTGGAGATAGCGCCCCTTCCATCGAATCACTGGAAACATGACCCTCAGTCTCAGTATTCAGACTCGCAAGCCATGCGATCGAGTCAAGTTCCATATTCGTATTCAAGACCAAGCCATCGACTATCGAGTCGTGGTTCACCTCGATATTCCCAGGAGCAGTCTCATGCATGCTTGGAAGACCGCTGCTGCCTACGGTGCTACTATGGCTCCGTGTCGATTCGTTCATCTTGCTTTGGTCTTGCTCCGCGTGTGCTACGCCAAGTACTGCCCGCTCGGCGCTGCGGTGTGCTGCGAGTTTTTGCTCTAACGCAGCTAGATCTATGTCAGTTGAAGATCTCCTGCAGACTTGAGTTCTTAAGTAGCTGTACCAACTTGAGCTTTAAGGTGCTTCAGCTCCCCTTTCTTTGGTCCCCTCTTAGGCCGGTCCGTAATGAAAACGCATGGAGACTCGTTCCCAACACACCCTCCGCATCGAGGTCGAGCATGGTCACACTTTGACTTGCGGCGACGGCACTGCTCGCATGCCACCTCCATGTTAGCCCTGACAGCTATTACCATGACCTGCTGAATTATTACAGTGGTTCCAACGCCTTGTAAGGGTATATATTTGGAAAGATGAGAATTAAAATGCACTGACTTTATTCTGCCAGCCCTACCAAAGTGATGGAACTACCGATGTGCAACACTAAATTAGTGGATACACGGCAAGTGCGTGCATAAGGATGCGCCTTTTGTCCTACACCCTGGTTCTGCTTTTACTATGGTACATCAAATACACTCCGCGCAATCCCTGGTTCAAAGTAAAACGCCACCGGACGATGGTTTGGAGTCAACTGCGACGATTCAGGCTGCTGGGTTACGGGCTTCCATCCAACTTCTGGTACTGAGAAAATGCAAGTAAGGGCAAGTTGATATTATTGGAAGCCCGTGGCAGGTACAAAACCGGTATAACCGGATTGGAAAAGGTATTACACCGGCCTTGAAGCCAATTCCATGTATTGGCGGTCATGCAGCCCCGAGCCCTGACCCACACGTGTTCGAGAGGCATATGTTCCCCGCGTGGAGTAGGTAAACAGGCAGAACGTACAAGGCTATGCAACGTAAGTTCGTTATCTACCTTCTCCATGTCCCGCGTAAGCCGTCTCCGGTTCCTAGCTAAGCGCCAAGATTTGCAGCAACATCGACTACTGCAGAACTGCAAACCTGACATAACACCGAAAACTGATCATTTGGTAGTTAAGCGCACATCATCCCGGCCCCATTAGTGATCGAGCGAACACTTCGATTAGAGTTCACCCAGTTGAACTCTAATACAAGGCCCGACCCGTCCAACAAGCGAATTTGTCGGGGTATAGCTCCATCGGGATCTCTCATCTAACTCTAAATATCGAGTCGGTTTGATCATACGATGCCCTGAACAAAAGCACACATATCTTTCAATGCAATTGAAATTATAGTTCAAGCTACAACGAGCGTGCTGCCAGGCTAGTGAGATGTCCCCACAGCGTCCTTTCAGATCAGATTGTCATTGTTGATGGCGCCATATTAAGGAATGTTGAGTAGGTGTAACTTCTCGGCACTCGACTGGAACTCAAAATCGGACTTGATTCTTTATCGCCAGCTCGGCAGGGCTTGCTGATTGGACCAATGATTGACCACTTTTCAAGCCCAGTGGAGCGCCGAGAAGCTGCATTTTCCTGAATATTCATGGTATTGCGCGGTCATTTTCGGCTACCTACAGAATCGCCGTTCCGATCGCCCGCGATTGCAGATGGTGCCGCCGGTAGTCACACATCATGTAAGCGGCAGTTGCAAGCGGTACTCATGCACGGTAGTTACACGAAATGATTTAGACGCCCGCTCATTCAGTATAATCAGACCATCTGTTTCTTCATGTAACGAACCATATCAGCGTGTGCCGATTGATATTGTCCCCCATTGGAGATGTCTCAAATCAACTTCAAGCCCAACCTCGGACAAAACGGCGTTGAACAGGGGCCGATACAACCCCACAGTAAGTTGTGAATGATGCTGCTGATTTTCAGTGGAGCAAATGCTGGAATTGGGCACTGACGTAAGCTAATGACTGTCCACTATGAAAGTGACCTAGTCCCAAAACCTAGACAAATCCATTCATTTTCCTCTTAGATCTATTAGGCCAGACTTAAGGATTCTTCGTCGTGCTGTTCAGACATCTTGAAAAACACACTTAGAATTAGGTCTGTCAGATTGTAACAGTCGCTTCCGACTATCCCCCGAGTAACGAAACCCATTCCAAACCCCATAGTTATCAGCTTATTCTGATTTGCTGCTACTAATCTGGAATTACAGTCCGAATATATCATGTCACCAGGGGAGGGTCCCAAATAATAGATGCTTCCACATCTGTCCGTTCTTTACTGCAAGCGACACATTTTTTTCCAATCAGGACGCAAAACAAGCCAGGAACCACAATGAGAACATTGGCGCGTGAATTTGTCCCTCGACGTTTTGTCTTTCCTGTATTCTAGAGCATCGTCGTGGGAACGGAATTTTCCAGCCCAACGAACGCTTTTGACAGGACTTGACTTCAAGACAGCAGCCTTTATGCTGTTACTGAACTCGATCAGCTCCTGTACCGTAGCATCCGGCACCGAGTCCTCCAGAGGAATGGGTCCAAGAAGCTCAATGGTTTTACGCGCAACTCTATCGTACTCAGGAACCATCGAACCCCAGCGCCAATTCATTGTATAAACAGGGAAGGACTCAGGGGTCAACGTGAACGTTCCTTCAATATGGACAGGATCATAGCCGGCAATCGCACCAGCGAGGTATTGCCAGACACATGAAACTTGAGGACCAAGTCTTGTATCACGGAAGCAGAGATAGTTGAAACGGTTCATCTGATCAAGTGCCGGAATCAAGCGCTTGACGAAATCATCGTAAGGTGCCAAAGCCTTGCGAATTGACAGTTCAGCGCCCTCAGCGGTTTGCACAACCTTGATGATCTAATGTAGATCACACAAGCACAACATAATCCCTTTTACGAAATTTGGAAATATTTTGCGTACGAATTTTGGCATAGCGGACTTTCATTGACGGAATTTTTTGTGGCGCCTGTTTGTCTGCTTTGCCGGTAACGGCAATTCCCGAGTTATTCTCGCCAGAGCCAAGCCTATAACCGTGTTAAGACACTGTCCTCTTGGCACAATTGAATGTATAATGTTGTACCATTATAACTTATCTTTGGGCCTCTAATTGGTTCGGAATACATTTTTAAAAGAGAGGTGCTTGGAATGTGTGACACCAAGGCCGCTGCACGTGGCGCTGGGCCCCATCGTAACTAAGTTTACTAACTCAGAGACAAAGAGATCAAATAGAAGTCCTACGGTAAGCAAGTCCTTCCCATGATTATTCTCATATGTTACAATTCCACCTTGCAGAGTGGTGTGAAGAGTGGTGTGAATGACCCCTCTCATATATAAGGCCTACTGTAAGTCAGACATATCGAAATTGACAAGCACTGGAAAATGACGCGCACAACATACAATGGGACACGACTTATTCCCCACGTTGTGGATGAGGTCTCAGCTACTGAGCCGAATCGCATTGTGTACTCTGTCGCTTTATCTGCAGACATATCCAAGGGCTTCTACGAGATATCTGCCCGAAACTTTGCCAATGCCGTTAATAAAACCGCCTGGTGGCTTCAGGGCTTGATCGGAAGAAGCGATAAATTCGAAACAATTGCCTATATTAAACCACGTGGGTTTATGAGACGTCGCCCTTTGGGAAAAGATGTGCTAAGTGGTGCAAAAAGATGATATACGCTACTTTTTGATCACTCTAGCTTGTATAAAAGCTGGTTACAAGGTAAACTTCGTTGGACTTCATCACTGTTAGTAATCAATTAACCGTCAAATTGGTAGGTACTGTTTCTATCGCCGAATAATAGCAAGGAAGGTGCTGCGGCTATCATCAATGCAACCAGTTGCAGATTGTGGGTTCACCCGCAGGGACAACCGCGTGACCCACTTCTTGAAGAATTACGCCAGGAACATGACATGCATGTTCTTGAAATGCCCGAAGTAGAAGAGTTGCTAGATGCAGATACGGTGGCTCATTATTCTTACACTAAGAATTATGACGAAGCAGCTGCAGAACCGTTTTGTGTATTGCACAGTTCGGGCTCGACTGGCTTGCCGAAAACGATCACTATAACACACGGCTTAGTAGCTACAGTGGATGCTGTCCAGCTTTTGCCACCAACAGAGGGCGACCATGGATTTGCTCCTTGGACAACCTATTTGGAAAAGGGAGCCCGCATGTACTCTCCCAATGTTCTTCTCCATGTAATTCATGCTCAGATCACAATGTACACTATCAATATTTGCTCATTATTTTCAACAGGCCTCAGCGATCATTATGAATCTTTTGTCGACTTTTTTCTACGGCACACATAGCATCATGGGACCTGTGGATGTTACTCCAGATATGAATTTATTTGAAAGTCTCGCAGACCATGGGGAAATAGACGTTTGGCTTGTCCTACCCCAGTACGTCAATGAACTGGGTCAAGCTCCGGAGATTCTTCCCAAACTTAGGTCTTCAATAGTGATGGCCGTAGCCGGTGGTAAGCTAGTATTATATGTACTGAGAAGTGGGGCGTTGACAATATCATAGGTCCAGTAAGCCCAGAATCCGCTGCAGAAGTTAATAAGTTTGTCCGGGTGTTTAACTTGACGGGAACAACAGAGGGCTTCCTGACCGGGAATCTCCTCGTCGATCAAGATGATTTGCTTCATTTTGCCTTCCATCCATACTCGGGCTTTGATTTCCGAGAAGTAGAGCCCGGAGTCTACGAGCATTGGGTGGTTCGAAATGAGAGGTGGTCACTTTTTCAGGGAATATTTTACACATTTCCCAATGCCCAGGAGGTCAATCTGAAGGATTTATACGTGAAGCATCCGACAAAGCCGGACCACTGGTTATACTGGGGCAGGAGCGATGATATAGTCGCGTTGACAGATGGAATTAAGATATCATCTCACCCGCAGATATCGAGGCTACTATATAAGCACACCCTGCTATCAAAGAATGTCTTGTGGTAAGCTAAAGCAGAACGGTTGTGGTTCTAGTGAAAACTAACCATTTATGCAGGTTGGAACAGGCCAGAAGTTTCCTGCTTTGCTTGTCGAGTTGAACGATCCTGAGCCGAGTGATGATGCAGTGCTTGAACAGTTAGTAGCTGCCGTTCAGAAGCAGATTCAAAAGGCGGACGCCTTGTCCTTGTACAAAGGGTATCTACACAACGACTGCATCATTTTTGCAGATCGGGAAAGGCCTTTCGTACGCACGGACAAATTGACAATAAAGCGGCAAGCTACTCTAAACCTCTATCAGCAGGACATCGAGAAATTCTATATCTCTCGAGGAGACGAAGCTGGATGGGCTGTGCGTGCTCGATAGACGTCTTTAAAACCCTTCACTACCAAGAGGTACAATATCTGTGCTAGAAGGGAGTCAAACAAAACGAAGGTCATTTCAAGGAACCACTGCAGGAAAGAGAACGGACAATACTGGCAAAATGCCGCAAAGCCGAGTAGAACGTGACCATCCCTCCCCGCAGGTAGTAGAACGAAATCCGTTCCGTGCTAGTTACAAATCTAATCTACCAGTACACTTCCATGCATCCTATTTTCACTGACTGTCAAACTTGGTTTTGTTTCAGTTGACGAATTCGGTAACATAGACGCAACCACTAGGATGCCGTGCATTATAAGATGGGTTTACATCGGAGACAGAGCGGCACTTGGGGACCGTGGCTCCTAAGTTTCCTTGCCCGTGTCTTTGGGAAGCGCCGCAACATAAGCCCTCAAGATAAACGTGGACATTCTTTCTAGGCACATGGTCCTCAGATGACGTTTGGCCCGGCGTTCAGCAATGTTGCCATGAGGCAAGGGGGGCGCAGTCGGATTATGGGTTTCGACTATTAGCATTTTGTCTTCGGTAAGAACATCGCAATTATGAGTGGCTGCATCCTTCAAAGTTCCTCAGCGGCGCATACTGGACTGTGAAAGTCGCGGTGGGATCTCGAGGCTCCACCTTTTTCTATCATAGTGTACTCTTCTCAGCTCCATGCGGATCATCTCGCAGTCCGTTATCGTTTCTTTTTTAAGTGACAGCTGGATACCTCGTGCAGAGAGGACTTGGCGAGTCGGAACCTCCAGCCTGCTTTGACCACCATACCTTGTCACGAGAATTTGAGGTCTCACTTCCGATTGTTCGACCTGCCTAACGAGCTACGTCCCTACATATTGACCTATATGGGTCTGATCGCGCCTTTAAACAGGATCATTTGGGATCTTAAGGGTGGCGGATACCAGTTGGGGCCCAGGAACCTACGTGCCAAAACCGGCGCGAACTGTTCGGCTTGCCGTGAGGTCTACGACACTCAACAGGCATTGAATAGCCGTCAACATGGCCCTATGAGTAGCCTTCCTGGCTCCTCACAGGAACAGAAGGGACCTAGAGGATGCGGCTCAGTTTCATGTTCATGTTGGGTCCATTACACCTGTCAGTTCCTGAGTTGCAGTCACACGCAAAGCGAAGGGCCTTTATCCTGGAGCGTCGACATGAAAACCGCAGGATAAGATGTCAGCCATCACAACGTTGCCTGCATTTGTGTATGACACCCTCCCACGCCATTGTTTCTAGCCAGTCGCGCTATGCATAGCGAGTCACAGAGAGTTTTCTTCTCCCGGAATCTCTTCCTCGTCACAACTGCAAGAAACCCATTTGCCCTGCCTGGCCAGGAAAGCTCGCCCTTCCCCGGACGCAGCGCCGCAAGTGTGTTCCTTTGCGATATGGTACTTCCACATTCAAGCGCTCGGGCATCAATAAAAACATCTAGAGTTGGACTTGTTCGACTGCGACGAGGATTCCGCACAAGAGGATTGGCGTTTAGGCAGCGCTTCAAGCACTCCGACTCTGGCAATCAGTAAACACGGGTGGGGAGAGATAGAGAGGAGATGGAAAATTCTCTAGCGACAGTCCGAACTCAATTGGGAACTGCAGCCAAAAGCCGTGTAGGCAGAATGCTTCCCGCAAAGATTGCTATCATTGAGGGTGGTTGCATGCGTGTTCCAGATAACTGATTGGGCTGGCCTATCGTGATTAACCACGGCTGCTATCGTCACAGTCGGAAGTTGCACACCAGTTAAGGGTTTATTATTACCACGAAGATCTCGGCTCGGCTTCACGGGGAAGATGTATGGGGAACCGCAATAGGATGTGCTTAGTACCAGGAATAACTGGAGCGCTACGAAACAAGTCATGCCATGGTCACCCAGTTAGGTTGTAGATATGTCAACCCGTCGCGACCTTGACATATGAGTATGATGGCGATTTACGAGACATTCGCAACACACCGCACTGGTATTGGATTAGCTCGCCGCGATGCACGTTCAGGACGAGTAATCGTGTCTGTATGTCTTTCGTCGAGCGAGCATGAAAAGGCGTCGCCGTACAACGGCCGCTAGCATAGAGGTAGACTTCGCACTAGACTTTTCAGCGGGAGTGCGCACGTGAGGACTGACGGTTAAACTACCACTGATATCTACACGCTCGTGACGCGGTCGGGACAGCCGATTGCTCCCGAGAAGAAGAAACTTGGAAAAAGAATCCAAGGGTACTGGGTGTGTCATGAATGCGTGATGGTGCTAGGATCACGAGGTACGTTCGTGGGACTGGGCCTCAAGTGCCGTGCACCAATATCTGTTTGACGACAATGTTTGAGACGCAGCTGCAGCGAGCTTCAGTGCCAGGCCAGGCCCGATTGCCCCGTGCTGATCAGCCCTATCGAGGCGTCTGCGGAGACTGAGGGGACTGAGGGGACTGAGGCTCCCAAAGCAACAATGATCTCACTGTAGAAGCCGATTGGGCAATGCCCTGCCGCGGAGACGGTGGTTCGCTCACAACGAAGGATCGGGAGCCGATCCGATGTCGAGGACCCTGGATTCATGAATCACAGCGCTGCAAATCGATTCCGTTCACGGCCGGGCCGGTCCCCAGTTCTTCTGCTGTGCTCCAGATTTCTCCAGATTTACACCACCCAGGCGCTGCGAGCTCCGTCACAGGCCGATCTGGACTGGCTGACCTCGCTGGACAAAGCCTGGGACAGGCGGGCGACCAATCAGCGGGGCGCAAATGACAACAAGCGGTTCCGTTGAATTCTCTGGTACCCGCTGCGCTAGGCCGCCTTGGGCCCAAGGGGCAAAGGGTGTGGCAAAGGCCGCCAAGGCCGATGGGCCCCGAGCTCTGGGGCCAGCGCACATCCGGGCCAATGGCCGGCGGGCCAGCCAAATCGATAAGCCCTTTTTGGCCCTCTGGCAGTGGAAATTTTCGCGTCGGCGCAGGGGCCCGGGGGGTTCCAGGAGCAAACGAGGTGCGCGCTGGCCGGCAAAAAGGGTGCGCTCCTCTTAAAACCGCTCATCCCCGTCCACTTTTCGTCGCTCGTGCCCTGGCATTCCCCCATCGCCATATATCAACCATTCATTATATCAACATCGCAGAGTGCGAAGAATCGTCGTCTTTGTCCGCATCTTTCTGTTATTGCCAGGTTATTGTCAAGTTGCTAGATTTCCCACGCAGGCCTCGTTGGTGATTCACACACAAGAACCCGTCGCCTTTTCGCTAGGCATATCCTGTCGCGTGAGCCGAACATCCCCGGTCGGCATTTCGAGAAAAACCTAGAAAAGAACACCCGGCAATCAATCAGCAACTTCCAGCAGCTGAACTCCGACACCACATTCGACCTTCGCGGTCATCTCACACTCCCTTCTCTCCGTCAACCCTCCCTTCCCAAGCCGTCACAATGAAGGTCTTCTCCAACTCGGTCACCTTCAACTACTCCTGGGAGGAGGTTTCGATCGCCAACTGGCAGAAATACGGACCCTGGAACGACAAGTCGGCCCATGTCATCGCCGTCGACACCCTGAACCGCCATGTCGACCCCGAGACTGGCGTGCTCCGCACCGAGCGCCTCATCACCTGCAAGCAGTCCGCCCCCGAGTGGCTGAAGTCCCTGATGGGCTGCACCGAGACCAGCCAGGTCTTCGAGACCAGCTACGTCAACCCGGCCGAGCGGACCGTCACCATGGTCTCGCAAAACGTCACCTGGTCGAACCTGGTCAACGTCCAGGAGACTGTCGTCTACAAGCCCCTCAACGCCGGCCAGACCCAGTTCGTTCAGGACGCCAGGATAACAGCCCTCTGCGGCGGCTGGCAGCGAATCAAGAACAGCATCGAGGACACCCTCGTCACGAGGTTCAGGGAAAACGCCGCCAAGGGCAAGGAAGGCTTTGAGTGCGTGCTTGCCATGAGCCGTAGAGCGTTTGCCGAGGAGCGCGAGAAGGCCGCTGCCATGATGGCGTAGAGACGCTCATGTCCTGACGATGACACGAATCACACTCCGCACCCTTCACCACCCCGACATTGACGGGTCCGAATTCCGGACCTCGGTTGGCCGATTCCGACGGCATAGATCATTTCAGCATTTTGCGACGGCGTTCTAGAGGCATGGCATTTGATGATTTTTCCACACACAAAAAGTTTGGAGTTCCGGTATACCCGACAAAACTAGATGGCGAACGATGGCTGATGGGCGTCTCCCCACACCATGCTATGGCACCCGAAAGACTAGACTATTGATAATAGATGTTAGACATAGAGTCGAGACTTCTCGCATAATGCCAACTCTTCTCTGGATTAGAACATGACGATCTCTGTACCTGGTGAACTGTACACTGGCCACCTTCGTGTTATACTCTCTCTGCAGCTTTTGTACATTTTTCCTTGTAGTACATCAGCAACTTCTGGATATCTCGGTCCAACCCCCCAGCCTCGGCTCGCCCCTCGTCACCCAGTGCCCTGCTCACAAACGCCGCGCCCTCCGCGTACCGCTTGAGGAAGTACAGCTCCTCGACCGCGTGCAGCAGCGCCTGGGCCTCTTGCTTGGTGACGTGTTGGCCCAGCGGCAGTCTGATGTCCCTCCACAGCTACGGCGGGCAATCCCTGTCAGTGACTCACCCCAGATTTCATGCAACTTCGGGAGGAAAACATGGGCCACCCCGCGGGCGGGCATGAATAAACAAAACCAAACGAAATGAGGTCAAAGGGGAACAAAAAACAACCCGTAGCCACGTACCTCGCCGTTCTCCACCTTCACCGTGTACCCTTGCTTCACGGCCAGGAACTCGTCCTCGGACTGGGCCACGCGGGCGGCTTTGCTGGCGCTGGTCGTGGTGGTGGAGGATGTGGGCTCTGCGGCCTCTGGCGCGCTGTCGTCCTCCGGGTCCGAGAGGGCGATGCCGAAAAGGCCGGAGTCGAGGTCCGCCATCGTCGAGTCTAGTGTATGGCGCAGACCGGTATGAGGATGTCTGCCGCTCCCTCTTCTCACCCTTCTCTTGTATTCGGGGCAGGTCGGTCCAACATCGGCGCTGGCACGTGTGTATTTGCGCTCTAGTTTGGACAAGCCGAGTGTGGGGCGACTCCTTCCCGTCGATTACCTAGAGATGGTGTTTCCTAGCTGTACCGTGCGGAAACGGCAGCCCATCGAGGTGACCACTAGGAATCTAGGCATGCGACACCACAACCAATAGAGATCGAGGCCTCAAAGTCGTTTTTCGAACAGGACATGGACGGTACCCAATATCACCTTAATCAAGGTGGGCATATTATAGACTCTCATTCGTGTTCCCAACGAATGCGTCCTTAAAGCGGCATCTCCAATTTGCACTTGGGCCACACGCAGTCGAGAATTCGGTCAGGCAAGGAACGTTCAGCGAAACTCAACCAAACATAAACTCACATGCATCAATTAGTCTATTCCTACGGACAGCAGCGAGTTTGAGCAACTCATTGAGCATGGTAGTAATGAGAGGTACGACATAGCTAGGTTTGTAGCAGAGACGGTATGAGCTACATATTCATACTGTAAGCCAGTTCCGATGTCACAAGTCCGTAGTGGAGCATCGACTTCTGGGAGGGAGATATGTCAACCCGACAAAGGTCATAGCTAAAGAGGATATACCTGAGTTTATCTGGAATATCTTCGCTACCCTTGCTGCTTTATACCTCCAGGCAATCATGTTAAAAAAAAATTGCTTTGGCTACGGTCCATTTCGTCAGCATCTCGGGCCGTATGAAAGCAGGTATAATTTCATGGGCGCTCCGAATCGCTTTTGTCTTTTGACATAAACCACAGTCACCAAATGGAGTGTGTGGGTCTCGATACACTCATAATATCGAATTATAGAAGTACTGGACCTATGCTACCCCTGACCGTCATCAGCCGCAGGTAACCAAATCTCATGCACAGTATCATCAATCACTACAATCCAACGTAGACCAAACATGTTAAAGTACAAATATGGCTGTCGCCGCGATTGCCACACAGAATATCAACGAAGGACGTGGGCCACTACCCGTGCCTTCCGCACCCGTCGTAGAATTCTTATGACTAGGCCCACGACACACTATACCAGTCCAGATATCGTATGTTATATTCCAGGCCTTCTCATTCTTGGCCAACCTGTCTTTGAAACAATCTCCCAGCTTCTGCGATGCTTCGAGGCCCTCTGGTGTGCCCAGTTCCAGAGTGGTTAGGTTGCAGTAAGCCCAGCAATCGTCGTAGGGGCCTTCTCGCCATGTGCCAACCGGGGAGCCGCAGCATTCCTCCAGGATGTCAGACGTATTGGTGGATATCGCTATGCCGCATTGTTGGTACTGAGACAGGCCGGGCGGGTCGAACATTGGGCTGAACTGCGAGTTAACTGGGCATAATGTCTTGTTTCCATTGAGGTCTCGCGCCTGGAGCATGTTTGCGGCTGACTGTGGATCTTGATGTAGCAAGGCGACCTGATTAGATTTAATGTAGTATAGTAAAGGCAATTTCCTGATCTAGCGAGTTGACTATGTTGTGCTTTCAGAGATGAAATTGATGCCGCGGTGAAAGAGAACAAGGTCTCTCATATGGACCATGGCAAACCTGGGGGCTGCGCCACTTCAGAAGCTGCACAGGGCCATTGTGATGTAGTACAAACTGCAGCATATAGCCCAGCCAATCTTATGCCAAGCTCCGGGCCGCAGGATCACCCAACAGCAGGTTTCGGGTGTGCCGAAGGATCATCCAGCAGTTGACTGTTGGTTCAGGAATCCGGGGCTGAAGCGACCAGGGTCCTCTCTGTTTGCGCCGTTGGGTGCCATTCACGGCGTGCTCGCCCTTGCTTGATGCTGTCACAATGTAATCATTCCAGACAAACGCGCCAAAGCTTGCGTGGAATCTGCCTTGCCGCCGTGATACTGCATGGTACCTAAAGTGAAGAACAACGAGCAACCAACCGGTAGGTCGCGATAGATCGGCATGCAGACTAGATGCGGTCAGCGAGTAGTGAAGAGTAGACAAATACTGACAGCGCCTTAATGCCAATATTTAATTATTTTAAGTAGCAGTTATCATGTTGTTTCAATCTAGGCTGTTGCCTGATTGTCAGGCTTTCTGCGATCCTATAGCACGCTCATCATACCTCGTGATATCATCACACAGTCACTTGGTCAGCAGTAACAACAAGCTTTCTGAGCTGCGGGCCGATAGGTTCTAGGTAGTTAGGTCCAATGATTACATACAGCAAGAAGCTCATTTCGGCAACCTGATTCCCCTTTGGCTGGACTACATGCATGGACACACAAGTCCTAGTGAGATGGCCATGTTTTAATCTTGGAACATATGGGATGCTTGAAATCGCACAATGACAGCGTTCGTCATCCAATATATAATCAACCAGTATAATACTGGTTTTCAGTACGACATCTCTTAGGGTTAAAAACTACAGCCCACTCATGATATGCCGACTAGTTGAGTCAGTACTTAAGCACTAATATTTAGAGGTTAGTTAGGCATCTTGGAAAAAGTATCACGACAGCTCATGTAAGAGAGGACAGCAAGACCAAGTTGTCGTTCCAGCTAACATCATCGCAACTATCATAGAGCAAACTTCGGTCATCTCCGAGTGCTAGAAAACTATTCCTGATGCGCCATAAGGATTAAATATGCTCAAGGGCCTGGCTCCTGAATCGATCCTTCTACGAATCGCAGCAGGCGCAACTCCTTTAACACTGCTAGGGCAAAGATCACCTCTACTCATCCAGGTCTTGTAATACCATACAAGTCCTGAAGAATGCATGCGCCATCATGTACCTAGGTACATATCGTGAAGGTCCTGGGCTTGCCCCAAGCAACGGCACATTTCTTAGGATTCTGCTCTAGAAGAGGTCATATCATTATGATAATCCTCGCGAGACGCGATGAGCTACTATTTAGATCCGATAGAATCCACTACGACAATGGGGAAATCAGATGCAAGATGTTGACCTGTCGGCTTTCCTATTAAATAGGTCGAGGCCAGACATTCTCTTCGGAATTTTCTCCGAAGTCGTGCCCAACAACCATATATACCTTTCACTACAACATTTCACTTGAAAAACGCTTGACATGTCTTTGAAATATCTTCTACTTGCCATTCTTGTCATTACCCCTGTCCTCGGCAATCCAGTATTCATTGCAGCCGAAGACCAGATAGCTCACGGGGTGGCAGCAAGAAGCAACAAATGTGTAGATTCCCGTTACGCTACCGCTGACGTGGTAAGAAGCATCACAACTTCTTGAGTACAACTCAAAGTAAAGGAGCTGAACGTGTTGCAGGACTACTACGACTGTCACCACGCACACACCATGAACAAGGACAGGTAATGTTTAGACGGGATGCCTAACGAGGCGAACGACCGTAGCGGCACCGGCTGTCAAAGCTACTGTGAAGTCAAGGTGACCTACTTTCACGGCCAAGAAATCCCCTACAACTTCGATTGCCGAGCTGGTTCCCCTTGCGCCTTAACCAAAAGCGAGTCCGTTACCCATACAGACTCGTGGACAATTGAGGTTGGCGCCACGATCGGCACCCGTGATGACGGTTCTTTAATGTATAACGAAACTGGACTTATAGTCCGTGAAGATGTGGGAGCACCACTTAAAGGTTAGCACGTACTTCCGATGTTGCCTCTTCGTACACACAAGACTCATGCTGAGGTGCGCAGCGACTTTCAATATTAGAGCCAGCCATCAGTGGCAGGACAGTTATCAACACTTGGTGGGCTCAGATAGGGAAGCCCGACAATGAGAAAAGATGTGGGCATTTCCCTTGGGTTCCTTGGAAAGTTCGGTAAGGAACTTCCGCTTCTTCCAGCATCTACCACTGACCTAGAAGAAGCGTGTCTGCTGATATCCTCTCAGGTCATGCGGGACCCTGACTCGTGCCGAGGTGAAAGAAACTATAAAGCCAGTGGTATGCCCCAGTTTGGTGTGCCCTGTAAATGACATCAAGTCCTGCGATAAGACAAATCTCAGCACTACCGAGAACTGGTGTGTTGAGACGCAGGCCATGACCGACGACAAGACATCTCTGGGGACGGACATGTTCGTTGTGGTAGACTGTGGCACGAATGCCCCAACCCCAGACAAGCAGGACAAGATCTATCACCACCGTGGCGTGTCGGACACGAACTGGATAGAAAACCCCTCAACAGCTCGAGGTTAGAGTGTCTACTTTCTCAAGAAATTTGAGTGTTTTAGTTTAGTTGAATGAATTCGCCAACGACGAAATGTGAAAAGAGGTCACGGTGTCCTCGCCCTTTGATTCAACTAGAGAATTAAACCGGGGGTTTGGCGTCGCTTGACGGGGTTTTCTATACCACCAAATCTTGGGGAACCAACCTGCAGTCGATGCCCTTTATCTGATTTCACTGGCTGCCTCTTCTTTACGATGCTCCAGAAACAACCACGCGTTAGAGAAGCCAGTGATTAGACCACAACACGTCAGAATGATTTATGGTCCTTAAAACTCATGTTGCAGTGTGATTGGGTTTTCTTTCAGCTGAATTAAACCTCTATGCTCACCTCGACGGCCCTGAGGCGGCCTTTGTCCCACTCAGCCTCGGGATTGTATTGAAGTATCTCTCCCGCCTCATCAATATTGTACCATAGCTCCATCTTGATCCTTTATTTATCAGCTGACTGATGGCCCGCACCATGCCGCTCTCGCACATCCTTGGATTCCTCGGCCAACGGCCACATCTTATTGACGCCGTAGTTGATGACGCCAGGCTTCCGTGTGGCGCTGCACGAGCCGGGGAAGATTAAGTCCTTGACATCGGGGCAGGCGGGCGGACTGCTCCTGCAGGGGCTGGGTTGTTTTGAAATTGATTGAACGAACGACGAAGTCTGGACACATATCTTCTTGCGCTGGTCACCGTGGCTGCGCAGTAGAACACGAAGGATGGATTGGACTGTGAGAAACACTTCGAGACGTGAGAAACCTTCCTTACCTTATGCCCTCTTTACGACACGTGCCAACGGTTGGTTACTGCGTTAGCTCTGCCGCGGTGGCCTTCCGGTGCATGGCTCTCAGTGATTCAGTGCTGTAACTGCCAGGTAGACCGCAGCCTACGGTGACAAGAAATGACTATAAAAACGGTTTGAGTAATATATGCTGTATACAGTCGGGATGAAGCCCGTGCCAGCTCCTTGATCGATGGCATTATAGCCGCCGACCGATTGTTCTATCTTAAAAAGGTGGCATGTAATGCAAGACGAGCGATTGGTCTTATATTAGCAGTTGGGCTTTTCGGCTCATTAGAGGTATAGCATCCAACCTTGATCACGTATGAACGTTAAAGCCTATATGGTGTACTTGTGATTATCAATAAACCCGCATCTGCCACATTTCTATGACATTTTTATATAAGGCAAATATGGTGCCTCATGAAACCAACCGAATGCGGTAGTTTGAGTTGGTTGGTTGTACGAGAGACGTAGCCATTCCACGAGGGTTGAAGCATTCGTGTCCAAGTGCTCTTTGTACGACTACAAATTAAGTGTACGAAAAGCTGTATCGGGATACGATGTCCCAGAATTGACGTTATGGTACGTGTCATAATAGAAGGTGCTAAGTGAACGAGACCTTTGGCAATCGTTTAAAATTGCCCGAATCCGAAGAGCAAGTAATCATAGGGTACATGATTAACCTGTATCCGCGGTCGTCAAACTGTATGTGTGACCTCCGTTAAGGCTATGTTCGTAACAAGGAGCATTTGTGAGAATGCAGGTCAGCGTCGCTTACCTAGAATCGCAGCCAGCTTGACTAAAAAGCGTGATCTACCAGACATTTCTGAGCAAGGGTGGATGGAGCACAGACATGCATAGTACCGCTAGCACTTGACAGTGCGGGGGCTGCGGTTTTGCCAAACTTGGCAAAACGTATTCTAGCCAGTAGAAAGCCTATGCCCCGCTTAGCTTTAGACAGCTTAGAAGCACTTATTTGAAAGTCGCTTCAGCCTTTGTCTTTCTTCTTCTTCTTCCTCAAATATCATTTACTGGGACCCACGCGTAGAGAAACCCGATCGAACTTCCCGGCACCCTGCCATTCCAGCCTAGAAACTTCTTGCTCGCGAGCGCTGTGCGCCTAATGTCTGGTATAGATAGCCCCTTCCAATGGCGACTAAGCATACCCGAAGCCTGCCAGCCTCATCCCAAAAGCCACCCGCAGGGCTGGCAAGGGTTCTGAACTCAGAAGACAACCACGATTCAGCCTATATCTCAAGTACGGATGTATCCAGCAAGCGTGGGTTATACTCCCTTGGACTGAGGTGTTTAGTAGCTTATCATTCGACTATAGACACAACTGCAGACTCGGGGATTGGAGTTCATGCCACCGAGCCTTTGTCAAGGAAGCCCGATCCTTTGAACCTGCCGAACACTGAATTAATCGTTCCACATGGACCTTTGAAAACGCCACCTGTCGTGCTCCCAAACACGGTGCGCGACCACACAACCGACCAGCTCGCGCCCGGCGGAGACGAGTACCTGCCGCGTGTGGTAGACGAAGCTGGCGAGAAAAAGGTAACGCCAAATGGTTGTTTGCTTGGCAACCGCGAGTACCGCTGTAAAACTTTCCTGGTGCCTAATCGGGGCGATAAGCTATTTATGCTAGCGGCCGACTGCGCCAAAGTCCTTGGCTATAGGGATAGCTATCTCATGTTCAACAAGAACAGGTCACTCTATAGGATCATTACAAATCAATTCGAAAAGGATAATTTGCTGAACCAAGAAATCCTTCCGATTTCGTACCGATCCCGACAGATTGCCATCGTCACGGCACGATCCATGTTCCGACAATTTGGAAGCCGAGTCATCGCCAACGGTCGCAGGGTAAAAGATGACTACTGGGAAGGGAAAGCTCGCAGCCAAGGCTTTACCGAAGCGGACCTGGCGGGTGGGACGAGACCATCGGCTTTCATGGCGCGTGAGATTGTTAACCCCGGTGATGGAGTCCATACTTACGACTATAATCTAGGCAGCAACTCTGGCGAAATAGTTGATACTGAACCCCTAGACCAGGTTCATGGCCTTGCGGGATCTCGCCCTCTTTATCCACGATCTATGGGAGCTCCAATTTCAGACTTGAACGACGACCGCGAGAAAGATTATAACCCACACCACGGCGTTACAGGTCGTGCTCATAAGGAATTCAGTGCCTTGTCTGAGACCTATGATGAGGCCCACTATGCTGCTGATTTCAGTCGTTCCTCTAGTTTTGAGATACGGAGGAGCTACATGCAGAACCTGTGGCAGAGAACGGTTGGGCAACCTACCACATCACCTGTTGGTGATTCGAAGTTGCAGCTAGCTCACTCCTATATACCAATTAACCATGGTCCAACTAGTAGTGTGCCTCCAGCGCAGTCTCAGGATCTCCTAGGGCAGGGAATCTTGGAAGGTAAGCATCTCACTAAACACAAATCATTTCTTGTCGACGTCAGCTATACAACGGATGAGGAAGAAACTCCCAGACAAGATGCTGTTTCCTAGGATACGCCTCAGTGTGTATCTACATTGGCTGACAGATATCTAGGAAGCAGGCAGGCGGCAGAAGGCATGGCAGGCAGTCCAGGTCGTCGAATACACACGTCTACACTTCGAAAAGCCATGCATTATACTGTGCAGCACGATCCTCTTCATGTATCGCAAGAAGAGTCGCCCACTTCTGATAGGGTCAAAGGAAAAGACTCCAAAGAGATACAGGGTCCCACGTCACATGGTCCCACACCAAATGAACACACTGGGAAGGATAGCACATATACTCCTATAAGCAGAGGTGGAATTCACTCTTACTGCAATTCGTCGGATGAAGAAGCGAGTACATCAGATCCCAGTGAGAGCACTTCGGATGAAACGCAAAGAAGGTTGAATTCGCAAATCGTGGATTCTATAATGCGCAGCTTATGTGCTGCCATTGACAGGAAGGTGACTGAGTTCCGTAATAGAGGGGCAGACAGCAATGGTCAGGCGTCGGGCTCTGACGATCAAATAAACATAAATGAGTCAGGGTCGGCCACCATGACCACCACTGAAGGTAGAGGTCGTGCATCTAACAATACCACTAGCAAGCGGCGAAGGGGGCAAGAAAAGCAAGATGACGATGAAAGCGACCATGAATCAAGTAACAAGAGAGCTAAGGAAATACCGAGGGATAGGCGCGAGGTATACACCGAGAGGAGGTTTGCCTGTCCGTACTTCAAAAGAAATCGTCGAAAGTATCGCCAATGGACTGGCTGCCCCGGGCCAGGTTGGGACGAAGTTCACAGAGTCAAGTGCGTAAGTAATCCGTGAAGTGTAGGATTTTGTACTCACAAAAAGCTTAGAGGTCACCTGTACCGACGCCACGCGCTTCCCTCTCAATGCCCTCGATGCTGGGAGCCATTTAAGTCGAAAAATTCCCTGAATGGACATCTCCAGAAAGAGCCTCCATGTGCGGTGCAGCAAAACCTCACTGTATTAGACGGATTTACAGAGGAGCAAGAGAAACGCCTTCGGAGTAGGAAGAGGCTCAGCCCCGAAATGACAGAAGAGCAGAAGTGGAACCATATCTACGACATTCTGTTTCCTGATGACGATCCCATCTTGAGACCTAGCCCCTGTAAGACGAGCTCAACCACACGACCATGGGATCTGCTGACCACACGCTACAGATTATGATGATGATGATGACGATGAGAGGCGTTGCGGTCGCCCAGATGACCTTGGTGGCTTCGAGGGGTTCGCTCGCTTCGTCCGTCGCGAACTACCTGGCCTTGTGCGGCGCGAGCTCGAAATCCTCTTTCAAGACGATTTGTACGGCCTGGGAGAAAGAGTGCGACCGCAATTACAAAAAATCATACTTGATTTTCAACCGCGGCTTATGCAATTATACCAAGAGCACCAAGACGTACCAGAGCAAGCCCCAGCACCGGAATTTCCGGCCTCGCGAACGTCAATTGCTAACAATACTACCATGCAAGGCGCTGGTGACGAGCATGTAGGCCAACAATTGACAGCGACTTCACTTGCTGCCGTTGGCGGGGACTTCTGGGAGCTTAATAGTTGGCAAGAGACCCTTGGCGTCAGAGAAGGTCACGATCTCACGCCCCCAGGGTCTATTCCTGACGAGCACCTACCAGACGCTGGCGCTTTGTTCGATTTCGATGATGCTCTAGATGGTTTATTTCGGCTCCCTCCGCAATCATCGGCCATTGAGTCAAAGCATTATTAGATATTTCAGGCGGGTTGTTGTACGGCGACTCTACCAAGGAGGTCTCAGTACAGAACTTGATATGAGCAAACCAATCACCAAGCTGGTTTCCTATTAGCCTCATACACGATAGAAAGTTTTCTTTTTCAAGCTCCATTGACCCATAATTCTTGGGAACTCTGTACAGAATATGCCAAGCAAATAACGTTCTCAATTTACCAATTTATATCACAACCCCAAAAATCGATAAAGTATTTGGGTCCGATAGTTTTACTTGGTGAATGACTTGGATCTTAGCACCTGGCAGCCCATCAACGCAATCTATAGATCGTCAGGGGCTTGACTTGCATAAGCGCCCGAAATAAGCCTACCGAGCCTACCTTATTGTACATATACCCGCCCTGGCCGGGGGTTGGGGCCTGATGCCCCTCTAAATTACACCGCGCAAGCAACTTTCACTTTTCCAATGGACTTCGCGCAATCTCGTAGTCGGCTGGTGAGCAGCAAATTACGCGCCTCGTGTGATCGATGTCTCGAGACCAAAGTGAGGTGTGGCCAAGAGAAGCCTGATTGCTGTCGATGTGCCAGGAAGGGCCTGTCGTGCACCTACAGCCCACTGAAACGCATTGGGAGACCCCGGAAGGACGACGCTGTTGCAACGTACAGGAACCGCGAACAGCCTCTGCGTGCTCACTAGCCGCCGTGCCCCACGGGGTGCCAGGCTCACAACATCGACTTTATCATCGACAGTCGATGCTGCTTCGCTCCGGGATGATCAGGCTGCTGTGTTAGGGGGCTAACCGCCCGAGGATGGACTGGGCATTCTGACGACTGCAGCGCTCACGCCGTCAAGTCTTGGGGCTCTACCAAGTGATCTCGTGCTGGATGGAAATGCAGTCCAATACAGAGATAAGACCCCGACGCTCTGCACCACCATGCCCGGTCTTCTTCTTTCTTCCTCGAGCCCAGCAACTTCGAGCGTCGCCGCTGGGCCCGCACCCACAGACCAACAGCAGGACTGCCACGTGGCCATCCTCAAGCGCCTGGCACAGCTAGAGGAGTCCTTGGCCACTCCACCATCCCCGGGAATCGAAATGATTCTGCGAGCCGAGAGTGATACGCGGGACCTGCAAGTGCGTCTCTTCTCCTGCCAGGGTCACCAAAGCCTTGTTGTGTGTAGACAGCAGCAGAACCTCATCTGTTGTCTATACCATCACCTCTTCACCCAAAGTCAAATCAATCCATCAATACCATACTAGTCGAAACACTTACATACAGAGACTTCGCATCGCTATCACCTACCCGCAACATGGCAGATCAGCTTGTCGAGGCCAACCACTTCACTGCATCGCACGGCGACGTAGATATGGAAAATCAGACACCTGAGCATTCATTGGGGAGCCACGACAACGCAACACCTTTGCCAAACGTCTATCCGCCTCTAGTTTCTCGTTGCATCATTGTCTTTAGCCTCATGCTGGCCACCTTTCTGGTAGGAAAGAAGACCAAAAGAAACGCATTAATAACACTTAACTGATTCAATCTTCTTACAGTCGGCCCTTGACATGGCAAGTCTGCCTACTGAATTCCAGCCCATTGGGCCGCTTCTTCTGACTTATGTATCCTCGTAGAGTATCATCGGTACCGCAATCCCAATGATCACGACTGAATTCAACAGCATGGCGGACGCAGGCTGGTATGGCAGGTGAGCACTGCCTACATTTATAACCAAGCACACTAGGCATGTACTGATTCTCAACTCCAAGTGCTTTCTTCCTCACCATGGCCACCTTCATGTCTGCGTGGGGCAAAGGGTACAAGTATTTCTCGATGAAGCTGGCGTATATCTTAGCCGTAGTTATCTTTGAGGTTGGCAGACTGGTTTGCGCCCTCGCACCTAATAGCATTGCTCTGATCTGCGGCCGTGCCATTCAGGGCATAGGCGCCGCGGGTACCATGACCGGCGGCTACACCATCACGGCTTTTGTGACCCCTCCTCACACACAGCCCATCATTATCGGCTTGATAGGCTCCGTGTTCACCATAGCCAGCATCGCCGGCCCCTTGTTGGGAGGTGCCTTCACGTCCGAAGTTACCTGGCGGTGGTAAGCCACTCTCATCAGACTTCCTGGTTACCTGTTTTCCTCGGCCTTTTCTTCGTTCAATAGTCGTCATGCTCATTCTAGTGCCCCATCCAATTATTAAAACAAACAACACTGACCTCACAGGTGCTTCTACATCAACCTGCCTACTGGCGGCCTGGCTCTGCTTTGCATGTTGTTCTTTTTCAGAACCCCACCTCAAGCCAAGGCGAACTACAACACACCCATAAGAGAGGTCCTTATGAATTTTGACCCCGTAGGCTCCGTGCTGGTGTTTTCTGGAGTCCTATGCTTCTTCATGCCTGTGCAATGGGGAGGTGTCGTCAAGCCATGGAGTTCGTCCGTCGTGATCGGTCTCCTGGTGGGCTGTGTCGTCATCTTTGGGTTATTTTTCGCCAACGAACACTACCAAGGTGACCGTGCTCTCATCGTCTATCGCATCTTGGGTTTGCGGTCCATCGCAGCGTCTTGTGGTTTTGCATTCTTGTGAGTGTTTGCTGTCTCTATCCAGTCGCGGGCCCGTGTCGACTAACAGGCACCCTAGTATGAACGCTGCGAACATCGCGTTGCAGTACAATCTGCCCATCTACTTCCAGGCTATTCAAGGCAGAACACCAGTAGATAGCGGCATAAGAATGATACCCTCGATCTTGGGAACTGGTGAGTTTCAAAGCTCCTACACCCCACCCCTTTTGTACTCCCCAGGTTCGTTGAGAGTTTATCGCAGACTGACAGCCTCTTTTGTGGTCAATAGCCCTTACCACGTTAGTCGGATCCGGCGTCATGGGCAAACTTCAAATGTTCCAGCCTTTCTTGCTAGCATCAGGAGTTCTCAGCGTTATTGGCTGCGGGCTCATCTACTCCTTCCAGCCGGACGCGGGCCTTGGTCCCATCATCGGGTACCAGATACTGTATGGTGTTGGAGCAGGCCTGGGAGTCCAGACACTGAACCTCGTAGCGACCATTACATCTACACACCATGACGTATCCATTGCCGTCGCCACGGTCTCATGTGAGTTGACATGGTTTCCCTGCATTCCGCACCGCTCTCACCATATAAGTCCACTGACACTGACTTTGTGCTAGTCTTCCTTCTCCTCGCCGGCGGCTGGGGGGTCGCTGTCACAGACGCCATCCTGAACAATCTAATCCTCGAGCGAACTCCCCGCTACGCTGCCAACGTCGACCCTCACGCTGTACTCCTGGTTGGCGCCGCCGGGATCCACAAAGCGTACAGCGGTGAGGAGCTCCGGGGCGTGCAGATGGCGTACCTCGACGGCCTCCACGGCGGATGGGCGCTCGGAACGGCTGCCTTTGGCGTCGCTGTTTTCTGGGCCCTGGTCCCCGAGTGGCCAGGGAAACTCGCCCCGCCCGCCTCGGATGATGATAGCTCACAGACCGAGGAGGAGAAGGAGGCCGTCAAAAGGGGCCAGGCGGATACCGCTATTGCTACCGTTTGATACACTAACTGTGTTGGCGTTGATCACTTCCGCACAATCCATCTCTAAAAGGATTGCGTTAAGTTTTATTTTCTCATAGTGATTTATGAGGGGTGAGAGAAAGTATGTGAACCCAAAAGGTGATTCTGGAGTATAAAAACAGATTTAAATTTAGATTCAAAAATGTTTAGGAACTAATTCTACGAGATAAGCGCCCTGTCAAGAGTTTTCAGTTTTCATTATTTGAGGGGATAGGCAAAGGCAAAACCTATCGGATCTTCCACAAAAGCAAGCTGTCTTATAATTTATGGAAGAACCTACCTAGCTTACGAGTCGCGATGCACTTTTCTTGTTGCTTCCACCGTGTGATTGGGATAATTTTATTCGGGCCCTCGCCCACGTTCTTGACCACCTTGACTCCGGCCTGCGTTAGCCCTTCGACCGCGGCCTCCAGTCGGTAACGTTAAACCCGGGGCGGTTGAAGCACAGGTGTGGCGGCGGCCGGCCGCCAGGCATGATGATATTATCATAACCCAGAAAAGGGAGTATACCTTTATTTTAGCAGCTATACACCATGGTCCCACGTCAATCAGGTGCACGAAGATCGCAAGAACATGTGCATCACCATGTACCCAATTCGGTCCGCTAGTTCGCTCATCATCTTTTGGGAGCATGAAAGTGTTCAAACTCGACTGATTGGTCTTACGCTGGCATTGATCCGTTTTAGGCTTGGTCAAATCGATTTGTGCGACCGAGAATGACCCTTGAATGTTTCATAGTGCGGGCAAATCTGACTTAATGATTAATCACCTGGTGAACTACACATCATGGTCGGGTACTCGTGTAAGCGTTATCGCTTGGTTCGGAAACTATCGATAAGACTAAGCATCCTTTTCTTTCACAGTTTCACGTGGTACTCTGAATTCCCCCTTACTGACTCTTCTGATGTAATACACAAGCCTTACTTGATCACGTGCCCATAATATAAATGGTGACCTGTTGCACATAATACGAACTCGAAATTACGCTTGGCCCCCTTGGACCCATGGGCTAGTAGTAGGAGAGGCCGCTCTCTATATTCAGGCGTAGACACTTTTGAGGTATGTCGTATCACTCGGGCATGTAGCAGTTATCCAGTCTTTTAGGCTTAATACACGAGAAAACTACTTCGGATGTGCTTGTAGTGCGCCATAAGCAGCATGAAAAACGTCACCATAAACGGCGATTGACCAACAATCCTGCCGTGAGAACGTAAGCAGCAACACACAAACGGTGATTCTCCGCCTCATCCACTTTAGTGACTAGTCCTACTCAGCTGAAATATGTTTTCAGCTTTTGTTCGTATTCACCTCATGACCCTCAAGGGATGTTGCAGCATTTGGACCTGCTGGCGGATGCGCTTCCCTTCAGACGTCGAAACCTTAATTACGTGAGGCTGTGGCTTTTACTTGAACTCAGCTTAGCTGGCTCCTTTTATATTGAAATAAGCAACATCTTGAACATTGAAAATGATAATTCGAAAAATTATCGAAACTGATCTTTTTATAGATGGTCACCTTATGCGGCGTACGGCCGCAACTATCAGGTCACGAGGCTGGGTCGGAACAGAGGCAGTATCATTTTGCCACCATGAAAGGAATTTCCAGGCTGGTAATTAGTATTCAATACGGCACCGCCGAAGGAGCATCGTAATTTCCACTATCTGTTCATGTGAGCATTAATGGCCAATATGAACCCACAAAATCTTACGTTCAATACGGCGGGGCCTTTATGCGCCTCGATGATTGTGCTCGGTACGATGGCATTAAGAACTTCCCGGATGTAAGATAGGTAAGTAGTGCCTAATTACGAGCCAGAGCCGTGGATCTGTCTCATATATAAATAAAGCTTCCACCGCCGGGTCGACTGGCATTTTCTTGGCAATCCGCATAGATATAACGACATTGTTCATTTACCACACTTATTCCACAGGGCTTAATCAGTAAAGCTTTTCGTCTGTTCGTCCATCTCGACTTTATAAGCACCGCCGCTGTAGTTGTATATCTCACGATGAAGAGCCGACATCTAACCCTCTGCCTGATAGCTGCTTCGGCAACGGGTGTTATTGGCATCAGACCTTTCGGCTCCTCGTTTGGAGTTCCAGGCAATGATGCAACGTATGACTATGTTGTTGTTGGTGGTGGTAATGCCGGCCTGACTGTGGCGAGTCGCTTGATTGAACAGGGAGCTGGAAGTGTTGCTGTTATTGAAGCAGGAACCTTCTATGAGACCACTACCGGAAACATTACAGAGGTGCCCGCCTTCACTACCACTTGGGCGGGCAAATCTCCTGACGATTGGCAACCTCTGGCCGATTGGGGATATATGACGGTTCCACAGACTGCAAGTCAACTATACAAACCCGTCTTCACTGATCGGCAACTAACAGCCTGCGTAGGGAGCAAACAATGCTGAAATGCGGTATCCCCGTGGCAAAATGCTTGGCGGTTGTAGTGCACGGGATTTCATGCTCTATCAACGCGGCACTAGAGGCTCGTACCAAAAGTGGGCTGATATGGTCGGGGACGAAAGCTACACCTTTGACAAACTCCTGCCATATTTCGAGAAAAGCCTTAACTTCACCCCTCCGAGAAACGACCTTCGGTTGCAGAATGCTACCCCTGAGTACGACGCATCTGTTCTGGGCACCGGAGCTGGCGGAGTTGGATCTCTCGAGATCTCGTACCCAAACTGGGCCTATGCGTTTGCCACTTGGGCCACGAAGGCTTTCTCGCAAATGGGCATGTCTATACGCAGTGATGGTTTCAACAGCGGTGGCCTTCTCGGACAGGCGTATGCTACATTTACCATCAATGGTAAAACTATGATCCGATCCTCTTCCGAAACGGCATTCCTTCAGAATAGCCTCAAGGACCCTAACTACTATGTCTACCCCCTGACGACTGCTAAACAGGTGCTTTTTGATAGCTCGAAAAAGGCCACAGGCGTCCGTGTTGATACTGCGGGTCTGGAGTACCAAGTCTCAGCTCGAAAGGAGGTCATCATCGCAGCCGGTTTCATTGGATCTCCGCAGCTGCTCCAGGTTTCCGGTGTAGGCCCAGCAAAGCTCCTAGGCTCTTTGAACATTGATGTAGTGGCCGACCGGCCTGGTGTTGGCGAGAACTTGCAAGATCACATCATCTTTGGTATTTCTCAGGGTGTCAATGTCCTCACAGCGTCTTCTCTGGGCGATGTAGCGCTCTTCCGCGAACAGGAGCGCCTGTACGTCGACGAGAGCGCAGGCATGCTCACCAGCCCTGCAGCAGACATCCTGAGTTGGGAAAAGCTCCCCAACAGCACACGCAGCACCATTAGCAACCGCACTCTCTCCATTCTGGCATCTGAATATCCTGCTGATTGGCCCGAGGTCGAGTATATCACCTTCTCGGCCTGGTACGGTAATGCTAGCGTATTCACGGCGGACGACCCGCACGATGGCACGGCGTATAGCACTATGGCTGTTGCACTTGCCGCGCCGCTATCGCGTGGCACCATCACCATTAAATCGGCTGATGTGGCTAAACCGCCGGCCATCGATCCGGGCTTCTTGACGGACCGCGGGGATGTTGAGGTAGCCGTGGCTGGGTTCAAGCGCGCTCGTCAGTTCTGGCAACAGTCGTCTCTCGATGGCCTGCTTGTCGGCGGCGAAGCTTTCCCAGGTGATAGCGTGCAGACCGATGATGAGATCGAAGCAAATATCCGCCGCAACTTTAATACCGTCTATCACGGTTCGTGTACCTGTGCCATGGGGCGCTCTGATGACCCAAAGGCAGTCGTTGACAGCAAAGGGAGAGTGTACGGTGTTCAGGGCCTGCGGGTCATTGATGCTTCGGCATTTCCACTATTACCACCAGGACATCCTCAGGCCACAGTGTGTAAGTCGTCTATTGTCTCTAATGATATGTGTTATGCCTTTTGTTCGTCACAGAAACTAATTTGTGCTTGGCAGATGCTCTTGCTGAGAAACTGGCTTGCGACATCTCAGGAAACTGTTCCTGATGATGCCAACCCTTTTCCCTTACTAGGTTTCGTATGTTCTCGATCGGGTTCTAGTTTGAGGGGTGTCCTTTTTAGGTTGGTATAGATTGGGGCCTGACTTATAGGGACTAGGGTAAGCTATGGAATGTTGAAGGGACTTTGAACGTTTCTCACTGCGATAGAGATTTCCTTAGCTTTCTATTATGACTTATTTCTCGTTTTCTTATTTAGTAAACAGATTTATAGATCTTTCAAAATGCTCATTCACTCCTGTCATGCTCTGTTCCGGCCAGAGGTAGAGCTTTGACTGATTTATACAGCACAGATTCTGACTACGAGTATCTCAACTCAAGGAAACCAAAGAAAAGAATAATCGTCTATCATACCGTGACGAAGAACATGTAGCTCCGGATTGCAGTATGAGATTGAGAGTGCCAAGCGTCAGATTTCGATTCCGCGTAGTTGTACTACAGTTTGCAAACTAGATAAATCAAGTCCTTGGCTCACGTTTGTAGCCCCGCGTGACTGTACTCTAGGGACTGGCCTAGTAAAAGGTACGTGGTCCGCGCCCAATTAGACCGTCGGATCTCGTACAAGGGAGAACTTGGCAAGGGGAGCTGAGAAGATGAAGTCCACATGTTACAGCTCTCTCGTTAACGGAGCTTGGTCTCTTCTGTCATCAAGGCAAGCGTAACGTTCCGAGTGGAGAGCATTTCTCGCGCTGATCCGTGCTACGATCGTGGGCTGTGACTCGGAGTTTGTTAGGGGCTTTCCGAACTTGCGGGACCTGACATCAGCGTGGGTTTTATGCGGGCAGTGGGGCAATTGAGGGGCCATGAGTTCGATGCTCCTTGTGCTGCAGACAGGAAACCCTTTCAGGAAGATCACAGCTGCTTCGTTCGTTTCGAATTCCATTTAGTGACTTGATTGTCTGAATTCCGTTGTTTGTTTCAGTTTCTCTTTTCATATCGCAATCGATCTCTTGTCCCACGATGGAGGAACAAGTTACAAGACTGGTCTCCCAGGCATGGGAGCGGTATCAGAAGGCTCCAGAAGACCATCGCTTCAGTGTGTTAGCCCCTGTATGGAGTCTTACTCGCTCTCGATGTGAGCGAGTGCTCGCAAGAGATAGATGGGGGGCGTTTGATTTGTTCAATACACTGACTGGACGGGTGAACTGCAGTGATTGCCATAGCCGGCATCCCAGGATCAGGTAAGAATCCCTCATGACCTTTTCTATATAGATCACTGATAAGATCACAGGGAAGACAACACTGTCACAAAGAGTCACCGACCAGCTGAATGCGCTGCACCAGGCCTCGCATCCCGGGAGCGATCCCATTGCCATCTTCGTGCCTATGGATGGCTACCATTACACCCGAGCGATCCTGGATCAGATGCCAGACCCGGTCAAGGCCCACGCTCGCCGCGGCGCCGAGTTCACTTTCGACGGTGAATCATATCTGAAGCTCATCCAGGCACTTCGCGTGCCTCTAGACCGAGCTACCACTCAGTCCATCTACGCGCCGTCCTTCGACCACGCTGTAAAGGACCCTGTGGACAACGACATCGAGATCAAGCCAGAACACCGAATCGTTGTCTTCGAGGGCAATTACGTGTGCCTTGATCGGAAGCCGTGGAGCGAGGCTGCGGCACTGATGGACCTGAGGTGGTTTGTCGAGGTGGACAGGACGGTCGCGAGGGAAAGGTTGGCAGCGCGGCACGTGAAGGCAGGCATTGTGGATACCCTTGCGGGCGGTTATGAGAGAGCAGATACGAACGACTTGCCAAACGGCGACGAGATTAATGCATTGAAGATCGGAAATATGGATGGGACGGTGGTTAGTAAGGAAGATCAGGGTTGGGCTTAATAGTACAGTGGCTCTCATAAGATGAACGAAAGAAGATACTACTATCAACTGAGCAGTAAGTGCTTCTCATATTAGCCGATTGGTCAAATTGCCTGAAACATGGTACATCTTGGGGTGTACAGCCGACAAGCACAGTTGACCATGTCGCACAAAGCTCAAAACCGTCGATAGACTGTCTCCATCGAGTCTTGGATTGACCGGGCATCAACTTGGATTACTGGGCCCATGACACTGGAAGAAGCTCCTGGAGTTTTACAGGGGGGAAGATGAATGCATCGGGGCTCAATGGTGGGGTTTTGCCGCAGCTGTTGAGCACCCAGCTTAGGTGCATACGTCCTCTTGCATGCATAATTGCTTATCTTATCAGCCCCAGAAAAAAATCCCAAAATCCAGGTCCTTGAGTTACGATTGCTACAATTCCTTGCGAAATCACAGGCTATTGCTCCCGCTGCAGTATTTTACCAGAGCGCCAAAATATTGCCTGGAGGATGTCGTCGTCGGAATCGCCAAGCTCCGGCGAACCCGAGCCAACTGTGCCGAGCGAGAACTCCAAGAAACGCAAGTCGCAAATCGAGGAGATTGAAGTCGATCTCGCGCTCCCCGAACCACCTTCGAAGAAGGCCAAACGTCTCCTCAAGAAGGGCAAGCCACTCCCCGTAAAACCCAACAGCGACGACGAAGCCGACAAGGAGGAGGACGATGGACTGGCTGTGCCGTCAGGAAAGGCAAAGAACGGCAAGAAGGAATCAAAGCGCTCCGAGTTTGGCGTGTGGATTGGCAACCTGCCATTCACCATGACGCGAGTCGACCTGCTCAAATGGTTTGTCGAGTCTTCTGGCGGCGTCATACAAGAAGAGAACATCACCAGAGTCAACCTGCCGCCGAGCAAGCTTCCGGCCAGAGATGGCTGGCCGAAACCACAGAACAAGGGCTTCGCATATGTCGACTTTGACACGGAAAGCGCCGCCATGGCCGCCATGTCGCTTACCGAGACGGAGCTCAACGGCCGTAACGTGTTGATTAAGAACGCTACCAGCTTCGACGGACGGCCGAAGAAGGAGGGCGCTGACGGGGAGGCAGCACCGGGCCAGGCAGGCCCCAATGCCAAGGGAGGCAAGACGCACGAGGCGAGCAGGAAGATATACGTTGGAAACCTGGGCTTTCAGAACACCGAGGACGACCTATGGTATCACTTTGAGAAGTGCGGCGAGATCGACTGGGTCAAGGTGGCCACTTTCGAGGACTCGGGCAAGTGCAAAGGCTACGGCTGGGTCAAGTTCAGGGAGGTTGAGGCTGCCGAGGCGGCTGTCAAGGGCTTCGTCAGGATAAAGGAGGAGGTCGAAACTGAAGCGGACTTCCAGGATTCCAAGGCCGACAAGCAAGAGGACGGCGAAGGGGCTACGGATGAGGGAAAGAAGTTCAAGATGCGCAAGTGGTGGGTCAACCGGCTGAAGGGGAGGCAGTTGAAGGTCGAATTCGCAGAGGATGACCAAGTCAGGTACAAGAAGCGGTTTGGAAAGGATAAGCCGAAGGTGCACGAAGGCGCCGATGCAGGACGGGGAGAAGCCGCAAAGCCGGTGGCCGCTCCGAAGAAGACGACGTTCGATGAATAGAGTCCACTGGGAGGCCGCCGAGTATGGAAACACATAGATCATGACCCGTGCAAATACCCTTCAAAGACACTCATCACTTGGTTCCACACATCAGATACGTGATTTTAAAGAGGGCACGTCAGCCCAGTGTTGGAAAATACGAGATGCATCATGGTTATACATGTAGAGCTCCCCTTAATGTCCAGCCCCACATGGTCCGTCTGCCCCATTTAGCAAGGGTCGGTCGCTGTATGTAAGGGCGCGACACCCTCAATTCGTCATTGCTGCTTACATGTGGACCTGATATCGCATTCTGCGAAAAGAAGCGAAAAGAAAAAGCATGCTTTCTATCGCATTGCGCCATGCGCCGCAGCCCACCTTCTGCAGTGCTGTGGAGTTGCAGACCAAGGTGGTTGGGAACGCTGCAGACACCGCCCTCGCCTCAGGTCCGAGACAGACAGCTACCATAAGCACAGCGCCGTCCTCGTAACCGCTTGCAAGTGCAGAGCTATAAGCGCCCGGAATCTCACTACGGTTTCATCAAACTAGCTTCACTATTGCGACCCTGCTCTGCGCACGACTCGTACGTGTATAAGGACGCCCGTCGACTCGAATGCGCTAGCTGCCGTCTGACGATCATTCCAGTCATCTCGATTCAAAATGGCCTCGTTCGCGGCACTCAACGCCGCGATAGATGCGACTCCGCTCATCGACAACCACTGCCACAACCTCTTGAAGCCTGACCATCGGGATGACGCGCCTCTGGTCTCAATCGCATCCGAGGCCCAGGGCGAAGCATTGAAGGATGCCGACACCAGCCTGGCTTACATTCGTGCCACCAAACACCTAGCGCAGGTCCTGGGCTGTGAGCAGACATGGCCCGCTGTAGAGTCGGCCATCAAGGCACAGCGGGCAAAGTCCTCAGATGCATGGACGAGGCGCTGTCTGCAGGGTGTTGAGACTCTGCTTCTGGATGACGGCTTCGGGGCCGTGGGCAAGATCCAGGACTACTCATGGCATGACCAGTTCGTCAGGAGCAAATGCAAGCGCATTGTCCGGATCGAGACGTTTGCTTCCGATCTCATCGAGTCCAGACTAGCCGACAGAGGGCTCCCAAGCGCACAGCAAACCTTTGAGGGCTTCCTCCAAGCATTCGCCACGGGGATCCGGCAGGCGATCAAGCATCCCGATATTGTGGGCTTCAAGTCCATCATCTGCTACCGTGGCGGTTTGGATATCCCGCGATCGGAAGATGTGGACAGGGAGGCGGCCGCCGAGGCCTACAAGTCTTGCTGCCGACTGATTCAAGAGGGGAGAGATCCCTTCAAACGAAAGGTGTTCCTGCCCATCATCCACATCTTGCTCCATCACACGGCTTCGGCGCTCCGTGCTAAGGGCACGTCGCACCTGAAGCCGATCCAGTTCCATACCGGACTGGGCGACAACGACATCACCCTGACCAAGTCTTCACCATCGCACTTGCAAGCCTTCATTCGTGAATACCCGGAGGTTCCCATTGTGCTACTTCACTCTAGCTGGCCGTGGACCAGAGAAGCCGCCTACCTAGCCACCATGTACCCGAATGTCTATGCAGACATCGGTGAGGTGATTCCATTCTTGAGTCGTGATGGACAGGTCGGCGTCTTCCGGCAGATGCTGGAATTATGCCCATGGTCAAAGATGCTGCTGAGCACCGATGGCCATGGGCATCCTGAGATGTACCTAGTTGCGAACACCCAGATCCGATCTGCGCTGAAGACGGTACGTCATGTGAACATCCGCCTATGATCACCACTAACTGGACATTTTAGATTCTCGGTGGGTATGTACGTGATGGCCAGATTGATGAAAAGCAGGCGATACAACTCGTACAGAGCATCATGTTTAAGAACTCGAATAAACTATACCAGCTCGGATTAGACGAAAACTTACCCCTTTCAGCCACCAGCGCTTTCTCCAGTGTCACCTTTAATGGCCCAGACTCGAGCCTGGCAATAATAGAAAGGCTGCGGGCTCTCAACTGTAAGTGGTTGAGAATACAATGGCACGATTACACATCCAGCACGAGATGCCGACTGCTGCCGATGCAACACGTAATGCGGATCCTCGAAAGCGGCAAACCTCTTAAGATCTCAATTTCAGCGGCGTGCTGGGGCCTATTGCAACAAGACATACTGATCCCGCAAGGCACTGCGGCTGGGGTCTACGACGCATCCCCCGACTGGTCAACCTTGACGCCGGGGCCAACACCGGGGCATGCCAGCGTATTCTGCGAGTTCAAGGAGTCGGACGGGTCGGATTCCGCGCTGTGCCCTCGCACTGTCCTCAGGAAGACGGTCGACAGGGCAGCAGCTGATGGCTTTACATTTATCATGGGTTTCGAGCTCGAGTTCGTGGTCATGGAGCGCAACCCCGACCGGACGAGCCCTCAGAAGTTTATCCCACTACCAAACGACGGACATGCATGGGGGATGGCTCGCGTACTGGCCGACGTTGGACGCGAAGGCAGTTTCAGCAACGCCATCGACGATATCCTGGACACCCTGACCGAGGCCGGCATCCTCATCGAGCAGTTCCACCCCGAAAGCGCGCCCGGCCAGTACGAGATCGTGCTCCCCCCACTGCCGCCCATGGAAGCCTGTGACAACCTGCTCGCCATGCGCCAGATCGTCGAGGCCGTCACAGCCCGGCACGGGTACCGTATGACGCTGCACCCGAAGCCGTTCGCCATGGCGCCGGGGTCCGCGTCGCACGTGCACATGTCCATCTCGTCGGCGGGGGGCGACGACCCGGCGGTCTACGAGGCCTTCTACGCGGGCATCCTCAAGCACTACCCGGCGCTGATCGCCTTCACGTACAGCAACCCGACGAGCTACGAGCGCATGGTCGACAGCTGCTGGGCCGGCGGCCGCTGGGTCACGTGGGGCACGCAGAACAAGGAGTCGCCGCTGCGCAAGTGCGACGACAGCCACTGGGAGCTCAAGACGCTCGACGGCCTCGCCAACCCCTACCTCGCCATCGCGGCCGTCCTGGCCGCCGGCGCCCGCGGCGTCGCCGACCGCGAGCCCATGGTGTGCCGCGACAGCCAGGGCGACCCGGCCAGGATGAGCGAGGCCGTGCGGAAGGCGCTCGGCATCACTACTATGTTCCCCAAGGACCTGAAGGCGGCCATCGCCGCGCTAGAGAAGGACGAGGAGCTCGCAGCGTGGCTGGGCAAGGAGTGTGTGCAGAGGTACATCGACATCAAGAATGGCGAGATGGGTATCTTGGATCCGATGACTGCAGAGGAGCGGCGGCAGTGGGTTCTCGAGCGGTACTAAATCTATAGAGATTTCCACGCAGCGTCCATAGATAAAATCCGTTGTTGATGATGTCCGTAACGCGACCGGATTCCGCGCGCACAGCGTGCGGTCAAGCGAGGCGATAGATCCAGATGATCCATTGCTAACCAGAACAACCCTTTCGTTCACAGATGCCTCTTACTCGATGTTTTTACGTCCATAACCTACGGACTCCACATGCCTGCTGTCGCCTTGATTGGCTGATACAAGTCACAACTGCTCAAGTAGTAGGAATATTGTAGTCTTGCGCACGTGATGAGTGTCTCTACCTGACACGCGGTGTACCCTGACCCCTGATTTCACCCAATGAACGATGCAGCCACCAGCATGGCATTTGACACTTCGTCACACTGTAAAACACAAATTATCCCTTGGATTGATTAAAGTACGTCATTCACCCCCCATTGGCGTATATCGGGACACTCTGTGGGACATCGCATCGGCTGTCAAGTTCATTATTGAGACGTTTCTCTAGACACAATGTGTTTAGTGTCCTCATTACTAATAATACCATGTCCACATAAGACTTCCATGCCAAGCCAACCTTACATGACGCCGATCCCTACACCAGCAAAGCAACCGCGCACCTAGACGCCACGTACCCAAGAACCTAGGTTTACACCCAAAGTGGAGTAAATTACTCCTGCTATATAGACACAGAAAGAATTAAAGAGACCAAGAAGGTCACTCAAGGACCAAGGCTCATCCAGCCGAAAGCGCCGGCCGCAGAGGCCAGGATGAGGAACGTCAGAATGCCCGCACCTGCCCGGTCGCCCGTTGTTATCGGTGTCAGGGCGTTGTTGAACGAGTCGCTTCCCTGGCCTGCATTATAGTTGCCACCGCTAGTGCCTCCTGTTGTGTTCGTGACTGGTGCCTTGGACTGTCCGATGAGTAAGGAGGACACAGCGCCCAGCACGTTCATGGTCTGCCCTGCGCCGACGCTGCCGTCGAAGACGCCGCTGGCCCATCCGAACCCACAGGTCCTCTGGTTGTCCCCCCCGGTACACTGGTTGATTGCTGCCGTGGCCGAGGTCTTGAGAATGGGCAGGATCTTGTCGGCGGTGTACGGGGCAATCTGCGTCATCGTCGCCATCCAGCGCGCAACGTACCCCTTGAAACTCAGCATGTCGGTGGTGCAGGTCATGTGCTGCTCGCATGCAACCTCGAAGGCAATGTTGTCGGGGAAAAAGACACGAAGCGTTCCGTCGATCATGCCATCCAATCTCTGCTTCCAGACTTCACTTCCATTGGTCTGGAGCACAGTCAGCTTTGCGGTTCTGTAGATGTGGGCACGTTTAAAAGAGGCGAGAGAGCTTACAAAGTTGTACATGTAGGCGGCGCCTTGCATGTAGACGCCGTTGTTGTAGGAGAACTGGGCGCGGTTGATGTCGGTGCAGTTTGTCTCTACGTGTGCGCCATCATAGATATTGTATTCGGCGTCCATGAAGCCGACCGATGTGACCCAGTCCCAGGTGTCCTCGGCCCACTTGGCGTACGTCTCATTGTTGGTGTAGCGAGCGAGACGTGCGCCGAGGTTGAAGAAGCAGCCGTTTGCGATGCTGTTCTTGTAGTTGTAGCCATTGTTGGAAAATGGAATCTGCCAGCGCAGGCCGCCGCCGCACGTCGAATCGTGTCGCTGAGGGTCGGCCTGCGTGTTGAAGACGGCCTGGGCCAAAGCAAGCCACTGAGGTTGATCTTTGGGCGGATCCGGGAAGTTCTCCTCGGCGGCGAGCATGGCTGTCATGCCCCAGAAACCCTGGTCATCATTTCCGAGCGAGGCTGTCACATTGGGAGGCATATAGTCCTGGTTGGGGCCGACCTGCCAGAGCATGGCCTGGGAAACGACATCGTTGTAGGTCGAGTCGCCGGTGAGATGCCAATAATCAATCATGGTACCCCAAAGCGCGCCGCCCTCCCACCAGTAGTAGTCGCCAGCAGGAGGAGGGCCGGGAAGGATGCCAGGTGTTTGTCCGGATTGGTTCCCTTTGTAATATGTCATGAGATCGTAGGCCAGCGTCTTGGCGGATTGCTTGATCGCGTCTGCATGTATGGGCCAGTGGTTAGCGACGAGCGACTCGGCATGGCCGAGGCCTTGGCCAACATCACCATCGTACGTAGGTGAGACCAGAAAAAGGCACGCCCCATCTCCAAAAGTGAACACTACATACCATTAGAATCAATCGAATAGAAAGCTGCAGATGCCAATGGGCTGCAGAAAAGAAGCGCAGCAACGCCGCGCCAAGAGAAGGATGCCATTGTGAACGAATGCGGATCTTGGCGGGCAGGGTTGAGCGAGCGACGGGTAGGACGAGAAGACACAGGCGTGGAATACGGCACAGCCTAGTCTAGTGACACCATCAAAGACGGCTTCCGCAGATGAGCAACTAGTTATCGTGGAGTCTGGATGGTAACGGGCGACAGAAACAATGCGAAAAATGGAGAAGCACGGAAAGCCGGTAGGTTGACGATGTGCCCGTGGAAGAGAGTGGCCTGAAGAGGGAAACGCATGCTGGAAAGAGGATCGACCCCCCGAGGAGACGTGGGTTGTTGGTGGGGGCGTCCGAGTGTCTCGGTGGCAGCCAGCAGCAGACAGCAGAGCAGCAACGCGGGCGTCAGGCGTGTGGCCATTCCAAATGGGAGCATTGTGTGCGTGATGAGCAGCGGAACCGCGCCCTCTCATTGGCAAAGCCTATCTACACCCGACCTAGTCCATGCTTGGTCTCATCTCGTACCGGGCAACTTTTAAGCTTGATGGGCACTGGTCACTTCCAAGATGGATGGACAACCCTTTCAGCCCGTCCACCCACATCACCCTGCCCCTGCTCCAGGTCATGGCTCCTCCCCGTCAATCCTGCCCTGGCCCCCCGATGACGACGATGGGCAGCAGGCAAGGGTCACAGCAAACTGTCTGAGTGCCCACCAGGCGTCCGCGAGGATTAAGTTACGTCGACACCATAGATACCTCGAGGTGTCTACGCAACACAGGTCTGCGGGGCACTGTTCGCAAATCACCCGGCATTTGTTTTTCTTGGAATTGCTTGATTCCATGCTAGGATGCGGCCAAGCCTGTAGTGCCCGGCTGGGCAATCGTGGGGCGCGTGGGCGGTTTGCGCGATGGCCAGATACGAGCCCGGTTTTTTCCCCAGGGAGGGTCCGACCAAGTTACTGCCCAGGTGGGCAGTCTCCAAGTGGACCTGGGGTTGAGCCATGAGAACCTACCAACTCTTTTTGCTGGGGCCAGAGTGGGCACTGGGCCCAACCATGGGGAAGCGTACCTAGTAGCCCGCGCTCTCGGTTCCAATTGGAAATGAATGACGCTGCAAGAGTGCAGGCGGGGAGGCCTGTAGCGAGTTGAATGCATCTGCATCGGCGCCTTGGTCGCGTTCCAGACGGCCCGCTAGAGGCCATGTGATTTTCCAGCAAGCACTTGCATCATCGTGGCAATGCCTTCAGCACCATTCAGTTATGTTGTCTGTCCACTGGATCTCAAGCCGGCGTGCGAATCCAAGATACGCGCTCATGGTGTTGTCCCGGCTTAATTATAATGCTTTATCAAAAACTTCTCAAGCATTTGATTAGACCACGAAGGAATGCCGGCAGTTTGGTACGGGGCCTAATAAGCGCATGCACGGGCGGCCAGGTCTGAAATCATCATGCCCAAGTCACATGACACGGTAGACCGTGAGCTCATTAGACATTTAGGCCAAGGGCTGATACACAGCCAGCTCACAGATATGTGGATGATCGGGATATATGATCCCGGTTTGAATTACCTTTCAGTCGTCGGCAAGCGCGTGTATCTATTCCTCTTTCTTCGTCAAGAAATAGTTTTGCACTTTGAGGGCTCCGCCTCACTCGTGTGCAATAGAGCTGGCACGAAGAGCCTGCGCCACCCGCCTTACGTCTTTTGCCAATATTTTTCGGGTCCTTCAATGGCGTCCAAGGAAAATGGATGTAGTGTTCGTGACAACTTGCTTTGCCTGTGCAGTCGGTGTGATTCGTCTATGACAACAAGCAACTATGCGACTACTAGAAACCCATCTCGACGGCATTCCTCGCCTGACAAAGGAGCTCAACAGCAATATACCCCCTTATGCTATTCTTTCACATACCTGGGGAGAAGATGAGGACGAGGTCAGCCTGAATGACGTTCGGAACGGCACTGGAGCACAGAAATTAGGATACCATAAGATCCGGTTCTGCAGCAGGCAGGCCGCGTCAGACGGGCTGAAGTACTTCTGGGTGACACTTGCTGCACAATAGATCCGATTACACAGGACTCTTCGAGGCCATCAATTCCATGTTTCATTGGTATCAGAAGTCCGCCAAGTGCTACGTATATCTTGCGGATGTGCCAAGTAGAGATCACGCCCAGGGTTACATCTCTACAACACCATGGGATGCGGCATTTCTGAAAAGCAGGTGGTTCACTAGGGGTTGGACGTTCCAGGAGCTATTAGCGCCTGCGTCGGTGGAATTCTTCTTGTCTGACCACCAGAGGCTCGGCGACAGGAGTTCACTTGCCTACCAAGTTCACGGAGTTACTAGAATCCCGTTCCAGGCGCTTGCTGGGGCATCGCTCTCAGACTTCACGGAGCAAAACGGTACGACTGCGAGAATTGGAAGAAATGCGACGAGTTCGGTTTTAGTGTCGGTGAAGCAAAAAATGAGAACAGGTATTATCAAGTAGAGCACATCTGGGAATTAAAGGTGTTGATGCAGTTCTTTGACCAGGAGTTTATGGAGCCGAATCCCAGCCCGGCAAAATTGACAACGAAGGGATGCTTCACGCATAAGCAGAACCCGGTTGACACCCAGGCGGACATAAAAAAAAACAATCATTGTCACTACATAAAGTGGCATTGGGAAAAAATGCCTAGCTCAAATAGCCCTCTTCCTAGGATAGATGATACTGCGCCTCTGGATTGGGGTAGCAAAGGCTTGGCCTGGGGAAACGGAGGAGAGCAACATATAAGTTGCAGTCCCCATCTATTGGTCCCTCAATGGCAACTGATTGCGACCTTTTTTTTTTTTCAATTTTATAGAGGCGAGCTCGTTTGGTTGGAAAGTGCAATCAATGGCGTCAAGGAATGGGTGAGCCGAAACCTGCTCAAGATTAACCTTGATTCTGCATCTCTAACATGTTCTTACCAGGCGTTCTCTGACAAAAGTAGCATTATAGGGAAGGAGAAGGTAAACAAGTATTTGAAGTCAGTCAAGGAAAACCCGAGGGCATTGGAGGGAATCACAGCTACAATAAGACAAGTCATATTGGTGTCTAAATATATAGACAAGAAAGCGATTCGGAAGATCTACAAGGATCAAGCCACCAGGATAGGCGACCGACTCCCGAAAGCTGAGGAACATCTCGTGGACTTTTGGAAGGACAAACCTGCGCCTAGTACACCTTACGTTGCCCAAGGTCTGAAGGACAAATGGATTGCCCACATAAAAAAACAGACAGATGGTGCACGAGACAGGCTCGCAGATGTCTGCAAGAAGTGGTCTGGGCGTGCAGGAGGCGGTTGATTCGTACGAGGAGAAAAAGAACAAGGGAGCAAAGTTCTCCAAGGAGGAGCACGATCTAGTAAAGAGTTTGCAGGATTCCATCAAAGCTGCTAAAGCCTTTAAAAGCTTCAGAAACCCCATGGATGAAGCAGTGGGAGGCGAGGACGAAACAGATAGCTGGACCGAAACAGAGTGGGAGACTGGAGCAGAGACACAATCCTAGAGAGAGGGGAACGCGGTGAGGGTTGTAGATTAGATTCATTCATCACCTTGGTTGCATGCTAGCTTGATTACATATCTGCCTGTGGACGCTGTGGCGGCTACACTTGACCTCCTTGTGCTTGCTGTTTGTTGCTAGTCAGCGCGACAGAGAAGTCGACGTGTGATACTTTTGGGGTTTCTAGATTGGTCGAATGTGCAGAGAAGGAAGAAATCCGTGAATCTGACTCTGCTAGAAAGAGCATGACTGGTGCCGTGGAGGTAGTTGACAGATGCCGTGAAGGCTGGGCTGGAGCCGGCCAGAGAGTGGCAGGGGTCTAGGTGTGACTTAGTGGGCTGGCGGGGCACAGCCTCCTCCCACTGCACGTAACGCCCAACTTCAGGTTGCCTAGGTACGCAGCAACCAAGAAGTCACAAGCGAGCCAACATAAATTGGTTAGTGGGTTGCTTCCTTCTTTCTTGCCTTGAATACGAACCAGCGTCCGCTTGATCGCCTGTGCTGTGCCGTTGAAGCCATTCACGACGCCATCATGGATAAGCTCAGCAATGAGTTGCTCGCACTTATCGTCGACCAGCTGGAGCTTCAGGGCCGCATTGGTGCGTACGCCGCTATCTCTCCCGCATGGCAGAGCAATATCGAGAAACGTACCTTTGCGCGTATCCGGCTGCAAAGCACATCGTTGGCGCAATTCAGCGATATCTTCTCCCGATGTCCTCCACGACGTGTGCTTATGCGGGAGCTGGATTTCTCAGTTGTTCTTCACGAACCCGGCCGCAAGCGCCCCGAACGCATAAGAAACCAGATCATGTTCCGAGCTGCTGTCACGTCTTTGCTGGCCGTACTCAAGCAATGGGACGACGAGGAGGAAGCGGCTGGTAACATGCCGGTTTCGTTGTATCTCATCCTCCAGCCCTCGCCCGTCGTTCTTGATGCTACCGCCTGCTCTACAGACCTCCCGGTGCCAGACGAGCTCAAGTCAGATCCTTGGCTAGCCCACCGGTACCTGGCTCTTTCACCAGAGTCAAATCTCAACTTATACTCCCCTATACGGCGCGTTAAGAGATATTTAGTATATGACGGTGAACCGTGTCATATACACCCGGCCACCATGTGCCAGACTGCTGGTCTGTTCACGCGGCTGGAGCAATTGGAGCTTAAGTGGTGGGACCCAGACTTAAGATACAGCACCAGTAAGTTGAACGGATGCATACCGTATTCTGCCGAGCCATGCACTTGCCCACCTCACGTATAATTAATAATCAAAATTTTCGCAGCACGCATTGAACAACGGAATGCACTAGCTCGCAGTCTTAGGTCGTTATGTGGAGCGCTGCCATACCTAACTGACCTATTCATTAGCAGTTTTGCCCGCCACGAGCCTAATAACCACAGCTTTCAACACTCAGATCTTACCGACGAGGACGGGGTCGACCAGCTCTGCGCTGCAATACGGCGACTGGCCCAGCCTACTGTCGTAAGCCTGACTTTGGAAAATTTCCTTATTTCCTCAGATCTGTTCGAGGATCGTATAAACAACTGCCCAACCGATACCTCAGATACATGGCATGCCCTCGAGTCGTTATGGATCAGTGGCTCACCCGTCGCGCCAAATGGGCACTGGTACTTTACTGGCGACCCCTTGCGGTACTCGCCGGATTATGAGGCATCCAGTCCCATCTCCGATAGCGACAATGAAATAGATACAGAATCGGAGGCAAGCGACGAGTGCGATAACCAGCATGACAAATATCGTCAGGAAAACGGTAGGCTTCCGTTTCATCAGTGGCGTCTTCAAGTAGATTCAGACACAATGGATCCGCTACTACACAGCTACACGGATGCGATTCTACACCGTATGCCACATCTAAATAGCGCCTCCCTGTATATGGGAGAAAGCTCCGGGAGTATCACGTTAATAGTTGGGTGTGATAGCAAAGGTCACCCTACAAAACCCGATAAACGGTGGTGGGACATATTTGTCTATGCAGTCGGCCAGTGGCTAGTGCCGGGTAGCCTGTTTGAGAAGTGGGAGGAGTGGGCAGGGGAGAAGGGAATGGTACACATGCGGATATGCGATGCAAGTGACAGCTGGTAGTTTATTTGCCAGTCTTGAGTGCTGGTGGTATTTCACCTCGACTTGATCGCGCGAGGAAACTACATAAATGATCCAATATTGTTATATCTGAACCTACAAACGGAAGATGGACCACGGCTTTCTAAAAGACGAGCGCTTCTAGATTCCTTGCTGCCTGCGCTGCCCGTAGGACAGTAATGGATCATTTCGTATTCTTAGGGGACTAAATAATAATGGCTAATAAACGATATGGAAAAGAACTTAGTTGTGACTAATACAAGTAGTATAAAAAGTATCAAGAGGCTCGGATTATGTCCCATTTCAGCAGCTTTCAGGCCTGGTTCAGATGTTACAGGCTCTATGGTTGAGCTAAGGAGCTTCAACCACAGCTCAGGTCACATCGCCGAGAGCTCAAGTTCGAAAGCGGAAGCGGAGTTTGGTGAGAGAACCCTTTGAGTCAGACTCTGACGCAAGTCCCAATGTTTCACTGCAGGGGCTTCGTGGCTAGGTTTTGTCATCAACCCGTTAGTTCTGAGTGCGTCGTCGGATATTGTCACGATATAGGAGATATATAGAGGAGCGGAACAACGTTAATCCGGGGGATCACCCCCTATATAGCAGGCTCATCAGCCCATTTCTTTTGTAGCTCCTCAAAGATCAACTCAAGTCAATTCCCATGCTCTCGCGCGCGTTTTAGTGTGACAGGTATCGAAGGTCCACCGTGCTGACCAGGCATGATATTGATGGCGAAGTTGATCTTCGGTAAATCTAGCGCCATTGGAAGATGCGATGTGATGCTCTAATATCGCGGCTGCGACGCCACTGCCCACAGTTGACCTCGGTGCAGTATTGAAGTGGTGAGGAGTTGCACCATGTTTTGTTAGCATCTGCCTCGGTCTGGATCGAAGCCGTGGAACATAGGACTTATACCCGCAGCATTGAGTTTGCGAAAGCTTTCTACAAGTCAACGCTGGAAGCTTAATGGCTCTCCAGAGACCCACGCTCTATACCTACTCACTTCATGCTGCTTAAGAGACAGAAACAACCACATATGCACTATGCTGCTGAGACTAAGAGTATCATTAAACCACTTTTAAACGCGTTGTCTCAGTCATCATAATATACGGAGAAAATGAAATATTAAGACTCCAACTGACTTATATCCTTCTATCTTTCACAGATCACATAAATTGTTGACGTTGATTGGCGACCTCTAAGCCTCGGCTTTCCGCCAGGCAGACATGATAACAGGCACTACGTTGACTATGACGAGGCTTTTGCCCAATTGGGCCCAGCTGACGCCTCCAGAACGTGGTACTAAGGCGGGTGGTCAGCCAAACCAAACTGAGTGGCGCAGTCTTGGTCAATTTGCGGGTCAAGGCAGAAGAAGTCATGGTTGTACTCGAACTGAGTTCAGTGCCGGACTTTGTGTCTCTATTGGTACATTCACCAAGATTCGCGATTGGTCAAAGCATCGTTCCTAGAATTTGGAATTAAAAGAAAACGATATTTCGACGTATAACAGACTAAGCATGTCAGCCCCAGCTCTGCATCTGCGCCGCACTTCGTGCTGATGTGAAATTTAGTGGACTCGGCCAATCTTATCTAGCTCTTAAGTGCTAAAGTATTTGGAATTAGGAGTTTTTCGGAGTATTCGGAGTTTCCGGCAAATTAGACATGAACTTATGGGTCAGTGTATACGTGTTCGAGGCATTATAGCCTCGCTGTCTCATGAATCGCCTCTAGTCATCGCCGACTACCGCATGTAGGTGATTTGGAATTCATAAAGTTCCCGGAACTAGAGGGACTACTATGAAGAATACTAGCCAAGTATATAAACCCTCGAAGGCCATGTCGAGTGTGCGCGCCTCAACAGCTGGACATCAGAAGCACCTTTAAACAATTAGACCATCAATCAAAAAGCTGTCTACCACTAAAGCTCAGTCGCAACAATGTCTATAAATCGAATTACTCTTCTCTCGACAGCTATCATGTCTCTGTGTTCTTTCACAATGGCTGCGCCCCATCGCAGAGATAATAGCTCTACACCAGGTCTTAGCTTGACTGCCCAACTGCAACTCGCTGATACGTAAGTTTTCAAATTCAGTATCAGCGCAATAGCTGACCGGCTACATAGTGCTATTCAACGCTATTCCCTACTTGCCGATGATAAAGACTTCGTATATTCTTTCGGAGATGATAAAGCTCGTCTTGCCGACCGCCAGACATTTCCCCCACTCGTGGGCACTGGAGGGGCTATGGCCGTCGGTGATCTTCCAGGTGAGAAGGACCACCACATTGTTTACTGATTATCGCCATCTGATCTCTTCACAGCTTGTAGTATGACTTTCGTCCATCTCCATCCCCGCTCTGCCGAGCTTTTCACTGTAATCTCTGGCCGCATCCTGACAGAGATGGTGCCCGAAACCGATGTCCTTGATGCCTCCGGGAAGCAACGAGTCATTCGCACAGAACTTGGACCGAAGCAGATGACTGTGTTTCCAATGGGATCATTCCATACGCAGCTGAACCCAGACTGTGAACCAGCATCTGCGGTCGCAGCATTTACTTCTGAGGATATGGGTGCGAGCGCCATTGCCAGCCAGTTATTCTCCCTAAGCGACAGTGTCGTTGAAAACACTTTTGGGCAAAGCATTGCTGGTGAGGATATTGACAAAGTGCGGGACGCTATCCCAAAAACGGTGGCTTTCAAGGTCGAGGAGTGTCTGGCAAAGTGTGGCCTCCAGAAGAGGGCTGTGTGAGACACCCTCTCGCGATAACATTCATCGTCCAGTCCCAATGAGATATCAGTGCTCGTGGAGGCCTCTTGTCAATCATCTGCTGAAGCTCCAGGAACAAATCCGCCATTCAGCTCTATTTCAATTCTTGCCCAAACATATTGGGCCCAAGTTTGGAGACTTGCCCTTTCCTATCGCAGTCTCGTCACATTCGTTCAAACATAGTTAGCAATTGATTGTATTCTCTAGCGATAGTGAATTTAAAAGGCTGTGCTAAGAACCGACGTAAAACAATTCATTTGATGAATGATAGTGAAAGCAATTATGACACGCAACTAAATGCTCACTACGGGGCTATCTGGATCATATTATACGAGATGAATCAACTGCTTCCCCATTCCAATGGTCTCAACTTCACAATCCATGAAACCGTCAACATATGCCTCTCCAGCTAACTGAAACACCTCATACGGCACTCGCGGCTCAGCCGCAGACTTCTCATCAGTACTATTGACTCCAATATCCTTCTGAGAGGAAGGTTTATCTTGCGGCCACCTCCATCCATCTTTCCTCAAGATATACGGTGCGGCAAAACCGTCAAACACAGCCACTCCACAACCTGGAGCTATTCCCACAGGGCCCAACCCCACAAACCCTTTTTGGGTGATGAAGATACGCTTGTCTACCCAACGAAGCAGTGATTCGACGTAGGGCCGGCATTCAATAGGAAATGGTACAGGAGAAGTACCGCTATCGTCCGCTGTGAAACTTAATTTGCTTGCCTCAAGTGTTTGCAATGTAAGTGCGTGGAGGTGTGGTGTCACGGGATCACTACGCACCAGCCTCCCATTCACCACCAGCTGATCGGCACAAGGGACACGCCAGGAGGCATCCCTTGTGGGTGGAGGATGGGTTGGCGCTTGTGTGATTGTCAATGTGCCTAGTGGTTCAGCCTTGACCGAACTATCTTTTCTTGACCTCAATGCTTCGGCCTTTGAACAGAACATATTGGCCTCCTGCAGAAATGACAGGATGTCCGTATATGAGGCAAAACGTGTAGTCGTGGTCTGGGCCGTGTTGCTGGAGAAGATGATATTGCCAGCTTGTGGTAAATCGTGTATTTTCTTTGGATCGACCACACCAGGGCGCCAAATGCTGCCGACAGAGGATATGGTGTCAATTATAGTACCAGAGAGCGTCAATACATCCTCTTCGGACTTTTGCGGCGGGAACTCGAAATCTAAAGCTCCTCCGGCGTTGAACTTGGGCAACCATGATTTCGCTTGATGTTGGCTACAAAGACTCTCTCGGATAGTCGAAGAATAATCAGGCACCCAGGTCGGCATCCAAATCATATCTCGTCCAAGTTGCGCCCAAGACAGAATATCTGTGAAGCCGCCGCGCAGGATCAATGTACGCGTCACATCCTTGAATACCGTGTCGGTCAAGCTCACATAATCTGGGGTTATGTACTCTCGCTCTTGGCTTGTGGCAAAACCTAAGAGCCCGAATATCATGTCTGGTGCATTCGAAGCAACGCATCCCCAGGGGCGATCCTTGACGCAGAAGTTGGTCATAGCAAGACGTAATGACATGACCGCTGGGCCATACATGGTGGTATATAGCAGCATCTGGTGCATCTCAGGACATGCTGGGTTCGTAACAGCGAAACGACGCAGCGCGAGGCGCGATGCTGTCAATGATTGCGCCGAAGACTCGCATGCAACGACATGCTGTTGAAATGTCTCCAGGAGAAGCACGCCCCCGGTTATGAGTCGTAAGGGAAAGCGACGTTCTAAGTTGCAGACAAAACGAAGATCCTTGGCAAGGTGAACCTCTTGGAGAACCCACATACGCCGCCAGTACTCGAGCTTTGAGAATTGATAATAGTCCCTCATAAAATAGTTGATCAGGTTAATCTGATCATCCACACAAGAATCGAACATCTTGGTCAGGCTGGGCAGGCAGCTCGCCATTATGTCGTGGAGAGGTGGCGCGTTACCATCTCGCTGCTGGGATATATCCCTGGCAAGCTGCCAAAACAAAACCCCAAGAGTTTCGAGGAACGACAACATCTTTTCGCAGCGAGACGCGCCATAGTCACTGAATGGGCCCAACCAAGCGTAGACGCGGGCCGCGCTGGAAAAGATCTGACCCATATGCGGCACGACCTGTTCCTTTTCTGCATTATTAGACTGGTCTATACAGATGGCATCGACCCATATATAGTCGCAGGCTTCTTCACTGTTCCCACCGGATATAGAAGATGCCACGTCTCGGAGCGCCAATGACAGATTACGATGTATTGTCCTTTTGACGTCATTTACAATGATGCATTCATCGATGCTCAGGTTCGCCGGACCCCAGACGTAGGAGAGCGCAACATAAGCAGGCGACTCATTGCAGGTGAACTCTTGGAGACAATAACGGACGGTTGACTCGTCTTCGCAAGTTGCCCCAGTGGCTGTCGTTGTAGTGATCGGTTTTAGAAGGCGAATAGTTTCCAGTCTTTGAACCTTTCCCGCCAACTCATAAGCTGTATTTCTCACGCGAGTGAAGTCACCCTGGTTGAAATTGCCGTACAATCCAGACGATGGATCGTAATGTGGCATTTCAGGAACCCAAGATTTCTGTTCAGTACTGTCTTCGAACAGAGAAAGATCAATGGCGTCGTGCTCCATGGCTTCTTTTGGTGAACTGGAGAAGGACACACGTCAAGCGACAGCTTTTGCTTGATCCGTTGCTGCGATCCTTATGGGGTGCGATGTGTGATGTATTAACGAAAGATGGAGAATACTACAACCTGTGGCACGGAACTAGCTTATGTCCTTGTCGACTTCGCAGCTGCTGGCAGCTGCCTCCACGGTCGGAGCTGGCGCATCCAGCGGGCATACCCGTTCTACCAAAACGTGTCACCCGTCTTATTGTGTTCTATTTCCAACGTTTCCATGGGGACCTAAGGTTTCCATCGAGAGGTCAGATATTATGTACTATAAGATGCAGCAAAATGTTGGAGATGGTCTCATCTGTATTGTGCTCCGTCACGGTTTACGCGACCCCACTTTTGATATATGGGGGTGTGCGTGCACTAGTCCTAGCCTAGAGTAGAGTAGCTTCCCGGCGCTGTTGAGGAAACACGGGCAGAATTTGGCATCATCGACACGAACTGTCATCCGTCTGCATTCAGACCTTGCGCCGATAAAGAGCAAGAATTATGTTAATGCTTACAATTGTGATATATAGCTAAACCACAGCAATTGTGATTATATCAAGCCACAAATCTACCGTACCGCAAGACTGCGCTTCCAATCCAAAGGAGGAATAACCAAAAAGAAGACTAAGTCGATCAAAAAAGCAGCTCGACTGAAGGCGAACAAATTGATTTTTTGGAGAGACTTCGCCTTGGTAAGCAGTGATGACAGATGTGAAGGGACCGCAGCTGATAAACACCGAACGGCAGCCAAGACTGCCTTCGACATAAGCCTGATCTACCTGCACTACTGCAGACAAGGTATAGGCATCGTTTTGTCGTATGTGATTGGAGGTTTCAACTCTTTGGAGCACTGAGATATTTGTGCTTAGCTGTGACAAGTTTGAACACACTTGTAAGGAATTCAGTCCAGAAAATACTCGATCTTGCGCCACTATAGCACGGACAGGCCTGGGCGAGGCGACGACAACCCACGGTTCGTAGTTGGTATTCGAGTTCTCGAAACCTCCATTAATAGCGGTCGGTGAATAGGTGGCTTCGCTGGTTATGCTACTTGTGGAAGAACTCGAAATGGTTGTCGCTGAGGACGAACTGAGTGCCAATACTTTTATCATATGACTGATACAAGAGCCTTGGGGGCCTCAGTACTCACTTGTGACAATGCCCCACCTCGATTCGAATGGAGATAAGTTAGGAATGTGTATTTAGATATGTAGATCTCGCAGCCAGCTGCGAGGGCTCTAGGGTCCATCGCCTTTCACATTATTTTTCACATGTTTAAATCAGAGAAAGATCGAATCTAAAAGTAGTTTATCGATTAAATATAGCTAAACCAGCCTCGCCGGACGATTGACTAGCCTTTATTTAAATCCAGGGCCAACATTAGGCAGGGAGAAGGTATTTTTGCAATGCATGTTGGTGCTGGTAGCTCCCTGTCTTGTGCAGATAGGTGGCTTGCAGGGTGCTGTGTGGCAGTTGCCGGCCACCCCACCTTATCATCACTCTTTGCGTTTCGTTTGTGTGCGCCCGAATCCCTACTACAGTGTAAGGTGCCGCCAGGGCATACGCAGATGGGAGTGGTTGCGCTTGAAATGTAACGATTGAGCGATCTGGCCAACCCGCTTTTGCTCAGGCCACCACATCCATCCCTTACTTGTTCAAATGAGCACAATCCCAACGCGTGATGAGAGTCTTCGGTCGGGCATACGTTACTGAGTAATCTTTACTGTGATGCTTTGAATGATTGAAGGAATAGCACATGTGAATCCCAGTCTTTTCCGTGGGAACAAGGGATGGCCAAGTATAGCATGTAGACGAGATCTACGTCTGATCAGCTTCTGGTTTACGGACAGTTACTCGTCGATGGAATGGGATCAGGTCTGATTGAGCGTACAAGGCAAAAAGCGAAAGTCCAGCTATTTTCTGTAGGTTCAAGTTGGCCTATTACATGTTATTGACCATTACTCCGAAGTAAGCTTGACAACCGCACCCACAGCCTCCTTGGTGGCTGTGAGGTTAGGGTAATGACCCGTATCAATCTCAGCTGTTCGAACTGATTTGCCTTTCTTCTCGAGATATTCTACCATATTTCTCTGATAATCTATGGGCACAGTAAGGTCGCCGAGGGTATAGATGAATGAGATGCTCAGGTCGTCACGCCATGCGGGGGTGTTCTAGATAGGAAGATACATGCACTTTCCGTTCCAGCGACCGAGGGAATCAATGTATGCCTTCAGCTCCTCCGGATCGAGTTGGTCAGCATAAGGCTCGCCGACTAATCCCTCCTTAGGATAGTTGGCTACACAGCTTTGGTCCTCATCGAAGCCATATGCGATAGGCATCTTATGCATGTGGCCAAATTCGTCCACCTTGTCTACCATGCTCTTGCCTTTTTGGAAGCGCAAATGACGCCATGTATATCAAGTGAGATACGCCCCCAGACAGGCCTTTGGCTGCACGCGCCTTCTTGCTCAGCCCGTATAGGGCATTGGTGCCAACCTGACCGCCATAGCTATGTAATAGCACAGTGACGAGCCGACCCGCTTCAACCAGACTCTCTGCGTAAGAGCGAATGTTGTCCGAATCGGAAGCGAGCTCAGCTTTGGGTGGTCGTGTCTGGTTCATGGAAGGATGCCTTGGGATGTGCACCTCGAAGCCAGCATCGCGAAGAGCAGCAGTGAGCTTACTATAGCTTCCGGGAACATGCCAGCCACCATGGACAGAGGGTAGGCTTATCAGTCGTTGCCATTGCGAGTGAAATTGGGTATTCGGCTAGTTCTGAAGGATTCAAGTATGAGAATCTATGAGTAGGAGACGGATTAGAACCGAAATCAAGTGCAGAGTTCTTGCCTGGGAACATGCATGGCTGAGAAAAGATTCACTTTAAAGGGATAAGTATTGGGGTATTGTGTGAGCAGAACTACTCTCCGAAAGTCTCCTGTCACAACCGACTTGAGCCAACAGCGTAGGCAAGCGAGTCGGACCGCCATGGTACGATGGTAACTTGAATGAGCCCTACCCTCCAACAGCAACCTTGAGCAGCACAACGAGGCAGAAGGCTGTCAGCTGTCAAAGATACCCCCAGAGACGCCCGCCTCGTCTCCGTGATCCAGCACGTTGTCTGGGTTACAGTCGTCGGAGCTGAACCACACGACCTGGAAGCTGTCGTCGACGGGGCCTGTGCTGCCGACCTGCACACAACTCGGCGCGGTCTCAAGGTTGTACTAGTCTTGACACAGTCGCCCGGACCCGTGATGAGCTCGGGGTTGTTGCCCTCGCATTGCAGGCTGGCGTGTGAGCCCAGTCCCACGGCTGCCCTCCTTTCGAAGAATTTAAGCTTATACCCACAGGTGAGCGAGGCACACAACATAAGCGGTGCGAAAAGATTAACGGCGGAACGCATCTGGGAGAGTATCCTGTTGATGGAGAAAAGAGCTTCCAATAAAGATCATTGACTCGAGGGAGTGGTTTTACGTCAAATATGGAGTGGCACCCTACTTATCGATGGATCTATCACGCATGCTGCTCTGTTATCATATCAGCCACCCAACATGCCGAGATATCGGGCTATCGTGAATCTGAGCTCATAGCTGGACTACTGTGAACATAGTACAGTGCTTAGACACACGGGAGGGTGTTCATCGCGTCACGAGGCTGAGTCGCCTTGTTTGCTTTCCAACGAGAATCCTTACAGGATGCTAAATTATTGAGCACCGCCACCTTAAAACACAGCCATATGTGATATGCAGATAGGCGGAAGACTGTGGCACAGGACGTATGGAGGCCTTATTAGATCTTTTCAATTCATCCACGTGGGCCGACGAGCGCATCCGTAGAGGAATATTCAATCATCTCCAAGCCGTTAGCTAAGTCATACTTCTATGATGTTAATCTGGCTTCCTTAAACTCGCGAGATTAAAGATTTATCAGCGAGGCTAAGCCGGGAGTTGTGAGACGACTTCGAGGGTTCGGTAACGGCTTGAAGCAGCTCACGCGCCAATTTTCGCCCTCCGAACAAGGAGGTTCCTTGCTCCAGATAATAGCGCCAGGTAAATGTGGTCTACAACAGGGGGAAGCATAGGTCAGGGGTTGGCCTATGTTGGGAGTTGGTCCTGGAGGATAGGATACGCGTGTTGGCCGGAGCCGTGGCTGAAACGCCCTGGGCGAGGCAGACCCCAATTCGGGCCAGGTTCTTTATGAGATGAAGTTGCGCGGAACAGCGGCTAGCCGATTATAGATTTCAGAAGTGACAACGCCTTTACGCAGAGTCGTACATGCCTGTGCTTCTCTTCTAATCCGATTCGCGCATACCCCTGTCGTTATCCCGCGGCTCAGGCTGGCGGATTCCTACGCGGCGCAGTGAGATTTTAACCAACTGACTTTCCCTGGTGCCCCAACAAGCGTCGTGTTTCCTCTTACCGGTCAAGGTTCGCCAGATTGATGCTTAGTGCATGCAACGTGACTTACTCCTATCCACATCATGCCACCAGCCAGTGGCTTCCTCTGGGAGAGATCCATCCCCAGGCGGAAAATGTATTTTCGAAGCTAAAGGCAATACTTGTGCGTGGAAACATGACTCTAAGTTTCGATACATATCTAACTAACTATATCTCCGAATAAGACGGTCCGAAGACCACGGAAAGGTCAGAAACGACATCATCCAACAAGGATTAAGTAAGCTCGATGCGGGAAACCCCCCACTTAACAATGCACATTTGACTAGCGGCTTCTTGCATGAACTTCAATATACGTAAGGCTGCTGATTCATCTGACGTGGTACGAGTGTTCGTCGGGCCGCAAGCCGATGCGTGGCGCCTCTCACCTCAGACCGAGTTCCTGTGCCTCTCTCACCGACGTCTCTTGGTGGTCCAGGCATAGAGCCACATTTTGCCTTGGCCATATCTTGAGCCTGATGTATGCTGCAACTTCAGATCTATGATGAGGCTCATCTCAGCCTCCGATTTCTCTAATAGTTCACAGATCGAATTGGATCAAGTGTCTTGACATGATACGAGCATGCACATGAGTGCAGCTCCGAGGTGCCGGCTCTTGCGGATGTTTTTAATGGTATTGAGGAGGGGAAACACCCAGTTGAAATGAATACTCCTTCATGCCAAGAAGATTTATGGAAGATCTGACTGTGCGACGTCGATTTCTTGTGCAGCCAACCTCGTATCACCATCCTACTGGCCCCCAGCTCTTGATAATGTGGATAGGATACTAACCCTTGACAAGCACATCAAATCCAAGAGCAGAAGGCTTACAGGGCATGAACGCCTCTCAGTAAAGCTGCATTTAGGACTTCAGCCAGACCACTTTGTTGGGATCTTGATGAGCAAGCTGGCTGTCGAAATAATTATAAAAGGGCAGTAACTGCACCTTCTCTTCCTCTACATTAGCCTGCAGCATCATCCAGCAGATTACTTCCCACTTCCCTTCACATCTTTGAACAAGAAAACCAGTCAAATCACACAAGACCTACAATGCAGTTTGCCACCAGCCTCCTTTCCCTCTTCGCCCTTGCGTCCAGCGTGCGCGCTGCTCCTAGCCAGACTGTAGAGGAGCGTCAGAACGGCGCCCGTATCTACGCCAAGTTCTTCAGCGACAACGCCTGCCTGGGCACCTGGGTCGAGGACACTGTCTGGCTTCAGGAAGCTGCTGGCGGCTGCATCGATGTCAACATTCCGTTTGCCTACAACAGCACTTTGATTGCTGACAACCTTGCTACCCGTGCTCGTAAGTTCTATGGCGTTTAAGGTCACCATTGGGGCGAACTCTGAACTAATCAATCCCCTTTTCGGCGCCTTAGTTCGTGCGTACAGTGTCGATGGATGCAACGAGAACGCTGGCAACTGGTTCGACGTCCCCGCTGGCATTCAGCAATGCTACAAGCAGCACATTGAGTCTGTCAAGTTCTTGTAAAGTCGACCAATAGAACTAAATCGAAGATCCAAGTCAAATTTTGACGGCTTGGGTATCATAGACTGAGGTTGCAGAAGGCTGCCAGAGGGGCACAAGAAATTTCATCTTCTAGTACATTATTGCCATGAGTGGCTTTTCCTGTTTGGTAGCTTTTGAATGATATAAAATAAAATTCTTCCCGGGATCATTCGATTTCGTTTTCCAGTCGCGAGGTCACGGGGAAGAAGTTTGTGTCCGGCAGCCGAAGTGCTACGTGGGTGCACACATGGGCGTCGGCAGTCCGCCAGTGTTTAGAGAGTTTGTTCGGCACCATCTATATCCAAACTAAAACGAAAATGAGGTGTGAATTTCTCTTCAATGATTACTCATCTCTTGTTTCATCATCCCTGATAGCATTGACCTGGGGGAGTATGCTTAAAGACAGCTTAGGGAAGCACATCCATATGCACAGCGTCGCAACGAGTTGCGCAATGATGATGTACTGAAAAGACCCAATGCCCAGTCCATCCGCGATGACGCCTAGTGCGAAAGGGAGTAGCGCGCCACCCACTTCGCCTACTGACGCCACAAATGACACAGCATCGACATGTAAGTGTTGCGGCAGAAGACGTGTGACCATTATGACCCCTGACGGAAACAGTGGACCTAGAAGAACCCCGATCATGGTAATAAGAACAGCAGACACAGCGGGTACGTCAATAACGGCAAACAGTACCTGAAAGATGGCTGCTAGCAGTAAATAGACGATGACTGCTCGCCGAACACCATGCTTCTCTGTTACAACACCAAGCCCAAGTCGTCCGACAACCATGCCGATATTGAAGAGAGATGAGCATATGCTTGCGAGATACGGGGAAGTTCCACGGACTCTGATCATGAATACGACAATCCAGCCAGTTATCGAATCTGATATTCTAGATGAGCTAGGCCCACAACAGCTTGAAGATTGCTTACTCACTTTCAATTCCAACATATGCCAGGAAATATGCAGCACAGACCCATGTGGCTATATGCTTGAACATGTCCCAAGGACTCTTCTTACTTGAGCTATCACTGCTCTCCGGTGTTTTATATTTCTCCGCGTGGTACTTGTCGGCATCTTGAGACCAGAAGGCAAGTGCAGAGGTAACAAGGGTAGTGAGGCAGAAGGCGGACTGGACTCGGTTAGCGTTGAAAGTAGAAAGAGACTCAACAACTCACGAGCATGTAGTACCATGACCACCACGGTTTCCCCCCTACGGACAGCATAGTACCAGCCATGAAAGGCCCCAGACTTGCGCCAACAGAGTAAGAACCATGGAGGAATCCTTGGATCACATTTGCGTTCTTCGCCATACCCCCTGCCCAGGCGCACCAAGATCCATCGAGCAGGCCTGTGCCGAAACCGCCAATCACCGAGAAAAGCAGAAAGATGCTATACCGCGGGTGGAAAGACACAGAGGAAACAAAAAGGAGCTGAGATGCGGGCCCGATAACTGCAACACCTCGTTGGCCAAACTGTAGGTGAATGATGCTGTTCACGTAAGCTGCTAGGAAATAACCAAGCGGCGTCATCAGGAAGGTGAGCGAAACTAGGGTATCGCTCAACCCGTAGAAGTCTTCAAGCTATTTTGAATATGAGTATGGCACTATATGGGGGGTATGCAGGGTTACATGCATGCGGTATGAGAACCTGAAAGTCAATTAGTCTTCGGGCTGTAGTGAGAATGCCAGACTTACCCCAACGGTAGATTGTATGAGGCCCATAACGAAGAATGAGAACATGGCGGCTGCTATCCGTACTTCAAGGGCTCTTGATCTCTTATCGTGGGTATGTGCGGAGAATAGGGAAGTTGGTTGTCTGCTCGAATCACCCAACAATGATGCTTCTGCGGTGGCCCCGAGCACGTTGGGTTCTTCTTCTGGGCTGACGCCATTGCTGAGAAGCGGCTCGTCTTCGGAGGACGAGCCGTCCAGGGAGCGACGCCGCGCAGAAGGCTGTGGTTGCGGCATCATCACAAGTCCATCGGGATCAAGCTTCGTGCGTTAGGAGCCGCATCGTGTCAAGAGCAAGATGTCAACGGCCCTGGGCGTGGGAAGATGGCCGTTCCCGAGGGGCCTCTTGTGATTGGGGAACGGCCGCTAAGGTGGGTCTCAGATGGCCCCAGTCCAAGCCGCCAGCTGAGCTGCCCATGATGACCAGGACAGTGTCAAACATGAGCACGATCTCCTTTCCGCACCGTAGCCACTGTCTGAGCGCTTGCAATGCTGTAACCTACCCAAAGTGACAGTAATAAGTCGTAAAGGACTAGGACGTGAGCATTTGTCGTCTCGGCCATAAAGCAACTACCGTCACAGAAATATCCAAGTAACGCTCACCGCACCAGTTTGCGTGAGATTCCCTGGGAAGCATCTCTCAGAAAGTCGCGTGGTGGTGTTCAGCTTATGCCCCACTTTCAACACCCCTAAGCGTTTCAGGAACTGTGCGGCTGGCACTCAGGATCAATGTTGCAGACAGAAAGGTTGGTTGGTAGTGTTTTACCAAACTGCATCTCTATGTTATATGCGATTCAATCTGTTTCGTTTCGATGCTTGCTCGTGCTTTCGCTTCGATCCATCATAGTCCCTCCTTTTGGCCGCACTTGTGACCTTCAGAAGCATGCCGGCATTCGGTGATCCCTCCGCTTTCCCAACCTTCTACACCCTCCCAGTCACGACCGACTTTGTCGATGAGACGAAATCATGGTATATCCTGGCCCAGATCAAAAACAACATGACCATCACGAAGCCAACTCTCATTGTGACGGACCAAAGTGGCATGGACTTCGCAGTAACTTTCGAGAATACGGGCTTTGACCTGAAAGCTAGAGGGTTGAAGAAAGGCAACACGGTTGTTATCCCGCAAGCTCGCCGAACCGACAAGGGAGAAGGGAGAAAGGATGTCCTCGTTGTGGAGAGTGAGGATTGCGAAAGCGTAAAGGTACGGTGTGATCGCAAGTCTCAGGCCCATCTGTTCCAAAGTTTGCTGATTGTCAAGGCAGGCGATCCCCGGAAAACTAGATTGGATCATGGAGTTGGGTTCAATGATGGATGACGAAACCCACGATAAGAAATGCGGCGCTTGTGGAAAGGCCGAAGGTGAATTGATGAGATGTACGGGTTGCGGTGAAGTCGTCTACTGTGGAAAGGTGAGTATCAAATCAACACCCTTTGGACCTTGGACTTACGCTTAGCACTAGGATTGTCAAGTCAAAAGTTGGACTGAGTTGGGTCACAAGTCCGACTGCAAAATAATAAAGGCCATAAAAGTAATATGGGATTGATGCAAGGATGATATGTACAACCTAGACAAGTACATGCTTGCGATGAAGGTTTTAGAAAATGGCATTGATCACCATAGAGACTGGGATGACTGAAAATCTTCCTCCATCAAAGCTATGGTTTTCCCATAGACCTCTTTACAAAATGCTTCATCGCTCGATGTCAAGTCCAAACATGTGAACTCACAGAACAGAAAACGACGACAAGCACTGTAAAACTTTGGCGAGCCCAAGGTTTGGACTTGAGAAAGCAGCTCTGTCGCAGCTTTCCGGTTTGTAAAGCGACCAACAGAATCCCAGACGTGGTCAAGTGTCTCAGAAAAGAGAATCTCCAACAGTAAGATACCCAGGGAGAACATGGCTCTTTTGAGAATTTGCAGATGAAGCGCTTGGCCGCCTGTCACCGGACACTGTTGGTCTATGTCTGTGCTAGATACCGTCCTCGTGACAAATGGCTGTCTGTATAGTGGACAACCATCCACCATAGGGAACATTATATCTCGGCTGGTTATACTTTCTGGAAGCCAAGATGTTTTGAGGAGTTGAAGCACACCAGAAGAGATGTCGACTGCAAGTTTAAGCCCGTCTGCATAAGATATTCCAGGGAGGTTGCATTCGCCGTCCTCCAGCACTGCTCTGAGAGATATCATTGATGTGCTTTCTTTGTTCTCAGACTGTGGATAAACACCGAACTTTGGATATCGTTGCGAGGTGCGGTTTGAGACCAAGCCAAAGCAATCTGATTTCTGTCCTTGCTTGCCTTTTCGAACGAGTCTGCAGAGGTCTAATGGATCCTCGAGGTGCTTCTTTGACCCGGGTGCTACTGTCGGTCCTATTTCGGGCGCCGAGTAGATGGTCGTCGTCGAGTGGGACCCATTTGGGACAGATTTGATAGAGTAGAGTGGTAACTTTATTTCTGAGCTGCGTATGGTTTCTTCCGAGAACCTGACGCTCTGCAGTTTCTTTCCCAGTCTAGTCAAATTTATAGGTAACGGCGCAGCGACGTTAGGAGAGACTGAGATTTTTTGGTGACAGGGCGATTCGGGAGATAACAGTTCAGATTGTTCTCGTAGTACTCGTGGTTCTTCGTATGACCGCAGTACCATCCAAGCCCACACGTCATCATTAAGAGGAGCACCCTGCATCTCTATTCGATACGAGACCGCGCATTGGAAATTCGAGTTAAGCAGTATCTGTAGCTCTTCATCTCGAGGCATCAGCTTAGGCTTAGCCACTCGTAAGCTCAATCGATGTGATCCTGGGCAATTGCACATAAGGCTATTGCGCATTGCCCTGTAAACGCTAAGTGAAACTTCTTTCAGCTGGCTGAAGAGTCTTCCGTGATATTTTACACGTCTTTCCGGTTCAAGCTGGATGCTTTGGTTGGTCATTGTCTTAAGGTCTTGATTGTACTTCGAAATGCCTGCGAGCAGATCATCGAACTGAGATCGTTTAATGGTGAAAGTTGCCCGCTTAATCTCCCTGGCAATTGCTGTGCCTTCTGTCCATCTCACCTGCTAGCCGTTAGTATGTTTCTATTCTCTGCACCTTTTTCTCTTGAGCATATCACTGTCTTCAGCCTTCGGAACTTGCGCCTTTGATAGGCTTATTGCCTGTCAAGATATGTCAGAGCCACAACCTACTTTTCCATGTTCGTCTAGACCAAGCTTGGCCTTGATTTCACCAAGTGCTACGTTCATAGCTACCACTGTAGCTTGAAAGGGCTCGTATACATGATCTAGCCGTAGGGCGATCTCATCCCTCATCTCTGGATTGCTCCAAAGTTCTCCAAATGGCTCGTCGACGAGCTTCTCATGCGCAACGCTGCCGACTACCCCGCTAAGCAGCTGTTGACACGTGTTGATGAAAATTGCGTTCTCATTTCCCAGTTTACGCTTCAGGCTCTGGAGTTCAGCCTCGAAAGACCGCCATCGCCGGATCGTGTGTAGCCCTTCTTGATAATGCTCCAAAGCTGAGATAACTAGTGGCAATGTTCCGAGTACGACGCCGAGGACTTCGAAACCAGACATTTCGGTTCAGGGGGCGACAAGTCGTGTCAAATGCTGGATAGGAATTTAGAGCTGCTTCAATCGAATATGCCTTGGCTGTCGAGGATGAGCGTCGAGGCTGAGTGAGGGGTAAGTGGCCCCTTCGTGTTACCGACCCCTGTCTTGATTGGTCTGGCCTGAAAATTGGCGATAGGCTGAGGAATGGGGGGGTTTTGCCAGTTGCCTGCGCATCTTTGGGCGTCAGGATTGGTACCAGTGATCGTGGCCCTTCTGGAACTCCAGTAATGATTCATAAGCAACTGTGATGGAACACCAGAATGTCGACTACTATTGCAGAGCACGTTCTAAGCTGCTTCGAAAGCTTCAAATCGATCCGTGCCGCTGAGCACTCTACGAAGTCGGAATGTAAGATAAGGGACCAACTGCCGAGATTCAAGGTCTGGACAGGGAATATAGGAGCCCATCAGCGAGGGAAGAGTTCTCTGGACTACCGACTCCGAGATGCATCCCATCTCACTTCTCAAGTGAAGAACTTGCTTCAAGATCTAAAGAGTTCATTAGACAATGGTGAGTTTCAACATGGCGGAAGGAAAGGCTTTTCATAGATCGCCAACGGGAAATCGACGCTGATGTCTCTTAGCTTGTTCGATCTTGGATGGCTCAAAGTTACCCTGGGATGAGGAATTGTCAGAAGATGACGATGACGATGACGATGACGATGATTATACAAAGGCCCCGGAAGACGACAACATTGGGTTCACGACGGAAATGGATCAGATTTCTGCCGACGTCGCCGAGGTGATCAATTGCTTGATGAACCTATCAGTATCGATCCGCAACCCGGCACCCCACGACCGATTTCGTGGATCAATCAAGACGGATGCCTCATTCTACGAGCCATCAGACATTGCTCACGTAAAAGCAAAATATGCGAATGCTGATCCGAAACTCGTAACACTACTTGGAAAAGCGAACACTCGAAGGCGCCAGTATTTCAAGTATCGAGAGTCGCACCATCAGAAGCTATCCCGAAATCTAGACCTGGATTATGATGCGCACAAGTCAAGATCCGAGCAACAAAGTACAATTGCGTCTTCTATCCCTGCTGCGATCAAAGCAGAACCATTACACCTTGCTGATACTGTGGATGCGGACGAGCTGTCAGACAGTGGGTTCACTCAAACATCCTACGCCTCGTCGGCGCAGACTTCAGACCGGCCACGGCTCCCGGCATTACCTTCCCATTCTGCCGATGGACCATTTCAGTGTCCTTTCTGTTTTATGATGATAACCGTCACGACTTCATACGCTTGGAGGTCAGTCTGCCAATTGACTCCTGTTGATACTATCTAGTATTTTGCTGATCGTGTGATAGGAAACACATATTCGCAGATCTACGACCATATAGTTGCGTAGCTGTAGATTGTCCGATCGCAGGGGCTGAGTTCGGACGTCGGCATAAGTGGATGGAACACATGCTACAGAACCACTGGCGCGAATGGCATTGTACGTTTTGTGTACATGAGCCGTTTCCTTCCACAACGAGTCTCCAGAACCATCTGCGATTTGAACATGCAAAAGAGGTTCCCAAAAGCGACGTGAAATCAGCCACCATCCTTTGCGAGCGACTCAAGGCTTTCGACTGCGACACGAAATGTCCTTTGTGTCATATCCTCCTCGATTCACTTAAAAAATATCGACATCATGTTGGCCAGCATCTCGAGGATATCGCTTTATTTGTCCTGCCCCAGGTTCCTGCCGAAGACATAATCTCAGATGATGGAGGTAGCAGAAGCGGTAGTGGACTGGGGTCAAGTTATATGAGAAGTGAATATGAAGACCTTGTGTCAGACCAGGAAGACGTGCGTCAAAAAGAAAGAATCAGTCATGATGGTGGTTTTAAAGCAGAACGATTCAAGAAGGATGAAGTCGCGGACGCAGTGATAGCCGCGGAACCAAACGCAATTTTGCTTGGACGGGAAAATGACACTCCCTTCACTACACTAGGGACCTTTGAGGACTTCGCTGCCTTAGAAGGATCAGGTATGGCAGATGCATCACAAACTACGCCAAAACAAGCGGCAGAGAGAGATATCGACGATTGGATGAGCCTAGCTGCTACTTTCGAAGAAAGTAGTGAACTAGAGAAGAAGTGGGATGTGGATAGCCTGTTACTCCAACGGAGACGCGCTGTCTATGAAGGACACATTCCAGGGCTGATCGCCAAGTACGGATCGATGGAAGATATACCATTCCACATTTTTGAGAAATTCCGGGCTTTTTGTCACCGGAGAGCTGAGGAACAAGCGCAGAAAATTCTTCAGTCTCAGGAGAGGGCCAGACTGGAAAAGGACTTCGCCGCGTTTTGGGCTAGGATCAAAGCACACCCGGACACATATGTCATGACACACGAAGAATTCGACAGGTTCAGCAATTTATTATCCCAATTTGGAGATTCCAAAACTGTTTCGGCCGCCATGGATCGATACCATCAGTCATTAAATAGCAAAAGGCCAGATCTACAGGGTTCTGCGTCTGGTCCGATAGTCAGAGTGGAGCAAAATGAGAGTGAACCAGAGCCCAGCGCTGCTTTACCTTCAGCCACTATGTGGCTCCGCCAGCCAACACTGCCTTCTGAAGATGGTTTCACTGAAATTGAAAGGGATCAAAGCCCAGAGAAACATGGTGGCACAACAGCATGGGATCAGTATCATGCTAATTTGCAGCTGTTTGGTCTCAAACCTGATCAGTACAACGAGACATCACCGAGCTTCAGAGTCGGTGAGCCGGGGAATGACGTGCCCCAATCATCTGCTCCGAGTGATCCTTTCAACATGTTCAAACTCGTGGACAATATAGGGGCACCAGAGGTGCCCGAGAGCGATCCCAAAATCGCTGATCGCCCGAGCGATGCCACCTCGAAATCTGAATACGAGCCTTTTGAGCCGGCCACATTTGGGGACGGCTCAAACATGGCAGCATCATCACTCATCCAGGGCCATCAGACGGATAAGCAGCCACGAATGCTCACCACAAAAGAAGACGCAAACTATCAATGCGAGGTAAATGGTTGTGGGAAGCACTTTAGCAAGAGCTACGACTATAAGGCGCATTTGGAAACCCATGATGAGAACAGAGAATATCGATTTCTTTGCCTAATTCCCGGATGCTCCGAGAAGTTCGTTCGTGGGGCGGACCTTCAAAGACATTACCAGAGCGTGCATCCACAAGAGTAGAACTACAGGTGCGATTTCTGCGGCCGTTTATTCGCGAGAAAGGACACATTAAGAAGGTAAATGCATACGTAAGAGGCATCACTGGTGAATCACTACTAACAGGAAATAGGCACATGGAAGACGGATGTTCTGAGCGTTTCGACATCGGCGCCCCTGATCGACGTTCCAGAGGCTACGACACATCGGCATACTCCTCTCTCCAAATGACAGCCCAAGCTGAAGATGTGCAACCAGCCGACGAAAGGAAGATTAATGATGGCGCCTCATGAACCAAGTTGTAGTGTAGCATTCAGCTAGCTCCTCACCAGCCTCATCATGCTACGGTAGTCACCCCTATATCCGTTGCTATAGTGTTATATCCAATGGCTGAGAACAACGCCTCTCCACCAGGAAGGATGGGATCTAACATTACTCTACTCAGGGAAGAGAAATAAACAGATCCAGCATCTTGGGATAATTGGGTGTTCCGAGACCTGTCACAGGATCCCAACCCGGAACTGCGCTGAATCCTTCTGTTCCACACCCCGGATTTGTCCCGTTCGTGACTGTTTAGGAAAGTCAACTCTATTGTGTTTTCGGAGCCGAATAGACTAAAAATAAAAACAATGACTCACTATCATTTAAAACTTCGGGATGCTCGTATAAAACCGGGTTGATGAAGCCTACCGGTCCTTTCCCCACTGCGATACGCTCTTCATTGATCCGGTTGATCTAAGTCAGGTCAGGCACAAAGAAAAATTCATAATCTGCAGACAAAAGAACTCTTACAACCGAAGCAAATATTGGGGTACTGGCACTTGTTCCACCGCTCAGCCCAAACCTCCCACCTACAAAAATCGCAATGTTATCACCATTAGCAGCTACGTCCGGGATGCCCCGACCCATCCGGTTATAGATTCCGCCACTGTTGCCCGCAAGCGCAGTGATATATGGCAGTGTGTAATTATCAGCATCAGCTATCAAACCTGAGTAAGCTGGGTAGACTGGTTCATGGTCCTTGAAGAAACGATCGACAGCAATCTTCTGATAGTCTGGCACAGGGTAAATATTGCTGAATCCGCCTCCAGAGGAGTAGTTGACTCTCCCCGGATCAAAGACAGCGCTCTCGGGCTCAAAGACAGTGTAGCCCCGATAGACCTTCGTGGCCCCTACGTTGGTGAGCCAGGGGCAGTTGTTTGGCCACGTAGGATTGAAAAGGTTGTCCTTGGGGCCCAAGCATCCATTCGGCCCATCAAAGCCATACGGCTGAGGATAGTTGCCAACACCGGCATCTCCAGAAGCAAAAACGAATGTCACACCCTGGAGTCCAAGTTTGAGGTACTCGTTGCACTGGCGCTTCTGATAAGCTATGGGTACATCTGCTTCTTGTCCACCGTAGGACAGTGAGATGACATTAGGAGGCTTAAATACACCACACTGGAGCGTCCCGTTGTAGCCATCAGGACCAGGATCTGGGTACGTTGGGTCGACGCCTGGCAAGTCTCCGGTCTCATTATAGGCTGAGTACGTGCAATAGGATCCATCAATAGCATTAAGTAAAGTATTAAAGCCCCACTACATACTAATTAGCAAGCATGGTTAGTAACTCTGAATGGAAACCTACTGTGTACGTGTCATTGTCCCACGTCTGGTAGTGTATATCGTCCACATTTAACACGGTAATCGATTGTGGATATACAATTGGATATGCAAGTAGTAAGTCCAGCATGGCTTCGCCACCAGCCAGGGATGAGTTGCTCGTCTGAGCCACGCCGCCGTCGATCTCCTCGTTAATCGGATGAGTGCCTCTTGGGATCCAGTTTGTGAGGTTGGCGTAGAACAAGTCCAGGTCCCGCTGGTCCCAGAATTGCAGTTCAGCTTCGAATATTCCAAGCGAGTTGCTGGGGTGGGACAAATTCCCGGGCGGGATATTGTAGAGAGCTGCAACGCAAGCTGGAGTGATAGCTATGTCACAGTTACTCAGATCACTACTGTTTGATGTTATAAGACTAACAAGTTTCTCTGAGACTTGTTGTCGAGCTGGCCGCCTGACTCCACCCCACGTTGTACTCTTTTCTATTGCTCGTTTGCGCTTGAGGTCAGCATCATCCTTCACAGGCGCCATGAGCTTAATTCCCGGGGTGATGTAATCGATGTGATCTTGAATACTCATAGGCACATGGTACTGATCACATGCCGGCAGAATTCCCCCTGTAAGTTTATCCTCGTGTTCGTAGTACTCGGTACGTAACAGCGATTCAACGACTGATGATGGAGCGTCGAAGGCCAGCCAGCCCTTGTTCTTCGAATGAGTTACATTCTGGACTCCATGAGCTGTAAGCCATCCATGAACAGCCTCAACAGAGGCTATGCTAGGCTGAAAGGCAGCGATGACCTCCTCTGGTGTCCACAACTTGCCGTATGTAGGAGAGCTCGGGTGGGAGACGGCCAATAGGTACTCTTCGGCCCGGTCAAGATTTGATTGAGCCAGCCCAATGCGAACTGGCAAGACCATATTCGCAGCAACGCGATCACGTTTGGTCCATCGCTGAGCTTCGAAAGGTCGTTAGCATAATTGGAGGTACTAGACGACTCTCGGGCTACACACGTGTGAAATGGCGCTTTTCATGGACGACGTGGTGCTCTATGCAAGAATCGTTAGTTTGTAGTCCTTTGATATTGATGAAGTAGAACTGAAACCATAAGATGATGTTGTCGCAAGGGCCCCACTCCACCATATCGCTAGTCCTAGTCTCGTCAATAGCTTCATGGCGCCACGTCTGTCTTGAAGCTATACTCGTGCCAAGATTGTAGAAAGTGAAGCTGTAGCGCGATGTACGTAGGGAAAATCTTGGCGAAATCTGCTTCATAGAAATCAAAACCTGGTCGCATTGCTCCATATCAACGCACGCCATCGATCACACCTGCCATTTTAGGTATGAGCTTAGGCTAATTTGCCATTCCGGCAAGATCAGCAACGTGCACGGTGCATTAAAGATTTCCCGCATAAGCATTTCATTGTTATTCTACTAATCAAGTCCGAACGTCTGCATTTGGGCTTCAAAGAGTAGCAGTCAGGAAGTTGTATTGTTCTGTAGACTGCGTCTCATATCCTAGAATAACCGGGATCAACCCATGTGACAGTGTTGCTAATAATATTGCCCATTACTGACGACACAACATATTTCCTCCGCTCTGTATTGGCCTTGCAGCAAAACTCTTCTTTAGAACAGCCTTCTGTTGTTCGGTGCTCGCATGTGCTTCATGGCAGGGCACAGATACGGACGACCTCTATTTGATTGGACAAGGCGCTTGAAGGTGACCAGGCATCTATCTGAATTTTGTGTCAGAGGCAGTCGTTCACTTGGAGAGTCATACTGTCAGTTGATTGTGTTCTCCCAAGCCAATGGCTTAGGCGGCCAGGTTAATGAGAAGCCATCGCTGCTTTGCATGTCAAGGAAGAGTATCCTATCTATACTGTGCATATACACCGCACGTCTTGTGCGATGCACGTAGTTGCAGTATTAGGTCGAGAGGAAACTAGCATCAATGCGTTTCAAAATCTGCTGGCTCTTTGTACAAGGGCCTAGTCTGAACTGACAAAGAATTTGGCATCGAGGCCGCGCGGTGAACCAGGCCTTATGAGACATAGTATAAAGATACAGTAAAGACAGGCGGGATTCACGATGGTTGTATGGGGCTACATGGATTAGGGAAGACCTGTAGAAACTGAAAAGAAAGCGTAAACCTAAGAGAATACTGAAGAAGGGGGAAAGTCCTGGGATTGAACCCTGGGCAAAATATTTCTGGAATAGGTAGACTTCTCCCTAAACCTTATATCTCGATGAGCAACAACACAGCATTCGATGTGGCGTTCAGAAATCACGATCCGTGGCCCTGGGAAGCTGAAACTGTTTTATTTAACTCAGCTTATTAGGTTCTTCTGTGTTGCTGACAGGGGCTACCGCGACAGTCAAGGCAGCGGGGGATAGGTTTGATTGAAACAATTGCCACGAGACCGGACAAGAACATGCAGCGCTTCTGTTTACGGCTTCAATGATACTAACGGGCAATAAACCACGAATTTAATTGCATTGATATACTTTGAATTGTGGTATACTTGATATAGTGTGCTGCTGAGGTTGGGTGGCTTATCGTCACTTCGGAAGACGCTTGCCGCTGGTTACGTTCTATCATGAGGTGTGGATCAGCTTTTCATGTTTCCAAGTGCGACCTTGAAGTGACACAGGTGGAATTCACTGCCAAAATACGAATGGGGAAAAAATGCAACCGATGCCGTAGGATTTTGACATTGCAAGTGACGAGCTTCGCCCCGGCTGATGGTTCAGGAACAACAAGAGCTGGAAGACCACGGAGGTAGAGTTGGTCACTATTGCATGGGTACTATATTCTTTTGGCCTTGCGACTACACGCATAACTTGCATAGATATCGACAAATACCTATATTAAATCCATCGAAAGTGTGTCTTCCATGTCGATGAACATCTTACAATGCAGAATTGTTTCAATTGTATCTTAGAGGACCCAAGAGGTGTCAGATACTAGCGCGTTAGTATCTGCCTACCCATTAACCGCGACCTGGGGATATTTTGGTTTCATGGACAAATAAAAAGCTGAGGCTGGGAGCGAGATTAAGTCCATGTGATGTACTCCCCGCTCAATGCGGTCGCTTTCCACGCTACCTTTGGGCCCTAAAAGGACGGCACAGTATCATAAATTCGGTACGTCTGTACATTGTTATCTTCAAGAGGCATTCCAGCAAGGAACCTTGCCAGCAGATACGTGGTACTGTATTGTGGCGAAGAAAGATGCCATGTCTGCAGAAGGACTTGTCTCCGTCATGGGACCAAAAGTGTCTTGCTGCCTTTGCCGTATGGAACGGGTCGAAGTGGCCAACGTCTCCCATGGCCAGGTGGGAAAGCAGTGGTTCGCCCACCAAATTAACGAGGCAACCGCTAGGCGTCCCCCGTTCTCTTGAGCTCTGTGACACGGAAACGTCGGTAGCAATATCGCAGGCTGCCATGGTAAGGCGGGGTGAAGCCAGTCAGTTGACTGATACACCTGCTCCGAATGGTTCTTATGGGAACCACATGATCGGCTCCGAATGCCGCCAATGTATTCTCATGGGCACTCTAGGCAAGATTTGCCGTAGAGCAGTAGCTAATCTGATCTTTTTCAGAGGGACCGTCAGTAGTTGCCAGCATGCACCAACAACACAGTTTTTGACCGATCTATTCTTCGATGTTGGCAGTAGTACAAGGGGAGAGTGAAGGCGATCGTGAGGCCTCTTCTTACTGTGTATATCGTTGCGATGGACATCGTGGCAAGAGATGAGGCGAGGTAACCTTGGTTCCTTGAAAACAAGTGGTGGAGCGAAGACAACGACTCGAGCAGCCAACCTACTTTTGGCAATGGCAATCAGCGTTTATAAAGATGGATCAATCCTGTAGTACCTGTAGAAGATCGGCGTTTGGGAAATAATACGATGATCTGCTCGGACAGCCAAATATGGAGGTTGGCTCTGCGAATATCGAGACGTGCTATGAGTGCATTTTCTCTGTTCATTCAACGTTAAGAGTTTACGCACATAGCTACCTTGAAGTCAAGGCAAGAAATCAAATTGGAGAATGAAACAAGAATTGAGGGAATGAAAATCTGATTTGGGTTGGGGAGTCGCGAGTAGACCGTCAGATCAATGTGATACAAGCTGGAGGACTCGAAGGGTTCTCGCATGGGTACATTAAGTAGAAGACATATCAGTCGGGCGATCTCAACAGCAAGAAAAGCCTCTGGTGGCACTGTGCCGATATAGAGCCTAGATCTGACCACGATCGTGAGAGAATCCGCTGAGTTGAAGTAACGCAGACGGGAGTGGGCAGTGCTCTCCGCTTTCGGAAGTGGCCGAGGCCCAGGGGCACTTGCGTGGCATGGTACTACAAGTATCAGACCGAAGCATGGTTCGTTCGCGGTACGAACCCTCCCGTCGGCATTCGGAGGTACACAAGCTGGCGGGGGGCGAAGGCCTTCAGACGAATCAACATAGCGCCTCGGATGCTACAGTTCCGTGAGCGAACTTGAGATCATCCATATCACACAGACAACATTCTGCAACTTTCAAAACGTATCAGTAGTGTGTTTGGCCTGAAATTGGATTGATAATCCGGCCACCTGCGTAACACCACTAGGAACAGATTGGAAAGAAGACGAGTAGGCCATCTCGAAGCTGGGTTATATGTTGTGGTTGCTCATCATTGGGTCGCATTCCGAGCAAGCAGCGACAGTCCATACGCGCTGTCTCCTTGGTGGTCACAATTAGCCGGCATGGATGGAAATTCAAACAAAGCAGGCGGAAGCGGATAGCAGCATTTACTTACACCGTCGGAAGTTTGGTACGAATCCCGCGTTCCCACTGGATAACACCATTAAAGCCATGCGATTGGTGCCCCAGTGATTCTGAGTAGATTGCATACTTGTATGGAGCAGGTGCCTAACACAGTAGATACAACTGCCTATGTGATGAGAACTCATGTACCAGCATGCCAAGAAGGTCAAAAAATTCGGGTCGTTGACGCAGGCTCATACTGGACGGCGGTGAGTGGCAATAAACAGTTAGATTCAATGCCGGCGACTCGTGATTCACTCGCTGTTCATTAGGCTGCCCATAAAAGGGGTGGCAGGGCCTTCTTGTTGGATCAGATATCTAGGACTTAGTGGTTGCCTCACGCTAACTCAAGTTTGGAGTTGGGAGACAACCCTAGACGATCAAATATGTCACCTGGTCGGTTCACGAAAACGGCACCTGCACGCAACCCAACCAGCACGGATTAGGAACAGCATGTGTCAGTGAGAGAGGGAGCAAAAAGTATCACTGGCAAGTTAAAAGTAATAAATCTCAGGGGTAGGCGAAAATGTCACAATGTCTATTTAAGAGCGACTTGCCACGAAGTCTGACTCAAATATTTTCGACTCAGAGCGGCTGAATCCTTGTTGAATTAGCGGAGATTAAATTAGCGAAGACTCATATATCGTAGCGATACAAGGGAAGAATCATGTCTCAGCAACCTCCGGTGGAATCAACCCGTCACGTCACGTATGAACATAGACTTCAAGACTTCACAGCTGAAGACTACGACCTGTGCGATATCGGTATTGGTGAGTTGAGTCTTGTGCCAGATCCGTGTCCTGGTTGTTGTGGGGCAGCTAGAAAGTAAGTATATGAGCTAGAGGTGATAACGTCCATTTGCTAAGATAAAGGTACAGAGTATGGAAATGCCAAACATGTGAAGCTCGGGGTTTCGTCTGGCCAGTGGAGAGCAGCGCCGAGAAGCGGGCGGCCACCACAAAAACCACACCAAGCTCGTCATCTCCGAGACCGTCACCAAAACGAAGGGACCAAGGTTGGGGAGGGTCCTCGGTTAGCCAGAAGAATTCAGGCGCTTCTTGCAAGTAGTGCAAGATGCTGAAGTAGTTCCAAGGGGAATTTTAATAGACACAGTGGCGTGATACATGATGCAGTTGAAAGGGAAAGGGCCTGCGAGGGTCCCAAGAGATGGCTTAGTTGAACAGCAAGGGGTTTGTGCGACGAATTAAGTTGCTCTCTCTAATGCCGATACTTATGATCAAGGACGTACGCAATGTAGCTTATGTGTTGGTGCCAGCGGGTGCTAGTCGCTCCTTGGCTGTCGCTTGCTTCGACTGGGGGTGAGGTAACCTGCATTGCCCAGCTGTTGGCCACCCCCTCGCTAGTTCGAGTCCTGTTGGCCTGGTCTCTTAGCTCTCTGAGGCTTCGAGAACTTTGGGTTTTGTGTCGCTTGCCTGGAGTCAAACAATCAACGATAACAATTGTTACAGTCCTTCCGCCAGCGCAAAATCGGGGTATCGACAAAAAACCAATCTACACCTCACGCAGGCTGAAAGGAATGTGACTAAACATTGTAGAGTACAACAGGATTAGGGTCGGGTATTTTCCACGAGACGGCCTCAAGCGGCCTCCCGTGACACGTTGAAGAGTGCAACGTCCGCATTTGTTGGAGGATAAGTACATGTAGTACGTACGCGACGAATGATGGGATGTAAATGATGCGGGCCGAGCCTCACTGCTACGTCGTCGTAGTGTGCAATACTAAAAGCCCGCATAGCCCGTGTACTTGAATGGTACGGCGCACCTAAACTGCCATGTCGCGATGGGGTTTGTGTCACCGAAGTATTCGATCCACCTACGTGTACTTCTTGGCGGGAGCGTGCAGAAAAAGGGTTGAAGCGGTCAAGAAGGCATGACAGGTACGGTTTTGCGCATGATCTCAAATGCTGTAACTGGCATCTCATGAAGTACTAAATGCTCCTAGCGCGACCTAAGACGACGATTTAGAGTTGTCGTCAGTCTCAGCAAAGCGTGGCACCCTTCTGGTGAAGATGGCTTGCAACTCGGTGAGTCTGACGAGGAGACGGGAGGCTGAGTCGACACAGAAACGTCAGCTGCCTTCAGGTTTCACTCCTCATAACCGCAGCGGTACAACTTGGCTAAGTGGCGGGATATGCCGCGGTAGGGTCAAAGCCCCGGAGCCTGATACTGTCAGACATCAGAGACCTTTCGTCCTCCTCGAACTCAGGGTGTTGTTAGAAGATGAGTGGTCACTTGTGAGGCAACCGAAAGTAATCAGATCGCAAGAGGATCGACAGACAGGTTGAATAGAAAAGTGCTGTAACGCGCTGCTGTGTGTCTCGCAAATTTGACTTTCAAACCAGGCGGAACGTCGCAATGACCAGGAATGAATGTGCGTCGTACTCCACAGGAGAGTGAAATTACCGGATATAAAGTCAAGGCCCTCGAAGAAATAGGGCCAATAACAGATTCAACTACGACTCTATACATCGTGAACACTGCTTTATATCGAAACAAAAGACTCAAAATTGATATGGCGACAGCATACCAGGCTAGATACGACAACAACTACTGCTGCGTTGGCGGTCGGGTGTATAGCATATGTACGGTATGTCAAGGTAGTAAACTGAGAGGAGCAGGGTAAGTCTAGTCTTGAGTTTTAATGATTTCCCAGCTGATATTACCAGGGGTACGCCGCGAGTATGCACTGCATGTAGAGGCAGCTTTTTGATGTCCAAACCATGTCCAAGAGGCTGCCCGCAAATCGCTACACTTGCCAATGAGACACGTATCGATCAATCTATACCATCGATGCCTCGTTATCCAGATGGAAATGAGTCCTCCAATCAGCGAGGCCCCCGACAGTGACGAGGGCTTCGTTCGTTTATAAGTGGGATGAACCATTGGGCCATCGTAGCAAGATGGTATGCTCCTTGTGGCACACGGGCTAGGTGCGCGTCGCATTGCAGGCAATGCAGCCATGAAAGCTAGAACGGTTCGTCACCACATTGAGCTGGCGTTTCTGGCGGGATACACAATTGGTTGCGTGGGCAGTGCGCATTGGCTAGACAGCTTCAAGATTTCGGTAGGCAGAATTGCCACCAAGGGTAGGTGGGTCAACAATACAATATAGGGTCTGTACTTTCCAGGCTGAAGCTTATCCCTCTATTGCTTGAGACTTTGGTCTTAGTGGTGTCTGGTCAGCTGGAGATGCCGTTCAAACTATCGTAGTAGCCTTGGAGACGATTGATTTGTGTTGAGGAGCAGGTTCTGACTCTGTAGATTGCCACATCATTCACTAGGATACAGATACCGGAAGGCGTTGAGGGACACTCTATTTGGCAGATCAATATAACTAGCAAGAGAAAGCCTAGACGATATGAAGTCACCAGTAAAGTTCAGCTAGCAATCTGCAGTTCATATAACTACACCCGTATCTGAACATTCATGAACAATTCTATTTGCGTACCAATGTTTAAGCCAGCACAAGTGACCTTTCCTCGCCAATCTGCGCTGGGTGACATACTATCTTCAACCTGAGAAACGCCGGAGTGACTCATCTCATCAGTAATATGACGATCCAGACTATCAGTTAGCCTCATCCCTGTGCTGATGGAGGAGGAGGCCATGTTGACTTAAAGCCTGGGTGCTTGGAAACCCCTTTCCAGTAGTAGACTGCCGGTTGCCCATCTTGGAGCGGCTGCTGCGTGGTGCAATTGATCCTGATGAACTTTATAGCGCCGACGTTCTTCCCATCCAGAGTGACGCCCGTCGTGGTGCACCAGTTCTTGGTTGTCTGGGCTTTGTCCTTATCGCATTGTGGTGTCGAGAGGCCCGTACACCCAACACCCATGCCACACGATGTCCCCGTGCCACTCGTCTTCACAGGGGCAGCCGACAGGCTGCCGCAAGACCTAGAAAGTATTAGAGTCGCACTGTTTTGAAACATGCGGTTGGCTGCTTACGTTACAGAATATGGGATAAACGTCCACTGGCCACACCCATTATAGTTATCTGGCTTGGTAAGAGACTTGGCGGTAGTGTACGCCAACGACTCTGTCCAGGAGACGGAGGAACCAGCCGAGAAGGCAGCTTTTGCTGGTCCATCGCCATCAACGCCGACTTCTAGTCCAACGTTGAAGCTCCAGCTCCGGGACTGCGTGTGTGTCTCGCCGTCGTCTAGCTTGCATTCCTGATGGGCATCGCACACCCCATTCGTGAACGGCACCTCTCTTCCGAGGCCGAATTCAACTCTAACTTGGAAATAGGCAAAGCATCCGCGATCCTTATCAGATTCCCTGGGTATGCTCCCCTTGCACGTTTCCTCGCTGTCCAGTTTATTGGCAACCGGGCACCCATATACACTCTATGGCGTGTCAATCAAAGTGCCATCCGAGTTATCTGATTGCGAAGACATACCGTGCCTGGCTCATGATATGAAGTGAAATCACAGGCTGGGTCCCGTGAAATGAGCTCGGACAGTGGCCGATTTCCTGCCATGAGAGCGCCTGCGAACACCCGTAACGCTTGGTAGACCACCAGAGTCCATAATAATAATAAATGCGTCATGGTCATATTTCAGAATCTTAAGTTTTTTAACAGCCCCAGTGCACTTACTTCGGTAGCACACAATGTGAAATATTACTGGAACACTACTTCATGAGCCATGAGCGCCTTTATATACATGATTGAGTAGATGCAGCTAGAAACGGTGTCAGAGTGTACGTCCAATATGATAATATGATGGAGGCTTGAAATCATACGCATTATCTCTTTCAGTCCTGATATGATTGGTGACATCGGTGGATTTGATACATGGGGATATCCAGTGCCAATAGGAGCAGCGCAGGCAGGATTCTCCGGCCAGGATCAGACCATATACATATCTGTACCAACACTACAAGGACGCCCTTCCTTCTCTCCATCCTTTCATTCATTTATCCAAGCCAGTTACCACAGTACATGTGAAGTACTTGAGGTGCTTAGCATGGTAGGAGTACATCGGTATGTTCCTAACACCGATCCGAATGAAGTTGATTTCAGTTCTCGCTTTCTACGGCAGATTCGTTTCACCATCCGGAAGTCAATGGTACTTAAAACCACCTGAAGATGATATGATGCTGTTATTTTAAATCAGCGCAGGGTTTTGATCTTGGTAGCCACAAGTCGATCTCGGCGATCTCGGCCCGTTTTCTGAAGCGTGCAGCGGTGGCTGTGGATTATTCCCTGAACACCCTATATAGTCAACTTCTTGGTTTTGATTGAGGTGCAGGTTTATGGATCATCTCAATCCCATATGGTATAGTGTAGCCGTGACGTTATTGTGCCAATATATCTGTGATTGCCCTGACCAGATTTCATGATAAACATATAGCTAGGCTTTAGGATCTAAGTTGTAGGGATCGAGGAAATGTATATAACATCTATGCGGGTCGCCACTTGCAGAAAGGCAAGTAGTATGACGTAGCAAACCTGAAGGCTTGCGGCCAAACTATGCCATATTCTACGACGCATTTGTCACTACACTTCTACCTACCTTCCAAATTTAGGCGTGTTGGTTCCGTTTTGTTTGGTCTATAAGTGATGGGTCTGGCTGTTATGCACGTTTCGGTATGCATTCCACGCTGAATACGGCCTTAGGAAGACACAAACTTATATCAGTCTGAAAGGGTAGTATGTGTATTGCATCGGGGACTTTCGCTAAACGAGAGAACGCTCCCTTAGAGAATATGTAATCATATCATATTTCGTAATAGATCAACCTCCATAACTCCAACTTTGCATTCGTACGAAGCTGATTGGACGCCTCGCGCCATTAGAACCGAAGGCCATTCCCACAGCCATCTTGTTGGTAGTCCAACAAGTGGCACAGCAACCACTATCTTGTCTTTGGATAAGATATTTACGTCATGCAGAATCTCTTGCATCCCAACGACAGACGTAGTCCGTTCTATGTCAGTGTGCTATGTCATTTCCATATGATATTAGTGCCAGGTCTCTCATGCCATCCATCTACTCTTCGTCAATCCCCCCTAGATCTAGTTTACCACTTTGCTACACTCCAACGAGCAAGATATACCATCGGACACAAAACCAAATCATGCTTTCAGTGGAAGTGCGGGCCGACAGCTTCACGTGCCCTCTAAACGACTTCGCCGAGATGTTCTTTGAACCGCCGGAAGATGGCAACCTATGCTCTGTTGATATCACTACCGGAGCCGAGGTACAATTCCGCAAATGCTGCGGTAAACCTCTGGGGCATGCTCGCGAGCCTTACGACAGGTGCTGGGCCATTTGCAATTACACGACCCCTGTGGACGAAGATGAGGGCGACGAGGACTTGAAAAGGCTGAGTCGATGTGTCAAGGCCGAGTTGGCCAACGTCAATCGAAGCGGGCTCGATATCGGCATGCAGTGCTGGACTGGAGCAGGTGTCGGGCGGGCGGAGAAGAAACATTCAGGAGTAGCGGCATCGGGGCACAGCAGTGTCCGCTTGATTGGTATACTACTACTGCCCATGATTGCAGCCCAATTATTGTGACTGCGCTGGGCGCCCAAGAGGCTTTTATGGGTTGCAACAGAGTCCTGTTCGCCACTTTTTACATCTCATTTGCACTATAGCTGTGAAGGCTTAAAACTAGCCAGCTCACTGGCAGACCGTTTTCCAAAGGCGGTGCCGGCGTTAGATGCATGCACGAGGACAGTAGACACAACCTCGACGTGTCACTATTACCCTTGGTGACAGACCATTTAGCCGAGGTATCTAGAGAGAGAAATACGATGCAGACAGATGCCTAGGTGTACAGGGATGGCTGCATTCCAAGGGATATGTTAAGGGCCCTAGTCGGAACATCGACAGACACGGGCTGAGTAGATTAGACCCAGGACCAAGGCCAAACAAGGTTCAACATGGGCACGAGACTCGCGCGCTCGCCATGAGAAAGTTGCGCGGAGGGTACAGGGACTGCGCGTGAAATTCATGACCGACAGCCCCAATGCACCGGAACTTTTGGTGACATGGGCGAGTCGGACGTTGAAATAAGCACGGCATCACGACTGCCCGCACCCCAGGGACCACCTCAACCTTGGAAGTAGTTGGCTCGAGATTTAAACTTGGCGGTCACCTGGGCAGGTTGCAAGGTTGTCAGCCTTGCAGCTAAGACCTAACCTCCAGTGCAGTCCCGCCACCCCATCCCCCACCCGTGGACCTGCAGCTGTCTACCAGGATGCCTAGGCCTAGGCTAAAAAGCACCCAAGCTCGGCTAGTTTCACTAGCTATCCAATGTAAGTTAGTTACGGTGCTGGTTATCACGGGAGGGACTTGCTCAAACCGCATCCTATTCTCAACTCCAAGCTGCCGGCTCTACTCTCGCACCCAACTTTCACGACAAGCGCCAGCCTGGCGACGGGCGTTTGACAGAGCCAACATGTCTGTTATTCTCTGCACTGGTGAGTGTCGTCCCCATTGCCTGTTGCGTGCATCCCACGTCCCAACTAACCAACTGTTTCCGCGCAGCCGGATATGACCACACGATCAGGTATGTTTGCCAGCCTCGTCTCGTCCCCCGTGGCCCCGTGGCCACGGCCTTGATGCGCCAACGAACAGATGGCACGCGGCCGAGAGTCTGCTCGACCCCGGCGACGGTTAGACCGGCTGACTGACCGTCATTCAGGTTCTGGGAGGCCCTCTCGGGCATCTGCTCGCGCACCATCCAGCACCCAGACTCGCAGGTGAACCGCCTCTGCATCTCGCCCGACAAGCGCTTCCTCGCCGCCGCCGGCCACCACACGGTCAAGCTCTACGACATCAAGTCGACCAACCCGAACCCGTTGCTGACCTTCGAGGGCCACACGGGCAACATCACCGGCGTCGCCTTCCACTGCGAGGGCAAGTGGATGGTGACCTCGAGCGAGGACGGCACCGTCAAGATCTGGGAGACCCGCACCGGCACCATCCAGCGCAGCTACAACCACGGCAGCCCCGCCAACGACGTCGTCATCCACCCCAACCAGGGCGAGATCATCAGCTGCGACCGCAGCGGCAGCGTCAGGGTCTGGGACCTGGCCGAGAACAACTGCAGCCACGAGCTGATCCCCGAGGAGGACGTCAGCGTTAGCAGCGTCACCGTCGCCAGCGACGGGAGTCTGCTCTGTGCTGCCAACAATGCCGTACGTCGAACGCTCCCCTTCATATTGCTACCCATATCTGTATATTGTATATAGACTTGCACACAACGCATATGCGCTGAGCCTCGCTAACGGTCCATGTTTCTCCAGGGCAACGTCTTCGTCTGGGCCCTGATCCAGAACTTCGACCACACGCAACTGTTGCCCGTAACCCACTTCTCGGCGCACAAGGAGTATATCACCCGAATCCTCCTGTCTCCCGACGTCAAGAAGCTGGCTACCTGCTCCGCGGATCACACTGCCAAGATCTGGGAGGTGGCCGACGTCGACCCGGCCGCCCAGACTCCCTTGCCCGTACACAACGCCTCGACCTCGACCAACGGAACCCACAGCGTGCTCAACGGCGTCAACTTCCCCAACCCCTCGCCCACCTCGGATCCCACCGCCCCGGACCTCAACGGCGCCGGCGCCCCGAAGCCCTACCCGCTCGAGGCCACACTGCAGGGCCACCAGCGCTGGGTGTGGGACTGCGCCTTCAGCGCCGACTCGGCGTACCTCGTGACTGCATGCTCCGACCACTACGCGCGGCTCTGGGAGCTGCACTCGCAGCAGGTCATCCGCCAGTACAACGGCCACCACCGCGGCGCCGTCTGCGTCGCGCTCAACGACTACTCCGAGGGCCCGCGATAGGATGGCGGGGACCCCTCTGAGCTGCACACCGAGCTGCAGCGGGACCCTTACCACCGCCCCGCCGCCGAGGCCCTCGACGCCCTACGCCGGTACTATGCCGAGCGCGCCAGCATGCGAGCCGTCGAGTGGGAGCGCAGGCGCCATCGGCACCCAGAGGAGGGAGGGTTGGCGACACATACCGAGGCCGCCGCTGTCATGTCGGCCCCGCGTGGGAGCGACTCCGACCGGGAGCATGGCAGCGTGGAATACGTAGGCGGACAGAGTAACGAACGAGATGTGTTTGGGCGGAGTAATGACGTATTCGGCGTTCGCAACCCTGGATTCCCAGTAGGTAGCGTTGACAGTCAGGTCGTGATCAGTGGCGAAAGTAACCTGGTGGTGGTTGATTTCCCGGATCACGAGGGAGGAAGACAGGGCCCAGAAACTGCTACGGAGGGCGGCGATGTTCTCAATGAGGATTGACTGGTACTTTACGGCAGGGCCACGTTGGCTAAGGCGTTGGTGGTTGATTTATCGGCTGTTTGTTTTCGGTCCTGGGCGCCTGGCTGTAAGTTGTCTGGCCACCCAGGCCTACCTCTACATATCTCGTCTATAGAGCACGGGCGAATACCTGACAGAGACGCCTCCGGCGCGATGGAATCTTGATCAACTCTATTACTCGCCGTCATCCCACCACTGTCCCGTGGTGGGATGGTACTCGGTACCTTGATCCAAAACCCCCACAAATGCACTACACCAAGACGCCTTGCCGTGCCATGCCTCTTTGCTTGCCAAATTTCAGCGAATCGACCCAATCTGGGAATTATTGCCCTGCCTATCTTACCACCCGTCGCCCCACCCGTCGTCATCGTCGGCCGCCTTGGGCTTCATGTCGATCTTCTTGGCGACGACGGGCTTCGGCTTCGACGCCGCGACGGGTTTGCTGGCCGCAGGCTTCTTGGCCAGGCCCTTGGGCAGTGGCTTGGCGCCGCCGCCGCCAGACTTCTTCTGCGCCTGTGCCGCGAGCCAGCCGGCGAAGTCGGGCTCCGAGCCGTCGTCGTACGGCGCGGGCGAGACGACGGTCTCCTTCTTCGCGGGCTTGGCGGCCTTGATGCTAGATGCGGGTGTGGCGTCCGAGTTTTCGTCACCCCAAGCATCCAGGTCGTCGTCCATATCGCCCATGTCGCCCCACGCATCACCGCCGTCGTCTGCTGGTTCCGGGTCCTTGAAGTAAGACTCGGCGTTGGAGGTAGAGGAGGTCCGAGACATCGAGGTGGATGGCCGCGGGGATACGGCTTGCCGGTGGAGGGTGGAGGCGGATGAGGTAGGAGGACCCAGGCGAGCTGATGCTGGAGGTGATGTGACCCGGGCTGTTGGTGTCGTTGCCCCGTTGCTTGTCGAAGGCTCAATCTCCCCTGCCGCAGTCGACAACTTGTTGGTAAACGAGGAGATGGCCCAGCCAGCCCACGACGATGCCTCGCCGGGTTGAGGAGTGCTCATGCGTGGGCCGGCTCCTTCTGAGGCGGCCTGTGGTGGAAGTGCCGTGTCTGGCATGGCTGCGACAGCCTTCTTGATCTTCTGCATATAAATGTCCAATGTCTTCACAGCCTGGTCTCTGATCATCTTCTCCTTATCGATCAGAGATGGGCAAATGGCGGGCATCACCTTGCTTGCGCAATCCTCATCTGAGAAGAACTCTGAGGTGGCGCCTAGCGACATAAGAGCCGCATTGCGAGCATGTATGAATGGGTCTCGTAACGATCTTGTGAACGCCGCGATGAGCACCTTTGTCCGATTTGCTGTCCCCAGATTCTTGGCGATCTTGCCAAGGCATATTGTGGTATTCGTTCTAATGCCTGGTTGTTCGTCATTTGCCGTCTTTGCAAGGTACTTCAGCAGTTCACCATTGATGACACGATCCGAGAGCTTGCTGATGATGACCAGCACCGACTTCAGGGTCTGCTCCCTGACAACTGGAGCCACGTCGGTAAAGCCCGTCACCTGAACGAGGATTAGCAGGTAGCGCAAGCGATGAGACAGTCAACTTACTATGTTGGGAAAGATCTTATCATTCACCACCTTCTGCGGCAATCGATCGATCATGAGCGGCAGGCTGTCAAGCAGACACACCCGAATAGCACGATCGGGATTTCCAAAGAGCCTAATAACCACTGGTTGGACCTTGCTGTCAAAGTCATCATTGGAGAGCTTCGTAGCAATCTTCATGACGACACCAAACGCCTTTGGTCCTCCACCTCCAAATTCTACAGACTTCAAAAGCTCGGGTAGTACCTTCATCTTGAAGAAGTCTTCCGGGAAGTCGTCGGACAGGGAATCGAGGTCGTCTAGGAACTGTTCCCGCTCCTCCTCAGACTTGACGCCCAAGTTATCCACCCCGTCCGTCAGTTTGATAAGCGCAGTGTCGAAGAAGCTGCCAGACCGCTTTCCTTGCTCCAGGTATGCACCAACGGTGATCCTGGCTTTCGGGTTCGTGTTCACAAGCCTCTTGTAGCTAGCATGCATCGTAGGTGGTATTCCTTTCGTCTGTCCGGCCTGGTCTGGCCCAGCGAAATCGCCGTTGAACGCCTCGAAAATCAACGTTCCAAAATTGTAGGAGTCTATGGCAGAATGCGGGCTGCGCTTGATGGCATCCCAGCCGTTGCGGGCGAGTTCTGGTGGCGTGTACCGCCCCGAGTCTGGTACCAAACTGCCATAAGTCTAGATTGACGTGTAAGCCATGTTTCGAGCGACCGATCGCGTGCCGACTTACATAGATAACAGCATCGTCATCCTTGACGTTACTGAGAACTTCAAAGCCGCCCAGCTTCCACTCGCCGCTCTCCGAGGTGTATATGGATGCCACCTTGAGGTTACCATGTATCGATGAGCCCTCGTCGTTGATGAACTTGACTGTGCTCTTCAGGAAATTAGCCAGCGCCTTGCGGCCATTCGGTCCCTCTGGTGGTTTCATACCGCAATACTGTAAAGCCCCCATTTGATCGTCTCCGGGCTTAAGCTCTTTCTCTTGACATGCCACCTCAGGGGTACTACTCGTTCGGTCGCAATGTATATATACGTGTCGGTCTAAGTGGCGTTCGTCAGCAACCGAGACCTAAGTCGCCTTGGTATCCATATCTCGTACCTCGACAGTATCTAGTACTTTTATGACGCCGGGGTGTCGCATGGTACGCAGCTTCTTGAGAGCATTCTTGGCTAGGGTAACCCTGTTCCTGTTGGCGGTAATGTCGAAGGAAAAGATGCTGCAGTTGCTCCCGTCCTCCTGCGCCGGTGTCAGTCCCAAGTCGTGCTTGTGCGTTCCCAGTGGGACGTAACGGGTAGTCACTCACCCGCCTCGTGCCGTTGTACAGCGTCCAGATCGACGCGTCGACGTCGACCTTGTCGCCAAAGTTATAGGGGAAGGGCGGGCCTTTGGCGATGGCGGAGGCCACCGCCGACTTGAGAAAGTCCATCGAGGAGGGGACAGATCGTTGCGGATACCATGCGCGGTCGGAAATGGAATGCCGCAGAGCACGGTTTCGCAGGTCGACTGTTGCGAGAAGCTCACTGGGTCTGCCGTGCACGATACAATTATGCCAGATGTCAATTACTTAACTTGACCCTTAAAACTGACCCCTCCAACCCCAAGTTGAGATCGCGCCGTACCGCACTCGTGCCCAGGTGCTGCTCGCTGGATAGCGCTGACGCAGGGGTCCCCCTCACTAACCCGAACTCAGAAAGCGGTGAACACACCTCCGACGCGACCGACTTAAGCCCAAAGGCCCAATCCCAGAGGCCCAACCCCAATGACTGAAACCACTCAAGACGACTGCTTTTCTGGGAACTCTTCTGGCCAATTCCTGGAATTGAATGCTCTGGGTAGGCCATCCAAAGTTGGATACATGATATACGTTTCGTAGGCCTCAATGTCATGCGGCTGTTGCCGAGATGATGCAAACTTCACCACCACGGGGAAGCGCTCCAAGGCATCTTGATGAAGATATATGTAGGCGACGGGGTCCTCAAGCCGCGTATGGTGATTACGAGTGCCAGGCCGGCTATCACAGACCAGATAATGTCAGTGAAGGGGAATTTGTTCTCCAGCGAGAACTCGCGGCGCAGAACACCTCGTGATCTCGGTGTTGTGCTCATCAGGATGACCCAGAGAACGAGGATATGCACCACGTCGAGCACCTGGAACCATATCTTGAACAGAGTGCCGAGCCAGAGAAATGCCGCTTTGAATGACTCAGAAGGGAAGACCCATGCCGTCGCCGGCGCGATCTCTGTCATAGCTTCGTAGATTTGGACTTGCCACAGCAGCAGGAAAAGGCAGACATCGTCATGAAGAAAGTATAGGCGAAGGAGGATGAAGAGCCAACGTCGACGCAAGTGCGCGGAAATGGCCATGGCGAAATGTGGCGTGCCCTGCACGGAGTAGATCTGACCAGCTTACTTGGGATGCTCAAGACTCGTAACGAACAGCTTGTACGGACACCCTTGATGGCTTAGACAACACTGAGCGAACGGGTATCACCTGCTTGCATTCATGATTGTTGATCTTGTGGACAAGATCACGACTTAAGATGTCGCTCTTTCTTTGCCTAGCCAGGTAGGTACATATCGGATGGGTAGTTACTTGGCGAGTCCAAAGAGAAGAACCACTTTAATCTACTCCTGCCAGGTCCAGAAGAGCTACCAGCGTGAAGCTGCTCCTGCATACCCTTTGTGGTGCTATCAAGAGATCAGATGAATGCATCTACCTTGATATCCAATGTTGAGCAAATCTCACATTATTAAGTTTATTAAACCAAATCTACAACCTACATTTTTTCCACTTCTGTAGAATCTATAGAATCTTGAAGCCTCCCGTCCTGTCTCTCCACAGCCCATCGGGGTCCAACTGGTCTCGCACCTCGCTAGCCAAGGCCTTCTTCTCGGGCCGCAGCCGGCCAAAGTAATCCTGGCGGTAAAACCCGTCGTTCATGAACAGGGGAAGGTACACATCGCTGGCCAGCTTCCCTTGCTCCTGGAAGCCCGTGACGTGGTCTTTCAGCCCGTTGTACGTGTCCTGCATGGTCTGGTCGATTTTGGCGTAGTCGCTGTTGAACAGGAAGCTGTAGTCGAGCTCCATGATGATGCGGTCCACGCTGTCGTCCAGGTCGAGCAGGTCGCCGCCCTTCTGCTTCGAAAGCTGGGCGATCCGCTTAGGCATGGGCTGGAATGCGATGCTGGCAATGACTCCGGGGACCAGAGCTGCCGTATTGCTGACGTTGACCCAGGTGTCGTACAACGCCCCTAGGACCTCTGGACCGTGCTCTTCGCTCGGCACGGGGGTTGTCTCGGTCCCAATGGTGTAGACACTGCCTTTGAGGACAGCCCAGTTGTTGCCGCTCAGCAGGGAGTTCATGCTCTGCGTTTTGGTGCTATCGATGGTGTGCGCAATGGCTGTGAAGTTGTCGAAAATACCGGCCGGCGGTTCTGGGCCGTTGTAGTACAGGAACAGAATCCAGATGTCAAGCAGCGTGCCTAGAGTCCGCTCAGCAGTCATGATGATCCCGGCCTTCTCGTCTGGGTAATATTCGGTAAAGTCGCGAAGAGCAGCCAACAGCTTCGGTGTGGTGTCGTCGTTTGCGTCAAAGACAAGGTTGCCACCCCAGACATCGCCCTGAGGATAGCCCTGGAGTAGGAAGGATGTCACGATGCCATAGATATTGCCACCGCCCTTGAGAGCCAGGAAGATGTCCGGATGGTTTTGCTCTGATACCGTGATCACAGTCGCGTTGGCGAGAACGAGTGTATACTCAAGGATGCTGTTGACCGCCCAGCCGTACTCAGTGCTCATGAAACTCAGCCCGCCTACGAGTGGATATCAGTCATTCAAGTTCGTGGATTCTGGACGCCCAAACATCTTACCTCCAAGGAGATAGCCTCCCACACCCACATTGCCAATTCGACCACCAACTACGGTGTACCCAGTCCCGTCGAGTGCACCAGAGATATCATCCCACCGATTTCCCGGTCCAACTCTCACGGTCCCTGTGGTGTTGTCTATCGAGATGTCATTGAGGCTCTTGGTTGAAATTAATGGGCCCCCCGAAACGCTTGCGAAGTAGTTGTTGGGGTTGTGACCGCCCGACTTGACGGCAAACGTGTCGTTATTCTGCAACAGGACCTTCACGATGGACACCACTTCTTCGGTCGACTTAGGCTGTAGGATACACGTGGGCTTCAGGTCTCCGCATGCGGTCGACCAGTACTCGGTCTGGTGCTCCAGGTAGTCTAATGTCGAGGGCAGATCGAGTGGCAGATTGGGGTGTAGAGACCGAATGGCGCTACATGTTGAGTCGGCAACAACACTTGATGCAGCCAGAGCGAGGAGTGAAAGCCAAGAACCAGCGGCCATCTTGAGAACTCTCGGAGCCCTTACGGTGGCTTCTATTCCGACGATAACATTAAGCGAGAACGGGAGTCCCGAGGTCGCATTCCCAGCGAAGGGGGATTCTCTTCAGATATACACGCTCGGCCTTCTGCATGTGGCCAGCCACTTGCGCCTCCGACCCCTGGAACCTCCATGAGCCCAATTGAATGGACCGACAGATCTGGGATTACATCTATACAAAAGCTCCCATTAGTAACACGCCCAAGGGGAGGTATATTGCAGGATTGCACTAACTTCTGACGTATCCGCCCAGGGTGGACGCACACTCACGTCCCGGCTCGCAACCCAGCACGCGATGCGCATTGTGACCGCCTACATCCTTGGATGCAGGTCCCGCCCCACGGCGAAGTTCGACAGGCTGATGGGCAGGGTTGCACTTCAAGTCAGCCCGCTGCAATAAGCATAACCCACCGAGCCGAATACGGACGCGAGAACCAAGGCTATCGCTGGGCGACGGTTGCAAGCCGGGCGGGCCCTAGTCTCTAGGGCCAAGCGACCGGGGGCCCGTGTCTGCGAATACCGGTTTTGGGGTGGGATCACCACATTTGATCAAATCCGGATGACTCTCATCTCGGCCGGCACATGTCAACCGGGGTGGCGATGCACGGACTGCTTGGATCCATGGCGACACGAGGTCACATACCGCCGTAATCTCTTTACAGCTGATTCTGTTGCGATTGGACAAGCCTGGCCCAGGGATGGTGCAGTTCTTTTCCCAGTGGGATATCGACGATCACTCTGCCTCAAGTCGAGGTTACTTTGAGAAAATGCTTACCAGACTTGCCGAGGTTGTAAGGCTACATCCCCAGGTTACTGATCAACAGCACTTAACTGTGAACGACTCACGCGGATGTACGTGATTGGAGCCCTGCCGACTCGACGTGAGGGGCAACTGTTCAGCTCCCCTTTAGAGCATGCAAAAGATCCGAGGGAGGGGTTCGGGGTTGCGACATGTCTATCTCGTGCAGCTGTGGCTTTGGAATTCGTAATACTAGTCACGGTCTTCATGATCACCCGTACCTCGGATCTCTGACGATAGGCGAGCGATAAGATATGCGTTTCAGAATTGGGTATCATTGTCTACGTATCAGGCAGGTCTGATCGCCTTGGTACCCTCCGCCGGCTCAAGTAGCAACCATTGGCACTCAATACCCTCCTGCTTGAACCTGCTAATGATCCTGTCCGCGATTTGCTCAAAGTTGCTCGTGGCTAGTGCAAGTATCGTCGGGCCGGCACCAGACAGGCACACTCCCAACAGGCCATCTTGCGTGCTGGGTGACATAGACTCGACGATGTCTTGCAGGCCAGGGATCAGGGTCTGCCGATATTGTTGGTGCAGCTTATCCTGCATCGCTAGGTAGATCAAATCAGGGTCTGGCGGCGACTGGCCTAGGGCTACTGGCAAAAGCGCAATGCGCTGCAAGTTGAACGTCTGCAGGTAGGTCAGTATAGGGAAGCACCAGTTACCGATATCTCGTGGGTCCACTTACCACATCCTGTCTTGGGTAGTGTGTTGGGAGCACCTCACGGGCCTTCGCGGTGGCGACCTGGAATTGAGGAATGATGGCAACAGCTTTGATCTCCTTGCTCCATGGGAACTTGATGTGGTGTCCGATGCCATGGGGCGGTTCAGGTGGCCGCTCTCCGGTGTCGACGCCTCCTGCTGGCGCTGGGAGCACTTCACTCAAAGGGATCTCAACCCGAGCAACATCCTCAGGGGTCAATGGCTTCAAATACGTTCCGACAAAACCTCCAAACAGTGCAGCTCCAACGTTATCCGGGTGGCGTTCTTGTCCGGATTAGCAATGTCCATCCTCAGCGTGCCAGTGCTGGAGTTGACTCACCGATCATCAGGCAGAAATCGAACAGACGGTCAAGGCTCAGATCAAGGCCACCGACCTCTTTACCCAGCATCACACCTGCGACAACAGCGGCGCCGGATGACCCCAAGCCACGACCCAGAGGGATGGGATTCTTGATGTGAACATGGGTCTCCACGGGGAAGGCTCTCTGATCATGGCATCTCAACACGTACAGAGCCACTCGTGTGATGAGATTGGCCGACGGGTCGAGGGGTACTTCCCCAGAGCCCTCTCCTTGCCCTTCATAGGTGATGCGGCAGTTCAATGGCTCCTGCGACGAGGTCTTGGTGCGGTCGATGGTGACCTCCAGCTCCAGATATATGGACAGGGCCAGGCCGATCACATCGAATCCGGGGCCGATGTTCGCCGAGGAACAGGGCGTTCTGATGGTGAATGATTCCATATCGACAAGTTCCTAGCTGGTCGATCCGCGACGAGATTCCCGAGGGCGAGTTCCCACACGATATCACAAGTGTTAAAGTCTTGTTCCTCGACCCTGGCTGACACCGGTGCGCGTTCACCCACCTAAACGCCTGATTCAGAATTTTGACGTGGCCGATGACGGAGGTGGGGCAACCTGGAACCTGCAACTGCACCAGTACGATGCTGCGATTCTCGCCAAGGTCGCGTCTTTGATCGAACGGGGACACTTTATGAAGAGCTCTTAAGGACTTTTTTCCGGCTCAAATCATCAGCTATTGTGACCTATGCACCCACCATAGCCGAACGACTTTCCCTGGGAGCAATCAATTCACTTTTCCCAAGGCAACTCTCCTGCATGGTGGGGCAATTGCCCTAAACGCCTGCCAAGGCAACCCCTCATTGGCCGCCTGCATCGTAAGCGGATTGCAACATACGTTCTGTGATGGATGGCATGGATGTATGGAGGACATAATGACTTCAGAGGTAATTCTTCAAATGCACATGTGAAGATGGTAAATATAAGCGATGATAGGCCATTAGTAATGCCAGACCGGTTGAACCTGCCAAGGCGGGGAGAGCCCTTGGAAGTACAATTGCATGAAGAGTGCTCCCGGTTGGCGTAAATGCGGTCAAAGAGATATCCCTGAGTGTATCCTAAGGCTTTGTTTCGAGAATGCCGCGCGCGATTGAGGCATGTTCGTTGAGGTGGTTCTTTGACTCCAGTACTTGCTCGGTAGACAACGGAATGATCAGAGCTCTAGATCAGAAGACTACACGCCTCGCTGTATATCGATATGCCACAAGTCTCCAACATCTGTCTCATCTGTACCATATCTTAGGCGACGGGCAACGGAAGAGACCCAACATGTCTGACCTTGGCGCTTGGTATCTACAGCAGGTGCGATGGACAGCTTTCAGGATGGGCTGCTACCGTGCTGGTATCTATCCTGACAAAGATGCCAGCAGGCCTCTCTGGGAGACTCTACGTCTTCCTATTATAGATCCAAATCCGCCAAACCAAGCTCCTCCTCGGTTTATCCCTTACAGGCGCCCTCCTGTGGACGACCCTGGAAGGAATTTGGACCAGGCCCGGGCTCCTACTGACCTCCGTGAAGGCGTCCCAAGAGATGCATGGAGAAGGTTACAGGAAGCCAAGAGTCTCTTTGGGTTAGCACCGGGTATCACCTACACGAAAACATTGGGCTTCGGGGGTAATGGTCTTGCTCTTCTTTACCGCACCGCCAGGGGCAGGCGGTTCGTTGTCAAGGTGCCGCTGGGAGGGCCTGCCCCCGAGGCAGATATTCGTAGAGAAATGCGGCATCTTAGAACGCTACGGCGCTCCAAACATATCACAAATATGCTCGGATCAAACGACATCGGTATGCTGAGGCAGCGTACCGTTCACGAAAGGCCACCACAAGACGACTCTAGCGATGAAAGCGACTCAAGTGATGACGACAGCGTCGTCGGGGAGCCCCCTCCCAAACGGAGGAGGAAGCAACTAACCCATGCACAAATCGATGCTAGGGTTGATAAAATCTTCAAACGCTTTACAGCTTGGATGGATGCAGAGAATGCGCGGGGATCCGAAAAACCTGGCACAAACGAAGGCGATACGCAACCCTGGAATTATCTTCTTTTAGAATACATGGGGAACGGCGACCTTGGTCAGATGATCCAAAGATGTCTTGACATGCGACTTGAAGTCCCTAACTACGTGCTTTGGTCCTTCTGGTTATGCTGTAAGCCACACTGTTTCAGATGACAACTGAGAATTTCAATGCTAACGAACCATAGTAATCAGGTCTTGTATCGCTCTTGCATATCCAGTTCACAAGTTTCACCCGGATCGGAAGAACTCAGCCATCAAAGGTGATTTGACGGAAGTGATCCCGGCCGGTCATAGACAGCGCTGGATAAGGCGCCTCGTGCATTTCGATATCGACCCTCAAAACAGTACCGAACCCACCCAACTGATGCTGTGTCAAAATTTCTGATATCTTCGATAGTCTTAATCGCCGATCCAGATCCTGATAACGAGCATATCATATGTCCAACATTAAAGGTAAGCCTGATCGGTTACGACAGGCCATCATATCAAGGGTCAATCTAATATTTTACCCTTTGTAGCTTGCAGATTTTGGGGTCGCAGAAAAGATCAAGCCGCAGAAGTGCAAGTAAGTAAAACCAGCTTGCTCGATCAGACTTTGCTGCTAACAAATGATACCAAGCTGGTATTATGAGCGACGACGTGTGTCAGGAAAGAATGGTAACTGGGCACCCGTGAGTTAATGTGTCCAGACGTTATCTCCATCGCAAACTCACCTGAAGTTTTAGGAGCAATTTGACTCTACGTGGGATGCATGGGCACCAAACATGTGGGGTGCCGATATATGTGACGATCCAATCTGTGGAAATTATGGAGTAGCAACAAATATCTGGGGGGTAGCTTTGGTCCGTAGCTCTGTCTATCAAGCAAGAGACGAACTACCACTAACAACAAATAGACGATGTGGAGCTTGATGACTCGCTGCAAGCCCATCAACCCGCCTTGGGGAGCTGACACCCACCTGCGGTACGACAGAGCATTCGGCGAAGACAGATCTAAGAACTGGAACCACTTCTCGTACGGAACAGTGCTGAGAAATGACGGCAGGTCGCCTTGGCAATATGTGGACAGGCGCTTGCGGTACACGATCGTCAAGTGCCTAGCGCGTCGGCCACAAGATCGGCCATCGCTTCAAGAGCTCCTTGACGAAGCCACCACGAACCAAGGATTCAGATATTCAAATGATGGGGCTCCATCGTCTGCTAACGCTGATGGGACTGCGCGGCCGCCCGAGACGGCAGACTCTGTCAGGGCGTGGCTTCAAAATGTCCTACATAATGCGCAACCTCCACCATCCATGGGGTTAGATGATTGGACAATCTTGTGATGGATTGGCCTAACGAGAAATACTTTTGCGAAGAAGAAGCAGATGCAAGTCACGTATGAAAGATGGAGGAGATGGTGGAAAAATGTCAAGAAACCAGTTTCGATTGGAGATGTCTTCAAGAGAGTTAACCTGCATGTAATCGCCATGGATGACCCACAGTCTGAAGCAAAGCTCCGTGGATCATAGGGAGACACAACCGTGTTAGCTACCTAATTTACCAATAGTTGCCTATTTACAACCAATAATGGTCAGCACCTGATGGAATACAGTTCGAAACCACACTTCGATCACATTACCGCCTATTCATACCACAATATACCTGCCTGAATCCAGGCAGGGGTATTAGTGGGCACTACAGCATAGGGTTCAGAGCCCGAGAAGGCATACTATTGCTTCGAACCGGAGCGCCGCAGTTATTGCCAGCTTGTTGACGGACGTCCGTCAACGATAACAAACTGGACGTGGGCCTCTGTCTTCAGTGGTTGGACTTCTCGGGTCCAGGCATCGAGTCTGGCAAGGCCTTCAAGTGTGAGCAGGTGGATTAGCGCTCCAGAGCTGTTAGCCGCCCCCACTGCTGCCAGGCAGCACCCAAATTTTAGCTAGTGGGCCTTATGCAGGCTGCAATGCGATGCAGTGGATAGGTGGGTGGAATGCCACGACACTCTCTGAGTCAAATGTGGCATGACCGGCAGCACTGAAGAGAATCTTCAGAGACTCATCGCGAGATGAACAATAGGATAATCCGTCGTACTGACACAGAATGTAGATCGACAAGTTCCCGATGCGGAACCGCATGGCTCGGCTGGCGCACTGCCCAGCCTGCGCCCGCTCATTGGTGTAGCACTAGACTTTAGGCATCCTTCCACCATCCTTCTTCAAAACAGTCGCCTTGCTTACTCCTCAAAACAGAAAAAAGACCATTGGATATCAGTCGTATTGAAAATATTCAAAGAGATATCCCATTCTCATGTTTCGTGCTCTTGGACCTCTCAAAAATATAATCTTCAAGACCACCAATATGTCTTCCGTCCGCGCAGCAGGGCGCACGGCTCGCCGCGAGCGAGGCCATGGCGACCCCGTGCAAACCAGCTACAGCTCGGCGCACGTCGAGATACCGGCAGATTATTTGACGACTGAGCCACAAGATGCGAAGCCGATCACGTATCAACCAATAGACTTCAAGGACAGCGTGCTTCCCGAGTACGATGGCGGTTATGCGGTCGTGCTAGACAACGTGCTCAGCCCTACCGAATGCGCCAAGCTCATTAAGCTGGCCGAGTCCAGCGTCCTGGACAAGGACAAGGGAGAGGATGGCAACCCTTGGCGGCCTGCTCTCGTCAACGTCGGCATGGGGCATGAGGTGCTCGCCGCCGACTACCGCAACAGCGACAGGATCATCTGGGACCAGCAGGACATTGTGGATCGATTATGGGCTCGCATGGAGACCGTTCCCGAGATCAAACAGAGGCTGGCGCGGTTCAACGAGGACGACCTCCTTGGGGGAAGAAAGCAAAATGGCAAGCCCGGCATGAACTGGGACTTCTACCGAATAAACAAGAGAATGCGGTTCCTGAAGTACGGCGGCGGCCAGTTCTTCCGCCCCCACTGCGACGGGCCATACGAGGAGTACCCCGATGACAAAGTGATAAGAACACACTTCACGGTGCATCTATACCTGAATGACTCCAAGGCCGAGGCTGGTGGTGAGGCTGATCTTGAAGGGGGTGCAACCTCGTTCCTATCGTCTGATGAGAAGCGCAAGCTAGACGTAGATCCGAAGGCCGGGAGAGTATTGATTTTCCAGCACAGGCGGCTCTACCACTCAGGCGACGATGTGAAATCGGGCACCAAATATACGGTACGGACAGACATCATGTATGAACTGAAACGCGATGAATAGATCTAGGAGAATTGGGAAGCACAAGGAAAGGGACAAGAGAAACGCATGTAGGGCAGACTACTTGATTTTGTAATTCATCGTCTACCACTATCAAATCATTGCCGTTACCGTGCCGCACATTCGCCGTTGTGGACAAAACCATAGTGCATCTTCGTCTTCGTCCCTTGAGAAGATAATCTGCGTCCGATGCAGACCCTGCTGCCTGTCCGGGAAATACCAAATACGTGAGATGCTGAAAGTATCGCTGAGTGTCCTTTCGAAGGCACTCTCATCTCTTAGAAACATGTTGACTTTCTATCAGAGACACCTTTCATCTCGCAAGCTTCCTATGTCATCTCAAGAGGAATTATTCCCGGCTGGTCACAGGACAAATCATTGTATGGCGTACCGATGGTTGTGTCGGGACCGCATTTTTATGAACGCCATTCCTTGACCAACTGCAAATGTGAATGGACTTCTCAGCGGGAAGAAAAAAAACTTTTCGTAAGATATCTATGTTCACCTCACTGATGTGAGTCGAAGCCAGTGCTGGCGCATGTCGCTCGAATGGTATTTGTTCCGTTGCCTGTTACCAAGAGCTCGTTGCTCGTTTCTGTCGATGCCATCTCAATCTCGACCTAGATCACGCAGTCTTCGTAGCCTTCTTGCGCGTGATCTTGGGCCTCGGCTCGTGCTTGATCCACATCTTGACATCATTGTTGAAGATGTAAGGCGCCTCAGCGTCACCCTCGCGTCGAAATGTGCGGCGGGTGAACCCGAGGTGCGTAGGAAGATGACCTCGGTCAGAGGCGTAGTAGCTGTCGTCACTCTCGTCCACGATCAGGTGGATCGGGCGAAGCTTAGGCATTTTAGCCAGAGTGGTACGAATCCATGCGTTACTGCGGTCGATGTCGTTTTCGCTTTGAATTTTGATCGGGTACGGACGAACCTCTGGCTTGTCAGAATCCGGTTTCTCATTGTTTGCCAGAAGCCAGGCAAGCTCGCACTCTTTGATGAGATCGGGCCAGTAATTCTTGGGAACAATGACGGGTCTGTTGTTGCTGCTACCGAGAGTGAAAGTCTCAGGGGCGTACATGCCATGGGCATACCAGAAGGGATCGCCAAGCTTCAATTTGTAGATATCTTTGGCCTTCTTGACGTCCTCATCGTCACTGAGATCAACAACGGCGAAAGAATCCTGGCCAAGCCATTCCTTCTCACTCTGCAACATGGCTGACTTGTTGCAAAGCTTGGAATAGTAAACTTGGCACGTTCTTTCGACTGGCCAAACCATAATCTCCTCCAGATGAGGAAGATCAATAGCTCTTGAGACGACCTGGAGAACTGCCCTTTGGCCAAGGAGATTTTGAGTGCTGTTTTGACGCCTCAGCCATAGATCTTCCACCACAATGACACGAGCATTATGTTCAAGGTCGGAGCGGCAGACGGGATGGTTGACTTTAAAACCACGCGTTCCACACGAGTAGAGGACAATGTCACGCTTGGGTGAGAACCAGGCGGTGCTGGGGTGCTTGTGTTTCCTGTCGATGGCGTAGGGCTGACCATGTCGAAGAACAACGCGGCGGGCCTCACTGCAGACCGAGGCAAGGATAGGCGCCTTCGGCGCAAAAGCAGGACCACTACCCTGAGGCCAGATCACTTTTCTCGGAATGGCCTCAAACCAGATCTGCTGTCTGAGCTCGCTCGGAAGGTCCGAGAAGTACTCAAACTTCTCAAGAGGAGCCATGGTCGTCTGCACGAGGTGTCAACTTGGGACGGCAGTGCGAGGTAACTGGTTTGCTCGGGGAGGAAGCAGTATGGTCGTGGGGTAGGTGACGCTATTTTGTTGTTGGGTGTGAAGATGAAGATGGAGATGAAAGATGAAAGACCTGGTCCCGAGTGAGGTGAAATGTGGTCGGGTCAGATAGGATCTGCTGCTCAGATGAATCGAGGAAAAGAGGTGGTGAATGCCTCAAAAATGGGGCACGTAGGAGGACTATCAGGGAGGGCCAAAACAAACGAGGGGATTTTATCAGCTATTGTGTTTGGACTGCTCGGTTTTGTTGCAGAGCTTTCACTTCGGAGCAACAAATTCAGGTACAAGGCCCACTGGTGGACTGGTAGAACAACGAACCTCTTCCGTGAACAGGGCGTGAAGCCAGAAGTACAGGTATCAATGATTTTCATCTGTGCCCAAAAATAGATGCGACTGTAGACGAGGCAACTGTTCTAGATACATGATCCGCTTGGCTAATGGCCTCAACCGTGTGCGTCAAGCAAGTACAATCCCAGTGCTGGGACTGATGTGAGCATCACGGTTTCTATGGATCTTTGCCCTCCGTACTTGCCACATAGAATGGCAGCATCGGTGCGTTGTTGTTTTTCTCTATAGTGAAGAAGCGAGCAATGGACCTTTCTTAGTGACCTGAGTCGCCGTGAACTTAGGTTTCGTAGAAGGTGCTACCATACCTTACAGGTGGCAAATCATATTGATGTCTTTCGTTAAGAGGGATCCTTCTAGCTAGGTATGATGAAAACACTTGGCAGCCCTGTGTTCCCGTGTAGCAAAATGCGTATGAGGGAGACAATACAGCCAAAAGTGGTAAATAATTACTTGTCACATCAAGTTCTACAATCGCTGCATCGATACAGGCAGGTGAGTATCCAGAAAATATCTGGCTCACGGTACAATGTGGTTCAAGTCAAAATAAACAGGTTAATAGATATTTATACGGTTGTTTTTTGGTTTTTTTAGCACTCATTTTCCAAGATGTAATCAATGAAGCAGGCTCCGTAGGAGCGATGCAGTAGAAAGACTGGGTGGGTTTCCTTTCAAGCATTATTATTTTTCACCCTTATAAGATATTTCGAATTCAGCGCACATAATGTTGGTGTTCGTATGAATTGGGGATCTCCATTCATCTGCACATCGCCACAGGGCGAGTTGGCACCTAGGAGAAAGCTTGCGGTACAAGATACGTCTTCTAATGTCTATAGACTACATGGCAAATTAACTCACCTCTTGGCAGAACGCTCCAGCTCCGGCAACCGCATGATAATACATACAAACTGGTTACTGTGGAAAGCGTGCCGGCAAGCTTCTACAAACTTAATTTGGGTTGGGAACTATGAACCCGATATCTACAGAGGGAATTAAAGCGCAAAGGTACCAAACATTACCTAACAAGTCAATACCTAAGTATTGTGCCAGTAAGATGTACTCCCAACATGGATGTGAATTGTTTTTTTTGCAATAAATAATGTTATTTGTTGGAGTCTTCATCTATCCATCCCTACCCAGCGACCTTGGGTCTATGTGCTATGCGAATATGTTGCAAGGCCTTAACTCACCTGAGACTTATGGACGCCTCCAGAGTAAACACAAGTCGACCTTCATATTACGTACCTGCAACCTCCTGGATATGTCCAAAAGTGGCCATTGTCTGGTCTCAATTGCGTTTGCCATGTGTCACTATAGTCCATTAGCCCGTAGGCTTGTGGTTTTGTCAACGCGCGTTTGTGTGATTTGGCGTAATGATGCACTGCAACGCATCGATGGCGAAAGGTAAAGTCGGCCATCTGCTCTCGCAACTGCACGCACGGAGCGGTCATGGTGTCGTATCCTGCAGCGCTCGTATGTTTGCTGACGATGAACAAAGCTGTTCGTCTCGCACTCAGTGCTACGTCCTTCAACTGGGTTGTGTGAGGAGCTTTATGTACGGCACTTTTTCAGGCTGATGTCAAGGCCGGCATCAACCATAATGACCGGCCGCTCAAAGATATCGCACATGAAAGCCCGGATTTGAAGGCTGTTCCGCAGTCGCGCTCCACCATGGTACCATAGTGAGCATCGTAGTCAGGTCCGGACATGACTATTAGCGCGATCGCCGACCCCTTATCCCCGGTTCCTGCATAACGGACCCAGTGAAAACCCACACTATACGAAGTTCTATCGGTCCGCGGCTTACGGGATTTGCAGGCACTGGCCCACAACGCCGCCTCTGAGCGCCGTTTGTTTTATTTCGCGACAATCCTTCGAGTGGACACCAATCTGTCAGGAACAGGTCGAAACAAGCATGTCAAGTTTTCACTTACCCGGAATGAAAAGTGGCCCTATGACGCTCGCCCCAAAAAATGATCGCGACAGCGTTTGCCAGCGATGGCCGCCCAGGAGTCAGACAGCTGGGTCAGGCGAACTAATCGGCCCAGACTCGTGACAACCACATCGAGGCTGACCCGTTATTTGGTCCACAGAAACGCGCATGACGTCGCGGCTGTGCTGCAAATCGTATTTTCCCTCCGAAGTAAGGCGGGCGGGCAGACCTGCCTTAAGGAAATAATGTGCCTCACACGTAGTCGTACGTTTTCTTTCCTGGACCTCTTGATTCCCGACGTTCAGGTTGGATACGCCAGAAGTTAGCCGTCGAACCAGTATGCAATTGTTATCTTGGAGGATATGGGTGATATGCAATGTCGCCTTGAAGGCCACGGCCATTGATATTGATTGGACCTCTGATTGTAGGTTGCGCAGAGCTATACCTGGTGGCCTCAGCTGATAGCAAAACGTAGCTTCGATCAAAGAAGGTGCAGCAACGCTCGCATATGGCTTGCTTCAATACTACACCGGTAATGAGACCGGCGATGTCCCGGGAAACTTGCCAGATCCATATTATTGTACGTTTTCCCGGATCCGTTACAAAACCAAGTGCACTTGACTGACTTGTGAGAACAGGGTGGGAAGGTAAGAATCAAGATTGTACCAAGACCTAAATGGTCGAGTATCGAGCACCTGTACTGATTGGCGCCAACCTGAACAGCCGGCGCATTATTTGGCACGATGATCGACTATTGGGCATTCACGGGCGATGACACCTATGTCGACATAACATTCCAGGCGCTGCAACACCAAGTTGGAGACGATGGTGACTTCATGCCGCAGAACCAGACACTCACCGAAGGCAACGATGATCAAGGGTTCTGGGCTATGTCTGCGATGACAGCGGCAGAGATGGGATTCAAGGACCCGGATGCCAATGGCAAGCAGTGGCTAGCGCTTGCCCAGGCGGTGTTCAACGAGTACGTGTGGCGATGGGACACCAGCACATGCAACGGCGGGCTGCGATGGCAGGTCTTCACCTTCAACAACGGCTACGACTACAAGAACAGCGTTTCCAATGGCTGCTTCTTTAACCTTGCATCACGCCTCGCACGATACACTGGCAATACCACCTACGCCGACTGGGCCGACAACGTTTGGAACTGGATGTCTGACGTAGGCTTCATCGACAACGACTACAACATCTACGATGGAGCATCGGACACCGATGGTTGTACCGAAATCGACAAGTCGCAATGGACATACAACGCAGGCATGTTCCTTGAGGGCAGTGCCGCGATGTATAGCTACACCAACGGGTCAGAGAAGTGGGAGCAACGCACGAACGGCATTTTGAAAACCGCATCAACAGTCTTCTTCAACAACAGCGTCATGTTTGAGCCGCCCTGCGAGCCTCAAAATAACTGCAAAACCGACAGTTTCTCCTTTAAGGCTTATTTTGTGCGATGGTTGGCCAAGACTACGCAGCTTATGTCGTCTACGTACGACACGATCCACCCGTTACTGCTGGCTTCGGCAAGGGGCGCGGCGCTGCAGTGCAGCGGCACGGCAACAGGGACAGCGGGCAGGCAGATATCAGGGTCTGCGTGTGGTCAGCACTGGGTCTCAGGCGCGAACTACGACGGAACAAGCGGCGTTGGACAGCAGATGTCGGGGTTGTCGGCCGTCTTTTACACTCTGGTAAAGGGCGCCCCGGTCCCCTTTACGTCTGTAACTGGTGGTACATCGACGGGCGACTCTAGTGGAGGATCAGCCAAGACGGATAAGACAGTGGCGGGACCACCGCCTATCACAACCGCCGACAAGGCAGGTGCTGGAATTCTGACGACTTTGGTTTTGGGAGGCTTGGGCGGTGGCATGTGGTTTATGATTTCAGAGTGAGTGACACCGGCCCACACGGTCTCAACCGCGGATCGGGAAAGTATTGGCGCAGGTTCTTAGCAAACCGGCCGTGTACGCATTATCATTAGAGGCTTGGGGGAGTTCTAGGAGTTAGCCCATCGTGGCTTCAGGTTATCATTGCTACATCGCTGAATCTCATCACTCAAGGTTCAACTAAGTTTTCATCTTCTGGGCCGTATCAGATAACGATTTAAGGCACGCACGCGATAACAGTACTGTCTGTTTGCTATAACTGTAATCAACACGTCTGATGTCTTGGCTACTAGTGCTTGCCATATCAGGACGCTTTCCAAGGTTGAAGTCCTAGCGCATCTGGGCCTTGGCGAATCTAATTGCCTGATAAGCCGTGACATGGATAATTTGATCACTTTCTCGGAAGATATCGTTCTCTCGTCAAAGAGCAGAGGGTATTTAAAGTACTGGAGTTCAGACGAACCATCAGTCCCTTTGATGAGAAGTCTCATGTAAAAGAGTGCCGTACATCTACAACTTACTTCGGGGCTGTCCAGGCTCCGCGTCTGCATGTTTCTTGACGAAGGCGATGGTCCGTTCAAAATACTCTGCGGTCTTCTGGAAACCAGTAAGCATGTAGAAGCAATGCGGCAGGCCCTGGTACGTGGCAAGATCCACCGTGTTTCCGGCAGCCTCAAGTGCCGCCGCATACGCGATGGCCTCGTCTCGCAACGGGTCAAGACCGGCCGCCTGGACCACTAAGATATGCATAAGTTTTCACAGTTCATGTGTAGGATGCAGGGACGACGTACGAGCTGGCGGGAGACCCTTGAGATCATGGACTTGATGGAGCAGCGGTGAATGCCTTGGATCAGGCTTCGGATCCGTCCCCAAATAGCAGTCCCAGAAGAACTCCATCCGATAGCTATTCACAATACCGGCATTGTAATTCTGAATATAGCTGAGCAGCTCGTAGTCCTCCTTACTTGGTACCTGCGAGAAATACTTAGGGTGACAGGTCACAGGGAACACCAGACTCTGTGCCACAATCCCCGATAGGCCTTCGTTTCTCGCTTTGATAGCTATGCATGCAGCCTGTGATCTGTGGTTAGACTGGAGATCAAGTTCTGATATGAACACTGCTCACCAAGTTGCCGCCACCACTGTTCCCTGCCAGGATGATTTTCTCCGGGTGGACCCCCAAGGCCGACGAATTTGACTTACACTGGGTGACTTGTCAGTATCAACCTTCTGAACCCGTAAGCGACTTGCCTACCCATTTCAAGACATCCCACGAATCATCGACTGGGTACGGAAACGGGTATTCTGGTGCCCTAGAATAATTAGTGCCACTTGGCAGTAAATGTGTAGTTTGGAAGCCAGCTCACATCCGATAGTCAACACTGACAACCACAACATTTGGTATGGCACCGAAGTATAAGTTCTCGGCTTCTTCCGTCTCGTGCGCGCCGACCGTCCATCCTCCACCGTGCATGCGAAAAACCAATGCCGCATTAGGTTGCACCTTCGGTGACTTGTAGATCTTGATCTCAATCGTCGTGCCGTCTCTGACAGGAACCTTGGTCTTTGATAGCAGTACATCCTTACCGGCTACAGGGCAGTTGTCTGGGATTGCTGGCGGTGCCGTTGCCCATGCCTCTTTGAACTTGTCCATGGGGACGTCGCCACCCCACATCGGCCGCAGTGCATCGTCGGTGACTTGCTCAACTGCAGCGTAGTTTGGGTCTTTTCCCGAGAGATGGCCGTTCTTTGGGCCGGGCTTGAAGTTGGGGTCAAGGACCGTATAGTCCATCTTGGTCTTTATGTGAACCATTGCGGAGGTCGAAATACCTGGGAAGCTCTGCAGAGTCTGCAGGTAGGCTGAAAGAGGAGGAACACGCTGTATACGTGTTTCACTCGCACTTGCAGTATATATTAGAATCCAAGCCTGACCAGAGAGTTTTGGGTTGACACTAGTAGCCGCAGAAAACCCAACCCTTGAGGTTCGGAAAATGCTTGCCCGTTGAGGGTGCAATCATCCCTGAGGCACTGTTCCCCACAATATCGCCTTCCACCAAGATTTCACCAAGACCAGACCGTATTACCTAGAACGCTTCGAGATACTGGAAAGACTCTTTCTTGCACTCAGATATCTGCTAGATAGCCGAGAGCGACATATTGTGTAGTTCAAATCTCTCGGTAGCAGATGCGTCGGAGGTGTAGGGGGTTCTCCTGTAACATCGCCGCAGCTGGGGTCACCATGTTTGGAGCTTCATTGATAAGTACTATAATCTTGTATTGACAGTTCATTTCTCAATCTACTTACTCAGCTGACGCATTCAGCACTAGAATATGACTGTAAAGTATCGTATGCGCACCGCCAGAACGAGCGGTGCATGAGGCGCGCCGATCCCCCTGCTTGCAAGTACTTACCGGTTAAGGTTCTCCGTGCTACCCATTAACCTCTTCCCCACGACAGTGACATGGGTTCATATGACTAGTTCAGTTTGCCTTTCAGCCATTGAAACAGGGATGATTCTCTTGTCTGTGTGTAAATGCGCATTCTATAAATTGGTATATTACACAAACTCAGTTCGTTGACTTTCGTCGCCTTCTACGATGCTGTCTGCTAACGGGACACAGTCGCCAATTTAGAACTTGTGCACTTGTTCTTTAGTATAACCAAGTTCTTCAAGCACCCCTCTTTGCCACCTTGATCCGACCAGGGCAGTCTCCATGGCAGGTGGGCCGCATACGAAGACTTTACTTTCTTTCGAAGGAGTCCTCGACACCTTCGCCAATAGTTCTTTCGTCACATAGCCTTTGTCGTAAGGTGAGCCGTCATTGGGCTTGCTGACGACATAGTTTGCCTTGAAGCGGTCCGGAAATTGCTTCTCCCACGCCTCGAACTCCTCTTTCATCAGTACATCCGCGTCGGAGTTGACACCAAAGATCAAGTCGATCCTGGTTTTGTCCTCGGGATTTTGTAGGATGCCAGAGGCTAACTGATAGATCGGCGTTATCCCTGCGCCACCGGCAATAAGGGTCACTTGTGGGAACTGGTTGGGTTTATAGGAAAACCCGGGAATTCGTGTGACAAAGAACAGCTTGTCGCCTGGTGACAACGAGTGTAGATGTGTACTGGCTTTGCCTCCGGGATAATGCTTCACCATGAGCTCCAGCACTTCCGGATCGTCTAAGCCCTGTCAGTACAACGAGAACTCACGACCCAGATAGTAAGGCCACCCGTACCTGGAGAATTTATTGGAGTGTAAGGTCTTAATACGGGTGTCCATTGACCCTTTGGCCACGAAAGTGTCAAGACCGCGGCTGTCGGTAATTAGACTCAGAAGACTATCAATTAGACTGATCAAACTCACACGTGATGGGGAATCCTGAAACGGTATTCTCCGGGAGTTGAAAGCGTAGACGCTTTGTATTGTGGTTGACGGTCTCGCTACTGGCTACTGGCAAGGACGTCATGGCCATTCCAGCAAAGAGTTTCTTGGGTGCACCTGAGTCGGCGTGGGCAGTATCCATCATTGTACGCGCATAAAGAGCAACACCCAGCCCGGCAACTGCTATTGTGCCGACAATGGTGGAGCTGCGCGTCTGGCGCAGAGGTTGAAGTGCTGATGCCACCCTCGACATGGTTTGAACCTGTAAGTACTAAGACCCTAGAGAGTTGCGGGATGAGCTCTGGAGTTGAAGACTATATAGAGTTGCAATTATGATTTGGGTCGCTCGAAGGCATTAACTAGTGCCAAAAATTTTTGGGCAAGATGGCTCATTTATGGCAATATGTGTGTTTTGTTTCGAGTATCGTAAGCCGGACATTCGGTACCGTACGAAACCGGACAAAACTGGGCACGGGAATGTCCGAACGCCGTGGCGCGCCTTATGGCTGCCGGGCTTAGTGGATAGCTGTGGGACTTGAGACCATCCTTCCAGGCAATTCCGTGCGCACCACGAAGACCTATGATTTAACTCTGGAATGCCCAGGTCGAGGGTCCAGCATCTCTAAGGTCGGTATTGATCAATCGGAATCTCTGCGTTCAAGAACAAATGACAGCTGCCATCCGCACTCTGCTTGGCAGACCCCCGCGATCAAGCCCGAGTGTGGACAGACCCCCGCGAAATACACCGACCGCACTCCTGTCAAACCATTGTCTAGATCTTTCACGAACAGAAAAGTAGTACACATTGGCATTTGATCGGTACAATCTGTTTCCGTCTGCCGACCGCCCGTCTGATGTGGCTCGGTCCCGAATCCTTCAGGACGGGCTGATGTGGGCCCACCCGAACCCTGCGTAATGTTGATCTGCCTGGCCAGAGGCGATCTTCGAAAATAGGTGCTCGACGCGGCGAAGATGCCATGCAATTCAGGTGCGCAAGTTATCACTTCGATTTCTGAGCCACTATCCAATTCTACGTGTTGCAGGAAGCATCATATCGAAAATTCTAACCCGCACCTCTGCGGAACGATGGAAGCCTGGAACGCTAGCCAGTATTACCGCACGATCGCACCGCAAAACTTCAGAACAAACACCAACACCACACAAGTAAGGCGATGCTTCTCATGTCTCTATTTTATAGCTTCACTCTACTCTGTGCATTGATAAGGCCTAATGCCAGGGTCCAAGCGGGCGGATCTGGTCTTAGTGCTGCGATGTGCAGGCCTCTATACGCTCGAATGACAATGGCTCTGCTGTCGCATTCCACCCTGTTGTCCCACAATAGACCTATCGCGATTCGCCAATGAGGAAATGTGAATAGTATATCATGACTAGGCAATGGCCAAAGTACATTTGTTTATCCTGAGTTAGGCATGCGTCAAGTCTAGGCACACTTGACATGCCCATGCACGTTGTACACACGTCCCAGTCAAAACATCATCGTTGTAAATAGGTAATTAGGTAGGGAGTTGGCCTTTAAATACGTTATGTACCGAGGTATAAACTGGATATCTCTTAGGGCTGTCCAGAGCCCAAGGTTCCTGCTCTACTTGAACAATCTTAGAATCTCATCGTTTCCTCTTTTCTTTGCAAGCTCCAAAGGCGTTACCCCGCTGGGATTTCTTATATCCTGCGCGGCACCGTTTTCAAGAAGAAACTTGACACATTCAACGCGATCATAGTACACTGCGGCATGGAGCGGAGTGCCCCAACGCTCATCGGTTACCCAATGTGACGGCCTGCCATTCTCCGGAGGAATCTCGTTGATGTCTGCTCCCTTGTCCAGCAACAGCCGCACTAGCTCAACATCACCTGTGATTGAAGCTTCTCGGAGGGCGCTTGTTCCCTTCACTGTTGCGCCATGTTCGATCAGGAACTTGGCTACTTGGAGATCCGGGATCTCGCAAGCGATTTCCAGCGGATTTGAATAAGTCTGGCGCCCTTCATTCGGGTCTGCGCCCTTGGCAATAAGATGCGCGATCATCGGGATGTGGCACTGATTCATAGAGACGACGTGTCTGTTTCCTGGTCAGAAGTGGTCGTAGGGGACTTTGCTTTCACTTACACTAGAGCATTTCCGACATGCTCATATTCCGTATGCACGTCCCATCCGTTTGCGATTGCCACGTCGACTGCCTTGGTGTTCCAGCTGTTGGACTCGTCGCCGCCGTCGACGACATCTTGTATGGACTCGTAGGTCCACCGCGCGCCTCGTCTCATGAGCTCATCCTCTATGTCGTAGCGGCCCAACCTGAGCGCAGTATTCAGAGCCTCGTATGCATAGTTGTATTTCGAGATGGGCTCCTCGGCAGAATCCAAAAGTGCTCTCAGCCCGTTGATGTCGTCAGCCTTGACGGCGTCAATGAGCTGTTGCACGAACTTCTGTTTCTTATCGTTGTCCATTGGATAAGCACCGCTGTGGGGATCTTGGCGGTTGGAGGCGTGGTGGATGCACAGATTTGATTGAAAGTGATAGCAGTGGAAGCCAAAATAAATTCGTTCAAGAGATGGACAAGCGGTGTTAAGTAGGTTCCTGTGCCACCGACCTATATGTATTGTCCCTTTGGTGGCTGTTCCTGCGTAGCGGGGAATTACGCCAAAGGCCACCTGGGCGCGACTGAGATTGGTGCAGATCCGCACCAGACGGGCTTGGGGCCGCACAAGCGTTTTTCGCGAGAGAGCCATGAGGGGCCACTATAACGCCTGAAGCGAGGGCAAGCGTTGGCTAAACATAGACGCAAGGCGCTAGAGTTGACACATAAGCACCCCCACCATGGAGGCTTGTCGCCTTGTGTGGGATCAATGCGGGCTTAGCTGACATAATATGAAGTAGGCGCATGCGTTTCCTTACTACGCACAGAAGTCAACCATGCGTATAGTCAAAGTGTGGGGAAGCACTCAATATGGATGCCCGCGTCTATTGATGGTAAAACTAGTAAGGGAACATCCTCACAACTGTATACACCGAGGATTGTAGGTTTCCTTGAGAGTCGATTGCACTCAAGTAGTATAGTGGGGTAGAATATAAGAACGAAGAGATGTCAGGAGACATTGCATTTTTTTCATCTCCAGTAGCATCACAACTCCAATCATCACATCTTCATTCACTGAGGAACAGGTATCAACTGCGCACCGCTTTTGAGAACTTAGCCCCAGACCCAGACCTCCAACAGGACTTAATCCAGAAAGCCGTTGCTTTAGATCAAAGACGCCGCCATGAAGCTCTCGGCAGTTCTCGCGCACGCAGTGCTCCTCTTTTCCTCTCTCGGGGCTGCCGCTCCTATCGACGGATACGATGATGCCCTCGACGTTCGCGCCGTGGGAGACTCACCGGACCTCCCATCCGGGCTTGTCGCCAGGGCCAAGAAGACGGAGCCCATGCCGAGTCTCGACACATTCAAAGCGCAGTTCAAAGACATCGGCCCCGATACCTGCCTGTTCTACTCGGGCGTCTTCATCGGAGGCCCTTCCGAAAAAAATGTTATGGAACTTCGTGACAGCCGGTCGTATCTTCACGGATATAGAATCCTGAAGGAGACGTGGAAGGATGAGTCCTACACGAAGCTCGCCGGCAAGGTGAAGCCTAGTGCCAAGGCCTTCTTTGCGCAGGCCTCGATGGCGCTCGCTCAAGAATGCGAGGGCGTCGTGTATGTGCTTCTGGGTGATGGATCCGGCCAGAACTGGCCAAGCGGTACCATCTGGGCCAACCAGGAATGGCCCAACCTCCGCCGCGGTGCTGGAGTTACCAAGGTTATTCGCCTGAACGAGAAGAACGACAACCAGGAGACTATCTGGGAGATGACCGTACCGCACCCTGTCACCCCACCGACGCCGCCCACTCCTCCCGCTCCTCCTGCCCCTCCCAAGAACTAGAGGCAGAAGGGTCAGATGTCGAAGCTTTGACTTATAAAAAAGTCAATGCCATGCATTGGGACTTTTGAACATGGGATAGCGCCCAGAAGTCCCACGACCTCTCAATCTGGGATCATGAAGGGACAGTTGGAATTTGCGAGACAGTCATTTAGGTTTGGTATCGGTCTACAGGGTGTAGGTACTGGAGGCGTTTGCATTGGACAGAGGGCTTTGGCGGGATATTTGTTTATTATTTGTGGTACCGTTGTGGTAGCATTATAAATTATCTATGGGTCAATTACTCTTCAAAATGCTGGCTCGGACCAGATTGGTGTGCATGTAATACACTCTTCCGTTTCCAAGAGTGTTTATGGATATAACCTAGTACTATCTGGCCGGGGCATATTGGTTGAGGAAACAGTAGTGTGCTCCTCCGTCAAGCAGTCGCGTCTAAAATCAAACTCTGCGAAATACATTGTCATTGCTGTCGTTTATCTCCAAATTACTTTGTTTTATTGCATTTCATTATTCTCCGTGCTTAGAAGGAATGCTGAATTTCACGCATCGTTACCTGAGTTTTACCGCAGACTTACAAGTTAATCATATATTCCAAAAACAAATCATTGACCCCAAGATATAAACTCAATATGGTGTAATTTACGGCAGAAGAGGATGTGTCGACTGTTGTTCAATTCGAACGCCAACCTCTACGCACCCATGTCCCCCTTCTGCTCTCGTAGAACTGTCCATTAGCTTCTAGATAAGCAGCGCAGGGGATGGCTTGTCTATCAGCTGCCATCTACCTGACCCCTGCTCCAGCAATAATCAGGCCATTCTAATCCAACAGCACTACTTCGTAACTCCCCCTGGTTCCCTAGTCTCGGCGGACATCTCATTCAGCTGACCATCGATAGATATCTCCTGGGGTCGCTCCTGGTGGGGAAGTTCATGCATAGGTTGGATAGCGTTTTCGGGAGCAATTTGGTTGTTTCCATAGTAGCCCTGGCTCTGACGCCAGTCACCCTCGGGCTTGCCGTATGGTTGGGCGACCGCCGGTACCCACTGCCCATCGGCCCAGTAGCCTCCCTCCCAGTATCCAGATGTATACTGCGGCGCAGGAGAACTGTTGATCGACAGATGTGGATTTGGACTCATTCCATGCGCGGGACTTGTGGCATCGTAGTGCGCAGCCTGGACGGCAGCTGTTTCGGCATCCCTGTTCTTTCGAGAATTACGGATGTGGAAGAACATATAAACGGCTATCGCCGCTACGACAAGAGGAAGTCCAAGTCCAACCCCCACCCCGACCCCAATCTTTCCCCCTTGGGATAAACCACCACTGTTCGAAGGCTCAGCCTCAGTTGTCGGCGAGGTGGAGTTGGCTGTGTCTGTAGTGTTCTGTTTGAGGAGAGTGAAGCTCGGCTCCCAAGTGTTGTTGCCGGACTGATACAGCTGTGTCAAGCTCCCATTAACCTTCATGTACAACCAGACTCTATCACGTCCAGCATCAAAATCGAGTCCGATATCGCCATTACGATCATCAGGCTTTGGCCATGTCGATATGTCCTGTGTCGAGCCCTGGGTCCATGTACCGTTCCAAGTCTTTTGATAATGGTGCAAAAATCCATCAGAGCCGATGTAAAAGACATGTGGATTGGTTGCGGAGTCCAGGGACATGGCTATATCAGCACGCTTCGCTTCAAGTCCTTCTATCGTAGCATTCGTTTTTGAGGGAGTCACGCCGTACCGATCTTCGCGGAGGTTCGTGTCATTACTAGGTTTGAACCATGAGGCTCCCTCATCGGCGTCGATTGATTGTGCCATCAATGTGTCAGGGACTGTTTCTATAATACGATCAGTGTTTAGCCTGATGTTGCATGTCAAAGTGTTTCATACCAAGTCTCCACCGCGTACCGGGTGTCTGCGTACATAGTTCTATATTGTCGTCTCGAAGGAAAGCAGCGCTGATCACTATTGGTTTATTAGGGTCGATGAAACCTCCCGTGACAGCCCAGCCCAAGTACGGCGTTTGCGATACTTGGCCAGTGAATGACCATCCTCGGTCTCCAGGCCGAAAGCTTAGCTCCGCGGTATAGCTGTCTTCGTCCTTGTAGAATAGCCTGTAACCATCGGTCGACCCCATTAGGAAGACTTTCAAACCGGTCCCATTGAGGATTGATGGAGCGATATCCAAGGAGATCTTCCAAGCATTGTCGGGAGTGGGGACGAAATGGCCAGTAGAGTCGCAATCGTACAGGGCTTCCACGATCTGTCCCCCTTCCTCCTGATAGAACACCGCTGCCTTGAAACTGATTAGCGACACACTAGCAGGCCTTCACGAATACTGTTTTGTCTTACTTGAACCCCATTATCATTCTTGTAACCCGTGCCCGTGATCTTAGTGCCTTTCAAAGGTGGAAACGGTAAAGACAGGGCGGCCGAGTCATCAAAAGGAAATATTGGGGTGCCGACGCTGTTACAGAGGCTGTAGTATATCTTGTTGGTTTCGTTGTCGTACATTATGACTTGCTGAGCTTGCCCTGAGGCTGTGTTCCAAGTGGCTATCGTGCCACAAGACACCAGGCCCATGAATAGCCATAGCGACCACGTGTATCTCGCAATTATACTTCTCCCAAGCATTTTTGGTCTGGGGTTCCTCTCCTTTGTTGAAGTCTGGTTTTGATCTCCAAAAGAGGAACACAGAGAGGTGCCCCAGATAGTGCGAAGGGAACACTGGTAGGATCAGCTAGGAGAAAATCTTCGTGGAATAATCCAGCGCGGGGCTTGAGAAAGAGCTCGGAACCTACCTCAGCTGGGCACGGTAGGGCACGGTACCGGAAAAGCTTCAACACAGAGTGGAAATCACATCTATCCTGGTCGACGGCACCGTGCATAGTCTTCATTTGTATGCATGGCATATGCAGTTGGTTGCCAAAGTGGGACCAAAGGCAGGGGGCATAGACACCACCCGGCCCTCTCATTCGTCGCGTCATTTCCTCCGTGACGATGAAGACCCATGACCTGTCACAACAACACAGCGACTGCCTGGGTTCGCGAAAAGTGTGCAATGCGCAGTGACTGTGTAGCGTTACATCAAGCGGGAAGGCCATCCCCTGATTCGCCTTATACGACTCAGCTCTCCGCCCATGCCATCGTGTCAGCCTCCCCAAGGCATGCACCTGGTCGACGAAGGATCAACTCCGTGTCTTGAGCACACCTTGGTCGCTGCATATTCTCGGACTACTCTACTGGGACGTTGTTGCCGATCGATTGACGTGTCGGTGGAGGAAGATTGTTGGAACCGATCGGGCTAGACTCGGGGACCAGCAGCTCGGGCCGGCGCGGGGACCACCGTGCTCGGGCCCGATAGCGACACTGGCCAAGGAAGAATACAGCATCTCCTTGGCATGGTTTCCGAGCACTGGGGGTTTCTTCGATTTAGCCCTTGCGAGATTGTCTTCAAGAGGTAGCGACCTACAGTTGAAGTCCACTTAAAACAACATCATGCCACCCATACTAGCCAGACATTACTAAGCTTCTATTCTCATAAACCTCAGAGGCAAAATTTGCCTGGAGCTAGTCCATAATCCATGAGTGAAACCGCTGTCACAGTCCAAGCACGCCGAAATGTGAAGGATTCGCACAGTATTCAGCTGTGCGGACACTAACAGTAAGAGTACTAGGGACCAACCGCCCAATCCTGCCTGTACCAAAGGCATCGTGACAGTCTCCCTCGCGGAATGGTAAGCCATCTTCACTTACGAAGATTTTCACACCACTTGATGTAACCTACAGCCTCGCTCGTTACTTCTCGCTCCTCGGCGGCCTGAAATATCAATAAAGAATTGGGCGATATCCAGCACGACATGCTTGAACCTCTATAGTCGCCCGACGACTACGGTGGTCAACATTTGCCCTCCCACATCCACTCCCTGCCTCGTCTCGTAGCAGCAGACTCTTGGCCCAGACCCAAAGGTGATCTTGCGGAGCAGGTGTGCATGGAAACTGCCAGACGTGATTAAGGCCATGCACGCGCCTCCCCGGTCCCGAAACCCACGCTGTCCCGCTGCGCGGCGCAGGCGAAATTGCCAGCTTCCAACATTAGCGCTTCCGCTCTGGGACAGACGGGGGGCCCGTGAGCAGAGGTCCGTCGATCACGTTGGGATACCTGGTGAGCAGGCGGCTGTGGGGGAGGATGAAGTATCTTATTACAACACACCGTACATTTACACATTTCGAATTGCCACGCCCGCTGGCAGCTATTAGAAGGATATCCTTCTGCCCCTACTGGGATGGGGCCACATACTTGCGCGCTGTGGTGGCATCATCTTCTGTTGGCAGATCCGCTGTGATCTGTGGACTTGCGCTTGGCAGTGCCAAGAATTGATGCAGATCGTTGGTTCTGTTCCAGGGTGGTTATTACTCTCACTTCAAAGGGGCCCGTAAGCGAAATTCGTAGCATGCACATGGATCAGAAACTTGGGCTTCCCAGCTTTTGCTGTCTTCTTGCTCAAGCATCCAGATCAGACTGAAAAGTAGGAATCACTAGGTATTATCAAAGCATGATCGATTCTCCCATGCAAGCACGTAAATGCCATAATCGTAGAGAGGCAATCCTGTCTCTACTTGACCAAGTGAGAGGCTGTAGTAACAGTCATTTCCGGGCCAGGTCTCTACCTGGTATGAACTTTCCTTACGCCTCCCCTGAAATCATAAGTCATTGTCTGTATCGATGAATCCACCGGTGTCATCCTCCGATCGTCAATAAAATGTCAGCAAAGACTCCGTTCACAGCAATCCTAAAAAGCCCTCGCGTATAGCAACTGTCAAATAATACCATGCCGCATGCAGAAAGAGACACCATAACAACACTACGCCTCCTTGATTTCCGTCAACACAGCACTTCATACCTCTCAGGATAGGTTTGGCGCAGTGGCAATCATGCCGGCCAAGACAGCAGCTCCACCCATCACTGTTCCCAGCGCGCAGGCAGCCACTTGGGCAAAACGACGACGCTTCACTGGCCTATCATTGAGCTTGAGGGTGGTAAAGGTGGCATCAGTGGCCGAATTTCCTGTTCGAAGTGTCATGTCTGCTGACGTATCTGTCTGGCTTTCAGGCTCGTGATCATGATCGGAGCGGTTGTTTGTATCGGCCAAATCACTGGTAGTGGCTTTGGATGGAGAGTCCTTGCGACCAAGGGGAGCTTGCAAGCTACTGCCGGGCTCTCGGCATTCAGCTTCCTCCCCAGCAAAAACTTCATCAAAGGATCTCTTCGGACGACGACCATCAACCAACTTGGCACATGGTGACACATCCGTGATAGGAGGAGCCTGTGCAATTGTGTCGGGTGCTGGTGAGGGTTCTTGTGACTCATGTGCCAGTAAAGCTTGGATTGGAAGACCTCTGGTGCTTGGAGAGTGTCTGAAATCGGGATTCTTCTTGCTTTCAATAAATGTAGCAGCACTTGTCATGTCAAGCTCAGGACTCTGCAGGCGTGTTCTATCTTCAACTGCCGACACAATGAAATTTTGAGGCTCTTGCAGGAAGGCTTCTCCAGGCTGGGTCCATGCCGACTTCACAAGTAAAGGCGATCTGGTGTCATGGACAGAGGTGGAGCCCTTTTCAACACCGTCTTCCATTCTAGAGCTGTGCTCTGGCCACAGAAGGCCCGGATGAGTATTCGACTTCTCAGGAATAGGTGCTTTTTGAGTATTGTGAGATCTGCCGTCCTTGTACAGGCTGTCGACACCACCAGCTGAGGCGGCGGGTTGTCGAATCAATGGGTTGTTCAAAACTGTTGCGCGGTTCTGGTCCCTAGCCGCAAAGAATTCGTACTTCCCAGTCCTCTCACCCATGGCTTGAGCAGCTGAAGTAGAAGTTGTCGCCTTGGGTGCAATAGGGCGGCTCTTGGCCATAGCAGCGTCTGAGGGGCTGGGAAGTCTGACCCCATAGGCGGCGGGTAAGACCGAGGCGACAGAATACATATCCGGGAGCTTTGGTGGAAAGGGAAGGAACGAGTTATCCTCCTCGACCAAGCCAGACGAGGAAGCCGCATTGGCCTTCGGCGATGAGAACAAAGATGGGGTAACTCTGCTTGCTGTGTCGACAGGAGGGGATGATGCAGGCAAGTCGACAATAGGCGATGTATCCTTCTCGAAGATGGTAGCATCAAGGTCTTCTTCATCACTCAGTGAGGTCAAATCCTCCTCGAAATAGGGAACATTGTTCATGTCTGGGTATTTGCTTGAAAGTTAGTTCGCGCTCTTTCCATGAAAAGTGTATTGAGAGACGGGGTTACTGACCGTCTTCCTCTGGTTCGTCAAAATCGTCCATGTCAGCAACTTCGGTCTGTGCAGCTTCATTATCTCCATACTCTGAGAGACTTGCGTCGGAGTAGTCACTTGGAACGGAAGTCTCGCGCTCAACGCCACTGTCGAAACCGTGAGATCCCAGCTGGGGAGTGGGCTCACAGTTGCCTTGAAGCTCAATATCGACATCTATCTCGTCCTCAATATCCTGAAGTCCGTCACTATCGTAAGCAAGAGAGTAGGTACCAGGGCGGTCCGATTGAGCCGGGGAGGAGGGATAGTCATCGCTGGTTCCAAGGTCTGACTCGCTTCCGTCTTCAGAAGGACTGTATCCTCGTATGTCGTAGTTCATACTCTCGGCATCCGAGCTGTCGTATGGCGCCTCAGAGGTAAGATCGATGACGTTGGCATTCGCATTGAGTCTACCAACGGTCACGCTCGATGCCAAGTGGACAGAGAGGCGTGAAGCGGGAGGTGGAGGAGTCTCTCGCGTGAGGTCAATGGCCGGGCGAGCTTCTTCACGATCCATCTGGGCTGGCCGTGACTGGTTCAACTCCGAAAAGGGGTCATTTGTGATCAAGAGATCCTCGCTCTCGTCCTCGTCCTCGTCCTCGTCATCATCCGGAACCACAAACCGATTGGTGGATGCAGCTCGACTTGGCCCAACATGGGTAGAAGTCGGCGTTCTAGTTTTGTGTGTCAGCGCTGTGTGTGTGAGTGAATTATGAAGCATAAAGGTTGGGGTACATACGGCTCATTCCAGCTCATGCTCAAGGCGAGCACACACGGGGGAAAAGTCTCATGTGACCGGTAGATATCTATACCGAACCGAAGATTGTCACCGTCTCTGAGCTGGACCTGGTCCCGCACAGGGAGTCGGTCCTCCCTGTCATCGTATCTAGCGCGGCGGAACGTGCCGTGGAGGGAGCCAGTGTCCTTGATGTGGAGTGTCTGGTGACCATGTGTTAGTTAGCTTGGGCCACAGGTGGTACAGTGGGGGAGTGGAGGGGAATCTACTTGCCTTTTCGTCGAAATCGGCGATCAGCTCAGCATGGTTTCTCGACATGACTGGACTCTCAAACCAGGCGTTATCCCCTGCAGCAATGAATCCCTTGGTTGCTACCTTGGATGCGCGGCCGACGCGCACGACTGGGTTCTGCTCGGTTAGAGTGAACTTGCGGTTGGGTTCGACGAAGGTTGGTCCAGGGTGACAGGCAGTCAAAGTGACGGTGACTGTGATGGAGAGGTCAGCAAAAGGTCAGTGTCAGTAGCGGGGAGTCAGATTGGATGGTTGCCCGTTTGTCATGTTCTATGAGCTCGGGGCAGCGACAGCATCCTCAGCTGTTGCGGGCTGCAAAAGCCAGACGGCACATAGCCACGCGCCACGTCTGATCGGAAGAAGAGAAATCATGGACTAACCGTCACGCCCGGTTCCTGTGTAGCCAGGCGAGGAAGACATGTTGCCAAGTACCAAATCCGAGCAGCAAGGTAAATAAGAAGAGTCGTCCTTGTGTGATAAGGCCGGTACGGGTTGTCTCGTTGGAGCCCGGCCGACGCGATGTATCTTATGGAGAAGTCAGCCCGAGGTCGGTATCCCGACGAGGCTCGAGGCTTTCCAGGCCTGGCAAGAGTGAGACGGACGTCGACAGTCCCGTGCGAGCCGGGTCGGAAGCAGGCGGTTCAGTACGGACGGGTGGGGTGTCTGGAGTTCTGGGTCGTCAAGTCAGGCGCAGGAGCCGGCGAGAGCTGCATGCGGGCGAGACGCATCCAGATGGACGAGAGTTTGGAGTTTGGCGGACAACCAAGACCAGAGCGTAGAAGTGATCCAAGTGAGGGCGAAGTTGAGCCAGCGGGAAAGGAGGAGGAGGGGAAGGATGGTGTGTATGACTTGAGTTGAAGTCGAGGTGAGCCTGGGGGAGTTGCGGCTTCCCGGCCAATAGCCGCCTGAGCTTGGGAGCCGGGGGTGGGGCAATGGGCGTCAGAAGGAGCCCTGGAGCAGGCAGAACAGGCTGATAAGCTGCCCAGGTGCCTGTCGCACTCGAGTCGGCGGGGAGTCTCTTGTCCTTCGGCGGGAGCGTTCGTTTGCCGTCGACGGCCCTCAGCCTGGGGCCTCAGCATATGGCGGATGTCCTCTGTTTGTCACGTACAGCTGCACCGTGTCTCGTCCGTACAAGGCCGGTGGTTCATGAAACCATACCTCGACTCCAGATAGCTCTTATCCTGAGGCCGGACCTGCTGTTAGCGATAAGGTTGAAGGGGTGGTGGATATGGTGGGGTTACGGCCTGATAGCCTAGTTGTACCCCGCGATAACGTGAAGTGCCAGGGAAAGGGAAAAGGCAAGTTGCAAGTGCGCTTCCTTGTCGTGCTGTACACTCCCCTTTTTCTCCCCTGCTTGGCCCTTTTCAAGGAGAAGAAAGACTCTGGTCTATTCTGATCGCTTTACTGCCCTCAGGACACTCATGCCGTCTTTCTGTTGTTCCTTCAAGACGGCCAGGAGAATAGCCAGCCTGGCAGTCGTACCCTGGTCAGACCAGGCAAACGGGTACGCGCCCCATTTCCTGCGGTAGCTACATAGTAACCTTGAGGACGCCCCAGTGAAAAGGGCCCACTCACGGGCTGGTCTGGTGACAGAGGCAATACTTGGCCCCCGACAACTCTTATCCCCCAAGAAAGTGACAATAAATGCTTCGAAGCATATGTCTTTCCGGAAAGTGGTGGCCTTGATTGGAACGAAATACCAGACACTAACAAGCCGGGCAACCGAGTGAGTTGACAAACGTGGCCTCACACCGCTTTCTGCGGTTGTGCATTTGGGGTCTAGATTTTGGTTTGTGTTGCTCTATACCAATGATACAAACGGCAGGGCTCTCACATCGACTACCGCAAACCGGTATATATGGAGACACATATGTGCCTTAACTAGGAGTAGACCAGTTGCCTGTGTGCCCTCGGCGCATAGGAGGCCTTGGTCCGAGGGTGTTGGCCGCTGTCTGAGACACTGCATCAAGCCCGGCGAGGTATTTACGCCGACTTGATTGACATGGAGCCTAGGTGAGAGATTCTGTGCCAGAATACACCACGATCTCCCATACTTTTCACACCTAACGTTGCCATTCAGCCAAAGCACATGATCTCCAGCGCACGATAACAGCGCCAGCCTCGGGTAGAGTTGATGCTGCTTCTGGTTAGCAACCACTTAACGCGACATGATACCCTTGTTTCGCGACACCCTTACACAGTACACTTACAGCGGGAGTAGCGCATGATTGTGGGCCGTGGGACACCTTAGCCAGCCCCGCCGAACCGCCCTCGGTTTAGGCAGGGCCCCATCGGGCAGGAGACGCTTGGCCAAAGTTGCAGGGTTGGAATTCGGACACTGACCAAGTCAGTCGACGAGACCAAGCCTTTGAGACAGCATCCTTCGATGACAATGTGAAGCCATCATATACAGATAGAAGGTTTGCCGCCCACTGGGTATCTCCGAAAACCGACTTGGACGGCTGGTCCTACCACGAGGGTCTGTCTAGTGCATGTCTCAGACGCGAGGGCCATGATGTGTCCAAAATTGCCAGTGATACCCTCCAGGTAATGGCTTGGCCCGCCTTGCAGGCATGTGGCTCTTGGAGAGTCTGCAGCTCGGGGTTACCATGACGTCTTTACATCATAGCCGGGCATGACTCCCAGGGTTTTCACTGCACCGCATGAAGCCCTGCCCGGACCCAGGCTGACTGTAATTCGCCCTCGAGAAGTCCAGACGCATTAATAGAGCCATCCGGCACAATACCGATTACTCACAATACACTTTTCCATCACCACCTGGGGAAAAAATATTTCGGTGCGTCAAATTCACCGCCACCGCCCAACCTATCTCCGTTCCCTTTTCGCACACGGAAGAGACGAGACTATTAATACATTGCCCGCCCGACTCGGTTTACGAGAAGATTCCGCCGTGGCTTTTTCTACCTCTATGGATCAGTGCCTGAAATTATCGCACATTTCCCACCCTCCATTCAGCTAATACCCAGACACGCACCGCGCGCCTCCTTCTTCCTATAACGCAACTCCGAGCTGCCAGACTCCCCACAAGAACGGCACCGCCAGTCGACACAGCATCACTGCTGCCAACATGAGAGATCTCCGCAAGAAGATCCTGCTGGAGAGCGGCAAGACGCAGTCGCGCAAGGCGCGCTCTCGGCCTGACTCCAATTTCGGCTCGACCACACAGTCACCAGCGAGCTCGCCCGGGGGATCACGGCAAGGCTCCCGCGCACCAAGTCGCTATGCGTCAGAGGATGAGCTGAGCGATTCTGACTTGAACGATAGTCTCACCGAATCCGTCATGGCCTCGGAAGACGGGGACGACGTCGTTGGCGACTGGACCGACCGCCTGAAGGACTGCATCAACGAGATCTTGGATCGCAAGCGCAGCAGCGTCCAGGGGCGCGAGAAGTACCTGGCTGGCTTCGTCCACCTTACCAGACACCATTTTGCCGAGGCCCTGGTCGAGGACCACCTGAATGAACTAGTTCCTGCCATTCTGAGGAGCATCCGCGGCGGCCGTAACACGGACGAAACGGTTGCAGCCCTGAAAGCTATACAGATGGTCGCTATTACGACCCAGTCGGACAGCATCTACGACCAAGCATACTCCATTCTGAAATCCGCATGTGAGAGCTCTGGCGAGGAGGCCGTCAAGGTCGAAGCCATCAAGGCCATGGGTGTCGTGACCATGTTTGGCGGCGGCATGGATGCCACCGCGGAAGAGTTGATGGACTACCTGCAAGAGATCGTGGAGAGCGATGGACATAGCATAGAAGCCGCTGACAACGGGCCCGTGGTCACCACGGCCCTCACCGTGTGGGGATTTGTCGCCAGTCACCTTGATGATCTGGAGCAGCAATCTGAAGAAGCACTCGAGGCCTTCACCGATCAGCTTGACAGCAGCGACGCTGACGTCCAAGTTGCTGCGGGTACCAACATCGCACTGATCTTCGAGGCGATCCGGTTGTACAACGAGCAAGCTGAGGAGGAGCATGACCAACGTCAACAGGAGCTTAGGGAGGAGGCCAGGCTGAACAAGCGAGAATTCAAGGCGGAGGCTTACAACCCATTCGACCTTCAGCACAACCAGCACCGCCTCGTCCAGCGCATGACAGAACTCGCTGGCGAATCATCGAGAGGCGTGTCCAAGAAGGACAGAAGACAGCTTCATGCTCAGTTCAACAGCATCCTCACGTCACTAGAGCTAGGCAAAGGCCCAGGCTACTCGAAGGCTGGCCGTGTGGCAAGAGAATCGGACCGAAACGGTGCCCGAGTCTACGATTCCGAAAAGGTATTCCAGGAACTTGGCTATCGGGAGAATATTCGCGGGGATAACGGACAAACGCTGACCATCGATTCATGGTCACTTTCGATACGCGTCCAATTTCTCAAGAAGACGTTGGGTGGCGGGTTCCCCATCCACTGGTCTCACAACCCAGCCATACAGGAGTCGTTTGATACTGCATGATCATCGCATTTCTCTCTCCTTCTAGACCCATATCCATACATATTTGGGCAACGCTAGTCATCTGCATTCGACGATTACATGCTTTCATTACCGCATCCATATCATATTTAGATACCCGGCTACAAAACCGAGCCAAGCACGAGAGGACTAAGGTAGAGGCTCATGACTGGGTTCTCAGTTGGTCGTCTTAGAGACTTCATAGATGGCCGCTTATACAATTGATAACTGTTTCATACTGACCTGTATTTGCGCTTCCCACTTGTGAAAACCGGTTTCCCGTGACCCTATGTATCACTGGATTGAGGTGCCATGCTGAGGCCCCATCGCTCGCATCAAGTATCGAAATGACCTGTCGCTACAGCAGTGATCCTTCTGTTGGCCCGTAGGAGGGGTGACATGGTAATCAAGTCTCCTCTCGGCTTCCCCAACCTTTGGTTGACTGCTCATCATACATACCTGGCCGTCATTTCGAAAGTGTTTGATTGAATCAAGACACGGGAATGCTCTCTGGCTATCACCAAGCTAAAATGACACTCGACGTCGCACACAACGGCAGGATGCAGAGGTTTGTGTACTACCAAGAATACCCGTGGATACGACGAAGCAACGAAGGAGCACTAGCTAGCAAACGAGGTTGCAGCCTCTCAAGGGCTACCTTGGGTCTGATCAATGTCTTTGGTCTAGATTATGAGCGCAGCTGCAACAGGATGTCTGCCCGTCTGATGCTCACGTATCAACATATCAGATACAAAGACTCGATTAGATACCGCACTAACTCACAACCTGGGAAAACTAGAGTGTGCAAGCAATAGCGCAGGGATATGTATGTATTGGGCTGCAAGGCGAAAGGCAACGCGCATTCCCGTCCGTTGAAATCTGCAGGTAGGGGCGGTTTACTATATCCTGATTACGAGTTGCGAGAGGCTGTGACATGGTTGTGACCAGTCGCTGGTAAGACCTGCAAGGAGCCACCCTAATAGTTTCCATACGTCGCATGGGGAGGGTGAATTGGATGCTGCATGTAATTACTTGCATAACGCACACCCATGACACACCATCGTCTGCAATCCAGACAACCAGACTCTGGAAGAGCCTTGAGGCGCGCTGTCTCCACGGCGCGATCCGAGAGGCCGCCATAAAAGAGCGCGGGGCGCTGTGCCCAAGGACATTGTCTCATGCAATAAACGGCGAGGCGGCAGCTGCTACTGGTTGAAGTCGGCAATATGGCAGTGTGGGCTGGATGTCAGATGGTTCGCCACCGGAGGTTTGTCTGACGACCCTGCGTGGCAATTGTCAAAGGTTCGGCAGCCAAAACCGTCATCGTTGCGGGGGACCTGATACAACAGTGGCTTTTGCGAGAAGCATCCATCAACCATCTGGACCTGACATGGAGCATGGGATACTACCCAACCCAAGACATGCGTGGGTGAGTACAATGCAGAGGCTGAAGGTGGTCGACTGACATCCCTAGATGGGGACGAGTCGATGCAGGTGAAAGTCGTGGGGTTAGTATAGTCCATCAGTTACCAAAAACGCTTATGAACTAGTCGACACAAATACCAGCCAGCGATATCTAATGCGTACAGTATGGAACACTGCTCGGTAGAACTGACGCAGATTTTCGACCTCGTCGAAAGCGGACCTCGGCGCTCCCATGCGGCTACTGTGAAACAGCAAGTGAGTCTTGCGAGTGCGACCTTGGGTCCAGCGCCCTCTCTCCCGATTGGACTCGATCTTGCAGCCACCCGATCCCAGTGCGTGAGCCTTTCTGCGCGACACCCGGCTCGCGGGGCTCTGGGTGCCTGAAGTCGGTGAGAGCAGCTCGTTTCTATGGCCTGCCGGATTGCGTGTGATAGCTGAGACGGGGACACTTGCGCTGGTTGAATTTCGACTCGTCAGCGACGGACCACAAAGGCCCGCTAGCTAATCACTGTAGGGCTTGGCTTGGCTTGCTCTCGTCCCCGCCATCGTCGTTGGCGGGATCCATCGGCAGAGCTAGGATTTCTCAATCGGACGGTTGCTCGTTTGCGGTCAGAGTGTCCCGCCATGGATCCGATGTCCTGGTCACTGCTCCCGACTTACTTTTGAGCAAATCGACGGGTCTGTGGAGAAAGCATCGTCACCTTGGGCTCTTTCTGGAGACGCTTCCCGGCACCAAAGAGGCTCCATCCGTCGTCCTGCCAGTGCGCTGGAGCCACCATGCGGGCCTGCCGAGCTCCTAGGCTCCCCGCCATCCCCCTGACCTGCCTGGATGTCAACAAGGAGCTCGGACGCCAGAAATTGGGGACAAACAGCTTCCGCAACTCTGGTTCGACGTCAGGCCAAAGGGGAGAAGAAAAAAAGGTCAGGGCCACGGTCCGATCGCATCACCAGCCTCTCGATTATTCCAACCACCAACGGGGTAGAGCAGGGTTCCTGGCTGCATTTACAGTTTACTCTAGTGTTTCCCCTTCCTGTGAGCAAATGCCAGATGTTCAGACGACACATATGTCTCTCGTTGGAATATGTCAGTCATGTGGAAGTGCCGACTTGCCCAGATGCGAAAGTGACACTTACAGTAGACTTCGGGGTCACATCCCCGTAGGTATCGTGAAAACCGCCATCAGCAGAACGTTCCACCGTGCCGCCGTCGCACGCCGCTGTGGGCTGAGAATACGACACAAGAGTGACATTTGCCCACCCTGGCTTGCCTGCTTGCCTGCCATCCCGCGCCCATCGCTGCCCTGGCCCTCGGCGGGCGGGCTGCTGCCCCCCTGCTTGTCTCTGACGCTGCAGCCCACGAGTTCTGCCAGGGCCATGCCACCATCCCAATTGGCTGCAGGCCCCCAGCAGAGACAACGCATCACCTCCAAACCCCAGCAGCCTGCATCTGGACAGAGCCGTAGAGGCCTAGTATCGTCCTCGTCACTCGCAGAGCCGTCTGCGAATGAAGAGTCGTCGCCCATTGCCTCCTTCCGCCTGAGGCTAATAGCTCGATACCTAGTGCTGCGCATCGCTCGACCCGTGCAACAGCAGCAGCAGCAGCAGCCGGAGCGAGCCCAGCAGGCCCAGCGAGCGAGTGGCAGACGTCTGTTCTCACAGCCCAGTCCATCACATTACGCCCCAAAGTCAGGAAGGCGGGCAGGCGGGCTGTGCGAGCAGTGGCAATCCGGGCTAACTGAGTTAATGACAACGTGAAGTGTCTGGCTCCTTGATAGGCACATGCGGTGCCTCCTGCATACCCGGCTCCACCCACGGCGTACTGGGTACCTGGGTATTCGTCCCTCATCTCATCTCATACTCACCATACTGTACAGGACCATCCCACACCCCGCGCTCTGGGGTTTTCTTCTGTTTCTTGACCTTTCCGTGTGTCCTGGTGTTCACGTACGAAGCAGCGCGTTCCAGCCAGTCGGTCAGTCAGTCAGTTGGCCTAGTTGGCGAGTGGCGGGCGCATCCTGTCAGCGGACGACCTCTTGCCCACGTCGCGAGTCGCACCAGACCAAACGAAGCTAGAACTAGCCGGGGGCCAGCGCAACGAATAATCGGAGGTTGGAGAGCTGAAAGCCATCCAATTCGCTTCCCGCACCGCACCACCGACCCGACCTGCTGTTGTTCCCTTCTGCGGACAACAAACAGGTTTTGTCACTTTTTGCTGCCTTCTCTTTTTCTTCTGCGCAGCCCGTGTTTTCACTCAATCGGGAACTCTAATTGATCCGCCGTTGAGTCCCGGGGGTCAATTGCAGTCACTGTAGGTATGTCTTGTCCTATGTCTTGTCCCGACCCGTCATCTCCCCAGTCCCCAGTCCCCCAGTCCCCCGTCCCCAGCGCACGCTCTCTAGTTATTTACCGTAGCACATTCACCCGGTGGACTGGGATCGGCGGGTGTGCTGAGGACGACCTAAGCCATTAGCTGACTCCATGGATATTCGCAGCCCAAACCTTGAACCCGACCGCCCATCAGCTCACTTATCTATCTGCCCGGCAACAAGCAACTCCAGCAAACCGCCCGATGCCTTGACCCACGACAAACGACGACGCTCTAACCTGCATCCCTTTGCATCTCGCCTGCAATTGCGTCTGCGCTCTGTCTGGCGCGGCCAGTTTGCCTCTCGTTTCCATTCCGCCTGCCTGACTGACAGCCTGTCTTGTCTGCCCAAGCTCCTCCCCCGGGGATCCACAGCGGTCTGAAAGCGACCGAGCTGGGAGGCGGGTAAACAAGCCAGCATCGCAGGCCCGGTCAATACGACGGCAACCCGGCAGACGACCCCCGAGCTCAGCTCCCAGGCGCGCCCGTACTGTGTACTCGCACGTAACCCACCACCAGGAGCAGGATGGGGATCGACTCGAAAAAAGCTCCCCCCTTACCAGCCCCGACCGAAACCGAGTCCTTGAGCACGCCGACCGAGCTTGCGACCGATGTGTCCCAGCACCTGCAAGAAGAGGAGAGATCGCATTTCTCCCTGCCCGACGACGGCACCCCAGTGACCATCAGAACCCGCGGCCACAAGCCCAATCGCTCCCAGACCTCGCTGCTGATCGAGTATTTCGAGGGCGGCAAGGAGTCCAAGTCCCCCGACGGCACCAGCTCCTCCGCCAACCGCAAGCCCAGCGTGAGGGTGCGCCTGACCCCGTCCAAGGGCCGTGGGAAGCACGACCCTCATATCCAGATCACCGAGACCAAGTCGTCGACGTCGCGCAAGACCTCCATGTCGAAGCGCACGCGCGACGGGCCTCTGGTGCCCAGCCGAAGCGACCTGGACGTGACCGATCCCGAGGACGCCAGGAGCATGCATTCCTACGCCTCGGCCACAGAGGAGTCCAACGTGTCTCGCAACCCTATTGAGGTCGAAATAGCACCGGGCCACCACCGCAGGCGGGAACGAAAGGCCTCGAGTCCACTGATCCCAGCCGCCGACAGCAAGACGTCGTCCTATGTGCCTCCCAACATGTCTGACATCTCCGCCATCCCAACCGACAGCTTTCTGGATGGTTCTGGTGGCACTACCAACCTGTCATATTCGCCTGACAAGCGACGCAGCAGAAGTCCCTCCGGCGCCGAGGCCCTAGCAGCTGGAGCTCTGGGAGCCGTGGCCGCTGCGGCTGTGGCTGACAAGATGAACCGCAAGACTAGGAGCGCGAGCCACGATCGTAAGATCATTGAGAAGGCTGTGGAGAAGGCCACCAGACCTGACCGCAAGCACAAGTCCAAGAGCCGGACTAGCAGTGTCGGCGAGATGGAAATGGAGGGGAAGAGCTCTTCCTCGCGGCGGAAGTCCAAGAGCGGGCACAAGGAATCAATAATCTCCGGCGCCGACTCCAGCGTTCTCTCGTCCGCCATGACACCAAGCCACAGGTCATACGACTCACATTCCTCGTCAAAGGTCTCCATCAACAACCCCAAGCTATTGGAAACCGTCGAAGATGCGATCCGGCGACTAATACTACCGGAGCTGGAATCCTTGAAAAGAGAGCGTAGTCAGCGAGACAGTCGGAGAAGTAAAGACCGGGAATCCCTTTCCAGCCTCACATCTGTTTCTCGAGAGGATCTCTCCGTCGCCAACAGGAGGAGATCAAGTGGCACGGAGCATTCTACCAAGTCACGTGGACGAGAAGCGCGCAATGATTTGTCGCCTCAAAGCAGCGTGGAGCACGTGTCCGTGCTTGAGCACGAAGAGACTACGCCGCAGCGTGGGAACGACCACCATCTTGGGGATGCGGCTTTATTGGGGGCTGCAGCCGCGGCCGGTATAGCAGCTGCTAGTCGGGACAGGTCGAGGACGGACGACAAACGTCAACGGAGGCGCCGTCGTGCAAAGACACCCGAGCGTGGTAGGGCTGCGGAAGAGTACGATGAGCTTGAGCATGAGGTCATCCCTCCAATGCCTCTCTCGAGCGAGATCAACCCATCCGAAATGACGAGAACGTCCATCCTGTCAGCCGATACTGACAGACCACATTCTGCAAGTGAGGAAATGACGCCGGTCCGGGAGGTTGTCAGAGGCGTACACTCTCTCGAGTCTGTTGACGACACTCCTACTCCCACGAGAACGCCCGGCAATACCCTCCAAGGGCTGGGTGCTCTGCATGAAAATCTTTCCCACGGAGACCTCAAGAACCTCCCACGCAAGGGACCCGGTGAATACGAAGAGTTCAGCGAGGAGAGCGAGTTGAGCTCGCACAATCCGGCTTACAGAGATGAGTACGACGACTACGAAGAGGGACTCGGAGAGCCGGGGATGTACGACAACTCATTTTATAGTCAGCAAGACGTCCCCCCTCCCTTGCGCTATGTCCCGTATCAGCAGGAGCGTCGGGGACTGAGCCCAATTCAGAGTGTTTCAGGTTATACTGAAGGAAGCGATATACACCACCGGCGCGACTCCAGGGCCACACAAAGCGAGTTGTCTTCTCCTGGCAAGTCGTCCGTCCATGAACGCCACCAATCTCCTAGTTCTATCCCAAGCAACATGCGAAGCCGAGAGTTTGGGGATGAGGAGAGCAGTGTTCGCAGTTCCGGTAACTACCGCGACACCAGGTTTACCGACGACAGCGAGCTGGATCGAGTTACTTCTGGCCAAGCCGTGCGCGGTCTTGGTGCCAACCCCAACTTCGTCCATCAGCCTTACAGTGCCGAGTCCGCCGTTGCCTCGTTAGTCGATGGTTCAGTTCTTGACCCCTCAGTTTTGAGTGCAGGTCAGGAATACCGGGACTCACAGTTGTCCTACGATTCAAGGGCCGATGGCCAGCATTCAAGAGGTGGCAGCCCGACCAAGAGGTCTGTTGAGAGCTATGTCCAAGCAATCGAAGAGCGCAACTCCCCTGCTCTCTCAAAACAGACACGATCCGACGTTTCGAGGGACTTTGACGAGTACGAGATCAACGAATATGGGCAGAAGGTGCCCGGCACCAAATATCGGCAATCTCCCACCGCGTCCGAGCAAGCTATTACGAATGCTGCCGTCAATCGTGCTGCGGCTGCGGCAAGAAACAAGGGCAACCAAGCCTTCGTTGAGGAAGGAGAAGAAGAAGAGTGGCAGGGTGAGGGCGTAGCACGCAACAAGTCCTTTAAGGAACGGGCTCGGGCCGATGGCTACCAACCCAATGCTACACCGCGCCACAGTGTTGATCGCCTCTCCGAATTTTCCGATCATCCAAAGATGGGAGCTAGTGCCTTGCCTGATACGGATCATCAGATGCCCGAAATAGGTTACGGATACTCTGACGGACACCGTACCCCATCTATTGTCCAAGGCCAACTCGGAGGCTCGGAGATGGGAGAGTACCATGAGCAACTGACTCCAACTCAAGAAAAGACCTTTGACTACGAGAGAGCTGCGACGCCCAAAGCCAGTGAGGAGGGCAGCGGCCATGGCCTTGGGATAGCCGAAGCTGCTGCTGCCTCTGCTCTGGCGGCTGCCGCCGGTATGGCTGCTAGTCACAGCAGACAGCCAAGCCAGGAGCACGAGGACGAATGGCAGCGAACCTCTGGGGAGCGTAAACGGGATACCCTCGTGACCAACCCATACGAAGGCACCAGCCCCATTGCCAATCTACCCGGTGTCGACGGTAACATGTTCGGCGCATCCGGGTTCAACAACGAATTATATAGGGGCGGGTTCAACACTGGAAGCCCCGGTATGCCCCAGGGTGATGAGGGCTACGAGACCGCACAACCCAATGAAACTCGCGATGTGCAGATAAAGGGCAAGGGGGTCGAGTTCCAGAACCAGCCAGGACTAGGCGATAACAGCGATGACCCGTTCTACACCGGCATGCCTAAGCATACGAGACAGTTGAGCGGCTTCTCCCAGGGCATGGCTTCGCCGCTGTACGATGCTACTACTGGCACGGGAATTGACAGAATCCAGTCCAAAGATATCATTGCGTTGATGGAGCATGTAAGTCTCATTGATTTGTTAGGCATGACTATTGACGCTAACTACTCCACAGCTCATGGTGCGCGATGCCCAGCGAAGTGCTAGAGATACCGAAATGCTTGTCACCTTGGTCAGATCTGCCGCCGAGATGCGCAACTCTTTCAACGACATCAAGAGACTTTTGGCCGATACCGAAGACCAGATTATTGGTGAAGTCAAGGACAATACTGAGAAAACAGTTCAGCGACATCTGGGTGGGCCCAGGCCTTACCCGGGTAGTGGATCAAGATCAGTCCAAGGCGGCTCCCAAGCCGGCACGATCGATGAAAAGAAGCGCAGCATCTTCCGCCGAGCTCTGAAAGGCCTCAGTAGCAAGGGAGCTAACGATCTTGGCCGAATTGAGGATATGCTCAACCAATTGTTGAGCGAGGTTGATGTTCTGAAGCATCAGACTGCTGGCCAGGCTATGGGTTCTGGAATGGGCACGCAAAACCAGTCACTCGACAACCTTGCCAGTGTCCAGTATGAGCAAGACAAGGGCTATGAACCCGAGGGCAATGCTGGGACTTCCACCGCGAGCCATGCCAGTCAATCTGGACATCTCTCTATTCCTCAGTCGCGAGGTACATCCATGAAGATGGGATACGATCGAAAGTTCTCCGACCACAGGATCAGCACCGTCCACGAGGGTGATGAGGATGAGTACGTTGATCAACAGGACATGGCTGGTGACCATTACTCCAATCCCGATCACCTCATGTCCCCCGCCGTCGGTCCAGCTCGTGGTGGCTCGGTGCCTTTGGGTACACCACCGCAAGCTCCCCACGCGGCCGGCCAATCAGCCAGCTACGAGAACACCCCAGTCACTGATGCGAGTAAGAAGCACAAGTCGAAGGCGTCATCTGGTTTCTTTCCGAAGATCTCCAGGTGGTCTGAGACGACAACATCCAGTGTTGGAAAGATGTTCCGCAACTCCCGTCAAAAGCAGGATGTTCCCGAGGAGTTCCTTCAGCTTCCTCACTCCCGTTCCGGATCTGATCTGGCGGAATACGACCAATATGACTACGACAATTCGTACGGCGAGGACAAGCTGCACACCGGCTTCTCTGAGCAGGATCTGAATGCCGACGTGGTTCTAGACCAATCCGGCACCCCGAGTCGCAGCTACCACGACTCCACACTCCCGTCGATATACGCTACCCCTGAGGATCCGAAGTACAAGGCTCATCGGAACAGCATAAACTTGCAGCACCCCCAGCCGCGACCTGGTCAGACAGAGCGCTTTAGAACCGCCCTCGAGTCATCTGCGCAGGACTACGATACCCCCATGAGCCCTCACTCGGACAACTGGGCACGCTCTGCTACAAGCCTGCACCGTTTCCCGGAGAGCAACAATCGCTACAGCGACCAAAGTGCCTCTAACCAGTATACCTGGTCATCTCCGGCTCAGCAGACCGGGCCCCCACGACCGCCGAAGGAGCCCCTTGATGAGCAGGCTAGCACACCGCCCAGAAACGAGCGCTTGAGTAAGCTTCAGAAACACAGCCCCCTGCCATACCACAGCGTGGACAGTGGTTATGGTGGCACAGCGACACATGCCGGCACCGTCGGGACTGCGAGCTATCACTCCGGTAGCCCGAGACCCGAGAACCGTAATCTGAGCGGTGTTCTGGGTGTACCTGCTCGTCGGCCTAGTGGACCACGAGCCATGACTCCCAGCCGGGGCATGAACAGTTCAAGAGGCAGTGAAGATGGGGAGAGCATCAGAAGCGGCCGAAGTGGCGTAAGCGACACGCATGCTCGAGATGAACGGAGGAGGAAGCGAGGTTAGTACAAGCCCCTAAACCCAACCAGACCTAGGCCTGACCTGGGATCCCACAGACACGTTCGGCACGGTGGCTACTGCCGCGAGCCAGGAATCAGAGACTTTCTAGGGGAGACGCGCTCGATTGCTAGATGTGGCATTACCTACTGGCAGCCCATTCCGGGTTGACTTCCGATCACTATCCCGTCGCTCCCGTTGAATCTTCCTCCCAATTTGACATCACAACGCCCGGACTCACATCTACATACCTGGTTCGAACATACCACTCGGGGCCTATCTGGATATGCCCTTGATCATCGACCGAGTCTGCATGCGGACTCGACGTCTGGCGCACGCGTCTTTGTGCTCTTATAGACTATGCTGGCCTCGCAAGGGCTTGGAATGCTGCATATTTTCTGATTTCGAGTTCCAGTTCCCGCGAAGGGTCGAAAAGAAAAAGAAGATCATTTGTAATTGCGTTGGTGGAAGATGAAAAAATCGGCATAGCGTATTATTTGTTTTCATTCTTCTTTTGCAATCCGCAAAGGGGAACAAAGGGGGCAAAGCGGGGAGGAGACTTGACCCAGATTTGGCTGGTCATTTTTTGTTTTTCCATCTTCTTTTGGCGGCCTCAGTTGTTGCATGTGACGATATCACGAGCTTCGCTTTCCTGTTCTCTTCACGACGACCATGATCAATACAGCTTTGATTCACATACCCCAATGCATGTAGCGCGAGGATGGGGACGACGTGGAATCCGGCCGTGTTGCGGTGGAGGGGAGGAACTACGAGGAGCGAGGAGGGGAGAATAAGATCAGTTGCTGTTTGCTTTGCTGCAGCAAGAAGGGGATGGATGTAGACTTTAATATTGATATGGTTTTTTTGGCGTACTGAATTGGCTCATGTCTTGGTGATGTACTCTTCACGACTTTGTGAAATGCTGCCGGATCTATACCCCTGAATGGACTGGGGCGGCTGGTTATAATCCTTCCCAAAGTTTGGGTTACGGATGCAAAGAGGCTCTTGGATGGACAACCACATGCACGGGCTGCTATACGATACGGCAACATGGTTACCTTAGATACCTATCGACTGATGTTTTTCTAACACCCATTGAGGGCCTAATTACCTCATCCACGACTAGTAATAATAGAACCCTTACTGGATGCTCTAAAGGAGCCTTTGTGACTGGTCTAGACAAAGCCATAATGGAGAAGTGCGTGCACAAGCGGTAAGTGCTAGCCTACCCACCCACCATTTGTATCATCAGTATCAAACTAGCAGTGTTTAAGACATTATTTTGATTTTGTTTATCTCTATTGGTCAAGCGCACAAAGGGCAATAGAACACATCTGCGTCCAATATCAGACAACGACATTGTTACAAATTTGCGTGGTTACTAGCCTCCAGGGGTGGTGTAATAAGTACGGGGGTTTTTCCTGCACATATCAATCTCGAAAGTGAACAGCAAACTCACCATCAACTCTATTACCAAAATCCCACTCACAGCAACACTTCCACAGCAGGATATTGTGTTTAACAGGCCATCACAGAGAGGAAATCCATCATGGTCCAGCCTAAGATTCTCGATACTTTGCCCAAGGAGATGCTGCTCATGATTCAGGAACGCCTGGAACACGAATCAGATATCATCAATTTCTCAAACAAAACCAGCAAGAAACTCCGCGACATTTTAGGGGGTAGACAGGTGTTTGTAGCTACAGCCAAGATCGGACGCGAGCGATATGAGTTCCGCATGGGCCTGGACGATTATGAACAAGAACTCAGCGAGTCCAGCGATGAACAAATGCGGATACGCCATCGGCGTATCGCAATGATGGATTCAACCTATAACAAGTCTCACCACAGGACTATGTTGTTGGCTTTAATCAGGAGCTTCGTAGATGACGAACTAGTCCGCGAAGCTATTGATGCATACAAGACACATTTTCCAGCAGTGATTTGGAGCAGCCTTGAGAAGTTGCTTCACGCAGCTATAGAAGCCGGACGAATGCCTGTAGTCCAGCGACTCGTACAGCTCCGAGCGGATATCAACGAGACGGATTTTGATACGTGCCGGGACGCGCTTGACGTGGCCATGATTTCCGACCAGGAAGAAATTGCACTGTACCTTTTGAAGAAACCGGTTTATATCGCTCCACGCCATCTAGAACGCTCTGTGGAGAAAAGGGCCCCGAGGTTGTTGAAAGCTATGCTTTCCAAAAAGCGTGGCATGAAGCCTGATTTACGTTTGCTGGAGAATTTGATTGGCTGTGCATCGGGTGTTTCTTTCCTTGACGGAGAAGTGTCAGACTCTGACGGAGAATTGGCAAACTACTCTGACGGAGAATCAAAGTATGACGATTCTCCGTCATATTATGGCGATTCTCCGTCAAAGTTTGACAACAATATTGAGGTACTCTCCCTCCTCGTCGAGGCAGGAGCGCGACTGACCAAGGCCGTGGATAAGCAGCAGGACGTTGTGGAGACCGCTCTTTTCAATGGCTGTACACGCAATGCTTTGTTCCTGTTGGAACGGCAGATAAAACGTGGTGTCACAAGCCCTACCTGCCTCTGGCGGGGGATAAAGCAGTCCATGGAAAACGGAATGCCCAATTTCTTGCATTTTGTCAAGACTATTTACCCTCAACACAGCCAATTGCTCTTTAACGAGGTGAGTTATCCAAGAACGCTCGCGGATGTCCAATTTGAATTGTTGGCATTGTCTGTCCAGGCTACTGAGTTGCCAGACCATGAACATTTGACGGACTACTTGCTCGACAATGGGTGCATCCTTGAGGAATACCACTTCTTCTCCGCCATCGACGCTGGAAATATCCACGTAATCGACGAAGGCATCCGACCGCGCTTCTCTATCAATCAACCAAGAGAGCTGAAGCGCTTTTCTCACCCGCTGCTGTTGACTAGTTATTTTCAATTAACGGTTAAGCGTTTGTTCGAGTTGGAGTATGATATTCCTCAAGGTCAATTCCGCGGATTGTGTCGTCTAGTATTCCACGGCGTTGACATCTCGAGCGCTGCTGAAACATTCCGAATCGGCATTTCAAGGGCTCGCTTGGGAGAGCCTTTTTGGTTCTTCTTGTATGGAGAGTCGAATAAGACTCTACTCGACCTCCTGGCAGAGGAACATGAATCTGGGGCGCTGCCTAACCGGGCCATGGTGACTGGTGTAGGGTCTAGTGGGGACGTTTTACTTCAGTTCGTCACCGTCATTCGGCTAGCTTTGGGGGACTCGAGTGACGTGTTAGACGCTTAGGGTTGACCCCACGATTGGTAAGGACTCTGAAAGAAGTGATAAGCTTTATGGTTCGTGAAGGGAGAGTCGAACTGTACAATGATCTCAATGTGGTCGAAGGTAGGTCATGCAACCTAGGGCGTACGGGTATGTAAGAATAAGACACAGAATCCTCTAGCCATGAGGCTGCGGTTGCAGGGTTGTAGGTAGGCAAATTAATCGTGTTGCCGGTCACTCTTTAGCGAATTAGTAGGCAAGAAGATGAGGTGACGATACTTTATGTGCGCATCCCAGTTCGCAACCCAATACATACGATCCTCCCAATACGATCTTTATCCCTTAGGAATAAGGCAGGGTCATGGCTATCTCGAAGACTAAACAGTTTATTTATTGAAATTGACATTGTATTTTGCAACTTATCCATCGGGTATATGTGGAAACTTTCTATGGTCATCTGATCATGTGATCATGTACCCCTCCGAGGTGTTTTGGAGTGCTGACAGCAGCCATAGCATCTATCCCGCCGCATAGTACCGATATCTCACTCATTCTCAAGGCTGGTCTTGGACTTGGCTTAGTAAAGTTGATTTATTTGTGCCCGAAAGCATCGGGCTTATCAACATGTGATAACTAAGTGTCACGATATAAGGGGTATACGACGGAGCAGCACAACTTTAACCCCGGGGATCGCTCCCTATATAGAAGGCTCATCAGCCCATTTAATTTGTAGCTCCTTCAGTATCAACTTTCAGGATCAACCTCAGTCAATTTACATGCTCTCACGCGCGTTTTAGTGTGACAACAAGACACAGAATCCTCCTGTCCGTTAGCGTTTTTATAGGCCCGTACCGTGTAACAGGGCTTTGTTGTTATAGGCCGATCCCGCGGGTTAGGGCCCATGATACCGGCACCGCAATCTCCCAAGACTGCCTGCTCGCAAGGTGAGCCTTTAAGAGGGTCACGCGCGCGGAAAATAGGGGATCTCTTTTCCTTTCCATTTTATAGAGTAAATAAACCTAATTTGGCACATACAACCAACCAGTTCGTAGCACGTCGGTAACATTTGTAATGCCAGCCACAGTACCATTACTCACTCCGTGGCATGCTGATGCCTCTCTAGAAGAAACCAAGCATTACGGTCTGTCTTCATTTGAGCCCATTTCTCCACCAGAGTTGGAATTTCCTAAGCATATCCTCCCTGAAGCAATTGAACACCTACAGACATTTTCGCATCATACTCTTTGCTCTATCATACAGTTTAGTCAATACATCTCACCACAAGGACAGAGGCCAAGAAAAAAAAAAAAAAAAAAAAGAAAAGAAACAAACCCAACATGACTTATTCGACGGCTTTTGAGGACCTGCCAACAGAGCTCCTGCTCAGAGTGCAAGAGTCCTTAAATCTTGAGTCAGACATTCTTACGTTCTCGATGCGTACCAGCAAACAGCTTCGTGACAAATTAGGGTGGAAGTCAGTGTTCGTTACTGCTGCCAAACTTGACAGCAAGAGACAGAGTCTTTATGATAAGATGTATGATGAGTACACAAAGGATTCAAGATCGGATGTCGGCATTAGTCGCTCTGATCTGGCCCACAGGATGTGGAACCCTTCATTTTTGGAATTCGATACTACTAGCCTCGACAATACTTTGAAGTATAACGCATTGTACCGTCCGGAAAATTGATCATCTTTCAGAGAAACGTGAAGATGGAGCCCCAACACGCTCGCTCATCTCAAGGGCAGTCAGACACTGTCAAGATACCAGCCTTGTGGAACAAGCGATTCGAGCATACACATTATTTTGCTCCCAGGCCATAGATGGCGAGTGGTGCAGGTCCTGGTACTTCGAAACCGTTTTACATGACGCGGTTGAAACTGGGCGGCTTGATGTCGTTAAACACCTTGTCAAACTTGGCAGTGATATTGACGCTGTTTCTTCTAGATCCACTGGTTACGAGGGGTACGACAGTCTTATGGCAGCTGCAGAACATGGTCAAGAGGATATTGGTCTATACTTCGTACACGAGAGAGAGGCAAATTTTGAGTTCGGCCACCTCCGAATGGCTGCTTCAAGGGGGACTGTAGAGCTATTGGAATCGCTGCTCTCCGTAGTTGGTTCCCACAGATACGAGCATGTCCTGAGGAAACTTTTCGATTATACTTAAGGACCTCGGCCGTGAGAACCTCTGCTACCTCAACGAGGTGTACCTGGTAAGAGTAATGTAGAGATACTAACTTTGCTGATTCGGGCTGGTGCGCGCTTGACGACTCCGCCAGGGCAAATATATATGGTTGGATGGGCGCTCGATCAGCACTGCTTCGAAATTGCGATTTTCCTTCTGGAGAATCAAATTAGCCGTGATGACGTGAGTTCTGATTCTCTATGGCTCGGTCTCGAAACGGCAATGAACTTGGGGGCTGATGACGCCTATGAGTTTGTCAAGTTCATATATCCCCAACATGCCCAGTGCTTGGTTGACCTTAAGCATCCGGCAATTGACAGGGTTGGAAGGGACCTTTTCTCGATTTCTGTCGACTCGAGCCATAAAATATGGTCATCTGGAGGTTGGCAGAGAAGCCGAAAAACCTGCCAGTATCTGCTCGATTCAGGCTGCCTTTTCGATGTAAAGAACTTCCGCAAGGCAATTTCCGCGGGTAATACGGAGCTAATAGATCTCGCGATTCGGAATGGGTTCACAATATACCGGCCTGTGGTTAAGAGGGATATTTTCGAGTCTTTCAGAACTTGGGAGGATGAGTCCGGACCTGAGGAGGATATGCTGGCGGCCCTTTTTGAACACATGGTCTTGAAGTGGAGCGAGAAGCCAGACCCCTTCATCGATACATATCTTCGTGGAGCGTGCCGACTGGTTTTCCACGGTGCTGATTCCTCGAATGTGATTAGACTAGTACACGATACTCTACAACGTGTTCTGACGGAGCGTTATAACTGTTCCCCGACGTATTTCACCGAACACCGCTTGAGCCGCGCTATTGCATCTAGTAGGGCTCCTATTATCACAAAGGTAACGGGTCTGGGAACAACGGACGAAATTTCGGAGCAATTTGTCTAAGTGATACGAGTGATCCTTCGAGGTCCTTCGAGATGAAATCCCCTACCCGAGCCAACAGACACGTCCTCAATCAGGAGAAGAGGCCAGTAATGGATGAACAACTTTATAGAAGAGACAAGTATCAGAATTATTAGAGCGTATTTCGGCCTTGGGGATGAAATAAGCTGGAAACCTAGAAGTGGCATACTGATTATGCCACCATCGAGAAGAGTAATGTTACAACCTGAACAAATTGCATAGTAAAAACGAAAAGATAAAGACTCTCCTTGCCCATTTGTAGCGCTGAGGAGAAAGGGTTTGTAGACTCAACCTGTATAGCAAGGCTCTGTGGCTCAACCCCAGGTGCCAACAGCCACTCCGTGGTGTATCAACTAAGAGGTTTGCAGGTAGGTATCGTGTAATCATTCACAATCGTACGGCTTTTTTCGAGCTATTTAATGCTATGAATATCCCATCGGATTTGCTCTCGGCTTGAATTAATGTCCAAACCGTTCCAGCCATGGGCTGACGATGTTGTATATCCTGAGGGGTCCGGTCACAACAGCCTAGTTACTTTGCTCCGTCTTTATCCTAAGCGCCAAGTTCGGTTGGTGGTTACTCCGTGAATCGGGTATCCGAAAATCCCCCGACTGTTTACATTACTCCTAATAACGAAGACCGTTTGACTGTGACGTGGACGTTGGCGGGTGGGAGTTTCAGTGTTGTGCGTTGGCGGCGCGAAAAGCTGTGGACGGGGGTTTCACATGCGGCATTGGCTTGGATACGTGGCGGACTATCGGCCTGTCTCTTATTTTAGGTGCCAAAGTTCGATAAAGGCGTGAGCAAACCAAAAAGCAGCATTACATCACCTTCCAATATTAAATCTTAAATATTACAACACCGTTTCCCTCCCATTCAGCTTCAGTCTACTATTACGCGTTGAAAGGAGTTTTTGCGGTCGAAAGGGATATCGACCCGAAGCAGAAAAACCGCCAGTTTCTGTTCTCGGGTAGATAATTGGCCTTAAGTCCTAGTTGTCCTAGCTATCTCGAACATCTCTTTCTGCCGATTAAAACCCATTGCCTGTGGACGGGAGAGCCTTCACTCCCGTTGGCAGTTGCTTTTAAGGTAAAGCAGAGCGATGGTTTGGCAGTCGGGGCTTCATGGGCTAATATTGGGCGTAATGGTGAGATGATCTTGACGAGGTGTAATGACAGATGTCGGTAAATTGGTGCCACCGCTGGTTAGTGGGGACTGCTAACTTCAAAACGGTCGTAAAGCTCTCCAAATATATAAATGAAACGCCGTCGGTAGAGCCGCAATAGTCTTAGCGAGGGAGAAGCTAGAAAGTTAGATTGCTAAAATGTCGTATGAATATCACTGACCACATCTTGCGGTCCGACGGGCTCAGAACCGAACAGAAGACCAGCCCCAGCCCAAGGATCGTGGCATATGGTTTGGACGACACCTCGGAACTGCTATCGTCATTCCTTACACTTGGATATCTCGAGGGCTAGAAGCTGTTATATACGCAGATTGGTTTCGTGTCCAAGGAACAATAAGCCCGTTTTGACACTGCCCTAGCCATCATCTACATCCAGCTTAGAAGACTTCAATTCCGCTCTATAGGGTGTCTACGGCCTGACCCGCGCGGTGTTGAGGTATCAGAAATGATATTGTCGATCTATATCAACATGCAGGAACTTAAAAGCTCAAACTACATGGCATTGAGGCTTCTTACTATAAGAACAGTCTGTTGATCTGTGACGATGCAAAGACTATCATTGTCTATGTGATGATAGTCTATGGGCGAACGGCAAGTGTGTAGCGCACTAAATGGGCCATCGGGATGTACTTGCCCTGACTCTGACTCCATTGTGACCTATGCTCAAGAACTGTTTTTTGTGTCTCAAAGTTGATTGGCGTACATGAGATCCGCGGTAAGCAATTCCGTTGACAAGCAGGGAGCACTCCTGGCCCCGACATCCCATTGATATTGGTTCAGTCACATCCGCCCGAAGCGGTCCTAATCGCGAAGGCTACAGGTTCTGGTCTCACAGCCAATATGGTCATCAGTCTCAAGCACTATTGCTTCTGTGTCAGCCTAGCCATACCTAGAGCCGCCAGAGGTTCTGCGCAAAAGCAGGGATGGTGATGACAAACGCCGGGTTTTGTCGTACCAGAAGAGAGTGCGAGATTGACTGATTTTCGCACAGATATTGGTGGAATGGACGATATTGATAGTGAAATGGTTTGAGCGTCTGGTCTAATCAAGTACAAATTAGGCAATAATGACGAGGTCGTGATGAAGCGGCGAGGAGCAAGGGCTAGCCGCTAGGGGGTTGTACTAAGAACATGAGTTCCCTTTGGATCAATGGGTCTCGCTTCGCGAGAGTTGTATACTGCCAAGATCCATCTCGCTTAGCATGGCCACTCCTGATTCACATCTAGTCGTGGCCTTCCCCAAACCACGCGAGTTCATGAGTCTGGGAAAAGCCAGACCCCCACCTTTTTCTGGCAACGGAGGGCTATGTACAGCCGAACGCAAACTATAAGGTTCACGCACAGGCCAAAGCGTGCGTACCGCGCACTAATGCACGCTGTCTTAGCGGAGGCTCTCCTGCGTGCCTGCATAAGCCGAGTAAGCTAGTTCAGCCAAACCCGACATGTCAAGTTTTCGCACTCAAATATGGGACGAAAAGAACAGAGGTTCTCCCACCGCTGCACTGGCGTCACCCCGCTGCTGCCAACAGTTCTTTGGTAGAAGTACACGACCCCCTTTCCCCTCGCCCCCTTTTATACTGGATTGATTTGGGTTCTTGTCTGCCAAGAGTCGTCCGGGTCTGCTCGCAACACCATTCCAAAGGTGATATGGTAGGTGAATTAGGCGTTGCTTGTTCTGTGTTAATAGATGCATACTTCAGTCGTAAGGCACCGACTAGAGGCGGTGTGCATTGAACAGCCCACGCGTCAAGTCATAGAGTAACAATACAATCAACGGAGGAATAGAACGGCCAAGACCATTCTACTAATTTGATTGAGTGTTACGGTAAACACTGTTACTTCATATGGCAGAGACAATTGACAAGAAATCAGCCGACTTTTTCTGAATAATGGGTCCGAACCAAGGGGACCGTGACCATTTTGTATTCACATATTCATACTGGTCTATGAATTCTACACAGCCCCGTAAGCGAGCTGTGCGTCGAGTGATTATTGGTGGAAGCCTTTCGGACTGAGTGGCAGCCCATCTAGGCTGCGTTCGTATGGCAAGCTTCTCTCAAGAACGTCAAGACAATTTTGGCCCACTTCTTCAAATAGACAATCCTCAAACGGAATAATTTGACTAGGAAATGGAGTCTTTGCTGTGGTCCAACATGATCATGCTTTGCCGAGTGACGACAAGCCAGAGCTGTAGTACGGAACCTGCTGTTTCAGTGAGCCTGAGACAACTAACGCCACCCACACTGCATTTATGACTCGTCGACAATTGCGGACATGGCTCCGTTTGTTTCAATTATGAAGCGAGATGCACATGCGATGTCCCAATTCCGCGGCAGGCAATTAAATGCTGATAATATAATACACATCCTCTCTACTGTTTGAAAACCCTATCGACTCAAGCACAAAGGGAAGTTTCATCTAATTTTTCATCATGGGTCGCACGGCTATTGTTGCGGCGATCTACGCCCTTGCTGTGAGCACCTTCGGCACATCATATGTGCGCGCGGAGGCATATTTCTCTTCCTTAGAGTCAGCGAGTTCTGGCAGGCTCAGCGCTCGGCAAAGTTCAGACTTGATACTGGATCAAACCACTGCTCTCGACATGCATAACACCGCCCGTGCCAACGTAGGGGTTCTCCCGCTTGTTTGGGACGCGGCCTTGGAAGCCGATGCCCAGGAGTACGCCAACTATATCGCCTCAATTGACAGCTTGGTACATTCCACTGGCTCTGGGCAAGGGGAAAATCTAGCATTTCAACGGTCAGCCTGTGTACCTTTTGCTGCACAGTATTATAGGTTGTGTTACTAACGAGATATCTCATGTCAGGTCATCAAGCGGTGTTCGTTTTCCTCTCTCTGTTTCTACCAATTCCTGGTTACAAGAAGAGGTTAATTACAACGGCGAAGTGATCCCAGAAGGGAATTTCGCTGCATACGGGCATTACACTCAGTGTGTATGGAGTTCGACGACCAGGGTTGGGATCGCATACGCCATATCTGCTACTAATGGGTATTACACTGTTGCTAGATACTTGCCTGCAGGTACGTGCAGTTGGATGTCATTTCTTCATCACCGCATGCACTTATCATGGCTCACAACGCTACTGTTCTCTTTGAGTGGAATCTCCGGTCAAGCTCGGCGAGCTTAAATTGTAAGGGAAATACTGACCTATATTCTCGTAAGGTAACGTGGTTGGACAGAGGCCCTATGACATCTCGTCTTCTTCCTCTTCTTCTTCGTCAACGCAGTCTTTCGAAACATCCACTTCGACTTCACTTGTGGTCAGCACCACTAGTACCTCAACGTCCTTATCAATCACAACTGAGTCGCCAACTTCGTCTACAACGTCAGAGACCTCAACTGCAACTGCCGGCCCAGTCACAACCGAGTCTTCTAGCTCCTCCACATCTTCGGAATCCTCAACTGCCTCTGTTGGACCAGTCACGACTGAGTCTTCAAGCTCCTCCACAACTTCGGAATCCTCGACTGCCTCTGTTGGACCAGTCACGACTGAGTCTTCAAGCTCCTCGACAACCTCGGAAACTTCTACCGAGTCTTCAAGTTCCTGCTCAACTTCGGAATCCTCGACTGCCTCGGCTGGACCAGTGACAACCGAGTCTTCTAGCTGTTCCACAAGTTCGGAAATTCCGACGGTGACCGCTAGTTCCTCTACGGGTATTTCCAGTCCGATTACCACAGTCCCAGCCCCCCCGTACCCGATGAATTCGACAACTGCGCTCTCTACTGCAGAGACCAGCCCAGTATTCACATCCGTAACGACTTTCGAGACGTCCTCTGGATCGGTCGATCCAACAGCCGCAGACACAACCCTTGTCTATCCGACAGCCCCAACTTATAATGCGGTCACTATTCCCACAAGTTACATGACATATAATTCCAAAAAGAGTACATATACTTCGACTTATGCTGTCACAACCACCTACGCGATCAACTTATGCCATCCGCGCGTTACGAATTGTTCCGTGTATAAATCGACTACAGAGGTTCATACTATTACTACTACCTGGTGCCCAGAAGACACACAACAGCCTACCGTCTATGGAAACCACAAAGTGCCAAAACCTACAAGGTCTGCTGAGCCTCACGCGCAGAATTATCCTTCCAACTTTGGGCCTGGGAAAAGCCACCCGGCCAACACTGAAGGCACGGACCCGGTAGCGCCAGGACAAGGCCATCACCCTGCAGCACAGCATCCGGATTCAAAGAGCGATCCTGCCTCTGCATCCACCTTCACTTCAGCATCCGATGCAGAGGAGCATGTGGATCCGCCAGACAACGATGCAGCGGCGAGCGGGAATCTACCGCAGCCTGCTGTGATCATTCCCACCGCTCCGATACTTCCCAGCAACCCCACGAGAGCTAACTCTGCCGTCACTGGCGCGACTTTGGTGGCTGCTGCTGGTGTAAATGAGATTTCGCCAGAGAGTATCGTCGAGCCTGGTCCGTCGGGCGTTGATGATTCCACAAATAACGAGGCCACTCAAGCTGCCACTACGCCTTCTCTGCCCAGCTACGTTACTGCAGCAGCATCCAAAGCCGATGTTTCTTACTTGTGTATCTTGATTGGTTTTACTACTGGATTCATCATGTACGGATAATCATACCGATGGTATGACCAAATCATCAGTTGCGAGCGTTCTTTGGTTTCGGGGCCGTAGTAAAGGCTGATAATCTTTCGATGCTAATAATCTTTTAATGCTAATTTGAAAACTCATTTCACATTCAATGTCCTACTTCCTTCGGAAATCTCATATGGTAGAGCAGTTTGTGGTGGTCTTCTCCCTGTGGACTTGACTCCTTTCACGAAAATGAGTCAACTGATGCATATGTTGTATGAGGAATATTTGCCAACTCGCTCCCAAAGTACAGCTCTTTGCTTGGCCGGTTCCAGTGGTTTCATCCGCTTTCAACTTCAGACTCAGTCAAGTTAACTATAAGCTGATCTGAAGTGACCATGATGTTGCTGTGCTGAAAGAGCAAACTCAGTATGGATTGAAATGGGACGCAAAGTTGGATCAGTACTTAGGTATATGTTGTGTGGGTCCTCATTCATGATTCAAAGAAGCTCTTCAAGCATGTTTCAATTCATACTCCTGTCACGACGATAACAACAGTCAATCCCAGCAGTTCTTGTCAGGAAGCAACCTCGAGGCGATAAACTTTTCAAGACTCGGTTATAATCGGAGCGTAGCCAGTTCTACACTCGGCCCAAAAGACCCTTCTCTCACACTTGAGCAACCGTTTGTATGGGTCGTTCTTGATCGAGCCAGAGACAAACGGGTTACAATTCTCCCAGCAGTCGTATGGATCATGCCACAACCCGTTGCTTTTGCGGTACCACCGTTTTCCGGCACACTTGAATTCGCCAAACTCGTAGCGCGCCGAATTCTCCCAGCACTCGAGGAGATCAACGGAGTCTATGTTATCGATTTCTCCGCCAAGAGTGTGGGGCGGCTCTTCGATGTTGTTTAAGTTGGCGTTTTCAGATAAGGGAGTTGGATCGCTTGTGATCACTGTTGAGAAGGTTGTTGGTCCAGTCACTGTGTGATTGGCGGCGGTTTGGAACATGGGTTTCAATGCCGTAGAAGCGGAGGCAGCGAATGCTGCAAACAGCACAATGAGGGTTTGAATGGATGGCATGGTGTTCGTTTCGTGAGTTTTGTAAGTATAGGATCAGAGTTAATATTTGACTCGGAGCGCCGACTAGGCATGTACGATGAGTGATGAATTTACAACTGGAGGCAAGGGAACCTTTCGCCCCTTTAAATACGCGGAATCCAGAAGTCGTTTCGGAGATGGGCATGTTTTTACAAGGTGCGATGTCACAGATATGCGCAATTTCATATTATGGTTTGGTGACTTCTAGAGTTTCAGAACAGGTGGTACAGACTTGAACGCAAAACTCTAACACAGTCCAACTCGCACTCCATTAGCAGCAGACAATTCATTGATGTTTTTTGATACGATAACTCTGCATGTGCTCAATTTTAACGGTCACCTCATTATACGATGGACGCATAGATCCAGCGCGCAATACGTTTTTGAATGAAGGCTCCTGCCAGCACACGAATATAACACGAGTGCAAACAGGCAACTATGAAGTTATTATACGTTGGTAATGCGGAGTAATGAGTAAAACATATGTACCGACTATCAAAGTTGACATTTTTGGAACTTCCACACCGCAAAGTTGAGCAAACGTGCGGTTTCGGGAGCATGTCGGCCACGAGAAATCATCGTAGACTGGTCAGAAATCGGCTACAGTGTCTGTTTCGGCAACCGTAACTGTGCCCGAGCAATCTGGCCCTACTAGACCTCTGATTTAGCCAATCTCCATTTTTACACCAAATCCTCGCTCAATCGCCCAAGAATGCCTGTCGGGTCCATCGTTGAACAGAATCAGTACATCCGGCTTTAGTACCTTCCTTGCGATGCTGATTGCCTTCTCGAAAGGCAAAGGGTCTGGATTTGTCCGGATACCGCCGCCAAACATGAGCGCTGAGTATTTGTCCTTTCCTGCTATTAAATTGGCCTCGAATTCTGCCAATGACTTGTCCACATTTCCACTATCGACGACCTGTAGCGTGCATGGAAAGCCATTTCTCTCTGCTCGGGCCAAGTCGACCTCGATCTTCTTCATGATATCGTCAAATGTTCCCCATCTTGCCTCAGCCTCAGCCCCAAGCTTGGCGTTTATACCAAGGACATAGACATGTTGCTGCGCTGACATGGTTGGTGAATTCGGTGAATTTGCAGGTTGGCGAAGCCCAACTAGGTCCAGAAACAAACGGAAATGATTAGATGAAAACTCAGTTTTCAGTTGTATACGGTTCCTGCGAGTGAGTTATAATTGTTTAAATTCGATCGAAAGTCGCCTGGCTTTCTTATTTGTAGAAGATAAAATGTTTGTACGTGTGTTGCGGAGATTAGCACGGTATGTAAGACCGGAACACCGACCTCGGATCCCCATCTCCGCGCCGAGCTTGCCGGCCGGCCAAATCGAATTTTAGACTTGAGATCCAGCCTAGTACCGCCGCTGTATCAACTACAGATCTGCTTACTAGGTGCCGGGCAATCCAGCCTCATGTTATAGCGCTAGGAAGTCAAAGGCTCATATCGTTAGCTAACAGCACTATGTAATGTGAGCCTTCAACCAGCTACGGAGCCCCACTATTTCGCATTGAGCTACTCAAATCTCGTGGTTTAGAAGCAAGCAACTGAACTTTGGATGCTGTTCTTCGTTGCAAATTGCTGTGAGTACGGTTGTCAATGGTCATGAGGCCCTTACGTGTGTAATAATCAATTGCGTATATCGAAGCTATTGGATCTAGGTCCTGCAATGCCACGAAATTCTCATGCCCTACTTGTGGCACTGTTTGCATCTTGCATATTGGGACCTACTTCAACAACATTTACTTCCGGTCCTTCAATCTTCTTCACTTTCCTACCTTCCCACCAGGACACAAACCCTGCAACGGCCGAGACTCCACAGCCCAATGCAATAAAGGTGCCAGTTGCCCACGTCTGCACGCTTGAATCAGCATCGTCATATCAAAGAACTGAAGATCCCATGAAAAGGAACACTTACGGGGCGGTCAAATCGATTGTATGCCCACATGTAATATGACAATACAACTTGGAAAAGAGTGTTCATAACCATCATCGAGATGGTTAGCGCCAGCTTCCATAACGCAGTGGGTGGTGCCATTCTGCCTGTGAATGTCGGCATTCGCGTCAAGCTTGGTTGAGGGATATCATCGTTCGACTTCAATGGTGTAGCAGCAGCTTGTTCCACGTCTCCATGCTCGCGATACCACGCTGGTGGTCTGAACCAGCCCTTGTTCTGCTTTGCCAGTCTCTGCATGGCGTGCCTGTCGTGCGTGGCTAACACACGGACCAAGTAATAGAAGTCGCGGAACCGCCAAGGCGCGAGACCGAACCCTGTGACGCAGAATAACGCGTTCAAAATCTGGCTATCGATCTCGAGCCACTTCTTGCGGGGCGAGTTATCGTCATCGGCAGTCGGATAGTTCATTGCGGGCGCCACGCCCAATAGAAGGAAGAACAGCATTGCCTGAGAGATTGTTTAGTACGGAAACACCACCGGCTGGCATCAGCTCCAGTGCCGATGCAACATTTCAACTTACACCCCAAGCCTATGTCTGATATCAGTACTGTATACGCGTGGCCTTGCATCGGATATCCCAGTATACTTACAACTATATTTAGGAAGTATATTGTGATCAGAATCCCGGCTGGCGTCCGGAGGAATTTCCAATACGCCTTGAGACCGTTGGCGATTGTAGGACCGAAACCCACAGTCGGCTCGTCATTCTGCATCTCCAGCAATGTCTGGCGGCGCCTCGGTGGCCGTGCATGATGCTCATCGTCATCCGAGAGGCTTCCCGGGATCCTCGATGGCTCGTATCTTGACGTAGTTTTGCTGAGGACCGGGCCAAGTTCTCCATCGCTCTGAAGCAGTGCCGTACGCGCAGAGTGGCCTTGTGCGTTGAACTCAATGGCTTCCCCAGCTTGAGCGACGCGCAGCTCTGAATAGTTGGGAGCCTGCGCGAGTGCCGTACCCGTCGCCTGCCACATACCCAGCTGCGGGTTCGCGTTGAATAGGGTCGTCGAGGCCCGACGTAGGGGCCCCAATGGGCCTGCTGTATTCGAAGACTCGTCCATGACGATGCCACAATCCCGTGAATCACCAGAAGGGTTTGCTCGAAGAAGAGTGCTTCCAGAGTCTGCAAAGGAGAAATTTTGTCGGTAAGACGAGGTGGAACCCCATCCCCGACAGCATGATGCACGGCCTGTCAGTGCTCACTTGAAGTGCGGGCATGCCGTTTTTAAGATTGACTCGCGCCCATCAACCATGACTAGTCGATCTAGCGTCGGCTCCAGCCTATCTAGCGAAGTAAGGTTTGGCGCGAATCTCAACTATTCCGAGAATAAGCGGGTCAACCACCTTCGTACTCGCTCGTAATCGCAAGACACTCTCATGATCGATGAAAGGCTTGTGCTGCTCGAGTGAAGGTGGCCGCGAAGCAGTGTTCAATCTCATGCTTGATATAGATCCAGGCGATCAGTTGCATGTTGCCTGGTAGCTGAGAGTCCAGAAACTAAATAATCCACAACTTCCATTCATGGAACATAAACTGTGGTCCACTAATGTTCCCATTCGCCTACAGAGAGTACATAAGAGAATCATGCCGGACCTCTGCATTTTGCGTAAGAGATGGCGACCGCAGAGCATCAAAGTGCATCAAGCGTAATATACTGTTTTCTTGTCAAGCCGGTCTTTACCCATCAGTCTATGTTAGTGAGAAAGGGCAGCCCAGGTATACTACTCAGTTTCTGCTTCGAGCAGTTAATGTTATACATATTCGAGACAGCAGTCAACTTTGACTTACGTTTACAGCTTAGTCCCAAACTGACTTGGACCCGAAAGGAAATAAAAGCCATGGACGTTGAGTTCTGCCATTCGCCTTGAAGTATAGACTCTACGCACAAAACAAAGCCAGCGGAACTGGTTATGAGCGTAGCATAAGAGCTCGCAATAGTCTCGCCCCACAGAAACTACGCAGCAACCCCCTTGACTGCCGAAAGAGTACACAAGTAATCTTTGCGACATTGTCTGAAGGGGGCACATCGTTGACTATATGTTACCATGGATTGACCGCTAGCCGTTAAGAATGATACGCCTGCGAGCCAGCAATAGACCCGGGCACAACGGTCTGGCTCGTACGTGTCCAGCAGTAGCCTTCCAAAATTCCACCACGGCTATGTCTACAAGCTCGAGGTGGGGTGTCTGTATTTGGATGGGGATAGCAACCCAAAGTAATTGATGACAATGCTCTTGCAGCAGTCCAATGGATTCATTTATCAAGGCCACTCCAAAACTTCCAATTTCCCTTTCCATCGGGCCAGTAGACGAGTAAAACAAATCCTTTCATGTTGTTGGATGATCTTCACTAAGGACTTCCGCGCGCAGCGGGGTAAGCGGTGCGGTGCACCCTCGGAGCCTCGGCTGGGTATCCCTTGCGGCACACATGCAAACACTCCACACTGCCTCCAGTATATGGCTTACAACGAGATTCTTGACCTACAATTCCCTTCAGAGTTGATCATGCCCACGAGGCGTTGTCAAAATCACCATGTCTCAGTCAAGTAGCGAGAACGTCGCAACCACCAGCTCCAAGCTCCCATGGGCTGAACCCGCGTGGCACGGCGCGCTAGAGTCGCCGTATTACAACGACTCTCACCGGAAATTGCAAGCGTACGCCCGGAAGTACATTGACGAGAACATCATACCGCATGCGCTGGAGTGGGAAGCGCGGGGCGACTGCCCCGAGAGCGCGCGGGCATCCTACCTGAAGTCCGGGCTGTCGCTGCTGGACGTGCCGATGGAGTACCGGCCGGCCGAGTTCCGGACCGTGGCGGGGATCCCCGTCGACCGGCTGGACGTGTTCCACCAGCTGATCCTGACGGACGAGGGCGCGCGCTTCGAGGGCGGCGTCGGCGCGGGGCTGTCGGGCGGCGCCAACGTCATCGGCCTGCCGCCCGTGATCCACCACGGCACCGCGGCGCAGAAGCGGCGCTGGCTCCCGGGCCTCTTCACGCGCGACGTCAGCTTCTGCCTCGGCATCACGGAGCCGTCGGGCGGCAGCGACGTGGGCAGCATCCGGACGCGGGCGGTGCGCAGCGCCGACGGCCGCTTCTACACCGTGACGGGGACCAAGAAGTGGATCACGGGCGCGCAGTGGGCCACGCACATGACGACGGCGGTGCGCACGGGCGGGCCGGGCCCGGGGGGCATCTCGCTGCTGGTGGTGCCGCTGAAGGGGACGGCGGGCGTGTCGATCGACAAGATCGCCAACAGCGGGCAGAACGCAGGCGGGGCGTCGTGGGTGCGGCTGGACGGGGTGCAGGTGCCGGCGGAGAACCTGCTCGGGGCCGAGAACGCCGGCTTCAAGTACGTCATGACCAACTTCAACAAGGAGCGGTTCGTCATGGCGGCCGGGTGCAACCGCAAGGCGCGGACGTGCCTGGCGACGGCGCTGGCGTACGCGCACGACCGCGAGACCTTCGGCCGCCCGCTCGCCAGCCACCAGCTCATCCGCCACAAGCTGGTCACGCTGGCGCGCGAGGTCGAGGCCCAGTGGGCCTGGCTCGAGCAGATCGCCTACCACGTGCAGGCGCACGGCTGGCAGGACGACTCCATCGCCGGCCGCATAGCCCTGGCCAAGGTCACGGGCGGCCGCCTGCTCGAGCTCGCGGCCCGCGAGGCCCAGCAGGTCATGGGCGGCGTCGCGTACCAGCGGGGCGGGCCAGGCGGCGGCGGTGTAGTCGAGCAGATCACCCGGGACCTACGCATGATGGTCGTCGGAGGCGGCTCTGAGGAGATATTGGGAGAATTGGCATTTCGGGAGGAGATCAAGCACGCGAAGAAAAGGGGTCTGAAGTTGTGATGCGGTATATGTAAATCGGGTTCTAATCTCTCTTGTCTGCTAGTGTGGTATCAAGGTTCATTCAATGCAAGTCGCTGCTGGGAATAGCAGTGTATGTACAAATAAAGTATCCCAGCCCAATGACCGATAAAGGCTTCCCATTTTCATTCCTCATCCGGTACGCAGAGCTTCAACTCTATTCCCTCGAGTGAACCAGGCAGATCTACATGAACGGTTTCATCTCTGAATCAAAGGTAAAGTCTTGCATGTAGGTATCCCAAAACATCTGCGTGTCCGCCTCCTGGGTCTGCGTGACCATGATGAGCGGTGCCGGACGCGACACATCAAGGCACGGCACGTTGAGGCGCGGCGTCCTGAACCGTTCGATCTTCATGTCGGGGGCCAGCGGCAACTGGCCGCACCGCACCTCGGGGGACTCAAGGCTCTGCTGGCCCATCTGGTAGTCTTCGTCCCGATATATCTCGTCCACGATCTCGGGCCGGAGCTGGGCGACGGTGTCCCACAGCAGCGAGGCCCCGAGTCTGTTGGTCACGGTGATCTCGGCGAACGGCGAGGGCCCCGGCGCGGACTCGATCGCGTGCGCCCTCTCCATCATGGCACTGACCCATTTCGCCGCCCTGGCGAAATCCCGGCTGTTGGGAAGCAGCTGGAAGATGTCGTGGGCGTCCGCCATGGCCCGCAACGCCATGCTCCGATGCGTGGGGCCGGCGACGGATTTGTTCGCAAGCACACGGAACAGAAACACCGCGGCGAAGAACAGGTTCTCGAAGAAATATTTCGGGTAGAACAGGAGCGGTATGGCCGTCTCCTGGTCGCCGGCCTCGGATGCCGCGCGAATCTCCTTCACCCGCTGTATGAGCGCCAACGCCGCCTCCATGCCTTTTGCGTACATGATTCGTCGATTGGCAATGCTACTTGGTGTATTAACATGCACGCCGCCGCCGCCGCCACTCTGGGCCGCCGGGGGGGTAAGGGCGAATGTGTACAAGTTCATCTTGGCGTACTGCAGCTGGCAGTCGACACTGGGCCCCCACGATGCGGCGTACATTGCCTTGATCCCGTCTAGGTTGCCGTCAAAGGTTTGTATCAACGCTAGGTGCTCTGCGTGGTTTTCGGCATCCTCCAGCGCGGCGCTGAACTGGCACAGTGCCTCGTACACGGACAAACTGGCGTGGCCGGCTGGCGACAAGGCACCGTTGAGCTGGGCCGTGGCCTTTCTTACGGACTTGAGCTGGTAATACGATGAGATCGGGGGCAGCAGGCCTACGAACGTGGCAATTCTGGAAACAGAGTCAGCATGTGATCCAATTTCCTACAGTAACACGGCCGGGGCTTCGTACTCGGTCCCAATGCTGAAGCAACCCAGCCACGTGAGGTTCTGGATTTCAAGTTCGACATGGTGAGACGGTCTCAGCGAGTTCGCGGTGTCGAGCGATCCCGGCGGCTCCGACAACGGCTTATGAAACCCCATGCGCATACAGGCATTGACCGCGATCCCGACATAGTCCCAGCCCGGATCCAGCGAGCCCCGCCTCCGGGGTATCGGCCACGAGCAGAGGAGCAGGAGGGCGTGCACCTCCTCGGCCGTCCTGATGGCCGTGGTCGAGATGGTGGCCAGGAGCTCCCGGTGCGGGAGGTACAGCTGCTCGTACAGGCTGCCATGGGTGGGGTGGTGCTGCGAGGCAACGAGGCAGATGGTCCAGAAGAGCAGCGGAAAGTTCAGGTACAGATGTGTCAGCGAATGTATGGGCTGTAGGAATGGCGCGTGGACGCGATAGTGACGCTCGAAGCTGCCGAAGATTTAGCCTTTGACGGTACCTACATATCCCGTGGGTGCGCGGCCCGCTAGGTTCGAAGTGTAAGTGCTCACTGTCTGAATAACTCGACCACCGTATCCGAGGACACGGAGGAATTACCGACCGCAAACTCGGGGCCGTTGAAGCTGTCATCGGAGAGCAGCAAACCCGGGGCGCCGATTTTCTCGGGCGTAGTGCTACTGCTTGCGGGCCGCACGTTGTGTAGCCCGTTCGTTATCTCGCGTGTGATCCTGCGGGAGAAGCCGGCATGTCAGCGCTATAGTAGAGTCATTTGATGGTGGAAGAGGAAGAAACAGTTCCTTGGTTCGGCTTACTGGCGAGTATAGATCCGCTTGAAGTTCTTGTCGAAGCGGCATTCCAGCTTCTTCTCCACGCAGCGGCTGCAGGGCTTGGGGGCTCGCTTGGGGGCATCGCAGGCGCCTTTGGCCTGGCGACATCCGGTGCAGGACTTTGCCTTTCCGACCATTGTTCGAGACGAAGCTCCTGAGGATAAAGTGCCTATGTAATCAGTCGCTAGAACACGGGCCGTACGTAATGCACGAGCTGTGCATCGGGACCGAGCCCAGTATTATTCGAAATCGAGGGCGCAGAACAAGCCGGCACAGGTTTACATGCTCGGACTACAGCCACATCAACCTCGCTTTTGGTTTAACAAGTCCTGTGCCGCGCCGATGCAGGATACGCGATGTCCTGCCTCGAAAGTCACGTTTCCTTCAGCCCTATGGAGCCCACTGTGGAGCTGCGCATGGCATCCAAGGCACGCAAATGAGTTTGTGAAAGCCTATATGCAACGTTGGTGGAATGATTTTCCTCGCGGCCGTTCTTGGAGGGGGGGACGGCTATGCCCATTCCCACATGTGCACCCCCTGGTCGGCCAGGGTTTCATTCTGGCGCTAAACCAGAAGTACATGCCTCTGTGTTTCCTCATTGGTTTTCTGTATTCTTCTAGAAAGCCGCTAGGCCTTTCCTGTGCCCCTAGCACTTGGCAGCAGCCATCACGAGCAGGAATCGTCCAACCATGATCGTGGCTTGTTCTGCAAGCCAGCGGCCGCCAGGTGTCACCGTGGTGCTGTCTGTGTTCTTTATACTCTTTCGGGAACATGGCCAAGATCATGCCCGAAACCTCTCATTGGCCTGCTTGGGATCGTACCGCAGTGCCCTTCACCTCACCATGACGTAGCATCTCGGCTGAAGGGGTTCAACCGGGTCAAGCTCATCTTCCTGGTCACCAATGCATGCAGGGGCTTTTCGTAGCCGGTTGCTATATAAAGGGGCAGCTAAGAGAGAAGGAAAGAGACGGCGGGGGTACTCTGGCGGAGAACCCTAGCAATTGACGATCATATACTTGCATCCCGTATTACTTGAGAAATCTCCTATGTGACATTGTGGGCTATCTCACATAAACCATTCTCTATGATCTCGGATTCTTTAGCTCTTATTTTCGCCTCAGGAGAGAGTAACGGACTCAAGGGTAAATCTTGTGGACTTTGAGACTGGTGAAGAGTTGATTGATGATTACCCTGTGATCTCAGCCTGTGTGGTCCCGTGAGAGACTCAGGTAATATTTCATATAGTCGGCCAATGACGGATGAGACACGCGGAGTATCTGAGCTGGCAGGTGCAGAAACAGATAATATTATTCAATACTATATAATTCCGTACGAACGCACATCATCGATCCATCCATGCCACCTTGAGGAGCTGCAACCGTGTGGGGCAAGGCCCCCCCCCTGTGCCTCGGCAACCTACTCTGCTTACTACGCTTTACCTACCATGCTATACCAACCATACAAGGGACCCCTAAGTTAGTTTCCCCGTGATCTCACACTATGCTGACTTGGCCGGCACTCGCTTACTTGCCATCCTGATACGCTGTGGGATACAGAGTACATGATAAAGGATGCAACTGCACAGATAGAAAGCATCGTATTTTTGCGGCAGGGATCAGCGCGTGCCACGTTTTGGAGCCGATAATCAACACAGCAGCAGCAGCAGGCGGCCAAGCGGGAGCGGCCGCGTTCTTGTATGCCCCCAACTTGTAGCGGTGAAGCTAACGCTTGGCACACCCCAGGGATTAAACCTTAATCTGGTATAAGAAGGCTGGCTTCGCACTGGCGCGCCAAGCGACATCGTATAGAGCATTTTGACGCACGTTTACAAGAATACGGCCGACATGAGCTACGGAGACAGAACTGGTAGTTGGTAGGGCGAAAGCAGACTTGCAACATTGTGGGATTATTTATCGTAGCACGATAGGTGGGCGGTCAGGCAAGCAATTGAAACGATAAATGGTCTATTTAGTGCCCTAGGCGCCTGCTCAAAGCAACCCAGCAAATGCATGCTGGTCTTGTCCCAGCGCTCGTGGCTACTATGCAGGTTCCAGGGTCGTTTGGCCCAAGCTTGAACACGCCATGCAATGCAGAGCCTCGATATCATAAAATCCTTGGAAACTTGCCCCTGAACGCCCTCACGCCTCCGGAATGCCTGAAAAGTGGAATTTCCCTTTACGTACGCCGATTCATGTGTCTCTTTCCTTTGCCATGCTGTCCTGATGGGTAGGCACCATGCTCAAGTTCCCAATGCGAACGATTACCAAAACACCATCTAGATGCTTTCATGCAGGCAGGCAGGTAATGTCAATATATTAAATCGCCTCTTAGATGCCAGTAGGAGGCTTCTGAGGTAAGGTAGCGGGGTTGCCATAGTTGGGCAGCGACGAGAACTGCGGATGGGTATGGTTGCTGTCCATTGACTGGGGACCCTTGGCCGCCATGGTATGGTTCATGTGGTGAGGCATCTGATTTCCCATAGGGGACATCTGGGCCAGGTGCGACCCTGGATGTTGATGAGGCAGGTGCTGGGGCGGAGTACCTTGGGGATGATAGGCCGGAAGCGAGTTGTTGGAGCTCTGGCGACTCATGCCATAGCCAACCTGCGGCGCCATGAAGGGCTGGGGCGGGCCGTTGGCAGCGTATCCGGGGTAAGGCTGGTGCGGAGATCCGATCTGCCCGCCGTGCGATCCTCCCATGTTGAATTGCGCCATTGGTGGCTGAGGCTGACCTGGGTTCGTGCCGTTGCCGGGTACGAATGACTGAGTCTTTGGGTTGAAAGCGTGGCGATTATAGCTACCAGGAATCGGGTGCTGGCTCTTGGGATCATTCGGATTGGCATTCGCTGGAAGCTGGCCGAAGGCATATGGAATGCCTGGCTGCGCCTGTGGCTGAGGCGGCCGCGCGGGTTGCTGTGCCTGTTGCGGGAACGGAGCAGGAACGGGAGGCGGCGTCTGGGAGTAGGCCGGCTGCGACCAAGCCTGTTGAGGGGGAGTGTTCTGCATTGGGGATCCATAGCCTGGCAACGGGCCACCTGTTGAGGGATACCGCGATTGCATAGGTTGCGGCGGCATCGGTTGTGGCTGCGGCGGTTGAGGTGGGTACTTGAAGCCTATTAGCGAGGGGGCCGACCATACAGACCGTTCAACTCACAGATTGCATAGGATTATACTGAGGATATCCGTTCATCTGGCCTTGGGGCGGAAGCTGCCCATAACCCTGCGCCGGCTGCGGGTACGGCTGGTGTTGCTGGTGCGGCTGTACATTCTGCATGTACGGTTGCTGCATCTGGCCATTGAACTGGTTGTTCCCGACAGGGACATACTGGGGGGCCCAACCAGTCGGCTGCGGATGATACCAAGGGGTGTATTGCGACCGAGAGTCGAAACTTTCCGAGTCGTCACGGCGTTGCTTTCCCGTCTTCCCCCTTTTACCGAGGTTCGACTTGTCCTTGCCTGACACAGAGCTGGCCCGCGACGTGGCGTTTGCATCTTCGTTGTCTAGATGACAGTTAGCAAATGACTCTGGGGAGGAGGATTTCTGTCATACCAGGCGTCGACTCTCCAGTCTTCTCGGATTTCCCGAAAATCTGTTCTCTAGTTTTGTTATAGGCCTCCTCTCGTTGCTCGCGGGTCAGCCTGCAGTGGGGTCAGTAGGGCTCGTCATACAGGGATGTTTCTGGAGAGTGTACCTCTCTTTGGCACCCTTCTCCTTGCCATCACTGCCGACCTCGGATGTGGCTTTCGAGGGGCTAGTACTAGCCTGGCCAGAGCCTCCATCTTCGCCGCGACGCATGATCTTCCTTGGCAGGAGGACTGGAGCTGCAGCGGTAGAGTTGGTCTCGGGCACACTGCTGCTCATTATGCTAGCCAGGGACGGCGGGACTCTGCAGAAGGGAGTTCTATAAATGCGAACAGCTCCTTGGACGGCTTCGAACGAGTGTGTCATGTGGTAGTAGTCGGCGAGCTTGTGGGTCAACATCCTGCAGAACGAGTTGCTGGGGGGTAAATCCATGAATGGCTCCCTAGACGATGGGGGTTAGACATGCGCAGTCGATAACAGAACTGGAACTACGGAACTCACTTGGAGGACTGGACAAAGTTGATAACATCCTGCTCAAGCCGTAAGAGGAATAAGCGATCTTTGGGCGAATTCATTGCCTCGAGCAGCTTGTCGTCGGGGTTCTGCGAGTACATGGTGCTGAAGGCATCTGGAGTGCTTGCCACAGTCGCTAGGGCTTGGGACGTCTCGGTGGAAACCGGCACACCGGAATCTACGCTCTGAGGCGTTGCGGACCCAAGGTCCTGCGACTCAGGGAGCAGCTGGATAATGCGCCGTTCCGGCATATCGCCAATGCGAAGACGGTGGATGCGAGCAACCTCGGAGCCCATGCGCGAGTTGACCATCTGCGAGCCTCGAATAGAAAAAGTCTCTTCGTCGTCGGCCGCAGCCTTGACACTGGCGCTATCGTCCGGGCGAAGCGATTCCTTCTCGTCGAGAGCGAACGTGGTGCCAGAGGTGATGCTCTTCCCATCGAGGCTTGGGGCCTTAGTGCCAATCTCCGAACTGGAATCGGCCCTCTGCGAGACGTCGTCTGATACGGCATTTCCAATCTCATTTTTGCTCGCCGCGTCGCCTACCGACGCCGAAGAACCATTTACCACCAAGCTCGGCGTAGTCGCGGATGGACCAGCTGCATTGGAAGACAAGCTGAGATCCTTCAGGTTCTGAACAATTTTGGAGCTCGCCGACTCGCCAGGTCGACTGATGTCTCTCTTATCTGGGAGGGGAGCAGGCTGGACGGGCGCCTTGACGGTCGCCGATGGGCTGACTGGCTTGGCAGCGGCAACGGGAGCGGGAGCGGATGTGACGTTCTTGGTAGCAGTAGCAGCAGCACTGACAGACGGAATGCGGCGGTGTTCCATGGCAGGAACGGCAACTCGAGGAGCCATGCTCTCCTTTGCGCCTGAGGCAGCAACCTAGGCAGCGTGTTAGCGGACCACGGCCAAGAAGAGTACGTATCGGGCGTGCAGTCATGGGGCAAACCAACCTTGGCGAAGGACATTTTGGCAGGGCCGGAGGGTATTGGTACTGATGTGGGCGCCGAGGCCATCATGTACACTCCGGACTGGGAAATGTCGCGATGTGCAAATCACGTAACGAGATAGAACGGCCCAATATCGGTAGGGACAGGTAGAAGACAGGCTGCGCGCAGGTGTCTAGCGCCCAGCTGATTTTTGTTTTATAATGACTGCGTCCGACCCGTTTGGTAGAGAAATCCGAAAAGGGATATTGCAACGACGAGAGAGAGAAGAGAAGACAACTCAGGAAAGAAAATCGACCATCGCAGCGTTGTGGAGGTACAGAGTACGGTGGATCATGGTTGGTCGTAAGGGATATCTTGTTTGGTCGTTCTGTCGTCGAGGTCGTAGCAGTCGTTGCGTGCGTGTGGGCAGGTTGGACGGCTGCCGGCTTTTTTGGAGATATTCAAGGCCCCCAATATGTCAGACGCTGTATACCGAGCGGGCGCAGCGGCTTGTCTATGTCGCGTGGGGGGATAGACGGGGCTGAAGTCAGCACGACGGGACGGCGGCGAGGTGGTACGGAAAGCCCCTTCGAACGACGGTGTCGGTTCGGGTTCCGAGGGCGCTGGACGTTGCCGTGGTGCGTGAGATGCGCGCGCAGGCTACTATGATGCCAGTGCCACAGGCCGAGTGCGGCTGACTGTTGCCGGTTGCGATGGCTATAGAGGTGCAAGTGAGTCCAGCGAACCTGAGGGGTGATGTCGGGATGGAGCTCGTCGGGAGGTGGATGTGAGGTTGGGGGCAGGAGGCCGTTGGAGCAGGATACGGAGATGAATTGATCAAGCGAGGCGAGGCGAGGCGAGGTGAGGTGAGGTGAGGTGAGGTGATGTGCAGCCAGGTCAGGGCAGAGAACAGGTGCAGCAGGCCAAGCATATGCTCATGCTCAGCGGGTCGAGTGACAGGCGAACAAGGCGACAGGCGGCGAGGGCAGCAGAAGGGTCGGTCCCCTATCCCGTGACGGTGCAGGCGGGCAGATCAGGCCAAGGGCTCAGCTTTGAGGGGGCCGACGGTTTGATGCAGTGACACCAGGCAAAAGGAAACAGCAGCAGGGCAATGTAGGGTCTGGAGAGGAAAGGGAACCTGGGGGGGCGGGCGCTGACGTGACGTACCTTGCCGGGCTCCGTTCGAGGCGGGTGGCTGTTGAAGTTGACGATGTCGGGGGGAGACAGGATTTGAGGTCAATCAATCAATCAATCGCCTGTCGTCGTGTATTCAAGCTTCAACTTGTTAGATACAGTAGTCACTCCAACATGGATTTCTTCCCGAGCCAGAGCGCCCACGCCAGCCGGTTCCGCCCTTGTGCTGTCTCGGTCGAAGTGCTGGGCTAGGGCGAGCGCTAGAAGAGAAAAAGATCTAGCGCCTGGCTGTGGGCGACCGGGGGGGATGGACGGGTGCGGGTGCCTCACTTTTTTTTTTTTTTTTTTTTTTTTACACCCTTTCTCTTCTCTTACTGCTTCCTCTCAGTCTTATTCCCCTTCCCTGCTCTTGTCGTTTTCCCACTGCCGGCAGGTGCCGCCGTTAGTGCCCTCCTGGGTGTAGGGTGGTGTGGTGTGGGTGTGGGTGTGTGTGTGTGTGTGTCTGGTTTCGGGGGAAGCCAGGCAACCAGGTGGCAGTTGACAGGTGATGGTGTACCTAACCTGGAGTGGTGGTGGTCATTCGTTCGTTTGTTGGATAGAAAGAGGCAGTCGTAGCCTGTCCCAGCCCGCCACCGACTAGAATTAGAATGGAAGAAACTGGGGGGATAGACATTTGAGTGGGGTCGCTGGACACTCTCAGACAAGCACAGGCCACCCTGGTGTTGTCGGCGACCGGAGAGAGGCAGCACGAAATATAGGTACTATATCCGTGTCGTTGCTGGGCATGCCATGGGCGATATGCTACTTAGATCTGTCAAGTCTACAGCGGCGGAAGCTTTCCGATTCGATACGGGGCATGTTGGGGGCCATTGACGCGATGTCTAGCCACCATAGCGTCCAAGCAAGGTACAGATCTGTACAGACGGGGGAGAGACCATTCGGTGTAGGTATATGGTGCCGTACCATCAGATCCGAATATATACAGGCTGTGGAAGGGGGTATCAATTCCTACGCAGTCCGCCAGCTCCCACTACATGGCACACAGGAGATATAGTTTGATAAAGAAGCAGAGGCAGCCAGCCCGTCTTTCCTGTCCAGAACGCCAAAACCATGCAAATGCCCAGAAACCCTCATGCTCGAGTTGCCCGCCCATGTCGAAGTGGCCTATTCCTATTCCTACTCCTGTTCCTATGCCAGGGCTTCATCCTCCCTCTCCCTCTTTTCCTCCTCCTCGTCCTCGCGCTCCCGCACCCGCATGGCCTCTACCAGCGCCACGCCGTCCAGGCCGACCGCCTCCCTGTCGCCGTCGCCGTCGCCGCCAGCGCCCAGGACGGCCTTCTGCTTCTCCTTCTCCGTCTTCTTCGCGCTGGCTATGCGCTCCCTCACCAGCTTGGCTATGGCGTTGTCCGTCCTGACGTTCAGCACGTCCAGCTTCTGGTCCAGGTCTCTCTTGAGGTCCCAGTTGGGCTTCTTGGGCTGCAGCTTGAACAGGTCGATGCCCTTGTCGGCCTCGGCCGCCTCCTCCAGGGCCTTTTGCCGCGCCTCGGCCTCGACCTGGGCCGCCTTCTCCTCCAGCGTCGGGCCCTCCATGTTCAGCGTCGGGGCGTTCTCGAAGCCGAGCTTCGGCCCTTTGGCCTCCACGTCGTAGTTGCGCCCGGACAGGTGCAGTTTCGCCATGTCCTGCTCCGCGGTGGCGGGCGCGGGCGCGGGCGGTGATGGCGACCGCGTCGACTCGGGAGCTGCCACTTCATCTGCGGGCTGCTTGCGCTTGAGGTTCTTGAGCTTCGCCAGCCGCGCCTTGCGGTCGTCGACCGCAGCGCCGAGCGTGGCATTCGTCGAAGACATGCTGATTGTGTGTATCGCGGACGGGAACGCAACGGATTGCCGAGTGGCTGGTGTGGAATTGATCGAAGACGTCGTCGCGGACAGGATTTCCGAGTAAGAAGACGGCGTGCTGTTGAGGTGCAGAGCGAACACGATGAGGCGAGTGACAGGGCAAAGCGCCGGTATTCTCGCTCTCACCACCGACGTTGGGAAGTTCGCAGCTCCCCTGCAGCAATCGCGCAGACCACGGCCCAGAGAGGCACTAAAAGTACGGATCCATGGATGGAGCTAACTGAACCAACTGCCCAGGACTCCCCATCACAGTACGCGCAGGGCGCCCCGCGATAAGCCGATAAGACTTTTCTCTAGCGCGGCTTCGTTCCGTCCGTCACGAAATTTCCCTGGTGCCGTCGTTCCCCATGTGCAGCGCATACGGATGCGACAGAGCCACTGACCTTGCCGTAGCGTGCGGCTCTTTGCTAGCTCACGACCGTCTGTCTGCCCTTGGACTCACCTATCCCATCGCCGACGACTCCCGTGTATTATTATAACAATCTCTGTACTGTACAAACACCTGGGCGGGAGTCTTGTTTCCTCCCTACTTTCTGCACGCAGCGCCATGCCTTGTACTATATAAATACTCCGTCCCTATCCCTTCCCATCGCACATCCCGCCTGGCACCTACCGTCTCGCCCATTCGGACGGGATGCGTGCCCCCTTCATATGTCGACCTTGCCTGGCCCGCCTTCGCCAGGCCACATCCCACCCTACGCTGTTCCTCCGCGCCGCCTCTCATGCCCAGGCCCTCCAGACCCAGAACCCCCCTTCGGAATGGCCCAGGCCACCAGGCTCGGTCAACTCGTCACAGCAGAGCCAGGCCCGCCCTCCGCGAGACCCTGACACCGAGCGCCTTGATACCGCAGCGACGATACGGATCCGCCGATACCTCGAAGACCGGCATCATGTTGGGGAAAGCCTTGGAGGGGGCCCCCTGACCCGACTGAAGACCATGATTTTGAATACGAAAGGGGACATCGAACTGCTGTGGCCCGCAATCGCCCAGGCGTATGGGCTTCCGAAGCGCGCTGCGCAAGAAGCCGCCGCGCAGTTGAAGAGGTTGTTCTGGCGCCGCCGCCGCTGGGAAGCGGCGGAGCTCCTAGATGAGTTCGAGGTGTGGAAAGTCGGCTATTCCAAGTTCCTCAGACAGTTTTCCGCCACCGGGACCAGGCCGACTCAACGTGGACAAGCGGCTGGTCGGGCTGTCGTCCCCGATGCTGAGGCTCCCTCTGTTTCGGCTTTGAAGGCATCTTGGATGCATCTGGACAAGGACGAAAGGCAGCGGCATTGGTCCAGGATTCTGCTCTCCATGCTGGAATCCAACCCTGAGCTGCTGCCCTCGTTCGTAAGGGCTACTTACGACCCTTCTTGGTCACCGAACTACGTCGTCGAGGATTTACTTCGCATCCTTGTCCTGCACGAAGAGACCCTCGCGGCTGCCGGTCAAGACTCGATGATTGATTTGATCTTCTTTCTGCGGGATGCCACTCCGGCAGGAAAACTCCGGCTGGGTCAAGATGTCATTGGCACACTTGTCTCGACGGTGCCTGTCGCTCGAGCATTCGACATGTTCAACACACTGAAGGCCAAGGGTATTGTCATAAACGATCATACACAGTTGCACTTTGCCAGTGCGTTCGCCAAATCCAAAGAGCACAAGGCCGAGGCGGCTCGAATACTATGCTCCTTGACAAGCAGACGAGGCTTTGACATCAATTCCGTAGCCGCATCGAGTGTTTGTACTTCATTGCTACATCTTGCCGACGGCGAGGAGCCACCTCAGGGACAGGCCGCGCCGGATGAGTTGTTCAGAATGCTTTTGGAGCACGGGTTGCGCCCGAATCTATTGAACGTTACAGCACTGATGCGGAATTTTTGCGTCCGTGGATACATCGATACTGCTTGGACCGTCTATGATCTACTGCTCGAGTACGACATCGAGCCCGATGAACGAGTATACTCGACCTTGCTGCACGCTGCGAAACTGCAGGGAGACCACGGCTCTGTACACCGTGTCTTATCAGCGGTACACACCCGCAATACCTGGAATGCTGCCATTGCCAACAATTTTCTTCACATCATCTTTGAGGAAAATGAGAAACAGCCCGAGCGCAGGCGAAGACAGCGAAAGGCCAACAACGCCTTCAGGATCATGTTGCAAGTCTACGCCAAGTTCTTCCGCATGGAGCCACTACAGAAGCTGTGTTACTTCCCTCTCGACGAATATTTGGGTTGGCCAGGCCCCATTCCTGCCCACGCTACACACACCACTGACTTGGCAATGGCACTGCCAGCAAATGAGCCGTCACAGCTGATGGACCCTGACACCATCACCCTTACTACCATGATCTCTGCCGCCGTCTGTGGCGCCCCGAGATTTTATAACGGCCCTAGCGGCTCAAAACGCATGATGCGGTACTTCCAATATTTCAATGACCTATTCTTGGCAAGAGATCCCTTGGCCGTTGCTCTAGTTGAGAACCATGGCACGCTGGTGTATGACATTTTCCTCCGCGGCATCCTACAGTTCCAAGGGAACCTGCAACTGGCAGTGCGAGTTGTCCGAAACATGATCCAGTTGGCCGCCGAGGAGGAGCAGAAGTACGGCAAAAGCTCGCACCCTTACCCATCGGCTTACACCTGGACAATCCTGGTGAACGGGTTCAGCAACCATGGCCAACCTGCGACCGCGGCGTCCATGGTCAAGATGATGATGCGGGACGGCGGCGTGAAGCCAAACATGGCCACCTGGAACGCTCTCATTACTGCGTTCGCGCGCAAGGGTAAAGCGCGCGGCGCGGTGCAGGCCATGCAATACATGGAGCAGGCCGGCTTCCGGCCGGACAAGTACACAATCCAGGCCCTGAGCTCCATGAGTCTCCCTGCCAGGCGGCGAGCCGTGGCGCTCCTCGAGGCTGCCAAGGGCGACGGGCTGGCGCAGGATGATGTGAAGACCTTGCTTTCCGCGCCGAGTCCCACTGGAGATTCGGAAGCCGAGTCTTCTGACCTGGCCCGTATACAGCAAGAGTATTCTCCTGCATGAAGCATGCTCGAAGCCGAGGCGGCGCACTCATGAGTAAATGCCATTATCTCACAGCATGATAACCCGTGCATGCGAAAGGGATACCTCCAGATCACTCCAACACAGGCTTTTGGGCGTTCTCCATTCACGGGAGTCCCGATCATCCTAGCAGTCTGCTCCAACAACGCCGCTTATCGTAGGCGTAGCCTCCGTGCCAATACCGTTCGCGAAAGCAACAGGTTAGCCACGAAGCCCCTTGAGGCACATCTTGGCACCCGCCTCTCAGGCGTGCTCTGAAGGCTGTGGGCACTCGAGTAGCATCTTGTCCCAGGGTGCCTGTCGGACTTCGGTTTTGGCAAGACGGTACCTTGCACATCATCAACTACCTGACCCTGGGCGGAGTTGCACAAGAGTGCTCTGCGGGCTGGCAGCTCTCGGTGGCTACAGCCGTTAAGGTCGTTGCAGCCCCCATTGGGGCGTCGCACCACATCGTCGCAGGGCATTTCCAAAGATGCCTGGAGTGAAATAATGAATGAATAGAAGAGACAATATACCCCACTACATTTATCGCTAGCTTATAAGACAAGCTCCAATCCCGTTTGCTCCCGAATTAACTCCCAGGCTCGCTTCGAGTGAAGCGTATATATACTCTACTAACATTCCAGTGTAGCTCAATGGGTGTTGGAGGTCACTGACCTATGCTGCCAAACTTTCGTCATCTCTCGTATAGGAAGTGTGACTACGCCATCGACATAGCATCTCCCAACAAATCAGCCCTGCCACGGAGCATGGATTGTGTCATGATAGACTAACCTGCAGTGACATGATTAGTATGTTTTCTCGAGATGAGCCGACGAATGTATCGGGGGGATAGAGCCAGCCTTCATGTCAACGCAACCACGAGTTGGATCAAATGCAAGTACATTCGGCCCAGAGTTCCCTTGACTCTTCCCAGGAAAGAACTCAGTACCTCGACCACCGATCAACCGGGAAGCCTCCATTCGGAGTGCTCGCACCAGCCGTTGCGCGCCCTGAAGGAAAGGGATCGCTGTGTACGCCGACGCTCCGCATCTCCGATGGGGATGTAATGGAGGCGACGACACTCGGTGGTAGTTCATACGGTCATCATCATCGTTCTCCGCAGTGCATCAGTCGAGTACATCCACCCCCACGCTGTATATTGGGCATGATGCGGTCCCTCGTAAATATTCCCACGATGACAGCTGCCACGAGGGACAGCTGCACCAACACCTCGCCAGGAGACGGCGATGAATCCGCAGCGATCGCTCAGCTACCGTTACATGTAACAATCAGCCTGTCCAGCAAGGATGCGAGCCGCGAGGTTTGACGAAGCCTACCCTCACCGCTCCCCCTTGCTGCATCGAATCGCGCGGGAGCCCCGTTCAGACAGATGCTACCGCCGACAAGCGCTCGGCCTGGGTGCCAGGACTTACTTCGGCGAGCGCTTGTCGGCTACCAAGCTAGAGTTGCCCTCATAGCCCGCATCGCCGGTGTTGGGTTTATTGGGACGAGACAGAAGAGGCCCGCGAGTTTCCCCGCGAGCCTCTTAAACACCTTGTTACGACATTTATTGGCAATCAATCAACTTGGTTGGCTTTCGCCAACCCCAAGTGTGGTCATCCTGGGGGGATGAAATGCCCTTGGAATCATGTTGCAGCCACGACAAGCGAGCTTCGCTCAAGCCTGCCGAGGCGGCCGAGCTTGTTGTATACTCGGCCAGCCATGGCTTCGTCCCTCGTAGCCGGGCGGTGGTTCCTGGTGGGGGTCACACAGCACACGGCTACACCAGCACCTCGAACAAGAGTTGTCCGATGCAGTCCAGTCCGACGTTTCCCAGCTCGGCGGAATGCCTCAGACTGGAAGTAGCTTAGAATGGACCGTTGCCCGTCACTGTGGACTAAGGGTTAGCACAGATACACGTTCCTCTGAGCGAGCCCCAATGTCGTGAAGAGACGGCCAAGGCCGCGATAAAATCGAGCAGTGTGAATGTAGTGAACTTACAGCAGATGTCTTTCTGGCGGAGTACCCTCGCGCTACATCACTGGTACTGGATTTGTGTTGGGCATCCGAATGCTCTTCATTCGAGGGATCGAGAAGTAAGAGCACTGCTGGCTGATGGTGCGCAAACTTGACGTTCAGCTTCGATATTTCCCCTGCGGCTGTTGGCACTGTCGCCCTTCAAGTGGGCTTATTTCTGGGAAGAATAGGAGTGAAAATCATAGCTTACGGCCACACTTTTATATATGCGTGAGAGGGCTGGGTTACCCCAGGAATTTAGGTTCAAGTGGGAGGTGGAAACAGAGTCTCGGTAGAGCTACGAAGAATTGTGCGCACGCACGACTGCCTTGACTCACAACCTTGCGATATGACCTTCTTTTGAGAGTGTTGTCACGGCCCTGTGCTGTTAACATGGAGTCCGGAAGACATTTCCGGAATGAGTCCGTATAGCAGGGTTACATTGCATATGTAGGCTACGAAATGTGAAATGTCAATGCAATACTGCGCTGTTCAAATACCTTTACAATACCGTTCTCCTTCTATATACCCTTTGGCTTCAATCTTCGCAAGTTATGTGTATCTTTGACTACGTATTCCCTGCCCCATACCTTGTGCACCAGTCTGCCTGCCAAGGACACCAAGAGTGCAGCTGAGGCTGAAACCGCGTGGGCTGGGGTCTTGCCAAGAAACTTGGGCACCTCACACACAGTCTTCTCAGAACTTCGCTGGAGCACATCTTCAAAGGTTGCCCGCCTTTCTCCCGTCCAACTTAACAATGACATTTGAAAGCTGGAAGCAGCGGGCATTAAAACCTGAACATGGAGGCTTTGCACTGCACAAGTCGCGCAGAAGCTGACTTTGCAGAGTCCCCGCGCAAGCGGCTGAGAATTGACGATCCCCTCCAGCCGATCTTTTCGTCAGACAGCAGAGAGATATCGGAAGAGTCCGTATGCGACCGATGTGCGAAGCTAGACTTTGGTCAGGAGTCTGCCCGTGCTTTGATATCACGTAAAGCTGGCCTCGTCAAAATTGGCAGCTTCGATGAGTTAGACCATGCATGCAAGCTGTGTCGTTTCTTTGCTGCTGCTTTTCGGGGTCACCGCTCCGAAGGCAGTAACCTGCAACTGTCACCTCAGTATGCAGAGCGCATGATATGGTCTGGGAAGCCCCCGAGAAAGGGGCCGAAAACGGGTACAGTTGCTTGGATGCTCACGCAAAGCAAGGAGGAATTGAAGGCTCGAAATGGCATACCAGCCTCCGCAACGTGGATCATGCCATGCCTGCCATCTGCAGAGCAACGACAGGTTCTCAGCGGGCGACAGCTGGACCAAAACTCGGTTGACTTCCAGCATATCAAGGGATGGATCGAGTTCTGCGAGATACACCATGAGGCCTGTCGCAACAACATTGAGGTGGATATGATACCCGGCCTTCGCGTGATCGACTGCAGCACGCGCAAAATTATAGCCGCCTCTCGAGATTGTCATTTTGCCGCACTCAGTTATCTCTGGGGCCCAAACTCGTCGCAAGTGGCTACTCCACGCTACGACGAACTCCCAGCCATCGCCCCCAAGGTAATTGAAGATGCCGTACTCGCTGCCAAAGCGCTCGCGATTCCCTTTCTCTGGGTGGACCGGTATTGCGTTGACCAGACTAATCCGGCGGAGAAACATACTTTGATCCAGAAGATGGATCAGATATACCAGGGTGCTGCAGTCACCTTTGTGGATGCTGTGGGTGACAGCCCCGAACAAGGGTTTCCGGGAGTCTCGACTCTCCCCCGATCTCTGCAGACAGCTGTAATAATTGGTGGTCAACGACTCATCGCTGTGCCTGATGTCGCAAGAGAAATTCTGTCATCGCCATGGTCCACCCGTGGATGGACATATCAGGAAGGCCTGCTTTCCCGAAGACGACTGATATTCACAAGGTCGCAGGTCTACTTCCAGTGCATGGGCATGCACTGCTGTGAGTCTGTGAATCTTCCTCCTGCAACGTTCAGTCTGAACGATATGGGCAAGTTTTATGAAAAGGCCGATGGTCTACGCGTCCTCCCATCTGCGGGCGTTGGACAAAACAACCGAGAGGTCCTCGGCCGCATTGGCGAGTACTTGCAAAGACGGTTGTCGTTCGACGTCGACGCACTTAATGCGTTCATTGGCATCCTAGAACGATTCCGCGCAAGGGACCGACCCCTGTACCACTTCTACGGCGTGCCGTTCGAAGACCGCAGAATCACCAACGAGAAGCCGGTCGTTGCAGGAAAGCTTGACCCTTTCCATGGCTTGCACAAGTTCCCGGACAGAGGGCAGGCCGAGAAGAGCTTCATGACGTGGCTGATGTGGAAAGCTACGGTACCACCAACGACCAGATTCTTCACCATTCGCAAAGAGTTTCCGACGTGGACCTGGGTGCACTGGAAGGGCATTGGTAGTATTCAAGTCGACTTTGAAACATTTGTCCCTGTCAAGGCCATCGCTTCGATCAAGATAAGTGAACGCCAACCTAAACGAAAGATTCATTTGGAAGATTACATAGCACGAATCAAGAAGGGCCAGGGTACAGGCACAAACTACATTGACTATCTCCCGTGTTTATACGTCACTGGTTGGTTTGCAGAAGTCCGCGGTCGGCCATCCAACGGGAGCGCTCTAGATGACGCAGTGGCTATGCTGAACGACCACTATAAAACTTACAATATCGAGGATATCAAACTTCAGGTGCTCTGCGACGCTGAGGAGCGCAAGCTTCTAGCCGGGGGGAGTGCAGACTACTATGTTATGTGGCTCCACGTCCGAGGAGACCTGGCCGCCATGCGCAACGATGCTGCTCTCCTTGAAGGATTGGTGATCCTTAAAAATGGCGGTGACGACAACGATGCCTATCGGCGGGTGGGCACCATTCAATGGCGGCCGCGAGGTTCAACACACTTTTGGGTGGAGGGGCAGACTGCCAAGTTTGGCAATGGATTCGACGAGTCGAAGGTTACATATTTTCACTGTGAAAGACGAACAATTCGTCTCGTATAATTCAATGTCTAGGAATGCCATATACGTTGAGAAGTCAAGAATAGATAATCATTACGACTTGTGGTGGCGATGCCGTCTTTCGCGAGTGGAATGATCTTCTTCTGTTTCAAGCGGACACCCTGGTATCTTTCAGCGACTTTTCGCCGCTACGAAGACTGGGATATTTACAACGATTGATTAACCGATCTTTCTTTAGACTCAGAGGTTGAATGGTCAAATGTGTCGAATCATCCCGGAAGATTCTCAACCTAGTAAGGCAACCCTAGTTTGTTTTCTAAGTCTGGGCCAAAAGGTTGGGATCGAAATTCGCTCAACAAATCCGCAATCAGTACCGACCAAGGCCTCACAGTTCAGGATAACATTATTCAAAAATATGTCTAATCAAGATCTAACGATCATAAGCAGTAGGCACTGACTTCTGTCTCCATGACCTCAGAGAACACTATATCGTAGCGCCAGCGCTGCCACGCATCTTGAACGTTCTAAACGCCAATAAAACGCCAAACAATTCGATCCTCTATGATGCTCCATAACCGCTTTGTTGCAGCTTATGCGTGCCGTGTTGAGTTTGCACTTGACCATTTTTTACTTGTCTATCCTCCCTCCTGTTCTACTCCAAACCGTTGAGTCCAGTCCTACTCCAAGACCGAATCTTTGCTCCGTAGAACCACAATAGTATGGGACTGATAATGGCAATAATCAAACTAATAAATGCCAGCATGGTATTTCCCCACCCCAGATTCAGTGCTTCATACATGGCCGGTGCGAACAACGGAAATGAGAAACCGCACATTGTACGCATGAATGCAGCAACCGCGGCGGCGGATGCGGCATACGAAGCACTATAGGCATCAACAACGTAAGCTTGCGCACTTTGAAAAGCAATGATAAGCCCCATCGCTAAGACGGCGCAGCCGATATTTGGTACGATCCAATGCAGGCGATATTCGGCCGACCAGCCGTATAGCACGAGCCCAGCGGGGATGAGGAACCCGCTGATGACCATGGGTGGAACCCTCCATTCCGGAAGGCCTTCTTCTCTTCCATAGTATGTTTTGAAGAAGCTATACAGCTAGGTATTGTCAACAAGTTGCTCAGCGGTTGCATAATTGCCGAGGTGTGTACGGCAGCTTGGTGGGCTTACCCGATCTATTAACGGATGGCTGATCTGCAAACCGATCATGAATCCAACGCACAAGGAGAGATAGTTCAAGCTGGCAATCTCCCTTTTCATGTCATAAACATCCTCCCACACTTGGTTGAAGGTAGAAAGTCTAGACTATTAGCTGTGACCAACACAAACAGGCGCTGGGACCTACATAAGATACATGATTCCGTAAGTGAACGCGCGGTAAAGAGATGGGAGTTGGACGGCAGGATGAGTGAAGAGCATAATAAGAGGAAGTACTAGTCGCTTCCGCATTATCCTACCAAGCGTCTTATCTGGGCTGTCAAATTTCGAGCGGATATTTGGATTGCCAGTCATCTTCCGAAGCTTCTTTGCTTGGACGGCCAAAATCCTTGGTGCATACGATTCCTTCAGGAAAAGCAAAGCAGCGATCTGGACAAAGGCGTCGAAGATCGACGTTGACCAGAAAACCCAACGCCAGGAAGTGTGCACCGAGATGAACGCACCAACTATAGGCGCAAGTGTCGGTCCCATAAACGTAAGCATCCCGTAAATTGTCTGGCCCTTTCCTCGCTCCTCCTTTGACCATATGTCGGCCAAAACACCATTGCATAGCTGTGACATGTCAGTGAGTGGTGTCAACGGGGAGAAGACTGTGACTGGGAGTCAACTTGCAGCTTGAGGGGCACTTCCACCGACACCGCTTAGGAAACGGAATGCCAGCATCTGAGTGCTGGTGGTGCAAAAGCCTGCGGCGGTGTTGAACGCCAGGTAAAAGAGGTTAGCCCATTGCAGGACCAATACACGGCCAAAAATTTCGGACAGCGGAGCGAGTACGAATGGTCCTTGAGCGTAGCCGAGCAGAAAGATTGCCATGATTAATTGTCTCTTGAGGCTGCCAGTGACATTGAGGTCGTCACTGATGTCATCTAGAACCGGCGTGACCATGGTCGAAGAGAAGGGTGATATAAAGGTGAAGCAAGACACCAGTATCGTCGCAGTCCACTTTCTCTGCCATGACCAATTCATGGGGTTATTTGGGTCGTAGGGGCCATCCCAGCAGACCTGTCATCATTAATCCCAATACTGAGAGTGATCAATTGGGATAGACGCCGTGCTTACAATTTCAACTTCCGTCGTCAGCCTTTCCAGAGATGTCAGAGATGGTGTCACTCCCAGACTTGGTGTGCTCTCGGACAAGTTTTGTAAGTGCGGCAACGTAAAGTCAAATTCGTCTTCTTCGAGAAATGCTGGTAATGGCAGCTGCCACTCACTTTCAGGACGGTAGAAAGTCATGGGTCGCGGCGATTTTCAAGAGGCTAGTGCTATGTGAAACAGGTTCTCGTCAATAAGGAAATGATGATCAGGAACGGTATATGGTACTGAATACTTGAGCAGGTTGGCTCTGTTCGTCATAATAAAGTATCGTAGTTCGTGAGTCGGTTCCTGAAAGCTTGGCAGATACTAGTAACGTATCTGGGCCGTGCTGGCCAATCCGCTACTCACAGCTCAGCCTCACGCCGATCGCTGAAATTTCATGTATGTCCAACGGTTTTGGGGCTTGTTTGATATATTCTTAATTGTGCTTGATTGTGAATACGAAGCGAAAGTAACACATGATGCCGGTGTTGGAAATACCAAGGAGCTGCATCGTGGCCAGTGACGCGTGGCTCGAGTCTCGTCCTCCGGAATGGTGTTGGTTTAGTGCGCATCTGTGATCTAAGCCATTGCCGAGAATATGACAGCCTCGACTTAAGCGAATAGCGAATCGTCGCGCTAAATTTGACCGTTTCCCACAGGTTCCTGGCCTGCCGAGGCCTTTAGCACCCGTATCAGAGTTGGCACTTATGCGTGCCGAGACGAGCTGTGGGCATATCGTTTTGGGGTCCGCTATCCTCTGAATGAAACCTGTTTTCACCCTCGTGCCTTTTTGCCGCATGGAGAAGTATTCATGCTGATCCTTCAGCCTCGGGCAGACGGACATTCTTTATTCCAAAGTCTTGATTGAAGTCGATGATCCTCAATCTTGTACCCGACCATTGCTACAGGGAATCTCGTTCGAACAAATCTGGCCACTTTTGAACGGCAAATGGGATCAAGCGCCCTCTCCATGACATGAATGACGTCTGCGAAGGGATCAAGGAAGCCAAGGGTATACGCTCAGCACCAGGTATGCCCAACGTCTTGGAGAGGTTGTATCTCATGCTGTTATTATTGGTATGTATATTTCACCATCGATCAGGTACTTCAAGGACAACCGTGAGACTACTGTACAATTAGATCCATTGTCCTTGGACTCATTACCCTAGCGGCTCGGCAGTTTGTATCAGTAAGACCCCATTTGAAGTCCTCGAGACCCAAGGAATTGCTCATCTCAAGCAAGTACTGTGGTCTCTTACCAACAGTGGCTGTGGCAAATTAGGACCGTTGGGCCAACTGCTTCAGAATATTCATGTTTAGTCTACCCACGTAAGCTCGGGGCTTGTATTGCGCAGCAGTTCGTATCAATGCTCCCTGTCCGCATTAGTTGCAATAGTCGTTCGATTTTCCTCTAATTTCTATTTTCATTCATTTCTGCTACTTGACTCTCAAGCGCAAGTCCATACTCAATGTACATAGATATCTTTGGGGATGGCTTCCATGGCTCGGATATATAAGGCCAAGGCAATGCCTCCAGACCCTAATCTTAGAATAACCAACAAAATTAATTTGCAATTTATCACTGCTTGTAATACGTACTATCTACGCTTTCAATGGCAGTCTCTACCATCGTCAATCTATCTTCGACGCCAAAAATTCCGAGTCTGGCGACGAGTAGCAGGCAGTCGATGCGATCCAACCTTAAGGTGCTCATTGCTCCGTCCGGATTCAAAGAGTGTCTTGGACCCGAAGAGGTATCCAATTACATTTACGAAGGTCTGCGACGTGTCCTCAAAGATAGCAATGCCCTCTTACACAAGGCACCACTCCACGATGGAGGTGAAGGCTTCTGTAAGGCGCTCGTGGCTGTTCGTGGCGGCGAGATGCGCTATCTAGAAGTCATGGGGCCCGATCGTGCGCCAACAAACTCGTTCTTTGGCCTGATCGGACAGGACAGGAAGACAGCCGTCTTGGAAATGGCGGCCGCGGCTGGACTGAGGCTTGTACCGAAAGACTGCCGCAATCCAACGGTCACCACCACGTACGGAGTAGGACAACTGATAGAGAAAGCACTGGACCTTGGCTGTACCCACATAATCATTGGCTGTGGGGACTCCGGCACGTCAGACGGAGGTGCTGGAATGCTTCAAGCTCTTGGCGCTCGTCTGTTGGACAATGACGGCAATGAACTAGAGCCAGGTGGTGGCGGAGGTGCCCTCAACTCTCTGGGTTCCATGTCGTTGATTGATTTGCACCCAAGACTTCGTGGTGAGCTCATTCCAGAGTTTCATTATAACATAGCGTCGATATACTAACAAGTTCAGATGGAAGCGTCAAGATCGAAGCTGTGTGTAATATCAAGAATGTGCTGTGCGGGCCGGATGGAGTGGCTCGAGTCTACGGCCCTCAAAAAGGAGCCACGCCCGAACAGGTTGAATCTCTGGCCAGCGGGTTAGATCGGCTGGCGCAAGTTGCCAAATCTCTCCTCAATATCGACCTTGCCAACAAACCAGGTAGCGGCGCGTCCGGTGGCCTTGGCGCAGGTCTGATGATCCTTGGTGGGGAGCTGCGGCCAAGGAGCGATGCTATAGATGAGTACTTCCAGCTGAAGGATCTGTTCAAGACGAAATGGGATGTGGTCATCACCGCTGAGGGCAGTCTGGACTACCAGTCAGCCAAAGGCAAGATGACTGTCGAAATTGCTCGGCGCGCGCGGGCCCAAGGGGCTCACGTGGTGGCGCTGGCCGGCACAATCGGCCAAGGCGCCGAATGTCTCTATGATGCTGGGTTTAACGCCTTCTTGAGCATTTCAGAAGGGCCAATGTCCCTTGAAGAGGCTATCAAGTCATGTCCAATGCTTTTAACCAACGCCGCAGAGAAGACTATCCGCATGTTGTGCATGGGGATGTCTCTTCAGTGTGCAGAGCCACAGATGGCGACTCGCGACAAATCGCAGCGGAACCAAGTCTACAACGGCGGAGGCCACAACGCCAGTTCCTGGAACGCTACTTAGAATGGTTTTATTTAAAGCGTAGGTAAACAGGCTGAGTGGTAAACACAACAGGAAACCATTGCAAGAAGATTGACCTGGTGGCGCAACGTATCTATCCTGGGGATAGAGTGCTCTTTCGATTGAATATTTCCCCATAAATCATTTAGCGTTGAGTCTTGTTACGGCGTATTCGGCTCCTAGGTAGATGTCAGTTAGATTATATCCCTTAAATTCAACGCGCTCAGTGCTTATCCGACGACATGTACAGGGGGCCTGACAGATCGGTGAAAACAGGGCATCAAAAATCGACCAAGTCCATTGCTAAAAGAACAAAGGAGTAGTAGGACAGCGTCCAAACTTGATCTTGAGACTCTCTTATGCCGTTTTGAAGAACAAACTAAGTCACTAGTGCAAGAGGCAAATCCAGGAGTGGTCTGAATCTTTAAGCTAGGATCCATAGGCTGTCAAAAGTGCAAGCAGCAATATATACGATCATGTGGAGTATGGCGCTGAGGAGGAACGAGCAGCATTTCCATACCGGCGATAACACTGTCAATTCTACAATTCTATGCACAGCTTGCTGGAGGCATTTCGGTAATAATTTTCAGCCCATGAAGGAGAAACGTTGAGTACACCTGGTATTTGCGCTATAAGTGAGATAATATATCTCTGGTATCTATTACTCGCCTCGGCCAATGAATGCGTGAACGGCTAGTTGGAACTTTGCATTTCCATAAAGTGTTGGCATCCACAATTCCAGAACAGGATTTTGGACTGTTCAGAGACATTTTCATAACTCTTGTTCATGACCGTCGGCTTTTTCTTTGGAGGCAACTTTACAAGGTCATCAAGGCATGTCGAGAAGATACTGGTCAATGGTATTCTAGGCTCTGATTAGAAGGGTGCATCGCAGCCACCTAGGGGGGCGTATCTTACCCAGTCATATTGACCAATGTCGTTCAGCACATTGTCCAAAGGTGCGGGGTCCATAAAGTCCAAGGAGAAGTCCATTGCGCTGGCTAGCTGCGACTGATCCATTACTGGCATGCTGACCATGGGAGGCAATTGGTTGTCGTTGTTCAAGAGACTGGCCAGCGAGCCATCTCTGACTTCCGGTTGAGGAGGCGGTGGTGGGATTGGAACTCTGGCCGGAGTTTCCTGCGCGGAGACCTTCCGCAGAATAGCGCCGACTACCCTAGCTGCATGAGCCGCATCCTTCGAAGTATCTTTCCTCTCGGACCATATCTTGTATGATGATCCCAGAGCTCGCAGCTTTCGTGACCGATCCTCCTGACTATCATTCTGTTAGCGCCTGCTGTATACACACGCCGAGACTTCTTTACCTAACCGGGGCATTCTCGGTCATGTCGAGGCACAAAATCATCGAGGCAATCAGAAAGTCATGCATCGATAACGTGGAGAGCATGTACTTGTCTTCATAGAGCCGACCACCAGGGCGGCACTCAGCCTCATATTCCGCATGAAGGTCGAGGATCTGGATGGCTGAGCTCACAGACGCCTTTCTTGAGAGATCGTATCGTGGGTCACCTTTGCCGGTGCTCAGATACTTTCGATGGAGAACGCATAAACTTTTCAGATACATCATCTCCAGCATCAAACGATGCACGATATCATGTGACTGATCGGCGAAGCTGTATGACTTGATGGGGCGGATCTTCAACGGCGGTGGGACCGCATCGTGATAACGCTCGATATCGTCATGTAGCCTGAGAACTTCTTCATATGATGGTGGGTGGATGGACAAAGCAAATCGAATCACGCGCCGGAGCATTCGGCACAGCTTTGACTTGTAGCAAAGGTACAGGGTTGAGGTTGCTTCCGTTGCTGGACGTGGAGGAGGCAGTACCATGGTGTTCTCGTCGAAGTCGAGATCGTACAGGTTTCCTGGAGATTCAGTATCACACTCGTCTTCCCGAATGGCAGGTGGCATCCCGAGCTGAAATGAGAACAGCACGTCGAAGACCTCAATGAAGAACCATGCTCGACGGCGCAATTCGCCTTCAAATGGTGTGACGTTAGGCAGGTATTTAGGATCGCGGTGGTAGCCCATCCGTTGCGCTAGGCGGACCATCATTCCAAATTTCGCCCATACGCGGCTGGGAGAGAAGTCTTTGGTTCTCTGGAGTTCCGTAAACCCTTGAAGCAGTAATGCTTCGATGGAATATGGCTTAGCAGCGAGGTAATCACCCGACACCAAGCACTCAGAAGCAAGCCTAGACAAATTCTCCGGATTCGCTTCATCGCATTCCTTGCTTAGGTCCTCCCCTTTCGCAATAGATATGGAGGATGCCACCCATAAAATGGAGGCAAGAATACTCAACCACAGCAAGCTGACAGACGAGGGATCTCGCCAAAAACTGTCGTACTCTCTTTGGAACTTTGAAGTATGTATATATGGCGCGGCCGTAAACCTGTGTCTGAAGTAGAGCAAGACCAGCTGATCTGTCCTGTTCTTTGGCGGGAGACGGGCAATGGCTTGCTCTATCGTGATCGGTTGTTGGTAGCCGAAGATGAGATCAACCTCCTGCGGAGCAGAAACATGGGGCGGCGGCGAAGGACTGGGTATGTCTTCTGCTTCTGTCTCCAGGATACCACGGATGTCATGGATGCTCTCCAGGATAGACTCCCAATGCGTTCCACCGACGTAGCTGGATTCCGTATGGGAGGTGAGGATTGCCGGTGTGGTCCCACCGATACTACTGGGCGGTGTACCAAGATCAGAGCGACTCTCTGCATCTGTCCGCTGATCTGAGCTGGAGGGGGTGTCTAGGGGCGGCCTCTCCTTCTGCACATTGTACACCAGCCCGTTCACCATGTCCTCCAGCTTCTGGAGCCTGACCTGGAGCACGGGACGCGAGAGCGCATCATGCCGGGGCCGGGCCTCGGGATGCACACGCATGCCCTCAGGCCGGGGCTTGCGACTGGCACGTGGAGCATATTCGCAAAAAGCAGCCTCGCCGCTCTTGACGCACCTCTCACACGGTTGCTGCCGGTCGCATTTGACCTATCAAAGTGGTTAGAAACGACAGAGCACGGCTGGGGTTGGGGTTGCATCGGGATTCACTTTTCTTGTTCTGCAAAGCAGACAGGAAACAGGGGGCCGGTTGCGCTTCTGGATCTTGCGCTGCGTCCCATCGTTTGGTTGGGCGCGGAACACGCTCTGGTGATACTGCTGGCCGTCCATCGCTCGCCTCGGCCGCCGATCGGCGATAACGTCAGTGCTGGGCAATGGCAGCGGAGGCTGGTCAGAACTGCCGACCCGGGCCGCTTGGAAACGCGACGCAAGGCGTGGCACGCCTACACCGAGTCAGAAGTCAGGACTGTATGATTTGGGCAAGTTGACACCGAAGACTCGGGGATACGAAGACTGCAATCGTCGAGTATTAAGTCGTCTCGATGTCGGGTTTCTCGGCTTCCCGCTGGGCCACGGTCCTCAATCTCCGCACCTACCGAAGCGAGGCTGACTGGTGATTGGGGGACCGGCAAACGGCATTTGCCGGCCACAGTTGCCTTAATTCCGGCACCCTGGTCTACCCCAGCTTCCACTCGAACCACCAGACAGGCGATCACGAAACAAACCGCCCAGGTCTGCGTCGGGTCATGTCGGACCATTTGCAACTGATGGAGACCTGCCGTATTCTCGCTATCCTAAGGGGAACCCACCCTTGGATGTCCCAACTCTCTGCTGGAACGGGAGCTCACCAGGGTGACTAAGCCTGGAGATAAGAAGCGCCGTTCGGAGGTTACAATTGCCCAAAGGGGCTGTCGAGCTCCCGCCCTGCCGCCACCCACTTCGGCCTTGACGGATGCTTCCAAGGTCGAGCCCAACGGCTCAATGGCCGGGTGCTTTACCCACAACTGCATCATAGGGTTCGCACGGTAGCGTGTCTTGCCTCCGTGTGGATCATGGATTCATCACTAGTGTCATCAAGATAGTTGCAGTTGCCAGCAATGAAGATTGGCTTACCTGCGTGCGCCGGAGAAGACGGCCGAGAGAGGGCACGCAATTTTCACGAGCTGCGATCTATAAAACGAGTCTCTTCCTGATGTTATGGAGATACTTTGTTTGGCCCCTCTATACGTCGACTACTCCGTATAGCCAAAATTGAATCAACTCCTCATGATGGCGACGTCTAAGTCTCTCGTTGTCAATTCCATCAGGTCTCCCCTAGACTTAAGCATCAAGACCAAGCCAATTCCGCAAGCTGGCCCTGGCGCCGCCGTGGTTGAGGTACTCTCTGCTCCTATCGGGCCACAGGCTGGCTTTGCCTTGTCCGTGCCAGTCCCGACTTTCCAGTTCCCAACTCCCAGCGTATTCGGCAGTGCAGCCATCGGCCGGATCGTCTCAGTTGGCCCTGACGCGACAACCCTGAAGAAGGGCCAGCTTGTCCTGGTCGAGTCCTTCATAACCTCCAGAGACGACCCCGGTGTTGAGATCCTGATGGGCTTGATGGATGGAGGTACAGAAAAGTCCAAGAAGCTGGCGAACGATGCATGGCGAGATGGCTGCTGGACCAAGCACGCAGTTGTCCCGCTCGAGAATGCAACACCACTAGACGAAGAGGCTCTGATCAAAAAGCAAGGGTATAGCATCGATGAACTCACGTATCTCAGTAGGCTTGCGGTGGCCTACGGAGCGGTGTCTGCGCTCGACATCAAGGCTGGGGAAACCGTCATCGTTGGGCCGGCGACCGGTCACTTTGGTGGCGCCGCAGTCGAGGTTGCCGCAGCTAGGGGTGCTCGGGTCATCGCCATAGGGCGCAACACAGATGTTTTGGCTCAGCTGAAAGCCAGCATCCCTCGTCTGGAGACACTTGCTCTGACTGGCGACGCGGAGAAGGACACTGCTGCGATGCAGATATTTGGGCCGGCAGACGCCTACATCGATTTCTCACCCTGGCAGGCACAGAACCCACCACATGTCGGTAGCGCCATCAGATCCCTACGACGCCGCGGAAGAGCGGTCCTCATGGGTGGGGTCGGAAGTGATATATCTATTCCTTACTGGCTTGTTATGCTGAATAGCATCGAGATCAGAGGCCGGTGGATGTATACTCGCAAGGAACTTAGAGAAATGATCAAAATGGTAGAGACTGGCGTCCTCAGAGTAGGAAAGACAGCTGGTCACGAGGTAAAGGCAAAGTTCTCGCTGGAAGATTGGGAGCAGGCACTCGTGGCAGCGTCATCGAACAGCTCTTGGGGCAAATCGGTCGTATTCACACCGTAATTGGACAGTCTTCTCAAGGCTCCCTAGATGTATTTAAAAGTATGGTTTACTGTCTTGAACTAAGTTGCCTGCCTTGAGACTTCTGTGGGGCTTGGAAAATTTGGCGTTTCTAGTCACCCTGAAACGTCCACTGAGGTTCCTATTTATTGAGTTAGAAGGACGTTATTGGACTCATCCCCGGACTCGTAGGGTCACCGCATTCATCATCATGATGGACTTCCTATTTCTGGACTAGGAACCCCATTGCTGCAAGCGAAAGTTTGGGCGTACCACTACCTTCCAGGAGGAAACGTCTTGCTACGCAAGACCGGGGGAGTATTTCCCAGCTGTTGTTTATACACGAGTCGAAAGTGGAAATAGGTGAACCGTAGGCGCTACACAACCCGGTAGTTGACCCGGACATGTAGGCAATGCAGGCAGATTGATGTAACTCTTTCTGCCGGCAAGCACGCGCTCACATGGAAGGAAAAGGTAGAGAACCGGGATAACAAACTTGAACTGGTAAAAATAGCATTGTTTTCGTCATAAACGCTATCTAAAAGCGGCTTGTCAACCACGAAACAGTGGTCGGATTCACCCACAATCGATATAATCTATCGAAACATGCAGCTAACTGCAGCATCTCTGTCAGGGGTCTCGTACAGGGCAAAAGGCGGCGGCGCAATATCGTCGTAAATCCATGATATAGATTCAAATGACGCTATCCTTGTGATTGCAGCCTAGAATAAGCGCCTCGAGTGAAATTAGACTCTTCAAAGTTAAGGCCTCTTGCAGTTGGGCATATTTCAAGACTGGTCGTTCCAATAAACACTCCGCAGCCGCTGAACTGCATGCTGTGAGGCTCCTTCTCTTAAATTAGCAATCCCCTAAAAATAACCTTGCGCGGGCTTCACCCCACGGCTCGCTACCCCCCAGGTGGTTCCCCAATGACGCTCGTAGGGCTGCTGGCAGGGTTCGCGGGAGATGATCGAGGGTCCCTGGACCTCAGACCAACTCCTTGCGGCGGCTGTCTACCCAGGTACACCAATAGCACGAATGTGACGGTGACCAGGAACACTTGCATCGAGCTTTTCACCTTTGGCGCCGAGGGCAACGTCTTACAGTAGTAGATATGGCAAAGTCCGAGATCCTTCAGAGAAGCGAAGGCGTTACCGTGGCCACGGTGCAGCTGGGCGATCGGTCCACCAATAAGGACATGTGAGTCCGCTCAACGAGCGCTTCTAGAAGTCAGTATGCGCCAGACTTAGGCGCCTGTTGGGAAGTGCTTGAGCCGGCAGGCATGCGTATCTAGATCTCCAGGCCCATGGGATCCGACGCACGGCATCTTAGCGCCCACGTGCGTCCCAGCGCGGTGCATCATCGCCTGCGAGGATAGCGTACGACGATGCAAGGACCGAAGCTAGACGCCGAGAGTACAGTACTGCCGCCTCACAATGACGTCCAGACGCTGAGTCAGGTATCTCAAGCAGGAAGTCTTCTAGAAAATTATCAGCCGTGTGGCACACCTATGAATAGGGGGGCGCTTAAAGCAAACCGTGGGCGGCTAATCCAGCGCGCGTCATTGGGTTGGCTGCGATCCTGGATCCAGGGGCATCGGACAGCGGTAGGTTGCTATTCTTGAGGCTATGCAGCTCAGAGAGCATACCAGTGGTTGAAGGAAGGGCCGGCCAGGTAACGCAGGATCTCAATGGCGTTCTATGTTGTTTATAGAAGTGTTGAGGCTCTTCTGAACTGGACTAAGTCACGGTCCCTGTGTGCTTTAGCGACATGGTCACCATCCCGGCCTTTGTTTCTCTGTTGCGCATCGAGTCTAGTGCCATCGCAGTTCATGCAACTGCAGGGGATGGGAGGTACACTGCAAAGCGACCGTCGCGATGCAGTACTTTTTGGAGCGCTACAGTGCACAACCTTCACGGTAAGTAATAGTCATTTTCTTCTGTTGAGCAATTGATTTACATCGATCACCACTGCATCACACCATGCAACACTTTATACTATGTACAGCGGTCACGTAGCGTTGCATAACGTTGTGACAATCATGATCGCAATGGGGATTATGTTGAGAGCACCCAATCAGCCCCTTCCACGCTCCGTAACTCCGCGTCGAAATTTGGTTCGTCCGCCCCGATGCCACACACCGAGCAGACGGTTCTGGGGACGGGAGCAAAAAGCGGGGGCCAGAAGGAACCAGTGGACTGGTATGGAAACTGTCACTCGTAAAGGATCGAATCAGAGATTCGCGGGTGCGGCACAGCAGCAAACAGGGGAGAGCGTTCGTCCAGTACTTAGGTACTCAGCCAAGCCCCCGATTTCTGCTGTCGTGTGTTGGTCGAGATGCCATCAGATCAGCTCGACGTCCAGGTCATTCGTAACCCTTAGGGTGTCATCGCGCTTGAAACGGGCTGTTGGCTGTGCCGTTTCAAGCGCTTGGCATAGCATCGAATCATAGATGCTATTGCAGTAACACCCAGCACGGCGCTTTTTCCGCTTTGACGACCATCGTCAGATTGACTAGTCTCTCTCTAGACATGGACTGGATGTGACTGGGACATCCGGCTTTTCGCAGTATTGCCAGGGGGGCATGCCTTGGTACTATGTAGTTTAAATCCCTGCTGAACGGCGACCATCTCTATGAACTGTCGGGGGTCTGGCTGATGTGACCGTCGGCTTGTTCATGATGTGCTCATATGACTGCAGCGATCCGGTCTCCGGGGCCGATGGCAAGACAAAGGGCCATGTTTGTAGGTGGCCCAGCATGCCCTGCAGCCCTCTATTGACGTGCATGCAATAACTGCCCTTTTGGCCCAGCGATGGACACTTTGGCGGACGAGCGCAGATCGGCGCTTTGTTCGACAGCCAGTGCTCCGATCTCATGGGTGAATAAGCATTGCAAGATGGCCGTCAGCCCAACGCAACGTTCTCCCCATAGCTACACATCCCCTGTTGTACGGAAGGAGAGCCACAGGGAGTGTTGCTACACAGGCTCCGTCCACCAACGAGACAGCAAAGTCGGTACGCAGTTTGCGATGCAGGCACCGTAACACTGACTATTCCGAAGTGGGTGCACAAGCCCGCGTCAGAACATCTCAGATCGAGTACCGGCAGCCATAGGGCCGTCTCTGCCTTAATGGGCTATATCTATCCGCCCGTCCGTCAGGATCAAGCGATACGTTGGTTCAGTGAAACCGCCGGCGTGCTGGACAGGCTTGATGGGATTCTATTAAAAGAGCGTTCGCGAATAAGTATGGATGCCTAGGTACCCAGGCGCCCTTTCGCATGCCCCCTTCCGCAGAGTAGCATCCCTTCCATGGCCCTGGGCTGTTATGCCTGGGGCCAGGCTCCTGCTTCGGACGACCAATCAGCTGCATCATCCCGCTTAAGAATGATCGCCGGGTCGCTGGTGGCGGTAAAGGCTTGCAGGGCCTGGAGGAGCACATGCGACAAGCGCTATGATGTTCGCGCCGCCCGGCCCCCATCTGGTTCCAGGCATGCCGTCGAGGGCACAGAAATGACGGCAGGTCTACGTGCCTGCGAGCGTACGGAGTACAGCTGGGGTAATAAGCCCTATCGAGTGCCAGAGACCCTGCGTGCACGAGACGAGGAAATAGGCCCGCGGGTAGAGGCCTTCGTTCTATAATTATCGCGGCGGGGTGTGGCGATCAGGGCTCCACCTCCACCAGTTCAAGGCTTGATTACACGCGCACGGCAATGTAAGAGCGCCGAATCCGTGGCCGTAGGTGTCGCACGCTGCATCATCAAGTTGGCCCTCGGGAATCAAGTGCCTAACTAGTTATCTCAAGGGTCTGTTGCAAGGGAGCAACTGCCCGAGCCGTGTCTTCCTCCTTTAGACGTTGGGCAAGCAATTAATCTCCTAATCAAATATCCCGGGGCGTTCGCAACCGGACACGCACACCGGATACTATACTGCCACAATAAGTTACCCATGAGGGCGGGAAGCCCCAAAGCGTGATGTCCTAGCTTGATAAAAGTACCATACATGCATCACCACGAGGAGCTTTTACGTGTGCTCAAGAGCCCTCACCTCTGTCTTTCAGTCATAGTCCACTTTGGGGAAGTCTGTACAAGGCCCTGCCTAGACTCTCTGTCCCTGTCACGCAATCCCGGCCTGCAACCCTCGTTCTGTTCAGTTGACCCCCTCCTTCTTCTGGTTAAGGCTGCGCGGCAACCGGCTTTGCGTGTTGGCGGCATGGTCTAGGGGAAAAGCAAGCTCGTTGGTCTCCCACTGCAGCAAACTTCTCCAGTGCACTCTGCGTGGGCGGTGTCCTTACGCAGAATACGTACGCTGCAACCCTCCTTTCAGAACCAGGCGGTCTCTGCTGCGTTTTCCCTCGTCCAATTGTCCCTGTTTCGCCCGCAGCGCCCTCCGCTTCGTCATGCATTCTGACACCGCACTGCCGCGGTACCTCCAGGGTTCATGTCCGCCCCGCCAATGCCAGGTCTGGCAGCGGCTGCGCTGTGCCTCCAGGGCGAGCCGGGCAAGCTGGGTGCGGCAATACGAGACGGTTGCGACAAGGAGGTTGCTGTGTACACGCGCTAGAACGGAATCGATAGCCTGCTCCATTAGACGCGGGTGCTCAATGGCGACCCGTCGCAACATCACACATTCGCGTCAAATTGCACTGCATCATATCCCTGTCTCCGCCCCCCATTGGCCAGCCGCTGTGAGAGCAAGACTACTACTACCCAGCTTGCATAGTCTTCTTCAGTGTCATCCACTAACTAGGCCATGTCGGCAATGCTCATAACCTATCCTGTGTCTGCGTGGGGCGGGTGTGTCTGTGGGCAGAGCACCGAACCCCGTGAAACCCAAAGATCACAATTGATTGCCTGATGAGTGGCCCGTGGCGTTGTGAGGGCCTATATCGCAAGTGCTACTACTACGCGGCCGTTGTCGTCGCCTCGGAGCGCCTTAGGAAGATCTGCCAAAGGACATTTGCAATCTAACCCATGACGAACATGTCCAATACTAGCAGACCTTGCAGGCCCTGGTAGATCACATGCCACCAAGTAGTTGGTGCCTCAGGACTGGGGTATAATCCTATGCCATGCTATTTCCATGGTGGCCACAGCACTGGCGATCTTGGGCTCGAGAAGGGCGAGAGAGTTCAGGGCTCCCCTCCCTTGCCCGACTTAGACGCGCTCACACGCCTCCGGTCCCTGCTACACTACCGTGGCCATATCACTGCCCCAACTGCTCATTCATAGGCCACGTTTGAGATAGCCAATACGGGCCGAAAGCAACGAGCCTATCATGCTGCGTATATCTATGCAGAGCGAGTGTGAACAGCAAGAGTCCAGGGCAGTCACAATCAAACTACTGTACGCACGGCGAGACGGCCGCAAGGCCGGGTGTAACATTGTGAATTCGCGGGGCTGGAAGGATTTGTCGGGGCGCCGTAACCCTCCCTCTTGCTGGGATGATGAGTGATGATCGACGAGGATTACTTCATCTAAGGTTTGTGAAGAACCATCTTGACAGCGCAGGGTAGCAGTAAGCACCTATCAAAAAGCAAGATCTGGCCCCCAATATCTCTAAAGAATCTCGGTGTAACTCGGTTCAAAGGGGTTAAGACAGGCGGGCAGCAATAGTTCGCCGGTAACGCAGTTGGTAAACGCGGAATAATGCCATCACCAGGGGCTCCCGTCACCCGTGGGCCTGGCGCAAGACGAGACCAGTGCGAGCCAGGGCAGGAGACTGGGGGAAACCTGAGAGACCCAGGGCCCAGAGACCAGATCTGCACAAACTCTCGCTACACAATCTTGTCTCGGCGTCGCTTAACTAGTCGCCTGGCTTGCGCCTCTGGCGCTCATCCTGCCGCGCGACGCCGGGCGGCGGACGGTGGGAAGGCGAATCTGATCAGTGCCCGGGAGCTGGCATCTTGGTGATGCGTAACCTCAGGGACGCAAAAGTGTCATGTCGCTGGATGACTGGTTGGCGATGGGTGGAAGATACCCACCCACCCCTGTCCGCCACGGACCGCTAGACTGCACCACCCACCTTTTACGCACGCAGGTCTCCATCCCCCTTCCAGCCCATCCCATTGTTCGTACGTGGTGCCTGACCCCCCGGTCGCAGCCAGCCCGTCGCAATTCCCAAGCACCAAGGCACAGCAGGGGTGCTTGCCGCACTCGAGGAGGTACGAAGAAAAGAAGTACACTTTTCCCCTGCGAAGCGCCATGCAGGGTGTGGGTTTTCCATTGGGGCAGCGGCCAGGGTTTAGCGATCAGCCCGGTACTGTACAAAAGTATCGAGGAACCCGCCGAGGCTCGAGCCGTCTCCATCGAGTCGCATTTTATTGCTTGCCTAACCGTCTTTGAATGGAGCTGCGGCCGGGCTGCTCGCGACTAAGCTAAGGTAGACGGACGTCTTGCCCTTACACCAAGGAGCCACCTTTGCCCGTGATTCCGAACCCGCGGACCTGGCGCGGGAGGGAGCTCTCCTCTACACTCATTCAGCAGACAGACGCGACGGCATGAGAAACTGGGCTGAAGCGCAATCAATCGCTTGCGTTTGGGATATATAGACCCGGCGGTGGGCAGCTTACTTGCATCGTGCTCGAAATTTATCGGAAACCGGTCCCAAAGAGGCAACCGACGACGTTCATTGCAGCCGGCGCAGGAATAATCGCGCGTTAGTTGCCCAAGCGCCAGGTTCATCGCAAAGCAACCCGACTCCTCAGGCGCACTTGGGGGATTACGGCTTGCACGCATCGCTTGGGAACTTCGGCCTGCAGGGAAAGCCAACCGTGGAAGGACGCACTTCGTGGGCTGGTTCTCACGGGTCCTCACCCTGCTGCATATTCCAGGGTTTTCGGGAGGTTGCACAGCTCTCTCAGGGTACGAGGCTTCATTGCGCCGAGGGTATATTGGTCGGACAGCCCAACGCACACCGCACCGCACAGCCTAGTCGCCTTGGTCTTACGCAAGACGTCGGCGCAGGACCAGAGCCGGCTTCGCATTGTGTCCGCCTAGACAGTCCCCGCCTTTCTTCCAACACTCAGCTCAGGCTGAAACCTCGACGTTGTCGACGTTCTTGTCCCAATCTGCGATACCTCTGTGTTCATCCAGCGGCTCTTTGAAAGCCGACCGACAGCGCACCTGCACCACGCGCCCACGCACAGCACCAAGCATCTGGGTCTGTGACTCACTTCCAGTTTCTGGTGTTTATCACAGCAGAGGCTAGAGCAACTTGCAGCAATTACTCTGGTTTTCATGCAACTCAGCAGAACCAGCCACGGCTTCGGTATTTTCATCAGTCAAGAGTGCATCAGGCTCCGTCTTTCTGATCCGCAGTCAGATCTGACCTGCAGCACCACTGGGATCTCAAACTGTGTTGTTTGGGGGGTTTTCTGACCGTGAAGTCAGGTCGGGTTTGGACACCCGTCATTTGCTGCCGTCTACCATGGCAACTTTCACGGCACTGAATGGGAATGAACCCAGGGCGGCAGAGAACTTAAGCAGTGGTTCTCCGACCAAAACCGCAGGGCCTGAAGAACGTGCGAGTGTTGCAGGGATCGCTCAGGAGCAAAACCGGTCCGGCGGCAACTCCCCCGCCCAGCGGGAGCATTGGTCAGGTCCTGGCTCAGAGCGAACAGCATATCACCACCACCATACTAGCTACGCCGAGGTGGATGGCTCTCATAAGCGCAAGAGATCCAATTCGGGCGAGCCACGCTCGGCGCCATCGGATGAGAGAACACCTCTCCACAGTGCCCATTCTGACCCACGCGATGTCTACGCAACGCCACAACGGGATAGGGATTATCGGCCATACGGCGACGAGAGTAGGGAGGATTTATGGTACGCGCAGCAGCAGAGGGACGATAGGAGAGCCTACGAGCAACGCAACGCAGCTCGGTCCCGCAGTGAAGAAGAGTTAGAGGCGACACAAGGAACCATGGGCTCGCAGCAAGGCTACTCGCCAAATAGCCCCGATGATGATGGGTATTATGGAGGATCATTTGCAGGCGATCATCGAAGGGACGGTGCTGTACAGTCCGATCCTAAGAAGAGGAAGCGCAACTTTAGTAACCGGACGAAAACGGGTTGTTTGACGTGCCGAAAGAGAAAGAAGAAGTGCGACGAACTAAAGCCCGAGTGTAAGTTTGAGAAAGCGGTACATTTACTGAACTTGACTGATGGCGCTATAGGCAACAATTGTCTCCGTGGTGGGTTCATCTGTCAAGGATACCCCAACCAGCGCGGCTATCCCAAGATGGATAACAAGCCATCGGCCGTCCCACTTGAGTCAAAGGACCCAAGCTATGTGCCTCCTGGAGCATATGGAATGCCACAATCTGCTCCGTACGGCCCCCAACATCCAGCTCCGCCCAAGAGGGAACCGCCTCCATTGTATCGGAACCAGCCTTCTTTGCGTATAGAGCCCCCACAAAGCAGAATCTTGACGGATGACGACCGCCAGACTGCATCAACGATCCCCACAGCTTCAGTGGCCAGTCCTGAGAACAAGCCCTCCGCCGTATCCGGTTATACGTCAGCCGCCAATGTGTTTCCCACGCCGATCAGCGCCATCTCTACTGGCCTGCCAAAGGATTATCAGAGGATACCACCATTACACGACACCAGTCGAACGGAACCTGATACTCCTCATCCAGGAAGTACGCTGCCGCAGATCAGCCTCCTCCATCCCTCTAGGACCATCAACACAAGCAATCCGACGTCACAGCCCTCGACAAGTAATGCCCAGGTTGCTGCCCAGCTGGCACTCTCCCACAATCACTTTGCTGCGGCCAGCAGGGTAGCAACGCAGAAAGAGCTCATGCTGCAGGGGGCATCTTACAAGCCCTTTGATAAGGAGCTTGTTTTGGAGCGCGAAAGGTGTAGTGCCGCATGCTGGAGATTCAACAACTCGACCAATCCCAACAACGGAGTCTCAGCAAACGAACGAGCACGGCTGTTCCGCGAGATTTTAATGCCAAGAGAGCCCGTCAACCTGTCGCCGACCCAGCAGTCACCCGTTTCCACCCTTGGTCGTGTGGGTAGTGAATGCGTCGTCGAGGCCCCTTTCAATTGTGATTACGGCTACAACATCACGATTGGGCACAACGTGTTCATCGGCCGGAACTGCACGATCCTTGATCCTTGCAGCATCAAGATTGGGAACAATGTCTACATCGGCCCCAATGTCAGTCTCTTTGGCGCCACGCTCCACACGGATCCCAAACAGCGCGGGGGCAGCAAAAGCTCCCAAACCGGCGCTTCAATTACCATCGAGGATGACGCCTGGATTGGGGGAGGAGCCATCATTCTTCCAGGTCGACGGATAGGCAAAGGCGCCACCGTTGCCGCCGGTGCAGTCGTCGCGTCACGCGTATGTTATCAGCCCTTATGCCGTATCGCCGCCTTCAGTATCATGCTAACAGCCGTCACAGGATGTTCCCAACTTCACCATCGTGGCTGGAAACCCAGCCATCGTAAAACGTGGAGTCGGTTCCTCATAAGGAGTCTGCTCTGTCGAATTTGACGCATCTTTGTTATCTTATTCTTGTCATTTGCGATCATGATACCCCTGCAGTCGTTGTTTACTGTACAGATACGGAGTCATTTACATGTTTTCGCCTCGTAAATCCATCCTGCCACCGCTTCGGCTTCCGACGCGACATACCTGGGGCACTGTAATGTCAGCGAGTCTCAGTGTATAGCCTTCGTGGGATGGATGGGGTTCGCTTTTTTCATCGGAAGGATTAGAGGGGGTATAAAATAACGGCCGTGGCGTAGACAGCTCTGGAAGCTTTAAGAGGGACTTGAGGGGTAGTACTCTTTTACTAATGCCGCTACTCTGTGTTTTTGGATGGAGGGAAATCGCCGCCAGGCGAGCTCTCTGGCCTCCCTGGAGGGGCGTGATGCAGATGGGTTTACCACACGAGATTAACGAGATTATGGAACAGAATAGAGATTATATATCAGAGTATTACGATACATCAAGCTGTGCATTACGGGAATACCCCGGTGAGTGAAACTAGAGACCATCGTAGAAGCAGTCTGATCCTAGTAGCTTCTGGCATCTTTCCGCATTACGAACATTAAATTATCCTGCCCACGAATGAAATCGCTTACAAGCAGACATCGCTCATCGTGCAGGCGCCTCTTGATATTGGAGCCTTCCTCGCATGCGGGCATATTCCTCCTGCGTAATCGGAGCATACTTCGGCGGGTTTCCCTCCGTAGCACATTGTGGTAAGCAACTAATCGTAGCCGTCGGATCAGTAGTCACGAAGTACGGGATTGAGTAGCGTGCCCGGGTCATCTTTCCCGTTTGCGTATCTTTTATCTCTTGGGTCGGTGGAAGCGTTACGCGGTGCATTGTCGATTTTAGGTAGTCTGACATACAAACGTCAAATATCAACCATGGCGAGGGATGTACAAGTGGATTAATGGTGATAAAGGGTGAACTTTGAATGCTAGCAGACGTACCATTACTCCATCGCATCATCAGGTCGCCAACGTTCATAACAAGCACATCCTTCAAGGGCGTGGCATCCACGAAGCGTCCTGGCTGCCGCGGATCCTCGACCTGCAAGCCACCGCACTCATCCTGGAACAGGAGGGTGATGGAGCCCCAGTCGGTATGGGCCGGCATGCGGGCCACGACGTTGCTCGTCAGCTTTTCGGCCTCGACCGGCGGGTAGTGAAGCAGACGCAGCTGGTTGCCCTCGCCGCTGTGGAACTGCAGGAAGTAATCCTCCTCATCGAGTCCGATTCCAAGTGCCAGCGCCCGTAGCAGTTCCTTCGCGGTCTCGAAGCACCGCCAGTAAAATCCAACCATGAAGCTCCGGAACCCCGGGAGGACGTGCTCGGGCAGCCAGACGTTTGGCTGGCGATCGAATGTCTCGCTTCCGATCTCGTAGCTCTCCTTCTTGGACGTAAGCTCCGTTGTCCGCCCTGGTGTTTGATGTCTCAGACCGAGCTCACCTTGCAGTCCGTGACTCTGCGGAGTTCCGCTGCGACCACGTCTTCGTCGTCTTCGTCCCGGTGGACGTGCTGGCTGACCTTCTCGAGACCAGGCCAGGAGTATCCCCGATGCACAGTTGGGCCTGGCGGGTGCGGGGCCAGCATCTTCTGATCTTCGGGGAGGTCGAAGAGTTTCTTGGACCAGCTGAAGGCTTGACTCACGAGATCCTCGGGCACGCCATGGTTCGCGATATACACGAATCCGACGGAATGGCAGGCTTCCGTCAGCTCTCGCGCGATGCGCTTGCGCTCTTCGTGTGAGCCACCGGCCCATGTGCTGAAGTCTATCACTGGTATTGCTTGCTCTGCTGACATAGTGGCAACTGAAGAGGTCAAACACGGGCTTGAAACTTGCCAAAGTACGAGAAGATCGAGGGAATTGAGTAGCATCCCTTCCGTCTTAAAGCCTCGTGGATACTACAATGCTGGATACTTCGGCAGTCAAGAAGCGGAGGTGGGAAGACATCGGCGTTGTGGGTCATGCCGGCCGATCCCCCGGCCAAGTGCGTCTGCGGCCGGCTTGGCATGATACACACCGGGGCAACCAAGCAAACCCGTGTCAAAACCGCACTCATCAGAACGTCATAACTATGACTTTTCGTCAATCCTAGCATACTGGGATCAACCATTCTCTGTTCAAAACTTCTAAACAGTAACATAGAGCAGTGAGAGCAGTAAACAATTGACATACTTGCATGTTCAATCAAAGAGTACTTGGTTATCAGTACATTGAGGAGACACATATGCGATCAAGTATAAATTTGGTTAGTGATTGCTGAATGCAGTACAACAACCCGTGCTGGTTATCATCATTTCCCTTGTCTGTCACAAGATTATCATTCAGTAAACTCCATTTGCCTCAATGGGCGCATGAATGCACACTAAGTGAACTAGAGGCCCGTAAGCCGCCTTCCTAGATATAACAACGAAAGGCTCAGGGAAGCCGGCATCCAATCTGTTTGGATTCGTAATGTCAAAATATGCTGGCAAGCGGCATGAGTCCCAATGTATTCTGGAATTTATGCGTAACCCGATGAAAACTAACCGGGGGGAATATACCATGAATGAGTGTAGTGAGCATCCGAATATGCTCTGGAACCTGAAGAATGTACAACAACGAAGTGGCTGACAATCGTACGTCCACCAGAATCATTTCTGCACTGGCGAAGTACACATGAAGCTGCCCAAGGTACTCTTTTCGGCCGCCTACTTTCACCGACAGATTTGCGCGTGAAATGGGTTTGAATATAATTCTTGGGGACTCGCTGCATTAGCCAAGGCGATAGAACTCATGCGGATGAGCTACAACAATGCAGCAGATAGAATACGCTTTCAAAGACCACAAATTGTATACTTAAACCCCGTGTCTTTCGAACAGTTCATTCACTAGAATCACAGAAGCTATAATTGAACTTGACGTTGAAGTACACCGAGATCAGAAGCCAACAGCTGGTAACGTACTTCTACTCCTTCTTTTCTCGTCTAGGGACTCTGAGGAATTCGTTAAGACTTCGTAATTACGTGAACACCAGTGGGCTTCTCACATTTTAACTCTAACACGAGAACATTATCTGAGAAGAGTACACACCAAATGGCGAGACTTTAGAGTTGGAAGATTTTGGTATACTTTCTAACTCTATAAAATCTTCTCTCGGGCTTATCATTTAGATAAGTAAATTCCACGCACTTATAAACTGTGCCAGTTGAGAGATACACTTCTCAAATTGCTTCCCACTTCTGTCCCGTGTCCATAATTCTTTCGTTTGGAACATATCCTTTTTCCAGCAAGTAGAATAGTCTTCGGGCTCCTCTGCACTCTTCTGTCCCCTTACCAAAATTTGCACTCGCTCTTCTCCGACAGGATGACATTCATCGGCTTTGTCAAGTTCAAATTGAGTTCAAGAAAAGGGCGCCGCTCAGGGAAAACCAGCACAGCATCCCCAAGATCATCCAGCAGGCGTACCTTTATCAGCAGATCAAGCGGCACGAAATCAAGCAGCTCCCGCACCTCTTCCGCCATCAGTCTCCTAAAAACCTCTTATGAACTTCTGGATATACACGGGAAATACAAACCAATCAAGCAACCAAAACAGCCAAAGAAATCAAAACCACCAAGCAAAGCCAGCTCTATTTCTCTCTCTCTTCCAAGGCTCAAGCTCGTCAAGCACCGTGGCTCCTATAACCTATTCCCACGCAAGAAGTCTAGCAATAATCGCAGAACACAAAAGTCCACACAGCCAGAGCCCTTGAAATTCAACCAAGACAATTCAAAAGACACCCCAGAAACTACTACGGGGCAAGGGCCCGAGCGAGACACTACTCCAACCATCCGTTGGCCGTTCCTCAACACAACAGCGGACGAAGACGACGACAACGACAATGAAACCGAAGGCTCAGAGTCGCCCACTTCCTTCCCAACCTCGCTCTACTCCCACACCTCCGGCAACGTCGTCACCCGCGGCGCCGTAGCGCGCGGCCGCCCGACCCTCGTGCACGCAGCCGCCCTGGGCGGGGAGTGCGCCACACTGGTAGACGAGGACGACCCGGAGTCGTTGGAGATCCTGGAGGCCAACCACCGAGCTGCTCAGCAGCGGACGCACAAAGTACCAGATGCCGAGGCCCCGGAGCCACCCAAACAACTTTCCCGAGCCGAGATGGAGGCGGCGCGACGGGACGCCGCCGTGCACGAGTGGAGATGGCGGCTGTGGTGGTGAGGCTCGTGGTCCTCGCTGTCACTGTTACCGCCGCGTCAAGGCAGAGCTGGAGAGGCCCGTGTACCTCTGACGATGGATGATGATGGTGGGTGGTGGATGCAAGGAATGATGGGATGGAAGCGAAGGACGCTCTTGGCCCCGTGGGTGCCTCACTCTGCGAGCAAGTGCCATGGCAGCGTATGAAAAGTTGGGCACTGGGTTTGATTTTCCTGTTTTCGAAGCGTGGAGTTCGGGGAACAACTCACAACAGCGATTATGTGGTGCATATATGGGGAAGCATGACTAGGCGCAATTGGACAATACGGGTTATAGAGGAGATTGTTGGACAGTATAGACTTCTCGGAGTGAATGGATCGTGTCGGATACCCCAATGACTTTCTCCTCTCGACGTGAAGTAATAGCTGCAATTTGTGCTCTTTGGTCATCCGCTCGACTTGTTGAGTGGACTATATTCTCGTCATGCAACTATACTACTACGTATCAAATATGCATGCCAAGAAAACCCGTTGCCACTGTATAGCTGATAGTGAGCGGGTGCAAGCGCTGCCAGTGCAGGCAATGTAACTGGGTCCATATCGAGGCCACAACCGGGGAGGGAACCCGCAACCTGCAAGCCTGGGAAAGAAACGGTATTCTACAGCCTCCTCGGTCTGTACAAAGAGCACCAGACGAGTTTTGGGCGCGATGCTGCTCGGGCGGCCTTTCCGCCGGCTGGGGTTAGGTTGGGTTGGCGAGTACTCAGGCATGGGAGCCAGGAGGCTACTCTTGACACAACCCGCCTTGTGCTCAAGTGATGCGTAACCTGTGTTTGTGCTTTGTTTATTCTTGCGTCTGCATGCACCTGACTATGCGACAGTGCCAACCCCTCAGTATATATAGCTTATGATGCCGCGTCTGTTCGGACGACGAAGTAGCACACCGCCAAAACTGGAGCTGGTGTGCTCCCGCGCGCAGAGAGGAAACCATATTTAGAACAAGCATTCTGACTTGGGGTCTGAAGACGACACAAGAGGTGCACGGTGGGTATCAAGAGTGGTATTCTACATGTCTCTATACGACACGGCAGGCGGCCTATTTCTTCTGCCTCTTTGCGCTTGGGTCGCTGACGGTGCTCAGAACGCTGGCACTCCTCTTATGACCGCCACTGCTCCCCGGCCGCGGTTTGTCCTCGGCGGTCTCCTTCTTGACCTCTGCGTTACCATCCTTGGGTTTGGCCTCGGCCTCGGCCGCCTCTGCAGCACCTTCGCCGTTGACTGTGGGTGGAACCTCGGCGCTGGCGTTGGCACCATCCGTCGAGGGTGCTGCGGCCTTTGCTGCATCTGTCGTGGTAGATGACGCAGCTTCGGGTTTTGCATCGCCGTTCGTTTCGCTAGGTTTCTGCGCATCCGACGCCTGCTCGGAAGCTGCGGGTTGAGGCTGCGTCGGGGCATTGAGCTTGTCCTTCTCGGCCTTCTTGGCCTGCTCAAGCTTGATCTCCCCGTCGAGTTTGTCACTGATCTTCCTCAACTCGAGGAGTGTCTGGATATTATCCAGCAGCTTGGCCATCTGATCAACAACGTCCTTGGTGGGCATGTTGAGCCGGCCGGGAATGTCAAGCTCAGCGAGGGTGTTGGTGATGCGCTGGTGCTGGGCGTTGGACTTGGTGGTGAGGATCTTGTTGATCCGCTCATAGCGGAACGTGGGACCACTCGACAGGCGTTCGGTGGTAGTAAATACACCATAGATCTGCTCCTCCTGCTCGGTGAGCTTCCGGCGCTCCGCAGGCTGCGCAGCGCCCTTCTTGGTAGGTTTCTCGGGACGACTCTCGGCGGCACCGATCGAGTCGCGGTGGTTGCTGGCGGTAGTGGAGGCGGCGATGCTTTCGCGCTTTGGGTCTGCGACGGGTGTTGATCCCGGGTGGGCCGAGGCCCCTGCCGAAGCAGGCGTGCTCTGCCCATCAGCAGTAGCCATGATGGACTTGCGTTTCTTAGACTTGTCCGCAGTCATCAGGTTCTGCAGCAGGGTCTGGAGGCCGTTGCTGGTCTTGAAGGCACTGAGGTCTTGGGTGGTCTCGGCGTGAGGGTAGTCGAGACGATTGTATAGCTCGCGACGCTCCAGGTTGAACTTCTCCTGACGCGCCATGATGCGTTTGACCTCGACAAGAAGTGCCTCCTCCTCGCGTGCCTCCTCCTTAGAGCGGCTCATCTGGTTCTCGGCAAACTTCTTGCGACGGGCCTCCTCGGCGGGGTTGAAGCTCGTCATGACCTTGTGCAGGTTGAACTCATCGGCGTTCATGTACTGGACGGGCTTCTGCACGGCCATCATCTTGGCTGCCACCTCATAATAACGAGCCTTGAGCTCCTCCATAGTGCGAGGTTTACGTGCCGCGACCACAGCGCTGCTAGGGTTTTCGTCACCAGGGAGGTCGCCGCCCTCGGTGGACTGGATAATATCGGGCTGGTAGTCATAGCGATCCCATATCAGCTCCCATCGGAGGTCGAAGTCGCGAACCAAGTCCATCAGGTAGTCCGTCTCGTCCTTGTCCCAGTCGCTGTTGGCGAGGGACGAATTATACTGGTCGTCGCTGTACTGGGGCACATGGACCTTGACGTTGAACTTGGCGAACGACGAGTCCTCGATCTCGGCTGAACTTTCGTCGACGGCCATCTTGTCGTCGGCGGGCTGGCCATCGTGGGAGTCTGGTGGTGGTTGGGCGGGCGGCGCATCGTCCTTCCTCCTCCAATGCCTCAGGATTAATGTGGTGTCGTCGCGGGCCGAGTTGTGGAAAGGGCGCATCTCCCATTTTGCGGCGGGCTTGCGGCTGGCGAAGCGACGCTTCTTGAATGACGAGATCTGGGGGACGATGGCGATGGGGTTGTCGCCGCCGAGATTCTGGACCTCTCGCGCGAGGCCCTTGAGGTTGGGCCGTGGCGCCGAGGTCTTCTGCTTCTTGGACGGGCGGGCGCCCGCACCGTCGGCGGGCAGGTTGAGGACGTCGCGCACATCGTGTGACGCCATTGTGTGTGTGTGTGTGTGTGTGTGTGTGTGGGCGTGTTGGGCCCGCGATGGGAGTCTTTCTGTTAGAAGTGCAGGCAGGCTCGGTAGGGACCACCGCTGTCAGCCATACACCAGGTCGGATGAGAAGCAAAGCTCTCTACGCGTGACTGCACATTCGGGACAATTGATCCTGACCCCGAACTCGATGATGTAGCCGGGCTGACGCGTGTAAGTCGATGGATTTTCGTCTCTGGCTCGGTCGAGTCTCGCCGCGCCCATGTCGCTTTCTTTGCATGGCCGTCGCTAAATTTCGAGCCTCTCTGCCTCCACGTGACCCACTTCTCTCCTCCCGCCCAGGTCCTCAGTGTAGGTACGTACTCGGGCAACTTACACAGTACACAGTAACACAGTAACTTAGTGGCTTTTGATCTTCCGACGCCCGGGCCATCCCCTAGCTCCCCAGCTCCCAGCTCCCAGCGCCCATCGACCGCTAGTTAACCCCCTGTCCATCTTTCGGGGGGGACAGCAGGACAGCAGGACAGCAGGACAGCAGGACAGCAGGCCCCTAGCGGCCAAACCTCTGGGCATCTGGACTTTTGGCCATTTGGCCTGTGAGAAGTAGCCTCACGCCCTTTAGGAGAGAGAGACAGAGAGACCGACAACCAGAGAGCGACGACAAACGACGGCTCATCACACCACCACACCACCACACCACCCCCCGGAGCTCAACAACGGCATCTGCGCCCTCGTGACCGTCCTATCCCGACGTTGTCGCCCGTCAATTGAGCTTTCTCGGCGCCGCCCACCCACCACATACACACAAACACACACACACCCATACACACACAAGATGAGGGCCATCCTCCCCCTCCTGTCGCTGAGCACCGTCGCTCAAGCCCTGTACTTCTACATCGACGGCAGCAACCCCAAGTGCTTCTTCGAGGACCTGCCCAAGGACACCCTGGTCGTCGGCCACTACGATGCCGCAGAGTACGACGACAACACGCAACAATGGTCGAAACACGACGGCCTGAGCATCTACATCTCGGTCGATGTAAGTTTTTGCTTTCGAGAGCCTCCCTTCTCTGCTTGACGGCACCTGCGTCATATCCACACACATGTATGCTGACGAGCACCCCTCTCTTCCCCCTCCCGCAGGAAGTCTTCGACAACGACCACCGCGTGGTGTCGCAGCGCGGCTCGTCGAGCGGGCGCTTCACCTTCAGCGCGGCCGACGCCGGCGAGCACCGCATCTGCTTCACGCCCTCGTCCAGCAGCGGCCGCCAGGGCTGGCTGAGCGCCCTGAGCCCCAACGGCGGCATCAAGCTGACGCTCGACCTGGCCATCGGCGAGACGAGCGACATCGAGAGCGCCGACAAGGGCAAGATGGAGGACATCTCCCAGCGCGTCCGCGACCTGCACTCGCGCCTGCAGGACATCCGCCGCGAGCAGGTCTTCCAGAGGGTACGTCTTTTTTTCCCCCTCTTTCCTCTCGCCTCTTTGGGGGTCATTACTTCTCCCCAGTATATAGCCAGGTACAGAGAGATAGGGATATGCTGACAAGAGAATTTTCCCCCCGAACAGGAGCGCGAGGCCGAGTTCAGAGATCAGTCCGAGTCCACCAACGCCCGCGTCGTCCGCTGGATGTTCATCCAGGTCCTCGTCCTCGGCGCCACCTGCGCCTGGCAACTGTCGCATCTCCGGTCCTTCTTCATCAAGCAGAAGCTCACCTAGAGTACTACCCCTACTCTTCTCCACCCCGAGGGAGGTTTCGTGGGTAGCGGGGGCCAAGTGAGGAAGTGGGAAGTTGGTTTTCTCTCTCTCGACGCGAATATAGAACAAGATCAAAAAACGATAGCTCCATGTTCCTCGTGAGCTAGGAAGGGTGCGGATGGGAAGGAAGAAAGAAGAACAGTACGGAAACCTCCGTATATACATCACCTGCCAGTAGGTGTGTGTATATATATGGAGGCTTCTCCTGTATGTTTTGATTGTCTATCTCTCTTGTCCCTGTAATGATACGAAAACTCGGCCCGGCGTCTCGGTCCATCTTGGGCAGCAATGGTGGGAAACGGGGAGGAGGGAGTCCTCCTCTCATTTCTTACCAGGGCGATAGCCAAAGAATGCTCAAACGAAAAATTCATGTCACACTCTGTGCTGTGGTCCGTTAGTTGGGCTTTCCGTGATCCTTGCTGAACGAACGTGGAGAAAAAGAATTATCTTCTCTTTAGGGGTGCGTCTTGCTTGAACTGAGAGGAGTACAGTTGCCTGAACTATAGATGCCACATCTTTCATCATGGCGCTTCATTTGAACGACAGCACCACGTCGTATAGACCTCTGGTCCTAATCCAGGACCTCCAATATGGTGCAGACTCGGCTGCCAGTGTATGCAGAGCCGGTTCATCTATGTCTATCACGTGGTGCAGTGCGAATGAATACGTGCTAAGCCTAGCAGCAACTCGCCCATAACATCCAGGTGAATAAGGTGAAGTGCCTTTCTTGACCACGACGTGAGACGACGCACACCATCCCTTCCCTTTTCAAGATTGTCAGTGTTGGGCGTCAGTACAACAGATCAAGCACGCACACCCAATTCTTGGGATAATTCGCCAATACGCAGTCACGGTTGCAGATCAAAGTCCTGAAAACACAATTATTATCAAAAGAGTTTTTCCTGGTTCCCAACCCTATGATTCCGCCCTCCAGCTCTATCGACGTCACAAAAAAACCTCGGTGCAGCAAGTCCCTTCTTGGCCTCCCCTCTTCGCCTGCTGTTCTGACTGCACACCCCGTCTCGCCCCCGTGTGGCCATTGCCGCGGGCAGAAGCGGAGCCAGATCCCCCTCGTGAGCACATCTTTTCTGTGTGCCGCTTCTTCCCCCCTCTGGTGAACACAGGGCTAGACTCAGCACCCATGCCGACTTCTGCAAAAAAAAATTATGAACATGTAGGCTTTCAAGGCAAAAAAAATCCAGATGCTTGGACCCATTTCCCTGCGCCTTTGCTTGATTGCGTCGCTTCGCTTCGCTATTAACAGACTACCCCCACCGGCAACTTTCTCTATGTTTCGTGATAGCGAGTGTCGTGAATGAAATCTGTTTTTGGTTCCGTGTTCCGTGATTCCACACCTTGGCCAGGCCATTCCCCCGTTGGTTCGAGAGAGGGGAATATGGCTATAGACCGGGAGAAATCCGCGTGGGAAGACGGCGATTAAAAATGTGGAACCGCGGATTGAGGTTGAAACAGGTACATCCTGCCGACAAAAAACCCTACCAGAACGTCCTGGATCGAGTACGCCTAGACGCCCATTCCTTTTTGATTCACCACCCTGACCGACGCTCGATGCAGATGTTTCGTGACAAGGATGACAATTTGGAGGAAATAGAAAAGAGAAGAGTTGGATGGTTCGCATCAGATTCGTCAGAGCTGCACAAAGACAGCTTGGGCCGGAACAAAATATGTCGAGAAGCGGAGCGGCCCCAGAGCGTATTAAAATAAAAGGTAGGAGTAGGAGAAAGCACCGAAGTCTCATCCAATGCTCTCTATAGTCTATGTGGAATCGCTGACATTGACATATAAGTGTATTACGTTTAGCCTGCCGAGGGGGGATCAGCTCAAGTCTCTCGCAGCCGCAGGCAGGCAGGTATATCTGGCTGTCGCGGAAGAGTGGGGGTGAAAAGGAGGTGTCTACTCACCGCAGCAGAGGACCTTCATGAACTTCTGGAAGCCAGTAGGTTGAGGCTCGGCAGGTCTGCTACCGGGTACGGCCTGCGAACCCATGTTGGACGCCTGCGGGGCCATCCGCGGCGGCAGGTTCTGGTTGCTGTTCTGGAACTGGGCCTGGGTCGAGCCCGTCGGCGTGGCCATGTCACGGAGCCCCCCTACCGCACTGCCGCGCTGCGCCTGGAGAGCGCCTGGGGCGTTTGGCCGGCGTTTGTCCATCGCCTTCGCTGGCGAGGGAGGTGGGGGCTGCGCGGCGTTTAAACGGTCGCGGGTCAGGTGAGGCGTGCTGGCACCGTTGCGGGATGCGTTGTGCAGTTCCATCTGGGAGGCGCCGGGTCTGGCGTTGGGGTTGTGGTAGGCGCCCGACTTGTGGCCGTCCCAGCCCTTGCTCGAGTCCTTGCTGATCTTCATCCAGTCGTACTCGCCGTCCTCGACCTCGCCCGTGTTCTTGAGGGCCGTGGTGAAGAGCTCGCGGAGGTAGTCGTAGTCGGGGGTGTCCTCGAAGCCCAGGTTCCGCACGTACGTCAGGTACTTGTTGAACTCCTCGGGGAAGCCCTCGCAGAGGTCCTTGATGACGGTCGTCTGCTTCTTCTCGCCAATCTTCTCGTACTTCTGCTTGTTGGTGGCGGCCTTGAGCCCCTGCCACGGCAGCCCGCCGCGGAGGAAGTACATGAAGACGTGGCCGAGGGCCTCGAGATCGTCTCTTCGCGACTGTTCCCTGCCGAGATGGGTGTTGATACTCATGTACCGGGCCGTTCCCGACAACGACTTCCGCTCGCGGTAGGGGATGTGCTGCTTGGTCTTGGGATCGCGGTACTGCTTGGCCATGCCGAAGTCAACGACGTGGATGACGTTGGACGCCTTGGTTCCGGGCCGGCCAATCAGGAAGTTGTCGGGCTTGATGTCTCGGTAGATCAAGTTCTTCTCGTGGATGGTTTGCACGCGGGAAAGCTGGATGCCTGGTCAGTCCCCGTCTGCTGCACCGGATCGTGTTGCTTTGCGGTTGCGAGGATGGGGAGGGATCTTACCATTTGCTTGGCAACCATGACAACGGTCTTGATGGAGAACCTCCGGTTGCAGTGGTCGAACAGGTCCTCCAACGAGGGTCCCAGCAGATCTATGACCAGGATGTTGTGGAGGCCTTCCTGTCCGAAGTAGTAGACGTTGGGGATGCCGGCTGCGGATGGGTCAGTGGTCAGAAAGCTGAGGGCTTTGGTGTGCGTATGCTGTCGGTCGACTTACGGCATCCGACAAGAATCTTGTACGTCCGGTACTCATCTCGCAGCTGTGGTGCATCGCTCTTTCGGGGTTCCTGGGGGGAGGGCGGAACAGGTTAGCCAATTGATCCCACGCCGGGGAGACACTCGTCTGCATCCAGGACGAAGGGGGAGATTGTCGACTCACAAACTTGATGGCGACTTGCTGGTTGTTCAGCAGGTTGGTCCCCTCGAAGATGACACCAAAGGAGCCCTCTCCAATCTTCTTGCCCACGCGGTAGTGGACACCGACGACGTTGGACGACGACGAGGCCATTGTTGCAGCTGAGGCTCGAACGAAGGGGAGCGACGGCGACGGTGGGAAACCAAGGTGAGGGTCTGGTCGGCGGACGACGTGGTGGTGAAAGGCGGTGGACGTTCGTCGGGCGGTGGGTGGACGACGGGGTCGGTCAAGCACAAGCTGGGGGAGGCTAGGCTCTGGCTGGTGGGCGTGGGCGTGGGCGTGGGCGTGGACGCGGGAAAGGAGTGAGTGAGTGAGCGGCTTGGGTACTGCCACTACACTACACTACAACTAACGGGATACGAGTACCCAAGACAGGTCAGGCACTCAGGGTCGGCGAATGCTCATCTCCGGAGGCTGGGGACAATCGGTGAAGCAGACCTCGCGTGCAGCGGTCGAGATGGCGAGCAGAGGCCGCGCCGGATCGTCGTCGTCGTCGTCGCTGCTGCAGCGGGAATGGGGTGGGAGGAGGAGAGTTGTTGACGGTTGACGGAGCAAGGTCAATTGACGAAGGTCGGAAGAAGCGAAAGGGAGAAACTGAAATCGGCGGCCGACGGGGGGGGGACGCAGGACGGGAGACGCCAAATCTGATCTGGTGCTTGGGTTTGGACTTGGCCTTGGACTTGGACGGGGACCAGGACTGGGGGGAATGGCTGGCTGTGGACCGTGGACCGTGGACCGTGGTTCAATGTTCGGTAAAGGCAGTACGTAGGTCTGTACCCACGGTATCCAGACGTGGTCAGGGAGGCAAGGTTGTCGGTCACAGGCCACAGGCCACAGGTCACAGCTGGAGGCAAACAGGCTCAACGGCGGCGCTGGCAGACTGGCTGGCAGACCTGGAGGCTGGCTGGCAAACTGCACCTTTACACAGTAAGGTAGACCTGGGCCCCATTCCCCCCCCCCCCCCCCCCCCCC